GCACGCTGAATGGAGGAGGTTCTCTGGCGTGCTTGCACTGTCTCATCCCTTGTCTGTCCACTGGGCGAAACCAGCCTTAGCGGAGGTACGTAGTATCATGTAGTTAGTTGTATTGCTTTTTTCGGGTAGTTAGTCCTTCTGTCATTGATGACTATGGTTCTGTCTTCTGTATATATGTGCTAATGTTGAGTATGTAGTTATAGGTATAGGATGTAACTGAATAATAGTGCATGATGATCTTGTTTACTCCTATCTTGTTCCTATTTTCGTGATGTATCTGCCCCACTCAGATTGAAACAGCGGCTCTGGCTGAAACTGGCTACGTCCGTGGGTTAGTCTGAGACGGACCCAGTGCCATTTTGTCGATAGGCCAGTAGAACACTGTGTATGTACAAAGTGCGACCATCGACTGAAGTACAGTAGGTGTAGAAATTCAGTACTCCTTCGAAGCAGAGATTCGGGATAGTCACTTCTCTTGAGACCACATTTAAGATCTAGATACTGTTACTCCATTTATTGGGAATGATTTGACCAACTATAGAACTATAGGAGATTGACCAGGAGGATAGGATTTGGAAGTATAATAATATAATAACAAAGAATCAATGCATGAATCACTGTGATCATGTTTCAAAATCATTCGAGCAACATGATAATCTCACTACCTACTACTTCTAATGATAAGTTTACATCGGGATCATGCAAGATACATAAAACCATGTCCCGACCAGATAAATGCAAAGTCATCGTGTATGCAATCCAAAGAACAAAATATGCAACATAAACTTAAGAAATACATAATGATAGGTCAATGCCCTACGTAGCTTATTCTGTACTTAGCTAATTGCTCAGTAAGAGCTCCGATCCGACTGAAGTACCGCGGAGTGGCTCCGGGCAACAGGAAAAAGGCGGCTCTTCCGCGGTAATGCAATATGGATAGTCCCACATAGGCAAGACTGGATATAGTAGTAGACACATCATAAAATTGCAATATGATATTCATAGTTTAGGCATCAATTGTATATGTTCTTCTCTATTCTATACACAAGACTTATTATTATTCTACCTTCCCTATATAGCAATCAGTATTCGTGATCCTATCCTTCTCCCCTCGGCCTCTCCGCACCAGTGGAGCCCGCATCTTTCCCACTGCGGTACTATTATTTCCCGTGCTCATGCTTGTAGACTGCGAAATAATTAATGTGCTTGTCTATATATGTCTATATTCTTAGTTAGTCTCTCCTCTACTAATACTTAGTAGTACTTTACTCATAACCAGGGGCTTCGACCACCTTTCACTATAGCCACTATGTATACTAACTACTATGCCTGTGTGCATTCCAGCCCAACCATACCCAAAGTACCTGTCTTGTATCTGGTCAGCATTGACTTTCCCTCGCTTTGGATTTGATTGTCCTACTACTATATACTGTCTAGCTAAATAAATTCCACGTGATCCTTGTCTCCCCTCAAAGAACCAAGCTGAACAGCCCCCCGTCTCCTCCCCGTCCCGAAGAGGCCCCAAAATCCCAGAGAAAAACCAAAAACCCCACAATTCCTTTTTTTTCCCCGCTCAGTTCCTAGAGGGCCTCAAATTCTTTCCCCTCTTCTTCCCCCCAAATCCCGCAGAAAACCCCAACCCTATCACCACACCCCCCCCATCCAAAATATACCATGGAGGACGAAAAGACCGCAAAAGTCAAGAAGAAGAGTGCCACTCACCGCAAGTCCCTTTCCTGTGAATATTGCAGTCGCTCGTTCGCCCGCTTGGAACATCTCCAACGCCATCTCCGCACCCGTTGAGTAACCCCCCTCCCCCCTCGAACTCCACGAGTCTGGTCAATTCTCCTAATGTCGGACAACAGATACCAAAGAAAAGCCTTTCTCATGTGACATTTGCTCCAAGTCTTTCGCCCGGAGGTAAGTCCATGACGTTTACTTTGGGACCCCCCTTGCTCCTCGTGCTGCCACGGCCATAATCCCCAGCCCCAATTGCTTATATTTCGGCGTGACAGTGATCTACTGGTGCGACATGAGCGATTGGTGCACCCTGCCGAAACTGCGGCCGGTCGAGAACACCGTGCCCATAACGGCGACAACCATCACCACGAGATTGCAATCCAGTCGACGATAATTCAACCTGCTGCCCATCATGAATCCCGCATGCTAGAGCTGGCCGATGCCATCCCGGTCCATACCCAAGTTCCCCCTCCACCTCCCGAGGTGCAGATCCAACCTCCCCCGATCGTCGAGACTACCCACTTCAATCCCTCTTGGGGCTACGATCTCAACCTATTGTCGCACGCGGCAAGTCATGTCGCATTGGAAGGACAACAGGAGAGCCTGGAGTCCATTCGAAAACAATCCCATGCGGTCGGCACACCATCCCAACCCTTACCGCCGGCCCCAGAGAGAGGAATTACCGACAATTATGGTGTTGAACCGTCGATTCTTGACCTCACCGACCTAGGTGACCCGGTACAAGACTTTACGGTTTTTCTAGAGAGTGTGGGCTTGTCGTCCGACTGGGACTCGGGGGTATTCTCATCGGTCGAAGAACCCATGTTGCCGCCAAGTCTATCAATGGATTCTAAACCACAAATTCGAGAAGCCACCGCATCGACAAGGTTAGGGGGCGACCTAATGAGCGACCCACGCGGCCCGGCGGACGAACAGCCTTCTTTCTCGAATTTCGGGTCTAGGTTACCGTCTCTACAGCCCGAGTCTCACGAGATGGAGGATCGTATTGGACTCTCTGACGAGGGCTCTCGACCTGCATGGGATATAACCAATGCCGATCGACAAGCTTTCGTCCAAAAATTGGAAGAGTTCTCATTTGTTCTCCCCAAGGGATTTGTTCCCCCGTCACGACACACCCTATCCCGCTTCTTCGCGGGCTATATCAATGGCTTGAATGAACATCTTCCCTTTGTGCATGTGCCGACATTGTCCATTGCCAAGTGCTCTCCAGAGCTCACATTGGCCACGGCAGCCGCTGGAGCACATTATCGCTTTGAAAATGGCCGAGGGATTGACCTCTTCCATGCGGCTAAAGCAATTCTATTAGAGCGTCTTCGTCGGAGGGACAGCCGGCAAGTACCTCATCCATCGTGGAATTATATTTCTCCTCCTTCGGGCTTTCATAATTCGCGTGGTTCGTCAATGATCTCGAACACAGCGAGCAGCCCGTTTCAGAGTCAGCATATGCATAACCCGCCTGTGAACGCATCCATCTATACCCCCGATGACTCCGATGCACACATGGAAGTGATACGGACGTTCCTGCTGCTGACTGTATTTGCGTCCTGGGAGAGACACCCGGAACTACTGCGGGAGATTCTCTCGCTGCAAAGCACGTTGGCAAGACTCGTTCGAGAGCATGGATTGTCGGAGCTCCCTCCGACTCCCGAGCCTATTAGCTGGGAAGAGTGGGTTCGTAGAGAGGGCAACAGACGGACAAAGCTGATTGTCTACTGCTTCTTCAACCTCCACTCCATCATGTACAACATTCCTCCCCTGATTCTCAACGGGGAGCTGAAGTTAAACATGCCTTGCTCCCACGACCTTTGGAAGGCTAACAATGCCGCCCAATGGCGGCGCCTTCAACGTGTTCGACAAGGCTCGGACATTCCTTTCCAGGATGCATTTGCCCGACTCTTCCTAAAATCCTCGACTTCCTTCCCTTCAACCCCTATCTCCCCATTGGGTAATTATATCCTGATCCATGCCATTATACAACAAATCTTCTTCGCTCGGCAGCTCTGCCTATCAGCCCCGAATATGCACGGCACCAGCCTGCGACAGGAAGATCTCAACGTGCTGGATAACTCGTTGAGCGCCTGGAAGGCTCTGTGGAAACGCACGCCTGAATCCAGCATCGACCCTCAGAACCCTGCCGGCCCTATTGCATTCACCTCGACTGCATTGCTGGGCCTCGCATATATTCGACTTCACGTGGACCTGGGACCATGTCGCCTCCTGATCACCCAAGATCCACATCAAATCGCCGGTGCACTCGGCGAATCCCCACCGCTCGTCCGCAGCCCGCGACTGATCATGGCACTCCTGCACTCCGCGCACGCCCTCTCGATCCCGGTGCGACTGGGCATCGACTTCGTCGCTCGCACACACTCCTTCTTTTGGAGTATCCAGCACTCGCTGTGCAGTCTGGAATGCGCATTCCTGCTCAGCCGCTGGCTACTCGCCATTCCCGCGACGCAGTCCGAGCAGCGACTCTCGGAGCACGAACGAAAACTCCTCCTGTGGATCAAGAGCATGATGGATGAAACCGACATGGCTGTTGATCCGCCCGGAGCACCGGACCTGGAATTCATGGCTAATCCGTACAAGGTGCGGCAGCTCAGCGTTGCGATCGTGCGTGTGTGGGCGCGTACTTTCAAGGGGAATACCAGCTGGGCGATTGTGGACTTGGTTGGGTCCAGTCTTGACGCTTACGCGGATCTCCTAGAGAGCTGGACTGCCTCTTAAAAGATAAAGATAGGTCGGGGAAAAGGAAAGCAGGGATGTGAAAAATATCTCCTGCATGATCGATTACGCCTCGGCCAGTGGCACTGCCACGTAATGATGCTTTTTTTCCCTTTGGACCATTTTGGCTTTTTTTTGTTTTTGATGAACATGATATCTAGCGGGGTTTTTTGAGTTTTTGTATATGCGAGGGGGTTTTGGGATTGATCAGTTTGGGACGTTTGATTTTCATTTTTGATGAACGGTCTGCTTCTCATGGTCTTGGTCTTGTATGTATTATGATTTTCAGCCCTTGTGATTGCTGTTTATACCCGGTGATGCGCGCGCGTTTTTCTTAGCCAGGGCATGGAATGATGATTTTGTTTGGCCCTGATTGGCTTCTTTCTTCTCTTTCTTTTCTAAAATGAATCGAACCTGGCCTGGTGGAATGAAAGACATTTGGTATACCCCGAATCTTGCTTAATGATTCTGTTCTATCATTCTGATTTACTAGACAGGTGTTTAGTGAGCGACATCGTGCTTAGGATTGAAGTTCTTTTCGATTAGCTGGATCGCTATTTGCCCGAGGTACATTAAGGGCACTTCTTTATGCATTTCGTCAAGTCATAACTTTTTCGCTCCTCCCACACACCCATTCCACACAGTCACCCTATAATTATCCACACGATAAAAATGGCCATCAAGAACTCTTCTGCGGAGCTTTAGTCCGATTCCTCATCACACTCGCCGGCACAAATCGCAACGCAGACATAGACTGGGCCAGCCCGTCTATATCCATGTCAATCTCGTTCGAGGTCTGCTCAGTTCGAGCAGGAGACTGAGGTTCAGTCCTCTGCGGAATAGTCGGTTGAGATACCGAGCTGCGACGCCGGAGTCGTCCCTCCTGGATGGAAGAGATGGAAGCCGAGGAAATGCGGCGTCTGTGGCTCTTGTTTAATGGTCTTAGTAGTGATGTCTGTTTGTCGATGCCATCGTTGATGATGTAGAAGTTGTAAGTCTGGATAAAGTCAGTATATCAGATCAGTTATCAGTTCTGAGTGGTGGAGAGGGACGTGGAAATCGTACCCGTGGGAACATGTGCTTGTCTATTAAATGAAGGCGTCGTTTTTGAGGCGTAGAGCATTTGCGCTCGCAGTCCTCGATGAAACACTTGTACTATCCCAGCAAATCAGGTTAGCAAGTTGAACACTTGAGAGGAATATATCCCAAAACTTCCATAATCCAATCAACTCAAACCCGGGTAATACTTACAGTCTTCTCCCCCCTCGCCCTCATCGCCACAACCAACGAATCATGATTCTCCTCAATATGAAGATTCAAAAAATGCGCCGTAGGAAAATTCTTACTACACTGCGAACAGCGATTGACATGTGCCTGCTGATAATGCACTTCATAATCCTCATACGAGGCAAACGCAATCGTCTCCCGATGAGGCGGTAAAGCGCAATGCATAACCTCGACGAACGGGACGTTTTCCTGGTGGGGGATTTTGCTCCGATCGGATGCTGGCTGCGTGGTGGTCACGCTGATTGTTGAGGCGGATGGGGAGCTGGAGTCAAAGGATGGTGAGTCTGGGTCGTGAGAGGGTGTTGGAGTGCGTGTGCGGCTTTGGGAGCGTGAGCGTTTGGCCATTTTGGAGGGTTGCTTTTTGGGGATTTGGGGCTTGGGGCTTGGTTATTGGGTGTGGTGGATTGTGACTGATCGGACTGGGGCGGGGCTTGATGCAGGCCAAGGTGCAGTAGTGGGATTAGGGAGTGGAGGAGGTCTGGAGGGAGGAGGATATGAGTATGGTGGGAGAGGAAAGAGATGGGAGGTGAAAGATGGGTGAAGTATAGAGAGATTAGGGCTGTTTGGTTGATGCGACTCGAGAGATGGAATGAGACTGATTGTAGCTGAATATCACCACTGCTAATTTCAATTTATACACCAAGTAATAATAATACTCTCAATATATCCTTGAACTACCATTTTTTTTGTATTTTAAACCAGTATCTTACTATCTTTCCCCTTCTCTTAATATCCACCAGCCACAGTCGCACTGCCCGCCCATTGGGTGCAGCCACAGGAGATTCCGCGGCAATACTCCACGCCTCGACTCTCTCCACACGCATTTTCCCAATCTTTCGCCGAAGAACCTCTTTGATTGTTTCCCTGCTCCATTCCTCATCTTCCACCCACCCACTTATTCGCCTTCGGGTGTCCCGATCTGATGGCTTGTTCACCGCTGCCTTCGCCCGCAGACGTCCATCCAGCCATAGCCATCTGACGAGGTCTACGGTGGGGTGGTCAATCCGCACGTCCCCAACTCGAGCATGGCGTCCTCGTTTCAGGATGCGTGGCAGTCAGTCTTCTCCTCCTTGCTTTGCGTCTATTTGCTTTCATTTTAAAACCGATGACAACAAAATCACAATTTGAAAAAGGCAAATTACTAACCTCACGGCATGCAGGACTGCGCTCGATGCCGAACAGGAACTGTTGCGCTCCCTCGTTGAGAAGGAGCCCACCTTTGCCGAGATTTCACAACTTTTGTCGGAGTGAGTCCCCGTTTCGCGATCGATATGGCTGTTGGAAATCTTGCGCGCTCTATCAGAGAAACACTCGTCTAACTTTTGCGTCATTTTATCCAGATTCCGCACTGCTTGCCAAAATGCGATCCTTCTCGATTTCGAAACCGCCCGTGGAGCCGATGTGGAGGGTCGCCTGTGGGATGCGCACCTGAAACTCAACACTCGGTTCCGCAAGTTGCTCGCTCGTGTGAGTAGATGGCTGATACGTGGTGGCAGGATGTACGAACTAACATGTGCGGGTTGAATAGTATCGCGAAGAGAACACCAAGAAGAGACCCGTTGAGAAGCGGAAGCTTGAAAAGCATTATTTAGATTTTATCAAATCGAGCCAGCGGTTCTACCGGGGTTACATCCAGCATTTATCCTCGCATTTCGGAGGCATCGTGGAATTAGAGAAAGTGGCGCGCAAGTTCAATTTTGAGAGTGCGCAACAGTCTTATCCCCTTTGTGTGTGATCTATTTAACGCTAACATGTTTTCTTTTTTTTTTCTAGACCTATCCGCTACCCCTCCATCCACGATTACGCCAGAGCTGCGGTTGCGCATCCTTCAATCGTGCCATGCGACTCTCATCAGATTGGGCGATCTTTCTCGGTATCGGGAAACCGAACTTGCTAGCAACAAACGCAATTGGGGTCCGGCTATTGGATACTACGATTTGGCCTCGGTCATCTACCCTGCATCGGGCGCATCGCATAATCAGCTGGCAGTAATCGCGCTCGCCGATGGCAACCACTTCCGAGCCACCTATCACCTCTACCGGGCGTTGTCTGCCCACAATCCGCATCCCTCCGCAAAGGGAAATTTGGAGATTGAATTCAAAAAGGTGATGAATCTATGGGCTAAGCGAGAATTGATCAAACCAGAGGATCAAGGCATTCCAGGAAAAGCATTGGCACCGTGGTTTGTCTATCTCCATGCGCAGTGTTACAAGGGCAACGACTTTCCCGAGCATGATGAGCTGGAAAGCGAGGTTATGAGCCAGTTGGCAGTTGACATCAGGGAGCGTTCGCATGAAGGAACGCTCCAAAAGTTCTGTCTTGTTAATATTGCCGCAGAGGACTTTGCCCGAACTCGTTCTACTGAGGAGTCAGTCTCCAATGCACGCATGTTCTTCCAGCGCATCAATGTGAAGACCTTCTTCACATTACTGCAGATTCTTTTGGTTGAGCTTGAGCGGTTTGCCGGAGAAGATTCGAGTAACAGCAGCAAAGACTCGAAGAATGGTCCCGATAAGGTCACTGTCGTTGCTCGACGGATCCTACCTGCTTTGCGGCATTACAGCTCCTGGCTTTTGACCACCAGCGACTTCCTTATTTCCCCAACGGAAGAGCAGGACTCGTCTCTCACCATTCAGATTCACGAGTTCTGGAAGATCTACGCAGGTACCCTGACTCTCTTGGCATCCACATTTGATGTCGTTCATCTTCCCGAGATCGATTACCTTCTAGAGGAGGATGAAGAAAGCCTTGGCTTTGCGCCATTGGACCAAGCGGCGACTTCTCGACGATACGTCGGTATGGGTGATCAGCTCAAGCCTAGGATGAACGATCCAGGTGTTGAGAGGAGCCATCCAAACATAGAGATGCTCTACCGAATCCGCGAGTTCGTGATTGATGGTTTGGACTTGGTTGTGAGAAACGTATGTTGGATTGTCTAATGAGTTGAATATCGAAGTTTCTGACCATATTATAGAATATCCCCGTTGCCCTTGTGGATGAGGAGGACAAGAAAACGTTCATCTACCAGGAGGATGGATTGCCGTCTCAATTCTTCTCTAGCCCCCATGGTCGCCAGAACACGCTCACGACACCGGTCATTGAACGAGAGGATATCCCGCCAGCAGGTCAAGATTCGACCGCTGGCACTGAAGCACGCAGCATGTATGGCGACTCGCAGTCCGCCTCGGTCTCGGCCTCTGCATCAATGTCAGCCAACATGCACCGCATCGCCGAGGATGTTGAGCGCTTGGTTGAGTCCGACACGTACGAGAATGCGCCCAATGTCGACCAGTTTGCTTTCCTGCATGATTCTGGAGAGATGCCCACTCCTTCGGCTCGAATGGCGCCAAACAACAATGCCTTCCCGTTCAGCGAAAAAATCCCACAGCCGCTTAGTACCCCTATGGCCCCTCCTGGTCTAGGACCACCTGTCGTCAACGCAGCAGAGGCTCTCCGTGCATCAGTCTCTCAATCTTACACACCCCTCCCCACGCTCCCCAGTATTCCCAGCATATGGAACACTGGAACTCCCGCGCCCCTGCGTGACGGTGCCTCCCCACGCACCCCGCCCGGTCTCGGACAACCTTCCTCCATGAACCCAATGGGCACGATGAACCCCAACACGACCGGGTCTCCATCGCAGGACCAGATCACAAATGATCTCCTCCGACACAACCGGATGGCCCAGACCCAACTCCCCACCCCCCTGGATATGTCAAGCTCCATGCCGTCATGGTTTGCCCAATCCAACGTCCATCCAGCAGACAATTGGGCCCCGGATCCACGCCGCTCGTCCTACATTGACCCCAGCCAGCCAATCTCAAGCGGATACTCAGCTCAGCAATGGTGGGCGAATAATGGCTTTATCGCTAGTAGTCTGGCTTCAGGTGCCGGGCCCTTCAACTCAGGATTTAACGGCCACCGCAAGTCGGCTACTCAGCTCGGCGCAATTGGTCAAAGTCCACCTTGTGGCCAAGGCGGTTGAAGCCCGAGCTCAAGTTGCCTACCCAGTTTAAATTACATGTGTGCATGAATTTGAATTTGCACAATCTGCGAACTGAGCGAGACTGTCAACTCAAGTCAAAGCTCGATTCTATGCTCACTTTGGTACTAGCATGAATCTGCTTTGTTTTCAAAGGGTGAGGACCATCGATCTACGCATGGAAGAAGAGATCACATTCGTAATCGAGATGCATCTGGGTCCAAGCCCGGTTATGCAGATCTCGACAAACTACCTGGCTCGATTCCAGCAGGCCACAACGCAATCCCCATTCCGGCCATGAGATCCAACAAAACCCCTCTGGAGTCTTTGAAGTGGTGGTCCCTAGCCAGCCGGCAGTTCCCTTATTTCCCATCTATGCGAAGGACCAAAGTGATGGACACTGCGCGTTCAACACGCAACACAGTGGAGAACCAAACCCCTGGATAGAGGGTTGCCTGCGTCCAACTTTTGTCCGGGTTTTTCTTTTCGAGGAGGATGGATACGTTAGCAGCATTCTTCAGTTGTCTTCTTTACTCTGCTTTCAGTTTCATGCGAAATGAAACATTTCGGCGGTCCAAAATTCTTTTCTTATTAAGCCAAGCCTTGTATTTTTTTTCTTGATCTTTGAGTGGAGGGCGCCAGCTGCGTCGGAGGGTTTCTGTTAACCTGGTCAGGATGTTCAATCTCAAAAGTGTTGCCAGACCCAAAAAAAAATAGCAAGTTCACGTTACCCATACTGCCTCTACACAAGTAGATCTTTTTTATGGAATTACTACTACGTAACAGCCAGACAGGATCGAAAGTAATTACATAAATTGCCTTGGTTTATTGTTATTTATCTAGTCATTAAATTCGTTGTTGAAAACGGGGCACTCTCGTTTCAGCGCGTATTCCCCAGATTTTTGTCTGCTATGCTCCTCTTTTGTATCACACATATGGCCATGCCATTTCCAAGAATAGCGAGGGCATGAGAGAGAAAAAGTGAATGGAAGCAAGATCTTTTCACAAGGAAAGGTCCTTGATCGTTGGATTGCTCGACGTTAAGTCGAGGAAGGTTGGTGAGGTTGATAGATTTGAATAATTGGAAAGAAATATGACATAAAAGGAAATTGGGTATAGAGGGTTGAATCATCCAAGGGTTGCGTGGTGCATCGTCAATGCACCGAGACCTTCGTTAGAAGATCTCTGTGTTGAAAGGGTTTATTTCTATTCGTTTTATCTTTGCAATAGGAATGGTCGCTTAAGAGCGGGAGTAGGTCTGCTTGGGGGAGGGGAAGCTGGGAAATTGAGTGTTAGTCTTGGGAGTTAGTGATGTATACTGCATGGGAATAACTTACGAAGGTCCAAGCTCCTGGATGCTCTTGCTAGCGAGCCACTGACCCATGTCAATGCTGTCATCAAGAGACTTGCCAGAGACAACACCGGCGCAGAAGCCACCGGCAAAGGCATCACTGTGGGGTCGAAAATTAGCACTCAGTAGGGGGCAAAGGTACATGGAGTTGAACTTACCCTGCACCGTTGGTGTCGTTGATAGCATCCTTGGAGATCTCGTGAACCTTGAACTCCTTAATCTCGACAGTGCCGTCGGCGGAGGCGACACCGACAACAGTCGGGAGAGTACCCTGAGTGACAATGGCGACACGAGGGCGCTGGGTGTTCTTCTTGGGCAGAAGGGCGAGCTTCTTGGCGATCTCGACAACGTCGTCGGTACCCCACTCGTGGCTCTCAGCGTAGGCACGAGCCTCAGTCTCGTTACAGAAAGTGTAGTCAGTGTAGGGAAGGACGCTGTCCAGCTGCTCCTTGAAGAACTGGGGAATGAAGGGAGCGGAGAGAGAGAGCATGAAGACCTGGAGGTAGCAACGATGTGAGCAGGGTCATCCATCATAATCAAGCAGATGGTCTACTAACCTTGTTCTTCGCGGCAGCCTCCTCGCCGAGGGCCTGGATAGCGGGGACACAGACAGTCAAGTGGTAGCCACCGACGTAGTAGAACTGGGCCTTCTCGACGAGGGACCAGACGTGGGGCTGCTTCAGGTGCTCAATCTTGTACTCGTTGGCAGCAGCAAGGTGGGTGCACATGCTGCGGTTGTGGCCAGTGATAACGACACCGCACTTGCCAGTAGGCTGAGCCTCATCGACACGGTACTCGGTGTGGACACCAGCTTCCTCGCAAGTCTTCTTCAGGATGTCACCGTACTTGTCCTTGCCAACGCAGCCAATGTAGACAACCGAGTTCTCGGGGAGCATGTACTAGAGAAATTGTCAGCATTGAGGTCCAACCACAGCCTTTCAGTGTTATTCCCCTACCTGAGCACCACGGGCAGTGTTCTGAGCAGCACCACCGGGGATCAGCTTAGCATCCCGGGCAAGGAGGTCCTCGTAGATACCCATGTGCTGCTCCTCGGCGAGGATAGCATCGTTATCCTTCAGGCCGTACTTCTCGAGGAGGGCAGCGTCACTTGAGAACTAATGTCAGTAAATTGGATTCTAGCGACCCAAATAGAAAATCAATTCGTACCCGCGAGCCTGGATGTCTAGTGGGGGTGTCAGCAATCTGGAGTATACTAATCTTCTTGGGGGGTTAGTACATACCAAGGAGAGGGTTCTCCAAGCACAGCAGAGGGTATCCTTGAGGAGCGGCCATTTTGAAAGTATGTTCAATGGGGAGAAAGTGAAATTGAGGGGAGGTTAAGGGGAAAGAAAAGTAAAAGGCCAAGTAGAATGAGAAAGGTGGGTGATGGAGGGGTCCGGCAGAAAAGAAGCCGGGCGGAAGGTCCGCAAAGAGGCGGACAACCAACAACCCCAGCTCCACACGTCGGGAACGTTGACTTGCTTTCTCCGGACAGGAACCGCTCGACAAAGCCTCAATTCACGATGACAGACCATATCCTGGAGGTCGCTGAGACCATTCAGACTGCTTCTATCGTATCACACCCATCTGCCGCCCACGATATCAACCCGCCCACCGCGGCCTCGGAAAAGCAACCCGTTGTTGCTGCCCCGGCTTCCGATGCTGGCAGCCTCTCTTCGGACATTGTTGATCCAAGTCGAGTGATTCGGCCCCTTCGTCGGCGTCAGACACTTCCTCCTCTGCCAGACTTGCGCTTTGAGCAGAGCTATCTGGCTAGTTTGAAAGATGCCGACACCTGGGGACGGGTAGCATGGATTACCGTCAGGGACCAGGTACGGCGAACCTACATGAAGCTTTCAGATGGAACATACAGCGAGAACCGCATAGCTAACAATACATTGTTTCCTCCTGTAGGTCCTCCTCCCTCTCATGCAAGGCACAGTCTGGACCCTCGCGCTCTCCGGCTGGCGCTTCTGGAACCGCAACGCCTCCCTCAGCGGACATACACTGGGAAGCAGAATCCGCAGGTGGTGGTATGGAGTCAACAACTGGAAGCTGCCACCCGTAGGCTGGACCAAGGATCCAAAGCTAGCCTCGCAAGTCGAAGAGGTAAGCAACAAATACCATTGAACTAGCAGATGTCCTCATCGCCCCTGATTGAGTTTACGTGGCTGACGGCTCAGGAGTTCTTGCAGTTCTACGAAGCCCAGTTCTCTAATGCTGGTTCGGGCTGAGTTATCATTGCCCTGAGAACCTTACTGGGTTGTCTCGGTGACTTTGAGGAACTCTTTTTATTGTCTTACTAGCATCTGTGGCGTTGGATTTTGGACGGCGTATTGTATTCTTGTTTCTCTTCCTTTGTTCTATATCCCAAAATCTTAGAGTGTTTAATCATCTTTCAGTGATGTATCTTGATCATGTCCTCTCTCCATTCCAGTACATACTACGGGCATTGCTCAGGATACAAAATGTATACCAGACTCATTGTCATACCTGGTACTCCGAGCTTAGTATCAAAATCTCCATATTTGTTTCTATCTACGGCGCTTGAAATAACTGAAGGACAGCGAAGCGAGGTGTGTAAACCTCCATTTTAAGCAAATTGCAATCCTCGATCATTGAACTGGACAAACTTAGACTTGTCAGTTTACCTGACACAGTAAGAATAATCATGAATCCCCCTCAGCTGGTTGGCGGCGCCTGCGCACGAGGCAGCTCGGAGCCGGGGCGATGTTCAGCGCCCTGATGAGACCCATTCCAGCCATTCACAGCAACCGGGTGACCGGTTTTCGGCCCTTCTGGTGCTTGAGGCTGATGATATGCTTTGGTCGATACCTGAGGGGCGGGCTCTGGGGCGTTCAGCAGTGCAGACATGGGCAGTCCGGTCGGTTTTGAGGCTGCTGGTTGTGAAGGTACCTGAAGGGCTGGTACAGAAGGGAAACCAGGTGTAGTCATAGACGCAGCTGCAACAGGTCCCGGCGCCAAATTCTGCTGTGGTGTGTCGACAGGCCCAGATGGCCTTTGAGACACACCAGCTTGCCCAGTATCTTCCATCAAGGCATCCTTGGCAGGAGGAGGCTCATCTGGATCTTGAGGCCCAGCATGCGCACTCCCTTTGCCGTATCGAAGCTGTACCACCAAGCTTCTAGGCTCCCCGTTGACGATAGATTCATCCCCACTCGCGTCGTCTCCTTCATCATCGCCCTCAAAATCATTTTCTTCCTCGTCTCCACCGTCCCACTCATTTCCACTATCATTGGAACGAGCTTCTGACTCATCGTCCAGGTCCTCATCGCCATAGCCAGAATAACCATTAGGATGAGTCGACGTGCGGCTCCTTTGAGGCCTCGTGTCGTCCTCTTCCTCATATTCAGAGTCCTCGCGCTGGCCGCTGAGCAATGATTCACCGTAGGCGCCGCCGGCCCGGGATCTCACTTGCCGACCACTTGCAGTGAATCGAGGGCGCGACGGTTCGGCTGCTGTTACACCAGATGAGTTCCGAGCTGACCGTCGCGTGGGTTGATCATCTGAAAAAATGTCCTCCTCGTCGTCGTAGGTATACTTGAGTTTCTTGCCACGAGTGCGGCCCTCATATAGAGAGAACCCAGGCTCTGGTCGGGCAAATGCGGCCTTTCGAGCAAGACGGTAGTCGCGGCGCTTGCGTTTCTAGTCAACCTGTTAACCACTATCATGCATTCATCATGCTGTCTTTATTGTGGAATAACTTACCTCTTCCGAAGCCTCAAACCGAGGGATGGCAGCTCGGATTCGTTCGCTGAGCTTTTTCGAGTTGATGCCTTTCTCCTCTTGCAATCTATCGGCAATAGCCTGCATTTCTGGAATATCTCCAGCAACGCTCCACCAGGTATTGGTCTTGAGAGCAGGGTTGCTCTCACGGTATAACCGGAAGTGGGTATCATCTTGCCCCTCAATAAGCCAATAACGACGTTTCAAGCTATCCCTGCCCCAGGGCTGGACTGAAAGAGGCTGGTTGAGATCGTCATCATGGCGGGACTGCTTGTAGGATTCCTTAATCTTCGCCTGGATTGCATCGGATGATGAAAGAGACCAGAGGATCAAAGCGCGGAGGAGTTCCAGCTATAAGATAGAAAAAAAATTAGTCAAAATGCTTGCGCGGGTAATCACGTTGTGGTTTGAGAGCGTACCCGTTCTTCAGGCGACATGGTCGCAAAGGTGCGGCCACCATGTAAGGGGTTCTTGCCCTCCCATGCCTTTGGCCATTGCGATTGATGAACCTGAATCGCCTCCTCTAGTGGTCGCGTAAAGTGATTTCGTCTGGTAAAGTGAGATACTATGTTAGCGCACAATTTGCGGAGCCATTGGATGATAGGGGCCAAGGGCGCGCGCCGCGCCAGCACACCGCGCGGGACCGAGTATCGGGTGGCGACCATACTCAACATCTTTTTTGCGATTCAAAACGAGTCCCAATAGTGCGCATAGTAGGCGCTCGATATATTCTCCGGGAACCGAGTCCTCTACTCCCTTCTCAATGTCTTGTGGTCCGAAGTGTGGCAGGCTTCGGGGGAAAGCTTCGTGGAAACGCGCGCGGAATGTCACGATGAACTAGCCATTGCGACAGGTCAGCCAACGTGTCTTCTCGAAGGATTAACGCGTCATAGATATAGCTTCATATCCATTTATTGATAGAAGCCATTCAATATAACAATAGCTTACCGGGATATGAGGGTTATCTGCTAGAACGTATTCATGCGGCGGCGATGGCTCCCGCTTTGGCGGCGGAGTCTCCGACTCCTTCTTGAAGTACTTTGCAATCCCAACAGGCTCGTCGATAGCCATGGCCGTCTCGTCATCAGTAGGCGGAGCTGATGAAAGCGAAGAAAGGTCCGAGTCCGAGTGTGCCATGTTAGATGTGGTGGTGGAGGTGATGTGAAGGACAAGAGTTTGGAGCCGGCGCAGGAAGCGTCACGTCGGTAATGGGACTTGCGCCCGCAGGGCGATTATTAAAGGGAGAGATCCCTTACGCGACGGAGAGTCCATTTAGCTTGCGCAATTGGATTTTACAAGGTAATCTAGCATTCTACAATGTCATTAGAACATAAAGGAATGATCTATGGCTTTATCAAATTGGAAGAACAAATGATCTAGAAGCATATAGATGCGCAATGCCAGGAAGTATGGAGTCTCTGGTAAGGAGCAGTCTCGTAGAATTATGGTATGTATATTGTAATTGATGCAGAAGCCAATAGTAATTGCACCTACTATAGAGAGGGCAATATAATGTTCCGGTGTTCAGTAGTTCATCATCGGTAGTGTATCACCTGGCCTTAAAACTCGATACGTATCAGGAAGGGCGCCATTCATGGGAATTGGAAAGAACCAAGCCTGCTGGTAATGCTGGCGGTCAGGAAAGAGGGGGAAATTCAGTTCCAGACCAGATTCTGTTGCAGGCCTGCAGCAGGTAGGTTGATTCGATGGGCAGACCAGTCACCAGTCACCAGTCATCAACTTGGTCGATCTCCGCAGTCTGCGAAAAAGGACAGAGGAACAGCGTCAGGGCTATCGGAATGATCATGTGATTGATTATGTAAGTCAGAGGAGTCGGGCTTGTCGTGAAGAGGGTTAGACTGAATAGTATCAGCCAAGAAAGGTAAGAGTATATGAGAGGCCAATTTCAATAGTCTATTCAATGATGCACCAGGTAATCCATTTGTGATATTCATCTTTGTCCTCGATGAGTATGTTTTCTGCATACAACTTGGCCGACCTCGATGTTCTGCTCCGATGTGCTTACCTCAGCCATGGTTGCGCTAGTGCTGATTCGGTTAGGTTAGCGACCGCACCCTAAAGCCCACACAGTCCCATTCCCGAGCATTTTCCATCTCTTCAACGACAAGTCCCATCTTCAATTCGAGGTACGACCTTTTCCCTTCCCACTCGACTCTGTCTTCGCCGGCAATCGACTGCCTGTGCTTCGCAAATACTAACACAGGTACTCCTTTAGACAGTCGCCATGGGTCGCGTTATCCGCAACCAGAGGAAGGGCCGTGGCTCCATTTTCAGTGAGTGCGATCGCATCAAAATTCCCCATCCAAAAGCCCGATTCTTTTCGTCAGCGCCTACACACGAAACGCAACGAGGGAGAACAAAATTCCAACAGACCTGAGGAAAACGGATGATATGACAAGCCTTGGAATTGGAGCGCTGATAATTTATTTTTTCTTCTTTTTACAGCGGCCAACACCCGTCTCAACAAGGCTCCTGCCCAGTTCCGTACCCTTGACTACGCTGAGCGTCATGGATACACCCGTGGTGTCGTGAAGGAGATCATCCACGATGCCGGCCGTGGTGCTCCCCTCGCCAAGGTCCAGTTCCGTCACCCCTACAAGTTCAAGATGGTCACCGAGACCTTCATCGCCAACGAGGGCATGTACACCGGCCAGTTCATCTACGCCGGTAAGAACGCTGCCCTGACCGTCGGCAACGTCCTTCCCCTCGCCTCCATGCCCGAGGGTACCGTCATCTCCAACGTCGAGGAGAAGGCCGGTGACCGTGGTGCTCTTGGCCGTACCTCCGGTAACTACGTTACCGTTATTGGCCACAACCCCGAGGATGGCAAGACCCGTGTCAAGCTCCCCTCCGGTGCCAAGAAGGTCATCAAGAACACCGCCCGTGGTATGGTTGGTATCGTCGCCGGTGGTGGCCGTACCGACAAGCCCCTGCTCAAGGCTTCTCGTGCCAAGCACAAGTTCGCTGTCAAGCGCAACTCTTGGCCCAAGACTCGTGGTGTTGCCATGAACCCCGTCGATCACGTAAGTTTTGGCCATTCGAACTTCAGTTTGTCCACAGCCCTTCTAACGAATCTTTTCTCCTACAGCCTCACGGTGGTGGTAACCACCAGCACATCGGTAAGGCCTCGACCATCTCCCGCTACGCTGCCCAGGGTCAGAAGGCCGGTCTCATTGCCGCCCGCAGAACTGGTCTGCTCCGCGGTACCCAGAAGACCAAGGATTAAGCGTGATATTACGTGGAGTTTTTCTTGTGACGGGATGAAAATGGACTTCTGCAATGAGACATATGTATCTAGGCGACTGCGGATAGGCGTCCCATGCGCCCTTAGCGAATTAAGGTTGTGGCCACCATCCTTTTTACTGGTCGAGCAAAATCAAAAGGGTGATGGGGATTGGGTCCGGGGATGGCCTCATGTCAAGGCAGAACGGAAAATTCAAAAAAGGCCCTTGGGGGCTCTTGAAATGATACACCTTTTAAATTTTCAAATCCGTTCTGCTCTGTCCACCCTGTAGAGATGTAGATATCAGAGTTGAGGACCTACTGCCGGTAGCATCCCTTGGTGCTTTACAAGCAGAAACCCCTTAGTTGCCCAGCCCGACATATATCATGGTTGGACTCCAATGATCTGATCCCATAAAGTTGGTCTGGCCTTGGGACACCTACCAGTTCAATCATTGATCGCATATGATGTATCTTATCTGTACGTCGTCCAGCCCGTGGGTCTATGATTCCAGGTTGCATGACAGCAACCAGCACGAGTGTCCCCGAATTGCCCCTCCATTGCCGAATCTATCAACCCCGCGGAGCCCGATGAGCCTATACTATACTATGTCATATTCAAGCAAATGGTCAGCATGATATTAATTGGGATAGGTATAATCTGGCTATGCTATTGGGAAATTTGAGTTCCTATAATTCCCGTCTTGGTGGCTCCAACCTTGCATGCGTGATGGATATCCTAGTTACTATGTAATACATCAAAATCGTTTTTTAAGTTGTGATTTTCTCCCTTTATCAATTGGATAGGCATGCTACCTGTTTTTTATCTAATCGCATCTGTCTATACTCCCGTGCTCGGAGGGTGTTATAGTCTAGTACGTTGGTAGTCTGATATATATCTGAGATCGTGCTCGTGGCCAATGGATAGAACTCAAAAACTTCATTCGGACTCCAAAACACAATGGAGGAATTTCCAACCTCTCATCGGAGTGAACTCGAATGCAAAGCTAATGTTTTAATCTTCAAAAGTGATTAGATCGCTTCAGTTGATCGACTTGACCGCTGAATGTTGCCTCAGTAGAACAAACCTCGTACCCATATTGGCGTTGATCTCAAAGTGACCAATCAACGGCTCGAATCAGCCAAGGAACCAAATTACGTCGTGGACTCGGAGCAGTCTTAAAGTTGACCCTCTTCCCAGCAATAACCCAGAATCATGCTCTTCTCTTCCTGGACTCGACTTGCATGAATCAATCTGGACCTACTCCATCAACGATGACATCCAAACACACTCCACAGAAGATCCCCCGCCTCACCCGCTCCACCGATGCCCTCACCTCCTCCGAACGATGGCAAGCCATCACTAGACGCGACCCAACAATCAACAGCTTCGTCTACGCAGTCCTAACGACCAAAATCTACTGCCGCCCATCCTGCGCCGCCCGTCTCGCCCGACGCGCCAACGTCCAATTCTACGACACCCCCTCACAAGCCGAAGCAGCCGGATTTCGAGCCTGTAAGCGCTGCCGGCCACAAACAGGAGGCACGGCGCTTGCGAACCATCCACAAACCGCGATCGTTGCAAAGGCCTGCGAAGCAATCCAGGCCGAGCTAGCGATAGGGCTGAAACCACGATTGCAAGATCTGGCGGCGCAGGCTGGCTTGACGCCGAGTCATTTTCATCGTGTGTTTAAGAAACGGATGGGCGTGACGCCGGGTCAGTATGCGAGTGGGCTTGTCCAGGGGAGTGGTAGTGAATCGGGTTCGTCGGAGGGGATTTGTTTGACGCCTGATACTACGACTTTGTCGGACAGTGGGACGCCGCGCTTGGAGGTATTGGATGGGAGTGGGAGGGGAGTTCTGAATTTAGAAGCGGGCGAGAGTCTGCTGAGTGTGTTGTGGCCGGAGGACGGTCTTTCGGTCATTGAGGGAGAACCGCCCGTCGTGTTGGATGATGTTTGGAATGACTTTGATGCTTTTTTGGCGGCTGAGCCTGGTCAGAATCAGATATTGACTGCAATGGAGGATCCGCCGCTCGCTATTGACCCCCAGGTGATCCTGGCGTCGGGGATATGACCGCGGGGCATGTTTTGATTCCGTTGATGGCTGGTTCCAGCCAATGATATTGTATGATAATGAGTACTCCGTACATGAGGGATGAATCTTGCTCAAGAGCAATGACATTACACAGCCCAATCATGACATGTGTTGATATTAATAACAAAGTGTATACGCAGTACAACAACAATTTAAAGGTGGTCTTGGCGTCTGTCCCCTTGACATGCCTGGAAGAGACAGGATCATCATCCAACCCTCTCCCTCGAACCCTGTCAGTGGTCATGATTTGTCCATGAATACCAGGGTATTACGGTTGAGAGTGCTGATCAACATAGGCGAGTCTGTTCATCGCCACCACCGTGTCAATCGGCAAGGGGAGCCCTGAAACACAGACGAAACCTTTTTGGCCAAGGCGTGGGAGCCCCGTGCACCATATTACGTACACTGTGTATCAAGCGGATCGAGGATGGTCGGGCGTACGTAGATGTAGGTGTATCTTCTTGTATAAGATGTGCATTTGATCCCTACAGTACCTGCGAGAACCGGTTTATCGAGGGAATTGCAAGCTGGACCACCGGGCTGGACCCTGTTCCTTGTGGGTGGCAAGTTCTCTGGGACATGTACCAGGACACTGGCAGTAACTAGGATAATTATAGTAATTAAACACCAACGGTGATCCGGGCCCCGGTTCCTGGCTTTCCAATTGGAATTCATTGCCAATTGGTTGTTGGGCCCTTTCCCCCACCGTCGGCCCACCAACGCGTGTCACAGCGTTAGCCGCTATCGAGACTGGGCCATTCGAAACAATTGCATTTGAACCACACACCCTTGTCTCGGGGAAATAGAAACACTGGTCAGAGGGGGACAATTGACTGGATATCAGAGGCTGAGAGCCTGTCTGGTCTGTCGCATCTTGCTTGGACTTGCTTTTGTTTCGCAATCTGGATGGATCATACTGTTTCGTCGTGCATTCCCCACCGATCGACATCCACATTGTTATCTGCATGCAGTGCAGCGCATTGGGGGGAAATTCCAGAAACCTTTTTTTTAGGGTGGCGCACCTAATAATTTAAAGGAAAAAAAACCAAAGAATAATAATAAATGGTATTAATGAGGGGGTGGACATAGGAAAAATGGGACTTGGAGTTAACTTAGTTAAGGTGTTACTGTACTTTAATTGATTAATTTCTCCAACTTGCCCTCCTCCTCCCCTTTGCCCCCGTGTCTTCCTTCCCAACCTCCTCCGCTTTCTCTCTCTCCCTCCATCTCCACCCTTTTTGACCTTTTGACTCTGTACACAATTCCCGCCTCTTTTTGGGACCGTCTCTCTTTCTGATACTTATCAGTTTTATCCTCGATCTGCAATTTTGTTGTTTAGATCACTTCACGATCGTTTGACTCAACCATCGTTTTTCGCATCTATCCCGGCCTCTGAGACTGTGCTGTGCGCAGTTGTCGATCGTGTCTACCCTGCGAATCTCCCTCGAGATTCATTATTTCTATCCACATCTCGGAGCGCAAAATAATCACCATGCATATGAACAAGAGAATCGGCCGCCTGAAGCAATGGGCTGGCGAGCGAATGGGCGGAGAAGTCAAGACTTGCCAGTCAGATGACTTCAAGGCAATGGAGACGGAGATGGGAGTGCGACATGAAGGTGAGCCAAAGTTGTCCTGATCAAATAAAATTATATACTAATGCGCTCTCGTCTAGGCGTCGACCGCATTCACAAGTCCATGACCGCATACGTCAAAGCCGTCTCCAAGCGCAGCGAGGGCGATGATAAGGAAAAGACCCTCCCAATTGCCCACTTGGGAAGCAGCATGGTCACCCACGGAGAAGACTTTGACGCAAACTCCGAATATGGACAGTGCCTGACCAGTAAGTAATCGCAATGCGCCAGTTACGGCCCTGATGAATTGATAATTAACCCTACTCTTCTAGTGTTTGGACGGACGGAAGAGCGCATTGCGCGCATTCAAGAGAGCTACATTGCACAGGCGACTTCGAGCTGGCTCGAGTCCCTGGAGAGATCTCTCACCCAGATGAAGGATTACCAGCAGGCCCGGAAGAAGCTTGACAGTCGGAGACTGGCATATGACACTTCGCTGTCCAAGATGGAGAAGGTGAAGAGGGAGGATTTCCGCGTGGAAGAAGAGCTACGCAGCCAAAAGGTCAAGTATGAAGAAGCCAATGACGATGTGCTCCGCCGCATGCAAGATATCAAGGAAGCAGAGGTGGACAGCGTGATGGATTTGGGAACTTTCTTGGATGCCCAGCTGGAGTACCATGAGAGATGTCGCGAAGCGCTTCTGCAGCTTAAGAGCGAATGGCCTGGCGTGTCCGGCCAGGGCCCAACTCCGCCTCGCCGTCCTACACGAGCCCGGTCCAACACTGCCCACTCGTACCAGGAGCGCTATGAGCCTCTGCAGGAGGAGTTGGCAGTTGTCACCGAGAGTCGACCCACGATTCGGTCAAACAGAACGGTTTCAACGTACATGGCAGACTCTCCCGCACGAGACGCCTACCCGGCTAGCAATGGCTATGCTCGACCAGGTCTCAGCCGGACACCAACTTTCGAAGGCCCGACTCAGTTGCGTCAAGACCAATCTCCAGTTGCAACTCAATGGATTCAGCGAACCGCCAGCGACAACTTCACCAACCGTCGGAACAGTGTACAACCTATCGGCGGAAGGTTCCCAGCCGATCCCTATGCAGACTCCGAAGCTAGCTCTTACGGCCGTATCAGCCCTGACCGTATGTATGGTGGTCGATCAACCTCACCAGCTACATCTTATGGCAGCGTACCTTCTCGTCGGCCTAGCTCTACTGCCCTGAATGCCTCAGGTATGACCAAGAAGGCTCCTCCACCTCCACCCCCTTCGCGTTCCAAGAAGCCACCACCTCCGCCACCGCCCATGAAGCGATCTTTGGTGACGGTGACGGACTTGTAAAGCAGAAAATAACAGGGCTGGCTGGTGATCTATGCGGCAACATTTGCTTTTGATCAGGTACATGGGGTTGGGAGTTTTCGGACAGGATCACGATCGACTTTGGCGATGGATTGGTAGTTTTTATTCTTATCTTCAGGACTGGTGGTCCCTCGAATGCGAACTGGGACTTTTCAGTCGTTTTATTTTTGCACTTTTGATACTCTGTGCAGCATTTCCTCCGTTCATTATGATGGTGCTTTTTAGTCATTTGCTGAATTGGACTTGATTTGGGGGAGTTGTTCGTTCTCTATTCCTTTATTCTCCTGCTTTGATTAGCTGCAACAGATAGAATAAGTATGGCTCGTGTCAGCTAGTCTAATATAGCTAGATGGCAGCTTTCCTTTTGCGAGCATGAGTGGATTGTATGATCGTACCTGATTTTTGAATACAGTGAAGTGAAGTCGCTGCCTTAATTCCCTGGCATAAAGAGGTGGTCGGGGTACCAGAACTGCAGTGGCCCCTGCGCAGCCTCCAGAACAACCAACGCTGAGTCAGCCCGTCTGCCCCGTGACCACGACCAGCACACGAAATCTCCTCTCGCCGCCCTCCTGTTGTTAGTCGCCCTGTCGCCTACTCCAGCGAAGAGCACCAGGTTTCCCCGAGCGAGTCGCGCAACTCGGTCCCCTCCATCTCCATTTTCATCCATCCACACCTGCGACGCGCCTTCCCCAGCGCAAGTTCGCTTTTAGCCTCCCCCTCCCCCCAGGCTGTCGCGCGGCTGCCAAATTACTCGCTTTCTTGCGCTCCCCTTTTGTCCAGCCAAAGTACCCGCCATCCACCCCCAACCCCATTTTCCATCGATCGCATCTCCGAAGCTCCGACCACCACATCAAAAATCTCCCTGCTCATCACCAAAAGTCTCGACAGACCCTTTCCCCTTCTCCAGTCCATCGCCAAACCGCCCCATCGCGCTCTCCGCCCACCCCCCGGTCGCGCTTTCCATTCCTCCCTTCGCTTCCGGGCGCGACCAGGCGTAGTAACAAAGTGGAGCCCGCGACTTCCAGTCTACGTCCACTTCGTTCTTCGTCGCATTGATTGCCCATCGCGCCCTTGGGTAGTCTATGAATTGAGGATTCACGTGCAACATCATGGCTTCTTTGCAGTCGGCGCCTACCATGGCGCCTGGCAATTACGCCTTGCCGGCGAACCTGACCCAACAACACGTCCAGGAGGTTCTGCAGGTCAGTATTTGATTATCTTTACGACAACCCAACTAATTATCAATGCTTTTGTTTCACTGTCGCTATTTGTTTGCTCATATATTGGCTGGCTCATCTAACATTGCTGCAGAAATTCAAGCAGATGCAGGAGCAGGGCGTCAACCCTAACGACCCTGAATACATCAAGGCTCATCAGCTTCTCGCCACTATCCAGCGCCAGCAAATGATGAAACAGAAGCAGCGCCAGCAGCAGGCTCAACAAGCTCAGCAGCTGGTCGCTCACCCCGTGAATGTGAACCAGAACGGTGCGGTCCCTGATGCCGCCACCAATGGTGTACACGGTAAGCTTTCCTATGTACTTGTTATATTTTGGCTACGCTCGTACTGACAAACATTCGTCTCTTGAAGCCCGGACCGTTTCGACTTCATCGATGACCGGAGCTATCCCCGACACACAATCTGGCGCTTCGCAGGCAAACGCCAACCGGAAAGGTGCCACCGTTGGTAGCGGAAGCTTCTCACAAGAGCAACTCGCTACCCTTCGCAACCAAATAATGGCATTCAAGACGCTCTCCAAAAATCAGGCTATCGCACCGGCTCTTTACCAGCAGCTCTTCCCACCCAAGAAACCACAGACACCCACTACCGCGGACAAGATCGCAGCGGTTGAAAAGGTCGTGGATGGGTCTGACAAGAATGCCGCTGGATCAATCACCGACGTCGACGGAGTTATTTCCGAGAAGGACTCGTATACCAAATATCAAATCGACGACACTATCCTTCACAAGCTCATCAACTTTGGAGACCACAAACACCGCATCAATCGTCCTCGTATTCCTGCTTTCGAGTGCAGTGGTATTGATTGGCGCCAGCTCCGCGAGAATCGCGAGGCTCTTGTTTACAACCGCATGACAGCTCGCATGAAGGAGCTCGAGAAACTTTCGGCAAACATCGGTGTCTGGGACACCAGCAAGAGCGACGCGCCCACAGGCGATGACTCGTTGAAGCTGAAGGCTCTCATCGAGCTCAAGTCATTGGGTCTGCGGGCGAAGCAGCAGGCTCTGCGTGAGAAGATTCGTCGTACTGGATTTGATGCCAGTGAGACGAACCAAACAAATCGTGCCGTTCATCGTCGTATGAAGCGTCCTTCGCTGCGTGAGGCCCGCATTACCGAGAAGCTCGAGAAGCAACAGCGTGATGCTCGTGAGACTCGTGAGAAGAAGAAGCAATACGATCAGCTTCAGGCAATCCTCAACCACGGTGTCGAGCTTCTCCAAGCCTCGGTGAACAATCGCAATCGACTCAATAAGCTTGGTCGTATGATGATTCAGCATCACCAGCACATGGAACGTGAGGAACAGAAGCGCGTGGAACGTACCGCCAAACAACGTCTGCAAGCCCTGAAGGCCAACGATGAGGAGACTTACCTGAAGCTCCTGGGACAGGCCAAGGATTCACGTATTTCGCACTTGCTTGGACAGACAGATAAGTTCTTGAAGGAACTTGCCAACTCCGTCAGACAGCAACAGCGCAACCAAGCTGAGCGCTACGGCGATAATGAAGACTTCGAGGACGAAGACGAAGAAATCGCCGACAGTGATGTCGAAGAGGATGATGGCTCTTCTGGAAAGAAGAAGGTCGACTACTATGCGGTTGCTCATCGCATCCAAGAGACGGTCACTGAGCAGCCATCTATCCTCGTTGGTGGTACTCTCAAGGAGTACCAAATTAAGGGTCTACAGTGGATGATTTCGCTCTACAACAACAACCTGAACGGTATTCTTGCAGATGAAATGGGTCTTGGAAAGACAATTCAGACCATCAGTTTGATCACCTACATCATTGAGAAGAAGCGGAGCAACGGACCTTTCCTGGTTATTGTACCTCTCAGTACGCTGACTAACTGGAATCTGGAGTTTGAGAAATGGGCGCCTACAGTCACGAAGGTCGTCTACAAGGGTCCTCCCAATGCTCGCAAGCAGCAGCAACAGCAAATTCGCTGGGGCAACTTCCAGGTCCTCCTGACCACTTACGAGTACATCATCAAGGATCGTCCCATTCTCTCCAAGATCAAGTGGGCCCACATGATCGTCGATGAGGGTCATCGTATGAAGAATGCCAGCTCCAAGTTGAGCAGCACTTTGTCGACCTACTACCACACCCGCTACCGCTTGATTTTGACCGGTACCCCGCTGCAAAACAACCTGCCTGAACTGTGGGCACTGCTCAACTTCGTCCTGCCCAACATCTTCAAGTCCGTCAAATCGTTTGACGAATGGTTTAATACCCCATTCGCCAATACCGGCGGCCAAGACCGTATGGACCTGACCGAAGAAGAGCAGCTGCTCGTTATCCGTCGTCTGCATAAGGTTCTTCGTCCCTTCCTGCTTCGCCGTCTGAAGAAGGATGTCGAGAAGGATCTTCCTGACAAGCAAGAGCGCGTCATCAAGTGCCGCTTCTCTGCCCTGCAGACTCGGCTGTACAAGCAGCTGGTCACCCACAACAGAATGGCTGTTAGTGACGGCAAGGGTGGCAAGACCAATGTGCGTGGCCTCAGCAACATGCTCATGCAGTTGCGAAAGCTTTGCAACCATCCGTTCGTTTTCGAGCCCGTTGAGGATCAAATGAACCCCAGCCGCATGACCAACGATCTCCTTTGGCGAACGGCCGGAAAGTTCGAGTTGCTTGACCGTGTTCTGCCCAAGTTCCGTGCTACCGGCCATCGAGTCTTGATGTTCTTCCAGATGACTCAGATCATGAACATCATGGAAGATTTCCTTCGCATGCGAGGCCTCAAGTACCTCCGTCTGGACGGTTCCACCAAGTCAGATGATCGTTCCGACCTCCTCAAGGTTTTCAATGAACCCGGCTCTGATTACTTCTGCTTCCTGCTTTCCACCCGTGCCGGTGGTCTGGGTCTGAACTTGCAGACTGCCGATACCGTCATCATTTACGATTCAGATTGGAATCCCCATCAGGATTTGCAAGCCCAGGATCGTGCCCATCGTATCGGACAGAAGAATGAGGTTCGCATTTTGCGACTGATCAGTTCCAACTCCGTCGAGGAGAAGATTTTGGAACGTGCGCAGTTCAAGCTTGACATGGACGGCAAGGTCATCCAGGCCGGAAAGTTCGATAACAAGTCTACCAACGAAGAGCGAGACAAATTCCTTCGAACTCTTTTGGAGTCTACGGAAGATACAGAACAGCTCGGTGACCAAGAAGAGATGGAAGATGATGACCTGAACGAAATAATGGCTCGTTCAGAGGAGGAGCTTGTCATCTTCCAGCAAATGGACAGGGACCGTGAGAAGAATGATGAATATGGTCCTGGCCGTCGTTATCCTCGTTTGATGTGCGATGAGGAACTGCCCGATATCTACCTACAAGAAGACGCTCCGATTAGCGAAGAGCCTGTGACTGAGGTTTATGGTCGTGGCGCTCGTGAACGCAAGGTTAAGCGGTATGATGATGACATTCCGCTTGAGGAGTGGACCAAACTCGTGGCCGAATGCGAGGAGACTGGCGCCTCAATCGATGACGTGGTTGAGCAGTACTTGCAGGAACGAGAAGATCGCAAGGTCCGCAAGGAGAAGAGGAAGCTCAAGGCACAGGGTGTGGTTGAATCCTCGCCCGAGCCTATTGAGAACGACGAGACTCCTCCACGGAAGCGCCGCCGTGGTCCTGCTCCCACTAAACGCAAGGCCGAAGAAGTCGCCGAGGAGACGCCACAGCCCAAGCGCAAGAGAGGTCGCCAGCCAAAGATTCCGGACACTCTTAGCAGCTCCGACCGGTCCATCTTGACCAACATCGTCAACAGTGTCATGCAGTCTTTGAAGGACATGACCGAGGAGGTGGAGCTTGACGACTCTGATGGTGAGGAAGGAGGCACGGTTCTGCGCTCGATCATTGAACCGTTCATGAAGCCTCCTCCCCGCTCGCAGTATCCCGACTACTACAAAATCATCCAGAATCCCATTGCCGTGGAGATGATTGAGAGGAAAATCAAGCGTGATGACTACCAGGGCTTGAAGGAGTTCCGGGATGACATTCACCTTCTTTGCCAGAATGCTCGGACATTCAACGAGGATGGAAGCTTGCTGTTCCAGGATGCCAATGACATTGAGGTACGTGTATACTCTTGAAGCTCAATTGATTCTCGGTGAAGTTTTGACTAACATACAAACAGGCTAAATGCGTGAGCGAACTGAAGAAGTTGACCGCAGATCATCCTCAATTTGCCAACTTCGATGGCTCCGACTCCGTTGCTGGCGATGGCCAGTCAGTAGGTGTCGCCTCTGGCACCGCAACCCCTCAAACGACCGGCACCCCTGGACAGCCCAAGTTGAAGCTGACATTCAACAACCCCAATGCCGAGAGTGCCACCAGCGCCGCCACGAGCACCGTGAACGGCGCAGATGCTGACGAAGACTGAAGATGAAGAAACCACCTTGCATTCTCCTCAATCTTGATTCATTGATACATTTTAGCTCTCCACAACATGTCTGTCTTTCTGTAATTCTGCTCCATGTAACCAGAAAATTTGTGTTTTCTTCCCCCGGCAGTTCTTCTATCAAGTATCTCCGGGGAAGGGCGTTCCACCGTGACTTGTGTGTGTTTTATTTTTCCCAAGGGGGTTGGTTGGTTAGGTCGGGGGGTAACGGATGCCCGGGAATAATGGGCATTGTGTTGTTTTTGTTTCCCCTTTCTCTATTTCTCTTTGATGAGCGATTTTCTATTTTGTTCGGTCTGGGCTGCTTCCATTGCCTTTCCTGGCTGTTTGGGTGATTACTACTAGATGATGGCTGAAAGGAATCCCCAAGTTTTCATGTTCTCAATATGTATGTACGTTTTTTGAAGTTACGGATTAGATTCGAATTGAATGAATCAGCATATGAACGCTTTTGTTTGATGATTGGAAGTAGTATCTGAGGGGGAGTTGAGGCTTGGATAGGATTATAGCTGCCCTATAAGCCGAAGTCTTATGTATTCATACGCGATTCGAATCCCGTGGCTGTCTATCCGCAGCCGTTGAAGTTGCTCTCTCCGTAAGGTTGCCCACACCAATCCCAGCGTGGTCAGATAATGCAGCAAGGATGGCAGAGCTGTCGGTACGGACCCTGTTCGGCGTCTGTGGAGATGATGGTGCAATGATGGGAACGATGGATCGTCGTTTGTGAGACTCTGTGGAAATCGGCTGTCCAAGTCGCTGATGAGCCCGCTGTTGGGCACTGAGCTGCTTCTCAGGAGTTGACAAGGACAGGCTTGTGGGCCAAAGTCCCACGTCGGGTGAATGGTTGCGAATGTGGCGTCCTTCGGCTAGGAGATGCTAGTGGACTCGAACTTGATCAGCCTCCAACTGCGAACCCCGTTCGGTTCTACCCTCCGCAGAGGAACCGCAACAGCCAAGTCCCAGTGAGACGACAACGATCCGTGAAGTCGTAAACATGACAGCTCCCTGCGTCGGTCACCAAGCCATTATTTTTGGCTGCGCATATAGGGTAGAATAGCTAAAACGACGATACACCCCTTATTCTGGTTTAGTGCTATCAAGAAAGATGATTCGAAAGACATTTAGAAGGACATTTAGAAGGACATTTAGAAGGACATTTAGAAGGACATTTAGAAGGACATTTAGAAGGACATTTAGAAGGACATTTAGAAGGACATTTAGAAGGACATTTAGAAGGACATTTTAAACAAGAGTACTCGATTGGAGGTGGCCCGGTTCTCTGGTTTCTAGAATCGAACCTTTGAACAACTGTAAGGATATCCTAATTGAGTGTGGTATGTGAGAGGTTCGACAAAGGAGAAAGATGGCGAAATACCATCGAGTCGAGACGAGTAGCGACAAGGTGTAAGAGGCTGTCCTCTGTGTGTGGTGTTCTTTGTGGTGTTGCGTGTGGGTTTTTGTTTCTTCTTTCTTCTCTTGTTTCTTTTTTTTGTGTTCTTCTGGATGGGCTTCTGGATGGTCCACCCTTAACTTTCTTTCTGTATAATTAACAGTCGAACCATCTTAATGGTCGAAGCAGCAGTATCAGTAATGCATCTGCTATACCGTGACTCCTAAGAAATCTTTACATCCAAGGAAAACGAATAGATTCACGCAGCCAAGCCACCAAGATTCCGACTTCGATGTAGAGTGGTCCACTGGAGCAGGACTCAAGAAGTAAGCCTCTGCCATCCTCAACAGAAAGGATGGATTCTGATTTCGAAGATTATCACAAAGATTTTCTGTAATTTTTGCTTTTTCGACCTTCGAAAGTTCCACATCTCGGTAGGTGGAACAGCAACTGCACTCCAGTGTACAGTGTCCAACGCCCTTCTTCCGTTCAGAATCCAAATGACGCCGACCACAACATCCACAACTCCGACTGCAGCAGCCCCCTCGATCTGCACAATCTCTGACAAGCTCCTTTCGCATGTACCATGCCGCGCTCCCTCTTAGCAAATCGTAGTTCTGTTTCAAAGGCCACTCGGGGATCAGCTGCTCATGCTCGTAGAGCTCCAACTCTTGTTTCCAGCACTTTCGCTGAAGCTGCTCCAGCTCTTTCTCCCAGCCGGAAAGCTGAGTCTTATCATTCTCAATGCTTGCGGCTTTCTCGAGGGCTTGAATGTTTTTCTTTATCATCTCCACCCGTTGGACCGTTGCTCGGAGAGTATGCTCGGCGTAGATGATTTCGACGAATAAATCGCGATGGTACGTGAGATCGGGGCCAATTTCAATAAGGTACCAGTCATCTTTGGGCCTGTAATTTCTTTGATGATCATATTTGGGTGGGTTTGCGTAGTCGGCTACTGGCTTGAATGTTCCACCAGATTTCTTGAACATGTTGTTGGTTGATAATCTCGAATACAGTGCAAGAGCGTCAACTAAGGTGCTTTGGTCTGATGAGTGATAGGAAAGAAGATTTGATAAGATGTTGAAAATAATCGGGAGAAAATAATATCAGAGCAGAATGAGATAGGGTTATGACTGAAGAATGACTCTTCGATTTGCTGTTCGCGTCTCTAGCCCGCCACCACAAACGAGAGTCCGCAACCTCGTTTGTTCTTCTATTCTGCTCTTAAGTTTGGCTTGGTTTGGCTTGGTTTGGCTTGGTTTGGCTTGGTTTGGCTTGGTTTGGCCTGGTTTGGCTTGATCTGGCTAAGGTCTGTCTCTTAAAGAGCCGCTATAGAGTAACCAGAGCCCTCCGAAATCATAATGTGTATTTTAGTAATCTAGATGCCTGGAATTGAGCCGAAGGCCCTCTGATGGCTGTATTCATCTAATTTATGGCACGAATAGTGTCAAAATCGATGATTATAATACGAGCGCCTTAGCCTTACCATTTGATCTGAAAGCAAGCAACCCGTTTCATGCAAGCCAGGCGGCTGTTTTTGCGGTATAGAGAAAGTCGCGCTCGCGAGTCCCCAGTACATTCTTTCTACCCTATGAGATAAATTCTAGTTCATAAATGCACCCCCAGAAACATGGAATGTCTGACCAGTCAACCACTGCGAGTCCCGACTAGCAATCAGAGCCGCCACGCCCGCAACGTCCTCTGGAAGCCCTACACGACCCAAGGGCGACCACTTGGAGAGTAAATCCTCAATCTGCTTTGGAGTCATATCCTTCCCACCGGGAATATACTTCGGTGAATTATGATCGTACATGTCGGTTTTCACTCCGCCGGCCGCAATGACATTGACAGTGATATTACGAGGACCAAAGTCCACTGCTAGACACTTCGCCATACCCAGGATAGCTGCCTTGGACGATGCATATACCGCGTGTCCTGGGACACCCTAGAGATTAAGAGTCAGAATGGGATATACCTCTTATCGATGTTCGTGCAATTCTCACCTTCACCGCAGAAATAGAAGACGTCAACATAACCCGTCCAAAATCTTCCATATACTTGTACGCCTCCTGAGCCACAAAATATTGACCCTTGACATTCACCGCAAAAATGCGATCAATATCATCACCAGTAACTTCACCCAGAGCACCGAAATGTTCAATCCCCGAGTTACTCACGATGATATCCACACGGCCGAATTCGCGCTTGACGACCTCAAACATGGTGCTTACTTCGGCCTGGTTGGAGACATCGGCTTTCACTGTGATGACGCGAACGCCGTGGGTGCGGACTTCGTTTGCCACGGAGTCGGCGCCGGTGGATGAGGAAACGTAGTTGATGGCTATGTTTGCTCCTCGTTGGGCGAATTTTATGGCAATTGCTGCCCCGATGCCGCGGCTGGCGCCCGTTACTGGAGAGGAGATTCAACTGAATTAGCTATTTTGATTATAGTTGTGTCGAGAAGAAGTGTTGATTTCATACCGAGAGCTACTTTGCCAGTGAGCTCTTTGTTCTCGGTCATGTCTGTGTAGATAATGGATGTTTTGTAGACAATTAAGGAGATGTGTAGTACAGGATGTTGTTGTTCCTATATGATACAAATTCGCAAGGTAACCCCCGCTGTCGACGTAAGCAGAACTATCGGTGAGAGGGGGCTGCAGCTCTCTATACCCTGTCATGTCCAATCGTCTTCCCTGCTGCATAACTACCACGCAAGGGCGAGAACGGGTGGCCTAATAAGCTTGAACTCCAAAAGGGTTTGAGTAATCCCAGGACAGAACACACTGCAAAGCTCGCGCTATACTTTGTGGCTTGACTACGCCATCTATTTCCGTTCCTGGTAGAAGGGGGGTCTCGAAAAGATATAATGCAAATATTCCGTCATAGATGTGTCACAATGCCTTTGTAAGCTGGGGTATATAAGTTAGCTCGGATGGAGTCTGGACGAAGTTGGGGATGGAGTCTGGACGAAGTTGGTCATGAAGTCGATATAGAGGAAAAGGACTGGATACAAGATCTTTGAGATGGGCAGAGTGACAAGAAGACAGACAATTAAGAAAGTCGGTTAGAAATACTCAAGTGAGGTCACAATGGATTTTATATTTTTAAACGCGGCTAGTTCTGGTAATGTCTTAGCTCGATCGCAACGAAAGTCAAGAGCAATGATATTCAGGGCTACTTTGAAGTTCGGAGAAAAACGAGGTCGCGAAAAGTCATTTCCCTCTCTAATTTAGATGGAATGAGAAGTGCTGGAAAACCATACTGTGACACGAAAAAGAAGGCATGTAATTGTATATTTGCAGGTCTATGCATAAGGCCGTCGATAACTAGAAGATGAATCAATGCAGAAGGTTTCGTGATGAGCTTCAAATTTGGAATCCGACCTTTTCGTTGGGGATGGCAGTGGCTTATTTCTTGGGTCCCGGTTCAGTGCATTCTGGCCCAGCAGGCTACTCCACGTCGAAGTCGGAATCTTGACGGATTTGGCTGCGTGAATGTTGACTCTAAGGGGCTGAGGTAGCTTAGAGACTAGAATTCAGAAAGGAATAGTAGATGAATCGCTGATATTGCTGGTTCGAAGATTGAGTTGGCTCGAACATTAATTGTACAGAGCAAAAAAAGGGCGGACCATTCAAAAGTCTAAAGAGAAGAAGAAAGAAGAGAAGAAAGAAGAGAAGAAAGAAGAGAAGAAAGAAGAGAAGAAAGAAGAGAAGAAAGAAGAGAAGAAAGAAGAGAAGAAAGAAGAGAAGGATCAAAAGACCTCACACAGCACCACACAGAACACCAAATACCACACAGAGGGCGACCCTCTTACTCCTATTTGCTTTTCTCGCTAGCCTTAGCTGAAGAGTGCGGCCTGACCCAGTCGGAGGGGACTGCAGCCAACTTGACCTCCGTGCCCATGTCGATCGTCGCATTGGCTTGACCTCCTTGGCTGGTCCGCATCCATATCATAGGCAGGGCCTCAGAATCTAAACACATGGTCTGATCAGTACAGGACCTCATACCCCCGGAGTGTAACTTACGTTTCTGCCCGAGGAGATAAGCCAGTCTCAGGGTGCCCTGAACGGACTGGCCAGCCGCGAGAAAAGCATTAAACCAGCTCATTCAGGGCACCTGGAGAATGAAGAAAGAAGAAAGAAAGAAAGAAAGAAAGAAAAAGAAAGGAAGAAGGGGGTTTATAGTAGTGGCTTTGGACCAAGACAAGGTCATTTTGGATATTAATATCAGTTGCCTAATCAGAAGTGAAGATATAATCAGGAATATACGTAGAAAGACCATTAGAAAGATGATTAGAAAGATGATTAGAAAGAAGGAAACTTGTTAAACAGACGATTAGAAATGTTATCGCAAATGTATTTTACACTTTCGAACGGGAATTGTTCTGGGGACATTTTAATTCGATCGTAGCGTAATGGTCATTAGAAATACAATGAGATACAGGCTCTTGAATCCGGAAAAAGCGTGAAAGCGTCATCTTTGGCTAGGAACAAGTGGGAAGATCTGGAAACCTATGGGACTGAGATTGATACGAAATGGGGGTATGTAATTGTATATTTGCAGGTCCATGCTCCAGACCGCCGGTAACCAGAGAACGAATCAATGTAGTATACAGAATGGGGTATGTGTAAGATAACAGATGATTCACATCAAGAAAAGGAACGCAGTCAACGAGATCAATCTAAAAAAAGGGTTACGAAGCACCATTAAGCAACGTCTCCTTAGAGCGGATTCGCGGCGCCGAAGTATTAGAAACACGTCCATCAACGAGTATTCGCCCGTCCTGACGTGCCTCAAGCAGCGCTGGCTCGGTGGGGTCAACCGCACTTCGACTATACGTCTCGAGCGCATCGAAGACATGACCAAACACCTGACGGTCAACATCCGAAGCCCACAAAAAGTCGAGGTGCTCATATGTAGGGATTGCCTTGGCGACTGTACCACGAGGCAAGCCTTGAAGCATGACGTTGATATCGACAAGACTGTCACTCCCACCATACAAGAGCACGATTGGCGTCTTGATGTTGCGGGTCGGGTATTTGACGGGCTTGTAAAAACGCTCACTTGCGACTACGCTGAAGGGGGCGTGAGTTTCGTCGTCGAAGAATTGGAAGTTCTTGTTGCGGATGATCTGGAACCAATGTACGACCGACTTGGTGCTGGTAAAAGAGTACAGGTGGAGATAGGCGGCCAGTTTCTGTGTTCGGGTGATGTTGCGGCACTTCCAGTTGAAAAGGGCAGATAGTGCCATATCGATAATGCGGACGTAGATGGGTGGGTACAGGATTGTTTGCCACATGGTTGTTGAGGATAATATACTGCGCCGACCGAATAGCAGGAACAAGAAATCGGGTGACGCCTTCATCAAAGAATCGACAATGCGGTTTCGTAGCCCCGAAGGAGCCATAGCAGGTGCGAGTGCCACGAAGACATCAACCTTTTGGTTCAGCAGTGGGTGGATGGACAGTGTTGCAAAGGCCTGTGCTGTGCCTTGCGAAAAACCGACATAAGACAACGACGGTTGGCCGGTCACTCCAAGGATATACTCGATGCTGTCAGGGATATCGTGGAAGGCGAATTGATCGATCGAAAAATCCCAGAACTCGTTCGAGCCGGGCGAGAATCGCACACATTTCTTTGCATATTTGTTGCCGCGGTTGTTCCCAAGCCACACATCATAGCCCTTCTCAACCAGCTGGAATGGCAGACACCGCTGCTCGTCGGTCAGGGCAACCCACACCTCACTGCACATGAGGAGGCCATGGTGAAGGTAGACAACTTTCTTGCTGAGTCCGCCGGCACCTTGATTGACTCGTATGCTCTCTTCACCTCTCCGATATGCCAACCGGTGTAGTCCAAGAAGATATCCATCTCCAGTCTGGACGATATGCTCCTCAGCTTCGTACCCGAATAGCGAGCATATCTCGGTGAAATCCGATGCCTCTGCGATCGAGGCCGCAAGAATCTCCTCCTTTGTTCGTTTTTCGCGCGGCTCGGCGGAGATAAATTTGTTGAAGATTGACTTCGATTGTTCGTAGCAGAAACGGATGATCGGCGTTGCTGCAAAAGGTTAGTGGTTACCCTCGTCAAGGTATTGCAAGGCAGTCCACTCACGAAGGCAGAAAGTAATCAGATGAATGATGGTTTCAAGTAGAACAAGTACCAAAGACGCAAGAAGCGCCAAGTATTCGGTCCTGTAGGTTATGGTCAGTTCACCACGAAGTGTAAGATGCCTGATACGGCGGGACATACCAAAAGAGTCTCCCAATCAGGGGAACACGCGCCATAATGTAAAACGACACGCCCAAAGGCTATGCATATAGTCGTGACCGCTCTGCCTGACAAGACAGTTTCTTATATAGAGCAGGCAGACATCTGACTAGGAAGAAGAAGAAGAAGAAGAGTAGATCGCGAACTTGCGCCCGCGACGTCATGTTCATGTGAAAGTCGTGCTTACCTTATCCGGGGAGATCCCGGGCACAGGCCAATCAGCAAAGTGTTGAATGATCCGCCCGAATTTGCCGGAGCGTCAGTCTGCCGAGTGCATTCGCGCTGGACAACTGGACATTGTTCACTTGAGACCATCATGCCCAGCTCGTGCCAGGATATCAGTAAGTTGCACCGCTTCTAGTGTTGCAAGCCGACCTCGGACCTTGTACCGCGTACACTGCGCCCACGGCTGTCAAGATCATATGAGCTAACCGCATGCCACCACCAAACAGGAGAGGCGCTGGCTCAATGCCTGCAGGAGTCGGACTGCATTATGGTCCAGCGACATACACCACGTGAATGTCTGGCTTCACCACTTGCCGAGGAGTTGCCCATGAAGTGTCAACAGCTGCGCAAAGGGTTCAGCGAGTGCAAGTGAGTGGATCACTTCTGCGACACCGAATAGTGGAAGGACAGGTCTAGGAGGGCCAGACAAGAAATTTGTCGCTGACTTGAGGAACTTTTTGTTGATATAGGCGCGGCATGATCGATATGCGTAAGCGATTCCGCGGAAACCACCCTATCTCGGTTGCGAAGGAAATGGACGAGAAGAAGTCGAGCTCGTCCGGGCAGCTGTACGCTGGACGGCCAGCCTACACAACTGTCAAGGAACTCAGTGGTGACGAGGTACAAATGGACCCGGAGAAGACTCGTGGGCTGTGAGGAGACAATACGTCTACTCGAGGATACGTCAGGGGAAGAAGATATGCATGACACGCAATTGTGCTCGACAGAGAGCCTGGCTGCATTGTATTTTAAACGGGGAAGCTGTACTGATTCATGCTGGCATGGTCTGGAGTTCTTTTTTTCAATTCTACATTACGGCGCAATCTCCAATCTGAAATAAGGCAATGGGTATATACAGTGGTGGTTCGAAGGTCTGAGTCTAGAAACTAGAGAAACCGCTCAACAGATATGCTTCCACCTCTTGTTTTCTGAAAGCTCTTTCTAAATATCTTTCTTATTGTCTTTCTTGATGGCATCGATACCATTTCTATGGTCTATTGTTCAACTCGTGACTAATAAGATGATGCTCAACATTAGTTATGGTTTCAAAGTTATAGAACCCCACTGTACACTGCGTGACCTGATGCAAAGAGATTTCGATTCTCAGCTACAAAGCTTTAAAGGCCTTGGGCTAGAAACATCACATCTACACAGCCCATTTGGGTATATCGATTGCAAACGGATCAGACAAAAAACAAACAAATGCACAGCATCATTGACAGTACAATTGTAATACAGATCTACTGCGTCTTCTTAACCTTATCAGCAGCAGGGGCAGAGTAAAGCCAGACGAGAACAAAAGCCAAGAACCCTCCAATCACCGACCACAGACCGGCGATCCAAACCCAGCCACCGCTGATAGCCCAACTGCGGGGGTATTCGTCGTGCGCAAAGTGGCGCACGGTCACCTCGTGCTTCTCCTCAATGTTGGTGAAGAAGGGGCGCTTGTAGTTGACGCGGAAGGAGAAGATACCGTGCTGGTCAGGCGTCACGAACTGAGCGCTGTACACGGTGCTTGTCTCCGTGCGGCTGGTGGGCTCGAGAGTCAGGCGGTGGAAGGGCGAGAGCATGGTGAATTCTAGCTGCAGCTCGTCCTCGCCGGGGACCTCGAAGGGCACCCACTTGTCGTAGGAGTACTCGGACACCTCAATGTTGAAGACCTGTTTTTAGATAAGGCAATTAGTTAAGACACACAAGAGCTTGAAAGTCAGGAACGCGTACGGTCTCGTTCTTAATGCGGTAGATCTTGGGATTCAAATCCTGAGCAGCGACCTCGCCCTCGGTAGCCAGGTGGTGCTCAATCTTCTCAACCTTGAGGACACCAGTCTCCTTGAACGTCCAAGCAGTCAATTGCTTGGCGAATTCGCGGTTGACGGTAGGGGTCTTCTTGCCACCAGGAGCCTTGACCGAAGCCGAGAACCATTGGTCCTCCAGCGCCTCAACGGAGCCGAGAACAGTGAAGCGGGCAGAGTTGCGAGCTTGCATGGCCGAAACCACATTCAGCTGGGAACCTGTGGCCTCGATATCCTCGGCCGCGGGCATCTCCTCCTTCGGGTTGTAAGCGTAGGCAGTGGCGGGGGCTCGCAGAATAGGAGCAACGAGAGCGCTGTCACTGCTGAGGATCTGGGGGGCCACACGAGGCAGGGCAAGGACACCCTCGCCATCGAAGAAGGCCTTGACGTCGGGGCGCAGCGGTCCAGGGCGCTGGAGGAGGAGGACATCGTGCTTCTCGGCGGCCGAGACCGTATCGAAGTTGAGGTGGTCAACAACGACAGCGGAGCGGTCATTGGAGAGGTTGATATCGATCTCGAGGAGGAGGGAGCTGATGGCGCTGGAGGTGGAGGCCTTGCCGGAGAGGGCGAGGAGGATGTTGCCGTCCTTGTTCAGGAATTCCAGGATGCTCTTGGGGGTCAAGTTGGGGCCGAGACCTGTATATATTAGCCAATTGCTTTGGATAGACCTCGGAGAGCTGGGAGCCTACCCTTAGACTTGGGAGGAAGGATCAAGAGGTGGTCGTAAGCTCTTTCGCCATGCTGGAAGAGGGACAGCTTGTCGCTCTTGGGCGATTCGAAGGAGACATCGTATCCACGACCTAATTGACCAGTTAGATTGATTCAGAACAAGATATTCAAGGTCCAATTACCTTCCAGATCCGACCACAACGTCGAGTAGGCGCTCTTCTCTGTGGACTCGTCAAGCACAACCAACAGGCGGCTGCCGGAGCTACTCAGAGCATTTACCGCAGCCAAGAAACAGCAGACAAGCAACGCAAGGCACCACCGCATTTTGGAATGATTCCGCACAGCGGATCTGATGCCCAGCTATAAAAAGAATAGGGAAGGGCAAAAAAAGGAAAAAGAGAAGGTGGGTTGAAGAGGGGACATAGACGGGAGATGTATAGATCACCCGAAAGGGCGACGTGTTAATGGGAACGGTGCCAAGACTTGCTGGATCCATCGCATCTCCGAACGTCGAACTTCACTTCTTCCCCACGGCCTCCCGATTTTTGAACCTCCCCCCGCCGCTCAGCCTCGACCACGCACCATTAACCAGGTAGCTTCTGTTGCATTCGACTCAAATTCTCAAGAATTGTGTCGTCTTCTGCCTTTGGGCCTTTTAACCCGCTTTCCTACTCGAAAAACTCATCCCGAACCGCCCGTCGACGTCCGACCCGGTCTATCACCATGTCTACCCCTCAATTCTGGTCGACTCCTCTGCGGTACATCCGCTGGGCCTCTCACGAGAAGCCTGCGATCTTCTACTCCCTGCTGATCGGCTCAATGGGACCCGTCGCGCTCGTCACTCTTCCCCCGCTCCGCCGGGCTCTCGGTGACGTTGACCCGGAGCCTATCCCCATGACATATCCCAGTAAGCCTGCAAATCCTCCTATTCTCTCTGGAACAACAGGACTCGCTTGCCGTACCATAATTGGATTCTTAAGACTAACCACAGCATCTACACACAGTTCCCAAGGGTCCGCGCGTGGTTCCCCAGGGCTACGAGGACTAAGAGAAAAGCGACCGAACAAGCGAACAACGAGCCACATGATAATATAGAAGGCCGTTCTCGACTTCTTTTGCCTTGAGGAGGAATGAATGATTCAACCGACGTGGGGAGAAAATGGAAGCTTTAGCGATGCCGCCTGCACAATTGAGGTCTTCGGCAGGGATTTTGTCCAGTCTCTGCCGTTAACGAGGAACGATTCCATACTGATCGTTCCTTTCTCTGGAGAGGCGCTTTGATACCAATCTTTGTTTGCGTGCAGATTCGGCATGGTCGGGTGCCAAGATCGTTGCACTGCAGTGTATGTACTATGTTTTGAGAGTGGCCATATAGCCAACGCTGAGTCGCTTTCTTTTGTTCAATATGCGTATTTGTAAGGTGGTGTTGATCTGAGCGTTGGAGAACTTGCTTAATACGACATGCTTTCCAATCTAAACCGCCTGGTCTAGTGGGAGACAGGCTCGAAAAGGTCATGTCTTAGTTCATGGATGAGGTCGGATGCCTCCGAGCAGACGAGTATACGGGGAAGTCAGAAATCTGCACGCTCGTTTTGAATGTCTTGTCGATGCAGTACGTGTAAGATGAACTGTCCAAGCATGGAGAGTCATGCCGTTCAGCTAACTTCTCGAGCTTCGATAGGACGCATGCTCAACAAGGACTAGATTAAGGCTGAGGCTACTCGCACGCCATCGCACGACACAGTATACCCCCTTCGGAGATTGGCGGGGAACAGGTACACTGGAGAGAAACGGTTTTACAATATAGATGCTATAAAATTATCTTTAAAGAAAGATCTTTCTAAATGTCTTTTGAACTGTCTTTCTTAATAGCCAAAGTAAAAGGCTTCGTAGGTATTATGAGGATATCTTCGATATCCGAAAATCGAATAGTCTGTCGTGCGAAAGCAAAAGTTGGCATGCGAGTAGCCTCAGCGTAGATTAATACAACAGTAGCTAAACCTAAGGACTTGCACATGATTGAGTAAATTAGGTGTTAGACCAGAGCGAGGCCCAATCTATAGGTATGCTAATTTCTCCAAAGACATGAACCGAGCAGAGTGAACACTCCAAGGTGTGATTCCATTAAGGTGATAGAACCAATCATCCAAAAAAAGCCCCAAGCGTCAACCACAAGACGGAATAACGCCGTATATGCTCATATCTACATGTAGTTCAGTTCATCAGCATCGCTTTATGAAAGCAGTCTCTCCCAACAACCCGCGGAAGGAAATGAAGAAAAAAGGAAGCCAAAACCAACCCCAGTGCCCTGACCGAGGGTAGTCCCCAGATCAAAAAAAAAGAGAAAAAGAAAAAGGAGACAGATGAGAAAGGAAAAAGAGAAAGAAATCGAAGATCAAAACCAATGCTAAACACACAATATAATCCTGTACACCGTTTCACATATAAAGCAAACCCGAGGCAAAAGAAACATGGAAAATCCCGAAGACGGCGAGTATATCTGGAATGGGTGGTGATTAGAGCCGGGACAAAGGGCTCAAATCCAAGAAAACGAAAGCCGCCGTTTTCGTCAAAGAACCCGTATCAACGCATAATGCTCCTACTCCTAACCGGCCAGTTGCACGATAGTGCATGGTAATTAACAGAGGAAAGTTCCCGAGGGTTCGATGAGAGGACTCAAGAGAGCCAAGGCCAGATGTTTCCATCACAGGGATATCCAGTCCGTGACCAAGTGGAAATATGGTATGTCCGACGGATCGAAGGAGTATGCTCCCGAGGGGCCATGAAATCATGGGACTGTGGATGACCTGTGGCCCAATCTGGAAATTCTCCGGAGAATGGAAGTTCTTCATAAGGTTGAGAAAAGACACGATAATGACATGGCCGACAAAATTAAGAAAGCGGAGAGGGTTGTCCAGCAAGATATTTTTAAAAGGAATTTTCGTCGACATCATTATGTCCCAGGATGTACATCTTGGGTCGTCCGATCGGAAGAAAAGAAATTCATCGAGAGGGCCACATTGGAAAGGGAAGAAAAGAGGGAGGTGGGGAGAATGCAAGAAAAAGGTCATCATATCATGCATGCGCAAGACTGCCATGTTTCTTGTTCTGAAATTTACCGCCGTCCGCGGTGCGGATCCCTTTCCCGGGTTGGTTGAGGCCTACTGCGCTCATATTCCGGGGTGTATCTGGGCTCCATTGAACCGGACATCCGGGAATCCGCGGCAGAAGTTGAAGCAGGGTATGCTATCCCCGAGGTCACGGGAGAATAGTCCGGGTCGGCATCATAACCAGGTCCCGGGTATCTGGGAGCATTGCGGGGAGCACCTTCGTAACCTCCATAGGCTGGGCCAGTGGCCGAGTAGGTGTAAGAAGAAGGGTGAATGTCCGCCGTGGTCACGACCGGTTGCTGGGCGCCAGAGTAGGTGACTTGGGGTGGAGGGTACGGAGCCTGGCCTTGTCCGTAGGGGGAGTGGGTAGATGTGTAAGAAGGGTTTGGGTAAGGAGCAGTCTGGGATCCGCTGTACGGACTTTGGGAATAAGGGTCCATGTAGGGCTGTGCCGGAGCCGCGCTGTATGTGGTAGGGGAAGGCCCCTGTTGTTGGCGAACCTCATGGATGGCCGATGTAGCATAGTTTGCTGAGACAGTGTTAGGGGCATGAGATGGGCTCACATCTTGAATGTAACTACCTCTCGGATAGCCTAGGTCAGCCCGACGCGAGACATCCGCTTCCCAACGGGCGGAGTCAGCCTTCAGATCAGCAATCATCTCCTATAAAAATCCGGTCCGTTGGTCAGATGGTTTGTTCTTTTTTGCTCCTGCGAATCCATTTTTTGTGGTTCTAATGTCGAATAGTCTCAAAACTTACCGAGGTGAGATTCCGATAAGCACGGATGAAGAATCCCTGGCGGCCCTGTGGGATGAGTCAGTTACCACGCTCCAGGTTACAGCATACAACAGAATGAAGAAAAGGAAAGGAGACGGACACTATGGTTGCCAGGTCTCACGAGCGCATCGTTTCCAAGATAGCGGCAGATATCTGCTTGGATCACTTCTCGGCTGATCCCATCGCCGGGGATGAAGTATTCATTTTGACGGCCTGTCATTATGGGTCCTGAAGGTATTGTCCAGGTGAAAGGTCCTCAGAAGTGGGATTTTAATTCCGACGGGCCAAGAGAAGAAAATAAAAAAAATCCGGGCAGTGCTGAAAGAAAAGTCCCTGGGGAAGATGGCAGATGATAGAAATTGGCGGATAGTGAAATGTTTCGTGTCCTTGGGTTATATTGAAAAGTACAGGGTGTTCTATGAGGCGACCGGTGCAAGAAAACAGAATCCACAGTCGAAATCCTTCACCACTTTAGATGAATCAGAGGATTTCTTTTGGCTTTGAGTCCTGATGAACGTGAAGAGCAGTCCCGGGAGAATGGCCAGTAGAATATAAAAGTCCTGGGAATAGTCCTGGTAGTCCTGGTCGGGATAGTAGATGGCGTCCAACGGGTAAGACAAAAACACGTCCGGAAAATCCTGGAGATCCTTGGGTTCTGGTTGATCCGGCAAACAAAGAATATGTCCTGGGCAAATCGAAAGAATCCGTGGATGTTCACAATAAGCCAAGCGACTGAATTAAGTCTTGCAGGCTCGGTGATCCGAAGAGGACAGGTTGGAGGAGAGGCGGCAGGAGGAGGGGGGTGAGATCCTCTTGGGTTGATATTCAGCGCGGTCGCACTGTTAGATCCACTTTATTCCTGCTTTTCTTTTTTTGAGAGATCCCAAAAGGTAGGGAGAGGGAGGGAGGAGGGGGTGAAAGGGGGTGAAGGTTGGATTGAAAGTTGGAGAGAGAAGAGAGAAGGAAGAAGGAGAAGAGGAACTAAACAGAAGAGACGGGGGAGAGGGGCGAACTAAAGTGGGCGAAGGCAGGGAAGAGCCCAGTCGTACTCAGTGTGGCAGAGGAAAGACGACGGTTGGGCCGTCTGGTTCGTTTTGGGTCCTCCTTTGGGTCCTTTGGGCTGGTGCCACGACTCCCCCACTTCGACCACCTCATCCAGCAGATTTGCATCAGCCAATATCCATCTTGCAACCAGGTTTAGAGGCATGCATGGTCAAATCTGGCTTAGACAGCCCTGTGTGACCCTGTTGGACCAGCCCTGTTCTGTTCTGCTGGTCCTCATCCTCTGATGATGCTGCTAGCCGCCTGAGTCGATGCAATTTCCATCTCGGACCTCCTCTTGCCCCCCTTTGGTCAGGCACCAGAACCGGAATCTAAACCTTGAGTCAAAATCCTTCTTTGACTCCATCAGATACGATACACACTACTCATACAGCGCCACCATGGATACAAATTACAGAGACTAGGGTCAGGCCGATCCCCCATCACAGCTTGGATTGCTACTCAGTCTGTGCCCTTTGGGCTGAACGGACGTCGATCTCCACTTGGACCTCCAGTGGATCCCGCAAGAAAAGCAGAGAACAAGAGACAGAGCGGTCAATCATAAAGACCAGACCACCACCATCAGGGAATCCGTTTCGAATCTGCAGCCCAGCAGCAGGCCGTGCTGGATCTCGTCGGAATGGACAGGCTCGTCGTGTGAGGGTCGCAGGCTGGACGAATCAGCCTTGAGAGGGGACATGGGAAAGGGTGGATGATCCTTCCCCCGCTACTACTGCAAGATACCTGCCAGCCAATCTCTGTTCAGCAGAGCTGCGGCCAGAAGAAGTTGCCACCAACAGGCGCTGGTGCGGTTGGGCGTTGGGCACGAATGCGTGGCTTTGGGCATCATACCCTCCCAAGGGCGCCACTCAGCGATTGGCTGTGTCAGCATGATGACTCTGATGGATCGGAGAGCCAACAGCCATTCATGAAGAAAATTTTCAGATGCACTTGACCAAGGTGGTGTGGTCTCGAACATGTTCGGTTCACCACAAGCATTTTCTGCATGGTGATGGAGGTGATGGTGGAAGGAGAGAGGAAAAAAAAGAAAACATCCTTGCGTTCTCCCAAACACGGACAGGCAATTTGACTTTAAACCATGTGGGAAAAAGGAATGTGGCCCTGTCACTCATGGAAAGTTTGGGAGGATGGCTGGTCCATATAAACACACACCGACCGGTATGAATATGGACTGGGCATCAAGATGTGCAGATACCGCCGTCGATGCGATGTAGCTCTAGACTTATCCAGGACAGCGTTATACTGTAGATACCCCTGACTATAGTTCCCGAGAAGTGTCCCAAACAATAACAAGTCAGCCCAGTAAATCTTCCGTTGATTGGATCCGAATGTTGGCGGTGGGTTCTTCTCCCATCGCCTAACCGTGGAATCCTAGACACCTAGAATTTGAGGCTTGAGAACTGCACGTGAGCACGCTAAGCCCTTTCGGGAGCTCTTTCAAAGGTAACGCGCTTCTGCACACCCCAGACTTGCTTGTGTCAACTTGAGATAGCTCACCCTGGACATACAGCTGTCCTCGCGATCAATCCCTGCGTCGCCATGCTGCAGTCTCGAGCATGTCGTCTGAAGACCCGCCCAACGCGTCGCCCAACGATGCCGTGAAACGCTCCCGCTACACCCATCGCCAACTCCAACTCCTGCGCCAGGGTTCGACAGCCACCCCGCTCCGCGCAATTGCACATATCGATCTCGATGCCTTTTACGCACAATGTGAGATGGTGCGCCTGGGGACACCCCGCGATGCACCTCTTGCAGTGCGCCAGTGGGACTCACTGATCGCTGTCAATTACGCCGCGCGGCCGTTTGGGATCACTCGGATGATCACCGCGGGCGACGCTCGCAAACTTTGCCCCAATATTGTCCTGCAGCATGTCGCGACTTTCCGAGAAGGAGAGGGGGGTCGGTGGGCGTACCGTGACGATGCATTTATGAATATCAAGACCGACAAGGTTTCCCTCGACCCGTATCGGGCGGAGTCGAGGAAGATCCTCAAAACGATGAAGGAGGCGTTGGAGCGGTGGTACACGAATGATTCGGATGGCGAAATTCACCGCTTGACCCAGGGTCTCTCGGCTGCCTTGGAAAAGGCTAGTATAGACGAAGTCTTCATTGACTTGTCACCCATCGTGTACATTGTTTTGCTCCAGAGATATCCGGAATTACGGGCAGGTTCGCAAGATGGGGACCGTGATGCGGAACTACCTCCTCCGCCCACGACCGCAGTTCAATGGCATTCTGAGGATTGTCTGATAGACCTCGATCTACATGAGCGGGAGGAAGATGACCCCGACTGGGACGATATTGTCATGCTTGTTGGCTCGGAAGTTGTTCGATCCGTGCGTCAGGCAGTCTGGGATAATCTGAACTACACCTGCTCCGCCGGCCTTGCCCGTAACAAAATGCTTGCAAAACTGGGAAGTGCCTGCAACAAGCCTGACAAACAGACCGTGGTGCGAAATCGGGCTGTCCAGCACTTCCTAGGTGGCTACAAGTTCACCCAGATTCGCATGCTGGGCGGCAAGCTCGGTGATCAGATTACATCTTATTTTGGTACTGAGAAAGTGAGCGACCTGCTCAATGTACCTCTTGAGTCACTGCGTGCCAAATTGGATGATCACACTGCCTCATGGCTGTACGGGATTATCCGTGGTGATGACCGATCTGAGGTTAACCCCCGAACACAAATCAAGTCAATGCTCTCGGCCAAGTCGTTTCGACCTAGCATCAACTCGTTGGAGCAGGCCGAGAAATGGCTACACATCTTTGCAGCAGATATCTACGGTCGTCTTGTGGAGGATGGCGTGCTTGAAAACAGACGTCGCCCCAGAGTGATCGCTCTGCACCACCGGACTGCGCAGATGCGCTCTCGTCAGATCCCGATTCCTGCAGCGGGTACAATTGATGAGAGTATGCTTTTCGAGTTGGCGAGAACTTTGATGCGGCAAGTCATGACAGATGGACAACCCTGGCCTTGTTCTAATCTGTCCTTGAGCGTTAGTAGTTTCGAGGACGGGGTGAGCAAGAACAAGGCAATTGAAGGGTTCTTGCTTAGGGGTGACCAGGCCAAGTCTTTGAATCATGGGTCTCGCCCTCGAGATGCCGATGTACCTCCGAACGAACCACCGCCGCTGGAAAAGAAACGAAAGATTGACGATAACGGGATCAAACGATTCTTCACTCAACCGCCTTTTGAACATAAACCTGATAAACCCGTGGTTGATCAAGAGAGTCCTGAGCCCAAGGAAGGTCATGATGACCCGACTATTCCTACCCCAGTCTCCGAGGCAGAGGTGGATGACAATGCCATGCCACACTATACCTGCAACCGTTGCTCTCGGTCCATACCTGAAATCGAGAGAGAGGAGCACGATGATTGGCATTTTGCCAAAGACCTCGAAATTCAGGAGCGTCAAGAGGCCAGGGATGCGCAACCGCAGTCTCGTCCAGCAGCTCCATCGAATAGCTCTCGAGGCTCAGGAACTCGGGGCAGAGGAGGTCGGGGTGGTCGAGGCAAGCCCGAGAGAGGGCAAATGCGATTGGCATTTCAGTGACTATCTGATGCTTTTTTTGTCTTGTATAATTTTTAGCATCACTGGAGTTTAGCGATACCTAGCCATCAATCATCTCAAAAGATCATGATCTATGATCATACATAATACTCCGCCGTGCAAGAGGGACATGAAATCGTAATTTAATTCATCAAGTCTTCCATAGAATACTCTCCTTCTATTGGCAGCATACTAGGCGTCTCCCACGTTGGCGGTATTGGAGATCTCAGGTCCCTTCCGACTGCAAGTCAATGAAGGGGAGCTTACGTACATGTAGTCCCTAGTTGCTCCCATTCAAAGAATCTGTTTGATTTCCAACCCCTTAAAATGACTGTAGCTCGGATTTGACCATAGTGAATTGTGAGTCTTCCTGGTTTCGCTAAATCTTGCACCTTTTTGACCCCATTCAGCTTCACGCTTGTCCAATGGGAATCTCCGGTATGCAAGGGTCTCAGCTGAAGTGTCGTCATGACTTTTCTACCCACCAAAAGTCCATATGTACATAGACAAAGGCCTTGAGGGTCAATTTTGCTGACTGGTATCAACGTCATCTGGTCCACGGCAGCCCAAATCTCATTTGTGGTTCGACCGTTTTAAAGTCTCGTCGAGACCCATGGATGAGGGGACAGAATGTAGTTAAGAGTAAACAAACAATTTCTAGAAATCCTCAGATCAAGAATCAGCCCTACCAACTCGTGACTGAATGCCATTGTTGACTACTCCCCAAAATAGTCTTTGGTCCTGCCCTCGTGTGCTCTCAAGAATCCGATTGTTGTGCCGCGTGGGTGTGACATCAGCGGGTCGCGGGGTCATCGGACGTTGGCTTATGTCGTATGCATGTGCTGGTCAGTCCCCACGACATGTTTGCTGCCTTTACCGATCATGGTGACTTGCAATCTTTCCTTCCTGAGATTGACCTCACTTTTCTAAGTTACCTTTGTCGTCGATGAATATTGGGATCTGTGTAGGACTTGGGAAGTGCCGGCGTAGGCTACGACGTGTTTAATGCCCCGCAAACCGCTGTCTTGCCCCGCCGATCTTGATAGCCGCCTTCCCTGCCCGATCAACACTCCAGCACGCGAAGTGGAAGTCTCACATCTTCCTGCAAACTGATGCACATACGCACTCAATCAGATAATTTTAATCTCGCTATCTGATCTTCGCTTCTATATCAGCCATGTCTCGGCGGGCCCTACCGCGCGAGTACTTCGAAGAGGAGGAATTCGAGGTCGAACGGGAGCGAGATCGGTATCCACGATCACGTCGACGGGAGCGTGAGTTTGATGAGGATGTCGAGTATCGCCGACGCCGATCAATGCCTCCCGTCGAAGATCTGGAGCGCATGCATATCCGGGATCGTCCACCACGCGACTTTGTCCGAGAGAGCTTTGCCCCGCCAAGGGATTGGGGGCCCATGGTGAGAAGAGAGAGAGATGAGCTGGAAGAGCCACTACCAGGTCCTGATCCAGAGGAATATCGGGTGCGCTCATCACGCCGGCGCGGTAGTCAGAGTCACCGGCCTCGCGAAGTCGTCGAGGAAGAGGAGTCTGAGTTGATCATCGGGGGAGCGAGAGAGGCGCGGCAATCGACGATATCGGAGACCGCGTGATCTGGAAGAAGAGGATATGATGATTCGACATCGGGAACGAGCGAGCGAGGGGGACTTGAGACCCATGGAGAAAGTTTACGAGGATGACCGGGAAGAAGTTTACTTCGGACAATCATCCAGACCTCGACGCAGACCGTCGCGCCGTGAGGTGAAATTTGAAGAGCGAATCATTGACGACAGAGAACAAGAACAGCCGCGGGGATCATGGCACCGCGGAGAACCGTCATTCGAAGAAGAACTGGTTATGCAATGGAAGGACAGACCGACACCTCGGGAACTGAAAGAAGAGGAGGAGATACGCTTACGAGAAACGAGGCGACGGCGTCGACCCAGTCAGCCAGAGCCGAGATATGTGCGGGAACCACCACCACGAGAACCGCCTGGGGCTTGGCCGGTTGAGAGGGAGGCGGAAGAGGAAGAAATTCGCATCCGCGAGCGCAGACGCTCAAAACCGCGGCGTCGGGAAGTTGATGATGAAGAAGATATTCTGGTCCGTCGAGAGGAGCATGGCCGGGAGCGTGGCAGGGATAGTGCGGAGAGTGATGAGATACTCATTCGAAAGAGCAAACGAAGGTCCCCACCGCAAGATCCATCTCCGTCACCGGAGCCTATCCGGGCTCCTCCAATTCACCAGGACGTTATCACGCATCACCGGCATGTTGATCATGGTAAGGTATCTGCACTCCAGCTACTGGACTGTGCTAATGACCTTTTAGGATTCGATACAGCCCGTCCGCCACGGGCACCGAGTCCAGAGATATCTTCCACGAGAAGCAGCTTTGACGAAATCGATATCCACCATCGGTCAGTCTATTAGATATCATGGCGGCTTCAACGCTAACAGACCATATAGAAGCAAAAAGGACAAACGGGGCCGCATGTCAGAGGAAGAAATTGTCTTCAAACACCGCGACAAAGACGAATCTGTATCACCGACCAGTGGCCCATCACTCGACTTCAGTGATCCCTGGAAGCCGGTCCAACCTTCACGTCGTAATCGCAAACCCAGATCCCTGGATGACGAAGAAACCGACTCTTCCATCGCAGGAAGCTCCTCCCAGACTACTTCGCGGCGTGAAATTCCCCGTGACCTGGAACTTGAAGTTGAAGCCGAGATCGAGGAGGAGATAAAGATACACAAGAAAAAAATGAAACACCGCTCGCCCATCGAGAAAATCACCAAGGAGAACGTTGACGAGTGGTCCGTCGTTCATACACCCGCAAAGGAAGACGTCGTTGAAATGACCGGTGCCCTCGAGGTCGTCGAAGTCGCACCTAAGGGAGCCCTAGAAGAAGACCTTGAAATCCGCGGACGGGTCGAGCAACAAGTCGTGAAAGAGCGTCGTGATGAACGCTGGACAGAGATTACCAAGGACCTGGTAGTCCGCGACGCTATCGAACGACTTGGCTATGAGTTTGAGGAGACGAGAACATTTTATTACATCTTCTCATTTCTAGAACCGGTAAGTTTGTCACTCTCCCCCATTGTGGTTGTGAAATGGCTGCTACAAGAGGAGACATTGCTGACTCTGTAACTATAGGCTGATATCGACGAACTCGTCGAACTCTCCGATGAGATCCGCCACGCAAGACGTCGACGTATTAGAGAGATGCATCGCGAACGAGCGGAGAAACCATCGTGGCCTATGCCTATGCCCGTCATGGATCGGATGCCCCCTCGGCCACGGATGACGGGCAAGAGGCATATAAGAGAGCGGGAGTGGATCATCGATGAGAGGATGTGAGGAGCTGGGTGTTTGATCTATCTGGTTCTAGTTCAATAATGATTTATGATTGACGTTTGCATGGTCGTTGCTTTTGCATTTACAGCTCAATTCAATTCAAGGATATTTTTCTCGGGCAAATTGATTCATAATGTTGGCGGATAGTATGGTCAAGATCGATGCTCGTTCGTGCTAGGTATACCATCTTGTCCTAAGTCATCCCGTAGCTGGTGGGGGTCATGTGCTTGCTGCCTCGACTAGATAATACGAGGGTTGTATATACTCTGAGTATCATAGACCTCTGAGAACAGGTAAAGTGGCAGAGTCTGGACGTGGATGGTCACGATCCAAGCACCGTCTATCATGGATTGATTTGGTACATCGATGTCATCTGAACGGTCCCCAGGCTTGACATTTGCCAGTCAGCTGGTAAAGGGCGAGACATTCAATACCGATAGTTCAACTAATCCTAGGCGATAGCCTAAAAATAGTCAACACTGGTGATTCTCGAGAATCTGAAGAGCTCAGTCACCCATTCCTGCTAGGAATCGGCGGACCTCGAAGTATAGGCAGACATCGATAATCCTATTCAGTAATATAGGAAGATAAATGTGTGGTTCTTCACCCCGTATCCAAATCAAATCCCATTCTCTATGGAAATATCGGAATAAGACAAGAAAATACCACGAGTTCTCCTCCGCCCAAGCCCAAGGCCGCGACATCAAATCCTACTTGGCGTCAAAGCCAAGACATACAGCAAGCCACCTGGCCTGACATGCACAAGTGACCCGGATTAAGAGCAAGATATTTGAGATTTCAACCCCTGAACAAAAAAAGTCGGTCATAATGTACTTCATATAGCACTACTGTAGACTACATACTATGAAGTAAACATACATTCTTCATTTTTAAATCTGCCCAAGTCAAGCACCCACAGAAACGTTCCGAACAACCGGAAAAAACCAAGACCAGAAGGATTTCTGACTGGCGATCATGGGGCAAGCCTCGATCCTTTCCCACCCCCCTGGTGCGACCCAAATCGCAGGATTAGTAGATTACACATACCCCTGCCGCCACCCGCGATGCCGGTGGGTGTGTGGTGTCTCAGGCATATTAATGGCAACTACGGAGTACTGTGGGGAGGTTATGTATGTATGTATGTACTGTAGTGGAGAGCATTTGCCAGGCACAGGTACAATGGCGATGCAATTGGAAGCCTGGAGTGTGGGTGTGGGTGTGGGTGTACAACATATGGATCAGTTGTTGGTGATTGATTGGTAATGGCGAAAAGGTACAGTATCAAATCAGTACTTACCTGTGGGCACTGGAGACTACTGGGGCTACAGTACTGGATTCGGAAGGTTTCGTGATCTCAGAATGATGTGTACGGTGGCGCTTTTAGGTATGAATCTTCTTGAGCAAAAATATTCACTAACGTTTTGGAAAATCTGGCAAGATATCAGATTAGGACCCGAGACTGAGATACATATTGCAAGGTGGGTGGTGGAATGCTTCAAATCGAATTGACAGAGAAAGAACCTGATTCGCTGGTCTAACTCTGAATTGTCAAGCTTTTACCGTGCTACAACTAAGGACAACAGGATTATTAAAGTAGATAGTCCGAGAATGGGACTCAGGAATTGCACTCGATACATGTCTCCATCTGTACTGCGTACATAATGGCGAAGAGAACACGACTTGTGGGGCATTGAGATGGAACAAGTCGACAGGGAGGTCAATAATTGAGCGTATTCTCCTCCGTATGTCTATAGTTTATATGAACTCGAATGACAAGAGGAATCCATGAAATCCATGACTCGTGAATAAGATCAATCAATGCCTCAATGCAGAGTTTGTTACAGCGCCCAAATCATCGATCGATCGGCGTGATGGATAATAATGTCATTGATGTGCAGCTCAAAATTCTGTATTATTTACAAAATTACTGTACACATTTATTACATCTTCCTCCAATTTACATTGTGGGCCCATCCAACGATTCCAGCCCCGATCCACTGACGCAGGATTCGTTGCCACAAAGCCGATCCGTCTGGCTCATCCAAGATTTCTACCGGGATCTGATATCAGATAGGGGTAAGAAGCAGAGAAATGAAAAAGCAAAAGAAAAGCAAAGAGAACTATGGGCACGAGGAATGGAAAGATATAGTTATTGTTATATCTAGTGCCCAGCCGACTCTGGAATAAACTTGCGCAGGGACTGGGAATAAACTTGGTCAAGGCAGCCCCGAGCGGACGGGGGTAACCATGGACCGCGGCACAGGGGGTGATTAGTTATTACAGTATTTATGCATTGACCGTCACACAACCCGGGACTCGCTTGCCTTTGTGGATGAACAAGATACTGATCGTCGTTTCTGGCATCTATAGTCCATGATTCTCAAGCAATCAGGACCTGCGTGAATGTCGTTGAGGGGGAATAGGGGAACAGGTTTATCTTCCGGAGAAGGACTCCATGGGAAAAGATAAAGAAATGAGAGGCCAAGAGTTGCCGAGAGAATAGGAATTTGAATTTTTTTTTGTTCCCCTGGAACATTGATAGAGGGGGAGGGTCTCGAAGAAGTAATTATACACGATTTGACCGAGTGTAAATCAGAACAATGGCCACTAATAACAGTTTGTGGTATTTCGAGGGCTAAGTGTCCCATAGGGTTATCGTGTCCTATTGCCGATAAAGAAAGAAGAATTAGCGGCATTAGCTGAGCTAGCGTAGTAGATAGTTATTTTAGATCTGAGGCTTTAATGCCAAAGTCCACTATCACAGTCAGAACATCCGCTTAGTACTCAGCATAACCTCTTGATTCTATACACAAACCCGTTGCTGGGGCGCTTTGATGTTCTCATGTGGCGTTCGGAAGAGCTGTGTGTGGCTTGTTTTGGGCTGCAGCTCTGAGACAGACCAACGACTCGGGCTTATCCACACATTACGTATGCCGTGCTTTAGTTGGCACTATCGGCCCTAGTCACACAGATTACAAGGTGACGACCGGGATTACTGTCGGGGTATCGGATGGTTTTCTATCACTCCAATCAACAGTTTAACGAGGACATCGACTTGTATAATCAATGGAGATCATATTAGGGCCTATCACCTGCCATCTACCATCTATGAATGAAAGAATATTATTATTAGCAGCACATGAGAAAGACAAAGACAAGTATGAAGGATAGCTCCTTGAGAATGTTGGCAGGCAGGAATTCTCGAGACCAACCTTCCGAAGCTTTTTTCCCTCAGCCCAGCCAATGCGAACGAGGCTGGGTGGAGCCGATGAGCACGAAACTGGTATTCGGTTTACTGTGAGCCACCAATTGAATGGCCATTCTCTTCTGACTAAGTGAGACAGAGGGGGAAACAAAAACAAATAATGCACGCGCAATGGCTGTGAATCCACGATAGCACAGTCAATTACGAGTGGATTGCCCGCATATGCCTTCTAGACCTTCTGAAAGATGCCATTTTCATATGAAAGATGGTAAGACTCTACTGTCACTCCATGAATCATTATTAACTTTGTATCTTACACCTCGAGCCCGGCGAGTTCACCGGAGCGTACCACGTTAAGGTTGCACTTGTAAATGGCCATCAATCAAGCAAGACATTAGAGAGGTTTTGTATAGGTACTTCAATACAATCTGTATAGCCCGTTTACTTACAACAGTCTAACAGTCTCAGCAAGGACGTGCACGACAGTCACTGTATCCACTTGGCTAGCGGCAATGCCGGCCAGCATGCTAATATTATGCCAATGCCAACATGGCTAACAGCCTAACACTCACACTACTAACATAACTCCGTTCTCCGTCCTCCGATCGTAACATCGTAACGCCCCGTGACTGTCTCCTCTCTCTTTCGTGCCTTGACTCTTGACAACTGAACACTCTCACTTTCAACTGTCATCCATTTCCGACCACTCTTTCCCTCCGCCTCCTCCCCTTTCACCATCTTCCGTTGTCGCCGCCTCCTCCGACATCTGCCTGGGCTAGAACGATGCGATTGCCCTTTTAAAAGGATTATCGCGGCGTGTAACGTTCAGCTTGGTGGGGGAATCAGTAGAACACTCGTTGATTTGCTTCTCCGATCGCCAACCATCTTCCTGTTCCTATCTTCTCCAGAAACCTTCTCATCGCATGGGTGATCGGCACCACAACCACCGGTCGGCGCGGCATCCACAGAACTCATTTTAAATTTCAATCTTATCCCTCCTGATTGTGACACTTCCCTCTACAGAAATCGCCCGGAGTTGGGTGAAATTGGGTCGGCGAACGAACACAATCGCTTATCGCGGTCTCTTCTGGCGGCATCGGTCGGCCCCCTCTCAACAACATGCAATTCGTACTGATGCTGCTGCTGGCTCTGGCTCTCCTGGCTCGGCCCTTCGCCGAAGCTGCCAGTAGCCTGGCATACTGCGCAACTGATAACACTGGATCTTCATTTTCGGCCGGTAAGTGGAACATGGAATATTTACTCAAATGGAACTGTATGCTGACTCCAGCTTCTCATATCTTTAGTTTCCGACACCTATCAGTCCAATGGAGCTTGCGAGGAGACTTGCGCCGACTATGCTCTCGGTATCCTCCAGGGAAAGAATTGTTGGTGCTCCAATGTGGCCCCTTCCTCGTCCTCCCGCAAAAGCACTTCGGAGTGCTCGACTGGCTGCCCCGGTTATCCAGATGACAGCTGTGGCAGTGCCTCCAAGGGTGTCTACGCATATGTGAAGATCACTGGTAACTCGGTGACGAGCACGGAGGGGGGCAGTAGCTCGTCCACCACTACTTCTTCGACTTCGGTAAGTTAACACCGTTCCTTATACATGAATATCCCGTTGGCCTATCGGTTGGAGCTCGTTGCATTGTTGTTCGTGTTCTGGATCGTCTTTCATGCTTGCGCCTGGGTGCTTTGCTGTTCCATGAAATTTTATTCTCATTCGTGGTACAGGAAAGCACTAGCAGCACTTCATCATCGACAGGAACATCTACAAACTCTACACAAACTGTATTATCTGGACACCACCCGAAAAGATATTACGTTGGTTCGAATTTGCTAACATACCGCTCTAGTCCACCACATCTGACTCGACTACCCCGACTGGGAGTGTTGTCAAGGAGACCACCTCGGCCGGCGAGGTGAAGACTATCACTGTTTCCGCCGCCAGCCAGACAGGTGTCCAGGATTCTTCCTCGGCCAATGCCGCGGCAACTGGCAGCAGCAAGCTGAGTGGCGGCTCCATCGCCGGTATCGTGATCGGAGTGATTGGTGGTCTTGCCCTCGTGGGCGCTCTGATCTTCCTGGTCTTCTTCTACCGAAAGCGTGCTCGCTCTGCCAGCCCTATTCCCAGCACAGCCGACATGACGGAGAACCGAAACAGCCAAGCATCAAGCTTCGCTCGGGGCATCTTCCCGCAAGGTCATTCCCACGACCTGTCGGGATCGTCGAGTCTGGGACGCAAGCACACCTTCACTGATAATCGGCTGAAAACCGATATTTACCCCAACGGTCCTCGGGATAGCAGTGTGTCCCTGCAGGACAACGAGGACTACTCGCGTCCCGTGCTTCGGGTGAGTCCTACTGGAACCGATCTGATTTGACAAGAAAAATTTACTTACTTATCTCTCAGCTCACCAACCCCGACTAAATTCACATCGGATATCCACACTCGCTCCATATTTCACCATCACCTCCAGCACCATTCCCCCTTCATTAATTCTGCGCGCCTTCGCCAAAACAGCTTTGTTATGATACCCAATTGTTGGATTCTTTCCTTTCTACGCTGGAGGTGATGGTCGAGAAGAAGCTACGCAAAAGCACCATCCGACCCAGAAGTGAATTTTCAAGTCGCGGTCCTCGACTCCCCCGTCAACTTCTTTCCCCTCCACCACTCGACGTGCTCCGGTGAGCAGAAATGAATGAGCGAACTGAGAAAAATGAGAAGATAAAGCAGAAATCGGAAAAAAGGCACAACGGGATTCCGGCCTCTAATCAACCCCTAGAAGCAATGGGTTGCCGTCGAAACGAGTCCACGAGCCACATTTTCAGCCATACATCCATCATACATACCTTGCATACATACCCCCTCCCTCATGGGTGACGGCGCCGGCCCTTGTGAATTTCAAAGTACATACACGGTTCCGTTCCCTCTACGTCGCGCTCCCCATTCAACCTTTCTCTTTCTCTTTCCTCTTTATCCACGGATACGCTTGTCCTTCGATTTTCTGGATTTTTTCTTCTCCGTTTATCTTCTCTAATCCTCATTTCATACCTCTGTATCATCCGGCCTAGCCTGTTCATTTCTTTGCTTTAAATCCCCGGGGATTTTGTTCTTGCGCTTTTTTTCGGGTTTCTACTATGGCGTTAGGAAACCCGTGTCGTGTTTAGAGCCTGATACATCAATGGTCAATGTTACCTGCACGTTTATTGAGTAGATATGCTTAATGAAACTCATTTTGAGGAATTACGTCGCTAGCCTAGTAAATCCATAGGACAATCTGGTAAGATGGTTTAAGTAGTTTCCGGTACTCGTTGGCCTTTCTTGTTGATGTGCGGAAGAGCTTTGATCTTCCCCTTTGGTGCTGAAGCTATTGCCCCGAGAAAAGCTCCTTGTCGGGTTACGAGTTTGAGGCAACGCAGGTAGTTGTCCTTCAAGCTTGCAATGTTGTTAGGCCGTTCGCTTTCGTTACGTCTACGCAGTGCCCTCAGCAATCGGGTCTTAACAGGAAAGGAAGGATTTACTTGGCATTTCTGGTAGGCTGAGGCTAATCGCACGCCAACTTGTGCTTTCGCACGACAGACTATTCCGGTTTCGGATATAGTGGACAATAGATACACTGAATCCTTATTATCTAGACTGGAGAAACGGTTTTACAATGTAAATCTGTATGCTTTAACTTTCTTTTTTGAAACAGGGAAATCAATTTTCAATTCAAGTAGATTTTAGGTCGATAATGAGCAGAAAATTTCGAATCTACAATGTCAATATGTTAGATCCTTAATTCTAGGCTCGTCAAGCTGCTCGTTCAACAATAAATTACCGCGATGTTAGGTCTTTTTTTGTAAAACATTCCCAAGATTTGATGAGGCACGTCTCCTCAGTGTCTCTCAGATTTTCAATGCCATTGTTCAAATACAAAGGGATTTCTTTGTCATTGTCTTAAATGTTAAGTCTGTCGGAAACTTTGTGATATGTAATCCCAGTTCCTGGAGCTCAACTAGAGGGGTCCGTTTCTTCATTCTCTCGGTCCTGTCATATCGTTACACTTAAGCCCCAGCTCTGTAGTTCTTCAGCTAAGCTATCTGAAACAGTCAGGGGGAAGAGCACACAGGCTGACAGATGGTGTCCTTGCTACACTACGTGAAATTCTTTGAAGGGCTCTTTCACACTGATCAGGAGTAGACAATGCCTTTGTACAAAAAACAGTAGACAACTTTGAGCATGTCATGCATTGAGGTGGGTAATTGATATAAATATCGAATTTCATGCCTCCCCAATGGAAAGTCTATTATTGCATACGCCTACCATCTCAAGCTCTCTGCAGTCCATAACTACCTCAACCAAAATCACCCTTCTTATCCAGACTGTTCGAATATTTCAAGACATCCACAATGACTGGAGGCCAGTTCGATGCTATGCTCCTCAACCTTGGCGATCTACCCCCCGAGATGGTTCAACAAATTGCACAAAACCTAGACACTCAATCAGTACTCCGACTTGCTCAAAGCTGCAGCTCCCTATACTGGCTCCTTTTGCCAGAGATCCGCAAAAGAGCCGAGACCGCAGCTTTCGCACCATTGAGCCTCTACGAAGAAAACTTCCTCTACGATGAAGGGCAGCGACACGGGATCGATGATCCAGTATTCAGCTTGCACACCTCGTACGGTGTTCCCGCCGGGGATTTTGGTGCCTCTGATTTCGACTCCCTTGGGAAGGCTGTAGCGGAAGGTGAGTTTGATATTGTGCGGGGCTTGCTGAACCACAATGTGGATCCTAACTCGTACGTCGTTTCCGGGGAGCGCTTACTCGGTTTAGCTATACAGTCTAGATGTGAGGACATGGTCCGGTTGCTGTTGGAGTTTGGTGCGGATGCATCTAGACCTGATCTAATCACGAATACGAGTCCGCTTATCCATGCGGCTAGAGGACATAAGGATGAAATCGTTCATCTTTTGATTGAGGCTGGGGGTGATCTGAACGCGGACAGGGTTATGCAGGCGATCGCAGCATACTGTACCCTTGAGACCATGCAAATGGCTCTCGCGTATGGGGGGAACCCGACACCTATCTCATCAGTTGGATGGACAGTGCTTCGGTGGATTGTCGTGCGCAATGATATTAACTTCTTCAGCCTATTGAAGAGCGAGTTCCCAGGGACTGTTCTCAACGCGAAGGGTCATTTAGGTCAAACAGCCTTGCACGTAGCCCTAGGTGCTGAATACTCACATCTAGCTATGCCTCTTGCCTGCCATCCAGAAGTGGACATCGACATTCAAGATGTGCATGGCTATACGGCATTGCACCTAGCTATCCAAACCGAACGGTTTGACGTGGCCGATGTCCTTATTCAGAGAGGGGCAAACCCCAATCTCGTAACAACCCAGCGGGAGAATTGCCTATATCTTGCGCTCAGGTCCGGGTGTGTGCCCCTCATCCGTACATTGGTTGAACGTGGTGTCGATAGAAGGAGCAGGGCAAGTGGATTTGAATCAGTCTACTTCTGGGCCAAATACCATGACGAACCAGAGATACGATCCATCTTCGAGTAAGCGGTCTTTGGAAAGGATCAGAGTTCGCCCCTGGAACGTTATTTCATCCAGATACTGATCTAATTCGCGGTGTTCCTTTTGAGATGATTGAAATAGAACTGATATTTTGCGCTTTTGAGATTGCCTGCGAGACCTAAGCCAGGATGATTACGCTGGGCCTCGCAACTTTCATGGATAGTCCAAACACTATAAGCGAATGGATAGAATTCTGTAATCTACAAACCCGAAATGGAATGAGACATCTTTTTTGAACACTAGCTCGATACCTTAAGTTATTACCAAAAGGCTGAGGCTACTCGCACGCCAACTTGTGCTTTCGCACGACAGACTATTCTATTGTCGGATGTGGTGGATAAATGGTACATCGAATACATACCTAGATACACTTATAATACCTACTAAGCCTTTTATTACCGACACCTTGGGTATTTAGAAAGCTATTTAGAAAGACATTTAGAAAGATATTTAGAAAGATATTTAGAGATCTTTTATAAAAATGCTCTCATTGCTACAGTCACTGAAATTGTTATTGCAAATCTCTGTATTATTCTTTAGCTGAGCATTGATGAATATTTAAACCGCATTATTGTGTACCCATACGCAGGCCTATTGATACTCCTTGAGCAAATTGCCAATCTCATCATACCCAAGTTGAAAAGCCGACTCCATCGCTGTCTGTCCATAGCTATCTTGGATTGTCAGGTCTGGTGGGGTCAGGCTCTCACGGAGAAGAACCTCCACAATGGACCTGGCCCTAGTCCGTACAGCACAATGCATGGGAGTCCCATAGGGTGACATACCGTTGACATCGGCACCATACCGAAGAAGTTCACAAAGTATTGGGGGGAGTTCTGAAGCAGCCACAATTTTGAGCGCAACATGCAACGCGTTCTGACCACCGTGAGGCAACGTGATGTTAACTGCAGCCCCGGCCTCGAGAAGAGCCTGTACCAATATATGGCGGTGGAGTGCATAATGCAAAGCAGTCCACCCATGTTAGTCCTGAATATCAAGGTCAATACCTGGGAGTCCAATAAGATAAATCGCAGTGCCAACATATGCGTCTCTCATAGCCAAGTGTAGCACGGTTTGCCCACCGGCATTCGTAAGGTAGAATCTACTCTTGTCCACTAGCGGAATGAGAAGCTCGACGACTTCCTTTCGATAGAAGACAACATCACGGAGGGTGATGCATGAATCTACCTCACAGTCAGTCAATAGCATTGCCCGTATCACCTCCATTTCGCTCTTGCGAGCAGCGCGTTCTAGGGGTGACGATGGGAGTCCTGGGTCTTTACAGCATGGAAGAGCGCCAAATTCCAAGAGTAGCTTGATAATCTCCATATTTCCCGATTCAACAGCTACACTGAGCATCCTTGCACCATTCACGAGATATGAATTGGGATTCACACCTCGCTGAAGAAGATTTTGCACCGCATCAAAGTTGCCCCGGTATATCGCCTGGCCAAGAGGTTCGAATTCTGTCGGTACATAAGCAGGGGGGATGGACATTTGACGATATGCTACTGTCTGATCGAGGGTTGGGCCCCACCGGACTCGGAAAGAAGGAAAATCCACTCCATGCTGTTGATCATCTTCATAGGTGAAATTCGTCTCGTAATGGCTACTTGGGGCGAGAGCAGATTGGGAAGCTTGCTTGGTGATTTCCGGGTCGAGTAGACTGTTTAATCCTCTGCAGGTCTGGGACAAGCTGCTGAGGGATCCAACATCCAAGTGGTCTGCAATCTCCAAGACCAGTTCACAAGGCAGCATGCCAAGCGAAATTGACGAACGCGATCGCATGGTCTTATGGTGGTGGGGCAAAAGTGGCTGTATCAAATTGGTGATGTGATGCATGAAAGATAGGTTCCAAATAATCAGACAAGATGCACACCAGAAGAACGGAATGAATAGCTTGACTCGACCAGTCAATCTTCAACTTTACCATGCACTCTAAGGGCAATGATCTGGGTAGAATAGCGCTCGACGGCAGGCTACTTATGTAGATTCGAACAATGCCATTGAATCTCGAAGAGCTAAATCGAGAGTAGGAAGAAAACAATAGAAACAAAGAGGAAGGAAACAATGTCATTGTCTCGTCTTCTTCTTTTCAAAGAATCTCATCCTGAGATTGCCTCTTTGTTGCTCATTTCTTTATAGATAGAACAAGAACCAGGACGAAGGCCTTCGGTCAGCATGCAAGGAGAAAACGAAATTGTCGCGAAGTCAGAATAAAGTCCTTCAGGTAAAGCCAAAATGAGACAAATGAATAGAAATAGGTCCCTAGAAATGATTACCAGCGGTTCAAGGTCAGTGGGAGCCTCAAATCTCGGAGAAGCGGTTTTCGTCTTGCGCAAGCGGCTCCAAAGATATTCAGTCTTTGTAAGTGATGCTGATTTTGCCCCAAAGCAGACACTGAATATATCTGTTGGAAGTAATGATGGTTTGCATTTAGTCTTTACCGTGCTATTCTTGCTGTCGGCACTAGGTTCTCCGTCTACCGACCTAAAATCTGGCTTGACAATGAAGTGGCTAAGTTGTGCTACTCCTACAATTTTCATGGCCTCCCTGCTGATTCTAGTCTTCACCCACATAGCTGAGTATTGTAAGTATTGTACAGAGTTGGGGAGGCCATCAGCCGCGGACTACAAAGTCACACGAATTCCCCTATCTGGTCGTGGATAGCATCTAGGCAAAGAAATTGTTCATTACCTACTTTTAAGCGCCCCGGTGAAGTTCAAACCTTGTGAGATCCGTCCATAACACAAGCCTGGGTGGCATTCCTTCATGCAAGCCAGTGTGTTGAATATATATCTCAGGGTTATGTTCTGCTCAGAACTACCCGCACTTCAATCTAGAATCATCTACGTCTCTCATGGCTTAGGAATTGGTTACGATTATTCTTATGCACCACTAATAGACCACTAACATGTTAATTTCAAGTGGTATTGGCTTTACACGTGCAACCTTGGTGTTGCGAGAGCTCATCAGTGGGAGGGATATGTGTCTGCCTGGCCTGTCAGGCACCCACAGGTTCTCTACAACTGGATCACTCCTCTCTCGCAGTCTCCCCTTCTATTTGCTAGATTGAATGAAGATACGTCAAGCCTCTGTTTTCTTTGTTGGGTAACTGAATTATGTGTGGACAGGTGTGAGAGTTGGTTGTATGTGGTGCGCAATCTTCTTGTCAGATTTCAATTGAACCATTAACTAAACTGGGAGATATGTAAAACAAAATCCATGACCGTCGAGTCCTGATTAGGATTTAGACTTCTTATGTTGCATCATATAGCGCTGATCAAAGAAGCCAAACATGGATTCGTTCGCTATACAATTGGTGATCGTCTCGCGCGAAATGTCCGACGTTACAATGCGTGTAGGGATTCTAGGGAATCCGCGTTGAGTTCTGGAAAGAGTCGAGAACCAATGACTCTCGGAGCCTTGTCACTGACTGCTGATCTTTCCCATATCCTGTAGAAAGAACCCTGTCATGAGATTACTAGTGCGTGTCGCGAATATAGTGAGACACAAACAGTTGCGGGCACCCGACCGTTCTCAAAGAGGGGAGAGGCTGGAAAGAACTTTGTTCTCGAATGGTGTTCCTTTTCAGTTTGAGTCGAGATCGACGTACTCAATTCTAGATAGAGGGGGTGGGTTATCAGTTGGTGAGGGATCAATCATGTACGAAGTTGGAAGAGACCCTTGTCTGCAGAGAACATGGGTGAATTTGAGCCGAGGACATTATCTTTTCAAGCCGTTCGGTATCAAGACCCCGAATTACTGACACTCACAATCCTTTCGACACACACAGATCTTCTAGACGTATCAATCCTTGCGTTCTCGTGCAAAAACTAAGCATATCCGTGCTAAGAGGTCGAATGATGCCACATGAGGCCCAACATAAACACTACATCTAGCTTATTTTCCTTCGGGATCCCCTTTCAGTGACTCGGTGTGTGCTCTAGAAACTCGGAGTCTAGGAGGATTCTCCAAGGCATCATTATTGAGTCCACTCAGGTTCCGGCTGATCTTCTGACATAAGCCTTACTTATAACGCCACTCCGGTAGAGTTTCATTGTGATGTCTTGGCAGACCCCTCCCGTTGTATGCCCAGGACTCCAATTGATGCTTGTCTACGTCCCTTATCAAAGTGTATTATTCTGAGAGATGCAGAGATGCAGAGGCCTGTTGAGGGGATTTGAGTAGCCTTGGCGTGTCATTGTTCCATGAGACTCCAACTGACGTGATTAACAATATGTACCCTCTTCTCTGCTGAGATGCTCGGAATATTCCTTTTCCTTTCCTTCGTTCTTTCTTTTTCCCCCGATATTATTTCCACTCACTGCGACATTATTCCATTTTCGGCCCCTAGAACAAATCCCCGCACTCGTCGGCGCGTAGCGAGCGTGGATCTAATCACAAACGAGTCTAGTCAACACTCATCATCCTGTCGGGAAATCGAGATGGACTATTAGCACGGTCTCTCTAAGCGAGGAAATGGTGTTCCTTGGATCTTCGAGTCCCATCCAGACCAGAAGGAAGAGGTCCAAGCCACAAGAACGACTCAAACCGGGAATTGGATCGAACACAGGTGCCTTCTTTTGTTCCTCCTGATCCCTCCTGGTGGCTGGCTAAGGATCTCTCGGTACATCTTCGGCTAGACCCGAACAAGGGGCGGGAGAATCTAGCGACTGTCATTGGCTATATGGCCCACAAGCCAGCCCCATTCAGACAAGCGTCGTTTGACGGCGCTGGACGAGTCAGCGCAATCGCCGCGCTGACTGGCCGCTGACTGGTCGTTGCACTGTCGATGGTGCAAGTCGCCGGATCAATCGGCAGGGGGACCTTGTCGGTTGGCCGAGAGTACGACGAGTACGACGAGGGTACGACGCTTCACCAGTGATCAGACGAGAAAAAGGCCCCCAGAACAAAACAGCACCACCCTAGCTGCATCTCATCTCCGCCCCTTGGGTCTGGGCATATGGGGCCAGACACTCTCAAGGCCTACCGGTTCGAAGACCCCAGGTTTGTCTTCCCCGACCTGTCAGTTGTGTTTTCTCACCGGGCATCTGGAACTGGCATGGTGCTGTGAAAGGAGGGTTGATTCTCCAGACTCCAAGGATGCAGCTCCCCACGGGACAAACATTGGTCGTGCCACGCGTCCCCACGCAGGATATCGGCTCCCCGAATGGCTTGGCGCCAGACCGAACGCTTGCCAGATGCCGAAACTCTCACGCACGGCTTTCCGCTGATAGAGCATTTTCCTTTGAGAGACGGCTAAGATCATAGGCCGGATTCCCTCTTCCCATGGCTCGCTATGGGTCCCTCTTCGGGACCACCACGCCTTGTGGCGGTTGGGCGTTCCAGAATGCTACCCTCTCTGTACTCTTTGCTTCGAACGCATCGTACGAGTCAGAACGAGTCAGAGAATACTACTAACTTACGACTTGCTGAACCGGTTTCATGGCCTAGATTGAGGATCTGCTCTGACCTTTTGGAGCTAGGGCATTCCCAATGAGGCTAATGGACTTTTCCCGGTCCCCGCTATGCTCACGTCTCCCTTCTCCTCTTGGTCGCTGCGTGTGACTAACAACAGCATTTGTGAATCCACTTGGTCTGACTGAAAATTTTCCTTCCCATCACAAGGACAGTGAGAGCGTGTCGAGGCTCATCTCTCTCACGATGCTGTCTTCAGTATTGGTGCTCGTAGAAGACAAAACGACCCTCTGATCATGACCACCTAATCGATTGTTCATGGCGGTTAGAGATGCTACCCCGATCCCTCGCATAATCTAGATGCGCCATCGGCCTAATATCGGCCAAGCGGGGGCAATAGGGTTTTTGGGGTCTCACAGTCCGGCGTCCGCACCCTGTGCATCAGCACTAAGCATGACCCTCAGGACAATAGAGCCCCCCGAATAATACAGAGGGGACATGGGGAAGGCAGGGATCACGCTGACAGGCGCAAACCGGAATACAAGAAAACCAGCCAATGGTGGCGCTTCTTGGACCCAAGGCTTGTTCGCAATGATTCACGGCGCCCATGCGCCAAGTTAACGCCGAAGCATGGGACAAGAGTGCTTCTTTCACGGCCACCGATGCTTGGTGGCGCTCGCTAGCGTCCGTGGAACATTTGATATGTTTCTGTTTTGTATACCTACCCGGGTCAAACCATTGCCGAGTTAATGGTCGCCCCCCGAGCCTAACCAACAATATCTCTAGCGTGTGGTTAGTCCATGCTGGCACCGGCAATCCTGTTGGCTCAGGGTTCCCCTCTCAAGGACATCGTCGGCGATTTTATTGGGTGGCATGCATATGCATACCGCGGAGGACACTCCCTGATCCGGGGCAAGTGTCTGTCAGAATGGCGCTAATCCCCGCGGAGAGGTTTTGGGAAAAAGGAGGAGAAAAAAGAGAAAAAAAAAGAATGCCTGTCACGAGAAGATTGGATGTACAGCTATATAATCTAGCTGGTCTGCCCATGTTGCAGAACTTCCAGGCTCGCTGATCATTTCTCTGTTGTCTCTTTGGCTTCTATTTTGCTCTCCTCCATCATCAACTCGCAACGATGGCGGTTAGTCAGTCAGTCGTTGGCCGTGCCAACGCGGAGAAGGCCCATGGTGTCGTGGGTATGCTGCAGAACCCTTATGTCTTCTTGACTTGTTTGTTCGCTTCCCTGGGTTGTATCATGTACGGTTATGATCAGGGTGTGATGGGTCCCGTTCTTGTCATGGAGAACTTCAAGAACCACTTCCCCTACTTCGACGGATCGACCATCCAGGGTTGGCTTGTGGCTGCTCTCGAGCTCGGTGCCTGGGCTGGTGCTCTGATCAACGGTGTCCTCGCTGACCGTATCTCCCGAAAGTACGCCATGATGGTTGCTGTAGTCATCTTCACTCTCGGTACTGGTCTCCAGGCTGGTGCCCAGTCACCCGCCTACTTCTTTGCCGGTCGTATCATCGGTGGTGTCGGCATTGGTATGTTCAGTATGGTCATTCCGCTCTACCAGGCCGAAATTGCTCCTCCTGAGCTGCGTGGTTCCCTCGTCTCTCTCCAGCAACTATCTATCACTATCGGTACTACCATTGCCTTCTGGCTCGACTATGGTATGCAGTACGTTGGTGGTACTACTTGCAACCCCGAGGGAATTGCCAACCCCTACAATACCGATGGAAGCTACAACTCCGCTGCGAACCACGGCCACACTTGCCTCGGCCAGAAGACCATCTCCTGGCGTCTTCCCTTGGCTCTGCAGATCATCCCTGCCTGGATTTTGTTCTTCGGCATGTTCTACTTCCCCTTCTCTCCTCGTTGGTTGATGATGAAGCACCGCGATGAGGAAGCCCGTGCCTCGCTCTCCAAGCTCCGCCGTCTCCCACCCCACGACCCTCTGTTGCAGGCTGAGTTCCTTGAGATCAAGGCCGCCGTCATGTTCGACGAGGAGACTGAGCGTGAGCTCGTTGGTTCCGGTGGTGCTCTCGCCCCATGGAAGGCTCTGTTCGCCCCCAACATGCTCAAGCGTCTGGTGCTCGGTTGCGGAACCATGATTTGCCAGCAGTTCACTGGTATCAACGCCGTCCTGTACTACGCTCCCCAGATTTTCAGCAGTTTCGGTTTCTCCTCCACCAAGACCACTCTCCTGGCTACTGGTGTCACTGGTATCCTGCAGATCGTCTTCACTCTCCCTGCCGTCGGCTTCCTGGACAAGTTCGGCCGTAAAAGCTTCCTTATTGTCGGTGCCATTGGCATGTTCATCTGTCACATTGTCGTGGCCACTGTCGAAGGTATCTACAAGCCTCAATGGGACCTGAACGAGGGTCTTGCCGTCTCTCAAGGCTGGGTCGCCATAGCTTTCATCTGGCTGTTCGCTGTTAACTTTGCCTACTCTTGGGGTATGTCTAATCTACACCTCTTCCTTGCCTCTGATTTGCTGAGAAAACACTAATCATTTCTGTCCTTATAGGTCCCGTCGCATGGGTGTTGACCCAGGAAATCTTCCCCAACAGTCAGCGTTCCCGCGGTGTCGCCATCGTCGCCTCCACCAACTGGATGTTCAACTTCATCATCGGTCTGACCACCAAGGACATGCTGAACTCCATGAAGTACGGAACTTACATCTTCTTCGCCATTTTCAGTGGTCTGGGTGGTCTGTTCATCTGGCAGTTCGCCCCTGAAACCAAGGACAAGACTCTGGAGGAGCTGGATATCTTCTTTGGCGGCGAGAAGGAGAGCATTGCTGAGGCTGATCGTGCTCGCATGGAGCGCATCTACGAGACCCTTGGCCTGGCTGGTGTTGAGACCGTTGAGGACCTCAAGGGCGAGAAGCAGATTCACTCTGAGCAGGTTGAGGCCCCGGCTTCCCACCACGCTTAAGCTTGATCAGCACTGATACTATGCGATGGAAATGGTGGTGAATGGGTAATGGGATACGATGTTAATTATTTACGTCGTGATGTAATGAGTTTGGATAGCTATAATTATGATGAAATTTTGTCATATTTGAACCACGACCTCTTGTAAAGAGTAAACACGTAAATAAACTGTGGTTATTACGGCTTGACTATCTCTTACACCGTTGCCAGAATTGTTCCCTTTAGATTAGCGTCACTTTTAGCCCGCTAAAGTTTACAATGCTACGTACCGCGACACCAATCGAAACCCCGGGACTCCAAACCAAGCCATTCTTCAATGCGTGATCCACTGATCCCCGCATTTACTCACAGAAGAACTTCCAGTCCATAGCATCGTTTTCTGAAGTAGACTCCGCGCTGGTAGGTCATCGTCGTATTCTTCGCCGAATCGGGCATCAAGGACCGAGGCCGAGCCGCCAACAAAGCACCATAAAACGATCGGAGTTTACGTTCCAAAGCAGATATGACTCGCATTGCCAATTGTGGCTTTCTTGAAATGCGCCGACTAAGCACCTTGAATGTCTTAGGTCAAGCCATACCACCCGGGCCACCGGCTCGTAGTCAGAGTGATGTCTCATGGAAAACCACCCCAGCCTTCAATTCGCGGTTGGGAAGGATATATACGCAATAAGTCTTATCCGTCTATTTTCATGGGGATCCTTAACTCCGAGGTCATCTGTATCGTAATGATGATCGACATAGTGCTCCAGGTTTAGCATGGAGGTTCCCCACATGATGCTTCCGTTGAGACGACCGAAGTCCTGTGGCAGGACCCCGGCCTTAGAACCATGGCTTCTGAGCCTAATAGCGAAGACGAAGCTTTTAAAAGGTTTAAATTGTGAAGAAAAAGTCATTCACTATATGGATCTCCTTTAAAAGCTTATCTTTCATCTTCAGCGCGATATTGCGCCGGGTGCAGAAATACCTGATTCCTCATCCATGGAGCATTTCTATATGCTAGAGTTAACTTCACGCTAAGAAGGGTCTTCTCACCCAATCTCTTAGTTCAATCAATGTGAACCTGACTTTAGTGTCGGCCCCGCATGCCCTCCACATTTTTAAATGCTCTTCTGAGAAGCGGAGGTGGTGATCGTAGTCTTATGCAGATCCAATGGCTCCGAGATCCACTACCACGTACCCCTCGCAGATTCTAAAACACACAACAAGACTAAGTAGACACTAAGTAAGTTCGGAGCATGTTGCCTTTCTTGATATTTTCCTTGTTGCACTGTCGATTCCTATAAGATCGGCTGCTACGCCGCGAGGTTCACTCACATTATAAGCAAGCAAAACAAGTCCAAGTCCAGAACACCGTGATCAAATTTCCACTTCTCAAAATCAAAATGAGATTTCTTCCCTTCTCATTAGTAGCTGGCCTAGCCACTACTGCCTTTGCCGTCCCCCATACCTCTCGAGGTAGCTGTGATTCATCCTCGTTGAACAGCACCTCGTTCGTCTACACAACCACATCGGAAGACACGATTTTCAGCATTGCCAAAAAATTCAACCGTGGTGCCTGCGACATCGCCCGAGCCAACCGAATGATAGACGCGGAACATCTGTTCGCAGGATTTACGCTGCTCATTCCAGGCCAAGTCTGCAATCCAGACAGCAGCACTTGTCTCCTGACCAGACAGAATGCAACTGCAACATGCGTGAAGGGCGGACCACATGACTATAAGACAATTTCCGGAGACACTATCGAGAAGATCGCTTTGTATAAGCTCAACGTCACTGTGGAGACTGTGTTCAGTGAAGCTAGCCAAGCAGGGATTTCGTCGACGACGGAGGAGATACCCGCTGGGACGTTCATCAAGATTCGCCAATGTGTACCCAGCGCGTGTACTGTGACCCCATTCCATTTTACCTATGGTGTTTACAAGGATCTTGCGGAGAAGTTTGGAACTACTGTTGGACAGATCATGTCTTTCAATGGCGCCTATAATTATAGTGATCACTCGGATGCGGAGGCGGCGTGGATTACTGTGCCGATGGGATGTACGAACCTTGCTTTGATTGTTACCGAGGAGATTTAGAACAGCAATGATTTTCAAAGTGAGATTAATAGCAATGTCTATCTCTCTTCTCAAACTCTAATTAAAAATGGCCCACGATCCCCAGCCCGTGTGAAAGAAGCGAAGTCCTAAGCACTGTAGCCCTGCCTAGATTCCACATCTCGACTCATCAAACTCGTGAGTGGCATGTTCTCCTTGAGCAATACTTGTAGGTTCCCTGGATACCAAATGCCCCAGATAAGCATAACCACAAACATCAACGTCGAGTCAAATACATAAAGAGTCCACTCATGCGTCAAAGAATATCCATCGTTGCCCTGCACATATTCGACAACACGGAAAAGACTTCGAATCAAGATCAACAAACTGATAGCGTGGAGCACTCGAAGGTGGCTCTTCCATTTGAACCGCTCATCGAATGACTCAGGAGTCGGACACCGATTCATGCGAACTTGAAACATCACCGAAGTGACAATGAAGAAGCAGAACATGAGAACCTGGATCACTAGACCGGCCACGACGATATTGGAGCCAAGTTTTGCGGTGTTGCCAGACACCATTAAGCCGGATGCTCCGCCTTGCACCATGAACGAGAGGACGTCGCCCATGACAAAGACCTTGGTGAGCCAGTTGATTCGAATGAGGGAATATTTTTCTGCGCGTACGCAGCGGATGATCCGACCCAGAGCCATGTAGACTGATGCGGCAAACAGGGTTGGACCAAGGAGCAAGAACACGCTCTGAATCGAGTAGGGCATAAGTTTGCCAGTTTGGTTGTGTGCGGCCGCTCTAGCAACATATCCAATGATCTCAACTAGAGAGCAGAAAGTTAGCCATAGGAAGTAGAAGATTGCAATGTCGTATGGAATACACACATATGCCGCCAATGACGAACGCAATGCAGAAGCGTGCTTTTGTTTTATGGAGCTTCCATGAATGATAACCCGTTGCAACGATGAAAAGAAGTAGAAAGATGACGGCGGCCGCAAGAGAAGGAATGTATTTCCAGAGATAGTAGCCGCCCTTGTAAGGCTCAAGTACCGCCATGTTTGATGTTCAATTTGTGTTGATGGCACTCAGGGAGGACCTCGAAGAATCTCGTACCTGAGTGTTGAGTGATTACTCCTGTTTTCAAGCGGCCGCTGCCCGCTATTTATGTATTGAGCCACGAGGCAACAGAGTTTTGCCCCATGTAGCTTATATAAAAATAACTATATAAAATCCTTGAACCCCTGTAAACTGTTGCCAACCGAGCCGTATGTTGCTCGTGGAGTGTGTCTATACGCGTATTGAAAGAGTGGGTCCTCTAGATTGAATCTGATCTGGTCCACAGCGCAAGCTTGGTTCCTCAATACGCGGATCTGAAGCTTCGATTATCGTGAGAGCTGGGAGGTAAGTTGGCCAACCAACATGAAAATACCAGCCTGTCTGCTGGACATGAAACTTGATGTTGAGCCAGTTGCAAGGCTTTCGGTGCTATTCTGAACAATTCGAATGTGCAATTCACAGGAAACAACTTAGGATGAGGATATTTCAGACTGCGATATCTGTTTCATACTAGTGAAAGTTGAATTTAGGCCTGCGAGTGTGGCTGTGTTTAGCCCTATACATAGTCTAAAATCCACGCTGATTTTCAGATTGGTGTACTGCTCCCCCAATTCCATTGACCATACAGTAGTTTAACTTGAGATATGAATGGCCGAGTTCATGTTTGCGTGCCAAGAATATCCGAAAGTGGGTCGCCAGCTGGTCTGTGCATACGCGTATAACGAGCCAAGCCCATCGAGCATCGCGGAGCCAGATCTGGTGGATCCCTCATTGAATGGGTCGCAGAAGCTAAACGTGGGAGTTATGTGAAAATAGGCTGCAAAATTTGCGCTCGGACGAGTACATGACTTCTGCCTCACGCCGAATCCCCTGAGGTTGGAGTTATCCGCGTACAGCCGACATGCCACGCAGGACACATAAGAAATCTCGCAATGGCTGCGTTGAATGCAAACGTCGTCATGTGAAGGTATGTAACCCCCCTTTCGACTCCATTCGAATATTGCTGACTCGACTAGTGTGATGAGCGACGACCTGTCTGCTCCAATTGCGTTGCTTCGGAACGACAGTGCCATTTTGTTGGACCTGCTCCTACAGCCTCCTCGGCACGAGCTTCACCCAGCACCAGCCACGAATTTGCTTCTGCGTCTCCCGCTACTAGTTCACCCGCGCAACATGTCCCATCAGCCCCATGTGGCTCCACCCAAGATCCTCCAGTCAATATGCTTCATGTGGAGCTTCTTCACAATGTGTTTGTGGAAAGTTCTAATTGGATCAATGCCGGCGAGATATTGTCTACCACGTCTTTCCCCGATATGCTGAAAGTTGGCCTTGAAGCACCCTACCTACTCAACTTGGTGTTAGCCACGAGTGCTCTGAATCTCAGCATCACTAGGCCGGATCGTCGAGACTTCTATCGAAATCACGCGACACAACTTCAGACTCATGCATTGAAGAACTTTAACAACCTATCACCACACTTCGACCAAGAGACATGCATCCCGATATTTCTTTTTGCTTCAATTCTGGGGCTCCACTTGCTCTGCGATACACTTGTCTTCCGAGAAGGTTCTTTTGAAAGCTTCCTCGACCGTTTCGTGCAGTACCTCCGACTTCACCTTGGAATACGAACAATCCTAGCCGAAGGTCGATGGGAATACCTGCGGGAGACGAAACTCAAGCCACTGTTGACTTTTGGTGAACGGCTCCCAGATATGGATTCTGATTTTGGACCGGTGTGTGGCGCTTTGTATGAGCTTATCCAAGGGTCTGAAAAAGATGAAGCCAGACTAAAAGCTTATCGCCTTACTGTTCAGGCTCTACATGTGGTGATGACGGCACTGGACTCGGAGAATGGAAAACTTGATGCTTTAGTGGCGTGGCCGGTTATGATATCTCCTGAATATGTGGATCTAGTGGCATCGCATCAAGGGGAAGCCTTAGTGATTCTGGCATATTATGGCGCGCTTATTCACCCAAGCCGTGACCTTTGGGTATTTCAAGATGGTGGCCGGTTTTTGATCGAATCAGTCACTCAATTCCTAGGACCTTCCTGGAATGAATGGCTAGAGTGGCCGAGGAAAGCCTTAACCTGATTTAAGAGCGATATTTTAGTAACATAAACTCTCTCTCTCTTTCTCTTTAACTTGACTTCTCTTCGACTTAACTTCTACTCAACTTAAATTCTCTTTAACTTAACTTCTATTCGACTTGACTTATCTTTAACTTGACTTCTCTTTTAACTGAACTTCTATTTACCTTTACTCCTAAATATACTTATTAATTAAGGTAAGGTCTTATTATCTTATAGCGTATCTAAGAGAATTTTTCTTCCTATCTAATTAAGGACTTTTTGATAGGATTCTGTTAATAATATAATAAGAATGCTTAGGTGGATCCCCGAGGTCTCGGCCTGAGCTGAACACTGTCAGCTTGCCCTGACAGTACATATAGCTCTTCGAAGAGCACCATCCCTAATTCAAATATCAATTTCGTAATCTATATCGACGGTAATGCCAAGAGAGAAACCCTGCCAAGAGTCCATCTAGCTTGCATTCCTAGCGCTTACCCCTCACCCTTACCACCTCATCTGCGACCCATCTGCCTCCCCAGCAGTTGCCCACGGAGTTTGCCGAATGAATATTTCGAATACGTGACCATGGAACCGCTTTCGGGCGAAGCAAGCCTTATCGAAGTCATCCAAACAACAGAAGCCATCAGTAAGATACTCCGGAGGTATATCAACATCGGTCGAATCAGAGAAGGACGGTATGATGTTACCAGGCTACAGGACGAGATTTCTGCCCTTTCTCAGCCACTTGAACCGCTTCAAAAGGTCCTTCACGACCGAAGCCCGACACAAACTGGTCCTTCCCAAGGTTTACTTGAGGATATCACCAAATGCGCTGCAACTCTCAGCAGATTACAGGATGAGATCGAGCCAAAAGCAACGCAGTCACTACTAAGCCGATGGGAATTTCAACCCTGGAAATGGCCTTTGGAAGAGAAGGAAGCGGAGAACGTCATTCGCGAAATCAAGAGATATAATTCCTTGTTTTGGCTATCATTAATGTTAAACCAAACGTGGGTGTATGATCGGCCTTTAAACGGAGGAGCTAACTCATAATTCAGGCAATCTCTCAATCTTCTAATCAATCAGAAGATAGATATCAGGTGGTTACACATCGCGAAAGGCGCGGCATTCAACGACCCTGATAATCAACAGATCGAATGCCTCCCAGGAACCCAGGTGGAGCTCCTTGGCAAGATTGACCACTGGGTAAAAACCCCCAACGAGAAATGCTTGTTCTGGTTGAGTGGCTTGGCTGGAACAGGAAAGTCAACTATTGCTCGGACAGTTTCAAGCTCTTTTGAGAGACAGGGGGTCTTGGGGGCAAGCTTCTTCTTCAGAAGCGGCGAACAAGAGCGAGGAAACGCCAAACTACTTTTTCCAACGCTGGCAAGACAACTCGGAGATACCATGCCTCAGCTGACTCCCAACATCCAACATGCAATAAGGAATGATCCAGAGATCTCAGCAAGAGGACTTGAGGAGCAGTTCCAGAAGCTCATCCTAGAGCCACTTAATGAGCTGAACCTGGCCCGCTCAAGGTCAACCATACTGATCGTGATTGATGCACTGGATGAATGCAGCCAAGATGATGATGTCCGGGACATTCTAGAACTTCTACCACGTCTGCAGGAATCATGCTCGGTGCAGTTTCGATTCCTGCTAACAAGCAGGCCAGATCTACCCATGAAGCTAGGGCTTCAAGGTGCCACAGATAATCATCAACATTTGATCATCCACGAGATCCCTCATTCTGTGATGGAGCACGAAATCAGAGTCTACCTGAATCATAAGTTCCTGTGGTTGCAGCAGGAGCGCGACCTCCCAGCAGATTGGCCAGGGGAGAAGACAATCAATACACTAGTTGAGAGAACTGCTCCGTCGTTCCTTTCTACTACTATGCTTGTTCGATTCGTCAGTGACGACAGCGGGAATGCTGCAGAGCGCCTTGAAGCTATTCTAAGTGACCAAACTAATTATGCGACAAATATGGAGGGAACATATACGCTCATATTAAATCAACTTCTCACAAATGAGGATGAAGAAAAACCCCGACAATTGATACACGAGTTTCAGAATACAATCGGCATTCTCATTCTCCTTGCTACTCCGCTGTCGGTGGATTCTTTTGCCAAGCTTCTACAGATGGAAACCGACAAGGTCCAGGAGCAAATCAAACTGTTCTACCCTGTTCTCGATGTTCCTGCTAGATCAGATAAGCCAGTCCAGATTTTACATCTTTCATTCCGGGATTTCCTTCTCGACAAGAAACAAGAAGAATACCCATTCTGGGTAGATGAGAGCTTAGTGCATAAGAAACTCGCCGCACAATGTCTCAAAGTTATGCAAGATCCAAAGTATAGACTACGGAAAAATATCTGCAACTTAGAAAATGAGATCAAGCCAAGGGTCAACATCGATAAAGATACTCTTAGTCACTGCCTGCCATCAGAATTACAGTATGCCTGTCGATACTGGGTACATCATCTGGTACAGAGCCATAACCCAGTCGATGAGCTTGCTGAAGTTATGCCTTTTCTTCAATCTCATTTTCTCCATTGGGTCGAAGCGATGAGCCTTTTGGGATTTCTATCTGAAGTCGTTGGAATGATCCAGAGACTACGGTCATTAACCATAGAGGTACGCAGATGGAGGCTCGGTGCATTAGTCAGTACTAACAAATATAGTCTTACAATGACCAAACACTGTCCAATTTCGTATCTGAAGCGCGGTCTTTCATTATTCGAAATCGCCAGATAGCTGATACCGTGCCCCTTCAGCTTTACTCCATAGGGTTAATATTTGCTCGAGAAGATTCAATGATCAGGAAAACATTCGAAAGTGAGCGCTCAACCTGGAGTTTGGTACCGACAGTCAGGGAAAGGTGGAATGGGCATATCAGCCTGTTTCGCTTAGTCGCCTTCTCACCAGACGGTCAACTATTAGCGTTCAGCAGCGAGGATCACACTGTTAAGCTCTGGGACCACCGTACGGGGGAACTGCGCCAGACGCTCAAGGGCCATACTGATTGGGTTAGCTCGATCGACTTTTCACCAGACAGTCAATTGCTGGCATCTGCTTCCTTCGATGATAGTTTCAAGGTCTGGGACACCCGGACAGGTAAGCTGTGTCATACGTTCTGGGGCGGTGTCGATGAGATCTACTCAGTCACTTTCGTATCTGACGATCAACTATCGGGGTCATCCGAAAATAACACTGTTAAAATTTGGGATCTCTATACAGGCGAGATGCGAGTGGTATGCAGTTGAGCTGTACCAGACACCTGGGAGCATTTCTATTGGGGTTGGGCTGGGATTGTTGTTCGGAAATTGTACTTGAATATAGCAATTTATGTGAAAAGGTCCTGAGCCAGTCATCCATACCCATTGCATCACCCCCAGAGTGGTATTCCAGCGCATATGAGTTCAGTATACTGTATCGTGCAGAGAGTTAAATGGGCCGGATGCAGCTGGCGTACTTTGTCGATCTCTATAAGAATGAAGGTGAAGATGATTAGGATATAAAACACATAGTTTTCTACAGGGGGCAAACCCAAATATGTGTTGCCTATAGACCGACCACATTATAAGCCTTCAAGACGGAAGAAGGCCACCTAGATGGTGCCCCAACCAATGAGGAATGCCACTTTATCGCGAAATACTTTGACTTGTCAGCAATGAAGCAATGCGCGCTATAATGCAACCAGTTACACCGGCAGTAGGCTTTGGAACAACGTTGGGCTCCGAGTTCATGATATCGGTTGGAAACCAGAATCATCAAGATGAGCTGTAGCCGCATTGTTATCCGAAGTCTTTACATTCTCTTCTTAAAACTTATAATATTACTAAGTATTTGAGATTATTACTGCAAGGCCTGAAAATAGCTAGAATATTGACCAGTGATAAGAAATACTCGGTAATTAGCTCCATGAGTGCCCTCGTTAGAGCAGCCTCATCTGAAGAGGGAAAGTCGCGTTAATCCTAGAAAATCAAGTCTGTATGGCAACTACAGGTAACTTTGTCACTTTTGATACTGGAATCAAGGTGCTTAGGTACAAACCTGGCTCATAATAAAGCGTAAGATAAAGCTGTTGCTGGTCTCCTTTCGTCCCATCATATTAGTGTCCGTTGACGGAGGGCGCTACGAGGTGTACAACATAATAGGCCATTTCCGATGCCGTGCTATCGCTTAGCTTGGTACGGTTTCCCTAGTCCTTGGCTATGACACTCCCCATAAGTCCGTAGGTGCGATTCTCCAAGCAACACCAGTATCAATCGAGGCTATTCGAGACCCCTTACCTTGAAACAAAAGATTTCAGTAAGGATACCCAGATTCCCGTACCAAGGCAGGAGAATAAATCATCTTCCGCAGAGGACGGCTCCTCCCCAACATCTGGAAATTAATACGCAGTATCACTCACCGAATATATAACCTACCTTCCTCCTCCCCCCGGGGGAAGTTCTTCGAGTAGAGTTAGAAATGCGATCCGATGTCTCTAATGTTAAGCAAAAATACAAGAGCCAGTTCATGCTTTTCAATTCGAACCCTCAACTACCTCATGGAATCAGCTTTTAGGCCGTCAGTGACGCTTAAATGGCTAGATTTTGACCAGACGTATGCTTCGCACTTCCTAAAGCTAAGGGAGACGACTTAGCTGCCAAGCATTCAGGCGGAGAGTGAGTGGTCGCTAGCAAGCAAACTTAATGCACACAAACCGGGAGATAATCCCACACATCGGATGTATATGGCCATCACCGTCGTATTAGGAGGACTAACAATTAGGTCCTAAACTCACTGCTCAATGGATGGGTCATAATATTTGGCATACATGGAGTACGTCACCGCGTAGTAATTATCGTTTCCTTAATCGTGTATACCCAGGTCACCCGTTGGACCTATTGGTTTTATATCCGGGAGAAAAAGGCCGCATTAAAACAGACACACCCTTTATATGCTTAATTAGAAACTTTGTACATGCGGCTTGAGGACACCCTTCTTGAAGACGAAGAGGCGGACGAAGTCACCAAGCAAATTTACAACATAATACAATCTGAATATCCGCTGGAAGAACCTGATCATAAGCGCCATCGAACTGCTTTGGAATTGAGCCCGGAGCACATCTTACGGCGCAAAAGGGACCCTACGGAAACGGACGAAGAATATCTGGATCGAATGGAACGAGTGAATACCTGGCCGGCATACAGCACCGCTGCCGAAGCAAAATGGATATGGAGGGCCCAGGTGGTAATCCGGGCGATGAAGTTCTTATGTGACTATGCAGGCTGCGACTCGTTCAGACCCAAGGTCTTCTACGAGTATTCGTGGATTTGCCTCAGAGAAGGTCAGGGCGTCAGGGCCTGGGATTTTTATGGTCACCCACCGCCGTTACCGCCGAAGGGACTAACGGATCATGAGAAAGCAGAGTGGTATTATGAGACAGCCGAAAGACATCAAGAAAAGATTCTTGCAGAATGGCACAAAGGCAAAGAGCTTGAAATTCTCTCCGGTCAAATTCGCCTACAAGATCTCCTGTCACAAACCACGATTCAGTGCATCGGATCAGATGAACTAAGTACGGGAGGAGAGGGAAGATGATGATGATGTTTCAGTATGTACATATTTGAGAGGCCACGTAAGGCGAGCGCATGGAGCTTGAAGTTTCAGTGTGGTTAGACCGGCTAAATACTACGACCAAACAATAGAATAGCACATGCAGCAGTGGCCAAAGCAAAATTCCAGCAAAGAGATCATTGTTTGCCCTTGGTCGCTCTTTAGACAAGCAGACTGATCGCGGGCTCTTTCGCCCTCCTTGGACCTGGAGCAACTCTGACTGATTCGTCCGTTGAGATTTACTGCAAATGCCTGAGGTGTGGTTATCTTGGTACTCTACCATCTCCGTGGCCTAGCATCTGGAGCGCAAACAAAGGACCTTGCTCCTCCTGGGGTCTCTGTAACTAAGGATGCGCCCCGTCCACTACGGATATACGGTTGGGATCGGTTAGATTGTGAAGGAAGAAGGGCATACACGGATTTCGACGACACAGAATTATGGCGAAATACATCAACTCATTACATTATACGCAGTTTCAAGTTAAGTCGTGCCCTTCAAGGGAGTGAACAGCTAGATCTTTCCATTGCTTCCAGCCTTATTACTTGGTATCCAGAGAAGGATCATCTTTCCGCAAATAGTTCCTCGTGCAATATATTTCTGCAGTCGTACTTTGCGAACAACGGGAGCGATGAATGCCACAACACACCGCCTTATACATGTACCAGGCTGTGGCTCAACCCAGGTTTGACGGGGTGACTCAAAGTCCTAAGCTCCAAGCGACAGAGGAACTGCAACCAAACAAACTTGTACCTGACATCGATTATCCCTTTCCAGAATGCTGGGGTACAGGATCCTCTGTCCGTGCTGCTCCCCCAACTGGTGCCAGGTATACTCATCACGATCCTCGATGGAAGAAAAAAGGAACAGGAGAGTGCCGGTGTTCAGGAATGGTGGTGTGTGGATTAGCCGAAGTTGAATAAAAGGAATTCTGGATGTACTGTATCCCGTGGAATCCGACGGCGTAGACGTGTAAGTCATCATGCACATAGTGTTTTATAAAACACCTGATCAGCAACTCCATGACGTCGGCTAGTTGTAACGAAACCGGGCCGCGCGCAGTATTCGAGAGTAGAGTGTAGAGTCGGTCTTGGTGTGACGCATTGAACACCGAGAAATAGCCTTTCTTGTCATGTTGAGCTGTCACATTATGCCCTTGCCCACGACACGTCCTTCTACCGCATCCTACTATTCAACATGTGACCAACGTGGCTTGTCCTTGTTAATGAAAAGCACCAAGGGATATCTGGGGAAGGGGTTCCTTGGCCATCAGCCCTATCTTATTCTTGGGGGCGGACACATACAACGATCCGAATCGCAGACCTAACAGGCGTCCGTGGACTCCCTTCAACCACAAGGAACACTGCAAACCGGCAAGGCGATGGCGCGGTTTCAGTACCTCGATATTGAGGCCAGGCGTGCCTTGTGGAATGCAAGGGACAGGAACAGCGACGCCTCCATCATCGCCAGCGGCTTCAGGATCCCGGTGCATACGGCTGTCGTGGGAGCGGCAAGCCGGCATATCGATGCACATTTTCGCCGAAGTTATTAGGCATCAGGGAACTGCGAGTACTATATTCAGTTCGGGGATGTGAACACTGTTTGGAAACTGCTGGAACTTATCTACCTTGGTTCCTACACTACGGAGTCTTGTCCATTCTCAGAACCGTCGGGTCGGTGTCTCCTCTTGACCATGCAGCTAGAGTATCTAACTTCTTCGGTAGGTCCTCTGAACGAACTAGCTTTACATGGTTCTCTCTATATGATGGCAAAGACATGGGAGCTACCTGATGCTCTTCAGAGCGCGATATATTACCGATACAGTGGCTCACTGGAACGAACCCACGATCCGGACGCCTTCCTTGAGTCTGTACACTCAGTATTTAACCCGTCAAAGAGGAGGGAGCTCGCGGGTCAGATATGACAGCCGTTCCACATAGAATACGCAACAGATCCTGACAGTTTAAGAAGAGACAGGATTGTAGAACTCGTGATGGACGAGTTCAACAAGCGGCGAGAAACGTTCCATGGACCTGCATTGAGCAAACTGTGCCAATTGCTTCAAAGTTCCTCTACGTTATTGGTGTTGTTTACGGAACAATGGACGACCCTTATCCACTATCCACCTCAACTTCTCACCTTCGCTTGGACCGATCTCTGCCCCATATTGGGAAAGTCCACTGAGCGAGCATTTTGGATTGTGCTCTTCACAGAGAGTCGTCTTTCTGATATCCGTTCCATCCTCTACCACCCTCTTTCGATCTCTTTCCATCTTCCTCAAATTTACAATCTACCGCAACCAATCACCCAACCATAGCCATGGCAGACGAGGAGACCATCTCGATCAATGGTGTCAAAGTGATCAAACTTCGGGGCAGCTCTAATTATCACTTATGGCTTGCAAGTCTGCAGCGTGCCCTAGAAGTTCCAGATCCAGAATTGTGGCGCCTGATGACTGGACAGGATCCCATGTCTGGAGACGACCCTGCGTTCTTACCATTGACAACTAAAGATTTTTCGCGGCGTTTTGTTGCGAAAAAAACTAGGGATTGATCTCGAGGCCGTCACTGAGCAAAATTTGGCAGACTGCGCTGCTGACTTGAAGTTAGTACGCGATACTATCAACTCGTTTGAATATGAGGCTTGTGACAAATGGGTTGAGAGAGACATCCCTGCCCGTGAACTTCTAAGGTCAACAACCAGCGATTATCTTGAATACGATCTGGATCCGGACGACGATTTTGATTGCGATCAATGCGCGGGTTACTTTCGCCTCTTACAGGCAAGATACGGCCCAACTGGTTACCTGACTATACCCGGGAGATGGAAAAAATGGACAAGTCTGCGGTATACAGGAGCGAACTATGAACAGCGCAAGCAGTTTGTTGCCCGGTTCAAGGCAGCCAAAGTCAGGGTTAACTAGGCGCTTGTCACGCCCATCGACTCTCGACTCGAATTCTCTCAATTTCTCAGCGCAATCTCAGGGCGCGAAGAATGCGAGTCCCTGCCAACATCGCCTCTTAGCCCTCCATCAGGATTTCACAAGGAGAAAGACAACGACGCCATGGAGGGTGTCTACGAGAGATTCATTGGTCGAGCCGAGTCCAGATGAATTGAAATGTGGTTGATGACCGAGCAGAGCACCTGGAGACATCCATCCGGAGCCAAGCAAGTTACCCGATGCTGAGAAAAGCCCCTTGCAATTTTGATTCTTGCAATTTTGGGCCATTATTGGAATTGCACGCTTGGTCCATGTTCCCAACCAGTGTATGGCAATTGCTATGACCTGCCATTGGTCGTGACTATCAAGATCCTGGACATTTTTTCCCTTTCGGGACTAGCCGAGCCTGCTTTCCCAATTAGTACATGCAGTCCTGATATTCTTATCTCTCTTTGTCTTATCCTGCGCATTTCACAGTTTGCTATGACTTCAATGCTATGAGATTGGTCTTTCAATAATTACTGCCCCTGATAAAGCTCTGCGCGAGGTAAGTCGTATGAGTAATGTGAACTAACCCAAGTGACGGCTTTTACTCCGGGGATACAAACAAACGAGACCTTTCATGGTAAGCATCGATAAGAAGTTCACAACAGATAAAAACATACTTCGATAACACTAAATAAAGTCGACGTCGTCATAGTTGAGTCCTTAGACCTGCATATTCTCGCCAAACACGGAAGGACGAATCGAGTTACCACGACCAACCAAAGAAGCTATTCGATGCGCAATCTTGGATCTATGCGAGCTTCCCCGCTTCGAAGATCCCGCTTCAAGTGCCACACGTAACCTTCTGGGCTTCTTGTTTTCAAGTATTGGAAGTACTTAATGAACATCATTCCTTTGGTCCGGGATGCAGTCTTTCTCCTATCTCCCATTAGGCTTTGCCATTTGACGCCACAGAATACAGTCGATGTGGATGGTAAATTAAAGCAGACGTTTTATATCGACTTCGACCTCACCCTCCATCCTACTTTGCCCAATGCGAATCATATAACCAGCCATGGATGTCATCAACAGCCCTGAGAGCGCCTGGAGGATCGGCATGATCCTGGTAGCCGCTACCGCCGTTTACTTGATTCTATATCGGTCATCCCCAAAGTCCTTTCTAAACAGAGTGTCCCTACGCGGTCGACGAGGTTCAACGGCCAAAACCCCACCGCGATCATTCTCCCCTGACAAGAACCAGCCCAGTAGCGCCACCTCCCCTGCGAGCTACAATCATGCCCTACCACCCCAGCGTAGGGAAGCACTCCTAAGTCTACAGGAGAAAGCTATACGCCGGCGTGAAGTCGACGAGACCGAAATGCGCCAAAATATTTTGCCCATGACTGCCGACTATAAGACTAGCCCAGGCAACTTGTACACCCCGACTGGGTTCTCGATAGGCGACATCAAAGCCCTGGGAGATTTCCCCGACTATGCAACACTCAGCGGTGTCCCATTGCCCAGTCCTTATGCGGAACACGATATTGAAAAAGCCAAGCCCAGGCCGTACAGGCCATTTAGATGGTCTTACCATCAAACCATGTGTATGTGAAGTACAAATGCAGAGGTTCCAAAACATCCCCTGATAATCCGTTCAATTTGAATAGCACTGACCAAACTGGAAACCGACTGGTGGATCGAGCTCGAAAGCACCTACAAATCTCGCATCGCCCAGCGCAAAGAGCTGTTTGCCAAAAACGGCAAAGCGGTTCTAGATGCACTTCCAGGCTCAGAATTAGCCTGTAAGGAACTCATGGAAATGGTCCTACAGTTCATCTGCGCAAGGTATCCCCAGCACTTCAAGCTAGTCGACAACCGCATCTTGCATAACCATATTCTTGGCACTGAACAAGATATCCGGGCTAAACCTCCACTCGAAGTGCTTCTCGACAACGTGCCTGAAGACTTTGCACTCATGCTGCGGGATGATCAGACTGGGTACTATTTCCTTCGAGCCGCGGTGATTTGTTCAGCGCTTGGGTGGAATGTTGGTTCGAAGATCGGGAAGCAGTTGCATCAGATCCATGAGCCAATTCCCGATTACAAGGAGAAGATGCAGTTTTCAATGGATCGGTATGTCTATTCATACCCATTAATTCATTTTGATCATCTCAGTGGCTAATATTGTGGACGTGATATGTTAGCTTCTTTACGAAAATGCCAACTGAAAAGCCCATACAGCGTGGTTCGTGGGGTCTTGAAGTTGGCGAGCCTCTGTACATGCCCCCAGGCGACCCCCATGAGGCTCTTCGAAAACTGCAAGATCCCGATTTGCTTTTGAAAGACTGCAATCTGAGGGTAGACTGGCAGACACTCCGGCGTCTCCCCCTGTCGGCTTCCATTGTTTTCAACTTCAAGGCCGTGTTCACTCCCATCACGGAGTTCCGTGATGAACCTGGCGTGCCGGCACTGGTATCCAAAGTCTTGAAGGAAGGAAAGAAGAAATTGATGGATTATAAAGGGGTATTCCACGTTCAACATGTTATCTTGCCCAAGTTGGAAGAGTGGGCGAAGGAGCAAGAGGAGACGGGACTTATTCCGAAGGGCTGGGAGGTTGCTACGCTGGATGACAGTCCGTGGTTTAAAGGGTGGGAGGATAAATGGCATCACCAGCAAGGGTTTTAGATGTCACTATATTTGTTTTTCTTTTTCATGTTTCAGTGTGGATGTTTAGCAATTTATTTCATTGTGCCCATTTCGGCACCCTTGGAGAAGCCACGTCTCGATATTTCACACGCATCTTCTTGCAAATATTGCCAATGGCATGTTTTGAGCAATGAGGACTGTAAGATCATATGTCCCTCAACCTTGCGCGTCTGTCGAGTGATTCCAGCAGCTGTGCTCGTGAAAGGTGGAAATTCGTCGAGGATGTTTCGTCTCTCGAAGGCGTGCATCATCTTGGGATGCATCCATTGGTGGAAGTTGACAGGCTTGGAGTGCCCGTTCGTGATATTTTTCGGCGCACACACTGGCACGGATAACTGTGGCCTTAGCCAGTTTCGGGGGAGGTCGGTGGGAGGGCCGACGATTTGGATAGTAGCTATTCGCCTATTGCCTTCAAACTTCGCCTTCCTCTCGTCTGCTGGAAGTTTCATCATCACTGCGACCCCGATCCGCATCCTCCTCCCCATCATTGCTATCCCGGTCGAGCTCCTCCAGCTCGTCCGCAAGTGGACTTATCCGCTCGTCAAGCATCTCCAGATCCTCCAATTGTTGCCGCGGGGGCAGCTTCCACAAACTCGTACCACACACACGGTCCTTCGTGAGGAGGTCGTCGACGAATTGATCCACGTAAGTCAAGGTATATGCGTCGCGAACACGGCGCTTGATCTTTCGGTAGTCGAGTAGCAATGGCTCCAGGGTTTTGTACACGTCGACCGCGTCGAAAGTGAGGCGCACATAGAAGGCAGCGAGCACTCGAAGGTACTTGAAGTCTCCACGTGTCTGGACAACACCATTATCTGGATTCTCGCCCTCGTCGTCACTGCCGGGGTCGGAGAAATTCAGGTATTCGCGGATGATGTCTCGGCTGGGGTTGAGCTGGAGGAGCTTGAAGGCAAGGCAGAGGAAAGGCGAGGGCTTCTCGGAGACACCGTATGTACCACCGACGAAACTCAATTCAACGGCGCGATCGCACAGAGTTGCTGCGTTCAATCCGAAACATTGCTCCTTCCAGTAGTAGGAGTCTGTAATGCGATCACGAACTGCTTTCTCGAATAGGGTGACCGGGTTAACACCGCGCACCAGAGGGCCGGAGTAGCCTCGGTTATCCAGGAAATTACTGGCATCCGCACGATGAGAGGCCATAGCGAAGGTCGTGTGGAGTCGCAGTCCGTCGCGGTCGTCTTAGCAGGTGAAGTGCTAAAGCGAAGTTGAAAAGCCCAAATGCCAAGACTGTCCAAGCTCGGGCGGTGGGCTTATCGATAGTCGCGCGGCCAACCCCATAAACAAGGCTGATGTCATGAAACACTACAACATCCAAGGATCAAGGCAGGCTAAGAGACATCGAAAAGAGGAGTCATATGGTAGTCTCGTGCATGGTTTGACATTCTAATTCCATCCATCCCTTCCATTCCTTCCATGTCGCCTGCCTTCCCGCGACAATGGTGCTCCTCACATCATCCACGGTCTCCGCCATCGTGTCGATGGGAGTAGTCTGTATCTTTACTCTGTTATTATTTGTTTCGGGCTACGTGTTACAGCAAAACTCGGTGAAGAATATCCAACATGCACTACGCAAGCCACCAGAAGGCCCTCCCATTGTAGGGCGGAGTTCGCCTGGATCGGCATTCCAAAGGCCTGCCCACAAACGCGGTCTGTCAGACTCGGATCTGGGGTTAGCGGGCGATCAAGAAGTCCTTCATGGGAGTGGGGATCGTCCCTCAGCCTCAAAGGGAAACTATGCATATCTCCAGCTATTGTCAAGGCCTGACCCCTCCGATATCTGTTCCGCCGTTCTTTTCTTCAAACAACTCGCCACCAATGGCTCCGTCATACCAGATCGCCTGTTTATGTATCCCGAGGAGTGGGATCGCATGTCTGCAAAGAGGCTTGGAAAGGCGGGTTCACTAGCCTTGTCCATCTTACGCGCTGCCAGTATCAAGTATGGTATCTGGCTGCTACCGATCGATATCAGCGGCGCCGTACATGCCGGATACACAATGTCTGACACGAAACTGCTGCGTCTGGGACAAATCCAGTTCATGCAGTATGACAGCGTGCTGTACCTGCAATCCCCAGGTTTGATTCTCGACACAGAAAAGCTGGACCAGGTCCTCTTGTCACGGCCGCTTCCACTCTTACACGACTGGAATCGCCAAGAGTCCTATGACAACGAGGCATGGACTCCAATGTCTTTCCGTCCAGATCGTGACGAGAACCTGCCACCTGTCTATTTGATCACGGTCAACAATGTCGATGGTGGACGAGTCCAGACCCGTACCCATGTGCCTAATCCTGATCTCACTGGATTTGGAAACCTTGTGACTGGGCCTGCAGACTTTGATGCGACCGGCGAGCTGCCAGGCTATGTATATTTTGAGAATGACCGTGACGGCCAGGTCAAATGGGCTGGAAACCCGCTATTCGGAGCCTGGCGATCACAGCAACATGAAGTCTGCGAAGGAATTGACTTTGACGAAGATCCATTATGAGCTATGATTTCTTGGGACTACTTGGGCTTAGGACAATACTTGGATTTGCTTGTATATACGCGGAACCGGTCTGGATTATGGCGTTGGGTCTATGCATTATCATCTGAGATATCATCTAGGGTTGAGGTATACGTTTTCATGCACATTGGTTGTTTCAATTGAATCTTTTTGTTTGATAGTTGGCTGTGGAGCCGACCCAAGACAGAAGTAGTTTATTATTCAGGTTCTCCAAAATCGTACAAGTCGTAGACGATACCGAGGTTATATATTGGTAGCATCAAAAGGTTGAGCTAGCCCAGGTCATTGAGGAACACTGATCTCATAGCCAAGGAGAACCTCGGTGCTATTACCCTCCCAGCCACGATTTCCACTGGTGGATATCATGTAGCGACAGGCGTTGTCCACATAAAGCTGGGAGATGGTTCCGGTGCGGTGGCCCGGTATAATGAGGAATGGCACGGTCGAGTGTCGAGAGGATTGTTCGTGCTTCAAGTCGTATAGACGCAGAATGTCATGGGATGCACTAAAAAGAATTAGACTGGTGACTGCGGGGGTATATAAACAAAACTTACCAGACGAGATGGCGCCCATTAGGCATCGCCTTGAGGGCTGTGACGGGGCCACTTCCTTGTGGAAACTTGAATGTGCGTTCAGACTCCCTGAGGCCTTTGTGGAGACTGTATTCCTCCACCGTGCCGTTTCTTCGCCCGGCGTATATATAGTTGCCATCTGGGGACCAGCAAGCATTCATACACCATGGTGGAACGTTGCGAGGGGTAATTCGAGCAACGGGGTCAGGTTGTCGTCGGTCCCACACTCGAATTGTACCGTCCATCGATGCAGCCAAGAATGTGGTATCGGACCCTGACGTCTGCCCTGTCTGCATAGCCTGCGAGAACTCAAAGGCAGATGAATGTGTCTCTACGTCTTCGGCCCTTGGCAGACCGTTGACGGCCGGCTCAGACGCGGCGGGTGGAACACCAGCACTCGCCACGTCTTGGGTCACCATAGACGCATCGGGGTTAGCGTTTGTATCCGTTGGAGCGGCCTGCGGTTGTGACGTGGAATCGGCTGCGGGCATATTGGTATCCATGTCGCCAGCGCCAGAATCTGCAAGAACACCGTTCGCAACAGCACGGCCAAACTCGTCATCTTCGTCGACCCCAAACACACCTCCAGACGGCTCGTTGCCGTCCGCTGCCCCTCCGTCTGCATCTCCGAAGAGGGAATCTGCCCCTCCAAACAAGGAATCTGTCGGGGAACCCGCCTGCGGGTTCTCAGGGGCGCCTGCATCCCCAGCATCTTGAGTGGTGTCCATTGCATTGAAGTTGTCCGTACCACTCGCTTCATAATTCGACGAGTAGGTACCATTTGGTTGCGAGAAATCAATCGTATCTGAGGGAACCGCGAGTGTGGATTCTGGCCGAATTTGTACAGTTGAGATTTGACCGGCACTACCGCCAAAGGCGCGTCGAGCCTGCCCGGTATTCAGGTCCCAATCGAAGACCCGCTTATCCCAGCTCCCCGACAACAGCGATTGCTCATCGGAGGTCAGACTCAATGATGAGACGGCCGATGTATGTTGTCGTAGAAGTGCTATATCTTTGCCTTCGTCGTGGCGGAGGGTCTGCAATCGGATGGTTCCTGACTCCAGGCCTGCAAGGAGCCATAGGCCTTCGCTTTGACACGCTAGCGAGTAGACCGGCGACACATTGTTCCCATCCATATTTTCCCAGTATGTCATGTAGACTCCAGCTTTCACCACGCTGTCCACGAAGGGATGGCGTTGCGCCACTGTCAACATGAGCTTACTGTTGATTGAGTCTGCCCAATTGAACTTGCGCACATATCCATCGGAGCCTCCACTAAAGACCCAGCGCATATCTGCCGTCGCGGTGACGGCGTTAATGGACGTACTATGGGGCGCGGCCGTGGTAGGGACGATGTCGTAGGTTTTGGCCGTCAGGCACTCGGGGCGAACGCTTGGGTGGTATACGGAGAATGACTCCAGCGTGGAGTTTCCTGCATTTCCGGGGAGGTCATGTTGGTCGTGCCTTGGTTCTGCTGAGACGCCATGCCCCCTCCATCTGACGCCTGGCTCGCATTTGAAGGGCTGTCGGGTTCTTGATCTTGATCCTGGTCCGGATCCTGGTCGGCATCGCCATCGGGTTCGTTGTCACCATCCCCATCGTCTATATCGCGCATAGCATCGTCTATCTCATTATCGGAGCTGCCATCCTGGGAGCCTAAACAAAAAAGGCGCATTAGCGGATGTTGCGCGTGGTTTGTAGTGTCCGCAGTGGAAGGTGCAACCTACCTGCCAGGTCGCGATCTTCATCCTCCTCAAGCGACGCCATGACTGTAGAAATGCCTGGGCCAATGCAGCAGCCCGCTTTTGTTACCAGTCAATTCTCTGAATAGCGATCGCTGGAAACAGTCCACCGCCCTCTTGAGGACCTATCTAGGCAGGCGGGCGGCTCGTGGATTCTGGGGTAAAATGGCGCGATCGAAGGGGTTGATATTCTGCCCAAACCTCCTGTAATGCGGGTTTGAGTCCCAGTCCTAGATTACTACCGATATAGACCAGGTAGCAAGCTAGTCAATGGCTAGTCAATGGCTAGAAGCTCGACACAGCCAGGGCGTAGTGCGGAGGGGAGAGTGTGAGGGCCCTGGGAAGCGGAAAGGCGTTCGGAGACAATTCCAACGAGCGGCGGACAGACCGTGAGCCAATCAGCGCCTGAGTTCATAGTTCCAGAAGCGCCGCTTTCAACTTTCTTAAAAAAATTCATCAAAAATATACATTATAAGCCTGTATAATGGCCGTTGGATATTGCTAGCAATGGACGTACTCTAGAACTTATTTGAGTTTCAATTTTGTGGGGTTTTCATATGCAAAGGCTCTAGGCAGTGAATTTCTACTATCTTGACTGCTTCCCACTCAATTAATCCACGATACCATTGATGCATAGGAAACAAATGCAGTCCCTCTGGGCTAGACTATGTTTTAAATGGTACCTTCCATGTACAATGTATTACAATCCAGTAGCGGCAGTTTTCATGCCGCTTCAAAGTCTGCCAGTACCCGGTTGCCCGTTTCCTTTCTTCCAGCCACGCAAACCTCTTCATATTTTGCATCTCTTTCCCTACCTAGCCATCTCAACATCAGTTTCAGTCAACTAGAACTATCCGTTTTATATCAAGTTTAGGTATTATGAGTGGGCCTCACCGACCTCGTGGGCGAGGAGGTCCTTCATTGCCATCGGCCAATATGGATATTCGCGAGTACTTCAATCAGGGACTAGGAAACACAGGCTGGCAGATGAAACCCGAACTCCCGACAGTCAATGAGATTATGGGAACCGATCACCCAGGAGAGGAATTCAACCTGACCACAAATCAAATCCATGATCCATGGTTGTCTACCGAACAGTATCTCGAAACCCATCACAACCTACTTCGTGAGGATGGCGTCGGTAATCTACGTGATGCGGTTGCTGCATTTCGTGAGCGTCCTGGAGCATTTGACAACAAGATTTTTGTTGTATATGAGCGGGTAAGCTGTATTATTACAATCAGTAAATAGTTCAGGTTGGCTAACGATGGTTGCGGGGGAATAGGTCTTCTTTACTCGCGTCACCATGGCACATCGGGGAATGGCCTTTCGAGTTTGCTTCTCCACTAGGCGTGCGGGCAGAAAGATCATTTGGAAATATTCTTCTCGTCTTCTTACTGGAAAAATTGTTGCCTTGACGCCGGCAAATGACTTATTTTCGAGCAAATATGTGGTTGCAGTTGTGGCAGCGAGGCCACTCGAAGGTGTCTCCAAAGCCCCTCCTGAGGTCGATCTATTCTTTGCTCATCCGGAGGATATGGATTTTGATCCTCTCAAGCAATGGGTCATGATTGAAGCATGCTCAGGATACTACGAAGCACACAGACATACCATGACTGCGCTTCAAAAGCTGTCGAGTGAACGGTTAGTAAAAACATCCCCTCAATGGACTACAAATCTAATCGGTAGTAGATTCCCTCTGAGCAACCATATTTGTGGCTTGGATACACAGATCGATGTACCAGAGTACATTACGTCGAAACCGAAGATGGACTTCCGAGCCTTTGCGCCGGTAGCGATTGACTCTCGACAAGAATTGCTCTTCGATGTCATCGAGCAGTTGGAATCTGCTCCCTTGAAGCATCTGAATAGATACCAGCAAGATGCGATGAGGCACATGCTGGCAAACAAGGTGGCAATTGTACAAGGACCTCCAGGGACAGGCAAAACATTCGTCTCTGTCACCTTTCTCCGACTCCTTATAGCGCAAGTGCGCCGTGGAGATCCTCCTATCATCGTCGCCACACATACCAACTGCCTTGGATCAGCTTCTCACTCACGTTGCCGACTTTGAGCCAAATTACATCCGCCTCGGAGGCAGAAGCAACAATCTCAGGGTTGCTGCTCGAACTCTTTTTTCCATGAAAGAGAATAAACCCATGCCAAATTTACAAAATGCACTCCTGTCGAAGGCTCGGCAAAATCACACAGCACTCGTGACCGACATTATTCAGAACACGCTCGAGGGGTTCTATCGACAGAGTGCGGATAGAAGCGGGATGGCTTTTGTTCTTCATGGTCTCCTGACCGAAGAGCAGCTCAATAACCTCGAAGTCGGCAGCAACCAATGGATGTCTTACAACAATGCGGAAAGCTCCCCCGATCCTTTCACAGCCTGGCTGGGGAGACAAGCTCAGGAATTCAAAGACCTTTACTCTGAGGAACAGTACAGTGCTAAGATTTATGACTGTGATCAAGATTATGAGATGCTCATGGAAATCGAAGCGGAGCAAGCGCCGGATGCTGATGAATGGGAGTCCCTGAAGGGCAGATTTGTGGAGTTCCACGACGCCTTTCCATTCTTTGTTCGTGGAACCAGAACTCTTCCTCCTCAAACCATGGAGAGATACCTCAGTTTTCGTGACTTGTGGGAGATCCCATACGACCACCGAGGTGCTGTTTACAAGGAGTTGCATAACAGACTCGTCAGGATTGTCCGCGCGGGCCTTCAGAAGAAACTCAAGATCTACATGCTTGTAAGCAAGACTCTCCAGATCGGGAAATTTGAGTACGACTACGAGATCCTGAAGACCGCCAAGGTGATTAGAATGACAACTACTGGGCTAAGCAAATATCGCGGCTTGGTCTCTGCCTTGAAGCCTCGCATTGTCATAATTGAAGAGGCTGCAGAGGTGTTCGAGGCACCTGTTGCTGTTGCTTGCTTTGAGTCTCTCCAACATCTGATTCTTGTGGGTGACCACAAGCAGCTCAAAGGCCACTGTGCTGTGCATGATCTGGCAGGCGAGCCTTACTTTCTGGATGTGTCGATGTTCCAGCGTCTCGTTCAGAATGACTTTCCATTTGTGATGTTGAAGGAACAGCGACGTAGGGCTCCAGAAATACGGCGACTTTTGGCCCCGATATATGACGACCTTCGGGACCATAGCTCAGTTTCGAAGCATGAGCCTGTTCCAGGAATGGGAGATGTCCGATCGTTCTTCGTCACTCACAATTGGCCCGAAGTTGACGATAGCCTTACGTCGAAGGTCAATGAGATCGAGGCTCTCTTGGTTTACGAACTCTACTGCTATTTGTGTGCCAATGGAGTTCCAAGCCAGAAAATTACCATCCTGACCTTTTACAATGGGCAGCGGAAGAAAATTCGAAAGATGTTGATGGACAATGAGATCACCAAATTTCAAGATCCTACAGTGGTCACGGTCGACTCTTATCAAGGAGAGGAAAATGACATCGTCATTCTCTCGCTTGTTCGCAGCAAAGAAATACCAGCAACCAGCATTGGCTTTCTTGCCGTCGATAACGGGGTATGTGTTGCTCTTTCTCGGGCAAGACGCGGGCTTTATATCTTCGGTAAAGCGCGGCATCTGGTCGCTGCGAGCGAGCTGTGGCGACCAATCCTTACCATCATGAAGGCAGGTTCTGGGGGAAACCCCCCAATTGGATATGGAATTCCTGTGACTTGTCAACACGGCACGATCACGATCATGAGAAGTGAGTTTATTCCTCTCTCTTTGCGTCTCTGACGCCTCCCCACACCCACCACCGACACCTACCCCCAAAATATGCTTATTCAAGTCTCTAACAAACTTCTCTTACAACCATTAGATATCGGTGATTAGAAAAACAATGGAGGCTGCGAGAGGATTTGTGGAACGATTCTGGATTGTAGACACGAATGCCCACTCAGGTGTCACCGGTAAGTTTCCTCTCCGTCATTATCGGTCGCTTGCAAGATCACTGAAAGCTTTTAAATTCAGATTTCCTCATTCCAACGTCAAATGCACTCGAAAATGCGAGCACAAGCAACCGTGCTGCGATAGACAGTGCTCCGGGTATGAATGCTGGCAAGACCATGTCCACTCGTGTGCCTGCATCCCGATCCCGACTCGCCCAACTGCACCAGCTCGGCCAAAGTTCCTCAGTCCGCCCATTCCACCGGATTCTCGTGCATCAACTGACGAGACAGACGTGGGGCTTTTGATTAACTTTTCGGACACCGATGCCAGCCTGACTGAGAAGAAGACGACCACAGCTGTAAACAACAGCTCTTTGGATGATGCCCCGAAACAGCGACACCCACCCCAAACCTTTTTGAATCTTTGGTTGCGAACATGAATCCAGCGCACAAGGACCAAGAGCACAGAGAATCCAAGAACAGATGGCTAGACTTCGCGTATGGAGGTGCTCGTGCGAGTGATCGGGCGCGGACTTCGCCGCCTAAGGAGACTGACTTGATGGATACCGTTGAAGACGAAATGGAAGCGAGCAAAGTGCTAACTCTCAACCCCAAGACTAAGAAGGGCCCTGAGCCTCAGGAGAAGACTGTATCAAAGCATGGGCCCCCCGAGACTGTTCTTACAAGACACCTGTTGGATTGAGCCACGATCATGTGCAAGTTTCATGTTCAGAGGCCACAGAGGAAGGGAATGTCAGCGTTTCTCTTCATGGGTCCTCTGGTGGTTTCAGTTGAGGCAAGGAACGGGATCTAGTGGCTGTTACTTTGTTCTAAGCTAGAGTTAGGGGGTGGTTAATCAAATTGCCGAAGAACTTTTGTGGAGCGTTGATAGTGAGCAAGTTTGTCGTCAAATAATATATAAAAAAAAAATGGTGCTTGAGTCTGTGCATTTTGCTGTCGTAAGATATGTTCTTATCAAGTCATAGTATGTACAAACTGGTAAGATACAGGGGTGTCATCAAAATTAAATCATCGTCATGTACTGCTCCAAACTTTGTCCGAGAACATTAATAAACGGCCACTGGGTATTCCTCTTGAACAACCGTGCCCACAACCTGAGAACAGCCATTCCCAATGCAGCAGGCTCGAGATTTGGCGGAGCTTCTGACTCGTCGTCCAGGTCGATTGAAGAGTACGCTTCTTCAACGATGCACTGCGTCCAGCGTAGAATTCGGCTCTCATTTTCTGCAAAATCTAAAATGAGTATTTCCATAGGACCTATCCGAAAGGAAACTCACCACTCAAAGCTTGATCGGGTGCCGCCTCTGCAAGCGTGAAAAGCCACTTGCTAAGCAACACAGCACATTCGAGACTCGCCAATGAGTGCCTTACACTCCAGAAGAAAGCTTGACTTCGGGCAATATGATCAATACCGAGGCGGACGGGAATACTCAGTGCGTGGGCAGAGTAGATGAGAGCTGGGATGAGACGGTAGCTTCTCTCCGGTTTGGGAGAGCGACATAGGGCAGATGCTATAGTTGCCGGTTCACGAGTCTCGAGACGGCGGTATGGTCCAAGATTCAATGATAGGCGTACGTAAGCGAGTCCCAAGAGAGCGCTTGAGGTGAAAGGAATTGGTCCATTAGCATTGTGAGGATCGAGACTTGATTCTGGGGCTTGTTGCCAGACAGAAGTCCAAGATCGCAGAGCTCGCCTGTTGATTTGGTTAGATTATGTGACCAATGTTTGTGGGGGAAGTTCATGCGATGTGGTTGTAGGCATACTCTATTTTGTTCAACTCTTCCGTCGGAAGGCTAGTTGAGTGATTTCCATTCGGCAACGAGAGCTCGCTGACAATATGAATTCGCTGCAGCAGACCATGGAGAAGCATGTAGTTGCCCAAAGGCGCTGGAATTGGTTCCAATGGTACTGTTGACCGTGATTTCTGGAGTAAAAGGGTCAATGCATCCTGGAAAAATAATTGTTGAGGTCCTCTGTCTCGTTGGGCGGCTTCCCACTCGACGGCATTGTTCGCTGTCCATTCCTTCGTTGAGCAAGGTAAACGCATGTGGATCTCGCTGCTCCGAAGTGATGGATAAACATTATAAGCAACACTGTGAATATGAATGAAGCAGAAGGAGATGAGCTTTGTCCGTCGCACAGACTCCTGATCAGCCCATTCATACCAGTCTTGTGATGTGGCACGGGGGTCGGTATATGGCTCGGTTAAGCCAGCGTCGCGAATGTGTTGAACGAGTTGAGACTGAATTTGGAAGGCCTCTTGAACGAGTCCGGCTCGCTCCCAGGTCGCATAACTCATCAGTACAAGGAGACATCGAATCACTTCCATCTGCCTTGATGTACTGATCGCTGCTCCAGTTGCGCCTTGGCCTTCCACAGAATATTGAGAAACAGCAAGAGGTGCCGAGTATCCACCCATACGAGAGTCCCGAGACATTCTCTCGTAAAGGACGGCTTTTGACACGTGAAACAACCTTTCAGCGTTTCGATGCTCGAATCGATATTGAGCGCCGATGGTCATTATAGCCAGAATAAGTTCAGCAGAGCACTCATTGAAGCGGAAGGTCGGGACATGTATGAATGGAATATGCGGGTGAAAGCCTTCGAAGTAGGAAGTGAGGTACCGAGTTAATGTATGACGAGATGGAAGGGTAAAGTCAGGGATGACATTGCGAAAATCTTCCAGCGCTGCAGCAAGTCGGAAGCGTTGGTCTTCCGAGACATTAAACCTAGACGACTTGGATGAGGCTTGCGGCGGTTCTAGGTGGGTGTCAGCCTCTTGAAGTATGCCAAAAATTTCTGGAAAAGCACTGAGGTGCAAGTGACATACCCGAGTCAGAGAGAGCGCCCAGGCTCTGATCACCTCTTGGGACTGATGGCAGCCACGAGCGGAAAGGAGAGTCTCCTCGCGACTCTTCTCTCAGACTACGTCTAGGTCTTGACTGCTCTTGTGATGACTGAGCAGGCTTCTGCACATCCTCGAGGCCGAGATCTGGTTGCATTTGATTCGCTTCTCCATCACTTGGAAGCCACTCTGCTGGCAATCCAATTGAGTCCAAGAAATGGGTGAATTCTTGGAAGTGGTTGAGATCCTCCGGAAGATAGGGTATGGCTGAGTTCGTCAATTAGGGTGAACTCTAGAGATCATACATTTGCGTACTTACAAGTAGCTTGATAGTCGCCCGGAATAAGCAATTGGGCAGCTTGAAGCATAGCGGGATCGTGCATCGCCGGATGCTCCCCGGGGACTGGGTTAGTATTAGGAGCTCCTATCGCCATGATACTACCAGTCTGATTCTGGGGTATATACGAAACAGATTCAGTTTGGGCGCCAGACCACTGATGCACAGGCGATGGCCCCGGCATCGAGCCTACTGGCCGGCCGGCTGCATCATACTGTGGTGGGATGGCTGCAGCTGCAGGTGCCGTGCGCGGGGGTGCTTGGAGAGCCGGCTTCACCATCGACCCCGACTGCGAATCTGGTGATTCCAGACCATCCTGGTGGGAAATTCGAGTATGACGCTTCAATAGATCGCGTCTAGTAAACGCTGCCCCACAGAAGCAGATGAATGGCTTCTCCTTGGTGTCTAGCGAATTTGATCAGTCGTCTTTTCTCACGCCATGACTCCAACCCCAATGGCGGGCTTACGGGTTCGAACATGGCGCTCCAAATGCTCTGTACGACGAAAGGCTCGGCCGCAATGGACACAGATGCGCGCCTTTGCGCCGCGGCCTGCTTTCTGGGGCGATGGGGATGGCATCAGTGACTCCGAGTCCCTTTGGAGAAATGGAGGGGAAAAGTGGACATTTGGGGAGGAGTTGGAAGAGGAGCAGCTTCGGAGAGCGGGTGGTTACTCCAACGGCCAAGCGGTGACTCCAATTGCCCCACTTTATGCTTATCGGCTACACAGTTGCCCACTCCACAGTTCCATCGGAGAGGATATAGGGTATCTGGTACCTGGTTGATTAGAAGGCGACAAAGTCATAGTTCTGAGATTGGATCGTGCTATTGCATCAAGTTGAGCCCTTCATGTCTGCCACACTGACCAAAACGCTCTTCCCTGGTGTGGCCGTGGTGACTGGTGCTGGCGGAACTGGTCGGTTCATCCAAATGTGGAGCAACGATGATCAGTACGATTTTACTAACGATTTTCGTGCTATACAGGAATCGGTGCTGCCGTGGCAAAGGCTTTTGCGGCCGCAGGATGCGAACGCATAGCTATCACAGATTTGAATGAAACCACTCTGGAGCAGACCAAAAACGCAGTTGCCGCCGCTCATCCTCACACCCAGCTACTAGTTCACTCTGGGAACGTGGCAGATGATCAATTCGCTGATTTATTTATGAATAAAGTAGTCCAATACTTTGGTCGCGTCGACTATGCTGTGAATTGCGCCGGTGTACTCGGGCAGCCTCTACGGTCAGTGGAAACTAGTCTCGAGGAGTTTGACCGGTTGAACAGCATCAATTATCGAGGATGTTGGCTCTCATCCCGAGCACAGCTGAGACAGATGGTCAAACAAGATGCACTGTCTAGTCATGATCCTAGTCGGCCTCCCCAGCGAGGTGCTATAGTAAATGTTGCCAGTCAGCTAGGGCTTGTCGGCCGACCGAATGCGCGTAAGTACCATGCCCAATATCTGATTCGATGACTACAGATCTCAATTACTCACAAATCCTTGGTCTAGCCGCATATTGTGCTTCAAAATCAGCAGTGATTGGCATGACCCGAGCGGACGCCATTGACTACTCCAAAGATGACATCAGGGTAAACTGCGTATGCCCTGGTGTCATCGAGACCCCAATGATCATGGAGAAGGCGGAACTTCGAGAAGCTATCACGCCTGCGGCGGAGACAACTCCAATGAAGAGGATGGGGAAGCCGGCGGAGATTGCTGATGCAGTCTTGTTTCTTTGTTCAACTCAAGCGTCATTCGTCCAAGGCCATGCGATGGTTGTTGATGGTGGGTATATCACGGTATAAATAATTGGGGAAAATAGCTTCAGACTGGTGATCCAAGAAAATGCTGCAAATTCAACAATTTACCAACGAAGTGGTTGCAAGGACTCTGTATAGAATCAATTCTGGGAGGAAAACCGAGACCATATTCAAGATCTCGAGACAGGATGCCTCGTTCTATCTCTACCTGTTCTAACTAATTCTCATTTGTAGAAAAAAGCATTTTCTTCCAATCGAAGTTGCTCTCCCATGCATGGGCAACTCGCAGAATCTTCTCTTCTTGCCACAAGCCGCCCACGACCTGCATACCGACTGGAAGCATGATATCTGCGTCCCCCGGCGCTGAAGCAAATCCAATGGGAATAGATATAGCTGGGTGACCAGTCACGTTGAAGATAGCAGTGTTGATAGTCAACCCCATGCTAGGCTTCAGCGACTCCAAGGGAAGACCCCGTTTCCCGTTCTTGGGAGCGACGACTGGAGTGGTGGGCATCACCAGCACATCATATTTTTCAAACAGTGCCTGATATTTATCACTCAGTTGTCGTCCAATATTGGTAGTCTTCCCGTATAGACCCGGGAAGCGAGACATCAGGTAAAGCCCGTTGATAATAACGTTCTTTGTCGACGGGAAGGCGCGTTGGAATCCATCGTCGGTCCATGGCAGTCTCGCATGTTCCATTTCAGTCGTGTGAAGACCTCTTCGTCCGGTATTCTGTCCCAGGAGCGTTTGCGAGCCAGCAATTCTTTGCTGGATGGTCCAGACCGCTGGGCCATGCAGATGATCTGGGAGGGATACCTCCTCTATCGTGGCGCCAAGACCTTGAAACCTTTTGACTGCCGTCAAAACCGAATGCCTGACACTTGAGCTGACAGCGCTATGCCCGAATCCTTCTTTCAAGATGCCAATCCGCACACCTTCCAGTCGCTTAGAGCCTTGGCTCAGATTTGCAGCAAAGGTAGTCGAACCTGGCTTAGCACTCCCCAAAGAGCGATCATCGATACCGTCATATCCACTGATCACATCAAGACAAATTGCCGCTTCGAGTACACTCCTGCTCAACGGCCCTGCATGGTCGTTCACAGCATCGCCACTGCTGATGCCCGTGAATGGAACTCGGCCGTAGGTTGGCTTGAGACCAACGCCTGAAAGATATCAGATAAAGCAGACTCATAGCAGAAGAGCTAGGAATGAACTTACAGCCACAGAAAGATGCCGGAACCCGAATACTTCCACCCTGATCACCTCCAATCGTGATGTCTACCAACCCCGCCGCAACAAGAGCTGCACCTCCCGAAGTACTTCCACCCGCGGAGTAACCAGTGGCATGGGGATTTTCAACTGTACCATGCGCACTGGTAAATGAGGATGTCGAATGACAATAATTTTCGCAAGTCGAGGTCCCATGAATGTCAGCACCAGCATCTAGAAGACGTGTCACCACCGTTGCATCGGTAGTTGGCGTCCACGATGGAATGATGTCGCTTCCCATTAGCTGCGGCACACCTGCTACAGCGATCACATCTTTGAGACTGACAGACTTTCCTGCAAGGACGCCGCCTTCTTCGTTTCCTCTGATAAGGAACTTGTGTGCCCAAGCTTGTCCAAGGACCTGCTCCTCTTTGCTTGGTCTCCGCACGTTCTCTCGGGGATACTTTGTTTGGTCGGGGCTGGGTTGATAGTCTGGAAGAGCAGCCACGCCTTCTGCACAGTCATGAACGGCTGCTAGAAGGGTGTGAAAATCGCTTGATTCGGAAGGATCTATCGTTAGCCCAAGGGGCTCAAGGAGGGCCTCCGCATCTCCTGGCTTCACTGGGTTGTCCCTACCGATCGATTTATTAGTAAATTGCCATATTGGGAGATCTTGCGGAGGTGATATATTTACTCGGAAATACTAGTGAAAAGGACCGACATGATGTATTATTTCAGCGTGATGAACTAACAGACGCAGATTTTGAAGAGTTTATGAGGTACCAGGGGCTTTGTTTAAAGATTTCTAATCCATCGGCACTCGCCGAGACGATCTCCAAAGAGAGGAGACCATCGGCAAATGGAGAGGCCCGTTCAAATTAACCTCAGGCGCGAGGCTCCATCGCAGACAAGACCAATTGACTTGACCCCAAAACGTCTCCAATCTCGTAGACCCACAAGAGGTCTTGCAATTCTCAAGGCAGAATGATATGGCTCAATATCGGAGATTGAGGGAAAGAAACACGAATTCCATGATTTCGGTTACAAGTTTCATGGGACAATCGAATCTATAGTGTGCGACCGATGATCATTTAGGTGGCTGGTTTGACGACTCCGACTTCTCCGAAGGAGGGGCTTATCAAGTTGTCCTATCGCTGGCTATCGCTTTATCTCCTTCCCCGCATGTGTTGATTCCGTACAAAATGGAGCAAAGGTCAGCTTTCCAACGTTCAAATATTACAATTGCTCAAAACCAACAGAATCATGGCCCCCAAGCGAGTTCTCATCACATACGGAGTCGACGTTGACGCGGTAGCTGGATGGCTTGGTTCCTATGGAGGCGAAGACTCGACAAATGATATTAGCCGAGGTACGTCGTGTTCCCTACTTGTATTGGCAGTTAACTAATCTTGAGATAGGTTACTGGGCAGGTACAGTTGGGACACGACGACTGCTGAAGCTATTCGACAAGTATGATATCAAGACAACTTGGTTCATTCCCGGTCACTCGCTGGAGACCTTTCCCGAGGACATGGCTGCTGTCCGAGATGCAGGGCACGAGATTGGTCTTCATGGCTACTCGCACGAGAACCCAACGGACATGACCATTGAGCAGCAGCGTGATGTTCTAGACAAGACCTATCGTATGCTGACCGAGTTCGCTGGCAAACCACCCCGTGGCAGCGTCGCCCCATGGTGGGAAACCAGCCAAGAAGGCGCCCAACTACTCCTGGACTACGGCATTGAATATGATCACAGCATGAGCCATGAGGATTGTCAGGCATATTATCTCCGGACGGGTGATAGCTGGACCAAGATTGACTACAGCCAGAAAGCCGAGACCTGGATGAAGCCCCTTGAACATGGCACGCAAACTGGCCTGGTCGAAATTCCCTCCAACTGGTACATTGATGATTTGCCGCCCATGATGTTTATCAAGAAAGCGCCAAATAGTCATGGTTTTGTCAATCCGCGGGACGTGGAAGATATCTGGCGCGACCACTTTGATTACTTCTACCGCGAGTACGATGAGTTTATCTTCCCGATTACTATCCACCCAGATGTTTCTGGAAGACCGCATGTTCTTCTGATGCATGAGCGGTAAGTTGCAATAATCTTCGCCGGGAGTCTAGATACTGACCCTATCGTAACAGACTCATTGAGCACTTCAAGAAGCATGAAGGAGTTGAATTCGTGACCATGGAGCAAGTGTGTGACGAGTTCAAAAAGAAGAACCCAGTTCCACCAGGCGCTCTGATGCCTGCCCCGGTCGGAGAAATGTTAATGAAATGAAGGGACGGTTAGTTGGTATTTCCCTTCTCGGTGATGCACCTGGTATCCCTTGTCCTAGAATAATAATCGATTTCCATCTTATCTTATTTCCCATGTTCTATCTTATCTTTGTCTCCAACTGAAACACCCGTATCCGTATGCCACCTGTTGTAGAGATGTCTCCAACTCCCCGACTCCAACTTATCACTCCTACCATCATTCACATCCCGTTGATATGCCACTATCTATCTTATCTCGCAGATTATCATCTGCATCTCCCTGCCTCCAATCCCTGCACCAGCCAAGACTACCCCAACTCCTTACCCCATTCACTGATTCCACTGGATCTTACCCCAACACCCACGTCGTAGAAGCTCGAGACGCCCAGTCATCCAGTGAACCCGCGTTTAGCCACGTTATCAGACAGCTTTGAGTTCGTGGGGAAGGAAAGTGGAGAAAGCGCCCACCTGTATCTGGCCTCGATGTCACGCCCTAGTAGCACTAGAACCCATAGAACCGTGTCCTACGGCGAACCAACGACAATGACAAGGCCCTGCCGGGACCAGGCCGAGTGCGTGAGATAAGTGCTTCTCACAGGTATATATCCTTCTCAAGAGCTTCTATACTTCTGTCGGCGATTCAGTTCCTCTTTCAACATCTTACTTCCTTCTACTGGCTAGCAATTCTCCAGCTCTCCGTTATGTCGAATTCGAACGATGATATTAAGGAGACACCTGGCTGCACCGACTTGTCTACTACCGAGACGGGAAAGGCAGAGGTTGAAGATCACTATGAAGTTTTCAAAAGGGGTGAAGGCCAGGTTGACTTTCGTACTGTGAGCTGGATCCGGGCAGGGATTATTTTCTTGAAAAGTAAGCCATTACTCCCAAACTACCCTACCTAAAAGCCATTGATTGACTTCTTATTCAATACAGTTATCTTCGCTACCGGTGTACTTTCAATCCCATCCCTGATGTACGAACTCGGGGCCTTTCCCGGCGCCGTGAATGTCATCGGATGGACTCTCCTGAATACCTACTGCGCCATTGTACAGGGCAACTTCCGCAACCGCTATCCCGGCTGCCACTCCATCGCAGATATGGCCCAAGTAGTCGGCGGCCCTATAGTCAAAGAGCTAGTTGGGTTTCTCTTCACAGTCAGCTACGTGATTGTGGCTGCATCTGGCATTATCGGTGTATCGACTGCCCTAAATGCGCTCTCGCTGCACTCTACATGCACCGTCTGGTTCAGTTTCATCGCGACCATCATCATTGCTGGATGTGCGAGTGTACGCAAGTTTTCGCATATTGGCTGGCTGACCTGGGTCGGCTTTGCCAGTGTGTATATTGCCGTGTTTATCATTGTGTATGGTTCGACCCTTTCCCTGAAATTCTCGAGGTATATAAGCTTACCTTCTCCAGAATTGGCGTGGCCACCCGAGATCGCCCTGCGGCTGCACCACAAACAGGCGATTATGACTTTGGATACCGGGCGATCGGAAACCCCAGCTTTACGACTGGGATCACCGCTGCAGCCACGATCTTTGTGTCGAGCGCCGCAACCTCGGCTTTCCTACCTGTTATCTCCGAGATGCGCAAGCCCAAGGACTATCCGAAAGCCGTCTATCTCAGTATGAGCCTCGTAACCGCATCTTACCTGACATTCAGTCTGGTGATCTATGCGTGGTGCGGAAAATGGATCGCATCTCCATCCCTCGGCAGCGCTGGAACGACCGTTAAACGCATCGCATATGGAATTGCCCTACCTGGTCTGATTATCAGCGGCTGTTTATACATACACGTCGCGGCTAAGTATCTCTTCGTCCGAATTCTGCGCAACTCGCGCCATCTGCAGGTGAACACGATGGTCCACTGGGGAACCTGGCTTAGCTGCACGATCGGAATGGCAGCAATCTCGTTTATCTTGGCTTGCGCGATTCCTATCTTCAACTACGTGTTGGCTCTGGTGGGTGCATTGTGTTTTGCGCCGTTGGCTATTAGTCTTCCTGGATGGCTATGGTTGTATAGTCATGGTGAATACTTAAAGGGGAATTTTTTGCGGAAAGCCATGTATGCTGCACATATCTTGCTGGTCTTGCTAGGAGCTTTTATGACTGTGGGAGGAACGTATGGGGTGATTGTTCAGATTAAAGAGGCGTATGCTGATGGACAGATCTCCTCTGCGTTTTCGTGCGTTGACAACAGTGGCTCGACCTGAGGATGGATGTTTGTATGTAAAAATAGATCTCATAAAGCGAAATATTAACTCAATGGCTTTCCACAAGATCTAGTGCCTTGAAAAACTTCCGGTTACTCGGGTCTTAGCAATTGAATATACAGCAGATCACGTTTGAGCCGTTAGAAAGGTTTCTCAAAATCTATTCGCAAAAATAATTATTCCTAAAGGCTGAACTATACGTAGTTGGCCTGTTTTTGTGTCTCTCGCCTTTCTAGGCCCCAAGAACACTTCCTTGAGTCTAGGCCTGCCATCCATTGGATTCCCACCTGCCCAGAGATTTTGTTTCAGGTAATTCATGCAAGTAGTAGTAGCATAACGCTCCTCGGGGCTCGTAAATCACGAAATGCCAGCCACCTCAATCTGGCCAAGTAGACATACCTTATGCCAATTGTTTTGCAGGTCTCAACTCCGGGTTCTGGATTGAAATAAAACTGTCGATCACCTACATCATCAATATGATGCACATAGTCAGTCATACATCATCCGCTGACCCAAGTTTAAGGAGATTGGCGTCCTCGTAAACTCCGGCTGACCCACGCCAAGCCCGCCCGGTGCCCGCGTTGGAACTTGGGTGCTGCCGAATCCGATCAGTGCAATGATCCTTATCTTTGCTTTTCTTTGGTAGTTACTCCTCTTTCTCCTCTTCTTATATTTCGCCTTACGAGTTCTGACCTTTGAATCCCTCTTTGCATCTCATCCTCACCCTGAGATACTTGCATACATCTCCAGCTCTCGCCCAGTGATGTAACACCGCTTCATCCGCTTATCAGGCCTCGTTATCAGTACAACTACTTCTACGGCCGTTCTCGTACCCCAATACTGCAAACTCACCATGCTCCTTGCACGACTCTCGCTTGCCCTGGCATTTACCAGCCTGGTCACTGCAGCAGCTATCCCACCAGCCCTTCAGGAATTCAGCCCTAGCAAACGGGCAGAATCCCTGTCATCTCAAGACGCGTCATGGGCGCCGGACACCCAATCAGCCCCCGGAAATGCTAACGACAACCACCTGAACAAACGAGTCCCTTATTACTTCCCCGAGACCGTCCCCGACGAAAATGAAATCGCCGATCGATCGACCACGATGCGTGAAGCAGGCCTCATCGCCAGCGAGCATGGCCAACCTCCACAGTCAATCGAATCTCCGGATGCAGGGATCGACATTCCCCGTGCACGGATGATTCCCGTTCGGGACTTCATGTCCGAATTGGACCGTTTGGAAGCTACGGAGTCCGTCTGGGAGATGCTGCCTACGTTACTACCGCCATTCCGTTTCTTTGTGATTGCAAGCTCGATTATCGCTGTTCTCACCGTGATCAGGGGTTGTCTGCGTGCGCGACACTGAGCACCTCGTGGGAGATTGGCTGGTCGTCCTGCGATTCGGCCCCAGCCTAATCTATTTACTCGGCATCGCGCATTTATGCAGTGCCCAAACCCACTTCTTATGCCGAGCCACTGTTAGCTCAGGATTCAACACCTTCCCCACCCGCCGCGCTAGCGCTCCCCTCCCGGCTCGACCCAATGCTCCCAGTTTCCACACGTGTATAACGTGCCACTGGGAGTGAGAGAGCGCTAGTTATCCCAACACGAGACGGGGTTCTCACCGTCTCACGGCAGTGGTTATCACTGTTATCCAAGAATAAGAAAAGAACTCGGTTTTCATCCGAATCGACCGATCGGCGCTCCTCATTCGTCTTTGGCGCTGAGCAGGGGCTCAGGGTCCTCCAATCTTGCACACCTTATCTTGGGTTCGTACTACCCAGTATGCCATGCTTGTGTTCGAAAAGTTGCGACAGACCGCAACGTGATCCTATGACCTGAGATCGTGTGTGAATGGTTGGTCAGTCTTTGGTCTTGGTCTTCGTCAAACTCAAACGCGACCGTGGCTTGAGCTTGGCGTACAATATAAACTATAAACTCGCCCGCAATACTACTTTCTTACTGTGCTAGCCTAGCGGAATATGGCTGGTCGGCTGGTTTCTCCCTGTCAGATTTTGGATTTTTACGGAGGAACACACTTGATTGGGTATCATGAATTGATGTGATCACGAGACAGAGGACGCAGAGTCATTTATGTATCGACTTCAAGCTCATTTCTGGGACTGATAGATGGAATGACAGAAAAGCAGATTCTCTCTAAATTATTCCTGATAATGACCAGCAACTAATTCAATCCTCTCCCCTTTTCAAATCCACGTATTTTTATCGACCTCTCCCTGCCCTTCACCACCCGATGTCTGCTTCACAGGAAACCCCTGAGCCTCCCTCCTCACCAACGTCTCGCTCTTCCATTTCGCAAATCCAGCCTCTCTCTCATCCCTGGACAAATGACCCATGGTGCTATGAACATCAATAAACCGTAGACGATCCAGCCGAGCAGTAAGATCAAATTCACTGTGTAACTCTCCATCAACAAGCATCCTGATAGTGCCAATTTGCTCATACAGAGGCATTCCATACGCGGAGGTATGATAACTCATAGCAAGAAGACCACTTATCCAGCCCCGCAGATACTCGCAGAGCCACTCCGGGCGCGACGTATATGATGACAAGTTTTCGGGGATTACACCCTGGTCCCTCGGAAGCCGATCACGACCCCAATGGCGCCATGACCAGTGCTTGTATTCGATATCTTCTGGTGGGAAGTTGAGCTCTGTTTCTGCAGAGCTGAAATCGAGAATAAGTGTGTCGATCAATATCTCGCGATCCTCGAATTCTTGGATATTTCGACGATATCGATATCCAGATGGCTTGGGCTCCTCTTCTCCTTTGCGCTTCTTTTTGCCAACAGGACCATACCGGAGAAACCGCTCTAGCGCAGCATAGAATAACCAGTGGAATCCCAGCCGACCCCCATCACCGAGTTGATTACGGACAGTGCGCTTCTCAATAATGTGTCCGAAAAGACGGACGTTCGCGTAGAGAGTCGATACGTGAGTCGTCAGACATGGCACGGACAACCACGTCAAAAACAGATCCAAATCATTCCTGACTGAAACATCAAGGATATAATCGATCTTTCTGTTTCTGTGTCCAAGAATCGCCTGAGTCTCGGTTGAGAGTTGACGACTTGTGAGAAGGAGCGGTAGACTGTCTGCAGATGTAGTCTTGTTCTGCTGCTTGTGGTAATAAGCTTTGCCGCCTCCGCCCTGCCATGCCCTGTATTCTAGGTCATGGTATTCCATGCCCTCAGATTCAAGTGGAGTCACAGGCGGGTTGAGCGGGGTGTAGAGCACGTGTTCGATGATGAGAGCTCGGAGCTCGAAGGGGAGATTAAGGAATAGAGACATGACTGAGCTTAAGGTCATTGTGTAGAGGATGTTGGAGGAAGATCCTCAACTACTGGAGAAGTTTAAATGTCGTGATAGTTCTGACACAACAATCAAATAGATTCAGATTGCTGGCAGGAGAATGCCCGTTTACCGCCTTTGTTAGGTAGTTGCCTGGTGGAATTTATCGAATTACCTAAGACTTGGGGGCATTTGGCCAGACATATGAACTCGATTCTTGAACCTCCTACTTAGTACTACTGTAGGCCTAATCTAGCGTGCAGTACAGAGCACTACATCAAATCTCCATGCTCAAGTAGTCGCAGTAGCTAAAAACGAAGACATGATATCTGTAGGCACACTGCCTACAATCTACAAAGATAGGCACAATCTAACAACCCAATCACTCCATTTTCTATCCACGCTAGGGACACCTCCAATGTCTATAGAATAACACTCCCCGCTACACGCCCGAGCCCAAAAGACAGACTCAGACGATGGGGAGCATACCCCCTCATAAACACGACCAAGGCAAGAATGATAGACAACGGAGAGAAGAAAAAAAGACAGAGGATGTGAAAAACGAGTAATGGATTTCGCGGGTGAAATGCATGCCATGACGCCGCGGACGATAAAAATGGCTAGATAACAATGAATCGTACACGGAGGCCACCCAGACAGAAACGAAACGAGAGGGAAAAGGAAAAGAAGAAAAAATTACACGAAGCTCTTTTTGCAGGATCTCCTCGGAACCAAGAACGAGGAGAAGAACACGGGGAGCATGCACAGAGAGAGAAATAGGGAATAAAGATATATATGTACTGTGTTGAGAGGATTTTTACTGGTGAATAGAGGATGTTCAAGAATCGTCCACCAGTCGCTTTTGAGACCAGGCGCGCTTGGCACCGTCCAAGAGCACCTCCATGTTCCCGCTGTTATCACACATACTGCGGAACAGGCCGTCTTCCTTGTTGATCAGAGTCCAGGGGTGATCGAACTCGAGGACACGGCCGTGGTCGAGGACCAGGACCTTGTCGTAATCGATGATGGTTTGCAGGCGATGAGCGATAGTGATGATTGTGCTGTCGTGCAGCTCCCGGAGAGTCTCCTGGATCTTGGCGTCGGTGGCGTAGTCGATCGAGGCGGTGGCTTCGTCCATCATCAGGACGCGAGGCTTCTTGAGAAGAGCGCGCGCCAGGCAGAGAAGCTGTCGTTGACCCTGGGACAGATTGGAGCCGGATTCCGAGACCAGGCTGTCCAAGTTGTGGAAGATGTTCTTGTTGTCGGCGACGGAGACGGTGCTATCGTTCATACCATTTTCGACGGCTGTGCTGGAGGTCATTGGGGTTGCGGTGCCGGATGTAGCAGAGCCAATCAGATGCACGCGGCGGATGGCAGCGAAAATCTCCTCGTCGCTGAACAGGCCGAACGGATCGAGATTGCTGCGAATCGTGCCGGTGAACAACGTGGGATCTTGGGGCACGATAGTGATGGCCTCGCGCAGATCCCGAAGGCCGATAGATCCAATATTAACACCGTCAATCACGATCTGACCCTTCTCGGCTTCCAAACCACGGAAGAGAGCCAATGCAAGCGAACTCTTTCCAGCGCCAGTACGGCCGACAATGCCAACTTTCTCGCCGGGTTTCACGGAGAACGATACCTCCTTAAGCACGGGGTCCAGATCAGGACGATAGCGTGTGCTGTAGCCCTTGAACTCGACAGCACCTTGGGTAGGCCAATTGGCCTCCGGCCGAGATTCGGGAATGACCGGAGCAGCTTCCTGTTCAACCTCAAGGTACTCGCGCACACGCTCAACCGAGTTCATGTTCTGCTGGACCTCCGAGTACAGACGGACAAGCCAAAGGACGTTCTCGGTGAATGTGACAGCGTAAGTCAGAGACAAACCAGCAGCTCCAGCGTCAATCTTGCCAACATTGATCAAGACAAAGGTAGCAGAGAAGAACGAAACCAACGCACCAGTCCAGTCCACACGAAGAGCGAGCCAACGGTTGCTAGCCCACAGGTAAATGTGTGGTCGGTTGTAGGCGTTGATACGGCGGTGGTTGTCGACGATAAACCGGGGACCATCGCCATAGGCACGAATAGTAACGATACCGTTCAGAGTCTCACCGAACTGCTGATACAATGGGCTGCGCTGCACAGACTCTAGACGCTTGAGATCACGAGAGGAGTTCAGGTAGACGGCACCAAGGGCAGTATACACCAGAGTGATGAAGACACCGGCAATCAAGAAGCCAGGCGTGATGACGGAGATCAGGATAACAATCATAATAACCGATGCCAAGCTGTGAAGCATGCCGATAGCCACGGGCGCGACCTCTTGGTCAACTGACTCAACATCCTTGGAGAAACGGTTCATGAGCTGGCCAAGAGGAGTGGAGTCGAAGAAACGGAACTTGGCGTGCATAACCGCCCGGAGAAGATTGTCATGGATCTTCCAGGATGCGTGCAGTGAGCCCCAGAACAGAACAGCCTCGCGGGACAGGGAAATAAGGATGTAAACAATACCAAGGAGGGCGTAAACACCCAGGTAGTATGTCACATTGACTTGTCCATCATCAGTGACGGGGCCAAAGGATCGCGAGCCGAGTTGAGGCGCGGCCCAGGTGCTCATCTTCGAGGCACTACCGACGTGGAAAGAAGGGGGCTTGAGCTGAGCAGCAGCAGCATAGCTACCAACATCACCCTCGGCGTTAATCTTTGAGGTGTGATAGGAATTGGCCCACTGGCGGATCCAAATGTTGGTGGAGACCGAACCAAGCTGTTGCATACAGAACACAGATATAGCCACGACCCAGTAGTACCCGGAGCCCATCGACCGCAGGTACATGATAACTGTCGACCACTTGATGCTGCCAGTAGCCTTGCCTTCTGTCATGTGTGACTTTTCGTCCTTCTTGGCCTTGCCGGCAGTACCGTTGGCACTTCCATTAGCCGCAGCGGAATTCTCATCCGCTGCATCATCTCCATGCTGGGAAGGAACTCGGGATAGACCACGCGAGCTAGCACGGGAAGCAGGCCGAGACTTGAACTCATCGCCAAGGGCGCCAGTTGATGCAACATCGTCTGGCTTACCCTGAGCGGCAACCTTTCCATTCTCAAGAACCACAACGTGATCAGCCTGGGGCACGGTCAGAGCAATGTTGTGAGTCACCAGGACACATGTGCGGTTCAGCATGAGCGGGCCAGTCAGGGCTTGACGGAAAAGATGCTTGGCTGTGTGGGAGTCGACAGCGGACAGACAGTCATCCAGCAACAAGTGGCGGGCACTACTGTAGACAGCACGAGCCAGGGAAATACGCTGCTTCTGACCACCAGACAAACTGATGCCCTTTTCTCCAACCAGTGTCTGGTCACCGGCATCAAGAATCTCAATATCACGCTCGAGGGCACAGGCCTTGAGCACGGCGCGATAGCGCTTCTCATCGTATGGAGACGCGAAGATAATATTCTCCTTGACAGTGGCGTTGACTAACCAAGCTTCCTGGGCACAGTATGCGACACTGTCAATGAGGCCGGTCTCAGGATCAACGGGGAGTTCAGCACGGCTCGATAAGCCCCCAGGGAGATGAACACGACCCTCGATCAGACGCATTTCACCGAGCAAGGCCATAAGCAACGAGGTCTTTCCAGAGCCTGTAGGTCCAGCGATAATGCTCAGACGACCGACAGGGAAATCAACATTCACATTAATAAGACGGAATGCATCAGCGCCACTATCCGAAGAAGACGCAGCTTGAGGGGTAGGGGTAGTGGTACCCCAGGTCAGTGTTGCGTTTTCCAGCCCGATCTGAGAAGGTCCGTCCGCGTTGCTGTCACGCAGCTGGTCGTACTTCCCAGTCTCCTCCTCGTTCAGGTATTTGTCCACACGATCCAAGGAGACCTTCGACTCCTGCACGTGGGCCACCATGTCGGCCAGTTGATCCAATGGGACACGGAGAAGGGAGAACATTGACAGGGCAGGGAAGGCAATTGATGGGGTCAATTGCTTCTTCTCCACGACGGTGTATAGGAAGAACGACAGGAAGGTGATCAGAATCGGAGTTCCATACCAAACTGTCGCAGCGCAGGACCACAGGATATAACGACGACGCAGGGACTTGAGCTCTGCCTTTCGCTTTTCGTTGACAATGTCTTGGAATCGTTGCTCCCAGGCAAAATACTTGATGATACGAATGTTTTGAAGGACTTCGTTGGTCGCGTGGATACGAGCATCAGTTCCCTTAAGAATAAGGTTCTGGACCTCGTTGAATTGCTTGGCGATGAACAGGTTGACGGGGAGCATCAGAGCCATTAATGCGATACCGGCGAAGGAGCTGAAGCCCATAATCTTATAGAGCAAGATGACAGCCATGATGAGCTGCACGGGGACACTTGCCCACAGGAAATGCAGATAGGCGCCAACTTCGCTGACCTTGAAGGAATCAATCGCCATCAAGTTAATGATGGTACCGACATTTGCCTGTGCGGTAGCATCATCCAGATCCGACTCGGCAGGCTTGGGGGTTGCAGCTTCGGTGTCGTTTCCATTGACAGCGGACTTCTTTTTTCGGCCAAATGAGAGCAGATTTCTCTTCTTCGGTTTCAAGTCCTCGGGGGCATTTGACTCCTCCACGGCCTTCTTTGCAGCGTCAGTGGCAGCGCCTGCCTTACGTCGAAGGGCTTTGGCGTAGATTTCGCCAATGATGATGGCGCGGATCCGAACACCCATCTTGCGGCCAATCCACAGGGCCTGGCCATCTGCGACGCCTTGGACAATAGCGGAGAAGAAAAGGAGGATCGCGTAGAGCCACGCGGCATTCGGGGTGGTAGACCGGGGATCTTCGACGTATTCAAGAATAGCCTTGAGCAGAAGACTTGGCACAAAAACGAACAGATTGGCGAAACCGGTCCAGGCTCCCTGCTTCAGAATGGTTCCAATAAAGTAGCGAATGAGCTTCCAGGCCAGAGAACCCTTCATCTGCCGTTTTCTAAAGTCCGTAAGAACCGCAGCAGCCTTCTGGGTGGGAGTCAGGTTCCACACGTCCTCGAGTTCGAGGGGTTGACGGTAGCCCTTCATGACCAGCGAATCCAACCACGAAAAGGTCGCAAGAGACAGCAGACTGGCCATAGGGTGACGCGGGGGCTCCAATCCATCCTCGCGCTCCACCAGTACAGGTTTGTTGCCTCGACGAGTGGTGAGAGCGATCAACATAAGTAGGGTGCTGAGACCGAATCCGACACTGCTGAGAATCAAGGCACGTTTGGAGATGGGGTGGATGACCGCGGATCGGAAAACCATGACATTGAAAAGCCACTGGGCACCGTACAGAGTGGCCGTATGCGTCCACAGTCTCGGGGCAGAGAACAGATCCATGCTAGACAAGAGTAGGCGGACCAAGACCAAGAAAAGTATATAGCCCCACGAAATCAGACCAGCTGTCGCAGGAAGCGCGCCATGACGGCCCCAGCCGTGAGTAGTGAGAATCACCGCGTAAAGAGCAACCTGGCCGACGAGCGCAGCGATTTCCAGAGCCACGACGGCGATCTCACCGCGTGGGCGGTCCACTTCGAGCTCGACTTGCTCGCTCTGCAAGGCCTGCTGGAGCATTGGATCCGATTCGGTTTCCGGGGTCTGGGGAACATTTTCGTCATCGGTGGCCTCGTTGGGGAGAACCTTGTAAGCGACACCTTTCAGAGTGGTAGCATAGCGATAAGTGAGGTGGAGGACGATGGTGAGCAGGGATAGAGCGCACGCAACTAGCGGTAACGAAACTTGCAGGACACTGCATCGGATTGGGAAGATCAGCAAAACTAAGACTGGTATGTCGAGGCGGCCAACGGTCGGCAGACAGGTACCAGATCGCACGGCGGTCGAGAAGAAAAGGCATTGGGAAACTCACTTGCGCTGGAAGCAATGCGACAGGTCGTCAATGGCCCAGACAGGGCCCTGACATTGCGGGAGCATGGTTTGCCGGGGGGAGGGGGTGTAAGCAACGAGGGTAGCTCCCAGCCAACGTCACAGAGATCGATCAAGAGCTCTTCGTGGCGACCAGCGATCAGGATACGGGCAATGCGACCGGGTAATGGAACAAATTTATGTCAGTAAAAACCTCTCCACCCCGACCGATTAGCGACAATCTTCCACGAGCACGCAGGACTCGACTGGCATTGCAGAATGGAGTGAAACCGGAGGTGCAACGTTTGCTAGGAAGAACTGGCTGCCGAGGGCCGTTACAAGGCCTGGCCGGCACTTGAGAGGTAGGAAAGTGGACGGATAAGAATTGCTGAAGCGCTGCAGGACACCAAAGGTCGAAAAAATGGGTATTCCACTGGAAGGTGAAAAACGAGATATAGTCGGAGAAGAGTTGACAAGGATTGAAGTTTGACGGGTGACGAAGTTTCGCCTTGAGAAGAAGTTCCAGTGGTCCAGTGGTCCAGGCTGGTTTCTGCTTAAAACGGCGGAATTTGGGAGGGTCAACCCGCGCGTTAGTCACTTCTAGTCATTTTAGAGCCACCACAGGTGGAGTGAGGTATCATTTGGGGTCTCCCGGAACCAGAGAAACTAGCTAATGGCGACGGAGATAATTGTGATGATATTTTACAATTACTGATTCGGTATATTGTTTGTTCTTGTAGTTATATGTTGTCTTGCTAGGGACTAGGATGGGATATTTTGTCGCGATAGGGTTATACCTCCAGTGTACTTCACTATGCACTACGTAATTGTTAAAACTCGGACGATGGAACCGCCTATGGGTTGCTTAACAATCGCATTATGACCCAGTGGAGTATCCTGCAGAAAACGAGTTTTCCTCTTTGGGACGCCGGGTTTCCACTCTCCAGCTCGTATAAATTGAGTCAGGTCGTATACGGGGTGCCATCAGGTTAAAACTTGAACAATTGTTTCGAAGCATCTTATCAATCAAGAGTTGAACTAATCATAGACAAGAAAGATGATTGAGAAGAGATTCAGTATACTGTTCCGAATAGTAAGAACGAGTTGAAGCATATTTATCCGGTAAGACCGTTTCTCTGGTCTCTAGATTCCGAAGACTACTTGCATAATACTAGCGCTATGGAGTGGAATCATGGATAGTGCTAAGTATCCCGTGGTCGGCTACGACGCTGTGAATAGTGTGCTAGTATCTTTCTGGACCCCGCCAGATTGGTTGCTAAGACTTGCGATAGATATTCCCATGACCACCAACTACCCTTTTATTACCATTGTGATAACACTAAAGCTAATCAAATTTCACATGAGTTCCCATTCCTGTACTGCTCGTCAATCTCTAAACAAAATCACCTGCCAATTCCAGGCAAATTCATCCTATCGGCTGACTACTTGATGCAGGTGCCGATCGCTTCTTATCGCCTGGGAGCTTGGGTGCCCCACTCTTTATCCTTATCAGCGCGTTTGGAGGCACCGACAGTCCGACACTATTGAGTGTGGTCCTGCATAATGGGGTCGGAGCCTGATTGTCCCCAACGATGCCTGGCGATGCAGCCTCCAGACAATCCTGCCTGACCGTTGACGGCAACCGCAGCCTAGGGGGCACTTTCTCTTCATATATCAATTCTTTTCAAAGGGAAGGAGCGTTTCTTTCTTTTCTATCAGTGGAAATTTTCGCAAAGGCTTTCTTTCGCCACGTGAAAGAATTGCCACGCGGGCGACGCACTTGGAGGGCCTTCCAACGCCCCCCAACTTCATCATCGATCCACTTCCGTCTCCCATCTCCGCCCCTTCTTCGCCCTCGACATCCTCTCCGCCTTCGCTCCTCCAGCTCCTAGCCAGTTCTCGACCGTTCGGCCCACGCACTAGATTCACTCTAGTCGAGGATTCTATCATTTCATCCCTGATAGGCATCCCCCCTGTCATCACCATGGCCGAGCGAATCCTTTTGAACGAGTTCCGCACCCTGTCGCGTGAGGAATGGGTCAACATCGAGGTAGGCGTTATCTTACGCTGCGATTCAGATCACTTTCCGCTAACATCTTGTGATGACGATAGCTCCATGAAGAGAACATCTTTAAGTGGGATGTCGCCCTTATTGTGCTCAATAAGGATTCTATGTACTATGGCGGCTACTTCAAGGCCAGAATGACGTTTCCTCAAAACTATCCTTACTCACCCCCAGGTTCGTCATCCCATGTTTGCTACGAGATCATCTCTTCTTTCCCATGCTCTGAGTCGCCAAAACCCATCGTTTCTGCGGTTTTACTTGACTTTACCGTCCATATGACTCACTTTGCGCCTTTCTGCCTTTAGAGTTCCGTTTCCTCCAACCCCTCTGGCACCCCAACATCTACAAGGACGGCCGTCTCTGCATCTCCATCCTCCACCCTCCAGGTGAGGACGAAATGTCCGGTGAGCTCGCCGCAGAGCGCTGGACACCCGCTCAGCGGGTCGAGTCCGTCCTCATCTCCATTCTCTCGCTACTCGACGACGCCGAATGCTCCTCTCCTGCCAATGTCGACGCCGGCGTCATGTTCCGCACCGATCCCGACCATTTCCGCTCCATCGTGAAGGCCCAGGTTGAGTCCTCCAAGGCCAACATGCCTCCGGGCTTCGTGATGCCGGTCACTGCGGCGGTGACGCCGCCGGAGGTTGACAAGGAGGAGCCTGATTTCTGGGCTGATTCGGACGTCGATAGCGATGTGTTTGGGGGTAGTGACTCTGATGAGGACCTGGACATGGACCAGTTCTCGGGCAGTGAGGACGAGGATGAGGATGAGGAGGACGACGACGACGACGAGCTCCAGGCCATGGATGATGACTAGATCAGCGCTCAGTTGAGCGTAGATCGCCAACCATGCTGCCGGCAGCCACTATCTTTCCTCGGGCGGGACGTGACATATCTCTCACGACACTTTTTCTTCATCTTCTTCAGCATGGCGTAGCATTTTGCGGCATGGGGCATGGTTCTGGCACTTTCTCTTTTATCTCTCTTATCTTCAGCTTTTAGCATAGTTTAGGGTTTGTTTTTTTTTCTCGGTGCGTGGCATTTCATGAGATATGAGGTGTTTCGTGGCGCACCTTCAAGAGGATAGGATTTCTGTTTCCATTCCTGATATCAGATCAATATCGCCTATCTTTTTCACACTTCGGATCAAAGGTCATGAGCATGTTTACTTTCATCCCAACTTCTCAACTCAGCCTAGCAACTGTTCCCCTCACCAAAATGTCTCCTCACTCGGAGATATTCACCATTTACCCACCTCCCCCACTCGCTCTTATCTCCGAACTATGTAAATCCCCCTCCTCCTACATCGAACCCTCACCCATCACCATCTCATCTCTCACCGAGTAACAACAACAGCCCTCCAAACAAATCCCTAATAACACCTAAAATGGCCACCCAAACTCTCGCAACCTGGTCCACCACCCTAACATACTCCACCCTCCCCCCATCCGTAATCCACGCCGCAATCCGCAGCTTTTACAACTGGACCGGCTGCACAGTAGGAGGCAGCACGCACCCGGCAAGCAAAATCGCCCTAAAAGCCCTATCCCGGTTCTCGGGTCCGCCAACCTCGAGACTATTAGGTTCTGATGGCAGCGTCGATGTAGATGCCATGCATGCAGCGCTGTTAAATGGCATTGCATCGCATGTACATGATTATGACGATACGCATCTCGACACGGTTATTCACCCGACGGGGCCTGTGGCATCGGCGTTGTTGGCGGTTGTGCAGAGTCTGGAGAGAGAGGTTTCTGGGGAGGAGTTTATCACCGCGCTTGTGGTTGGTGTGGAGGGGGAGTGTAAGGTTGGGTTGGGGGTTTGGCCGGGGCATTATGATGTTGGATGGTGAGTTTGGCATACTTGTACAGAATTCATCTCATCCCTATCTATACACATAGATCAGATTAGATCTAGATCTATCAACCTATTAATCCAGTCTAACAAGTTCGGTACCAGGCACATAACAAGCACAACCGGCTCCATCGGCGCCGCCCTCGCCGTCTCCAAAATCCTCAATCTAACCCCCCACCAAACCGCCCACGCCATCGGCCTGGCCGCAACACAAGTCACCGGACTCAGGGAGATGTTCGGCTCACACACGAAATCCTTTCATCCCGGACGTGCCGCGCAAAATGGTCTTTTGGCTGCTGTTCTTGCCGCGGAGGACTTGACTAGTTCCACGACCGCGCTGGAAGCGAAGCGTGGTTGGGCGAATGTTGTTAGTAACCAGCACCGGCATCGGTTGGATGAGCAGATTGCTACCCTGGGGGATGGGGAGAAGGGGAGGTGGGAGATTGTCCGGAATGCGTTTAAGCCGTTTCCTTGTGGAATTGTGGTTCATCCTGTTATTGATGGGTGTATACAAATACACGATGAGTTATTTCGAGAGGGGATTGACATTGAAAGGGTTGTTTCTGTGGTGGTACAGGTTCATCCACTTGTCGTTGAATTAACGGGGAAGACTGCGCCGAGGGATGGATTGGAGGGCAAATTTAGTGTTTATCACGGTGGTGCGGTGGGGTTGCTGTTTGGGAAAGCTACGCCGGCGCAGTATGAAGATGATGTTGTGCGAGATTTGAGAGTTGTGGCTGTTCGTGAGAAGATTCAGGTTGAGGTTGATGGGGGTATAGAGGCTGATGAGTGTCGTATTGAGGTTAGACTGGATAACGTTGATGGGGATGTAAAGACTGTGCATGTTGAGCATGCGGTGGGTAGTTTGGAGAGGCCCATGACTGACGCTCAGTTAACGGAGAAGTTTTTGGAACATTGTTTGCCGGTGTTAGGGCGGGAGAGAACTGAAAAGGCGAGTCAATGGTGTTGGGGATTGGAGAAAGTAGTTGATGTCCGTTGCATAAAGGATGTGTTGTAGTTGTGGAGATTGATAGAAGGTATAGGGACATTCTGAAAGGCAATCTGACTCAAAGAGAAACTGCAAAAAGCGGAAATTTTCGAAACCAGTCACTCAAACCCGAATAACTAGTCAGTCAAACTCGAATATGTACTAGACAGACCTACAATCCATCGAGAATTACCTGGGTAGAAGAATTGGGATGACTAGATGGCTGGATTCTCTCTGTCCCTTCGACGGATCTGACCCATAGACGGAACTGTCTCGTAGGTGAGACTTTCCTATACATGTAACTTTCCTATAGACGGATCTGTCCCATAGATGGAACTGTCCCTTAGATGGAAGGGCGAATGACTGCCTATGTTTCTTCGAGTTAGACTGTTAGTGGAATGGCTCCTTCGGCCAGGATGCCAGATACAGATATGTACAATAGGGTTTCATCGGTTTGAACCTCCGACGTACCCCGAGAATTTCTCCGAATCGTCCTATTGGTCAAGAGTCAAACGAAAGAGCAAAATGGGCTTTAAATTTAGACTTTTGAGCTACCACTATGCAGGGGAGGATTAGCACGAGGCAAGTGGGTTACATTTTATCTTTTTTTATTTCCTTAAATATCTACCCGAAGAACCCCACCAGATTGTTAATTATGGATGCTTGGTTGCAGGCGTTTCTAGCTGCAAGATATCCATCGAGCTTAGTTCCCCAGCCGTTCGCTATGCCAAGCAGAACTTCAGAATATAACTATCAACCAAGCCACAATCTAGAGATATTCAGTCTGACATGCATATGGCGCATCGCCTGCCTCGTCTGACTCGACTGGGTCAACTAACTTTTTCATCGCCCGGGCCGATTAACAATCAAGTGGCCGAGATGTTTTCTTGTTTGCCATCAGCCGGGCCAGTGAATGTAAAGCAAGACGACAACACGAATATAGATATCTCCGAAGAGGAAGATCCGATGGAAACTCCTAATTGGGTTGTTCGCGCTTATTGAGGTGCTGTAGGACGTGGTAAGCCCCTCACAAGCTGGACGATCAAGGCCTCTTTTGAAGTTTCACTTTCTATTGTTACAAATAATTCAGTCAGCAAGACAACCCCTGTTTAGTATCTGCCAAGGGTCAAGGCCAAAAAAGGCGTTTACACTAGTTAACAACCTCCACCAATCTGTTTTCAGACTACCATTTTCCAACACCGAGGTAAGGCGGGGTGGGGGTAGGCATAGAAAAGTGATGCTTTCTCCGCATTTTGCATTTTAGAAACTTAATTCTCCGAAGTTTTGCCACGGCGGAGTCTATCTCCATAAGAACTAAAAAACTAAAGATAGGTCTGGAAGGCCATACTGTGTGATCTTATACAATTCCTCTCTAACTTTTTGAAAATCTACAGATTCCAGAACTGTGCTTTGACTCCAATTAGTCTCGGTAACTAGGAAGATCGATTCTCTCGCGGACCGTGTGCTCAGTGCATGGCTTAACAAAGCCAAGGCGCTAACTAGTAGACGGTTCCGACTGCGGAGCATCTGCCGGGGAATTAAGTTCCACCACCATCCCGCCTTCCATCGCCACTGGAGGGCTTAACTTGATTAAATCAAGGCCTTCCAAGGTCTTTCTTGAGTTTATATTCTGAGACCCCGGATGTGGTGGCGCTGTGTAGACGCCATGATGGCTGAATAATATCCAAAACAAGAAGGTGTTGATTGAGAATGGTGATTCAGGAAGTGTCGGGAAAGAGGAGGATGATATGAGGCTTTGGGAATGTAAGATCGGTTATAAACTACATTCGGCATGGGTTTGCAAAGTCCCCTGTGAGTGTTCTGTGGGAGTTTCGAGTTTATTTGTACATTATTTCTGTGCCAATTGGGAGACGCCAAAGGCCTCAAGAGGCAAGTTATTCGAACCCAACTCAATAAGCTTGTCGGTGTGTGCCACCGAGTGACCGTCCTTGCAGGGAGTGTTCTTGCAACCTCGGGTATATTGCGGGGCATCCCACTCAGTTTGCAGTTCCAGAATCGGGCCATCGGCTAGTATAAGACGGATATCATCACAGATTCGGCATGGTTCCACTTCAGAATCTGAACACTTGAGATAGTCCTGGATAAGCTTGCTGCACGTTCCAGCAGTGTCTACCAGATCAGGCTGAACATCCGCGCCACCATAATCCTAGTACAACCAACTCGTAGGTGGAAAGTAAACTAAAAGAAAAGGGAAGAGCATCAATTGGCTGAATGGAAAGGGCTTCATTTATAGTCCCAAGGATCCAACGAGGAGAATAGATCCTGCCCCGCTTTGGCTCCCCCAAGAAGTTTGCTCACCGTTCCACGTGCAAATTATTCGACGTGGAAAACCAAATCTGGGGTAATCCATATGCATGGTCCCTGTCTGGGGTGCATCAACATTCCTCGCAAGGGTGGGAAGATAAGTACGGCCTGTAGCCCCCCTCTATGTCTTACTTCTTTCTAAGCCTCCCTTCTTTGTAAGCATCCCTAATTACCAGGGAATCGTTACATCTCTCTGGATTACAAGGAAAAGAAGCAAGGAGTGTATATTTCAAGCTGCTCTTGAACCTGGCCAACATGCAAACCAAAGACAAAGGCGGTGCCGCCGAACATCAGGAAGACATGGTGGGCCATGTCACCCTGAATAAGAACCCCCAAGGCGAAGTGAAAGAGATCCATACTGCGTCTGTGGCTCTTTCTGCGGCTGTTGCAGCTCAACCGCCAAAGCTACTGTCAAGGAATATGATCAAGTGGGTTTGCTCTGCATCGAGAAGACAGACTACATATGTCTAACCAGGTCATAGGTTGTACGCTATCATGGGTATTGGTTATTTGGTTTCTACAATGAACGGGTTCGACTCGTCATTGATGGGTGCCATTAACGCCATGAAGCCATACCAGGACTCCTTCGGGCTTACCGGTGCCGGTAAGGATCCTCTAATTCCATGTCTTATGCACTTTGTATTTCGAAAGAGTCGCTAACATCTCACTGTACTTTAGGATCTTCAACCGGTTTGATTTTCATCATCTATAACCTGGGACAAATCGCTGCATTCCCCTTCTGTGGTCTTCTGGCCGACGGTTACGGCCGAAAGGTCTGCATCTTCGTCGGATGTCTCATCGTCTGGATCGGAACCGCCGTGCAGGCCCCCGCAACAAGCATGGGGATGTTCATTGCAGGCCGTTTTCTCCTCGGCCTTGGTGCAGCTCTCGCTTCTGCCGCTGGACCGGCCTATACTGTCGAGCTGGCTCACCCAGCATACCGTGGTACGATGGCCGGTATGTACAATAACTTTTGGTGGTTGGGCAACATTCTTGCCGGATGGACCACCTATGGCAGCAACCTGCATCTTAAGAATTCCTGGGCTTGGAGAGTTCCTACCATCGTGCAGGCTGGTCTTCCTGGAGTTGTCTTGGTTTTGATTCTCTTCTTCCCGGAATCTCCTCGTTGGCTCATTGCCCAGGATCGTCGGGAGGAAGCTTTGGATATTCTTGCCAAGTATCATGGCGATGGTGAGTGTCTGCTCTCTTCCAGCTATCGAGCCATCATTTTCTAATTCTTGACTACAGGTGACCGCCACCACCCTGTTGTTCAACTCCAATACCATGAAATTGTTGAACAGCTCAGCGCCACTCGCGACGAGAACCCCTGGTGGGACTTCCGCGAGCTGGGAAACACCCGGCCTGCGCGCTACCGCTTGTTCATGGTCATCGCGATGTCTTTCTTTGGTCAATGGTCTGGCAACAATGTTGTCTCCTACTTCATGCCCCAGATGATCATCCAGGCAGGCATTACAAGCCCGGACAAGCAACTGCTCATCAACGCCATAAACCCTATCTTCAGCATGCTCGGCGCTATCTACGGTGCTACACTCCTTGACAAGCTCGGCCGTCGTACCATGCTCTTGTGGGGTCTCACTGGAGGATTAGCCGCCTATATCATCCTTACCGCATTCACTGCGCAGAGCGAGTATCACCCATCGCTCAGTTACGGTGTGATCGTCTCGATTTACCTCTTCGGTATCATTTTCGCATGGGGCTTTACCCCCTTGCAAACTCTCTATGCCGTCGAGTGTCTCGAGAACCGCACCCGTGCCAAGGGATCCGGTCTCAACTTTTTGTTCCTGAATGTTGCCATGGTTGTTAACACCTACGGTATCTCGGTTGGTATTGAGAAAATCGGTTGGAAGTTGTATCTGGTCTATATTGCTTGGATCTGTGTCGAGATGGTGGTTATCTATTTCTTCTTTGTTGAGACGGCTGGTAAGACTTTGGAAGAGTTGAAGGAGATCTTTGATGCGCCGAACCCTCGGAAGGCCAGTATGAAGAGGACCAAGGTTGAGATTGATGAGTCTGGCACTGTTGTTGGATTGGAGGCGTGAGCTGTTTTGTAACCTACCATTCCGCTTTGATGACAGATATATATGTATGTCATGCCCGTGCTCGCTTGTGCTCCCACAAATGTTCTCTTTTTGAATATTGTACATTCTGGAATGTAGCATTTGATCATAGCCCGTACGCGAGTTTTGCTTGGTTTGGTACATATGGAAATTTACTAAATCAACAGACCCTCGGCAACCTCGCTAGCTAGATGGAAAAAGAGCTCAAATCTCGAGTTTCGAGTTGTACTAGAAGCTTACAAAGAAATCTACGAGGATTTATGGCTGCAGAAATGTCCGTAATAAGGTGTTCAGTAGGTTAAAAACAGTCTCACTACCTACTGTTCAAAGCAACTCCATCAAGCAAAACGGCAAAGAACAAATAAAGCTAGAACTTCCCCCCCTCCGCCGCAAGAGTCAAGGTCTTATTTGAAGCCTTATCGTCATTCATTCTGGACCCTTTCGAGCAATTGCTGACGCTCATTCCACGCAGGAATGACCGCAAGAATTGCAGCATACGAGTAGGTTCTGGCCTGGGAAGCTTCGTTCCCGTAAGCCAGATAAGCCATCGCATGCTTGATGTTCTCGAGCAGTGGGGTTGTAACCCAAGTAATGGGCTTCTCGTACTCTCGCGTTGACCAATGCTCTTTCAAGATCTGTCACATCGCATTAGCTTTAGATCTTCTTGATTCGCGCAGGAAACTAGAGACAAATTAAGATTCGAGAAAATGCTACAAAGACATAGACAAAGACATAGAAAAAGAGGACCAAAAAAGGAGACGAAAGAGAAGACGAAAGAGACACTATGCGAGAGTCTAGTGTTCACAAGATGTCCTCACCTTGGCAAATGGTTGGTCTTCATAAGTATCCGCGGCCACATAGGGGTTGAGACTTTTCCCTACGTGCACCTTTTTACCTGGATCAACATACGCATAGGGGCTATTGACCTTCACTTTCTGGACTTTCCGGACTTTCTGGTCATCTTTGCTGAAGCTGCTGTAGTCAACTCTGGCGTCGTCGTCATAGCGATTCCCGTTATCATTGTCGGAGTGGCCGGAGGGGTTAGGGTAAGGATCAGGGTAGGGATCGGTCTCAGTGTACTCGTCGGAATCCCACCAATCGTCCTCGATATCAAGATAGCCATGGCCAATCATGACGGGCAACACGTCGACTTCGATCCCCAAGGAGTGCAACACAGAATACAGCACCAAGTCTGCACCCTTGAGACCACGGGGAAGCAAGGCGGATGCATCTTCCGATGCATGAGGATATGCATGAGAGCAAAATGCCCCGAGGACTCCGCCTGCGATAGTTAGTGACAAGGCATTCGGGATATTCCTCTATTTTGGGCCGTACTGTACCTGTTTTCATGAATCCTGGCATCATCAAAAGATCCTTCAAGAACCCGTATAAAGGGAACGATTTCGGGTCGATGATTGCACTGATCTGGTTTGCCCTATCGAGTAGCTCGGTGACAGCGTACAGATTGTAGGTCAAAGTGATCCGGTCACCATCGGTGATGGTCTTGATCTCATGGTCACAGTCGCTGTAGAAGGCAGCCCACTGGATTGTATCTGCACTTTGGTGTTCCCAGTCAAAGTCGACTTCTCGACCTTCATGTCGTACGATCAAGTTTCCGCCCTTGAATGGGGATGGCAGGCACACGACGAGAGATCCGATCTGGTTCTTCGAGCGTGGAGTATCAACATGGCTCTTGAAGAGACCGGAAGGACCCGAGTAGACCTATATGATAGGTGGTAGCAGTCAGAAAAAGGCATAGAATCAACAGGTATAGAATCAAAAGCATAGAATTATAAAGATAGGATAACTAACATTCAGCTTGTAGAGCTCGATATGCATCCGACGAATTTGCAGGATACCCTCGTCGAGCTTATCTAGGGTAGGAAGCAAGACCTGTTCAACGCGCTCGATGATGCCAAAGTCGGCCGGGTGAAAGCTGGTCGCAAATCGAGAAGTTTCAAGCTTTCTGGCTTTGCGATACTTTGAATCCATAACAGTCTCCTGACCTCTGCCAAATCCAGCTGGCTCACAGTCGGCGACCAGTTGACGAAGTCTAGTGTCGGAACCATCCTCGGCGTCAACAGAGCTGCCAAGAGGGAGGGTGAGCTTCTGAGCTTCCGATTTCAGTTTCCAGAAGACGTTGATAGGCCCGGATGATTTGACCGTTCCAGCATCTTCAGCATCGCCGACAGTCTTTTTAACTGGGATGGTGCCCCCGCAGGCGAATGAAGCAGAAGTCTTTTCGCTCCGGATAAATTCCTCAAGTTGACGGCAGACTGCCGTGAATGCAGTTCTTGATAAAGTCGAGATGGTTGGCTGGGATGCGCTGGTGGAGCTTTGCACATCCATCGTGCTCTCAGTTGTTTCGAAATGCAGTATGGAAACAGGATAAGAGGAAGGATATTGCAGAGTGAAGAAGATGGTTGTGACAGTGATGAAGAAGACGGATGGTTATGAAAATGATGAGAGGAAGAGAAAAGAATAAGTTTCCGAAGACAGAGGCGAAGGAGGAAAAGTACAAACGAGAATGACAAGAGCAAACCAGATAAAGAAATTCTGTCCCAGGCTACCTAGAGTAATGTCGGAGGTGCATGAGTGCATGGACCTCACCTGTTTGTAGTTGACGACATACACAAGTGCACGAATATGAGTATATCTTGTTCCACCACTGCGGCTACCACCTTATGACACATCTTCTTCATCTATTATTAAGGTTTAATGACATCTCTTAACTTCGTACCTGATTTCTTCAACCTTGATTTTGCTCAAACTGGACAATTTGACTTAGATAGTGTTTTGTTACTAATGTCTACAGCAGGTAAGCTTTAGGCGCTAAGTCTAGGTACTATCTCCTATGCGCTATTGAAAAATTCTATTCAAAAAAATGGATCAGGTACCCCTAGCTTTTTGCCAGATAAGATGCATGCGTTCATGGAGTTATATCATCTGCCGCGCTGGAGCCTAAAAGTATGCACCTTCCCCGTTCTCCATGCAATATAAGAGCCTCAAATGTACAAATAGGCACATATTTGGAATAGAGCCAACAAATTGAGCCTGACCTAATTCAAATTATGTGTCACCCACTGTTTGCTTTCATACATCTGTGGCTACAAAGAAAGCCTATTTTCCACATTCTTTCCTATTAGTCCTAGTGGATCCTTGAAGACTAGTCCTTTCATGACAGAATTTACCTCCTACATGTAGAAAGAATTACTGGAACATCGCGAGTATAACCTTAACAGAATCTAGATCATGATTCAAATGCATAGTTGTAAACCCAAGAAGTATACGTATAGCAATAGAAAGGAGACGAGAGAGAGAGAGATAGAGCAAGAGACAGTCTGTGGGGAATGAGAACCCGAATGTGTTGGATGAACCACCCAAAAAAGGAAACAAAACGATAAAACAATAATAAGTCAAAGCCAAAATGAACAATTAGTCTGCGCCAGTGTTAATCCATCCATTCAAAATGCCCAAAGGAACCGGCCCGTCACAGACAGGACTCGATCAGTTGTCTACTCTAAGCGCTGACAGCGTCCTTGATCTCGCTGTAAATGGCACCGAGCTCGTGACTCAGGACCTTCTGCTCCTTGGCCAAGATTTCCTCAACCTGGCCGACAAGCTCATCGAGACGGTCCTTGACGGTACCGGTAGCACCGGCCTTGTAGCCGCCCTTGGCGAGGATCTCGGTGTAGTTGGAAGAACCACCACCGTTCCAGGCGAGGAGCTAGAATATAATTAGCTGGTATGTTCCAAGTATATGATGAAACCAAGGGATGACTTACGTTAGGAGTGTCAGAGGGAATGTCGGTAAGAGCGCCGGAGGTAGCGACAGTGATCAAAGCGTCCTTGAGCTTCTTGGGAGTGATCTCCTCAACAGCGAAGGCAGAGTTGGAAGAAGGCTGGAGAGAGACGTAGTAGGCCAAAAGACCGGCAATGTGGGGAGAGGCCATGGAGGTGCCGGAGATGGTGTTGACGGCATACTTGCTGCCAATCCAGGTGGACAGGATGTTCAAGCCAGGAGCGAAGATGTCAGTGCACTTGCCGTAGTTGGAGAAGTAGGCACGCTCATCAGCCAGGGTGGAGGCACCGACGGTGACAGCCTTCTCAGCAGCAGCGGGGGAGTAGTTGCAAGCATCGGCGTTGTCGTTGCCGGCAGCGACGGCGAAGTGCATACCAGCATCAACAGCGGCATTCACAGCGAGGTCGAGAGTACGCGAGCTACCACCACCCAGAGACATGTTGGCAACGCTGCCCTTGAAGCCCTTGACCTTGCCGTCCTTGGCAGCCTTGGACTTTTTGATGTGAGCCTCGGCGGCCCACTCAACACCCTTGACGACATCGGACATGGTACCAGAGCCGTTAGAGCGGAGGACCTTGACAGCGTAGACCTTGGCCTTCTTGGCCACGCCGTACTTCTTACCAGCAATAGTGCCAGAGCAGTGAGTACCATGGCCATTGCCGTCCTCATCCTGGTCACCCTGAGGAATGGTCTTGCCCCAGTTGGCACGGCCCTCAAAGTCAACGTGGTCAACGTTGGTGCCAGTGTCAATCACGTAAGCATCAACACCCTCACCACCATCCTCAGCATACAGGTACTTGTTGAAGCTACCGAAAGAAAGGCTATCGCGGTGAGAAATACGAGCCAGACCCCAGGGGGCGTTCTTTTCAATGGCTGGGTCCGCGAAGTGGTGGACCTCCGAGTCCTTCTCAATATACTCAACCTGTGGGTCAAAGGGGGGACTCAGTCAGCTGGGGAAGCTCTTATCGGGTAGATAGGGAGATTGGGGGCCAAGGTGGAGATACTCACATCAGGATGCCGGCGGACCTGCTCGATGACGTCCTCGTGGAAGTGACCAGCATAACCCATCAGCGAGCCAGCGACGTGGAAAGTATGCTTCAGGCCCAAGTAGGGATCGTTATCGAAGCCGAAGAGGGAGCGCTTCTTCAGCTCCATACGGACATTGTCGGTGTGGATGTCCTGCACCCAGCTGTGATGAGAGGCCGCAGCCGAAGCACCGACATGCTTCTTAAACACGACGATATAAGAGTCTGGAATCTCCTTGGCACTTGTGGAGGAAAGGATGGGAGCTGCCCCGTTGTGGATGGATTCCGGCCAAGTGGGAGACGCAGCTGCCAGCAGTGGGAGCAGTGTTAGGCCGAGGAAGCCTTTCATGATGGCGGTAGGCTGTGGACGACGACAATAAAGGATAGGGAATCAATAAATGAGGGGATAAACAATAGAGCCGAGAAGCGATGGGTTGACGTCGAGAAGGGTATCGAAGGAGATGGGATGGGGGAAGAAGAGAGGGAGGAAGAGGAGGAGATGAGGAGAGATGAGGAGGTGCAGAGTCACTGGACCAAGGTCCTTATCTAAGGACGAAGGGAAGGCGGAGAAGCATGATGCAAGCGGGCGATGACGGGGATACTGTACCGCTCGATACAGTCTAGTTACACTCCGATACGGGGGAGACCATACCAATACAGTGACGGATAAGCCGTCGATTATTGTCATTGGCGGCGGGTTGTCGATCATAGTGGAGTCATGGAAAGACTGGGGGCGGGCGATACGCCTTGATACGGTCACGGGATCTGCTTGAAACTTGATTACCTAAGAAATGGTTACTGGGGAGAGGAGAAGCACACGAGCAGGGCTGTGCACGATGTTGCCTGGCTAAAGCCTGATTATTGCGACGGAATCCCGGATGACTCAATGACTCAGAACGAGATGCAATCAAGGTTAGGGACTATCAAGTCTATCATGAAGGGGGTCGTCTTGCCCCCGGGTGCCTGGCAGCTCCACTGGTCGTACGGCGGAGCAATGTGATCCTCGATGATCCGCAAGGCAACTTGGAGTCCGACGTCGCGTGCTTCTGTCCAGATGATGCGAGTGTTCTGCATGTAACTCCGTACATTGCTCGGGTACTGCGACCCTGGCGCAACCGCCCGCCAGTCTGAGGTGCTCGGAAACCCCCTCAATTGACCAGAGAACACTCTTGGTGAGCGGAGAGCCGGGGGCGATTATTGGGCAATTATTGGGGCGGCTGTAACATCCTCTTAGGCATACAAGCTGACCAGGTAATATCAGTAATCGGTGGCTGGTTATGCTTCGGAGACGATAATACCGTAATTGATACCACCCACACATGGATGTACCGTATTTGTGACCAATGTGTATTAATGATGGCGTGTTTCTGTATTGTTGCACGGCTTATCCTTCTTATCCTGTCTTATCCTCCCTTATCGCGTCTTATCTCCACGATCGCCCGGCCTGACGTGGGAGGTTGGTGATGGAAGCAGCCCACTTTCGACTCTCGATGCCAACTTGGGTAGGAACAGGCCTCCAACTGCCCCCCTCACGGTCACCTGATACTTGGTGCTTCCCCCCACTGGAATTCTCCGTGGATCCATTTTGGGGCAGCTTCGTCGCTTATCACGCCAGCTCAGAACTTTGGCTGCTGGCTTGCACTGCGTCCACGTCGCCAGCTTAGCCCCCTCGGATGGCATCTCTGCAGTGTTTCATCCGGACCCGCTAAACACACAGCAGCACATACCAATGCAGACCGCCTCCCTCGACACGCCAATCGCGAATTCACGGTCTCTGGTGGTCACACGCCATCGGTCCGGTCGTGGATAAGATTTGGCTATGGCTCCGCCGCCCCTCTCCTCTCCCTCCCCCTCCGGATCGACCGAGCGACTAGCGGAGGAGCTGGCGCCCACTGTTGACCAGCTCAAGACCCTCACAAATGAAAAGCCCCTCACGCTCTCGCAGGCACTAACGGCCACTGAACCTCTACTACGTCTCCGCCATACCTTTATCGATGATGCACACCCACGGGCAGCCAAGGATGCATTCCGCCAGCTTGCGGGGTTCCAGACCCTGCTGGAGCTTACCGGTCAGCTCGCCGAGCTCTATGATAGCACCACGTTGTCCAAAGAAGACCGGAAAAACGTAATCGGGATTTACAAGGATGTTGTGGGAACACTGGCGGAGGGATTGAAGGATCATTTTGGCAATAAGCGCTACTTTGCCCGGAGGATCACAAGCGGCGGGACTACAGTGCTGGAGCGGACATTGACGGTCTTGGTGAAAAAGATTGACCAGGTCGAAAGCGACGCCCAGCAGCTATACGGTGCCATCCTGGCTGCAGCTCTGTGCCAAGAAACCGTTGCGGGAATATTCGTCGCATTGAGTGCGAAATTCCCGCAGAGTACCAACTCCGCTTCACCTAAAGATGTCCGCGATGCCGTCGACAAGTACATGGGATCCGCAGAAACGGTTGAAGTGCCGGAGCTTCTGGGACCGTTGATCCGCGTCTGGGTGACACACTCTGCTTCGCCGGGAAATGAAATTCTCCGTCTATCCCTTCCGGCTTGCCTGAGCCAATTGGCTACGCAATCTCGAAGAAACGTCGTGGCTTTGCATGCCACCGGGATGCTCACATCCATTCTACCTCTCTTGTTCGATGCCGGCCGGTCCGACACCGAAAGAGAGCTCTATCAGGATCTCGCACGGTATCTCAGTGTCCAGGGCATGAACAGCCTTGAAGATGCCGTGGTTCTGTACCGTCGTGCTCACGAAAATCCTGGCGTGCTCAAGTTCCTTTTATCTGCTCTAAAGTATTCGAAAGAACCCCCGTCAATACAGTTTGACCTCTCCTTACATGGCTTTTGTTCTGTTGAGTTTGCTACCCTGGGTCGTCCGTTCCCACCTACTGCATCCGCTGGGTATACACTGGCCGCGTGGGTGCGCTTTGATGACTTCGATCTGAACACACACACTACCATATTCGGTGCCTTCGACGCGAGTCAAACCTGTTTCGTTCTGGCCTACGTGGAAAAAGACACTCGCAAGTTCATTCTGCAAACATCAATCCGAGGCCCACGCCCGAGTGTACGCTTCAAGTCGACGACTTTCGAGGCCGACCGCTGGTATCATATCTGCCTTGTTCATAGAAAGCCGAGGCCTGCATCATCTTCTCGGGCCTCACTCTTCATCGATGGCGAATTTGTGGAGCAGCTCAAGATCGAATACCCTTCCGTCCCAATTAGCAACCATCCTCATCGGTCACCCCGGATTCAGGCATTCTTTGGAACCCCACAAGACCTGGCGATGCGCCTTGGAAAGGACGTTTCCACATCGCGATGGTCCCTAGCAAACGGCATGCTCTTTGATGAAGCCTACAGCGACGATCTAGTAGCCGTCTTCTACAATCTAGGTCCGAGGTATTTTGGAAATTTCCAGGATTGTCTGGGATCCTTTCAAACATACAAAGCCTCTGCCACTCTCAACTTGCGGAATGAACATCTGCATCCCGGGAAAGAGGAGGATTCGGACATCGTCACTGCCATTCGACGCCGAGCGAGCACGCTGATCCGCGAGGGCTCCATTTTGATCAATCTGTCTCCCGTTGCCGTCCTCGACGACGACGACAACAACAATGTCGACGAGTCACAACTGATCAAGTGCCTGTCGAGACAAGCAGCAAAGAGCCTGCAACAGCTGACAAAAGCTGGAAGCAATGCTGTCGCAGTGAATGGAGGCACCCCGGCCATCAATGACGGGTTGACCCAACCGCAAGGAGTGGGTGTCTTGACCGGAGAACCCGTTGTTGCGGTCCCGTGGTCTCTGGATGACGCCAGTTGGTGTCTGGGTGGATGTGCCGCCGTCCATCTCAGTCTCGTCCAGGCCGCCAATTCCGCGGAGACTCTTCACTTGGCCGTGGAGGCACTCTACGAAGCTGTTCAAGATAACTGGAGGAATAGTGAAGCCATGGAACGAGACAATGGCTACGGTATCTTGGCATCGCTTCTACGTGAGAAGCTCGGATTCCAGATTGGCAATGCCCCAACCGCGGGTAGATCCACGGCTGTTAGCACCAAGGACGATGAGCTCAACACGTTGATGCTTGAGCTTCTACGGTTGACCCTCGCATTTGTGGGATACGACTTCAAGCATCCGAACCATTCTATCATCTCAAACCCGCTGGCCTACCGGGTTTTGCTTGTCGATATGGACGTCTGGCGTTATGGCGAACCGCAGGTGCTAGACTTGTACTATTCGCAATTCCGTACTTTTGTGTCCGACAGTAACTACCGCCGGTTCAACGCCAGACGCTTTGGTCGCATGCGTACGTTTCAACCCTCACCCTTTTTTCGTGTTCCCGATCAGACCAATTATGTCAAAGTTCAATGCTAATGATAACAGGCGTCAACAAAAAGTTGCTCGAAACCCTGAAAGGAGACGAATTGACCAAAGATACTCTCATGCCATGTATTTCCTCCTTCCGGGCTCTATTGGAGAGTAACCTTTCGCCCGATCTCCTCCGCTCTTTAGCTTTGTCTATAACGTACAACCTCCACCGGCCGAAACCGCCCTCTGCTCTTCAAAAGAAGAAGAGCATTCGTTTCGCCCCAAGCTCGACTCGACCCCCCTCCTCCAAGTCAGACTCGGGGAAGCACGTATCCAGCATCACATTAGGCATAGAGATGTTGCGGCTTTATTCTTCGATCCTTTGTAACTCCTTGGACCCGACACCACTGAGAAAGTTTGCGAAGGCCGTCACAAACAAGGTTTGTTTGGGAATGAATCGCAAATTAGCACCCTAACTAACAACATAAATAGTGGCTTCTATATCTTTCTTGCGAAGACGAGGCTGAGGTTGTTGTGCATGCAGTCAAGATTCTGGCTAGACTTCTTGTTGTTCACGGAAGTGGCTACAGTAAGAAGTTCTCCGACAAGAATGGGGGATACACAGTGCTCGAATACCACCTGAAGAGATGGTGGAACATTCCTGCTTTGTGGCCGATCTGCTTTTCCATTCTCTTTGGACAGGATATTGCCCTTATGGACCTTGATCAGCCATTTGATGCTCCAAAACTGATCAATATTTTCCTGGCCGGTGGGGATCTGCGAATCGCTTTTCCCGAAATGCTTCCTGTGATCTTGGGTATGCTCAAAAGCGGACTCAGGAGCTCTGTCTTGGCTAGTGACACAAGCGAACAAGACCACTTGAAACCTGACACCCTTTCAACAAAGCCTCAGATGTCATTGCACAGCTTGAATGGTAAGTTCCCGAAACTAGGAGACCTGCATAGTAAAAGTACTTTCTTGACTCTTCTCTCTTTGATTAGATATTGCTGCAGCCGACCGGCCAGCGCATAGGGTTTCCCTTGTCTCTTCCGTCGTTGACTTCCTGAAAGGACTGTCCTCCCGATCACGAAACTTCCAGGATTTTACAACCCATTCTAGCTATGTCCAGGAGCTGCTCGCGATCCTCTATCCCACCGTCGTTGGCGTGGATTCAATCAGCCCAAATACTGAAATGAACTCCCGATACAGCGGGTTGAGCTTCGACGATAGCAATCTAGTCCTGCGACCCCGCTCTAGTCGTGGAAATATCTCGACGGCGCTGCAAGCGAGTATGGTCGATTCGTCCGAGAGCCCCGAAGAAAGCACCGAATCTTTGCAACGTCGGTCCTCTTTCATCTTCGTTTCCTCCGACAAGGTCAAGCATCAACCCTCACCAGCGCGAATTCGCCGTGTCGTCAACCTCGCTTTCTCGGGAGAAGGTGCAACTACCGGCCATCCGCTTGTCAAGGCTATTGCTGCCCTCGCGCTTGATGTTTTCGAGGATCAACTGCTGGAGCGAAAAGACTTTTCCGGCTTGGGGCTGTATCAGAAGACCCCACCCGGGTTCCTTGAGCACCAGGCATACTTCAATTCGTGGATCTTCGATTCTCTCATGTCCAGGTTGAAGGAAGTACCCGCATCCCAACCTCAGCTTCTCCATGAGCCACGTACTTTGACCAACCTCGCGCGCTTTGCCACACACCTGACAGAGGCGGTCTACGAAGGGTGGTTTATCAATGGCGAGGTCACGAGCCTTGAGTACCTTGGCGTGATCCTAGAATATCTTCAACGCCCCGACATTGCCCATCTGAAGAGCATTCGTCTATGTACCCAGGCCGTGTCCACTCTGCATTCGATGCTGTACAAGATTGTCTTGTTCCAGCTGTCCGAAGCAGATGACATTGAAACTCTGCCCGTTCTCAAGCGCCTAAACTATTGGCAGGTCGTGCTTCTCGCTGCCGCGGAGACACAGTCCAAACACCTCCAGCTTCTCTGCTATCTTCTGTACACTAGGCTCATCAGCACCGAGACTGATATTCGCTTGGCCGCTGCTAGCCTCTGGCGAATCATTTTGGTACAGAAGCCCGCTGAAGTGGCCAACCTCCTAAGTCACGGGCCGGCTAGCCTCCAGCGCCGACTCTCCGAGGGTTTCGAGGCTCTTGCAGGATTGGATGATGATTCATTCTTGCAGTGGATTGATGACCAGCGAGATGACCTCGATGCGCTATTCTTCGGCATCCTGTCTCGCCAGTGGGAGACCTTTGTTCAAGAGGAAAATGCAAAGAGCGAGGACTCTGCTAAAAATAGAATCACCAAGCGCAAGGACAGGCTGAAGCAATGGGCTCAGCTGCAGAAGTATGACGAGGATGTCATTCGCAAACATGATGCCACTCTGCCACATTGGATTTCCAATATCTCAGCATCGGAGTTCTTGAAGTCACAGAGATTCCTTCAGGATCTCCAAGATAACTCTGTCTTCATGTGGTCCGCGTTCTCAAATCTCCTGGTAGATCTGCAACGACCCGGTGGTCTCCTCGTTGAGGAGAAGGATCGCAAGTTCAGACTCGATCAGACTGAAGGTCGCAGCCGGATGCGTTTGCGATTTGTTCCCGACGATTCTGGAGAGCGACAGGATTATCAGCCCAAGCGAAAGGCATCTGAGCCACCTGCACCGAAGCTCGATACCCGAGTACGTGCACTCTCGGCAGGGGAGGTGGCCTCGACTCCTACGGCGATGACCGCTGAGCCCGATGCTGTGGAGCCGAGACAGCAAGACGGCGATGCGGACAACTCAGACGATCGGAGTGGGTTCGAGGAAGAAAACTTCGAGATGATCCATGACCCAAAATTGGAGATCGAAGATTATGAAGATAAGAACCGTAGAGTCATGCGTTCTCTTCATCGGGGAGATCAGGTTCAGAATGTTTGCAACATGTCACGAATCATTGGTCTGGAAGCTGTAGAGGGTCTTTTGATTCTCGGAAAGGATTGCATTTACATCCTTGACAATTTCTTCCAGAGGGCCGATGGGGAGATTGTGAACGTGTGGCAAGCCCCTCCTGACGAACGTGACCCGTACGTGCGAATGATCGCTGGGCGTGAGTCGAATGACCGTCGTTCTCAGGAACATGAAACTAGAAGCTGGAAGTGGTCCGATCTCGTCAGTGTTTCCAAGCGTCGATTCCTATTCCGTGACGTCGCCCTGGAAATCTTCTTTACAGATGGCACCAGCTATCTGCTGACCTTCTTCTCGGCACCTGTGCGAGACAACTTGTGCAATCAGCTCGGGAACAAGGCTCCTCAAGTCACGGGAAGCGCAGGACACTCGCGACCAGAAGACATCTGGAGATTTGAGACCCTTCGCAGCCAGGAGGATGCACCGCAATCTCTTGGTTCTAAATTTGCCAGCGTCTTTGGACACTTGCCTGCAAACCCGGCCACGCGGAAATGGGTCCGAGGCGAGATTTCGAACTTCCATTATCTGATGTTGATCAATACGCTCGCTGGGCGAACTTTCAACGACTTGACCCAGTACCCTGTTTTCCCATGGGTTTTGGCAGACTACACCAGCGAAGAGCTCGACTTGACGAATCCCAAGACATTCCGTGATCTATCCAAGCCTATGGGCTGTCAGACTCCAGACCGAGAGACAGGATTCCGAGAACGGTACAATGCCTTTGCTGAGATGGGCGACGACAAAGCTCCGCCATTCCATTATGGCACCCATTATTCCTCTGCCATGATTGTCAGTTCGTACCTCATTCGCCTGCAGCCCTTTGTCAAGTCCTATCTCCTCTTGCAAGGCGGTACGTTCGACCACGCCGATCGACTGTTCTATTCCATTCGTAAGACATGGGAATCTGCATCGCGGGGCAATATGACCGATGTTCGGGAGTTGATTCCTGAGTTCTTCTATCTGCCCGAGTTCCTCGTCAACTCCAACAAGTACGACTTTGGACTGTTGCAGGACATGACTACGGCAATTGACTCGGTCGAGCTTCCCCCGTGGGCCAAGGGTGATCCTAAGATCTTCATCGAAAAGCATCGGGAGGCTCTTGAGAGTCCTTACGTCTCTGAGAATCTCCATCATTGGATCGATCTTGTCTTCGGTAGTAAGCAAAAGGGCGAGGCTGCTGTTGAAGCTGTCAATGTATTCCATCATCTTTCTTACAAGGGTGCCAAGGATCTGGACGCCATTGATGACCCGATGGAGCGGTTGGCGACTATTGGCATCATTCACAATTTCGGACAGACACCCGGGCAGATCTTCCAACGTACTCATCCTCAGCGAGAGGATCAGCGGTACCGTGTGCCCCGGCTGGATACCCTGGCCGAGTCGTTGACTCAGATGCCGCTGTCTCTTCTTGGTAAGTCATGTTATCATTCATTCCGGATCTACCTTAACTGATTAGGTTTTCTCTCTCCTCCAGATATCGAGGAACGTGTCGCAACCCTGTCGATGAAACAGGATCGATTGCTATGCACTGCTGCACTCCGACTCAATGTTCCACCGGCCTATGATCACTACATGGAATGGGGATTCTTCGATGGAAGTGTGCGCTTCTATTCGACGGACAGTCGCAAGGTATGCTTTCCTCCTAGCTGAGATATCCATGGATGGCGAACTAACAACCAGCAGCTCCTGGGTCATTTCGAGCATCTCCATGTCGGTCAGCTCTCCCATGCCAGTTTTGCAGACTCGCGCACTCTCATCACCTGCGGCACGGACTGCACGATATCCTTATGGACTGTCACCGCGACCTCGAGATCGGTTGACTTACAACCTATCGGGTCTCTCTTTGGCCACCGTGCTCCTGTGACTGTGCTTGCGGTTTCTCGTTCATTTAGTGCCTTGCTATCTGCATCTACGGACGGGCATATCATGCTGTGGGATCTGAATCGCCGAGGCTTTGTGCGGACGCTGCCAGCCGAGGGAGTTGTCGATGTAAGTTTAAACTCGTGTTGTTTCCTGATCTGCTACTGACCAGATCCTTCACCTGTAGTGCGCCCGGATCAACGATGTCACTGGCGACATCATTGCCTGTCGCGGCAACCGAATCACAATGTACACCCTCAACGGCGAGGTCCTTGTCGATCAACCCGTTTGCGACTCACCCGACGACCACGTGCTATCGTGTGTTTTCTACGAAGGGGTGCATAACGAATGGCTCGAGCGCGAGCTTGTGTTGACTGGTCACAGCCGCGGAGTTGTGAACATCTGGAGCAAGGTAATCCGAAATGGCGGATTTGAGCTGGAGCTCATCCGCCAGCTCCATCACACGGACAACAGTCGCGACAACGGGGCGAACATCCAGTCTGGGATCAGTTGTATCCTTGCTCTGCCGCAGGTGGTCTATACCGGAGACGAGGCCGGTCGAGTGGTGCGTATTCTCCCCTGTTTTGGCCCGCTAGTGTATGAAAGTTGTTGCTAATAAAGTCACGGCAGTATGAGTGGAACTGCGTCCAACGGCGCTGAGGTTGGCAATTCAAACCACGTGCCTACGGCTATTGAACCGAGCGCCAATGTTGCTTTTGACTACACGGGAAATCGAAAACCAAAAAGCCAAATCAAAAGTACAGAGGCAAACCGTAGAGTTTATGTATCTGGCGTTTATTTGGAAGAAGGCGGAAGTCGTTTCCCCTTTACATTGTATTGTGTACTTTTGATCCTCTCGTTATTTTCTGTTCCTCATTCTCTTCTCTCTCTGTTTTTCATCGCACATACCCTGTACCCCACGTTTTTCGGAGGCCTGGATATAGTTACTCCGTACTTTAGCATACATCGATAGCGGGAATAAGCAAAGATATGGGTCAGCAACAGCATCAGCATTACATTAGCACATCGACTTCTACTGTCTTCCAGACCCCTGGCACCCCCACCCTCTACTAAGAATTGAATAATTGCCCCGGAGTCGAGGGCGATATTTAACCGGGTCTCGGTGAGCAGACTGCACGTTCGGTGCAGTAGTGGGCCGTTGGCCGGTCGACCTTCCTCCGGTTGGGCTGGACCGGAGCACACTGCGCCGAGTTGGGGGAGTCGTGGTTTGGTCACGCGGAAGGAGAATTGATGAAGAAGCAATTGTAAAGAATAGGAGAGAGACAATGGTGAATAACTACAATAATTGAAGAACAGGTAGTGGGAATTGGCGGTGGTGGTTGGTATTTATTCAGTGCCTGAGGGGGGCAATGGGACCGGAATAACTACTGTCCTGTACAGACAGTACTGGTAGTATGGAGGGGTAAAATGATTGATTACTTCACTTCCGCTGGTGATTTCATCCCTGCAGCGTCATTTGCCCCACTCGGACATCCCACATCCATCAGGTACTTCTATTAACTATGTATGACCCATAATGAAGAAAAGTACCCCCAAATACCCGCCAGGAAACCATCGCCTCTTCGGTTCCACGCCCCTCCTCTAAATACCCTCTGGTCGCCACTTTCTTTCCTCCTGCATCTCTCTCTCTTGAATTCTTCTTGAGTAATTAATATTCATCTGTCTCGTGAAAAATCTTTCTACTCAGACTCTTTACACAATGTCTTCCTCTCTCGAGCAGCTCAAGGCCACCGGCACCACCGTCGTCTGCGACTCTGGTAAGTTCTAGCCTCACCGGTCAATCGGAATCTATGGAATAATTTACTAACACGCGCTTTTACAGGTGACTTTGCCAGTATGTAACCTCCACAGCAATGCCATAGGCCCTACAAGGCCCGCGGTGTCCGCTCCTTCGAGGGCAATGATCAGATGCAATTGCTAACAGCTTCATAGCTATCGGCAAGTACAAGCCCCAGGATGCCACCACCAACCCTTCCCTGATCCTGGCTGCCTCTAAGAAGGCCGAGTACGCCGCTCTCATCGACGCTGCCGTTGCCTTCGGTAAGACCCAGGGCAAGACCGTCGACGAGCAGGTCGATGCCACCCTGGACCGTCTCCTCGTTGAGTTCGGCAAGGAGATCCTCAAGATCATTCCCGGCAAGGTCTCCACCGAGGTTGACGCCAAGCTGTCCTTCGACACCAAGGCCACCGTTGACAAGGCCCTCTCCATCATCAAGGTAAGAATTGACAATTAACCGGTGCGCAAGCCACCAGCTACGATATGATTCTAACACCCATCTTTTCCTCCAGCTGTACGCCGACAACGGCATCTCCAAGGACCGTATCCTCATCAAGATCGCCTCCACCTGGGAGGGTATCCAGGCCGCTCACATCCTTCAGTCCCAGCACGGCATCAACTGCAACCTGACCCTACTCTTCTCCATCGTCCAGGCCATCGCCGCCGCCGAGGCCGGTGCCTTCCTGATCTCCCCCTTCGTCGGCCGCATTCTCGACTGGTACAAGGCCGCCCACAAGCGCGACTACACCGCCGAGGAGGACCCCGGTGTCAAGTCCGTCCAGGCCATCTTCAACTACTACAAGAAGCACGGCTACAACACCATCGTCATGGGCGCCTCCTTCCGTAACACCGGCGAGATCACCGAGCTCGCTGGCTGTGACTACCTGACCATCTCCCCCAACCTGTTGGAGGACCTGTACAACTCCACCGCCGCCGTCCCCAAGAAGCTTGACTCTGCTTCCGCTGCTACCCTGGACATCCCCAAGCGCAACTACCTCAAGCACGAGGCTGCTTTCCGCTTCGACTTCAACGAGGAGGCTATGGCTGTTGAGAAGCTGCGTGAGGGTATCTCCAAGTTCGCGGCTGATGCTGAGACTCTCAAGGGTCTGCTCAAGGCCAAGATCCAGGCTTAGATTGGGGACTAGCGGGACTTGTCACTGGACTAGGCTGAGATGTTAAATTCTTGTTTCTTTTTCTTTTGTCGCACTTGATATGTTATGTAAATTGGCGATCCCCCAAAATGGCTTTGGAATCGGTAGATACGAATTGATGAATTCTTTCTTTTTCCGTCTTTTTTTTGCCGGGTGTATTAGTATCATCTTAGAGACTTGGAATTGTGAATTGAGATTTCCGACCGAACTAAGGATAATACTAATAAGCAAGTATAATATTTGGCGACATTCAGTTCTTCTTCCGAACCAAATTAAGTGTGAAGGTTCTTGTCCAAAACTGTCCAAATTCGAACGGTGCACGGAGTACATATGCCCGAGATGCACTGAGTCAATTGACAATCCAGTCACGCGCGAATATTTACTTTTGTTCTGTATTGAAACTTTGAATCTATATGTCGTGATACAGGTCCTCTCTTACCATCTCCGGTGTCGGGTCTTCAAGAGACCGAAGCTTCCGAGGGGTTCCTAGTAGTACAGTAGTACTACCCAAAGTAGGCCCGGAATCTGGGCTGGTCGGCTTATTCACCCATGACCAACGAACCCCGCAGGGAGAGGGGATTGGTAACACATGTATCACCGTATTGAGTATGTATATTCTCCGCGGATATAGAAGAGCATTGAATAGAATTGATAATATATTGATTGATTAAGTATCATTTCTTGGACTATCAAACGTTAAACGTATATTTAATATAGGATAGGATACCTGTAGCCTTGAGTTCGTTCCGAGGTGTAGGCTAAGGCTGCAATTATGTCATTTCCCCTCGTCCCGTCCGCCGCCCGCTTAGGAAGGTGGGGGATGTTTGGCGGTGGTATTGACTGTATTGTCACTTTTCTTCTTGTATTTACTGTCCATATGATTTGCTTGATTGATTACTGTGCTGTCTATGTACCCTTCTCGGTAATTAGTTTGTATTTTCCATACCCTAGCTTATCAACCACCAAAGCAGTCACGTCAACATCACCCACTTATTATTCTTGCCTTCTCTCGCCCGCCTCCACCTGCTCTTCTCTTTTTCTTAACCCCTCCAATTTCCATCTCTATATTCCCAATTTCAATCCCCATTCTATTCACCACAAACCGTCAAAATGGTCAAGGCTGGTAAGTAGTATATATTTCCTTGCTCTAGGGCAAATCATATAGGTCTATTCCCTCCCCCTCCCCGCATGTTTCATTGGTTATCCCGCGATCGGCCGGGGACCTTAGGTGAGCAAATTTGAGCACCTTTGGAGCTGTGACAGACCTATCGGCTGGCCTCCTTGTTGAATCAAGCTCTCCACTGGCTGTCAGGGTCCCTGGGGAACATGATGTCGTCGAGCTATCAGCTACGGTTTGATTTGCCGATGGCGAAGCTATAGTGGCACTGCTGCTCGAGCTGGTCAGATCGTGGAGCTACCTGGAGGGCGAGCCGATCCTTGTTTTCCCGGCAGCCCTTCTAGAACATATCTCAACCAGATACACAGACACTATACTCATGAATGATGAATGGAAATCCGCTAATGCATCGTCGCAGTTGCTGTTATCCGCGGAGACTCCAAGGTCTCCGGCACCGTTACCTTCGAGCAGGCTGACGAGGCTGCCCCTACCACCATTTCTTGGAACATCACCGGCAACGACCCCAACGCTGAGCGTGGTTTCCACGTTCACCAGTTCGGTGACAACACCAACGGCTGCACCTCCGCTGGTCCCCACTGTAAGGATTCTTTCCCCCGGATGTGTTGTGTGGACACGAGAGACTTGCGAGAAGTGTATACTAATTCCTGGTCTGCTTACTCTAGTCAACCCCTTCGGCAAGACCCACGGTGCCCCCCAGGATGAGGAGCGTCACGTCGGTGACCTCGGCAACTTCCAGACCGACGCTGAGGGTAACGCCGTTGGCTCCAAGCAGGACAAGCTTGTTAAGCTGATTGGTGCTGAGAGCGTTCTTGGCGTAAGTTTTGAGTTATACTATTTATAAAACTTCTACCTTATTCTCGGTCCGATACTAACAGATTAAATAGCGCACTCTGGTCGTCCATGCCGGCACTGATGACCTCGGCAAGGGTGGCAACGAGGAGTCCAAGAAGACTGGTAACGCTGGTCCCCGCCCTGCTTGCGGTAAGTTGATCCTACATTACACAAGATTATTATACTACATATGGGACTCGTTTGACTGACTTGATTCTAGGTGTCATCGGTATTGCTGCTTAAATTAACTCAACCCCCTTTCATGTAGTTGGGTTTTGATATCCCCCCATCTTCTCATCATGAATCCTTTCTTGTATGTGAAGATGAAAAGTTCAGGATAGTCCCTGGCTAGGATGCAATGAATGACAATGCTATTTAACTTCTATTGCCATATTACTTCCCATTGCGATAGGCTATTCTCTTATCATCTACCCGGTGATACAGTTGATCCGTGCGTAGCTCGTAGCTCCTCCCGCTCTGACCGCTTTCCCCACAAACAGCGGCCACGTTTCTCCTCCGAAAGCTGTTCATCTCGCCGCAATTGCCCCCTTCCAATCCTCTCCATTCCCTTTTTCTTTTTCCTTCTTTCTCTCACCTGGTTCTGTCCAATTGCCTTATATCGGCCATTTCCAGTGTTTTCTGTGAGGTCGTGGTGCCCCCGGTTTCCTGTTCAGCATGCCTTTCGAAGCCCGTGTCAAGTCCGTTCTGTCGGGTGATACGGTGGTGCTGTCGCATGTCACCAATCCCTCACAAGAACGCATTCTCTCCTTGGCTTATGTCTCGGCTCCGAGGTTGAGGAGGGAAGGTGATGAGGTATGTGCTTAATCGTGCTTAATTGATGTTCCAATGTCTCCTTTGCTTCCCACTATTGAACCCCCGAAACCCGTGCCCACCCCTCGAGGCGTCTAGTCGTGTGATCCAGGTTAGGACAAGTCAATTGGAATACCACAGAAACTAATACAAACACCATCGCAGGCCTACGCTTTCCAGTCCCGCGAGTTCCTCCGTGAGCTGCTCGTTGGCAAGGTCATCCAATTCCACGTCGTCTACTCCATCCCCACCGGTGCCAAGCGCGAGTACGGTATCATCAAGCTGCCTGGCTTCGATGCTCAGCTTCCCGACATCAGTGTTCAAGAGGGCTGGACCAAGGTTCGTGAGGAGGCCGGCAAGCGGAGTGACGATTCTGAGGAAACTCTCGCGCTGCTGGACCGGCTGCGAGCCTTGGAGTCACTCGCCCAGGATGAGAACAAGGGTGTCTGGGCCTCATCAGACAAGGGTCTGATTGAGAATAGCTATGAACTGGCCAATGGCCAGGAATTGGTTAGCAAGCACAAGGGAGAACAGCTGGAGGGTATTATTGAGAAGGTTTTGAACGGTGACCGAGTCGTGCTGCGTCTGCTCCTCTCACCCCAGGAGCACGTCCAGACCGTCGTGGCCGTTGCCGGTGTCCGCTCCCCGTCCGCCAAGCGCACCACCGCCGAGGGCAAGGAGCAGGCTGCCGAGCCTTTCGGCGACGAGGCACAGCAGTTTGTCGAGTCCCGACTCCTTCAGCGCAAGGTCAAGGTCGCTCTGCTCGGTGTCACACCACAAGGCCAGCTGGTGGTTACTCTTCTCCACCCCAACGGCAACATTGCCCGTTTCCTTCTTGAGGAAGGTCTGGCTCGCTGCCAGGATCACCACTCCGCCATGCTCGGCGGCGACATGGCTCTCCTTCGCCAGGCCGAGCTCTCGGCGAAGAAAGCCCGCAAGGGAATCTTCACCAGCCACGTCGCTCCCCAGGGTAGCGGTGCTGAGGCTCTCGATTACACTGTCAGCCGTGTCCTGAACGCCGATACTATCTTCATCCGGAACAAGGCCGGCCAGGAGAAGAAGATTAGCCTGACCAGCATTCGCCAGCCCAAGCCTTCCGACCCCAAGCAGGCTCCTTTCTCTAACGATGCCAAGGAATTCCTGCGCAAGAAGGTCATCGGTAAGAGTGTCAAGGTCACTGTGAACGGCAAGAAGCCCGCTACCGAAGGCTACGAGGAGCGGGAGGTTGCTACTGTTGTTCAGGGCAACACCAACATCGGCCTGGCCCTTGTTGAGGCTGGTTACGCCTCTGTCATCCGCCACCGCATGGACGACCCCGACCGCTCCCCCGACTACGATGCTCTGCTTGTCTCTGAGTCCGAGGCCCAGGCTGATGGCCGTGGAATGTGGTCTCCCAAGCCCCCCAAGGTGAAGCAGTACACGGACTACTCTGAGAGCGTTCAAAAGGCCAAGCTGGAGGTCGGTATCCTGCAACGCTCCAAGCGCATCCCCGCCGTTGTCGACTTTGTCAAGTCAGGCTCTCGCTTCACTGTTCTAGTCCCCCGCGAGAATGCCAAGTTGACCCTCGTTCTGTCGGGTATTCGTGCTCCTCGTTCCGCCCGTGGCCCCAATGACGCTGGTGAGCCCTTCGGCCAAGAAGCCCACGATCTGGCTATCCGCCGCTGCATGCAGCGCGATGTTGAAATTGATGTCGAGACCATCGATAAGGTCGGTGGCTTCATCGGTACTCTGTACGTGAACAAGGAGAACTTCACCAAGATTCTGCTTGAGGAGGGTTTCGCCACTGTGCACGCCTACTCGGCTGAACAGTCTGGCCATGCCAACGAGTACTTTGCCGCCGAGGAGCGGGCTAAGGATGCCCGTAAGGGTCTTTGGCACGACTGGGACCCTAGCAAGGAGGTCGAGGCTGAGGAGTCTGAGGTTGCAAACGGTACCGGCAACGAGAGCGAGGCTGCTGCTGCGTCCCGTCGTAAGGACTACCGCGATGTCATGGTCACCCACATTGACCCCGAGACTGGTCGCCTGAAGCTGCAACAAATTGGCACCGGTACTAGCGCGCTTACCGAGCTGATGAGCGCCTTCCGCGCCTTCCACATCAACAAGGCTAATGACACCCCCCTGCCCGGTCCCCCCAAGGCCGGTGAGTGGGTTGCGGCTAAGTTCACCGAGGATGGTAACTGGTATCGCGCCAAGGTTCGCCGCAACGACCGCGAGAAGGAGCAGGCCGAGATTGTGTACGTCGATTTCGGAAACTCCGAGATCCAGCCCTGGAAGAACCTGCGCCCTCTTAACCAGCCCCAGTTCTCCGCCCAGAAGCTGCGTCCCCAGGCCGTCGATGCAGTCCTGTCTCTCCTGCAGTTCCCCACCTCCCAGGACTACCTCGAGGATGCTGTCGCTTTCCTGGGTGACCAGACCTTCGACCGCCAGCTGGTCGCCAACGTCGACCACGTCGAGCCCGAGGGTACTCTGCACGTCACCCTGCTCGACCCATCTGTCTCCAAGAGCCTGGACCAGAGCATCAATGCCGACGTAGTCCGTGAGGGTTTCGCCATGGTCCCCCGCAAGCTGAAGGCATGGGAGCGCGCTTCTACCGACACCCTGGATAACCTGCGGGAGCTGGAGACCGAGGCCAAGGCTGGCCGCCTCGGTATGTGGGAGTATGGTGATCTGACTGAGGATTAAATCTTGTTTTCTATATATTTTGTATTTACTTTGCGGGAGGATTTTGCGGTGCGTTTTCATGTCTGTACAAAATATGGGGTCTGGTCCTCACAAAATAGCAAGTGCCATAATATGCATGAAATGTTGCTGGCTAAGGATAAATTAATTGTATGCTGCACTGACAGTGTCGATCGGAGCATAGTTGTCGATTAACTTTTAGTTTGCTCGGGTCATCGAATCTCTACCAAAAGAGTTGGAATCTATAGGAACATCTACGTTTTGAAAAAGTCTATTTACCTTCACTAATCCGCATAAAAAGTTATTCTAATCTCGGCCTTCGGCATTCAGTCCCGCCGCGTGGGTCATTCAGCCTCTCAGGGTCTCCATCACCAAGCCAGATCCAATAGTCGACCAATAGTCCCACGTCCACATCCCATGGAAACTCTCGCCCTCCGCAAATTAAAGATTTGTTGCTGACCGCCTCCTCTTTCGCCCCGACCATTTGACCATCTCCGCCACCACCAATCTTCACTTCAAAAGCTCAGGGTCAACTCCTATTTGTACATTACTGCATAGAATCGCAAAAAAGAGGACTCTGGAAAGGATCTTCACATTTTGAGCATAATGCTTTGGCGGACCAAGTCCCATCACAGCCAGGCCGCTTCGGAGCAGGACCTCGCGCGCACGGCGTCAGCATCGAAGAATGACCCGTCCGCATCGGCGACTCAGGCCGCGGGCACGGCATGGTTGGCTGGCCATTTGAACCATTTGACGCCGGAGCAGGAGGAGAAATTGGTTGAGTTTAAGGGTGTTTGTGCTGAGCGCAAGTATTACACGCCCGCTGTGGAGGCGGCGGAGGGTGTTGAGGCTGTGCCGGCCAGTCACGATGATGCGACGATGCTGTACGTTTGTACTACCTGGAGGGACTGCGCGTTGGATGGGCACTGACCTTCTTCTTTCTTTTCGACAGGCGCTTTTTGCGAGCTCGCAAGTTCGATGTTGAGGGGGCGTGGGGTCAATTCAGGGACACGGAGGATTGGCGGAAGGAGAATGCTATTGAGGCGCTTTATGCGAATATCGGTGTTGACTCGTACGAGGCTGCTCGACGGATGGTATGTGCTGAAGCTTTGGGAGACGTACAATTCGAAGAGACTATGGACTAACGCTTTTCTTTTGTTACGATAGTATCCGCAATGGACCGGTCGTCGCGATCGCCGCGGTATCCCCGTCTACGTCTTTGAAATCCGCCATTTGAACTCCAAGGAGATGGCCGCTTACAATAATACCATGAACACGGGTACACCCGAGACGCACAAGTCATCGACTGTGCCCGCGCGACTACTGAATTTGTTCGCCTTGTACGAGAACTTGTTGAACTTTGTTATGCCGCTGTGCTCGGCTCTGGCGCGGCCAAACCCCGAAACTCCCATCGTGACTTCGACCAATATCGTTGATGTGAGCGGTGTCGGACTGAAGCAGTTCTGGAACTTGAAGGGCCACATGCAGGATGCTAGTGTGTTGGCGACGGCTCATTATCCCGAGACGTTGGATCGTATCTTTGTATGTTTGACGCCGGATCTCGCATTGTCTTTTTTTTCGGATCTGGATTGATTCTAACGATTTAGTAGATTATCGGCGCACCTAGTTTCTTCCCTACCGTCTGGGGCTGGATCAAGCGCTGGTTCGACCCAGTCACCACCTCGAAGATCTTCATCCTGTCCGCCGCGGAAGTCCAGCCCACTCTAACCTCCTTCATGGACCCCACCAGCATCCCCAAGCAGTACGGCGGCGAACTCGACTGGCAGTGGGGCGACATGCCCAACCTGGATGAGCCTGCCCGTGAACTCCTCCAGAACCTGGAGCAGCCTCTAGCAGAGGGTAAAGAGAAGAAGGAGATTCTCAAGGGACCTATCTTGTTTAAGGGTGATAAGATCGAGGTCCTGGGTACGGAGAATGGCAAGGAGCGCCGGGAAATTATCCCCGTGCCGCAGGCTAAGGTCCCCGAGCAGGCGGTCGAGACTAAGATTGAGACCAATGGTAATGGTACTGCCGAGCCTGTTAAGGAGACCACTGAGAATGGAGACGTGGAGTCTACGACCGCCCCTGCTGCCGAGAACGAGAAGACTGGCCTGGATAATGTGGCGGTGAACGTCAACCAGGTCGCCGGCCAGGAGGGCCAGACCACGACTGCTGCTGCATAGATGCATTCATAGACTCGGGTGATGTGGAGTGTTGTTGTGATGTTAATTCAGGTGTCTGAGAGACAGATGCAGATCCTATAAACCGAGGCTCGTCTCGTGTTGGCTTGTTCTTTTCTATTCTTTTCTTTGCATGACCCATCTGAATGTGTCTGCCTGGGTCGTTGACATTCTCAAATTCTTCTCTTTCGTTCCCGTGTTGTTTGTTACGGGGACTTGCATGTGCATTTGTTTTGGTGATTGGCAAATAGAAGGAGATTGTTTCGGTTTTTCTTTTACCTATTTTTCTTTTCTTATCAATCATTCCCAACAGTTTTTTCTCGGGTGGTTTGATCTTCATGTGTATGGTTTTTCATATGGTGACACCTATGTGGTTCCGTTTTATCTCTATCTATTATCCCTACTTCTTTACTCCCTGTTCCATTGGTGGGCTAAGTGAGCTACCTATGATAGCCTGTGGAGGTTAACGGTCTGTCCGTCCTGCTGAGGGACTTTCGGTGATTCATCTTGAGAGTGATAGAACATACCATATACACGACTTCTATTTTTATGTTTCGAATGATCAAAGTATAGAATTCAATTTGTGAGGTGAATGTAGAGCAATAGCACTGTTTGTTTTGATACTAAATGAAGTATATACAGAGTATCTGAGTGGCTAGTATTGATCTGCCCAACCCTTGCTGGTGGGTGTGTTTCACATGGGATGTGATAATGGGTTGAGACGAACTGGTTACTGGAATAGGGTTAGGGTGTTATTCCCCGCTAAAAGTTCGTCAGAGAATGTGAAGGGTGGCGGGGTAAACTCATAGTGATGCAAGTTTGAATTACTGACTTCATTTTGACTCATTCAACTAGTGATTACTCGATCATTCTATTCTTCTTGGTACCGAGTAGTAGTCCCGTAGACATATGTACACTCTGTGTCACCTGATCCCAGTCCAGGGGTATGCATCATGTGACTGTCTGCCTTACATTTCGGGAATTTCCATCAGCCACTCAAAAGTGGTAAGTAATTCATTCTGTACGACTTAATGCACGTTCACTCTAAATTCAGTTCAGATCATAAAATTGAGCCTCTTTACAGGTGACCTATCTTAAGCACAGACTTTGATGTACTACTATACGCACTTTAGAATCAAAAATTTCCCCCTATGGTTCTCCCCTTTGAAAGTTTCCCGACCCTCTCCGAATCCACTTTTCCTCCCCCTCAATCGGACCAGACCCTGGGGTAATCCCGCCTTATCCCACCCCCAGAATCCGGAATCATTGAATCAGGCAACTGGATTTGATACTGTCACGTCTAAGCGCACGCTAAACGAACCAGATTGGCAGATTCTCGATTGTTGGGGAAGATGTGCCGCTAGGATGAAGGGATCAGATGGGGATCGACGTCATTCTCCGGTGCCTTTGAGCCAAATTTGGATAAGCCCGAGGCTCGTTTTTAGCTCGTTTGGGGAAGGGGGAAAAGTGGAAAAGTGGAGATTCACGAAATTCACATGGGCCGAGACTGACTTACTGAGAGATCGACGTGCCACACCACCCAACTGGGTAAGTTGGTCTCCGGACTTTGCCTGACTTTAGGACCAGATTTCTGATTTAAAATCCAACCCACCCACCCACCACGAAGATGTTAGTTCCCTTGACGAATATTGTTGTTCAATTGCTGTTCGTGTCAATCCACACGCCATGACTGCTGAACGCAATCCCAAGGACTCTATGAAGTCCACCTGGCGACAACAGGCTCGCTCCGAGTGGACTCTTGCCCACTGGTTCTACGAACTGCTCGGTATTCACCCAGAGCATCTCGATGCCAACGTCCCCGTCCATGTCAAAGAGGACGCCGTACCATACGTTCCCGACTGGTCCATGCACCGCTGGGTACTCACCCACTCGGTCATCCCGATCATCCTGCAACACGCCTACGTCCAATACACCGGCCACAATATCGGCGCGATTGGCGCATTCATCCTCTACAGCATCGCCTTCAAGGCCATCGCTATCCACGAACTACACGTCCTCCGCCGTCTCGGTCATACATACGGCTTCCTCGATGGCGACAAACACGCCCGAGACGGCGTTCCCGATATTGGCGTCGCAAAGGTCGTCCGCTCATTATTATCCACTTCCACCTTCCGCCCCATGTTCACCGTCTTCTTCGCCTACCGTACCGCCCAGGCCCCCTCGTCCATGAGTTTCGCCTGGCTGCCGCTCGAAATCGGCTTGTATGGCATCATCCTCGACTTCTGGTTCTACTGGTACCACCGGGTCATGCACGATTTCGACGGTCTATGGAAATACCACCGAACCCACCACTTGACTAAACACCCTAACCCCTTGCTCACGCTCTACGCCGATACTGAGCAGGAATTCTTCGATATCGCCGGTATCCCGATGATGACCTTCTTCACCATGAAATTCATGGGCATGCCTATGGGTTTCTACGAATGGTGGATCTGCCATCAGTATGTCGTTTTCGCTGAGTTGGCCGGTCACTCTGGTTTACGTGTGCATGCTTCCCCGCCCTCTACGCTGAGCTGGTTGCTTCGCTGGTTTGACGCGGAACTCGTCATTGAAGACCATGATTTGCATCATCGTAAGGGCTGGAAGAAGAGTCATAATTATGGCAAGCAGACCCGGTTGTGGGATCGGGTGTTTGGTACTTGTTGTGATCGGATTGAGTCTGTACAGGGGAATGTGGATTATGTGAATCAGTCGCCTATGCCGTTGTATTGATGGTGTGTGTGCTGGTTGAGTGACGGGGGGTAGATTGTATAGATGATATACTTTCTTTTTTTGGAGTCTGTGTGGTGTATATAGGGTTGGTGATTTTTCGAAAATCGTGACCCAGGTGTGGATGGGGTGTCACTTTTTGATGGATTTGCTTTTTGGGTCGGTTCTTTTTGATTTTTCACGCATTTGATACCATGCTAGATATGCCCAATACCAATGATTGAATGAATGAATCACTTTTCCAAAATCAGGCTGGTACATACTGGTGGGATCTTGTAGAATTCGACTTCTCTTCCCAATTACTCACGAGGCGAAGTTGGATAACTGAAACCTCTAGAGATTGGGCTTGAGTCCTCGTCCTGTATAATTCGGAGAACGTCGTGAATGATACATACTACGGCGGTTCATAGCACCCACCGACCTGATGGGCATTTTCATGACCACAGACCTATGCACATCCTAATTAGGCAATATAGGCTGATTTGAAATTACTGCAGAAATCAACGAATATTATCACTGCTGATCCTCCTGCGAATCCTCCTGTGAATCCTTTCTCGCCGTTGACCAGATTCAAGTACCACAAAGATAGTGCCCCCACTTCCTCTTGATGCACACAGGGAGGACATTCGAGCCCTAACCCTCGTCGGTAAGTCTGCTAAGGAGATTTGCGCTATCCTCGAAAATTAGTGTAATAAATAAATGAGTGGTAAATCGGTCGTGTATTAGAGTGGTAAAGCTGCATCTTAAGCGTGTATAATCCTGGTGATAAAGAGCCTGGAACCAGAAATATGCCTAATGATTAAGGCAGAAAGGCAGAAAGGCAGAAAAATAGTTGGACTTGGTCGAAATCAGGGATCCTGCCGGTGTTTTTAGTATAAAAAACTTCATCGGGTTGTTGGCCGCTATGAACCGCCGTTTTGGACATAAGGCTGGAAAAAAGAGGGGCTCAGACAATCTGTCATAGGCAATGCCCCGCAATCAGATCTCTTCAAACCAATAACACTCGATAATCTTCACCCAATGCCACTAGTTTTCTTATTCTTGTACTTGCCCCTCCTCTACTTCTCATGACACTTCAAATGGGAACCAAGGCGAGGTTTGAACACTGGAAACAAGTCAACATGAACAGTCTACATTCAGTCCATCATAACCAAACTCTCTATTTCCTCCTCTCACAATATGAACTCCTCGAACGTACAGCTCACCATCTCTCAGCGCTGGACTTATTCAACCTTGCCCTGACATGTCAAAACCTACACTCCCTCATCCTCGAGTCACACCCAGTATTCAGCAAACTAAAGCGCCTCACCATCTGTTCCGGCCAGGGATTACACAAGCGCCAAACATTCACCGGGATGTACAAACCCTATCACGATGAATTCATCCATCGATACATGTACGGACCGAGAGACGACGAAGAAATCGAAGTCCGACTCTACAATTTAAAATGTGACACTTACAACGCCCTCCCATGTCAGAAATGTGGGGTTAATATCTGCGAAGTACGTACACCTCCTTTCAAATACTAAATGCGCTCCCAATTAATCCATCCAAGGAATGTCGCTACGTCCCACGCGTCCGAGACACACCCTTCTACAAATCCCGTCGAAGGCCACATCATAACCCCGGATGGGAACGAGAAGCAATAACATGTTATTGCCATAGTTGTGATGAAAAGATCCAAAACACCTTACCGACACGACTATCAGAGCTCTGTGATTGCGATCAATATACTCGCTGGATATGTCATTCTTGTCGGATGAAGGAGGATCGGTGTAGTACGTATAAGACTGCGCAGCATTGGGAGGGTGGAGATGGGAATCATGGGATTGAGGAGGGGTTGTGGCTTCCGGATCATCAGACTATGACGGCGGTAAGTATGAGGCTTGTTCGCTGGGGTTGGTGGTTTGGCATTGCTGATTGATGATTGTGTTTAGTATTGGTGTCCGTGTGGGAAGAGAGCGCCGAGGGATGGGAATGTGCGTTGTTCTTGGTGTTTGAGGAGGCATGATTTGGATACGTGGTTGAATGAGGATCCCAATTATATTCCCTATTTTGATGGGCCTCTTGGGCAAAGTGAGCGTGAGGAATAGCAAGTATGTTGGGTTATGATTTTACTCTGAATATGCTACTATATAGAGGTACTCACGCCTACAAATGCTCCTTATTGGTTTGATATGGGTTGAAGGAATTGTGTTTGACCCAAAAAAGCATCAAAAATCCATTGTCCGCCTATACTTTTTTGTGCAGGACTAAGTCCGCCCTAAACCTAAGAATAATTACCCGAGTTCATTCTCCCTCAATTTTCCTTCCTTTCCAGCTCGAGCACGAGTGCCTGTGCTTCCTTCATGAGCGTGTCGGTCAAATCAACCTTCTCACTGACAACTCCCGCAAACTCCTTGTCCCTGGCCGCCTCTGGGATTTGTCCGTCTATGGCCGCAACGTTATGTAAGTCACTGACCAGGCTTCCCACCAGCTCGTCAACTTCCTTTTGGAGTTCCTTGAAATGTTCGCCAACAATCCGATTGAACTCGGTCTTGGCTCGAGCATAGTAGTTGCCGACGAGGTCCTTGGGCCCGGTGTACTCGGTGAGAATGTTTTTGCGTTTTCGGTCACCTCCCTTCCCTAGATTGTGAAAACCTCGTCAGATAATTCCCAAAATATTCTCTAGTTTGAGTCATAATCACCTTCCACGTCATTGCATGCCTGATAGGCCGGATACATGAAATCTCCGACGTATGAGTCCAGAGGATCATCGCTGAGCATAGTGTCCTTCATGACCCTGTAGTGAAGTCAACGAAAATTCGAGTGATGGAGGGACTTGGGTATGTGCCATACTCAGCAGCATCTTTGACTTTTTCCAAGGTCAACTTGAACGCCTCTTCGATGGCTTTCTGGCGGAGTTTCATGGCCTCCACCAGTCCCTTGCAAGATCTGGTAGGCATGATAGATTGTGCTGAAATGCGAATTCTGGTCAAATGATGATCCAAATAATGAGCTCATTGTTGGCCGACTTACTTTCAAGCATCCGGCAAATAGCCTGGGAATGTTCATCGATGCCCTGCGTAAGTTCAACGATCTCCGAGTCCATCCAGTTCATCAAGGCGTCCCACTCAACCTCCAGCCTTTTGATTGCTGGGCTGAGTAGCTCTTTATTCCAAGCATGATTGGGTCGAGATGGAGTTGAATGCTCCCCAAGGTGACGACAGAAAGCTGTAAAGGTGTTGTGTCGCCACTTTGTGAGAAGGCTGTCAGATACAACATCCATGAAATAAGTATTTAGGGCAGGGACTGTAACTCACCTTCCTCCATTGCTTGCCAGCTTCAATACATGCGTCCCGCCACTCCTTCGCAATGTCATCTTCAATAGAATTAGCGTTGATAATCTCAGAAAATAAAAAGAAGCGCTTACCAATTGCCCCAAGAATCAGCACTGTGAATGCTTGAGCCAGGTTATACCGAGCGGTGATCACAATTCCCCAAGGAAGCTGGAATCGCTGTTTCGTGTTAGAGTGCAAGTGGAAATATTCAATGGTCCAATTTGACTTACCTTGTGAAGCTGACGTTCCGCATTTTCCAGGAGAAGGCGGATGCTCGCGGCTTTCAGCTCGTCCGCATCGTCGAACGCAGGTAAAGTCCACAGGGCCAAGGAGTTGAGCTCAGAGGGAACCTTGGTTCTGATGAAACTGGAGATGGTGTCAAACTGCGCTTGTGCGGGTACGGACGAACAATATTGGTGCAATTGGGGGATTCCGCTGAGCTCAGCCCGCATCTTTGCCTTCTTAGTTTTCCCCTTACCAAATCTCTTGAAGTAGGCGTTGCTGACACAGAAGACCTTCTTATTCTTGCGAGTTCTCATTCTAGCCATCTCTCGGATGACTTGATCGTTTCGATCTTCAATCAGGAATTTGGTTCGTCTGAACGAAAATTTGTCAGTTAAGGCTGAATGACTTTCTTTTTGTTGAAGAGCTTACTCAAAGTCAAGCTTGTCCTTCTCGTCCCTATCACATTGTGAGTTGGCATTCATCGGACGGGAGAGTATTGATCGACTTACTGCAGTGCCAAAATCCGCGACTCGGTCAAGACCCTTTCAGCTCCCTCTGCGTCTTCTCTAGCAGAGCAGAGAGCTTCTATCTCATGGCCCAGAGCGCTGATTTTGTCGTTGAGTCGTTTCACATGTTCTGCACTCTCTGTGTTGTTCCTAGCGTACTCATGCGGGTTGACGACCTGATTCAGAATGTCAGATTGTGCAACTTCTTATAATGTCATGGGGAACATACATCTATCCCAGTAACCAGGACAACTTGTGGGAAAGTGGGTTTGAACCTCGCCGATATTTCCTCAACCGTCGGATCGGCGACACATCGATCAATCCACGTGACGAATCCGAGAACATTGCAATTCCACCTGATGTACTTCATGGTGACCTTTTTTCTGATGAAGTCCGAGTCTCGTAGACCTGCTTGTCGTCAGCGAAGGAGTCCAAAGTTTCGAATGTGTCGAACCTACCGGGCATATCAGCCAACACCAAGCCTGACTTCAGAATGGGGGAGTCGAGGTACACCCTGGTCTCTTGTTAGCAAATATTCAATCCCATAGACTATACTCTTTCTTAACCTGATCAGCTTGACAAAAGGCCAGATTGCGGGATCGTTTCCTCGGCCATCTGTGGTCAGAAGGTCAAGATACCGTTTGCATTCGTCAATGCCGTCTGTAGCCTGGATATAGCAGCCCGATGTCATCTTGCCTGGACGGCGATACAATCCATCTGTTGCCATCTGCAACAGCTTGTCCAGCACTTGAGTCTCCGAGTTCGGATCGCCGTTCCCTGTCAGAAACTCGGGTGTACAAGCAGCCTGGTCTCGGAACAAGGCATATAATGTTTCTAACGCCCCATCACTCGATAGCTTCAGCTCTGTCACTTTTTCCGGAGTGAGAACATCGGCAGACTCTTCGAATCCATAGGGAATTGAATTGATGTCGGCATCCTCGGCTTCATCCGCGCTGTCACTTGTTTCAACAGCCTCGGTGGCAGTTTCGACTCTGAAATAGTAGTGACGCACAGTCTGGAGGAGCTCTCGAAGTAGGCCCCTCATTTCCTCTGGATCCATGTAGTTGACTTGGATGGTATAAGGTCGATCGATCTGGTCATTAACAGCCCGATACTCGACTACCACGCTGGTGCAGGCGTGTCCGTCGTTCTTCTAGATATGTTAGTTAGACATTGACAGTGTTCAATGGAAGCTCTGGGGACTTTACCGAACGAGCAAGGCTGCCGTCGTCGAGGATCGAGTTGATCAGGGAGCTCTTTCCTATTTGAACATTAGCCGCTATCCTTACCGAGCTATAAAGAAGAGAACGAGGAAACAAACCGGATCCAGTGGCGCCGATGAGTCCGATCGTGCGAGTTTCCGGGTATCGAAATTTGCTTAGGTCCTGGAAGTTTCTGTAAAGAAGACTGAGTCCGCTGCTCGTGTCCTTTACGATATCAGAGTGGGACAAAATATCGGTGATATCTTTGAAGCTCTTCGTCATTTGTTCCAAGACATTTTGGAGTCGTGGATCATCAACTGCTGCCCGCAAGTGATGATAGGTATTGTTGCTGTTGAGATCATTGTTTTCTGCGGGGGCCAAAGATGGTTCATGCTGTGTAAAATCCATTTTGACTTGAGTGGTTTCCGAGCGCAAATCCATGGTTGATGAAATCTGGGGGTAGTTTTCGAGTGAGGTCGAGTTGGGAGACTTGATTTGCTGCTGGGGGATATGTGAGGTAGATAATTGATGTGATTGTGGATGGAGTAATGAGGATTGTAATGCTCTGTTCGAAAAGTGTTAGTGGAAAGAGAGTCGGATGTGGGGAGGGGAGTGTGCGGTGAAAAGGGTCCGGGGTAAAGTGGGAAAAATCCGAGGGTTCTTGGGACGGAAAAGAGAGTAAAATGAGATCTGAGTAGAAATGGGAGCTGTTACCTCAAGTATGTGAGGGGCTGTTGGTATAGCATGAGGAGAGAATCTTTTGAGTAGGCTGAATGTGTGAAGATGTAATGAGGCAGTATGCTGGAGTTGATAGGAAGCAGTAGGAGTTTAGAGAAACGAGGTCGAGCAAGAGAAAAATTGTTTCGACGAGGCGAGAGTTAATCCAGAGAAGCCACTGAGGATGGAATGGAACAATGGCTGGCATTTATCACAGTCAAAGTGGCCCTGTCCTTGTTGCTCGACTCACTGACAAGTCGGGAGAAAACTGGAGTGAACCTAATGTACGATGAAGTAGTGTGAGACCGTTGTGAAGCTCATCTGAAGGATATCAAATGTCAATAGAGCCAAATTTATCATTTCTAAAGAAATATAGATTACAGTCTTAAAAGCAGATCCATTATATGCATCCCCCAGCCTTCGGGGATAGACTAAGTGGCCTTCCACAACATGTTGACCTGCTTTTTCCGAGTCTATTGTTAAAAGTGTTAGCAGGTTTATCCAAAATGAGGCGAAAAATGGGACCGATTGCAGAGTAAGACTTACCATCGGGGCCAAGAAAGCGACACCAGCGGCCAAAGCCACCACAGTCAAGACAAGCTGCAACTTGGAGAAACTCTTGCCAAGAATATCAAAGGCTTGACTGGGGGTGGCGCGGGTGCCATAGATATCACCTCCGAAGGCAAAGATCAGGCTGGTACTCTCAAGCTGGGTGGGGCGAGAAAGGACAGTCTGAATGCCAGCGACATCGCGAGAGTGGGTGAGGTACCACTTGCCATCGAAATCCAGGTACGGCGCGTACCGGAACAAGCCCTCTTCCGCCTCGGCGGAGGTAGGGTCCCGATCGACGGGGCGACGAGGGTCCAGGACAGGACGGGGGATACCAACGATGGCATTGGAGGACGGCAGAACGCAGAGGAGCTGGCGGGTGGTGATACCCTGGCGAGTCTGAGTGACAGCCATGTGGGAGATAGGCTCGGCAATGACAAAGGACTGGGAGACGACGTGGGGAAGCGGGAGATCATGAAGACTGGAGTAGTTTCCTGCCGCGTCCAGGGGACCACGGTCATTGGCGATGGGGGATTCGTAGAGCTCCGAGACTACGAGCTGGTAGCCCTTGGCGGAGGACTCGTCGACGGCATCGCCGAAGAACGAGTAGGCGAACCAGTTCTCAGAGATGGCGGAAGCAATGGGCTGGGTTGGGTCGACGCCGGATCGGCTCACAGAGTACAGGACCTTGCCCGAGACGCCGTCAAGCAGATAGAAGCCAGCGGTGTGAACCTGCTCGTTCACAGCAGTCACCAGCACCAGATTCTGGTTGAGATACTTGTACAGGACAGAGCGATCACCGAGCACCTTTCCAATCGAGGCAACAGGATCATGCGAAGGGCGGCTCACAGCCTTGATAACCTTTTGGCCCGCGGGGGGAACAAACTCCCACACAGGAGACTTGTTATCCTTCTCAACCCAGCCGAGAACACGGCCATCATTGCTGGTGGTGACCAAGAAGCCAGTGATATCGTCGAACAAAGAGACAGGAGAGCCATCCTCTTGAATGCCCAGGGAGCCAACCCGGACCACCGATGAGCCCACTTGGTGCTCAAAGGTGGCAATCGACTGGAGCTTGACGTTGGTGGGTGCAGAGCGTGAGATAATTTCTCCCGTGGAGCTATTGACACGGACCGAGCTACCATCGCCGATGTAGATATCTGCGGATCCAGGGATGGTCAAGATAGCCTTGATGTCCCAGTGCGAGGTCTTCTCCGCCTGAACACTCCACTTGATAGTACCCTGGCGACCAGTATCTAGGGCATAAACACGTCCTTTCTTGGTGGCTACAATGATTGACTTGGCAACGCCGAAGCTGTCAAGGTTGGACACTTCGTCGGTCAAGATACTGGTGATAATGCGCTTAGGCAGTTCCTTCAGCCAGTCGGGCAGGTGCTGAAGATCACGAAGGTGGCGCTTCACCCGATGGATGTAGGCACCAATCAGACTCTCGTGGCCCTCAACCTCCAATTCATGGACCAAGTCCTCCTGATCTTCTTCTTCCACCCAAGCAGCAGCAACGGTGTGAATCAGAGCCTCGGGGCGGGTCCACTCGGTCTGACCATTGCGGATCAACGACCAGTCTCCAGACTTGCGGATGACGGCAGACCGGACAGCGACGGACTTGCCCTTGGTCACAACATCTGCAACTGCGTGGACGGCACGGTCGGTAGAGGACACATCTGCGTTCCAGCGACCCAGAATTCCGTGGGATGCGGAGGAGACGACAACAGCTTCCGAGTCTGTCACCCGAGTGAAGTACACGTTGGCATTAATGTTGTTGGTCGCCACCACAGACTGGCCTTGCAAGTAGGGCAGCTGGTAGGCCTTTGTGACAACAGAAGACTTCATATCAGTGTGGAAGACCTCTGCCCAGGCTCCAGTCTCAGTCTTGTAGTGAATCAGGAAATGTGCGAGCGAATTGAGCCTGTGCGGAGCATGGACCGTGATCTGCTGAACCTCCTGGCCAGAGGCGTTATCGATGGGGATGGTGTTGATCTGCTTGGTGCCGATGACGTTGACCTTCAGGGACTTGAACGACTTGTCAGCCCAGACGATCAAGGGCGATGCGGTGTTAGCGCCGACGAAGAAAATTGAATCCTGGGATGCAATATCGCTCTCGGTGTTCAAGGTCACCTGGCGATTCTGGCGACCTGTAATCGGGTCCAGTGAGGTGACCTTGATTTTGTAGCCCTTCAACATTGCAGACTGGAGCGAGATGTAGAAGATCTCCGAGGGCGAAGATGACACCTGGAACGGAACATCACCACTACAGCCGATGATTAGCAGTGTTCCCATTGAAAACCATCATATACGAACCTGTTATCCTTGTGTTCCCATTTGGTCTTGCCAGAATCACCGTCCAATCGCCTCACAACTCCGGCGCCCTCGCCGGAGGTGAGCACGATGGTATCCCTCGAGCCAGAGGTAGCACTGGCATCCTCCAGCTCCAACAGCTCGAGGTCTGCCACCGCGCCATCGGCAAACCGGTTCTCCCAAATCAATTTTCCGTCCTGGGCACTCCATGACGAGATGGAGTCACCTGCTGCACCAACAACAGCGTTGTTGCCATCCAGGCCACGCAGGATACCGGCCCCGCTGGGAGCAGACCCAGGGCGCGAGATATCCTGGCGCCAGATCAGCGAGCCGTCACGAGGGTTCACGGCGCCGACAATCGACTTCTCGGAGATCGTGTAGAGGAGAGAGGCGTTCGAGGAGGAGGAAGGCTTCAAGAAGAAGGTCGAGTCGGGGGAAGGGGCGCCGAGGAGGGCATGGTGGAATTCAATATGATTGACTTCATCAGAATAGATGGCCGCCGCGGGCGACAAGCACGCGGCGATAAAAAGGGCCGCTTGGAGCCGCATTGTGCTATGAATGGGGCATTGAAGGACTGGAGGTGGGAGATGAGGGTGTGTTGGTTCGAGCTCGGGTGGAGCGCGGCGGGCGGTCTCCCCGGACGAGGATGGATGACTGTCATCATTATTTTCAACGCTCTTCTTCAACAATCTCTCTAACTACATGAATGATACATATTTGCTTTATTTTTTAGTGTTTGATTCTATTTCTAGCTTGTGTATTATTTGAATGATCATTTTCGCTTCCTGAGATTGAATCTAGAGGTCACAGACGAAACTAGTCCTTCATTATATATTTTCCCCCCGCAAAAACACCCGAAACAGCCCTCGATCCAACATTGAGGTCTCTATACTAAACACCTTTGGACAAATGGAACTAATCCTCCTCTGCAATTGCATCCACCTCAATCTCAACCAGCATATCATCATCCACAAAGCTGTTAGCCACCACAATCATCGTTGCGGCAGCACCGACTTGGCCACCGTTATGCTTGCCCAGAACCTCCCGGAATGCTTCTCCAACGACGCCACAATCTTCTTTCCTGCTAACAAACATCCGGCACCGCACTACGCTTTCTGCGCCTCGACCACCAACAGCCTGGATGGCTTGGATGATCTCCTCCAAAGTGATCCGCGTCTGTTGGCGAGCATCGCCAGGGAACCGGACTCGGGGTGCCTCAGGAGGGGAGTCCGGGTCTGCCGCGGTCGAGCCAGACACGAAGATGTGACGGCCATGTCGCACGGCGCGATAGTAACCGAACTTGGCCTCCCACGGAGAGGAGGTACTGAAGAACCTCTTTTGAGTAGAGGGTGTCTCCGAGGCCATGATGAGCTTAGAAGGTAGAGAATGACGTAGAAACTTTGGAGGCCGTTAGTTGTAGATGGTCGTAAGGCAAGTAGAAAAGCCAGTTGTAGGTGAACTAGGTGAATTTGTCTTCAATAGAGGGCCAAGTAATTGAAGCGTGAAGTTGCTGCAATGTTCTCACTGAGGACGCCTTTCTACATTGGCTTTATACCTCCCACACGGAGCCCCGCCAATCGCCTCGTATAGCCGAAGCAACCTCAATGACTCACTATGTGGACACTTCAAGAGAGCCTTCAAACCTATAGCGCGACCAACTAATTCTCTTCCCAACTAACACTCAGAGAGCTTGTCAAATTGAAAATGTAAGTCTCAATTAGCGACAAATTATACCACCGAAGCTTCTGAAAAGTCGTGATAAGCGAAATGGTCGTGCAAGAGCTGGCACACATCTAGCGTCTGGAAAAACAGCACAAGATGTCCACTTTACGGAAGAACCAGAGAGCACCCATGAACCTGAAAATCGAAAGGCCCGAGGTGGCCCAGAGAACGACTCGGAAATACCATACAGCTCGCAAAGTGGAAGTCATCTAGCAGAATTAGCTTGTATTCCTCATAGGACTAGAAATCACATACTGTAATTAGACCTGCCTCCCTTATGCCTGTGGCACAGAGCAAGACTTGAGGGTTTCATTAATAAGCCACACCCCTGGTTCCATCTGGTGACTATTCCTTCTTTCTCACTGAACTGTAGCTCAGTTAGCCCAATAAGGTCGTTTTTATGCCTGTGATTTGAGTTTGTTATGCTTAATGTTACTGTGTAGTGGGGAAGAATGTTCTCTAGCTAGATGATTGGCCAGAAAAGACAACTCCAGCAAACAGGCAAGGAAGGTTGATCTTGGATTCTCACTGGCTTCACCAGCTGTCATTTTGCAGCTGTTCAACATATTCTGGGCTCACGACTAGACAAAGATGACAATAGGTGTTCCCAGTTTGCCTTCATCTTGGATGGTCTTCCACAATCACCTCGCGAAATAGCACCGTGGCTCTTACAGATGCGATCTAGTGACCTGATTATATTCCAAAGAGAATATCAAACTAGCCAGTTCGGTATTCGGATTCGCCAGGCTACATTAGAACCCTGTGATAGGTAAGCGACCACAATAGCCGGCTCGGTAACGATATCAACCTCGCCTGGGTAAATCGGGTAACTCTGGGGAGCGTATCCGGGCGCTGCAGTCACACCTTGGGTCGTTAACGATAAGGCGTCCCGGGGCCTAAGCCGCTAGAATGTGGTTCTGAATGCATGTCCACGTTGTCATGACCCGCCAAAAATTCTACGACCAGGCTTCAAGCATATAGGTGCTTTACCCCGCCTGCAAGCCCCCCGTCGGCTGCAGATCGGCAGTAATTGACTTGAAAAGTATTGGCTATCGTGGCCCACGCATTCTTGCACTAGCTTCCCCTCGAGGCTGTCATATTTGGGTGATTCCTCGAGATTGGTCACAGACATGCAGTGGATCTTAGGCTGCGGATAGGCGGGGCGGTCCTAGGTCATGGTGGCTGGATGTTTGTCTCGAGAGCTGCTGCATTAGAGGACATGACAAGATAAAAAGGCGCTTGAATGGTCTTGTGAAGTGGCCAACCCTTCAAAAAAGATTCCCAAACAAGATGGCTCTTGCTTTCTCAGCCCAGGCATATCATTTATATGCCATTCTTGCAGCATCGCTTCTTCTCCTTCTCCTCAGAAACCGATTCAGGAAAGGTCTGAGCGATATTCCTGGCCCTACTCTCGCCAGATACACCCGACTATGGAAACTTCACAATGTTTGGAAGGGTGATCACCACAATACCGCAATTGCGTTGCACAGAGAACATGGACACCTCGTCCGCATTGGCCCCAAACACATCTCTGTCGGGGATCCCAAGGCCATCCCTATTATATATGGCTTGAACAAGGGATTCACCAAGGTATTTGACAATCTAGAACTCTTGTATGATACTTTGGTCGCTGATGCTTGTTATGTTAGACGGCCTTCTATCCCATCCAGTGTATCTCGTGGAACAAAAAGCCTCAAATGAACCTCTTCTCCGATCGTGACGAGCAACACCACCGCGAACAAAAGCGCCTCGTTGCAAATGCCTACAGCCTAAGCTCTCTTCTCGAGATGGAGCCTGGTGTTGACTCGTGTACCCAGATCTTCCTTGCCAAACTTGGTAGCTTTGCAGACCGGAAGGAACCCGTTGATTTGGGTGCATGGCTTCAGTACTACTCATTCGACGTCGTTGGCGAGTTCGTCTTCGCCAAGAAACTTGGATTTCTCGAAGAAGGGCGAGACGTCGACGGCATGATTGTGGCCATTCAAGGAATGCTCGTATATGCAAGCCTGTGTGGTCAAGTCCCCGAAATGCATCATGTCTTGCTAGGCAATCCTCTTTTTCCGATCTTCCTGCCACAGATGGAGACCTGGAACTCGGTGGTGACATTCAGCCTGAAAGCAATCAACTCACGTTCATCATTGAAGCGTGGTGGAGAGTTGGAAGAAGAAGATCTGAAAGCTGGGAAAGACATGATGTCAAAGTGGATGGCTGTCCATCATCTCAACCCCGACAAGATGACTACAACAGATGTGATGGTTCATCTTTCAGCAAACGTGTTCGCTGGCTCCGATACTACAGCCATCGCTCTTCGCGCAGTGTTCTACTTCCTCCTCCGCAATCCAATGGTGATGGCCAAAGTCCAAAAGGAAATTGACAGCGCCACACGCGAGGGAAAACTGAGCGAACCCATCTCTTACCGCGAGTCTATGACCCATCTCCCATATCTAGGCGCTGTTATTAAGGAGACAATGCGTCTTCACCCATCGACAGGGCTGATCATGGAGCGCCATGTTCCAAGCGAAGGCGCAGTCATTAGTGGCAAAAATATCCCGGCCGGAACAGTTGTTGGCATCAATGCCTGGGTTGTGCATCGAAACCCCGAGGTTTTCGAGGACCCAGACTCATTCATTCCGGAACGATGGCTCGATAGTTCGCCCGAAAAGCTCAAGGAGATGGAACAGAGCTTTTTCGTCTTCGGTGCTGGAGCTCGGACTTGTCTAGGAAAGAACATTTCCCTGACGGAGATGCACAAAATGATACCGGAGTTGATGCGCAAGTTCGAACTCAAGCTGCGTAATCCAGAGAAAGAGTGGAAGACAAAGAATGTCTGGTTTGTCCAGCAAGAAGGTTTAATCTGTGATATTGTGCGCAGAAGATAGGAACCTAGATCGTTTATGTTCTATGTAGGGAGATCAAGCGAATCTGATTAGTCCAGGGACTTGACTAAGAACACCCCATGTCACAACCTTTTTCAGAAATTATTAAAAGAGCCACAGGTCCTGCTCAGAAACCCTGAAATCAACCAGGCGTGGCCGATCTATACTAAGGATGTTGCCGGTATGATTTGAGAATTCAAATGTTCTCTGGGTTCCTGAGAAGAAGACCTACTCTAGTCCACAGTATACCGTTTCGCCAGATCCAAGGGTTATATAGTAGCTGTCAGAAAAGAAATCGGAGATATTGATAGACTGATAAATTCAATCTTTCAGTCTGGTACTGCTATACTCATCATCAGCTCACTGCCCGAATACAGGCACTTTTTGACAAGTGCTAGATCGGAAAACTAGAATCTACATGTTTGTTCGCTAAGGATTCGCAAGGTTATGACCATCTTACATGTCAAACAATCACTACCCCCTCTCCGATGGCCTAGTTGGTATCCACCATAAATCGGTGAACCATTGGTGTGCCCTGGAGGAGTGGGCAAACAAAGGAAGAAGAAAAAAAAAATACTGGGCTAGTGTTGACGCTTCGAGCTCCACGGACGGCCGGGCACACCCTTAGGCGGCGGGAGTACAATTTTTTTTTTCGAGTTTTTCTCTTTATATTTTATTTTTCTAGTATAGATATATCTCAAAGGGCTTTTTATTATATGAATCAAACTCTTGAATAACCTTTTGACGGTGTAAGGAGGGCATTAATGAGGTGATGATATGAGGTGCGGCACTGGGGTAGGATGGCGATGTTCTTCAGTGTCCGTGGATGGCGACGCAGTAACGGGGCGAAGTATATAGGGGAGGGGAAGGTAGGAGGTTCGATTCATGGCAACGGCAGTTCGGTTTATTTGGAATCATGACAGGCAGGCTGTCTCGTCCGATTGAGGGTCGCCATTCCACGGTTCTTCCGCAAATAGATCTCGCTAGGACATCATTGTTAAATTCAAATCACTATTCAAATTGTAGTCCTCGTCGGGCACGCCAACAGCATAATGTGCGAGAATGGCATTGTAAAGCCGCTAATTTCGCTCGAATTTTGGTCCTGGATTTGCCTGATAGCTGTAGACGCAAGGCAGGTGTATAACGCTCCTTGGAGAATGGGATATCGGCGTTAGGCAATGGATCGTAAGCGTAATAAACTGTGCGGTTGGGAGCTGGGGCGTTTATCAAATAGCTGGTTCACTTAGCTTAAGCCGACATCATATCTCTAGAAATAGAAACTACCAAGGACAATGTACAAAAAATAGACGAACAGGGTGTTTAGAGAATAACAGACTCCTGACTAATGTCCATCTCGTATTCTCCGGCCGATCGCCATCATTGAGAGCCCCGCTGATTAGCCCAAGGATTTCGAAGGATCCTCCATGACATGCGTTCATGGATTTATTCCTCTATCAGAAGAAGCTGTTGATCAATCCTCATGTCTTAAAGCCACCAGTTCTCGAGCATGCGCATTATTACGTACTACTAAGTGCATGCCAGAGACTCAACCCAGTAAAGCAGCTCTTTATCTCCTAATCGCTTCTACCTTTCTCTACATCCGTCTTTCGATCTTCTCCAGCTGCTTCCTGCTCATTCCACCCAAAGCAATAGGATCCCTGCAAGTTCCTGCCCATCTTGCCAATTTCCGGCATCAACGATGAAACCCGCAATTACACGTTATCGGAATGGCGAGCTGCGCGCCTACCAGATACCCGATAGCATAGATAATCCCCTTGGGCCGGTCGTGACCTACCGCATCGAGTCCGATGACGAGGTTCAGAGTCATGCCGCCGCTCCAAACCTCGATCGCGCCGTCTACACGACCCGTAACAAGGTGGAATGCCTCAGCCAGAACGGGGGCATCCTCTGGCGATACGAGCTAGAGCCTCATACTCCCGAGCGCTTGCCAAGAACTGCGTGCATATTCTCCCTCGATGGGGCCTGGTTGTGGTTATATCGGCCCGACGCGATGTCGGATCGCGGCCCCGATCTCTTGGTTGTTCTGCGTGCCGATACGGGCGAGGTGGTCGCCCAGGTGGAGCTAGATACCGTCGGGCAGGGAGCCCAGTTCATGCAGCATCCCGACGGTCGTCATATCATGCTTGATGTGGGAGAGGGACAGGACGGGGTGAAAATCTTTCTCGCGTCGCTCAATAACGGCGGCGGCATAGACTTGCACTCCTACGGGTGGGACGACCGAGCCCTGATTGATGTCGCACCTAACGGGCAGTGCTTTATGACCGTCGACCATGGTCGGTTGGATGTCGCCTTTCACGCCTTTCCCAGTGGCGAGGAAGTGTTACGGTTACCCGTCGAAGATTTCGTTTCTGAGTGTGGTGATGAATTCATTGACTGGAGCGGCGGCTTTCTCAACACTGATATTGCAGCTATCGTGATTACAGGCGAGCTGAACGACGAAGAGTGGCACCACTACTACAAGGCTGACTTGCGCACTGGTGAGTCACTTGGGCGCTTTGAAGCGCACTGCTCCGAGATCGACAGCTTCCAAACCCTCGGTGACGACAGTTGGATCGTCTCCGATCTGAATGGCGACCCAGTACGCTACAGCTTAGTTGTGTGAGATCTTGCAGGAAATCTTGCTTTCCACTGGACCTTAATTCGGAGCTCATGTGAACAATAATCAATGCATTAAAGCTTCCTTCTGCGTATTCGCTATGTACAGGACCAAAATCACGGCCAAACTCCGTTCAAATGAGGACACAAATATTGTTACAAGCCAAAGCAAGCCTTGTTGGCTGACTGCACAGCCTCCTTCTCGCCCTCACTCATATCGTCAGTGATCTCCCAGGGCTTGTTACCAAGACCCAAAGCTCGCTGTCCCTCGGCATCCAGTGCGGACCAGTCCATAGCTCCCTTAAATCCAAATTCGCCAGGGCCACCAGCACCAGGGAAATCCCATGGAGGCGAATAGTCAATTGCAGCCTGGCGCTGCTTGAGCAGGTAGTCGATGTTCATGTCACACAGAGGGGTAGCAGGGATGTAGAGCACACTAGAGTCACTCTTACCGCGGTGCTCTTTATCGACAGAGTGGAGCATGTCGCAGTGCCAGGCAACAAAGTCACCGGGCTCAACTGTTGGCACCGACACCATAGTCGTCTCTAGCTCCAGTTCTGGGTGTGTCACAGGGTTGTACTCCTGGCAAGCGCCGGGAACAGAACCAGGGAAGGTGGCATCCAACTTAGGCTGCTGGCTGTTGACATCGAAGAAGGGACGGAGGATGGTATACGCGGTGCTGTGAACGATCATAGGGCACACGTGCAGAGAGCCCTCACCGGGAGCAGTGTCGGACATTGACATCCAGCCCTGGAAGAAGCGAAGCATGGAACAGGCACCGGCACCGTTGTACAGGTCCATCTTGGCGTTCAGGCGGTGCTTCGCATCCCACGCGTCGTATTGTTCCCAGTTGCCCTCCAAGATCTTAGTGTACACACTTGAGTACTCGGCATCTTCCCAGCGCTCGAGCGACCCACCGTCAACATGCGGTCCGAGGGCGAACTTGGCATCACCGGGATCCCTTATGCGCAGACGGTCCGAATAGGTGAGCGGGTTGGATGTTGACAGCTTGGTCTTGGGGTCGGATGAATGCCACAAACGTTGTAGGAAACGCTGGGTGTTGAGCATGTTGGGGTGAGCACGAGCTTCTGCTTGGCTTGGGGTCCAGTAGAGCTCATAGACTGCTGGCGATTCGGCAGGGAATGCCTTAACACGCTCTTTGTTGGCAGCAATGTAGTCACGAATACGCTGCTTGTAATCCAATGCCTTCTCGCGCGGAATGACATTTCGAATGACTACAGTACCGCGATGGCGGATTTCTTTCATAGTCGCCTCGGAGATTGTTCCCGAAACGACATCGGCGTAGTCCACAGAGGGAATTATCTGAGAATAGTCAATATTCATCACGAAAGACCCGAATAAACAGGGTGAAACAAAAGGGTTCAGAACATACATCACTGCCTTTCGTCCTGATCTTCTCCACTTCTTCCTCCAAGCTAGGCAACAGTCTCTTCCAACTCTCTGTCAAAGCTTTTTCATTCTTTTCAAACAGCCGTCTCTTCAAGTCTCCAAAACGTGGAGGAAGAGGCTCCGGCTGATAATCCGGTCTTAGACTTGGGAAGACCGACGAGATGTCACCGGCAGCTTTAGTGGTTTGCGCTGCGGCGGATGTAGATGCCGCACGGGCAGCTGCTTTTGAGAAAAGTTTTGACAATGTCATTTTGAAATGGGTTATGATCTCTTCCTCTTGGAACTCCTCTCAACTTAAATATGTTAATGCCCATCGAGGGATGTACCACGTAATAGGCGGGAGGCTACCCTTTTAGGAAGGATCCCGACCAATATCGGGTAGATTTCTATAAGGAGCCTAGCGCCACCTTGATGCTCGATCCGCGCTCCATGAGACATTCGTCACGCTACTTGAGAGGAGTGTTTGAATGACTACTTTCCTGTACTTCAAAAATATGATCTACTTTGATTCAATAAGTGCGGTTCGTATCAGAAGCTCTTTTTCACTCCAAAGAGCTACGAAACTTATGATTCTTATGTCATTACCAGGCTCTAGCCAACTCCGAACTACTCGAAGCGAATGTAAAGACTCGTGAAGGATCGCTGTTCAGGGGATAATATGTATATCAAAGCTTAACTTGGAGATATTATGCCCTTTCAGATCAGTCCGACATCTATTGAAAACATGTTATCCAGGGTATATGGATGACCTTGGAGAAGTCTTCCTAGTTACTAGCCCTTTAATCATCTACTGTGTAACCCACATAATGGGCTTAAGGAACCCAAAGAAACCTATCAAATGGAAAGAAAGGTAGGATGATCAGATGTCTTTGCACCCGAAAAGTCTACGTACATACTGACTACCGATGTCCACTGCCAAGTCATAGAGCACTTTGCCTGTTTAGGGACCCTACCCGCCGTAGTTGTAAAATGACCCGGGCGATATGAGATCATTGATCATTACTGCGGAGCCCCGGCATTCGGCATTGTAAAAACCCAGTCGATGGAGTTAGTTCGGGTATTAAGCTTAGGTTATAGAAATTTACTGCTATAGTGCCCTGCTCGAGTCTACTATTGGAATTTGCAATCTACTTGGCTGTCAAATACTCGGTGGCTGTTCGCGAAGTATGCAGCACGAAAGAGGAAATTCTGGCGAAGCCCCTCTCGCTCCACTGCCGATCCAGATGCAGGTTTCGAGGAAGAGAAATCAAAGAATGACTCTTATAGTAATTGTCTTGTAATATAGAAGGCTAGAGCCCTAAAAGCACACTCTCTGGAGACCAAATATTCTCGGGGATCTCGCCGGCCTGGCTCGGGCGACTTGCCTAGCAACCGAACGGCTAAATTCCCCCGCAAGGCCCCTCTTTCTCTAAAACGGCTATGTTACGCGCAATGATAGATCGCTGCAATGGACCCCGAAGTCCCACAGGTCCTGTGAGCATACATAAGAGCAGTACACTTCCGGCGAGAGCCAGCTGAGCTGCAAACCACTCCATAGGTCTCGTCAACTTGCAGAATGGCCCTCTCAGTCAAAGGAAGAACCGCCATAATTACTGGCGCAGGCTCTGGTATGTCGGCCGATAGACTTCTAGATTTGATATTGTAAAATAAGTACATACTCACGTCTGCCTAGGAATCAACTTTGCCTACGCCAAATTGCTGATAGAAAATGGATGCAATGTGCTAATTGCGGACTTGGCCCTGCGACCTGAGGCCAAGGCCTTGGTTGAGACATACTCCACTGGGTCGCCGCGAGCCATCTTCCAGGAGACCGACGTGTGCGATTGGTTGCAGCTAGAGCGCATGTTCGAAGTGGCCGAGAGAGAACTTGGTGAAATCGACATTGTCTGCCCTGGTGCTGGAGTCTACGAACCAGTAAGTGTGACCGATTGAGTTAGCGCGTCCAAAGTCTACAAAACTACGAAGGAGACAGATCACCAGACTGACACTATATGGCACAGCACTGGAGCAACTTCTGGCGCCCGCCTGGCTCGGCGCCCAGCAAAGACGCGCGTGATGGTGGCCGTTATGCCCTGGTGGATATCAACATTACACACCCCATCCGCACATCGCAGCTTGCAATTGCGCACTTTTTGAAGAACCGCAACAATGGTCGCCCGAAGCATCTCGTCCACATCTCTAGTATCGCTGGTCAGAATCCCGCCATGGCGGCGCCGATCTATGTCGCGACGAAACATGCCATTAACGGGCTGGTGCGATCGCTAAGCAAGCTCGACCGGCTTGGCATTCGTGTCACGGCCGTGGCGCCGGGTGTCATCAAGACGCCGCTGTGGACCGACCATCCTGAAAAATTGAAGATGGTAAACGACGGCGCAGATGAATGGGTAACGCCAGAAGAAGTCGCAGAGGTTATGATGGCGCTCGTGCAGCAGGACCAGGTGAGCGAGATTATTGGGGATCGGTCCGGCAAGGGTCAGCAGTATAGGGTTGTAGGAGGAACGATTCTCGAAGTATCGAAGACAGTGCGTGAAGTCAATGTATTCAACGATCCAGGCCCTGGGGACCGGCCAGGCAACACGGCGTCCGACCACGGAGCAGTCGAGGAGGAAAGTTTCCGACTTTTGTTGCAGGAGGGATGGGGACAAGCCAAGCTGTAGTTTAGTCATTAGCGACTCGCCATCACACCATATGCAGTGTCAATGAGAATCATGATGTTAGTAATTCGATCCACACGGGAGTAATGGACCCGTAGGGCGTGCCGTAAGTGTCGTAGTGCGGTGGTGAAATGGTGTCAGAGTAATTGCGGAGAGCGGACAAGTCAGGTGCCGCCGAGTTATCGGGGGAACAGGCCTGATAAGAGAGGCCACGCACGGCGCCGCTTCTTCACTTCTCATCTTCGCCCCTCGAATTCACAGCCCTGTCAAATTTGTCCGGCTCCGCTAGCCGTGGTCGCTGTCAGGTCTGATGCTACATCCCGATCTTTCGCCGAATTAGACGTGTGATTCAACTCGATACCATGGAGGAGGAGGCAGCTGTCGGGGTTGGCCCTGCCGGTTTGCCTCAGAGCGGTTCGCGATGGTATGTCCATCTACCCCCGGGCCTTTTATGGCAGCCTGGTATGTCGTTTGCTAACTGGAACGTCAAAATAGGCGTGCCGCTCGAGGGAAACGAGCCGCTGGATCAGCCGGAGAGGCTAGTTGGGCCAGCAGCGTGATCAATTTGGTTAATACGAGTGAGTCGACACAGTCGGGGAACTCGAGAGACAAGGCGCTAATATCTTCCTTCTACGCTATAGTTATCGGCGCTGGTGTACTCGCGATGCCACTCGCAATCTCGCACATGGGAATCGTTCTCGGAGTTTTGGTGATTCTGTGGTCTGGAGTGACAGCGGGATTTGGCCTTTACCTGCAATCCCGATGCGCGCAATATCTCGATCGTGGCAGCGCTTCATTCTTTGCGCTATCGCAATTGACATACCCTAATGCTGCTGTTGTATTTGACGCAGCTATTGCGATCAAATGTTTTGGTGTTGGCGTGAGCTACCTGATTATTATCGGTGATCTCATGCCCGGAGTCGTTCAGGGCTTCGTCGGAGGCGAACCGGTTTATGACTTCCTCGTTGACCGTCATTTCTGGGTAACAGCTTTCATGTATGTGTTCTCAATGCTTTTGTTTAACGAGTACTTTACTAAATTTGGATCTACAGGTTGATCGTGATTCCTCTTTCCTATCTGCGCCGATTGGACTCCCTCAAGTACACCAGTATCGCGGCCTTAGTCTCCATGGCCTACTTGGTTGTCTTGGTTGTCTACCACTTTGTCAAGGGTGACACAACGGCAGATCGCGGCCCAGTTCGCGTAATTCACTGGGCTGGCGCGGTTCCGACCTTGAGCAGCCTTCCAGTTATTGTCTTCGCATTTACTTGCCATCAAAATGTACGTTTCCTGTATCCCCTGCTTTTCCGGCCATTGAAAAGTAGAGATGCTGACATTCTCTTCTAGATGTTCTCCATCCTCAACGAAATAAAGAATAATAGCCACTTCCGCACAACGGCCGTTGTCCTCGCGAGCACCGGTAGCGCCGCTGCAACCTATATCCTGGTCGCCATTACAGGCTACCTCTCTTTCGGAAACAAAGTCGGTGGCAACATTGTTGGCATGTATCCCCCTGGAGTTGCCGCTACAATCGGTCGTGCCGCGATTGTCATGCTCGTTGTCTTCTCCTACCCACTCCAATGCCACCCATGCCGAGCCTCGGTGGACGCCGTCTTGAAATGGCGCCCGATGTCGCAACCCACTGGCACCGAGGCCTCTCCGCACCGACACCCTCTGCTTGGCCCGCGTGGTAACCGCATTCCAGAGCCGATGAGCGACCTTCGTTTCTCCGTCATCACCACTACCATCCTCATTCTGAGTTACATCGTTGCTATGACGGTATCGTCCCTCGAAGCTGTACTTGCATATGTCGGAAGCACTGGCAGCACTAGTATCAGTTTTATTCTGCCAGGTCTTTTTTACTATAAGATCTCCTCTCCCGACTCGCCCACCCACCGTGGTCTGCTGAAGGAGGACGACGAAGCAGTTGACGACCTATCTGATGACGATGATGATACTGATGCCGACGGTGAAGGCTCTCTGGCACGCTCATTGACCGAGAGCGGCCTGCTGCTCCGCAACACCCGTCACTGGCGTAAAGCCCTACTCCGACGCCTGAGCTTGGGCCTAGCAATGTACGGAGTTTTGGTCATGGTTGTGTGCCTGATCACGAACACCTTCTTCATTGCATCTCATTGATCAAAAATTTCCACAACTCTCACGATATACCTGCGCTGGATAGGCTCAGGGTTTCTGAGCTATCTACGCACTGTCTACTGTATACGACAGAACACGATTTCTGTAACATTGCTGCCTTTCTGACAGGCTCGTTAGATTTCTTTTGCTGGATATTCGCTTGCTCCTTAGAGCGTTTCATTATTTGCACAGTTTTGGCATTCTGGTCTTGCTTCATTCAATCTAATGGACGGCGTTGGAGCTTTGACTTTTTTCCTTGTGTTCTGGCTCATGTTGCTTATGATAATTCTACTAGTACAAATTGATTTTTTCTGCATTTCGAAGGCCATCGCTGGAGGTAAATCTTTAGCACGTCTTGTTATTTGACTCGATCGATTGCGTCCGAAAAATAATTTTGTAGAAGCATTGCTGACTAGTTCTAATATGCACCTGAACTCCCCAAGCTTGCCAGTCCCGAACTTGATTGAAAGCATCTGTCAAACCATCGCAGCCAGCCTAGGAGGTACTTGAAAACCTCCCCAACTTGTATCCAGCGTCCCCGAACCTAAGCGCATCCAACCCCAACTTTGGCCCTATTACATCGTTAGTAGTGAGCAGTATTATGGGTACTCGAAGACTCACAATTTCTTGACGTCGACTTTCCATGCCATGGTCTTCGTAGGGTCACCACAGTAAGATCAACGCCGGGTCATATGACACAAGAATCGGGCGATAACACTGGGCATGGATAGAGTACCATATGTTTCCCTCAATAGACTATTGTCGAAATTTGTGAAATGTGGGTCATCACTGATTGCTTCCATAAACACGTGGAGCTGGACAAAGGTTGAAATCTCCTCAGCGGAAGCCTGGAGGTACTTCAAGGCATCTTGCCAGGCGGCGACAAATGCGGCAGGGGACATGCTCTTGTCGAGCCGAACCGAGGTCCAATTAGACCACAGCTCGCAATTGTCTGGCCAAGAGGTGTATTCCGCCATTCAAGAAGTTTCTCGTCGGCCAACTTGATATTGGTAATTCCCGCGATCTTCTCTCGCGGCTTGGGGCCGAGGGTTGACCACAACAGGAGAAGCGCATGGGCTTCAAGCTTCTTCCATTCCTTGTCTTGGTCTCGGGCCGCGGTTTTGAAGGTGGAAATTTCATTTTCGGTGACGTCTTGCGACTGCTTCTCATTTTGGGCAGCGAGGAGTCGAATGATCTCCGTATCCTGGGGGACTGGTTGCGGGTAGACTGTGGTACCCTGCATGATCTCCCAGATACGAGGGTCATAGGCGTCCAGGAAGACGCGAAGAGAAGCGCTCCATTGGGCCCAGTCGGCCGTGGTCAGTAGCATGGGGACCATCTTTGCCATGCTCAGGTGTTCCTCAGGACTCGTGGGAGATAGAGTATCGTGGTAGTGGAGTGAAGGATGTTTGGATCTGAGGTAGAAGAGATCGTTTTAAAGAAGGCGAGCGCGAAGTTAGTCAGTCGAGATGAGATTCGAGACGAGCGAACGAGGTGCCGATGGCAGCTTCGTGGGCCGGGGAGATGTTGAAGGAACTTTCACTTGGATGGAGGTTTTGACAACGTCGAATGTTGGATTCTGATTCTGTGGGATTGTGGAGATATCGAACCTGGTCTCTTCCAGAAATTTCATACGTGCGTCGTTACCATAACGCACGCACTGAAAATTATCCGCAAATAGGCATATGATGGTGTTTGCTACCCCATGGAGCCCGTGCCTGGTGATGTTTTCAGGCAGGACATCTTCACTATCAAGACGTCCATCTAATAGAATCAGGACGGGAACCACAGAGGAGTCATAAAGAAGCCATCGGAGTCCACAAGGCAGCGCAGAGGTGAAGCTAAATGGCGTTGTAAACACTAAGATAAGCTGTGGGTGTCTTGAGGTTATAGAAGAGGTTATAGAAGAGGTTATAGAAGAGGTTATAGAAGAGGTTATAGAAGAGGTTATAGAAGAGGTTATAGAAGGGGTTATAGAAGAGGTTATGGAAGAGGTTATGGAAGATTCTATAGAGTATCGTATTCAGCAGATTGTATAGCAGACTATATAGCAAATTCTGTGAAGACTTAATAGAAGATCGAATGTAGCATGAAGAAGATTTGAAAGATAATGGAATATAATATTGGTGATTACAAAGTCGATCTAGCAGAAGATCAAAGAAGTTAGGTACTGCGATATTTCACATTACGTGATGCAAGGCTATCGCGCAGTCACGCTGAAATCGTATCTCGGAATATGCCTTTATAAAGCATCCCCGGCCTAGCCCTCTTTGCTCCTCAACGAATAGTGTCTGAGAAGATACACGTAATCCTCAGCGCTGATTGACGGAGGATAGATGCTACCTTCCTTCCCTGTTAGATTTTTATTCTGCTTGCTTCCCTATCCCTAACTGCGATTAAGTTCACCATATTGCTCAATTAAAAATGTTTCTGACACGCCCCTTGTTCTCTTGGTCATTCTAACACCAGAAAGCTCCGCTGCCAGATCCCCATGAGCATAAATGAGACAAAGATCGTGGAACAACTATTTCTGGACTTCACTATACAAGACATTTCAATAGATAGTTCATGGAAGGAAATGTAGTGACACAGAAAAGCTAGGCTCGTCTCAGACAAAATTGGCGGAAGGAACGAGTCAGCCAAAAGACAAGCCCTAGGCCAACCACCCACACAAGGATCTCTCTTGCGCCAAGTTGATGAATAAACCAGCCATGGAAATGAGCTACACCACCGTGGTCTGTGAGAGTCGCAGCGGACTCTGCTTTGTAGCTAGCAGATAAGTCAATCCCCATGGTAGTCCATGCCAGAATGCCATCCTCTAGTGAGTGGCCGAGGCGAGTATAACTCAAGATAGGGTCGTAGCCAGTAGCACTGTTCACATCGTTGAAGATGCCGTCTTGTGTATTCGACGTGATGCGAACATTGTTCGTATTATAGTGAGCAGTGGATTCAACCGCCGCGATCAAGTCCTGGTCAAAGAACAGCTGCCCGATATGAGCGACATGGCCTCCAGTCACGGTGTTGTTGGGCAAAAACGTGGCCCCGACGTGTGCTAAAACATGAATATGGGTAGCACGGCCAGGATAGTGACCTGGAAATAGGGTAGTGAATTGAGCAGCTCCGTCTTTGTCAGTTCGCTGTATCCCTCTCAGATATGTCTTGTCGAGATTAGAGTTATCGTCATCGTGGTGGTGGCCAAAGTCTTGAACGCCCGAGTAGCTTCCAGTGGCGTTGCAGTTCCAGATTTCCCAAAGGATATCTTCAACTGGCTCGCATGTGTCCACATCAATAAATTCTCCGTCCAGGGTCAGTAGAATCCCAGGCTCTCCATCAGTAACGTTAGATCGGATCAATTCTCCATCGACCCAGTAAGGGCCAATCGTGGATTCGGGGGTGAGGAGACAAGATGGATTCTCAGACGATGATTGTGCTGCCTGCGGAAGGAAAGACCGTGGTGATGTGGAGACAGTGCCCGCATTAGGAATACCACGATAGGAATTCAAAATCGCAGTCCGACGAGCAGCGGCGCGAGCATCAACGCCGCTGCGTTTGATGTGGTCGGAACATCGGGCCAACTTTTGCCTTGCGTCTTGCACAGAACGGCTGGAAGCAAGAGATCGGAAGTAGGCACCTTCATCATGGCTGCCAGGATGAGTCACACCCAACGTCGACAGATACAGCAAACTCAGTAAGCAGAGTGATAACATTGTCAAGAGACGTTCCGAGAGAAGTCAATGATCATCGAGCAAGAAGGATCGGATGACATTTTGCAATAAAAACGAGGGGGCAGGCCATTTGCACCTGCAACCTCATTGTATTCGACATCAGTTAGCCTGGATAGGTTAGCGCTTTGATCTATACATGGGGATAGACAAACGAATTGATTCAACAAAAGCGTGGATGCACCCCACATGCCGAATCATCTATGTCACGCTAATCTTATCTTGGCCTAGCGTGTGATCTTATCGATACGACATGCGACACGTGATCTCACGTCACATGGCCCCTGCGCCCCCAAAGTCCAGCAGTCATCCACGCCTCAGCGCTTGCTCATCAACACATCTCTCAGTGTCCTCGCCATTCCTTAACGTTGCTCGAGACGACGCAATAATCCAGCAATATCATGGCTGCGAACGCTCGATATGAGCCCGCTCCTCAGCGGGACTCCTTTGAGGATGAGCCGTACACTCAAGCTCCGCCTTCTTACCAGGCTACAGCCACTAACCCGGAGCCGCGTACCGAAGATGACAATCTGCCTGACGACTTCAAGGTATGTGGATATTCCTGCGGAGACTGTCAAAAGTATAGAGACTGACCTTGGATTTTAGTTTGGAGGTATGGTCGCGGAGGGAACTATTGACATTCGAATGCAGTTCGTTCGCAAGGTGTATGCGATTCTGTAAGCTGACCCCTCCCTCGAGAAACTTTCATCGATGTATTCGTCGTTATCTTGAATATGCCACTAACCTTTTTCTCTCTCACATAGCACCGCCCAAATTCTCCTCACTACTGTTCTCAGCTCCATCTCGTTCTTCAACGACACATACCGCCACTGGATCCAGGGCAACTTCTGGCTCATGATCATCTCTGTCTTTGGTGCCCTCGGCTTCATGCTCGCAACCTACTGGAAGCGCAAGTCTTACCCAACAAACCTGCTGTTCCTCTCCGGCTTCACCCTCATGGAGGCGTACTCGATCAGTGTGGTGACCTCTTTCTACGAATCGCGAGTTGTTGTGCAGGCACTGGTCCTGACATTGGGTATCTTCGTCGCGCTCACGCTCTTCGCATGCCAGACCAAGTATGACTTTACCAGCTGGATGCCCTACCTCTTTGGCGCGCTGTGGTTCATGATCCTTTTCGGACTCGTGGCCATGTTCATGCCGTTTGGTAGCACCGCGGAGCTCATCTACGGTGTGCTGGGCGCCCTGATCTTTTCTGGTTACATCCTCGTGGATACTCAGCTTGTTATGCGTCACTACCACGTTGAGGAGGAGATTGCTGCCGCTATCGCGCTGTATCTGGACATTCTGAATCTGTTCCTGTCGATTCTGCGCATCCTGAACAGCCAGAACAACAACTAAACAGTCAACAGCTGGTCTTCAGCGATATAAAGGCATCTCTTGGGCTGCGCTATTCTAGCAGGCATTCAATTAGGACACCCCTTCGAGCCTGGACTTCCAGGTGCTTCTTGAATCTGATTTTACGGGATACGGGATTAGGTTTTTGCATTCCTTTTTGATAGTAGCTGATAGCTGTCGTACATAGTCTTCTCTCCATTGCCTCTCCTCTTTCTGGTATTCGGTTGCAGTCGGTTCGCAGTTAGTACCTCGCAAATAATACAGCTTATTTGATGGAATGACTTGATTCTTAACCCTTCACAGTGTGGGCGATCAATAGTCATACCACTGCTCTCGCATCTTAGTGTAATGGTCGCCACCGAACGGACTAATTCACGAGCACCCAATAAGCAACGCAGTAAAATGAGAGCACAAGGTTAAGTTCTTTCGATCTATAGAGACTGCAAGTATATGGAAGAAGATGTTCATGCGTAAATTCATATTATTAGTAAGTACTATCCAAGGCTCTGCCCGCAATCCAGATGTACCAGAAGCATAACAGCACGACGACCACCGCTGTCTCCAGTCAAATGCCCAAAGAAATCAGCTTTTCAATGATGGTGTCTCCTCGCCGTATGACCTGCATGGAAGTCTCTCCGTCTCAACAGACTGTGCTTCTCTTCATCCGAGCTTTCTGTGGCGTCAATGACTCTCTGAGCCATGCTGTTCAGGTCGGAGGAAGTGATTTCGTCTTCATGTTTGGTCCAACCAAGCTCTGTTGGGAGTCGTTCGAACTCTATTTCACGAACAGTAGTAAGTAAATTAGTAAAAATCTTGGTGATGTCGGGAATAGCTCGTGAATAATTGAGCAAACTCACCAAAGAAATACTCAACCCAAGACTTGCGCACGGTACCGGCAGACCTGTCACCGAATGTGACAATGTATACAGCAGATTCTCCGTACGTAAGAGTCAAAGCAGACTTCGACAGCGTGAATTCGGGATTTGTGGCATTCGATGTCTCAACACGGGCCTTGCGAGCAAGCGCCGCTTCATGTACATTGATGAAAAGGCCTTTCCAATGGGATCGGGTCTGGTCAAAGATAACTGGGTTGAAATTTTGATCGTCTCCGAAGTAATGGTCTTGTCGGCTACGACAGAAAAGTCAGTCTCTACTCATCTCAAAACACACTGGTTAACATACCTCAAGCTCGCATCATGCTCTATGATATTGTGGCGACTAAGGTCATCAAGAGAAAATGTCGTAGCACCGGGAGTCGGATTCGTCGCCAAAGCCTCCTGGAACTGGGATTTGGCGACATCTTCATTCAAGTTGATGGAAAGTTTCAAGGCATTGGCGGTTTGTTCTTCTGTAATGTTTTTGCCGTCATGAGGGAGCAGGCCATGGTTGGCTAGAGCGTTCAACATCGGACAAGGTGACCGAACTATGATATGGTTAGGGATGGGGTCACCAAAAGCTTCAATATAATCGATACTTACCATCACCCGGACCAGCCGGTCGCCAATGAACCAAGGGGTGACCATCTGGAATAGAAAACGCAGATGCCCTGGCGCAAAGGGCTGATAGTAATAGGATTGACTTCATTGTGAACTCTTTTTTTGATATCGATGATCTTGTAAGGGTAAGGTATCATGAGAATCGGGTCCACGCGCAACTCAAGAGAGTTTTATAGTAAATTAAAGGAGCTTATCCGCCAAAGTCCGTGCGAATTGTGCTCATTTCATTCAATGAACCGCGCTCAACCCCATTTCAGGGGATCGGCACGTTCCGATGTAGATCGGCGGAGTCGCGACGCCAATAGCAAGAAAAGTAGGCCGGATCTAGACTACTTTGAGATCAAAGGAATCGGACTATGCCAAGGAAGCACTTGAAATTGATCTTGCTATCGAGCGTTTTCCCGGTTCCTAGACTACGATAGATACCCTCTGTGTTTGTTGATTTCCATTTCTTGACAAATTACAGCATCAATTACTGACTATTAAGATAATTGATGTATCGTGAGGTGAGTCGGGGAGATTATCTCCTGTGGCATCCACACAAGGATCATGCTTAGCTATCTAAAGCCACCAACTGGACTAAGCTTAAAGTCGTTGGGCGCACCCACCCCTGAGTGACCTAGCACAGTTAAAGTTTTTTTTGGTTTTCATTCATTGAATTACAAATTGTCGAGTTTTCAAACGAGAACGAGGGGATTCACCACGTACCCACCGAAGATCTCGGTGGGCAAATACCTAAGACGGACTAGAGGCGCTTTTAGCGCGGACTGAAAAAAGGGACTTGTCGCTTGACAAATACTAATGAAAGAAATTCCGTATATGCATTCATCATAAAAGAAATCATGGCTAGTCATGCAAATTTACCAGAAATCACTCATTCATTCAACTTTCTGTTTCCTTGCGAATTCTTTCACTGCCCGTCGGTGACCGGGTTTCGTCTCGCTCGTCCAGGGGTGTCTCTGCCCCTTCGGTGTCGGTGTAATCCGCGTCGTCATCAGTCTCATCATCTTCCGAACTGTGACCAAGCTGGGCAACGGTATCAGTGGAAAGATACGAGGGAAGCTGCCGGCGCTCGAAGTCTTGTGTGTGTGCGGTTCCAGCCCTGAAGCTGAGACGCCTGAGACTTCCCGAGGGGTGGCCCGAGGGATAGCGGGCGCGCACGCTTGATGTTCTTGGACTTCCGACTCCGGTTTCGACGTCAATGGTGGGCATAACGGGTGATTGGATGTGCTGTTCTTGAAGCTGAACATCATCAGCACGAGAGCCCTCCCTCGACCTCCGGGTAAGATCGAACTTGTACGGGAGTGTAGGCTCGCGCGAAGCATGGAACTTCATCACGTTCGCGCAATGTTCGTTCTCCACACGGAAAACGGACCACACTCCACGGCGGAATACCTCTGACAGTGCGACAAAGAAGCTGAGGAAAGCCGAATGCTGGATGTCGTTGGAGAAGATGGCATAAAAGATCCAATTGAATCGAACAACGACGTCCAAAACGATGGCAGCATAGTAGACCCACGCATAGCGGAAGCCCAATTCGTCCCGCAAAAGGATCCGCTTTGCGTAGGGGTTACCCAGACTCCAATCCATGACCACATCCCAAATGCAGGTGTAAAGAGAATTCAGGAGAGCAAAAGTGAGGAACGGCGCTTCGAATCGCGTGTACCTGTTGATGCGCCACATGCTCAGAGTCATGTAGTAGCCAATACCGCAGAGGTACTTGGCCAAGTTGAACAGATGCGGGAATGCATCCTGTGGAAACGAAAGTTTCTTGTTCTTCTTGTCATTGGCATAACGACGAACGCATTGGCAGGCACGCCAGAATGACGGTAGACAGGTAAATACACCCATTACCCGGGAGTGTGATGAATTGCACTTGACCGGGTCGTGCCAGTACGTGATGTACAAGCAGAAAAAGAGTTCGATGTTCTGCGATTGGTTAGCGAGGTCCCATGTGATGTATATGAAGTACTTACCCCCATAGCGTAGGTGTGGGAGCAATACATATCGCCGAGGAAGAAGTCACGGAACTCGACCGTCTTATACAACCCAGAGCACAACAGGCGCCACTAAGTCTGTCAGTGGCGGAACCAAGATGCCGTCAGAAAGGGCCAAAGACTTACATTCGTGGCAGCCCACCATTTCCGACTCTGATGGTACAACACCGGTGCTGGTAGAAAGATGATGAAAACGGACAGGCCAATAAGCACCACGGGCCAGTATATGTACATCTCATTAACCCATGAGAAATTAAGCCACATAAATAATCCCAGAAGAAAAATAAAAAAACACGACACCTGGACCAATGTTAGAATTAATTTCCTGCGAATATTTCATAACGAAACGTACCTCCAGCAATTGGCGCCACTCCAGAGTGTGCCGGGTATTATATTCAAAAATGAATCTATAGTTGACCTTTGACTTGGTCCAAATCATGCAAGCCAGGCAAAAGAGCAATACATGAAAGGAGATCATAAAGTATCCACCGTACACCTAGCCGAAGGATATGTCAGTCAGGTCTATGCGAGTTGCACAGTAGGTGAAACACGGGAGGGCAAAGACATCGCGAACCTGTAGCAAGTAACTTGTATGTACCTGGAGAGTGAGATCACCGTGTAACAAATGATTTGACGCATGAACCAGTGCCTGGGCGGAAAATAGAATTCCCGCCATGAGAAAAAGACCCGCTCGAAACGTATTGGGAGAGAAATCTCCGGGCTTCTGCGTTGCGCTGCGGAGTTTCGTGGCGGCAATTTTGGTGTTACCAGCCTCGAAATATCGCCCATACCAATCTTCCACCTTTCGCATCATCTCTGCTGTTTCTCCACTCTTGACAAAGTATGATTTGTTGACCCGCTCCGTCATATACTCCAGGGGCTTCTCCGCATTGACAGCCTTGTCATACTTCTTGTTGATTTTTCGAAAGGCCGTTTGGTTCAAGTTGGCGTAGCCTCGCAACAGGTCAATTCCACGATAAAACTCCTGCATGGCAACCTTGAGCTGATGTTTAGCGGTCCGATATCCGGGGTCCTTTGTAGGGGAATCTGTATGATGCATGTGTTCCCTTCGATCGAACATGAATTCGCGATCCCTTGGCCGAATGCCGGGCGTCTCCATCTGGGCCAAAGACTCAGAGTTCTTACCAAATCGGAGTGCCTTTCCCGTGAGCGTTTCTTTCAGTGTATCTTTCAAGTGGGCAGCATTCAACACGGCGAGCCGTTTCGGTCGAGGTGGTGTGTCATGGCCATTTTCCTCGGCAGATTTCTTAGCATCCTTCATTTCTCCCTGGCGATTTCGAGACATAACATGGAGTTGATGATGCAGGATATCGTATCGCTCCTTGGCCTCTTCCTCTTTCTTACGATAGAAATCGTCGATCTTCTTCAGCTCGTCATCCAGCCAAGTGAAAAACTCACTACGGCGTTTCTCGACCTCTCGGCGCGAGTCCGCGGGTGAAGGATCCTCGGCATAGGAAAAAACACGCCGAATGAATTGTGGAGTGCGATTCACCCCAGGCGTGTTGGGAGAAACTCCCAACGCCTCAGGCGGTATTCCCGAATCCTCTAGGGTAGTCTCGCGATGAAGCGGAGAATTGTGACTAGTCGGGACTTTGGTCAAGCTGGATTCTGGCGGAGCAGAGGTGACCCGTCGCGTCAAGATTGGTGATGAGTTCTTGGGTCCTGTTGGGCCTAGATTCTCGCTCGGTTGTACATAGTCCTGGTTCGGGTCGATAGCAGGATCCGGCAGCCTGAGAGACCTGATGTCCGGGCTTTCAGTGTATGGGCGCGGGGAGGCGACAATGCTCCCGTAACTACCTATAGGTCCCGAGAATCGCGACCCAGGTGTTTGCAATGGCTGGCTCTCGGTTGTCTGGATGGGTCGATTCGATGGGTGGTCCTGATCGAATTCATATGCCGAAATATGGGAAGACGCGGATGGGTATCGCATAGGTTGGGATCGAGCTGAGAGTCCTGGTGTTCGATTTGCCGTCCGGAGGGCTCGCGTGATGGCCTTGATCTTCTTCTTGCCAGTCTATACACCCCGCCGTTAGTCGCAACCAAGCGCTGTGTACCAGTAAAGAACGGCACTACCTACCTTATAATCAAAATACATCACCCTCCATTCCGGCACCAGCTCCTTTTCCAGCTCTCTGAGTTGAATTATGGTTAACCACTGGAATGTCTCCTTGGGATGCGTCATGAGACAGAGGAAGGAAGGGGGGCCACTCACTTGGCGAACTTCATCCTGGCCAAGAAACGACTGTCATGGCATACCTAGTGGTGGTTGGAGGGGGGAATGCGGGAGCCGAGTATTCGAATGGGAATAAATATGAAGGTGCAAAGATTGCACAAGAATCCCAAACGAAATTTCGACGCACTGATCGGAAAGAAAAGCGCAAAAGCCTGTACGAAGCAGCGCCGCCCAGATAAGCGTGATTGGCGGTAGCCAAGCTGGTACTAAGCCAAGTTGGACATTCGTAACGCCGTAGTGATGTAGAGGGGAAAAAACTAATTGGGGCGCCGAGGATCGGCGTCAAAAATTAATGAGCACCTGGGATTCGCGCGCGTCTCGAGTACCGCGAGATCTAAGTAGTTGACGCCTCTCTGCAGCTGGATGCCAGTACATTTTCCAGTTGAATCTTGCGACAATCAGAGAGCTGGATGCGAGCACGTGCGACTTCATGATGAGCTCATGCTTCCCGCCGGGTGCCTGAAGATGCCTGATGTGGCCTGAGCGTTCGGGCTTTAACGCGCCAATTGGTCAGCGCAGCATCTGATTGGCCAATTTCCCCGTGCATGGGCCCAGCGGCCCAAATTCCAATGGCGTTCTGGAATTTCACCTTTGATACACTATTCTTTGAAGGATACACTACGGTAGAACCTTGTTTTGTCAACCACTCCCTGCATCACACCTGGTTTTTGTCACACGCCATTTGACATGCTGCCCATTTGACAATAAACTCGTCATTCGATACGAGATGGCTCCTTATAGTCACGAGAGCTGGGCTGCTTCAACCCAATCGTGACGATCTTCGGAGTACATGCGGGTCTGGAATGCAGCCCAGGAATGTGCTTCGGCGGGTTCTCATGGTGATGACTGGATAGGAGAATATCTGTCTTGGCAACCTTACGCCTTATGCAAATGAGATATCACACACCTCCTTGTATCGATTAACTATAATAGGTTATGGATCGGGAAAGAGACTTGTCAATACTGCTCACAGTGCAAGAAGATGTCTATGTGCTTGAGGACGAAGTGAGAACTACAAAGATTTGGATGACATCGACCGTCGACAACATGATGGCAAAACGAAAGTAGGAGGTTTGGGTAATTGGATATCATTTCATTGCTCGACTGTCCTGCCCGGGTACGTATGTGCAAAAGTATACATCGTCGGCGAGGATGTCCTATCAGAATATACATTCGTATCTTCGTCTAATCACCGGGAACCCCCGAGCCACTCAATATGTTCTGTTCGGCTCTTGGGATCCCGTCACCCGCTATCATCCATATCTGACACATTTACCAACGGCCAGGGCGGTCGAAGCGCTCGTGACGCTCATAGCGGTTGGGGTCAAACTCCTCAGCACCGTGGCCCCGGACGTAGTGCTCGTCGTACATGTGCTCAGCGTTCTTCTTGGCGTGCTCATGGGCGCGGAGACGGTCAATCTGGTCCATGCCCTTGGTCTCGGCGAGCTTGTCGACCTCGGCACCAACAAGACCCATGAGGGCCTCCTTGGCGAAGGCATGCTTGACAACCTTGCCTGTGGGCAAACACATGATTAGCTACAACGAGTCTATTGAGGACCAGGTATCAATATGGGGACATACCCTCCTTGCGCTGGTGGTCCTCCCAGGCCTTCATTCCGGCGAAGGAAGCAGCACCGGCGATCAGCTCGTGGCTGACGTGGCTCTCGTGCTTCTGTTCGCCGTACACCTGGCGGTGAGCGTCATCGGATTGTTCTAAGATAGGAGGTCAGTGTTAGTCCGATTCGAAATATACCCGGTAACTCGTAGTGTGATGACGATGATTGGGTGTTCATGATGTATGTAGACTTCTCAGACGCATGGCGCATATGATTGATGTCCGCAAAGGTGTAGATGTGGAAAGATAAGACACGAACTTACCCCAGCCCCAAGCCATTATGAATATAATGTGTAGTAGTTGGAAGATGGTATAGAAAGATAGGAGTTAAAAAGCGTGATAATTGAATAAGAACGAGACAGCTCAGCTCGGAGTGATGAGGGGATTCTTATAGCCGAGACGGCCACGACGGAATACTCCAGAACCACCGAAACAACAGCTGTGTCCTCTTCGATTTGGTGTATTTAGGAGTAGCTCTCTCCATTGTACCCCTCTCGGTCCTGCCTCAGCTCACGCAAGCCCCACTGAATCGGCGGATGCAGTGGCTGAGGCAGGGTACTATCTTAGGATAGTCGTAGGTAGATGGAGTCGTGGCCCCTCCAAAACACCACTCGACCACGGATCCTTACGACCACTAATTGAGTGATTTGACCCCTCATGAGAGAGTGGAGAAATCAGATCGCACCGCCTTCTCACTTCTCAGCCCCTGAGTGATCTTGGGTGTTAAGAGAGGGGCATTAGGGGAGAGCTGATCCAGTGAGATCATTGCCGGGTTTGTGTTGAGCGATCCCGAGCACCAATATTATGCATTATTGTAAGGATCGGAAAATGGGATGGGGGCCAGTGAGGCTAGGCAATTGCAATAGTACGTACTCAGTCGTACCGTAGATTGATGCTGTTCATAGGTGTTGTGGGCATATGTTCTACAAGCGCTCTACACCGTGATATACTTCGACCACAGCCCTTGACAAACACGACCCTAGCCTTCTCGCCAAGATCCATGCGGAACTCCAAGGGTACTCTACTACAGACAATAATAACACCTGGCTTGTTACTGAGATTTCACGGCCCAAAGCGATTCGGCCCAAAAGTGTTGCGACTACGCGTCCCACCAAATCCAATGAAGCGCCGATCAACCAGACCCAGCGGGATCCATTCAGCCCTACTTCGCCGGCCGGTCAACAAATGAAACAACCACAACCTGGTGGATCTTTGCAAAGCTTTACTGCTTCTGACTTAGTTGTACAATAATACATAATTATTGAAATCCGCGCTCCTCCGGAACACACGGTATGTACATCTTGGCTCCGTCCACATTATTTATGGAGCGGCGCATGAAGCCGGCGTTGCCGGGCCAAGCTTCTGTTGTCCCGAGGCTTGTTCGCGCCTTACGAGGCTAGGAGGTCTCGCCTCGTTCTTGGCATTAGGCACGGGAGACTCGGAGAGAGTGGCGGTGAATAGGCCAGCTCAATTCATGTACCAGCGAGAACTTTAGGCATATACATTCTGGATTGCCTCGGGCTCACCAAATGAAGAACGGCTGACTGGCCTGGTCTATGATTATGCGCGGTGGACAGGGCTGACGGTTGGTCTTGGCATTACGTACATGTACCGCCCCATGTGGCGCACATACTAGCCACAGTGCGTCTCAGGACTCGGGACTCAAGAGTTTTCTCTCTGCGTCATTATCGTTTGTATGGAAGGAGGTTAAAAATAGCACGTGGGTTGAAACCAAGGGGTCTACGTTCGTTTAACAAGATTCATTCAGTCGAAATCAGCATCATTGGAAGGCATGATCTACTCGCCTAGTCCAAGAGGAACTCTAAGCGTCCTCGTCCGGAAGATTAGGTAAAAGACAACCTCCCTATTTATATGTACTGAGCTACTCTGCTTGAAGCTGATAGATGGTTTCATCAAGGAGGCCGAAAACCTCCCATGATGCCACGAAACTCCTCTTGTGAAGGATGTGTCACCTCACGATTTCATGGAAGTAAGAGAACGAGTGTAGATCAGCAGGCATACAAGGAAGCGACGTATCAGTTTATGTTAATAATTGTGTCCTGTAAAGTCAAGGGCACGGTCAGTATTGCTCTAACATGTCATATGGGATGTTGTTGGTTGAATTGACCAATTTGGTTAATTAGGATGAAATGAAACGTGTATTGCAGCTCAGTTAACTATGAAGAGCAGGCATTAAGCTTTCACAACAGGTACTAGGTGTGAATAAGGAAGAACGTAGCAATAATCAAGACAGAGATGTGAAAATCTATATAGTGCCTTACAGACCAGGCAACTATACGGCTTAGGAATCAGAACGAAAATTAGAATCACTAAGAACATTACATGTGAGCAGAGCTTGAGCTATAATTGCATTCTGGCTGTCAAAATAGGAGACTCCAATATATCTTTCATTTGATCGTGATCCAAAACTCCAGATCTTGTAAAAGGGTCAAAATTGTATATATTTGCCATAAGTACCCAGTCTCAAGGCATAGAGGAGTCTCTCTAATTGAATAATCAATCTCTGCCAATTAATCACACCTGCCATGACGGATCAATGTACTCAACAGTCTGTAAATGACCAATAAGGCGTCCCCATAACCTAAACAGCTTTAGGGGAAGATGTTCCTGTGTTTCGATATAACAGACGTAAGTAAGTGACAGCGCCCACGGCACTGCTGGCACAGGAAGCGAAGAGAGAGAGAGAGGGAGACTGAGTCAAATTGGTCTATCTAGAGCATGAAGACGAAGACTACTAGGAAAAAGGAAGAAGAAGAAGCAGAAGGGAACAGAACAGGGTCTATAAGGCCCTGAAGCACAAAGGAAAGGAACAAGGCCTGGTCCTGACAGGAAAACCCCGGCCTGCTTCATGCAGGGCCAAAGAAGACGACAAACCCTGCAAACCCTCGAGGTCAAAGGGATCGAGTCATCAGTAAGACAGTCTAGTAAACCACAGAGTCTATTTCGAGAACTGATTGTATCCTGAACACCATATAGGTAGGATTCTATTACTTTATTGAAATTTTCCAAGTCCTCTGCTAAGTGTGTACCGCTCCATCCAAGCCAGATCCTAGTGGCCTGTAGAGAAATATATTTCGGGTCAAAACTACTACAAAATATACCTAACCTAAATGGATACTATGAAATTTTGCTGTGATTTTTAGGACTTATCTTCACCGACCGGGGCAAAGGTCAGGCAGAAGTCGTTCTCCTCAATCTTTGTCTTCGTTTCGCTAGCTTCTGCTTTGGTGGTCCGCTTAGACTTTGCGTTAGTTTACGGTACAGTCGCAGTGTTATGGAGCCATAGAGTGAGCTTAGTGAATAGGGCTAGGTGTAGGCGATAAATAAAGGGAAAATTGAAGGGAAGAAAGTCAAACGGAGAGGGATGGCGAAGTGAAATGATAGGGGGTAATATGGTAGGTGTGAAGAAAGGAAAGGACTAAGAAGGGGAGAAATATAGAAGAATATGTGTAGCGTCGTGAGCGACTTTGGGAATGAGACGAAAGTGAGAGATATTCAAGTAAGGAAAACTAGATTCCTTCAAGGAAAGGCTAGATGTATTATTAGTATTGATACAAGTGTAAGAGAAAGGTTTGACCCTTAATTTGAAATTACCAAAGACGCTACAGTAGTGCAGCGTTAGACTTAGCGATAGGGAACTAGGCCTACGGTTGTCCGAACTCTTGCATTGTCTCGTCGTAGCCGATGAGGTCCCCGAGACTCTCTTTAGTGTCCTCTCTCCAAAAGTATGAAATTAGATTCCATCGATATTAAGGTTAAGTCGCTCAGTGGGATTTGATAGGCTGTGTCGACAACATACCTACTAGACGTGGATCATGTCCAAATTCGTACCTAGAGTTCTCCACAGTGGTTTTATATACGCTGATGGCTGTTCTTCAAATATTTTGACATGGTTGGAATCGCATTCATGGATCTTTCATCAAGTGGTTTGTATTCTCAAAATGCAATTCTCCCCGCGTACGAGCGGTAAACTCGCAAGAACATCGGTGACGCGATTTAACTGCTCGGTCAAAAGCCGGTCCAGCATAGGAAAAGCTAATAATACGATATCGCGAAGAATATCCAAAGTCTAAAGCCTGACGCCTGTCAATCTTTCTAGCCGAGTTTTATGCTTTCTGGGGCCCCGCGCGGCCCAAGACCTTGGCTGTGTGCGTGTACATCCCCACAGGGTGCGCCGCTTTGATTTCCTCTAGTTCAATAACACTCGAAGTTAACACGTGAAAAGGAGATTGCTAGAAACACAAAGACCTAATTTGCTCCAATGAAGAAAAGGCAATTGTGACCAGCCAATCTTCGTGTTACCTTGCAAGACCGAGACTAGCCTGGAATGGGTGATCCTTCCGGCCCTAAACCGCCACATCCGGGAGTAGGGCCTTGGGCTTGGACTCCACGATTTCACAATGAGGGGTAGGGATCTCAATCGTAGGTGAGATAGCTATGGCTGGTCTAGGGACAGTGAAGGCAAAACTTTCGTGCCGAGAAAAGGGTCTGTGAGTATCTAGCTACTGCAAATAATTCTGCAAGGTCACGGATGCTATCTGAACTATACAAAGCCATTTTACCATTTCTAAAACAGCCTGAAAGACTTGTTTCACTTCGGCTAATATCGATGGCAACCTACAGGGTTCATGCAAGGCTAGAGGGCTTGAATACTAAACCGAGAATAGGTCAGGATCAAGCCGCAGAGGGCGGCACTTCAACTAACATTAAAAGCCAAAATAGCATCGGACAACCGAAGACCATGCTTTCGGGGCCTCATGTTTGCCAATAAAACAATAGCCAAAACAGTTCAGGAACCGTGGGCAACGGGAAAAAGACGGATATTCTGCGGGGCCGACCGATACAAACCAAGCCATCTGGCGCAGTTTCAGACCGGGCAACATGCCACCGGTATGCCCTAGTTTGATGGCATGGGGATGAAAAGATGATGGTCCGGCCCGATCAGGACGATTAAGGGTCGTGTGGGGTTTAGGGTGCCAGGCACCAGCCAGTCCTTGCATCGGCCGGGGTTCTTAGCTTCGGAATGAATAGCCAGTCACAAGATCAGAATCCTTTTTAACTATTTGTGAAGAAGTGCTCGGAGGTTGTCGAATACGACGAGAAGCCCTTTCCCCGCAGCATCTGACCTATCGGCAATGACCGAAATCTGCAACCCCCGGTCTTTACGGTTTCGATTGGAGAGCGCTGGAGGGACATGGAAGTTCTGGAATATTCATCACATCACCAGAGCCCTAGCAAGTATTCGGTAAGACTTGGGTGAAGTCCGTAGGAGGTCCGTTACCGAAATTGTCAATGAGAGACCATCCTTGGAATTGCAATATCCTCAAGACTATATAAAGAGGTGATCTACTCGCCCTTGTTGTCATTTTGATACCAGTATCATCTCACATCTTCAACCTCTTTTGGCGAGTACTTGCTCTCGTCGAGTCTGTTCAATAGCCATGTCTCGTCTTCTCTACGCTCTTGGTGCGTTGGCTCTGGGCCAAAGTGCCCTGGCAGCTCCCCAACTGTCTCCTCGTGCTACTGCCAGCTTAGATGCCTGGCTAGCCACCGAGACTACTGTCTCCCTGAACGGAATCCTCAACAATATCGGTGCCAGCGGTGCTTATGCCAAAAGTGCCAAAAATGGTGTCGTGATTGCTAGTCCTAGCACGAGCAGCCCAAATTGTAAGTCTTACATTGCCTCTTCCCTATCTTTTTTATTAGTTACTAACGGACTCAGATTACTATACGTGGTCCCGAGACTCTGCGCTCACTTTGAAGGTTTTGATTGATCTCTTCCGTAATGGAAATCTGGGCTTGCAGACCGTCATTGAGGAATACATCAATGCGCAGGCCACTCTCCAGACCGTATCCAACCCATCTGGAAGTCTCTCGAACGGTGCCGGTCTCGGTGAGCCCAAGTTCAACGTGGACTTGAGCGCATTCACTGACGGCTGGGGCCGTCCTCAACGTGATGGTCCTGCTTTGCGTGCTATCGCACTTATTGAGTTCGGTAACTGGCTGATCGTATGTTTCACTCCTAGAGAATTGATAATGTTTACTGACTCCAGTAGGACAATGGATACTCCAGCTATGCTATCAACAACGTTTGGCCGATTGTCCGCAACGATCTGTCTTACGTTGCTCAGTACTGGAGCCAGACTGGCTATGGTAAGCCGCTGAATTGTAGTGCCATTCTTGTCGATGCCTTACTTATTCTTCTCTAGATCTCTGGGAGGAGGTCAACAGCATGTCCTTCTTCACCGTCGCCAGTCAGCACCGTTCCCTCGTTGAAGGAAGCGCCTTTGCCGCGCGAGTTGGCGCTTCCTGCTCCTGGTGTGACTCCCAGGCTCCCCAGATTCTCTGCTATATGCAAACCTTCTGGACTGGATCCTATATCAATGCCAACACTGGCGGTGGTCGGTCTGGCAAGGATGCGAATACCGTTCTGGCCAGCATCCACACCTTTGACCCCGAGGCAACCTGTGACGATGTCACCTTCCAGCCTTGCTCTCCTCGCGCCCTTGCAAACCACAAGGTTTACACTGACTCGTTCCGTTCTGTCTATTCTATCAACTCTGGCATTGCTCAGGGTGTTGCCGTCGCCGTAGGCCGCTACCCTGAGGACTCGTACTACAATGGTAACCCATGGTTCCTGTCTAACCTGGCCGCCGCTGAGCAACTGTACGATGCGATCTACCAGTGGAACAAGATTGGTTCCATCACTATCACCAGCACTTCTCTGGCCTTCTTCAAGGACGTCTACAGCTCCGCCGCTGTTGGCACCTACGCCTCGGGTAGCTCCACCTTCACGGCCCTCATCAGCGCTGTGAAGACCTATGCCGATGGATACGTCAGCATCGTGCAGGCTCACGCCATGACCAACGGTTCCCTTTCTGAGCAATACGACAAGAGCAGCGGTTCTTCCCTCTCTGCCCGTGACCTTACCTGGTCTTACGCCGCCCTTCTCACTGCAAACATGCGCCGCAACAACGTCGTGCCTCCTTCTTGGGGCGCCAAATCCGCCAACACAGTCCCCTCTTCCTGCTCCATGGGCTCTGCTGCCGGCACGTACGCTACACCCACCGCGACTTCATGGCCTAGCACTTTGACCAGCGGTACTCCTGGATCTACTACCACCGCTACGGCTACTTCCACCACCTCCACCACCAGTGCATGCACAACCCCTACCTCCGTTGCTGTGACTTTCGATGAGATTGCTACCACTACATACGGTGAGAATGTTTACATCGTCGGTTCTATCTCGCAACTGGGTAGCTGGAACACTGCCAATGCTATCGCCCTGAGCGCTAGTCAGTACACTTCCAGCAACCCCTTGTGGTTCGTGACCATCAACCTCCCTGCCGGAACTACGTTCCAATACAAGTATATTCGCAAGGAGTCGAACGGCTCGATTGTCTGGGAGAGTGACCCCAATCGCTCTTACACCGTGCCTGCAACATGTGGCACCACCACCACTACTGAGAATGATACCTGGCGGTAGATGGAACCCTTAATAGATCACAATTATTGTGATCACCTCAAATGTGGAAATATGAGGCAGGATATCCTGCATGTGACGATCAGATGGAGGAATATAAACGAGAGCGCAGAATATGATATTAAATAGCCTTGGTTTTTGATTTAGAGAGCTTCAATGATTATTTCTGTAACCCGTTGACCATACCTCTTGCAATATTCTTAGTACAGTGCATTCTTTTCCCTTGCTCTAGGCACCGAGTCGAGTTCTCCTCACTTTCTGTGATTGAAGCGACATTTTGGGAGAAACTCTGATTGACTATATCTGCATCGGAAATCTACGGAAAAGGCATATAATCTTCAGCTGATTATCGATTCATTCACACGAACGTATAGTTCGGCAAAACCTTACCGGCAACATTATGAGACCAAAATTCTATATGCATCGTTTAAACAACACAACAAAATCCTCACTTTGCCTCAGTCAATATCTCTTAAATATAGATCTCGGTAATAAGTTATCCTCATGCAACTAATACCATTGGCCGGATCCTCACGACGCCTGAATTGCAAGATGTTGTGACCGCAACACCCTGATACCCAGCCACACCAGATTATCGCAAAGATAACAGCAGCCACGGACCGCCACAACCTTAACCGGCCCCTCCACGCGCAGGCTTTGAAGCTACAGGCACAGCTCCAAACAAGCTAAATTAGCTGCGGATGACGAAAAGAAGAGTTTAGTTCTTCTCAGAAATACCCACCATGCCGACTAAAACACCTACCCAGTCCGACTTCCCCCCCAAATCTCACAGTCACCATCACACTCCCACCTTCAACTCCGGCCTCCGCACCAACCCCGAACATCCTCCTCCTACTCCATGGCATTGGCGATTCAGCAGCAGGCTTCACCTCCTTTGGCCGCGCCATAAATCTCCCCGAAACAACCGTACTCGCCGTCCAAGCTCCAGCCCCGCTCCCCTTCGACCTGGGCGGCTTCCACTGGGGCGATGATGTTTCCTTCGATAGCCGAACCGGCACGCTAGACATGGACGCAGGATTTACGCGAAGCACATCTCTCCTCGCAAATGAAGTTATCCGGCAGACACTCGTGCAAAAATGTGGCTACCAACTACGCGAGATCATGATACTGGGCTTTGGTCAAGGTGGGATGGCAGGTCTCGCCGCGGCGCGCGAGCTAGGCAGTACAGGCACAGATGGTAAAGCAAGCGGAGCCCTTTCGGGTGTGATTTCTATCGGCGCGCCGTATGCATTGTCAGGCGCGCGGTCTGGCGCGAAGAATCGCTCGCCGGTGCTGTTGGTTGCTGGGCGGGATTCGGAGGTTGTGTCGGATGGGGCGGTGCGGAGGACGAAGGAGGTGTTTGAGTTTGTGGAGGTTAGCCGGTATGCAAGGAGGGGTGATGGGATGCCTTCGAATCGGGATGAGATGCTTCCTGTGATGCAGTTCTTTGCGAGGAGCTTGCGTAGTCAACAGGGTGTGCCAAAGGGGAGTGTTGAGATTGGCTGAAACTTCCTCAATACTCCCTCCACGATGTATGAATATCATGAACTATAGAATGAAAGAAAATGGCAGAGTATATTAGTTTGACGATATTGCACACAAGTTATGATTGACGGTTTTTATTATTGCATCCTGGGATTGATATTTGACTAAAAAAGCGTAAAAGCTTTGTATCTTCCTTCCTAAGCTACCTCCGCCTCAATGACACTTTGACCTGGATATGGGGGATCCCTAAATCTCACCACCCGGAATCCAGCCAGAGTCAACAATTTCTCCCGATGAGATCGAGTCCGCTCCATACCACAGTGAACAGCTAGCATCATCCAATCTCCCAAAGATGGAAGAGGCTCGGCATCCTTGTCAGCAAGGATGACTTCCTCAATCAAAAGCTTCGAGTAGCCTTTTCTCATAGCCCCTTTAAACTGCTGCAGAATTTGCTGGCATCGTCGATCGGCCCAATCATGCATGACGAACTTCATATAATACGCGCGTGCACCTAGATGATTTTATGCTTAGCTCGAATACTGTAGTTCTTCTGGGATCCGGATGGTATTGCATCACCTTTGACAGGCTGTGGCTCAAAGAGGTCAATTGATTGACACTCAATCCCAGGACTGAGACTGATACCTTCCAGAACCTGAGGCAAATCTTCAACAGCAAGACGACCTGGTGCATGGGGGAAGTTTGCCTGAAACTTTTTCAAATCATGTCCTCGTCCACCAGCCACGTCAACCATGAGAACACCTCCCACCTCATTCTCAAATTCATCAATGATGCATTCTTGGACGGGAAACCAATCAATCCAATTAGGCCAATGGGCGCTCCTACCTGCCATGTGCACATGTAAATCATTGATATGTTCGGGTTTCTTGATCATCAAACTCCACATTGACTCTTCGGTTTTGTTCACGTATTGGAATAGACCTTTGTTGGATTCGGAAGGCGTTTGGAATCCTCGTTCACGGAAGTATTCAGGCGCTTTGGCATATAGAGGCATGCACAAGTCGAATCTGGCAGGGAGGGCGGGTTAATTGAGTCTTTAGGTTTTGTGGATTGTGAATAATGGGACTTACTGGAATTTGAGAATAGCGACAGCTTCGGGGATACTCAAATATCGGGCCATCGCATTGGCAGTATAGACTCCGACTTCGTGCTCGATAAGGTAACCGATCGCTGCGAGGATACGCAGTACTCGCTCTATTGAGAGGAAAGCAGACATAAGATGACGTGGCATCCATAGCATGGTCAGATAGATCATTATTACCTGCAAACAACGGATATGCGTTCTTAACGACAGCCAATTCCTCCAAGCTGACAGGTCCATCTCTTTCCGCGAGAGTCGTGAATATGTCAAGATCAACGGCGATTCTGACACAGAGAAGCAGAATAGGCTGACCGTGCAGTTAGATGTATACTCAGTACGTCAACCCCTCGAAAACACGCACAGACAGCCCCATCAATAGTACCGCATCCTGCGGTTTCTCCAAGTTCTGGACTAGTTTGCGAGAAGCCTTCCAAGGCAGTTGTTCGTTCAAGATAATTTTCATCCTTCTGGAAGTTCCGCGTAGCTTGACAGAGCCGGTTCAGTAGGCCATTCAGATCTCCAGCTTCATGTTTGCAAGTGGACATGATTAGGAATTGGTGGCAAGGTATTGTTGACAGGAAAGGGAAGAGGGGATCGAGAATGGGCGAGTCTTTATAGGCTTGATCCTCTGTATCACCAGTGTATTGACATCGTACATGTTCCGACTTGGCTGTGGAACATTTCTTAGCCTTGGTTGCTCATTTAATCCTTAGTTGCAACAGACAAGTAGCATGGTTCTGTGCTAGGATAGACTGTTTAAGATCAACGCATGGCTCGCAACTTTGAGTAGATATTGTCTGTGGCCCCAGATAGAAATCGCATTACCGATGATGGGTGTCGATTTCCAGAGAATCTAATCTCGTATTTCTTGTAGGTGCTAGCTTCGTGACATCTTTATTGTGGCGTGAGCTTCTATTTCCATTTCGTCTTATTGACACCTAGCAATGCATGCTTTTTGACCCTCCCAGCAACAAAACCATGGACCGATCCACCTTGTACATCTCATCTATCTATGCATTCAAATCATTCGCAGGTCATATCACATCAGAAGAAAGTCCAAAATGCAACCCTCACTTTTTAATCCCAATAACAACCAGATTGCGCGGACTCTCACTATACTCAAAGACAGGCTCAACCCAACACTCTTTGACCGAATCATGTTCCCGCAAGAACTGCCAGCGATCCACGACAATAACCGCCTCCACAACCTGCGCACTAAACGCCATCAAGCTCCACACAACGCTAAGATGCTTTTTCGTTGGGAGATACTCCATCTCATAGCGCTGAATCTCCTCGTCCGTCATCGTAGCGATTTGCTCTTGGATCTTGGAGGCATGTTTCGGGTCACGAAGCAGTCTGGTCGTTGCGGCACGTACATATGCAGTGAAAGATTCGAATGCGCGCTTTGGTAAAGATCCGATGATCACAGCTGCTGTGGATTCGCCGCCTTCGTCTTCAGCGTAGAGATCATCGGGGATACCCGGTTTAGCCGCGACGCCACGATCAACGAAAATACGTTGCAACAAGGCGCGGAAGTGATGCCGAGCAAAGAAGCGCTCGCTATCATCATGGCCCCAGTTATACGGTGCCTGCACGGCCATCATGCGTGCCGTGATGTTGAACTTCATGCCGATTGCGCCGGGACTTTCGTAGTTCTCAAAGTACTTGGACATTGGGAAGCCATGTGGGTCGTAGGAATTGCCCGTTGCTTGGAGACGGGGGTGGAGGGAGCGGAGAACGGGGAGTTTGTATGTTGCTGGACCGAGGCGTTCGGTCATGAGGTTGTAGCAGCAGCCGATCATGGCGACCGCTACGACGGAGGGGTTGAGGATTAGGGAGCGGACACCGTGGTGGACTAGGTTGCCGCAGGAATGGAGGGAGACAACCATTACTCGGGCGTTGCTTTGTTGTTGCTCCTCTGGTTGGATTGTTATAGAGGTGGATTCGTCTGTTACGGTTTCGCTTGGTGTCGTTGGAGCGGATGGATTGACAACGTGGTCAATGATGGGCTCGAGGTACCCGTCTTGAATGTTGTGTTCGATGTAGCTGATAGTACCCCGGGTATCGATCTCGTGGTCGGGTTTTTGTTTTTGACCTCCCTTTGTGATCGACCCTAGTAGCTCGTGAGGTTCCAGTGTAATCTCGCCTAGCATCTTGAACATAGTGACATCCTCCTGATGATCCGCGGTCTCTCCTTGAGCTGGAACATCCTCAGGAGCTTCATGCTGTTCTGTTTTTGATTGCGCCTCTGCATTATCAGATGCTGCCACTTCCGGTGTGCCATTGCAGCCACTGCAGGACTTCTTGCGACTATGCACATACACCGTCTTAGACTTTTCCTTCTCACGCAACTTGGCCGAGACATCCATGCCCATGGCACCAGCGATGTATTGGTGTTTCCGCTCAATTGCAATAATATGTTTATGAAACGGTGAGCTGGCCAATGTCCGCCCAAGATAATTCTGCCCAGACCCAAAATCCACAATATGAGACACCGGCTCACCGCGACGCTCACCCACGGTATCGGATAATGATGCGACGAACTGAGAAAAGTATTCGACCTCATGCTCTTTTTTCGTCTTCATGCCAACCGCCACATGTCTGGGAAGTTTTGCCTTCTTCTGCGTCGAGGTATCGAATTCTCGACGAAGGCTGAGCTGGCGCACTTGGCGAATGTATTCTAAAAGGCTCTGTGGAGGGAATGCGCCGTCCTTCCATGTGCGAGCACCTGCGCTAGTGTCTCCGTTGGTCGCTTCCACGCATAAGGGCTCAATGTCTTCTCGCAGAAGCAGTTGCAGTATATCGTGGATATCATGATGTTCGAAGAAGGCTCGCCAATCTTCTGGGAGGAGGGTGGTGTATAGAGCGGGCTCGCGGGTCAGGAAATCGAGGATGTGTACGCCACCGCACAGGTTCATGAATAGGACATTGGTCGTCGCGAAGTTGAGGAGCTCTTTGATATAGGTGTCGGGATCCTCCCACTCCTCGGAGAGTGGAAGGGGGCGATTGCGAGCCATGCGAAGAGGTCGTGGATTGTCTGGCGCAAAATGCAAAAAAGCCCTTGAATATCGCGGGGAAATGTTATCTTTTTTTTTTATCGGCGACCCGCTGAGTCAGGCCTAGCCAGCAGATGCCCGGAGTATGAGATTGATAGTTATTGAACTAATAGTGAATCTGATTCATAAAATGATAACTATACCAACAGAGATCCAATTCTATATAAAATCTTCGACTCAATCACTATTTCTCCTACTGTCTATTCATTCCCTACAGCCTCAGTCCTCCGTAACTCCACTAATTCCGCACCCACGAACACGTGATCTTGAACTCCCCGGAGCTGACAGCTATCCATCCAGACATCATCCCCTACCCAAACAACCTCCCAACCAATACACACCATAAAACCATGGAGACAACAGACCCCTTCCTCCAAGTCCAAGCGTAAGCACCTCTCCCCTCCATCTGCAAATCCAACCCATAAAACGAACCAAATACTAACCCACCCTCCCTACCACCAGGGACGTCCTCTCAACCCTCCAATCCAGCCGACCACTCTTCTCCTCGTACCTCCGCATCCGCTCCCTCGCCAAATCCCCCAAGAACCCCGAACTCAACCAATCCCGCTCCGAACTCGAAACAACCCTCACAGAACTAACCGCCGACCTCGACGACCTAGTCGAATCCGTCCGCGCCATCGAACAAGACCCCTACCGCTTCGGCCTCGAACTAGACGAAGTCCAGCGCCGGCGCAAACTAGTCGACGATGTGGGCGGGGAAATCGAGCAAATGCGCACCGAGCTGGCGCAAGCAGTTTCCGTAGCACCGGCGGCGGAGTTGCCTAATCCGACGGAGTTTGATGCGGCGTTGGACGAGGAGGACGGGCGCGGGGATGATTATTATGCGTCGCTAGAGCAGCAGAGGCAGTCGGAGTTGATGCATGAGCAGGATGAGCAGTTGGATGGGGTGTTTCGGACAGTGGGGAATTTGAGACAGCAGGCTAATGATATGGGGAGGGAGTTGGAGGATCAGGCTGTTATGATTGATGAGGTTGATACGCTTGCGGATCGGGTGGGTGGGAAGTTGAATAATGGGATGGCGCGGATACGACATATCGTGCGCAAGAATGAGGGTAAGCAGTATTCCCACATAATTTATGTTACTCACTTCCTGCGCGGCTTGTTGGGCAAGGATGGTGTTGGTCTACTTGGAGATGGAGCTGCGCAGTGTTGCGTATTGCGGGAACAAATGGGAATCATGAAATTCAAGCTAACTTTTTCCTCTCCTCCTTAGATACATGGTCATCCTTTTGCATCGCGGCGCTGATCTTCGCCCTCGTGCTATTATTAATTCTCGTTATCGTCCTGTGATAGTACATCATATGGGGCGTGACAAATCAGATAAACCACCAGCATCACATGGAGCATGGCGTTTCAAGGTCCGGGCAGGCAATTTAAATCGAAACGGAGTTTAGTTGCGAGCCTTCTTGGCGGGGGGCGCATTCTCGCCCTCCTCTTCGTCCTCGTCCATACCCTCGAGCTCCTCCATGTCGAGACCCTCAAAGTCAAAGTTAGGCTGGAACGATTGAGCTGCAAAAGAAAGTCAGCGAGGGGACTCATTGTTACTCGGGAGGCATATACCCCCCAGGGTATGACATACCATAATACTTCAGGGCGTTGAGCCAGAGGTCCTCAGCCAGGGCAATGGCGAGCTCCTCACCATCGGAGAAGATCTCAGCGTCCTCGAGATCATCAACGAGGAGCTCCAAATCCTCATCTTCGTCGTCCTCGTCATCCTCATCCTCGTCAACCTCCTCACCCTTGGACATCTTGACGAAGCGCTCCTCATCTTCCTTGACAGCCTCCTTGTTCTGCTCGGCAGAGATATCACGGCCGCGGTATCCGAAGAAGGCGAAGAAGCTGACGCCAGCGTGGCTCTCATCATCATCATCCTCGGGCATCTCAACATCCTCATCATCATCATTCATTTGCTCAGCCTCAAGAAGCTCGAGCTTCTTGACGAGGGCCTCGTACTCGGGCAGCTTCTTGCGGTCACCGCCCTTCTTCTCGGCATCGAACAGGTCGCAAGCCGCATCGAGCAGACCATTAGTGGTGTCCTGACCCTCCTTCCAGTTGATGCGGACGGGATCGGAGACAAGGCCCTCCCAGACACGACGCTTGCCGCTGGAGGTCTTGATGATCTGCTTGCGCCAGTAGAACTCCTTGACGAGCTTGGCGTTGTCGAAGTAGTCATTCTCCTCGGGGTCGAACTCGAAGGTGAAGCGAACGCTGCGGGGCTCGCCGTTACCCTCGGCGTCAACCTCGAAACGCTCGACAGTCACGTTCTTGAGGGGTCCGCCGAGGATCGCGGCATCGTCATCCAGGACATACTCGTCGATCTCAGGGGGAGCACTGGAGAAGACGCGGGCCCAGAAGTCGGGCTTGACAGAGGGGAGAGAGATAACCTCCTCACGCTTCTTGTAGATGGGGGCATAGCGAAGGACGGACTTGCGCACTGATGAAGAACAATGTCAGTGGTGTGTAAATAGTTTGGCATCGAATCGATGAAGAATGAAGTATCGCATAGCATCCACGAGTACATTCCAGCCGTAGGCTAAACTGCCCCTCATCACGCCGAACATGAACGGATGGCGCAGAACATCGGGACCCAAGTCAATGGGGGGCAGCAAAGAAGACAGAAAATAGGCAAATTACTTACTCTGCTCAAGCCCAGCACGCGCAAGCTCCTCTTCAACCAAAGCGAGCTTGGCCCGGGCATCCTGAGGGACGGAGGGCATCTCAATGCGCTCCATAAGAGACTTGTCTTCGCCAGACATTGTGATGGTGGGGTTGATGGTAAGGTATAGAAAGAGGTAAAAGAAAAGAGGAAAGCAAGCTTCTTAAGTATCAATCAAATATGACTTGACTGATCGCTAGCAAGAATATTGATGAGAGTAGTAAGAGAGAGAAAGGTGTGGAAGAAAGAAGATGAAGAAAGTTGCAAGACGAAGTGGGGGAACTAAGAAAAAAAATTCTGGCCGATCAGCACGAGCTGTCGATGCGCGCGGTCGAAACTTTTGCGGGCGGAGAGGGTACTTGCCGCTACGGGGCAGATACTCAGCTTGTAGTGGTGTTTACACCCGGCGCGGATGTACTGCGGATGTAGTTAGAGTGTACCCCACGCGGTCTCGACGGGCAACCAAGTGGACGGATTTAGTTGAATTGGAGAGTGGATGCGGGCCTGAGGTGTCGCGGTTTGAATTTTTCATTTGTGTCTTGATTAGTTAGGGGAGGGGCTTATTAGGCTAAGTCTTTAGCTAATAGAGATGCATTACATGTGGGAGTACTCCGTACTGAGGTAGTTATTCTTGTCAGTGGCATAGCAAAGCTGCCAGCTCTCCAGCTATGAAAGCTCAAAGCTCAGTACCGTGGCTGACCCTCCACACCCAGTCCCTACCTAAGACTACCTAATCCCTCCAGCACTCACTCCCCTATAAGCCCATAGTCCTAGTTAAAGCTCCAACCCAGGCCAGTCCTAACTAACCGTCTCCCTCTAACTTCTAACCCTCATTCTCCAATCACTTATCTCCCACACACTATAACTACTCAAACCCATTCTTATCGCACCCACACAATTGGAACAACATTGCTTTTTCGACCCCATCCCATCTTACCGTTCTCGCGTGAGCGGGACCCTGAAGAAAGGCAAAACCACATTTGACATTGATAAACAGATAGTGGCAGTAGTTTAATTCAACTTCCCCTCTTGAATGGTAAAAAAGGGCTATTCCTGAATCGTAATCAATCATTATCAATCCAATCCGTGGAAAATTGGAAATGGTTGTTTGCCGAATCCGGACGGACCTTGCCTATTGTATGGATGTAACTATAGCTGCTACCTATCCTGAGGTAGGTCGTGCCGGGGGCTGCTTACTGATAACTACTTTCCTTACCTGCCTACCTTATAGGTAGGGTGTCCAATCCTAGGGTTGGTTCTCATTGGGCTTCGAGTGTCTGCGATAAAAGAGTGGTTCTTGGCTGGAGTGATTGGTTGGATAAGGGCTGTTTTGGGTATGCTGGTAGCCCTGTTGTGTATGGCGTGCTTGTGGGAGATGAGGGAAAAGATGCGACATCGGGAGTTTTTGCGAACTGTTTCCCTCGGTAGCTGAGTAAACTCCGTTGAAAGAAGAGTAAGAGTCTGCGATAAGGAGTTGGAATGAGAGGTGAGCTAGAGGTTAGCTCATTCGCATGGCCCAACATACTTCGTAAGCTGGAGGCCCCACGGGAGTATGTATGATGAGGATCAAAATCGGGCAGCAAGGAAAATCGTGAAATCTCATTTCAAGGTCGTCTTTTTCTCAAAGCAGGTAATCACAATCACCGATAGCAAAGTCCACAACCAGATCAAAATTCCCAAGGGGGCAAAGAAAAGAAACACCCACAAAGCAAAACAATCAAACTTTTTTGGAGGGGAATCAAACGAAGATAGAGAGGATAGGAGAGGATAGATAAGAGGCCCGATTCCCAATTCCCCGCAATGCCTATACCCAATACCCAAGGTATATAAGGCATATATCTGTCCGATTAAGGAGAAGAAAAAAGACCACAACAGTAAACAAAAAAAACCGTTCGAGATGTTCCCATAATTCCCCCCATGCCCATTCGCCAACAATGCAATGATTAGAGCCTCAAGGCAGTAACCCATAAACAGAGGAAGAGAAACACAAGAAGACAAAGCTGCGGGGCAAGTTCTACATGCACAGAACAACATCACTATGCACGTCTGCCGGGGATCAAACAGTCGTAAAAGAGGAAGAAGAAAAAAGGGAAACGCAATAAGATGCCCTTCCAATCCCCAATCGCACGGTCATCAGCGACTCGGGACAAGGCGTAGAAGAGAATCAGACGAAGAAAAGATACTTTATTTTCCTTCAAAGCATCCAATCCAGTCCATTCGCCTCTTCTTCCACAGGGAACACTTCACGCGCATACTCCTCCATATCGCGCCATCCCTGCCACAAATGCCTCGCCTCGTCCGTCACCCGCAACGAGACCACTCCACCAGGCCCCTGCATCATTCCCGCACCAGCACCCTTCCCACCAGCTGGACCCAACCCCTTCGGCGATCCAGCCGCAGGCTGCGAAAACTCCGGCTGCGGGAAATACGGGGCTTCGCACTCGCCGAACAACAACTCCAGCGACTCCAGCTGTTCCCGGTATCCCGACGGAATCTTGACTTTGATTTCGATCTTGGGCACGCGCACGTAGCGACAGGGTCGATTGAGGGCGCGGGAGAAGGCGGCGCAGACTTGATTTGGAGAGAGGGTCTCGAATGTGAGGGCGATACTAGAACCGGGGCGCACGGCAAGGTTAGCTGTGCATTCCTTTCTTTTTGCTCTTTGCTTTTTGCATTACCGGTCTAGGCCGCCTAAGCTTAGCCTAGCCATGCGATATTTAAATCACTCACCGATGACCGTGCCACTTCTTGGGTCCGTCCTTGAAAATCTGCAACAGCGTCGGTCCCACGTCGTGCTCCGCGTCTAGCCAGGGCAAAGGTGTGTCGGAGTCAAACGGAGCGCGCCACTCGAAACTCCCATCCTCCAGCAATTCCATCTGGAACAGCGGGTAGGGCAGACTGGTGAAATTATTATTGTAGATTCCCGCATAGACGAATGTCGCCGGCAAACCGAGCTGGCGCACATAATTCTCGACGGTAAATTTGGGCGCCCACTGCGGGACAGCCGGCCAGGGTCCATGCACGGAGTGATCGGGCATACTGCTGTAGATGTAATGGGAGATGGAGCCCGCGCGCTTTGCGGCATCAGCGAGAGCGCGGCCGATGGCGACCTCGTCGCCCGCTTGCGAGACGGTGTTGATAAAGGCGTAATTGGCGCCCTGGAAGAGGGCGTCCATAAGCGCGGGGTTGTTCAAAAGCGGGCCTTGCAGGAGAGTGACGTTGGGGAGGGTCTGGAGCTCTTCGGCGATGAGGCCCTTGAGGGAGTGGATTTGCGCGCGCACCGCATAGCCGACGGCGGACGCGACGCGGATTAGCGACGCCGCTTGTCGCCCAGCCGCGTTGACGACGGCTATCGTCTTCTGCGGTTGTGTCATTCGGGTTGTGAGGGTGTGGTAGGGTTTTGGATTTTGGCGGGGGTGGGAGGGGAGAGGAGGAAGAGATCCTTGAGAGTGCCGGAGAGAGAAAGATACGGAGAGGGTTCCGGGTGAATATGGAAGAACCGAGCAGGGGGAGGGTAAGGTAGAATAGGCAGAAAGAACAGGGGAAGCCGGATGAATGATAAGTGGATCAGAGAGGAGGTTCTTTAGGAGGAGAGAGGAGTCGAGAGAGAAATGGGAACAAGATAAAAGAAAATCCGGAGTAACCGTCTTGGCGAGGAAAAAATGGAGGTGAGGGCTTTGCGATAGTTGGGATAGTGGGGTACCTTGGGAGGGGAGAGTGGCAGCGCGCAAAAAAAGTTGAAAAGTGGTATGTAACGAGAACTAAAAAAGCCCGCGCGATCAGACGGGATTCTCCACCACAGGGACCTGGATTCGAGACCGAATAAGAATTAGGCGATGGAAACAGTCAAGAACCCGGATGATCTGCAGCGAGATGGAAAGAAGAAGGAGAAAAGGGAATAAGGGAATTCTTTTTAAGGCAATTAAAAAAAGGGAAATTCCAGTTTGAAAGGGAGGCTTTGATTTCCGATTCCGACCATCAAACGCGGAGGAGGGGGGGCAAGAAGAGTTTAGTTGCTGCGTGGAAGGAGGGGAAGACGCAAGGGAAGGATAAGATAACGAGAAATAGGAAGAAGAGGTGGGGGAAGTAAGACCGGGAAGCAGAGCCGAGTCATATACTTAGTCGGGCTGCATTATAGAGGGAAAGAGACTGAATATTAAAGTAGTATTACAGTGTAGTGTAGTGTCTTTCCTGCCTATGACGACTATCCTAAGGACGTGCGATGGTCTGATGAAATGATAGGGGGAACAATCATCATTTCATAGTGTGATCTGATAGTCGCTGGGGAGTATAGAATAAGTAAAAACCGACAAAAAGAAAAGAAAATAATAAAAAAGAGAAGAAAAAAAAAAAAAAAAGTCAAGAAATATGCTATAACTAGCGTCGAAGCCCGCCGAAGTACAAAAACTATAGAAATTAGAACCCATCGAAACAACCTACAGGAGTAAATGTATAGTTCTCCGGCGACCTACCCCTTTCGACCTTGCGTATTATCTTATTTCTATACTTCCATCAACTTTGTCAAGCACGATGATGTCTTTTTGTTTGCTTATTCCACTAGATTAATACCTATTCTACTCCGACTGTTAGGCTCTCATTCGATGACACCATCGTGGACACGCTGGACTGGGCTGGGCGGTCTCAACCTCCCTTTTTTCTTTACGTAAATCGGCGGCGTCGGCAGCGTCCACTGGACGGGAAGATCCTGCCAGACCGGCCATCGGGACCCAGGCTCGGCCCCATGAGAAAGAAAAAAAGGTCCAGTTTCCAGTTTCCAGGGCCTAACTTGGTGCATGTTGCATATTGTACTATAGTCACTGGTCAGACTGTCAATCGGTTAGTACATACTGTAGTATGTAAGTACTATAAGTCTGCACGGTACAGGCCCGATTAAGCTCCCGCCAAGCTATGATGATGCCATCTCGAGAGATAGAACCATAATGAAAAGAATTGGAGTAAGTAAAGAGGCAAACCAGGTGACCAGCACCGACTACTGTAAAGCCTTCAAACTACAAAATGCAGTAAAGTAGTAGATTCTTGCCGAGCGTCACGACTCAACCTCGTCAGCCAGAGAGAGAGTATTAGCCACGGGGCCCAACTCCATAACCCCGAACTAACAAGTGAACAACTATCTAAAAAGGCAAAATCGCGCATCGTGGGTTAACCTTGCGAAGACGTGGAAAAAAAAGTGGGCAGTTAGTGGATGGAACAAGTCAAGAAGCCAGGAGCCTAGAAGCAATGAGCAACTATCGTGAGAAAAAAAATTCGAATCATTTTTTTCTAGTTAGTGTTCGTCTTCGTTCCACCAACTGCCAGGGGCGCGCTCACGTGGTGCTTGGGATGTGGGTTCCTGGTGTCATATTTTGCTCTCCCTTTGGATGGAGAATGATGGATCGTGGATAGAAGTGGATTTGATGGATTGACATGAAATGGAAATGAGGGTCGATCGAAATTCTGGCGCATCACCTGGTCACTTTGAACATACGCCAACGCATGACCCCTTTTGGGGTTGTTCTGTGAAAGAGATGGAGGAACGGTGAAGGGGATGACCTGCCTCAATCAGAATCGCTTAGTGTAACGATGGCCTCGGGGTAACGAGTTTATCATAATTTTCATAATACTTCCATTCCTACGGTAGGATTCACGATGGTACCTATAGAAAGTATAGTAGTTGATAGTAGTATAGTATAGGATAAGAAGGAATTGCAATGCACCAAGCAATGTGACAGACAAAACACATAGAATAATCAAGGAAAAGAACATAAAACTCATAGACAGTCAAAAAGGCAACTGTACCCTCGAACACTCCGTCCACGCAGTCAAGTCATCGACTGAAATCGTTATCTAACCTATACTATCCCATTCTCACCATAAGTTAGTCATGTAGTCCACTAATATCACCCGGATCGCCTTCCGAAGGTACCTGGAAAAAAAAATGACCAGGCCCTTGGCCACCACCCCACCGATGTGTGTCTGGCTGAAAGCAGGTCGACAGACGAAAGCCAAACCCCGCAAATTCTATCGGGCAGCTGCGTAGTCACGACGTGCGTTGCAGGACAGTGGACTGGCTGGAGTCGTGAGTCGTGAGTGGACGGTGGCATCCGAGGGGAACTCGTGTGGAAGTCGCCGAAACCTCGTCAAACCCCGGGTCAAGGTACCCATGGAAAGCAGACGAAGAACCGCGAACTTTGTTCACATTCACCAGATGGGGAAATTTTGTGAAAATTTGGATAAATCGCTATCTATCAATATCTATCAATAATGTCTAAACGCAATCACTAACAAGAATAAGAATAAGAATAATCATCGGGGAGGCAAAAAAGGGAGAAAACAAAGTTATAACTTAATCAGTTTAGAGCATAACCAGATTTGGATCCAAAGCCCGGCTTTGAAAGTCTTGAACAGGCCAAAGAAGAAGGTCCAACGAGGGGGGCAACCAATCCAGCACCACCATTCCAGCAAGCCATCAGCAAAGAGTCCCAGTCAACCCCAGGAAATTTCGTTGAGCGCTCCGTGAACTGCGTTACTCACTCGCTGAGTCGCTGGTCTATCGTGGATTCGTGTTGGAGGTGGGTATCCACTTGGTAACTGGGCTGGGCCCCCTCTCCTCCTCCTCCTTTCCTCCTTTGCTCCCACTTCCCCAACGGTACTGCGGTAGGGGCCGTAGGGCCACGATCTCCGCGGACATCAAAATGCCACACACCCAATGACAGGCACCCATTCGTTCCATGTCTTTCTGGCGTGATCGTTGCGCTTAGCATATCGTTCGCGCACACGCTGTACTACCCGCGATGATGTGACCGGCGTGAAATCCCTCCTCCGGTTGCCTCACAGATTGGGAAGAGAGACATGTGAGATGTGAGCCGATTCGTGGATTGCGAATTCGGAGACGTCGGGGATTGCCTACGTGGTTGTGCTGGTTGATGATGATGTTGTTGTTGTTTTTCCCCCTTGCCCTTGGCCCTCTCTTTCTCACACTCACTCCCTTCGAGTGGTCATTCGGCGAATGCTGATTGCTCTTATTTCCCCCATTCACGGTGCTGACCCAGCCAGCAAGGTCCGACTGCGCCCGGCGCTTTGATCATCCTCGTCCATCTCCCGCTGGCTGTTCTCACGTGGGTCAATGCCCGCTAAACCCCAGACCCCGGGACGCCGCCGGGCCAGGAGCTCGGCCGCCGGTCGCTCATCAGAGTGTAAATGAGCACCAGATTTCCGCAAGAGCATGACGTGCTCTGATAGGCCCGCGTTGGCCGCCAGGAACAGCGGGGTACGTCCGTTACGATTGCGCAAGTGAACGGAGCCACCATGCGATAGCAAGAAGTGGAGAATCGAAATGGCAGGGGAAGTAGCCGCCAGGTGCTGGAAAAAAAAGTCAGCATGCAAGCAAAAAGCAACCTGACGCAATTTGGCAACTCAAAAAGAAAAACTGTTTTTGAGGCTTCACTTACGATAGGCGTGTTTCCAGAATAGTCTGCATCATTAAGCAGCCAGTGATGTTCTGTCTTGAGGATCGTCTGGACCCGTTCGAGATCGCCTTGCGCAATGGCGTAACCCATTGCCGTCAGTGTCTGCACACGCTCGGGTAGCGCGCCGTCCGGATGACGGAAGACGGGCAGCGATGACTCGGTCAACTCGCCCCGAAGGGAAACTGACATGTTCTTGGCCACAGATTCCGGGGTGGAGTCTGGTAACGCGAGCAGGTATGCCAGTTTCGTCAACGCTGCCTCCGTCGTCATGTCGAGGCCTGCGACGACGCCCGCCCGGGAAAGGCTCATCCCTGTGGCATACACGGGGCTGACACTACCTGTCAGACCTAAGCGGAAAAAATTACCGTTAGCATTCTTGCTCTCATATAGGTCAGGGACTTGATATAGCTCACATTGAGTCACGTTGACAATCACGATTCCACGTCGAATGGCGGCGGCCAACACGTTGATCATGGCGTTGTCTTGACCAGATGGGGCATTACCTGCGCCAAAGGTCTCCAACACCAAGCCACGGAGGGCATCCAGCTTCAAGACTGCATCGACCATCTCCGGTTTGATACCGGGGAAGATACGAAGGCACGCGACATGGGCCGTATCCAGGTTCGTCTGAATCCGGAAGTGCTCCAAGGTGGTCGGCCGATGGACCATGTCCCAGTTCACATTGGTTCGCATCGAAGTGGTCACGGCCAGCGGCGGGCAGTTGGGCGCATCAAAGGCAGAAAAGTCACTGGCGGCTACCTTGGTAGTGCGATTTCCCCGGAAGAGCTTGTTGTTAAAGTACAAGCACACCTCGGGAATCATGAAATGACCTGCCACTACCAAAGACCCGAGCAAGTTATCGGTAGCGTCGTTCTGAAGTTCCAGCATGGGCGCCTGAGAACCCGTGAGCACCACGGGCTTTCCCAGGTTCTGCAGCATGAAGCTCAGCGCGGAGCAACTATACGCCAGACTATCGGTTCCGTGCAGAACGACAAATCCATCGAAGAAAGTGTAGTTCTGGAAGATGGTCTGCGCAATCTCTGCCCAGCCCTTGGCATTGATAGAGCTACTATCGAGGAGCTCCTTGAATTCGTAGACAGTGTAGCGCACCTGGCGGCCGTAGGTGGTGACCGGTGTGCGGAGACTGGGATGAGGAGTGATATCGCGTCCTCCTTTAGTCACCACGTCCATCTCGGCAGGGGCAGAGCCATCGTTGAAACAGGGCACCCTTGCCATGCAGTTCTCTTGGAATCCTCTAGCAGGGATGAAACCATGTGGCGAAGGTTGCATGCAGATTGTGCCTCCGGTCATGATGATCAACACTCTCGACTCCAGGATCGCGAGCTCTGGGGGACTCTGGAGCCCCGGACTGAAGGAGGATGTCTCCATGGTGCCCATTGTGAATATCGCTCAGAGGTGATAAGAGCGTAAGGAAGATCAAAGCAGAGCTGCAAGTGCTGAAGCAAGTCAGACCAAAATCGACACAATAAACAACGACCTTGAATGCGAATATCTCAAGGCGGTTCTCAACGGCAACACTTACTGAACACAACAGGTACAATCAAAGCCGACGATAACCCCAAACGGCCCCTCCAAGAAAATTCCGCAATCGCTGCTCAACTCTCGGTGAATTGCGGGGAGATGACGTTGTGTCAGAAATTTTTTCTTCCACTCGCTGTTCCTGATACTGTAATTCTTCCCGTTCTAGTTGATAATAATAGATCCCGGCTCGAAGTGAGTGAAAAAAAAAGAAAGAAAAAAAAATAAAAAAACTCCACGGTCATGCACAGCTTCTCCAAGACGAAGATGGTGATTGAGTCTTTTGGCCGAAAACCCCAAATCGACTCCGATCGTATTACGTACGGACATCTTATTGGAGAGAGATTTTCACGGGCTGGGCCAACTTTAAAACCCAGATCCACTTCGCTGCTGGTTGGGCCAACGGCATTGCAAGGAGGTGACGGAGTGGCTCCGAGGGTGTAATTTTGGTGATTATCAAGTGAGAGGAAAGTTGATGTTGTGAGAGAGACATAAAGAAAAAAGAGATTGAAATTGGAAGAAGAGTAAAAAGAAGGGGAATTGCTGGATTTAGGTGCAATCAAACAACCAGGAAGGAGGGCACACCACGTGCTGGTTATCTTTGCTTTTTCTTGTCTCTTATCTTTGCCAACTATGCCCTGGTCTAACTGCTTTTAAAGGGCGGTATGCTATTTCTGTTGAGGTCAAAGATAAGAAAGGACTAGATTACACTGGAATTTCATCAGATTCTAGGAAAAAGATGTTATATTTTAGGCATTATTAAAATCGTTTCTGTACACAATATATATTTCCCTTTTTGAAAGTCAGGATCAAGTAGGATTATTGATCTGAAACATATCCTCCTCCAACAACCCCATCATGTACTGATTACCAGAGAACCAACTCCCCAGCTGTGCCGCCTGCGACATCTCCACCACAGATATATCCTGACCTTGGACTTGACCCTGAGTTGGCACAGCCGGATTCCCAAACCCAGATGCTTGGAGCGACGGGTCCGCCATACTAGCAGTCATAGCCGAACCATCCGGCTGCAACGCCCCCCATGGATTATTCGCAATCGCGTTTCCAGGTGCTAATCCAAGTGCACTCAAATAGGCGTCGAATTCCTGGCCTACGGACGCCATGTTCTGGTCCTCGCCGGCTTGTTTTCGTGACTTCGCTTCGACGTAGAGGCGGGCGACTGTGCTGAGGACTGAGCAGAGGTTATGGAGGCGGTCGATTGATTGGGAGAAGCGGCACAGGGGGAGAAGAGAGGCGACGAAGTCTTCGAGCCGGGTGAGATCTTTGCTGTCGGATGTTGTGACGACGTGGCAGAATATGACGATGAAGGGGACGAATGGGGAGAGGAAAATGGCCCTGGTTAAGGTTAGAGGGGAGATAAGGAAATGATGAGAAATTGGAGGATGAGGGTTCATAGAAACCGATTGAGATACTTACCAATGCATATATGAGCAACGCAGATTCTCGGAAGCTTCTTTGAGACTGCCTATGCATACCTGATGAAGCTCCAACGTTGCTCTGGCCGTCTCAATACACTCCGGGATAAAGGTGCTAGATGAGCCAGGCTCAACGGGGATAGCGCGGTATATCAAAGTCAAAATTGCCAGTCGACTGACTCCATCAGAGCGAAGGTAGATATAATCGACTTCAGAAATATTCCAGTCGGCATTCAAAATTTGCTGTTTGCAACAAATAAGTATCAAATTATACCGCACAGTGGAAGTGAAGGGGATCCGCTTACATCAAAAGGCTCAAGGATATCTCTCTTCATCTCAATAGCCAACTGTCGAGCATGCATCACACGTTCACTTTCTGGCTGGTTCAATGCGGCTGGACTGTACAAATTTGTGTATATGTTGTTCTGGATAACGGCCTGTCTGGCCCATAGAGCGCAGACCATGCTCCATACGCCCATGTTCGGGAAGCATTCGAATGGCGAAGGTATATCCACGTCGCAGGCTTGTACCACCGAAGCACGTCCCAAGCGCAGCGACATCAAATTCATAATTGTGTATACAGACCAGAAAATGTCCTGCTTCCGGTGTTGGAGTTCGGGAGGATCATGCTCCATAGAGGAAAGACGATTGTATCCCAAAGTTTGGCACATGTGAATAGCTGTTGATGCAAGAGTCCAGCTAACGGATGGCTTTGAAATTTCGATTCCATGAAGTGCCTATTTTCATCAGTGACTGGTCCAGGCTAGTCTAAGGGCCACACGTGGGAGAACTCACACCAACAGCGAGTGCCACGACAGAGTCCATAGTGACTGGCATAAGAATATTCAAATTTGCCAATGCCGCCTCCAAGTTATCTTTGCAGACCTGGACATACCGCTGGTACTCGTCTCGGGTGGCAGGCTCCTTCTCGCAGAATCCAAATTCGACAAAGATACCATAGAGGCCGAAGTTAGCTATGATGAATGTTGCGTCGGAGTAATCCTCTGTCGCAAAGTAGACTTCCTGACACCGGGAGATGAAATAGTCCACCGAGAAGAAAGGGATATAGCCCCCAAACAAGGCCGGCGGGTTTTCTGCATTCAATCAGAATCATGCAACTCATGATCGGTCTATGTTCATACCTTTAGCTTTTTTCAACACTGTCAAGACAACCGGCAAAGGTGGCATTTCCAACTCGCGTATGTCACAGCGAGCGCCCAATCGACTGGAAAGTTGACCTCTCTGCGTTCCAGAATCTCGCTGTTTACTTTGCATTTCAACAATCTGCTTCAGTGATGAGAGGGCCTCGTTGATCTTCGGGCTAGAGAACATTTCAGGTGTACTGTGTGAAACAGCCGATTCCAGAAATTCCTTTGCATAAGCGGAATGAGCCGCTAGAGAGGAATTCCCTTCGAATGTAGAACCTGAGTCATGCTGCTCGATAGCAGCGTTAGAGGTGTACCCAGGGGCTTTTGAATCTGCATGATCTTGCTTGGGCGCTGAGGATTGCGATCGGGCCAGAGTATCGGGCGATGATAGAGATGATGCGGAGAATTTAGCAGTGCTACCAACGCCCTGGTGTCGGGACGAGATTAACAGCTCTCGAAGAGCCTGCTCAATGCCCCCGAGGCGCTGTAATGTCTCTTCGACGCCGCCAAGACGCTCTTCGATAAGATCAATCTTCTTCTCACTGTTGAGACCTGTTAGCGACAAACAATCACCCTGACCAGGGAGGGGGTTCGACATGAGTCACATACTACTGGCTAGAAATCAATACACGACGCCGGGGCTCGGACGGCCTCTGTCCTTCGCCCGTAGATCGACAAGTGATGTTCGAGCTACGACAGTTCGAACATGGAACACGCTTGTCACATCGAATCTGTGACGATTGTTAAATTCAATGTAAACCCGGACAAGGATCATGCAGGCAGAGGCATATATACCTTCCGAGTACGGCATTGGTCACACTAAACGAGAATATTGGTCAGCGACCACCACTGCATTGGATGTAACACTTCACTTTTTGCGCCAATAGCTTGATTTCTGATTTTTGATTCTTCCAATTTCTCCATGGCCTGGGGGAAGTGGAGTACTGTACATACCGCACGTCGGGTCATAGCGCTTGGCGTCTCGCGCTCCTCGCGGTCGGAACCATCGGTATCCATAGCAGGGATGTATATGGCCACTAATCACCAAGTTGCGTCTGTTCCTCGAGGTTGCTGGAGCCTCTGGCATCGACTCTAGTTTGTGCGGGCGGAACTGAGGCTGCCTGCTGAAAGGTCGGCGTAGGCAGAAGGACAAGATCACGTGGCTCCGGAGTCAACGACGGAAATGTCAGACCATCATGATCCTTAAGATCTGGAGAGTTGAAGATGTCTATCAAAGATTCTACTATGAATGTTTGCAATCTATGGTAAATACAGGGAATGTCGGAGATCAAAACTATCGACAAGTTCATGATATGTTCATTCGGCGTAACGCAGTCGTCAAAGAGCGTGGCCCGGCTGGGGAACGCAGTTCGCCAGGTCTACACTCCAATGGGCAGAGCGCGTCCAGCACACACATACCACCGTTTTAAAATGATCTATCCAGCAAAGAACGGAAAATGGAAAATCACAATTGGCCAAGGCACAAGACGACCAAGCTATTGTTTGGGAGAACGCGGTGGAACCCATGTCCCGTCGTTAGCCCAAACGCCAGCAGGGCCGTAAATGCCAGCCTCAGCACCGCGCAAGAAAGCAAACCGGAAAAAAAGGACCTCGGGTTCGTCATCTTCGTCCGAATCATCATTGCCTAGCAAGACAGACTGGGCCTCAAGTTCAAGGCTGTCGACCCCACGAGGCTCGAGGAATGGCATCTTGCTCAGCTCCAGCCCATCATGACCATGCCGGTGCCAGGTGAATTCGCCTGCTTTATTTTCATCAAGATAGCCACGCCAGCGTTCCACGTCATTGAGCAGCACAGAAATTCCATCTACGGCGAGGTCGGTCATTCGGTCGTGTTCCCATAGAGCGAAGGTGATGTTTCCATTGCCGCGGTGCGTGAAACTGGACCCTGGCTCTGGTAATGAAACTTGAACAGAAGAAGCAGTGACGTTGGGGTATGTGGAACCCCACCATCCGTGACCTGCACGCCCTGGGGCCAGTTCTCCCAAAGCGGCGGGGGTCTCAATGATAGAAGCAAATCCCCAGCGAGCAACGCCGTTGATGAAAAGACCGAGGAGCAATCCTTGGTAGGCCAGCGAGGGGCGAGTAGGGAAGGCAGTGCCTGGCATAAGCAGAATGGCGAGGATGTAATGATGAATTCGAAGCCGGAGACCAGGCAGCGGGAGCAGGATCAAGATGATCAGCCCCATGGTGCAGTAAATCTTGAGGTAGCGTGGGAGCAGACCACCCTGTCGAATTTGCCACGCTTGGGTGAGAACGATGGTAAGCACAGTTGGAACGACCAAGGCAAGGGCCAGTTTTGCGCCAGGCTGTTGCTGAATATCCATTGGCGTCAAACGCTGAAGGGGTATCAATCGTGCAAATGTGTAATTGTTCAAGGCTCCGATGAAAAGCATCGGGAGAAACAAAAGAAGCTTTTCCAGTTGATAGATAGGCGATCTTATCGGCTGGAGAAGGGGAGCTGCACAGAACTTGTATAGAACGTAAATCACAAATGCTGCAGGCAACAGTCGAGAAAGGAGAGTAGAAACAAGGTCGGACAGATAAGGATAGGATGGCGGATCAGCGACCAAACCTGTATGGCAAAATACCATGAAAAATGCACTGAAGAAAAGGACAGGGGGCGAAGTGCAGAAAAGCCACAGGATTCCGACTGCCGCACCAGTCACCCCGAGAAGCGACCAGCGCGGATCAGCTGGGCAATTCGATTGGGATGAGGAGAGTTCGGGAAAACTGAAGGACTTGGGAAATGTTGACGGGAAGGACTCTGATAGAATCCCATTCTGTTTCACAGACGGAAAAGAGTGCGCCGCGCCTTCGAGCTTCGCAACACCGCAGCCACCATCGTTCGAGACAACTCCAGCATGAATGGCAGCCTGACAGACGAAACTATCAGCACGGTAGATCGCACGATCGTCAGACCCCGGCAGCGAACCACCGACCACGAGGCCTTGGTAGTTGAAGGTCTGATTTCCCACGACATGCGGTTCTAGCAGCTTTGTATCACGGCAGTTTGCGGGGCATCGGAAAGCCACAGTCGAGGCAGAGAAGGGACGGCAGTCGTTTCCATTGAGACCACATCCGTTGTCAAATGCCCTATATCAGTCATTCATGTCAGCGCAATTCAATCACTGTCGAGTGGGGAACCATATCAGTACATACCAGAAATTCGTAGCGCATGAGAGGGTCTGTAGCTGGCCGTATCCTTCGATATAACCCGAGGAGCGCGAATGCAGAAGAACCAGGAACCACGGTAGGAACCACGATGTGTAGAGCAGTAGCAAGAGCGCTATCTTTTGCTTTCGCTTCGGGAAGAAGTGTTCCAGGTACTGTACTGGCAGCTCTTGCAGACGCGGGAACAGCGGCTTCAGCAAGAGCATATGTGGGGGATCAGGTCCCTTGATCCAATTCACAGTTGCGCGACCGGCCTTTCTCAAGGGTAGCGGTACCCAGCGCCAGCGAAAGGATTTGGACGACTCTTGCAACCAGATGGGTAGGGCGCTACCGGCTTCGACATCAGGCGGCGGGAAATCCTCGGAAGCGTCCGGATTGATGGGGTTCTCGTCATCTTCGAGTAGCGGGGGAACATAGAGGCGAGCGGCCTCGTCGCGACCCTCTCCTATCATGGTTGAAGGGTGACTGTAAAGGAATAGACCGAAATGTCGAGAGAAAGAAACGAACGAACGACTATGATGTCGGTGTTGGAGCGGTCGGCGCTAGGCGCCAGTGGAGATCTCCAAAAAGTGGATTCGCAAGGCGGAGGATCACCAGGGTCACCAAGCCATGAAGCAGACCTCGTGACGCGGGGATTCGAAGATCAGAAAAAAAGGACAGAAATAAAGTGTAAAGTGTGTATGAAAGGTCCACTATGTATAAAGACGGCAATAATTGAGAAAGTGGAGGTGAAAGTGAAAGAGAAAGAGAAAGAAGAATGGATGAAAGAAGGGAAGATGAAGAAGGGCGGTGCTGCTTGACTGACAGCCAATCAGCGTTGATCCTGTGACCCAGTGGCAAAGGTGCACGCGGTGGCCCCCAAAGAAGAATGTTCACATTCTTATTCCACGTTATTCAGTTTCTGCATAAAAGGCTAAATAGGCTGTAGAAGTATTGATGCACTGTATGAAAATGATGAGGCTTGTTGGGGGGTTCAAGTCAAATCAACACTGGGCCAGCACTAATGCAGGCCGGTGCGACGCATGGAAGGATGATCAATGGCCATCTCAGATTTCCCCGCAAGGGCACCTTTCTGTGCCTGATAGAGGCGAAAAAGGTACTTAAGAGAATAAATTGCAGAAGTACACAATAAGTATAGATATACACCACTATTATAATTAATTCAAGTCTCATCGCTTACATATAGCGCTTATTTCTCGGACCACTCCGACTGGACCTATTACGGTTCTCCTGTTTTCGAACCAATTCCTCCAGGGTTGATCGTGACACTCATAGATACAGACATGTGAACGAATTCAATCTTCTGCTAGAGAACTAGATGTATGAACTGCATATTAGGCAGATGTGGAGCCAAATGAATTCAATCTGATTTGTATATAAGCGGCTTGAAGTGAAGCAAGAACAACGCAGACAAGAACTAGTAGAGACAGGAGGGTGCGGGAGCAGACAAGTAGAGTAAGAGATTCAAGTTAGTAAGGCAAGGAAATTAGAGCGAGAGCGACAAAGCTGAGGTCAATATGGTCATCTTGCTATCCAGCGCGATTCAGTTCTCATAGTCTTCGGCAGCTTAGATCTCAGAAATTGAAGTTTGTGTATGAGTCCAAATTGCTTCGAAACCTATGCCCTTTTGTATTTTACGAAGTCTCCGGCAATATGGGCATGAGAAGTCAGAGAGTCTGTGCAATATTGATAGAACACTGCCCTGTCTCAAAGCAATGGTGGCCGGTGTCACAAATTCCACAATAAAAGTCTATAGGTAAGCCGAATATATTTCTGCATAACTTGCACACAAAATAAGTGAGCCCATCTATATGGAATATCTTGTACATCCTGTACCACCCTCTTCGTATTCCGCAATCGACACAGTATCGGCGGTCACTCTCACTTCCACCTTTCTCACGCTCCTGCTGTACTTGTTTGTCGTCAAACCTTCTCCGAGGACGCAACTTCAGACATTTATAGCAAGAGAAGTATTTGTTGTTTCTGGAAATGTAAGATTCCGGTTGTAATCGATCAGAGTGATGTAGGTAGTTGCTACTCAGCAGGAGAAGGTACTCACTTTTGGTGTCACACCGGCCACCCTGGCTCTGAAAAAAGGAACAACTTTGAGATAGATGAAGGCGGGAAGCATATCCCAGGGAGCGCATGATTTCTAGAAGCAGCTCATTTGGGACATCGAACAGTGTCATTGGTGAGGAAGTCATGATCAAGGGACTAGCAGCTCTGGCGGTCTCTCAAGGCATTCTTCGACGGTATGATTTTGAATAACGATAGCCTAGGGCGAGATCATCATCCGTGGCTCGTCTGACCGGCATTGTCTCAGACAATTGAATAGATACATCATAATGAGATATAGCAAATTTTGCAATACGATCCAGTAATTGGGTCCGATTTAGGACTATGATGCACTAGCGTGTGGATGCAAAGAACTTGGAAACAATCGAGAAGAGAAGAAGGGAGAAAGATCCTAATCTATTGCTGTATATGAAGTGTACCAGTATACGCGATACTTTGATCAGACATCTTAGTAGCCTCTTTCATTCTTATCTCTGCCCTATAGCTCTACTGAGATCCTTCTAAGGACGCTTCGTTCCGACTACGCCTTCCGTGGCCCACCAGGCCCAAATGGTGACGGTGCTTATCAAGCACTCGGACGCCCACGGCCAAACGGTGCGGGGGGATGTAGCAGGTTTCGTGGAGATTAGAAATCGGATATTTTAGTATGTTTTGCTCCCTCGAGATAGTTTCACTTTACTCTTTCTTCTGATATTTTCTTGGTTTTTTGCCATCCCTCACCTTATCAAACGTGGACATATGCACGCCCGTTGAGCTGCAGCGATCGTCATGTCAGCCGTCACATCTCCACAACCGTTAGACTTGTCGCACCACTACTCGTATGCATCCAAGAATCGCAATCCGAGCAGCGTAAAGAGCTTCTACAAGTACTTTGCAATCCCCAACATCGCCAATTTTGCCGGAGGTATATACACGATAGGGCTCTGTATCTCTGTGTAACCATAAGCCTCGGCTAACCTGCTATACTTCCTTACAGGCTTACCACACCCTTCATATTTCCCGTACGATACTCTCGAAGCGACCGTCGCCCGACCTCAGCGTCTCCAGCCATCCAACAAAGATGACACCAAAGCCGACCGGGTAGTCATCCCAAAAGAAGTTCAGACACCTGATCTAACACGTAAAATCGACTTGACTACTGCTTTACAGTATGGCACTGCCGAAGGCTACCCGCCAATTTTCTCGTTCCTGCGACAGTTCGTTCGGGACCATCTCCATCCCAATGTCCCCTACGAAGGAGGTCCCGAGATCATCATGTCATGCGGCAATACTGACGGCTTCTCTAAAGCCGTTGAGCTATTCACTAATATCTGGAATCCCGACCGGGACTGGATTCAGCAGCGCGAAGGCGTGCTATGTGAGGAGTTCACCTATATGACTGCCATTCAGACCATCCAGCCGCGAGGCCTGAATACTGTCACCGTGGCCGTAGATGGTCAGGGTATGCTAGCGTACGGAAAAGGTGGCCTGAAAGACGTGCTGGAAAATTGGGACTTCCGACGTGGAAGACGTCCACATCTCATGTACACTGTGACGTGAGTTGCGATTCTACTTGCGCGGTTTTCGCAATGAATGACCAAATATGCTAACGCCTTGACAGGATTGGCCAGAATCCCACGGGAGGAAACTTGTCCATTGAGCGGAGAAAAGAAATCTACGCGCTCTGTCAGAAATATGACGTGATTATGGTGGAAGATGATCCGTACTGGAACTTGCAGTTCCCCTCCGCATACGAGAAGGAGTCCCGTTATCGGGGTGCCTCGACAGAGCCCACGCCCTATAATCGGAGCTACAATGCCGAGGGCAAATCTTCGGGCTATGCTTTCTTAGACTCTTTGTTGCCTTCGTACCTGTCAATTGATACCGAAGGACGAGTTGTGCGGCTCGACACTTTCTCCAAGACTATTGCTCCCGGCAGTCGTCTGGGCTGGATCACTGCGCAGCCTGCGGTTATCGAGCGGATTACTCGCATCACCGAGGTTACAACGCAGCAGCCCTCGGGTTTCGTGCAGTCTATAATTGCCCAGACAATTATCGGGGAACAGCTGAAGGAGAAAGGAGCTCTTGCTTTGATGAAGCAAGAAGTCTCTAGCTGGCGCATGGATGGGTGGGTTCGCTGGCTGGAAGGACTACGTGGAGGCTATGAGAGGCGCATGAATGATATGTGCAGCGTCCTGGAAGAGAACAAGTATCTGTTCTCTGAGAGCCCCGAAAAGTCATCAACTGTTGACCATGTCAATGACTGGGAGGTAGTCGACCGGGTACAGATGTATGACTTCGTCTGGCCCAAGGGCGGCATGTTCGCTTGGGTTGAGATACGTCTTGAGACCCATCCATTGCGGACTAAATACAGCGAGAGAAAATTGTCCAAGGCTTTCTGGATACATCTCACAAAGAAGCCGCATTTGTGTCTGGTTGCGCCGGGCCAGATATTTGCGGCTGGGCCAAAGTCTGCTGAAAAAGAGCACCGGTATATCCGTGTGGCTTTTGCGCCAATGGACCCTGAGGACGTCTCGCCTTTCACTCGCAGGCTTGTTGAAGGTTTCCGATCGTTCTGGAAGCGGGAGAATCTAGATGGCTTGGATGACGATGATGAGACTCTGGCGATGCAGTCGATGCAGTTGAATTCAGGGATTAACTTTGTGGGCCCTGGATGTTAATAATCTCTGATACTTCGTCTGTCATAGAGGTGGATCTTCAACTATTCTCCCTCTAGGTATCTACGGAGCAATTTCCAGGGCGGTAATCTAACTTTAAGAAGCTTAGAACAGCGAGTCCTTGACATATTTCTTGTCAGTTAAATTGATGAATCTTAATCCGATAATGAGCACGCACTTCCTTCATACTCTACACCTTCATATCAGGCTACTTGATAATAACAGACGAACGTCCTTTGACACAAAGTGGCTTGCTATATCGACAGATCCACTCAGGCACTAGAAACTGATGCCTTACTGCCTGAGGATTCCAGTGTGGGGATCCCAGTTTCTCCGCACGAGGAGGGGAATTCGCAATCTTCACCTAGCCAGTCACACGAGCAATGTCGGAGCTGGACGACCTACGGAATCGAGAGCTTGCCGAGGAAATTGAAGCCATCAATGCCATCTACGAACCCGACACCATCACGGTGACCCGCGCACCGACAGCGCAATCCAGTACCCTCGATCTGGGAAGTTCCGGATCATCTAGCGACGAGGCGCAAACAACGGTGACACTCCAGATACCTGGCCAATCGCATCTCTCTTTTCGTCTCGGGTTTGGCGCCACATATCCCGAGACACAGCCTATAGTTCTTGGGACTGCGTCGACTGCGGCGCGCGGGGAAGGTAAAATTGCCGTGGACGTGCTGGAAGATATCGTACAGCGGACATGGCAACCCGGCGCTGTCTGCTTGTTCGATGTGATCAGTGAAGCGGTGGAGGTATTCCCGGAATTGAATATTGGTGGAAGCAAGGACGCCGAGACGACAGACTTTCCTGTCACGACTGGCCACACGTCTAATCAAACGAGGAGTTCCAATGGAGCAGCCACAAAACAAGCAACAGAAAGCTTTGCATCTCTATCTTTACAAGATACATTCGGACTTAATAATCCCCCTGATTGGATCCTCTCCGATGTGGTGACGGAAAAAAAGTCCGTGTTCCTCGCCCGAGCAGTCCGAGTAACGAGTCTAGCGCAGGCGCAGACTTTCCTCGACCATCTGACAGCGACAGATAAGAAAGTTGCAGTGGCGACACACAATATCAGTGCTTGGCGTATTAAGCAAAAGAAGGACGGCGAGCCTCGCGCCTCGGATAAGAGCTCTGATTCTGATGCGGCGGAGACGGTGGTCCAGGATTACGACGATGATGGGGAAACGGCTGCAGGTGCCCGCTTACTTCATGTGATGCAATTGATGGATGTTTGGAATGTCCTCGTCGTTGTATCGCGATGGTACGGCGGAATTCATCTAGGGCCTGCGCGGTTCAGACTCATTAATGATGTTGGTCGCGATGCTTTGGTCAAGGGTGGTTTCACGCGGGATGATAATACGGCTGGTCCTGATAAGGGCAAGAAGAAGGGAAAGAAATGAGCCAGCCATTGCTAGGCATGTACAGCACGCTTATATGATTGCTTCCAGTCATGAGCCAGGGTCTCTCTCTGGGCGTCAAAAGAATATCTAGCCCTGTCGGCCGTTGGGATGAAATTCTAGCACGGGAGGAAGTTCCGTATATACATCTCCCGGATTGGCGAGAATCACTTTCTGGAAAGAAATCAAGCGAGGAATACTTCTGCAACAACGAAATACATTTTCCCGCGAAAAGATCGGATGCCTTTGCCAGTAGTGTCACTCAATGGACTTCAGAGTACCTAAACAGCAAGCTGCGATGCGCGAAAAAAGCTCTCAAGCAGACCTCGTGTCATCCACGAGGAAATAAACGACTTGATTCTGCTTCGCGCTCACCTTCTTGCGTACAAGCTGCTCATGTATGCAATATGGCACATGTTTCGAGTGTCTCTGACCGCCAACGGCCCCTGTTACCTCAAGGCTCCATAAGCGTTAGAGTCGAATTAGATATTCTGAGTACTTCCGGGCAGCTGATGCCCTGCTGAGCAACCGCCCACGTCAGTCTTGAGAAAAAGAAATTGAGAAACCGTTCGGACTTTCCAGCAACGGGAATCTTGTAGACCCCGTTCGTCCTCGAGGGTCGCCTGATTTCACGACCAGTGGACTCTCTACAACATCCCATTACCTCACGAATGGAGTCCGCTCAATATTAACCTCCCAACACAATTTCCCGCCACCTTAGAACAATTTCCGTGTCATCTCCAAGATATTGATTAATTTCCACCATGCTACTACCCACCTGCAGCTCCGTTGGCAGCGATGTGACCATGAAACCAGGCAGAAGTCAACAATGTGTTTGAATCTCGATAGCTCAATAATGCGATTCAGGATTGGAAACACCGTGGGTCAAGCGCATCTAGCTTGTCTTGCGGGATTTTCAGGTCCAAAAGAGCGCTTTCGACTCGTGCTACAGTGACATGGACCATGAGATAGAGCTGTAACTGCTTAAGTTTGAAACTGTTACTACTAGAGACGCTTGCTGCACATATTCAGGTCCATAGGGACTACAGGACGTGCAAGTAGCTTCCAGGAAGAAGGTTTAGGTCTGTGATTGTGATAAACAGGCATCTCGACAACGCCAAGTCTAGGTAGTTGAGGGGTTTGTCCGATGATCAACAAGTTTTTTTATAGAGATTAATCAAACTACCACCGTACCATGGAACCGAACGGGATGGATGAACTCTCTTCAGCAAGAGCAGGGGTTTGACGTAGTCCTGCGACTGTAGCTCTAAATCATCATCGCAGGGGCTTCACCATATCTAGTTTATTAACGTTACTAATGTGGATTGATTCAATGCTACACCCGCTGCGAACCTACGCCACAACCCCGCTAGGATATCCACTTTCGTTGCAGGGCGGACCTAACCGAGATGAAGCGGCGGGGAAAACTATTCATGAGAATGATGAGATGGGAAATTGCAGGGAATATATGATTGAAGAATACAGGGTAAAAGCCGTGCAAGACGAGTCCTCGGGACCTGGGCTGAGGGTTTGTTATCAATCTGAAACGGTCTTGGCATATGACTTTTCTCTGGATCTCACGGTGTTCCATGGTGTTACGAGATCGCTGGGTCCCGGAAGATAATGTTAAACCGTGAGTGGTGTTGTTTGAATGGGCCTTTGTTTTGATGAATCATGAATGAAAATTGTAGATCGTCCTGTACTGTGCGGAATCAATATCCGCCAAACAAAGAGAAACAATAGGACAAAAAGATAGGTCACATCGTGCGTCATGGAGAGTCGACCATTTCCCCTTAGACATCCATGTCTAACAGCAACAGTAACAGCACATGTGATGCCTGTACTGAAAATGTCGAGAATTTTGAAACAATCAAAGGACAGGGTTCGCGGCATCTTCGGTTGACACCTTCCATTTTCCGAGATCCACTCGATCTTCACGCTAAGCCGCACCATCCCAGCCGTCCTTTTGGGTGTCAACCGAGGCTGCGATAGAACACTAGGGTGGAGGTCTCTGGACCCTGGACAATGTCTTTTTCAAGGCAAAGAGCAATTCCAGCCTCTTGATCGTCGGTGTGAATGCCGGACGTTGTGGGTCACTAGTCTTTTCATCAGTTAAAATCTCCGGGCGGCATTCAGGTATACACAATGACCAGGTCAAAATACCTGCGTGACGGGCGCGAGGGCGGCTTGCTTCTAACAATGTGTGTGTGTGATCGTGTCTAGCAGTGGTTTTCTGCTCTTCTTCGCAGGGTGCGTCATCACGATTCAAAGTTTTTGTAGCACACAAGGGTAGAGAGATGCCAATCGCAGGCGCGCCAGCCGGTTGGCTACGCAAAGTGCCGAGCGTCTGGGGGACTAACCCTGCAGACTAGTGAGTCTACAGGGGTGGAGCTGCCACCGTCCCAGCAAAGCGTGGGATAATTATGAAACCGCCAAACGAGGCCCTCCGTTCGCCACGACTGCAACCTCCAGTTTCAACGTCCAAATGGTACACATTCGATGCCAGATGGTCGTGCAGCGTGGTACATTCTGTACCTTGTGCAGCCTGATTCGTCCCCTGGCCCGCTGACAGGAAACAGAGGCGTCAACCATAGGGATTCTCCACAACCAATCCACCGGTCGGCGGCCCAGGCACATGGAGTCTTTGGGACCCAAGTTGATGGTGAGACGCTTGGCAATTGGCCGAGTTCTGGTCGGAAGGAGAAATGTGAAGTATGATCGTGCCTTGCGCCAGTTTTATCCCGACAGAAGTGTTGTCTGCGCGGTGGTTGGTTCCTTCACCAGCCGCCTCGCCGCTGGGACTGGTCGATCTGCTCAGTCCGGGGGTCGCGATCCGAGCCTCTGAGTGGCTAAGACAGTCTGCCACTTCACCACCACTCACCGTTGTCATCTGGCAATTGTACGCTTGGAGGCACCACTTGAAACATCCCAGCTTTTCGAGAATCTATGTCTCCACTCGTCTGGTCGTCGATATTGTACTATCGCGACGCGTGCCATCATCGGGCAAGCCATTCAGCATGCTGGATTGGCGAGGTTGTGGAGGAGAGTAAACTTTGGGAGTATCCGATTGATTAGCGTGTGTCCACCGGATCTCGTTGTGTACTCCATTCAAGGCCCGCGATGTCCGTCATGACTCCGTACCTACTTGGCTGCTGCCCTGCTGGGTGCACGACCCTACGTTGTGTCGTACCTGACTGATCCTGGCGGGAAGCGAAGAGGAAAATATGGTACTGTAGAGAGAGGTGGAGGAAAGGACGAGGAGGACGTTTGAGTGAGCAGGTTGGATATAAAACCCTTCCACGCCATGGCCGCATCTTCTTTTTTTTTCCCTTCTTTTCTTTTCTGTCTTTCATCTCAGTCCTTATTCTTCCCTTCACGGTTCGACAAACCATCCAACAGGCCAGTCCTGTCTTCCTTTCTCTTCTTCTTTTGCTTGGTAGTCATCGCCTGTGGCGAACTACAACACTCCTTCTAGAACCTCATCGCTTCCAAGACATTCCATAACATTTGGTCCTTCATTGTCATTGTCTATCCGAGACTCTTTGATACAAAAAAGCTTAGCAGAGATTGTTTGATACAGCTCTGCTCTGATCTCTGACAAAGGTATTCTTCTACGCATCTCTCCCTCACTGTGCATTGCATCGCATTTTTGTGGAACTTTCCATCTCGTCATGTTTGCACCCCTACTGTAGATACAATCCCATTTTGGGATTGCCTCGTTGCTGCCTCACATATCCGATTCAGCTGGAGGGTGGAACAAACTCATACTTGATATGAGAGAGGGATGCCTACAGCAATCCAACAATGCCTTTACCAACCCTCAGCAGCCTACATCGCTGCCTATACACCCATCTCCCTGCGAAGTGTCCACCAGGAAATACTTTATAAACACATCACATCGCCTACCCTCATGCTCATGCTCTTCCCCTTCCCATCCACTGACTCTTCTGGCGCAGGAAGCCTTGGTCTGTTCCGCTCTCGCAACTACCAACATCCAATCCTTTACCATTTGACCCCTTTCGTCTGGTACGAATCGGATCTACAATATTAAATTTCCCTGTCGAACCATCAAAAGTCTTCTTCATCAACATGATGCTCGCCAAAACCTTCTTGGTCGCCGTCCTCGGTGCCTCTGCGGCCAACGCCCACATGCTCATGACTCACCCCGTCCCTTATGGCAAGGACTCCCTTAACAACTCGCCTTTGGAGGCAGAGGGTGGTGACTTCCCCTGCAAGCTTCGAGGTGACACCTACACTGTGACGACGGAAAACATCATGGAGAGTGGCAGTCGTCAGCAGCTCCACCTTCAGGGCCAGGCCACTCATGGTGGTGGCTCGTGCCAGATCAGCTTGACCGAGGATCGGGCCCCCAGCAAGTCAACTACCTGGAAGGTCATCCAGTCCATCGAAGGCGGCTGCCCTGCTAACGTTGACGGCAACATGGGCGGTGATGCCAGTGCTGCGGACCCTACTTTCTTCAACTACACAATCCCCACGGATTTCGCCCCCGGCAAGTACACTCTCGCCTGGACCTGGTTCAACCGTATCGGCAACCGTGAGATGTACATGAACTGTGCTCCTGTCACTATCACAAACTCTGCAGCCAAGCGATCCAACAGAGTGCCCGTCGTCGAGAAGCGCACTGCCAACTACCCACCAATGTTCGTTGCCAACGTCAACGGCTGCACTACGAAGGAGGGTATTGATATTCGTTTCCCTCAGCCTGGTACCGCTGTTGATTACAACGGCCAGCCCGCCAACCTTGCCCCCGAGGGTGAGGCCGCTTGTTCCGGTACCCCCAAGTTTGGCGGTGATGGTAACACTAGCTCTGGGTCATCTGGCTCGTCTGGTTCCGGCTCCGGATCCTCCTCGTCGTCGTCCACCGCGGCGGGCAGCGCTCCTACTGAGACTTCAACCCAGGCTGGCTCTCCCGTCCCTACCTCCACCAGTGCTCCAGTTGAGACCTCTGTCCCCGGCATCCCTCAACCGGCTGTCTCCACAACTGCTCCAGTCGCCCCCTCGTCCTCCAGCTCGGGTGACTCGGGTGCTCTGACTGGTTCCTGCAGCCCCGAGGGTGCTTGGAATTGCGTCGCTGGTAGCTCCTTCCAGCGCTGTGCCAACGGACAGTGGACTCCTACTCAGAATATGGCCACCGGTACTCAGTGCACCGCTGGTAAGAGCGCCGACCTCACTATCTCTGCCGTCAAGGCTGCCCGTGAGGTCTCCGCAATGCGCTTCCGGAAGCGTTTCATCGGTGACTCCCACCATGCTTGAAGCAACATGCTCCAGGCATAGCGCATTCAGTTTCGCTGGTATCAGAAGTTGTGGCATCTTCTTTTCTCCCACAGTATTCTTACCACATCATTCTCCTTGTGTTCGTTTCCTTTCCTGAACTACGCACTTCAGGGTGGACCCTTTTTTATTCTGCTGCACAATGTTTGTGTTTTTCTTCCATCGTGTACATTTTTCAGATGAGACTTCTTAAGAGTGGGATCGCTCGAGATACTCATGGAATTCATTTTCTAAGTAACCATCGTTTGTTCTTCATTGCGTTAATATTAGACAACAATTCCGGCCATAATTTGACAACGCATATTTTGTTGAGCGATGATGTCTATAGTTTAGATGCCGATCGTTTTAGCTTGGGGGTCAAGCCATAGGGCTAGATGATCCCTGCACAATAAAAGCCAAGCTCAACAGGTCAGTCTCAGAGTTAAGGTTATTATCATTCAGATTTAGAGTAAACCTAATTAGGATGAGTATCGATAATTGTAGGTATAGTCATTATTCATCGTCGTTGTTCTTTTATAAAGCTGCAGAAATCAATATATGTACATGATCATCTCAAGGACATTTCAACTCCCTTCCTCTCACATTTCCTTCCCAGCTGATACATGGTCAATTGTAAATACCCTCCCATTCTCTGTACCATCTGAAGGCCCATGCTCCCACCAACCAAGGTAAAATTGACGACCAGCAAAGGTCTGGCGCAGCGACTTGTCATTCGGGTCCCACAGCCCTTGTACGAATTGGTCCAGAAGACTTGAGTCGGCCAGAAGACTCGCGACAGATGCGATACTGCACGGATTTTTCGGCAGAACATGATCAGTATTCAAAACGACCGTACCGAGAATGCCGAGAACAAGTATAGCCCCCAACAAGCCTTCTAGAATTCGGGTCGAGGTAGCGTCCTGCATCAGTCTTACACGATTCGTGTCGGTGATGCTCCCAAGGAGAGGTGCGTGCTCCATACTGTCGTTTGAGGTACTCCGAGTGTAATTGTTGAATTGTTGAGCTTGGATGAGCTTGTGCTGATGCTTGATTGCTTTGATGACTGTTTCATTCTTTGCTGGATCTTTGAGATTTTCAGATGCGATGGCGTATCTCCCCGCGATCAATAGGTAGAAAAAGCCGTCGAGAGTTGGATATTCTCCATTTGTATTCAGGGCCCACCACTCGGGTAGTGGTGTGTAGAGATCCGGGGCCAGCTTTGCTGATGATTCATCAGGTACGGGAGGGTGGTTTTCATCAATGTCCATATCTGGCAATTTAAATCGCGTCATCACATCCACTGTCTCGGCGTATTGTATGCAATTCATACCCATGATAGACTTCACGGAAGTGGAGTTTACATGTCCCCAAATATAGGTCTCAGTATAGTGAGAGGATCCGGTTAGACCACTATTGGAGTGGCATTCAGACTCAACCGAATATCCAAATGGCCCATCTTCCAGATTGTTGACTGTGAAGACATTGGTCAGTCCAGAATACCCCGTGTTGTTACCAGGGCATGGCAATGTGGTCGTGTTGACTCTGAGCTGATAGGACACGGTTTTTCCAGAGGCATAGCGAGTGAGGTTTGCATTCAAATCCGTGGCGTTAAGAAAGTGGCAGACTGGAGCAGCTCTCAAGGCCGGAACTCGAATATCCACATAGGTTCCGTTCACGTCAGCTTTGGTTGAGGTGTTGTCCATCGACAACTTTGCAAGAGCAAGTTCATCGTAGCTCCAGCGAGGGAAGCTAAAGTTATACTGGAGAATGTATTCCGAAAGGAGGATACCTGCCACTTCCTGCGTCTCTTCGATGTTCACCTTAGCTCCAGGAATGGTCCTGGGGTCTGGGAATCCACCAACTCGCGTAAAGTTGACCAAAGTATGAGAAGGGACTTCTATGGCGGAATAGAGACCACTGATCACGATCGTCAGGAACCATGCAGCCCCAGTAGCAAGAGTGGTTGCTAGCACAGCCCAATGCCCAGGCCGAAGAGATCGCAGACTGTTGTTGACACCATGGGAGTCCAGGAAGCTCAAGCTCATGGACTGTTCATAAGTAGCTCCCCTGGGTCGCTTGAGATGTGCGTATGAAGCGAGACACCTCGTATTGAAATCGATACTACCGAATAGAAGGCTGAATCCTGTCATAATTCCAGCAGGGATAACTGTCCACAAGTAATGCGTGTACTCATTGGCAGGAGTTGCATTTCCCAGCCCTTCGTTCTTCTGAGAAAGATGCAACAAGACTTCCAACATCGCAATGGCTGAACAAACCAGAATAAAGATAGCTATGCGGAACCAGAGACTAGGAAATGGTTTCCACGTGCGGTACTCCCTGTCAACTTTTTTTTCGGGTGCTGAATTCCTGCGGGTGTCTTCTGCAATTTGAATCGATGTACCCTCGGAAGTAGACTGGGAGTAATAGCTCTTCCCAACAAGATGCGTTTGAAGTACTGAGTTTGGCGCTGCTCCAGTCCCACGGAGAGACGATCTAAAGTCTTCGCTGATCGCCGTTATGGCTGCAATCGCCGAGATATGAGCCGAGTTCCAGGTTGCTGTAGTTTTGAGGGGAACGAGCCAAAGCATCGAGATTGTAAACAAGATGGTTACTGCAAGACAGGCCTCTATCACGCGGAGAGGCAGTTCCATCATTAACACCCGTTTTTCATTCATAAGTGCGGAGCCATTTGTCGTTGACTCATGTCTGTGAACGAGACCCATATGCATCAGCTGGGCAGTGATTGCTCTATAATACGCTGCAGCCGCGTTTTTCAGGCCATCATCCTGCCAGAGAGCCTCCATGGTGGTGGTCTCCTGGGAGAGAAGCATCCCGAGCTTTATTTGATCATCCACGTATACATCTTTCGCGAAAGGATTAAAATATTCAATGCCTCTAAATCCGGAGGTATCGCTGACATTGTCATTAATAAATGCGGCGAGGTCTCCGGCGGTCAGTTCTGGAAAGTTTGCATCCTGAATTCCAAGCGTGCGAAGTTGGATATTGGACGATGCTTCCGTTGCGTTTCCTTCAGCTTCCAGCTGGACCCGAGACAGAGTTGGCTTGCAGATCAACGTTATGGACCGATTCAATTGTAGAAGTGTGTCTTCATGTTTAGGTTGAAAACGGCGAGTGTTGGCAGTCGTGTTTTTAGCGGTGTTGGTATTCTTGTGGAGCTCGGCCAAGGTTACCACAACACGAGTGCCATTTGAGTCGGTGGTATTTTTACAACGCCCCCATTGAAAGATCGCCGCTTGCGTGATCTCCTTATCGCCAAGTGTTACTTGACTGAAGTTGTCAACTGTGCACGATGAGGTTGCCAAGCGGAAATGTTGGACTAGCGTTGCACTTCTGACTGAACCGGTGTCTTGATCAATAACTTCTGACCATTCCAAGCCTTCGATATCGAGACTTGCCGTTTCACAGTTCAGATCAGCCATCAAGCCGTCTATAGGCGCAGTGATTATGGCATTGGAGGGAAGACTGGGAGCTGAAAATTCTTGGAACGTCAAGTCGACATTTGTACCAAGCGGGTAGGCGAGATTGTCAAATGCTAAGCCGTTCACTATGTCGTATGGCTGAGAACCAACAATATCAAGCGTTGAGTTATGTGGACTGAATAAGTCATGAAGTTGGATGGTCACATTTTGCTTGTGAACTTTGACCTCTTCGAGTGAAAAGAGACCGGTTGAAAAAACGATCATGAGCTGTAGAAGCAAAGAGCACGCAACACCCGAGAATACAATTAAGTGCCTATTTTTAAACGCTTTCCACAATGCCACCGGTTGCATATCGGATGTATAATCCAAGAGCACACTCTTTTCCGCTGGCTGAGGACCTTCGAGCATTGACTGCCATGGCGCATTGTGTTTTGCTTGGAACTCAACTCGTGACCAGAAAGTAGCGATTATAGTGAGTATAGCGGTCGGTCCGTATGTCCAAAGATAATGGCGGCTTTCAGTTGAAGCGGCAATGCCATCGTGAGCTTCGGATGATTGGTATAGCGCCTCGAGTGTAGCAATGATTGTACAGAAAGCGATCACGAAGAGAGCCAATATCCGTTTTCGTAGGTAGGATGGCCGCCAACCATCCTCTTGTGAATTATTCTGCAATCCCACATGCTTCTTGATAATCTCAAAAAGCATGCCGGATGGAGTCGTTGGCGTGACTCTATAGCTCGGTATAGAACGCCCGCGTCACGACAGGCTATAGCTTGGACGAGAGGGTGGTATAAGGTTGCGTCTTGAGTGACATAGATCTGACATTCGAAAAGAAGAACAATGATCAAAATAAAAGGGATTTGACCCTAGAGCTATGAATATATCCCAATTTCAGCGGGAGTAAACGCGCGAACATTTCTTCCTCTAGGGCCGTGCAGCACATTAAGCGCCGGCCCCAGGTGGTACCGAGAATTCAGCCTAAGGAGGTTGTGAAACACGGTTAACCCAGAAACGCCCTTAGGGCGCGTAGAATCCAGCATTTCCTCCAGTAGTATGAGGATGTAACCTTTTGGATATGCGAGGTTTCTGAACTAGCCGTTTATCGCTGCTTCGTTATTATGATGATCAAAAGGGCCAAGACACCTAGCCGCATGAATGTGAAGCCCTGGAGGTTTCAGGAGACTCGGAGGGTCGTAGATCACCAGATATCAGGACGCTTGACTCCTCAATGTAACTCGCTGTGTCGCCTATCTTGATTTATTTTATGGAGTGTCCAAAGACCAGATTGCTTAAATTAGGAGGAGTATGCCTCTCGGAGGTATGTGTGATGGTTAAATTGAATCTGTACCACCTTAAAGTAGTCATACTGCCATAGTGACCCCATTCATGAATCTCTTGGCCTGACACGGGAGAATTACTTCACCAACAGTTTCTTCCCTTAAGAAACGAAATTGTCTCATCATCAACTTGGGAAAAGAAGGTGGAAAATATGGATACTGGTATACTTCCAGTCAAGTCACGTGGCTGAAGTGGGGTAACGGATGACATAAATAAGCACGGACCATGGGCCGGTGGCTCAGACTAGCCCAAAATGGGAACAAGGGCTTAGGGTTTTCGCGACCCACGACCAGCCAAGCTCAGTAAGCGAAAAAATCCACAGGTGAGGCCAAACTGGGGAAATCTTTGGACTTCAACCTCATCATCGACATCGACCGACAACAATGGCCTCCCGCCCGACCGTCTCCATCGCCACGGCTGAGGGTAAGCCCTCCGGGGCTTCCCAGCCCCTGCCTACCGTCTTCGGTGCCCCCATCCGCCCGGATATCGTCCAGTACGTCGAGAAACGCAAAACTCGAACATGGTGATAATTGAGGGTGGAAATGCTGACGGATTTCGCTCTACAGGCAGGTGCACACCGGCATGGCCAAGAACAAGCGTCAGCCCTACGCTGTCAGCGAGAAGGCTGGCGAGCAGACCTCTGCTGAGTCCTGGGGTACCGGTACGTGGCATTGAAATTTGAAGATGGAGCAGGGAAATTTTGGTTGGAGGGGTGACGAAGCAAAATTTTTCTTTGCGGGGGAAGACCAATTGGCTATACTACGGATAGAGGACTGACGAGATGATTCTTTGATATTCAACAGGTCGTGCTGTTGCCCGTATCCCCCGTGTCTCCGGTGGTGGTACTCACCGTGCCGGTCAGGCTGCCTTCGGTAACCAGTGCCGTTCCGGTCGCATGTTCGCTCCCACCAAGGTCTGGCGCAAGTGGCACCAGAAGCTCAACCTGAACCAGAAGCGCTTCGCTACCGCCTCTGCTCTGGCTGCTTCCTCCGTCCCCGCCCTCCTCTTCGCCCGCGGTCACCGTGTCGCCAAGGTCCCCGAGGTTCCCCTCGTTGTCGAGTCCAAGACCTTCCAGGGTGCTGCTCTCACCAAGACCAAGGCCGCCATTGCCCTCCTCCAGGCCCTTGGTGCTGGTGATGACCTCGTCAAGGTCCAGAAGTCCCGCAAGCTCCGTGCTGGTAAGGGTAAGCTGCGTAACCGCCGCTTCCGCCAGCGCCGCGGTCCTCTCGTTGTCTACAACCCCGAGGTCGATGGCAAGGAGCTCGTCCGTGCCTTCCGCAACGTTCCCGGTGTTGAGACTTCCTCCGTCTTCTCCCTGAACCTCCTCCAGCTCGCCCCCGGTGGTCACCTCGGCCGCTTCATCGTCTGGACCTCCTCCGCTTTCGAGGCCCTCGACCAGGTCTACGGCACCACCACCACCCCCTCGGCTCTCAAGAAGGACTTCCTCCTGCCCTCCGCCATGGTTGCCAACGCCGACCTGACCCGCCTGATCAACTCCTCTGAAATCCAGGCTGTTGTCCGTGCTCCCAAGGGTGAGGCCCGCACCAAGCGTGTCAACGTCCAGAAGAAGAACCCTCTGCGCAACAAGCAGGTTATGCTCCGCCTTAACCCCTACGCCGCTGCCTACTCCAAGCAGAAGCTTGGCCAGCAGAAGGTCGAGGGTGGCAAGCCCGAGCGTGCCTCCGCTGGTTTCGCCAAGGTTCTGTCTGAGGAGTAAATGTTCTCTCCCAACTTTTCTTTGGATACGGTGAAAAATGGTAGTTTGCAGCAAAAAATGAATCAATGACTTTTTTTGCAATACCCATGGGTCTATCGGAGTAATAATATGATCGGTTTTGTTCTCTCAATTGTTCAGCTGTTCTGGCTTCTTAGTGGTAAGTTAATGGACGGGATTCGTAGCTTGAGATTTCATTCTCTCCAGTCCCAATTCCCAATCCAAGTCCGTTGGTAAGTGTTTGATGGCTTTATCGACAAGGCTGGTGGCTTGTTTCTCGTAAACCTTCGACAAGGTTGTTCTTGCTGCCGTCGTGAATGCCCGGAACCCAACAATTCAGGGACAATTCCTCTCTCCTTGCACGGGCATGCATCCCTGGTTCTACTCGGAAAGTCAAAACCAATCTCTCTTTCCAAGGATATATTCCGCGGAGATTAGATACATCTGCCGCAGCTGCTAACCGACAATAAACTCTCGGGCTTTAGGTTAGTTAGGTTGAAGCTGTTCCAAGCCCGTTGCCCGGCCATGCAGAACATAACTATTCCTTGTTGTCTGCGGCATAAAGCTCGGAACTTGTTCCAGGATAGTATAATTATATATAACTTAAGCGGAGATCGTGTCTAGGGTTTTATTGGTGAGATGAACCACAGGGGTCGGCCTACCTAATGAGCGTATTCACGACATCCCGTCGTGCATAAACATGGATATATATCTCCATTGGCTGGGTTACGTACCATCCGCATAAGCGAGGAGGCATCCTTGACAAGTTGCAGGCGGGTGTAAATTAGCGATGATCCATGGATTCTATTTGGAATTAATAGTCATAGTCATAGTCATAGTGAAGTACCCTAAAGAGAACTTGCAACGTTGCGCACGTTCTATAGCGAGGATCTCCGTACTATAGTCGGAAGGCGTTGATTCGCTCTCAAGAAATCTCGCAAAACCTACGCCCTTGAGCAACGTGTTCATGCCGAGCTTTCCCTCGTGTTTTTGTTCCGTGTAGGTGGCCGGATGGTCCGGGGCTCAAGGAGGGCTGGGATCAAAACTTGACGAAGTACAATTGTAGGATTTAGTATCACATGTGCTCTCCTCAGGAGTCGAACCTAGGTTATATGTTCTAAGTTCAAAAGACTACACATGAATATTGTGTATAGGGCAACATTGCAAATAAGCAATATGACCGAAAGCCATGGCAGAGTTCAAGATATCAAGATGAAACGGCCAGCACGAGACGGCGAACTAGTGCAAGTCCTAAAACGCTCATGACAGGACCAGCCCCAACCCAAACGGGTAAGCCGTGACCTGTCAATTAGGTTGATCCCCGATTCATTCGGCGATCGTACCTCCAAACTGAGGCTAACTAGGGGGCACTTTAAGCGTCCCAAACGTTGGAACCATACTAAACATGAAACGCGGAGATGCGAAAAGGCAACCAGCCAACACTAACTAACCTAACTAACCTAACTAGCGAGGGATATGACCAGGGATGGGACGACATGTTGGCCATACGGAGAGGTCCATCATCATGCTTCGACCAGGAGAAGCGCCTTGTTGCTTAGCTTCACATGCTAATCTTTGTTCTCTTTTTTGTCTTTTTTTTCTAGAAAAACTTCAATCTATTTAACTTTCATCGGCAGCCGCCGGTTCCCAGAATCCTAGACCCTCATCTCGCGGATCGACCTAGCAGAAGCAGACATCTTGCAAATCCCGGTCGCTTGGGTCTTACGAGGGAATTCCCTTCAACCTTTAGCTACAGATTCAGCAGCGCACCAAAGCGAAACGGAGACAACACGTAGCAATGAGAAAAGAAAAGAAAAAATCCTAACAACTGTGGTTAGCACCGACAGCGGACACACCCTTGTTATCGGGAAAGTCGACCGACCAGCCGATGTCCAAGCGAGCTTGCACGAAGTGGATAGGGCGAAGATCCAGGACCTGTGATTCGGGACGCTAAGAAAACAACCGTCAGGGTCCACGGCTGATAGTCGGATATTTTTTTCTCACGTTGTTGTAGCAGTGGTATGCTAGTACATAGCACGTTGTCGTTCAATCGGAGTGGGGGTGGGATGTACGCCAGTTTCTCGGCGAGGCGGACTTTCCGTCCTCGTTAAACTCGCAGCAAAGCACAATGCAAAGCAAAAGAAGGTTGCGGGCGGCTGGGTTCTAAGGTTTTTGAGATACTTAGGCGAGGTCGGAAGAGCAAACCTTCGGGCGAATTGAGTTTGGAGGCGTTGATGTACGATGACACACCGATCCAGTCGTGTTGTTGATGATGATGGGCTATGCCGCTATGCACGTTTGGTAGTCGTGCATTCGGCTAGAGCTCGGTACGACCTAGTTGGAAACTTTGTAGTCAGAAAGTTTGAAAAGCTTCTTAGCACAGCTAGGGAGGGAGCTTGTAGAGTTGCAACTTGCAACAGGGTCCTTCTTACCCACCCCCCACTATTGTTCCTAGCTAGTGAGTCCACTCTGGAGTTTATTGACCTGGTAACCAAAAAAGTTAATGAAGGATATGGGGAGAAATAGGCACAGGCAGATGCAACATGGACCGGGGGAACTCGAGTATAACCGAGATTCCTTTCGTTTGCAAGCGATCAGTCTATTGGAAATCTGGTAGGCCTGGCCACCAAAGGAGCGGGAAAGGGGGGCGCATCGGAGGAGGAAAATCCTCCGATCGAGCCGCCTTTCCACGGCTTTTCGAGGGTAAGCATAAATGCGGTCAGACTGCAAAGGATCCGATCGAAAGAGAACAGCTGGCACGAGCCCTCGATCGTGTAGGACAGCTAGGGCGCTCGTAATAATGTGAGTGCTGACAATGATAAGGCATATTCACGATGTACAGTACTACAGATATACATATAGTATCATAGTATTCTAGCTTACTAGTAACTTCCAAGTATCATTGTTCAATTGAAGGGAGGCTCCCTCGGTAGGATCGGCCGAAATGTGAAGAGAGCACGAGCAAATGGACGTGAAGAACTATGATCCTCAATTTACCTAATAACAACAAATTAAACATGATGTAAAATAATAACAATACTAATCTATATCATAATGAGTACATAGTACAGAGGACTTGGCCCTTGGCAGGCAAAGGAACGCAGTAATAGAAATCCTTCAATGTGGACCAACAGTTCTGATGGATCACCCGTTGAGGAAGGTCTCCATTCGCAGATCATCCCGAATTGGCCAGGTCAGAGAGGGATTATTATTATAATAATACTAATATTATTTAACTCGTACAGTTAGTCGGAGACTGTTTTCCGTTGTACATACTGGAGGAATGGATAATTGGAGTACGTAGTATAATAATAATAGACTTGGCAATCCGGACCGGGGCCATCATCCTGGGCGCATTAATATTATTTGTCTCACCTGCCAACTCCAACCGACTTCCTAAGGGGACAATGGCGTAGCAAAAGAAACGAGCAGGTCAAGCACCGGCACCGAAGATTCTGCGCTACCGGTACTCAGCCCGACGCTACTCCATAATCATGTCGAGTTGTGGAGGCCACTGGAGGGACTCGAGGGAGGATTGGATCATTGGAGCACGGGCGATGCAAAACATACCGAGACCTGTTCATTCGGCATGCAGTAGCAGAGTCACAGTACAGTAGTGCCAACAGTGGCACGGTGGCCCGTCCAGGAACCGAGCGTTAGTGAGTGTCTAGCGCCAGCCTGGTGCGAAGTGTAGATTACACATTTTTCGAGTTCGTTTAGACTAGCTAACCAAACTAATTAGCTACAGTAGCTAGTTCCTTTCCTACTATACCGTACCTCTTCTTTGGGTCCCTTTTTGGAGACTCAATAATTGACGCATGAGTGTTTATGATATGATATGAAGGATTCGGCCCTAGGCACTTGGCCGGGATTCTCTTTTTAGTCTCATTAATTCCGCCATTGAGCGTTGTAAGGATTGCAAGCTAAACCGCGTTCATCATTTACGTCGGTACCTGACGCGGGCGCAAAAAGAAGCGACACGGAACAAAAACCTTAGTTCTCCTGAATGAAGTGACACTCGCCCGTTGAACCGAGTGGATAGCAATTGTTAGGCTAGCTAGTAGTAGTTATCGCAGTACTTACTACTACTGTAGATGGAGTATGTAGAGTAGTATGCACTTGCCATAAAATATTGATTTCGCTGTTGCAGTAGTTTAATGTAGTGGTACGTCTCGGCGGACATCATCTCGCATTTGGTGCCTATCCACCTATCGATTTTTATTACATACCGATACTCCGTACTCCAGATTACTGCTATTTGTACGGAGTACTTGTCGCTCTATCTCATGCGCATCCGAAGCCCACGATCTCCATTAAAGCCATGGTCCACTCAATCAGCATCGCGGCCGGTATTTGTTCGGAGGAAAATTGGGCCCCGAAGATGGAGAATTGACCAATGGCGTGATCACGTCCTCTTACCGCGCTGAGCCACGCTTGCGAGTTTCTCGGGTGGAAATGCCAGATGGAGGAGACGCTGGAGAAAGAGATCAGTTTGGTTCATTGGTTTCTGGTTCTTGGTTTGGAGAGGGGGGAGGGAAGTGCCGGAATGAAAGGGCCCAGCGTACATCCAATATTCGACAAATCCCGACATCTGTGTGTCTCGTCCAGCGTATCCCGGAGTAGTGATGGAGTGGCATGGCCATGCAGTACAATTCATAATTATACTTCTTTTGCAATCAACTCGTTTTTTTCCGGCTATGTACCCTGCTGCTTACAGTCCCAGCGTGACCGGGAACGGAAAACGCACCAAGGGGGGCTACGACCAAATAGGCGGCGATCCCGAATGACGGCTTGCAGATCGGATCGCCATGCTTTTGAGACACCATACGTGGTCAACTCCGGAGTGCATCTGCATTCGCCGTTGGAGCAACCCAAGTTCTCAGTGGGCTCGGTGGAGTGTCTCACGCCGGGCCCATTGGACCATAGCTTCGTATGGGAGGGCCAGGGTTCCCTGTAGTGGCATCGTTGGTCATCGGAGGTCCTATTCGATCGCGCTGAGAAGCACCTGCACGGGGCTCCTCTTTATACGATCTTGCGACGAGTCGAATGTGAAGTGGTGAGAAAGTTGCATCGTGTCGAGCGCTTTGTGGGCGCTTGGCTTGAGGAGCGCCCCGTACACGATGCAATTCACGTGGGGGAGGCGTTGCCAATTTACCTATCTCATTGTTCGAAGGAGAAGGTGATCATGATGACGATGCTATCTATGATGGTAATCGAAATGTTCGGTGTTTTATGAGTTTAAAAATTCTTGACTATGATGAAGCAGGACCGAGTTATGAAGTCGCGAATTAAGTTAAAACAGGGAGCCTTTTCTTCTTCTCTTCTTGCATGCGCAAAATCTGCACATGCCAACCAACCTAGGCATTCCAACCCGAGCTTTGAAGGGGCCACAAGTACTGCGTAGTCGTGTGGATGGCAGACAACTCGTCCACCATCCACAGAGTAATATGACCGAAGGCCATATATCCAGCGACAATAGCCAACCTTACGCCCGAGGCCTATATAGTACTATCAATCCTTCACCGGGCCCTATTCAAAGTACATATTCAATCGAGGAGATAGAATAGACTCTCGGCGTTGACTCTCCTTCTAGTCAGCATAACCATGCAGCCATTCGGAGTCCGAGAAGCATAAATCAGTACGTACTCCATATGGAACTCTGAAGCTGGAGAATAGCAAAGTCAAAAAACTGGCAAACCAGAATTCAACCGAGGGTCCTACGCAAAAATTGGACCTCATCGGAGCCCACCCAATCCACCTTTTTGCAACCACGCGATCCAGTGATCTTCGTAACCATTGTGTCCAAAAGAGAGATAAGCCCTGCGGCCCCAACACCGGAATCCAGGAGGATTTGCCCGACTAGGCATCTAGTCGCCCGCGCCACCGGCCGAAGGCGCCAGCGACCCACTGCTGGAGGGGGTTTACGGCCATCATTCCGGGTCCAAAACAAATTCTTGTCTCATTTTCACCCACTCCGGTATACACAAGAGAGAAATAGAGTAAAAATTGAAATCAAAGTACTCTATCAGGATGATCGTGTCGGAGAGTCCGGCCGGTAGGCATTCGTTCGGCCAATTGACAGGTTTTCAGCGCCTCGATAACCCGTATTTCTCCCCGTTTCCTGGAAGGTGTACACATATGGTAGGTGAGAAAGAGAAAGATTAATTTTTTGTAGTTTATTATCGGAGATCTCAGGGCCAAATCCCGAGACGTTTCTCTGGTTCATTGGGTTGCATGTGCCGGGTGTGAACAAACTGTAAAACGCGTCTAGTAAGTTTAGTCCCCCCCCGCGGGCAGAGTTAACGAACTAGGCTGCCATTTATGTGTGTTTTCACAGTCATCGAGCATATTGAAGAATGACTTGCAGTTGATATCAATGGTTTGAATACGATTCTGATCTAGATCGGGAATAAAGAAACGAGAGAAAACGATTCCAATGCTCCGGTGGTACTGTAGTACATACTAAGAGACCACGGTCACCAAGGGCTGCCCTTCCACCGACATCACCAAGACGCTTACATCCTTGATCCTTGCGGGGGATATATGCGATTAATATAAAGATGCAAAAGGCTGGAGCTAAACATGGAGACCCGGATGAACCGGGGGGTTATGATGCGCCAGTTGTAGTAGTGCAGCACGGGAGTACATTGTCCTCCGCCCCTCTGCTAAATAGGCTCGATAGCATCATAGTTCAGACTAAAGAGAGATATCGGAAAATTAAATAAATTAATAATGGTAAAAAAAAAAAAATTAAAAACGAGACAAAAAGGATTAACCTCGGATACTAGATCCTCTCCACACCCGTGGAAATCACCACGGCAGTGTGGTTCAAATGCCGTTTGACAAAGTCCAGAACGGATTACGCCAGCAACTCCCCATAATTTGTGATCGGAACAAAATCTGAGAGCGCCAGGCCAGTCCTGCCCGAGTTGCCGAATGTCTAACACTAACAATCTGCTAAATGATCGGATTGGAACGGCGCGCGAACGGGCGCATCATTATACATACACTACTTTTCGTACTAAGGGCTGAGGGCAAGGATCCACTCGGAATGTGGTCGATATGACCTCAAATTTTTGATGGTCCTACGGAGGCGGCCCGATGGGAGTGTAGCTGCCATCGGCTTTTTAGGGACGGGGTGAACGGCCCTGCATAGTGGCCATAGTCTGGGAAAGCAAAAATAACGGTGACGCTAAGGGATAGTTTTATATCTGATAGTGTTGTAGTCCGAACATTAATTGATTAGCATCTATTTTACTTGTTAATTTTATTTATGTTATTTTTGTTTTCTTTTCTTTTCTTTTCTTTTCTTTTTTTTTTTTTTTTTTTTTTTTTGTTTTTTGATTGCTTGGGAGCCGCCTGCAGGAATTAGGGAGAGCCGGTAAATAAAAAAACAAACCAAAAAGGGCGTCCTCCTCGGTCGAGCAAACGGAGCAGAGACGGGGCTCAGCCAAAAAGTGTCTCATATTTCTGAATTTTCCATGTGTCTTGGGTTCCAGTTACCAGTCCTTCGAGGATTGTAATGTCCAACTCTGCGCGGACCGAACCCAGAAGAGTATAGATCGATCCCACCTCTGCGTCGATCGTATGGTTGGAAGCTTGTCATGAATCGTTAGCTGGATACATTTTCCCTTGTCCTTTCTGTTCTTTTGGCCCTGTGGTTCTTTGGTATTTATTATTCACTTTACTACTATTACTACTGCTGCTACTACACTACTACAACTCCAACTATTGTTCCCTTCCGAGTACTTTTGCTCTGGTAATTATCAACGCCCGATAACCCACCCCCAGAATTACCAGTCCTCCGTACATATCCTGCGACGCTGTCGGTCCTTTTGTGAAGCTTTGAGAGGCTACGGGCCCCTCTCTCTCCTCCTTTCCTTTCCTTTACTATTTGGTTTGGTCGCATCAGTCTGGGTTTGAGGGTTTCTACTTCTTCGATCGTCCCGCCTTCCATTCTTCGTATCGGCTCGGTCTCGGCCCTATTGCTTACTTCCCTGAGCGCTTTTTTTTACTATTCATCCTATCCAAGTGTTCTCGAAAGACTTTATTATCCGCAGGGGGAAATTCTAACCCAGATTAAGGCCCGACTCCTGTCCATCTTCGGAGGAGGCCCAGAGGAAGAAAGTAATCCGCCCACCCGGTCCAAACGTGCTGGCACCAGCTCGCGGGGCAATCCGCTACACATTGCTTTTCTCTAGTTGATTGGATTTACCGCGGGGGCGCTACTTTTAGCTATTTTTCCCAGGATCCCTTGTTCTCACAACGGACCAGTGACGGGCGACTCTTCCGACCAGGCTACCTTTTCCCTGTATAGTCAAGGCCGTGTGTGCTACCATCGGCTCCTGGATCGGTCGTTTCCGACTTCATTATCGTCTCCAGCCTTCCCAGTTGTCCTAGGACCAGATCTATTTCGGTCCCCCAATTTACCTGGAATTCCCTTGGGCTTGATCCCATCTGCATATGCAGATATCATCGTTTCGGCGTTCTTGACCCGTCCAGATCAAGCGGACCGTTGTCCATTTCGGCTTACCTGGTGGTCGGCGTGCATTCCTTCCCTGAACGCTCGCGATTGTCTGCTACTGCTTCTTCTGCTTCTATCGCGGCCTAGTCCCTTCCTTTCGTCGTTGAATCACTCCTTCTCGGCCCGAATCCCCGCGGACATCTTGGTGGGGGAATCCATGATTGTTTGCGACTCGCTATTCCCACCTTCTTTTCCAGTCCCAGCGTGAGCCAATTTGAAGCTTATGCAAAATACTGGGATCCTGCAGCCACCCTGGTTATAGCGGAATATGCACGCAAGACAGTGACTATTAGGGCCGTTTGCGACATGTTGGTCTTTTGAACAGACTTCATTGCTTCATTATTTTTAATCCTTCCTTCAGTCCCACCATCTGGACGTAAATGCGACTTGGCGCAATCCGCGACTTGGAATGCCACCAGGACTCGACTTTCATCCCCAAGATTATCAACCTCGACGACAATTTTGCATCAGTCACGTCTAATTTTGCGGCTGCTATTTCTTTTTTCAGGTGGATTGCAATTCAGGAATTCTTGTTTTTCTCTCTGCATCTTTGAAACGACCTGATTGACTTTCCTTTCTTAATACGACGTTCTCAACGGAGGCTATTTCGTCCTGCAATTGGTGAGTATACTGGAGCCACGGAGAATGCTTCAGTGAAAAACAAGTCGAATTGACTAATTGTTCTGTCTGGAACTAGATTCTTTCCTTGATCAAAGTTCTTTCTTTGTTACTCGAAATTTCGGCATTCTGGTCCTCCATTCAATCAGAGACAATACCCCTCGATCGATCCCGCAATTCGCAAATATTCCATTTCAGTCACACGAGCCTTGAAACGTATCAAAGCTGCAGAATAGGAGCAGAGACCCATTCTCCGATGCTCAGTGGAAGTGTCACGTAGATGATTATACTTCGACAAAACGATTTCCCACCATTCGACGCTCGATTCCAACGCTAGTCATGTCTGGCTACTATGTTGGACCATTCGGTCGTATGTTACCCATCGCAGGTAGTTCGTCGTCGGAACAGCCCCCGGAGTGTCGCGCTAATCAATCAGAACCCGGGGATAACCCATACCAGCTTCCTCCTCCGCGAACTCCAGCAAACTTGCAGTTTGGATCAGACCCGTTTCTGCGACAGCGACAGTCAAGCGATAAATCAGATTCAGCTAGGGGACCAGCATCAGGAGAGCCCGCCTCTCAGCGCCAAAGGACCGAACAGCTTCCATCTGTGAGGTCGCTATTGACGCCCGCCTCTGGCCCAAGTTCACCACCACCATACCACTCACAAACCTATGGGACTCCCACACCACTTGAACATCGCGAGCTATCATATCCCTTTCGCCATCATGACTCGGCACTCCCTCCACCTCCAATTGGCGGGCAGGATAGACGTCGCTCAGAGTCTCTTCCTCATTCACAATCTGCCAACCTCCCACCACTATCGCACGTGGCCATGACCAGCCCCAGAGACATGAGTCATCATCACGCAGCAACACGAAGCGATCCTTCAACTGCAACCATGTCACATGCCCAATTACCCCATCACGGTGCTTCATATCATGAACCAGCTGCTGTAGGTGAAATGTCGTCGCCTGAGAGTGTAACCCGGCCAAATCCGCCTGCACTGCTTCCACACGTGGTTGATGAGCGATATATCGATGGCGAGCTGTGCTTCGTTTACGCCGACGGATCTCATCAGCCAAAGATCGTCGATGGGAAGCCCGTCAATCCCAATTGGGGGGTGACAAAGGCCGGAAAGCCACGAAAGCGACTGGCACAAGCGTGTTTGACTTGCCGCGAAAAGAAGATCAAGTGTCAACCGAACCGTCCCAAATGCGACCAGTGCCAAAAGTCTGGGCGAGAATGCAGGTTTGAGAATGCGTAAGTCACTTATGATTCTTCCATGCTTAATTGCAATAAGGCTGTCAATTGGATTTTTGCTAACAATTCTCAAAGGCTCCGTGGGAACCGCTCAAGAGGCTCGCACTCGGTCGGGCCACCTGGAAATGCAAATTCGGACGTCTCAGGCTCGATCTATAACATCGCTCGTGCTTCTGACAGCGGGGCATCGCTTCCAGGAAGTGGTCACTCGCCAATGTCAGAAGGTCCACCCTCTGGCATGGAGAGTACCCACGACCCCATGGTAGATGTGGAACGGGTATACCGACAGCGAGCTTACCGGATTCCTCGTCCATTTGCAGATGAGAGCCTAGTACGACAGGTTGATTATGCCGAGTCTAACCGAATGCCTGAGTATTCGGAAATTCTAGGTGAACTTAGAGATGCCAACCCCGAGGATCCCCTGGCGGGTTCTTGGAACGTCGACCCATTTGATCACGACCCAGAAATGACTTTGCACTATGTTGAAACCTATTTCTCTAACGTCAATGACGGATTATATCACATCTTCCCCCATGCTCGGTTCATTTTGTGGCTGAAGTCATGCGACACGAAGTCCCCTGAGGACAAAATGATGCTTTACTCGATGATGGCGTTAGGGTCTATCTTCTCAGATCGACCAGACAGATTTACTGCATTGAGACGTTACTCTCGTATTGCCCGCTTTGCCATTCAAAGGAGCCAGCATAATCTGTCACTTCAGCTTGCTCAGAGTCATCTCATGATGAGTCTGTTGTACTACGCTGCTGGCTCGTTGGTTGGATCTTGGGATTCTATTGGGGCTGCCGGACGGGCTGTTAGTGGACTGCGGTTCAATATTGAATCTGGAGGTGTGATTGTGAGCCAGAACCAGCCGTGCGAGTATGGGTTACACCCACAGGCGCTTATTGAGTGCCGTCGCCGGACGTTCTGGGTCGCTTTCATCTTGGATGTAAGTCGGGAACCATCATCGTGGCAAAGCCCTCAGTAAGCTGATCAAGCTAATTTTATGACCTAGCGAATTTCCTCTTTCTTCTCTGCGACGTCAACGTGCATCCCCTCAGATTCGGCCTTGATTCGACTCCCATGCCGAGAAGATATCTACGAAGCTCAACAATATGCGACGGCACCATACTTCCAGACCATCCTCAACCAAGCTTCCATGTCTACCGACGATGACCGGTCGTCACTCAGCCCAATGGCCTTTGTGATTCAGATTCTTTCTATCTGGGGCGAGGTCTCCTTCCAGGCTTTCCGCCTGTCACACACACCATCTGAGGGCTGGGCACAACTCGCCGAAGAATTTCACACCAACATCATTCGGCGGACAGACGACTGGATCAACCGACTACCTGGACACCTCGCCTTCTCTGTTGCCAACATGGAGCGTGCCAGCCAGGTAAAGAAGGTTGATGCCTTTGTTGCGATCCACATGTTCTACCACGCTACATTGATGAAGCTGTACAGACATGCGCGGTATCAATCTCTGCGGTCCGAGGTGCTGATCCAGTATATCCATCGCGCCCGATATCACGCCGTTGAAACGCTTAGAATCGCACTTTCTGTTGTTCAGTACGCGCATGACGTGCAAGCTTCCCGAACGGCAACTGATACCTCCTCGCCTAACGTGACGCTCCTCAGTCCTTTCCTGGGATATGTAGTCTTATCTGCTGTGGACGTACTCAGTGCTGGAGGCATGGTCGCCGAATTGCCAGACTGCATTTCATTCATCAATGGTGCATATGGCATGGTCCAGCTGCTCGGCCGCCACTGGGATAGCTCCATCAATTTGGCGAATCTCATCAAGAAACGCCTCGACTCGATGATCGACTGCGCAAATGACCGATCTAGGACTCAGGACAAGATCTGCTTTGCAGTTGACGGTCCTTCGCTCGAGACGAAGGTGCCCGCTGGCACTCCCCCTCAGCCACCGGGTACACTCGACGAAGACCTTTTCTATGGCTCTCTGCCGCGAGATATCCTCTTGAGAGCTATGAGAGCCGACGACACTCCGTTGTCGGATAAGAATATTGCATGGCTGAAAGATCACTGAACTTATTCGACTTTTAACTTAACCTGCAATGATCTGACATGATTTCTCGACGCATCAAAAACCCCTTCAACCTACCCCATGATCGTATACTTTGCTTCCGACATGAAAAAATTCTTCCTCCAAAATGGGTGGCCAACGTCTTTCTGAATATAGAAATCATCCGCATGACGTCCATTGTGCATTTTCCTTTCCTTTCCTTCATTCTACTTCCATATCAACATCTGCTGTTGACAGACATCCTAGTTCGATTTCCTTACGATTCTTGATTGTCCTTTTTACGATTTGATGGTATCGATGTCGATGATGGCGGTTTGACTGCTTCTAGTTATTCTGTACCGGTGGGAAGATCCAGTTTTCATCTACCCATGTACTATAATATCTGCTTCTCCTGTGTTGTCGCTTTTTTTTGTCATTTTCATTCTATTCCGAGCGAGCCGTGTGATCGCTTGTTGTCTGTACATTATCTACCGGAACAAAGAGAAAAAGCTTGATCGGGTTTGGATTTTTGATGCGAAGGTTTGAAAATGAGTAATGCTTCTTTGTTAATGTTGAAATTACAAGACGATCACGTCCGAATCATTGGCGTTTTCATTCACTTCTTGCCATTCACTTGGATCATATTGACGTACCCAAGTCACTTTACCCTTCGACGGGTCCAAGATAGTCGCGTAATGCGTTTCCTCGTTCAAGACTGGGTGAGTCGTAAGCCAATTCATAACTTCCTTTGCGGTGACAGCCACATCTTCTTCATCCAGAGAGTCCTGCATCGACTTGCGTTGTCGTTCGGCCTCCTCGGCCTCTGCCTCTCGTTTCTTCCGCAGACGCAGCGATGAACGACTGCCCTGTGGCTGATCAGGATTATCGATGTATTCCGGGACCTGTTTCATAGCGGCCTTCTTGGCTTGGATAGTCTTTTGCACACTCTCGTCCCACCGGGCTTGAATGCAGTCGCGTCTTTCCTTGCTGTCTTCGATGAGATCGACCATAACTTGGGCCTCGGATGATGCGAGTGACAGGCCAATGTGGTTCTTCCGCTTCTCATTAGCGATAGCTTTCGGGGATGCCGCGCCAGGTTCCTGGTCGTGGTTTGTAGTGACGATGAATGAATTTGATGAGCGGACTACAGCGGTACCATGGTCTTTCTCCATGATCACCGTTTTGATGCCGTCGCTGAAAATCAAGTATACTGCCGTGGTTGGCATACTGGGAACATGTGCAACGATTTTATCCAGTGTTGACAGAGATTCCTCTCTCTTCTTTGGCTTTGGCTCATCGGGAAACGAGAAAAGACATTCTCGCATCAATGATGAAATAGATTGCCGGATTCCCAGCAACACGAGCAGATGATTCGTGTAGAAAGCCAGGTTCCGCGATTCATCATGCACAGGGCGGAAATTGAGTGACATGCTCAGATCTTTTCTCACGCCTGTAAGCACGCCGACGTAGCCCACGTACGTGATACTCGTAGCAAGCACTTTGTCCGGGTTGTCATCCCGTACAAACTCCAACTGCACAATCAACTCGCGTAGCGGATCCATCCCCCAGTCAAGAGTTCGGAAATGAAGCATTTGAGTCCCCGATGCGCTTTTGGTGCGTACACCACCACTAGTACAGCCCATGAGCAGGTCCAGTACCGTGTTTAGACTGATGAGGAGGTACATGTCGATATCCGTCACGCGACTGATTCCTCGAAGCTCGTCTGTTTCTTCTTCTGTGTACAGCTTGCGCATAGATAGTCGGGCTAGCCAGTGGACTCCTTTGAGGGGGATTTTGGGTGAAATGCCGTGGACCAGCTCATCGAACATGCCGCGTAGGGCACGCATCTTGTCTCGGTACAGCTTTGCCAGCTCGACATAGCGTTCCGATGGAGGCAGTGAGAGGTTGATTCGGTATACTGGTGGGTTTTTGCCCGCAGGGGCAGGGCTGGTAGGATCCGCCATGGTGAGTGCTCTGAGGAAGAAGAGTTGTGGTGGCTGCCTGGGAAAGATTAGGCCTTAAGGGGTCAGTCAGTCACTTGCGGGCTGACATGCGGCTCTTTTGCTCTTCTCCGCAGTCCCACCACAGGCCAGAGACCAGAGACCCGCTTTGGATTGGATTCACGAGGTGTTGTGGTGAGTTTGCTTTTATTGGTCGCTGTGGAGATGAGCTGGACAATAGAATTGTTCCTGCAGCCTCCCGCTTGTTCCAGTTGATGTATCGCGATCGTGGCCTTAGAAGCCCTGTCCAGCTGGATCTCGATGAAATTTTGACCGGGACAACCTGCAATCTGAGTCTGTCTCAGCCTACTCGATACTGGATTGAACTACTTCAAGGAATTCGATTTCGATTGTCTTGTCAGCGGTTTCTTTGTTAGGTTACAAAGGACCTTCACAATCGGGCTAATTCCAGTTTAATGCCCCGCGTTTCTTCAGGCGCTCCAGACTTGGCGCTGAGTTGGCCCTCCGCAAGTATTTGCTTGATGGATGCATATAGTAGCTCTTGCTCGATCGCAAAACCATCTACAGATGGATAAACAATGACTTCTTTTGCTTTGAAAACACCCATCTTCGATATTTCAAGCCCTGGCAGTCCCAAAATAACCAGACTTATCCCTTCCGGCGGAGCCTGACTTCAAAGCGGAGCCAGCGGAGCTCAAGGAAAGTTTCTCCGTTAGCATCTCACCCCAGCTTTTGCTTTGAACACAATCCACTGCCCGTCGCTGTTGGGCTCAAGACCATGGGTTCTCGTCGCATTTAGGCCTCCAGACTGAGCAAACAGCCAGCCCTCCATGTCCGAGTCTACTGAACCTACCGCCGCCGCGGCCGCGGCCCGGGCCTTCGGTGCGCACCTGGAGGATGACGATGGACTCGACGGCGAGTTTGGCACGGCCACCGAGTACCCCGACGAGCTCGACTACTATTCCCTACTCGGTCTTGCGCAGAAGCCTCCTCCTACCGATGCCGAAATTCGATCCGCATACCGCAACCTGTCCTTGATGTTTCACCCCGACAAGCAACCGTCGCATTTACAAGAGTCCGCCGAGCAACATTTCCAGCGCATCCAAACTGCATATGATACCCTGATTGATCCCAAGAAGCGCGTCGTGTATGATTTACTTGGAGCCGAAGGTGTGACAAGAGAATGGGGCCGTGGGGGTGCAATGGGTGCGGGAGGGGACGCTGAGAAGCAGCAAGTGGGCGTGAAGGCTATGACGCCGGAGGAGTTCCGTCGCTGGTTCACAAAGACTATGAAAAAGCGCGAACGTAAAGCTGTACAGGAAATGGTCGACAGTCGGGTAGGTGCTCCGCTCCACTGGGCCCTGTGCCTCGATATAGTAGGCTAGGGACATTTGCTGATCTCTTTCGTACTGTTATAGGGCTCCATCACCCTTGGACTCAATGCAGATTCGACTATTCGAGTTCATGAAGACGACGATGTGACTGTTCAGATTCCTGATACGGTCATTCCGGTGTCTTATGCTGCCAAGTATTCATTTGAGACTCCTTTAAGCTTGCCCAGCTTTGGAGGGAAAGCGAAGGAAGAGGAGGTGCAGGATCAGCGGAAAGAAAGCGAGGATGCAGGCATCGTGGAAGAAGAAGTAGAAGATCCTTTGCATTTGAGATTCAATGCGGGAATCGCTGGCAACATCATTTATCGCACGCAGCAAGCAAAGGCTCAGTGGGCCGATGGAGAAGAGGAAGATCTGAATGTAAGTCCCACGCTTCCTCGTATAAAATTCTCCTTCCATGCTAATCAATTTTAGATTCCCTTGCCTCCAGTTCTGATCGCCAATAACATAAGTCTGGGCGCCACCGTAACCCCAAATGTCCGGGAATTGATCGGTACCAAAGGTCTCTGGAATAATCGAGTATTCTCTACTTTGAGAGATTCAACTGTCCTGGTGGAAGCCGAGATCTTGCCTGTTCCACTTTTGAGGACAACTGTTGCTCGGGCTTTCCAGCCGATTCCCGGGATCAAGCCATTCCAGGTTACTACAAAAACCACGTTCATGCGCTCCCTCTTGGAGTCTCCGCCTTCATTAGAAGTGCATGTCACAAAGGAAGTGGCCCCACGGAAGCTTGCATTCTGTGCTTGGTCAAGTGGCCTCTGGTATTATCCAAACTTACTGCTTGATCATTTATTTTTCCGTGGGATGACTTTGGAGGACATGTATGCATCCGCTGGCGATCTCAGCAGCCTCCAACTTGGCCTGATCTCCTTACCAAATCAACCCCGGAATGTTGTTTCAATGGATGACGATGATGATGTAGAGCCCGAAGAAGCTGAATTGCGCCGACACCTCCGGAAGAAGCAGGAGACAGATCGTGCCGCCGAGTCCTGGCAGACCTTTGTCCAAGTCAATCCCGGAGGAGGCGGTCTGAGTCTCACATATTCACGGAATTTGTTCTCAGGGACACCGGCTGATGACCCATTGAAGTCGGAATGGAGCGATGAGGGCTATGCCCCCATGGCGAAGATGGAGGATGCCCGAGCTGTTCGTCTAGAAGTCGCCAGTACGGTCAGCCCCAATCTCTCATTTGTATGGAGCATCAAAGGGACTCGCCGGGTTGGTGAATTTACCAAGATGGGTATTGGTATTGGCTTCGCAAACCAGGGTATCTTGATGACGATTGGTTGGACCCGACTTGGACAGGGCCTCAACTTGCCTATCGTGATCTGCTCTAAGGATGAGGCTACCCATGATGCTGCTATTTTGGCAAGCATCTTCACTTGGGCTAGCTATCTTGCTATAGAGTTTGGCTATGTCCGACCGCGTGACAGAAAGCGACGTCGCGAAGCGGCTGCTCGTTGTCACAACCTGCTAAAGAAGCTGGTTCCCCAGAAGCGTGCGGAAAGTGAACAGGCCATCCAGTTGATGATAGACCAGGTTCGGAGGCGGCAGCTACGCGAGTACGAACAAGATGGCTTGGTGATTGACCGGGCCGAGTATGGATACTGGCCACCAACAGATCGCAAGCCCAAGCCTGGCTTCGAAGAGCCTCGCACGACGGATGTGTTCTTCCCGGTAGCTAATCTTGTTGACCGTGGTCAGCTGGTTATCGGTGCGAAGACCGTCAAAGTAAGCAAAGCCTTGATCTTTCATATCTAAACAAAATCATACTGACTCGATCCTTTTTCAGCATCAAATAATCGGTTTCCACGACCCAGCACCACTGTTGAAAAAGCGCCTGAAGATTTGGTACAGTTTCCAGAACCGTTCCCACTTTGTGGAAATTGGCGACAAAGAGGGTATTATCTTGCCACAGCGCGCCCACATGTGCCCTGAATCGGAACAATTCAATCCGTTGGCTACTGAGTAGCTTTGGAGCTCTTGCCGACAATCTCCCTACCATGCCTCCTATCCCCCCCTTTCTGTAATATTACTGCATCATCCATCTCAATAGATATTCCAGCTATGTGATAAAATCTTGTTTCTACTCGCTTATCCTGGCGTTGGAGAATATCAAGATTGCCTTTTAAGCTGTACTCTTCCTCCATGACTTTCCTACCTCTGATTCTGACCTTTTTCAACCCTGGACTGATAGATCAAATTCCGTAAAGGCCATCATATACCTGCAAAAGCCAGTTTCTATTATTTCAGTCCCATATTTCCATCAGCAACCCCTGAAGGATGTCAACTTTGATACTTCGATGCCATCACGTGACTGAGCTTGATAGTGGATAGTCTTGGTGTAGAGCGTTCCAAGCACACCACTTGCGCAAATCCGCAAAAGCTAGGCGCATGTCGACAGCCACCTCTCTTTCACTACTTTCGACTTGGCACCTCTCACATTGGGAACAAGTCTCACCATGGCTTCTATTGCATCGGGACTTTTCAAGTCTCTTCCAAAACCCAAGTACACCGGTGAGGAGGAGGAGTTGCCACAGCATGCGCAACCTCGTGGTCCGCGTGTAGTGGGCGCCGACCAGCTCGATGAAACGCAGGTCGTCCTACGGGTAAGCTTCCTATTCGGACCTCCTTGCTACTTCAACTCAAGTACTGACTGAAATTTCTCACTCAACAGAGAGTCGGACCTCCCCCCTACGGTAACCGGACAGGATGGCGACCACGCGCCCCCGAAGATTTTGGTGACGGCGGCGCGTTCCCCGAGATTCTAGTCGCACAGTACCCCCTCGACATGGGCCGGAAAGGAACATCTTCGACGTCAAATGCGCTTGCTGTACAGGTCGACGCGGAGGGCAAAGTCAAGTATGATGCCATTGCGCGCCGTGGCCACGGCGATAACCGCATTGTCCATGCCTCGTTCAAGGATTTGATTCCGCTCCGACAGCGGGTGGATATGGGAGAGATCTCCCTCGATAGGCCGTCCGAGGAGGAAGTTCAGGCTCAGATGGAAAAGACCAAGAATGCACTTGCCAGCCTGGTGGAAGGAGCCGTGCAAGCGCAGAAGCCCAAGAACGTCCGAGGCGGCCGACGAGCAGAGCCGACTTTTGTCCGATACACGCCAGCGAACCAGATGGGAGATAATTCGAAGAAGAATGACCGTATTATGAAGATTGTCGAGCGCCAGCAAGATCCTTTGGAGCCGCCGAAGTTCAAACACAAGAAGATTCCCCGTGGACCGCCGTCGCCCCCGCCTCCTGTTATGCACTCGCCGCCACGGAAGCTTACTGCGGAGGACCAAGAAGCTTGGAAGATTCCCCCGCCCGTATCGAACTGGAAGAATCCCAAGGGTTACACTGTTCCCTTGGATAAGCGTTTGGCTGCAGATGGCCGTGGATTGCAGGACGTCTCTATCAACGACAAGTTCGCCCAGTTTGCCGAAGCATTGTTCACAGCCGATCGTCACGCCCGTGAGGAGGTGCAGCTCCGAGCTCAGATGCAACAGAAGCTGGCCGAAAAGGAGAAGGCTCAAAAGGAGGAACACCTCCGACAGCTCGCCCAGAAGGCCCGCGAGGCGCGTGCCGGCCCCAGTCGCCGTGACTCCGTGGCGCGTTCTCGCTCTCGCAGTGTCAGTCGCAGTGTGTCCCCTTACTCCTCCAGGGCCGGTAGCCCCAGCGAGGATGAAGAAGCCCGGGAACGTGAGCAACAGCGTCGCGAGCGACGACAAGAAAATGAGCGGCAACTGCGCCAGTCTCGCATGGGTACAGAGCGCCGCATCCAGGCTATGGCCCGTGAGCAGAACCGTGATATTTCCGAGAAGGTTGCTTTGGGTCTGGCGAAGCCTACTCAGAGCTCCGAGTCCATGTGGGACTCGCGACTGTTCAACCAGACCAGCGGTATGAATGCTGGTTTCAATGAGGATAACCCCTACGATAAGCCGCTGTTTGCCGCGCAGGACGCCATCAACAGCATCTACCGCCCCCGTGCTCAGCTTGACGCTGATGATGAGGAAGGTGGCGAGGCTGAGATGGGCAAGCTTCAGAAGACCAATCGCTTTGAAGTTCTTGGACGAGCGAAGGAGGGCTTCAAGGGTGCTGCTGATGCCGAGGTATGTTATATTCTGATAAATATATGAAGCTGCTCTTGCTAATTGCGTGATTTCTTCCTATAGGAACGACAAGGCCCTGTCCAATTTGAAAAGGACACCGCCGATCCCTTTGGTATTGACAGCATGATTGCCGATGTGACTTCTGGTCAAAAGCGCTATGGCATCCAAGAGGCCGAGGGCGACGACCGAGGCTCAAAGCGCGCTCGCGTTGATGACGACTAAGCGAATTAAGACTATTTTGTGCAGTATAATACGTGTTCGGGGCATTCGGTGGCATGCCCCTAGGTCAAGGGTTTCTTCTCTGCATTGTGGGCGTTCAGGCAGTGCAATCAATATCCACCATTTCGTTTACTTATGCACCAAAACTTCGAGCGATTCAACAGGGGTTGATTTCGATAAAAGTCACGAATGTACCTTACATCTATGGGTGAAATCAATCACATATCTACTCCTTTTACGGGCTCATCTACTAGTTCTTGGTCATGTTGTAAGTGTTGATAGTGTAGAGAAAGTGTATTTCAGTCTGGATTAACGAAAAGCTATAGAACGAATATCAAAGGCGTTACTGCACTCTGGACAGTTGGGGTCTCTTCCATCTAATTCTTCACCTCCGTCCGGTTAGGCGATAGCACATCCTCCAGCCACTTGTATGCGACTGGCAGACTATGGGGGTATCCCATGTGCACCATACCCTCGAAGAATCGTCCTTCCTTTGGACCACCGTGGTTGAACAGGATCAGCGAGTCCTCAATGGGCACAACGCCGTCATCAACGCCCTAAACCCGAAACATTAGTATCAGAAAGCAACATCATCCTTAAGTTCGAGAGAAACACATACATTCAGCAACAGGAGTCGACAGTTAGGCTGGTCCATGACACCCGTCTCGATGAGAGAGAACTTCTTCTGAGCATTCTCCTCAAACTCCTTCGTGGTGGAGTAGCCATACTTCTCAGCCCAGCAGTCGGTGATACTAGTATACCTCACATATTAGCCCTGTCCAAATGACCCCATCCCTTGTTTCTCTCTCTCTCTCTCTCTCTTGGAAATACTCACGTAAACGGATACTCATGATCATTAACTTTACTCAACCACTCCTTCCCCAAGAAATGATGCGACCCCGGCCCATGAGCCACACAACCCACCAACATCTGGCGATGCGTACAAGCCGCCCGAATAGCATAAAAGCCACCAGCACTCAAGCCCCAAACCGCCACACGACTCATGTCCAGCTCCGGCATCGTCGCCATGTACTCAAGCACACTATCCCACAAACGATCCGGCGACTCTGGATCCGCAGCCTCAGCCGGACAATCCGCCGTACCAGGAATCTCAACGATAACAGTCGCCCAGCCCCGAGCCAGAATCTCATGCGTCCGCTGGCTGTTATCGGGTCTATACCCGTCCAGCCCGGTCATGATAAGTACGACGGGGACGCGGTTCGACGACGAGGCTTCCTCCGGCAGACGGATGTACAATGGGATAGAGGATCCGTCTGCGCCGGATGCATGTTTGTGGGGGATGATTTCTTCCTTGAGGGGTGGTTTCCAGAGGGATGCTGCGGCGAGGTAGACTTTCTTTTGGCGATCGAAGGCGAGCCGTTTCAGGGATGTTTCTGGGCGGCTTGTGTGGCTGACGTAGGGGAAGCGGGAGATGCGGAGGACTACAGCGGCGCGGCGGTAGAGGTCTGAGGCACGGTCGGGGTGGCCGTAGTTTAGGGCTTCGGTGGCTTGTTCTTCGAGGGCAGAGGCGATGAGAAGGAAGGCGTTTGTGTAGGCGTCTGAGAAGGCGTCGTTGATGTTTTCCTAGAGGTGGATGTTAGGACTTGCGGACTGGATTTGAAGTGCAGTGAAACGGAGGACTTACAGCAATGAGTTTCTCGAAGATTGGCTCAAAGTCCTCAATGGAGCCATCGTGGAATGGATAGATTGATTTCGAGCACTGTTTGCGAATAAAATTGGTTAGCATTCACAACAAGTCTTGGGCTGAAAATAGATGATAGATCTTGATGTATCATAAGGTTGTGATATGGAACATACACAAAACTTCCACTTGGTCTCCCACAGAGCCTTGATCGAGCCCTTGTGTGGGTAGACAGTGTCAAATTTGTCTCCAAGCATCCAAGGCGTCATTGTGAATAGATGTTGATGTTGATGTTGATGATACTGCTTCAATGTGTCCGTCTGTCTGGTAAGAGTTGAAGGAAAATAAATCCAACGTAAAATAATCCATTTTGAACTGCCAAACGCTCTTTTAACTATATCTGCTTTACAATTTCGATGAACACAGCTGAGAACAGAACAGTCCGGATTAGGTCTACAAACCTACAAAGCCGATGCAGATGTGTACGAAAACAGCAAGTAGAAGACCTACCCGCGAGAAGATTCATATCGGGTGCGGGCAACGCAAAAGTGTCAGACGGAGCAACATAGCTTGGTGGATTAACTAGCCAGTCAGAATCAGGAATCGTACAGTCTGGGGGCGAAATGCGTGAATCAATTGAAGGTGTCCATTTCCGAATCCGGGCCTGTTCCTGGATTGCGCAGGGTGGTTGGGTTATGTCAGGTGGATATCTGTCGATCCTGGAATGTACCACGGCTTTTGGATGTTTTGGGGGCTTCAGATTAGGAACGCAGAGGGAAGTAAACTGGAAGATTTGTCAAATCAAAAAAATAATCAGCCTTTTGAGCTTGCCTCTCTCACCCATTAGGTATAGCATCCAGAACACAACTGTCTAGTAGATTAACACCATTCGCGAATCTTTTTCAGCAAGCAATGGAACTAATTTCCCTCGAATGACAAGTTATTAGCTCTAGAAACATTGGGACTATGATATTAGCAAGCGATAGAGGATTAGAGCATGAATAAAAGTTTTCATTTTAAAGGCTAATCGACGCCAAATCTTGCTCTAAGTAGGCTGAAACCCAAAAGACCCATAACATCAAGGGGAGAAAGTGAAGCTAATATACAAGCTCTTTGAAATGAATAGAAAAGAAAAATGCAAATGCAGTCTTTTTACTGTTGGTGCTCATACCCCTGCCAATACTCGTATCCCTTGGGGAGATCATTGGGACTGAAAGGCGAAAGGGTTAGCGGAGTCTCTGCTAGTAGGAAGTGAATATGACGTACCCATTGTCGTGAGTCTTGATGATGTAGTCGCCGTCCTTGACGTAGCCGTTGTTTTCGTAGGGGGTAGGCCAGAGGCCCCTTGATGAAGAATTAGTATCAGTTGTAGATAGATGGACAATCCGGTTTGAAACTCACTTGGTATCCTCGTTGTGGGCAACGATGGGCTGTCCGTCGGGACCATCGCCGATTTGGGCGTGGGACTCGTCGCTGTGAGGGTTGGGCCATGGACCCCTTGGTAAGAGTTAGCTGGTGTTTAATGACTGATCTCGGGGATGGATGCGTACTTGGTATCCTCAGAGTGAGCATAGTCAGCATCTGGGCCATCTCCAACTTGGGCATGGCCCTCGTTTGTGTGAGGCTTAGGCCAGGGACCGCTAATAGAACGGTTAGTTTACTTCTTCAGAGATGATATTACATCAACTTACTTGCTCTCGTGCTGGTGCACGTAGATTGGCTCGTCCTGCGGCGGTGGTGCGAGAGGCACAGGGTAGACTGGCACACCCCCGACAGGGTACTCAGGGTAGTCAGGCGTCAATTGAGCGGGCTCCTGGGGAGCTGGCTGTTGGGCAGCAGGTGCTTGCGGAGCAGGTTCTTGGGCAGCAGGAGCTTGAGGAGCGGGCTGCTGGGCAGTTTCCGGGGCTGGCTGACTAGGAGCTTCCGGAGCCGGGGCCTGAGGAGCGGGCTGCTGGGCAGTTTCCGGAGCTGGCTGACTAGGAGCTTCCGGAGCCGGGGCCTCAGGAGCAGGCTGTTGGTGAGGAGGCGGGCGAGTATGAGTGGGCGTGGGAGCCGGGGGCTGTGCAGGAGGCGGTGCCTGAGTATGCCCGGGCGCAGTGGCTGCAGGTGGAGGCGGCGCCGAGGAAGTAGTCTTAGGCTTCTCAGGCTCAGATGCAGGAGCAGAGGGCGAGGGAGCAGGGGCAGCTGAAGACGGAGCAGCGGGAGCACCACCCTTGTGGTTATACATAGCGCCGTACGTATCAGTCTCAATCTCAGTGTGGGCGCCGGACAGATCCAGACCCTGTTTTCCAGCGGCATTACCGTTGGTAGGATCGGGATAAGCTGCACAAACATCATAGTGGCTCTGAGGAGGAGCATCCTGTGACTCCGGGAATGTCTCGGGAGCTTCGATGATTGTAGCGACAAGACCAGCCTCGACGTGCCATTCAACGTGGCAGTGCAGCAACCAGACGCCGGGGTTGTTCGCGCGGAAGCGCAGCACAGCGTGGCCATGGTTCTGGACCATTATCGTATCACGGCGGACGGGAGTTTGCGAGACGTTCTGGTAGGCACCGGTGAAGTAGCCCCCATCCACAGCCGTCCGCTGGAGCACTTGGAACTCGTGGCCGTGCAGATGCCATGGGTGCAGGTTGTTGTGGTGGTTGTTGATGACGATCTCGACGATGTCGCCGTAGTTCACCACGAAGGGGTTGACTTGGCCGTAGACCGCTGGGTTTGACGCCAGATCCTTGCCAATGGTGTTGGCAGTGTACAGGGTGGGCACATCCTGAGGGATGTATGTCTTGTTGTTAATGGTGAAGCGCCGGATACCATCAATCTCCGTGGTGAAAGTGTCGATGATAATCTGCTTGTTGACGGGCTGGAGCAGAGGTTCCTTGTCAAGAGGAACGAAATCAACATCGTCCGCAAAGTCGAACTCGTACAGAACAGGTGGAGGGGGCAAGGGCTTTGCCTCGTCATATACCAGCCAAGCAGTGACGTTGGGGTTGTAGTTGGCAGGAATAGTCCGGTTCTCGTAGATGAACATCATGTTGATATCCATGGTATCCCAGATAGCAAAGTTCTTGCTAGTATCGGGCTTGGTGTGGATGAGGACACTGGTGCGCTGACCAGGAGCAACACGGAGCATCTTGTTGCCAGTAACATAGGGCTCGATGTACACGCCGTCAACCTCGACGACAGTCATCTCGTGGCCGTCCAGAACCCAGGTGTGACCGGGCCAGTTGCCAACACAGATAATGTGCACAAGGTAGGTCTTGTTGGGCTCAACCTTGATCTTGGTGTTGGTGGAGTCATTGATCAAAGCTGAGTTGGGGACTGGCTCGTTACCACCGAAGGCTTCCAAGTTCTCCTGCGATTGGTATTCGTGGAGGAGATCGGCCATTTCGCGGTGGTACCAGTCACTGAGAGTAATGGTGAACTCGTCATCGTATTGGAATGGCGGCTTGGGGTCGTGAACGATGAAGGCACCACGGAATCCATCCGGGTATTGGCCCATGTTGTGCGAGTGATACCAATAAGTTCCAGTTTGGTTAGCCTATTCATATTCGTTTAGCAGGTGTATCAATGCCTTGTGTTTTCCGAGTTTCCACTCACATCGAAGTGATATTGCATGTGCTGGCCCGGAGGGATAGGACATTGAGTCACAGAGGTAGAACCGTCCATGACACCGGTGTGGTATTGATGGAAACCGTGCCAGTGAATGCCCGTCGACTGATTTCCCAGTCCATTGTATACATCCACAATGACTCGGTCGCCAAACTCGACATCAACCTGTGGGCAGGGCCATTGGTTGTTGATACCAATGACGGGCCGTTGATATCCATCCGGGGAGGCATTGACCCAGGTAACGTTCCAATCGAGATAGACATCCTTGGCTGCAGCCAACTTGGCGGCGAAGCCAGCCAAAAGAAGGAAATTCAACTTGGCCATGACGGCAGTTGATCTAACGAACGAGTGACAATCGACTATCTCCAGATTCAGATAGATAGCTAAATCTTCCGAGTAGAGAGGTAGCCGAGGGATCAATGTTAGATCAGCCGAAACTATAAATTAAGAATTAAATATAGAAGAAACGATTGTGGTTGTCGACAAAAAACGAAGGTCGGCGCAGGTCGTCCACTGCGATGTTGTTCGAAGAATCTCCAGCTCCATGGGCAGGGGAGGGCCGTATTTTAACATGGAGCATAATATTGATCTGCGCTAGGGGGAAATGTTGTTGGTCCCTGAATATCAGTAGCCATGTCTTCCGCAATGCTAAATGCGGTGCCGTCATTCAAGGAACAGGAAAACAAAGGTAACCTCACAGGCAGCGTGTCCTTCAGGCGCTGCCTATCCGAAGGCTTTGTTGTGTGCCGAAGCATTCTCGGGGGCTGGCATGTCGATGAATCGCCCGACTCGGCGACGAATCGGGACTCTCACGCAAGGGGCGCATACCGGGCCGACCAGCTCGGTAAAGTGTAAACAAGAAGCGGACTGTTGAGGAAATAGAGTAGACTGTTCCTGAACATGGAGTATTTCCCTTGATTGAAAGCTGCGTGGTTAATTTCAGATGATGAATGAAGAAAATGGAGTCTACGGGATTCCATTCAAATTCGAGGAACCCAGGCATTCGCAACACATTCATTGGTGCTGGATATATGATGCTGGCTGGATCATGGCAGGCATATTATTTCAGAAGGCCTCGCCAACGGGCAATGCATTTTGTAGGAACAAGGCCATTATGTAGGCCCGAAGTATTTCCAATGACATAAATTCATGTCGTACCCATCGGCAGGATCATTAGGATATGGTGGGCAACGACTCCAAAGACACTCCCACGAGTTCCCTCTGACCAAGACTCCACTCGGCGGCAATATACGGGCGAGAACCTCTTATCGGGGGACCATCATTTGGCCGAGGCACCGTTAAGATTTGCGCGCTGGCCAGCGGCGTGGACAGACGCAGGAGTCCAAGTGGGGTGACCTGCTGCCCGACCGTAGAGTATTTGGACGGGTAAACCACCAGCGATAGGACGACGATAGGAGATGCCCGCGGTAACCACCCATTGCCCTCTAGGGAGTGCGCAGGCCCAGGGTTAGGGAAGTTAGTATATATCTTCCCCCGGCAGGTCAAACCCGGCGCCCGTGCCGGTCGATCGTGTCGTGTGGACTGTGGACTAACGCGGGGGCCACACTGATTGATATTATCCAGGCGCTCCCATTGGTGCGATGCAGAAGCTAGAAGCTCTTGGGCCCCCGGATTGATTCCTTTGCTGCAAGCTCTGAGAGGAACAAACACCTGGCGATGTCTTTGTTTTATAAAAGTCACAGGGATTCCCCGCACCGCCACCGAGTTGGCAAAGTTGTTCAGGTGTTCAGGTGTTCAGGTACCAAATGCACGACATGAAGTCCGTGCGGCCCCGGGAGCAGCGCCTAGCGCGGGGCCTGCGATAAGCAAAGTGGGCGAAGATGCAAAGTGGGGTGGAACGGTGCCATTTTAGTGACTTTAGTCGAGTCTTGGTGGATTTTTTAGTCAGATTGGTGAGATAAACGGTTGCATGAACAGATTGGGTAACCAGGGGGGTTATGATAAAGGATGAGGTCGAGAAAAGACAAGAAGAGGAATGGTAAGTAGTCAGAGGTTGGAATTAGTCTTTTTTGGGGGGAACAACGTGACTCTGGTCCCTTTTCTTTGCTTCTTTTCCTCTTTTTCTTGTCCACTGCCACCCCCAGATTTTAACAAGAAAAAGAGAAAAGAAAAGAGATCAAAAAGAAGCTAACAAGTAATCCACTCACTATCTTCGGTCCCATCTTCCCGAATTTGACTCATTTCATAGCTTCACGACAGTACTCCCTCCATTCTTCCCTCTTCGTGCTCCCAATTCCCACTGACGCCATCCCGCATCCCAGCTCTGTCGCCATACCACATCCCGGAAATGGCGTAATAGAGCTGCATCGCTGTCAACCACTGTGCCAGTTCAGTCACATCTGGATTGAACAGAACACAATCGCTGCAAATATCAGTGTGAAATCCCTGAAGCACTGCATATGCTGATCCTGCAGTCACGCCATCTTGCTATTCATCATTATCCTCTGTACTACAAGTCCTTTGAACATCCGGCCATATTCAACATCAGTCCTCTTCTCAAACAACGTGGAAGTGGACGTGAACGTGTCTATTTGCACATCTACCACAAATAATGGACCAGTCCATGACCATGATCGATGCCCAGGTACAATTCCTGGTGAGTCATTCATACCCGCGATATATATCTATCATCACTCTTAACATATATCTCAGGAGGAGCATCTAGTCCTGGTCCATATCCCTCTGGAGCTGTATCCCTATTTCTTCAAAGCAGTCCTGAGACTTATCTTTGATGAGATCGCTCCCTTGGAAGATACCAATAAAGATGAGGAGGACGAGCTCGACGATTTCGAGTCTATCTCTGACCCCAGTGCCGCGGAGTACCGAGCGCCTGCATTCCTGAACGTCTCTATCACTCCCGTGGAAGTCTCGGTGATTTGCCCGCGACGACTGGTTGAAAAGTACTTTGATCCTTTCATCAATCAACTCAACCAGGTTGATGCTTCGCTGCGGTCCCGCGTGGATGTCAGTGACAATGACTACATCGCCATGCAAGTTCTAGGCCAGGGTCTAGAAGCTGGCAAGCGAGTCCTAGAACTGACCAGTCCGTTGGCCATGGCAGGAATGTGCGTTTCAATCTATCTACCCTCGAAATATCTCTACACACTACCTACAGACAAAGCTATATACTAACACCTATCCCAGTTCAATCTTCTTCATTACAACCTACTTTTCAGACTACATCCTCGTCCCCCTCCGCAGCAAATCAAGCGTAATCTCCACCCTCGAAAGCCGAGGCTTCCAATTTGAAAATGCAAACACAGCATTCGTCAACCCGCTCAGTCCACCAGGAGAAAGAAAACTCAGCGACACATCAGTACCCCCAGTCACACCACCACCATCAACAGTTGCAGAACTACAAACACGCACATTCGCCAACCTCCGCAAACGCCAGATCATTCCCGTCGTAGACGATACTCTCCGTCTCGTCCAGTGCGCAGCGCACCACCAGTACCATCGACAGGAAAGTTCCATGTCTATTTTGCGGGACGCACTAGCGACGGTACTTCTTGTCGATGAACCGCGCTTTTTGTCATTGACCCTTGCAGCGCTGGATCCAGCTGCATCCTTGCTGCTGGAGAAGCGGTTGCTTCCGCGCTTCTCACGACATTCAAATGATGAAGATGGTTCGGGTCTACTTCTCGGTGCACAGGGTGACTATCTCGTGCCCATCATGCTAGATCTACGTGATCTACCACTCGAAGCATCGGGTATCGTCTGTGGCGTGGCGGGCCGACTCGCCGAAGCCACGCATAGCTCCCCCTCCTCCTCACGAACGGTTCCAATCGACGACACGAACACGCTCCCTGTCGGCAGCCACGGTAGTGGTAGAAGTGTCATCGGCTCCGTTCCCAAACTCTTCGATACATTCGGGACCCGGTTGTCACTCAGTGATAAAAAGTCGTCGAGTCAGCACCAGCTAGCCCCGTCAACACATCACCTCAAACCTGACCTGGATCCGTCGGCGGATGCAGTCGAGATTAGTTTCTTGAGTACCGCGCGCGCGGGAACTATTATCGTGGGTGAGGATGAACTACAGAGGGCGATTGAGGCTCTTGATGCGGAGAAGGTGCAGCAGGATTCGGATTCGCCTGCGGAGGAGGTGGGGTCTGAAAGTACTGAAGTTGGACTTGGTCTGGAGGAAACCGTCGAGGTTTCTGAACAGATTTGAGGTTGAGAGTGTGTCCTTTCTCCTGCGAATTCCCCTCCCTATCCTGGCATTCTGTGGTTTGAATGAAAAAGAGAGGAAAGCTGGACCAAAAAAAAGCGATTTGACATTTCTGGGCATTGCCTGTACGAGTACATGATTCTAATGTCTGTTTACTCTGAGCCCCGGCGTTGATTCTTAAAGGCAATTTTGTTGCTATGCTGATTTTTATGACGGTTACGTGATAATACGACAGATCTCCGGCAAGGAACTCGTAATTGGAATGCAAAAATATCTACTTTTAAGTCTTTTATTTCGAGTAGCAAGTATTCAATACAGATTTAGACTGAGGCTAAACGCACGACAACTTGTGCTTCGTACGATACACTATAGCTCAGATTGGATCGTCGGCATCCAGACCAGAGAAACTGATTTAGTATGTGAATATGTATGCCTTAACATTATCTTTTGCGAGAGATCTTTTAAATGGCTCTTGAACTGCCTTTATTAATAGCTAAGGTTTCCTTTATAGTCTATCGTTTAAAGCCGTGCGAAAGTACAGGATATCGTGCGATTAGCCCCAGCCCAGATTTAGGCTGCCTCGTAAACATAGAGCGTAGAGTTGTGCTGATCAGGAAGACAGTAAATTCTCAGCTTTCCATCCACAACTGCAATGTCAATTGGGTTCTGCGTCACCGATGCCCCAAGATCACTGGTCATCGCAATTGGAACTTCCCACAGCGGCAGCATCGTCTGGAGATCAACCAAAGCAATACCACCCAGATGGAACGATGACCCGATGGTAGCAACTCCACCACAGAACATGATAGGTCTCTTACTCCCCTGGTCACTGACACGGGCGGCCATGGCCTCAGGAAGCGCATAGTGACCAAGGAACTTGCAATCCTGATAATCAATGAAGAAGGAAGGGTCTGGCACCGAAGACTTGGGAGCTTTGAAACCGGGCAAGGGTGTGAATCCATGCGGGTAGTCTTTCAGAGACCAGGTGGTCGCATTACGGCCACCCCAGTTCAAGGTGACGAGGTCGCCGGTGATAGTATCATGCACGATTCCTCCATTGTGATCGTTGGTGCGGAACATGTCCTTCTTCTGGAGCGTGAGGGGGTCGATCTGGACGATAGTTGCGGTCGAATTCGGTCGGTACTGAGACAGCGTGGCCCAGAGATATCGGCCATCGTAGTCAATACCACCAGTGTGATACTCAATATCTCCTGGCTTGGTAAGAGTGGCATTGGCAATTAGTTTGCCCTGACCATCGTAGATGAGCGTGTGCGCGAAACCGGCGCCGGGAGTACGGTCGGTACCGTTGATCGGCTGAGGATATTTGGTGGTCGGAACAGTCCATTGTCCAGCAGAGATGAAGTATCGGTCGTCACTGACACGAACCATACCTTCTGGTTCACCAGTGTCGCCTTCAAAATTGGTCTTCGAGATCAACTTCCATGTAGTGGAACGACCAAGGTTCGGGAACAATTTGACGATGGAGGCACCGTCGGAGGTGGCGTGCGACGGGGGAAGCGCATTGTTTGGCAGGAAAGGCTCATTTGGACGGACGATAGATACGTCTGTAGCCACGGCAGTCACTATGGCAGACGCCGCAAAGGCAACGGTGGACGCTTTCATGTTGATGTCTGGCTAGGGCAGCTGACCAAAACTCTTAAGACCTGGGTCTGTCCCCTGAAGGATAGCAGACTTTATAGATCGCCTGTAATCTATAAGGGGATCAGGCATCGGGGAATCGGGGACAACAATCAAGATTATGTTTGAGTCCGTGCCTTGCGAGCTGTGAGGTTATTTCTCAAGAAAGAAGGTGGAGTGGAGACGTGGGCAGCCACGTTCTGCGGGAAGGATCAGCCGTTGGCTCAACCAAAGACCCTCACCGTACCTGAGGAAGACGATTGTCAGTGCGAGAGTCCAACACCCATGGAATTCATCCAGGCAGTAAATTAAACTGAAACGCCACTTACTGTCCGCACATCCAGCTGCCCAGTAGCCCTTATCGTTCCACGCCACGCAGCTCACGGCCTTGACATCTTCGCCCATTGGCACTGTAGCAACATTCTTGCCAGTCAAGATATCCCACGCGAAAACAGCAGCCCCAGAGGCAACGCCATCTCCCTTGGGAGCAGCTTCGCTGCCACTGAGAACCACTGCATCGCCCTGCGCAAAGACAGATCGTACTCGCAACTCGGTGTTGCGATAAGTATGGCGGGGCTTGTTGAAGATAGCCTGCACAAGAGGTTCATCCTTTTTAGATGGTCCACCGAAAGCTGCGAGGAGCTGTCCGTCTGTGCGATCCAGTAGTCGGATATAACTGTCCAATGTAGTTGCCAATAGAGCATTGCCATCTGCCGAGCACCGCACACTCGTCACAGGGTGCGCCAGCACGTCGACCGTTGTCTTGCCCATGCGAACATCGTAGACCCGGGCATGCCCGTCGTAGCTCCCGCTGGCAATTGAGTACGTAGACATATTCGCATGTAGAGACGAGACGGTGTCACTCGCTTCGGTAAGAGTCTGGATAGGCTTGTTGGCGTTGGACCGAGTATCCCACAGGTTAATCGTAGTGTCTGCACTACCTGAATTGGAACGAAATTTCGTTAGCAAGGTGAAATCCGAGAAGGAGAAACCGCCGCAGCGACCTAAAACCAAGTGATCATACCAGAAACAACCACCGAATCACCCTCTCCCGCAAACTGCACAGCCTCGACTTTGCTGTTATGACCAGTCCATCGCCTGGTAGTGCCTCCCTGCTCTACATCCCATAAAAAGACCTGCCGATCGCCTCCCACACTGGCAAACCGCGCATTGTCCGCAGCGACGGCTACGTCAAGGACTGAGTAGCCGTGTGCCTCGTACCGCTGAATCGGGGTAGTTGTTTCTACCGGCGTCGCAGAGTTTTCCGCATTGCTCGGAACAGCGCGCGAGAGGTGAATAGCGCGGTCCGAGGAGCCGGTTAGGACGTAGGTGCCAGGGGAGCTGGAGAAGGTGACCGCGTTGACCGCGCCTAGTACAAGACGAAACGGTTAGTATTTGATCGCTCAAACGTTGAGGGCTGCAAGACGTACCATTATGTGTTTTGAGAGTGTGCAAATGCCGCGTTGGAAAAGGTTTCGGGGGCATGGCCGCTGGGGAAAGATCGCAACAAGCAACAGAGCAGGTTGGAGAGCGTTTTGAGGCTTTGGTGGAACGCGAATGATGCGCGGGCCTGGAGTTCGGCGAAATGGGGCCCGAGAATCCACTTTTAACTACTCCGTACAACCAGAGCACTAGAGTCGATTATGACGAACTACACAGGAAAGCATACTCTACCTACTACTCTATGTCCAAGGGAAAGCCAGTTGAAACAAAAACACCTAAATTTCGACCAAAGGATTAACTCTGTATTTTCCGCGCTACAGAATACAGGAGGGGTTATTATCAAGGATGTAGACACCATCGCTAGCTACCAGCGGTAAATGGATATAACAGAACAAAACGAACCAGCCCTTCAAGGCAAAGGTGCGCCCTCCGAAGCGCGTGAATTGCAAGACATTGGGTACTCAAGAAAAAGAAACGACGAGAGAGTGAACACAAGTGTGCCTACCCCCTTTTTGAAACACCATTCTAGCGACGACCGTGGCTGCGGGTGCCGGAGCCCTGCAGGCCTTCGATCTCTTGCTCGAGAGATTTGATGCTGCCAGAAGTCAGTAAATACGATCAAACACGGACTTGATAGATTCAAAACATACGCAGCGTGAGTGGCCTCGAGATCCTTGTTGAGTCGGTCGCGCTCGGAGATGAGCTTCTGCTCCCACTGTCGGAAACGGCTCTCCTCCACCTTGACCTGCTCGGTGAACCGCTTGCGCAGGTTCTCCTCCTCCTCCTTGAACTTGGGGTTGTCCAGCTTGCGGGGTCGGGCCTCGCCAAACTTGCGGGTTTCCATCTGCTGGGCACGGTAGGCCTCGTAGTGAGACTCCTCGGTAGTGTGGATGAGATCCAGCATGTGGGTGCGGATCAAAATGGAACGGAGCTTCTTGAAGTCACAGTGGTCCTCGTTCTCCACCTCGGCGACACCCCAGGCATATTGACGACCCTTGACAACACGGCCATCGTTGGCCTTGACGTCCTTCTCGGAACCAATGACGGCGAAGGGCATAGCAGCCATCAGGCTGCGGGCGTGGGTGGCAGCGTGCTCATCATCCTCCTCAACTGGAGGGGTGTAGATCTTAATGCCCTGGGCCTCGATAACGGCGCGAATCTAGTTGTCTTGTTAGTTCACGATGCCCATCGAGTTTGACCAACCCTCCGGGATGGCTTCCGACTCACTCTCTCCTTGTACTTGGCCAGATCGGCGTGGCTGAGGGTGTCGGCCTTGGCAACGACGGGGATCAGGTTGACACGGGAGCTCAGGCGCTTCATGACCTCGATATCGAGAGGCTTGAGGGTGTGTCCAGTGGGGCGGATAAAGTACAAGCAGGCGTGCACACGCATGTCAATCTTGTCGGTACGGCGGGGCTGCTGCTCCTGGAGCATGTATGACTCGTGCTGGTCATCCAGGAACTCGATAATGGGCTGCCACGAGTCGCGGTTGTTGACGTAGTCACCGAAGCCGGGAGTATCAATAACGGTCAGGCGAACTGTGAGAGGAAAACGAGCCCGGTCAATAATCCGTAGGTAGCAACACATGGGATGTAAACAAAGCTCCCATCCATCCCTATCGACTGTTCAGGGTCCGGCTTATCGCACCTTTGAAGAACTTCTCCTCCAGCTCGGCCTTGGTGATCTCGATCTCAACGGTGCGGTCAACCTGCTTCTGGTGGCGGCGCTTGTGATCGGCATAGTTTTTGATGGTGGTAGAGAACAGGGTGTTGATGAAGGTAGTCTTTCCCAATCCCGACTCTCCGGCAACCTGCAAACAGGGTCATTAGTGTCGAGGCTCAGATCGGAACATTCCAAGCTTAGACACACCATAATTGTGAAAGCCGCACCCCGCTTCGCGACAATCTTGTGTCTGGATACCATCAATTAGAAGCTAGCCCTTCAAGTCATTTTCATCGTCAATTCCGTGTAGGGAACACACCGCTGGTTGGGGAGCTAGAACACGCAGCATATGATTAGCTCTCGAAATCATCAAAACGCGCGGAGATACGGGGAAGGAGCTCAGGTCTTACATTGGCAATGCCAATGGGAGTGGCGGTCTCCGTTGTGGACATGGTGTGTGGTTGGGGGTCGGGTGGGTATGTGAAAGGTGGAAATGTGAAGAAAGCGACAAGAGACCCCTCAGGAATTGACCGGACTGGAGTATAAAGATTGGTCGGAGATCCTGGAGGAAAAGGGGAGAGGCGATGAGCTGCTTCGTTGCTTGCTTCCCCCTGAATCTCCTTTCGTTTTCTGGAGTATACCTGGCCTTGCCTATTTGGGATTAGCGTATCCACTATCCCTGTTTGGGTGCGGGACCGGACTATCGCTGATCCGAGGCTTATCTTTTTGGAATTTGGCCGATGCGAGCAAAAAGCCGAATTTTTGACGGAGCATCTCAAGCTATCGCAAAGGGAAAATGAAGACAGACTTTAAGGTCAGTACGATTCTGGATGCTCGTAAGACTACTTGCTAACTTGGTGTACAGTTCTCCAATCTTTTGGGGACGGTCTACCGCAAGGGCAACCTGCTCTTTACTCCCGATGGCACCTGCTTGCTCTCGCCAGTAGGCAATCGTGTCTCGGTCTTTGATCTTGTGCAGTAGGTCGTCCATGATTGAAAACCGCAATTTCTAGGATCACAATCGCTCATATCTTCACTTTCTAGCAATACCTCCTACACCCTTCCTTTTGCCCACCGCAAGAACATTGTCCGCTTCGACCTTACACCGCGAGGAAATCTTCTGCTCACAGTCGACGAGGATGGCCGAGCTATCCTGACCAATTTCCACCGGCGCATTGCGATTCACCACTTTACTTTCAAGGGCAATGTTTCTGCCCTCAAGTTTTCTCCGTCAGGTCGGCACTTTGCAGTGGCCGTGGGCAGACGCCTTCAGTTTTGGCAGACCCCTTCGACTCCCGGTACCGAAACCAATGGCGAAATCGAATTCGCTCCCTTCGTTTTGCACCGGGACCTCGCGGGGCATTTCGATGATATTCAGAACATTGAGTGGTCGAGTGACTCCCGGTTCCTGCTCACTGCCTCCAAGGATTTGACGGCGCGTGTATGGAGTCTGGATCCCGAGGATGGGTTTGAGCCTACTACTCTGTCTGGCCACAGATACGGTGTTGTCTGCGCATGGTTTGATGCTAACCAGGAACTGGTAAGTTGTTAAATTGGCTTGGTTCGTATTTGTGGCGCTAGACTAAACTCCCAAATAGATCTACACTGTCAGTCAGGATGGTGCTCTTTTCCGTTGGGAGTACCTCACGAAGAAGGACTTTGAGACAGGCGAGGATATTGCATCAGCTCGGTGGAGGATAACCAAGAAGAACTTCTTCATGCAAAATGACGCCAAGGTCAACTGCGCGGCGTTCCATGCGAAATCCAATTTGTTGGTGGTTGGCTTCTCCAACGGCCTGTTTGGGCTCTATGATCTGCCAGAGTTCAACACAATCCATTTGCTTAGGTATGTATCACACATCGACTTGAGTTTTAACTATCTTCTAACAAATCCCGTTACAGTGTCTCTCAGAGCAACATTGATGTTGTGACGATCAACCAGTCCGGAGAGTGGCTGGCATTTGGGTCGTCCAAGTTCGGTCAGCTCCTGGTGTGGGAGTGGCAATCTGAGTCGTACATTCTGAAACAGCAGGGTCATCTTGACTCGATGAACTCTATTGTCTATTCTCCCGACGGGCAAAAGATTGTTACGACCGCCGACGACGGTAAGATCAAGGTGTGGGATGTCAAATCAGGCTTCTGCATTGTGACTTTCACCGAGCATCAGAGTGGAGTGACCGCGTGTCAGTTTGCCAAGAAGGGTAATGTCCTGTTCACTGCCTCTCTGGACGGTTCGATTCGCGCGTGGGATTTGATCCGTTACCGCAATTTCCGCACTTTTACTGCACCTTCCCGTCTCTCGTTCTCCTCTCTAGCTGTTGACCCTAGTGGCGAAGTCGTGTGCGCCGGTTCGCTCGACGATTTCAACATTCACGTGTGGTCCGTCCAAACCGGACAATTGCTGGATCAGCTCACAGGCCACGAAGCCCCCGTGTCCAGCCTTGCCTTTGCCGCCGATGGTAACCACCTGGTTAGTGGCAGCTGGGATCACACAGTCCGTCTATGGAGTATTTTCGGCCGAGCCCAGACCAGTGAACCGTTCCAGCTCCAGTCCGATGTCCTCAGCGTCTCTTTCCGCCCTGATGGCCTGCAAATTGCAGCCTCTACTCTCGATGGACAGTTGTCCTTCTGGAACGTTTTCGAAGCCGTTCAAGAAGGTGGTCTTGACGGACGTCGTGATGTTTCCGGTGGTCGCAAACTATCTGATAGGCGCACTGCTGCCAATTCCGCCGGAACCAAGTCCTTCAACCGTATTACCTACAGTGCCGATGGTAGCTGTGTCCTTGCGGCTGGCAACAGCAAGTATATCTGCCTGTACGACGTGACGACCGGATCTCTTATCAAGAAGTTCACGGTGTCAGTCAACACGTCTTTGGATGGTACCCAGGAGTTCTTGAACAGCCGAGACCTCACCGAGGCTGGACCGCGCGGCCTCATTGACGAGTCCGGTGAGATGTCGGACAAGGAAGATCGCATCGACCGTTCTCTGCCTGGCGCGCATCGTGGTGATCCTGGCGTGCGCAGTGTCCGACCGGAGGTGCGGGTAACATCGGTTGATTTCGCTCCAAGCGGTCGCTCTTTCTGTGCGGCCTCCACGGAGGGTCTTCTCATCTACAGCCTAGACACAGACTTTGTCTTTGATCCATTTGATCTCGACATCACCATCACTCCGTCGACCATCCTCGCCACTCTCGATGCCGCCAAGGCCGCCTCGGCTTCCAACAGCGTGGACGATGAGAACACATTCCTGAAGGCCCTTATCATGGCCTTCCGTCTGAACGAATCGAAGCTTCTACGTGCGGTGTACGAGGCAATTCCTCCATCCGATATTCCGCACGTGGTGCGAAACGTGCCTAGTGTTTATCTGCCCCGCCTGCTTCGCTTTGTCGCACATGCGGCCGACGAAACCCCCCATCTGGAATTCAATCTGTTGTGGATTGAGTCTCTTTTCAGCTGCCACGGTCGCTACCTTAAGGACAATTCGGGTACTTTTGCACCCGAGCTACGCGCCGTCCAGCGTGCCGTCGACGAAATTCGGGAGAACCTCAAGCGACTCACAGAGAAGAACGTTTACGACCTAAACTACCTCCTCTCTAAGCCCGTCCTTGCCGATAAGAAGCCATCCACGGCCTTGCTTGCCCTGGACAATGGCGATGCCGACGAGGCTGACGACCAAATGGTCGAGGCTGACGATGATGATGAAGGTTCATGGGCCGGTTTGGAGTGAGTATCGTGAAAGATTCCCCTGTAATGTCTACTTTGCATGTGCGCCTGGCGTTTGTATATTAGGAAAAAGAGGCGAGTCCTTAAAAAGTGTGTATAGAAAATGGTCTTCACTAGGATCTTTGTTCAAACAATGAAAGAAGTTCATTCCAAGAAGGGTAACTCCACAATGACTATTATTTAGCCTGTTTCACTTTGTTTCACTTATCCATCTTTCTTTCGCGCGCGGTAAGCACCGTAGATTGTCTCCCAATACTATCCGAACTCTTCTGTCCCACCCTCCATCCATTTATACTGACACAGACAGCCGCTTTTAATTTTCCAGTAAATCCATGTGGTCTTTCCAGTCTATCTCTTGCTTTCCTGTAACTCAAATGGCCGGCCTAGCTGTATGGCTCAGTTTGGGGGTATTCCTGGCGCTCTACCTATTGCGCCAGAAACCCGATGCGCGCCTCAAGCAAATCCCCATTATTAGATACAGCGACTTCTTACCAGACCTCTTCAACCGGCTCATCTTCTACCCAAAGGCAAAGTCGATGATATACTGGGCTTATGAGAATGTCCGGTAACGAGAACATGAGGATTTGCATGGTGCTGACTTGGATAATAGTTCAAGAACGATCCCTTTCGTATGCTCACTGGCGATGGAGAGATTGTCGTTTTGCCCATTAAGTATGTCGAGGAGTTGAAGCATCTTCCACCATCGATCATCAGCTCGTTGGATGCGCAGTTTGAGGTATAGTTGTCATTCCATTTGTTTCAGACCCTTGGATATACTATTTCTGCCAAGTTCAGTGCTAAGTATACATGAGCTAGAATGCGCTGGGGGAATATACCAATATCAAGGTCAACAGCTATCTACCCTCCAATACTGTGCGAAAACGCCTAACTCCCAGCATTGGTATGAGATTTTATACATATTCAATCCACAAAATATCAATTTCCTGAGCTAATACAACGCAGCTCGAATCACGCCCTGGATAATTGACGAGTTGCGCCACTCCTTCGATTCCGTCCTCCCAGATTGTGAAGGTGAAAATAACCCTAAACACACCACTACAAGGCTCCTCTAATACTATCATCTCCAATAACCAAAGACCAATGGATAACAATCAAAGCCCACGAAATGTTCGTCAGTCTAATATCCCGCGCGACCTCCCGAGTCCTCGCCCACTCCCTCCGCCGCAACGAACAATGGCTCGACGTAGCAAGCAACTACTCCGTCAACGTAGGCATAACAATCCTCCTCCTCCGACCATTCCCCAACTTCCTCCGACCCTTCATAGCACCATTCCTCCCCTCCGTCCGCCAAATGAAAAAACAACTCCAATTCGCCAAAAACCTCTTCATCCCCATGATCAACGAGCGCCGCGCTGCCGAGGCCGCGAATGATCCGGGCTACGTGAAGCCCGACGACTTCTTGCAGTGGATGATGGATATGGCAGAGGACGAACAGGATCTTGACGCCGAGGCGCTGGCGCATCATAATTTGATTTTGATGAGTTTGGCCGTTGTGCATACGAGTTCGATTGCATTGTGTCAGATTCTTTATGATTTGATTGCGAGGCCGGAGTATATTGAGCCCTTGCGGGAGGAGACAGTGCGGACGTTGAGTAGTGGGTGGAATCATGCTACCAAGGCTTCATTTGATGCTCAGAAACGTATGGATAGTTTCCTGCGTGAGTCGCAGCGTTGGGGTCCGCCGGGTGAATGTGCGCAATATTTTCCTTTCTTGCTCTTTGGTGAGTATATGTTAACGTCTGCTAATCAAACCCGGTATAGTGTCAATGCATCGAATTGTCAAGACCCCCTTGACGTTATCAGACGGCCTCCACCTCCCCAAGGGAGTACACATATGCTTCCCATCCGGCCCCATAAGCAAAGATCCAAATTTCATATCCAATCCAGCTATCTTCGACGGTTTCCGGTGGTGCCAGGATCCAGCAGATCGAGATGCGCTGAGATCATCAAGTACAACCTCGAACGGCAAGACTGAAAAGGAAAAGAAAGAGGTAACTGGGAGACTCCTGGCTCCATCTCCTACTACAAGCTTCATTAGTATCAGTCCGTCGAACATGCACTTTGGATTTGGTCGTCAAGCTTGCCCGGGTCGGTTCTTCGCTGCGAGTACGATTAAGGCAATTATGAGCCGGATTATCATGGATTATGAGTTCAAATTTGAGGGAGATCGAGTTGGATGGAGGCCAGCAAATATTGGTATTGGAGAACATATCTTCCCTAATACCAACACACGAGTATTGTTTCGGAAGAGACAAAGGTGAGTAGGAGACTTGGTGTTATTCCAGATTAGTATGTCACAGGCTCAACCTTGCTGTACCTTGGAGCCCGAGTGAGTTGTTTGGGACTAGATGATATGAATACTGAGCTAGAAGAGATATTGTGTTATGGCATCATTATTCCATTTCCTATCTTTTTTCTTTATTATTTTTTGGTCATTTCGACACGAAAGTAGGCATAAGCACCAGCCGTACGCAGTGCGCACGACCAGACCATAGCCAAAAAAGAGTCCATTCACACAATGGCTCGCATCATAGCTTCATCACTCTCTGTCGTTGAGAGGAAGGAGCTCCATCACGTTACTAGTTGGCCGCAGGGGGCGCACCACCTGCACCACCTTGACCACCTTGACTACCTTGACCACCTCGGCTACCTCGGCCACCTTGGCCGCGCTTTCCATTGCCACGTCCTCGGTTACGGCCATGGCCGCGGTCCATCCCTTGTGGAGGAGGCACCTGAGACATGTTCCTCGGATGGAAGTTTGGGTTGTTCTGGATGATCCCCTCGCTGGGGTCGCTATTGTCAACAGATGCATACCCACCTCTTGGCCCACGAGTGCCACGGTTTCCATTGCCACGAGGGCCACGAGGAGGACCATTGTGGGGGTGAGGGCGGTGCGGAAGTACCATAGGTTGGCCATTGTTCATGGCGACATGACCACCAGGATGAGCCTGTCCGGACACAGCGCCCTTGAAAGAACCTTTCAATGGTGGAGGAGCCGGAGCATTTTTCAGCTGGCCCTGTCCATTGGGGCCCAGGGGGGCACCATAGCCGCCAACGGTGAGGGGAGTTGGCTTCTGAGTGGTTTGCTGGCTGGTCGCAGCACGTGAGCTAGTAATCAGCTGTCGGTAAGAGAGGTTGAGGACAGATGATGCAAGCACTGTCTGTCCGCGGAAGGGCGAACAACGACCGCCAAGATCCGTACCGCTCATGAAGGACGCGTCGAATAGGACGTCAAGCAAAAGTGCACGAGATGTTCTCGTGAGACCGACCACCGTACCACGGGTGGCGATTGGCACTTTGCCCGAGTCCTGGCAATACACGACCCGGTCTCCAAGCTTGAAAGTCTGATTGCCCAGACGATGTTCAACGTCGGCAGGGCGAAGCAAAGCGCCACGAGGAACACCATTAACCTTCTTGGGCTGCATTTGAGGCAATCCGATCTTGTCGGCTTCCTGTTCAATCAACATGACGATGTCGGAATCCAGTTGCTCAGCATCAAGAGGCACCCGCTCAAAGTTCTTGCTCTCCATTGACTTGAGCCAGTCGCGAATCTCCTTCATCTTGGAGATGGCGGTGTCTTCCGGGTAGAAATCGGTTGGGGCGTAGCGATCCTTCTGGGGATTACGCTGAATTCCTGCAATGAATTCTGGGAAGTTGATCATGTACTGATGCAACAGGTCCACTGCCTTCTGGCTGAACTCCCAACCAGACTGTCCACGGCGAGAATAGCCAAGAACCTTTTGCTTCCTGGCCTCAAATTTCAGGTTCAGGCCCAAGTTCACGCGAGTGCCATCGATATCAACGGTGAACGAGGATGTGATCTTCGCCAGAACCAACGGGTTCAGGTTAAGACTGCGGGCGATGGAGTAGGAGGGCATGTAGGGAAATTTTTTCTCAGACTCCATTACGTGTTTCTTTCCAAACTCAGGTTCGCGGTCTTTCACAGCTGCAAGCAGCCCGTTCACCTTGCCGTCAGTATGCCCAGTGATATGAACAGGTCGTCCGTAGTTGAAGTCGCCCAGGAAAAATGCGCGAGAGTTTTGCGGGAACTCTTCTTCAATGGGGAGAGCCTCCTTCTCGATGAAGCGGTCATCGGGGTTAACAACGTCATCAACCACAACTTGGAGGGCATAATCGGTCTCTTGGCCGGGAATGTCGGCAAAGTCCTTGATAACAGCACCGTCATCGGTCTTGATCATGCCCTTCAAGGGCTGAATATGGACCAAAGACTCCACGCTTCCAATAATCATACCAAGACGCTTGCTGTAATGACTTTCGATTCGGTCCGCCTTCTTCTTGAACTGCTCAATTTGCTGAGGAGTGTGGGGAATTGAGACAACATGCTGCGCGCCAGGTGGAAGGATGTAATCAAACAGCTCGTCCGAAACACGAACGACCAGAGCTTCTTGCAGGTAGGGATAGCCAACATGAACTCGCTTTCCAAGCTTCTGTTTGGCCAGTTCAATGCCGGACCGGCTTCCTGGGTCAAGAAGAGTGATAACTTGACTCTCGTTGCGGCTTTCCTGCTGGAACACCATAACGCCATGGAAGCCCAACTGGCCAACATGAGGCAGTGTCTTGACACTGGGGAAGCCAGCCAGAGCTGCCTCGCCTAGGTGGACACCCTCCATCAGGCCATTGTATGGCTCCAGTCCATCCATAGTGGGAAGGTCAAACAGATTTTCGATACAGTGGCAGTTTGGAAGGTCGGGGAACACGCCAGGCATCGAGGAAGGATACACAAAATTCACATCAGGTGAATAAGTAAACTTCAAACTAGCGCCGAAGGAATTGCGAGCTTTTTCATCGGGGCTGAGGAACTGTTCCTTGGTTTTGAGAGCATTCAACAACCGGGTCTCGTCGATGAAGGGGATTTTGACCACGGCCTCCCACTCCATCTTTTTGCCGTTCATATCCAGATCAAAGTCACGAGGATAGAAATCGATGATAGGGGAATCGGGAGAGGTCATGAGATCCCAATAGGCAGTTGGGACGATCTTCTTACTGCGATCCGGCAAAACACCCATCAGCTGCTCGTACGGCCGGAAGGGCTGCCCAAGTCGGAAGTTCATGTCGGCACCGAGGCCCTTTTTCACATCTGAATGACATCGTAAGTATAAGATAGCGAGAATCAAGACACAAGAGATAGTGCCCTAGTAGATGTTGACTAACCAGAAATCATAGGCGCATAGTGGTACTTGAAGAACCAAGGCCACGAAGCAATACCGCGGTAGTAGTAGAACAAGACCCACTGCAACCCTTGCACATAGTTCTCCGTCAACTGCTTCATCTCCTCCTCGTTATCCAAGCCCCAACCAAACTTGGAACGGTAGTAATTATCTTTCCATTCCTGGAACTTGGCGTCGTACTTCTCCTCGGCGGCTTGTTGCGCCTCCTCCGCTGTCATGTCCTGGACCTTAGCCCGTTCGTACTTGCGAATAATACGTTGGACAGCCATAGATGCTTCCTCATCTTCTTCGTCGTCATCGTCGCTTTCGTCATCGCCCTGCGACTGTGGGAGCTGAACGCGCATGAAGCGATCGCCATTCTCATTTTCCAGGGTAGACCACTGCACGCGCAGTTCGTCCGCGAGTTTCTCGAGGAAGGCACGATCGCGAGCTGGAAGCGTGGAAGGGAAATCCAACGGCTTCGGCTCGGACGCCTTGCCAGGGCGATTCAGGACATACTTCTTCACTTTCTTGAGAATGTCCTTTTGAGCTGAAGTGATGGTCAGCTCCTTGGGCTTCGGCTTCAGGTCCAAAGAGCCGTCAAGACCGAGTTGCTTGGACTTGATCCACTGGGCGTCAGAGTTCTCGGCCTGGAAAAACCTGTGCTCAACCTGGCTCAGAGCCTCGACGAGGATTCCAAGCCTGTCCACATTGATCACACCTTGCTCGTTGATGTAACCACCCATCTTTCGCAAAACATCCTTGTAGATCTTGAACATAAGCGCCAGTGCACCTTCGTTGATATGCAGATTGGGCAAATTGGGCAAGAAATCGTTTCCAACAAAGAATGCCATGAGAATGAAATCATCAATTACTCGCTCCATATCGAACGGGAAGTTGAGAGCCCCTTCTTGTTCCAGTTCCTGAAACTCCAGCTCCAGATACTCCCGAACCATGCTGAGATGCAAGAGATAAAAGTTCTGGTGCTCAAGTTCCTTTGGCTTCTTGGAGACTTGGCGGCCGAAAGTCACCTCCTCTCGGAGAAGGCAGAAGTGAGGGTCATGGCTGAGCAGGCCCAGCATGATAAGATCAGCGTCCAGTCCGTAAAGACAATGGCGAACGTTTGGGTGGTAGTCGGGTTGCGCTTTCGCGCGCCGAATGTATTCCATGATCTTGTGTTCGCCCTCGCCGGGGACTTCATGGCCAGACAGAACGATTTCCACGCCCTGCCAGTCAGAATCCTCCGAGATCTTCTTGTTGATGAAATATTTGAGTTGTTGTGTCAACTTCGCCATAAACTCGGTACCGGGAGTGATACAGTTGCTGTCGAATGCGTCTTCCTTTGGCATCTCCAGACCCTGTTGAACGGCCTTGTCCTTGGCCACCTCGGCGTCCAGCGCCGTCCTAAAGCGACGCGCACGTTGTTGGTTCATCTTGGCGCGCGGGGCGACACCGTCCACCGCCATGAAAAAGAGGTTCTTCGGTTTAATCTTGCCGAACAAGTGCTCGATGTAGTTGAAGATCGCAATGAACATCTGCTCCTCGGTCATTCGGAATGTCGGAGAGTCGCTATCCTTATGCGTGCAGTTGTGAATAATACCGTTCATATCGAGGTACAGGCTGTCGAACTCGGGGATGCGGCTCTCCGCGATCAGCATGGAGATCGCGGGATACCGCTCGCTCAGCCAGCGGAAGAATTTCGGAACACCCATGGTGGCGATGGGTATATATCAGAAGTTTCGTGAGGTCAGGATGATAGTACAGGTGAAACAAACCAGCTGCAAGCTTTTGCTGGAATGGAGGGGGGAAGGTGAAAGGTGAGGGCGATCGTCAGAGGAATCGAAGCGAACTTGCGACCGAAGAAAGCAAGGTCAACGAAGGACTGAGGCGATCGTAGAGCAATAAGAGAAAAGCGCAAGGCGATTACCCCAGGGGCGGGAGATTCGAGAGTCGTGTAAAGTAAAGTGAGAACCCCAGTAGGGGGGAGAGAAAGAGAAGGGGAGACGTCTGAAGTCGTAAGTCGTGGGGGAGGAGGAGGGAGCTTTCCAAAGGTGTCGGGCAGATCTGCTGCTCTCGGAGTCATGCCAAGCCTCCGCCCGCCCAGTTGGGTCTAGTGGCCGCTTAGTCGTCGCCCATGAACAATTAACCATTAACGCGGTCCGAGCTTTGCCCGCCTGTCGCAAGTCGCAAGTCGCGTTCGTGTTCGTAGATCTCGCTGCACCCTTCCACACCATTCTCCCCGTTCTACCTACACCTTGCTCGACGATTTGGCTTTTAACGGTTGATTCTTGATCGCATTGAATATTGTCTCTCTATAGACAGCGCCATGGATCCCTATGAGGAGGAGCATGGTGAGTGGCTGGAGCTATGCAAAGTCGCAGGAAATCTCAAACTAACAGGTCAATAGCTGGAGTCGAGGAGCAGGAGAAAGAGCAAGAGCACACCCAAGAGAAAATTGTCAATGAAGGTAAATCAAATTCTCCCGTCACCTTTCTTCTCTCTTTCACCATCTACCCTCGAACTGATCTCCACAAATTCGATCATCCTGGCTAACCTCAGACACCTCTATTCAGAGTACAAGACATGGAAGAAGAACGCACCCTTCCTCTATGATATGATCCTCAGTACAGCTCTTGAGTGGCCGACTCTTACCACTCAGTGGTTGCCTGATGTGCAAGCGTCAGTACCTCGAAGCCCCCAAATCTCTCTGACCTAGAGGTTCCTAAATGGTCTTTCTCTTATAGTGTTCCCGACAAGCCCTATTCCACTCATCGCCTGCTCATCGGCACTCACACTGCCGGTGATGCTCAAAACTACCTTCAGATTGCCCATGTTCAACTCCCGAATGCCAATGCCCCCAACCCGGATGATTATGATGAGGACAAGGGCGAGATTGGTGGCTATGGAGGTGGCTCGAAGAAGTCGCCCATGGAAATCAAGTTCAACATTGTTCAGAAGATTGATCACCAGGGAGAAGTCAACAAGGCTCGCTATCAACCACAGAATCCGAATATCATTGCGACCATGTGTACGGATGGCCGGGTGATGATCTGGGATCGCTCAAAGCACCCGAGCATGCCTACGGGGACTGTCAACCCCCAGATGGAACTTCTGGGTCACGAGGCGGAAGGTTTCGGGCTTAGCTGGAATCCCCATGATGCTGGCCACCTCGCGACTGGTAGTGAGGACAAGACGGTTCGACTTTGGTAAGGACAAGCAGCTCCAACGAGTTTTCCAATTGCTATGCACATGACTCAATGCTCATACATATGCAGGGACATTACAACCTACACCAAGGGCAACAAGGCTGTGAAGCCCACTCGGACCTACACACACCACTCCTCGATCGTCAACGATGTCCAACATCACCCTCTGCACTCTTCCCTGATTGGTACCGTCTCCGACGATATCACACTCCAGATCATCGATGTGCGTAATGCGGACAGCACCCGGGCCGTTGCTTCCGTCGGAGGCGAGCATCGCGATGCCATCAACTCAATTGCCTTCAACCCTGCTTCAGAGACGATCCTGGCCACTGGATCTGCTGATAAGACCATTGGCATTTGGGACTTGCGAAACCTGAAGGCCAAGCTACACTCTCTGGAGGGACACACCGATTCCGTGCAATCTATTTCGTGGCATCCCTTCGAAGAGTCGGTGCTGGCCAGCTCCAGCTGCGACCGGAAGATCATGTTCTGGGATCTTAGCCGAGCGGGTGAGGAACAGACTCCCGAGGATGCCCAGGATGGACCACCAGAACTGTAAGCCGCCCCATGTTGTGTGCTCTTGTTTGACCTTGAGCTGTCCGTATTTCTTCATACTAACTGACTTGTTTTCTTAGCCTGTTCATGCACGGTGGACACACCAACCGCATATCCGATTTCAGCTGGAACCTCAATGATCCGTGGGTGCTTTGCTCGGCCGCCGAGGACAACCTGCTGCAGGTATGGAAGGTTGCGGATGCAATTGTGGGCAAGGATCTGGATGATGTGCCGACGGAGGAGTTGGAGGCATGATCTGTCTTGTTGGCTCTCTCTTTCCAAAAATGGTTCTCGTAATCGATTGCCATTCTCTTTTTTGATGTAGTTGCGGGCGAAAGGTTTTATAATGAGGGATAATTCAAAAACACATGAATACCAATGATTTATTCATTCCCAGAGGATCCCGTCTGGAGGTTCGCCTCTAATCGTAGTCATACGCCCTTTCCTATCCCAATGGCAGTAGGAATACTCCAATCTTTCGTTTCGTGCCTGAACCCAAGTAGTAACCATAGGTACTTACCGGGCTACACCTAGGTACTCAATATGAAACCATCTGGTGCGGTACACCATTACCTACCTATCATTCAAACAGCTCCGACACTTCCAGTATTCTGGAATGCAGTCTCGGGGCCTAGCTCCATACAAGTATTACTCCGACCACTATTGGACGCCGCGTCAAACCGTAAGCACTTGATGTGACATGCTGGAAGTGGGGTGCCCGTGAGATATACATCTTATCGTGAGTTTTAGTATCCCCGACCGGGCGTCGGGAAATCTTCGACCAAAACGGCATAAAAGTCCAATATTTCAGCATACTGGCATACAGAGATCCCAGTCAATTGCAGAAAATTAAAAAAAAAACACCGATTTCGAACTTCTCCTCAATATCCAAACCCGAAAATCCCTCGAGTTCCAATGGCCCTCCGCGGACAACGTGATGGCGCCACCGGAGTGGGATGACTGAAAAGCGCAAGCGGTGTCGGGAAAGACGAGGGGAAACTATTTCAAACGGGTTTAGCGTCCCGTGATTTCGGATTGCATTTGCGTCAAAAAAAAGTAGAGTCATCATGTCGCTGACAATGTACTGCTAAGCCCATTGTTCTTATTCTACCTCGCTATCAGGTCCATTCTTGAGTCCGCCAACCACTCCAAATACCCTCAATTCATTCTCCATGGGTGCTGGTTCTCCTCCAGGCCCGGCCAAGCCGTCGGCCATCCCGTCCCACATGCTGAACGGTAGCTCACCCCTCCAATCTTCCACGGCGGCGGGTAGTGGCACTCGGGTTCGTGATAATCGCGAACGCGAGAGCCTCAATTCATCTATTCGCTCCTCATTTGCGCCTCGTGTTCCCGCTGAATTCGAGAACATCGCAGCGGGGTCCCACTCTGTGGGTGAGCCCACTGCCTCCACCGCTGCCACCGCTGCCACCGCTGCCACCGACGCGGGAGCTGCTCAGACTGCCCTGAGCCTGCGGTATGTTCTAATTTCCATGGTTTAATTCGATCTTTATGCTCATATATGACATTCCCATAGCGGCAGAATCTCCCTGAACGAGCCTCCCCGTGATCCCCGGGATGAGGGCGCCCCGTTGACCCCGCCGGCGACGTCAAGCCGCCCCGCCAGCCCCTACACTATGAACCCTCCCGTCGACTTCGACGGTCTCAGCTGGCCCTGTAAGTGAAAACCGCTTCAACTGTGCTGCTATGCGGGTTTATAGTCATTCTAAACATTTTGCTTTTTCGCCACCCAGGCCCCGGTACTCGGCAGCGCTTGGAATCCACCCCCGAGGAGAACGAAGAGCGTATCAAGAAACTTGCTGGAGCAGTGCGGACAATTTTGGAATGTGTTGGTGAAGACCCTGAGCGTGAGGGTCTCCGCGAGACCCCGGAGCGATATGCTAAGGCCATGCTCTACTTCACCAAGGGTTACGAGGAGAATGTGCGGGATTTGATCAATGGCGCAGTTTTCCACGAGGACCACGATGAGCTGGTCATTGTCAAGGATATCGACGTATTTTCGCTGTGCGAACACCACATGGTGCCTTTCACTGGCAAGGTAGGACAGACCCTGCATATATACCCGATCGAATCAGACTGACCATGTGGGGCAGATGCATATCGGCTACATCCCGGATCGTCGTGTCCTTGGCCTCTCAAAGCTTGCCCGCTTGGCTGAGATGTTCTCCCGCAGACTTCAAGTGCAGGAACGTCTGACCAAGCAGGTTGCCCTGGCAATTTCTGAGGTCCTTAAGCCCCGCGGTGTCGGCGTTGTAATGGAATCTTCCCATTTGTGCATGGTCATGCGTGGTGTCCAAAAAGTTGGCAGCACCACGACCACCAGTTGCATGCTGGGATGCATGCGTTCGAGTGCTAAGACCCGCGAGGAGTTCTTGACGCTATTGCACCGGAGATAGAGCATTCTCGTCTTTCTTTCCTCCTTCCCCCGCTACCCTGTGCCATTTTCATTTTCCAGCTGGGGAGACAAAGTTACGATTCTGGAGTTTTGGTGGTGACCTTTCAACAGGTTAATTTAATGCTGGTTCTTCTTCTCATGAGCATGTTGCTCTAGCGCGGATATGGGTGTTTATTTTCTCTCTTCTGTCTCTGTTTCTTCCCGTTCTTCCCGACTTCTGTTTCTTGCATATACCTGGAATGATGCCGACGCCCTGCGATCTTTCAACCCGCCGTCTTCAGGGACCGTGAAAGCAAGCATCTCACATATTATCACGCTTGCAATGTCCCGACTCAACGATGACACACTTTCCTTTCATGATGTTTAGACTAACACACCCTCCACAGGGCCATTTCTGCTTCTCAGTTTAGTTGGAGTTTTGTTCTGGAGACCGAAAACCTATTGGCGGCATCGGCGAGGCTGTTTCAACACTTACGTTTCATACTGTACCTTCTCAACACATGATGGCAAGACCTGTTTCTACTCATTTGTATATGTTCAATGTTCCTGTACTTAAAATAAAATATAGAAAAATCACTGCGAACTTTTCATTACCGCTCATATAAATCAAGAAGAGTCGGGGTGTCGAACCTTGATAATCCTCGTGGGTCTCAAGTGACATCACGAAGAACGGAGTTGGGATCTCTTATCGAGTCCATCGAGGGGGAGGGACCTGGGGACGAGTCATCAGCTAGTGGGACAAACAGCCAGCAGGGGATCTGATAGAACTCCCGATTAGGAAATCGACCAATAATGTGGGGTAGACCAGCCCTTGTTGCCGCTGAGGCAACGACCAAATGTCCCAATCGGGAAATTGGTTTTTCTATGGCCTCCAAGCATCACCATTCTAAGCCATCTTAAAAAGACCCTTATATCTCTCCCTTCTTCTCCTTTTCTCCTCTCTTCTCCTCGGGCTCCTCCACATTCTCCTCGAACCTGACCTCGCTCCTTGCAACTTCGATTCGGTGAGTACGGTCCTGGAGATACCCTGATCTGTGTGCTCGCGTGACTGGCATATGAGAATGATATCTTTTGACATGTGCCGGAACCACCGCATTCAAGCACTGTGCCACTGAGAGCTTTTTTGCTCTCCTATCATGTTGTTATTGCAGGGTTGAAGCTGACGTTCGGGTATCTTTAGTTCGAGACCTACGACACAGCAGCCGCGCAGAAGCTTGCACGGCCCCGCGACTTCAACATGTCCGATGAGCCTACCGATCCCACGGCCAATGAAGCGAATGATTCTGAGCAACAGGACTCCGATCTAAATGACCCCACCGACACCGAAGAGGACGAAATCGCCCTCCCGGATGATCTCAACCAGTTAATCCAGGGGTTCCTATCCTCAATCACTGCAGACGGCAACCTTACCCAGTCTTTCGCTCCTTATCGCCCTCCCCCACCGGTAGTAGCCTCCAGTGACCGAGCCCTCCAAAATTATCTATTTCAAATGCAGCTTGTGGCGGGCATTCCACCGCACCAAATTGTGCCGATGCTATCAGCCCCGCCATCTCGACGTGGCATGGGCCCCGTTGCGTTGCTCTTCCGCGACGATGGTTGCAGAATTCCTATCATCCCACGGGTAAGTTTCCGTGGTACCTTGATGCCGCTTTTCTACCAAGGACATGATCCAGCGAGAACTGGAAGTTCGACTGACGGGGATATTGATGGGACTGTGAGTCTTACTCCCTTTGCTGAAGAATTGGGGGTAGAGACGCATTTTATATGTAATGAATACTGACTTTTGGATCTCGTTCAGACCATGGGTTCACCCAGCTCAGATAGTTCAGGAAGCTTTGAAATTCCCCAGGTCTCTGACGACATCGAAGTCTACATGGATTCGGACGCACAGGAAGAGGTGGATACACAGGAAGACGAGGACACAGAGGAAGACGTGAACACACAGGAAGACGTGGACATGCAGGAAGAGATGGATACGCAGGAGGATGGAAACCAGCAACGCTAAGCCTCCCTATGGCTCCAATATCTGTTCAGCCAGTGTCGATGATCCACCGGATCCTCGAAACATAGCTGAGGCTCGATGCGATGGTTTTGGATTCCGGAGACTGAGACAAATGGAACTGAGCTTCTGGATCATCTATTGTTAAGTAATAATCTTAAAGGGTTCTATCTACCTAGAATACAAAATGTATCCATACAGTATCATCGCATCACATCACATCACAGAAACTGTAATTTGGGCTTCAGTGTGAAATAAGTATAACCTTATTGACCAACAATCCGTATACAATGGCTTGGCACCCCGCAACATCAGGTGACTGGACTATCACATGACCTGCACCTTCCAGCTCCGCCGCAACCTCAGCCCGACGTGACATTCACACCACCATCACCTAGTCACGGTACAGGCTCCATGTGGCGAAAGATCTGATTAAGATCTTATTACCGCTCTAACATATTCCCCGTACCTTTTTCTTTGTGATGCATTCTCTTCACTGATGGGGGATGCCGGTGCTTCGAACCCCCATGGCAGCTCATCCCGACCGACTCCCGTCCGGCTCGGTATCAGCTTGCGCTAATGGAACTCCCTTCCCAAAACAATCCCTGCAACGTGAGAGATATCAGCTTCTTCCTTAAGCATTCAAAATACGGCCCGCTTGCCATGGCCTGATGTTCTTACTCTGGAGGGCGATCTGAAAGTCCAGGATGGACAGCAATATTTGGACTACTCCGCAAGAATGCCTCGGCTTGACTTGAACATTCTGACAACAGGCTTCCATCTTCCTTTCCTCAAAGGCCCCAAATTATGTATGGATTCTGAACATGCTGGTTACTGCTTTCATGCAACACTTCCCAGGATCGCCCACTAGTCCCTGGGCCCCACATTGAACGACTTTCTCCGCTTCACCTGGCAACGTCTCCTTGCTATCCCAGTTCTCGACAATGTGGTACATCATAGCGATCTTCTTCGAGCTTCGTCCTCTCACAGGTTTTGCGCGGAAAACTCTCATCGCCCAGGCTCGGAGACATCCTCTAGACCCAATCATTCAGCTTCTTCCCCTGGTCCATTAGTCCCTTGGTGGTCTCTGTTTTTCTGAGATGGACAAGGTTCTGCAAAAATACTGGCAGTGGCTGCTAATGCAGTGGCTGCTAATGCAGTGGATGAAATTCGCTGTCGCCGGCTCTCAGCAATACTAACGACGTCCCTGAACTGGGCCCACCAGCCTATGCTACCCGGCGGGGACACCTTCGGCAATGATGCAGCAGGTTACCCGGTGAAGCTCTTGAATCCCGTCGCTATAATCGCGTCAAATTGAACACCCAGGCGGAAGCAATTGCTAACCACCGCATGAGCACCCCGCTGAGCTGGGCCTAACTGTGCATCGTTGGACCTGGGCCATGGTCATTGTGACTTTATGCAGAACGTAGATAGATGCAGATCCACAGGGACACAAACCCATAGGATCTTTTCTTTCAGGAACCGATATGCGGTACAGAAAGAGAACCAGAGAAACAGAGAGTCAAGACACCAACGAAGCAGAGCTCTGGGGCCGTGCTTCATGCACGACTCCCGGGATCTTCTTCCGGCCCAGCGAGGAGAGCCCAGTTCGTCTCCTCGCCTCTGAAGATCAGTCACCCAAAGCTGCTCCAGATGCGAGCCGGAAGCGACAACCGGCTCTGCTGAGTCTCCCCTGGTGGCTGCATATTGCAACCTTTTTCTCTCGAATCCAGCTGTAGAGCCTCAGGTCGACCATCGACCACCACCAACCGCCTCTTCCATTGTTGTTTATATGACGGTCTTGCACCGATCATTGAAACACTTCGGAAAAGCAGTAGAGATTCTATTCCCATACACCAGAACGACAGCTAATTCCAAGTAAAGGGTGCGTATAAATTTCCCCCAAGTTTAGTGGTCTCTCCTAACTTATCGGCTTCATAGGATATATCGGAAAAACAGATTATCCGGATCCTCTCCCTCCCGAATGAGTTCCGCCTGAGGACGCGGTCACGATCCAGCATCGGCTCCATTCACTTCGCTTTCCTCGACACCAGGGAAATTCCTCCATCCGCTACGAGACTGTCCATCCGTACATTTTTCAGTGCTCGGCATCGCCAGATGCTGGTAGCGAAGACTTCATGGCTGGGTCCCGTAGGAGTCCGGTTCTGAGAGACCCGAGAAGCGGCGATCCAGACAATGACCCCCGGGATAGGGACCGTCGCAGAGGTCGAGGATCGAATCGCGACCGGGGCAGAAGTCGCCATCGTGATCGAGGAGGCCGCCAGCCGCGACCAAATGACCGCCATTTCGACTATCCCAACAGGTCGCCACCATCACGCGCGTCCCGCTTCGGCCCTGATTCATCTCGCACTTCAAATGACTTCCCTCTGGATCGATCTCCTCGTGGTTCCCCCGGCCCTTCCTCGAGCTTTCGCGATAGTCGACGACCAGATCATCATCGACCTTCCTCATCCGGCGACTTGAAAAACATCCATCCATCTGGGCCTGTGGGTAAAGATACTCAAAGTTTCCGGCGCGACGAGTCACCGTTCGGACCGCCATCCAAGCGCAAAAGAACCCGCAGTCCTTCTCCTAGGGGCCAAGGACCCCCATTCCCCCAGCGTCGTTCATCCTTTGCCAAAAATGGGGACAGACGTGACCGAAGCCCACCATCTAGGAGCCGAGCGCGCTTCCCGGGCCGTGGTGCCCCTAGAGGACGCTCTCCTCATCGGGGTCGGGATCGCCGGGGCAAAGACCGCCGTCGCCCTGATGTGCCAAGATCAGGTCGTTCGAGATCCCCCGTCCGGGATAGAGATTTTCGTCCGTCCCCTGACCGACGGCCGCGATCACCTACCGACGACTACAGTGACAGAGATTCTCGATATCGGTCTCGGACTCGGTCTATATCTCGACACTCTGCACGATCTGTGGCATCGAAGGCATCCGCTTATTCCTCCCACTCTAGAAGGGACGAGGGCATGCATTCAAACCGACCTATCAAGTCTGTTGTGAACGACCACGGTCGTTCTCTTTCACCTGTTCGGCGAATTCCGAGTCTCAATGGTAGCAGCATGAGTGGCATCGCCAAGGGAAAAGACAGCATGCGAGACGCTTTTCCAATGCATGAAGCGCGCCCAGCTAATGTTGAAGACAAGCGGCGCCGGCCATCACGGCCAGACCTAGAAACCGGAAACTACTCGACTTCACCACATCTGAAAACACCAACCAGGTCTCGTTATGGATCGCCTCAACCAGAGTCTCCCAATGCTGACCGACGAGGTTCCTGGAAGGGTGTGTCCGGGTAAGCCTTTTCTTTCCGTCACTTTCACGTTTCCGTCACGTTACTAATCTTTCTCCATGCTCCAGCCACTCTCCCCATCGCCGACTTGATGGGCACTATTCACAGACCGCCTCTTCTGAACAGTACCACCAAAATTACCATGGTCCGTCCAACGGGACTTTCAATCACCACTCTCAATCCTCCCATAACGGTCCATCCCGTCGGGGTGGATCGTCTGATCACCGAGGAAACCAAGCCAGTCATGGGTCAGACCGCCGATTCTCCGGCTCTGGCCCTAATGGCCTTGCAAATCGTGGCGGGCGTGGCCACTTCAATAACTCGCAATGGACTGCCTCCGGGCCTCATGGTGGTGGTGGCCCGCCTAGCCCCCGTGCAGCACATGCGCACGGCTCACAGACCCCTCCCAGTCGGCCACTGTCACTAGATGACCCGAAGTCTCCTCGTGCGATTGAGCCCGAGAACCGGCCCAAGACTGGGGGCAGGGCCTTCCAAAGAGAAGATGATAGGGCTCCGCCCGTGTCGGAGGAGGTTAATGACCAGATCATGCCTCCTCCGAATCGTGAGCCACAGGTTTCAACTCCTGCCGACAAGGGCGGGAAATTCAGCTTTACCTTCAAGGCGAAGACTACGCCTACACCAGCCCCGAAGCCTGTCCCCGATCTTGCGCAGCGAATGCGAGTGCGTGAGCCACCGCCTCGCGCCCCTGCAGCTGACCCGCCAACTCCCCGCAATCGGTTGACCAATGGCCCAATGCCTACGTACAAGCCTAAGCCCGAGCCCCGGTTTGACCGCCGGGATCGGGACCGGGACAGGGGTCGTGATCGAGGTCGCGATCCGCGAGACCGCCGGGAGTTCCGGGACCAGCGAGATGCGCGAGATCGGCGGGACTTCCATGGTGACCCTCGAGATCAAAGAGAAGACCGCCGGCCCGATCACCGTCGAGACCGACGGAAACATGACCGTCGTGTCGACACCCGGGAGGACCGCCGTAAAGAGCCATCTCTGGAGCCTCCACGAATCGCGCCGCCGAAGCAGAAAAAGATCCTCACTCGTATCAAGCCCCGTCCGAGGATCCCGGCAGAATTCGCAAATTCCGATTCTGTTTACTACCGGAAGCCGGGCAATGAGTCTGTCATTGGCGCTGGTACATACGGTAAGGTGTTCAAGGGCATCCATGTCTACACTCAACGCAAGGTTGCGCTCAAGAAGATTCGAATGGAAGGCGAGAAGGATGGCTTCCCCGTGACCGCTGTGCGGGAGATCAAACTGCTTCAGCATCTCCGCAACAATAACGTGGTTAGTCTGCTGGAGGTTATGGTTGAGAGGAATGAGTGTTTCATGGTCTTTGAGTATCTCTCACACGATTTGACGGGCCTGATCAATCATCCCACGTTCTCTCTCACTCTCCCACACAAGAAAGACCTGGCCAAGCAGATGTTTGAAGGTCTCAGCTATCTTCATCACCGTGGTGTCCTGCACCGAGACATCAAGGCTGCCAATATTTTGATCAGCAATACTGGTCTCCTGAAATACGCCGACTTTGGTCTGGCACGTTTCTATTCGAAGAGTCGCCAGCTTGATTACACCAACCGTGTGATCACCATTTGGTACCGACCCCCAGAACTTCTTCTGGGTGAGACCCGGTATGGTCCCAGCGTGGACGTGTGGAGTGCGGCATGCGTGTGTATGGAGATGTTTACCAAGAAGGCCGTCTTCCCCGGCGAGGGTAGTGAACTCAGTCAGCTGGACAAGGTCTACAACACTCTGGGCACTCCGACGCGGGCCGAGTGGCCAGACGTTGTAGAAATGCCCTGGTTCCAGCTGATGCGCCCCGCCGAACGCAAGACGCGAGTCTTCGAGGAGCACTACCGCGACGCCCTGACCCCCGCAGCCCTGGCTATGATCACGCAAGTCTTCCAGTACGACCCTGCCAAGCGGCCCAGCGCCGACGAAGTCCTGAAGCACCCATTCTTCGTGTCAGAAGAACCCGCCCCTCAACAAGCTATCGAGTAAGTCCTCAATTCTATCCCCTTTGATTTGCCCGCATTTTGCTGACTAACATTTCACCACAGACTGGAGCACGTTGAAGGGGACTGGCACGAATTCGAGTCCAAGGCTCACCGCAAAGAGGCCCGGCGAGCCGAGCAGCAGAGCCAAAAGGAACGCGAGAAGCGCAAGGCCGAGGCCTCTGTCCCATCAAGTGATCGGGACTCGAAGAGGATTCGCGCCGAAGGCACTGACCAGACATCTGGTCATGTATGAGTGGGGATGGGCGATGCGATGAGCGTGATCTAATCTTTTTTGGCATTCTTGTACTATGGCATCGGGCATGGCTGGAGGATGGACTGGCTTGCATTTTGTGTGTTTTATTTCCCTTTCATGGGACTTCATTTTGAGGGGATATCCTGGGCTTGTTTTCTGTCATATATCGCCCGTGAGCGTAAAAACTCTTGTTCATTCTCAGTTCATTCTTCTGCATGTAAATTGTAAATTGTAGATTGTAGATAATGAATGCGAGAATTGCTAACGCGAGTTAAACGACGATACACGATTGCTCATTCGATGATACATCCCTTCTTCTAGTTTAGTTTAGTAATGTTTATTATCTTGTAGAATTGAGCGAGGCACACGCCGTTCAGACCTGGTCGTTAAAATCTGGCCACGGACGCATGTAGCTTGCCCAGAGTCTCTCGCTTGCCAAGCATTCAAGATGGGCTTTAGAAAAAGTAAATCTCCCAATCGAGCTAGATAAAAACCTCTTCCTGTTTTTCCAACTCCTCCAGCTCTGAACGCAAAGCTAGGCCTGTATATTTGAAGGGGATCATCTAATACCGACGATCTGTGATAGCGGGCAACCCGACAATGTGGGACTCAGCTCCTCATTCGATCAGGCAGGGAAGCTTCAAAACTGGGTCTCGCCGGCTTGGAGAATCGATAGATGTATGCAAAGACCAATGTACGATCCTTTTCCCATTCGGGTGTGAAAAAGCCTTAAACTTGATCCAAGCCATTGTTAGTCTCCCCTTGGTAACAGATGAAGTTGCTAGAGAATAGTGAGTATCGTGTAGCTTTTCCACTATAGATTGAATTAGTATCGAGGTAATATGCCGTGTATCAGCCAAATATCTACCAGATTCATGTCATTCTTACCCCGGAAGGTATGATATCTTCTTGTACCGATGTACTGAACGGTGCACAGATGGCGCCTAGGTCCCTTGAAACTCGATGAGGTTTGGAAGTTGTCTGGGGCAGGCACTAGGCTCGCTGTATACAGTATGGTACCCGGCTATCCGGCGTGGACTTCCCGCGAGTCCCTTATCACCAGGAACGGATTTTTACGTAGCTCTACTTAACGTCATTACTACTTCACAAAATGGGTATGGCCTGATAGAGCTCTAGTATCAAGTCGCAGCTGAGGGACCAGATGCGGACTTCATTCCTGTGTCTACGGCTTCTGGCTGGCTGAACAACCGGGGTGGGGTGCGGGGATCCAAGACATTGTTCTCGGATTTGACCGCAATGGTACGGTTCGGGGGAGAGCCCTTTCAGGATCGGCTTAATTACTTTGCTGTCTGTGCTGCCCGGGCAAACATTCATGCCCGGTTCCAGTAGTCGCTTTTTCACTGTAATTAGGTCAAATATATCATTGGACTAATAGAGCGTGAGATAATAGAGCAGCGAGTCTGGGTGGACTGTCAACCAAGGCGCAGTACCGACAGAGTCTGGATCCTTGGCTAATTTCAAAGGTCCGCGCCACGATGCGTGAGATGTCACATCGCTTTTATTCTAGCTATTTCTCAGGAGGATGTCGTTGGTGGTTGTCCAAAGCGCCTGCAAAAGAGGATAAAATAGCCGGACAGGCGGAGAGAGAAAGCAAACATTATTTGAAGAAATATCGAATCCATCAGATCCTTAGTAGTAGTAATATTAATCGTATTATTCAGGGATATTGACAAGTTTATCTGCATAGAATATGTTTTTTTACTTGATACAAATCACCAAAGTACTCGTAGCTGCCTGCGTTCATACATAAGGTAGCATTGGGGCCTTTCGGCCTTTCCGGTGAAAATGAGCTACAGTCTATACACCCGCCTATCAATCACCTTGTCTTGATTAGCAGTCTTAAAGGTTCAGTAGATAGACACCCCACTAATCCCTGGAAGAAACAATATTTGCTCACATTGAACCTGTTTACCACCGTTATCTTGTTGAACTGATAGTTGTTGTCCTTATTTTGTACAAGGTAGGTGTTTACTCGCTACACTCCTAAATGAGGGGCCTGCCTCATACCCTCTAGTAATAGAATGCCATATATACTCCCCGTGATGATCGTCAACAACACCGATGATGTCCGCAAGGTAGTTGAGAAGACTTGCTGGTACTATGCGAACGGTGGCACTTGGGCCGATGATAATTCCCATAATCTTGTGCTCGAGATGGGTGGGAGCGGCACATCTGGCATGCTTCGGATTAAGGCCGCATCAGGCTATACGTTCAGTGTCATTGTGGGCTTCCATAATTCCGAGTTCTGGTGCGATGCACAAGTGGTTTTGCCGGATGATGATACGGCAGTGAAGCTTCATCCGGAGTACTATATAGCGGAGGTAGGCTGTCGCAGGAGGCGCACAGTGATATCAAACGGACAGCTTCAACCGGGAAAACAGTGGAAGTCCACTTGCAGAGACTACCATGTGGTCGCCCGCCTGCCATTATCACATATTCTTGAAGAAGCTGGAATTTCAAGCAGTGTCAACTTCAAAGTGGACGCCCCGACCAGCATTTATAGAAGACTCGGTCAAAGTGGTCCATCATTTGTAGTCAGCTTCATAACTGTGGCTATTTTGTTCTCTACTTTGTCCATTTTCTTACCTCTTCTTACCAATAATAGTGATTGTTTAGCGTCATGATAGTTGGGTGGACCGTAATTCGTTACTTATAAGACTGGTGAAATTCGAAAGCTGTCTCGTCTAATAACCGTTATTGTCCTTTTATTTATGGTCAGATGATTCAGAGGGAACCACGGCCATCGAGCAGAGAGGGTGCTGAGGGTTAACGAGCCTTTGATTCTCACAGAATCCTCTAATCTTCAACACTTCAGTACGTATGGTCGAGGGCATCGGCAATTACTACCAAGTTCGGCCCAACAAGCTACATTGATAATTTCTGGCCCCTCGCGCATCGTGCTCAGCCTACTTCAGTCATTGAACCTGCATGGCTAGCGTCCGATCCTTGCTAAAATGCCCCTCGGACAGTGACAAAAGCCAGGAGAGCAAGATGACAGGTCACGGCTCCTCGCTCGTGCGCCCAAGGGCTTCCCTTACTAAGATTACATTTTTTTCCTTTCTGGAAGGCGAAGCGTATATAAATACGGCGCCCTGTGAGTTCGTTTCTTTTTCTTCTTCTCATCCATTTCAACCTACAGTCCGGCCATCCACCTCCATGCTTGAAACATTATCAAATCAATAAAATTGCGTCTCAGAAAAGCCGCAAGTATGAAAGCCGTTGTCTACACAGGCGATAGAACTATCACAGTTGAAGATCGCCCGAAACCTGTTATTTTGGCACCCACCGATGCTATCGTCAAGGTAATCCATACGACCATATGCGGGACTGACCTACACATTCTCCAAGGCGATGTCCCGTCATGCACACCTGGCCGCATCCTCGGCCACGAAGGAGTTGGTGTCGTCGACTCTCTAGGCGTCGCTGTGACGAACTTCGCCATCGGTCAGCAGGTGCTCATTTCCTGTATTACCTCCTGTGGGTCCTGTTATTACTGCCGCAAAAAGATGCCATCTCAATGCGAATCTGGCGGTTGGATCCTCGGAAACGAGATTGACGGCACCCAGGCCGAGTATGTTCGCATTCCCCATGCCTCGTTCTCGCTGCATGTGCTGCCAGGCACCATTGACCCGAAAGTTGCTGTCACCTTGTCCGATACTGTCCCGACTTCCTATGAATGCGGGATCCTGAATGGTGAGATCCAGCCGGGGTCTACTGTCGCGGTAATAGGGACAGGCCCGATCGGATTGATGAGTCTCCAGTTGGCTAAAAACCTGTTTGGTCCCGCGATGACGGTGGCAGTAGGAAGGGGTACGTCCAGGCTCGAGACGGCCAAGTCCATGGGTGCGAATCATACATTCAGTGTTCTCAATGGACAGGATACTGCAATTTCTTCAGCTCTAGCAGTGACCAAGGAGAGAGGTTTCGATGTGGTGATTGAAGCAGTGGGCACTGTTGAATCCTTCGAGATTGCACAAGCTCTGGTAGGCCCTGGAGGAACTATTGCCAGTCTAGGTGTTTTCGGTGAATCATGCGAGCTTCACCTGGAAAAGTTGTGGAATCGGAATATTTGTATTTCTTCTATGCCCTCTTCTCTACTCTGGTTAACACTAACTGCTTTGATTTGCTAGGTTTGAGAACGAGGCTCATTGATGCTGTCACTACACCTGATTTACTCAAGATGGTGGAGGCTGGGGCCATCGCTCCTCACTTTCTGGTCTCGCATAGTGCGTTTTATGAACTTTGTAGCTACTGGATCACGCTAACTATTTGTGTCAGGTTTTACATTCAATGAGATTCACGACGCTTATGAAGCATTTCAAGCACCCTCTAAGCATGGCGCTCTGAAGGTGGTAGTCACCATGGATGAGCCTACTATGAATGGTCCCTTATAGGTTTCATATCGCTGCTCATTCTCTCAATATCAGATAATTATCGCAAGTACTCTTATATCCCTGGAGCATATTATTTTTGGTATTGCCACTCCTTGATATCGGTGCCCTGGGGGTTATCAAGTCACCCAGTTAAGGATTTACTTTGAACAACTATCCATATACCAGGAGAGTTTTATGTGAGGAGCACAAGAAGCCAGCGAAAATCAATACCTTTCTCTCGGTATCGATGGCGTCGCCAATAGTACTTAGGACTCTAAGCTTGATTTTTTCATTCGAGAAATAGATATAGCCTGGAAGAATAGTCTCTTTAAGCGGAGAGGAACTTCAACGTGCCAAAAATATCAAGAGATACTGTGCATTCTAACAAGGAAGCAAAGCTAGAGAGAAGAGAGATCTCGGGGGAGATGAGGCCTCCCACCCGTAAGTATATAAAATCCTTACACATAATCCTTCACATTCAGGATCTGCTCACACTTCACGTAGGGTACTCAGGGTAGACAAACAGGGATGTCATCATATCTCGCATTTGATGTTATCCGATTGTAGCCGACAATTGCAAAATAGGAAAGGTTCTTCTATTATTTGCTAGACCTACTCAAGTTCGCTTCTCTGATACTCAAAGATCCTACCTCCGTTAACTATAGCTCCTAGTTAGTATGCTTCGTCTAAGGCCGTTAAGCGCGTCCTCTCATTAGCTCATTAGAGCTTTTTTAGCGTCAGTACCGCTTCTTTTCGTTCTTTTAGTTTTCCGTGACCTTCGTTTACCCAACGAAATCAAAATGCGGATCCGGACCCAGCTTCGCTAGCCGAGAAGACCTCGCTTTCTGGCCTCCACCCACCAACTGCATAGGTATGTACGAACTAATTAACTTCGAGCCCATCCGCGCTCCAAACAGTCAAATAATTACGCTTCCTTTACCACCACCGTTACAGATCCTGTGAGTCAAAGCTTAATCACACAGCATACCTCACAGGCCACATCCCTTATAGTCCTATCGCGACAACGATATCCATGATAGTAAGGTGTACACTGTAGACAGTCAGAAAACCCTGCCTATACCTGGTTTCATACTACTCTAGCTAGCCAATAGCAAAACCTATCACATGCTTCTAACGTGATTTAGGATAGCCTACATCAACTAGCATGGCTTAAGCCCCTAGACTAGTAGACTGAGCTTAGCGTCTTCGGCGCCCTATTCTAGATATCGGTAGTCTATTTATTTTCTCCAGCCCCTGATTTCCCATCCTACTGATATTGCCCACCTTCCTGACACTCTTTCTGGGGTATTCCTCTGCTTTGATAAATATGTCAGCGGTCCCGATAACTTCCATAGTCTCCTCGACTGAAGTGTCACCTACTGAACCAACATCAAGCTCCATCTCGGTAGTCGTCGTCACTCAAACCCAGACCGACGCGAGTACCTTGAGCACCTCCACATCACGCACCACTTCGCCAAGCCCGTCATCGAGCTCTACATACAATGCCTCAAACACTACAAGTACGCCATCGAAAGCAAAATCTGCGGGCTTTTCTGTGGGGGACATCAGTGGGAACCGGAGTCGGAGTCGCACTAGGTGTGCTTCTCTTAGCACTCGCAGCTTCTCTTCTATATCGCTACAACCGGAAGCAGAGAACGTTTGCACAGGAAGACAATGGAAGAAAAAACGCATTCCCGGAGCTACCAGAACTAGGAATCGATGGTCAAAAGCACGAACTATCAGCTGAAGATAGTATAAAACCTGCTGAGCTTGCGGGCGACAGGCCGAAGAATAGACAGACACAGCGGCATACCCACGAGCTGGAATGATGTCAGGATCATTATATGTCGAGTTCATACGAAGTTTATTTCATTACAGATCCATCAATGTACCAGATACAGTGCGCGAAAGGCTACCACTCAAGTCGGCGCAATGGAGGCCAAAATATTGCAGTGCAGTCTATAACCACTCTCGCGACTTATTAACGACTAAAATGTGTCGTGTTATGGTAAAAGCTCATCAGGACACCTTTTTATCCGCTGTTAAGACGAGAGCGTTGGTATCAAAGTGAGGCAAAATGACATCAAATGGCTAATCAGCCTGAGCATTTGGGTGAGCGATCAGGTTGCTCATGGAGCTGCTTAATTTGCTCCATCAGGGCTGGCGAGGTGACCAACTAACTCACCCTGTGTTCCCGAGGCCGATTATGTCCCGAGGCGGCAGTGTTACCGTCACCAAGATTACACAAAAAAGGAAGTCGAAGCATACGTATTTACATAGTAAAGCCGTTTCTCCAGTTTAGATGCCGAGGGTTCAGAAATAGCTATTGTCTGCTATGTCCAAAACGGGCCTAGTGTATCGTGCAGAAGCACAAGTTGTTGTGCAATTAGCCTCAGCCTTCATAGATGTAGATTCTAGATAGTCTAAAGCTATTGGAAAGATATAGATTGATAAAGACGTAAGAGGTAGGAGGACACGAGGGTGTTTGAAGGTTAAAGCTGCGGCCATGCAGTTGTTGCCTCCACAGCTTTCAGGGGCCTTAAAAGAAAATAAACAGAATGGAAAGCTACCGAATGGTCTTGTTAGCATCAAGCCGATCCAAGTTCCCAGCAAGTAATTGGTGCCATCAAGGTATGTTTTGTGTAGTATCAGACTTTGCCTGTTGACCTCACGCCCAACCAGCCAAGTGTATATTGAAGGCGGTTGAGGCCTCGGATTACCAGAGAGCTCATAAAGATTTCGTCATGTAGAAAACAAATTTTGAATTGATTTTGATTGATTGCATTGATAGATTGGGAAGAAAGTAGCTATCGGGGGGGGAACGTACCCTACCAGGTTAAGGTCCAACATCATGGACCGAGTTTCTCCTCAACACGTCGGGGATAATCACAAAAGGAATGTCTCGTCTGTCAGGTCATCAACGCATCCTGGGAAGCTCAGAAGAGCCCTCGTGATGATGGTTTTAGAAGCGACATTTTATTCTCGACACACACGGCGGAAACGCCAGGGTAGTGGGAAAGGACAGACCCTGGCGGTGATTTGAGTAGGTGGTCTTGGGTGAAGAAGAAAAGAAGAAATAAAGCGACGAAAAGGAAAATAAAAGGCGGCGGACTGGAAAAAAGACGGTGCGGGCGGCAGGCGAGACGAGTTGTGATTGGCTCGAGGGCTGGGTTGGATGGAGCTTTGGCTCCAGGCAGGTCGACTATCCAAATCCAAATCCAAATCCAAATCCATTTGCATTTGGCATTTGTCTGCTTCACTTTCCATCTCTTCAACCGATCTCCCCCCTCCTCTCGACCTCTGTTCTTCAACCCCCACCAAACACTCGAACATTCGACACCGCACTTCCCTCGACCATATTCATTGCCCCTCTTTTGACCATCCAGATTCTTATTACCTACCTCCATCCGCCCTTGCTCAACGACATCACTCGGCTCCCGAACCTATATCCCCGCCACCTCACCCGCTTCCTCCGCCTCCATCCACCCCTCTTCGATTGCTCTCGCCCATTTAAACTCCCAGTCGCTACAATCCGTAATCCCTTTATCTGATCGGTCTCTGCGACTTGTCTCTCTGGGGTGTCCTGTCGTCTTCCCGCGCTCTTTGTTCCTCCCGCATGACCGCTCGTGTCTCGGGCTGTCTCACCCGCCGTTATGGATAATGCCAACCTGTGGACTCGTCGAGCAAAGTAAGCACCCGTGGAGTGTACTAGGATGTCCGCCCCGGTAGCATAGCTAATCGCATGCCCTCTCTCTCCTCTCCAGCTCCTCCAAATTGTCCCTCTCCATGTCCGGGACGGACGGCAAGGACGGTGCCCGCGTTGACCTGCCCCGCCCATCCAAACGATTCGGCCCTGACAGCTCCCACGGTCGCTCAAATCCCTTTAATGCCATCTCCCCTCTATCCGCCGGTGTCTCCTCGCCCTCCACCAATGCCTCGTCGGCATTCGGGCTCGGCTCCGGCGCTTTCGCTTCGTTCGGCGCACCCAAGACACCGGGTGGCTCGTCAGAAGTGAAGGCGCCGGGAGAGAAGCGCGATATCTCGGCAGAGCAGGAAGACTTGCTGCGGTCCAAGTCGCACGCCAACGGTCCCGCTGGTCTCGGAGAGCACGCTCTCAAGTCCACCTGGATCGTCTGGTACCGCCCACCCACACCCAAGTACTCCGACTATGAAAAGTCGACAGTGCCGCTCGCCTCGATATCGTCGGTGGAGAGCTTCTGGGCAGTGTACTCGCACCTCAAGCGACCTTCGCTGCTCCCTACGGTGTCGGACTACCACATTTTCAAGAAGGGTATCCGTCCTGTCTGGGAGGACGAGGCGAACAAGAGAGGTGGCAAGTGGATTGTCCGGTTGAAGAAGGGTGTCGCCGATCGATACTGGGAGGATTTGCTGCTCGCCTTGGTGGGTGACCAATTTGCCGAGGCTGGTGACGAAGTTTGCGGTGCCGTGTTGAGCGTGCGGGGTGGTGAGGACGTTCTAAGTGTGTGGACCAAGAACGATGGTGGGCGGAACATTAAGATCAGGTATGACTTCCCATATTGCCCACGATTGAATGACTGTACAACCGGGACATCAAACTAATTATTTTCCAACAGAGAAACGATCAAGCGCATGCTCGCCTTCCCCGCAGACACCAACATCATGTGGAAGAGCCACGATGACAGCATTGCCCAGCGCTCTGCTATTGACCAGGCCCGCCACGAAAAGTCCCAAACTTCTGGCACCAACCCAACGGGCCACCAAGGATCAGAGCGGCGACGCACTGGCCATGACGACTCGGACAAAGGCAAGGGAACCGCCGCCCTGTAAAGCCTGGTCTCGACATTCTCGGCCTTGAGCCCTGTATAGTAAAGCCAACACAAAAAAAGATATCATGCACAACTTGCTACTCATTGGGACGCGTTTGGGTCTGGGGGATGGCGGGCATCGAGGCGAACTCAGCGGTTTTGATTTGATTTAATGTCTTGAGTGAACTGATTATGTTTGTTCTGCCTTCTTTTTCTTTCTATTTACCATTGAGCTTATGTGCGATGCTTCTTTTTCTTTTTCTTTTTTACTTTCTACACACCAAAACCACTGCAGCTTTTGACTGCAGCCGGCGCACTTTGCCTGGATGTCCAAATATCTCTCTCTTGCAGGTTACCTTTGTGGGTGGCTCCTGATCAACCACTTATGACTGATAGCTCTCTGATGCATTCAATGAACCTCTAAGACTCAACTCGTTCGCCTTTTGTTCTTTGTAATTCTATAGACCACGTTGTGATAGGCCCAGTGGCGCCCGTTCGCAGAGACATCATCAATGCGGCCTGAAAATCCAGGCATAAATAACTGACCGCCCGCGATAGGATGATACCGCAAAAGCAACCACATACTTGCGACTAAACAGATTTAAAACTCCCTACTGCAGGATGACACACTTGACGAGCATGGTCCTGCTATAATCCCGACTGGGTCTGGATGTCTTCATTCTTTCAAAGTCTTAGCGCGGCATTTGCCTCCTTCAACTCATCGCCGCGTCTTTCCCGAAGTGACAACGATCCTCAACGGCCGCTAGACGAACGCCGCCGCAATTCATTTTCGCAACGGCGCGCCCATTCTCCCTCCCCACGTCGTCGTCCCCCGCCATCACCAACTGCTGGATCTCGGCGGCGTATAAAGAGAGCTAAGAACGAGTTCTCTTTGGGCTTGGAAGACGACGACGACGACGACGACGACCACCGGCCGGATCTCAGCTTCCAATCACCGCGCGATATCGCTGCTCCGCAGGTATGTACTAGCTTGCACAAGCTATCTGAACACCTCGTCTGCTTCGATTCGGTCTTGTCTCAGTTTCAGCTTGCTGCTGTACCTTTTTTGGCCCTAAGATACACCGCGTCTGGCGAAGAAACAGATCCTCCGCTTGTTGTATACCCCGTGGACTTTTTTTTTTTCCTCCTGGACTTTTTTTCAGTACTAAAACTCGCCGTGCTGCTAGATCACTCAAAGTTATGCCAACAAACCTTCCTTTACGACTGGATCTGTCCCCTCCCGTGGACAATTGCGGTATTCGCCTCCGCTTTCTGTCATAGGCTCCAGTGCCCGGTAGATATGCCTTCGCAATACGGCTTTGCAAGCAGACCGTCGCTGATATACCCTGCGCGCAGGCTGGGCAACCATTCGCAGATGTTGAATAAGGATCGGGAAGATGAGGCTCGCTTGCTTCCAGGAGCGATTCATCGGTATGACCCCTCGTCGAATGGAGATCGGGGGGCTTGCGGGGAGGGCATCTATGCTAATGGAAGTTTCTTCGGCGATAGCAAGCCCAAAGGTGCATACGAAATCAAACCGGGAGCTATTCGAGCAAATAAAAACAAGCCGGGTGTACGTGTTGATTGCTATCTCTTGCAGCAGGTGGGAAATCGCGGCTAATATCTGGCAACTTTAGGCTTCCGCGGCGTTTCAACCTACCGACAGGATATCTCATGCGCGCCAGAGCGGACCAATCCGCGCGTCGGGGAAATCCAAAAATGCCGATGGGTTTATCAACAGGACCTATCGACAACTGGAAGATACACATGACTTTCAGGAGTCAGATCGTCCTAATAAGCGGCGGCGGCATCATGAGGGCCCGAGACCAGTTGACTTAACACATGAGAATGCGGCTGGCTCAGTCGCTTCTGAAATCTCGCCTTCTGAGCATCGGTCATCCCGACTTTCGCCAGTCTCAAACGTCTCGGCAACAAACCCCAAGAAGAAAGGCCGCGCCCCCTTCGTCTCGGAATTTCGGGGCGTGGAAGCCATACTCGAAAGAACACACAACCCTCACCCGGGAGATCGTCGGCCATCTGCCGCCAGCTCTGCGGATGAATTCTTTACTCGGGAAGCAGCTGCTCAGAGGCGCTCCTCGGGGTCCTCTCTTGATTATACCAACAAACCTCGTACACAGGTCACTCTTGAGTTTCCCAAACCACGCGCTCCATTGGGGAATATCGAGGTCCCAGATCCAGAACAAAATCATTCTGGGGACGTTCAACCTCAGACTGTGACACAGCCCTTGACTCCGTCGAAAAGGCCACCAGCTGCTTCTGAATCTGGTGATAGCCCGGATGAACTACAGGGTGACGTGACGACTCGTCCGCCTCCGAAGCATCTCGCAGAGAAAAGCCCCCAGAAACGCCCTCAAAACCCCCAGGAGGACACTGTGCTGTCACCTTCGAGGAAACGTTCTCCATCTGACATTGAGCCGGCATCGTTCTTGCCATCCCGCAAGAAGAAAAAGGTCAAGCGTGGGCAACAGGACCCAGAGCACCGTGCTCTCTTCATTCAGTCCATACGGTTTGGCCCTATTCACAAGCTTGTTGAAGAAGGGGAAGATGCGGTCATTTATATGTGTCCCGATAGGATTGTGCTTGGAAAAGACATCACCAGTGTCGGACCGGAAGAGGTTCTTTTCCGTCATGTGAGGGTCATTTACCAGGCGGCGAACAGCAAGAAAGTGCGGTTGCTATTAAATGGCTACGAAGGAGCTCCGGGCTCCAAATTTGACATTCATTTCTCGCTAAGAAGCAGCAAGGAGGCATTTGTGAACCAAATGAGAGAAGAGGGTGGCAGGGTTCAAGATAAGGAGTCGTGCGTATTTGATTCAATTCAGTCAGGGTGGGGTCACTGGACTAACAGCTCAAATAGGAAATGGCTGGACGACGCTTTCTCTATCTACGACCATGACATGCGCCAACGTCTCACTCCCGCCAGATCCCCTTTGCAACCGATTACCGAAGCCGATCCACTACCGCCCATATCTTCAGCTGTCCAGCACACCAAAGGCAAAAAGCTTTCTTCAATGTTAGAAGGCTCTGCCAGCGAGTCCGAGGAACAAGATCAAGATCGAAAGAAACGTGAAACTCAAGATGGTTCCAAGTCCATGAACACCGCCGGACCGGCCCAAGGGACGACAAAAGAAAAGCCGAAATCCAAGGAAGTTGGAGTCGAAATTCCAGTGAAGAAGTTCGTTTCGAAAGGTCCCGGCGAAACCGAGACACGACGGTCAACAAGGAACACGACCCGATGGAAAGAAAGACTGGATGACAATGACACGTCTACAAACAAATCCGATTCCGCTCTGCAAAATGACCCGTTCCGAAAGAAATGGAAGAAACCCTTGGTCTATCCCAAAATCGGAAAGAAAAAGGAGGAAGTCAACGTCGATGATCGTGACCGACTGCGCGAGAACGAGTTCCTCAATGATAACCTGATCGCCTTTTACACACGCTTCTTGCAAGATCACCTGGAACGAACGAATCCCGACGCTGCGAAACGGGTCTACTTTTTCAACTCTTACTTCTTCGCCACGCTTACGAACAAGGGCTCGCGCGAGATCAACTACGATGGGGTTGAAAAGTGGACGAGCAAAGTCAATCTCTTCAGCTACGATTATATCGTTGTTCCTATCAATCAGAATGCGCATTGGTATGTTGCTATTATTTGCAACCTGCCCAGTCTGGCGCTAGGTCCTGTTAAGAACTCGGATGCCTCCTCTGCGCTTGCCAGTGACAAGGAGTCTCCGCGTGGACCAGCAAAGGAAGTGCAAGAGATCCTCGAGTCTCCCGAACCGGAAACAGCGCCTGCTTCTGCAAGACTTTCCGAGGAAGAGTCAGCAAGGAAACAAAATCCGGCTTCCACGTCTCCACCGTCCGAGGAGGCACGGCAGTCTTTTGCGTCTATGACTCTTTTAGAAGAGAAGAATGCTTCTGCCGAGGCGGAGGATCAGAAGAAGCCCTCTCCAAGAAAGGATATCGGACCGGATCATGAAAAATCCCCTCCCTCGCTTGCAGAGACGCTCGCCCCCAGCCAGGCGAAATCCACTCCGAAGCAGCTTAGCAAGGGAAAGTCCGGGAAAAAGCGAGGCGGGGTCAAATTGGACCCTGAACAAACAGCCATTATCACCTTCGACTCACTCGATGCCAACCGCTCCCCAACGGTCAGACTCCTGCGCGAGTATATCTGCAAAGAAGCGAAAAACAAGCTGAACGTGGAGATCAAGAACGCATCATCGGTGATCAAGGGCATGCGTGCGCAGAACATTCCCTTGCAGCCTAACTACTCAGACTGCGGATTATATCTGCTGGCATACTTGGAGAACTTTGTGCGCAGTCCTGATGAGTTTGTTGTCAAGGTTCTTCAAAGAGAGATGAATGTGGAACAGGATTGGCCTCCGCTTGGGTCCGGGCTTCTTCGATTGCGCATGAGAGATTTCCTTGATCAGCTGTATATGGAGCAGGGGAGTGATATGAAGGAGGATTTGATGGTGGATCGGCAGCCTATTTCGTTCTTGCTGGGACCGCCTCGGCCGCCTCAGGGGGAGGTTGATGAAGAGACAAAGAAGATTGAAGGGTCCGAGCCCACTTCTTTGAAGGTGAAGGAGGATGCGGAGGAAGGACCCGTGCATGACCGCTCTCCGCAGGAAGAAGAGAATACGAGCGACAACGAAGGTACAGATATGCCTATCTTGGTGCCTACGGCTGCACTACCCCTCCAAAAATCAACCAAGCCAGCGATCCGACCATCTACGCCTGAACCACCCCGATCTCGTCTTCCTCTTAGTGAGCTAGAGGAGATCCCTGACAGTCAGGAGATCGCTGCTCCTCCAAGCCCAGAACCAAAACCCGACCGAAGGAAGGAAAGGAAGTCTAAACAGGCCAGGGACGAAGTTCCGGGAGACAGACGTGAGCACAAGAGACCCGCCACCCCTGACAACACCGGTGCACCCGGCGATCTTGATACCGAGGACCAATTTCCACGGGTCGAAATTCAAGTCCCTTGTACACCTCCACGAAAGGAATTGAAGCAAGTACGACAGAGTCCGCGAGGTCTAAACCGAAGGGTTTGAATACATTCACAGCTTTTCCTTTTTCTATTATTATCTCTTCTTGTTTTTCTCTTGGTAACTTTCCAGCATTATCAAGTATTTAGCATTTTGGCCGGTGTGGTGTTAATCCAAAGCATAGGCAAGCTGTTCTGGTGTTTTTTTCTTTTCTTGTTCATTGTTTCCCCCATTCTTGCTTCGGTTTTGCATGTGAAATAGTTTCCTAGTACGGGATAGAGGCGCCGGATGAGTCTAGAAGACTTGGAATCTGTGATTTGTTGTTGCCATGAATGCATGATAGAGATCAGATCGGATACCTGGGTCTCTTCTTTCCCACTGAGTACTCTTCCCTTCTTCAATGGAGCAATCATCAACTCTAACCTTCTAGATTTACCTCTTCGCTATGTACTAGATTTTAACTAACCATGCTCTCTCTATCTCTCTCTCTCTATCCTACCACTCACTCTCCCTCGCCCCAACCCACCACGCAAGCTTATCCCGTCTAAACGTCTCAAAATCCCACTCCTCTTCCTCAAGCCTCTCCTTCCCCGCAATCCACACATAAGTAGCAGCAACCACCTCATCCCCTTCATCAGCAACATTCGACCCCGCTGCACGAAGCATATCCCGCAATTGCGATTCCGAAGAAGCCTCCTCAACCTTCTCCTCCCCACCAACATCACCGTCTTGCACCGATGTACGCAACGCCCGCACGTTGACGGTTTCTTTCACGTACTCGCCCCCCTCGTACTTGTCCAAGCGATATATGTCTCCGTCTGTGAGGCCGTAGACAAGAACGCCTAGCACGGCAGACTCTGCGGATTCAGACTCAGTCTTGGGGTCTGTCTCGGCCACGATGCCTGGATAATCTGCGCCCCGCACTCGATGGCGTCGATAGCCGTGGAGGAGGGCGGGTTGGAAGCGGATGAGTGCTTTTTGCCAGGGTTCTGGATTGGGGCTGCCATGGATTACACGGTGAAGCATTTGTGGTGCTATTAGGGTTCCTGGGGTATCGTTAGTGATTCATCTATGTTGTGGATGTTGATTGAGGGGGCGTGCAATTCGGGGTAAATACCATAGCAGAAGAGGATATGGTCGCCCATGGTGAGATGGTAGATTGTGAGGACAGCTAGTAGGCCGTGCAGTATAGCGTAGTTAGATTTTAGGGATATGTATCTGAGCGTAAGATAGAACTTAGAGATCAATCGTGGAAGAAAGGAAAGATCAAATCCGAGGTAACAACTCGAGTCATCGGAACTATACAACATCCCGCTTATCGCTGCTTATCGCACCCGCCGATAAGCTCCAAACACGCCCAGCTGGCTTCATCTCCACTCCCTTGAATCAATTCCAACCCGCGAACCTCGTGTGGACAAGAACCACACCTCTTCGCCCCGAGCCGCAATGCATTCCTCCCTCAATCGCCTACAGGCTGTCTTCGGCTTTTTTACTACTGTCGCACTGGTGGTAGCTGGATTCGCCGCGCTCTCGGTGCTCCTATTTCCCACCGACACAACAACAGCTTCGGTGCAGTTGAAGAATGTCCAGGTGTAAGTATTGCATTCGCATCTCGCACTAGCTGGTGCATTACCTCTCCGGGAAGCACACAACAGCAAGCGACAGGGCTACACCAAAATCCACAGAGAAAGCAAATAACAAGAAACCAAAGCTAATTCCTTCCTTTCTAATACAAACAGCGTCAAAGGCCGACCACACTACTACTCCACCAAACGCGAAGAATACGCCCAAATCCGCTTCGACCTCGACGCAGACCTAACCCCCCTCTTCAACTGGAACACAAAACAACTCTTCGTCTACGTCTACGCCACATACTCCTCCTCCGACAACACCAACACTCAAACCCGTGCCTCCGAAGCTATAATCTGGGACTCGATTATCCCGGCCTCGCCATCCCCGTATTCATGGGAGAATCTGGTTGAAAAAGCTACCGCTTTGCTACCTGAATCCCTTACTTCTTCGAGTTCTTCGAAGGGCAAGGCGACTGCTGGAAAGCGCAACGCCAAGAAGACCAAAACCAACACTGCGTCTAAGAATAAGAAGGTTGCGGAGCCCGTTACTCCCGGCGCTTTGCGTCTGCGAGGCCAAAAGGCCAAGTATCAGATTAGCGATATTACAGGGCGATTGGCAGAGAGACAGAATGTGACGTTGTCAGTGGGTTGGAATGTGCAGCCGTGGGTTGGGGCGCTGTGGTGGGCTCCTAAGACCGGGGCGGTACCCAGGACGGAGGGGCATATTGTTAGTAGTGAGGTTTTTGATTTCCCGGCTTTGAAGGGGAAGAAGGTTGAGGGGCAGGCGAGTGCGAGTGCGAGTGCGCAGTGAGAGGGATTGATGTAGGGGATTTGATTTGTGTATGGGTATTGAAAGTCCTCATTATTGGGACTTGGGATTTGGAAATGGATTGGCTATATGAATATAAACAAGATCATGGTTTACTTTTCCGGTCACTTGAAGGCGGTTCTTTAGAACGGAAATTATGGATAAGTTGTTCGCTATTGTGGTACTCGGGGATGTAAACAATACGCATGGTGGTTGAACCCCGAGCACATGTAGACTAAGTAGAGTCACAGGTGAAAGCTCGAACCACAAGGATAAACACCGGCAACGCACATTATCATCGAATGCAGAATGTCACTAGAACAAATCGCTCAGACAGTGCCATAGTTGCGGGCGTGAGAGTGACCGCCACTCTGAATGCGATCCGAGTAAACACCCGGCGCAGGTCGCTGGGTCGCGCGAGTTATAGGATCCCGGTTGCGGCGATCATAGTACACATATTCCAGATAAAAGGCGTGAATGTGCCCGGGGAAGTACCTATAGTGGAACGATACAATTAGCTCATTTCTCTGGGAAGTATAGAAATATGAAGAAGGCGGTAGAGGCAAAGATATATGTGGATCTGGACGATGGCTGAAGTATAGACTCACCCGAGGATGGTAAGGAGGATGTTGATCCAGAAATCAACGCCACAGCCGGAAATGAGGAAGACTCCGAGCGGAGGAACTAGAGAAAGGGTCAGCCATGTACTTTTTGGCTTTTTGCTGGGTCGGGTGCTTGGCGTCTAGGCAGCAGAAAACTCGCCTGTCCTAAGTACAGCCCTGAGAATCGCGCCCGGTGGAAAGCGATCGCGGGAAAAGGGTACACTCACTAAAGATAGTGATGATGATTAAACACAGCATCGAACAGGTACCCGCCATGATGGAGTTGAGAAAATAAAGGCTGTGGAAGTAGGTTGTTCGTGGTTGACGAAAAGGGTAGTCACTGTGTACTCGTGTCGGATTCGGGAGGGCTTTGTAGGTCGGCGGTGGCTCGAAAGCAGAGGAGAAAAATGGTGAAGAGGGGAAGGAAGATATAAATAGGAATGTTTTCGTCCTTGGAGGATTCAAGGCGGTTCATGATCAAATGATCGGCGAAGACGTCAGTGGTGGTGCCAGGCTCCTGCCGTCTGTCTGTGGTAAGGCTGGGATGCAAAGAATCCACGTGAGCTTGGCAAGCTAATTAGCAAGGCAAGTCTGAACCGGGCACCCTGCAGGGGTTATCTTGGTACTAGTGCAGTAGTACAAAAAAGTCTCTCGTGCTCGTAGTAATAAATCGAGAAACTTGAAGCATTTCGTAGGGCTGAGGAAGCTGATCTCGGGGGCTGGACGCCGATTGGCGGATTGACCCACTGACGTCATACCCCTCTCAATGACTTGGGGTACTTTTGATGCACCATAAGACATATACAGCAGTACTTGCGGTGGAGGTCATACAGGGCATACAGATTCAATCCCTTGTACGCCCCTTGAAAGTACATAACCGAAACAGCCGAGCTTGGGGAACACAGAGGCGAACGACAATAACCAAGACATGACTAGAGAGAAACACCCCTCTCACACCGCGTCCATGGCCGCCCGAGTCGTCACCTGCTCGTTCTTGTTCCCCAGCTTCGAGATCTGTAGAAAGGCATCCACACCATAACCTTCGAGACTGTGCAGCTCCAGACTGCCTGCCCAGTACTCGGCATATACCCGGCTCATCGGCAGTCCCATGCCCAGTCGCAGGTTTGGCGGCCGCGATGTCAGTGAGTCGAGCGATCCTTCGTGCCAGGCCTCACGTTCATACTTGTGTTCCGACACTTTCAGCTCTTGCATGGTGGCCGCCATTGCGGGGACTTGACCCAGATTTTCCAGCCGAGTCTTTGTGCGTGGTCCCTTGCTGAAGGACCACAGATACGGGAGGATCTCCCGCGGGATCCCGCCGCCCTGATCGGAGATGCGCATGATCACGTGCTGCGGCGTTTCGCAAATCAGCACTTCGATGGGTGGCGGTGGCTGCGAGGAATCGTGGTATTTCTCGACGACGGCCTGCACCGAGTTGCGCAGCAGCTCCCCGACAATGTACTCCAGGTGACTCAGGATGTACGGGAAAGTGGCATCCAGATGACCCTGGACGTTGATTTCGGGAAGCTGCGCAGTTTGCGAGGTCTGGCGCATGAGATCCTGCGCAACTCGCCCGCAGCGCTCCACAACCTGTTTGGCCTTGCATTTTAAGAAGACCTCACCGACAAAGTCTGCGTTCATGTCCGTTCGTTCATGAGAGTCTGGGAAATGCCAGGGCGAGTTGAAGGTCTCGGTGAGAGCGAGGTGTTGCTCTGCAATGACCCGTCGAGAAATTCGCTACAGCAGATCAGCTTTATGTTCTAAGTATCTGAATGGTTGGGCCATGAAACATACCGCCCGCAGAAGGGTGTTCATGAATTTGTCCATCTCGTTTGGTGGCACGAGATCACGGCACTCCAGGACCCCCATCGCCAGATTGGGGATCACCACCAGGTGCTCTCTCAGCATTTCTCGGAGAACATCACAGAACCGATCATTGTCATCGAGGCTACAGATCTCGGGGATTACCCGGAACCGTTCGAATGCCTTATAATATAGCTCGTAGACGAGGGAGAGGTGTGGGTTGGCGACAACCACGTAGGGCAGCTGCTGAATATCTCGTAGGCGATGGGCAAGACTGCATTAATGACAAGGTTAGCCATGTGATATGGATTCCCCACGTTGTCTCAATTCTCATCCCACCCCCATCATCATGTACATACCGAGTAGGTAGCTCGGTCCGCACATAATTGGCCGAGCTAATAAGTCTTGGTTCAGTCAAGGTACGACCGAAAAAGTCAACTGGCGTAAACTAATCGGGCGTGCTTGACGTTCCACCCATCTATATGCAAAAGTGGGCGAGTTAGTCTCGAAAATCCGCACCCGGGGAAAGCTCGTGAATCATACTCATCCAAGGCGGAGACGGGCCGCCACGGCGGCGGCTGTTGCTGCCGCACGGTGGAATAGAAGCGTGGGTTGGGAGCACACCGGAAGCTATTCCAGCATCTGGTGGGACGACTCGACCGCATTGTGCTCCACGCAGGACCCAGTTAGTCTGGGGAAGCCAAGGAGCCATGCGATGGAGGACATAGGAAATGAGGAGAACGAGAAGCTGTTTGCATGTGCTGCCCGCTTTGGAGGGCGGTGAAGCATGTGACATATGGAGAAAGCTTCCTAGGGCCGAGAGTTTAAGAGAGTGGAACATGTATAGTGTAGAGTGATATACATATGTAGTAATAATTGTAATGTGTAATAGATAAATGGGTTGAATCTATATACAGTATGTGGTTGATCAGTCAAGTCTGTACAATTTTCCTGTTTAATTATGTCTGGGGTAAGGCGACTGTTGGTGCTTCGTTAGTGTCCGTGGCTGCCGCTAGGGTCTGAAGAGTTCGCCTATATAGAACAACTGATTTGTATTTGAAAGGATGTTAGAATGTGTAAAGTGAGAGTATTTTTAAAGATATAAATTAATACGTATCATCGAATGCCTATATATATCATGAATCCTCATATTATTCTAGAAGTTACTATTTACTACAAACCTGCTCGGCCTACGCAAGAAGCAAGTAGTAATAGTAGTAATAGTAAAATCACCAACCACACCGGCTGGCACAATAATCAGCCAACTCTCACATCACATCTCCTTGACCCGCTCGAACTTTCCTGGTACCAAACCTTCTTCTGTCTGAAGATACATTCAATACCTTATCATTCTTCCTCCAAAATCTCACATTTCTCTCTTTTCCCTTTTCTTTGACATTCGTCATTGTCAAGAGGGAAACAAATCAAATCAATCACTTCTTACTTAGTACTGCCGAGTCTCCAACGGCTCCACGGGCTCCGCCACCGCTAGCTTTCGGACCCTCTCAACTCACTGCACTCCCCATTCTGCGGGTTCAGATCAAAATCCTCCCGACCACGACAACTCCGCTTCATTTTACCCTCGTCGATTTCCCTTCCCCCCCCTTCACTCTTTCGCCCCCTCATTCCGACAGGTGTCTTCCGGCTGGACGGGAGGGCCCCTTTCGCCATGGAAAACGTGAGTTTTGGCCTTTTGCCCGTGCCGACCGTGCCCCTCGCGTGTGTCGTCATTGCAGATCTAACCGTCTCAATCCCCCCAGCTCGCGGAGAACGAGATGCTTGTCGACGACTATGATCAATATTCCAATGAGAAGACAGATGTCGTCGTCGTCTCCCGCTCCGGCTCCGATGAGCCCGAGCCTGCGCTGTCCGCCGCTGACCGTACGTTTCTTTCATGTTGTTCATTTCGAGTTCACACCTGTTTCCTCTCTCAGCCGGTCGACCTGTTTTTTTTGTTACCCTGGCCGACTCCCTGCGAAAATAAAGCTGGTGTGAGACGCTCAGAGAAAACATCTTACTCAACCGAAAAGCTTTGTGATCGCTGGTCGAGGAGTGTTGTGGAATAACATGCATTTTAAGATTCCGATGTTTGGGAAGATGGCTGACCGAGGTCTGCAACCTTGTCTTAGATGCGGCAATGATGGCGCGAGTCCTCCCCAAGAACCCCGATCTTGAGACCCTTGAGGAGGTGCACAACACATGGCACATCGAAAACTGGAGGAAGATGGATAAGAAGTCGCACGGCCCGGCCTTCAAGTGCGGCGGGTCGCCTTGGTGGGTAGCAGTTCTCTCCCAGACTACTGGAAAAATAAGCAAAAAATTGGGACGAATTTCTGACGCAAGAACAGGCGTATTCTTTTCTACCCCTACGGAAACCACTCGGAGCATGCCTCATTCTACCTTGAGCATGCATGGGAGGGTGAACCGCCAGAGAACTGGTATGCCTGCGTACAGTTCGCATTGGTTTTGTCCAATGTGAAGGATCCCTCAATCTACGTCTCTCATGGTAAGATTGTCCTTTTTGGCCGCTGCATTGGGCGACAACGGATAGGCTAACTATTGAATTCTAGTCGCAACCCACCGCTTCACTGCTGATGAGGGCGACTGGGGTTTCACTCGATTTTATGACCTCCGAAGCCTGTTCAACGATGCGTGGGAAGGCAAGAATGTCCCGCTCGTTCAGGATGAGGAGGCCAACATTACCGCCTATGTCCGCGTGGTCAAGGATCCTACTGGTGTCCTCTGGCACAGCTTCCAGAAGTCAGTATTGGACGAAATTGACTTGAAGAGACCCGTAGAGCTAACGGTATCTCCAGCTACGACTCCAAGAAGGAGACCGGTATGGTGGGCCTCCGCAACCAGGGTGCCACTTGCTACCTCAACTCCCTCCTGCAATCTCTATACTTCACCAATGCTTTCCGCAAGGTATGTTTCGGATAGATGTGATTTCACTCCCTTGTCAGATCTAATTTTCTTTTCTGTAGGCTGTATATGACATCCCTACCGAGGAGGATGCCTCTGGCGAAAACAGTGCTTGGACTCTGCAGAGACTCTTCTACAACCTACAGACCATGCAAAAAGCAGTGTCGACGACCGAACTGACCAATTCCTTTGGATGGGACTCGAGACAGGCGTTTGAGCAGCAAGATGTTCAAGAGCTGTCACGAAAGCTTATGGAGCGCTTGGAGGAGAAGATGAAGGGCACCGTTGCTGAAAAGGCTCTGCCTGAATTGTTCGTCGGAAAGACCAAGACTTATATCTCCTGCATCAATGTCGATTACGAGTCCTCTCGTATCGAAGACTTCTGGGATATTCAGTTGAACGTTCGGGGGAACAAGACCCTGGATGACAGTTTCCGGGACTACATTCAGGTCGAGACACTGGAAGGCGAGAACAAGTACGACGCGGGTGCTCCATACGGTCTTCAGGATGCCAAGAAAGGTGTCATTTTCGAGAGCTTCCCGCCAGTCCTGCATCTTCATTTGAAACGATTTGAATACGACCTTAACGCCCTGACGATGATGAAGGTCAACGACCGCCACGTCTTCCCGATGGAGTTTGATGCCGCTCCGTATCTCTCTGGTAATGCTGACATGTCGGAGTCATGGGAGTATGAGCTGCATGGTGTGCTCGTCCACAGTGGTAGCTTGGATGCTGGTCACTACTATGCATTCTTGAAGCCGACCAAGGATGGACACTGGTACCGCTTTGACGATGACCGGGTCAACCGGGTCACCGAGAAGGAGGTCCTAGAAGAAAACTATGGAGGAGAGTACGAATTTGCCAACGGGGCTACCGGTGTTCGTCAGCCCTATACTCAAAAGTACTCCACCAAGCGGTCTATGAATGCCTACATGTTGGTTTATGTCCGGAAGACCCGATCGGACAAGGTTCTTCTCCCCATCACTAAAGATGATGTTCCCTCTCACATTGGTAAGACTAAACGATTCACAAGTTTACGACCCGCGAGGCTAACTTTTGACTCTAGAACAGCGCATCGCCGAAGACCGAGCGGAGATGTTGCAGAGGCAGAAGGAGAAGGAGGAGGCCCATCTGTACATGAACATTGGTGTTTTGACCGAGCAAACCTTCCAGCATCACCACGGCTTTGATCTGACCAGTGCGGACCTCCCAGCTGAAGACCCTGCTCTCCCAGCTCAATACCGGGTTCGCCGCAACAAGAAGGTGGGTGAGTTTGCACAGGAGATTGCCGAAGAGCACGGTCTCAATGTAAACTCTATCCGATTCTGGGTTATGGTTAGCCGCCAAAACAAGACGACCCGACCTGACCAGGTCATCGCCGACAATGAAATGACGGTCGAGGAAGCTTGCACCAAGTTCGGCACCCGCGGTAACCTCTTCCGACTCTGGATGGAGGTCTCGCCTCTAGGCCCTGATGGAAAGCCTCAAGAATGGTCTGATAATGAGTCGGTCTTGATTTTCCTGAAGAACTTCGACGTGGCCACGCAAAACCTGTCCGGCATTGGCCCCGTCTATGTTCGCAAGAACCAAAAGGTGCAAGACTTGGCGCCTATCATTCTTTCGAAGATGAACTGGCCTGCTGGAACAGACTTCATGCTGTTCGAGGAGATTAAGCACACTATGATCGATGTGATGAAGCCCAAGCAGACCTTCCAGCAGTCGGAGATCCAGGACGGTGATATCATCACTTTCCAGCGAACGGTTAAGGACTCAGAGCTTCCTTCTACGGCGCTTTACACCGATGCCAGACAATACTACGATTACCTTCTGAACCGCATGGGCGTCACATTTGCTCCTATCAAGGCAGGCGACGGTGATGAGTTCACCCTGACTCTTAGCCGGAAGATGACCTATGATCAGTGGTCGAAGAAGGTGGCCGAACATCTGAATGTGGAGCCTACCCACCTCCGATTTGCTCCCGTCATGGCCAGCACCGGCAAGGCCAAGGCTTTCCTCAAGCGGACTACCACTTCTACTCTTGCTCAAATTCTCAATGGTCAATATGGTGCTTATGGGTATACCATGCATCGGTCCGATGCTTTGTACTACGAGGTCTTGGACATGAGCTTGAGTGACTACGAGAGCAAGAAGTCTTTCAAGGTGACGTTGCTGCCGGAAGGCATTACGAAAGAGGTAAGTTGGTGCTGTGTGCATGATTTTCATGAATTGATTAACTGATAGTTCTATAGGAAGTCGTAGAGGTCCTGGTGGCTCGCAACGGAACCGTCTCCGAGCTCATTGCTGCCTTGCAAAAGAAGGCGAACCTCGATGAGAAGGTCGTTCAAGAGCTGAGGCTCTTCGAGGCGCACAGTGGCAAGTTGTACAAGGAGCTCAAGGACGACACTAATGTGTCTGCAATCAACGAGTACTCAACGCTTTATGCGCCGAGGGTACCGGCCGAGGAGCTCAACATGGAAGATGACGACCGATTGGTTAGCGCTTTCAACTTTGACCGGGAGCCTAACCGTACTCACGGAGTGCCGTTCAAGTTTGTTGTGAAACCGGTGAGTGCTACTTCAGGGAACCCTTGATGTTTGGCTACGAGATGACTGACTATCTAGCAGGGTGAGATTTTCAAGGAGACCAAGGAACGCCTCTCCAAGCGTACGGGCATCAAGGGCAAGCCATTTGAGAAGATCAAGTTTGCTGTCGTCCCCCGTGCTTCCTTCACTACCCCCAAGTATCTTGACGATGGTAAGTGCTAGTACTGTTTCGGGCTCATCTTAGTTTGTGACCAGGCCACTTGCAAGTACAACTGCTGACTTTATACCTAGATGATATTCTCTCTGATGTGATCGGTCCTGACGACTACCTGGGACTTGATCATCCCGGTAAGAGTCGTGGATTCTGGGGTAAGAGTGAGAGCTTCTTCATTCGATAAAGTAATTTCCGGGGCGCTGTGGGGTTTTGCTGGCGGGCTTGATGCTGCGATTCAGTACATGAGCAGTTGACAGCTTGATGCGATGATTATGCTATATTTTCTTCTTCTTCCAATCTTAAATTTCTTCTGTTTTGTGAATTTCTCTTATTTCCTTCGAGCTTCCCGTATTCCCTATAGTCTTCATAGTAGTAGACAGAGAAGATGCAATACAACAATGAACCAATTGAGTTTGTGAGGCTGCAAGGTTGTTTGGGTGTTTGAGTGCAAACGGAACAAACACCGAGCCTCCAAGCTGGCCAGAACTCCTTACACGCGATTCCCCGAGACCCTGCGATCTTTCCCCGTCCAACCCATCAATATTCCCTCAATCCAGGCATAATGCGGTTCGCTCTCCTCGCCTGCCTGGCCTCTTTGGTCTCCTCCGTCAGTGCCACTGCCTTGACCTACAGGCTTGAGGCCAACGAGAAGGCATGCTTCTACACCAATGTTGAGCAGGCCAATGCCAAGGTGGCATTCTACTTTGCGGTTAGTACTCTATCAATGTTTTTATTTCTCATGACTAGAGACATCTGGCTACTGTGCGAAATTGGAGCGATCAGCGACATCTAACATTGCTTGTTCGTGTAGGTCCAATCGGGTGGTTCCTTCGATGTTGACTACACCGTCACCGCACCCGGCGGCAAGATCGTGATGGATGGAACAAAGGAACGCCAGGGCGACTTCGTTTTCACGGCGCAGAGCATCGGCGAATACCAGTTCTGCTTCAACAATGAGATGTCCACGTTTGCCGAGAAGATGGTTGATTTCGAGATTGCCGTACGTTGTTTACTCCCCGCAAACCCATCCACCCAAGCATCAACATGACCCCTACATCCCCCCCCAATTACACCCTAGCCTTACCCCGACGGTTTTGAAATTATGCTAAATTCCACATGTTTAGGTCGAGAATGAACAGCGCGCCCAACTCCCCTCCCGCCAGGGTGCCAGCCCCGAGCAAACCACCAACCTCGAGGAATCCATCTACAAGCTGTCCGCACAGCTGTCAACCATCTCACGCAACCAGAAGTACTTCCGTACTCGCGAGAACCGTAACTTCAGTACCGTCCGCAGTACCGAGCGTCGGATTTTCAACTTCAGTGTGATTGAGAGCTTGATGATGGTGTCCATGGCTGCTCTGCAGGTCTTTGTGGTGCGCTTCTTCTTCCAGGGCGCGCGGAAGGGTACGTTTCTCTCTACATGTTTTGTGGAATTGGACTTGAGGCCGAGACTTCTTGAAGAGCTCGACTCGATGACAATCCAATCACTCTTGTTCTTCTTGATTGGGCATGATACTAACATCCTTGCTAGGTTACGTGTGATGAGCATGAAGTGAAATATATGATGCATTTACTTTTTCCCCCCCCTCTTTTGGAGCAAAACCCCCCGGCGTGTCTTTTCTTCTAGTGTATCCACCTCTCATGCTATAATAGGCTACCTACTAGAATCATTTTACCTTACAATTGAACCGAAAACAGGTTTTTTGTACGACATGACATTGATCTCCTCTTTTCATGATATTCTCTGCGAATAGAGTCTTGTGCTGCTGACTTGAGCTGGAGTTGATGCCTTGCCAGTTTCTGGACCCGAGTCTAGTAGTCCAGATGGTGGCGAGCGATGTCTACGAGGTCGCCTCACTCAACGATCGCTACGATCCGAGATCTAGAACCCCAATAGTCGGACAAAACACGTTCTTGTCTTCATCCCTAAGTCGGCGTCACCTCGGAAGCCGAAGCCTCGACCCCGATGAAACAGCCAAGAATCCCAAGAGTCCATCTCATTATCTGTTATGATGCGTGTTTCCGTCATTCGGCATCGACAGGCCTCGACAATCGGCAGCGATCAGGAATCGAGAATCGGGCTGTTGGCGTGGTTTTTATTTTGAGTCTTGAAGGTGGGTATCGAGGTGTTCGAGGTTGGATTCGGTAGATTCCCGAGGGTGCGATTCTCCTGTTGTCATCGTCATGGGCAGAGATGCACAGCCTAGCGTCTAGCAATGATCACACCAGTTTGTCCTGTCTCAGATCATACACAGTGGTCATCGCCGTGGCGACATCAGTATTGATGTAGATGAGAGGGCAATTCTTACCGAAATATGCTTTCGCAGGGCGACTGAGCTTCCTGATCATGCATCCATCCGGAAGGCGAGTCTGCAGAGAGATTCGTGTGATTAAAATCGAAAATACCAGACAGCTTCCGCCAGTCATGCTGGAGACGCTGATCCTGCTCGATTAGCTGTGCTTTCTCTAGGAGAAACAGGTTTCTTCAAGGTCTAGGCCATCGATTTTATTTTAGGTTGACGACAGGCGCGACTACCATGATAGCATTGAAGAACGACCCCGGGTGTAGGGGACTTCAACTTCCACAGAAGATATTGCCGTGGCAAGGCGAGAAATTCGTCAGAGAGACTGGTCAGCGTACAGGAGGAAGCCGATGATGCAACAGGAGGGGAGAACTTAATACGAGGACGAGGATATGGGTCCATGACGTTCAACGACAATGCCCGTGGTTCGACGTGTCTCATCTTCAATACAGACAGAATATCCGACCGCTGCAGGGATGATTTCATCCCACCAATTCTACAGATATTCATTATTATTCAAAGTTCGCGCGAGCATCTATGTTCGTGTTCGCCGTCTATCGGAATGCAGCCGTTTGGGAGAGAGGAGAGAAGTGATATCATCGGGCCAGGGCAGCCACCGACGAGTCGGCTGCGTTCGATCGTCATATTCGCCTCCTAGTTTGGCTGTGATATTGTCAGGGTCGACAATGTTATCAATCGACATGTCTATGCTCGGCTAAAAATCTTGTTCACTTTTTTCTGTAAAATAGCCTGTACGGGAGGATATCCCTGATTTTACGTGTGTGGACTGGGGAGGTATGTGGGTGCTGGTGCTAGTGGATACGGACGTTGACCCGACATTCTGATCTTGTATTCGACTGTGATGTGATCTATTTGGAGAATGGCAATGCGTTCATAGGGGTTTCTCGAGCAGTGGTCGATTACCTGCGTGATGTAGGGCAGGAGTCCAACATAGATCCATATTGGCACCGTAATAGACTTGATACTTTGGCAACGTTCTGATTTGAACTGACATTGATATTCCGGACAACCTTAGTACTGTAACTTCCTCTCGGCGATTAGCGCTCCAGGGCACTTTCGGGTCTTGTGCCGCCGATGAAAGCCCCATAGAAGACATCATGCCCTGTCGAACAGGGGGACATACTCCACAACTTTCTTTCCACTTATGACATCGCACAGGACCACTTGGTGTCAGCGCTGATCTCACACAGCATCATTTATTTACTCTCTGACTACATTATAGTGAGCAGCCACATTGAAATGATTCCTTGCGGCGAAGTATATGTGGTTTATCTTATTCGAAAAACTCATGTATGCTCATTAAGGAAATAATTGATGAATTTATAGTTTTACGGATTCATCATTCATAGTGTTGATAAATAGGGAGTACACAGTGCTCTCGATGACCATTATTATTTGATAGATTTCTGCAAGCACATGCTCCATACAATAGATCTGACGTTGTATGATCGTCCTCGTTTTTGCGCACAGGGTCCATACATAGCAGACATCATTGTCGCTAGTCAGAAATGCTATCCCACGCCTCCCACGGTTACAAAGGGAAAGAAATTGAAGGAGAAGAACTCCGAGCTTGTATCTGATTGGAATCGTTGGAATAATTGCCCCATTCTTGGATGGGGTGAAGCTAGACGGAAGACGTACCCCGTGCGCCACTGCGCGAATAAGAAACTTTCCATGTCTATCCACTTCTTTCGTCCCCCCCGCGGGTGTAGGTTTATCAAATGGTCGATCTTTCGGAACCTACTGCACTGCACTTTACATGGCAAACTTCTAGGGCTTTTGACTGGCCGCAATGACATTATCTCTGCTTAGATCCACTTGCTCTAAGCGCGGGGCTGTCTCCGTACTCCGTAGTTCGTGCAGGGGCTTGAGTGAGGCTGATGTTCTATGAGATTCTCTGACTTTTGCTCCCCTTTTATGGTTTACAGCATGCATATGTACTTTGGAAAGTTACCTGGAGGTTCGTCATTGGATGTGACGGTATACTCAGAGTGTTTGTCTACTGGATATAGTTCCGGTTCTCGATATGTGTTATTGACTGGCCCGATATATCACACTCTGATCTTGAGGTGTTTGCATCTTCAAAAACTGCTAATCAAATGAATGTATCACTTACACACTAACCTAGTAACTGGATATTTACCTACTTTAATGATGTGGCTGGATAGCTTCATACAGTGAGGAAGTCGTACTGTGATACTATCAGGGCTTCTGACGTCAGGTGCCTTTTCCTGCCTCACGGACGAGGCAACAATCCCCGTCATAAGGATCGAGGAGAAACAAGAGGGGAAGTCAACGTCCAATGAAAGTCTGCATGATGCATTTGGCTTATCCACTGTGGCCATTTGGCTAATTTACTTTTGGCGATCGGTTTGAGCCATCGGTGTACTGCTAAGAGAAGCAGAAGGCCAAGAGCTGTTGTTTAGTATAGAGGCGGCAATTTGACGTGATAGTTTGTAAATCAGATCGTCTCCAAGCCTCTCATACTTTTGGCAAGTATAGAATGATGATGGGTTCCTGCATGGCCGAATATTATTGAATTATTGAATTATTTCATCGCTGCTAGGGGAGCAAAGACCAAATCGAAGCTCGGATCGCCCCGATACTCGAGGGCATGACGTTATGGGCGTTCAGCCAGACTCCACCTGTCCGAGCCTCAGCTCTCGACCTTTGCTGCAATACGGATATACTGCAGAGATGCAGTCCAGTCGAAGGGAGATGATTCTGATTGATCTGTGAATACGCATAGCTGAAAAGAAAAGAGAGTCATCAGTATCTTCCACGATGGGAGCATGTTATGGAACGTCAGAAAGCTGATCATCGACCCCATTCTCAAGCCATCGATGGATTATGGATCCAGAGTAATTCCAGACCCTCCAATTGATCCTCGCGAAATTCATTTCCTTCTCTCCCCGCTTCATCTTTTATCATTCATTCTGAAAAGGTCCATCCGTTGAATGATTCTGTGGAAGTAGCGTGGATTGACTCCTGGTGGCTGCAGCTCAGCCCTCCACCAAAGACGTCCACCGCGCGTTTCCGCGGCCATCGGCACATTCAGTCCCATTGTGGTAGCTGAACACAAAGATGGGAGAGGGTTCGATGTTCTGGTAATAATAATAATAATAATGGTATAGCCAGCAGCGCCATCAAGAGACGTCAGAGGAAGATCTGCAGGGGATGGTCAACTTCCGTCTGCCGATCTCAGGACGCCATACGTCTCGGCCTCACCCACTGGTTCAACTGGCCCATTTGCGCATTCCCAAGTGACCTCATCGGGAGGAGGTGGTCCATTCGCGAGTGGACCAGACTCCAGATGATACTGCTATTCCTCCCAAGGACAGTCATTACACCAGTCCTCAGCGAGGAGTGGAGGTGGATTATTTCCCATAATGATAATCATCTCCACACCCCCTTAAGCAGCCAGCGACAGCGGCAGACGGAACGTCTATCGCGAGCCGGTGGGGATCGTCTAACGTGAAGGAGGGTAGGGCGGCGGTTTCTTATGATGTCGCCCAGCCTTAGCCTCACGCGAACGAAGCCATACATCCACATCTTCATCCACTTTTACTATATTTCCACCCACTCCTCCTCATTCAGCCAATGATGTCACTGCGCCTGGGTTCGGCGATGGAATCTGTCTTCGAACGTCGCCCATGGACCCTCTCAGGAGACGAGGGAAACACGAGGGAAACTATAACCTCTATACTCCTGGGCCTATCAGCAACCACCAAATCGATGGAGGTCTTTTGCCCTCCTCGATCATCCGCAGTGATCTCATTCGTCTCGTGGAGTCACAAGTTCTATTATATATATGCCTCAAATCGAATCTAATTTATGTTCAAATTATATTTCCGCTCTCCCCCCGCGTATATGCCCTACCCCTGTGATTGCCGCCCCATAACCTTTTTGACTCTTGACGCCGTGTCCCATCGCACCCCGTTGCATAATTACTCTCCCACGCCAGAAATAACTTCCATTGTTATTCAACTTTGGCTCTGTTTCTATCTCAGCCGCTTGCTTAAAACAGGTTTACTCTTACAAAGGTAAGCTATTCATGAACCATTGCCCTGCTTATCCTACTTGCCTTTTGAGCTATATCGTGCTTGCTTCCCTCAGACCCTCCACCTACTCATGCCTCCCCTAAAGTACATCCCGCCGTTCAAAGCGACACGCCGTCCCCTATGCCTTACCTATTCCCAAGGGTAGGAGGAATACCTTCCTCATCTTATACCCCATGATTCCTCTACTATTTACTTCCCTTTCCGAATATCTACACTTGATCAACACCTCACCCAACTGATACCCATGTAGGCCTCAGTGAACTGACCTTATGATCATCTAGACATTTCCCACCATGACTGAAGGCCACCAAATGCAGCAGCCATCGGATAACATCCATAACATGTTCGCCCATGAATCAGGAGAAACTGGTCCCTCTCATGGGAACCACGTTGAGACCCAACGGTCCACGGATCCTAGAAACTCCCTCGAGGACTACAACCGTACCATGTTGGAGTACACTCAGCGTCAAATGTCCTCATTTGTCGATATTGACGACAACAACAGCGGCAACAGCGGCAGCAGCCGTAGTAGCCAGAGCAGCGGCAACAGTGGCCGCAGTGGTACCTCCAGCAATGGTGTGCTTGCCCGCCAGGCCAATGGCGCTCCACCTACTTCAGCCAGTGCTGCTGCCGCTGCTACTCGCCATGCAGCTCACCAGCATCATGGCTAGAAGCCCATATGCAGTCCCAATGAGGCTAAGCCGTCACGGTATTAGGACTGCTAGCATGTCTTGAGGTATGTATTACCACAGCTATATTTATGTCTACTTCAGGGATCTTGTTAACACTTGACACTAGCGGTCCTTTCTTATGATACGACCGTTATGAAGTCTTATCAGCATCCATCTGGTGTTGATGGCGCAGATTGACGGAAGCTCATCTGTCGTACCTTCCCGTTCATGTTCGCCCGTAGGCGGAGTTTTTTCCCTTTACGAAGTTCGATGAGCCGCGCGAGAATGCGCATTTGCTGCTTTCCCAGCGATACAGCATTTTCAAAGCCTTGCATTTCTCTGTGTTCCCGACAAGAGTCGAGTCACTGTGAAATGTTTCATTCCTTTTTCACACACCCACTCCCCAATATCCCCCTCTGCCCTTACCACCTTGGACATCTTTTGCACAGCTTTTTCATTCACGAGGAACGTTGATTGAGTCGTTCTGGTCACTTTTGCCAACAGTGAATCTGTCTCTGTCTCGTCCTCTCTCTTACCCACTCACAACACTATCAGGAAATCCCTCACAAAAAAACGGTAAGATCCTTGATGGATCTTAGCCCACTACCCTCAACCTTCCCCTTCGTTTCTTGACACTCGCTTCTACTACTCTTCTTCTGAATCCGTGGCTATCTCGGCGTCCGTTTCTGGACATAGAGCAGTCTACTAATGATGTTCCATTCGCACCATCCACCTCCATCTACCCGTCCATTTCTCCGGCCTCAACAGCCAGTTTATTCATGCTGCTTTGCCCTGAACCCTGCCATTTCCTTTTATAGGGACATTCAGGCTGTACAATACTTTTTGCGATTCTTTTTAGCGTGCGAGCGAGCGAGCGATGATATTTCCCCGGATCTCCCTGTCAGATCCATGATTTTTTGGGTTTGCTTTGCCATGGATGCACCCATGTGATGACCACTGACATCTCGAATTGGGACGCCAAGACTGTTTGTCCCTTGAGAAAAAAGTCTGTTGTTTACGACTACGACTTCCCTGTATACTTACTACTCTTGTTACCTTTGACATTGCCTGTTGGCATCACGACATGTGCAGCAACAGTCATGAGCGAGATTGCCTGGTGCATCCGAGCTTTTTTTTATATCTTTATCTGGAACCACCTATTTGTACTCCAAGCTATCGTAGCTCGAAATCTTCCCTCTTTCTCGTAGACTGTAGATTTACTCGATGCAGCAGTGGGTGTTCCCTAGCTAGTGATTGAGCCAGTGAAGCTCTCACACTTCTTCTGAACTCGCTGTACGTCTACCTAGCCCTAATCGCCCGCCCATGCTACGTGAATCAGCTACCCACGATCGATCACCGATCTCGATGATTCTTGGATCCTATTAATTGCGCGAATAGTGTGGAGCCACCTCGTTCCTGCATCGAATAACAAGGCACGAGTACCCCTTGTTGGCAGGGGGATTACGATGAACTGGTGGTGCATTCTTCAATGGTGCCCCTTGCATGCGTTGTGGATTGTGAGCTCAATTGGGTTGCGCCCTCCGAACTTTCTGTGCTCAATCCTCGTGCAAGTTAGACAGAATTGTATTCGAATCCTCAGAGTGAATTAGAGTGCTCGACTGCTACAGAGCTTGTTGAGTAGCTACGATTTTGACTCCAGAACTAGGGTATCACTGATATCGGACGGGATCTAATTGATAGCAACCGACACGCGAGCATACCAGACGGAAAATAACACTGTAGGACCAATAACAACTCGAGCATGTTATTATTTCACATTCCAAATGATTCAGACTGTCCATCGACCAAGCATACAAGCCACTTTCTCACCTTCCGAGCAGGCTGGACCCCTAGCCCTGGAATCCTCGACCCAAGCAACAAGGGCCTACAGTACTAACCACCCAAGGGAGTAAAACAGGAACTGCGTACTGCGTGGGCACCGGTAATTTCGGCTCGAAAATCCCCCGGCAGGACTTTCTTGGACCGAGCGCTGCGAGGGTTGAAACGCCCAGGCACGCAAGCCGGCACTCCACTCCCAGGGACCTTTGTTGCTTTTCGCCCGTGAGAGTTTGAGTTGCTACATCTATCGTCGACAACTAGCAAGTTCGCCATTTGACGCCCCCTGACTCTCGCCCAGCTCTCGTCGTTCCTTCACGGGCTTTGATATACACTCACGCTATAATACACTCTTTTGAATCCGACCACTCTATACGAGACAAGACAATCCTTTTGAAATCAGAATACTCCTTGACGAGCGACATTGTGTGTGTTGTGCAGTAAAGCCTCACGCATTCTCTCTAAAGGGCTATTCAAACCTCGCTGTATACACAAACAAGCACACAAAACTACAACTCAAGCTCAGCAAACTCAAAACCAGTCAAAATGCATATCCCAACGCTCTTCTACACCCTCGCAACCCTCACTATCACTACCGCCGTCCCTGTCGCAGCGGGAAAGTCCATGACCGCACCTACACCCACACAGGCCATGATGGCTCCTCCATCGCAGGTCTCCCCCGTGGAATCCCCTTCAATGACTCCCGTCGGAGCGTACCAGTGCCCGCAGAAACAATTCAAGAGATGCTGCATGTCCCTTCAACAGACTTCTCGCATGCTTATCGATGGCATCGGGGAACTTGTCCCGGCTCTGGGCGGAATCTCTGTCAGCTCGCAGATCTCGTTCGATTGTATGTTTATATTTGATTGAATATTTTAAAGCTTGATCGTCTTGGGGGATACGATGATGCTAATTTCTCTGGCTGTGTTATAGGCAAAGCTATGGCCGATGATGTCTCCCCGAACGCTTGTGATGCGGAGGGGTATGGTCCTATGTGCTGCAATTCCGAGAATGGGGTATGTTATATACAGCCATTTGGATCAATAACGCTGGACCAAGACAGACATCTAATAACTCTTGCTTTACAGGGATCCGGAATCAACGCCTGCAAGCCCTTCGAGGAAGTCAAGGAGAAGTACTACAAGTCTTTCGGATACAACAAGGGTGATGAGACTCAGGCGGAGTATATCGAGGATGCTCTCTCCTAACCGGGGAATTCATAATGTCAGCACTGGATGCTGTGATTGAATTTACCTGGATTTGGTCTGAATCTTCGGGTGGGGAGTGCCTCTCCCCTAGGAGGAAGTATGAGAAAGAAAGCATTGACGGTCTATCTACTTTTTTCACCTGTCCTTTCACTGGATATCACTTTGGCATATCGTTTTCCTTTGTCGGCTTTTTGTTTACTGTTTTTGTAACATGATTTTGTATTTTGGGATTCTTCATTATTATTTGTCCCGTTTCAATTTAATTCTTGCTATAGACTTATATCGATTTGTCAACGCTCGACAAGGCATTTGCTAGTTATATACGATACTCTATAAGGAGATGTATGCCGTTAGGCGAGCGAATTGAATAAACCTTGGAAATCTCGCCAAACATGGCTTATTGGTGACATGCTTATTAACAAGATAGTACAGACAGGTGAACCCTGAGAAATTCAAACACATAGTCAGTTTCGGTTGCAAATACGTGAAGTTTAAGCGGGTCATGCTTACCAGTCTTCGAGGTCGTTAGTTTGTGCAATCATATTCGCCGAGTCAATAGCTTGCGGGAAGCCATACTGCCTGCCAATGAACTCCAATCTGTTGAGAGCATACTCTGCAGCATCCGGTGACGCGAATTCGAAGACCGCAATCCCAGATAAAGGGTAAATAAGTGCCCTAGCCGACACTATCGGGTTGACGGAAAGCTCAAGTGAGTATGGAACGCTGTGCAGAATGTCGGATATCATCTCCGTGCCAGTTACCGTGATAAGCTCTTGGACTCGAACCCGCGCCTCATCTGGAAAGTCCAGAGCACGAGGAGAGAGTAATGCGGAGTTCATCATCTGGACAATGAATAATCTGGTTATCCGAACCATATTCCACGTCCGCGCGATTCTCTGAGACACGTATCGATATACTTTATTCTTGTATGTCCGTATGGATCCTTGTATGGCTGTGGCATCGATGACTTCGAAAGGTACTTCTCTCCGGAGATCGTTCAAAATATTCTCCAGAACGCTGTTCAGCTCTAAAAGTCTGGACAAATGTTCCATGGGGGTGAGATTGTTCATGTTAGCCCGCGCATTTGCAATACCGTCGACCACTCGTCCGAATTGGCGAGTCCTTCCAGTCGTATATATTCTCTCCAATTGAGCGCTTTCAAGAGTGCACAAGACAGAAGGCGTGCTCACACCGAGTTGGGCACAATGTGTTCTAATGTTCAAAGAGGCATGTCGGAATAAATGGCGGCCGAGGGGACTGTCGAATTGTCCCTCGCCTCGGAGTCGTAAAAGCTCCGACGCCCCGCGAGTATGGGCGTTCCAATTCACTGGAATTTTTCGTCCTTGAAAGACCAAGGCTTCGAATAGACTCAGTAGCAATATTGCCAGGAGAGTACTATCGCTTGTCGCTAGGTCTGGACATGAAAGGGCTGAATTTGTGGACCTTAATGCCCTAGCGTAATGCGATTGGGCAAGTGATTGGACTGATGGTAATCGGAGGTTCTGCGAGAATAAGAGCAGTGATGGGGCTAGAAGAGCATCCGCTAGGGGCTGCGTAGTGAGAAATGTCGACGATACTTCGACCAAGTACTCGAATGCAGCAGTCGGGGCATAGATATGCATGAAATAGCTCAGAGCTAGTATTTCCGGGGTCTCTGGCAGTTCCCGAGCGACGGAAGCATGGACCCTGACAGTCTCATCACATTCAGGTTCAGATTCGGTTTTGGGAGAGGTGGTTCGACTCTTGGCAGCCCGCTCATGAGACTTGCGAGCTGCCAGAGACGTCTGATCACGGAGGCGCAATGAGAAAGAATCCCGATAACCTCCGCAATCAATGTTCGCTCTTCGGCATTGAGAACATCCTGGTCGCATCATATCACACTATTCAGAAGTATAAGATACGTGAAACACTCTCTGCAGGAATGTCGCCAAGGCTCAAGGACATGGCTTACCTTCCGTCTCTTGGTGCGGCACGGCTGGCAGGCTTTGGACGGGGTAGCGGGGTTTCCTCTCATGGCTGTATGGAAGGATTGAAGATCCGCAGAGCAGATTTGCTTCACAATCAAAATGGGTATTCCTTCAGAAACCAAACGGGCAAGCAACTCGACATAATGTTCTGGAAAATGGAAAAGTAGTAAACAGGCAACAATCTTCCTCATAGCCACAGTGGGAGGTCCAAAAGGCTTGGCAAGACGCTAATCCTCGAAATTATTACCCCTTTAGGTTTAGCTCGATCCACCGATCCGCAAAGCTTCGAAGGTTAAAGCCGATTGACGATTATGACTACGGTAGAGTGTAGATATGGATGAATTAGAGCCGCAAAGGTACCTGTTTGTTGTTAAGCCGTGTATCTTCCCAACTACCATATATAATATCTATACACTCAATGTCGGACTACCCTGATCATCATCCTTATTCCTTAAAAAAACAATAAAGAAAAAAGAAGACCACCCCGAAACACCGGGCCGCGACTGCGTCAGACCCCGACTCCGCCCATGAAGCGAAATGTATCAATTATGCGAGGCATTGATACCACTCGGGTTCAAACCCACTTCCCCCGCCGGAGGGGCGCGATGACCTAGTGATTTACCATTAGGTTAGCCGCGGTGGTCTTGTTGAAATTGGGAGGTGGAAATCCTACTTAGCCTCTCATGGCAAACAAATGGCGGCAACGGTGGGATCCTCTTTTCAGCGGGGCATTCTATTCGAGTTGCTTGGAGTGCTTGGTGTGGTTATATTACGAATAACTCATTGCTGAGTATCTAGCTGTTGTATCTATCATTGAAGCCTACAATTCATACGATGATCTTCCGGGCTGTCTTAGAGCTGAGATTGATATTCCATTTCATCCATCAAAATACTCCCTGACAAACACGATAGATCACCATCGCACATCCATAGATCGACCTCATCCATAGCAGACAATAATAGCTTCAAGATTCCCATAGATCGCACGACATGCGCATTCATCGCGACGCCGCTGTAGTCCACCTTCACAATCATCTCTTTCCTGTCTTTGCCTTGGTTCTCTTGGTTCCCCTGGTTCCCTTCTTTCCATTGCTTCCCTTATTTCCCTTTTGTTCCTTTTGTTCCTTCAGGCCCTTCAACCGGAAAGTCTCACGCCACTCCTCATTCGCCTGCTCAAGATAGTCCAGGAAATCCTGGTACTCGCAATCACTGTCCGGCTCCGGCACATCGTCTCTCATCTCCGGGTCAATCTGCTCCCAGGCAATATGAAGCGCCTCCCACTGATACTCAGACACCTGGCTAGCGCACCCATACAGATACTCGAGCCAATCCTCAGGCTTAACCTTCTTTCGAACCTTGGACCAGTCCCAAGGCGCGTCTTTGATGATCTTCATGACATCATCAAAGTCGGCACTGAAATTGGCAATAAGGAGATCAAGCCAGTCTTCAAGGGTACTTTCACGGAGATCTTCGCGCTCTTCCTCATTCAGTGATTCGTACCAGGTGCGTGCCGAGCCCCGCAGGCAATCTTGGAGGTGTCGTCTGAATTTGCGGTCGTTCTCCATCATGGCCCAGTACATGATGTGCTCTTTGAAGGCGCTTGGATCGGTGAAGATGTCGCCATCATAACTGGCGAATGCGAAGTTCTCTCTCTCGTCGGGGTCAAAGACGCCATAGTCATCAGCGCACCAGTGATCGCTTGGAGTACTGCAACGGGATGGAAAATTATCCTTCGCAGGGGCAGCGTCCGGAACGGGGGAGGCAGGCTCGGGGGTGGCAGTTAGAGAGCCCTCAGAGATGCTAATAGGAGCATCTTCACAAGCGCCGAGAGTTGGGCTGGTAGCAGGTGGAGTCGCAACGAGACACTCGGCCTCGGTATCTGCAGGGACAGTGGGAGCGTTGCCATCAGATGGAGCACAGTCCGTAGCTGGAGCACCGGGCTCAACAGAAGCGCCAGTCTCAGGCAGGTCAAGAGTAGCGGCGTTCTCTGCATTTTTTCTAGAGCGAGGGTGGCTCAACTTGACCTTCTTCGGGGAGCGCTGAACCAGCTCATCGTCAGAGGACATGGTGAGATCGAGGAAGTTTTTGTCTTTGGCCTCGATCACTCGGCCTGGAGTAGCTGAAGTGGGATCAGTAGAGCCGCGAGGCGGCCGAGTAGACGGTGGGCCAGGGGAGGCCGCCATGGTGAAGGTTGGTTGACGATGTTAGGGAAGAGGAGGGGATGGGAGGGTGGAAGAGAAAGGAAGAAAGAGAGGAAGAAGGACGAGAGATGTTTTCTTATTGTGGAAGAATCGAACGCGTTGCGAGGCGTTGTGATACCTGCTGTTTGTTTGTCCATCTGCTTTCATAGTGCCTGTTTCCTAATTAGGCATTTTACACCCTAGGACCTCCCAGATTTTGATCTGGGTGGACTGAGGCATGATAAGCCTCAATAGCTCAGGCTCGTTTTAGACATCCTCAGACCAAATTGCTGATGTCGTTCGGTGTAAGTATCCGACTTGAAGTTTTTGATAGCAACATATGAAGTCCAAGTATAGATCGTCCAATTATAGATCACAGACAGCGATGACATCATCATCACGAGGCATACTGTTTCCATAACACATAAGAGGATAATTCAATTAATAGAACATGGTATCATATCGGGAAATTAGAAATAAATTATTGGGGATTCCCACGACTATTGCCAACCGCGCCCACCCTGCTGTCCCCAGCCGTGGCCCTGTTGAGCACCCGGATGAGGAGGGAAATGATATTGTCCAGGAGGAAGCTGTTGGCCAGGCGGCATAGGCATAGGCATAGGAGGAGGATGCCCAGCAAATGATTGAGGGAAAGCAGGATGGTTCATCCCCGGGCCAAGTGGGGGAAGGGCATGCCCAGTATATGTGGGGGTGGGCCAGACGGCCAGGCGCCGGGAAATGGGGGTGGAGGCGGGGGAGCAAAGTTGGCGCCTGGGGGAGCCGCAGGGTATTGTGGATTGTAAGGACGGGTCTGTTGATAGGGTCCAGGAGGAGCTGGTGGCGGTGGAGGTGGAGGAGGAGCGTGCGAGTGTTGATGTGGAGGTGGAAACCGTGGTGGAGATGGTTCGCGCGGCGTATAGGAGCCTTCACTCGAGCGAGATCGAGATCTGCGGCGGGAGCGGCTCCGTGAGCGTGAGTCGTAACGCCGTGCCTCCTTTTTACCTGTACGAGGCCGACTGTGCGATCGAGAGTCGGATCGTTGGCTGTCATGGCTCAGGGAGCTGTCGCTGTACCGCCGCTTGACAGCGCCACGGGATCTGCTGTGGCTTCGACTGCGGCTGCGCGAGTCAGGTCGCTTTTTCATTTGCTGGCAGAATGCCCGAGACCAGCCGTAGTATGTCTCGCCATCCAAGATATCCCCAGTGATTTCATCTCGAGTGATCCGCTGGCCAAGCTCATCGACATCCATGCTTCCATCATCTTTGATGAGTTCCTCGGTACCGTAGATCTGATCTACTTCCTGCATAAAGCCTTTCAGAGCTTTGACCAGTGACTGATCGGCGGGACCAGCAAGGAATTGTAGGGGTTTAATGCTGTCGGAGCGAAGAGGGATAGTCGAGTTGGGGATGATATGAGGGATCCAATTGCCGACCGGCAGGTCGTAGTATGGTGTTGAAGGGTCGCCGTGAGTGGATGGCATGACAAATGGCACCTCTTTCCCAGGCAGCTTCTTGGAAGTGTCGGTCTCATCGATCAGAACATCAGTCGACGAGGCCGGGGCAGTGCCACCTGCTCCGATGGCAGCCGAGTTCTTCACCGTTTCCCGCAATTTCTCGATCAATTCAGGACCAAAGTATCCATGGTCAGACCAGATTTCAAGTAGGTCATCTAGGCGCCGATGATGACGGGGGTTCTTTTGTCGATCGTAGGCTGCGGCGTGCCCGAGCAGCTCCACCACGTATGGCTGCAGGGATCCGCTGACCGTGGAGAAGGTGGCCGTGGCATCGAGGTGGTATTTGCTATGATGGAACAAATCATTGAGGAGATAAAGGATATGGAGCCTCCGACGCTTCACTGAAGTTTTAGAGCGATGGCTAGTACCGGCGCGAGCACCTGGACCTGCACCTGCGACAGTCGGTTCATCAGAGGAGCCAGCTAGGGCCACGAGGTATTTGGCCAGCCCTCCGACCCGATTAGCGGAGTAGGCGACATATTGCAGTAGCCATGCTTTGCAGGTCTGTTTGGGCCGAGGGGCAGTTTAGTATGACTGAGGCGTGATAGGAGGAGAAAGCTTGTCATGGATCAGACCTGGACGTTTGCTGGGGAGCAATGGTTGAGGACGCGATCAAGGGCCGTGTGAAAGGCAGCGATGTCATCGCGCGGAACAGATGAAGGATCTGGACGCAGGAGCCCGGCCGAAAAGGAGGCCTTTGCAATGGCGATCTGGTGGGAGGCCATCGACGGCTCGGCTCATTGGTGTTTGGAGATCTTGAGATGCGGCGAGGTAAGCTCCCCAGCGCAAAGTCTCGGCTCCGCAGGCGATTACGAGAGTTATCGCACGTGATCTGGAAGGGAGGAGCTCCGCTGAAGCCTGAAGGGACAGGCCACCCCACAGTACCCTGGTCGAGTCTGAAGTACTGACCCACATCGAGGCTCCTCCATCCACTCATATCCAAGAGATCCTTCAAGGCTTCGAACAATGGCCCCAGCAAATCGCCCAGAGATCCTTCTCCTCTCCCTCGCACGCTATTGTTCATTTTTCGATGAGACTTACTCCTCCTTGATTGACAAACTGGCCGAATCGGCCACCGTGAATTGTGCCAAAACGGTGACTGGTGCGATTCGGTACCTGGGAGAGCATAACCCGAAGGCCATCATCATCACGGACCCGGGCCTGATTGAGGATGCGAATGCAGAAGTACTCCCAAAAGTGATCTCGTACGTTCAGAACGGGGGCATTGCTATCGCCGGTCTTTATTCCCCAATTTTATGTATCCGTATGAGTTCGATAATTTCTTCGCCTCTGGCTTTGAGCTGCCTTGGAAGTCTGGGGATTATCATCGTACTGAGTTCGAATTCAATCGCTCCTGTGTCCTCCCTCAGGGTGCCATGACATCTTCACTCCCTGGACCATACAGCATGAAGACACTTCATATCAAGAACGCTCGGCCTCATGAGAAGATTTTCGTCCCTGTCAGAAACGCTCGAACCCAGTCGCATGTCCTTCCCCCGACACCAGTGGATCCAACCCAGGCCAGATATGTGGCCTACTGTGGTGATGCCAACGCGGAGGAGGGCTCGGATAAGGTTATCCTGTCTCTCTGTGGCCTTCGGGGTTGATTGTTCACGCGCATGGAAATGTTAATACTTCGCGCTGTTGGCATCCGATGGGGATTCATGTTTACTTTCTACCCTCTCGCAGACTACGGCATATGATGGAAACAGTCTGCAGGCAAGGAATATTTTTAATGATCGACTATGATTGATATTTCGGGGCTGGAATTCAGGATCATTTACTTAGTTGGGAGCGAGCAGTGATTATTTGCGTATTTGGTTATGTGGGGAATGGCGGATTAGGTAGTTGACCACTGCATACTTATTTACTTGGTACTAGGGACGCTTTGACATCCTTCCGAATCTCTCATCAAACATGCTATCCCTGTGCTTGTCTCCCACTTAGCCATTATTATTATTCATTTGGAGGAGCTCAGCAAGTCCATCCGATTGAGCCCCGAAGGATATGTAGAACCATGATATGACTCGGCAAGCTGCCCCGGCCCATACCCGAGCCCATACCCGCCCGCCTTCAGTTGTTGTATGCAGCGGATCTACTTTATCGCGCGTTGTTAGTCGTTTCATAGTTCGGCAGTTCAGATCGGATGTACTCTGTCCCGTATCATCTCATGGAGGAGTAGCTGCCTGAAATGTCTTCTTCTCGAGTAAGATCATTCCATGAACGTGGTGGCCCAACAACCCACCCTCCATACTCCATACTCTTTTTGATCCTCTCTCCTCCCTGTGAGCTCGTCCCTTGAGGGGCCAGTGCCGCCCCACTCACTTCGGCCGATGCGCAGTGCCACGAGCCCCGCGATGGCGTGAGAAAAGCACGTTATGTATTGGGTGTAGAATGACGAGATTACCTGTCTACTTGATAATGTGGCTGTATTGGTAAGGAATAGGCAGTAAACTAGTAGTGCCATCTGTGCCATAGCATACAGTTAACACGTCCCTTGCGGATTCTACTTCCTTCCACTTAGCTTCAAGGTATCTGTAAGCAATTCATCAGCCTCAGTCAGAGTCATCATCCATAGGCGGCCAGTGGTCCACGCTGTATGGCTCTTCGTGCCGACAGGCCGATCCGTCATGAGGTACACGAGTACATACTACTAAGCAGACAAATGTTGATCCATTCCCCAAGGGCTGAATGACAGTATTATTATTGATCTCCCTGGGATCATGAACACCAGCCCACCAGCCCATCGCCCAGGTTGTCGTAGTGGGCCCCGCAGCCCATGACTCTTGTTCTCTGGATCTCCCCCACACGGGTCACTTGCGCCTTTGCATGGCCTGACTTGCTCATCGTCCCACGTTCTATAAATGGCCTTGGCCCCCCTCCCTCCTCGTGATTAACTGTCGTTTTCAGAACAAGGCTACTCCAAACTCAACACTAAACATTTCAGTCTATTCTGCTATTTCACCACCACCACTCCAACTACTTACCTCTCGACACAACACTTCTCTCTACTTCTGGTCTCTGCGATATACCTCGAGTTGCCATCATCTACTGTACAACTCACTCTTACTTCAAATCCACCAACTCTCCAACTTTCAAATAACCACAATGGCCACCGTCATCGCCGCACAACTCGCCCGCCCTTCCATCCGGCACTTCTCAGCCCACCGCCCACGCCCCGATAGTCGTGCGGCTCGTGCTGTCGCCATGTCCTGCCTTGTCTCCGGCGTGGTTCTCCCCTTCGTACCGCCCGCCCTCGAGAGCTCGCGTCAACGAAACTCGAACTCGCCAGACAGCACCAAGTGAGTCTAGTCCAGTCAACCAAATGCGCATTCAGAGTGCCGGTTCCTCGATAAGCGCCTGCTTTCAATATGCAATGCCCGAATGACACTCATACATGCATGTGGACCATCGACGCTAACCAAAACATAGGCCCCACCCCCCACTGTGCTTCCATGCCCGCTAGCCGACAAACCCAAGCCCGTAGACATGAAATCGGACGATTTACTTTCTTTTCTTACGTCTGCATGTCTCTAATTTGATTCTGGGTTCCAGTGCTCAGTGCTGGCACCAGTGCGGGACCTCCTGACTTTATGCATATCATTCGGGGGCGTTTGGGAATGGGGTGTTGCGTTTGGCTTACTCTTTTTCTGATTACGATTTTTTTTTTTTCTATGTTCGGATCATTAGCATGGAGAGGAGATATTCCAATATGATCGGGCATCAGACAGAGCTGCTTTTCTTACGGAGATCTCGAGTGACGAGGCACGTATAGATGGATGATCCGCAAGATTACTACCTGTATATTTCCAACAGTATGCATTCTAGTTCTGTAGCATTATACAAAACTGTTTTACACATAACTGTTTTTGGACGAGATACAGTCTTCATTGTCGATATGAAAAAAAGTCATGGAATTTCCTCCCAGACTCACTCTATAAGGCCAGTATGCCAACCCAGCGGCACACCACACATTACATCTTTTTCTCTCCCTATTTTACATGTTCAAATGTACAAATGACGCTCCACGATCGCCCTTTAACTGAATCGGTTCCCCCGCGGCGGCCGGAACGGCTCCGCTGCCTCATATTTCCCCTTCTCCACGACCCGCTCATTCTCGGTCATCGGCTCGTGTCGCGTCGGCGCCGGGTCATGCGAAGCTTCGGCGCTAGGCGAAGCAACGTCGTCGGTCGCGTTCTGGAACCGGGTCATGTTGGCGCGCTTCAGACTAGGGTCGTCGGCTGGGTTTGCGGGGGCGGGCAGGGAGGCTTGTCGTTTGTGCTCGGCTTCCATGGCTTTCAGCTGGGCCTTGCGAGTGGCTTCGGCTTCGAAGCGGGCTTGTCGGTCGGCATTGATGGATTGTTTGGCGAAGTAGTAGGCTCCGCCGCCGGCTGGTGAGGACGGATATGTCAGTTTGATTGATACTCGGATTGGTGTCTGACCGGGCCTGGATGGTGGAATTGTAGATTGAACGGGTTGAAAGTACGTACCGATACAAAGGGAGCCCCAGCCAATCCTGTCAATTGGGTAAAGATCTTTTCGTCAGCTTTGTAGCCCCGGATATGCGATGGGCCCATGTCGATGCGGAGAATCGGGGGAGATCTGCTTACCAGGTTGATCTAATCTGAAGGCAGAGAAAGAAGTTAACTGGTTGATTAGGCCACTTAAAATGGAATAGACAACTCACTGTGTTCATTGCTGCGTGATGTGACTGAAAATAGAGCGAAGAGAGAAATATGGCATGATCCTCTACGTCAGTAAAGATAGCTCCGAGGTGGAGCCTTGATGCCTCAGGCCATGATATGTCAGCCTGGAACCTCGAATTCAAGAATCTAGTCACCTCTGCCTTTGTGCTTACTCTTTCATCACCTTCGCCCTTCACGACATCTCCCTTTCGTCTGCAGGATCTCTGCATCTACCTCCACCCAACTTGAACCTCACCAAGTGAGCCTCCGAGTCAAAGCCGTTCACCACCGCTAGTCAGCAACCGCCGCCTGTTTCCTGCGGCGCCACTGTTCGTGGCATGCAGGTCTGAACCATCGCACTTGAGGCGGCTCTCGCCTCAAACACCCCTCTTTCGAGTCTCCTTTCTCTCCATCTATATCGCCGTCCTCGAAATCCCCAATCCGGACAAAATGCCGACAAAGCGTAAGGCCGCCGACGGTAAGTTATCATGGCTGGTCTACTCGCCTGGTGAGTCGAGTCAGAAAGCTGACATCTTTGTCTAGTCGGCCGGTCTAGCAGCGACTCAAAGCGAGCCACTCCAGTCCCCGATGTGACGGAGATTTCCAGCAGCGACGAGTATTCGGACCCCGATGATGGACCGGAGGACAACAACTTGAAAGGTAGAGTTTAGCGGTCTGCGCACATTCGTGACTCAGATGCTAAAACTGGCGGATGAAGATGTCGTCAACAAGTTTTCGCTGGAATCCTTCAGCAAGCGAACGCAGTCCCAGAAGACCGATCCCAGATTCGGCTACAAGGACCTCTCATATCTCCCCCTCAAGCGTGACCACTACAACCGACCGCTATGGATCGAGCCGGTAAAAGGCACGATCACCCTCGAGAGTTTCTCGCCGCTGGCGCCCCAGGCGCAGGATTTCCTGACCACCATCGCCGAACCGCTCTCGCGTCCCACACACCTTCACGAGTACCGCCTGACGGGCCACAGTCTTTACGCCGCTGTGTCGGTTGGTTTGAAACCACAAGATATCGTCGAGTTCTTGGACCGTCTATCGAAGACCCCATTGCCTGAGAGTATCTCCCAGTTCATCATCGAGTTCACCAAGTCCTACGGCAAAATCAAGATGGTTCTGTATCACAATCGATACTACGTGGAAACAGTGGAGCCGGAAATGCTGCAGATGCTTTTGAAGGACGAAGTGATTGGACCACAGAGAATCTCCAACGAGGAGGGAATTATTGAGCGAGCAGCCCCAAAGATGGGCGCACTCGTTATTCCCGGAACGAAGGATGCGGCCGGTGTACGAGAGACTGCTGGTCAAGCGAAGGCGTCTGGTACCTCTCGGACCGAGACCCAGGGAGAGAGACAGGACTATGGCATCAACGATGTCGGTGATGAAGCCTCGGAAGCCCTCACATACAGTTTCGAAATCCCACCCACGGGCGTCGAAATCGTGAAAGCACGTTGTCAAGCTATTGGCTGCCCGGCTCTGGAGGAGTACGATTTCCAGGGCGACACGATCAATCCCAACCTTGACATGGATTTAAAACCTACGGCCCGGATTCGTCCGTACCAGGAGATGAGTCTCAGTAAGATGTTCGGTAACGGACGTGCGAAGAGCGGTATTATCGTTCTTCCTTGTGGTGCCGGTAAAACTTTGGTGGGAATTACCGCGGCGGCTACCATTAAGAAGGGTACGATCGTTCTCTGCACTAGTTCCATGTCCGTGGTTCAGTGGCGAAATGAATTCTTGCGCTGGACTACTATCGACCCGGGCGACATCGCCATCTTCACGTCCGACCACAAGGAGAAATTCAAGCGGTCGACGGGTATCATTGTGTCCACCTACTCGATGGTGTCGCAGACTCGAGCACGGTCTTACGATGCCAAGAAGATGATGGACTGGCTTCAGTCTAGAGAATGGGGTATGATGATTCTTGACGAGGTGCACGTCGTGCCGGCCTCGATGTTCCGAAAGGTCACATCGGCCATCGCTGCGCAGACTAAGCTCGGTCTCACGGCGACTTTGCTGCGTGAAGACGACAAGATCAAGGATTTGAACTTCCTGATCGGACCGAAACTCTACGAAGCGAACTGGATGGAACTTGCCGCACAGGGCCATATCGCCAAGGTCCAGTGTGCCGAGGTGTGGTGTCCTATGACTACCGAGTTCTACTCGGAGTATCTGCGAGCAAGCTCGAGGAAGCAGGCCCTGCTGTACATCATGAATCCACGGAAGTTCCAGGCTTGCCAATACCTTATTGACTTCCACGAGAAGCGCGGTGACAAGATCATTGTGTTCTCCGACAACGTCTATGCTTTGGAAAAATACGCACGCAAGCTGAACAAAGCCTTCATTTACGGTGGCACTGGCCAGAACGAGCGCTTGCGTATCTTGGAGAACTTCCAACACAACGAGCAAGTTAACACCATCTTCCTGTCCAAGATTGGTGATACATCGCTTGATTTGCCCGAGGCTACGTGTCTTATCCAGATCTCCTCTCACTACGGCTCTCGTCGTCAGGAAGCACAGCGCCTGGGACGTATTCTTCGTGCCAAACGCCGTAACGACGAAGGTTTCAATGCCTTCTTCTACTCACTGGTCTCCAAGGACACCAGCGAGATGACTTACTCGTCGAAGCGACAAGCCTTCCTTGTCGACCAGGGCTATGCATTCAAGGTGATCACTCACCTGCAAGGTATCGACGAGTATGACGGTCTTCACTATGCTACGCCGTCGGAACGTCGCGAGCTGCTCACGGAAGTCATGCTGCAGAACGAGGCCTCTGCGGACGTGGAGCAAGTCACCGACGATCTGTTCTCGATGCGCAGCGGCGGGCGCAACGCTGCTGCGAAGAAGGCTAAAGCGAAGCGCAGTGCTGCCACGCTCAGTGGTCTCGCAGGTGGCGACGACATGGCGTACATCGAATACAACAAGAGCAGGAACAAGCAGCTCAAGGACAAGGCGGCTCAGCACCCGCTGTTCAAGAAAATGGAGCGGGACCGTCTGCGCCGGAAGAAGGAACGCGAGACGGCCAAAGGACAATAGATGCAGAACGAGCAACAGCAGTCTACAGTACATTGTGCAAGGCAGAGACCTCCACTGTCGATACCCCCACCTTTCAAAATGGAAAAAAAAAAAACAATTACAGTACTCGAAGGAATGGTCTTGCGAAGATTTTGACCCAAATTGTAGAGAGCCTGGTCTATTAGTTCCAGTTCTTTGTCCATCCTTCTTTCAGGCGCGCTATTGCCAATTATCAATGCTGCATGTTCTCATGTAACCTGGCAGAAGAATGACAAACTGTGATCTCCCAATATTAACTTGCCAAATATACCAGATGTACCCAAACACAACTCGTATTCCTCGTAACTAATAAACATTGAATTTGCAATCAACAGGTCCCGGACTGGTCCAGACTACAAGCTAGAAGCCCCTCATTATTACCTTACTAACATTTCCCCGTCCAAAATACGAAGGACCTGGGGACCCCCATTTACACAATATCTGTCAGCAAGCCGGGCCCAGTCCTCCCCCGTTGGAACTCCGTATTATGTGAGCTAGTTCAGTTACCTAACTGTGTGCTCCGTGCTGTATCCGCAAAATAAACTCGGGCATTGACAGACTAAAATGACGTCTGTTCGTGGCAACGGAGTCCGGAAGGCCCGATAGCTCCGCTTTTTTCGGGGTCTATCCTGTTCGCATACTCCGGTTTGTTGTCCCTGATAGGCTCTGCTGGTGCTGGACAAAGCTACCCCCCGTTTAGCTTCTGGTCGCACACGAGCTGCAGGGCTTGTCCCGGCTTTGTTTCTGTTGCTTTACTTCACCGAATCGTGTTTGGGTGGGTAATACTGTCCGGTCTGGGCCTCAAGAGATACGAAATGTGTCATGTGTCGATCATACTATAAAAGGATCTTGTTTCCCCGGACAAGAGCTCCCCGCAACATCGGTTTTGAAACAACATCTGCATCTGCGGATAAGCTTCTGTTTTACACTTGGGGTCGGTTCAAAGGTTCTTTGCCGATCGGGTGTTCTTTGTTCTTTGATCAATTATCATCCCGACCTGTGCTCGGGTCTACAGTGCCTCTATCGCCGAGGTTATACAGTGCGCCCAAGGCTCGATTCGTCCATAGCAACCAGACCAAATACCTATCCACCATGGCGACTGCACGCAAGATCCATCTCTCCCCGGAGACGGACACGGGTATCTTCAGCTCGGGGGTGAGGGAGGATACAGCACGGGCGGCCAGTGAGGCTCTGCAGCTGGATATGGAGAAGCATCATGTTTTCTTTAACGAGCAGGGTTTCCACAGTCAGATATCCCCGTCCCCTTGGGTCGCACACTGAGTGGTATGCATCTTATTGACTTTTATACCAGATCACATCCCCCATATGCTTCTCAGCATCTACGCCCTCGGCGGAACACCCGAGGATATCCGCGCGGCTTACGAGAGGAGTCAATCTTACCAGCGCAAAGCCGTGCCCGTCAATGCCGAGGTAGTTGATAAATTGAACGAGACTGGAGACTTCAAGGAGTATCTTGGGAAGGGGAAAAATTACTCGAATTTCTTGTCGTTCTTCCAGCGCCAGATTGATGAGAAGGGCGTGGATGCTGTGCTCAATGAATATGTTTTTGCTGGGAATGAACAGGCGGAGAATATGCTGTGCCGAGTGTGGGGAGGTGCGTCTCTTCATGATTCTTTTTCGGATCAAGATGTGGTTCTAATGATCGATGATACAGGTCTAATTCATCCACTCATTCATCTCGGATTCGGGCTCGAGTTCAATCAACCTGCCATCGTGGCCCAGGCCCTTGCGCAGGCTGCGGTTCATGATGATAGTCTTGGTCGTGATTTTTTCCTGCCTGCTGAGAAGATGGCAGGTGAAATTGGAAAGCCGGGAAGCAAGTCCCTCAGACAGCTCTTGGAAGAGATCCGCAAGGATGAGATCTTGTCTCGTTCAGCCAGGACCACGGACGTGAACAAGATTCGAGACGGCGTGTTGACTCGTGCCCCGCAGGAGATGCTGAAGTATGCCGCGCAGTACACGGTATCAGAAGACCAGCTGGAGGAGAGACTGGCAGATATGATCAACAACGTTGGTGAGTCTTGAATTTTCTCTAGCCTCCATGTTCGCTGCCCTTTGCTGAACCTGTTTCTGTTAGTATACTACACCAGCGCCGCCCAGCGACCTAACAAGGCAGTCAAACTGGACTTTTTCTTCATCCACTGCCTCAATTCATCCATCTTCTTCTCGAAGCTCGTACACCTCCCAGCATTGAGTCAGCAGACCCGGCTGCGCCTTCTAGAGTGGAAAGGCCGCATGGATCTACTGATGTATGTGTCGCGCGGTTGCCCCGAGCTTCTACGAGACGATATCACCAACTACCCTGCGAAAAATGACTGGACCACCCTCTTTGCCCGCGCCGCATCACACCCTAAGGATGATGGACATCTGGCCAAGTTTGTGCGCGCGGTCGCACACGGGGAGAATGTGTGTAAATCATTCGAGAGCCAGGGACAACAGGCTATGCCTGTCTCTGGAAACATGTGGCTTCAAATCGGTAATATGGGTAAGTTATATCGTACCACTTGTTCTGCATGACTAGCATGATTTTTTGGTCATCGCTAACTCCTCAACAGCTATCGACTCCACTGTTGGGGATGAAGACGCGATGTGGATCCGCTCCACTGGTTTTGATGAGGCATGGGAGCATGTCCCCGGACGTGCCCGGCTCTGATGATGATGGATCCTGGGCTGTGGTAGGATTTCGCTGGCAATTGGTGTTATTCGGACATACGCAGTCTCACGCATGTAATTTTGATGCCCGTTACGAGCTTTAAATTGACAATTTCTTATGTTGACGTATGGTTTCCGATCTAATCTGCAGTGGGGCTCGGCCCAGACTCGCCGTGATCCTTGTGGATGGGCGCGTAGAGGAAGGGTTGATACAAAGAGATATAAACCATAATGTAGAGGATATATGGTAAATAAGCAAGTAGAATCCAATTGAATCAGATAACCGAACCCTCAAGACACGATATTTGAAAAGGAAAGACGTCATATGTATAAGAGGAAAACATCAATGGGTGGAGCTCACGTGGCGAAGTTGAATGTGGGGCGGCCTTCCCAACAGCTTCACTTTCAACTTCTTCAAGACTCCACGTCCCATCGTCTCACACCCAAATCTCAGTACTGATTCTCAAAATGCCCAGCGATCGAGACTCCGACGACCAAGACCGCAACAAGAAGCCCTCCAATACACCCCAAGATCGCGACATGGAGAGCGAGACCAACCCGTTCGTCGCCTTCCGGCGCTTCGCTGATGAACAAGTCTCTTCCGTCTTACAATCCATCACTGGTCTCCCTTCCGCCGTGTCGCCTCCCCAGCCAGACCACTGGACTATCTTCACCGACGATAAAACCTACAATAGCATGAAATACCGACACCGAGACGGCGCCAGCCCAAACAATGCGGGGGATCAGAGCTATACATCGAGCGGAGGCGCCGAAAGCAGCTCGTCCGGAAATCGCGATGATAACGACAAACCCTCAGATAACAACGGTGGCACACCCGTATCAAACTCGTCACAATCGCAGCCATCCGCAGACACGGACTCAAAGACTTCGCAATCGCGCCAGCGCTGGTCTAACGAGCCGTCAGACCCGCTTAGCCTTGACGCGCTCTCCTTCCCTCTCTTCTCACAGCCCTTTCGGACACACTTCAACTTCTCCATGCCATCATTCTTTCAGCACTTCGATGACCAATGGCCGTTAAACTATATAACCTTCAGTCCCTACTCCCCTTTACACCTGGAGCGCCAAGCACGCGACCGAGTACGCCAGGAGAAGGGCGTGTTTTCCTCCCTCGTGTCCTCCTTCCGGGAGGAGTCGGATCGTGATCCCAACGAGCCGCAGTGGCGGGAGGCCTTTGAAGATCTTCTTCGAGTCGAGAATGGAATGTCGCTACTGGATCGCGATAGGTTGATCGCCGGCAGGACCGAGAGCGAGTGGGACTGGCTGAAAGGGCTGGTTAAACGTGGAAGTATGGGCAGCGGGTTCCAATTCGTGACTGGCTCGGATAGAGATGGAGTCTTTGGTATCCAGGGTGCTGGGACCTACAAAGACAGATCCTTGGAGGGTACGGAAGCTGAAGCAGATGACGAGCTAGCCTTGTACGAGCGCTTCATGCAGGATCTTGAGGCCTGGGAGCGAGACTTTTCCCAAGTCTTCAACAGAAGTCACATTCTGCGCTCTCTTGTTGAAAATCGCCAAAACCGACATCAGTTAGAGGAGCTGGGCCAGTCTGATTCTCGTCGTGGCTTCCCTCCACTCGAGGACAAACAAGGTGACGACGATAACGAGAGCTGGCTCGATCTTGTCTCGGGTGGGAACCGAAAGTCCGTCCCTGAGACGCCAGTCGAGTCCAGTCTCTCAGATGACGCCTCCTCGTCTCGCATTATTTCCACCATGTCTCGGACAGAACGAACGCGTCTCCCCGATGGCTCTGTCCAGACCAAGAAAGTTGTGACGAAACGCTACGCCGATGGCCGCGAGGAGACAGACTCATCCGTTGAAACGACCCATCCTCGTTTTGCCGACCTATCGGTCTCGGGAGATGGCGAGTCTAAGCCGAAGAATGGTTGGTTCTGGAAGGAGTAATCTTTCTATCGCCATGATGCATGAAACCATATATCCCGAGCTAGCAGTGACACGATCCATGAGTATTTACTTTTCACCCTTTTTTTTCCTAGCGTTTTCTTTTTCTTGGTCAAGTTACGATCTTCGCTTTGCCAATCTGACTTCGGCAGTCTATTTTCTTTCCTGTTACATACTTCATGTCAATCGTTATACTCCCCAGTGCAGAGGAACGAATGCTCTACCCTGAAACTTGATCGATCTCTTCATCTAGTAGAACCCGTATCGCCGACAGAGAGGAGCAATATAGTAATCCACATAAAGCGAGAATGAACAGTAGGAGCCTTCAGTTGGAGCAACCGGTTCTGTTCATTACCAATCGACACTGCTGAACGCCCTTGAGTAGAGAAAGCGATTCTAGAATTCGAAGTAGATCTAAATCCCACGAAGAACCCACCAAAGTAGTACATCAAACGATAGGAAGAAGATCATGTCTGCTGCATTGGTCTTTAATCCGCCTTGACGCTCTTCTTCTGTCCTTTCCCGGTTGTCCAGCCCTTGGATTCCCAAAACTCGACATTCTCCAGCATTTTCTTGTATGCCCAAGTGAATGGTGGGTCTAAAGCAATCAGTATCAGGCATTCACCGCCAGGGAAACGGACGGCATAACTTACATAGGAACTGTCTCAGATCGTGTCTGTTGTCCTCGGGAGAGTAGTCGAGCGCGTGACTAAACGAGGGTCACTAGGTGAGTACTGGGACACCGAAAGTTAAAATGACTGGCTTGACTTACTATGCCGGCGTGATGGTCGTCATCTTGTGGCGATTAATAGCTGTAAAATCGTTAGTATGTTTCCATCCAAGTATCTAGAATATTGTATAGAGCTCGACTCACCGTAGTAGAACGAGAAGTGGCGAACCTTCTCGTAGATCTCACGCGGACTGAGCTCATTGCCCCAGACATGGAGCAACTTTTCATACATGGACCATGGGCCGAGCTTGGCCACTTTGCGGAGATATCTGCAGTCTTGTCAATTTTATTTGAACTACAAACTGGAAGCAAGGGCTTGAAACATACCCGAATGTACCCAACTCAGAATATTTAACTCCCATATCGACCTCGTCGGATTGTGCGGCTGCCAGGGGTTCTAGCTCGGCGGTTGGGGTGGCCTCCAGGAACTCGGTAAGGATGGGCATGTCGAACTCGCGAACACCCCAGGCAATGAACCGTTTAAGGTCGACTTTGTTTAGACTGCCAATTGGGTTGAGCTATATGGCCATTAGTATAGGATCTTGGTAACGCAATAATGTATTAGCATGAGCACTTACATCAGCAGATGAGGCGTCATATTTCGTAAGGTAACCTCGCAAGCTATCTCTCATTAGCAGAGACCAATTGAAAGCTGGAATTTCCAAGCGCGAACCATTCTAAAAGCTTGGTTATTATTAAGTCATCCAATAACGTTGTGGACACGACTTACCATCCACATTCGACGATGCAAGCACCAGCAAACCACCTCCACCAGGGCGCTGGCGGACGGTTGGGAGCAACGAGGCAAATAGATAAGAGAAAACCATTCTCATGCGAGCCTGTACATTCTGCAAAGCCAGATTCTCGGCAGGCGCACCACCGTGGAATTTGAAGCGTGGCTGGAAGCTCGTTACAGCAGTGAAGACATTCATGATGGCAGTGACAACGGTGTCAAAGTTGAAATCAATATGATAGCAGCCGATATCCTGAGCGAGTCTCTTCGCTCGGGTCCGAGTCTCATGGCTGGAGTTTTGGGTACCCATGTACGCAGTGTGAAAGATAGCCACGCAAATCTCCTGGCTAGATGAGGGAAGCCAATCGGAGTCTGCGGGTTTAGCACAAAGCCGGCGAACATCCTTGATTACCTGCTCGTTGCCCTCGTTTACGGCCTTCAAGACTTGTCGGCACATTGAGTGCACGATTAGTGCGGAGGAACAGCTGTCAATACCACCGCTCAGAGCTAAAAAGAATCCGGCAACACCGCATCGCCGGAGGTAGTCCCACAGCCAGCAAGCCGGTCCGAGAGCAATCTCCTCTTCTGGCGCGTGAATGCGAGCTTTGCGGGGCTCAGAGACTGTGAGGCTAGGGTCGGCCTCCTCGGGGCGACGGGAAAGTCTCACGTCAAGGTCGATACGCTGGTAAGGAGACTGCTTACTTGCCTGCATACCACGGCTGACACTAGCTCGGTAAGTGCGGACCTATTAGGAGTCAGTATATAGCAATGGGATCGTAGAGAGAGGAGAGTACTTCTTCAATATCCACAGTAGCAGTGACGACTTCTACATCGTTGAGGGAGAATTGGGAGCCTTGAGCAACAATTTCTCCGTTGATGACAATCATGGCACAACCGTCGTAATAAAGCCTATCGCCGTCGCATCCTTGCTGGTTGGCATAGAGGTAGATACCTCCACTCTGGAAATCATCAGTATGAATAATAGACATGGTTAGAGGGAAAGAAAGAACTTACCAATCTGGTGGCCTGGGTGATAAGGTTCAGGCGTGTGTCAAGCTTTCGAAGCTCATGATGACTGCCGGAAGAGTTGGAGATGATCTCAACGCCTTTTTGAGAATGTCAGAGACAAGTCCAATCGAATTTGATGTGAAGATACATACCTGCCAATCCATATGGAATGTGAGGTCTTTGCAAAATTAGCGTACGATACCAATGACACAATCGATAATGCAGACTGTATGCGCCAATGAGGGGTAGTAATCTACGCACCCATTTGGTGTGAAGAGCTCCTCACAAGTCTCCAAGCCCAGACAGGTATCTCTCGTGCTGATAACCGCATCGCCGAATGGCACCTTGTACTGTCCGGTAATATTGCCTGCAATTTGTTCGAGATAATAGTCCTCCGTCTCCTGGGGGCGCTGCCAGGGCGTAAAGTGGCGGTACTCGCGGTAGTTTCCATCTGATGTACAATCACCGATTAGCAATAGTGTCTTGCAGGAGCTTTGTAGGTATATAAGAGCTGAACAAACCGTTGGCCAACCACATCTTAGGGCGAATGAGAACGATCTTGCGGTTGTAGAAGATGATACTAGAACTCGTTTAGCATGAACATCTCAGCGCGCAAATCAAAGACATACCGGCAGTTGTATCGAACATTTCTGTGCCGGACTGGCATACCAACGTCTACAACAATATTTTGGCAGTCCGGGTGATCGATAATCTGAGCAAGCATTTCCCATGAGTGTAGGAAGGTATCGCCTTCAAGGAAGGCATCAAGACAGCCGTATCCTGCCGGGCTTGGTCAGAATGGTGCGCTAAGCTTGCTATTAGGTCAAATTACCAGTGATCTCAAGCTCGGGACCAACTCGGAGAGTAGCCCCAGCAGCCTTTGCCTGCCGAATACTCTCAATGATCCTGTCCCGGTTGCCCTCCCAATCGAGAGCCCATTGGTTCAGGTTGCTGTAGTCAAATTAGCCTCATGCGGTCATAGGAGGGGTAATGAAGCCCCAAAAAGCAAGTGGCAGCTTCAAGAGTAACAGAGAAGCTTCCTACCATGTCGCCAAAGTTACCAGGTGCCCCATGATGAAGTCCTAGTGTCCGTTATTGGGTACGATAAGGCGCAGAATGAAGCTCGTCTCTTTCTCCGATGGAAATCATTCAACTAGGTCACGTGTGTGGGGAGGCTGCATGGTGAAATTGAAGATTCCCCCGCTTTGTTTCGTATTTACCGTCATTTTGGGCCGATAACGGGAACATCGGCACAAGTCCGACGAAAGAATGGAAATGACGATACCGATAGGAATTGGGACCGCATCTCCCCGGCTGATTAATAACCTCCTGCTGCCCCGGCGTTCGTCTCGTTCCTGGTCGGCTATTTGCATCTTCTTGACGGTTCCATATATCGGATACCCCTAGACTTTGTTCCAGCGGCTTTAGGCATATTTTGTTTGCCAGTGCATCTACACTCGTTATCAGCATGAGCGCAGCCTCTCAAATCCCCAACCCGGCCCACACGCTCGCGGAATCCATGTTGTCACGGCGTTTCGGCAAAGAGACGGTGAACTATTTCTCCAGTACGTGGCAAACGACGGTTACAGGAAGCATTCTGCAGGCAGACAGGACTGACTATGCATAGGCTCTCCAATCAACCGATTGTCGTTCTTGCGAAACGATCATCCATTCCTCTCCTCGGCTCTCAAGCATCCATCCACCCAATTCCTTCTGCTCAATAATCTTGCCCCGCTGACCCGCTCGCCGGCCGAGGTATACTATGCCAAGTATGACGAAGTGCGCAACCTCGTCCCGCAAGATGTCTTTGACCAGTCGGAGGAGGAGATGATCAAGGGGTTCGATTCGCGCAAGACGCATGCGACCCTGATCTTCCTCGGACTGGACGAAACCCGTAAAGAGGGCAGTCTGACGCATAAAACCTACTCGGGAATCCCGTTCTTCGCAGTCGATGTGACACCAAAGGGATCTGTGGCTCAGCAGGCTGCTTGCAAAGACATAATTAGCGCCATGGAAGAGAAGGGCTTGTCTTTCTTCCAGACAAGAGTCATTAGCACATTTACTCCCGATGAAGGTATGTTTAGGAAACTTGAGTCACGATCAAATCATGAAGCTCACTTCTTTATAGCCGCTATCTATGCCCAGGCGCGCGCTTTGATGGACTGGAACACCCGCAATACATTCTGTGGCACCTGCGGCCACCGCACGTTGTCCGTAAATGCTGGTACGAAGCGCGCCTGTCCTCCCACAGATGCAGCGCGAACCGCCGAAGGCCTGCCCCAAGATCGCCCCGAATGTAACACGCGCACCACGCTTTCCAACCTGTCCTTCCCCCGCACCGACCCTACTATCATCGTGGTAGTTGTATCTGCCGATGGAAAGCGGATCTTGCTCGGCCGTGGCAAGCGGTTCCCGCCGAAGTGGTACTCAACCCTGGCTGGCTTTATTGAACCTGCCGAGTCTATTGAGGATGCGGTTCGACGTGAGGTGTGGGAGGAGGCTGGTGTGACTCTTTCGCGAGTCGTTATTCACTCCTCGCAGCCCTGGCCCTACCCGGCCAATTTGATGATCGGAGCAATTGCCCAGTGTAGCGACGCAGCGCATGAAAAGATCAACCTTGAGCATGATCCCGAGCTGGAAGATGCCCGGTGGTTTGAAATTGAGGAGGTTGAGGAGGCGCTGCGGATTGGTACGAGCGACTTGAGCTCCGGCGCTGGCCCTGAGTACAAGGGTGGTCTGCGACTGCCCCCAGCCACGGCCATTGCGAACCAACTGATTCGCGCGGCTGTCGATGCGGATTATTTCCAGGCCGAGAGACCTAAGATGTGAGGGAGCGCAGCGGATGGTATATCTACAAGCAACCTTTCGAATGAGTATATAGAACAATTGCGACTACGGTGTTTATCGGAGCGGGATCTAAATACAGAGAAGATCATCAAAACCTGATAGATGTCATATGTTTCTTTTAGATTGAGAGATATGAAGAGATTTCAGCTGTAGCAGCTCATTCATTTGCATACACTGTACCATCACGCAGCTCATGAATACCATGCTGGCCACTAGGAGATCCGACCTCCGTGTAGCGAGTACCGTCCCGCAGCTCATGAATAGTGACTCTTCGCCGACTTCGTCGAGAGCGGCGTGAACCTCGAGCAGATGACGGCGTCCCATCCGGGCTACCAGCCTCACTTGCCGCCACACTACTTGGCGTCATCGACCGGCTGTCCCTCGCAACGGATGCCTGGAGCTGACTATCGGCCACCAGGCTCGCTCCAGCCTCAAAGTACCATCGCCGCAGGCCAGCTGCAAAGGCCTGTTCCTCAGATCCGTATTCGACAGGCGGGCCAGTCATCTTCGCGTCTGGACTGGAGCCATCGAACACAGCCCATGAACTTGACTCGACGCTCACGAGGGTCATCGAGTGATTATGGCTTTGAACTTTGAAGTCCCGCAGTAGGATGGCCTGACCCTCCGCGATCGGTGGCATTGCGGACTTGTAATGCCGGAAAATCTGAGCTTGGAGGGTGGTGCCAGCCATCGATGGATCGGTAAGGTAGATCGTCATGAAGTAGTCTCTAGAGCCGGAGGTTGCCTTGGCGACTGGGGAGAACTCGTACACAACCGATATAGTATCCACAAGCGCATTGTAATGATCGGCAAGGGTAGCCAGAGGGGCAAAATAAGAGAGTTTGCTGCGTAACCCGTGGGCATCGCGATCTGGGGCTGGCGGCTTGCTGATGACAACTGTCGGGGTTTCGAGTGCTTTGTCTGTCGACTCAGGAGCCGCAATTTCTTCACCGTCTTGTTGACAATCTTCGAGAAGCTCAGTTGTTGGCAAAACAACACCTACGCCGTCCGCAGCGTCTTGTTGCTCCAAGGTAATGGGTTCTTCTTCTGAGACAGGCGGCAGAGGAGTGTCTTGACCTACTGACGGGGCCCGCTCACCAGCCACTCGCAACTCTGCGGGCGCCGAGACAACGGGCTCTTCCGAGACGGGTGGCAGAGAGATGTCTAAACCAACTGGCAAAGCTTGCTCATCGGTTACTAGTAACTCTGCGGGCTGATAATTGTCGGGTCCTGGCTTGTAGCTAGGCGACACCTCTTGGGTAGGATCGGGAGTCGGTAGTTGTTGGTCAGTCGTGTCAAAGGCTGGAACCTCAAAGGAAAGGCCTTTGTTGCTGTGCTGTACATCTATTTCATCGTCAGGCACAGGTGATTTTTCCGGCCGTTCGGAAGTCTCTTCCTCGATGGCGTGTGTGCCTTGTTCGAGTGGAGTTTGGTGATCTTTTTCTATTGCTTTTGACCAATCGGGCGGGTCATGAGCCCCGTCCAGGGTTATAAAAGCACTGAGCGTCCCGCCCGAGGTGCGCTCCTCATCGTCAAGAGGTGACTGCACCTGCTCCTCTGCTAGATCATGAGGTGATAGTTCCTCCGCTGGGGATGGCGCATCTTTGGCTGAGTCGGGCTGATCTTCATGGACTTCCACACTGGTAAAGGAATCCAGATTCTCCTCCGGTTGAGCTACCTCATCACTTTCTGCATGTGGTTCAAGGTCCTGCTCGCCGTCTGGTGCTTCATCAACAGACCGATCACGCGTGGAATGCTCTTCGCTGCGATCATCTCGCACCAAGGCATCCACGGAGGACTCATCTTCCATATCACTGTCATGCACTCGGTCGTCTTGATCAGGGTGTGGATGCTCATATTCATCCTCAGACTGGTATTCCACAGACTCTTGGTCTTCTAAAACATGATGGTCCGCATCGTCTTCGACATCAGGCCAATCCTCTCCATCGCCCTCTGCCGATGATTGCGAGGCGTCGGAAGATACAGACCGCTGACGAGCGTGGTGTGGGAATGTCGCTGCTGGTTGCTCTGAAGCATCCTCGTCTTCACTGTCGCTATCCAGCACGATGACTTCGGGTTGTGCTGGCGGCAGCCGATGTGCCTCATTATCCTCATCTTCACTTGAACCCTCGTCAATGTCGTCCCCATACACTGGTTCAATCTCTTCCTCCTCGGAAAATTCATCCTCAGAATAGTATTCTCCCTCCGCGTCTTCATCGTAACGAGCTTCCTCCTCGACATCGCTATGACTGTCACTATCACTGCCACTTAGTGTGCCGGGATAAACATTGGCGACTTCATGAAGACTTTGAGCTTCGTCTTGAGCTGCAGTCTCATCGAGTACATCTTCGCCTGATTCAGCTTCATCGACTTCCATCTCCGGGAGGGCTGAACGAGGACTTGTCCCCTGGGATCCCTCAACCTCTTCATCCCCCGCCTCTAGATTAGAAGGCACATGAGACTCATAATCAGCTTCTGGGGTAACATCATTTGTCTCTTCCAAAAGCTGTTCATCGATGTTCCCAGTCGAGACCGCCAGATGTAGTTCTTCACTAATATCCAGCCCGGTATCTGTTTCCACGATAGTGGATCCATTCATAACAGCATGCGAGTCGAGTTGATCCAAATCAACAGTCGGCAACTGATTCACCTCGCCTACAAGAGAATTGGATAACAGTGAATTCGGAGATTGGTGACTGTCCAGAGGAGGCGGTGGGTAAGACAGTTCTCCCTCATCCTGTGCAGTCTCTGGATGCTCCATAAGCTGCGGCAGTCCATGCAGGGCTGGCTCTTGAGCACCTTCCACTAAAGAGTCTAGCTCTTGGATAAGAGAGTTGGAATCTGAAGTCAAAGCATGGTGAACATCGTGAGCAGGCGGGGCGGTAGGAATTGGTGCAAAGTATTCTTGGTGATTGCTCGAATTGGAAATAAGCGGCGACGGGATTGGAAGACCGGGAGACGGTATTGGCCGGAGTTGAGGCGTGTCTGTAGGACGGTTGAACAGATTCCCAAATGGACTTTGGGATACTGACGTGGTCGGTCCAGCGTCGAAGTTTTGCGGCGTGCGCCTCCCAAAGAGACTTTCGGCAAGATCCAAAGATGGTTTGACAAAAACAGACTGTTCATCTTGAAACGGGTCTTCATTATTGACCTGAGTCACCTTATCAGACGTGTCTGGGACCGTGTCCGGGACGGTTTCTGGGGCGGTCTCTGGAATGGAAGCATCCTTGGCGGGCTCAACATCCGCTGGCTTTTCGGTCTCAGATTCTAGATCAACCTCCGCATCCAATGCCTTCTCCCAATCCATTGGCTCTTCATGCTCTTGACGCTCTTCGGGACTCTCCGGTTCGTCCACAACGCGCCATTCGGTTCGCTGGAGGCTGTACCTCGGTCGTTTTCTTCCCTTCCCAGGAACGAATCCATCCTCTTCGGCGAACGGATCAAAGGCAAAACCAACTGCACTCCCGGAAGACTTCCGCGAAGACTTGTGGAAAGCCGGCGACCCCCAGGACCCTCGAGTAGGTGCTAGTTCTGTATCGGTATCGTTCGAGATCAAGCGAGGAGTAGATGGTGGCTCGGGTTCATGCGGCGTAGGAAACTCCAGTTCAATTCTGACAGAGGGCTGGGAAGATCGGTCAACCTAAAAAGAATCGCTGTTAGCACCTTCCGGAGATTGACTGATGTAATGTTGACATGCCTCGAGCGTCAAGCCGCGTTCGAAGTGAACATCCCATGCGATATTTCTTCCGGGGTCTGTGACACCGCATCATTGGGGACGAAGCTTGAGTACTTCAGAGAAAGGCAAACGGTATCGCCAATTCCAACATGTTGTTCTGCAACGCTTTCTGCGACGCGCCCATGAAAAACCGCCTTAACCTGACCATTCGAGCGGCGAAGGCGAAAATCCGGCTCGGCTAGGAGCAAGCCCAGAGATTTTGTTGACGAGGAGTAGGGCCAGATGAGGCTGACAGTCGCATAGATGCACTTATTCTCGGGCAGTTCGAGTGTAGGAGACAGGTGAGCGATCGGGGTCTTGGTCAATTGCGGCCGCGTCGGCGGTGCAGACTGCGCAGGCTGGTCGCCGACATCCATGATCATTGCACGGGCTTATCCACAATCAACATCCACATGTCGCAATCAAAAGTAAAGGGTCAACCATCTGTACAAGAAGGGAGTTGGGGCGGCAGAATGTTGATGTGAAAGAAAGAACTGTGGAACAAAGAGCTCGCGGAACACGCGAGCTGGGTGCGACTTGCGGAATGGAAGCTCGGAGGTGTTGGCCTCAGGCGTGGTAAAGCCGCGGTACTGTTACATTGCCCAGGCAGCGACTAGGTGTATCGTATTACCAGAATTACACAGAGTATCTGCCTTGGGCTATGGTCTTTCGATTGCCTCTTCTAAAGAATAAGGTGAATATTTAGGACTCTCGAATTGACTCATGTCTCAAAACTGACATGTTTCGGCGAGATATGAGTGTCGGTCCATTGGAAAATGGAAGCGCAACTTTTCCGAGCCAGATGATTTCTCCAACAAATCAACATTCACCCAAGGAAGCACGAAGCCCAGATAAGCTTGAGGTCAACTCCACTTAGTATGGCGACAGCGCCCGGTGGTCCTCCCCTTCCCTTCAACATCCCCTCAATCGATGGAATTGTAGAATGATGCCGGTCGCAAATCCAGTTCGCCGAGTTGCAGTCATTGGGGCAGGACCATCTGGTCTTGCTGCTCTGAAGTATGTAGAATCCGGGATACTGGTCCATGCAACTAGATACTCAACCTTGAGTTGCTAACTATCGTGCTTAGGTTCCTACTGGCAGAGAACCACTTTGAGCGCATTGACGTGTTTGAACAACGAAGCTCTGTGGGAGGGGCTTGGAATTATACTCCCAGTTCAGCCAAAGTTGGAGTGGCGACGACTGTCCCTCATCTGGATCCACATGAACCGGCGGAAAAGCCGACCTGGATCAAAGAAGCAGACGGCTCGTCTAAAGCCGTCTTCGTATCGCCTTTATATGACAGACTCGAAACCAATATTCCAAAGGAGTTGATGCGCTATTCTGATCAGCCTTTTCCTGCGGATGCTCAGCTTTTTCCCAAGCATCGCACCGTGCAGCAATACTTGGAAGAATATGCCGAGGCTACAAGGAGCCACATCCATTTCGAGACCCAAGTTGTCGATGTCAAGTTGAATGACCCTAAACTGGGGACTTGGGATGTTACGACGACAAAACTCCATAAAAGTCAAGATCTCACTCAGACTTATGATGCAGTGGTCGTGGCGAGCGGGCATTTCACTGTCCCTTTTCTTCCCGACATTCCTGGCATCGAAATTTGGAATCAGTCATATCCCAAGACCATCTCGCACTCTAAATTCTACGACTCTCCTGAGCCCTTTGCAGGCAAGAAGGTTGTTGTGGTTGGAAATTCTGCCTCGGGGCTTGACATCGGCGCCCAAATAAACGGGGTGAGCGCTGGCCCGGTCATTATGTCGCAGCGCTCTGAGTCATATTTGGCTACATCTGCACCATCTGATAAGATCATCTGCCCGGAAATCGTTGAGTTTCTATCACCGACCGAACATAACCGAGCCATTCGATTTGCGGATGGCCGCGTTGAAGAAAACATTGACGCAGTGGTTTTCTGCACGGGTTATTTCTACTCATACCCGTTCCTTTCATCCTTAAATCCAACAGTTGTTACCCACGGATGGCGAACCAAGCATGTCTACCAGCAGTTGTTCTATTCAGAACACCCCACACTGGTGTTTCCGGTACTTGCACAACGTGTGATTCCCTTTCCAATGGCTGAGAACCAAGCTGCTGTCTTCTCGCGAGTTTGGTCACAACGACTCGAGCTCCCATCAAAGGAAGAGATGCAGGCATGGGAAGTTTCACAAGTGGCAAGCAAGGGAGATAGAAAATCATTCCACCTCCTTCCATTCCCCATGGATGCAGATTATTTGAACTTCATGTATACCTGGGCCGCGTTAGCCAAGCCACGCCCAGGCCTCTCGAACGGCGGGCATGGCAAGCTGGGGACATTTTGGGGAGAGCGGGAACGGTGGATCCGTGCCCTGTTCCCCGAGATCAGACGAGCCTTTGTACAAGAGGGAGACCAGCGAGGCAAAATTACGACCCTAGAGGAGCTTGGCTTTATCTTTGATGATCAGAGAGTCAAGAGCAGTATATAGATGATATAGATATAGATCACGTGATATACTCAGTGCTTCAGATAAGGTTCGGGGTATCGATAACGATAGCGATAAGCATATATATACGATAAGAAAGTGCTTATCACGTGAAGTGCGTGGATCTCCGCCCGAGTCGCTGGCGCGCATTCACTACTACTCCCATCCTCCTCCCATTAACAACGACAACGAACGAAATCCCCAGTAGTACATTCTTGTGGCTGCTGGGATTTCCAGGTTTGGATATATTTCTTATTTGATCATTAAAAACTCATCAATCGGCTTTCAAGATGGACGACAAACCTACGCCGTCTTCCCTTGGCGATATCGAGGCTACAGTGCCTACATCTATCCCAGAGACCATAGCACCTCTCAGTGTACGCTCCGACACGGATTCTGTCTCCCACTCTCACACTACTATTCACCATGTCCATTCTGGAGCACTTCTGCAACCTCATTTAACATCGGATGCTTCAGCATCCATGCAAACTATTCAACCCAGCGCCTTGACCGTCGAAAGCGCCGAGGAAGCTCCTCCGGGGTCGGTTCGTCTTGGACCATCTGAGTTCGCTGTAACTCTACCTATGGACTCGCGAGTCAAAGATGACTATGACCGCGTCTTGACTGACTCCGCTGCGATCACACGAGAGTTCCTCGCAAGTCTAACCCCTGCTGGCCAGGTCTCTGATTCTCAGGTGAGCCCACCTGCCTGTTTCGTTTGGGATCCACTAAACTGATCTCCCATTGAAGCGAGAGTACCTTTTCTCAAAAGTACATGAAGTCATTGCGAAGTTGAACAATGTATCTACGCATCCAGATTTGAACATTGCCCATCATGTTTCATACGAGGACTCGACACTCGCTCGAGAAGCCGAGTGGGCCGAATATTCGAGTGCCAAGTTCCGGTTCCTCGGATGGCTGATACGAGTCGGCAGTGAGCGTGATCTTCATATCATTCTTGCCGTGCAAGGCGAGGATAAACGTCAGATCATCGAACGTTACTTGCTTGGCAAAGGATTCGCCCATACCAAGCCACGAGAACAGCTTGGGGGTAGCTTGGAGCTCTCTTTGCAGAAGGACTCTCTGAGCTTTGCTATCCATTCTGATGACGGGGTACGAGAGATGTTCAAACCACCATCCGCCATATTTGTGTTCGATACGGCATACAAACTCGAGAGCCCTGCAGTGCAACATCTTCGAACAACATACACCAGGAATGGCAGCCTTCTGCCCGTGATTTGGTTCCTGGTTTCTAACACTTGCGAACACATTGAACGCGCTCTACCTCAGCTACCCGAACCCGAGCGGCTACGCCATCTCATGCAGTACACAGATTATTTCCACGATGAAGTGGGCGATCTTCAGGATGACGCCCTCAATGTGTGTGAGGATGCTGAAGAAATTCTCACCTATCTCTCAGATAGCTTTGCCAGCTGGTCGCTTCCAGTTGTGGAGCCTTTGCAATTTGTATCCGCGGAAGAATTAGACTCATCGACTCCTTCCTCTGAGGAACCGGTACCAGGCACTCAAAAGCGTTCACTGGTAAGTCTACATCCTTTCATGATTCTTTCTCTTTCTAACAAACTCCAATAGGACGACGAACAGGAAGCCGAAGATTACACATCAAAACGTGCGAGGGTTGATACCCAAGACACCAGCCAAATGACTCAGTCAACGAAACCACCCAGTCAAACTTTGGATCGTGATCTGCAATCTTTGGAGAGAAGCCTCATCCAGATGAAGACTGCCCACAACATAGAGAATGAACAACTCCAAAGAGAGCTATCGCACACACAGGCTCGCCTGCACGAATTTGAGACTGCTTTGGGCATCCTCCAACATCGCTATGAAAGCCGAACCAATGAACTACATCTGACTCGCCAAGAGCGTGATCGACTGTCCGAGGGCAAGACATCCACGGAGCAACGCGTCGAGAAACAGAGAGAGGACATCGCCAAACTGAAGGAAGAGCGTTCACAGCTCAAGGCTGAACTCGAGGGCGCACGACAGGAGCTCAAAAACGGCGGCGGCTCTCTGGCAGAATTGGAGACGGCTCGAGAAGAGATCCGCCGTCTTACCAGCGAGAGAGCAAGCCTTGAGCGCAAGGCAGAGTACGAAAAGAACCAAGCAGAGTACACTCGCGAGCAATATCAAACCGCTTCCAATGTCGCCGCGCAGGCTGGAAATGAGCTTCGTCAAGTTCGCGAGGAGAATGAGGCTTTGACCCGCAAAGTCCAGGGTAACGCCGTTCAACTTCGGGAGATGAACATCAAGAACGACGCCAAGCGCCACCTTTCCCGAATCAATGAGCTTGAATTGATCCTGGCTTCTCGGGATGACCTGCTGCGCAAGAAGGAAGATGAACTGCGGGAGATCCGTATGAACCGCCCGTCCACTCGATCGACAAGCACACAACCGCGGAGTCCCAAGTGGGCGAACAGCAGCCGTCCAACAAGCCCCGGCGTCGGTCATAATGGCAATGGCAATGGTCTTGCTAGCCGGGGCAGTGCGCTGCGGTACAGTTCCGAGATGCCCTTCTGATGATATCCATTCCATCTCGGCCCTGCGTTTTGGCCTTTTGCATTTCAAAGAGGAGTTTCAAGATAGCGTCAACCAGTACTTAACAATTCAGATAGCACCCAAGCGTGCTTGTCAATGTCACTACATATTTCCTACCTGGTCTCAAGGTAATGGGTGAACATATTCGTAAATCCTCGTAGACTGTAAACCTCGGTCAAGTATGGAGTGGCGTCAACAGAAAGGTGCAGTTCATCTTCGATGCTACAGTTTTTAGCATTACGTATTTGACTTCATTCTCACTAGAACTTGCCGTTGATGACGTTTATATCCTGTGCTGTAGACTTTGCAAAATTCAGTCACATTCTCTTTCTACCAGAGGCTATTTCTATGCCAAATCCGAATTTTCTCGATCACAATATTGTCGTATTCTGGAATTATATTATAATCCTTGGTGATCTAGTGCGCAGAAATATATGTGTGATGTAATAAAACAAACAAGAATTGAAAATTAGAAACATCAAAGTATAGCGCAAGACCCAACAAAACCGTACACCTTCAGGTCAACCTGAAACCCCGAGTATCGTGTGATAAAAGAAAAATGAAAAATGATGGACAGATGCATTTTGTTCAAGACGATTTCATGGCACCCGCAATGAAAGCCGCCAGCTCCTTCGCTTTCTCTCCTTGAGTCATGGTGAAGTGGTTAGCTCCTTCCATGACTGTGATGCCTCCTACATTCTTCGAGCCCACAAGCGTATCCCAACCATTTGGACCAAGGTTGGTACGGTTGTTCAGCAGCCATTGCATCTCCCGCGGGTCGGGGCTGCCATCCTCGGCAGGTGCAGGGCGAGGGTCGCCGGGCTTGTTGCACACTCCGTCCTTGGCCCAGACTAGGAAGGTCTTAGGAATCTTCTCGGCATGCTTGATGTCATCGAAGGGGAAAGGAGACGCCTTGTAGGCATCCAAAGAGTCAATGAAAGCCAAGAAGTGAGGGAGGAGCCACTTGGGTGGAGGAGCCTTGCCCTCGCCGAAGAGGCCGATGGAGTCGAAGAATCTGTACAGGCGACGAGGAAGCTTCTCAAGGCCGATGGGGAAAGGAGAGTCGAGAAGAAGCAGACGCTCAACTCTCTCACCTTCCTCGAAGATAAGGTGCCGGGCAGCATCATAGGCACAGATACCACCAGCAGACCAGCCACCAAAGTTGTATGGACCAGTAGGTTGTCGGCGCCTGATCTCAGCCACATATGGATATGTGAGCTCGTCAAGACTGAAGTTGAGCTTCTCGGGGGTGCGCATGTACGGGCAATTCAACCCATATACACAAACATCAGGTGAGATGCCCGGGATCGTAGCATAGGAGGTGGCCGATCCAGACCCATCTGGGAATAAGAACAGCTTTTGAGTGGCAGTCTTGGGGTTTCCTTGCAGGAGGATCGAGGTTGCGGGTGGATGTTGGATCGAGCTGCGAGCAACTTTTGGAGCTTGCACCTGAATCTCCTCGGGAAGCCTGATGGGCTCAGAAGCGATGGCCTTAGGCTTCAGGTCCAAGGCGACCTCAACTTCCTCGATTGTTTGGTTCTCGATGAAGAATTCCCCAGAGAGTTCGAGATCCAAGGTCTCACGAATCTTGCCCAGCACAGTAAGTGACATCAAAGAGTCAAGGCCCATCTCGCCGAGATTAGAGTCACCCCGAAGCTCTTGGGGTTCAACACCAATTTCCTCGGCTAGAATAGCACAGATTTGTTTCATGCTATCATTTTGCCCAAGAGTCATGGACTTCTCATTGGCAGGAGTGGGCAGACCACTCGAGTTCGGAGTCGAGAGATCAGTCGACGAAGCTGCAGATGACAGATCTGGCTCGCTGCTTGATCCATCATTGCTGCTATCCTGCGGGCTCATCTGTACGAGCAGTTGCTTGAAGTCCTTAATCGTCGGCTGATCAATAAAAACGTTGGAGTCAAGGTCAAGCCCCATCTCTTCACGGTAGCGACCAGTGACGGTCAAGGAAAGCAGGGAGTCTACTCCGTAGTCCGTGAAGTTCAGGTCGTCGGTTATATCAGCTGTCGAAAGCCCAACTTCTTCAGCTAGAATGTTAAGGGCCTTTGTGATGATGCTGGGCCCAGCAGACTTTGTTGAAGATACCGCAGACTTCTTGGGCCGAGGAGCTCGCGATTTTTCAACATCAATAGGAGCAGGTTTGGGTTTAGCGGCGGCGGCAGGCTTAGCAGCAGAGCCGCCAGCAGGAGGCAGAGCCGTGTCAAGAATCTTTCTAGACAAAGCTTGGAACTATTTCATGGATTATTAGTATCTGTATCGAATGTAGAGTCGAAGATGCATGACATACCTGAACACCGCCGTAAACGGCTACGATATCATCTCCGTCAAAGAGATATACATCACCGGCGTAGATGGAATTTTGCCAGGGCTGCATTCGCACGTAGGTTCGATAGGTAACGTTGGGATCGAACTTCTTCAAGCAGCGCATAGAGTCCCAGCCATGATTGACGTAGACTAGATTCTTTGAATCCGTCGCATCGCTTGCATTCATGATGAAACCAGACAAGTGGCCGATGCTGTCAATCCAGAAGGGGTTGCGATGATAGTTTCCAGGTGGTGCCTGGAACTTGACCAACGCAGTAGCCTCATGCTGATCGCTATCGAGAATGACCTCCTGAATGGACTTGTAGTTCTCGTCGTACTCAACCAGGGCACTGAATAGCTTGTAAACCATGCCGCGCTTCATCCGGTGAGCCTGACCAGTCTCTGTGCTCTCCTTCAGATGCTCAATGCTTCTTTTGATGAGGTATGCGCTACGCTTCCACTCGAGTTCAGCGACACTGGTGTCAAAGAACTTGATTGTGCAACTTGCGTGATCGATCATCTTCTTGCCCTCGAGTGTAACGGACCAGACTTGCATTTTGGCGCTCTCTTCTGCCCAGTTGGCAGTAGCAGAGACGCGGAAGAGCTGCTTGCCACCCTTTGCAATGAGAGGCTTGGGGACCACCACGTCACAGACGTTGAAGCCACGGTCCTTCCATTCGGGCTTGTACTTCTTGACCAGGAATTCTGCCAAGGTTTGGGCAATGTCTGCGTAAAGTGACTAATTATGTTGTTAGTTGAAGTTACTCTAATCGTCTTCAGATATCAAAGACTTACCGATGGGCAGAGCGCAGCCCCATTGACCTTGTGGCCTTGAATGACACGGTTCAACTCTGGATCCGCAATATCGTTCTCAATCACAACAGTGGCTGAGGTTTGATCGCCGCTAGTCTCCAACACTTTCTGCGCAGAGCTAGTCAAGAAAGTTGTGGCTGGTGCAGCCTCAACTGCAGCTGTAGCCGGCGCACCCTTGAGCAGACAGAAATTATTGGTGTACGGGATCCAATAGTTCTTGAGGTCCCACTTGTAGGCAGGCAAAGACAAGACTTCGTGCATAGTGCTGAAGTCCTGGTGATACTCCTTCCAGCGGAGATCGATGCCTGCCAGATAAAGGGCGGAGAGACTGTTTGATAGCACCTTCCAGGTGTCTTCTTGGCGACGAAGAGATGTGACTGTTGTTGCCTGGGGGCCGAATGTCGACTTGACCATCCCAGAGCAGACTGGGTGCGAGCCAATCTCAACCCACAAAGTCTTGTCGTTCATCAGCTTAGCATGACGCGTGGCTTCTAATGCAGCAAGGAAGTTGACGGTCTCCCGGCAGTGACGAGTCAAATAGCTTGGTCCAATGACTTCAGTGTTTGCCCCATCAATGACATCACCCAGAAGGGCGGAGACGAAGGGAATAGTGGGCTCGCGGAAGACGACTCCCTTAGCGATCCCTGCAAGGCTGTTGAGGATGGGTTCAACTTGGGCAGAGTGGAAAGCGAAGGGAACTTTCAGCTTGGTAGCCTTGAAGCCTTCATTTGAAAGCTTCTCTGCAAGCTGATCAATCTTGTCAACGGCACCGCTAATAACAGTCTCGCTGGGGGCATTGATGCAGGCCACCTCTGCGGCATCGTCCTCAAGGAACTGCTTGACCTGTGCAACCGAGGACTTCACAGCCAGCATAGCGTGTGTTCCCACCTTGCATTGCTCGGTCAACAGCTGGGCGCGACGGCCAGCGAGATAGATCGTATCACTGGTCGTTAGAATACCAGAGGCATTGAGTGCAGCATATTCGCCAAGGCTGTGGCCTAGAACAAAGGTAGGAGTTACGCCCAGAGAGATCCAGAACTTGGTGAGAGCCATCTGCAGGCAAGTGGTTCCCAATTGGGTAACGACAGGACTCAAATCCTCAATGGGCACACTTCCATCAACCAACGTCATGATGGATGGGAAACCCTGGCTCTGGCCAATCCGATCCAAGTGCTCGATGTTGGCACGGAACTGGGAGTTGTGCTCGTACAGCTCCTTGCCCATTCCAGCGTACTGAGCGCCTTGTCCGGTAAAGACGAAACCAATTCCAGGCGCAACTGCAGAGACTGGAGCAAAGCTGTCACGGCTTGCGCTCGAGTTCAATGCATTCCGAATCTCCTCCAGGGTGGAACCAGTGGCAGTGACTCGGAAGGGATGGTGGATGCGTCGCGCCGTGGTGGTATATGACAGGTCCCCGAGAAGATTGGACTCGTTGACGTTAAACAAGCTCTTGTTCTTGTCAATGTATTGAACAAGGCTGGCAATGTTGCTCTTCAGGGCAGACTGAGAGCGAGCAGAAACCGCCACCGGATATACAGACCGAGGGTCCTTGCCGGTGCGCTCACGCAGGGGCCCATCCTCCATCAGTAGCGCCGTATTTCCACCAGCAGCCGAGAAGTTGTTAATGAAGGTCTTGCGCTTACCACCAGCGGGACGGTTCCACGGTGTTGGCTTGAGAGCAATGTGGACGTTGCGTTGCGCAAGGTCGGTGGGGAAGTTGTGATTGATTTTGGATTTGATGCCACAGTGGGGAGGAATCATGTTCTTTTGCATCATCATCAACACCTTCACCAGAGCTGAAACACCTGAAGCAGATTCTCCGTGTCCAATATTTGACTTTGCTGAGCCGAGATGAAGAGACTGGTTTGGTCCACGGCGATAATCCGGAGCGAAGACATCCAGAACAGACTTCATTTCCACAGCATCGCCAGCCTGAGTTCCCGTGCCGTGCATCTCAATATAGCTAACCTCCTTCGGGTCATAATCGTTCTCATTGAGAAGCTTGTCGAAGATAAATGCCTGAGCGCCGGCATGAGGCCGTGTAATAGAAACTGCCTCGGCCGAGTGGTTGGTATAGGCTCCAGCAATAACACCGTAGATGGGGTCGTTGTCTGCCTGGGCGTCTTCCAGTCTCTTCAAAACAATAGACCCAATTCCATCCGCCCGACAGTATCCATCGGCACCATCATCAAAGGTGTTACAGTTTCCAGTGCGTGAGAGGAAGTGGCCACGGTCGAGTCCAGCATGATTGTCCGGATTGGTCAGAATGTTCACACCACCGGCGACAGCAGAGTCACATTCATTCCTCCAGAGTGAGTTACAAGCCACATGGATCGCGGCCAGACTTGAGGAGCAAGCAGTATCGACACTCACGCTGGGTCCGCTAAACTTGAAATAATAATTTATGCGGCCTGGAGTAAAAGCACGGTTGCCGCCAGGGATGAAGTAGGTGTCGATGTCCTGTCCACTGTTGATTTCACGGTAGTCGTCACTGGTCATGCCATAGAAAACACCGACTCTGTTCTTCTGTGTGGACGGGGTGCTATCGGGGATGAACCCAGCCATTTCAAAAGCCTCGTAAGCTGTCAGAAGCGCAAGTCGCTGGGCGGGGTCGGCTTGAAGTGCCTCGCGCGGAGACATGTTGAAGAAGCGAGGGTCGAAAAGACCTGGCTCATTGATCCAGCATCCATATTGAACTTTGCTCGTATTTCTCGTATTACCTTCCATATCAACGTGGGCCTTGACGTCCCAACGCTCGGCGGGTACTTCACGATGAACATCAAGTCCCTTGTACAAAAGATCCCAGAATGCCTCAGTATCTTGAGCTTCAGGAAATCTTCCAGACAGACCGATGATAGCAATCTTAGACTGGTCGGCACGGCCAGTGCTGTTGGCACTTTCGGGATCCTTCTTGACGTCGCCGATAGTGCTGTCAATCTCAAGATTTGAAATTCCAGCCTTCTTCAGCGAGCTGTGCAGGCTTTGAGTTGCAGTGCTGGAGACAGGGAACAATGTGCATTTCGAGGTTGCTGACTTCAAAGCAGATGCACACGAGTCAATCGCCTTGTCCCAACAAAGTTGATGGAGTAAGATTTCCTCCAGCGACAGTCTCAGCATACTCTCGAGGCTCTCAGCTTTGAAAGGCTTGCCACTCTCATTTGATAGCACTGGAATTTGAGGGACGTAATTGACGAACTTCTCCTTTGGCCAAGACTCCAGAATGCGGTTGATGTCCCTGTCGTCATAGAGGTGCATGGCGTGGTAAGGACCATGGATTGGGACTCTCACAGGCTTCGACTCTTTCGAGAGTGAAGTTTCAATGAATTGGCTCAAAATGCTGGGAGCTCCGCTGATAGTCAGGCCATTAGGGCTCACGGCACTAATATATGGCTGTGAAACGCGAGGCAAGGCCTTGATGGAGATGTTAAAATTGGATTTTCTCTTCCAAGCATTCGTGACTTAATTTAGGTAATTACTCACATTTGCTCGAGCAAAGTTCTCAATAAGCTTTTGGGCCTCTTCCTCACGAATTCCAGAGACAAGTACGGACCAGCTTTGTGAAGGCCCGTTCTCCTCTAGAAGCTCGCGCACTTTGACAACACAGGCTCCGAGTCTGAGAGCCAGAACAACAGTCTCAACACCTGCTGGGATCAATTCTCCCAAGGTCTTGGAAGAGCTGACAGCTGCGGACGCCAGCTGACCCGTGCAGAGGCCAACTATGAGACTCTCAGATTTGGAGGGATACTGGTGCCCCAGATCTCCATAGTAGCTGTTCGTACCTTGATTAGTGTTCCGAACTCCACAGCTAAATTTCACAGGTTTTCTTACTGAATGAAGCATCCCAATTGGTAGATTGTCGTCAATGCGCTCTCCAGAGCTGGATTGGGTCCGAATTCTCTGTATCTGGCCAGTAGATCGACGATGCTCGTGAAACGTGGAAACATCTGTCGCTGTGATTGCGACAGCTGGCTGATTTCCTTGCGCAAGGCATGATAGCACTTCTGAAAGAAGGCACTCAGCAGCGAGTCATTCTTGGCTTGCAACAGGCGGCGAAGGCCCGAGTCGAAATCCGCCGTCTGATCTCCGAAGAGATACACACGACTGGGGCTCTCCATCTTCAAACCCGATGCTAACAAGGGGTGCAAAACTTTACAAAAAGAAGAGGAGAAAAGCAGCTCAGCTCTTGCGCGAATTATTGGGGGTCATACTTTATACATGCAACATCCGGCTGGAGTCTTCTTTGTGGGGCGATCGTATGTCTCAGGACATCATCGGGATATGGAAGCCTTGGCAAAGAAGGCAAATTCTAAGATCGTTCCACGTATTCCCTGTTTTTCCTTGGAAAAGCAGACTGACGAGATGGGAAGTTCGAGTTAACAGATCATTCCACGGTATCGCATCCAGTACTTTTGCCTTGGTAGCACTCCGGTCGAGCGGGATTACATGGCCATCTGAGCCTGGCCAGTGGGACGGTTACTGCAGTCGGCGCTGAAGCTAAGACCAGCAATGTTGTTTTCAAGTCTGTGGGGTCAAGCACATCAAGATTTGGGCCGATGGCAGCGCATTCCCTGGAATCGGGCTGGACCCTGATTGCTCTCACGGGATGTCAAAGGTACCGGGAAACCGAGGATAGCTCCTTGCTGCCCGAGTGCTGTTTGCGGATACCACAGACATTTTGCAGAATCGATGTCCATGACACAGAATATAGTCAAGATGTAAATTTCCGGAAAAGGAACCGGATGGATGGAAAATGCTGGAGGAAGTTGCATTGACAGGAGAACGATCGCCGTTTTCAGAAGGTTGCACCCGTAGTCATCCATCCATCACGTGACTGTCTTACCCTAGAAACCCTTCCCACTCCTGTGCCTTCTTGCGCGTCCAGGGGGAAGAACCTTGACTAATACAGGGGATCTGAGCCTTGTCACTTTCTAGTATGTCTTTGTGTTTGTTCAGGTGTTCAAGGGCTCTTAAGGTCTTGAAACATGAATCCGTTTTCCGTATGTTGAAAGTGTCAAAATAAACTTCACCAAGTACTGTTCCGTGAAGTTTTCCTCGGAATGTAACGACGCCAAATGAAGAAGGCAGTACGAAGATCCAAGTCAAACGGAGTATCTGTTTGTAGATCCCCTCGAAGTATCATACAAGTGTTTACTCTACGTCATGACTTCAGGGACTCTTCAGACCCCGTGTAGTAAGAAAGAATGCAAGAGGTTCACGGCAGATCCAGTGCCGTCAAAAGCGCGTGTTCAGATGTCGATCGTTTTCTAGAAACATTAGAATCTAGAGACTGGATGTAGATCTGTCTGTTGATAAATACTGTGAGCATGTAGAGCTTGCGATCCTGGACTGGGCAAGCAGACAAGACCAGAGTACAGGTGGTGAAATTCTGTTCTCTATACATTCATGTCACGCAAGTAGCAGGAGCCTTGGAATTACTCGTTGCAAGTATAAGCTTCGTAACTTCTAAAATTTTTGAATTGTCATGAAGCTTCCACCTGGCACACATTAAATCCCATTCAATTCATCATGAGTCAAGAGATCGACGCCCATCGTGGTGGGTCAGCGGCTACGGACCGATGTGTCCACCAAGCCACAGTCACAGTCAGTATCTAAAATGAACTTCCGGAAATAGAAACAGCGAGAATGCGTGTAAAAAGTGGATTTTTTTACATTGCATGAGACCAGTATGGTATCAAAATTATCGAACAGGCTTCATTATCTTGTATAGCCCGTCAAATGCATAAAGTCCAAAAATTAGTTTGTTTAAGGCAGAACCAGAAGTATGTACATGTTCTAGGCCGAGTATCGCCCATGTGTAATTCAAAGTGCGTGATTTAATGGCTAGAGTAGCATGCAAAATGCTTGGCTCCCGTAGATTTGTTCGCCTCCACCCGATTCTCGATCTCATCTCAAAGCTTCCGCAGGCCCCAGGAAGTTGGTGGCTCGACATCATCATCCGTCGTCTCGGGAGACCCAGGTGATGCCTGCGAGCTTGGAGGCGCAACTGGTGTAGAGACAACGGGAGTAAGCGTGGTGGTAGGAATGTAAGGCACAGAAGCGACAGGACGAATGGCTGGAAGTGCTCTTTCCACTTTGACCAACTGACCGCTGGCCACTCCCTTGGTCATCACCACTAGCTTGAGCTTGGCCAGCATCCTGTCCTTAGCCGACTGCCTGTGTTGCATCTGGGCTTTGGTCCTCCCCTTGAGGAACCTGGGGCCACACATCAATACCATCCAGCAAAGCAACAGCCATGCCGTTGGATAAGTGGGTTTCAATGTGGCAGTGGAACAAGAATGGTCCCGGGTTAACCACCTGGTACCGCAGCATCATCCATGTTGGGCCCGCGGGGCCATTTGTGATAAAAGTGTCTCGCCTCTGAGGATTGTCCAACTGGAACAGATCAGGGCGCTCGTTATAAGCCTCCTCAGTACTGGACCAGTTAAAAAAGCCGGGACCTACACCCAGGATGAAGGCTTTGTTGGAGTGCTTGTGCATAACGTGGGGAGCTTGAATGGCGGGAGCGCCCGGCATCTCTCCCAGCTGCAGAAGCAGGTCGACCCATGTCCCATTCTTGGTCTGGATGGTGACCTGTTCAGCCAGATTATTCTTAGCGTTGAGGTCGTAGAGAATTGGGTCGTCCCAATTTGCCATAACGTCATAGAGTGCATTTCCAGCAGCGGTCCAGGTGTAAGCAGAACCCCACCGGCCGAGTGTGAGGTTCACGAGCTGGTCGGCATGTTGGGGAATGGAAACTGGTGGATAAGGCTTCATGGCTCTCTGGTTCAGAGGGACAACGGAATCAGAGGTACTCTGCCCGCCGTAGTTGACAGAAGGCTTTGAAGGCTCGGTGTTTGATGAGCCCTTGTAGCGCATCGTGGCAAAGCCGGAGATAACCTGATCACCCTGTGTGTCGGGAACTCGAATGGTGTAGTCCTTCCACGTCTTATCAAGCTTGACCATTGCGGAATAGCGCTCACCATTGAAAATGGTGACACTATCAGCAGGGAGTGGCTCGATGTAGCTTCCATCGACTTCGTAGATGTACATCTGGTGTTCGTCGATGGAGAACATCAACGCCTTCATTGAAGCAGCGCTAATGAATTTGAGAGCAACCCATTGGTTATTAGGATCAACCTCAATGATCTCGTGAAGGCCAGTTGTAGGAACACAGCCCGAGTTAAGACCCTCAGGAATACGCTCTGGGTTTGTGGGTGGGAAGTTTCCTTGGGTTTCGTAAATGTTGGGTAGGCAGCTGAAGGTGGTAGACAGGCGTTAGCCATTGCGCAAATCACGATCGTCCTCAAAATTGGTGTCACTTACCCCTTGTCGGTCAGCGGTTGGTTGTCAATCGCAGTCTTGAGATATGAAAGTTCAACCGCGGAGATGTTCTGAGTTCCAGGGCAATATACCGCACCTCGTCCATTGACAAGAACACTGTCCATGCAGCTGTATCCCTGTCAGCAAATATTGATCCCATAGTATACTTGGGCTTTCACTCACAAGATATTGACACGAGTATCCTGTTGCACCTGCTGATACTCAGCGGCTGTGAGGTGGTCCCAGTCTGACAACATGACCAGCTGAGGGTCTTTTTCCGCCTTTCGCATAGCTTGAATATCATCGTGATTGTTTGAAATCAGATGGAACGGATCCAAGACATCAGGAGCCGGGCTACATGAATTAGCATATAAAGATAGATCAAGGTCCTAATGATCTTACTTGATCCAAATTGGCCCATATAAGCCATCCATCATTTCTGATCGAGCATGAGCATGGTACCAGTAGGTTCCATATTGAGTAGCCTTCCAGCGATATGTCCAACTGCGACCCGGCTGAATCGGCTTCTGCGTCAAACCTGGGACACCATCCGACCATGGGGTGCCATGCTGTTCGATGCCGTGGAAATGGATCGAGGTGTTGAAGGGCATGTTATTGTTGACCACGACCTAAACACAATTAACATTATTGATCTCATCATCAACATTTCGTTTCAAACAATACCTCAACATCATCGCCCTGGTCAAATCGCAGCTCGGGTCCAGGAAATTGATCATTCATAAAGATCATATCACGGACATTGCCATTAGGTGCTCCTTTTTGCCACGTCAGGTTCAACTCGAATTGCACCTGTTTAGCCCAAGCCAGGGGCAGGAGTGCCGGAGTGGCTAAAGCCAGCAGCGTCTTCAATGGCGCCATATCTCCGTTCTGTCTTGTACCAATTTGAAGTCGAAGTATATAGAGAAAAAGTGACCGATGAAATTCTCCTTCACTGTCAAAAGGGATGAATCAACTCTCTCAACTGGACCGATCGGCGATGGATTGGCACTCCGGACGCCTTGGGAATATTGAGAATTTATCAATCCGAGTTGTGATTCTCAACACATACCAGACCATATGCAACAGACGCCACAGCAAGCCGATAAGGGTCCGAAAACATGTTTGCATATCTGACCAAAATAGCGAGGACCACACGTTGGCTTTGCAGCGTTTGTATGATTTGCATGTTAAGCTAAGTGTGGATCTTAGAGTCTTCGACCCTCATCTTGAGGAATGTTCATGAGGTTGGGGAAGGCCTGGCTGCGAATAGTCTTCCGTTTCCAACTAGGAACGGGTTAAGTCCGTCAAATCGGGCCGATAGAGGGCCCGGAGTTTGAGCCGAGTCATGCTCGAAGATCTTGCCCTGAAAGCCTCTGGACCTCTGGTGCATGGTCTGGTCAGCTTGTGATTGTATGGATGCAAGGGGTGTCATCAATTGCCTGCCCAGGTAGGATGTTTGATTGGGGCTGAGCATTCTTGATGACGGTCGGGAGGAATGCCAGGCCTTCTGAATCCGTATAGCCCCGTAGGCGTTCAATTGTGCTCCTTCCATTGGGTGGCAATGATGGAAACAGCTCTGTTCTGCTCAATTGGAAAGCTCACTCGTGTGTACTGGGTAGGATAGTGTACGGGAGATAGATCTTGACCCAGGTGTAAGGTTGATGCCCGGTGTGTTGAACATCGGATTCGTCTCGGTTGAAGTAACTAGCGTAAACCTTTGGTCCGAGGCTGCTGAAGGTTATGAGACCTTGTGCGAGTTTCAGTAGCTATACACTCATCATTCAGACCGTTGTCAGGTTCAGCTGTTTGACATCGCCTGCTCTCAGATATATATCCCTCTAGACCTGTGTGAAGGTGGCTGTATACACATATATATCAGTGGCGCTCTCGGTTGGTTCCAAAAATGTTCTAATGAGTTCAATACTAGCTATATACCAATAATACCATTGGCCATTCTGCCCCCATTATTGACGCCACTGAGGGGTGATGTTTTGCAAGTGGCCCCCAACGAGTGGGGGAAGCGGGAGGTTGCCAGGGCCAAATCGATCTTTTGAGATTTGGGTTGCGCCGCGAAGCAACCATGGATCGGGCCTGGGAGGCGCCATAAATTGATCACCACAAAACTAGAGAAACAATAGTGGATGAATAGCTTCAGCAGATTGCAAAAGAGATTCTTCGGTGTCTTTTTAGTTAATAATCGTCGATCTTCTTTACTTAGAGACTCCAGGAAGCAGTGTGATCCTTTCCCCGGTGCCCTGGAAACGAGAAGTATGACATAAGCGCATTAAGCTTATCGATAAGGCAGGTCTCCCCCACTAGTCCAGATTGGGACACCACGTAAACAACCCAACTCGGGCCTCACCGTCTGAACCGCCGGCCCTGTTGAATCTCTCTTCCTCCTCTCCCACATCCTCCCTTCGCATTGTCCTGTCTGCAACCTGCGGTGCCTGTGGGCCTCGTTTGTTCCGACATTTTCTTTGTTCTCTCATCTCTTACAATGCAGGTTGCTTGAGCTTTACTTATCTCTCCGACCGTGCGTACCCTGCAACCCCATCTGGTTCCCACCTTCCAACTACGACCTCCGCATCACCCTCCGATCCGGGAGCCATTACCTATTACCCAGTCCAAAACATTCTCTGTCGAAAAACGGACTGCCCCCGACGTGTCGCCGGAAACCACGGTTTCACCTTTCGAGCATTTCATATCCTTTGCTATCAACTTGACCAGGGTGGGTTGATCACGATGGCACGGAATGCGCCCCAGCTTCCAGTGAAGTTTCCGTGTTGGTGTCGAGCGGTTTACTCTTGGGGAGGTGAAACAACAAGAGATCTCGGCTTTGTGGAAGGCGACTTGATTGAATGTTTGAATGCCGGAGACGGACAATGGTGGATGGGGCGCTTGCGCCGCGACAGGCGAGCTGTTGGGCTTTTCCCTTCCAACTTTGTCGAGCTCATGAGCGAGGACTTTGTCCCTATTAGTCGTGATACGAGTCCAATGGTCCTGGCCGGATCCTCACCCATTAACAATCCGACCTCGGCACCTAAAAAGACCAAGACAGTCTTTCGCAAACCTTTCCAGGCGCACAAGGAAGGTCTGTCACCATCGTCTCAGATTGCGCGGAGTGGATCAAATACTCCAGTGAAAAGCTCCATTCCACAGACGCCACCTCGGGCTGGTAGCGTACCGAGGAAAGTCAAACCTCTGCGCACGCATGCATCTGCAGTCAAGAACCAGGGATCAGTATCTCGTCCTTCATCAGTGTCATCTCGGCCCTCGTCACGCGGGATTTCTGTGTCCCCTCGAACATCTATGGAACCTGAAAGATCTCCATCTACTGTGGTTCCCCGTGGCAGTATCTCGCCTTCGCGCCCATCCTCCCGCGAAGTCTCACCTATGCCTCGTGATGCGTCCTCGATGCAACCATCGCCGATGCAACACGCTATTTCTCCTACGCCTCATCGTGCAGCCTCCCCTATGCCACATCGCGCAGCTTCTCCTATGCCACATCGTGCAGTCTCTCCTATGCCACATTGTGCAGTCTCTCCCATGCCTCACCGTGCAGTCTCTCCCATGCCTCATCGCGCAGTCTCTCCAATGCATCATCCAGCCTCCCCGATGCACCATTATCAGCAGCATCACCCTCAGAATCAACATCGCGAAGTGTCACCTATAGAGCGTGAAGTATCACCGATGCAGTTACAAGAGCGTGAAGATTCTCCTCCACCGCCACCTCCACCTCCCCATCGAGTCGCCCTCAATCGCGGTCCCTCACACTCCCCTCAACCGCCTCAGCATCATCAATACTATCAGCGCTCTCACTCTCCTCAGCCACCTCAACCACCTCGATCTCCACAGCCTCCTATGCACCAGCAGCAGCGCCACTTGCGATCTCCGCAGCCACCAACGCATGCCCCGCACCCTTCACGTTCTCCCAAACCATTGAATATGAACGACCGCTATGTGATATTTGCACGAACTCCATCTCCTGGAGCAGCTTCCACACACTCTGCCCACTCCGCAATCTCGGCTCAATCAGACGTAAATGGGAATACACCCTCTCCTATGAGAGATGCCATGGAAGATATTATGACTTCATTGGAAGACATGGGCATTCCTCGCGACCCTCCGTCCCCATCCCCTCGACAAGCCCCCTCACCTTCACCACCACCAAATTTCAACAACCCTTGGTCTGCAGAGGACTATGACGAAATGAATGACCGAACCCCGCCTGCCACTCGCAGACGGCCTCTCACATCACTCGGCTTTGATGGATACAAGGAGCAACATCGTGGAATTCCCCAACAGCGAAACAGCGTCTACTCACATGATCACTACATGGACGGACCTCCTCAATTGAATAATTATGTGCAAAGGATGGAGAGTCGCCTGCGACAGTTAGAAGACCAGAACCGACCACCCGAGAATGAGGGAGCTGGCCCAGATGACGATCAACCCCCACCACCGCCTCCAAAACATGCAAGCTATCATCATCCCCGACACAATTCAATTGCAGGCCAGTATGCGCAGGCACGGTCTGGGCAAGACCATAGGGGTGATATACTCAACCGATCATTCACCAACAAGTCGAGCGCCACTACCTCCAGTGGTGTGCAAAGCATTGGGACCAACATGACTAGCAGTACCGACAAGACAAGCCAAAGCTTGATGAGCGGTGTTTCTGCTGGTGGTTTCAGCGCAACTAGTGCGGGTAGCTACGCCAGACGAAACGGCGCCCACCAGCGGCCAAACACAGCTATGGATACCGTCCGATCTAGGGGCTTCAGTGATGCTGGCGATAGGCCAGAGACCCCCCTCACGGGAATCTCTTACCACTCCAGCCACAACACATCTCGCCAAGGGGCATCGTCTGCTATTCCTTGGTCCGCTGCCGATAACGATGCAGGAGATTCCGGTGGAGTTTTCGGTGGTCTTTCGACGCCCAAGACTAAAAAGCAAGGGTTCTTCAAGAAAATCTTCGAGTCTGCCAAGACGGGTGCTGCAAGCGCGAGAAGCAGCATTTCGGTTGGCCATAGCACTGGATCCCAGTCTCCAACCAAGGGTAACAGAATGATTGACGTTGTGTCGCCTCTCCTCACAGCTCATTCATCCCGTGATACAGCCCGGGACATGGGTATGAGTGCCAGTTCCATTGACTGGGTGCAAGTTCGTCGGGATGTCAACCGAGCGTCATCACCAAGTCGGAACGAGAGAATCGAAAGAGCCGAGCGGTGCCAGATGATGGATCATCCGGTCATCTATGCCATCGAGGAACTGTACGACACTGCAGAAGGTGATGAGAGTATCGATGGATTACCAATCAGTGAGCCCACGAATTTCAACGCCGGAAACCTGAATCTTGTGGACAAGAGTGCGCGGTTTATTAATAGCATTCCGCCGCTCACAAATCCTGTGAGCCTTGCTCAGGGTTACATCTGCCGACCCTACAAGAGCGATGTTCAACGTCTACGGGCCATATTCACCTGGGTTAGTGAGAAAATCGCATGGGAGGAGCCTGTTGACGGGCTCGATGTCGACATGAAAAGAGTGCTGCAAGCTAAGCGAGGTAGCCCTCAAGAAATCGCTTACCTGGTGCATGAAATGTGTGCAGCAGTCGGTCTACATGCTGAGACTATCCGTGGCTTCCTCAAGAACCCTGGTGACTCCCTGGATCTCGACAGCCTTTCTCGTCCCAATCACTGGTGGAATGCAGTCCTGGTTGATGGCGAGTGGCGTATTATGGACTGCGCATTGGCGAACCCTACAAACCCCCAGCGAAGCAAGTTTGTCACCAATAATATGTCAATCGCCGAAACCTGGTACTTCCTCACCCGGCCTCTCGACATTTGCTTCACGCATGTCCCGCTTTATCCTGAAGAGCAGCATATCTGTCCTCCAGTTTCGCCAGATGTTTTACTTGCTCTGCCAGGTGTATGCCCCCAATTCTTCAAGCTTGGTGTGCAGTTCCCAGACTATGACACTAGCTTGATGCGCGTTGAGGGCCTAGAATGCCTCCAGATCCGCTTGGTGGTCCCTCCCGACGTTGAATGCGCCGCCGAGGTCGAAGCACCGGCATTCGCTTGCGATGCCGACGGGGACTTTTTCGAAAGCGGCGACATTGTGCGCAAGCGCGCCCTAGTTCAACCAGACTGGTTCAACGGCCAGAAGCGGATCACCATCAAGGCCGTCTTGCCAGGAGACGAAGGACAGGGTGTGTTGAAGGTCTACGCTGGTAAGAAGGGCCTCATGCACTCCAGCCGCGATATCCCTCATCCAATGGCCCTCGCTCTGCCAATGGTGCACACGGGAGAAAACCCGCCATACGACTTTGTCCTCCGTCATCCCACGCCTCACGCCCAACGGCACGATCTGTACATCATGCAGCCCCAATGCTCCCGCCTAGCGGTTAACAATACCTTTGTCTTCGCCGTGCGACAACACCCATCTTCCCCTCAACCCCCAGCCAAGGAGGACTACGCCGTCAACGGACGAGCCTCACCATCGGTATTCAACCGACCGTCCAGTGCCCTGAGCATGGTGTCTAGTACCGCCCCATCAACGATATCAAGTAACTCGAACGAGTTCTCTGCATCGACATCTGCTATTTCCTCAACCAGGTCTGCGTCTGGTCGCGACAAGCCGGCCAAATTGGCTATCCAGGCACCATCTGGCAAAATCTTGCGTCTTACCCGGAAGGCGGATCATATGATCAGCTCGCCAGATCCTAATGGCCTGTCCGTTACTGATGCCCCCGCCGAGGGTAGTGTATGGGAGACGGTCATCAAGATCGGTGAGCGGGGTACCTGGCGTGGCTTGGTCCTTGCTGACCGAGTCGCACGGTGGTGTGTGTTCTGTGAGTGGGAGTGTGTTTGATACATACACCATTGCTCGGAGTTGATATTCTCAGCTTTTATGTGATAGATTCTTGTCTGGATATTTGATTGGTCTTATATTTAATTTTGATTTTCATAACTTTTGGTTTTTCCTGGTGGTTATTTGATTGTTTGATTTTGTGTTAGCGATCTTGGATTCTTCTTTTTTTTTTTTTTCTCATAACTGGCATTTGCATGGATCAGGTCGGCTTTGGAGCATTGCATATATCTGCATTTCCAAGTGTTACTTCATTTTTACCCACAGACAGCTGTTCCTGATCCTTGGTGTTTGGTGTTGGTCATAATAGGTTCATTTTCGAAGAATACATATGGTGTTCAAGATAAATATGTTCATTTCATGATATTGTAGTTTCGTAGATTTGACCTTTATAGAGAGTGGTCGCGTAGTTTATAATTTAGCAACAGCATCTCGCAGCATCGGCGCCACTTGCTTCCTACTTGCCTTGGCGTTCGTCTGCACCCACAAGTGCCTCCAGACTTCGGAGGTTCCATTCAGCGTATCTCGAATATCAGCCTCAACCAGATCCACACACTCTCCATCCAAGGGCGTCCACTCAATAAGGCCAAGTGAGCTTGACTCATTAATGAACTTCTTGATACCGTCCACTGTATGTCCACCTTCCTCTGATGCACAGATGAACAGCTCTCGAGTATGTTGGTCCTCTGCCGAAGAGAAAGAAGTCATGACGACCACCATATCCAACTCTTTATCCTCCCTCTGCGCAAATTTGCGAACAACCTCAAGGAATTGGTGAGGCTCGCCCGCTTTTTCGATAATCCACCGAATGGGCTTGACCGATGAGCAAAAACCAAGTTTGATGTTCTGCCCAGAGGATTGAGGCTTCTCAGTCCAGTCTTTGAAATCACGATCCAGAATCTCTTCCGGAGTCAACAAATCCAGACTATTCCGCTTCGCATCATCGATCTGCTCGTAGAAAGCCTTCATGTCCCATGCGGGATCTGTGCTGCTACTCGCCCCGGAGACTAACTCTTGCAGGAAATCGACAGACTGAATATCCACATCCTTGACCTTTCCTTCCGCGGTAAGGTTAGACGTATCGATCAGAATCGGCGCCAGCGCCAGTTTCGCGACCTGCGCGATCTCCGCCGCGGACGACGCGTCCTGGCTGGCAGTCCAGAACCCACGTTTCTTGAGCTCGTTGGTGATCAATGAAGAGCACGACCCAGGCCCCGGCTGGATGATCAATGGCTGATCGGAGGGGATGTCTTCTGCCCCAGGTACGAAGTTCTCATCGACGTGATGGTCGATACACCCCACCGTGCGGAAAGTGACCTCCTCCAACCCGCTCACCGAGCCATATCCTGGTTTCCCATCAACGCGCTCCTGCATGGCATTCCAGTCGACCATAACCGCATCTGCCTGTATTTTCTTCGTTTTGGAGAGCTCCTTCAGGCTCCGCGCAAAGTCCGCAACCGTGACTAGATGCTCACCGAGCAATTTCCCCGCGGAGTCGGAGGTTCGATCAAATTGCTCCTCGGGCCGTAGGGAGGGGAAGCTGGCGGATAGCCACAGCGCGGTGACGAATTCTGGTCTTAGTCGGTACAGCTCGGAGCCTGCAGGGATGTTGGAGAGATTGAGGAGGGGGATATGGGGTCGCGGGGTGGTGGTTGGGAGGCGGTTGTTGGCGCAGTAGGAGTAGACAATGGCGGAGATGATCGAGTCCAGGTCGGCAGATGGATTGCCGAGCACGTAGATGGGTGATTCGGATAGAGTACCGGCCAGGAATTGTAGGTGTACCTGGCGGGCCTGGCGCAGGAATTGGAGGAGGGTCATGGTGGGTGGCCTGGGTTGGTAAGAGGGAAAAGGTGTTTTCATCGTTGTTAGAAATCGCAAAATCCCCAGTCGCGGCGACGTCACCGCAGCGGGGTTAAGCCATCAGTAGGGCCGATACATTGAAAATAGCAAAACAATTTATTTGACAACATCAGTGGTATCAGCAATATGGCTGATCAGAGACTCGGGTTTCTGAAATACATAATTTCATAGTTAAGGTAGAAAAATACTATGGTTGCGCAGTTATTACGCTCAAATTAGGTTTATCCTACCCATGGATAGCAGTTCCTGGAGAGTTGATAGTGAGATATATCAAAGGATTTGGGGTCAGAAACTCTATCAAAAGGGTATTTCAGGTCAAGATCAGAATGTTTTCACTCGAGTCCAACTTCAAGTTGACAGTTTCACTTTCAATCTCTGGCTACGTCATCCAATCCCTCAAGGGGAAACACTTCACCTGAACCACAACACAACAATCACAACAACGACCAGAAACACCTCCATTCCCACCTCCACCATGAAGAGCAGGATATCCATCCAGCTCCCCTCACCCTTTGCCCAAATTCCCCGCCATCCCATCTTATATCCTGACCCTTCCCCCATCCATCCCCTCCCCACCCTCTCTTCCACAAGCACAACCCCCAAAACCCCCCGAATCTCCATCTTCGCCAAACGCGAAGACCAAGGATCCCCCCTCGCCTCCGCAGGAAACAAATACCGCAAACTAGAATACATCGTCCCGGACATCCTCTCCCAAAGACCAAAATATCACTACCATGAATCCCACCCAACAACCCAACCCCTACCCGGTCCAGCAACCATCCTCGTCACAGAAGGTGCTCTCCAAAGCAACCACACCGTTCAGGTAGCCGCTCTCGCCCGCAAACTAGGTCTTAAGGCCCTCGTCCTGTTGAACCGCGACACAGGCGGTGGGTATAAAACTAGTTCCGCGCCGGGATTCTTCGCGAAGCTAGGGAATGTGCAAATCAATAAACTGCTCGGCGCGGAGATACGCATGTATAATGCGGAGGATCCTGAAGCTACGGATGCACAGCCTGTCCTGGACGAACTAGTGAAATCAGGTCAAAGACCATACTGGATTCCCGGTGGTGCCAGTCTGCATTCCCTAGGAGGCCTAGGCTACGCACGAGCAGCCTTCGAAATCGCCGTCCAAGAAAGTGAATGCCAACTCGGCGGCTCGGGTCACTTCGATTTCATATTCGTCGCCTGCGGGAGCGGAAGTACCGTTGCCGGCTTGATTTCTGGTTTCAAATTACTCGAAAGGGTTCAAATGAGCTCGAGCTCGAGCTCCGGCGAGAGTAGCTGGCCTCAAAGATCACGGAATATCATCGGCATTCTCAACTCGCCAACGAAACCTCGGGAATATCATGAAGAGCGGGTTCTTCGGTTTGCCAGATGCGCGGGGGAACTCATCGGTCTTTTAGACGTTGAGAAGGAAATTACCGTGGATGATGTACACCTGGATGATCGTTTTGTTGGGGAGGAGTATGGGGTTATTGATGAGGAGACGAGGAGGAGTTTGTCTATGACGGCGGAGATGGAGGGGATTGTGTTGGATCCGGTTTATACGGCCAAGGTTGCGGCGGGGATGATGTATAGGGTACAGAGTGAGGAGATGGGCAGGTATGCACAGACGAATGGGTTGAAGGAGGTGAATGTCTTGTTTATTCATACGGGTGGGCAAGCGGCACTGTCGGCATACTTTGACCGGGTCATGTGAAGATGTACGGATCTGGAGGTATATACTGCATACACCAAGATGCTAAACATCATTTGTAAGATAAGCATTAAGAAGGAACATTACTATAACGCAAAGAAGAGAATCAATCCATAAATGCCAGACTAATTTTTACAGACTCATATACGTAGTCAGATTGATAATGGCTGCATTCGACTATTGGTACAAGATATCGATGACGGGTAATAGCAAAGGGGAAATCAAACGCATTGAAAACAGATAGCCTCGGTCATCACAGTAAACACGGTCTGAATCTGCAGGAGATAGAATCTGAAGAAAGGACATAGAAGAGATAAAGGCTGTAACAACTTCATAACATAATAAAATAAGCACCATTCAGGCCAAGTAAAAGAAAACCAACACTAAAACGCCACGGACATCCGCCTGGTCCTGGCACCGTACCCCCTTGTAGTACATCTTTGCTTGAAAAGCGGAATCAGGACTTGATCCGCGTGGAGAGGAGAATAAAACACGGTCACTCCAGACTAAGAGAGATCAGATAAAACAAAAAGAGAGAAACTTGAAACAAGGACGTAGAGTATGTGAGAGACTCGAAAAGAATTCCAAGGAAAACAAAAGTCATTCCAGGGTAAGCAATATAAAGAAAGAAATCATAGCTCGGACTCGGGATCCTCGTTCGTCTCCGCGGCAGTAGCAGTGGTGGTCTGCGTCTCCCCGTTCGGAGCTGCATCGTCATTGGGTGATGGCGCACGGCTGCTGCCATTGCTAGCGTTGAGAGCCTCCAGGGCTTCAGTCGCGTGAAGGTTCTCCATCGGCTCAGACTCGGGCTCGACCTCTTCTTGATTCGTGAGATCCGCGAAGACATCATCCAAGTTCTGACGAGGACTGCTGCTAGCGAAAGGTGCATCGCGACCGAATCGTGGAGGACTGAATAGAGGCTCCATACCCTGCTGCGGCGTGGGCGACCGAGGGAGGAAGGAGGGAGATTCAGAGGCCGCGGCAGCCGGTAGGAACGCAGAAGAGGACGTTGGCGCAAATGCTGGGGTAGAGTCACTGGCGGGAAGAGAGTAATTGGCAGAGAAAGGATATGAAGCCGCAGTAGCATCCGGCATTGGAGTCAACGTGGGCCCAGTTGTGGTGGGCACGCCGTTACTGGAAGGCGGTGGCACAGGCTGTAGAGAGCCGGGTCGAGACGTTTGAGCATCGATCGACTTTCGCTTGCCTGCCGCCGCGAGCTTGGCGCGGAGATGCTCAGGAAGATCCTCTGGTCGGTCAACGCCAAGCTGAGCCATAATCTTCTGCTGCTTAGTCGGACGCGGCTTACGCGTTGACAGGGACTGCTCGAGGATTGGAGGCGCCTCCGGTGCAACGGGAGCCCACTTGTGAATCTCCTGGCGGAAAAAGTTGGTCTCATAAGCCAGCAGGACTTCGGCACCCTCAATCTTTCGCAGATAGAAAATCAACGTCGGCACTTCCTCAGTAGTGGTACACGCAGCGTTGGTGAAACTATGAAGGAAATCACGGAAGGCTGTAGCTTGATTGATTATTCTGTCCAGAACCTCTTCCTCATCTGGCTGGAAGGGCAGACTAGCCATTTCGGCTTGCCAATCCAGCAGATCCTCGAGCTTAGGCCGGGCTGCATCGCGAGGGATCTTCTGCCGCCAGTCGCAGATGGGGCAGGTGTACTTGTCGAATTCCTTGACTTTGCCGCGCGCAATCTTCAAGCATTTTCCATGATACCATTCATGGCAGACTTCGCACTCAATCATCATTCCAGCTTCGGAATGACGGCAGATGCAAAAGACATCACGCTTTCGGGACTTCGGACCCCACACGTTAGGGGCAGGAGTCTCAAGGAGCCCGTCAGGGGTGTTGTCCCGAGACGAGGGCTCCACGGGCGGCCGATAGCTATCCTCCAAATCAAAGCAGTAAGAGTTTCGCTTCTCCACGTACTCCATGTGCGACTTTAGGATATGCAGAGGAGCATTGGCCTTGCCAAAGAGTTTCTTGCCCTTTCTCATCCAATCCTCGTGACGCTTCTGCTCGCGTTCCAGGTCAATCGCCCCGATCGGCCGACTGTTCAGCTGCTCCAGAGACTCCGTGAGTTCACGAACATCCTTGTACTTGGGACGGTTCTTCAGCTCCGGGTCTTTGCTCTTCTCATAGAGCGTCTGAATCCGCTTCTGCGCTTCCCGTTGCTTGGTCAAGATGGCATCAACGGCGGCAAGGGTGTCAGGGGATACAGGGAATCGAGAGGCTTGTGCGGAGAGCGCCTCCAGCTGTTGGTAATGAACCGCTTCAACAGCCATCAACTCCTTGGCCTTGGCTTCCCAGGCTTCACCGTGGCGAGACATTTCCTTGAAATGAAGCAGATGCTCGTTGGTATCCTTGAGACCAAGTTGCTCTCCAGAGGCGATGAGATCCTGACAGTCCTGGAGGGTGAGGTATTTCTCCCGTTTACGAGCAGCCTCTTCGGTCCACTTCATTTGTTGATGGATCTTTTCCAGGTGTTCCACTTCTGGAATTTCGACGTTGAAGTTTCGGCCGGCTTCAACGAGCTCCTCGATTTCCTGGGCCGATCGCGTATGCGGGTTTCTTAAGGCAAGGTTAAGGTCCTGGCGGAATTTCTCGATTTCGCGGGTTTTCTCTTCCAGGGCCGCCATCTGTGGACAGTCGAAGGAAAGTTTATCAGCCTCTGCCAGAAGGGCGTAGATGTTCTCCACTTTGCGGACTGCTTGGTCGCGATCGTCCAGCTGCGCCGCCTTGGAGCCAGGTTTGCGCCACGCCTTCTCGTTTTTTCTCCGGTTCTGCTGCTTCCGGGTGATGTAATTGTTGGCTTCCTCAACCCATTTATCGCAGCGCTGGACGAACGCCGCAAGATCTTGGAGGCCAGGCAGGTGGTACGGGATTTTCTCACCTTCACTGAGCAAATTGTGGAGAGCCTTTAGCTGAGGCTTGGGCTCATCCTCCAAGGTCTTGTCGAGCTTCTCTCCCCAAATTTCCGGAATTCTGGCGCGTTCCTGGACCTTTTGCACGGTCAATTTGAGCTGATCGTCACTCATGCGGTAGCGAAGTGTGTGTCCAGGTCCGAGTAGCTTCTGTGATGGGGGTTCACCACAGCAGTCATAGACCTCAGCATGCATCAGGCAGAGTGTCTTGCCTGACTTGTGGCAACGGAACTGGGTGAGGTAAGTGTAGGCCTTGCAGTGCTGACACAGGTAATCATCCTCTGGAAGGTCCTCCTCTTCTACTACGAACTTAAGCTGACAATCACCTTTAGGGGGGTTGGCGCCAAGACCGCAGTTATGAGGTGCCATATCTCGATGGCGAGCTATGAATGTTGCCCGATCGTTCAATTCCCTGTTGGTGCTTCGCTCAAGCGCAGGGGCAAGCCATTTAGCCGTTGTAATGGAGTTGTCTCGTGCAGCCGCTGTGAAAAGCAGTTCGTCGTGAGAGAAGCACGGGTGTCGGCGGAAAGTCTGAAGGCGCTCGACTCCCGCGGCGCCGAATGGCTCCCAGTCCGCAGGCGCAAAGTTGACAGCCTCGTTGAAGTTGAATCCGTGGTTGAAACCTGCGTGGTAGGCTTGAGGGAAAGTAAGGACAAACTGGCCTGCTCTTTGGTCCACCGCGTAAACGTTGACACCAGCCTTGCGGAGTTTGTCGGGGGGCATCAACGTCACAAGCTGGAAAAGAAGATCGGGCTGGCCCTCGAACAACTCCGGGACTGCCTCCCGCATGGCATTCTCAAACGCCTCGGCGTCGGCACCGGGAATACCGTACCAAGTCTTGGTAGCGCCAAAGTGTTGATAGTTCGCAGAATAGGCGTAATGATCCTCATTATGCCAGCAGAAAGTCGAAAAGCACATTCCAACATAGACCCACGGCACAGTCATGCCAGAGATATCAGACTTGATGTGACGGAAGAGCGAATCGCCGTAGAACGGCAGAACATTCAAGTTCCAAGGGTCAGATGAATACTGATCAAGAGGGTTGCGCTCGATGGTTGGGAAGCCACTACCATGAGTAGTAGAGTGGATATCCGCGCCGTACTCGACTTCTACCGTCTCATGCAGATCCACTACCAATTTCCAGAATTCGGCCTCAACATCATCCTCGGTTTCCCGTCGGTGGGTGTTGAGCACTGGATCAAACGGCATCTTTGAGGCGAAGTACCGCTTCTTGAACTCGTTGGCCTTTTCTTGGAATTGCTTGAGCGAGTAAACACCGCCATCCTCGAAACCGAACTCTCCAGTGCCAACCAAGCACTTCGGGCAATGCCAATCGTGATCAGCGGGGGAGGTGGTAGTGGGATCCAGACAAGTAGTATGGTAGCCAAGTTCACAGCTGTCGCATACAAGGATTGTCGAACGATTGTCGGACTTTCCACAAGACTCGCATTTCTAAGAGATAGATATTAGATGGATGCTCATGTATACCATTAAGGACACTTACATCTCCGGTTCTTTGCGCCCCATTGCGACCTTTAGGTGGTGCAGGTCGAAGAAGAGACATATGAGACCCGGCCACCATCGGTGGCATATCTAGAAGCACCAAGAGTTAGAGTGATCTGATGAGCCAATATCAGTGTCAAACAATACCTTTCTTGAGGCGCTTGCTACGGCGCCCACTTCCACCATCATCACCGTTCTCACCCTGTGAGCCACTCTCGTCGTGACTGATAGCACGCTTCACAGGCTGTGCAGGTAGCCCGTTCGGCACCGGTGTGTAGTGAGAGGGATGATCGGAGACACTTTTAGGGGTTGAAACCCCATTATCAGCAGCTTCATGCTTGATAGGTGGACCGTTGTTGACCGGAGTAAACGCGGGAGAGTGGTTCACGGCAGTGAAACCACTTGCACCAGCATTGACGGGAGTAAAGCCGGAGGGCGCTGGACGAGGGGGAGGGGGAGGCGTGGGCTCCACAGAGGGGGTGGGCTTTTCGACGGGCTTCTCAATTGGGGTACTCATCACGGGTGCCATGCGCATTGAAGGGGTTCCATCGCGAGCTTTGGACGGGGTGCCATTCTCCTCCAAGCTGGGCTTCTTCGTCATGGGCGACTGACGCGGAGACGGGGTATAAGGACCACCATGTTCCAGTTCGAGCTGTTGTTGAACGCCGGGTTTGGCGCGGGCAAGGTACTCCTCATACGGCTGCAGATACCGCTGGTAGGAGTTTTTGAGCGAGGTGGATAGAGACGACATGATCTTTCCGCTGTAGCCAAGATCACGACCAATTTCGGCCCACTTCTTGGTTTTGCAAACAGACTCGAATCCCCCTCGCACCTCGACAGCCTTTTTCAACTTGTAGAGATCCAGAGGGCGTTTGTCCACACTCGGTAAGCGACTGTAATTCGTCCCGTGTTGCTTGTGAAACATGGCAAGCCCGTCGATATAGTTCATGTTGGCGCGATTTCCTGGTTCAGAGTAGAGGTTAGAACCGCGCTGCGGAGAGACTCCACCTACAGCAACATCGGCTGAACGCGGGGCCATACCTCCTTCGACCGAGTTCAGTTCTTGTCGACGGGTTTTGAAGTGGAATCGCTGCGCAAGTACCCCACCGGTTAGCATACACACAACAAAAAACACGATGAAAACAACTGGGGGCGCAGTCGGGCAGGAGAGCTGAAAATGCTGTCCGCCACAGACTCGCTCCCAAGCCGATCCTCGAAAGCAGAGTTGAAGACGCGAGCACGGAAAGATGTACCTCTGTGTCAATCGCGAAGGGCGGCTGCCAGTTCTCCGGAGGGATCACTCGACAGATTCCATATTTCCTTCCTTCCGGCGCAATCTTTTGAATGTATGCTACGGGATCCTTAAATTCCTCCTCGGTTGGCCGAAAAGTCGGGGCTTCGGGCAAGCCATGAGGGCGCACGCGCTTGGAGGGCTCGCGAGGAGCATTGGGTTGGCCGCGGCGCTCAACCGTGGAGAGATCCAGGGGCACTGATCTCCGAGCGCTCAAAGGCACATTGTGCGAATGCGACGGGTGGGTGCTGGCCGAACGAGTGGGCTGGCGGCCCATGGAGGATTGAGCAGCCATGGAAGGTGGAACAGTGGAGGCCGGAGCCACCATCTCTCAGCGTTGTTGAACGTAAGGCAGGTTGGCGTGAACGAGAATACGCAGCCTGCGCCTGGTTGATAAAATACCGGGGAAGGTGTCAAGAGTGGTGCGAAGAGCGCATTGGAGGCGTAGGTAGGAAGGGTGGGTGATGAGATGAGCGAGGAAGGGCGGAGGACCTGCGATATCCGAAAGGTAAGAGAATTACCAGTTCCTGTGTTTTAAAATCAAAACACGAGAACCGGTGGGGGCGGATAAAAGACAGGGAGGGATTGGGAGAGAGGAAGGGAGAAAAGGGTTGATGGAGTTGTGGGGGATGAGGAAGGCGCAGAAGGAAAGAAGGATGGAATTGATAGTGGAGGAATGAGATTATGTGCAGTACAACCAGTAGTTAGTTAGGTCCAGTACAGTGACTACAGCCTGGTAGCCTTCGACCGGACCAGGTCCGGAGAGTCGGGCCAAAGTACTGAGAAGGTCACTCGGTCGTATGTTTCTCAGCTAAAGGGAACTTACGAGTGACTTTGACGGTTTGGGACTCCACCAGACTGGGGGTGACTACTGGTCGACCTGAAATCAACGACCCCCCATATCATAACTTGGTTATAATCATGAATGACTAATTTACCCTTTCTGTACTCCAGAAAAAACAGTACAAAGCAAATATGTATTCATCTACAGTAGTCGACCAGCTAGACAGTCTCTCAAAGTCATTATTCGAGAGGGTCCCTTGGCTACAGCCACAAAGCCATGGTACATTTGTAAATATGGCGAGCAGTACGGTATGGTAACCGGCGGTATGAATCGGGCAAGTATAGAAGAGAGATTCGGGGTCCTTCGGGTCCCCGTGCCTGGCGGAGACCGCGGTCAATATAAAATACAGCTGAGATCAGTAATTATCGGTAATCTCCGTCATATGTATTGAGGCTGTAATTTTACCGTTTACCCATCATCGACGCCGCAAACGGGCTACCAGTAACTTAGCGAGTACTAATTAGTCGTCGCTTCTCTGCTTCTTTTCAGACTTTCTGCCGTCGCCATAACAAGAAAACAAGACCGAGGCCCAAGCGGGCTCTTAACAAAAGGAGAAGTGTCCTGTGACACATCAATTTTCCTCGTGCGGCTAGAGTCCAGCACATCAAGTCGGTTTTTTGGCACCCTATCCTGGCCCGCTAAAAGTTAAAACAAACCATCATAAGCTCCAGGGTGAGATATTTAAAATAAGAAACATACCAGCCCTCTGCATACGCCATTACAGATATCGTCATCATTGTGGATAAATACCAATTTCGTATTAAGATCACTAGACATAGTTATGGGTCACCTGATGATATGGATGTCGCTTACACTAGATTGAATTTTGAAACGGGTGTTTCTAGGTGAGCTCTAAGCGACCTGAAAATTTTTCCTGGCGCGAAGAATGGACCAGACTGTGTCGCAGATTGCGTCGACGTCGCATCAAACTAGATCGACGAGATCTGCCGAGGATTAGGCCTAGCGGATGGCCCCCTCGGTCATAAGCGTCATCCCATACGGTAATCCCAACCTGAACACAATACCCTTGAAACAGTCTCGAACTTGGTCAATTCACTATCAATTATTACAAAGTCAACGCAACGATACCACTGTACATTTGGTCTAGTAATTATAACAACCTATATTGACTTGGGTACCGACAACCCTCCGAAACCGAGTAGTTCCCCGTCATGTGATCGCGTTGTTTACCAAGTGGGCCCATGCGACAGTACCTTACTGCAGATGCTCAACCTATATTGCAACAAAGTATCTGAAAGAACCCAAGCCTAGGGTTTGAAACAAACCCCTTCATCTGCATTCCCACACGATGGAAGTCCAGGGGCAGCCCAAGCCCATACCGGCTTACTACTGCTGCTATCTGCTCCGTTCGACCGTTCGGCACGCCTCGCTTTATATCGGCTCGACGCCAAACCCGATCAGACGACTGCCGCAGCACAATGGAGACGCCAAAGGTGGGGCCAAGCGGACTGCGCGCGACAAATTACGGCCCTGGGAAATGGCGCTGGTCGTCGAAGGGTTCATGAGTCGCGTTGGGGCATTGCAGTTCGAGTAAGTTGAGACACATTGCACTGATGCTCAATTAAGTATATGCTAATACTTATATCTATGCAGATGGGCCTGGCAACACCCTGAGAAATCACGCCATCTGCTAGAGGACGGCGGAGAAGCAGAGGTCCAGTCTCAAGTCCCTAGTACAACCTCGAAAACCAGCAAGGCCAAGCCTCGAGCATCTAGAACAAGGAGATCTTTGACTGCTCACTTGGAAGACTTGCACTCGCTTCTTCGGTCGATCTACTTTTCTGCCTGGCCTTTACGTGTTCGATTCTTCCGCGCAGATGTCTATCGCGTTTGGAGGATCTGGAATGAGCGAGTCGACATCCCTCTGTCCAACAACAAGATCATCCTAGATGGGGACTGTCCAGGCCAAGGCAGCAAGGAGGTCGTTGTTGGTAGTATCAATGGACTGTCAGTCGACTATACCAAGCTGGAAGATTACCTAGAGAAGTCCACGTTTCTTCTCGACGATGCACAAGACCTTCGATGCAAATTGTGCAACGCTCTGGTCGTCCCCCATATAGAACAAATTGTGGTGTGTCCGCATGCACATTGTCGCGGGGCACATCATCTCTTATGTCTATCGGAGGCATTCCTTAAATCTGTCGATGATTCGGATATCCTTATACCAACGAGCGGAGTCTGCCCAGCTTGCCAGACTGTCGTGTCATGGCCACTGATGATGCAAGAGCTCAGTCTCCGCAACCGAGCCGAGAGCGAAGTTCGCACTATTCTGCGGAAGAAGGAGAAGCGCAATCGCAAGGCAATTGCAAATAACTCGTCGGCCCAAGACAAAGCAGCACCGGCACTCCAGGCGTCCATTGAGCCTAGCCAGCAAGCTTTAGGGGACCCAGGATGTACATTAACCGTTGATGACCCTCTCTTGGACGATGGTTGGTATGAAGAAGTCGACATGGAATCGGACACGGAGCATGGCGTACAACGACGCCGATCCCCTCCGCCTCCCAGACTGGAAATCGTCATTGAAGACAGTGATTGGGACGATGCCGAGATCATCGAATGAGGAACGATACATAAGGCACACTAGTCCCGCCGCATTATATTAACATTGATATCAATCTACCCACCCAGGCTAATTAGCAAGCGGCCCTAACGTCCTCAATGGCCCAACAGTATCCAATTGCGCCACGCAGACCGCAACAGCAGCCTGTATATCCCTCGAGACCTCCTCCAGCGTCTTCCCGGCATCAACCACACAAACATTCTTCTGCCGCTCAAACAACGTGCGAAACAACCCTCGCACTCGAGTTTGCATAGTCTCATTCTCATACCGCTCAGCGCCAAAACCACCCCGTTTCGCAGCCTCCTCGGCGGAAATACTCAGAAACAGGCAGATATCAGGCTGCGGAAGCCCAATCTCGGGTTGCCAGGCCCAGTCCAACGAGAGAGTGGGGTTGGCTTTGGCGGCCGAGTAAACGGCGCCGGAGTATGAGTAGCGGTCGACGATCAGGGTGATTCCGGCAGCGATATCTTGTTCGATGCTTTTGGCGAGTTCCCATCGGTTTGCAGAGAAGAGGAGGTGGATGGAGTGGTCGTCTTGGTTTGCGGAGCCGCGGAGGTAGCTATCTATGAGCTTCCCGATGGGGGTGGTCCTGTCTAAAATTGGAATTAGGATCATGCTGTAGTAATTGGAATGCAGATATATGAGATGGAGTACCTGGGAATCGAATATATTTCACATTATGGCCTTGCTCAGAGAGGTAGTCTCGTAGTAACTCGCATTGACTCGATTTGCCCGCGCGGTCGAGACCCTCGACGACAACCAGGGCACCGCGTCGCGTTGGCGTTTGTTGCGAAGCTGTCATTCTGGTAGCTGCTGCAGCGAAGTGAACAGAGTTATTAGATCACTGAATCAAATAGTTGGTTATCAAGCCCAACGTGTCCTAATTTTGTCTGTACTTGTAAATCAGAAAGTGGTGGTTTAGAAGAAGTGGACCATTGTTTAATGGACTCGGCCCCAAGCCTCTTTTTTTCTGCCGCCTCCCCCGATAAGATCGCAAGGTCTCATCTCCGCCAGCATGGCCACTCAATAACCTCAGCCACCATGGATTCCGAGCCCTCTCCGTCCCATGAGATGACATTTAGCATCCTGGGCTCTGCCGCGCCCGCCCTGGCTCCTCGAGTAGGCACATTGGCCCTCGCCGGCCGCCAGGCGATCGCGACGCCGAATTTCGTCCCGCTCACATCGCGGGGCGCAGTGCCGCATATTTCGCATGATATGGTGCGCAAGGAGACTTCGATTAATAGTCTCTATATCGGATTGGAAGACTGTATGTGTGATTTACAATCTTCTCAATTACTCGGGTTATGATGGCCTACTGTGGCATGGCTCATACTGACCACGCGACATGTGTGAATAGTCATCGAAAGGAAACACCCTGCCCCGCTATATAATGTCCCCGCCGCAGCACACGAGTCGTCATTGAGAAAGTTCATATGTGCGCAGGATGACGCGACCCTCCTTCTTGGTCCTCGACGATTCCCCGCAATCGCATGCCCGCCCAACAACACCGAGACCTCCATTGCGATCTCAACCTCTGTCGGGTTCCGCCAACTCGAGGCCCACAGATATATCGAAGCTATACAGAAGCTGAAACCCGACATTGCCATTGGTCTTGCCGATATGGTTCTCGGGAGAGCGCCGGGCCTAAAGAGGCGGGGTAAGATGATCGATCGGACGCATGCATATACTCGCGATGCTCTGGAGCATCTATATGGGGAATCCGTGGCGGACGAGAACAAGTCAAAGACAAAGTACTTTGCGCCAGTACTGCCGTTGGATAACACGCAGCAATCGCTGTATCTAGATGACCTGGAGAGCGAGTTCCGGGATTACATCTCGGGCCTGGCGCTCTACGAGTCGGCCTCTTTGGGCTTCATCCCCGAAGGTCTGGGCAGTCTGCCTCGATTATTGCTGAGCGATCCCTCGAGCCCTCACGAGATTCTGCGTGAGATCTCACTCGGCGCAGATCTTGTGACCGTTCCTTTCCTCCAGGGCTGCTCAGATGCTGGCATTGCGCTAGATTTCGCATTCCCTGTTCCGGAGGCAGTACAAGCCCTTGGGGAGCCGCAGCCGCTTGGTCTTGACCTTTGGTCATCGGAACATGCGAAGGATGTCACTCCCTTGGTCGACGGATGCGAATGCTATGCATGCCGAAAGCACCACCGCGCCTACTTTAATCACCTTCTGCGCGCAAAGGAGATGGCAGCATGGGCTCTGCTCCAAATGCACAATCACCACGTCGTGGATTGTCTCCTCGCTGGTGCACGAGAGAGCATCCAACGCGGAACTTTCGAAGAAGATGTTCAGGCATTCCACCGCGCATACGTTACGGAACTGCCAGACAGAACGGGCGAAGGCCCTCGGTAAGTTTGACCCCATGCTCATTGAAATGGATCATGCTGACACGCGATAGACTTCGCGGTTACCAAATGCCAGCTGCCGGGCCTAATCAGCCCCGGCGTATGCCTAAAGTATACGGCCGTCTCGATGACCTGTCACAGAAATTCGCCGAGTCCCAGTCCTCGGTTGCTACCCCAGATACGGACGCAGAGGGACTCGAGAAGCACGGGTTTGCGGAGAAGATCTAATGAAGCGATTTTTGCAGCGTTAATGATCTGTTGCTAGAGCGTGGTGATACTCCCCATTAGAAGCATCCTGGAAACAGGCGTATGTTGGAGTGGTTTTGATTGAATTCTGTTTTGGAAGCATACATAGCAGAGAGCCTTGGCTACTTACCTTATAGGTATTTACATAGCGAATCAACCTCGACTTAAACATCGAATGGAAATTACAACTCATGAAAGTAGTGGTTCAATTTCATATAATCATTCCATCGATCGCAAAAGCACCCAGAAAGTACTGTACAGGATCCAAGATCTCATGATACCACCATTCTTTTCCACGTGGCCGAAATATCTAGATCATCATCGTCGCAGTCAGAGAGGGAAGAAAAACATGCGGTTTGGAACAAGACAAGACAAGAAAAGAAGAGAGAAGGAAAGAAGCAGGGTATATCTAGCAGATGCAATTCAAGCAGGAAGGCTCTGTCCATATTACTGAGTCTCGCCCGCCAATACACGCCACATCCACTTGACCTCGTCCTCTTCCTCTTTGCTGCCCCGTGGTGTACCCGCGCCGAATTGCTGACCAACGACGCAGACGAGCCAGGTGTCGTTCTTAGTTGTGTCCAGGAAGCGCTCGGTGGGTGAGCCACGAGGGTAGATGCGGCGCCATTCGTCCCAGATGCGGAAGGCTTCCTCGCCCCAGGCGCGGAAACTAACTTCTTCGATGATGGTGGGTGTGACGATCTCCTTACCACGGAAGACACCCCAGGTAACGGCATTAACGCTCTCGGGGTTGTCGTTCAGCTCGTCGAGCTCGACATCGGCTGGCTGAGTAGGGAGCGAGGACTCGAAGGCGCCGGTGTTGTTGGTTGCGAACCAGACGAGCTTGTCGTGGCCGTGCTTCTCGAACAGGGGCTTGAGGATGGTGTTGTAGTCACTGCTAGAGCAGAAGAACTCGACAAAAGGCTTCTGGAAGACGAAGCCTTCCCGCTGGGGGCCCCAGCCGAAGATGTGATGGTCGCTACGGACACCATTGACGGCGGGCTGCGAGGCCAGGGTCCACCAGCCGCGGCCATCGATGAGCTTGAGCAGCTCGGGGCGAATAAGCTCCGTCTCTGCATTCAGACCGGCACCTTCCTCCGCACCACCCTCTGACCAGGGCACCATGTACAGCTCGCCAGAGACGTGGCGACGGAACAGAGTGCTGATATCGGAGGGCTCAACGGGGTGGCCCCAGATTCGTCGAGCCACTGCAGATGTGACGTGGAGAGACGGACCATATCCATCGATCTCACCGAAAGCTGGGGAGCGGGCATCACCCCATCGACCGTTAGGGAAGTCATCCCATGTGGCCTCTCTGCCGAGAGAGCCAAGTCCCTCGGAGATCTGAAGAGTTGTGCCTCGGCCAGGAAGCATTGCCGGCTGTCCAACACTATTGGCGAGAGCCTCGTGGACGGAATCATGGGAAGATTCCTTGGCGGAAAGCTTATCCACAATCACACGGTTGTGTGGTTGAGAGTTGATAGAAGAGGCCCGACGTCTGGCCAGGCGAGCTGATGCACCAAGAGGCACAACACCGTCGGCCTCCACGATAGCATAATCATCTTCAATATCAGTCGAGGCAGGAATGAGATCACAGCGCTCTAGAATGAATGAAACCGTCTTCTCCAAGTTCAAAGTATAGAAATGGAATCCTCGTGGTCCCGGGGACTTGAGCTCTTGCATGCCTCCGACGATCTCGCTTACGATATCCACACCAGCCCGCTTGACGGCGTCATCATCATGCTTCAGTTCTTCCATGCGCTTGGCAATGGGATCAGGAATGTGCACGTGGCTGAGCTTTGTCACACGAGTGAGAATCTTGTAGCTATGGATGGGCATAAGACCCGGGATGATTGGGATGGTCTTGAAGACACCCGACTCATGATTCCGAAGCATATTCTCAAACTTCTGGTATGCCTCAATGTCATATGTGAGCTGTGTCATGATGAAGTCTGCACCGGCAACAGTCTTCTCAATGAGGTATGGTAGATCGCGGACTGGGTCCTGGACGTCCTGGAACGAGTCGGCAGGGTGACCCTCGGGATACGCAGCAACACCAATGCAGAAGTAGTCGCCATGCTGCTTGCGAATGTACCGCACCAGGTCGACGGCAAAAGTGAAGTCCTTGTTGCTATCGTCTTCTCCGTGCATGTTGTACTCCTCGCTGCGGGGCGGGTCTCCTCGCAGAGCTAGGATATTGCGAATGCCCAGCACCTTGGCTTCCTCCAACGCCATATCGACCAACGCGCGACTCATGTTTGTGCAGGTCAAATGCAGCACCGTCGTCAACTGCAGCTGGCGCTGGCAGACTTCCGCCAGCTCGAGGGAACGGGCCGCCGTGCTTCCGCCTGCACCCCAAGTGACGGTCACGAATAGCGGGCGTAGAGCCTGGGCCATGCGCTCCAGACGTGCAGACAGGTTCGCGAAACCCTACAAAATCCATCTGATTAGCACGCTTGAGTCATTTCTTCGGTCTCTCGTCTTCTCGCCATCGCGAGCGCACACGCGGGGTTACCCCACCATCCGGGTCTTAGGAGGGAAGAACTCCAGCGAGAAGTAATTGGCGTCCGGCGGCAAGGCCGCGATCTTCTCTGTAATCTTCTTCTCCATTGCGAAAGATGTCGTGGTCGGCAATGGGAGAGGGGGTTGAAGGGAAAGAGAGAAGTTTTGGGTAGAAGTGGACCGTCATGGACTCTCCAATAGAGGTTGGTCGCATCGGGAAATATCAAGTCTACGCCTGCCGATGACGGCCATGCCGCGCTCTGCGCTAAAAACCCCAGTTTATCCGGTCTTTTACTTGTATCTTATGTTTTTTATTGTCCTGTTTCATTGCTCCAACGTCATTTTTATAGCTCCAACAAGCTTATCGGAAAAAGAAGAAAAAAGGCTCGCCCGGAAACGCGATTACTCAGCGCTTTTGAGCCCGCGGAAGAAGGTTATGCTCTATAGTTACTTCATACAGTACTCATTTGACTAATAGATAAGTGACTGAGTGACTCTTTGCTGTATTCTATCTTGTCCTTTCATTTCAGGTTATTCAAACCCAGAATCCATCATATCCAAATATTCCTCAAGATGAGATCTACTCCCTCGCAAACAGGTGATCTCTCCCGACCGCCGTAATACGAGAGCCCGCGCGATCGCCAACCGAACTTCAGCCGCCGCAACACGCCAAAACGCCCGGTCCCCATTGCCAAAGCGAGGCATATTACCCTCTTGACACTCGCCGTATACTTCCGGTCTACTCATTGACAATACCATATTCCACCATGACTGTCCGGCGCCCCTTGAGTTTCCCGACCGTTACCCGTCCGCTCCACAACAACGCCGTGCGACAGCCTGGACCATTGTCGCGAAGGACAATGTCGACGCCTCCAAATCCCTCACAAGCCCCAAAGTCGGCTCAAGCAAGCCCCAAAGATTCCCAATCCCATCTACGTCGTTTCAATGACCGACTACCACGATTCCTTCGCACGTATACAACTCCGCTTCTAGGAGCTCCTGTCACACATGTCACCTCCTTCCTGGTCTTACATGAAATCACCGCGATACTGCCGCTGTTCGGGCTGGTTGCTGCGTTCCACTACAGCACATGGCTGCCGGATCTTAGCTCGGATTCTGAGTCAGGGACAAGCAACGCCTTTGATGAGGGAGCGAAGCGATTCGGGCGGTGGCTGAGGAAGAAGGGCTGGGTTGAGGAATCCGATGTCAATGCCGTCGCGGAGCACGAGGTTGCGCAAAAAGAGCGAGCTGGAGTACGACTGGTGCTGGAATTCGCTACGGCATATGCAATTACAAAAGCTTTACTGCCCCTCCGTATAGCAGCTAGCGTGTGGGCTACGCCGTGGTTTGCCAGGACGATTCTTACGCCAACCACAAATGCAGCTAGGAGGCTGTTCAGCAAGAGCTGAACTCGACAGAATCATGCCTTCCTGATAAAATGACAGTTTGTACTCATAAACCATATGATGTATATTATGATATTGTAGCCATTCAAGGCCTTGACTCAACACTATTGCAATTCTATACAGCAAGCAGCCGAGGGCAGGCACTCTTCAGGCACACAAGCCTCGTGGAACGAGTAAATTTACTCGTAGACCCACTGGGCCTGGGTGGCCTTCCAGTTGAGGACCTCGGAGGGAGAGAACCAGAGGGCAATCTCCTTCTTGGCGTTCTCAACGCTGTCGGAGCCGTGGCAGACGTTGCGGCCGACATCGATGGCGTAGTCACCACGGATGGTGCCGGGGGCGGAGGCCAGGGGGTTGGTGGCACCGAGGATGGTGCGGCCGGTCTTGACGGCGTCCTTGCCCTCCCAAACCATGGCGCAGATGGGGCCGCTCAGCATGTCTAGTAACGTCGGATTAGAAGCTTGCCTTGGTGGGAAGGGGGGTTATGATCGGAGCAGTGCGGAAACTCACAGGAGATGAGGCCCTTGAAGAAGCCCTTGCCGGCGAGGTCGGCGTAGTGCTTCTCGAGGTGCTCCTGGCTGGGGGAGGTGAGCTTCATGGCAACGAGCTTGAAGCCACGGTTCTCGAAGCGAGAGATGATGGGACCAACGAGGCCACGCTGGAAGGGTGGAGTTAGCGATTGACGTTCAATGGGCGATCTGGCCGACTATTCGGGGCTATATCGGCCTCCAGAGGCTGGTCTTCGTACCTGGACACCATCGGGCTTGATGGCAATGAAACTGTAACAAATTGATTAGCTTCAACTTCACACCGCCAGGATCGTCGCAAGAGGGGCGCAAGAAAAACAGCAATGCAGGGGTAGGGTAAGAGCATTGAATAGGGATTGGGTATGGAGTCGGTCACTTACGTCTGCTCGTCGGACATTTTGATGGATTGGTACTTGAAGATTTAAGGATCAGCAAGGGATGAGGAGCAAAAAGAAGAGGGAGGGAGGGACGAGAATAAATACCTGAGAGCCTTTTTTGGCTGCGATTGGTGGGGCTGAGGGGGGTCGTTTCTGCCTAAGGCAAGAAACCTGACACCGCAACTGTCGAGGACCTTTGTGGTGGCCTGATTTTATGCCTTGTCGCCTTGTAGCCTGAGGCAGCCTACCCCAGCTCTCCACGGTTCAGGCCAGCCTGGAGCTTCCCTCATTGACAAGTGTACCGCCCTTCGAATGCAGGTCCACACCTAACTTTACGAAGCATTGGGTCAGAGATTGAGGGTCTCTGATTGTATCTATCCTCATCATCATGGCCAGGAGTCGGCCTGCGTCTCGTTGGACGCTATTGCTCTCCTTGGTCGTTCTTATCGCATGCATAGTTGTCCCCGGATGTGAGTTCCCACCTTCCAGCAACCGGGACTGACCTTTTTTTGCTCGAGAACTAATTGAATTGATGTGGACAGTGGCTGTGAAACACGAAAACTTCAAAACTTGTGATCAATCGGGCTTCTGCAAGCGAAACCGAGCCTACGCCGATAATGCCTCTGCTCAAGGCTCGTCCTGGAGCTCCCCCTACGAGCTTGATCCTGCCACTATTCACTTCAAGGATGGCCAATTGACTGGAGTTCTTGTGAAGATCATCTCAGACACCGAGAAAGTTCACTTGCCACTTACGCTTTCCTTCCTGGAATCCGGTGCCGCTCGCCTGCTTGTTGATGAAGAGAGGCGCTTGAAGGGTGATATCGAAATACGACATGGTAGCAAGGTGAACAAGAAGCGCTACGATGAGGCCGAGAAATGGGTCATTGTCGGTGGTCTGGATACGAGCAAGTCGGCAACTCTGGACGCACAATCCGAGACGGGGTTCACCAAGGTCTTGTATGGCCCCGAGGACAAGTTTGAGGCAATCATTCGTCACGCTCCATTTGAAGTCGAGTTCCAGAGGGATGGTCAAACCCATGTCCAGCTCAACCATCAGGGATTCCTGAACATGGAACACTGGCGCCCAAAGGTGGAGGGCAAGGAGGAAGAGTCCGGAGAAGACGAGAGCACTTGGTGGGAGGAGAGCTTCGGTGGAAACACCGATTCCAAGCCCCGTGGCCCCGAGAGTGTCGGTCTCGATATCAGTTTCCCGGGCTACAATCATGTCTTTGGTATTCCTGAACATGCGGACTCGCTGTCACTCAAGGAGACCCGAGGTGGTTCTGGCAACCACGAGAACCCTTACCGCATGTACAACTCAGACGTCTTTGAGTACGAGCTTGACAGCCCTATGACCTTGTATGGATCAATTCCGTTCATGCAGGCCCACCGTAAGGGCTCCACTGTTGGTGTCTTCTGGCTCAATGCCGCAGAAACCTGGGTCGATATTGTGAAGAAGAGTGCCTCGTCTAATCCGCTCTCGATGAGCGCCACGTCGAAGACCAACACCCACACCCACTGGTTCTCCGAGGCCGGTCGGATCGATCTATTCATCTTCCTGGGTCCCACTCCTCAGGCTCTCAGCAAGACTTATGGTGAACTCACCGGCTATACTCAGTTGCCCCAGCACTTTGCCATTGCCTATCATCAATGCCGCTGGAACTACGTCACTGACGAGGACGTGAAGGAAGTGGATGCCAAGTTTGACAAGTACCAGATCCCTTATGATGTGATCTGGCTGGATCTGGAATACACCGATGACCGGAAGTACTTCACTTGGGACCCTCTTACCTTCCCCAACCCTAAGGGCATGCAGGAGAAGCTTGATGCGTCCGAGCGGAAGCTCGTGGTCCTGATTGACCCTCATATCAAGAACAAGGATGATTATTACGTCTCTAAGGAACTGAACAGCAAGGGCCTTGCTGTTCAGAACAAGGATGGCGAAGTATATGACGGATGGTGCTGGCCCGGTTCCTCTAACTGGATTGACTGTTTTAATCCTGCCGCATCTCCATGGTGGACCAGCCTCCACAAGTATGACAAGTTCAAGGGTTCCATGTCCAACCTATTCATCTGGAATGACATGAATGAGCCTTCGGTGTTCAACGGCCCCGAGACCACTATGCCCAAGGACAACATCCACTATGGCAACTGGGAGCACCGCGATGTACACAACGTGAATGGTCTCACCCTGGTGAATGCCACTTATCAAGCCATGTTGGAGCGCAAGAAGGGTGAGATTCGCCGTCCTTTCATCCTCACTCGTTCATACTATGCTGGAGCTCAACGCATGTCCGCGATGTGGACTGGAGACAACCAGGCCACCTGGGGCCACCTGGCCGCCTCCCTTCCTATGGTTCTGAACAACGGCATTGCTGGCTTCCCCTTCGCTGGCGCTGACGTTGGCGGATTCTTCAACAACCCAGAGAAGGAGCTTTTGTCCCGCTGGTACCAAGCCGGTATCTGGTACCCCTTCTTCCGTGCCCACGCCCACATCGATACCCGCCGCCGTGAGCCGTATCTGATCAGTGAGCCGTACCGAACCATCATTTCTCAGGCCATTCGCCTGAGGTACCAGCTTCTTCCCGCCTGGTATACAGCATTCCACGAGGCGTCCGTCAATGGCACGCCCATTGTGCGTCCCCAATACTATGTCTTCCCTGATGATGAGGAGGGCTTTGCCATCGATGACCAGTTGTACCTGGGTAACACCGGTCTCCTCGCCAAGCCTGTCGTGCAGGAGAACACCTTCACCACTGACATCTATATTGCTGATGACGAGAAGTACTACGATTACTTCGACTTGACCGTCTACCAGGGTGCCGGAAAGCGACACACCGTCCCCGCTCCCGAAGACAAGATACCTCTTCTGATTCAGGGCGGACACATTATTCCTCGTCGGGACCGTCCACGCCGCAGCAGCGCTCTGATGCGCTGGGACCCCTACACGTTCGTGATTACTCTCAACAAGAACGGTGAGGCCGATGGTACTCTTTATATCGATGACGGTAAGACCTTCGACTACGAGCGCGGCGGCTACATCCACCGCCGCTTCCAGTACCGGGACTCTGTCCTCTCATCGGAGGACATCGGCACCAAGGGAGCCAAGACCGCCGAGTATCTGAAGACTATGGCTGGCGTCAGCGTGGAGCGGGTGATTGTCATTGATCCTCCAGCCTCGTGGAAGGACAAGAACAGTGTGACCGTCATTGAGGATGGGGCTAAGGCTGGATCCGTTGCCTCGCTGGAGTACTTTGAGCAAAAGGGTGACAAAGCTTCGTATGCCGTTGTCAAGAGCCCGAATGTTGGCATTGGCAAGACTTGGCGGATAGAGTTTTAAGCATTACATTTTTGTAGTTTGTTAGACATGACATGACATACATGTTTGATAGTTTAGATGATTATTGATTTTGAAATAGCATGCAATCTAGTCGATTAATTCATTGAGGTCTAGTTATCATCAGAGCTTGATTTCTTCAGCCATCAAGTCTAGCGATTGTTAACCAGCTTTGAAAGAGCGCAAGTTAAACTGAAATCAATATACGGCACCACTAGCGAGCCGCTTCTCCAATATAAAGCTTCAAAGACCGTAATCAACCATCCACCCACTAACCCACCTCCCCAAGTCCAATATCACTCTCGATCCTGATATTGAATCTGAACCCAAACTTTAGTTCCCTCCGCACCAAAAGCGGCCAAATACAATTCGCCTTCAGTGCGAACATACCAACCCGCTCCATGGTAGTCCTCCATCCCAAATAAGTTTGATGGGTTGGCTTCCCTCCAGTCATGAAAGAAAGTACCACAATCGTGTTTGAAAGTGTCCAGCGCGGCTTCATTGGCCTCCTCCAACGTGGTGAAGGGTTCTATCCTCAAGTTAACGAACAGGGTGGTGAACTCTCTCCGGCGTACTGTACGGGTCAACGTAAAGACGCGCTCTCTGTGGTTTTCTTGGAGAAGGTCTTCTCAGGCGTGGGCCTCATCGACCAGGTCGAGGAGCTCTTGGGGGTATTCGGGTTCCTGGGATATTGTGCTTAGTCGGGAGCTGTCATATGTAGTCGTTGTCTGCGTCTTCGTATGTCCTTGGGTTGCATGATCATAGGCCCAGGAATCGTAAGTAGGGATTGGCATTTTCAATATGGGGTGATGGGGATAAAGCTGGGTAGGCATTTCTTCCAAGAACACTGCGTAGATAATGACAGATTATAAATATAGGGTCATTTCAAGGTATTGGAGATGGCTTAAAGAGCTACTGCAAAGATCTATAGTTCCTTCCAAATGAGGCTTAGCAACTCACTTTTCTGGACAAAAGTGAGGAAGCCGCGGCCCAAATCTGTCGTGTTTTATCCATGGACTGTATCTTCTTTCCCTGGTAATCAATCACTGAATTGGGGAATTAACAGCTACCTACCACAAAACACGCAGGTTCTGTAAGGTAGAAGCTACTCCGCGATACAGCTCCAATCCGTAATGAAGCTAGAGCTACAGTACAGTTGAGACATATTGAGCCCTGTCTATCTTGTGATGGTGTAAGAACTGCGTCTGATTGAGTATCCTGCTTGATCTACAGCAGGTAGACAACGGTAAAAGGTTGATGGATACCCATTAGTGATTGTTCTCCTTGGAAGTGCGGGATATATATCGGTGGGTTGCAGAGCGGAAGTATATGGATCTCGAACCCTGTTCCATCTATTCTACAACATTAGGTACCCGATAGGTGTAGCTATGGTATACTTATGATTATAATTTGAATACCTAGGACTTGAAATGTCCATCTATGGAAAAGAATAGGAATGTATGCCCTGGCATGATCGGCTTTTACAACGCCCAGCCGCCCAAGCCTTGGGCACAGACCAGGTCCGGCTTGGACTGTCGCATGACCAATTTCCCCTTTCACGTCTCAACACGAGTTAGTGTATGAATTTTCGCTTGTCTATCTGTTTTTCACTTGCCTACAATTCAACTACGGTCGTACTTCGATCATATACCTTCCGAGTTTAACCGAGAAGTAATCAAATTGTCCCTATTCTCCTGCTCTGATGCATAGCCCTTCCACCCCTTGATGAGTCCATCTATGAATCGGAACAAAGATCAAGCCAGCAAACTGCCATTGTGTTCTTCGTCTCAGCAACTACGAGGCAGCCAATTACATGAAAAGAGTTGATATTCTTGGTATTTTCTTGGGAATTTCTTGGTTTAGCCCCAGTGATCGACAGAGCGCTGACATAAGCTTCGGTGGAAAAAAAGCCGCAAGCGTCGTGGGCCGCGTTGGGATCCTCTCCATTGATTGTTGGTTCGGTTCATCCACTGGAATCTTGCCCCTTGTGCCTCGTTCGCAGCATTGTCTGGCTTATTTGTGCTGAATCGCACTGAATTCCCGAGCATTCTCGGACGCGATTATACGATTATACCTTGAACAACCCTGTTGAGTTGTTGATTTCGAGTGTATACCCTCCGGAGGCCGCGGAAGATCTTCACAATCACCATGTACCTCATTCAACTGGCCATTGAATATGGCGCGCCCCTGTTGTACGTTGCGCATCGCAAAACCAGACTGGTTCAAGAAAAGATCTTGTGCTGACAATGTTTTGTATAGCCTCATCTCCTCTCCCCTCACGTCCTACCTGGATCAGATCCTCAGCATTCACCGGAATAGGAGTTCGGTAGGGTTTTCACTAGACATCCCGTTGATTATGCTTGTCGCGTCGATCTTGAAGTAAGATCCTCCCAGTATACCTATGCGACCGTGCCGAAAGAATACAAGACTGGATTTAAGGCTGGTGGAACATCGCAATTGACGCGCTTTCTAGGGTCTTTTACTGGTTCGGTGAATACTATTCCAAGGCCTTGCTGGCCCAGGCCGTGGTCATGATCTTGGTGCAGATGGCGCTGCTCAAGGTTGCTTTGGACAACCGGCCCGCTATTGGCGCAAAGAATGGCATCGAGCATACACCCTTCAGCGGTGGCTCCCAGGGTGGATTCAGCAGGCCCTATGATTTCTGGCAGTGGAAGAACACCAAGCCGTAAGTCTCCTTGCGCCCGTTGGATCTTTATTTGTCGGAGAAGCTGACACCTGTCTACTATAGATACTGGCTCTTCCTGGCCTACTTCGTCGCCGTCCTATTTATCTTCCACCTCACCCCCTCTCCGATTCCGCGACCTACATCAGCTTCCTGGGCGCCGTCGGTCTTGCTGTCGAGGCTACTCTCCCTCTCCCTCAGATTCTGGCCAACTACCGCTCCGGCTCTTGCAAGGGTTTCCGGGTGTCTGTTCTCGCTGCGTGGATTCTTGGTGACACCATGAAGATGAGCTACTTCTTCTGCAGCCAGGAAGCCATTCCCTGGGCCTTCAAATTGTGCGGTATGTTCCAGTGCGTGTGTGATCTGTATCTGGGCTTCCAGTACTGGATGTTCACCCGCGCCTCCGGCCGGGATGCTGGCAGCTCTGTGGAGCATGAAGGCCGGTGGGGGCAAGAAGAGAAGGATATTCGCATGAACTGAGAGGACTTGCGACCCTGCGACCGAATTTTAATGAACCGATTGCTGCATTTGGTGTAGATAGATGGGAACCACCGAGCCATAGCGACTTATAGACTTGTAATTCTGAATGAATAATGTTAATTCTTTTTTCTTGACATAATCTACTCCGGAGGGTATATCGAGTTGTCTTTAAAAACCAGGGGAAACTGTTGAATCCCCCGCGGTGATTCCGTTTCGGGCAGTCGAGGGACCTGCCCCGCGATCCGCGGTCCCCTCCCCCACGCGGTGGAACACCAGACTCGCAACTTTTTCTCCTCATTGCGCTTTGTTGTCAATCCAGGATCCTCAATTCAAAAGAGTATTCGCAATGGCTTCCGTGCCGACTATTCGTATCGGCTATGTGCCCGGTAAGTGCTCGACGGAACCCAACGGAGCTCTGCTATCCAATGCCTGCCATGGCTCGAGTCTATACTCAGAGATCTCGATGTTCTTGCCACGAACCCAAGAAACTGACAGAACATATTCATGTGATACTAGAGCACTATTTGACCCCTCTACACCTGGCCTTGCGCTCTCCGGCCGTATCCGCCCTCCCATACAAGATCGTCCTTACTCCATTCCCATCTGGCACGGGCCATATGATCACATCGCTGCGCGGCAATGAAATCGACATTGCCATTGGTTTGACTGAGGGCTGGGTTGCCGGCTTGACAGGAAAGACGCAACCACAGAACCCCGCCGAGGGAGGATACAAGGTCGTCGGTCACTGGGTGGATAACCCTCTGCGATGGGCAATTGTCACAGGTCGCAACCGGGACAATATCAATGGCGTGCCAGACCTGAAGGACCAAAGAGTTGGTGTTAGCCGTCTCGGCAGGTATGTACCCTTGCATCTATTGGCATTCAGCCGGATATCAGTGCATATCGTGAGAGACTTGGCTGACTCTATCCATTTAGCGGCTCTCATATCATGTCCTTCGTTCTCGCCCAGCAGCAGGGCTGGAAGCCAGACTCCCTGAGCACCGTTCCTCTGGGTCCTTTTGGCGCCCTCCGGAACGGCGTCACTGGACAGGATGAGGCAAACACTAGCCAGGAACCCAATCCGACAGCTGAGTTCTTCATGTGGGAGCATTTCACGACTAAACCATTCTTCCACCCGACCACTGAAAAGCCCAACCCACCACTGAAGAACATCGGCGAGATCTTCACTCCCTGGCCATCATGGATGATTGTCGCATCGACCGCCGTCTTCCCAGACCCTCAGAACGACTCCCGACTGCAGGAACTGTTCCAGGCTCTGGACCAGGGTATTAAGGACTTCGAGGCCAATACTGCCCAAGTCGTAAAGCTGTTGGGTACTGGCGAGCTCGGCTGCAATTATATTGAGGAGGATGCGACAGAGTGGTTGAAAGATGTCAAGTTTACGAATGCTACTCGTGGCGTTGATCGTAACGTTATCGAGGGCGTTGTGGATATCTTGAAGATGGCTGGTGTCATTGATACGGCCATGAGCAATGATGAGGCTATTCAGCGGGTGATTGGAATTCCTCGGTAGAGGATTGCTATCGAAAGTGGCAGATGTTACGCCTCAAATGGTTAGGGCTTTACAGATTAAAAATTCTTCGTGAATACTCGCAGGTTTTGCACATGTTACATAACCTGCTAATCGTTACGTAGGTTAATGGGTATGACACTCACAGAGCGTGAGGTCCCTACGTGACCACTATACCAGTTTATGTGCAACGCACTGTCGTCTTGTGACAAATCGCCTAATTTGTCCAGAGTTGGGAAAGAAAAGCAATAATCTCGCATGAAACGATAAGAGGAAGGAGAGTCTTTGGCATCAATGTAGGGCGGGCTGTCATTCCTGGAATGTCCATGTAGGCTAGCCCTAGTCTCATGGTGGACGGGCACTGTTGAGGACCGCGGCTAACACTCAATCCAGGTTCTAAGGGACTTGAGAGCTCATCAATTCGGTCAATTCAGGCGCGCCATCCATCCATTTGATCAAGTATCATGAGCCTAGAACGTGATCTGAGGCCAAAATTCGCGACGGTCGACATACATTCCACGATCAACAGCCGAATCCCCTGACAACAACACAGGAATGTAGTTGATCCTGCTAACACCCCAACACAATCCAATCACAAGCTCTTAATTCCAAGTTCCGACAGCCCATGTATGAGAGTCCTCGTTCTGAGCGGGGTTTGATCTCTATCACTTTAGCTGCTGGCGTGGACAGGGTGGATCATACCATGCGCTGGGATACCCACAACCCTCCGAAATGACGCACGAAACAGACGGTTTGTTTTGACTGATGGCATGCAGACTGGGGAGCAAAATATCCCTCGCTCTTCTATTTAAAATGCCCCGTGAACGGGGCACCTACGTGCGCTTGGTGGTCCAGTCTCGTTCTCGCCTTGTCGCCTTTTCGTTCCTTTACCGGGTTGCGACCCCGTCATACGCCAAATTATTCATTCCTTATTTTTATTCCTTATTTAATATCTAGTCTTTCATTTTTCCCTGGCCTGAGATCTAATTGGCATCCCTAACATCATGCGTGGTTATCAAAAGTATCTCTCTGGGTCGGTCTTGTTGGCTACCCTTGGAGGTGTTCAGGCTAAGCTTGACCTGAACTCTGACAAGAACATTGCCATTTACTGGGGTATGAAAATATTCTCAGATTGATAACAGTCCAAACCATGAAAGCTTACTTACAATTTGTTAATAGGACAAAATTCATTGCAAGGAAATGGTGGTGAAGTCCAACAGCCACTGGCACACTACTGCGAGAGTAAGTCAATTTCATGAACCAACACTTGAAATAAATCAAAGGCTAACAGTTCAATCTAAAGATGATGACATTGATGTAGGAATAGCATCTCTTAATTATCTGAACCCTATGACTGAGTGAAATGAATTAGATCATCCCCTTGGCGTTCGACATGATGATCAACGGGCCCGGCGGCGCCCCCGAGGTTGATTTCTCCGTCACTAGCAAGGACTGCGACGTCTTCCCGGGAACTCAGTTGAAAAACTGTCCCAAGATTGGGTGAGTAAGGATATAATCTACACAGCCCAGTCAAACTAATGCCTCTTAGTGATGATATTGCCACGTGCCAGAAGAAGGGCAAGACGATTCTGCTCTCCATTGGCGGTGCAACATACAGCGAGGGTGGCTTCAGATCCGAAGACGAGGCTAAGGCTGGCGCAAAGCTGATGTGGGAGACCTTTGGGGCCGTTCAACCGGATTCAAAAGCTCTTCGACCCTTTGGAAACGTCAGTCTGGACGGCTTTGACTTTGACTTTGAGGCCACTGTTCTGCATATGGCAACGTTCGCCAATGAGCTTCGCAGCTTGATGGACACGGATAAAAGCAAGCAGTACTTCTTGACTGCAGCTCCTCAATGCCCCTATCCCGACCAAGCGGACAAGGATATCCTAAATGGCCCGGTCTCCATCGATGCCGTTTTCGTCCAGTTCTACAACAACTACTGCGGCGTAAACAACTTCGACACCGACGCAACGGCCTCGAAATACAACTTCGAAGAATGGGACAACTGGGCCAAGACAGTCTCCCAGAACAAGAATGTCAAGGTTCTAATCGGTGTCCCCGCCGATACCACCGCCGCTAGCACGGGATACGTCCCAGCCTCGAAGCTGGCGCAGGTGATCGAGTATACGAAAAAGTTCGAAAGCTTCGGCGGCGTAATGATGTGGGATACCACACAGGCATACGCGAATGATGGATTTGTTGCAAGCGTGCGCAAGGCACTTGGTGGGCCTGATTCCGGTTCGTCGTCGCCGTCCACCGACCCGGCGTCGACCGCCGTGTCTACTCCTTCGTCCACTAACTCGTCGGAGACCTCGCTATCTACCAATGCACCCGGCTCCTCGTCCTCCTCTTCCTCATCCTCTGGGTCTGCCTCATCGTCCAGTGGTCCTGAGGAGCCCACCGTCACGTCAACTCCTGCCCCGGCACCTACTGCACCAGCACCGACTGCTGCGCCAGCACCGACCGCTGCGCCCGAACCGCCCGCGACAACTTCGTCGACTACGACTACGAAGGCACCTACTCAGCCCTCGCCGCCACCCGCCGACGATGTTATCGATGACGACGACTTTGACGACGACGACTTTACCTCCGAGGCTCCCGCTGAAGACACCAACAATGCTGGAAGTAACGGTCCCAACAACGTTAACAACGATGACACTCCCAAGCCTGAGGACTCTCCTAGCAAGAATCCTCTTGGTGTCATTAGCCAGGATCTCTTCGGTCTGCTGCATGGTCTGAAGGATGCTAACACCATCACTGGGGGTATCACTCATGGTCTCACCAAGCATCTTCGCCGTGCCCGCCGTATCGGGTATTAGGCGAGCAGGTATAGAAGTCAATAATTTGGCGATATGCCGTGGTCGAACAAGTTGTGTCTTGAAACAATGCATGCAATTGTACAAGGGGTACAATTCAACTTTTGGAAGGCCTGAATCCAACTGTCAGTGATGGTCTTCCATCTACTTCATCATCGATGTACTTCTTACTTTCTTTGATACCCATAATTATACTAATATTTCTAACCGTTATCCATGTGTTCCGAGCTTCGTATCACTGACGACAATGTCACCACAAATAACATTTGAAAAATATGCACTGCACAGTGTCGCTATATGGTCTTATTCCTGAGTCTGCCATTGAGCATGCTAAGAGCGGTGGAGACCTTTCTGGGATTTCAAGTTCTCTTGTGAGAGAAACTCTGGGCTCGCAGCTGGTTGGATACTGAGGTCCAGGGAATGCCGGTCAATATCGGTATTTGTCTTTACGAGTTTATCTAGGATCAATAGACTAAGGATCTCCCAGGGCGCAAGGGCGCGGATGACAGTTCGGGGCATATGATGGTAGTCACGCTATGTCTGAGATAGTTAAGCGGTACAAAAGTAAAAAAGGGCCATCCTCCCTAGAAGCAATCAGATGCATGAGTAAATTTCAGCAAGGATAGCAATTTCACCAGGAACAGTGGAGAGGCTATCTATCCATGCCTGGATGCTTCCTCACCCGATGAAGCAGGAGAATGGGTGTCTCCTCGTGGTCCGGTGCTATTGACCACAATGATGCTGTTGACCACAATGAGTCTGATTGATTCTGCTGCTGTACTCTCCACTTCCACTTTCACGCTGATGCCGAGGGTTGCAGTCACCCCGGCTGCCAACGTCACTCACCTCAATATGGCTTGAAAAAGTGCTGACATGGATGTAGTAGTATACTTTGAAAAATCACCGAATGGTAAAGATGGGAAAGTTGTGTTAAACCTATTTTCATCTAGAAAAGAAAATAGTGGGATTGTATTGTCCCTTAAAACTGAATGATCTAGTGATTAGAGAGCCTCCAGCCTATGCAGGGTGGTCTTAGCTTGGTACCTTCCTTCCTTAGAAGAGGGAAGGCGCACCTGCCAAACTCTGTGTAGTAAACGTAAGATACCCCATCACAGACTCAACAAAACTTCCCCTCCTTGCCATTCGGTGTTTTCTTGAAGTGTACTTCAACATCCATGTCAGTAATTTTTCAAACCATATCGAGGCGAGTTACGCTCGCGTTCGGGGTCACGGCGACCCTCGGCGTGGCAGGAGCAAGGGTGAAGGTGGAGATGGGGGATACTGCAGATGAACCTCCTGCTGCTGGCCAGACAAGAGTTGGACGCACCGGCCCGGTCTCGATCGGACTCGTTGTCTTCAACAACCGGCCACAGGGGGACACCCCTTCTCCTACTTCATCGGGTGAGGGAGCATCCAGGCATGGATGGTCTCTTCGCCGCTCCTGTTGAATTCGGCATGCTTGCTGAAATTTACTTGTGCATCTGATTGCTTTTGGAGTCGAAAGCGGGTGCAGGAGCGATAGGGGCCTGCATTCCGGTGCATAATGCTCACCCACTTGGTGAAGAGCGTGGCGGTGCTCACTCCAGAGAGGAGAGGAGTCGTAGGCTTGCATGATACCACCGAATCGGGCCTGTCAAGACGCAAAGAATCAGCTTTTGAGCTATCAATTAAAAAATAAGATCAAATGGTGTACCTGCTGGGGCATCCCTTGTGGTCGGGTGAGCTAAGTGATAGAAAACTTCTTGCGCGGTAATGGCCGCGGCGGACTTCGGCCTAGTATTGCTTGCAGGAACGTCTTGTGCCTTACAACGAACAAATGATATCAACTTATGATACTTTAAATAATATGGAAGTTGAAGGCAGAAAGCAAGAGCCAGAAAACATGAGCGATGGGAGGATGCAAAGAGAAGAGACCACAAGCGCTTTGCTTTTTTAGCTGTGGCATATCCACGTCTTTATTAATCATCCAGGTCAATTCAGATCCGACTTGAACTAATTCGACCTGCACTTTGCCTAAAGCAGACTTTTGAAGGGTCAAGAGCATGTCATTATGGCCGTCCATAACCATTTAGGGGCGGTTCCTGATTTAGTTTAGCAGAACAACAAGCAAGTCCCTAATAGGTTTAGCCCTTGTCTGAAATAGACTCGACCAATAGCATGCTAGCGGGTTAGGAACGCTAATAACGCCCAAGACCCGCACAAGCTGCCTATGCTCCGCTCCGCTACTAGAACTGCAACAATGTGCATGTACTATATACTGTATAACCTTCCTTTGAAGGCTGACAAGCGTGAGAACCTTATCATTTTAGTTCCACGGAGCGTTGATATGGGAATATCAAGCACAAGGCACTCCAACAGGCCCATACGTCAGGAACCGTCAGGTACCGACTCCCCATCCAATCACGGGCCGTCGGTGCCTTTTATGGAACTGACACGACCTCGGGTGCGGAGACGAGGCCTCTCTATACATCCCCGCGGCACTTGGAAAGAGCCGAGGGCCTCCAAGTCTCGACGTCAGTATGATAGACTTACCAGGGGAAATTTTCTTATAGCTATTAGTAGCCGAGAGACTTTGTTCCTTTGTAAGCCTTTGAACAAAACCATAGTCATTGTTATTTTCAGGTGGATCGCGAGACTCGCTTTGACTAACTAGCGATTCGAGGGGGCAAACGTTTGACTGGAAGGACTGGGGAAAGATCTAATTATCCTGCGTTTGGCACGTTTGTACCTGAGGCCGTTCAATCCCATCTGCCAAACTTTTCTGGCAAACACCATCTTCCTCCTCTTCTCCCTTCCCTTCCCTCTTCATCTCTCCCTCTTCCTACCACCACTCCTGCAATATTCTGCTACAATCAGTTGCAAAGTCTCATTTAACCACCAACACACCACCATGGCGGATCATCCTGATATCGAACGGGCTGACGTCCGCCATGGTTCCCGCATCTCCAGAGCGTCTCTGCGAGAAGACTACTCCAACCTCGACGAGTATGGAAAGCTCGTCAAGTACGTGTCTACCTTCCGTGATGCCAGCCTAGAGCAGGCTGAAGCTGCTGAATACGAAGAGCGGCGCATCTGGTATAAACCGTGGCAGAAGCGCAAAGTTCGGGTCCAACTCGTCGAGGATCAAGCTGGTCGTTTCCCAGATGATTGGCTCATCACCAACGTCCGCGAGGGTCTGTCAAGCGAGGTAGTTAATCAGCGCCGCCGGCGCTCTGGTTGGAATGAACTCGTGTCCGAGAAGGAGAACCCCATCGCCAAGGTCCTTTCGTACTTCCGCGGTCCCATCCTCTACGGTATGTCCTCTTCCGAATTCTACGTATTACGTGACTAACACGCGAGGTCTAGTCATGGAACTTGCGGTCTTGTTGGCTGCCGGTCTGCAAGATTGGGTTGATTTCGGTGTCATCATTGGTATTCTGTGCCTGAACGCCAGCGTTGGTTGGTATCAAGAAAAGCAGGCCGCGGATGTGGTTGCGAGTCTCAAGGGTGACATCGCCATGCGTGCTCTTGTCGTTCGGGACAACTCTCAACAGGAGATCTTGGCCCGTGAACTGGTTCCTGGTGATGTGGTATGTCTCTACACGCACTCAAATACTGTTGTGAAACATCGAAACTGACTATCTCTTAGATTATCGTTGGTGAAGGTCAAGTTGTTCCAGCGGATGCCAAGATCATTTGCGACTACAATGATCCCAATGGCTGGGAAGAGTTCAACCAGCTGCAGGCAGAAGGGATGCTGGATGGTGGCGCCGAGTCCGATGAAGAGGACCAGGAAAGCAAGAAAGAGAAGTCCGGCCAGGATACCAGTGACGGCCAGGAACAGGAACCTACCGCGGATGGAGGTGAGGAGCAGCCAGCGCAGCAGCGACCCCGCAAGCGTGGCTACCCCATTCTGGCTTGTGACCACTCTGCTATTACCGGTGAATCTCTTGCTGTCGATCGTTACATGGGCGATGTGATTTTCTACACCACAGGCTGCAAGCGCGGCAAGGCTTATGCTGTTGTCCAAACCGGCGCGAGGACCTCTTTTGTTGGTCGGACCGCCAGTATGGTCCAGTCTGCTAAGGGCGCTGGCCATTTCGAAATCGTCATGGATAATATCGGCACTTCCCTTCTGATTCTTGTGATGGCTTGGATTCTGGCTGCTTGGATTGGTGGCTTCTTCCGTCATATTCCCATTGCCTCTCCCGGACAACAGACCCTGCTACACTACACCTTGTCGCTGCTGATTATTGGTGTGCCCGTTGGTCTTCCGGTTGTCACTACTACCACAATGGCCGTGGGTGCTGCCTATCTTGCAAAGAAGAAGGCTATTGTGCAGAAGTTGACTGCGATTGAATCTCTGGCTGTAAGTATAACTCTTAAGACTGATGATACTTGAAACGCCAGGGACCATGAAGCTAATTGATCATAGGGCGTGGATATTCTTTGCTCTGACAAAACCGGAACCTTGACTGCAAACAAACTGAGTATTCGCGACCCGTACGTGGCTGAAGGTGTCGACATTGACTGGATGTTCGCCGTGGCAGCCCTCGCTTCCTCGCACAATGTCGAATCCCTGGACCCGATCGATAAAGTCACAATCTTGACCCTTCGTCAGTACCCCAAGGCGAGGGACTTCCTGCGACGGGGATGGAAGACTGAGCGATTCACTCCTTTCGATCCCGTGTCCAAGCGAATCGTGACTGTGGCTGTTTGTGATGGCATTCGATACACCTGTACCAAGGGCGCTCCCAAGGCGGTTCTCCAGCTTACCAAGTGCTCGAAGGAAACCGCGGATATGTATAAAGCGAAAGCTCAGGAATTCGCCCACCGTGGATTCCGCTCTCTGGGTGTTGCTGTTCAGAAGGAAGGCGAAGATTGGACTCTGCTCGGAATGCTTCCCATGTTCGATCCGCCACGTGAAGACACTGCCCAGACTATCAGCGAAGCCCAGGCCCTCGGTATCAGTGTAAAGATGCTCACTGGTGATGCTATTGCTATTGCGAAGGAAACGTGCAAGATGTTGGCACTCGGTACCAAAGTGTACAACTCGGACAAGCTCATTCATGGTGGACTGAGCGGTGCTATGGCCAGTGACCTCGTCGAAAATGCGGACGGTTTTGCTGAGGTGTTCCCGGAGCACAAGTATCAAGTTGTGCAGATGCTGCAAGAACGGGGCCACTTGACTGCGATGACCGGCGATGGTGTGAACGATGCTCCATCCCTCAAGAAGGCTGATTGTGGTATCGCTGTTGAAGGAGCCTCGGAAGCCGCGCAGTCGGCCGCCGATATTGTGTTCCTCGAGCCAGGTCTCTCCACAATCATCGACTCGATCAAGGTTGCACGCCAGATTTTCCACCGCATGAAGGCGTATATCCAATATCGCATCGCCCTATGCTTGCACCTGGAAATCTACCTCGTGACTGTGATGATCATTCTCAACGAAAGCATACGCGTCGAGCTTATCGTTTTCCTGGCTCTCTTTGCTGACCTTGCGACTGTTGCCGTAGCATACGATAATGCGTCGTTCGACCTGCGCCCTGTGGAATGGCAACTCCCAAAGATCTGGTTTATCTCTGTGCTTCTGGGCGTCCTCCTCGCTATGGGTACTTGGGTCGTGCGTGGTTCTATGTTTCTCAAATCGGGAGGCGTCATCCAAAACTGGGGTTCCATTCAAGAAGTCATTTTCTTGGAAGTCACCCTGACAGAGAATTGGTTGATTTTCGTCACTCGCGGAATCCAAACGTGGCCATCCATCCAATTGGTGACCGCAATTTTCGGCGTGGACATCTTGGCCACGATCTTCTGTCTGTTCGGTTGGTTCTCGGACGAGAATATGGTTACTGATCCCGTGGATCTATTCGTCGAGACCAAGAATGGATGGACTGATATTGTGACTGTGGTGCGGATCTGGGGGTACTCGCTTGGAGTGGAAATTGTTATTGCTTTGGTCTACTTCTTGCTGAACAAGATCTCCTGGCTTGACGATCTCGGCCGTGCGAAGCGGAGTAAGGGCGATATCAAAATTGAGAATGTCCTCGGCCACCTCGCTCGTCTGACGGTTGAGTATGAGGAGCCCGGCAAGCCCAAGGGCCGCTTCTTCTTGTCCACCAGCAAGGAAGAAGAAGACGTGGAGTAGTCCTCAAAAAGAGGGAGGATGGGCCTTTGTGCCTCTGGCTATTCACGAGATTAATGGCCGAGGGAATTGCAATTTGCTCATGAAGCTGGAAAGACGGTTTCTTGGTGGCTTGGCTCTTGGGGGAGGGGAGGGCAGTTATTCACGATCTTTAAGAATGATGGGAAGGTCATGGCTCATAGTTTCTTACCATTCTCGATTTAATGTATGTGTATTGTTTTAGTAGCCTGTTGCTCTTAAGATACTCAATATCAAACTTGGAAGATACCAGTTATCTATGGATCTTTTAATGGCCGTTTAGAAGCGTCGTTCTTCTCTTCGTCGCTCCTTCGTTACTTCTGGTTCTCCCTCCTTCTCGTTTTTCCTCTTCTTCTCTGCCTTTCCTTCCTCCTCTATCACTCTCTCTACATCTTACATAGAAAATTACAAGGAGTGTCAAAACGCCACCCTCATCGTCACTACTCTCTCCTTCTTCTATTACATCGACCTCAGAACTCGCGCACATATCATCATTTCTCCTCTCACATCAAATCACATCACCATGGCAGCCTTCATCCCGATGACTCCTCTCACAGCACTACAGGAGGATCGAAAGAACCTCCTCCTGAGAGGCGAGTACTCCGACATGAAAATAGTCTGCCAGGGTATTACCTTCAAAGTGCATCGCTTTATTATGTGCCCTTCGTCATCATTTTTCACGCGCATTTTCAAGCATCCTTGTCAGGTAAGAGCTTATCTTACACTCAATACTATTTTATTTGCTCATTTTATCACAGGAATCAGCCACACGATTTATCCAACTCCCTGACGACGATCCAGAACCCATCGCATGATCTCATACTTGTACATCGAAAACTACCGCGAGGATAACCACATCATTCCCATGGACATCGATGCAGAGCCCACATCGAGTCAACCCAACATCGGGCTCAACAATGCCGACGTGTACATTGTTGCAGACAAATACGACATTCAACCTCTGGAGGCTTTGGCAGCCACCAAAATAACCAACTGGGCACAAATCAATGCCAAGTCTTTAGGATTTTTTCGACATGGCACGTCATATTCTGCAGTTGGAGCACGATCCTTGGCCTTGCAAGTTCATCGCAGAATGTATCGCTTACCAGCTCCGTGTCAAGTTCTCTGGCAACGACGAGGTCACGAATCTCATGCGTGAGTACGGCGTTTTTGGTCTTACTGTCCTTGAACTGGTCAACAAGTCTCACGTCTTCTCAAGCGATGAACTCAAGGACAGCCATGCCCGTGAGAAATTTTACCTTCAAGTTCATTTTAATGGATTCAAAGAGCAAATTGATACCTTGAATGAGCGTGTCACCAATCTCCAACGCGAAAATGCTCATTTACGGATTCTCCTCGCATGAAGACAGTCACGTAATTCTCGTCGTCTGCGTTAGGAGACTATGGACCGTGTTGGAGGAGGTATCCTTCAAAGGTCTCACGGGGCGAGAAAGTAAGTAGAATCCGCTCGTTGTTTTCAGCTATTGCCTAAGCATTAAAATCAATGGAAGAATTGGGATCCAAATCTGAATATCAGGTGCTAGTCACTATTCCTGTAGTATCTCTCTCATTCCAAGGCCGAGTTTCACCTACAAGTCCACGTTGATGGCTTGAACCGCGAATTTCCAACCTGGATGTGCTTCCTGCTGCCGATTAAAGTTACGATAATCGGCCTAGACGTAGAGGATGCTATTCTGTGTGATTTTCACCTGCGTACCGATGATGGAAATGCCATCGGTAAAATACCAGAACCCGATATCCCAGGATGTTCTCGCAAATCTCGAATCAGCATGTACTACGTGATTCGTGACGACGACAGAGTCCCATACCTGGAAATCGTCATCGACGTCGTTTTTGATCGTGGCTTGAATACCCACGGCCGTCTTGGACGTGTGAAGGCTATACTCATGCTGACACACGATGATATTGAGAGCATCAAGTACAAAGAAGTTTCCTTCCCTCAAGACTCGGTAAGTCGTTTACTCCGCTTTCGTTAAATATGTCTAGTATTGACCAGTCGGTTTCTCCTTTTCTCAGACATACCCACTGAGGAACATAGCGTTCCACGAACAGATGAACGGACCGGGCTCGACGGTCAATTATGATCAAGCCATGCACGGCTTTTGGGAACACTCTTCAGTACGGAAACGCTTATTTGCGGAATTGCCTTACGAGAAGATAGTTCGAAAGACAGTTTGAAAGATCTTGAGAAAGACCTTGAGAAAGATCTATTTCAAAGGCATACTCTTTTACAAAGTAAAACTGTTTCTCCGGCCTTGATATCGTGGATCTAGATATACCTGTTCTCCACTATATTTAGGGTGAGGTTAATGGCACTACATGAACGTTACTCGCACTACAAACTAGGCCCTTTTCGGTTAACGTCCGCCCCACCACCAAAAGGTACATTTAAGACCTACAGAAATATCGCTGTCTTTATGTGTAGTCATATTCCTCTGGTTCTTATGATAAACAGCCATAATAATTATCGAATAATAGGTAAACATATAGTGACATGCTCGAAGTAAATACTGACCCTAAGAGCGACCGCAAAAAAGGGCTTATTATTCATAGAAATATCTGGACAGAAGCCTTGGTAAACCGTAGTTGTTTTTTTTAGGTGTCGGATGTACCTTTTTGGTGGTGGAAAGTTGCCAAGGCGGGTACTGACCCAAAAAGGTTTAGTATGTAGTGCGAGTAACGTTCATGTAGTGCCATTAACCTCACCCTATATTTAAAAGGGGTCTAGTCAGGGTGTCGTGCGAAAGCACAAGTTAGAGTGCGATTAGTCTTAACCTTTTTTTCATACATCTCGTTGTATCTTTAGTCTGTTTTCCATACTTGACTAGGGTGAGCCTTACAGGGCTTCTGGGCATATGAAGCTACTACATGTAGCATCAAGGACATGTATAGGAAACATCTAGTATTTGTCATACAGAGATGCTGGAAAGTAGGGAGTAAATAGAAGAGAGGGAATGAACTCTGAAGGTCAGGTGATCGTCACTTTTCCTTACAGTATCTCTCTATCACTTCACATTCGTATCACATGCTCATTACTTTTTACATCATCAACGACACATCTATTTGGCCTTGCCAGTAGGAATGTTGAAGAAGACAGCGGGAGAACCAGGGGTGGCTGCGCGGTCACAGCGGTAGAAGCCCTTACGGTCGAACTGCATAATATCACCCTCCTTGAACTGGGCAACGTTGCTGTCAGCCAGAGCAGACTCGCGGTGCTCAGTGTCGTAGTTGAGGACATCTTCAAGAACGTCATCCTCGCTCAAGGAGTCCTTCTTCAGCAGGTAGTCGAAGTCAACGAGCTCGACGGGAACCATGTCGGGGGTCTCAGCCAACCAGGTAACCTTCTTCTCGGTCTTCTTGACATCACCCTGGGGGTTCAGCTCAAGCTCGAGGTGGGTGATGGTGCCATTGGCGTCGGCGGTGATCTTGCGAACGAAGGCGTTGCCCCAGTTCATGAGGGTGATCTCCTCGTCCTGCTTGTAGGACTTGGCGTCAACCTGCTCCATGAGCACGTTGGAGGCGAAGGTGACGGTCTTCATGCCGACGGCGGCGTTCTTGGCGTGACGAGGCTTCTCCTCAGTGAAAGTGGCGGGGGCGTTGGTGATGATGACCTTGACGACATCCTGGGTCACGATTGCAGTGTGGCGAGGAGCAACGGGGTCGATGTACTTCTTGTTGGTAGCCCAAATGAGAGCCCAGTCGAACAGAGTAATAGTTCGGGAGGGACCCTGCTTCAGGATGAACTCACGCAGAGCGGGAATGGTCATACCACGGCGACGGATACCGCGGATGGTAGGGAAACGAGGGTCATCCCAGCCCCAAACGACACCACTCTCGACGAGCTTGGTCAGCTTACGCTTAGACAGCAAAGTGCGGATGAAGTTCATGCGAGCAAAGTCCCAAACCTGGACGTGGCGGAGCTTGAGGGCATCCAACATCCACTGATACTGGGGGTTACGGTCACGGTACTCAATGGTACGCAGGGCGTGGGTGACACCCTCCATAGAGTCAACAACGGGGCAGGCGAAGTCGTAGGTAGGGTAGATCTTCCACTTGGTGCCGGTGCGGTGGTGGGGGTGGGGGTTGCAACGGTAGATAACAGGGTCACGGAGGGCCTTGTTCTTGTCGTCAGGGGAGATCTTAGCACGGATGCACCAGCGTAGGCCCTCGGGGGTGGAGCTCTTCATCTCCTCCAAACGGGCCAAGCTTTCCTCGGGGGAGAGCTCGCGGCGAGCGCTAGGAATTCCGTCCATGCGCTGAGCAGCCATAGTCTCCTTGTCGGTGTCATCGGCGTAGGCGTGACCGGTCTTGATCATCTCAATGCAGTAGGCGTAGAGCTCGTCAAAGTAGTCCGAGGTGTAGGACACCTTGTTAGGCTTGATGCCCATGAGAGCAAGATCCTCAACGATAGCATCCTGGAACTCCTGCTTCTCGTTCGAGGGGTTGGTGTCATCGAAACTATATAAACCATTAGCATTCCATGTTGATCGTTCCTCTGTAACAGTTCCATACCGGAGAAGAAGAGTACCGTTGTACTTCTCGTGAGCAAAGTAGTCGTTAAGCATAGCAGCCTTGGCGTGACCGATGTGGAGATAACCAGAGGGCTCAGGGGGGAAACGAGTCACAACGCCGTTATCGGTGTTGAGGAGAGCAATATCGTAGCTAGCACCTGCCTTGGACTTGGCGGCCTTGGACTCCTTGGCGGCAGCGTTGAGAGCCTCAATAGCAACCGTGGTCCACGGGCAGAGCTCCTCCAAGAACCGGTACCAACGGGTCAAGTTGACGAGAGAGCCCTTCTTCAAAGCTCCAGCAGCCACACGGTTACCACGGAGAGCACCCCACAGAGCAATGTCGGCGGTAGAGAGAGCATATCCGGCGATGAAGGAGCGGAGGAGGAGGTGGGTGTCGAGCTTCTGGAGAAGAGGATCAAGAGCCTTGAAGTCGAGAGTAGTCAAGTTGTCCAGCTGGGAGATCCACTCGTTCTCCTAGATGCGAAAATGAGGTTAGATATGTATGAGTCAAAACGAGTAACATGCAATGGCGGGGTTGATGAAGGTATGGGTAACTCACAACGGTGGCATCCTTGCCCACCAGGTAGGGGAAGTGAGTGCACAGCTCCTGAATAGCAGGAATAGTGCCGAACACCGACTTTCCAGCTGTGGAGAGCTGCAGAATAGCCTTGTCACCCTCATTGAGGAGAGCAGTGTCCTCATACTTCAGGTTGATGACGGGAGTAGGGCGAGCCTCATTGATAGAAGTCGCAATAAGGATCACGGGCAGCAGGGCAGCATGGCTGCCGCGGTTGGCCACGGTCAAATCGAATTGGGTCATTGTGCTTTTGGGTATTGCACAAAGAAGTGTATGACTACTTGGAAATAATTTGGAGGAGGGGCAATCATTATCGCAATCGGCGGTCGGCAGTACAATTCTCCGGAGCCGAGAAGCTGTCCGGCAGAAACAATAATTGCATGTCGCCCGTCCGCGGCCCCGACATCTTGCTCAGTCCAACGCCTACCAGCCATGTCGTCCTACGGCACCGTATTGCCCACCGCGGCACGCGGTATTCTTTCATCATGCCGTCCATCTCTCCGGGAGAAGTCAATTGCCCCAGCATTCTCGGTTTTCCAGCAAGTTCGAGGTGCGAAGAGCAACCCGCAAGCCCGAGGCAAGGGGAAGAAGGAAACCAAGACAGACAAGAAGGGCCCTCGTGAATTCCGACAGAAGAGCTTGAAGGACATGGAGCAATTTGCTCTTTGTGATGCGATGCGGTATGCTTTCTCATGGGTGGATTGAATGGATCCATTGGTGGTATTGAGTATGGATCGTTTTCTGACATAACGTCTCTCCGCAGGTATCTCCGGGCCGTTGAAGTCGGCCGCGAGGCTACAGTTTCGAAGTACGAGGTGCACATTCGCCTGCGCACAAGGCGAGATGGTCCCGTTATCCGAAACATGATCCGATTCCCCCATGCTGTCCAAACCGAATCCCGCATTTGCGTCATCTGTCCTCCCGGGTCAAAGCAAGCAAAGGATGCGCTCGCCGCAGGAGCTGTTCTGGTTGGTGAGGATGAAGTGTTTGAGGCTGTGAAGGCTGGCAAGATCGAGTTCGACCGCTGTCTCGCTCACCCTGATAGTTTGCCGGCGCTCAACAAGGCCGCTCTGGGTCGTATCCTCGGACCCCGTGGCCTGATGCCAAGTGTGAAGACTGGTACCGTGGTGGATGATGTCGCCTCTCGTGTGGAGATGCTGCGTGGAGGTACTGTTTACAGAGAGCGTGATGCCGTTATCCGGCTGCCCATTGGCCAACTGGGCTTCTCTCCGGAGCAACTGCGCGACAACTTGCGCACTACCATTGACCAGATCAAGAAGGATGCTTCTGGGCTCAATGACCGTGTTAACAAGGAGATCTACGAAGTGGTATGTGGTTTCGATCCTTTTCAACCCCTCAGAAACTGTGACTAACTTGTTAAACTAGGTTCTGAGCTCCACCCACGGCCCCGGATTCAGCTTGAACGGTGAATTCAAGACCGACAACTCCCCCGAAACCTCCGCCCTGACCGGCTTGTAAAATATTTTGCTGTCTTATATTCATCTTGGCGTGTACAGATTTTGTTTTATTGGGAAAGGACCTGGTGTATCATGGTATCATTTCTGTTCAATAGAGACTCCCATAACCTGAACGCCAACGCTATGCAACCCCAGCGCATATTCCACATGTAATGGAGTAGTGGAATAGCGCCAAGTAAATCTATATTTTAAGGTTCTTGAGCGCGGCCACGGCACTCACATCCTCGCCCATCAAGTCGTAGAGGCGCAGGATAGCCATTGTCCGAGTATCGCGCTTGTCACCTGCAGGGCCAGCCCGTTCCAACGCAGTCTTCAGATCCAGAAGAACGGTGGACTTGATTTTGGACACGCGCGGCTGCTGTGCCAGGAGGAAAGGATGCTTCTCACCCACTCGTTTGGCAATCGATGTCAAAAAGACGTATTTCTGGACATGGTGTTCTAATCGTTTCAATGACACGGGGGCAGTGCCGTCTTCCAATTCCTCGTCGTTGCTTTCGTCGCTGCCGCTGCCGTATAGATCGGACTCGGAGTCGGACTCGCCATCAGCCGAGGCATTCCCATTGGGTGTAGATTTGTCTGCGATCATCAATCGGTGCTCTAGTTCTTCGACGCGGTCCGCATAGTCCAAGAGATCTTTGCCGATATCTGCCTGTGTTCGGAGTTGTCGTTTCTCGTTCAATAGTCCCTCTACTTCCTGCCGGCGTGCTTCTACTTTATCCCGTATGGATTGCACATCTCGTTGGAACGATAGAAGGCCCACTTTGACTCCTTCGATCTTCTCTTCCCCGCCGCGCAATGCAGTGCCGAGGGACAGGAAGTCTTGATAGTTCTCATTGACCAGGTCCAGCAGCTCCTTGCTCAGCAATTGCTCCAAGCTCCGTAGCTCTTGGCGCAAGTCTTCTAGACTCTGGTGCCGATTCCTCAGAGAAGCAAGAAAGACCGCTGGGTCAAAATCAGGGGCCAGGAAAGAGGTTCGTGATAGCGGCTCGGGGAAAGGCAGGCCGGAGGGGTCCTCATCGAAGTCGGAGGCAGACTCGTCCGAGTCGCCGAACTGGACAGACGTGATTAGATCAGAATTTCACATGGCAAGATTACCGGAGCACCATTAAACCTACATGGAAACGATTCATGATGTGCCGACTCGCGGGTAAAGTAGCGGTACAAGTGAAGCTGAGTGGGTGGAGCTTCGAAGCCAAACGTGTCGAGTCTTGGCGTTTGTTTGGGCCGCCGCTCGCTGGTCCAACGACTTTCCCTTTCTTACTTTCCCACGTTCCTCTTTCCAGCGAGCTTGTGTCATCTCTAATCTTTGTGTTGAGGGGCTTTGATCCGCTGAGAATCTGCCAACGCATCAAGACCGGGTGCACCTTGTGCATGCGACTTGAGACGCACCTTGCCTCGTGAGTGCTACATACTCGGCAGCAGACATACTCTTTCCGAGCGGGGGTTTCCCCCTCACATGGCTGCGTTGTCTTGCTCTGACGTGAAGGCACTTCGGTATCTGTAGTGGTGAGTTTGAAAATGGACGGGGATTCGCGGACACCTCGCTGGGATGGCAGTCGGTTATCGTCCTCGTCTTTCACCCGACAAGGTTGGTCTCGACTATCTCCGCATGAAGGCCATGCAGGACCTTCCCACTACGCAAGCTGGCAGCACTACGAGTCCTTTGCCGACTACGAAACATTCCGAGACCCTCAGTCTTCGGCTCTGCGTGAAGTGCACGAAGACACGCAACACTCAGACCGCGCTGCTGCTAATCTAACATCGGGGCGGCTGTCTACTTTACCAACGCGGCCTGTTCTGGTCAGAGCGTATTCTGGAAATGCAGAGGATGAACCGAGGAGCAAGTCATCGACCATGTCTCCGCGTCGACTGTTCCCGTTTACCGGGTCGAGGAGTTCGGGTTCGCCGCTCCCGTCCGATAAAGACTTCAGTATTGATAGTATACTGCAGGCCATCGATCCCGATATCCGTGGAACATTAGACTCAATCGCCGAGATCTGTGGGCGCAGTAAACTAAGTCTTGCCAATGAGTATGGCAGTCACATCGCCCCGTTGGGAGAGATTCGTGCTCCACCAACAGGTGGCTTGGTGCCGGTTGAAGAGGCAAGCTCGAGTGAGGAAGGTCGTGCCGATGAGGGTGTCGTTATCTTTGATGAAGACCCCGGCGTGATGGATACTAGCCGTGATATGCATCCATTCTCTTTCTATCGCTATCTGGAGAATCTCCGGCACGCTGCATCCGCCTTGGAGCGTAATGGGGGTTCGACCTCCATAATGGCTGCACAGTCTGCCATCATGAATGGACAGTCGGCTTCAGCTACTGGGTTAGAAAGAGACGCATTGCCAGTGATTCGCGAGTTTCCCACGGGGCCAAAGAACTCCAGCCGGGACCTGCTGGGGAAGCATCAGCCCTCTGGCAATTCGGGCCAGTCCTCGCAAGATATAGCTACCCCAGCTATAATCTCAGAAGTTCACTTTGATGCGCGAGCCGATGATCAGCACATTGCTACTGAGCCACGCCTAGGTGGAAGGGCCAGTGGCCGCTCAACACCGGACACCTGGAATACGTCCGATGTGGTCCAATCTCTCCTTGGTTGGCTGAAATGGACTACTCGTGTCGTTGAACCAGACTCGCGACCTGCCTTGCAATCAGCCGAGGATCGTCTCCGGGCTATGCTCGGGCGAGCAGACGATGAAAACACATCTTTGCCTGCAGCTTAGCTTGTGGGCATTTATTCATTGTCCCCGTTTTGTAATGATTGATGACGGATGATGACCTTTAATGACTATACGACATGCTTCAGATATCCTTATGTGTGCAAACACGCAATTTCCAATATTGAATTGATTCTCTCATGTTCCTTGGAAAACATACCCATATGCAGGTAAACTTTAGAATTAGCGAATGTATATACAACGCCCTCGTTAATGCGATGCGAAATAGCAGACATGAATGGTAATCGCTAAAACCCGAAACGCCCTCGACTTTTCTCTAGACTCGAAAAGAGAAAACCAACGACTACGAAGTCCCAGCCGTAGCCTGCACATTCCCAATAATCGTCTGCGCAAACTCCTCGAACCGAGGATACGACCAGCCCTCCTGGTATCTCTCCACCAGAGGCCTCGTGTCAGGCTCAACCGGGGCTTCATCCTGTTTCCCAATCTCCTCCTCATCCTCGTCATCACTATCAACTTCGACCTTCCCCTCCACAAGCTCCCCAAACTTAACATCAACAGGCACCCGCCCCAAAAACGGAATACTCAATTGCTGCGCCATGACTTCTCCACCACCACTAGAGAACAAATTGCTCACCTCGCCACAGCACGGACAAGCATACCCGGACATATTTTCAATAACCCCAAGAATTGGAATACTAGTCTTAACGCAGAAATTGGCTTCCTTGCGCACGTCCGACGTAGCGACCGCCTGCGGTGTCGTAACTAGCACTGCACCCGTTAAACGAGGTAAACTCGACCGCGCGGCGGCGACAGCGTCCGTCGTAGATAGAGTGAGGAGTTGCTCTGCCAGCGCGATATGTTCGTCACTCGTACCCGGCGGGGTATCGATGAGGAGGTAATCTGTTGAACCCCATGATACGTCTGACAAGAACTGGCGGATCATGGCGGTTTTCTTCGGTCCGCGCCAGATGACGGCGTCGCCGCGGTCTCGGAGGAGGAAACCGAGGGACATGCAGCGGAGGGAGCCGCGGGGTTTGGGCGATGAGGCGTCTGTTTGTGTCGCAACAGCATCGTGGACTGGAACGGGTAGCCAGCCATTAGGTGATTGAGTGATTTTTGCCTCTTCGAGGCCGACGAGTCGTGGGATTGAGGGGCCTGTTAGGTCGATGTCGAGGATGCCGACAGATTTGCCTTGTAACGAAAGCGCGAGCGCGAGTTGGAGGGTAACGGAGGATTTTCCAACGCCTCCTTTGCCGGATAAAACCTGCGACACATGTAGGTTAGTCTTGTAGATTTAGGTGTTTTGGAGATGCTGCTGCTGGTGACTCCCAATCTCGTCCTCTGCCCCTCATGCATCCGTTATCGATAAGCTGCTGGGGCAAATTGGGATGGTGTTCTGCTCGGGACAGGCTTGTATGGGGAGGCGCCTGCTTATTGGAGAGGGCTACTCACCAGCACAATATTCTTGACTCCATCTAGAGGCATCTTCGCGAAGTTAAAGGAGATGTGTAGAGGGAAAGCAAAGACAGTGACGGAGAAGTAGGCTTAAGTGGGGAGCCGACCTCGGACGCTTATCAATCGCCGCTCTCTGACTAAAACAATGTCCCCGAATGGTTCCTATACTTTCTATCTTGTGTACGTGGGATTCTAGTTATCGTAAGCAGAGTTTTCCTGTATTTTTGTGGTACCGTTGGCCTACTGAATGTAGCCAAAATAACGGTGCCGTAATTGTCATTGTCGTATTTAACCATTAGGCGCTTGAGAACTATTCTATCTCCGTCGCCACTCGCTTTTGAAGACAGCCCTAAGCAAAGGACGAATGCGTGAAATGTCCTAAGTCCACTTCTGGACAACCACACCTCCACGCTTGAACTCCGGCAGGTCAGCAAGAGTAACGCTCCAGTCACTGAGCTCCTTGCTGGGGAACGTGGTCATGAGAACCCATGCGCGGTTCCGACCATCTGGAGTGGCGGCTGCAACAAAGGCGTAGACATCGCCGATAGTGGCAGTAGTGTTGAAACGAGATGTCAGACGAGTGCCATCTCCCAACCGCACCTGTAGAGTAACTGTTGGCTGCGACTCATCCACTTCAGGCTTGGGAGGCCCAGTCGTGGCGGGAGCAGGAGCAGCGGAAGGAGTCGAAGACTGGCTGCTTTGTACGCCAGGTGTAGGGCTTCCGAGCCGCTGTCCGACACCCGAGAAGGGCTTGTACTTGGGCTTGGGCTTCACATATTTTTCGTCATGCTGCTTAAGCTCGACGTCAACTTCTTGCCCCGCTTGAACATTCATAATAGTCAGAGGGGCGCGACCCTGGCGGATGCCTTCCAAGATTTCGGCGTTTCGGGGATCATCGGTGCGGTATAGCTCGCCATCATCGACTGAAAAGCCATCGGCCCAAAAGTGGAGAATTCGGTGGACGCGCTGGGGGCGCTGCGGTTGAGGCTCAGAGGGATCTTCGATGACTCGGCTGGGCGCGTCGTCGCCACCAAGGGTGCGGGCGGTTCCGGTGAAGTAAGAGGGTCGGGACTGGGGCTCCTCTGAAGAAGGGGGCTGCGCTCTATATCATAGAGTGGTTAGAAGAGGATCTATGCAACATTTGGCACCGTGATTGCAGCTTACCGGCGAGCCTTTTCGAGAATCTTCCTTTTCAAGTCGTCCGGGTTTTGCACGGCCAAACCGGATTTCTCTCCACCAGCAAAGAAATCCTGATCCTCAGAGCCATCTTCGGAGGACGAGTCACCACCACTCCCTGTAGCAAAGTCTCCCAATGTCGCAAACTTCTTCTTTGGTGCAGCACGTCGGCTCGATGACGAAGACTGAGGCGTGGCGGATGAAGAAGCTGGAATGGGGCCCCCACCGAGGGAACGGCCTCCTCCGGTTGTTCCAGATGTCTCTTCTGTGCCCAGTCGACGGCCACCACCAGTGTTCATGTCCTGTAGAGCCTCATCTTGCTCCGCGAAGAACTCGGTCACGGCAGCTTCCACATCCCACCCATTTGCAGAAAGGTACTCCTGAGCCTGTTTCAAGGGGAAAAGTCATTACTGGTACAGATTAGGGATATGGGAAATGCAGTACTCACCTCTGCTGGCTTGGTTCCTGTCATGTTACAGAACTGAGACACGACCTCATCGTGCTCTGCGGGGTTGTAGTCCATGTTTGAACTTGAAGTGCAATTTCTGACGAGGAGTTCGCAAGTGATATGCCTTTAAATCACCTTGAGGGAGGTGAGGAAAGTGGTTTGTGGAGTATCGTAAGGGTTGAGAAGGTGAAAGGAGGTATTGTTTGCAATGTCTACCACATCGAGCTGGAGGAGCCAGCTAAACACCCGCGGCAGGTACGTCACTCCATTGGTCAGCCGGAGCGGAGGATCTTCCGACCATCGGCGCCTGAGGCTCTTAGCGATCTATGAAACTGGACCCTTTATGGCCCCGAACAGGAATGGACAGCCTCAATAAGATTAGACACTGATCTCATAATTTGTACGTATATCGAAAGTTAGCTAGGATATCTATTCGTGTAAGCATTTTGTCTCAGGGAGTCAGGGTCGAGCTCAAATCGACTTTCTATCGAGTGTCGAGCAGAAAACATAGGTATCCAGGGGCCAACCCCAGTACATTTACTTATATGAATGGCATACAGATGATTTCCCTGGATTTATATGTCTATATAACTTTATAACACTTTCTAGAGATACTACGGAGTACGCGACCAGGTTTCAGAATATAGTTCAGGTCCTGGAAGTTGACCCGCTGACATAATCCACACGTCTGCCCGCGCTCTGCAGTCCCGATGGAATGAGGAGGATCCCGACCGCCAGTGGGAGCAGTTGACCAAACTCCACGCTGTATACCTCCGATCTCCAACTTCCTCTTGACCTCTGTCAATTCATCCTTTACACATCTCACCGCCCACCCACCGTCACCATGGCATCCGACGCTACAGGCTCGCGAGTCGAGCTCTACGACTCCGCCCTGACTGTCCCCTCCGATTCGGAAAACTACTCGGCAAACAACGAGTCACCCTCCTCGCCCCCTTCCACCTCCAGTTCTCCCATGATTCTCTACAAGCCTCCGACAATCTGGGGTCTCATCCGTGGTGCAGCGATCAACCTTTTGCTCCCCTTTGTGAACGGTCTCATGCTGGGCTTTGGCGAGCTGTTTGCCCATGAAGCGGCCTTCCGCCTGGGATGGTCTAACACCAAGGTTTGTGCCGATCATAAAATAGTTAATAGGTTATGCGAATGCTGACTGCCTGTTTCTCTGCTCTAGATCTTCCCAATGTACCGCCGATCACATCCCGTGGGCCCTGGAGTCGAGGTTCGGGAGCTTCCTTCAGAGCGGAGGCGGGTTACCTCCGCTGCTGGCTTGAACGACACTGCGGCTTTGGAATAAGTGGGGGCCATTGGTCAGAATGCCTGGCTCTATTGACACAATATTTTCTCTAAAACTCAGATCTGCATTGATATGGGAAACACAAAACTGGTACATGTCTGTTTGGAGAGATACCTGACCTCGGGTCAACACTTGGATGTAGCGCATGTACATAGACTGCTCAGCTGGCGTCTGGCGAATTGGATTTTCATTTCACATATTGCTTAGAATATCTCACCGTTTCTTGCAATGAGTAAAACCATTTATGTTCACATGATGCTCGTATCCGTAATAATGCGCTTTCCGAGACCGACGTCACCATCTTAACCTTTCTGCGTGCTTGCGTAAGGACATTTGAACGAGATTTCAATTTGTATCTTTGAGGACTTTGCAATAGAAGTAAACAAGCCCGCTAGTTCTTGGGTATTGGTGGAGATCAACAGCCTTTAGCTGATAAGTTAGTGGAGTATAAAAGGAGTAGTATGAACATAAACTTGCGTTTCCTCCCCCTTTGATTCTTATTTCATGGTCCAAGAATGATAGAAGTATCACTTCGTATTCACTGTTGATGGCATCTAGCTATCCAGCAACCTCAATTGTACATAATTCATTCACTTTGCTTCACCTTTCCACTGCTATGATATTAATTCCTCCCAGACGTGGCCAATTCGTAGCATTGCAGACAGCTCCAGAGTTTATTCGTTGAGTTCCAGGCAAATAGCTCTCTGTTTTTGTCCTGGTTATTGGACGATCCCCAAATGTGATAGAGAGGATTGCTGTCCATCATCTGTTGTACATACCTAAGAGTAAACGGCCAAAGCCGGCAATCAGTCGGCATCGGATGTTTACCGGGATGTTCTCCGCCCGGCAGAAAAAGTCTCCCCGACAGGCGCGGGAGATTCGCGATGGTCCGACTGTCTGTTCATAATTTCATACTTTCCTTCGTTATTTAACAAAATGATGGGAGCTGCTGGCCTCAAAGGGCCCAGTGCTGCCACTGCCTTTGCGCGGCAACGGCTCACTGCGGTTTCTCGATCCACCCGATCGGTTTGTCCTATCTAGGATCCCCGGCAAAGGCTCCACGTACTGACTGTCCTGGCAGATCTCGACCTTTAGGCCTCAGCGCTTCCAACTTTCCGGCCAGAAGAGCCAATTGACCCTCGCTTCTTCTGGGACTGCTTCATGGCGCCGTGCTGCCCTTGCTGCCAGCCCTGTTGCGATCCGTTTCAACTCGACCTCCTCCGAGTCCACTCCCGCTTCCGTCCCCGAAACGACAACGCCGATTGACCCGACTGATGTCGGTTTTGATATTTCGGAGATTCCTGAGAAGATTGGATACTTGAAGGAACTCGGTCTGGACTATGGTTGGGGTCCGTCTTCCATGCTCCAATATGTGATCGAGCATATTCACATTTGGACGGGTATGCCCTGGTGGGCTAGTATTGTCAGTGCTGCCATTCTAGTGCGTATCGGTCTGTTCAAGCCAACTATAGCTGCTTCCGACACGGGTGCCCGTACTCATAACGCTCGCCCTCTCATTGATCCTCTTCGTCAGGAGATGATGAAGGCCCGGATGAATGGGCAGACACACGAGTTCCAGATTAAGAAGGCCGAGCTCGATAAGGTTCAGGCCCAGCATGGAATCAAGCCCTCGAAGGCTTTTATTCCTATGCTGCAGATCCCTCTCGGTTATGGTATCTTCCGTGTCGTCCGCGGCATGACCTCTTTGCCGGTGCCGGGCTTGCTGAGCGAGTCTGCTTTGTGGTTGAATGACTTGACCGTGGCCGACCAGCTATACTTGATCCCCGTCATTACAGCCTCGTGTTTGTACTTTACGCTCAAGGTAAGTGACCCGATGCCTTGCTCATGACAATTGAGTAGGGAGGCTAACAAACATAACAGAAAGGTGGAGAGACTGGTACTATGGATATTCTCAACACATCCGCTGGTAAGGCCATGCTGATCGGTCTCCCGGCCATTTCTTTCACATTCATGGCTTTCCAGCCCGGTGCTCTGCAGCTGTATTTCCTGTCTACCGGTGTCCTCGGTCTTGCTCAGGCATACATCATTAACAACGCCAACTTCCGTAATGCCATGGGCATGGCTATCCCTATCCGGCGCCAGGCCCCGCAAGATATGAGCAACCTGGAGCAGCTCCAAACCCGTCTGGCAGAGCTTCAAGCCAACCCGGAGAAGTTCAAGAAACAAGAGCCCACCAATGACAGCAACATCAGCGCCATCGACCGGGTCCAGAAGAGCATCAGCAGCTGGAGCGAGAAGGCCAAGCAAGAAGTTACGGATAAGTGGAGTGAGGTGAGGGGCAACTCTACCAAGAATGTCGATGGTTCTCGTGCCGCCGGGCCTCGTCTCAGCACCGAGGACCGACAGTCAGCAGAGAGATACGAGAAGGAAGCCAGGGCTCGGGAAGCTGCCTTGCGCGAGGAGCGGAACCACGCCCGTCGAAGTGCTCATATGAGGACTCTCGCATCTGAGCGGCAGAAGGCTCAGAATTCTCTCAAGAATCTCCAGGCAGTCGGACGCGATAACCAAGCTCGGAGGAAGTAATCTTTCTCCATGTGTATAAACTGTAAATTATGGCGCTTTGACATTGGCATTCTGCGTTTTCGTGTATTACAGGATTAGAATCTATTTTGACCACTCTTATAATCGCCTGTCTCGATGTGTAGTCTGTGCATCAATGTTCTGATATGAGTAAAAAGAGCTTATATTAGTTAATTGAGTGTACTAAGAAGATGGAGACTGACACCGATAGCCCTGAATTGCATGTACATACGACTTGTTGCAACCTTATTCCATGAAAATGCATCCCGCTTCGGCCCAAACCCCAAAAAATGATTCTTACAGAGCACATAGCAATCTGTTTGAATTTGAAGAAGACCAAAAGAAAAGAGCCAATGAGTAGGCCCGGTCATGTAGTTCGCATAGGAATCGACACAGCCGGCAACGGCAACGATCCCTTCTCATCCTCTGCAAAAGCCTTCCGCTCCAATTTCTCAGTCATAGATGCACAAAACGGGTCCACATAAGCCGTCCAAGCCGCAGCAACAGAATACACCATTCCAATCCAGACCGGTATACTAATCGCAACAACCCACGGCGGACCAATTGGCAGCCAGTCCCGCTCATCATTAGTGGCAGCATCACCTCCTTCCCACGGCTGACCACTAATCCCATACAACATCCAACAAAGGACAACACGCAGCATCGTTCCATGAATGAGATAGACCGCGAAACTCTGCTTTCCAAGCCAGAGCAAGAGCCGATTGGCGAGGAACTCCTTGGTCGATGGAGATAGGTAGATTGCTAGGATGATGAGATCCACGCCGAGGGCTGAGTAGCGCTTGCCAATGTTGACGTCTGGTGGGAAGATGTATTCTGATAGTTCGAACATGAAATTTGACCAGGGCATCCATTCTGGGTGTTCGCCGGGATAGGAGGCGATTAGGAGGCCTGCAACTGCGAGTGGGATGGTGATGAGCTTTCGTGTATAGCGATGGGTTTCTACCCAGTTTTTGAGAGCGGTGGAATATGAGAGATCGCTGAGAAGCATGCCGAAGATAGCTTGCATTTGGAAAGTCTCTAAACAATATGTGGTCGGGTTAGCAGGGTGTTCGTCCTGAATCTGCCAGGAGACTGGGGAACTATATAGTTCGTACCCGTATCTTTGGCCGCATCTTGGTGATAATACAACAGCATCCCAATATAAACGGCGACTCGATACCGGAATCGCATAAACATAGTCGCGACAAGAAGTATGAAGACCAGCATAGAGGCCTTTAGCAAGGGCAGGAGAGCCCACTGATGATCGTCGTATGCCATATACCCCGTCGTCCAAGTCGATAAAAAGTTCTCGCCCAATCGAAGAATCTCTTTCGACAGAGAATCCTCCAACTCTGGAGCTGCATACCGACACCACCAGCTATCAGAGCGGTTGGCAACAACAAAGCCACCGAATTGGGCGACCGTCCATGATATTAATAACGCAATTGTGGCCGGGAAGATGAGTCGTGGTGGCCTTCGGAAGGCGCTCTTAGCGATTGTTGTGAAAGCAGCTGCTGTATCGCCCGCTCGCGAGAGTTTCAGTGGCTTTAGGGCGCAGACATAGCCCGTAAGAAATGCAAAAATAGTGACTCCGAGACGGCCCTGCCAGGGGATGCGGAGGATAGGCCATTGTAGGATGCGTGGGGTGGCGTCTTCAGTATCGCGAGGAGAAAAGAGGTCATAGTCCCAGGCGCGGGCGAGATGGGTTAATACTACCAGGAAAGAAGCGATTCCTCGAAGGCCCTATATGTTGAACAATAGGAGTTAGCGGGATAAATGGTGGTAATCATATCTGGAAACATACATCAATCCACTTCACGCTCTTTCGAGGGTCACCTTTCGTGGAGAAGTTCCCTTGACTCCATGGTAGAACAGCCGGAATTGTATCCTTTAAACGAGTGTATAGATGAGAAGATGGAAAGAGCGACATGATGTTTATCAGGATGTGTATGAAATTTGATTTAAAAGAATCACTTAGGGCTTCAGATACTCCGAAGAGATATCACATCACCATGAGGAACAAGATATACCCTGAGGTTGACCAAGCCGTCAAAAGGTCACCAAGGCAGTCAATAACGAGTGAAAGGTACAAAGGAGAAACACACAAAGAGCATCGAAAGAATGAGGACCTCGATCCCTTCAAGCGGAAACCAGGCTATGTGTATACTTCGCCGAGTAAGGCACACGCCAAGAAAGAAGGGGTACAACAACGCATCGCATCTCCAAAACTCGCGTCCACAAGTCATACTGTATGTACAAAACAGTTAATGCATCGCATAAGCCAAATAGCAGGTCCCACTGCGCGATAGCCAACCCATCACGTCGTCCGACGACCGGCCCAGAAGCACCTGGGTACGCTTCTCCATGTCTAAGGGGTTCACGAAGCGTCGATCAAAACACAAATCTAGAGAAGACGCAGGTATGCCAAGAGGGGGGCATATTGTCCTTTCAACAATAGTTGGAAGAAGTAAAAAAAAATGAGGGATGCGCGGGAGGCGTTTGGCCCTTGCAGCACCAGTAAGAGACATTACTAAAATAGGATTTAGTCTGTCGATCTGGCTATCTATTTGTTTTTCTATTGTGGGCAATTGTTACGCCTCATGATAGGAGCCGTTCTATAAATGTACTGATCAGGAGTTGTTTTAGGCTGGTTAAGGGGCGGTAGGTAGTAATGTTGTACGGAGTACGGAGTAGACATGACTAGTAGTAGGACTAGGTGGACCATAACATTCGTGGATCTAGGAGACGCGTTTACATATTTTGTGTGAATTATCCATCGAATTAGCAGTCCAAGGCCTAGTCCTTGCCAAGGATGTGGCGGAATGTAAGCTTCTAATTTGGACAACGATTTGGAAACTCCTTCTCTCCATATGAAGATAGAATAGGCCTATCGAATCTCGATTTTGGTTTCAAGATCGAACCATTGAAAAGGCAAGAATAGCGTGGTATCAAATTTTATGTCCGGTAACCCATATGAAACACCACTACTATGTAGGCGGAAACTCCAATTGATCATCGACACCCTTGACGACAATCCCCAAGCGCCTGTGAAAAACAATTAGACGGCCAATATGCCCTATGTATGAACTCAAAAAGTAATTTTTGATTAGCGGAATAGTCGTCGTCCACCAACGCTGCCGGAGCTCCATGTAACAGAGCCCTTCACTCCAAGATTATCCATGCTCAACCCGGAGAAACCAACGCCACCACCTTCGCCGTCGCGCTTGTATCGACGAAGTGCTTCGCGCAGGTGTGACGGTAGAAGCTGGCCGCGATGGGGGTTAGATGGCGGGCGGAACTCTCTTCGTGGACGTAGCGGTGCAGGACTTGATACTGAGGGCCGGCCAACTTGTTGTAATGAGGGAGATGGAGACATGTGGTGGGGAGGAACAGAGGTTGAGTTGAGGTAATTGGTTGGTGTAGGTGATGGCCGTATCTGATCTGTATCCGATGGCTCTTTCTTGATACCATTGCTGAGAGATCCTGGACCAGATCCAGGGACGGGAGTGCCCGAGGGAGTAGGGGTTGCAGTCTTTGACTGCGCGGCCGCAGCTTGAGCTCTGGCCAGGGCTGCTTTCTCAGCGGCCGCTTCTTCAGCGTCGAATGCTGCTCGTGCTGCATCATCAAAGGCATCGGCCCATTCCGCCTGGACTGTCCGCGCCTTCTCAATCATCTCACCAGCAAACACCTTCGTAAACCCATTTACTGTTGTAACCACACTGGCCGGGACGGACTGTGAAAGCGCGTGATTGACAATGCGGCGGAGGGATTCTTTGCGAAGCTTTGCTCGCTTGAAGAGGTCATATCGCTCGGATTGCTGAGGGTTGAACGCATCAACCAGGATCCTGTATAAGCAGCAAGGTTAGTCTTCTATCTCACCAGACGCACGACTGAAGATCAACATACGCCAAGTTCTTCTTCTCAGCCTCTGTATCCGTAGTACCCTCCTCTCGCCCCAAAAGCTCGCCTTCATCATCGTCATCGTCATCGTCGGCATCATCACCACCTCCTCCACCACCTCCGCCCATGCCCCCTCGAACCGAGCCTTCAGCATCAGCAGATCCAAGCCGCGCATCTCCGGCGCGCGAGCTCATCGCATCTTCTCGCTCACGCTCGCGCTCCTTCTCGGCCTTGCTCTTCCTTCCTCGCTTTTTTCCGCGGAGTGCACTAGCAAAGACACCGTCCGCGCTTGCGCCGCCAATGCTTCCTGTGAAACTGCCCGTCACACTTCCGGCATCGCTGGTCGCACCGAAGCTGCCCCCTACGGCATCAAGGCCCGTCGGGAATGAGGTTTGTCGGAGAGGGTGCATGCGAGCCTTCTTGCCTAGTGGTTGTGAGGCGGACGAGGAGATAGAGGGCCGTTTGAGGGGGTTGGTTGGGGTCTGATATGGTGGTGGTGACGACATTTTGAAGGATTTTATGTGGAAGAATGGAGGTCTCAAAGCGTATGATGTTGGAAAAATCGAAGAGAACAGTGATGAGAGTATTAGAAACCAGGTTCGTCTGGTTAATCGGACCTGCACTGACAGGAAACTGCGGGCTTGGTAAGGTCCGTCGAGTTTGGTGATGCGCTGCCACGCTGGTCCCGAGTCTGCCGCGCGGAGGTAAAGGGAAATTCGAGATTTGAGAAGTTGAATAGAAACCAGTAACTGAAACCTGCCGAAGGACCTGCCCACGAGATGAAAGAAAGTCACCCAAAGAACAGCCGCTACCAGACGCGATCAGAATTGGGTCGCGACGATTCCAGAGCACCCTGACCGCCTACCCAATTTGGAAACTATATACTCCGCCCAAGTGAGACTACGTCAAAAAAGAAGCTTAAATGAACGATACATCGGGTTTACTACATGCATAGTCTGGATAAATTTGCATAGTGTATTCAAGCAGCAGTAATTATGGTTCAATTATGAAGAAAGAGTGACTAGATGAATCATTCACAGCAAGAATAAAAGACAAAATCGCTGATGGAGTCCAGCTAAAACAAACATGAAAAAAGTGACAAGACGCTTGGAGCGTAGAGATGCAATGCGGCGTACTATGTAAAGACAGGAGGGATAAAAATCCCATAGTCCTAAGAACTGAATCGAGAAAGACAGAGAAGCAGACCTATTTGTGCACGGTATGAGATAAAGAAATGGACACAAGAGCAGGTCAACAACTGGAACCAGCGGACGTGGAGAGAGGAAAGGTCCATCGCCAACAGCTTCATATCGAAGTGAGGACCTTAGTACTTCTCTCCGAGCCGGGGGCCCCCCTTTCCAGTCGTTGCGCTCATAGTAGCGGAACACGAGGTCGTACCCGTTCAGATCGTGAACGATGCGGTCGACACGGCGATAGCCCTCGATCTGCTCCATCTTGGGGTTGCGACGCATAGCCTGGCGCTGCGCGTGCACCTCGTGGAAGCCATTCGCGTCGTTGCCCAAATCCTCAATGGCAGGCTTGGTCTCAAACAAGGTGATGCTGAAACGGCCCGGCTTGAAGATATCGACAACCTGCTGAATGATGTCGGCGGTAGCCTTTCCGTTCTGCGAGTGTGGAACGTTGGTCTCGAAGGATGCATACGAGCAGTGCGGCTCCGGAGTGACGTGCACAGTGAAATAGTGCGTAGGAGCCTTGCCATCCGGAGCAGGGATAACACCGTTGGCAGAGAAGCCACATGGAGTGAAGAGGTACGCGTCGATGCGAGCATCAGGGAACTTGCTCTTGGGGTAGACATCTGACAGACCACAGGCCTCAGACACTACAGTGCCGAGTGCATGGCCCTCAGTGGTGAGCTCCGCTGGCAGCAGACGGTCCGCATCAGGATCATCCGGGTCAGAGCCGTTGTCGAACACATCAATGTGCTCAGCACCATCATCCTTGTCGAGGTTACGGAACCGCTTCTCGGCAACAGCGGTGGCGTTGTCCAGGTAGAACTGCTTCGCGTTCTCCTCGTCCAGGTCAGTCATCAGGACCTCCAGAGTCTCATCATGCTCATTGCAGTCGGTGATCGGGGAGGCCTGGGGGAAACTGAGAACCTTGGTCTCAGTCTCGGAGAAATGGCCATCCTCCTCCGTCGGGCTCGCCGGGGGAGTGAGCAGCGTGTGAGGCTCAGTGAGGTACAGGTACCAATGCTCTCCGTTCATCTTGCCAATCATGTAGGCACTTCCATTCTGGAACAGCTTGTCCATGTTACGAACCTCGTCGCGCCAGCTGCGGTGAGGGCCGCGCTGGCGGTCAGGGAACAAGTAGTTCTTGCGGCTGTAGAAAACCCGGTAAGGAGCTGCCGCGACGGCAATTCCACGAGACGGCGGGGCAGTCGCGCGGGGGAAGCCTGCAAAGAGAGCGGCAATCTCCAAGATGCGCGGGAGACCCGACAGAAGGGTCGTGGTGCCACAGGTCTTGAGAATCAACTTATGGGGCCAGACGAACATGCTGGACTCGGACAGGAGGTAGGCATCGACATCCTCAGATGAGACAACCGACAAAACCTGGCAATTGACAAGATCCAGCATGTCCTTCCAGATCTCGCCAGGCACCTTCTTCAGACCCTCGGGGCCTGCGGCGCCGAGCTCGCTGGCAGACGGAGCAAACCAGACCTCGAGCAACTTCTCGGGACCTGTATGAATTTGTGAGCAAATGGTATCCGCCAACTGCTGTACTTGGGATTGACTGACCTTCAAAGGCACTGCTGGAGTCAAGATCCTGAGTGGCCTCATAGTTGATGGTCAGAGAAGGAGTCCCCGCGAAAGACGACGGAGACTGCGTGTAATTCTTCGGAATACCGACGTAAACCATTTCCGCTGATTGATACAGCCGAGGCTGATGAGGTAATTGAACAATTAACGGGATCGAAGATGGTGACTGTGTGACGTCGGACCGCCCTGAAAGCTGTTTGATGGAGACAAAAGGCTTGAGAAGCACTGTCTACTTGCCCAGACGAACAAGGGGGCAATGCCCGTCTGAGAAGAGAAGGCCCTGAGGACAGAGAGAAACTGGCTATCAGGCCAGGCAGATGAGCACTTAACAGACCGGAAGGGCCGCTAAGGAGGTAGGAACGCGAAGGAGAGGAGGAAAATGCTACAAAGAATTGTGACTGTCAGTCCAGTACCCTCGTGCTGGAAGATACCGATACTGGTCAAAGTATCGGGTCTAGCAGACGAGAGTATCTGCTTTGTGCAAGAGGTATGGAGGAAAGTCGAATGCTGGTGACGACGTGAGTCGTGCTATCGAGGCCTGAAGACGATGGAATAATTAGTACTCGTCGTGTAAAAGAGAAATGGCCAGGTTGAATTGGAGTGGGTAGGCAAGAGACAAAAGGGTTGTGCCTTCAGAAGTTCAGCCAGCCCTAAACTGTTGCGCCAACATGAAAAAAAAAAACAAGAATCTTCCAAATTTGTGGATCGGTGCCCTCCGTGAGGGGTAACCGAGGGGTGAAAGAAAAAAAAAGTATGCACACATACTTCGCAGGCTTGGACAGAAATCGCAGAAGATCCTTCGGGCTCATGAAAGGCAGAAAAGGAAATTCAGCTTAGAACTGCACGATGTCGCGCGAGGCCACAGTCGTGAACATTAGAGGGGTGACGAAGGCAGGAAAAGAGTCGCGCTAGTCAGATTTTGCGTAAAAGCCCAATGAGTACCCGAAATGCAATTGATTGCGCTAGGCGCGTTGTGAGAGGGAAGGATTCTCTCAAAATGTTCGTTTGGCCAAAGGTAAGGGAGCCGATGGTCAATTTGCAGACCTCGAGAAGACTCAAGAGGAGGGGTGGCAGCTGAAAAATGTTTGCCGTAGACGGGCGGTTAAGTTGATAGTGAGCGATTTTGTCTGCGGGCCCGAGCTCGGTGGGGCGCTACGGATCAAAATCTGTCTGACATCAGGGAAGGCCGCCAATTTAGTGTTCCATAACGCCACATAACACAAGATTTGCGAGGGATGAAACGAACGGAGATATTAGCCACTCACGAGAAGAATCACAGCTAGGCGTAAATCATCTGGGACGATACCTTGATGTGAGTTGAAGAAGGAAAAAATGGCGCTCCGGCCGAGATTCTTGGAACACGCGAGCGGTGAAACGGGGCAGAATTGGGATTTTGGCTCGTGCCTGGCCGCGGGTTACAAAATCGATCGGCGGGGAAACGAGAAGCTTAAAGAAGGTGGAAGCGGACGTCACCTGACCGGACTGCAGGTACAGTACGACCGTCGTTGATATACGGGGCCTATAAGGAGCTAGAGCGGACTATTCTCCGATGCCGTGGATATAATAGGTATTATTGATGTCATTTGAGAATTGAGAAGATATCATGAAGAGGCCAAAGCCACAAAGATTCATTTCCTCCCCTCCTGAAACGCCCGCTCACAACGCCATGCCAGATGGATGTAGCAGATCATTCCCCATACTGATGATTTGAAAAAAGCAGAACAAAAAAGATATATGTGAAAAAAGGAAATACTTGTCCGCATTTTAGGCCTCCACGATAAGGCGAGCCAGCTGCACTTCGTTGGCTTCAACGATCTTCGTGGCAATCAGACCACCGACTTTCTCCGTCAACTGTGTGCGCAAATCATCCGACACGGCTGCGGGGTGACCGTTGGTCAGAGATGGGTGAGCCTCGCGGATAGAGACTAGGACGCCGAGAAGTGCACTCAGGACGCGCTCGGCAGCGGGGCGACGAGCTGCATCGTCGAGGCCATCGCTGAGGAGTTTGGAGTAATCACTCAGGTTGGGAATGACGAGTACTCGTACTACCTCGGCGCCACCGACGGCTTGCAGTCCAATAACGGCTCCATAATGGGCACAGAACGGCTTGGAAGGGTCGAGGAAGCTCTTCAAGCAGGATCGTACAAGACGAGGCTTAAGCATATGCGACGAGTGGGAGAACTTCTTCGCAATCAGTCCGAGGAGAGAGGCTGCAAGGTCACGAAGAGCGAATTGTTCGGACAGATCGCTGGCTCCGCCAAGTTGTCGGCCGACCAGACAGGTCAAAATTGATGGGACAAGGGAGGCGATCTGGAAAATGTCAGCTATCGAAAACGCTCAACGGTCAGCAAAGTGGTGAGGTTTATGCCAACTTACATATGGATCGACGTAAAGTGATGCGTTCTGTACTAAGGCCTCGGCCATGTGCATCACTTGAGTTAGGACGAATATATCCTTCAGGCTATGGGTGACTTTCTCCGCAATGAATTGAACGAAGTATGGCACCAATTGATGGAGACCAGGGTCATCCCGCAGACTAGCATATGCTGAGGTGCGGTACTCTTCGCTCGTTTCATCCAGGAATGCACTGCAAACCTTCTCGAAGTACAGCTGCAGCTCCTTGGACAGCACGTGCTTCACGGTAGGCTTCACTGACACTTCGCCACTGCCACTCATTGCCGCCAAGGTGGAATTGGCGTTGGGCCCCTTTGATACCAGCTCGAGGTTCCTAGAATCGGCGGCAGTGGGGTTCTGAGGGATGGATGGCTGAACGCCTTCGACAGCCAGCCAGTGGCCTAGAATGACATCGATTAGACAAAGCAGCAATAGCAACGTTTCGACTGAGTGAAATTACCAGTGAATGACACCTCCCGGGGGACCTTGGGCAACGGCGCGTTGATAAGTTTCTCAAAGTCCACCTCTTCATCTTCCACGTAGAACAGCGGTTGACCAGGGCCCAGCGACGCTTCACCGAATCGTAATGGGCGAAGGGATTCGTACCCATATAGTGGCTCCACATCCAGATTCCTCAGGGCATGGGAAATATCTTGGGTTGTGAGGAGGGTGCGCTTGCCGTGGCGCATGCACTTGAGTGCTTCTTCCAGCACCTGCGCAACGCGGTATTCGACGTCGCGAGCAAGATTTTCCGTCACATCATGGTTGAGGTTGGTAATACCGACCGATTCCGCGACATCGCGGATATTATCTGGGTTCCAGACGGACATGGCGACCGGTTATCTCAGACTTGGAGGTGAGATCGCGACGGAAGATGAATCTGGGAGGGATTGAATAGCGGAGGATGCGCGCGGATGGTGCGCTCAGCGAATGGGGTGGTCGGAAAGCTCCCAATCAGGAGCAGAATCGCATTCTGAGAAGCGACTGGTGCACTTGAGCCGAAGGAGAGGCGAAATGGAATGCGACAATACTCTTTGCTGGTTAAGATTGAGGTATGAAGCAGGAGAGTTGATCGATAAGAAAGTGAGCGCGACGCCGTACTGCACAAGTGGTCTTACGGCCTCCCGTAGAAGCTTTCTTGGTGGCCTCAGGCACGAACACTCTACTATGTGACTACGGATGTATCTCAGGCTTCTTACTGATAGAATGAAAAGGTGTTATCTCCAGATAGAAACAATCAATTATTACTCATGTATGGACTTTAATTGGAATATCAGTCCAGACAAAAGGCACTAGTTGCCTGAGGCTAAAGCAAGGGCAGAGAGCGTTGGCAGCTACTCATCCTCCGGGTATCACAACAAAACGCACATTCAGAAACAAGGGGCACAATTTACTTGGCCTCCTCGGCGACAGCCTTGATCTCCTCCTGGGGGGCTCCCTCCTTAAGGGGCTCTCCATTGGTTGCCGCCTCGACCTTGACGGGCTCTTCCTTGAGCGCCTCTTCCTTGGGAGCTTCCTCAACGGGCTTCTCCTTTGGAGTCTCCTTCTTGACGGGTTCCTCATCCTTGGGGGGAACAGCTGGGGCAGCACTCTCGGTAGAGGCTTCAGCAGGCTTGGTCTCATCCTTCGTTTCCTCTTTCTCCACCTTATCCTCCACCAGTTGAACAGTTCGTGCCTCATCCTTCAGCTCGAGTCCCTTTCCACCGTAGGTCTTGGGGATCTTGTCCGCAATCGAAGCGGGGAACTCACGAGCAAGATTCGCACCGTTAGAGATTGGGTGGAACTTGCGGGTGGTGTTGCGGCTGAGGAACAGCTTCATGGCGGAGAACATCCAACCCATGATGCTGGGGACATTGACGAAGAACTTCTCGCGCAGCAGCTCAGGGTAGGCAGTGGAGAAGGTGTCGATGGTCTTCTTGGTGGCTGCACGAACAGAGGGATCCATGCGGAAAAACTTGACGTTCAGGTAGTCGTGCACCTGAATCATCTGGTAAGGGTCCTTCTCGCCGTCATAGTCGATGACCTCGGTTGCATCCTTCAACTTTAAGTCCTGCACAGCCAACTCCATGAGGGCAGCGCGCCACTTGACGAATCTGGATGGGAGTTAGCATTTCCATTTTGCGGTAATAAAATCCATCAAGACACTCACTCGTCGGAATCGCCAAAGGTCGCGCTAACATCCTTCACAGCGCCGTAGATGTTCCAGGTGAAAACCAGGGGGCGGCCGTCCTGCTCATAGGTTGTCAGATAGCCGAGACCACCATACTTAGTGGCACTGTAACGACCAGACTCAATCAAAGCAAGAGGATTGGTCTTCTTGCGCCATTCAAGAGCCTTGCGCAACTGATCCTGGGCACCCTGGACGTTGCCCTCGTTGGCACGGAGGAATTTGATCAACACATTGACCGTGGGCACATCCTCACTGTCCTTGAGCTGCACACCCCACATCTCATTGTAGCTGGTCTCGCTGAAGATCTTGGGTAGCTGTTCGAACAGCTGAGCCAGACCGGGAATCTTGGTCAAGTATGCGGGCTGCTCGGGCTTCTGCTCCTCGGGCTGGGCCGCTTCGGTCTCAGGGGCGGCGGGGGCATCTTTCGCGGGCTCTGCCTCCTTAGCAGGGGTTTCTTCAACAGCCTCCTGTGCCTTGGGCTCGGCTTCCTTGTCGGTAGCGTCGGTGGTTGCAGCCGCGGGAGTTTCCGATGGCTTGTCGCTAGCTTCAGGAGCTTCAGGAGCTTCCGCAGCTACTACGGGAGCTTCCTCACGCTTCTCGGGCTCGGCCACGGGGGTCTGTTCGACGGGCTTTTGGTCCGACATTGTTGTGATTGTCTTGGAAGAAGAATTAGAAGAGTCTGAAGGTTAAAGAAAAGGAAAAGAGTGAACGAAACGTTCAGGGGAAGAAAAATAAACGAGGCAGGGGTATCGCTGCCTCGATAAGTCGGCCTATCGACCGGATCCACTGCCGTCCCCACCTGTCAACCCGATGGGCCTACAGCTGAGACTCTAGGGGGTCAGCATCGAGCCCGGGGAAATTTGTAGCCCCTGAGTACCAGTCAATGGTGAATTTTAAACGAGGTTCTAGACTTGCATTGGTTAACTAGTTGGAGCCGGGTGCAGATTGGGGAAATGATTCGCGCTATGGATCTGTGAGGCCGCAACTTAAATATAGCACGGGAATCGATAGCGAAGACAATTCGCTGGTGTCTGGTCCGATCGACAATCAAACTCACCTGTCAATGGAGGGCAAGCTAACAAGCTGATACTAGGCAAGAGATGTCAATCAGTCTTTGTGTATGAGTGCATCTGTGCAAATGAGCATGTCAGTCTTTCATCTAGACTACTGACTGTATAATCTGTACTCCGTTATCGGACAGTCATCAATTAAACGAAATTAAGCAGGAGCGCTAGACCACAACTGGGGAAATGAGGAGGACTTTGAACTTGGCAATTGAAATAGTGGAGTGCAAAATAAACGCTACCTCCTCCGTATAGTAATGCTCTCTCATCCAGGCCAAGCTATGTTGTTATGAAGGTCTTTCTGGCAAATCATTGCTTTTACCTCGCTCCTTACAGCTTCTAGACCAGAATACTTATTTCCATTGTACCTAGCTATATATCTTCAATTGTATGGTAACACAGTGTGCTGGCACCTCCTCTCTGCTTCCTGAATAGTAGAGTTAACTACAGTACATTAACCGGAGCTCGACCTATTCTCGGTGCTAGCCCGTTTCTCTTACTTAGCTTTGGATCCACTCCACAGGTGATGAAGCAATGGTCATTTGCCCTGAAGCTCTCAAAGGTTGAATTAGAGCATAGGGATGACAGGATATCCCCGTGGCAGGTAGATTGTTTAAGGCTCGTCATCAGACAGGGCACGAGACATAGAGGATCTTGAGTCGTATCGGCATAGCTTAGCGCACTTGCTGCAACAGCAAGGTATTAAAGACTTATGAGCGCTCCCATTTTCGAATTCTGGATGCCCCTCTACAGAAAATAGGGAGCAAGCATGCATTTTATAAACTTGGAAGCATCCTCGCCATTGTTACTCTTTTTGGTGTCACTCTTCTGCAGATACCCGGCTAGAATTCCAGAGGTCTCCTCTAGGTCTGTCTCAGCACGTACAGTCACATGCAGAGGGGAGCTTAGACACATTCTCATGACAACGCAGTCCTTATTTTCCTGTGTGATGAAATCTTTTCCTCGAAATGACTCCATCAGAGGCCGGTCTAGGGCAGAAGATGGAAAAACCTTTCTATCTGCCACAATTTCTAGTAATTCCTAATCCGGGAGAGCAATACTATATTCTCGGAGCAGTCTGAAAACATCTAATATATTTGATTCTGATTACATTCCCATGTTCAAGTACGCTATTGTAACTTGTTGGAGCAAGCAAGAATAGCACGAACCTACGAGCCCGACATATCTCAGACATGTCTGCTGAGGAAAACGACATCTCGGAATCCCTAAATCAGAAAGGTCAGCATTGTTCTGTTTTCGTCCCTCCTGCTGTCGGTTTCTTTCTTTTAGCCTGTATTTGCAGAACGCAGCAGGAAATACTACAATACCCGGTTGGAAGAAGCTCGGTCAATTTGACAGCGATATGAGGTAGCCAGAAAGAACTTGACCTATGATTTTTGGCATAAGTCATTACATACAACGTGTCTATCTTGTCGATCAGTAGATCGCCGAATTAACCTTTACGCATTGATTTGCTCATAACCGAATATAGTGTAAATCAACAATGGAAAATACGGCCCCTCGCCACAAGTATCTCTCTTCTTTTGATATTTCTTGAATCTATGCATTTTAGTCCAGGCGACTGCTCATCAATAAACAAGCAAAGTATACATTAAGGTTACGACTGGCGCAAACGCCTTCGGCTAGTACACACCACACCCAGCCCCAATAGACACCCACCTAGGACGACAACCAGAGACAAAGACATACGCTTGGAAGCATTTCATAGCCTTACTAACCTTATCAAACCCAAAATAATATATATATATTACTTCAGCCTAAATTTTTACATCCACAGTAAAATCCCCAAAATGCAAAACATCACACACCACCAAACCCGGTCTAACCAAATGCGGTTAGCAAAGAAGATCAAAGAACAATGGAAAATCTTCACCCAAACTCTTACATACCCTAAATTGCGAGGATCCACCCACATATCTCGAAATGACTCATTCTTTTTTCAATAACAAAGCAAGCTGGCGCATAGGAAGCGCGTCGGGCTCATAACCCGAAGGTACCTGGATCGAAACCAGGGCTTGCTATTTTATTTTTTATTTTTTGTTACCTATTACCTCGTTGTCTTCATTTTGTCCATGTCTGAATGTTCCCATGCCTCTATACATACTTACGTCTAGGGAGGCTCTCTCACTTATGAACAAAGAGCTCTGCATTTAGCTTTGCAAAGGTTTTGGTTTACTTCGGCAACTCAGTCTAATCCAAGAAATTCCCCGAGTACCTACTTTAGCCAAATCTATCTTAGGGCAAAAGAAGTAACTTTAAGATATGTGAATTTAAGAATAACTGTAATTCTCATCTTCTAATGCAGGCAACACCCCTTGCACTAAGGGGCCTAGCCTAGGTTTACGTTATTGATTGCTCGAAATAAAACCACCAAAACCAAGGAAGTCATAGAAACGCAGTCTGCATGCCTTGAAGAATGTGTGTTGATCGAATCAAACGAATCAATCAGGGATGAAAGGGGACTGAAAACAAAAACACCGCTGGGGAATATACAAATAACACAACGAACGTAGAAAGGGGAAGGAAAGAGAAGAGAAGAAACAGGATGGAAATCTGTCGTGGCTGTTTCGGTGTGACAGCATCACCGTGTGAAGAGACTGTTTGGAAAAAAGAAGTGATCAGACAGTGTCCGGGATGAAGCATTACCGACCGCCGTTGCGGAACTGCGAGGGGATTTGAGGGACGCTGGGTTCAGTCATGTCCTCGTCTTCTTCCATTTCGTCCTCTTCTTCCTCGGGGTGCCTGTGGGAAAAGATTAGCTGAGCCTCAAAAAGCAAACACCAAGCGTAACCAGTAGGTTAGGTTAACATACGCAAGCAACTCCTTGATATTCCGCATCTCATAATGCTTCTTCCGGTGCTCCTCAAACTGGCGATGCTTCTCCTTGGCCTCTTCAGTGGTCATAAGATCATCACCACTTGCAGGCGCATCACCATTGATATCAGGCTCAACGACAACATGCTTATCGCTCTTATGAGATTCCACGCTCATACTCCGCTCACGATAAATGCGCTGTTCAGGAGTCTCCTGACCAAGACCAGACAGACCTTCCTCAGCCTCGCCGAGCTCCAGATCCGGAATATCATCCTCCGACACACCCTTCTTATGGTGGTCACCATGAGTGGTCTTATCGAGTTCATCAACCACCACGTCCTGCGCATCAATAAGACTCCCCCTAGACTCTGCAAGCCGGAGTTCCTCCTCGTCCTCGGCGGGGTCGTAGTGCGGGGCGTAGGGGGTCTTTGGCTCGTCGATCTTCATTTTCGCAGTGCGCTCCTGCTCGGTCAGGTACAGGTTTGCTTCATCCCACTGCAGACGAGGCTGGTTGTCGTCGTGTTGGCTTGCGAGAGATTGGCGGCGCGAAGACGAGCCTGGGTTTGCGGCGGATGACGAACGACGTCGTCCCGCGTTTACCAGGGTGTTTTGGAGAGTGAGCTCCTTGGTGTCTTCGGGTTCGGCGATGGATGGAATGGCGGGTGGTACTGCAGCTGGGGCAGGGACGGGAGCAGACTGGAAGGACTTGCTGTTCTTCAGGATACCTGGATCGCGAAACAAGTGCGGCTTAGTTAGCTAATCTCCGGGTGTGCGAGGTTTCGAGATTTCGAGCACCCAGGGGTAAGTCTTAGCTGGAGCTGTATTCAAGTAGAAATACTCACCTTTAGGCCGTGGGTGCACATCATCAGTGCTGTGTGCCTTAGCCGGCAAATGCGGTGCGGTCGTCATCGTGGATGGTTAGTGAAAAGAGGACGAAGATACCGTCCGATTTTCAAGTGGGCGTAGACACGAAATTGTTTGGAGGGGTTAATGTTGACCAGGTGGGCTGACGAGTCGGCTTTGTCAGACGAGGCTTAGCTGCTCAGCTGGGACAAGTTGGAGGGCACTGAGCAAAAGGTCAGGGCTGGGTGGAGGAATGAGAGGGAAGTGAGGCATATATCAGCCGCGAATATGGAGTCAGCTGCAAGGTTGAATGTGCAAAGGTGAGGCACGTGGGGCCTAATGACGTTGGGCTTGGCGCCTGACGTCTTCGGCAGAAACGGGCATCTCATGGGTTGTAGTCTATCCCACGGGAATCGCCCGCGAATTTCCACGGTTAGGCCGTTGGGCATTAAAGTGAGATCCACCAGCGACAGAGTATTTTGTCTGAAGGAATGATCTGGCGGTGTTTGGAAGTGATAGCCACTTTGAAACCTGATGATATATTTAGGTAGGCTTCAAGAGCAACAACTAAATATACCCGCACTTAGACACACACGTGAATGTTTCAGATTTAATAATATTTCCTGTTTAATATATCTCATTCCACAACTCTCTCAACATCGAAGGGTTCGCTTGATAAAGCAATGGTAAAAATGATAGGCCTCTTCCAGTCTTTCAATGCGAGAAGATGAAACAAAAAATAGTAACGCCATGGTACTCCCACACCCTACAACAGCCCCAGAACCAACAAAGAGGATGGCGTCCCAAAAGATGATTCTCCTCTAACACCAGATCAATCGCCCAAGAAAGGGGGTATCTGTATATGCAAATAAAAATCCAAGGCCTGCCTCGTAATAGCCACGAAAAGAAAAGAAAAGAACAGAAAAGAAAATAGGTCAAGAAAAAGTGAAAGAACCGTAGTACTTAAAAGCGGCGAATCAAGAAACGAATGAATCAGAAAATAAAGATAAAAACTCTCATGCAATGGAATCAAACTCCTCACGCTCACGGAGACGATTGCGTGCAAGCAGATCGCCTCCGTTGGCTGAAAGCTGCATCCAGTGAAGTGCCAGACACATACTCTGTGGATCAGACTTGGAGTCCTTTCCACGGCGGTACATCATCTCAGCCTTGAAAGTATCGCGCGGCCGAGTAAGTGGCAGTGTAACACGCTGGAGACGTTCAGGATGTGTAAGATAGAGAATGGCCAACTCGCGCTGTGCAACCGGATTGCCCTCTTTAGCGGTGATGATCCACATCGCCGCTGCATCTTCAATGGCATGGCCGGCAGGGCTGGGTCGCGGGTAGAAGTCGGCCCCTGCATGTCGTCGCATGAGCTCTTGAGAGACAATACGGTCTGCAATCTCGACCATGCTATGACACACTTCATCCTTGAGACTTAGTGCAGCCAGTCCGAATTGGAGGAAGGCGGTTCCGCGATCGGATTTGTTGAGTTGCTCCCCAGGTACGAAAGCGGAGATGTACTGCAAGTCTCGGAAGAGTGTCTTGGGTTTGACTTCTAGGATCAGATCGCGCAGGGTAGCCACGATTTGGTCTTCCGATGGCGTTGAGTAGTCGGAGCGTCTCGAGCCATAGGTCACCGACTCGGGTGGAGTCATTGCAGGGAATGCAGTGCCTGTCTGAGGCATGGTAGGTGCATGAGCCTCGGAGAAGCTTTGTCGTGTAGCCCGTGACCGAGGGCCATTGGCGCGCCCTCTCTCAGTTTCAGACATGGAACGAGTGGCAGGTCCGGCAGGACTGCCATCATTTGAAGATATCAACGACGCCACTACCAGTGATCTCAGGTCTCTCAACGCGTTCAGCTTGACGAAAGGATTTCCGTGGCGTGAGAAGACCTCAATCAGTCGGTGGAAGACTCCCTTGTATGAGAAAGCAGCATCATCATCGCCCTTTAGCGTTTCTTGTATAACACTCGATGCATCCGTTGACGAGTCTGTTCGCATACGTCCACGGGGATTATCCAGAGACCTGCTCCGTCGACCCCCTGATGAACGACGCTTCTCACGAAGATTCTTTGATCGCTCCTCATAGTCAGAGTAAAATCTCCGAACTGCAGCATGTCTCTGCATTTGGACTTGAATGCGGGGTTGATCGAGATAACTCGTGAACCAGGCATCCGTTTCGCTGCCACAGCTCCATACGGGAGACCCCAAGTCGCTCAAGAGAAGGCTGGTGAGTGTTTGCCGCAGCTCATCCATGAATACGGTCTTCCCATGCGTCTTGCGTTCGGTACGACGAGGCTGACGAGTAGCACCTTCGCTGAACATGGATGGGGGCCGGGAGTAGGCAGTGGAGACACTACCGGCGTACATGGGCTGGCGTTGTCCCGCGGACCAGAAGGTGCTGTAAGTATCACCGGTTGATGTCGAAGCAGCGCGACCAGGTGACCCTCCAATAGAAGAAACATCGATAGAAGGCAGATCACGCGTAGCCCGGTATTTGTCTGGAATCAGGCTCTGGATAGACGACTTGCTACCCAAAAAGGACGGCGGATCCTGAGGTGAGCGTGCGAGTAGATCAGGCACGGGGAGATTGGCACCATGAAGCTGAGAAGAGTGTAACGAATCCTCGCTCGCATTAGTAGAAGGCCGAGGGGTCGTGGGCATTGATAGACCCGGGAAAGCTCGAGAGCCATAGCCCTCGTATCTTGCCCGCTCTCTCTGGAACAATTCACTTGCCCAAAGCACCGGTGTTTCTGCCATCGTTTCACCCACTAGACGGTTGATGCTGGTCCGCACCTCGTAGCAGAACCGATGGATTCGCTCCTCGCCCTTGCAGAAGTTCTCAATCCCGCTGTGGGCCAGCCACTTGCGAGTCAACTCTACCTGTTCATCGGACATTTTCCTAGGTCCACCCTGGCTGCTAGGTGCTTTCATCATGTTCATAACCTGCACCTCCGGCTTTTGGAACAGTGATCCCCCTAACGAACGAGCTCCGGACCGAGACCGTGATTCTTCCGGCATCTCGGTATTGTACGGCCGAGCGGAATAGATCATCTTGAGAGCCATGGTCACATGTCGGGCTTCTTCGTACCTCATAGAATTCTTCACATCGGTCATGTACCACATCTTGGTGCGAACTTTGGAGACGGTAGCCATGAGCGCCTTGACCTGCGTCTGGAGTCGGTGCAGGCTTTGGTCGAGAGACACAAAGTCATTTTCGCATCGCTCAATGACGGCCATCGAGTTTTCCAATGAACGAGTGCAGGATCTGTGCATGGGACCTAGGATCCATGTATCACTTGAGGAGGCCGCCGGGTGTGTCCCCTGGCGTAGCTGCCGGGAGGCATTCCACCAGTAGTGCGCACCAACAAAGTCGGAGTCGTTCTGGGATGAAGCCATTGCCTGGGTAAATTGCTGTTTCAGTGAGATTGACGCCACTTGCATGCTTCTGGGGGAGCGCTTATAATCGTCCACATCATAAACATGACTCTCTTTAACAAGACGGATGATCGCAGTTTGAAGAGCCTCGTGGTTCTCCTCCAGGCCTAGACAGGTGGAATGTGTGTCATCGTCACTATCTATGGCAGAGCCTTTGGATGGTCCGTTCACCTGGTCTGCGAGGAGACTCCACGTGAGACCATGGCCGTCATTGGTAACAGAGAATACTGTCCAGTGCTCCTCAGAGGGGGGCTCTAGTCTGGCTCGTTCACTTGGTTCATCTAGGTCGCTCAGCTCGAAGCGAATTCTTGCAGCAGTCTGTACAATTCCGCTCTCAAGAACGGAGACATGTGAAGAGTCCACGGAGAGGATAGAACCGCTCTGTGATGTCGGCCTAGGGCTCAATTCAGGGTTTGGCCGGAAGAAACCAGGTTCCATGGGTGGCTCGGGACGCAGGTGGTACGATGGGGAAACATTGGTTGACCAGGATGGCATACCAGCGGAAGCTGGCGATGAATGCACCGGAGAGCAGATCTGCGGGAAAAGAGCGTCTAACAATGTGAGAGTATCCGTTGAGGACAGTAGAAGAAAGTTTGACGTGGAGTCGCGGCGGATTGTGTGATCGCGTTGAGTGAATAGTCCAGTTGTCGCAGAATCGGAAGGGACTGTACTCTGGAATCGGGAAAGCATGTTGTCAACGTGTTCTTTGATTGACGGACGAAGAATCGAGAAGTGATGCCTGGAAAATAGTCAGCAAGCTCCAAAGCCCAACCAGGACTATCTCAGTGCACACGCACATGGACCGAAGAACAGCAAATACTTGAGAGTACGCGCGTAGCCCAACCTGACCAAGCAGCTTCTCGCGGGCATCTTTTCGAATATGAAAGTCTAGCAACAAACCGTGTGTCTAAAAGACACAAAAGTTGGTAAATCAGTAAGTTAAATCAGTCAAGAGAACACATACCTCGGGGTATGTCAAAGCGCTGTAGAGGAACTTGGGGAAGAACCACTGTACGAAAAGGTACTCGAGGAAACGACTGCGACTGTCAGGAGATTCCATTTTCCTCAGAACAGCCTTGGCAAATTGCAAGACTGCACGAGGGAATCCGCCATCCGGATCATCCAGGACACGGAAAAGATTATCCACGGCAGAAGCAAAGAACTCCTCAGCAACGTCCGTCCGCAAAGGGTCCCAGGCATCAGGGGCGAAATCCAATCCGGCAGGGCTGGCTATATGCTCCAAAAGAAACGCTCCAGTTTGTAGGATATCCATCAGGTAGAGTTCAAATTTGGGACGGGCTTTCCAATTGCAGCCCGTGGCCCAGGAGGAAAGAATCTGGCCAATGAGAGGATAAAATTTACTGCTACCATGGGACATTAGTTGGGCGCAGACAGTCGACCACACATCCAGACGTAACCTGGCCTCGGGAGACTCGGGATCCAGTGGTGCGGCAAACACGTTACAAAGCAAGATGGTTAATGGATCGGTCCTTTCAAAGGCATACGCATGGTTCTTGAACGAGGCAAATTGGGCCGGGTTTCGATTAAAAGCATATTGGCCGCGGAGCCGGGATGAAGAGGAAGGAAAAGCAGGGTCTCCGGAGTCCAATGTGGTGGCCGGGGAAGTGAATGCGGCCAGTTGAGCAGAGGTAAAGCTGCGAAGACGGTCAACCAAGAACTGCGGGTCAGAGCGAACCAGACGCAAAATCTCCAACAAGTCCGCACGGGATTGAGGGCTGAGTTGGTGAAAGAAGTCAGAAGAACGATCCAGTTCGGATTCTGGGGATAGCTCCCGTTCATCTGGCAGGTAGTCCTGATGCTCATCGAGGAGAGCGCTGGAAACACAGGACTCCTGAAGGTCAAAAAGAGTATGATAGAGGGCAACGAAATTGGCCTTGTCATCATGTTTGAGAGCTTCAACCAGACCTCGTTGGATCGTATTTCCCACCCGGATCATGCGCGCAGAGTTTCCAATGGATACCTTGGTTGCGCGGAGGCGCTTTTCCAGGCGCTTCCTTTGGGCCCGTTTGCGCTGGCTTTGGCGATAGCGCATGGCAAACTCCTCGAACGAAACCTGGGGCACATCTTCTACCTCTGGAGGAGGCGCGCGCATCGCGAAAGCTGTGGTCGGGCGTATAGATTCAGGCCGAGAGGAGTCGGCCATTCTTAACTTGGGACTGGATCGGCCCGAGCCACCCAACTCACCTGGCCCCACGGTTGGATCCGCCTCTGGCACGGGCGAAACTGTTGGCAAGATGGGCGATGCTGGAGGGGAAGGGGGCAGAGGGACTGATGCAGGATCCGCCCGATGCGATGGATCATCACCGGGTGGATCAGTCTGGATAACGGGCATCCGCACGGCTGGGAGGGAAAGGAGAAAGCATATCAGATCAGATTGGGAAGCCAAGTAAGTAGTCAGGCACCGACGGCGGTAACGCGGAGAACGGTGGCGGGTGTTTCTCCACCCCACGCAATCGCCGCCGAAGATGGGAAAAGGGGAGCTGAAATTCGGGGGCAAAAGTGCATAGAATGAAAGTTCAAGATCACTCACTAATTGCTGAAGCCAGCGAGGACGACAAATAGTCCTCTGACTGGTAGTCCAGCATCTCGTTTTGGGTCGCGCCAGCGAGGGGAGTGCACAGTCGCGAGATGCCCCTGGCCGCCGTGGGCGGATCCTTATCGCATGGTTCTATCGCGGGGCAAACAACTGGCCGGGGCTCATGAGAGGGACGAAGCACCCGGTCGGAGGGGAGAGGAGGATGATCGATCGGGTCCAGGATGGATTCTCGCGATGGCGGAGAATAAGAAGTTGAGAAAAAAGAATCCCAGATTCGAGATCGACGATCAAAGGGGAGAATCACAAGAAAGAGAGAGAAGGGGAAAGAGAGAGGGGAGAGGGTATAGAAAGGAAGGGAAAAATCACGCGGTAAAACGGGGATTCTGCTGGGTGCAAGTCGGAACAACAGCACGAAGCGACTCGAAACGGACTGATGCAGGCGATTTGTCTCGGAGAAGACTAAAGTAGGCGGTACCTAGTATAAACTTGGTAAGTTGGGAAAAGCAGCAAGGGGAGATCCAGTGCTTCAGAGGTTAGTACAATAGTAACTCTGTAACGTAAAGCCAGTCAGTCCAGCAACTACAGTCCAGTCCAGCATTCAGTACATTGGCCGCGAGTTCCGAGTACACGGGCACGATGCGCTGGCACTGCATGCAGGAATGAGGTGGACAGACGAGCGGATCACGATGATTCGCCCGCCGCCCTCCTTTGGCCTCTGCGGAGTCAGCGTCTTGTTGGCTGGCTGGTCGGGGCTGGAGCCAATGACAGGCTGCGCGGGTGTGAGGAAGAGGGGGGGGGGGGATTATTGTGTCAACTTGTCAGGAAGAAACTGCAGGCGAGAAAAAAGCATGCTGAAAAGTCTCGTTGCATGCAGGGAGAGAAGCAAGCTGGACAGTGGGGAAGGGAGGGGTGAAGTTGACCAAGGAGGAGACAGAGTACACATAGAAATACAATCTATACGGCTTGCTCCATACGCCTGTTTCTTCCCGTTGCGAATCAGACCAGATAGAGTTGGACAAAGGAGCAAATAAACAATTAAGCAAAAAATGAGCAGAAATAAGCAAAGAGACCGTCGGTAGATATTGGTGTTAAATTATCTTGCCCCTCGGGGATTTTAGAATCAAACGTTTCATGATGCGCGCTTCCATAGTCCATACTATATTGACATGCCCAAGCTATGTACATAATGACCCCCTCTAATGATCATACCAGCCATGACTGCTCATCCTACAATAATGACATCCAAGATGAGTCAACTTCCAGATAATGCAAGTCTCATATCCATGATCCTACACGTCGTGCTGCATCTACATACGACCACGATAGTCAGAGCGGTTCGTATTGTCATCCTCATTGGCTCGAGCCTGGTACAAACTACCGAAGGACACAACATGTACCTAGACCCGCCAGCGATGCAATACGATACATAAAATGATACTGCATATCGGAGAGATCCCATTCCAAACTGCACCAAACTCACTTTCACCGAAAACGAGAACCAGCAGGTCCAATAGAATGATAATGCTAAAGTATTCTCATCAATAATCCTCACAAATGCCGATTCCTTTCTTGAATCCAACAGAAAACGCCTATCATAATGCATGTAGTATCTACTCTCCATAAACCAAACAAAGTACTAGGTCAAGAGAAGAGTGTTGAGCCGAGGTAATGGGTGGTCAGCGCCATACCCATTTCTTTTCGCTTTCCTTCTGACCAACGCGCACAGCGTACTGGTCCAGGGTCGCCTTGAGCGTATCCTTGGGCACCTTAGGAAACCTAAATGTAACGTCAGCAAAAGCACAGATACGAGGGATTTGAGGCGACCACAACATACTTCTTCTTCAGAATTTCCACAGTCCCAATCTTGCTCAAGTCACTAGCTTCGACCGCCTGTCTAAACTCACTCAGCTGTTCTGGCGGGAAAGGCCGTTTGGCCTTGCCAGTCGCAGGCGGTTTTGCAGGAGCAACAGCAAGCGCGCCCGACGGAGTGGTGACTCGAAAGACGTCCAGAGTATTCGTGTTAGCAGGAGCAATCCGTGTCTGCGTGGGCGCTGGTTCGGCGGGCTTTGGCTTGGGCTTCTCCCAGTAAGCTGTCGAAAAGGGATCAATCGGGAATTTGACTCCGTCGGAGATGGTCTCGGCTTGATATGCCTTCATATCATCATCAACGCCATCTGCAGCCCAGCGAAGGCCACTTGACACTGGTTCGAGATCACCAACAATGAGCCGACGCTTCCCGCCCAGAAGAGCATCGTCATCGTCATCTAAGAAGCCATCCATGTCATCGTCGCCGTCATCACTCCCTTCCTCATCCTCTTCCGAGTCCAAATCCTCACCCTCCTCAGGCTCCTCCCACTCGGCCTCAGAATCATAATCGTAGTTCACTTCAGGGAGGCCACGGTGCCAAGGATTTCTTGCAAGCCTTCGTGCAGATAACTCGGGCACCGGGCGTGTAAATGTGCCCTGGTACGGAGGACGTACGTCCTCACTGAACCTGAGGGTTTTCATGGGAATCTGGCGGAGGATATCACGGGCATCCTCAGCAGCTTTAATTTGGTCCTTACTATCAAGTTCCATCAGGGAGTCGTCACTGCTGTTCTGGATTCGCAGAAGTATCTCCTTGACGGACTGCCTAGGTCGGCCGCAGCGTCGATGGAACGGGATCAAGTGAAAGATTTCCGAGGGTCGGAACGGTAAGTCTGGATGGGAGGTCGTCTGGGTGGCATTCAAAGTGGCATCCAGCTTTTGACGAACGTGGGTGAGAGCCTCTGGATCACGCTCAAACCGATGGGAGGGTGCGAGCTGAGTGTGAGACTGGAGAAAAAATTCTGGGAACGTCCTTTCGTAGTCAGACTTGTTTGACTTGGGTGAATTTGTGAGGGGAAGCTCCGAGGTGGTTGGCGTTGGCTTTTTCGGAGAAGTGAAGGTGCTTGGTGCCGGTCCAGTGGACTTGGAAGGCAATGAGGGTTTTACGAAGAAAGAGTTGAGTTTGAGTTGAGCCTGGAGAGTCAAGTTAGTGAAGATGTCGCAGAAGTATGAAGACCTTCAGCAGGACATACTCTTTCCTTTTTGAGCTTTTCTTCCTCCTTGCGCTTTTTCTCCTCTTCCTTCGCAGCCTCTTTGGCGGCTTTTTCCTCATCCTTGGCCTTCCTCTTTTCTTCACGCTCCGCCTCTCGCTTCTTCTTTTCCTCCTCCTTCAAACGCTTCTCTTCTTCACGCTCCTCGTCCCGCTTCTTCTTTTCTTCGGCCTTAATGCGTTTCTCTTCCTCCTTCTTTGCCTTTTCTTCTAGCTTTTGCCGTTCCCGAGCTTCCTTTTCCTGCTGCTTGGCATCTTGACTGGCCGGCGAAAGCTTTCGCTTTTTACCAGCGGGTGTAGATGCCGATTCGGATTTCTTTGGTGATGATGAAGTTGGCGGTGGGAGTGGCTCATCTGAAGAGGACACACAGCAAGGGGTGGTCTCTTTGGAACCCGACATGAGGATCAAGTCACTGGCTCTTACAGTAATCTCGACAGATGGTGGAGCGGGTAGTGCGAGGGGTCGTTCGAGTGGTGTTAATGAGTTCTCCTTCGAGGGAATTGGCAGCGCAGGGTCACGATTTTCTTGATTCTCTGTAGTGTAATCGATAAGAGGCCGCTGGTGACCCGGATTTGAAGAGGTGGTATCTTCGGTATCTTGTATTGAGCGCTTTCTTGACGCTGATGACGGAGATGCCGGGAAAGAGGGTTGTTGAGGTAGGGGTGACAAACTCATTCTCGAGTCCATCGGTGACGAGGTAATCGGTTGTCGTTTTGGGTGCGGCGACACGAGACCAGCAACATATATTTATTCCGAATCCGACCAGCTGACATGAATTTGGATAACCGTGTAAATAGAGACAGAGTGACCATATAAGTGAATGAGATTTTCTCTGTCAATGCCCGCAATTATTGGAGGGTCTTGATCGGCTGGCTTGGAAGGGGAGAACTGTGGGCTGGCAGGGACGCGTTAATGGGGTTTCGCGCAACGCGTCCGATAAGGCACGTGTTTTATTATGTAATATCACCACTTCTGGGCATGAGGACTGCTTTCGACAAGAGCAGGTTTCATAGGGTTATTTATGAGGACAAATTCGAAAGAGGGTTTTTAAGCAATGCGCTAAAGTCAACGAAGATACCAACTTGAAGCAGATGATAGGAATACAAGGAGCATAGAAAACAATTACTATAAAATACTGGAGAACAAACAGATTATTCGCATAATCTTACAATTAGTATGTTTGTTCAGATTGAAAACTATACGGACAAAATAAAGCCAGGACAAGCCCGGATGCAGGAGTAGAAAAAAGTGCACACAGGAGCCAAAATCCTACTCAGAGGATGCCTCAGCCTTGCAGCCAGAAGATCAAAAGGAAAATGGGAGAGACAGAGCTAGCAAGAAAACATAAAAGAAAGAGCAGGGGATATTGACAACAACTGTGGCACAAAAAGCAGTCATCAAGACTGTCAAGCGCGACACCAAGCACGGAGATTCAGTAGGCGAGGTATTATGTGCAGCGGTGTAAGCGATCATAAGAAAAGCGAACCACGAAGAGAGATTATGAAAAAAAGCAGGCAGATAATAAAGGAGGTAAGAGAACAGGCGCTGCGTGAATAGGAAGAGATAGAAGGGGAGATTGATTTCCCGAGAATAGACCATTTTTAATCGCTCAGGTCTGGGTTTGCGACGAATAACCGCACATTGGTCATTGATGTAGTGCGATCATCAACACTGCCTCGTCGCCGTAGGTCATCTGCCTTTTTGGCTTTTTGGGCAGCCGTCACGACTGCACTTGGAGCTTCCATGTCTGGTACAAAGTCTTCTTGCTCGCTACTATTTGTCGTGTGTGTTGTAGCGGCATCGTCCTTGACCAATGATGACAGTCGGCTCTTCTCTTCTGCATGTTTCTCGGCGGGTGTGTTCTCAGAGACACCAGGGAGATCAGACTTCTCATTCGGAGGTGTGCTGTTGCTTCCCATGGTCTGCTGGCGCTGATAACCACTAGGGTATCGGTTGCTTCCACGGTTGCTTCCGAGAGAACTGCGGCCACTGCCAGTCCTCCGGTGCATGCCTCGCTCCTCGTTGCTGCGGGCATCATCATCCTCCTCACCGATTTCGTTGGCACTTAGACGAACCGGCACCTTAGCACCAACCAGGTTCGACGGGGAGAAGTCCATGCCAGCCTTGGTTCCGTGTCGAATCTTGCCACTTGCGATGGTTGATGAGCGCCCGGCGCCATGAACCTCGAGGTAAGCTCTCTTCTTATCCCGCAGAGCCTGTTCCCGCATTCGGGCGTCCTCGGGCTGTGCTCGATCGCACCACACGGTCGCCTTTTGTCGGCGCATGAGGGCGACATATCCAAGTTGCGAGCTGGCTGAGCGGTTGGAAGCGCTCCGTCGGATATCGGGTCCACCTTGGGGCATGTTGCCGGTCGAGTTGGTCGAAGTAGTTGTGCTGGACATGCGGCGGGACGAAGGGTACCCGATAGGAGGGGCCATTGTATGCGGCGAGACGGCAGGGCCAGGGATACCTTGGTATTGCTGTTGGGAATTCGAGGCGTAGGCGGGGAGCACGTGGGATGAAGTAGTGCGAGTGCGGCTGTGGGTGGTTTGTGGGTAGGCGGAGTGAGGCGCGAGGTTGCGCGGGGCATCATAGGCCTGGTAAGGGTAACCGGCTTGTTGGCTGGGCATTGGTTTCCGAGCAGGAGGACCCTGATGGATGGGCATACGGAATTCGGTGGTCATGTTGGGCGGCGGCTGGCCAGCCTTGCAATACCTCGCTTACGACCGGCGTGGCGGGGGAGTGATAGAGTGGCTGCTCGACTCGCGGCAGATGATTCGGTTGGAAGCTCACAGAGGGGAGAGAGCTTTGCGTCCGGTATAAGTTGTAGGTCACTATGAGGCAAGAAGGCGTGCTCTGCGAATGCGATGCGCGTCTGACGGGTAAAGAGATCGGCGGTTTCAGCGCCTACCACAGGGCGCAGGCACGGGTCCGCGATGGGGTCTTTGAAGTGGGAGGTTGATGATTTGAGGAAGAGGCGTTCCAAAGTGGCTCTTCGCGCCCGTCAATGGAAAGCTGGTCCGATGCTTTGGGAATCCGGTTTAGTTTGAAGGGGGGTTATCGAAACCGAATCGCTTGGAAGAGGTAGAATGTGGGTGCCCGTTTCAAGGCGCACAATCAGTCCGTCTGAGAAATGCAATTGATCGAAGGTGTATGCCGAGCAAGAAGAAACTCGTCCGAGGCGAGCAAAAGAGGAGGGCGCACGTTGAGGGGAGGGAGATGAAGTAAGAGGAGTAGGGGAGGGGGAGCAACAAGAAAGCGTCAGAGGAGTTAAAGCGACTAGAGAGGCTAAGAGACTAAGAGACTAGGAGACTTAAGAGACTTTGGCGGTTCGCCCAACGGCGAAGATGATTGGGTGCGGCGGAAGCGGACGGACACTTGAAAAGTACTCGTCCACCAACTTTTGCAAGGTGGAGTACCTTTTTGGTGTCCACGCCCACTTTTTCCACGGCCTAAACCCGAGGATTACCAGATTACCAGGGACTAACCAAGGACTACAGGTAACTAACTCGGGGCTAACGAGATTCAAGCCAGTCGATTTCCTTGAATTTGTCCCCCGAACTCCTCAGCCACACGGGATGGGCTACTATTACGCAGTATTACCAATACCCCTACCATTGCATTAACTACAGTACACTGCATTTACCTCAGCCAGCCATTCAGGCACTTAAACATTGCAACGTTGCAGTTAATCCCACCACTCCCTCCAGCCATGATTCCATGGCCCTCGATGAGACTGCTACTGTGGCTGAGATCTGTTTAACTAATGATAGCCAATCTATGATCAATCATCAGCCTCGTTCAAAAGGCTGAGACATCAGACGATCTCCCTTTCGTCTAAAGAATCCTAGTGCTGACAGACTCGGTACTTTCGGGAGCTTGGATCAATAATTACGGTAGGGCAGGACAGAGTGAGTACGCATAGAAATAATTAGATACAGAAGTTATTTTGTAGTCTTTAACCTACAAATTCGCCGGGCGCCCAATGCGCGAATGCTTAAATGCAACGTGCCCATACTCACGATACCCTTGATTATGCTCACGCAGAATCACCACTCGCTGACGGAAATGGTTCGTGTGGTGATACGCGTCATGCACCTCCACGCTCTCCCATCCCACATACACCACATAACACAACTGCTCCTCCATCGGCTCCACCATCCATCCGCCGGTGACCCCGAGACATCCAGGTACCTTCGGTACGATCGTCGTCCATAGCGCCCATGTCGCTTCCCACCCGGCCGGGTCAGGGGTGAGATAGATGGCCGTGCCCGTGACAGGCGCACCGTTGCCCAGAGCCTTGGGCTGAGGTGTGAACTCGGACATCATCGCATGCCGCACGGTCAACAACGTGGCACTTGAGACGCCTAGCGCCGTCAGACTGTGAGTGAGTTGCTGCCATTCGGGTGAGGCCAGCAGGGCATAATGCTGATGGAGCGAATCGCGGACTAAAACAAGCGAGAGATCGCGAATGGTTATTACTCTATTTCCCGATTCCCTTTTGAAAGAGAGATTTTGCTTTTTCGACCTCGTATTTTTCTTTTCTTTTCTTACGGCCTCGACGGCCTCGTATTCTGGCTTTTCTTCCCAAGATTCTGGGATGATGGGACCCTCTCAACGAGTCAACAATTGTTTTCACTCACCGATATGTAGATGCACCTGTCCAGGCTCTTCCACGTGTCTCCCCCAGTACATGCGGCGGAATCCAGCCCAATTCTCGAACACGTTGAGTACCTTCGACCACACTTCCCCAGCTGGAGTTGAAGGTGTGTCGATCTCGACCTCCTCCGCGATGGGGAAGATGATCATTTGTGTGGGGTCTGCCGCGCGCGCCATGCTGAGTATGTACTTATAATAGGGTGTTTTTGCAGACAAGAGCTGGATTTCGGCCCAAGAAAGGTTATCTGCAATGCTTGCAGGACTTTTAAGCTCTTCATATATACAAGATATATTAGCTAGAGATATAATTTGAAACCACTATTACCGAGGACCGATGCCCGCGGGTCGAAAGCTGGTCGATAATGCGGGGTAGAGGTATAGCCCCCTAACTACCGACGATATTTATGGATGCATAAGCAATGATCTTCCGTTTATATCGGCAAAATTGGGTATGAAATGTTGGAAGTTTTCTTTTATCCTCGATATTACCCTCTAAACTCTTGCAGCTTAATTAGAAAATGGATCATACATGGCACCATACCGCTCAGGCCACCCGTTCCTCTCTATTCTGCAATATCGGGCTATAGGGCTAATCACGCCATAAGAGCCTCACACCGATGGTTTACCACTCGTATCTTTGGAAAGTTTGAATACCTCCAATAACATGCTCAAGAAATTGGACCGCTATGTTGAGGAATCTGCCCGTGACCATAGATCATACACCACCGCCACTTCTTGTCTAAGCCTTGGGAAGTTTTGAAACCCTCTCACCAACAAGTACTGTAAGGCTTGAAAATCACTCGTCTTCACATAACCAGACAATTTGAAGACATACTTCCTGTCTCGGAATTCTCCAGAAGAAGTTGCAGATCCGTAGCTACATGTTTCAGATCAACTGATCCCCGCTTGGGTGAATCACTGATACTGGACCGTAGCTTGGAAATCCGGTTGCGTACATTACGATTCGCAACTTTCTCAGCATGATATACCAACTGCCGATTCACGGAATCGAGTTCGAACCCATAAAACTCATAAATATCATCAGCATCTTCCGTCCCGCTCCCTCGAATCCGGATTTGAACGCGTAGGAGATCTACGAGCGTACGAGCAGCGAGCCACTGATGTGCGTCAAATCCATTCCCTTCTCCTAACCACTCTTGAAAGAGGGATTTAATCTCGCTAGTCTGAAGAAAGTCCCTCGTTGTTCGATGCATGTAGTGTACTCGGGAGTGCAGCGAGTAGATCTGCTTGTTTGAAAAGGACCAGGACCCTTCTGGTCGCATGAGATCTGGATCATCTTGTTCGTGTTGAGCCTGATCAATGCCAGCGATACGGATTTCTAAAAGCCCCGCACATTGACTCATGAGTCGTAGATGCACTTGGTAACAACGGGCGAGTTTGATGTTATCGGTGAGTTTTTCCATTGGGTTGGTGACTACTTCACCGGAATGCCAGAGTGTGAGGGCTAATGGCGGTTCGGTAGATGCGTGGACTATAGCGAAGATCCGGGCAGAGCGAATTCGGTATCTCTGTGGAACTCGAAGCAACATGTGTCGGTATAGACGTTCAAGGTCTGCAGGAAGTTCATCGAGATGAGCTTGGAGATCTGAAAGTTGATCGCCGTTTTGAGTGCCTCGGATGATAGCTTTGACCACGAGACGAACCCAGAGGAACACGCCGTCTGATTTGCGCACGATACCAAGACCAAAGTCATGCATGCGTGTTGGATGGGCTTGGAGGAAACTCTGAAATATGTCTGATCGGTTGAAAGAATCGAAGACGAATAGTTGGATATCGCTGTAGGTGAGGTTCTGGAGTAGTAACGTCGGGTAGCGACTATTGCCAAAATGTCTTTCAAAAATGGTCCAGGGCCGAGATGAGACGCATATCTTGACTTTAGGATTGGTGCTGCTCTTCAAAACTTCGATCAATTGCTCTAATTCGTCTTCCGTTGCTTCATATTCATCGAGGCCGTCGATCATTAGGAAGAATTTGACTGGGAGCTCTTTCTGGGAGAGGACAGTTCCCAAAGCACGGAGAAGACGAGAAACATCCCAGTCTAAGGTCACTCGGCGAAGAGTGTCGGCGATAAACTTGCGAGTAGGAGTCGGAGGTGATCTCGATTTCTCTGGACTTCTCTCCCTCTCGATTGCATCCTGCATGATCACTTCATTTAGAGTCGAACGAATCAATTCTCGTTCCTCCACGAAGACGAGATTGACAAGATCCTTGCACTCCTTGAGGAGCTGATAAAGAATCGTCCGAAGGAGGCCAGCCTGTGATCTCTGATTTTGTGACCCTCCCGACCAAAAGAAGAACCCGGCTATGGCCCATTGACAAGAACTATCACTGGCAGACAAGGTCCTCCGCAGCACACGACTCTCAAGGATGTACTTCATCAAGGTCGATTTTCCTGATCCCGCCTTGCCATTTATCCAGTAAATTCCCCCATATGTGCTCATCCAATCTACAAAACCTGGACCAGGCTTTGTGAAGATCCAATCAAAAGTACTCTTGTGGGCATCAATTAGGCTTTGATGTGCTTTGGAGATTCTGGAATACCGTTCGTCCATCAACTCAAACCGTAGAGTCTCCAATAGACAGGTCTCGATCAACAGGCTCATGGTAGCATCGCCCCGAACAGATGGGGGTTGTCGGATTTTATTGAGTGCCTGCTTCTCGATACGCTGTGCCGGGATTGTCAGAAGCAACTCTTTGGCATAAGCAGCTGCAGCTACTGCTGCGTATCCGTGCCAACCATCATTCTTATGCGAATCAGCATAATCTGAAATTCCTCGGATGACGAGACAGGCAAATGTATTCATCAACCCGGCCGCCTCCATCTCGAAGCAAATAATGCTGTGCTCGTGCGCGAGGCGATCGCGAGTGCGGCCGTGTTTGATGACTTGGTTACCAGAAGCAATATTTCCGTAGAATACTTTAGGTTGACGATGGAATCGGGCTGGTCTCCTTTTTACCTTGCTCAAATCACAGCCACATTCACTACATGTCTGGCCGAGGGTGACATGTTCATATTCAGATTCAAACAAACGGTCAAACTCTGCGCCAGGGGGAGAGAAGTCTGGAATTTTGTGCGGGTATTTCCTTGCCGCCTCATTGATATAATGAGATATTTTGTTTCCTTGAAGATCATGAGTTGATTGAAGGCGTTGCACAGCGCCGAGTAATTTCGGAGCTGGCTTGTTGACAGTACCAGTCGTGCAAAACTTGCCCTCTTTGATCGTCTTCCCAAAGTCATATTGCACTACTCCTCCATATCCATCGCTGGGGACACTGACGACGACATCACCTAGGTGGATGTCATTCTGCTCGTCCGGCACTCCTCCACCAATACCAATCATGAAGCTTAAGCTGATAGAAGGGAACGTTCGAGCAATGTCCTTGGCGACGTTTGCCGCGGAAGTTGTGCCGGGTACTCCCTTTGGTAAACAAGCAAGGACAACATTATGGGAGCCTACCCGCCCGTAGATATACGCGTTGTCATCCTGAGCTGGGATTGACGTTCCTGCATGCTCTTCATCTAGCATGGCTCTTGCAGCACTGAGCTCGGTGGATAGAGCGCATATCCACGCGACGGTGTAGTCGCGCAACTGTAACCGGTCCATGATCTTCCCGTGACTTCTGCTGGAACGATATTGGGCCTGGAGAGAAAGATCATGATAGGAAAGACCAATATCTTGATTTTGGTGATAATGACAAACGCCTAGAGCATGTCTACGAAACAATGTCTGTATGTCGGCATTAACGCTACACAGGTAATCAGCGTGGGTGAGAGCGGGGTTCTTAATGAGGCTGAAGTGGCTGTCGCAGGGGTCCACTAACGTTATGCGTGATAACACAATTATGTAGTCAGCGAGTTGGGTACATACGTGTGAATAGTGCCATAGGTATGCTGGACGAGGACCCATGTTGTCTCCCTCTGTATATAAGGTTGTTATTTAACAAGCTAAAGTCAAGTATACTGCTCTTCATCTATTGCAATCAACTTCCACGGACGCAGAATTGAATAATAACCAGAGTTTAAACCTCTAGGCGACTCTCCTAATATTGAATATCCTTCCACCAGACTTAAAAATCAATCGACTATCATTCCTCTTCAAGCACCTAAATAGGAATATCTAAATGCTTCAACTGCTCGGTCGCATCACTCTTGTCCTATGGTACGACGCGAAATCTAATGTAGGGCCGAGACACGTAATTTTACAAAACGAAACAATACAATTCTTACCTGCTGCGCCACAGCAACGCACGTGGGGAGGTGGTACTCGGACTTCACAGTGGAGATCCGGATGTGGAAATTTGTTAGTCGTGACGTCAACATGTTCCAGCGCCGATTTTCGTGGTAACTGAGATGGGAATTTGTGGCTGATGACGCACCTCAATATAGGATCAGGTACGGTGGTATACAGCGTTTAGAGTACGGAAAAGACTGCCGCAGGACGGAAAGGGAAAGTCGTTAAAAGACACAGGTTATTTACCGCAACCATAAGGCTACGTGAGCACTACGCATAGATGTATGTATGTACAGCGGTGGGTGGGGACAGCCCCGTCGAAAAAAGATCGGAGATCTCCTATCCCTGTCAAGTTATGTAAAACATACCATGGGCACAATGAATCAACATTCCAGCCCACTGAGCATGTTTCACAGCTTCGCCCTTCCATCCACGGATACCAACGCACCATCTTTCCGCACCTGGAAATCCTTATTAGGCTCCCATCCCATCCACGACCTCAACGTCTCCACCCCTCCCTCACCAGGCTCAAGTCCCCCGCCAGTCCACCCGCCTTCATCAGCCTTGATGGGATAGCCCGGCGTGCGGGATAAGTGGACAGCGGGACGTTGCTCGTACCCCGCCGACTCCAGCTCGCAATGCTCCAGGACAGGTGTGGCGCAGGCATCAGTGCCGTCGAAAACGGCCTCCCACTCGGCGCGCGTCTTTTCCTTGAAGCGACGAGTGAAAATGTTGCGGAGTGCGGGCCAGTTGTCGCGGTCTTCGCGTGCTGGCATCTTCTTGGGGTCGAGTTCTAGTCCACGCAGCAGGGCTGCGTAGAATTGCGGTTCGAGTGCGCCGACGGCAAAGTATTTCCCGGCATCTTTAGTCTCGTAGGTATCGTAGTAAGGACAGCCACTGTCTAATAAGTTTTCGCCGCGTGGTTCACCCCATGACGGGTTTTTAGTAGCGAGTCGAGGGAATGTTGCGAGATAGGCGGATCCATCGACCATGTTAGCTTCCACGACTTGTCCGCGGCCAGTGCTGGTACGAGCAATCAGAGCGAGAATAATGCCTAGAAAACAAATCGCACCACCTCCGGCAAAATCACCGAGAATGTTGCCCGGTGCATAGGGTTTATCGCCTGCCCGGCCAAGCATGGAGAGGACGCCCGATACGGCAATGTAATTGATATCGTGACCGGCCATATCCTTATATTTCCCATCGCGCCGGAACCCCGTCATACGCGCCACAATTAGGCGCGGGTTATGCTTGAGAAGAACCTCTGTTGGCGAGAGACCAAGACGCTCGAGGACACCCGGCCGGAAGGGGTCGATAAGGACATCGGTGGCGGTCAGAATGCGGAGAAGAATTTCTCGTGATTTCGTCTCGCGCAGGTCGAGCGTTATAGAGGTCTTGCGACGAGTGAGTTGATCTCCACTGACTGCGGATGGCCGGTCGATTCGAAGGACTGATGCGCCATAGTCGGCGAGAAGGAGACCGGCGAAGGGGCCTGTGGGGATACATGGTTAATTTTGAGAGCTCGGGTGTACGGATGACTAGAAACTGTATTTACCTGGAGCTAGACCGGCCAGCTCTACGACCCGAATGCCATTTAAAGGAGGTGGAGCAGCCATGTTACAAGGACGAGGGTAGGGAAGGTGTGTTTACTTCAATCCATTGCCTGAGATGGGATGAAGGTTAATTATGGAGATCAGATTGGGGTCTCCGCAGCCGAGGTCCGTGGCTGGTCATTGCCGCGGGCGGCGTGCGGGGAACTGCCATGTGTGGAGTGTACACAACTCAATGCTGTATAACTCGATGTTTTAGTGATGATAAAAGGTTAAATGAATTTGTGCGAGCATAATGCAATCGTTGTTACAAAAATTCCAGGTAGACCATTGAATGTTGCATAGAATGACTACGGCAAGCTAGATATCGCTCTCCATAACACACCGATAATCACATCCATACTGCGTGGATAAGACAATTATCAAACATTGCTTTCACACTCGCTGACCCTGACCCTAGCCATCTATCTTGATGCTGTTATTTTCTATTGTTGATTCATTCACCCATCCAGTACTCTTCAATAGGAAATACAGTGTTGATTGGCTCAAAGGGAGTATAAAATCTAAGATTGATAGCTTGCACGCTTTTCATAAATGACCAGAGTTTCTCCGTATAATGATCAAAATAATAGGCCATGTGGAATAAAATCACTCTGCCGAATTCAAAGAAAAATGAGACTAGGCTAGAGATCAGGGTAGTCGAAGTGAAATATAATCACAAATTAACATCATAAAAAACATGGACAGAACAGTGACAAGGTCAATTGTCAGGGGTTGAAAAAGATACAGGACGCGCCAAAACGTCAGACTGCTATCTGATTCAGATTAGGAAAACGCAGGACGCTAGGACGGTCATGAAGATGGCGATGAAGTTGGTCACTCCCGACCGAGAGGCTGCACCGGTGTAAACCGGAGAGACACCCTCTTGAGTGCCGCTGGGAGAGGACTGGACATGGGAAGCGGTACCAGTGGGGTGGGCAGCGAAAGTCGGGGTCCAGTTGGGCTGGTAAGGAGTGCTAGACGCCTTTCCAACGGACTTAGAGTGGCCGACAACGACGAGAGTGGCGGTACTGGTGCTGGTAGGCTTGGGGGAGTCAGAGCCTTCACCTTGTCCCGAAGCACCCGTGGGGGTAGCAGAGGGAGTATAAGGAATGGTGACGGTCGAGCCGTTAGGACCGCAGCGCGGGCAGTAAGTCACAGTGGTAGTCCAGGTCTCAGTCCAAGTCTCGCCACCAGCGGGGCTGGAAGGCTCGGGGGTAGCCTGCGCCGTGGTGGTGGCAATGGGCTTGGTGAGAGTGACAGTGGTCGGGGTGGCAGCACAGTGAGTGCAAACGGTCACGGTGGTGGTCCAGCCCTCGGGGATAGAAGGAGTGGTGGTGGCCACACCGGAAGGAGGACCAGTCACGCTGGCAGTGCCAGTGGCAGAGGCTTCGGGGCACACAGTGGTCGTGATGGTTGTCGTGATGGTGGTGAAACCAGTGGGACAGATATCAGTGTACGAGGTGACAATGATCGTCGTGGTGACATCAGGCTGCGTGGTAGACGAGGGAGCAGGTGTGACCGAAGGCGTAGGAGTGATGATATAAGTGATGGTAGGGAGTTCAGTTCCAGTAGCTCCAGGGGTGCTGGTAGTCTGGGAGCTACCAGTGGCACCAACACTGGGAGTGCTCGACTGATCAACAGATTGGGTGCTGGTAGTGGCTGACACAGTCTCGGACACAGAAACGGGGCTGGAGGAAGCAACAGGGGACGAAGAAGCGGAGCTCGAGATGGGGACACGCGACGGGCTGGACACAGGAGACTGGGTGACCGGCGTATGAGTAGGTCCGACAGGAGCAGACGAGGAGCTTGAGACGATGCTGGTGCTACCGACACTCTGCGAGGAGGAGGTCTCAGTTGGTACAGTCGAGCTCGAGGCCGGGGCAATTCCAGAGGGAACGGAGCTGGAAGCTGGCTGGCTTGAGGCGGGGACGTTGGAAGGAGCCAGAGGAGTGTTAGAAGCAGTCAAAGACTGAGTAGGGATCAGGGGAGTGCTTGAAGTCTGGGAGACCGGTCCACTAGGAGAGACAAGAGGGACACTGGAAGTAGCAGCTGGCTGGCTGGAGGCGGGGGAGCTGGAGCTTCCAACGACAACAGAGGAAGAGGATTGGGTAGGAGCCACGGGGGTGCTAGATGGCTTCGACGGAGTTCCGCTAGGAGTGTTGACAGGTGCAGAGGAGGATGGAATGTCAGAGCTGCACGGGGTAGATGAGGGCGAGACGACCGGAGTGCTGGAGCTAGAAGTGTGCACTGGAGTGGAAGAAGCAACCTGGGAGCTAGACGGCACACTGGAGCTGGTAGGAATGACAGAAGAGGAAGCCTGAGAGCTGGTCACAGGGCTAGAAGCAGGGCTAGAAGCAGGGCTAGAAGCAGGGCTAGAAGCAGGGCTAGAAGCAGGGCTAGAAGCAGGGCTAGAAGCAGGGCTAGAAGCAGGGCGGGAAGACGCAGGCTTGGAGCTGGATGGGACCGCGGGAGTAGTGGGTGCAATTGGGCTGGACGACGAGGGAGTAGTCGACTGGGAAGCAACGGGGGAGCTTGAGGACACATGGACCGAGCTTGAAGCCGCAGGGGTACTGGTCGGGATGACAACAGTGGAAGAGGCGGGGGACGAAGCCGGAGACGAAGCCGGGGACGAAGCCGGAGACGAAGCCGGGGACGAAGCCGGGGACGAAGCTGGGGACGAAGCTGGGGACGAAGCCGGGGACGAAGCCGGAGACGAAGCTGGGGAGCTCGAGAAGACAGGCGAGCTGGAAGGAGTATGGACAGGAGTAGAAATAGGCTTGGAAGTCGGGGTCACAGTTTGAGTGGTCGAGGTGGTGGTAACAGGGGGAGGAGGAGAGCAGCTGTAGAGAATCTCCTTCATCGACTCGGCATAGGTGAGGCCATCGGGGGAGAGGTTATTCTCGGAATAAGTAGCCTCCCACAGCATGATACCACCAAAGTGCTTAGGGTACAGCTCCATGTATGTCTCAACCAGAGGAGCCACCTCCGTGGGGGTCAAATAGTAGCCCGCATTAGCAGCAGCCTCAGCAGCAGGAAGACCAATGAACAGCTTGGCCTTAGGGTTGCTACTGGCCTTGATGACATCGACCCAGTTGCCAAAGTTGAAGCTGCCAGTGCCCTCGACGAAGTCACGGGCAGAGCATCCAGCGGTGTTGTAAAACTGCACCCAGATGAAATCGAAGAACGAGTTGGAGATGGCATTGCTGAGCTGCGTATCGGGGATCTGGCACTGAGGAGCACCCGAGATGTAGAACGTCTGGTCAGGGTACTCGGAGAAGTGGGATCGCAGACGGTTGATCATGACAGCGTAGACTATTTGAAGAGAGGTTAGGAGTTTTATAAACAAGAAGGATATCAAAGCAAGGAATCAACTTACAAGCGCCGCCATCGTGCTCAATATCAAAGTCGAAACCATCCACAGAGTTGGTCAGGAATGGACGAGGATAGGCGTCGGTGTAGGCCTCATTCTGAGGACCGAACGAGTACCACAAGAAGTCGGCAAACCAGACTGCTTGCAATTCACTGCTCAGATACTCCCAGGCAGTCTCACCACCAATGGACAGCATGATAGTCTTGCCCATCTCCTTACAGACCGGGATATCCTCCCAGATCTGGTGGCAGCCTCTGAGAAGTTCCGAATTAGGGTAGACATTGCCATCACATTGGTTGCCAAAGTTAGAGCCTGGCCAGTCACCGACGGCGTTGGGGAAGATGTTGATGAAGCCAAGGTTGATGATATCCAGAGATGTTTCTTGACAGAAGTGGCTCAGACGTTGTTGATTAGGACCTTGACCCTATAAGCAAGTCAGTAAATCAAGAACTGCATACTGGAAGGCAGATAGATGAAAGAAGGCAGATAGATGAAGATGGAGTGAAAAACGAACCCAGTAGATGGCGAGATTAGTCTTCAAATCCACATCCAACGCAGCAGAAGGAACGACAATGGATGACAGGGCCGCAATAGCGGCAATAGTCCTCCGGAAAGCCATTATGTAGGCAAAGTAAGTAATGAATGACACTGGCTGTAGTAAGTAGCCAAGGGTTAAAGAGTGGCAAGGCAAGTATCGGCCTCGTTCGTGTTCAACGAAAGGACGCAGACGATAGTCTGCTTGGGGGCACCGTCACTCAAGGAAAGAGAGTGGAAGAATATTCAAAGCCGAGATCAAAAGAAGAGAAAAAGACCGGCGGGCTCCTATTAAAAAGGATACATAATCATCTTACACTACGGTACGTACGGCATCTGGGTGGAGGCTATGCCCTCCTAAGATGAGCATACCAGTTTCTAGGGTGCGCTAATCTAGTCAACCTCCGACTCGCCGACATTGTAGGGGGTTCCGTCTTTCATATTTCATCACCGGAAGTGGGAAGTACCTGCTTTCTCCACGTCTTAGCACGACTTAGCAGGTTAGCACGAATTTCCCATTCCAGGGACCAACTCCACTTGCCTCAATCCCGACGAATAGCCGTCAGGTCTACTCAAGACTAGACTTGACCGGATTGGACCCGAGAGTGCGAGAGGGCGCTACCGGAGATAAAAGGTCGGAGTACAGCACATCAACAGACGAATCTAAGGACCGGAGGCGCACGCCTCCAACCCATTTCAGCCGCCTAAGAGGCCCGGATAAAAGGGCCAGCTGCAAGCCGTCAAGGAAGTGTGCTGTGTGTAAGCCATTTTGTGCCACCACTGACTTAGGATAAGTCCGGAGGGTGACTGAGTGGCGTGGAGGGGGAGTTACGACACGTCCAGTAATCCAGATTGGAACAGGTTCAAGCGCCCGTGGCATAGGGTAATCTTAAGAGCCGCATGGAAGGAGACTAATCCGGCCCTAAATTGGGATAGTCTCGAATTTTGATTGTCCGGGCACCAGATGCGGCTTGGGCCGAAGTGGAACGAGCGAACGATAGGAGATCAAGACGGAGCTAAATAGGTATGTTCGGGCATGGCCGGTTTTTCATTGGATGGGGTGTTTGAGCTAATCACCGCTAAGCGTGATAGTCCCTGGAAAATCGTTTGGTTGTACCATAGATGGATGTCCGAGGTCTCAGAGATAAAGACCGGAGTGGCCGGACACTTGGTTCTGAATGGATATTTTGCTGAACAGAAGAAAGTATGGTGTCGCGAGAATTGCTGATATCTGAGGTATCAGGAATTGACGATTGATTCAAATCAATCCATCACGCTTAAAAAAAACGCATGGTGATGGCCATGGTAACCTGACGAGTCATGCGAGAAAAAGGAAATTACTTCCATGCACGAGAGTCCGAGCGCCGACTCGTGGGGAGAAACTTGGGCCATTTGGAAATCGAATTGGGCCTCGCTTGGGGCGGAGCCTCGCAGGTACACCAATCACATCCCCTTAGCCGGTGGAGTCGGAACGCCAACCGGATCAGCACGCCGTTTGCCAGCTCGGTTAGCGAGGGGCAGGCTAATTAGCAAGACTTTAGCAAGCACTTATCATGCCTGATCGATCCTACCTTGAGAAGCCCCGAATGCAACACTGAGGATTAGTACAGGACTCATCTCGCCATAGCTTACTCTCTACGTCTGGACGCCATGCTAGTGCCGGTCAATCTCCCTTCCTACAGTAATTTCCAGTCCCGCTAGCGAAATTGGATTTCTCGTTCTGGCCCATGCTAAGAACTCACTAATTTAGGCCAAGAAGATCCAGAATGAAAATCAAGGAGCCCTGGTGGCAGCCTCGATAGCAAAGGTTGCGGATCGTTTTCGGACCCCACGTTCATCTGCCGTTAGGGCTAAGTGGGCAACAAATTTCAAATGATGCCCCTCAATTGGTCCACGGGCCAATTGATTTCCCCTATTCGGCCCATCGAATTGCCTGGCTAGGGATAGCGAGTTGCCTAACTAGGTAGAGTGGGTATGTCTTTCGTCGCAACGACGTCGGGGCGTTATGAAATAGTTTACACTAGAAGACCCTTTAAGTCCCACATAACCAGCCTCCCATCACATCCGTCCACACAGAAGGCAAAAACAAAACTCAATTTCATTATGAGTATTTAATATGAAGTACACGAGTAACTTATGAATATCCAAAAGCTGGACAATAAAAATCGCGCACAAATTCTGGCGGAATTTCCTCGGAGGAGTTGATCAAGGCCATGCATTTAATCTGTCATATCTTCGAGAACAATTATTTCCTCACGCCGACGACGGATAGTGATTATCCCGGAAGTATCGGCATGTAATGCAAATCTTTGTCGCCTAAATTGAGAAACAGACCCTTCCGCAAGTTTAAAAACATATTTGAGAGCACGTGGCATAGGAATATCTTCATCTCGTTCGCTGCAAGGAACCGGCCTGGGCAGGCATGGTTGCCTAGGCCCCATCCCAGATGCTCGGCCGACGGCGTTACGAGTTGAGCATGGGTTCCCTGGCCAGGGGTTTGGCGCTTCTTTAAGAAGCGATATGCATCGAATGTGTTGGCATTCTCGTAAAACTTCTCATCCCACATCCAGTCATTCGGGATCGCAAGTGAAGTGCCCTTTGGCGAATTGAGTCTCGTCGTTCAATTTGACGATTTCTTTGGCAACTCTGCGTAGGGAAACTGTAATTGACCCGTTAGATAAGTACGTAACTGTAAGGAGATCGAGCGAAAGATATGGTCTCACCAATATTGATTGGTTTCATTTGCTGCGACTCTTTGAGGAAACTATCCATCAACTGAAGCTTATAGAGAGCGGTCTTCTTCCATCCTTCTTGAGATATGACCGATATGACTTCCTTTCGTAGCTCTTGAACAAGTTCTTCTCTTCCACAAAGATCGAAGATTGCCTGAGTGGTCATGTCTGATGTTGTACGGATAGCAACGACAGAGAGCGTTAGCTGCACCGTCGCTTGATCGTATGGCCGCCCTTTGGCAGTCTGCTCCATCCACTCCATTGCGTCGTTGTAGTATGGAATGGGCTTTCCCGATCTCAGAGCATCTCTTTCTCTTTTCGTCTCGCTTCTAATACTGGGTTAATGATCTTCTTTCCCTCGTCAAGCTCGCTTTTGATCTTCATGTATGATTCCAGAAAAGGGGCTACAATTGGTCGAAGGAACGGGGGCCACAATCGGATAACTTCTGATGCCACGACAACATCAACGGTATAATTAAACATGACCTTGAGCCGATCTGGATCGCGACGGACTTTGTCACCCAAAAAATACTCTTGACGAGAGCTGGGCGATGATTTTCAGTACGCTCGGCTTCAGGGTAAAATCATGCCACTCTAGATAAGTCGTCAGGCCATTGGAAATATTTCGAAGAGGATGGTAAATTTAAAATGCCATCCTCGTCGGTCCAAACCTTGAGAAGGGCAATGGAAGCCTCATCCGACAGAGGCTTTGTAACGCCGCCTACGAAGAGCTCGTAAGTAACGCCTGATATAGTCTAGATTGCGACGTACCCAGAGCCTGTGTCAATCTCATGTGCACCGCATCTTGGAAAATTTCATTCCCAGAATCGAGTTGAAGAAATGGATCAAAGGCCTTGAGTGAACTGTGAACTTCTTGGACTATCGTTTTGCTGAGACTGAGACCGGGTATTCTGCTAATCTCACTTGCGTAATTTGGTGAGAGAATCGTCTTATAACCATTATCACTGACTATTTGGAAAGGGTTAGACTAGATTTGAGTATATGTGCTAGAGAAACACGGTCATGATAAGGAATTATTTGATTCTAGGCTTTTCTGACTTTGGATAGCCCAGCTTTGATAAGTCCAGCCGCGTTGGATATATATTTGATGACTCGATCCCTTTGACCTCGATAGGGTTTGCAGGGTTTGTCGTCTTCTTTGGCCCTGCATGAAGCAGGCCGGGGTTTTCCTGTCAGGACCAGGCCTTGTTCCTTTTCCTTTGTGCTTCAGGGCCGTATAGACCCTGTTCTGTTCCCTTCTGCTTCTTCTTCTCTTAGTCGTCTTCGTCTTCCTGTTCTAGATAGACCAATTGACTCAGTCTCCCTCTTCTCTCTTCGCTTCCTGTGCCAGCAGTGCCGTGGGCGCTGTCAATATTGTTGCTTGCGCATAGGAGAATATATCACGAGTGACATCCATGCCGAGATTGGGTGAGCATAGGATGAAAGCGATTGCATATAGAAAATGATTAGAAGGACTAGAGTTACCCCTCCAACAAATGGCCAAATATCGCCCTGGACGAATTGATCGTTGTGGCAGTGGGATCGCCGTGCGGTACAATTGAATAATCTAGATGTTTCCAAGGCTGCATGAAAGAGAGAGGAGTCTCTTATATTTCACTTCTCGATGCTCCTATAGAGCTCTTTAGATTTTAATGCATGATTATGCGATCTGTTCATCCATAAGGGATTCATAAGAGTGGGAATCAGTCCGAAATGCAAGAGTTCACAGGGTTCAATTGGAGTATAACCCATAGTCAGGTTTCACTACAGTGGTGAAATATGTCTACTAATCGCACAGCCATAGAGCTACAAATAAGTATGAAATAGTTTCGAGTGTGCTAGAGTATTCTCTTCTCGCGCTTGGTATTTGCTTGGACGTTGCCGAGTTGATAGTTAATGGTATAAGTGCTGAGAAAACTTTAGTACGACATATGATGAAATAACTCACCTCTTGAACCTAGTCTGCATAGGGTACTATTTTGTCATAGCGTGACACAGAATGCGTTGGGCAGTCAAGATGGTATTCATTAGTCGAACCCAAGTTAGGCAATGTAGTTTGAGCTGATGATTGATGAAGTCCCTAATGCGATGGTTGTACAGGAGGGCACGACGAGATGCCGATTTTGCCGGAGGAGACAAAGAACAAAAATGAGAGTTGGGAAACAAATCCCCAATATCTTGCTCAGAGGGGATTGAAAGATTATCGTAAGCTAGAGGCGAATTGTTTTCACAGGGATTTGAAGAAGTTCTCGTGTCAAGATACAATCTTGATGTGGTCTATCTCCATGTTAGTGCATAATGGGACTGTTCATTGAAGCATTTCTGAGCCTAGCATTCAGTATGATTAAATAGCTTTTATACATAAATGACTCACTGGACTAGTTTGAGAGGGTCCAGGCCATTAGGGAAAAGATCATCATGTATCAGATTGAGAAGATTTCATGACAGGATTATGTACAACTCATTCAAGCCTTGTCCTCCACGTGCTCCTCATAAGTGACTTGCTCCTTCTTCTCCTGAATTTTGTGCACCATATCTTTCTTGGTATCCTCGCCCTCAAACAGATAGGCCAATTCTTCCAAAGTGGGCCCGGCCGTTTCAACGAAGAAGAAGTAGACGATGAGGAAGACGATGAACACCCAGACACAGTAATAGATGTAGAACTTCCACCCGATGTTCTTCAGGGCAATGGGGTTGACGTAACTTCCGAAGATGGAGGCCACCTGAATCGTCAGCAGGACGAATGCCCATGTCTTGGCACGCATCTGCAGTGTCACCAACTCCAGAGGATATGTGACAATCAAGTTTGTCCAGGCGAAGGTATAGAAAGCCTGAAACGCAAAAATGCAAAAAATAACCAGTCGGCCGGCAGCTAGTGAGCTGTGTTCGAGGTATTGCTGAGCGGCAATCGTCCAAACAATAAAGGTGACGAGAACACCACCTGATCCGGTGAGGAAGAAGAAACGACGACGGAAGCGATCGATGATAAGAGTGACAAAAAGGGCCACAATATACTGCCAGAGTGTGACCATTCCGTTGACAAGTGTAATTTCATACTCAGTCTTGAGACCCGTGTCCTTCAGGATTTGTGTGAGGTAGTTCGACACTAGCAGGTTGCCGGAGCTTTGACTGAAGACGGCTGTGGCGAAGCAAAGGAATATACGCTTCATATTGGCCCGGGATGAAAAGAAGTCCTTCCAGGTCATGTTCTCCTCAGCTTCCTTGGAAATAGCCTGCTGAATCTCAGCGCATTCGACCTCGACTAACTCGGAGTTGGGGTCGCATTCGCCATGGTATTTGATCAAGATATCACGTGCCTCCTGGACACGGCCCTTAGCCATCAACCAACGTGGCGATTCAGGACAAAACCAGATGAGACAGAACTGATAAGCCGATGGAACGATCTGAATGAGAGTTGGAAGTCTCCATGACCACTGGCTGTTAATGCGATAGCAGCCAAAGGTTGCCCAAGCACCAATAACATAGCCCAAGACGATCGATGTATTGTAAAAGGTCGTGATTTGGACGCGCTCCTTGGGATGGGATAGCTCCGTAACTAATACCGGTGCGCCCATCTGGATGAGAGAACTTCCAAATCCGAGGATTAGCTTGCCACCAATATAGCCATTGAGAGAGGTAGCGAAGAACTCGATGATCACTCCCACGATGATGACGACGGAACCCAAGGCAGTTGGAAGGCGGCGGCCCCATTTGTCACCAATCCAACTCAAGAAGATGAATGGAATAACGCCTCCAATGGCATTAGAAGCTCCAAAGAATCCAAGCTTCGCGCCTTCGGGGTGCCCGAATCTGTCTTGCCAGGAATTCAGGACTTGCATTCCGTTTGTCATGGACTAGCCGAGACCCTTGTCAGTTTGAATCCATATCAAAGCGGTGCATATAGTGAGTGTATAGACCTACACCATCAATACCGAGGGCAGCACTAGCCAGCAGGGACGACGTGAGGAGGAAATAGAGCAAGATACCATTCTTCCGACGCCAGAACGGCGGCATGGAGTCGACATCGATGGGCGATATGATGCCCTCGGCCGCATGAGCAGCAGCAGGAGCCATGCTTGTAGTCAATTACCCGCCTTTGTGGGCTTTCAGTGAAGACTGGAAAGTAAAGCTGCAGCTGGATGTGCGGTCTTGGACACTTCGACATGGACATCCCTGCTCCTTATATAGAACAGGGTTCTGCCAGGAGTCATGCGATCAATTAATTGGATCACAGCAGTGGAAACATAGCCCAGAGTCAAATTCCATAACGGGAATTTAGCCAGTCATCGTGGACTGGGGACTTTAGGGATTGGGGAAGAAGAAAATGATCGGGGATAAAATTTGGGGTTGCGATTTGCGGGGGCGGAGAAACTCACCGGGAAAATAGCACGTGGGTCTTAGGTCAATTATCCCGACGCCACGGTAATTCTCCGACCCCAACCTTGGAACGCCGAAAGCTCCACACCTTGTCTCAACGCCACAAGCCAACCCGCCCTTTTGGCTATAAGGTTGGGCCCCAAAGCTCCTGCAGTTATCAGAGGTGCGAGGATAAGTTTCCTTTTAATTCGGGACTTGAGAATTTCGCAACAATTGCTGTGAAGGCAAGTTTGAGGTTTTTCGAAATGGCGAATACTTCTCCAGCCACCTCAATGCCTAGCGACTTCGAATGGGGCTTTGCGACAGCGGCCTATCAAATCGAAGGAGCTGTCAATGAAGATGGTCGTGGAAAGTCAATCTGGGATACCTTCTGTCACCTGGAGCCAACAAGAACAAAGGGTGCCAGCGGCGATATTGCATGCGACCACTACCATCGGTTTGAGGAGGACTTTGATCTTCTGTCTAAATATGGTGCGAAAGCCTACCGATTCTCTCTCTCGTGGTCCCGAATCATCCCTATGGGCGGAAGGGGTGATTCCGTGAATGAACAGGGCATTGCGTTCTACAACCGACTGATTGACGCCTTACTTGCAAGAGGGATCACGCCTTGGGTGACATTGTACCATTGGGATCTGCCGCAAGCCCTCCATGACAGATATGGAGGTTGGCTAAATGTGGAGGAGTCTCAGCTAGATTTTGAACACTTCGCAAAGGTCTGTTATGAGCGATTTGGAGACCGAGTCAAGAACTGGATTACGCTGAATGAGCCGTGGATTGTTTCTATTTTTGTGAGTATCTTCGGATAGTCCCGATTCTTTTCTTGAGCTTTGAATTTGACATGTTCTAGGGCTATTCTACCGGTGGAAATGCTCCTGGAAGAAGCAGCATTAATCCCCAGTCTACTGAGGGCAATTCTGCAACGGAGCCTTGGATCGTCGGGAAGGCTCTGATTATGAGTCACGCCCGCGCGGTTGCTCTTTATAACAGAGAGTTCAAATCCTCTCAAAATGGCAAAGTTGGAATTTCCTTGAATGGTGACTTCTACGAGCCCTGGGATAAGGGAGATAAACGCGATCACCAGGCTGCCGAGCGACGTATGGAGTTTCATATTGGCTGGTTTGCCAATCCTGTCTGGTATGTACCTTGTATCATCTCTTAATCGTGCAAGAAAGCTAATTCGTAAACAACATAAAAAGCCTTGCAAAAGACTACCCCAAGTGCATGAGAGAGCAACTGGGTGGCCGTCTACCTGAGTTCACTGAAGCTGATTTTGCCCTGCTTCGCGACGCAGAGATGGACTTTTACGGAATGAATTACTACACTTCCCAGTTTGCACGCCACCGCGATGAGCCAGCTTCCGAGACTGACTGTCTCGGGAACGTCGAGGAGTATCAAGAAAACAAAGATGGCCAGTCAGTCGGGGAGCCGTCCGGCGTTAATTGGCTGCGCTCGACTCCTGGCCTGTTCCGAAAACATTTGACCCGAGTTTACCGCAAATACGGAAAGCCTATCTATGTCACTGAAAATGGATGTCCTTGCCCCGGGGAAGAAAACATGACAGTCAAAGAAGCAGTGAATGATACGTATCGGATTCGATACTTCCAGGACCACATTGAGGCTGTTTCTCTCGCGCGCAACGAGGACGGCTCTGATATCCGAGGATACTTTGCCTGGTCATTGATGGACAATCTAGGTGGGTTACTCCAATATGCCATAACTAGGACTCAAAGACTGATATATTCTTTAGAGTGGTCCGATGGTTACGGGGTTCGCTTTGGCGTCACTTTCACCGATTATAACACCCTCGAAAGAACCCCGAAACAGTCTGCATTGCTATTGAAAGGGATGTTTGAGAAACAGATGGCTCCTGAGATCTTCACTCCTAGGATCTAGGCTCCTAGTCAGTGACAGGAATGATCAATAACAACTTGTTCGAGTACGATATGACTCGGCCTGTGTCATATTCGCCCTCCTTGGGAGCCTGTTCTGAGGAGAGATGAATTTGTTAAGGCCGGTCTGCAAGAGGCAAACATATTCAGGGGTCTTGCATGTTGACGAGGTACTGGGATCTGGCTGAACAGATACTCTTAGGGCGTTATAGGATTTGTTTGATAGCATAAACAAGAAGATAGACACAGATACACCCAAGATCGAAATTCATTCAAGCTCCCTGAAATTGCACGCTAGAGCCTCCAGCAAGTTCCTTAGTTCTAAATATATGATGAAGTTACACTTACGTTTGGACTTTTTTTCAATGAATGGCCATGTTCAAGTTGAACCACGCCATCCTACCTCCTGGTCGCTTGGTGTTTCTTTTCTCGTCTAGAGGCCTTGTGGCCTGCCGTCGATCCGCTTCCGAATCGAGACGAGCGGCCCGTGCGTCGGGGAAATTCAACAGGACGCTCGGGTGGGGTAATTGAGTATTTGACCGTGGCCCACCCCCGGTTTTCTTTTCAACTTGAAGCGACACAATTCTCCGTTCTCCCCGACGACTTAGAACTCTGACGATGTGATGGCAGCCGCTCACCGTGAAGATTCTCCGCGTCCAGCCACCAGGGCATGCGATCGATGTCGGCGGCGAAAAGCCAAGGTGGGCCATGGCATAGCGTTCGAGAGCGATCGTGAAATCAAGATGCCCTAGACTAAATCAGTTTCTTTCCTAGTGCGACTGTCCTGATCCATCATCAGTATGCGCTAACTGCCGTCTGGCTGGTGAGCAATGCACATTCAATTTGCCGCTTTCCAAACGAGGTCCGAAAGCCAAACGGCGCCACCTAGTTGCAGAGGCTCGAGAAGACTCTTTGCAGAGTCCAGTCACACCATCTTTGCAGGTAACGAGACATAATCCTGCATCACGGGGTATATTCGACACATCAGGAGGCTCGGAGAACCTCGGCCTGTGGGACTCTGGAATCACATCTTCTATCGGCCTGGATCCTGCGCTGTCGCCGGCGACGGTTCATACTGTTCCAACACCGCTCTCCCACGCTGCGTCTACTGGAGGCGCTATCTCTGCTTTACAGCGATGGGAAGCACTCGCACGGAAGCTGTATCTACGCAGGCCGACAGTGGTATTGGAGAATCTGATCAATCGCTGCTTCAAACATTTCTTCGACTATCTTTTTCCTTTGATTCCGCTTGTCCATGAATCGAGTCTCCGAGATGGTTTGGAGTTTTTCGTCGCTCGGGATCATGCACAGGCTTTACGAGGGAGCACCTCCAGCCTAAGATATGGTTACGAGTCATTAAAATACCCAGAACTATGGCCTGATGTGACTTTTACACTCATCACTGCCGTCTGTGCCGAGACGGCCTTCCTTCTTCCAAAGGACCTTTTCCCAGAAGGGGAAGCGATCGCGGATCTGTTTCTTCAGGCATCTCGTGACTGCCTAGTCACTTACCTCGAGGCAGACCTCGAGTATCCCAATGCAAACTCCGTGGCGATTCGATATCTCCACTCCAATTGCATGCATGCGGCAGGAAAGCCAAGATTCTCATGGCATATATTCGGCGAAGCGACCCGATTGGCCCAGGTACTGCAGATGCATGACGAAGAATCTATTCAGGGTCTCCACCCTCTAGAAGCCGAATTCCGTCGTCGAGCATTCTGGATCACCTACATCGGTGATAAGTCTGCTGCCATATTAAACAGTCGTCCAATTACGATCCATAAATTCTCTTTCGAATCTGGCATCACGGTGGGTTATCCTACCGGGATTGAGGATGAAAGTATCGTGACACCCGGAAGCACGAGTGCTGAGGAGTTGACTGTCCGAAAGAGCTTTATCATCGGCTTCAATGCAAATTTGCGTCTCTGGCAAACAGCTTCTGATTTGCTACTTGAGATGCGTTTGCTCGAAAGTCGCAAGACTATCTCTATGAATTCTCATAATTCACTGACTGCCGAGGAACGGCTACGGCTGGATCATCTTTACGTCCTTTTTGTGACGTCCTTAGATGATCTTCCGCCTTTTCTCCGTGATGATCAACTCGTGACGAACGCCCACTCTGACAGGGAGGAAATGAATGGTCTGTTGAAGATTTATACTATCCAAGCCGCCAACTTATACATTTCTCTGCACTGTCTGAAAATGGTCATAACACAGAAATTTGAAGAGGTCAGCTATTTCCCTATGGGACATAATGAGATATTGCTCTTGAGGAAAACGGAGATTGCGCAAAACATGTTGAGAATCATGCGCGAGGCTCCCTTCTGGGCACTACAAGTCAATGGTGAACCATGTGTAAGTCAACTGTATCATGCTCCTTGGTCATAAATTGTACCTTCCTTGCTAAATATGAAAAGGTTGAAAAGATACGCCTCATAGGCGCAAGCCTTTTAGAAATCATCGATCAACATGAGACTTCGCCCTTATCTGCTCGTGCACGAACTGACCTCTCCGTGCTTCTTGATATCTTGACAAGGCTTGACTCGAAGGCATCAGATACCTTGCGTCGGTCTATGTAATCTAATGGATGTACGAATATAAAATGGAATCGAACACTTGCAATGATTATGAAAGCCGATGAACGCTTTTTGCAGATCTAGCGAGGCTATTTTAGTTAGCAATTGTATATAGCGTGTGTGAAACCCCATCCTATCGTCCAATGTTGACATTCAGGGCTTTTCACAGACCTCTTCTAATAGTATAACTTTTGCCGAGATATATTTTAGAAAATCGGGTCGACCTTGAATTGAGGGCTAGCTTTAGTGCCTAATATTTCAGGCAGAAAATAGCGTTTCGACGACTGACGTTAATCGGCGTTTGGACGATGATTGCGCGTTCACAATCTTCTTCTAGAAGTCTTGGTATGCTCAGACCATCCGCCTCAGGGTAACTGAAACCCGAAATCCCCGATCGTGCCATATTTCGCCGATTCCCCGACACCCGGCTACCATCGGCGATACGGGGCACGGCCCTGCCTTGATTTCAAGTGCCGAATTCCAAGTTCAGCTTCAAGGCTCCGGTCAAATTTCACCGAAAGAAAAGCCAACGCTAAGATTATGAGCGCCTGTGGGGCTCTTCAGAGATTGATTTTGAGCTTGCAAGTCAACACATGCTAGGCAACCCGGTTGTTTGATTGGGGATACCGACAATTCCCCAGAAAATTCTCCAGGAATGCGGGGGCAGAGGGTCGATCGCTTCCTCAGAGGGAGTTTTTCAGGGGAAATCTGGAAGGGATCGCAATTAATTGTGGACCTCGATTCTTCCGATACACTTCACACTTCGCTAGAATATAGAAATTGACGTTCTCTTGGTCAGTTGTATATAAATTCCTTACTGCCCCACGACAAACCACACCAATATACCACTCATATCTTGATTCAGACACGGTGCCTGAAGAATTTTCTATCATTTTCCCCTTTTTTCACCCCTTTTTAGCCCATCATGCGCTTTTGTCAAGCGTCGCTGGGTCTGGCTTGTGCCACCTTAGCCACAGCTCTGCCCGCCGCTTCAGAGCAGGGGGGCGAGCCTACATGCCGATTTGCTCAACAATATACACAGAAGCAAATTCTGCAGGACCCTACCAATTTCATCAATGATATGTTGTATTGGGAGGGCAAGTTCCATCAGAATAACGTTTCTTATAACTCGGACAATGGCATGTCCTACGATGGTACCAATATTGACTTCGTGACTGGCGAGAGAACTGTCAAGCATCCATTCAGCGCCGCAAGCAAAGAGGTGAGTTAAAACATGTCACGTAAATTGAAGTTTGACCAAGGGCTTATGATATTTGCAAAAAATAGTCACTGCAAGTTATGCTTTATGCCCATGCTATCTCGGGATCTGCGGAAGCTGCTCGTTTCCTCTCTCCGAGCAACCCATCTGCAGCGCCTGGTATCGCAGCTTCGATCATGGACCTCAAATTGCAGACATATTTGAGATTCAATGAGACTTACCCAGGCTTTGGTGGATTTCTACCGTGGTTTACCTCGAGCTCTCAAGACCTTTCTCCCACCTGGGACTGGAACAACCGTGTCCCTGGCTTGGATAACGGGTACGTTATCTCTGAAAGAAGTTTGGTAGATCTCTGAGCTGATAAAATATATAGTGAGCTTCTGTGGGCCGTATACGCCTTTATTCAGGCTGCGGAAAACACGTCAAACAAGTCATATATCGATCTTGCGAAGAAGTGGCAGACTTGGATGGATTATACCGGCACCACTGCAGCTCACGTATGCATCCCATGCTTTTCGCTGAAAGTCGCCAGAATATTTATTTGCTAACCCTTATTTCTTGCGTAAAAAGATTTTCTATCAGGGCGCCGGTAAGGTTTGCGCTGTCGTCGATATCAAGAATCAGACACTTCCCGTCCACCACCCCGAGCAGACTTATGCCTGTGAGGGTACCGATAGCTATCTCGATGATCCATTCGAGGGAGAGCTGTTCACTTGGTGGCTCCAATTCTTCGGTGGTCTCTCCGATACTGATATCGAGGCTCTTTGGGAGTACAAGAGAGCTAAATTAGTGAGCGTGGACTATCACATGGGCTATATTGGGCCGATTACTGTCCAGAAAGGTAAGATATATCCTGAATTCGGTGAAGAGAAATTGCCCATTTTGACGTTGCGACAGGATACTGGTTCTCCAGTCACGAGACTTGGAAGGTGATGGAGATGCCTTATTATGATATTGATATCATTCGGTGAGACTCTAATCCAACGACCGACTTAAGGCCAGGCCACACTGACGCACCACCTACAGCCGCGTGTTCCAAAATGCGGAGCGCGTTCGCACTTGCAACTCGGTTGTCACTAAAGTTCCTGGCATGTTTGCCTCTGTCAACAATATCACGGACCCATCCACTGGCGATGTGGTCGGCTACATCTCGAACGCCGGTATCCCCTCAATTGGGAGTCAGACAGTGCAGGAGCTAGACGTGATCACTCCTTACAGTGTCTTCCCTACCATCTTGTTCAACAAAGGTGTCGGAATGGCCTGGTGGAGAAACATGGCTATTGCCAAGAAGATGCAAAGTGAGCATTAACCTGTCCTGCCGAACCTTTACATGTTTGCTAACTCATGGAAGACATTTACGGTAGCACCGAATCAACCCGTCGTGATGGAGCTGGAGTGTCAGCGCTCCTCACCTGGGACAGCAAGGTCACTACAGTGAACGCTATCCTTGGTGGCGTTTCCGACTTGGTCCGCCAGAAAATGAAGGCCGAGAATATCTACAACCCATTTGTGAACAGAATCGAGGTACGACTTTGAATTACCAAATTCCCCTGTCTAGGTATAGCTTGATATTGACAATCCATCTCTAGGCTGAGTACTCGCGGGTCTTCAAGAACCTCAAGGGCGAACATGTTGCATTTTGCCTCCCCCAGGAGACTGTACCTGATTCTGGGCTCGTCGACTTCACTACTTGCACCTAGGGAAACTGCAGTGACATGAATACTATGAAAGATATCCCTAAGAAGTTTTGGGTGACATGGTCGGAAATATACCTAACTACTATCCCCCATGTCTGTGCTCGACTGTTGCTTTTCTCTTACCTATAAATCGTTTCCTATTTTTAGAAGCACCACTTCTGATTCTAGAATCTCTTAATACCTACCATTCTCAGAAATTATACATGATACATAGCTCGTGGAACTCACGTTGAACCGGCATTCAACTAGCATTCTACCATCATTCTACCAGCATCCTACCAACGTTGAACCACCGTATAGACCAGCTCGGGATGCCTTACTAAAATAATAAAACGTGTTACCAAAAGGATGGGAATATGATGCTGGAAGGGGAAATGACCAAGTCCGAGCATGAAGTAGCGTATCTGCTACCTAACGAGGCAATCTCAAACAATTTCGGCATGAAGAGCCTCGATGTTGACCTTCTCGCGTTGGATGATCTTGTCCAACTTGCTCACATCCTATTCAGTGGACTTTCTTAGCTCGGGTTTTTGTGCCACTCGAAGCGGGTGAACAGCATGGAGGATTTCCCCCAATCTTTTCGAATCACGAAACCCCTTTCGAAAGACTTTGATGGTTTCCGAATACCCCGAGCGCATACAGGAGTAGGAATTACGTCTTGCGGTGGATCCCTTTTTGGAAAGCTAGTCTGCATTGGAGAGTGAGCTAACGATGCTAACTAAGTTATTTTGTTCCAGCGTATAAGCTCGGAGTGGCTGTAGTAGAGATTCGAACCAGGCTCTCGGGGGCGAGCTTTGGTGTGGCTTGCGGTTACGTTCAAAAAACTGCGAAGATGATGCGAAATTATGTTGAGCGGCGGGAAAGGTTGCGGAGTTCCCTCTCAAGTTGAGCTCGTAGCTCCGCAAGTTCAGCGTTGACCCGTATCATCTCCTGGTCCTGTGCGCGTTGCATTGCATTTACAGCATGTGCCAGGCCGCCGACGTCACGACAAAGGTCTCTGATGCACTGATCAATGAGGCTTTGATATCTATCGACCTGGATTCTGCGCTGAATCGAGGGTTGAATTGCTGAGAGTCTGTTGTTGAGAGCCTGAATGCAGACTTGGAAGTCGTCATCGTTGCCGTCGTTGTCGTTGCCGTCGTTGCCGTTGTTGTCGTTGCCGTTGCTGTCGTCGTTGCCATCTTCGTGGTTGAAGTCATCGTCGCTGTCGTAGTCGTTTACCCTCAGGGCACGTGCACTTCCCGTTGTGGCAGTTAGGCCCGCGACAACCGGGTTTGGTCGGCGGATCGGGATCCTGCGGGTCGTAGAAGTCTATACCGCCGTCGGCACAGCTCCTCTCGCATCAGCCGGTACAGAATAGGTAGCATTAGTGGCCGTAGTTGGCGGTGCAGAGGGGGGCGGGCGGTCCGACCTCGAAGGTGGCCGTAGGGAACGGGTTGTTGTCAGTAGTTGTGGTCTAGGGGAATAGAGGTGGTGTGATGGTGCGAGTTACGGAAGTTACCCCGGGCGGCGTAGAGGAGAGGCTGTTAGTGATATAGAAGGGCGGCGGAAGGACGCTACTGGACAGCGTGTAGATTTTTTCCGTGACGCTCCCCGTGATGTTCTAGTTCTAGACCTCGATAGCTGTTGCCGCTATCGCCGGGATACTCAGCGTGGTGTTCTGGGCGGTACGGGTATATATCGTCGTGCTAGTAACCGCGACGTTGGACCCGGTGACTACGGCGGGAGTCGGCTAGGCGACCTTCAGCGCGGTGATATACGAAGGGAAGTTGATAGTAATAGGATTTGGCAGCGTTATTAGGAGGAAGATAAAGTTGCAGGGGGGTACGCAGGCGATAGTTGGGTTAATGCTGGTATAGATCTCCTGCCTGATATATATATTACCCGAGCCACTGTCCGAACTATCGGTACTGGCTCCGGACATACCAGCGTTGGGATTTATATTGGCTAGATCGGACTTAGTTTCTGGGCTACCGAGATCTAACGCCTAGGCGAAGGTGCCCGACAGACACTGCGCGTTGGCAAAGTCGCGTTTCTGTAGGAGCGTTTTGGCGTTATCGTATAAGACCCTGATAGTCGTATGTTAGTGTGATATTGTGAGCAGTGGAACAGCTATCTGAGCTTACCATTGATTATCATTCCAGGTCGTCCAGTTTACCCCGGCCGTGGCATCGTATACTACCTGCGGAGAGGACTTATTTAGGATCCGTACAATCTCGTAGTTAGAGAGGATATTACTAGTTCCGGTGCAAGTCCTAGGGTTAGCTCTACCTGTATTACCTTCGAGCCCTATGTCATTTGCAAAGGCACATCCGGGTGTATTGCACGAGGCGTCTTTAAGGGTGAAGGATCGGCCATAGAAGCCTAGACCGAGAGCGACCTTGGCAGGGTTAATGTTGTTGCGCTAGAGAAGATCCAGGCCGGCGGAGATCTCTAGTTATCGATTAGCAAGGGTATACAAAAGTGCCAAAAAGAGCTAGTGAGTGCGCACCGGTAAGATTGGTATGTAGGTTGACCACCGAGTTAGTCCACTCGCTGCTGCTATCCCATATACCGTGGATATCGTAGCTCATAAAGTTAAACCAGTCCATATAATTGCTTATGCCCACGATGTCAAAGCCCTTGAGGTACCCTGCTTTGTGTTAGTGGCACCGATATCAATCGGTTTAGTCAAAACATACAGTAAGACGAAGGCAGCGTGGCCGTGATCATATACTTGCCCGCGCAGGCCGCCTATAGTGCACCCAGCAGTTTGACCAAGTTAGCCGTATCGGCCACAATACCGTCTATCAGGTCAGTATCAGCTATAGATATGTATCTGAAGGGGGTGGGTAGTGGTGGGGAATATCTCGGTCCTCGGCGGCGGGATACTCCCAGTCGATGTCAATACTATCAAATCCGTACTTCTCTATTAGGGCAATTGACGAAGATATAAATGCACTTCTCGTACCGGGGAAGCGAGCCATATCCGAAAAGACCTTCCCACCCGCATCCCAGCCACCGACAGAGATAAACGTCTTGAGACCGGGCTTGCGGTCTTTGAGCGCATTGAAATCGACGTAGAACTCCTCGTCCTATTCATCGTTATGATTTTGGAGGTAGACGAGCCGATGAGCGCGAAGGAGTAGTAGAGATACTATCACTGCTATCAGACATAAACGCGTTAGGAAAAGAGGAGGGCACGCACAGTCCACGGGGCTACGTTGATATCGCTCGGCCGCACAATATCGCATAGTTTGTTAGGGCTCCAGCTTTTATAGTAACCTATATAACGCTCATCACTAGATATCCTAGCGCAAGATCTAATAACTGGGAGAGAACTAAGATCAGACTGACTGCTCGAATTGCTGATTCTTCTGATAAGGATAGACCACTCACGGACGGTTCACCGCGTTATATCTATTCTAGCAGCCACCGCCACAGAACTCGTCCGTAGTTCCACAGTATCTACCCACTATATTAGTAATTGGCCGTCAAATCCAAGCAGAAATAGCAGGCATATACCCAAATTCTGAACAGCAGACGTTTAACGGGCAGGTTTCCTTTCCTTCCGGGGCATATTCTGGACACTCGTCAGCTTTCTGTCCATCCAAAGTCGCCCAGAGAAGAGATACATACGACCACACTCCGCAACCGCATCACAATCTGAGATACAAACGTCGTCGCCGCAAAAGTCCGGGCCAAATCCACAATAGCCGGCGTTGCTACAGCACCCCTAGTAGCAAGGGGAGTCTGTGGAACAGGTCCCTAACTCGAGCGCCTAAACGGGGACGAGACCCAGCAGGCCAAGTAGTCCTGCCCACTTCAGGGTCAGCATCTTTAGCACTTTGTTCCTTGTTGGGTTGTCTTGCTGTTGGGGAGGTTCTGGTGGGACACAGCGGCGGGCTTTATAGACTCCTTAGCCTAAGGCTTCCGAAGGTAGTTAATTTACAATGCCATTTGTTCGGACATTAGACGAAGAATGCGACGTCGGAAGTGAAAACCCCATGAATAGTCTAGGCCATTCTACGCATCGCCACTAGCAAAGGTAAGAGCTCGACTTGCATTGCCGGTCTACTTAGCTCAGTACTTTATACCTGACTAGTGGCTGATACGACGGAGACTAGCAGGGCTAAAATACGCCTAAAGTAGCGCACAATAGATACAGGACACACAGACGACGGGGCGCGAAATGGTAAGCGGAGGCGAGATGCAACATCGCGAAGTTAGTGTCTAGGCTATAATTGACTCAGGACTTAAATTATGCAGATACAGGCCGGTGTTAGAAGACTATGCTATTCTCCGCTGTCGGTTGTCCTCCTTGGAGCCACACGGTTCGTATACGGTGTTTATAAAACAAGCTCAGTCTAACACCCAGTGCTCAATTGCTGTTGACCGCCATCCTGAGAATCTGTGTTATTCGAAAAAATCGCTATAAAGTTTCGTACGGCTCTCCTGGCCCCTTTGAGCCTTGCCTTCGTCTGCAATGCTATTCCGGCGAACCATCTCCACACCCTCCAAGACACAGGGGACCAGACAACCGTCCGTCCACCTCTCCTTATAAAGCGTGTCTTCACGGACAACAAATGTAGTGGCAAACAAGCCGGCTGGATCTCGCAGGCTTTAGTCGATGCACCTGTCGCGGTAAGTCCATCATACTGAAGGTTCTTTTATTGTCGAGACTGAGAAAAGAATGAATAGATAAATCGCATGATTGACCGCAGCGAAGCACTTGTCGACTTCTTGAACAGCAACTCTAAATCGCTGTCATCGGACAAGTTAGTGGTGTCGACTCTGCACACGTTCCAAGCGGTCTTTGGACAGGTGTGGTAGGGAAATCTAGCTAACGACAACAAGGTAGGGGCGGCGAGGGTACAGCAACAGATAGGTAGACTTCCCTCTCTCGCCTTATTTTCATTCCGACAGCGGACTAAAGTAAGTGGTATATAGATCGTGCGAAGAAACTTGCCGCTGCGCTTAGCAGCGACGCTGCGCCTCCGATTTGGGAATTCTACTGTAATGACAACTTCTTGGACGATGAGGACCCGTTCGGCGATGAACGTAAGTATCCTTCTTCTCTCTCCTTCCTTGATCGAAGTTTATATTGGGCTTAATATATAGACAGTCCTCTAGTACGAATACTGGGACAACCGGCCCGCCGAGCGAGGCGGACAGACCACCCGCAAATTCGATCATCTTGGAGGCAGCTGTCGCGATAACAAGCTCGGACTTGTGGCTTACCTGGATCCCTCGAAGGGTGCTGAAATAGAGACGATCACGTTCTGTCCGGATGCGCTGAAGGGTTTCACAGGAGAATCGCTCAAAAGCGTGCGCGGAAAAACCTACGGCAAGGGTGAGAGGAACCTGGATGATATCCGCTAGAAGGTTCTGGGAATAAATTTACTGCATAAGCTGTCGTATTCGTCACTAGTACTTGGGAAGGATGACGAAGGGAAAGATAATTTTTATAGTATGTTGTTCCTTTTCTACGTGGAGTGAATGAGTGCTGATTGTTGGTAGTGGATACGCCTTACTCTCAGGGCATCAACGGTGCTGCGTACGGATGGGAGTGCGTGACTAAGATCAATGAGAGTGAGGATGCGGAGGCGGAGAACAACGGAGATAGTTTTGCCTTCTACGTGACTGGTATGTGACTTCCTTCTGGCTGCTAACTCTGGGACATGGGCTAACCGGGTCAGCTATATATCTGGACAAGAATGACTGGTCGACTGGGGAGGCGGCAGCTCTATGATAGTACTGTATATAACATGTCTGAGAGGGAGGATGGAAAAAGAGACATCTGTAGTGAAAGTGAACTTGGTTGCTCGTCAGTCTCACTTGCTTCTCCAGTGTCTGAATGGTAAAGAATAGTCAGAAGCCTAGATTCATTATATTATGGCTATAAATGCTACTAAGGGGAATTCTCAAATTGAGTCAATGGAGATGTGCTACAGAGTCCCTGGGCCCGAGAGTACTTTTGACACACTCCATAAGCCCGCACGAGCCAGCGCCTGCTCATATCGATCATCCTCAATGGGATACTCCTTGGCAAAGCACCGTAATCGAACGATATCGACCTTGCCGGGCCGACAGTCTACCTACCGACAGGCATACATGAAAATGGGATCGGTGGCCGATGTTGACGTTCTGTAGGCTTCAACATATGGCTCCCATTCGCCTACTTTGATATCGAGCGCCGTGAAAGGCGACTATAGAACCGTCGTTGGATTAGTGATCCGTTCATAGTACAGCTTTTCCCCTGCTACGTAGCGGAATGCTTCTTCGACAACAGCTGTATTGAGCTATGAATCTACTATAGGTGTCCGGCCGTTCGTTCCCCCTTCGCTGTAGGGGAAGTTCGAGTTGAGCTCTAGGTGCTCAAGAGTGGGGAAGTATGCCGCTCCACTAAGTACGTCGTAGGACTAGGGTGGTCAATTAGCGGGGTTTTGTTATGACAATGAGTGTCCGGTGACTTGTATATACTAAGTGACCCTTGAATCGCAGGTCGATTCCGAGCCTTTACAGCTGTGGAAGCGTACTAGCGAGGTTCTGGAGCTCTTCGAAGGTGAAGAGGTATCTTATCTGCTCCTGGTCTCTCTTGTTGAAATTAGTCTGCCGGAATCGCAGACGCCGGAGGTAAGGCCCATAGCGAGACACTAAAAGTGGGAGGATATCCTTAGATAAGTTGTATGCAGTAAAGGTCGCTAAGGTATTAACGCTCTGCAGGAACATATCTAGCTGACTGTATAGGTCATCCGAGATATCCGGTGATGTTCCATTATGGATTCGTAGTGCTAGCGATATCACGTCGGGGGTCTTTCCTGTAAAGAGCGTGAGAAGCTTAAGCGATTCTGCCCTACTATCTAGGCCCAGATGTCTTATGTGATGACATTAGTCCTATTTATTTACTCGTTCGGGGTCAACCGCAAAATTCGTTAGGCAGAGAGTGCGTAGCGGAGGTATGCTGTCTCCAGAACCAAGAGAGAATAGCGGCGCTGAATCACGTTGCGAGCGGGTAATAAATTTCATATCGAGCCGATCTAGATATAGTAGGGCTAGCACTATATACTTTAATCTATCTAGCTCTTCCCTGGCATAAGAAGCAACGCTGAGAGAACGTATACAATACGATATATGCTTGACTAGAGCGATAGGTAGGTTGTACGGCCAGCCTTCAAAGTACAAGCTAGGCACCAACTGACGAGCATCCAGGTGCTGCAACACACTATAGGGAAGTGGGAAGCGGCCGCGCCATCTGTTACCTCGTTAGCTATCGGGCTCGTTTAGGGCTTTTCACTATAACTGCACCTAAGAACCACTAGTCGTGGCAGCTTCTCTACAAGAGACACTAGTAACGGCGACAGAAGCGTCGGGGTATCCTTCTCGGGGTTGTATAGAAAAGACCCCGTAACGATGAGGATACGAACACAGCGGAATAGCTTATCTCCCGCTTCCTGAAGATCCTGTAGCATCCGATATCCTGTGTCGCGCTTTGGACGGAAGTGGAGATAAAGGGTTTCGAACAGAACGGGCAGTGCTAGGCGACGAAAGCCGCGGCAAGTTAGACTGAGGGCCTGTAGAGTCGAATAAGAGTCCCATCGTAGCTGCGTGGTTCAAAGCATTACGATTATTTTCTTGTCATATAAGATAACCCTGCGAAAACTCACGCAGTCCAGTATACACTCCCATACTAGTGTTGGAATAGGCGGGATAGCCCCCAAACTCTCGTTAATCATGGCCTAAGGTGGTCTTCAATACGTCAAGGCCAGAAATTAGGATTCGGTAATTGCGGCACGCTCAGGAACACGGCGGATGTTGGGGTCCAGGGGCGATGGGCGATGCCCGTCGTATATTGCTCGGTTAAGGACGAGGTCTCTCTGAAGATACAGGGGCATGTGGGAAAATACGATTCGAAGAGGGGCACATCGTCGTGCCCCAGGCTTATACAGACTTCCCAAGGGACTGCCAAGGGGCTGCCAAGGGAGAGTCAAGACGTTGATCAGGTTGTTCCGATGGCGATGGTCGTCTGATTGGCGCTAAATGCTTAGTTCAAAACGCCGTGCGTTGCTAGCAATAACTAGCTCCGTCTACGCCAGGGACCTTTATGCCAAGGTTTTAGTATACTCTGGCCAGTTGAGAAGAACTTGATGCAATTTTAATTCCATAGCAGGGTGACATTCGGGCTGGGAGATAGATCCCTGGTCGTCTAACCCTGACAGCTTGATACAGTAGATGGCCCTCATGCTTGTTTACTAGCGCATACCCTGTAAAATGCGATGATCCATTTTATTGCCCCCATCAGCCTCGTCAAGTCCGGATGAAAATGAGTTCAGACGTGTTAGTCGCCTGGACGTGGACTAGCATCTCGCTACCCTGCATCAACTCATACACCGTTGCATCCTCTAACCTATACTCGACGCCGGTAGCCTCCGCTACGCAACCCTTAAATTGAACTGGATTAAACCCCGTAAACGGTACTATATTGTCCCCCGACTGGAAGTCCTCGACCACCTACTCGGCATTCACCCCCTGCAGGGTTGCCGTGCTCTTAGGCGCGCTTATAATAGTGGTCACCGACTGCCCGCTCGTCCGGTTCTCAACAATGCAGATGCCCCGTTTAGGAGAGGTCACATTGACCGATGCAACAAGAACATCACCCGGATTGACGGCGAACTCGTCGTAATAGAGCACGAAGTTCGGATACCACTCGTACTATGCATCAGTGTACGGCTCGCCGTTAATAATATAGAAGTCGACATCGTTCAGGAGGATTGCGGTTATGTATGTTGCGCCGTCGACGCCGACCCAGGCCGAGGCGGCTTGATATGAGGTTGAGTTGCCCGTTGGAGTCGGAGTGGGCACGGTAATGGTTGCGCCGACTTAGGTATAAGTGGCGCTGGCTGGGGGGCTCTCACGGACAGCGCCGGCCCAGTTGGAGCTAAGGGCACCTTGCACGATGTGCTCGACGGAGCTCAATCCGGGCCTTGTTGATGAGCCGCCCTGGTCCTTTTGCAGGGGCCGTGAGCCGTGGGCTCTCCTGGCCGAATGTCCTCTCCGCGCTAGATCTGGCTGCTTCATGTCCGTAGCCAGAATCATCTCGAGGCCAAGGGAGGCTATTAGGTAACAAAGCCAGTTCCTCATCGTGGGAGTAAGAGATCGTTTGATCAGGGCCAATACCGGAAAACTCAAGCGGACCGGAAGAAAGCGGAGTATATGAACGGAGAGGAAAGCAAGAGAGTAAATCTCCCAAAAGCCAGAAAAACCAAGGTCATTTGGAAACCTACCCACGCTACCTAACCGAGACTTCCCCTATGGAGGTATGTGTATGCGAACTCCTGCCGACGACTTTAGAGTAAACCCGATATATGTGCTCCGACCTCCGACATCGCTCACAACTGCAACCCAATTGTCATCTTGGAAAATTACATCCTGGTCAAGGTCGGCGCAATTTGCATAGTCTGCAGTAGCCAACGCTAGCTGCCAACGGTGTGGTACCAAAGGCAATATTAGTCTGTCTAGTAGAAGGACCCATTTTACCGGAACAGCAACTCTTCAATCCAGACAGTACGGTAGTTTGTGCATGGCCTGTTTGGAACAATCGCGTACAACAGTCAGTCATAATAGCCGATGGAACCCGTCGCACAAGAAGCTATATAAGTGTACCTCTTGTTGCATCTGGAGTCTCCAGCCTAGCATACCAGTATACCTCTGTCTAAATCAGTGGCAGCAATGGTCCCGTCTCTTCTTCTTCATGCCTTCCTGGCAGTCTTGGCTAATGCTGGCGTTATGAAGCGGTGGTCGAACAGCAGCTTTGCCACTGGAAACACTGATCCTAATGTTACCACTGCATGCACGTACTGGGCCAACAGCATTGCGTCGGAGGACACCTGTGCCTCTCTCTCGAGCTACTTTGGGATCACACAGGGCCAGCTTATCTCCTGGGTACGTCTTCCTGTTCTCGATTGCATGAGTTGAGACACGGTTTCTGAGTGAAGTAGAACCCATCACTTTCCAGCACGGCCTGCTCTCTCATCGTCGGGAATTCCTACTGTGTTGAGGCACCAGCTGTGAAAACCACGACGACCAAATCAACGACCACTACGACATCATCCTCGACGACGACTACGGCTCAGACCACAACATCTACGACTGGCGGTGCTCCCGGCCCCACGCAGATTGGACTGGTCGCCAACTGCAATGCGTTCTACCTTGTAGAGTCCGGCGACACCTGCTATGATATTATGACTAGCTATGGCAACTTCACCCTGAGCCAGTTCTACTCATGGAATCCGTGAGTTTGGGCCCATAATGTGCCTCTCCGTAATATGAACTGACCACCCCTCATGCAGGGCCGTGGAAACTTCCTGCTCCGGCCTCCAGCCCGGTTACTATGTGTGCGTGGGCGTCGTGGGTTTATCCGGCACCACCACCACCCCTACCACAATGACCACGACAACCACCGCTAGTGTTAACGGGCCTACGCCGCAGCAAACTGGCATTGTTCCCAACTGTAAGCCGTCATCCCCATAGTACATGAACTCAACGTATATTGACCAAAATGTAGGCAACAAGTACTATCAGGTAGTCGAGAACGACAGGTGCCAATAAAAATCGCCAGTGGAAACGGTATCACCCTAGCCAACTTCTACAGCTGGAACCCAGCCGTGGGCTCCTCCTGCTCTTCCCTGTGGCTAGGCTACTACGTCTGCGTTGGCGTGTCAGGATCTGCAACCACCACCACCACGGCCAAAACAACCACAACATCGAATCCCACGACAACAACCGCCGGTGGCCCTAGTCCCACCCAGTCCGGTATGGTCTCCGGATGTACAAGCTACTACCAGGCTAAGTCCGGCGACACCTGCAGCAACATTCTCACAGGCTACTATTCGTACCTGACGCTGGCCAGTTCAAGACCTGGAATCCGGCTGTCGGCACCGGTTGCACGAACATGCAGGCGGGCTACTACTACTGCATGGCCACGGCTGATCTCGGCCCCCAGCCCGGTACCATCAGCACCTGCAAGAAGTACCATCTCGTCGCGAACGGAGACTCATGCTGGTCAATTGAGCAGAGTGCCGGCATCACCGCTGCCAACTTCAACACGTGGAACCCGGATGTTGGGTTGAGCTGTGCGTCGCTTTGGGTGGGCTATTATGTCTGTATTGGCGTCTAACCTTCGGCTGTGGCGAGGAAACAAATGTTAATTGGACGTGCGCTCATCTGGATGGAGTATGGCTGGGACTCTACGCGAGTCAATGCCGACGCGAAACATGGCGGTAAAATGATAGGAATGATAGGAACATGATGATTCATGTCTAGATATAGGAATTAGCACCACTTATGTAGATGTACTAGCCCAGGGCCCCGCACAAAATCATCCGTCACTGGATTAATGCGGAAGCCAAGAAGAACAAGAGATTATAAAGAACTAAACTGTCCCATTTCTTCATGTGTGCAAAATAGGAACCTGACCCTTATATATGGCCCCGTCGAATATGACGAATTCAGCCTCTTCTGGCATGACATTAATACCATTCTCCGGGAGCTGATCTTCGTTCAGAAAGCTGGTCCTTTGTCCACATCGTAGTTCATAAAATTCAGACAACAGTTCATCGAATATTTGTCGCTGGAGATTGATTCCCGCGACGTGCCCTCTCGCGTCACAAGCAATCCGTTCGACCACCCTTTCTTTGATGTGATGTGCCTGTTGCCATTTGTTTGTTTTGATCATCGCTGATAACAAGTCGTTTTCTTTGGCTATCAGAGGAATCCAATGTGAATCAGAGATGGCGCCCAACTTGGGCAAAGCATGAATATTGGTGTAGATTAATATTGGTGTAGATTAATATTGGTGTAGATTCTCAGTCAGTCCACCCGTACAAAGATAAGGAATTCAATGTCAAACTTATATCGCAGAAATCTCCATTACCATGTTCATAGTATTTCCCAAGACTCGTAGCCGTTCGCCCAAAATTCGGGATTCAATGCCCTCTAGGTCATGAAAACCGTTCCAATCCGAGTAGTAGAGAGAGTCATGACACATGATAGTACTTGTTCGGTTCTGCAGCTCGTTAGGTTTTACGGCTTGTAACAGGATTGTGAGGACTAACCATAGTATCGACCGGAAAGGTCCTTAACATTGAAACGAAATGCAGACCAGATATTAGGTTTTCTATATATCTTGCGTGGGACGCAGTCCCAAAAGCGACAGTGGCTACTGCTGCTAGGATTTTTTTGCAAGATAATTATTCGTTTCTTGTTAGTGAGCTTATCTTTAATGCAATTTTTTTCAAACGCAATTCGCTTGACTGGGTCCTGTGTGATCCTCTCCTATCTGCGCCACCGCTTGTCTCCCCAGCATTCCCGACCAACCGCCCCATCCCTCAACAAACGAGCCTGTCACAGCAAATAGTGTGATCGTTAACACTGGCACATCTTCTCCTACGGTCATAAATTGTATTCGCTAGTTATCGGACCTATCTATCAAGTCTAAGGCAACCTGGCTGGCTACAATAGATGGAACGCGAGTTATTGAAATGTTGGCAGACTAAATATGATTTGCTGTGAGTCATATTATCTGTTTCCCCTATCTTTGAACTATATCACTAGTTACGTTTATTTTTGATCCCGAAACCGCGGTTTACGAGCGTCTTTGGACTCAGCAGCCGTCTGATCTTTCGAACGTCGCTAAGTGGATTCTAAGAGGGGAGAATTATTTGCTCGAGTATCTTTCCATCGGGATATGCTCCCGTACTAGAGCATAGAGGACGGGGCATGTCTTGACCGTCTCTGGCATACTCTGTCTGCGGTAGAACGAGCTGCTGTTCAGGCTCAATGCCTTCAGGGTATCAAGGATTTTCGGCAAGTGGCCGTCCGTATTGATGACCGCGGGAATGCACAATGTTCTCTACAACACGGAGAATGGTGTGGTAACTTTGCTTGACTTCTAAAGACCCGTGGAAGTGGACAGCAACTCAATAATTCCTGTGTACTACGAGATGGAAGCTACCTTTCGTTCTGATTTGCTACTGGAACTTCTTTCTAGTGGCTAGTGCTGTGGTTATAAATTCGTTGCTTTGCTTCATGTGTGGGCTGAGATGCAATAGCAAGGCAAAGTCGGATTATTGACTACCAAGAACCGAATCTCAACTTTATAAATCAGTTTTTGAACCAATGTCGGACTAACTAACGGTCTAGATCAGATTGGAAAACCGTCCTGAATAGGAAGGAACATTTTTAATCATACAACAAATAAATTAATGGCGGGAATTTCATCCCTAGACTACCTGATTTATATCTGTCTGAAAGAATAAGTGGCACCGAAAGGAAGGATACATGCGTGGAGCCATCGAAATGGGTAAACAAAAGGACAGGGCAGAGACCAGTAATGAACGAGAGGGGTCACTTCAAGTCATACTGGAGTGTCAGAAGCGAGAGGAGGAGAAATATGAAGAAGAGGAAATACAAGGTCCACGGCGCTTGCAAATTGTCAGGTTGACACAAAGAAAAATCGACAGCGTCGTGACTGCTCAAATCTCCTCGAGCTCTCCATCGTATCCGTAGTCTTCCCCAGCTAAAAGACTCACATCATCCGATGCATTCTCCATGACCAAGTCCAACTCTATTGACGGGACAGTAAAAGCCATCCAGGGTTGCCGATTCATCTCTGGGATCAAACTGCTCCGGTTTGGAATCCTCTTCCGTGAATCTGTGTTTGACGACCAAGTGATCCCAGCCCTGCTTGACAGTCGTAAATTTATCGCTGCATCGGAGCTGCGAGCAACACAGGTAAGGCCAAACCTGCTTGTACGTGAGTCTTGATAGATGTCGAGAGAAATTCACGGTTGGTACAGGGGTGGCTCAAGCTCGTTTGTCCACCCATGGAAATCTGTCAAGTGTCTCTGGACATGCACACGTTCAAATGCTAGTGAATCACGCCCTGAGACTGGACATGGGATAGGCTTGAGACTGTAGAGCTGATCCCGAGATCCATCCCGTCGACGTGGCTTATTGAGCTCGATCGTCACCTGGGACTTTGTGAGGTTGTGGTCGATCAATAAGTGGTATCGAAGCCCCTCTCCTCCCTCCAACGGCAGGAAGGATGTCTCGCAATTCTCCACTGGGCGGACTAGGAGATTCGCGGCGGGGCGAAAACTCCTCTGCACCCCGAGCATCTCACTGCTCGTGTCCAGGTCGAGGCTGTAGGCTCTTGTTAGATGCTCACGAACTGAAGACCAATTCACCCATTCGTGATTTGGGCAATAGACATGAGTTTCAATGGGTTGAGTCCAATTGCACGCCAACTTCCAGTACTTTCACACAACAGAAAAATTTCGGACATAGTGAATGACAGGTACATCGAGTACCTCGAGACCCTAACAATACCTACTAAGTCTTTTACTTTAGATATGAAAAAAGACTGTTCAAAAGACTGTTCAAAAGACTGTTCGAAAGACTGTTCGAAAGACGTCTAGAAAGCTCTTTCATGAACGGGAAAGTTAAAGCATATATCTTCCATTACATTGCAAAACCATTTCTCCAATCTGAATATCAAGGGTCCACTTCCAGTGTACCTGTTCTCCACCACATTTGAAAATGGAATAGCGTGTCGTGCGAAAGCACAATTTATTGTGCGAATTAGCCTCAGCCTCGATATATAAGTCAGCAGTAAATAGACAAGCACTCCATTGCGTGGTCCTGTCTCGATCAGGTCATATATTTCTCGAAAGTGGCGCTTGTACTCCGAGTGGGTGTTCAACTTCACAGGGCAGTGAGGGCATTTGTAGCCTTGATCTGAGTGCATCATCTGCTTGTGTCTGCGGAGGTCATCCTTGGCGTGGAAGTCATTCCCATAGATGTCACAGACGAACGGTCGATCTGTCTTGCTGAGACCTTTGCAGACTTGCGAATGAAATCTGAACCGCGAGTATGTGAAGGTCTGGTACTGGCATTTGCCCCTTTTGCAATGGAACACGAATGGGGTTGGCTCTGCTCGACTGTGGCCATTGGTCTTTACTGCCTTCTCCCTTGATTCCTCGGTGTATGTGCCGATCTTCATGTCATTGATCTTCGCAAAGAAATCCACGAAGCTACTAGGAGAAGATAACAGCACATCGCCAGGGGTTACGGTTTTATCAGGTCGGAGCCGAGCCATAAGCGGAGCATGAGCAGTAATGAAGGCACCGGTGAGGCTTTCACTCATTTCGTCTTCCTCCGGATCGACTTCTTATATTGAGATCGGTCCACGTAGATAAGATTCTGGATAGAGTCGATCTCGGCATCTGTGATCTCATCGTGCCCGGTATCTGCGTTGATGTCCTCCTGCTTTGATGTGTTACATTAGCGGAACGTAACTTAGTTTCGAGGCTTAAGTCATGTCAGACTTACCCCTTCATCGAATGCGGCGTCCCCATAATCCACATCCGATTCGGCGCTGCTAGACGGTTCGTAATCCTCAGCCGCATCATTGTTCTCTTCCTTGCTCGCCTTCCGATGACGGGAACTTTCAAGGGACAATTCCTCGTCGCGGATCTGTTTCAATCTTCTTTTGGCACGTTGACGCTGGTTTGTATCATTCAGATCCATCTCGTTCGCCTCCATATACTGATTTATTGAACTTGTCTTGAATCTCTTCTTCTGTGGAATAAGATATGGAAGGAATATAGGCGCACGTTTGTCTTCTCTGTCAGCCTCGGCACGCAGATTGAAGAACAAGGCTTCAATCTCTTCAGCGTATCTATCGGTAACACCTTTCAGAAATTTCAGAAATAAACGGCTGTTACGACCCGCAACAGACGCAACGATTGCGCGGTTGGTAACATTCAGTTTGTCAGCTGGAAGCATTGCAACATCTCGAAGTGCATCTCTTCGAATCGCGTGTGTTGTCACTCGGCCAATAACTCCAGCAGCCTCGGCCATCGTTTTGAGCCAGTATCTTGTTATCTGTGCAGGAACAGGTTCATCGGGGAGAGTGGTCGTACGGCGACCGGTCCAGTAGCACAGTACTGGACGTTTGGGATGCTTCCATTGGACAGTGAGGTTATTTCGCCGACTCGTATCATTGAGTACCTCCTCAATTGTGGTTCCGTGGGTCTGACCAGTCCTCATTGCCATGATCAAGAGCCATTTGATCACGCACATGGTGTTCCCGGTGATTGGCTCGAAGGGATTCACCAGAAACGGTGTCCATCTCGGGGATTTTCCCAGGAGTTTTCGTGAACGTTAGTCAAAACAGACCGCCCTAAGGGGAGACGAGATAAGGTTGCAGTTTTACTTACTTGTTTCCTTTGGTGTAACGTAGAGTAAAAGTTGCTTCGAGGTCTTGTACCGTGGGTGGATTCGTGAATCCTCGCTGCAGAACAAGTTGCACATCCTTGTATGCTAAGTATACATCTCCAGTGTATAGAGGTGAACGCGCGACATCCCCAAACCGGGCACAGACGGCAGATTGTAAAGTAGAAGGCAGACTAGTAGGACCAAGTGACAACTCATCTTCAGTGTTCCTGGGGCCCCAGAGCGAAGTTGAAGGTTTTCGAACTTTTCCTCATTGTTCTTGTCTAACTGGGCAGCATTTTCGAGGAATGCAGCTGCAAGTCTTCGCCCACGGTTTGGATCCTTGATGAAGACCCCACCTTTCCGCGACGATGGAGTGCTCTCCATATTCACTGGCTCCACGAGCAAGTGACGAAGCAATCGAAGGAAGGGCAGGTCCAGTCTTTTGCGATGTGGAAGGAGATGTGGAAGGAGATGTGGAAGGAGATGTGGAAAGAGAGGTGGAAAGAGAGGTGGAAAGAGAGGAAGAGAGAGATCTAAGGGTATTCGAAAGCAGACATCTTTCCTATGTTCTACGTTAATATGAATGAAAGTTCTTCTGAAAAAGCCTCTCTTTTTTCTATTTTCTTGTTCTCTCCCTCCTTTGGGTTCCTTCTGTTTTAGGAACTCCCGTTTCACTTCATACTAGGTACATGATCCGACATGGGCGATCAGGGGTCTCATCAGAGAGGTTCCACCCGATTCAAGTCCGAAACTTATGCCAGGTTCTTTCCGATGCGAGATGATTCCGGCGCAACATTCTCAACGGCAGGGTCATCCTCGACAGTGTGCTCGTCGCGAATGGTTTGCTGAGAGAGATCCTGCGGAGCATTCTCAACAGAAGCTTCCTCACGAACGGGTTGCTCAGTCGGCCAGTCAGTGTTCGCATTGTCCGAGTCGCGAGACAGTTCTCCGGCGGCATGCTCAACAGAAGCTTCATCACGAACGGGTTGCTCAGCTGTCCCTGGAACTTGTCAATGGTGCCAGCGTGAACACCGTCGACCTGAAGACCGGGATGTTGAGCGTGGAGTACGGTAAGTATGTTGGCCACTTTTGCCCGTTGGGCTTCGTAAGGGACTATCACAGCAATATCCATTTCCTCAATCTTCTGTCGACGGAATTCAAGGAGATACCGGATCAGTTCTGCTGTAACTGACGCATAGGCCTGGTTTGATTGGGACTGCGAGCCCGTCTCCACATTGCCGTACGTATGTTGGAGATCAATCACGACTGCATTGCTTTCGCAGCTCAGACACCACTTGTTCCACTTTCGGATAAACCGAGCACGAATGTTGTCCCTGTGAGGTTGGTGACTGAGGACGTGGGTCTCCTCAACGACAAAAGACGACACCCGAGCGATATCGGGATGACACCGGAACTGTTCAGCGAATTCACCGACGATATTTCCATTGGCGACAAGTCGATTCAGGTGCGAATTTCTCATTTGCAAGCTCCATAGATTCTCCTGTTGACTGGTAGTGACGATCGGTCCAATCTGGTGTGGATCTCCGACATGAATGAAAGCCGTAGGGCGTAAGTGACAGGCTTTCCAACATCTGGTGGATCTACGGTCACTTATTCGCAGGGGTTAACCATTTTGCTACAAGGCAAGAAGGACAAAATCGAAACGGAATTTGCACGAATTCGCACTAAGCTTATGACTGACCCCGGGTATTTACCCGTATGGAATGTCATTTAGCTACAGTCCCAGACATCCGCTCTTCAGGCCTTTGGCAAACCGAGAACAGAACGTCTAATACCGTTGCAAGCAGTCATTTCTTGATTGGTTCAACTACGTCGAGGCAATTGCCTGCGTGCGAATAGCTACGCGGGGGTATTCTCGGTATTCTCTTTATCGGGTTCCTCGCCAGTACCCCAGTCGCTGTCATTGTTATTACCATGAACGTCATTGTCACAATCGAAACCATCGTCGTCGAACTGCCCGCAACCCAGAGCCCCGCTGAGCTTTTGGGACTGATCAAGTTTCCCGACGGCGTCCCTGCCTTTCGTCCCGGAAAGGGTGGAATTCTGCGTATGTATGTGTTTACTGGGCCTGATGTTCCTGACGAAAATGGTTCGATTGTGACAATGACGTTCATGGCAATGACAATGACAGCGACTGGGGTACTAACGAGGAACCCGATAAAGAGAATACCGAGAATACCTCCGCGCAGCTATTCGCACGCAGGCAATTGCCTCGACGTAGTTGAACCAATCAGGAAATGACTGCTTGCAACGGTATTAGACGTTCTGTTCTCGGTTTGCCAAAGGCCTGAAGAGCGGATGTCTGGGACTGTAGCTAAATGACATTCCATACGGGTAAATACCCGGGGTCAGTCATAAGCTTAGTGCGAATTCGTGCAAATTCCGTTTCGATTTTGTCCTTCTTGCCTTGTAGCAAAATGGTTAACCCCTGCGAATCGGTGATACCGTCCCGCAGACGATGCATGAAGTCGTCGTGGTTGCCAAATTCGAGAGGCCCAAAGAACCGAGTCCCTTTGCGAATGGTGTCATGTTTGAAATTGAACCGGAAGGCGAAGAGCTCCTGACGTTCAAGGTAGTATCAGCAGGTATCCAATTCGAGCATAGCTTGGTTATAGATGACTTTCGTGCCAGGTTCGTTGATTTGCTCGTGAAAGAGGGCGTCTCGTAGTGGATAAGTCTGTGAAAGGGAGAAATCGGTCAATCCTATATTCCTTGAAACGAAAGCGGGGTACACGACTTACTTCGTCTTGAAGGAAGCAGACTTCCTTCTAGTTGACACTCTGAATATCATCGTGGGTGAGTATGACTGTAGCTTTCACACGTCCAAGCCGGCTACCCCGGACATTGGGACCACGATCGAAAACGACGTCGATGACGATCTCCAATCAGAATCCCACGCGGCGTTTACGCGAGCCGCCATAGTAGACGATATCAGTCACAGTGAACAAGGGCAAAGTGGGAGACTGGGAGACTAGGAGACTGGGAGAGATAGTGTGAGGGTGTGAGGGTGTGAGGGTGTGAGGGTGTGAGGGTGTGAGGGTGTGAGGGTGTGAGGGTGTGAGGGTGTGAGGGTGTGAGGGTGTGAGGGTGTGAGGGTGTGAGGGTGTGAGGGTGTGAGGGTGTGAGGGTGTGAGGGTGTGAGGGTGTGAGGGTGTGAGGGTGTGAGGGTGTGAGGGTGTGAGGGTGTGAGGGTGTGAGGGTGTGAGGGTGTAAGGGTGTGAGGGTGTGAGGGTATGAGGGTGTGAGGGTGTGAGAGAATATGAGATGGTAGAGGTCTGAGGATAAGAGAAGACAGTGAAAAAAGAGCTCGATCTCGCCACTAGGACACGGTCTGTATCGTTTGAGACAGAGTGTCCCAGAGCGGGATATCTTTATGAAGTTGTTGACGAGGGGTGAATAGAAGAGAGGGTTAGAGGGTGGAAGAAGAAGCAGAACAGAAGAGAAGTGGGAAGGGGGGAAGATCCTTTTTATGTTTAACAGAGGTGAGCTCACTAACTGAGGGGATATTCCAAGGCAACAGTCGGAGATTTCCTCAGCAAACAAGGCAGCAAAGATAAATTTGAAGGCGGAAATAGGAAGTGAAAAAATGCTTCAAGCAAGCCAGGAGATACCTGTTGCTAGGGTAGTGTGCACGAGATATCCAAACCAAAAGGCGGCAACGGCACGAAGTCGATAGTATGTAGACACTCTTCTCATCGGGCGAAGAGTGTCAAAGGTGGAGGGAGGGGGAGGGGTTGTTGAGATTGAGGATGTACAAGGAGAGGAGAGGAGAGGAGAGGAAGAAGGGGAGAGAAAGAGGAAGTTGGAAGAAGAGTATGGGAACTAATATAGACCATAACACACATTGTTTGTGTGTGTATGTGTGTGTGCGTATGGAGACAAACCGTTCCTACATAGGGTAGCTGTATCTAAAGCCCTATATCTTTGTTTGGCTGATATATCAAACATCGTCAAACGCCATGGCAACCGCTTGGGGAGGCCGTCCAACACATAACAAGGATCCATTTGTGGATTCACAGTTGTGATGGACAGACAAAAAAAGAGATCGCCGCGCTGCTCGGTCCAGGAATTGCAATTCGTTCCCAGGGACCCCATCATGTTGATACTCATAGAGATCGGTCTCTAATTACAGAGCTCGGGAAAGATATTCATGTGTGGGCTCTCGTGTCTCCATATAACACGAGGCAATTACACATGTAGTTTGTTTGTTGGTAGCTAATAACGAATGAATTCCCTAAAACTAAAGCAATAGTACTGGAAGGATTCTCGAGACCAATTTCAGCTATCCAGTCATAAAGACCTTATGCTGGAGGAGGCGGAATTCGCACATCTTCTTCTCCAGTCAATTCCGGTGCCGTGGCATTTTCAGAACTGAAAGGGTGCCCACCGGTATTGAGACCCAGCTTAAGTTCTTCTCTTTGTTCAAAATGAACTGTGTTCTCGTGGTCAGAATGAAAGGCGATGCTCTGCCCTATCATTGCAGGCCCCTGTAGTAATTCTCTGTCAATACCTTCGTTTTTTGAGCTGCCTCCCCGATGAATATCATCCTGACAAACTCCACCGGGACCATAAGAATGTCGTATCGTTCTAAAATCAGTTACGTAGGTAAGCCTATGTCAGATAGATATCCCCATTTCGTGCCTCCCGGCTGCTTTCCCACCACATTCACTGATGATAAATTGTTGGATTTGGAAAGACATGCTCAAAAGACATGTTCAAAAGACATGTTCAAAAGACATTCAGCATAAGGTGCTAGGAGACGGTTAGAAAAAGGTGTTCAAAAGACAGTTAGTTAGAAAAAGCTGTCAGAAGGAAAATCGGAAAGAGGTGTTCAAAAGAGGGTTGGAAAGACATGTTAGAAAGAAGCCCGCCTATTAATTATCGCTAAGACGGCTACATATCCAAAAGGGTAATGGCCATATTTTTTGATGCCAATTTCTACCCAAATCGGGATCAGAAAAAAGTTGATCTCTAAACACACCCACGTCTGATAATGTGACCACGTCTAGCAATATACGGTATGCAGTCTAGAGGAGCCTAATTTGAAATTGTATCAGTCAAAAATGAAGACTCCTAGTCCCTGGATGCTCCAACTTCGTCCTTGCTGTTCACAGGGTGCATCCCCTCGAGGTCACGTGACTCTGTTTAGATCCGTACACAACTCACCAGTACAGTTTTTCATCGTCCCAGCAAAACCAGACGTGAAGTTTCCAATGATACTATTATATCGTCTATTTCAATTGGATATCCAGTATATTGCAAAATGAAGTCTGTAGGTGAACGGGGTGATGTCAAAAAAAAAGCATTGGGGAAGGAGAGCGGGTGAAATGACCGCACGTCATCGAGGGGTCTCCTATGCACTCCCTGTCGGCACCCGACTACGCTTCTTTGAGCAGCCCTTCATCTGCTCCATCGAGGACAATCCTGATAATGATTCATTTACCAGCTAATTTAGCGCACGGGATACAATTCCTTAAATTCTCCGAAATACCGATTTGCAAGGATTGACAAGTTCTAACGATGGACTGACACAGCTCCAGGGGTGAGGATAGCATCAACGTCCACCAAACACATCCCTGCCAGACCTGTGAGCTCCTCCATTGTGACATTCCAGCCGATCAGCAGACAGGAAATTTGTACCAGTCAGTCAGTCCAGTCAGTGGGCTTCGCAAAGGCCATGTTCGCCGCTGGGATTCTTGCCATGCCGGACTCCTCGGTTGGCACATTCCACCCCTCCACACCCAGGCGCGTCGACGCGCTCCCAGCCTGGCTGTGCTGGCTTAATTGAATCCTTCTTTTAGTCTCTGTCGATTCTCGTGCTGCTACATGACTGTCTCGCGACAAGCTGATAACTCTACAACTGGTTTGTGTCTGGCCAGGCGGTTGTTATCCTTCCATCGCCCTTTACACGATAGTCACTTAGAGAGTGCCTCCAGCTCTTACGCTCATATCCTTTGAATTTCAGGCTTTGTCCGCGACGCTGCAGGGCAGCTCGCACACTTCAACAACGCGGTCATGGCTACTGGATTCTCTCCCACGCCTCGAAAGGAAGGCACTTGGACCAAATTGGTGATATTCATTTCGCTGTATTGTCTGATCCTCGAGTCCATCGTAGGACTGGTCCTTGTCTTCTATTTGTACGGCAATCATCTAGTTGATTCGAAGATGACCCTAAGCTTGATCCTATGCATGGTCGCTGTACGTATTCATACTGATGCCGATTTCGAACCATATACTAACCTCTCTGACAGTCCTTTCTCACCATCCCGCTGATCTCTCTCCAGAGCTTGGTCGCCTGGCAGTATAACAAGATTGGGGGATTTGGAGAACAGAAAACTGTCCTACACAATATCTGTACCTACTTTCTCCGACTGGATCTTATGCTGTGGCTCGCCGCGAGTGTCACGGGTTTGATCGTGGCCGCCCAGCAAGTTGCTTGTCTTCCGGCCGGAACGGATGCCAGCTACTGGAGAGTCGGTACCAGCTGTGTGTTCCATCGATCATCGGTCATTGTATCCGTTGTTTCATTGTGAGTCCATGATAATTGGAGGCCATTTTCAATCATATCTAACGCGTATTCCTCCAGGGTCACGGTCTGTACTATGTATTGCGCACGAGAGCTTTGTGATCGCCCATACGACGTATCCATCATTGGAATTTACAAGCGCTCCCAGGCCCTTCGCAACGGCAGCGTCTTCTCCGGCCATAGCTGGGACAGCGACGAAACCCTCAAAAACGAGATATTGAATCTTTGCCGCCAGCATGACGGGAAAGCCAATGAAGAACCTTGGTTCTTTGACCCCCTGGCCGATAAGGTGAACTGCCATCCCAGCATCCGTCATCCTGCGCCCGTTCGCCTGCGTCCACAGCTTCGAGTCAACACAAATCCCGGCTCAGAATACGGGGAAATTGCATCTGGAACGACGGTATCACCTGATGGCTCGTTGTCTCGCCTCTCCCCTGGTGGCCAAACAATCGTGAGCGACTTCTATCCGATATCACGTACTTCTACAGTCATGACATCGCAAACTGCCTGCGAATCACGAACATTTCTTTCCGATTTCCCAGTCCCGAAGGTACCAGAAATTCCAGCACAGTACACGACAAACCACAAGAGAGGAAAGTCGTCGTTATCCTCATTCAGACGATTCCTTCCCAAGTCCTTCCCGCTCTCCTTGCCATTGTCATCCGATCCTCAAATTCTTGCCCTCGCCGATCCAAACGCAGCATCAGACGTGGAGAAGCAAGTCGTTACGCCATCCCCATCTAGCAAAAACCTCGCAGCGACTGCCGCAGATGCGCCAGCCAACGAAAGTCAAAGCTCGCCAGCTTCCAACGCGACTCAAACTTCTCCCAAGACAGCGCAACCCACAAAAGCTAAACCAGATGGCCACGCTCGTACAATGACTATGAACTCAGCCGATGCCCCAGAGGTCGTTATGTCGGCAGAGCCCAGGAAAGTTCGCCGATCCCAGACCGCAAGCTTAGCTCAACCAACAATGTCCATCCACCACCCACACCATCCTCACTACATTCCTGGACCATCAATCCCTCCACCTCCACGAAAATACTCCTCGTCATGCCGCCAGAACTCCGCCGTGCCACCATTACATGTCGAGCCCTCACGCCGAGCAACGTCCCGCCAGCACCAAAAATATGCTGTCCATTATCCAGTCCGCAGTAGCTCTCACTCCTTCGACAAGCCTCATATGCCACGACATACCCAGAGCCAGCACCATGCAAATTGGTACCCACAACCACCCCGTTGGCCTAATCAACAGGTTTTTGATCCTAGCCGCTCGGTGCCAAACCTGCCACGCCGCAGTGATGTTGAGATTCTCTATCCCAGTACCCGCCGGCCGCGCAGCAGTACACATGGTGGCTTCAATGGTCCGTTGAGCTGTATCATGGAGTCTAGTTCGATTCCGCAGGTCTCTATCGACGATAACAAGTTCGGTTCTGTGGCTTCGGAGGCCAAGCGCAATGTGCTCGATCAAACGACTTATCGCGGTGCGAATCGAACTAGTCTTGGCTTTTACTGAAGATCTCAAGTGTTACTTATTGTCTGCTGGTCAGACTTGATTTTGTTTCTCAGTTACGTTTAGCTTATAGTTGTATTTGCGGTTGGGAAAGGGAACGATATGGAGGATGCTTTGAAGAGGTGGACTGGCATGTTTTGATACATGGACTTAGATTAGCTTCCATACTTGAAATGAATAGTACTTCGTGAACAAGACATGATCAAAAATCAATCAATTTCGGAAGGTTGACAAGCGGATCTCAATTTAGCTAGAACCAAGCGCAACACGAAAACGCCTTAACCAAAGCAGCCAGTGCAATGCCCAAAAAAAAACCAACACCAATAGATCCATCCACCCAGCCATCCATAATGCAAAGCTAAAACAAGCAACAATCCTTACAAGGGAAATGCTTCATACTTTCTTCTCTCCCGTCCTAGATCGATGCTTCTGCGCATACTTGTACTTGTACGCCTGTCCCTGCTTAACATCCGCATCATCACCATCCCGCCGATGTCTCTCCTTCCCCTCAGCCAACGGACCAGGACCTTTGCCCAATTCCTTCTCTCCCCAATACATCATAAGAGCCTTGGCCATACGATCACGTTCTTTCAGCAGTAAATCCACACGACGTTCCCATTCACGTTCTCGTCTATCAACAGACAATGCGATGCGCTCGTCCACGGCTGCGGCGGTCTCATCCTTGGCGGCGATAACAGCCTCCAGTCGTCTGATTTCAGACTTGAATGTTTTTCGCAATTGGGATTCTTGGGTTGCAATCGAGGCGCGGATAGTTGTCAGCTCAGTGCGGATCTCTGCTTCACGCTGTTCGGCAGTTGTGAGTGAATTGCGGATCTTCCGCATGGATTCGGCGTGGGAGGAACGGAGGGTGGAGATTGCTGTGGAGTGCACGGTTTGCAGGCTTCGGATCTGAGCTTGGTGGGTGGCTTCTAGCTCTGCGGTCTTGGCAGCCTCTCGTACTTCTACATGGTCGGCGCCGCGAGTCTGAGGAGGTGAAGGTGGTGGGCTTGGGGGTTCGTCGATGGCTTCTTCTTCGAGACGAGCAATAGTCTCGAGACACTCAGCGTGCTCTTCTTGTGTACGCGTCAACTCGTGTTGGGTATTGTTTAGGTCGGATGTCAGCTCTTCCACTCTTGTGGTAAGGCGCGAGTTCTCCTTTTCGATCGTTTTGATCAGGTTTTGTGTCTCTGAGAGCTGTTCTCTGAGGCGGCCAGCCTCGGCATCTGCAGCCTTCTGAGCGGCGGTGGCTTCTTGCAGCTCCTGCTGAAGCCTGGAGATCTCCTGACCGATTTGCATATCGCTTTCTTCAAAGGACTTCTCCTTGGGTGGAGAGCCAGGTCTTGGCGATGGTTCCTCACCACCAAGATCTTTGATCAGATCAAGGATTTCGCTATAAGTGCTTCGGCTACCGATGGGCAGATCTGCTGCCACGGCTTTCAGAGCACTTTCTTGAGCCTCTACCTGTGACTGGGCACGGGTGAGATCTGCCTCGAGGGAGTGATTCCTCTCCTCAAGTGGTGCACTCTTAATCTCCAGAGCAGTCAGGCGGTCTTCGAGCGTCTCGTAGTCCCTATTGACGCGCTCAAGTTCAGTCTCCAGTCTCTCGTTCTCCAGAGCGTGGTCATCAATCTCGCCCTTGAGCCTGTCGATTTCAGTATTCTTCTCGTGGAGCTGGACTTCCTTTGCTCGGGTGACTTCTTTCAGCTTGGTCATGGTTTCGTCCAAGGTTTCATCGCGCTTCTTAAGTTGTTCTTGGGTGAGATGCAGTTGCTGCCGCAGATGAGAAATCGTTTCCAAGCGCTCAGCATCAAGCGAGCTCTGGGAATCCCTGCTTTGCAGCTGCTTCTGCATGTCTCGAAGTTGTTGCTCGACGGCGCCCAAGTCCGGCTGACTGACTGTTGATTGCTGCAGTAGCTTCTCGCGTTGATCGTTTTGCCGCTGGAGGGCCTCTATTTGCTCACGCAGCTTCGCTTCGTCGCCGCTCCTGGCAGTAATTTCGTCCAACTGCTCGTTCTTGATCTGTAGCTCGGCTTGTAGGTGTCGGATTTGCTCTACAGCCGAAACAGCCTCGAGGACGCGCTTGCGATTTTTGTGCAACTGCTCATCTCGGTTCTGAACTTCGTCTTCCAGCTCAGCGATGCGCTGCTGCAAGCGCTGTTCTAGATTTTCCGCCTCATCATCCGAGTTCATCGACATCTTGCGCTCGGACGGGGATGCCATGGCGGAGAGCTCATCATTTGGATCCTCCTCGATATCTTCCAGCTGCGTTGAATCCCTTGCAAGTGCGCTAGTTCTGTGCAAGAGATGCGACGGTGTTGACATATCGACTGGAGGCCCGAACTCGCTGATTTCGCCCGACTCTACATCCTCTTCAACGGCCGGTTGTTGTGGTCTCGTGGAGTTATATTGCGACGCTGATCCTGGCAGCTCACTGCGCTCACTGACCCGGCTTTTCCTGACGCTCGACATGCCCTCGCCCATCAGATATCTCTCCATATTTGCGGTGAAGTCTTCCGGCCCGCCCACATCGGATAACTTGTCTTCTTCATTCTCCGGGTCCGGGAGTGGTGGCCCATCCTTGCCATCCAGGAATTTGCTGCTCGGAAACGCGCTGAAATCGAGAGTATAATCGGCGAGGCGCGCATCTAAGTCGAAACTGCTTGGGCTTCCTGGGGTTGACGGGCGGGACAAGTCCTGTAGCTGGTCCTCGTGATGCGATCCTTCATTGCTTACATGTGCTTCGTCATCGCCATCGTCATCGTCATGATGAGGGTCAAAGTGCTCAGAGGCCGGGCTCTCGGGGCGTGGTGGAGATTGTGGTGACCGTGGTGACTGCGGAGATCTTGGAGATTGAGGTGATTGCGGTGCTTCTGTCGCGGGACTGGAAGGTTGTTGCGGCGGAGAAGAAGGCATAAACAGTGGAGTTACAAGAGTAGACTGCCCGATGGTATCATGGGAAGTCGGAAACGGCGACGTGTAGCCCGTGTTGGCCATGATCGCCGACGCGTAGCTTGAAACAAGATCGATCGGGGCGCTGCGCGCGCGATAAGAGGAAAGGAGAGATCAGGTGTCGGTCTCAATACTGGCAGCTGAGTCACACTTTATGCCATCAAGGACTCTCAAAATAGATATCAGGATAACAATAGCAATGGCCAGTAGTGACACTCGAAACTCGGAACAGTCGCGGGATGGATTGCGGATGCCGATGATTTATGGCTGCCTGAGGCGTGATGTTTACTTGCTGCCATTTCTGGACTAGCGGATTATCACTCCCTTTCTTTCTACAGTACTTTCTATTTTCATATTTGTTTTAGAGATCATCAAATTGTATATATCCATTCTGATATCTTGCATCAGTCCGTGGTTTTCACTCAAGTTTGCCATTCTTCAAACGTTGGCGGCACCACGGGAGGCTGATGCGTACGTCTTCCTAGCCCAATTTCGCGCTTCTGTGCCTGTGTCGCGGCTTCTGCCAGCTCTCTGTCTGCTTTGCGAGTGGCACGACCACCTCTAGACGCGATTTCATGCTATAGATTTGGTTAGCGGAAACATGCACTCGAATCACTGATCTTTGGTGCTACTCCAGGAGTACAATCATACCTGCTTCTCCGGGTCCATGTCATGGAATCCGCCAACACCTCGAGCTTTGCCGCCCTTTTTACCTCCACGATGGCCGATCTCTGACATCTCTTCTCGTGGTCGGTTTGCAAAGTTTCCTGGATTAGGGTGCTTAGGTGTCGCAGTGGCGACGCCACAGCGGTGCCAGACCGCTATCCGTCTGGACTGAAGACGAGGCGCTAGACGAATTACAGGGTATAACATCTTTAAAAAACGAGGCAAGTAAGAAATCAGTGTTCAGAAGTTAAAAGGTGATGTTAGGGAGAAGTTGAAACGAGTATCAAAAACCTTTAAAAGGTTCTTCGTGTGCGAAAGTCCGAGTTCTTATACTTAGTGACGTTTGTCGCCGCTTCGCTCACAATACAACGAGTGTATGGAATGGTACTCCAATAAGCAACGTTAATGACCCTGATTTGCCCCATTTGCTCCAGCAAATCACTATTCTATTCAAGGTTGACTTTCATGAGCCCCCATATTTCCACTAATTGGAGGGGCGACTTCGAATCATTTGAGAACGGTTTCGTCCAAGCTTCCTCCGTCCGGAATTGAATCCGAGTCTCAAGATTGAAGTCATTGAGATTAATTGCCTCCAGTCAGCCAGACCCCTTGGCCAAGCCAACCGAGACATGAAAAGGCCATATAGCTAAGCTAGACTGCTGCCATCAGACTCGGTGTCGAGTCCTTCTCCCCGGATGATTTCGTCTACGCTTCCCACTGTCGCTGAAGATCGCCTGAAGCACATAAGAGACTCATCAATACGGAATATGCACTCACTGTGATCATTCATGATTGAAAAGTACATGGCCTTGTTGACAAACATATCTCCACCCGTGTAGTAGGCAGAATTAACGTTGCAACATTATTTGCCGCTGCTGGGCTTGTGAGGCCCCTCTTAACTTGGCGGAGATTATGAGGGATATAATATTGATAAATCAGGACTGATTGAAACGAAACTCCTACTGACTTCATGAATATACGGTCGAAAATCCCAATTGTACTTCCGAAGTACATTTCATGCATCCACCTCCCGCTTAGTCACTGTTCCATGCGGCGGGGCGCTAAGTTAATCATCCATGAGGCTCCATGAGGGGAGATAGCGGCCAATATATCCCATAATATCTTTTCATCTCTTTCCACTTGTGCTGTTCTTGGAGAGAAAGCAGTGTCGCCAACTATACTGCCCCTAGGTGATCGTCACGGCCTCCTGTTCCGAGTCCCGCTTTAGTGTATCTCAGGGGGGGCCCACCGTCTGGTCCGTCTCTGACCAAATTCCCCAACCAGACAAGCATACCTGACCCTATTCAAACACACTCTGGGGTGTGAGCAAACCACATCAATATCACTTCAATATGCCTCCGATTCCAGGTGGCACGCGGGAGCGACGTCGCCTGATCTGCTACCATCAAACACTGATTCCCGGCGATGGGCCATACGTGTCTATGCTCCCTCTTTTGGAGCACAATACCGGCATCACGCACGTTATTCTTGCCGCTATCCATCTGAATGAGGGACCGGGAAACATCACGCTCAACGATGACCCCCCTGAGAACCCTAAATTCAACCCGCTTTGGGCGGAGGTGCCCCCCATGAAAGAAGGCGGGGTGAAGATAATGGGAATGCTAGGAGGGGCCGCTCAGGGTTCTTTCCAGCGTCTCGATGGCAGCCTAGAGCAATTCGAAGAATATTACGGCCCTCTACTAGCTATTGTACGACGCTATGGACTCGAGGGACTTGATCTCGATGTTGAGGAGGAAATGTCCCTTCAGGGTATCATCCGGTTGATCGACAGGCTGAAGAGTGACATGGGTGATAACTTCATAGTTACCTTGGCTCCCGTGGCAGCTGCATTGCTAGGAATCGGCAATTTGTCCGGGTTCGATTATCGAGAGCTGGAACAGGCGCGCGCTTCAAAGATCGACTGGTACAACGCCCAATTCTATAATGGCTGGGGCCCAGCCGAAGACCCGCGAATGTATGCCGCCATCATGGCTCAGGGCTGGTCTCCCCGGCGTGTGGTCTATGGACTACTGACGAACCCTGGAAATGGATCACAGGGGTATGTGTCTCGAGAGAAGATCAGTGTCGTTCTGGCGACTTTGGTCGAACAGTTCCCGAACTTTGGTGGTGTGATGGGCTGGGAGTATTTCAATGCAATGCCAGGCGGGCACGAGAAACCATGGCAGTGGGCAGCGGATATGTCGTTGAGTATGGGAATGAAGGACGTAGTGGTTGCAGCTCGTCAAGTGTTGGCGGCTGGCCCGATGGCCAATAGTTTAAACAATCTGCTGCAGGATATGATGAACCAAGGACGTGGATTATGATGCGGAGATGGAAGGAGGGATATATACCCATGGAGAGGGGATCTATACATGGTAGTCTAATTTTGAAATTACATACAAGCGTTATGAGATGTCATATTAAGATGAATTTTAAGTTAAATCCTCAATAGAGTCGTGTTTAAAGGCAATGTTGTGGCCTGCAGGACGAGGCTACGAATAACGTCATCGTCCATGGCAAACACCAATCACCACCGCCAAAACAAACATGACTGGCTCCAGACATTCGTCAATCGAAATTCCAGGATCTCAAACCTTAAGAAGATCTTCTTTATGCTCCTGCATCCTCCCGTGAGCTGATCCTTAATCCTCACTTGGTCACTGGGTAAACTGTGAAGACTGTGAAGATGGCATCCCTGCCGCGCATTGCCGCAGCCACCAGCTCGACGGCCATTCGCCTGTTTGGCTTCATTTTTCTCAGATGGGTATGAATAGTGATCAACACAATGAATACTCTTAATTCTAACGACTCTAGATCCCTGGTCATCATTTTGTGCCCATTATCTTTACCTCGCTGGCGGTGTATTTGACATCCCTTGTGTCGCTGGATGACCAGCCCTCTCGCAATCGCGGCAAGAAGAACAAAAATAGTAAGTGCTTGATCTTGCGAATATCATCATTCGGTATGATCTAATGTATACCACCCAGAAAGCACTCGAGGCTCAAGAACTCAGCAATCCGGCGATTCCGTACTGAAGACGCTGTTGACAGGCCTTCCTTCCAGGCGGTCGCCGCTGTTGACCTGGACAACAGTCTTGATCAACATCGCGGTGGCAGTGCTAACGCTCGACTTTCTGATTCGAGGCCTGGTTCTTTACCCAAGCACCGATGTCTCATTTTCTCGGATTGGTTATGTCTCGCCAACCACGGCAAACCTACTCCTCCGCGAGCCAGATCAAAGTCAATTGCCCGTGGTGGTCTCCTACCAAGAGGCTTCTTCACAGTCCTCCCAGAAGTGGACTCAAGAAGGCACAGTATACAAATTGGACAACAGCACTGATTTCACAGCGACTGTAACACTGCGAAACTTGAAGCCCTCAACCGAATACAGATATTCGCTATCCAGCAATAAATCAGGTAGCTTTGTAACGGCGCCGCGGCCTGGATCTCCCGCAGCGAACAGGCTATCCTTCGTCACATCAAGCTGCATAAAGCCAAACTTCCCATACAACCTTCTCTCGCACCCGTTAAAGGTCCCGGGTATCGAGCAGATGACCGAGGCTCTTGGAAAACTACCCGCGCTTCTGCGACCAGCCTTCATGTTGTTCCTGGGTGACTTTGTTTATATCGACGTACCCTTCCGATTCGGCTCTTCCATGGACCACTATCGCAGCGAATACAGACGGATATACTCCTCGCCTTCATGGACTGCCAGTTCCGTGGACGGTCCTGCCATCGATCTCCCCTGGATCCACACTCTCGACGACCACGAGATAGAAAACGACTGGTCGCAGGGTAACAAGACAGCGCCTTACCCAGCAGCCGCAGATCCATTCCTACACTATCATGTTGCCGCCAACCCGCCCGTCCCGGAAAAAGCGTTCGCTCATCCCGACGATGTAACGTACTTCTCCTTCATCAACGGGCCGGCCTCATTCTTCATGCTTGACACCCGAACCTACCGCTCCGAGCCGTCGCAGACCAATTCTACCATCCTCGGCTATGCCCAACTCCAATCACTACTAGCATATCTATCCACCCCAGAGCCGGACGGTGTCCACTGGAAGATAATTAGCTCCAGCGTCCCGTTCACCAAAAACTGGCACGTGGGCACAGCAGATACATGGGGCGGCTTCCTGAACGAGCGTCAAACCGTCTTCGAAGCAATGTGGCGCGCGGAACGCGAACTTGGCGTACGAGTCGTTCTTCTAAGCGGTGACAGACACGAATTTGGCGCCACGCGATTCCCAGATCCTGGTCTTGGACTTCCTCCGTCCGAATTCCAGTCTGACACGGCGGGCTTGGGCGTGCATGAGTTCAGCGTTGGTCCGTTGAGCATGTTTTACCTCCCCGTTCGCTCGTATTATCAGACCGATGATGAGGATGTTTCGGTGAAGTATGCACCGGATGGGAATAGTAAGTTTGGTTATATTGATATCGCGGAGGGTGTTGATGAGGTTGATCCCACTGCCGAGGCACCTGTGCCGGTGCGAAGCTCGATTTTTACATACTCGTTGTATGTTGATGGTGAGGTTGTTTGGAAGTATCGTCTTAGTGTTCCGCTGGTGGTAGATGCCAGTTCCGGTGCGCCTCGAGACTTCGGCGAGAAGGTTCATCTTCCAGCTGGACGGGTTCTGGAGGATAAGCTTGTTAAGAAGAGCTGGGACGTTGCGTTCAAGACTGCCATCGGTAGAACGGAGGAGCTTGCTCGTTCTTGTCTTGATAAAGCCACTGCGGCTTATTATTTGCCTTTTTCATATGTTCGACGCTACAGAGATACTTGATTAGAAGTGCAGGGATCAACGGGAGTCTTGGTCAGGTTCAGCCACCAAATACTTATCCCGCCAAAGACAGTCGTATGTACGTTTAGATTAATCACAGAGGAATCAAAATTGGAATCAAGTCTCCATGGGAGTGGCATCAATCGGGCATATAAATTGATTTAAAACATAGTAGACCTATTCATATCGACAGTCGTCATGATGTCCAGGCCACAGAGAATGTACGATATCTTCAAAATTCCAAACGCCAGCCAGATGCAAAGTCGACGAACCATCAATGGGTATGGGGAAATACAAAGGGGGGACAAGTCACAACGGGGCTTTTGCAAACTACCGTCCGCGTCCACGCCCACCACCGCCACCTCCCATGCCTCCCATTCCACCCATCAACCCGCCCATTTGGCTCATCATACTTTGCAAGTCCATACCTCCAAGTCCAGGCATACCGCCACCACCTTGGCCGCCGCCCATCATCTGCATCATCTTGGCCATATCACCCATACCGGGCATGCCACCCATTCCACCGGCACCGCCCATGGCAGCCATACGCTTCTGCATGGCGGCGAGCTGCTGTTGGTTGTTACCACCCTTCAGCATGTTCTGCGCCCGCTGCATCTGCTTCTTCTGGCCACCGACCCGCTTGGCCATACCGGCCATCATGCGGTGCTGGGACAGGAGGTCTTCAACCTCACGAACAGTGGTACCACTGCCGTGGGCAATGCGAACCATACGGCTCGGCTGGTCCACGAAGGTCTTGCCGTCGCTGTCCAACTCGGCAGCAGTCATACTGTCGAAAATGTAGATCATGCGGCGGAGCTTCATAGAACCGTCCTCGTCATCCAGGCCCTGGGTCAGGTTGGAAAGACCGGGAATCATGCCCGACAATTTGGACAGAGGACCCATCTTCATAATGGACGTAATGTTCTCGCGGAAATCACGAATGGTGTAGATACCCTCGGCAATGTGCTTGTAGGTCTCCTTTGCTGAACTGGAATCCTTGGTGATGGCCTGTACGTGCTCGACAAGACTGGCAACATCGCCCATGCCCAAAAGCTTCTGAACGAATGCACGAGGCTCAAATCGCTCAAGATCCATCATGTGCTCACCAGTACCGAGGAAGATGATAGGGGTGTGTGTAGCGGCAACGGCGGAGATGGCACCACCACCGGCGGCATTACCGTCGGTCTTGGTGATGATAATGGCACCAAAGTCGGCGGTGGCCTTGAAAGCAGACGACTGGGACTCGGCAGCCTGACCGATAGTACCGTCAAGAACCAGAATGGTCTGGTCAGGGGTGACGGCAGTCTGAATCTGGGTCATCTCGGTGAAGAGCTCCTCCTCCTGACGGTGACGACCACTAGTATCCACGATAATAATATCGAACCGTTCCTTCTTGAACTTGGCGACACCCTCGGCTGCCACGATGGCGGGATCGGTCTGGGTCAAGCTACCGTAGTATGGAATCTTGGCCTTGGTCGCATTCTGCTTCAGCTGGTCAAAGGCACCAGCACGGAAGGTATCCGCGCAGACCAGCGCCGTCTTGAATCCACGAGTCTGGTAGTGACGAGCCAACTTGGTACAGGTAGTGGTCTTACCCGCACCTTGAAGGCCAACGAACATGATCACATTGGGGCGACCCTTCTTGGGGCGGAAGGGCTGCGCATGAGGGTCGACCAATGCCACCAGCTCATCGAAGACGGTCTTCTGGATCAGACGTTTCTTGTTGACAGCGGCGGGGAGGGAGGAGAAGTTGACGCTAGTTTTGATGGACTTGCGAAGGGTCTGGACGAGACGGACGTTGACATCGGCGGAGAGGAGGGCAGCACAGATCTCTTTAAGCATGTCATCGAATGCCTGGCCGGGTTAGCATACACAGTCGTTGAGGCCCACACTGAGGCAAGAGTAATGCGCACCTTCTCATCGAGGCTGTTAGACCTCGTTAGGTCATTGACGGCGGAGTTGATACGCCGCCCAAGATCCTGAAGAACCATGATGGATGGTTGAAGGAGACTGTAGGAGAGTTAATTGACAGCAACCATGGGGATACCCAAACGGAAGACAGCACAAGTGGAGGGGCGACAGCCGAAAGGCCAAGGAGGCAATGCGGAGTCCCAATCGGAGAGCGGGAGGGTCTCACCGCCCTAAAAAAAAGTTGAACCGCTTGAAGATGAACCTGCTCCAACTTGCAGTTGATACCCCCCGACTTTCAAATTTAAATTCCTTTCACAATGGTTGGGTCATATTCAAAGAAGCGCAAGGTCCAGGATGGAATGCAGGGCAAGACCAGTCGGCCCAAGAAGTTCCGCAGGCAGCGCGAGTATCACAGCGGCTCCGAGGACGAGCAGGACGATGATGGCACTTTCAAGCCTGTCAATCTCGGCGATTCAGATGAGGAGGGAGGTGTTTCAGTGAACAGTATCCCTGTTGTTCCCCGTGTTCCCAAGAAGACCACCAAGGCGACACCTGCACCCAAGCAAAAACCTGCCGCCGACGCAAAAGATTCCGACGACCACGACAACGATGGGGAGGACGACGAAGCTGATGAGGAAGACCTCGATGCCTCTGGCTCTGAAGAAAACGATGATCTTTCCGATGATGAGCAATCTACTACAGGCGGCAAGCGCCGTCCTATCGCCAAGCGCAACGATCCCACTGCTTTCTCTACGTCCATCTCCAAAATTCTGTCCACCAAGCTCCCAGCCTCTGCCCGCGCCGACCCCGTCCTTTCCCGAAGCAGATATGCTGCGCAAACAAGCAGTGAATGGGATAATGAGAAACTCGACAAGCAAGCTCGTGCTAAGATGCGCGCCGAGAAGAAGGAGGAATTGGACCGCGGCCGTGTTCGTGATGTGATGGGTATTGAGAGAGGTCTGACCGGACAAGTTGGAGAGGAGGAGAAGCGCCTGCGCAAGACTGCGCAACGTGGTGTTGTCAAGCTGTTCAATGCTGTTCGTGCTGCTCAGGTTCGGGGTGAAGAGGCTGCCAGAGACGAGCGCAAGAAGGGAACTGTTGGTATGGGAGAGCGGGAGAAGGCTGTCAATGAGGTCAGTAAGCAGGGCTTCTTGGAGCTGATCAATGGCAAGAAGGGAAAGCCTTTGAATATTGAGGAGGCTTAAAAAGGGATCTATGATTACTACCCATGGCATGTTTCCGGCGTTGGGAGATTTCACCTTACTGTTTTTATCTTTTCTGTTGTTTTTCGATTCACCTGTAAATCAGTGTTATGGAATGTTCTTATACAAATGGTACAGGAGATGTTTCATTCGGTATCTTGCAGGTCTGCTCGCCCAAATTTAATGCAAAATAATACAAGGTCCCTCGGGACTGAAGTGTTCTCATCTTTGCTCCCGTTCATGGATATCTACTCCATAGACATGACTCCCCAGTTTTGATTAATCTCCCACTCATTTCGACTCAAAGTCACTCGCCTGGAGGTTTCGGGTCATAGAGGGCAGGCGCACAACCAGGCCATCCATTTCCTTGGTCATGATCACCTGGCAGCCCAATCGCGATGTCTCCGTCAGACCAAAGGCAAGATCCAGCATATCGTTCTCGTCATCCGAAGGCTCCTCCATCTTGTCGAACATGTCCGGGTCTTCGACAATCACATGGCATGTGGAACAGGCACAAGAGCCGCCGCAGGCACCTATCAAAAGAGTAAGTTAGTCACTAGTTGACCGCAATTCACACAATCCTTGACATACCCTCCATCTCAAGGTCATTGGCTTGCGCAATGTCCAAAAGGTTATCCCCCTCGGCCACCTGCAATTCAACCTTGGTGCCGTCCTTGTCAATGAATGTCACATTGATCCTGTTCTCACGGTTAGTAAAGCCAGACTACCTCAAGTCCGCAATGTGTTGACTCACTCCTCGCCGGGCTTCGGCGGCGTGATATGACCGTGGGCAGCTTGCGCCGTCGCGGAGAAGCATCGCCGTGTCTCCTTCCACCCCTGCGGCACCGTCCGGAGGCTATTCTTTGCTCCAGCATTCCACTGACTCGATTTCACAGCCCCTCCGGTTCTCCACGGCGCTGTGGAATAACTGATGTACCTCCGCGGGCGAGCAAGACACACGTCGCCGGCGCTGGCCTTGGGCACAGCACGGCGCAATTGCAGGCCAACTTCTCGCCAGAGGGCCATTGTGTATAGTGTGTTCTTGAACAAAGTAGAGAAGAGGGAGGAAAGGAAGTAAGTGTATTCAGACACGAAAGTCGGGAATGATCCGGGGCGAGGAACAGAGCGGGCAGGGCGATCGTCCAATGGCCGGCAACGAAAAAAAACGGACTGACAAAGCTAAAGGCGGCAGGTCGGACTGTCGGGCTTGTCCAACTCTTGATTCTCCGAACCTCGACTCTTTTTTTTTTTATCCCCGAATCCAAACACCACTCCTCTTCTCGTCATTCCACCATGGCCACTCGTGAAGGGATCAATCCTTTGCGGCCATACTATATCCCTCAGTCGGGCTTATCGCCCACCGCCACAAATGTCACTACCGAGGTGACGTCGTCCTCATCAGCCCAAGTGTTTGGGAGCTCGGCGCGCGACCTCATCCGGGATATCGATTATGCCGATTATCTGGACTCTTCGCCGTCGCTGTCAGATTGGGTCAAAGACGCCCTGAACAGAGCGCTCGTGCGGTATAGCAAGGTCCTCACAGCGCAGCCTTTCGATGTCGCCAAAACCATCCTGCAGGTGTATGTCGTGCCAGATCCGATAGAGGAACAGGAGGAACGGAAGGCAACTCCGGGAGCTGAAGGAAGCTCGTATGACTCGGTATTATCGTTTGCTTGTTTTTGGAAATGGGAGCAAGGCTGATGGGTTCATTTGTAGGACTCGGAATCATCGGGCGATGAGAGCATTTACTTCACATCGGCAGCGCCGGCCACACCCACGCCGACAACACCACGAACCCGAAGGGGTCGGCATCATCACATCACCGACCGCAGTGGCTACATTCGCCCGGAGACGGCACCAGCACCGTCCAAACATGCGCTCGCTCTCCGCAATCCCAACTCCTTGATGGATGTCCTCTCCCAACTTTGGTCGACCAGCGGACCAAGCTCCCCTTGGAAGGCATCCAATGCGACATTTATCTACTCGCTACTACTTCCAACTCTCAACACTTTTATCCGCAGCCTTTTGTCTGCTATCGTGGGCCTTCCAGAGGAGGACATTGTCTCATCCATGGCAGCTGATATTTTGACGGCACCCTCCCCGATGGCTACACTCATCCTCTCCTTCATTTCATCATCCCTCTCCGCGATCATCCTCTCGCCGATCGATACAGCGCGCACCTTCTTAATGCTCACGCCTGCAACCCACGGCCCACGCTCCCTCATCCGCGCCATCCGCCAGCTCCCCACCCCCAACTGCACCATCCCACAACATCTCGTCCCAATCACCATTCTCCACTCCAGCTTGCCCAACTTTATCACGACATCAGCCCCACTCTTCCTCCGATCCTACCTGTCAATCGACCCCCTCCTCAACCCCTCCATGTGGAATCTCTTTAGCTTCCTCAGCTCCGGTCTTGAACTCGCCGTGCGCTTCCCCCTCGAGACCGTCCTTCGGCGCGCCCAAATCGCTACCTACACTTCCCTCAGTCTGCGCCAGAAATCCTATGGCGGCAGTATCTCCGCTGCATCTATCGATGCTTCAGATGTAGAAACTATCGTTCCTACACCACGGACCTATCGCGGTGTCGTGGGTACCATGTGGCACATTGTCCACGAGGAGGGTGTTAGCTCTGTCCCCTCCGACGCCGAACGTGCCCGTCTTGCCGTCGGCCGACCTACCACCAAGCAGCAAGTCTCGAAGCGCCAGCAAGGCCAGGGTATTCAGGGTCTGTACCGCGGCTGGCGCATTGGCATGTGGGGTATCGCTGGTATTTGGGGAGCCAACATCCTCGGCGGATTTGCTGGTGCCGGCGAGGAAGAAGCGACCATGCTCGGTGGACACGGCCGGTCCAGCGGCGGGCGCTTCTAAGCAGCAAGTCTCATATCCGCATCCATCCTGGTGGTGGTATGACACTCTCACCTTGGATAATCCGATAATAAACTATACCAGCTTCTTGATGATTAGCAGCCCCGGGAAATAGATTGGTGCGGGTGTTATGTTACGAGGTTGATTTTTCTTTCTTTCTACTTGACTCTCCCCTTCTCCCTCTGTTCTTCACGTATACCCTAGGGAATGGATCCAGGGGCAGGCGATTGGCGTCTGTGATTACTCGCGACATGTACAAAACCTCTTCTTTTACATAGTATCCTGAAACATGGAGTAATTCCATAAAGTCGAGTTATTTCTAGAAGTCGGCGTCCGTTGTGCCTATACTATCCTAAATTCTATACAAAATACTGATATTGAAGGTTTAGTTAGGTGAAGGTCTCCGGAAATCAGATCTACACGTTACAGCTTCAAATTCCACCGAGGGTAAATCATTTCATTCATCAATAACACAGTGTATACATGACAATAAATCAAACAAGGCCAGAACGCCGCTACAATCCAATCCGTCTAGAAGAGTGGAGTCAAATCGAAACATGAAAGTGGGCAAAAAAAGCCGCTATCCAACCATAGACCATGTTCATATCGGTCAGGGAGGGTCTCTATGACGTCGGTCCAACAGGAAGGCGCCAGAGGTTCACAGAAAACATAAGAAAAGTTAATGGCGTGCGTTTGGGAAGAGGAGATGGTGAGCGTTGGGAGGTCGGAGGGTGTGGCCAACGATGTAAATTGGCGGGCTCCCCAAGTTCCCAAGTGCAGTGATGGTGTAACCGTGCAACCCCCGCGTAGAAACAGGGTCGCACTCCCATGAAAAAAAAAAAAAAAAAAACAAAGATTGAGACCGTGTGGTGGTACATGAAGCAATCGGGGGGGTGGGTATCAAGGTTGGCCGCGAGGCAGATAGAAAGGAAAAAGGAGACCCGATGCAGATATCATGACGGGGGACAACATCGGGGAAGAGTCGTAAAGTAGGAAATATTTTATTTATCAGCGAAGCGCCGATCAAAGTAGCGCAGCACACCCATGACGCTGGCTGCTTCAACCTCCATAGCAGGACGGCTGCCACGGGCCTCGGCTAGTGCCAATTCCTGAGGGTTGGGGAGGGTGTGCAGCTTCGGCAGCCATGTTGAGATCTCGTCGCTGGCCCGGGAAAAGTTCGGGTGGCGAGATAGTGTTGTAAAGGCGTCGGCACAGCTCAGGGTGAGTGCACTGGGCGTAGAGGGCTTGGGTGCGGTAGATTGCGGAGGCATGGAGGGGTTGTCACGCGCGGTCGAGGAGGTGGGGGCACTTCGCGACATGCAGCATCCCCCGTCGGTTCCCTTGCCGCCGCAGCATCCTCCTCCCGCGGGAGTTCCGCTCGATGACCGGGAGGCTGCCAGCGTCTTGCAAAAAGGGTGCTCCGAGGATCAGCAAGACATTGGGCGCAGGTACCGGGGCCATTGGCGCAGGGGTTGGTCGCTTGGCTGATCGGCGGGAGAACTACTTCCGAGCGGACATCACCGTCGGAAGGTGGAGGGGTAAATTGAGAGATAGACTGGATGGGTGCCAGGCGGTTGTTCTCGAAAGAACTGCGCCGGCCACGCTGCTGCTGTTGCTGCTGCTCCTGGGCGGCCATCTCGGCGCAGATGCAGGGTGTGCCGTCCTGGCAAAAACCGCAGGGATCCACGGGCGGCGAAGAGACATTGCTAGTGTTGTTGGAACTGGCCTGCACAGGAACGGCGGCAAATCGAGATGTAAAATCAATCTCCATCTCCTCCGGGTCGGGCTTGATCTGCGGCTCTGACATCTCACGGACGGGGCTGCCCACACCATGAGGGGGATGTCTAGCACGAGAGGACTCGTGGGTATCGATGGGCATTCCAAAGGCATCTTCGATACACTGGCAGTGCGTGGAAGTGCAGCTGTTGCATCCCAAAGGCACGTTATCATCTTCCTTGTTCTGGTCGGCGCTAGTTGCGACCACACCTTCCATGCGGGAGCTTCGGGTGGAAGGACGATTGCGCGGTGGAAGCGGCACCGAGTCGGGCATAGAGGGCTTTTGGTGAATGGTCGAGGCAGACACGGACGACCGGAATTCCTTGACTAGAGCCTCCTTGGCACTTCGTTCGATCGAAACTTCCTTCTCCAGGGAATGGCATCGGTCGCGCCACCAGTTCACCTCCTCCCGGGCCTGTTCCACCTCTCTCGAGAGGTTGCTGATCTGCTCGGTAAAGGCGGCAATGCGGACCTCATGGCCATCCTCGATCTCTTTAATCTGCTCCTCGAGCTCCTGGACTCGGGCGGCCCGTCGCTCTCGGAAGGCTCGCTGGGCGGCACGGTTTTGAGCCTTGCGCTTTGTGGGTGGTGTGTCTGTCGCAGGCTTGCGACCAGGCTTGGGACGAGGTGGAATAACCCATTCCTTGGAGGTGATAGAGCCGGGGGTCCCAGGGCCTGGTGAGGGAGCTACGGACGGCCGGGCGGCCAAGGCGGGGGCCATAGCCAGTGGCGGGACGGCGACGATAGCCTGTGCAGGCGTGATGGACACGCCTGTCGTGGCCATTATGATGCTGAAATCACTTCAGCAACTGGGATGGGGGTCAGCAGGAACATAGAGGAGCGTCGAGGAAGACTGGGAACGTTGAGGCGAGGACGAGGTCGGGCGGCCTCGGGAAATACGCACGGTCGTCAGTCTCGGTCGGAAGAGCGGATGTGGGCTCATACGAGCCGATAAGCGAGGGGCTTGGAATGGGAACGCACACCACGAGGGAAGGTGAGGTGAGATACTTGGGGAGGAAGGGAATGGGATGAGAGGAAGGAAGGGAGTGAAGATGAAAAGATCAAGATCAGATAGCAAGGGAAAAAAGACGGAGGGTTTAGGGCCAAAAGTGGGAAGGGGAGAAGAAAAGGGCGATGATCAGATTAGATTGCCCTCACATGATGCCGGTTTCGGATGCGCCAGTCGGTGGTCCAAAACCACTCACCTTCTCAACTGTGGATCTATTAACATGGGATTCATTGGTTCTGGTGGTTATTTCTCCTCAGTCAGAGTTTTTATCAGATCGTGAGGACCCGGTAAGCACCCCCGAACAGTGGGCTGACCTGGCTAGCTATTAACTTTGAATAATCATTCCTTTCTTCCTAAGTGGATTGGTCAACACGATGATGCTGATCAGGAAAGAATACCACAACACGAATCAATTGGTGATTTGACCATTGTAGGGCTTCATAGTACAATCAGCACTTTGCCTTGATATTCACACTTCCTAAACATCAAACACAGAATGCAGAATCTGCCTAATCCTCCGACCGTGGATGGGCTACAGTAGCTCATCCACCTTGCTCTACATTCGCTCATCGACCCCATCCCGCATGGAGTATTACCTAGCAGAATCGGCGCTCGCACCAATCAGCATCATCTCTATGCTCCAAAGTCTTCTCCCGACTGAGTCCTGCTAGCGGTGTAACCGACAAGTGGATCGAACAGGCTAGGAAAACACAATAAATCCACGCTCTCCAACGCCGCCGCTCTCGGGAGAACACCGTGATCTTATCTGATGGCGCTAGTGTCCCATTCGGGCAATCCGGACGACCGTGATCCACGTTTGCATTCTCCTGCCCGCCGATCCATGAAAGAGGCAATTGCGATGACGAGAAGGAAGACCAAAAAATTGGAGACACGGGCCACCTCCTCCTCCATCGTCTTTCAATTCCTTCCCATTATTGGTGCCTTGCCCGTTCGAGTGCTTGGCTGCAGCCCCCTCTTCCTTATCAATCAGTGGCTCCTTGCTTCCCCCGCCCCCTCTGCCCTAGTCCAATTATCTGCATAATGCCGAATGAGAGCCGAAGAACGGATTTTTCGCGAGCCACGTTAGCTTTGGGAAGATGCTTCCCCTTGTTCCGTGGGTGGGAGTGGACTCTGTTGGCCCAAATGCCCGTCATCACTGGGAAACGGGTTCCGGTGTATGGCTCAGTAAGGACTACGACGGATTCAATTACATAACTAGATTTGAATTGGAAGACTAGTGATCCTTCATTGCAGCTCGATCATGACTCATGGGCCAGAAGATGATGAAGCAACTTGGTGGCATTGGCAAGGGAATAGGGACGCTAGGGCAGGGACCCGCATCGGTGATCCATTCTGCTTCATTCTATTCAGTACGGTATGAACGGCTAGTCTTACTGAACTAGAATTTACTGACCGTTAGGTTAATTCAGAAGGTGCAAAAGGTCGAACGAATTAACACTGTTTTTCTGTCCGTCCATAACGCAAGAGACGTCTCGTCAACATATGGTACACTAACCAATAATACTCCGAAAAGAACGTGTCCTTAGATCTGCACCTCTCCAACGGATAAACTCCAACTTCCAACGCTCCAGGATTCAATTTGATACTGACCCAATTTACAGCATACCCCATTAGATCAACGTAACTCAGTCAAGATGGGTGCCCCAGCAGACGGAGGAGCAGAGTGCTTCGTCTGCACAAAGACCTTCTGCATGCCCCGATCTCGCCGGTCAAATGCTGCATACACTTGCTCCATATCCTCCAGGCGCATGCGATGTGACACCATATCCAGCGGATTGATTTTTCCTTCCTGGATGAGGCCCATGAGCTCTTTCCAGTATTTCTGGACGGGGGCTTGGCCATTTCCGATGAATCGAACGCCAGTCTCCATGAGTGCTCCGATGTTGAAGTGATTTGTCTACAAAATGTTAGCCATATTATTCAACACATGACCCATTCAGGTGTACAAGCCTGAATGGGAAGTAGATATGGGCTACACTTACATATCCCGCGTAGACTCCTGTAACACCCACCCGTCCAAACGGCCTCACGGACGTGATCATCTCATTCAAAATCTCCGAAGTATCCGTCTCCATCCCCAGCATCAACTCAAAGTAATGAGCCCATCCCTTCGCATACTCTCCCGCCGCACATTCCAGCGCCACATCCGGTCCACCATCGACCATCTTTTTCAGCTTCGACGTGACCGATTCTCCCTTGGGAAGCTTTGAGAAATCGATTGTCTCAAGCTTGGGTGCCTTGCTCTTCACAAAGTCCAATCGCCAGGCTCCATCACCCCCATCAATTAAGATGACTCGACTAGCACCGTGATAGAAGCTGAATTCGGCACACATTTGGCCAATGGGTCCGCCGCCCCAAATGGCGACTACGTCTCCCTTTTGGACGCCCGTGTCGACGACGCAGTGCCAGGATGTCGCGATCACGTCTGATAAGAAGAGGGCTTTTTCGTCGGGGACTTCGTCGGGGATTGGGAAGAGATTGGTGTTTCCGTAGGGGACGCGGAGGTATTCTGCTTGGCCGCCGGCAAAGCCGCCTGTGAAATGGGAGTATCCAAATATGCCTGTTCAACATTAGCGCTCATATTCATATTTTGGGGGGTATTGTTCAAGGTGATATACCGGCTGTTCTGTTGCCGTACATGGCATTGCTGATAGTATTCTGATTGGTGTTGTCGCACTGCGAATACAACTCTCTATCGCAGTTCTTGCAATGACCACAGGCGATTGGGAAGGAAACCACCACTCGATCGCCGGCCTTGACCTTGGTTGCTTCGGGTCCGACGCTGTCGACAATGCCACAGCACTCATGGCCCAGTACATCGCCCTTTTGAAGCTGGGGGATGACTCCTATGGGAAAAGATGAGTGTTATGAACAGCGGGTGTGATAGAGATTGCTATTACCATGATACAGATGAAGATCACTTCCACAGATCGTGCTTCCGGTCACTTTCACAATCACGTCGCCCGGATCAATGACTCTCGGTTTCGGCATTTCCACTGCGATAGAGAGTTGACTTAGCAGCTAAATAACGTGATCTTTTTCAGAGATGGTTAACGTACCAACAGACACCTTGTTCTTGCCCTGCCAGGTAGTGGCCTTGATCAAGGGGCCACTTTCCATGCCATATTCGTTGTTATAGTTGCTCACATCGGTGGTGATTGTTGCGTTGTCATCGTGGCCAAGCACTTTCTCCACGGCATTTGCAGCCTGACTTACAGCCATATTGGAATAGTTGAGATTTGATTGCCTTGGAAGTGTAGTATGCTTCTAGGTCGAACGAAGATGAAAGGTTTTGTGCACATTCTATATCACTCGTTTTGTACTATTACATTGAGCTTTAGGTTTATCATTACCCGTTTCCGCGTCATTATTGCAGTATAAGAGGTGTCGACTGCTGTTCAAGCTTGATGTTATACTGAGCCAGGTTTCGGGTGCCATTTTGACCGCTGACATCACTATTAGATATTACCTACCCAACGTTCCTACCCCTGGTCATATTTTCGATTTCAGGGTTGTGAATTTATCAGACTTAAATGTATGCCATGATAGAATTTATGCTGTTTCCGGTTCTTATTCGACTTGCTGCAATGGTCCGATTTCTCGGTGCTCATGCAAGTCCAACCTATGGGTATGACCTCAGTAGGTTTGATCGGGTCCAGCCTCCAGTGAATGGATGGGCGACAACCTTAGTTTGAAGGCCAAATTCCGTTGGATTATCTATAGTCAAAGTAAGATATCGAGTTTTTTCAACTGAGTTTTCTAACGTTAAATCTTGATCAACTGTCTTAGGTAGTTCTGGGCCAGTGTTTCAGTCGTCAAACAAACAAAGCTACGGAGACATATATCCCTGCTCAGTGAGAACGGAGGCTGTACAATTAGGTCGAGGTCGGTGGTTGTGTGAAACAGCACATTTGAAACTGGCCGTCCCACATGAAGCTTAATAATGCATGACCTGACAACTGTCAACAGACAGTACAAGTATGTGGAGATCATCATTCAATGCAATGCTTGCTCATGCCCTTTTCAGCCGACCGAAGCGGCTGGCGTTATCATGGCCTCGGATCTCGTTATCTGCTTATCTGGCCGCAGTCGGGCGTCGGCGATAAGCCAGGGGCAGCGGCCAGCCAGCCACCTTCACTCCGCCTTTTCCCCTCACGAGACTGAGTCTCATCTCCCCATCTCCAACTCCGACATACTACCTTTTCCTCCATCCCTGGTTCCCAATTCAATCCCTACTTCAATATCTCTACCATGACCAGAAGACACCCCGCTGGCCTCGATCGGCCCTGGGCTTCCCAGATCTATGCTCAGCTGCCGGAGTGCGACGCTCGTCCAGCTCCTGCTGCACCCGCAGCCCAGCCAGCTCCTACACCAGCCTCGACCGATGCACCCGTCCGCCCCGAGGATTACTCTAAGCCTTACTGCGATTTCATGACCGCCAACCCGACCATCTTCCATGCCGTCAAGTCTTTCTCCCAAGATCTCGAGAAGCACGGCTACAAGCAGCTCTCCGAACGAGCGGTGTGGACCTCGGAGCTGAAGCGCGGCGGCAAGTTCTACGTCAGTCGTAACGGCAGCTCGCTGCTGGCTTTCAATATTGGCAAGGAATATCAGAGCGGTAATGGTATCGCGGTCGTAGCAGGTCACGTAGATGCTCTCACGGCCAAGCTCAAGCCCGTGGCCAAGCTCCCCACAAAGGCTGGCTTTAGGCAGCTGGCAGTTGCCCCGTATGCCGGTGGGCTGAACTCGACCTGGTGGGATCGTGACCTTGGTATTGGTGGCCGTGTGATCGTTCGCAACCCGGAGACTGGCAAGGTTGAGTCTAAGCTGGTGAAGCTGGACTGGCCCATCGCCCGCATCCCCACCCTCGCTCCTCATTTTGGATCACCTGCCAACGGACCGTTTAACCAGGAAACCCAGATGGTGCCTATTATCGGTGTTGATAACTCTGATCTTTTTGAGACATCGACGACTGAGTCGATCGACATCAAGGCTGGAACCTTTGCAGCGACTCAACCTGAGAAGCTCGTCAAGATCATCTCCAGCGAGCTTGGTGTCACAGATTATAGCAACATTATCGATTGGGAGTTGGAGCTCTTTGATACTCAGCCAGCCCGAGTTGGTGGCTTGGAGAAGGATCTGATTTTTGCCGGTCGCATTGATGATAAGCTCTGCTGCTACGCCGCTCATGAGGCACTGTTGGCGTCGAGCGACGAGACCTCCCCCGGAATCGTTAAGATGGTTGGCATGTTTGACGATGAAGAGATTGGCAGTCTGCTTCGCCAGGGTGCCAAATCCAACTTTATGAGCAGCGTCATGGAGCGAATCACTGAAGCCTTTGCCGAGGGCTCTTACGGTCCCAACCTCCTCTCGCAGACCGTCGCCAACAGTTTCCTGGTCTCCTCCGATGTTATCCACGCCGTCAACCCCAACTTCCTCAATGTATATCTCGAGAACCATTCTCCTCGTTTGAACGTTGGTGTCACAGTGTCTTGCGATTCCAATGGTCACATGACCACCGACAGCGTCAGCCACAGCATCCTGAAGCGTGTTGCCGCTCGCTGTGGATCAAAACTGCAGGTCTTCCAGATTCGCAATGATTCGCGCAGTGGTGGCACCATCGGCCCTATGACTAGCGCCCAAATTGGAATGCGAGCTATTGACTGCGGTATCCCCCAGCTCAGTATGCACAGTATTCGTGCTACCACTGGAAGCTTGGACCCTGGCCTGGGTGTGAAGCTGTTCAAGGGTGTTTTTGATTATTTCGAGGAGATCGATAAGGAGTTTGCCGACTTTTAAGAGAATACCTAGAATATGATGGTATAGATTCTTTTTTGCACAAGCCATTGAAGGCGGGGTTTTTTATTTGACTTATACAGCGTTAGCTAGAGCAATGGCTAGAAGCAAGATCCGGTCTTTTTGATTGGACAACCCTTGTCTAGTATCATTGATGTATCTGAAATGTAGCTAAGGTGGTCTAATAGATGTTTTTGAAAAGAAATAACACGCCATCGAGAGAGTATTGAAGTGGAGATAAAAGTATATAACTCAGAAGAATGAAGACCTAACATGGCCCTCGATATTAGCTCTGGCGTATTCTCTCCGATTCCTGGATGGTGTAAATATTCATACACCCGACCCGATGAAGAGTGACGCTTTTCGCACGCTGGTATAGAGCGATGGGTATCATGTGCGAGAGGGAAACGAGGCAGTTGAAAGACTATACTGATGCTGGTGCTGGCGTTGCCGTTGCTTCATAAGCTCCGTAATCGAAGTATCGTCCGCAATATAATTTTTCTCGACCAGGAAATTTCCGGCATACTGGACCTTGCCTCCAGAAGACAGCTCGAGGACTCGCTCTGGATCTCCAGCTCCATACTCGGGGTCTTCGCAGGGAGCACCGAGCGTGGACTCGTCGTTCCAGGTGACTGAATTCGCATTGGAGATACCGGTGGTACCATTTGTGGGCTTACTTCCGGTGAATGTGGACATGAGGCCGGGGACGATTCTGGAGAGGAGTGGCTTTAGAGTTGGGAGGCAGGCGCAGATTATACCGGTGTTGCATTCGATGGCGGACCATGAGGCTGCGCCAACGTTGTCGTCTGGAAGATTGAGAGATCGGGTTAGTTGACATAATTTGTAGGTGGATGTTATGGAACATACAGGTGGGATCAGTTGAGTCTGAAATTTTCTTGAGGCTGACCAGACGGACGATACTGGTAATGCAGACGCTGTGCAAAGGATTAGTCTCAAAATTGATAGGAATGTCCGATATAGATCGATCCACTTACAATCCACCCAGAGCAAACATAATCATCAACGCAACCTTCTGCCTCCTAGGAATATCAATAGCAATCAAAGCCGGGATCGGAATAATCAGAATAGCCAGATCAGTGGTAATATGCATACTCGCATTCGAAAACCACAAACCAGGTCTACTCAAACAAAAGCCCGGGAGAGTAGGATTCCAAAATTTGGCCACGGGGATGCAAGTCAAAAAGGCGCTGACCACACACCAAGTTCCATATATGCCCAGGATCGTGATCATTACCCAGCAGACGATACGCATGCGCCGTGTTGGGAAGACGCGGAAGTATTGCATGAGAATGGATGCTTTTGCGCAGAGAACGGCGGCGTTGTAGAAGGGGATTGTGAGCCAGAATGCCTAATTTGAACTTGGTTAGATGTGCTCTTTTGAGATCAATACTGGGGTCTGACATACCTTCATTTGTCTTTCAAGGATGTTTGGTGGGATATCTTTGAGATGCATTCCCATGCCACTCGTACCCTCGACGATATCCAGGCCCATGAAGATGAATGAGTTGATCTGTGTAGATGGTAAGCCCCCGTAGATGACAGAACCCATAGCAATCGAGAAATCCTGTGATAGTGTTATCCGGAAAGGCAACTCACCAGTGCAATGACAACCATCCAGTCATTGGCTTCCAAGCGCCTCAGAAATTTCAGTCGAGTATAGAGCCGAATTCCGACAAAGGAGGCTGCCAGTGATGTGAAGACGACGCTGACAACTAAACCTTGCATGCCTCGGGGAGACAAATAAGGGTTGCCATCCTCACGTTTGAAGATAGCATCACGAACAAGTAACACATCCATGTTCAACGACTTTTAGGAGGGAAATGGAGTGCTTGGTGAGGTTCCGTAAACAGTGTATGATAGCCAGGATCAATTCAGTTCCCTGATCCAGACGACACCACCATCCACAGATCTATAGTTGAGAGGGAGAAAGCGATCGTGACTCCCAACGAATGATGAAATCCAGATAGCCTTAAACCACCAGATCCACGAGAAAGAGAAAAGAGCTAGGGGCGCCTAGGGCACTTCTCCTATTATAACATGCATAGTCCAATATACTTTCTTCCAACTATGATGCAAAAACGAATGGATGGTTCAATAAAGAATCCAACCAGACAATGTAGTTGCCACGAACGGTTGGAGCCAAAATTCACTAGTCTCGTCTCCCAGGGTGAAGGCGTGGCCAAGGTGAGACTCCCTGCATAATGTTGTCTGGTTCCCCAAAATTGTGGATCGAGCGAGAACAAACCCCAAGTTTAGGAGGGCGCAAGGGGCTGTATCCCAACGAGTCGGGTCCCTGTTGTTCTCCGAGTCCTTCAATAATATATGAGTGGAGATGTTAACCTCCGTACGCCTCTTTCTAAACCTAAACCTTGTTGTCGGTTGTGCTTGCTTTACACTGAATCCCAAAATGGCATTGATAAAACAATACGAAGTCTAAGTTTTGACAAGGCGTCAGGTGTGTCTCAAAATTAAAGAATTGGTGTTCAAATATTCTGCCCTCCATTGTGTTGGTAACTTAGTTTTAAGAGAAGTCGACGATCAAGCGAATCGTGCATATGTAATTGGTTATTTGATGCACCGATCGGACTCCGAGCTTTATGAACGGAGATCATGGAAATTTGGACTCCAAGCCTCATCCATACGGAAGCATTACTAACCGCGAACTCTAATTGGGTGGACTTCTTAGTACATGGCCGAGGCTTAGACAGATTTTCCGTTCATAATTTGTCCTGTGAACTTCCAATCAAGAATAGAAGATGGTAATTTGCGAGCTCGGTGACATCAAGGACTGACTGGCCACATTGCGTTCTCCATGCTCAGCCAGCCCTGCATCTCGCAGACGTCGCGGTTCAAACGACGATTGGCCTGCTTTGTAACATCATCAAAGGTTCTTATCCTCGAAAGTGTGGTGTAACAACAGAAGAAGAAGTTAATAATACATACACGATTCTTCACGGCCATAGGCCCAACTAAAGCCACGCTACTGTACATACAAAGCACCGTACATGATGCACCTGCATCCAGTGCAACGCGGACGACGGACTCCATCTAATCCCGGTATCCGGGATTCGATAGACAGCCGATCTATCAGAAAAAGCGCTGTAGATTACCCGCGCGCTGCAGTCGATCGACATGGTTTCAGCTTGGCCACCTCGTTCTCCCACGCCTCAGTCACCTTGGCATGAACTGAATGACCAGCTTGATCTAAATTGTTACAATAGAAGCAAGAACATCTTACAAAAGGTAACGCACAAACAATGTCATTCCTCGAGAGATGGGCGCTTGGTGGGTTCATTAATTGGTGGGGCGTTTCACCCCGTACTTTAAGGCTTCGTTAAGCGTTAAGTTCACTGTCCAGATCACAATGAGCAAGGGGCGGCCTAAGAACGAGCAAACTTAACCACAAATAATATCCCCAGGACAACGGCCCCTTTGTGTCTGAATGACATTATCAGGGGAGAAGAAGCTGGAGTGACGCTCAATTAGGTTTAGGGAATCGCTGTCTCTTTGTTAGTCAAACCAAAGCCGCCACAGTTCCAGAGTGATGCCCGTGAAAGCGCCACTCGCGCAAGGCGCGCGCTTCTTTAGTCACGAGCGGGCACAGGACCCAATTCACAAATAGTATTGTGGAGATAATCAATCTGTTTTGTACAAGGAGAAAAAGCAAGGCTGAGCCTTGTGGCGATTTGATTACTTTGCACTCACCTTCCATACATCTCTCATCCGCTTGGGTGGAAAGCTTTAATATCAACCTGCGAGTATAACAATGAAAAAACCCATAGCGTTGAGGAAACAATTCCGTAAGTGACCTCAGGCAGCAAGTTCCAAAGAGGTCACCATCAATTCTGGCCAAAAGTTCAAGTCCGCGGAAATTGAACAGCGCCACTCGGCTAAAATGGTCTATCATGTCGAGCCACGGACTTGAACAAACTACCGCAGGGATCCATGAAGCTACCATCGCCTCTCCCTTGAAAGTTGACAGTCAATATTCCAAATGGCCCCGTGTTATTCCTAGTTCTTGAAAATTTCAATATGTAATGATTCCCTCTCTGCGGCGGCTGATCTGCGGGTTCATACTTCACCTCCTAGGTGGCAATCGACTCAAATGACCTGAACCTAAATGCCAAACCCAATGCTAGAAAATGCTGTGCTGTTTCTACTGAAATACCCCGAGGCAATTATCTCGGTAGTGTAGTGGAGCGTGCTTCCGGAAAGTTGCGAGCAATATAGAGTCTCACCGTATCACTAATAGAGTCCTGTCACCTCCGACCTCATGTCTATGCAGAACCACTCAGTTATTGTGATATTCATTGCGATATTGACTGGTCTATACATGGTCTCAATTGAGATACCAGTGGTTTTAAGGCGTAAAAAGTTGGTCTTTCCTGGAATCTAGTTTATATAGTATTAGTAGGTCCTATAAGCGACTAGGTATCTCAAGGTGGGGGGCATCAATTAAGACTTTAGGCGTTCTATAGAGTATGCTTATAACATCTTTTTTCCTGTCATATATCCAGTACTATAGTTAAACTGGATGTCACCAAGAATTATGCGATCTGCCATGTGGGCACACCGCTACTCAATCTCGCAGTAGACAAGCATATTTTAAACACGACAGCTTGATGCAGGGACGTCACGAACAGTCTACCGAGGAATAAAAATGTTGGAGACTTCACCACTTCTCGAGCCCTTGCATCGAGCGACTATTCGACAGTCACCGTGGTCTTATCGCGGCATGGTTCGATCATGCTGAGTTCGAGGGATTGTTAAGCTGTTATTACGCTGGAACCAAGGAGCAGAGACCCGTCTATATTCCCTCTCGCTGATGAGTGGATATTGTAGGATCGCTTACCAGGAAAACAAAGTAATCTTCTCTCGAAAATAACTGCCAATATATTCTCGCCGCTCCATAAGCCCATGTCACTCATCAAGCCTGCGGGGTGTACAATATTGTTGTTCGGGCAGAGGGAGCTGGTAGACGCGGCACCTGAGAAGCCTAGGCGCTGTGACCCGCTGTAAGTCAAGGTGGTGAGTATCGAGAAAGGGTCATTTTAGCCCTCAACTCTGTCTCTGTGCCGTATTGCCCCTCTTCCCAATCCATCATAGCCGCTAGGTGGCAGAGCGCCTGGGGCTTCTGAGAGGCCGTGTGAAGGTGGACATGATTCATGATATGACAGTTATCCCACTGATGCTTGACACTATTCGGCAGGCTTTGGTCCGAAAGACAAATTCATGCTGAGTTTAATGTAATCGGCAGGCATAAAAGTGTCGCCGGGTTTCTGGGATCCGGCTCGGATTCGTATCCGCGGTAGTCCCTGTGTATACGGCATTGTGACGGAGTAGAGAATAACATCGACAATCGGCATTCCAATGGAAGAAAAAAAGGACGATATTGAGTGTAAGATAGCATTAGGTAGTTTCGATATGATATACAATGCCATCTTGTTTGCCAGATCTCATTCCTTTATTTTTTGACAAGGAATTTCGCGTTGAATCTGGAAGCTTGGTATACTTTAAACCCGAGTACGAAAACGAACCCGAGATTAGATCAACGCATCCGTAATCCCCTCTAGCTTGATTGGTTGACCATTTGGTAGCGTGAATAAAGGGAACAACTTTATGCACAGATATATTCTATTGAAAGTCGTTCCCAGTAAAAATCTTTCCAAAAATTTTGAATTCTGAGTTCTGATCGAGAAGCGTTGCGTTGCCCTGGAACCATCCACGCCCGAGACACACTGTATCACCATCAGCTGCTGACGTAGGGAGCCGCAGAGCCTGAAATAAGGTTATTTCCCCTGATTCATCATGTCCGATAATCTGACAGGCGATGATCCGAATGTTGAAAGTGCGAAAAGCGCTGTACCCGAGGATCGCCCTGTCAGCGCCGATGACTATCCCTCAAAGGTCACAACAACCACAAAACACGAAGGCTCCGCGTCCGAGTTCGATGTTTGGTGGAGCGTTCCTGAGGATGAAGACACTGATAACCCACGAAACTGGTCAGACTCTCAGAAGTGGACTATCATCTCTTCTCTGTCACTTGTCACTTTTCTCACGTATGTTACCCATAGAAGACTTCCGCGGGCTACCATCATTTCAACTGACTAGGAAGTTTAGACCTTTAGCGTCATCCGTGTCTGCTCCTGGTGTTCCTCAGATGTTAGCAGACTTCAAAACCGATTCAACTTTACTTGCAACCTTCGTCATCTCAGTTTTCGTGCTGGGCTTCGCATTCGGACCACTTGTCATCGCACCTCTTAGCGAAACGATTGGCAGAGTGCCGGTATATCATGTTTGCAACATCCTCTTCTTGGTTTTCACGGTACTCTGTGCAGTTTCCAAGAGCATGGCAATGTTAATTGTGTTTCGCTTTCTGGCTGGCTTTGCCGGCGTGGCACCAATTACCTGTGGCGGCGGTACTATTGCAGATCTCATGCCCCCAGAACGACGAGGTATAGCAATGTCATTGTGGTCTCTTGGACCCTTGTTTGGCCCCATCATCGGGCCTATTGCAGGGGGTTTTCTCGTCGAAGCAAAAGACTGGCGGTGGGTTTTCTGGGTTATTGCGATAGTGGTAAGAATTCACCTACAAAATAATTCCCTCGGCTGCGCACAACTATTGACCAACGGAATGTCATGAAATAGTCTGGAGCGTCTACGATCTTGTGTTTCTTCACGTTGAAAGAGACATACGCTCCGATTATACTTGAGCGCAAGGCCGGGCAACTCAGGAAAGAGACAGGGGATTTTTCGTACCAATCCCGTCTCCACTCAGATATACCCAAGAAGCAGCTATTCATACAAAGCATCATCCGACCTATGAAGATGCTTTTCTTCTCGCCGATCATTTTTCTCATGTGTTCATACGTGGCAGTCATGTACGGTCTGCTCTATATACTCTTCACGACTTACACTTTTGTGTTTGAGGGCGAGTACCGGTTTTCTTCAGGCACAGCGGGTTTAGCCTTCTTAGGAAGTGGAGTTGGCATGCTCTTAGGACTAGCCTTCGCCGCCACACAAAGCGACAAAAGAATCAGAAGCAAGATCGCCTCGGGAGAGCCTATTCTTCCAGAAGACCGACTACGGTATACACTCATCATTCCCGCATGCCTCTGTCTGCCGATCGGTCTGTTCATCTATGGTTGGAGCACGCAGTACCACGTTCACTGGATTGTGCCTCAGATCGGAAGCGCTGTGATTGGATTTGGTATGATCGCTATCTTGATGTGCATTCAAACATATCTCGTCGACGCATTTACTATACATGCGGCGAGCGCCACAGCAGCTAATACAGTGCTGCGAAGCCTTTTGGGTGCACTCTTCCCATTGTTTGGGCTAAAACTGTATAACAAAATTGGTCTAGGCTGGGGTAACAGTGTCTTGGGGTTTATTGCCTTGGCAATAGCCCCTATTCCCATAGGGTTTCGAATTTTTGGCGAGCGGATAAGAACAAACCCCAGGTGGCAGGTCAAGTTCTAGTGATAGCTATCAATCGTTTAAATAGCCAGCCTTTCCCTTTCACTTTTGCTTTTTACTTCTTCAAGTCAAAGCAATGCGGGATACCCCCCCCCGGGGAAATTTACCTCAGTGGCTGGGGTCAGGTTCACTGGGTTACTCCGCAGACTCTTCGCCCGAGGGCTGTCAAGTCATAACGGCGGTCCTGGTAACGGAATACATAGTGCCAAATAAATCACCATGGATCCTCTTAAATGAGGAAGGATCGGTTCCAAAAAGGGGCTAGATTAGGCAGCCATAGACGATTGGACATGTGGGTGGGGACAACGCTGGAGTGGGCCATCACCAAGTGCGACTACTCCGTAGAAAAGCAGATTTTTTTTTAGAAACCACAATAAAATCTGATCCTGACACGCTAGACTCCACAAATAATGTGGACTATCGACTTGGTTGAGTTAAAATTCCTAAAAACGGACCGTCTCCCGACAATTTACACCTGGATTCGTACTCGGGCTCTTCAGCCTCTTGAGAGCTGCAAACAATAAACTCTCTTCAATGACATTCACAGTCAATATCTACTGTATTCAAACCTCACTTCTACACCGTCCCAACACTTGGGTTTTTGCGACTGGAATTTGAAGCTGCATCTTATGAGAACGAACGATGGACTCCAGCGGTTCTGGAGTCGCTGAGGCCACTGTGCACCCGGCGTCCAGGGCCGACTCCCCACAGGGCCGCCACAATTTCGACTTCAGAAAATCAGCCCTGTCATCCCACAATCGCAAATACATTGAGCTTGATGATTTCACGCCGTCGACGGATCAAGTCCACAATGACCGAGGTCATGTAATTCCTTCTAAAAAGAACCGCCGTTCTGTCTACATGCCAAACACCCTATGGACACGTTCATTTGCCATAGCGATGGTCCTTGAAACGTTGGCTACAGTCGGGATCGAAAGGTGGGTTTCCATCATAAATTTTGGATGGTTATGTTCAATACTCATAAATATCAACAGTTGGGTTTTTGTTAGCATGTTAGACCAGCTTGACAAAATTGAAAAGGGGAGTGCCACGCTGCGCATTCGGTCATTTCTGGGCCTTTACATATTTGCGCTTCTCTACGAACTTGCACTTTCATACGACGCTTTACGACGCAAGAACTCCTTCCAGCTTTTTGGACTCTGCATCTGCAATTTCGGTCTTTTTACCTATGGTATCCTGCAAATGGGAGAAATCAAGAAAACCGTCATAGAAGTGGTGGCAGACACTGCGCGCAGTAATAAGATTTTAGGGATGTATGAGATCGAACTGATCTTGGTTCCAGTCTTTCTGAGTCTCGGTACTGCGATTATGATATTCGTGACATGGAAGCTTCGTGCAGAGTTCTCCTGGTCAATCTATAAAGACATCAGTGCAGATTTGCAAATGAATCGCCGATATTTTGTCTATCAGGTGAGAGACTATGCTCGGTTTGCACACGGTTCTTTGCTAACTGCGTAGGTCTATATCGCGCTCCTGAAATTTGATTGGTTTTTCATATTTGGCACACAACTTCAGATCCTGCTTTCCATCCAAGACTTCGAGAATGAAGAGTTCCTGATCAATGCGGCCATGGTTCCTGTTGCTATTATAGCCCTATCTCTAGCAGCTCTTTTTTGTCGGCGAGAGAAAAGGAAATCTCTCTTTGTTATGATGGTGAGGAGGCCTTATTGGGAATTCTCGAGCCGTTTGCTGACAATCATCTCAGATATTCATGGTTGCCATCTTGGCGAGTATCATCAGAACCATGTTTCAAATGTACCAGTCGCAGGACAGTAGTAGTCTCGGCTCATTCAAAACCTCCCTCACGCTATTCGCTGCAATTGCAACCTTCTTGATCATTTCAACGCTTCTCAACTCTGTTTGGTGTATGATGAACTTTCACAAAGGCTTGAAGGACTATGTGAAACAACTTCGAGGCAAGAAGCCCGCTTCGAATCCATCGGGGCATTGGGTTTCAGAGATTAACTCGCGATTTGAACTAAACTAAAGCTTTTTAAATGAATGAATGTCATCTGCAAACCATCATTTCTCAAGAGTGGTAAAAGTCCCTGGGTAGGACACAAAATTGGTCTTATTCTGGCTATGAATGACCTATATTCTACATCGTTGCCTAATGCACAACCCATGGTCAGTGTCTTAATGATGCCTAGGGGCTTGATGAGGTCACTCTGAAGCAGGCCGGGGTTTCGCTGCCGAAAAAAGCTCTGTTCCTGTGCCATAAATCGATGCCTATAGAATTAGAGATAAGTATTCAAGTATCGCTAGACTCTCTAATGGGCTCTCGTTGATATGCAAAGAAGTCGGCGGCTCGTATCACGTATTTAATCCGCATGCGGATACATCATACAACTTCTCAAAGCTTAGGTGCTAAATATAACACTCTATGATACTTTGAACAAAGAATATTTGAATCAATAGCGTCAATCAATGAGAAGGAAGACTATATTGGGCTTGATATATCCCATTAAAGTTTTCTCTCCAATACTCACATTCTTGCAATCTAATTACTATCACTTCCAAAATTCACCAAGTCCATTCAACGAGATGGCAGAATACGTTCTCTACATCTACACGCCCTCTTTGACAGTCGCTATAATTGCGCTTCTTTTGTTTCTCGCGGCGACGGTCGCTTATATCTTTCTCGGTATCAAACATCGACTAAAGTTTCTGATTGCGTTTATTATGGCGGCTTTTTCGAAGCCATTGGCTATGCGGCTCGAGCAGTGAATGCTCACCAAGCACCAGACTATGGAACTATGCCGTACGCCATGCATAGTGTTTTCATATTACTCGCACCATCGCTCTTTGCGGCATCGATTTACATGGTTCTTGGTCGTCTTATACGTCGAATTGATGGAGATTCAAGATCTCTAATCAAATCCACAAAATTGACAAAGATCTTTGCCGTTGGAGATATCTTGGCCTTTCTTATTCAAAGCGGAGGTATGTATCAGTACAGCCCTAATTTCATGTCAATTTTTCTTCTTATTGATTAACCCTACCTAGGCGGTGCCATCCTTACCGGTGCGAAATCTGCAAGCAAGATGAAACGCGGAGAAAAACTCATTATCGTCGGTCTTTTTGTTCAGATCCTCTTTTCTGGATTTTTTGTAGTTGTCTCAGTCATCTTCCACAGAAGAATTATTGCCAATCCTACCACGGAATCCGTTACATGCACTGTCAACTGGAAGCGGTATCTTTTCATCCTTTACTTCGCCAGTGCTATGATCATGATCCGATGCATCTACAGGGTCGTCGAGTATATTCAAGGGCAAACTGGCATACTCCAAAGTCATGAGTACTATGCACACATGTTTGACGCCCTCCTGATGTTCCAAGTCATGATTGTCTTCATCGGTTTTCACCCAAGTCAGATTCTCTCTCGATATACGCCAAAACTAGACGACACGGAGCTCATTTACCAGCGGCTGAATGAGTGAGTGTTCTGGTCAACATGTGGTTATAAATTAGACTTGTCCAGCGAATGACTTCCTTTTCATCAATGAGGATGCTCAATGCCCAGCATAAAAATTAGAGTCCCCGGTCATGCTCCATTTTTGTAGGACTCGTCTCGTGACAGTACCCAGACTTCAACTCGGGAATATAGGCATCCCGTAGGTGGACTAGGTACAACGCGTTATCAACGAATCAGTGACAATATTTGAATAAACACTGCAGGCCTGATACTGTGAGAAAAGGACCGTGATGAATTTTTTGTTCTTATTATTTTCTGGCCTACTTATGTCTCAGGTAAACTTCCAAACTACACTAATGAGATTATCTAACAACTCGGGCCCGACTTGGGCTCAATGCCTAATACTACCTACTATTATGGAGAAGCTTAAACGACAGATAAAATGCTCATTATAAAAGTTGGCGGTACTGTTATTGTCATGGTACAAATAAGTTTCTCTTATTGCAAGGACACTGGCTGTCGGCTATCAGACAACAGGTTGCAGATAAACCTTCAGAGGGTGTTTCTGCCACATAAGGAAGTTTTTCTGCTGAATCCAGTCATTAGATTCCTCCGAGATTTGAAGATCAAAATTAAAAATGACCAAGGCGAGAATCAGGCGCATTTCACTGTATGCAAGACTATGCAAGGTCAGCTCGGCCCCATTGGCCTCAACAGTCAAAACTTACTTTCGACCTAGGCAATTCCTTGGCCCAACATGGAAAGGTTGCAGCACCTCGCGCCTATCGTCCGTAAAATCTGGATGCCCCAAGAATCGCTCGGGGTGATAGATATTTGCTTCTTTGAAGTACTCTTCACGTCGATAAAGTGCCCATTGATGAATGGAAACATAAGTCTAAGTTTCATGATTAGTAGGTCTCAAAATAAAGTAAAAAAGTTTCGACAGCCCACATTTCCTGGTATCATGTTTCCTATGATTGTCGCTCCGCCAGGAGGGCAGACCCGCGGCAGCCCATTTGCTATAGGAGGATACATGCGTAGTCTTTCCTCCAGGCATGCCTGGAGGTATGGGAGCCGGGCGACCGAGATCAAATCAATCTCCTCCTGGGATTGGAAAGCATTGCGTATTTCCTTTTTCAATTTTCCATATGTAGCCTCGTTTGTGAGAAGAAGGTAAGTTACTCCGCTCAGCAAAGATGCAGTCGTCTCTGAGCCACCGATAATGAGAATCTCGGCATTTGCAATCAATTTCTCAACAGTCAGATTCTAGTTCATATCAGTATATGTAGAACGGTACTGACATGGATATACTGACCAATTCATCCTTCTTTTTGAGCAGACCTTCGATCAAATCGTCCCTCCCTTCGGTGCGTTCCATTCTTCGTAGCATCTTCGCCTTGGTGAGTCTATTGTGCTGTTCTTGGGCGTTGCGCATTGATTTCGGCACCAACGATAGCAGTACTTTCTTGATTGAAGGATAGAACGCCAGAGTTTGAATAATTGTACCCAGCTGTCCCGACTGGAAGATGCTTTTGATCCAAGCATCATAATTTGAGCCCTCCAGGCTGCCAAACGGCTCACCGAAAGCCAAGTCTCCAATGATATCAAAAGTGGTATAATTGTACCAATCCGATATTATGACTGAATTTTCATCTCGAGAGCGTTCACGCAGTCTTTGAATAAGAAGATTAACGTAACTCCGTATCAAAGGCTCTTGAGACCGCATTGACTTTTCTGAAAATCCATGAGCCATTTGTCGGCGGAGGCGGCCATGCTCTTCTCTCTCTTCGTTGACAATATGTCTAGGTAGCTCTTCTATCGGTTGATAGAACCACGCTGCTTTGCTGAGCTCGTGCTCCCCTTTCTTGTGTCCCATGATATCTTTCCAGGCATCAGGGTGGGAGAAGGCGAGTTCATCCGGGGCAATGCGAACGATGTCGCCATAATGCTTATGCAGCTCGAGCATGTCAAATGGAAGAGTCCCACGCATTGCACGGTAACAATACGGTAATCGTGATATTGCATGGGAAATGGGTCCAGGGTAGCGACTGAGGGGGTGAAGAAACACATTGTAGAATGCGACCGACAGGAAGCCAGCAATCACCTTCCATAGTTAGCCAATATTATCACTTTGGGATCAAGGGTGTGTACCATTGAAACACCAGCCACTAGTGCGTCCCCCATCCCAATTGAGAGGAACATATTTATCAGCCTTATCTTTCAGGTTTTGTACTATGTTCAATCTCCAAAACGTGTTTCTTGCGGCTGAAGGCTGGCAATAGGTAGGATGTCTGGCCAAGGGGGCATGCGAGTGGGTAAATAGAGCAGTGCGACAATCTTTCATATGGAGCATTATAACCGGGAAACGATAGATCCGCGAATCCATGGGCCTAGCAATAAAAATTTATGCTTTAACCAAAACCAGCTGCGAAGGTGTAATTCCAGACCAAAGGGGGCTTGGCTCATTGGTTGCTCGAAGCATGATCTACAGCCGTTCGTACTTCAGCCGAACCCGAACCCGAACCCGAATTCGATCTGAAGTGGCTGTTTTGAAGCGGAGACTACGAAATTTCAGGCAGAAGAAGATATTTTTAATTTTTAAGCTTATTTAAGTTTCATCTACAGTGAGTTATGAGCAGTATGTACGGAGTAGTCGTATTCGCATCCAACTTCGGATTTTGTCTTAGGCTGCACTGATTTCTCAATTGCATCCAGAGGTCTAACGGTGTTCGCGCCACCACAGAACCAGGCAATGATATTTTCTACTTTTCGGTTCAAAATGTAACAAGCATTGTGAAATCTATATAAACTACCGACGGTCGTCCTATCTATAAATGTTCAGAAGCAACAAGTCTGTCAAATACTTTCCCAGGAAGTCTAGTATCGTCCTCAATTTTCTTCTCTTTCCTTAAAACGTCGCATCTATCGCAGTAAAACGAGTCACCATGGCCAACGACAGCAGCTATGTCCTCTACCACTATACGCCCAATCTTCCATGTGCAATTCTGTTGGCCATCCTTTTCGCATTTACAACTGTCTTTCATCTCTATCAACGAATCAAGGCACACTCAAAATACTTCAACCCGTTCATTGTGGGTGGTATCTGTCAGTCAAGCCGATCTTTCCATACGTTTAACCGTGGCCTTGTATTTGCTGACACTTTTTGTAGTTCAAATTATCGGATACGGAGCCCGTGCTGGCTCTCATTTCTTCATGCACTCCACAATTCTTTACGCAATTCAATCACTTCTGATCCTATTGGCGCCAACGCTGTACGCAGCATCGATATATATGGTACTCGGTCGAATCATTTCCTTCCTTCACGGCGAACATCTGAGTTATATCCCGGTCAAATGGATGACGAAAGTCTTTGTTGCTGGAGACATTCTATCATTTATTCTTCAGGCAGCTGGTGAGTTGAAACAACTGCTAGTCTTGGATTCATATAATTTCTCTAATCACTGTTCGCTTTTCCTAAACAGGTGGTGGAATTATGACAAGTGGATCTGAAAACACAATCAAGATCGGTCAATGGGTGATCGTAGCAGGTCTTTGCGTCCAGCTCGTGTTCTTCGGAGCATTCGTAATTACCTCTCTCGTCTTCCATATCAAAATCATTCGATCGCCCACCATCGAAAGCGAGAGGTTCATGAATAAGCATGGCTCGATTTGGCCGCGGGACTGGAGAGGTGTCTTGTTCGCATGCTATAGTGCTAGTTTGTTGATCTTGATTCGATCGGTCTACCGTCTGGTAGAATTCGTGCAAGGAAACCACGGGTATGTCATGAGCCACGAAGTTTTCCTGTATGTGTTCGATGCCGCGATGATGTTCTTGGTGATGGGCGTGATGAATGTGTTCCATCCCTCTTTTGTTCTGAACGAAAAAGCGGAGTCGCCGGTTTCTCAGCCTGAAAGGAATTTTCAGTGGAAGTCAGATGTCGAGATGCAACAGCATTCATTTTCATCTCCTCGGGATTAGAAAGGTTGGGGGTGGTTTTGAATTTTTGATTAGATCGTGGAGGACAAATTATGGAAATAGCGAAGGATGGATATGATTTCGACGGATACATGTTTATGTTAATTCTGTACTGGATTTTAGAAAATAAAATTTCTTTGATTTACTACCATAATTTTGGGAAACTTAACTGAGGTAGCCATAGTACCCAACAACCTTGCCTCCGTTCCTCGATATCGATGATCGCTGCTCTTTGAGGGAATAGGTCACGGTTGAACCAAGATAGTTCTCCGAATCGAAAAACCAGGAGATGCATACTCTCTATTTTGGATATCAATCTTTCTACAAATAACAGAATTCTTCTTGGATTAGAAATAATCTACATGCTGGCTTTTGGAACCTTCCAACTTCTGTTACAATAGGGCTTCTCAGGAGAGACGATAAGATAAGGCGATAAGCGCGCACAGACCAGCTTCCCGAGAAATTTCCTTTTTCACATCCCCGCGAAGGAGAATTTCCCGTTACAAACATAGCCACCGATTTCTGCAGTACTCCTTGAGACTGGAGGTGCTGAAAGAAGCAGACAAAATGGCGGACACTGCGTCATCATCGACTAAGTCTGTCCACACAATTGTGCTGGACGCCGGCCCCATTATCAAGAATACCCCGCCATTGTCCACCCTGCTCGCTCAATGCGACGAGATTATCACCACCCCCTCAGTGGTGAACGAAATTCGCGATCCCGACGCTCGCGCTCGAGTTGAAACCCTCTACCTGCCTTTCCTGAAGCAGCGAACCCCATCCCCGAAAAGCTTCAATGTCATCAGCGAATTTGCCCGTAAAACGGGTGACCGATCCGTGCTGAGTCGGGTCGATATCGAGGTGCTGGCGCTGGCATATGAGATTGAATGTGAGCGCAATGGTGGTGACTGGCGTCTGCGAAGCGTTCCCGGCCAGAAGCGCGTTAATGGAAAGCCACCTGTCAAGGAGGAGGAAAAGAAGGAAGAGACGGAGGCTACTGTGGAAGAAAGCGTCGACGAGGCCACTGAGGCTGAGGCCGCTGTGACTGAGGTCGCCGAGGAAGCCAAGGAGGGAGAGACCGCGCCAGCACAAGAAGAGGAACCTGCTACAGGGAGCGCCACGGTCGAGCCTTGGGCTGACGATGATAGCCCTGAGCAGAGTAAGGACGAGGACGAGGCCGAGGCCGAGGACGACGATGATGCCGCTGATTCCGACGGAGAATGGATCACGCCCACCAACTATAAGAAGCGGCTGGCCCGCGATGAAAGTGGCTCGTCAGGAAATGGAAACGAGCCAAAGAGCATGCAGGTCGCAACCATGACTACCGATTTTGCGGTATGAAGACCCGTCTGTATACTTGGATTGACCAGTTTAACTAATTCCGTCGGCAGTGCCAAAACGTCCTGTTGCAGATGAACCTGAACCTCTTGTCGACGACCACTCTTCAAAGAGTTCAGCACCTCAAGTCATTCATCAAGCGCTGCCACGCCTGCTTCCTTACCACCAAGGAAATGAACAAGCAGTTCTGTCCTCGCTGCGGGAAAGACACTCTTACCCGTGTGTCCTGCACCACCACTGCCAACGGTCAATTTACCATGCATCTGAAGAAGAACATGCAGTGGAACAACCGAGGCAACCGTTTCAGCGTTCCCAAGCCTATTGCTGGCAGCGCCAACGGCAAGTGGAAGGGCGGCGGTGGAAAGGGAGGATGGGGTACCGAGCTCATCCTCGCTGAGGATCAGAAGGAATTCACTCGGTCCGCCGTCGAGGAAGAGCGGCGCCAGCGCCGGGAACGGGATCTTATGGATGAAGATTACCTTCCTGGCATCTTGACTGGTGAGCGCAACAAGTCCGGAGGTCGCATCAAGGTCGGCGCCGGCCGCAACATCAATTCGAGGAAGCGCTGAGTGCAGCTTATGGACAAACTTTGCATTACAAATTACATGGACTGGAGTTTGGGGGGCATGCACAAAAGTCATTCAACCGTTTTTCTTGTCACGATGGGCAACCTGCTCTGTTCATGAGTAATGACCGAAGCGAACGAAGCCGGCCTCCTTACGATGAACCTTGCATATAGGAGAGAACCGAATATAGAGAGAATGGTATGAATATGTCAAAAGAACAATTTCATTGGTAGATAGACTTCCCCCAATGAATTATGACCCTAAAACCTGGCCAAAGCAATGCAGATCGTAGTCATCCACAGACTATACAAGTAACACCAAGCGCCAAATCGCAGGTTTAATTACCCTGAAATCCATTTTTCCCAATTTTGAATGTCGCAATTCAAGCAGTAGCCTTCTCCTCTGGTGGAAGACGAATATTAGTATGGAGAGATTCGCAGAGACAATTATAGGCAGACGTACCGGGCTGCTGAGTGAGCAGGAGGCCGTAACGGCGCTTCAGGGTGACACGGTGGCGCGAGTACTTGTCATCGGGGGAGAAACGAGCAGGGTGACTGTTAAGAATGAGCTGCTGTCCGAGGTGTTCGTGAGATGTTGTGTAGGCTTACGCAGACTTGGAGACCTTGCCGTCAACAACCTTCTTCAGCGTGTAGACACGCTTGCCATCGGCGCCCAGGGTGTACTTTTCAAGAGAGTCAGCTATCATGTCGGACGAGGGGGTTCGGTGCTCGCTGTCGAAGCGAGGGTTCGTCTGGAGATTGCGGGCGGCGGTAACATACCATAAGATGCATTCTGACGAGCGAAAAGTTAGTGGATTGTTCAACATGTAACGAGGCCAGCTAGCAGCAGATTTTGATAGACTTACTTGGCGGTAGTTTGTGGTCGTGTGGATCGAGTATTCTTGCTTGTGTCGTGAACGGGTGAAGCGGAGGAATTTTTTTGACGCCGACGGGTGGATCCCGGACCTGCTGCTTAGTCATCCCTCCCGCTTAAAACGAACTGAAGCGTTCGCAAATTTTCTTCGCTTTCACCTTGCGAAATACGAGAAAAAAACACAACTCGCAGTGTCAATAATGCTGACACGGATTCGCTAAACTTATCTGATAACTCACAGTGGGAAGCAGATACTTGAAGCTGCAATGAGCATCTGAACATTCAGCCCTGTCTCGACATTTTCCAATAGGGCATGACAACCTCCAGGTAAGCTATGCCGGAGCTCTCTGGAGCTATCTTTCTTTCACTTCCCATTTCCCCTCCTTCGATGATGACCTACAAACCTAAGCCCAGGCAGGTGGCACCTTGATTTCTAGCTGCCTGTCAATGATCTGCTTAATTGACTACAACGGTATCTGAGAAGACCGTCATTCATATTCGCTTGTCACACACATCTTTTATGAATAAGTTTGCTAACCCGAACTTCTCAGACCAGGATCTCTCAACCTTATTCAGTAATACTTGTCCATCATGGCCGAAGTTATCAGCGTGTCCAAGGCAGACCTGACGGCTGTCCCTGTCCCTGTCACTGCGCCTGTACCAGTGCCAGCACCTGAGAAATCAGAGACAGCAGAGAAACCTCGGCCTGTCCGGACTGCTCGACCTCCTAGACCCAATTACAGGCACATTCATCGCTTTCCTCTTCCAGTCAATGTCTATCATGTTCCTTCAGTAATTCCTCATAACCCTCTTTCCATCATTAGTGTTGCCCTCTCGTACCTCACCTTCCTTATCTACCCTCCACGTCAAGAGATCTATACCGCATACTTCGACTCTGCTACCTCGTCCGTTCATGTCACCGATGAGAAGACGATTAGAGCCTTGTGGGAGATGGGGTTCTTCGGTAAAGGTAGTCTGAGTCGAAGTGAGCCCAATTGGCTGGAGCAGGAGAAAAAGAGGAAGGGGTTGATGGGTGGTAATACTGTCGAGGAGGCTACACGGAAGCGCCGTGCTGAACGTCGCCAATTGAAGCTGGAGCGAGCCAGACATGAGAAGTTGGCCGTCGAAGAGAGACTCAAGGCCGAGGCTGCTGCTCGTGAATCTGGTTCCGTTGACGGTTTATCCATCGATGGTGCTGCTGAGGCTGCAGCTGTCCCTGTGGAGAGGTTCTCTGTCAAGAGGGCCATGGAAGCCCGGTACCTCGAGAGACGACAACAGGCAATTCAGAACAAGAATCATTCTGAATCGACAGGTTCATTGCAAACAGCAAACGGCTCAGGCCCAGTCTCTCCTATCGTCAAGAAGAAAGAGACCGTTTCCAACTCCACCGCCACACTCCAAGGCATCGAAGACGACCTGGATCTCGATGCGCTCGAAAACGAAGAACATCTACAATTATCCACCGAGGAGGCCTTCTTCCTGGTTTATGGCCTCGGTGCCCTGCGAGTTGTCGACCACAACAATAATGCCACCATCCCGACCTCATCCCTTTTCTCCCTTCTCCGTCACCATTCCTACTATCCTCCCCGTTCCGACTCTTCTCAGCTGGACGCCGATGACCCCTTCATGATTTCATACTCGGTGTACCACCACTTCCGTTCTCTCGGCTGGGTTGTGCGTTCTGGAGTGAAATTCGGAACAGACTATCTCCTCTACAACCGCGGGCCGGTTTTCTCCCACGCCGAGTTTGCTGTTATTATCATTCCCTCCTACAGTGATCCATATTGGTCCGAGACCGAGGAACGCAGGGAGTACGCAGCCAGCAAGCAAGCCCGGAGCTGGTGGTGGCTGCATTGCGTCAATCGTGTCCAAGCTCAAGTGAAGAAGAGCTTGGTGATCTGTTATGTGGAAGTCCCTCCTCCCGTAGACTGCTCGGAGGATATCGCGGCTGAGTTCGGTCGCTACCGAGTCCGTGAATTCATGCTCCGACGATGGGTACCAAATCGCACTCGGGATTGAGGCACTGCCATCCATGTCATGTATTTTATTGTGGTGGTCAGATCGGGCTTCAGATACCCGCTCAGGTGTTTCAGTGATCGACTCTACGAATTTTTGTGTATGATATACCCAATTGCATCTTCGACGTACTTATTGTGTCAGCCATGAACTCCGTAGATTTATATTTCTAGCACTTTTTTCATCCTGGATGAATCATAGTGAAGGTATTTGTTGTAATTGTAGAGTGACCTAGCAAAAGACGCTAGTCCAAGTTTGGTAATATTGGAAAAGCGCGGCAGCACGTGACCGACGCGTCTCGCGTCCGCCCTCCAAATTGAGTCTCTGGCCGCCCATCTCCGTTGGATGCTATATCTCATTCGATAATCATATCCATAGCTCCATAGCTGTACACAGCATGCTCTTTTGCGACTGAAAAGCCACCCCGAAAATCAACTTGAGGTGACGGAGACGATGGAGACGCAGGATAGCATCGATATTGCCAAGTTGCAACGCGTCGCGTTGGGGCTAGTATGTAATGACCTGCAGCGTCCCAGATTTTCATTGGACTAACTCGGACATCTTCAGGAGCACGACCCATCCCAGTCATTCTTTTCCGGTCCAGCAGGAATTGCCAGCGCTTCGCCAGAGCAGCTCACCCATTCCAATCACCACCCTTCTGGTCGTTCCCATGGTGGTGCATCACCCACTGCCATAGGGTTATTATCGACCTCGTCATCGAATCCCTCCAGCTCTAAGCTCAAACACCTTCCTCCCTCATCCAAGCCTCGGCAACATGCACTGGACCCCGTAAAGACCTACAATCCCGCAATCGACCAGAGCCAAACGAACCCCGTCCCTTCGACACCTTTTGGCAGGATGGATTCCGCCGAAGCCGCCCCGGGAGACACCCAGGTTGTCTCGCAGTCAGTGTACGATAGCATCATTCGTCAAAATGGAGAATCGATGTACCAGGGAACCTCACAAAACGGGGCTGATGGAGCAACCCTTCGAACCTTGCACGAGGGAGATAGTGGGCATATCAATCTCCTTTCCCAGTTCGATACTGCACGACACGAAGACAACTTGTCCCAGGACCAAGACGAGGAGAGTAACTATGATGAGAACGAATCTTCTCCGATGGCCTACAATCCCGACTTTTTCCCAGAGTCCCAGCGCTTCTTGGCTACAACTCCTGGGACTGCGGTGAAGGTGAACCAGACCCCCGGCACCTCAATGCGAACACCTAGCATCTCGCGCAACCCGTTAGCTGGCGAAATTGAGTCGAGCGGAGGCATGCTAGCTCTGAGCCAGCTCTTCAAAGCGACCCAGGCCCCTTCGTCGCCGCTGGTACATACCCAACAGTTGGAGCTGATATCCGACCGTCCCTCGCCGAACCTTCCAATTCAACATCGTCGCCTTACGAACGCAGTATCATCACCCTTGATAGAACGGCCAGTGCACATCGCCAGGGAATCGTCGGAGCCGAACCTTCACTACATCTCCCTAAAAGATTCACAGTCGAGGCGTGATAAGACATTGGGAGAGAGGCTCACCCGTTCGGCCAATAACATGGAGACCAGCGATGACCTCGATCATGAGTTTTACAAAGAGTCGAGTTTTGTTGAGAATGCACGGCGGCAGCGCCAAATCGACGAAGAGACTGCTGCCCAATTCGCTGCCCTCAACGCTCCTTCCGGATCGACCACCGGCGTAGCCACCTCGCCAAGTCACCCCACTGATGAACTACGGCCAGAAGAGACTGCACACGAAGCTGCAGGAAGCGAAGAAGAAACAGAACAAGAGGACGATATTGGTCCACAGGTGCCTCAATCGCAAGAGATCGTGCAGTCCTCGGAGGAGGACAAGGAGAATTACAACGGTCCCCCAATGTCCACAGAACCTGCTAGCAGCGCACACGACCGGCTCTCTCAAGCTTTAGCAATGGATGAGCATGCGTCGATGGCGAATCAGGGCGCCGACTTCCCTGCTCAAGACTCAGCCCCGGCGGCCTTGGCCAACAACGACCACTATATCGGCCGGTCGTCGCAGGTGATGGTGAAGGATTCTCAGCAAACACCGTATCAATCTCCAAAGCCGGATGAGCACTCGTCTAAACCACCCTCGCAGCACTATGACACTTCCGTTGACCAAATGTCTGACGTGGCAGAAAACTCGCCTGTGTGCCCACGTCTCCGATCATCACCACCTGGGTCCCAACAAAAGGAAAGATCAGGGTCCCAACACAATACAAACACCGAGATGCACACCGAAGAAGTGATTCAGGCTACTTCATCGAACGAGATACGACGTGTTCAGTCCAGCAACCCTTCAGATCGGGAACTACCAGGGCCAATCCCTTACGGAACGCAGTCGGGTCTTGAGACAAAATCCTCTTCAATGCCCTCGCGTGTCACAGAGACCCCCGTTCACCTGCGACCGCAGATAAGTGATATGACTCGCATGACTAGCATTCCAGAGACCAGTCCCAACCAGACTCGACCCAATGAATGGGAGGGCGAATCCAACGGCGATGGTCTCAATAACGAGGATGATGATCTACCCCCAATGTTCGCAGTCCAGAGTGTCAACCGACGTTCACGACCAGGGCCATCTCAAACTCAGTCTTCCCCCATCAAGATGATCCAGGCACAAGAAGTGCAGTCCCAAATTCTGTCTAGCCCCAGTGGCAGACAGCGACGGGCGTTGACAGCCATCGCCGCTAGCGCCTCTCCCCAAGTGGACCATAAAGTGGATTGGGGACTTGACTTCTTCACGGCCGAGGACGATGAATTCAATGCCCTTGTCATTGATGGGTCACCAACACGCCCGAGGAAGAGACGCCGGGGTAATTTGGGTCAAGCACTTCGGCCGTCCGATATAGTACTTCCCTCTACCCCTCGTGCTCATCCTCCCAAAACCGTGGCTCCCAGTCAACCACAGTCAAGTGCCGAGAAGCCACCGTCAAATTCACAGGAGATGCTGGCAGTTCACGTCCCTATCAGCACAATTTACTCACAACTAGATTTTTCCTCCCGGCCCTTTTCACGGTCTGCTTCACGGCCCCCTGCACGATCTACATCGAGACCGGCCTCACGATCAGCTTCACGACCACCCGCGCGATCTAGGTCACGACCAGCCTCACGATCGGCCTCACGACCACCTTCACGGTCAGCGTCACGAGCTGCCTCGCGAGCCCCGTCGCGACCCCCATCGAGAAGGAGCGAAAATGTTTGGGAGGTTGAGAGTCCGCAGCGTGCTGTTCGACGGAGGTCCAGGTCCAGACCTGGTAGATTGATGACTTCGCGGGATCCTCCACCGCAGCGCATTCCAGTCAAGTTCCCAGATGAGAAACCGCCTGCACGGCCTGTGGTTGTGCATAATCCCCAACCAGTTTTCTCGTCTGAGCTGACAGACGTCGAGTTGCTTTCGGATATTTCAATGCTGTCAACCAGCAACATCACAAAGAGTCCCTCAACTACACCTCAGCCGCACCGTACCGCTCCTGCATCTACCACCGACGACTCCGAAATTCGTGCACCGAACCAAGTCATTGCCGTATGGCAGGGCTCGAAGCGGGCTTACTACCCTGGAACATGCTTCGGCGCTCCGGTTGGAGTCACCCAGGGCAAATATTGCGTCAAGTTCGTAGACAGCCTTCCAGTTGAGGTGAACAAGGGTGTCGTGAAGCGGCTTGAGCTTCGAGTTGGCGACACCGTCAAGGTTGAAATGCCCGGTTTTCCCAAAGTGGCCCATGTCATTTGTGGATTCAGCGATCGGCTTTCTCGAGAAGAGATTCTTCGTGCTGCCGAGAATGGCTTGTATCCACAGACCGATGTACATGGGTACAGCGCCGTGCTCGTTGCCTCGAGGCAACGCAATAGTCTGCCCAATGGTACTTTCAATACGCCAGAGACCCTGACCAAGGTGCCAATTTCCCGAATCTACATGGATACAAACCTGTGGAACCGGTTTAAGGACCGAGAGTTCACGCACAAGCCGGACACAGCGCCACTGGAGACCACGTTCCGTGCCTCGTCTATGAGATCTTCTTTGCCGACATCCCCAAATTCCCGTGCGGCTCGTACTGGCTACGACACCGCTGGCATCTTCTCAAAGATGGCATTCGCCGTTTCCTACAAGGAGAATGAAGCCTCCAAAAACCGGATCACGAGGCTCATACGAGACAATGGTGGCATGTTACTTAATGACGGCTTTACGGAATTGTTTGAACCCGCCTCCGTCGAGACACCTAAGAAGGGCGACACTATCGATGGAGTCTCAACAGTTAATAGCCTCTCCCTCGATTCGGACGCAGCGGAGATTGGTTTCACTTGCTTGATTGCCGACACACACTCTCGGCGGGAGAAGTACATGCAGGCGTTGGCTTTGAATATCCCATGTCTGTCAGGCCGTTGGGTTGAAGATTGCGTTGCTAAGGGTCGCATTCTTGACTGGGATATCTATCTCTTGCCTGCCGGAGAATCATTGTACCTTAACGGAGCCACGAGGTCTCGAATCATGGCACCCACCTCACCAATGGAGTCTCGTCTGTCAGATACTATCGACTCACGGCCAAGATTACTTGACGGGAAATCTGTCCTTATTGTTATGGGCCGTGGAAAAGCAGAGGAAAAGCGCAAGGCTTATGTCTTCCTCACGCTGGCCTTGGGTGCCTCTCGCGTTGAGCGTGTTCCTGACCTCGAGACGGCCAAGGCCCTTTTGGACTCTCGGGTTGAAGCCTCCTCTGCTTCCGGTTGGGATTACATTTACGTGGATGATGCAGACCAGACTGCTGCAAAATCTATGTTGGCTTCTTCCAAATCACAACCCGTCAATTTTGTTAACGGGAGGAAGAGGAGGAGATCGACTGTGACTATGTCGAGACCCGATTTGACAACTCTACTGGGCCCTCAGATCGTGGGCAGTGAGTTTGTCTGCCAAAGCTTGATTCTGGGACGGCTGTATGAAGAGTGATAGCTATTTTTTTCCATCTAGATACCAATTTCATTCAATGTACACTTCAGCGTTTTATTCAAATTACCAACATTGGCTAGGTTGCTTTCCCAACCGTTCTTAAGTATTCAGGTTCCGTTCCATGGAGCCCAACTCCGAAATGGTAGATGGTGATCATGGAAGGAATGAGCAAGATTTCTCATGACTTCTCATTATTGGGCAAATATCGAATGGACCAGAGAGTGGTTGGAATCAAAGCTCATCATCCGAACACGAATCCGAACCCGAGGCTGATTGGCAAGGCACATCGGGTTCGTATTCGTATTCGGATTGATCTGTTTAACTACCGTAGATCTGCAAAGATTATCAGATGCTTGACACACTCACCACGCCGATTTCACATTTTTCTATTGAAAGTCTCCACAGTTCCCACTTTTCTCAAAGGCAACTGCATTTACCGTGGCTCTGCACAAAGGAAGTTGTCATCTTGTGCCGCAGGGCTGAGCCAGACCCATCTCGCATCCCAAAGATGATCGCAGTTTCAAATGCCATGGATCGAAACATGCTCTACGCAATGAAGGTGCCGAGAATCCCCCGAGATAACGATGAAGATCGACAGTGAGCATCCGAATACGACTCGGCGGGCCTCTGGCACGTTGATCTACTTCATACAAACGGGTGCCTAGGATGGTCTGGATCTTTATAACAGGATGTTCAAGGACGAAAATATTGAAATATCAAGCATTTATTATCTATAATCAAGTTTGAATACCAACGGATTGCATCACGATGAAAGCTCTTCTTGCATATTCTATTTCAGTGCTGGCCCTCGCAGAGAGCGCCATCGCAACTACTCTGGTTGGGTCTTCAGTCACTACTCCTCTGGGCTCGTTTGAGCTTAACAAAGGAGCTGCATGTGCCTGTGAAAAGCTTTCTCGAGCCTACACGGGGATTATTACTCCCGGCAGTGCAAACTATACGGCCCAAGGTGCAGACGCCTATTGGGACGTTCGAGCCGATCTTTCTCCCGCGTGTATCTTTTTGCCGAGTACGGAGGATGACATCTCCAAGGCTCTGAGAATATTCCAGGCTTGTGATGCACAGTTCGCTGTTCGTGGTGGCGGCCATATGAATGTGAGTATCTGAGCCGACTTGGGTCTATTGGGAGATTGTTAACACCCAACCAGTATCCAGGATCGAATAACATCGACGGCGGAGTTTTGCTAGCACTCGAGAAGTTCAACAACGTCAAAGTGGATACCGACTCTGTCGAAGTCGGGCCCGGCCTTACCTGGTACGATGTCTACAAAGCCCTCGAGCCCTCTGGCCGTGCAGCCATCGGTGGACGTTTGAAAACAATTGGTGTCCCAGGCCTGTGCCTCATTGGCGGATTCCACTATTTCAACAACAAGTACGGTTATGCTATGGACAATGTCCTCAGTTACGACATTGTCCTTGGAAATGGAACACAGGTCGTGGCAAACCGAACATCACACCCGGATCTGTTCTGGGCACTGAAGGGAGGTGCCAACAACTACGGTATCGTGACCAAGTTCACATTGAAGACCTATGCTATTCCCAACGTCAGCACGACTATTCAGGTCTTCAATGAGAGTGGTATTCCGGACTTCTTGACTGCGGTTTGTAACATTGCTAAGCTTGACGAGGAAGACCCTATCGCAGCGGGAATGGTTGCGACTGTGCAATACAATGCCACAACCAAAGTCGCGTCGGCTTCGTTGCTTGGTGTTCAGGAAGGCATTAGCAAGCCTCCATCTCAATTTGCGAATTTCTCTGCTATCCCCGCTACTACACGGATCAACAATGTCACGACAATGAGGCAGTGGGCGTCTAGTCTGGACACGCCTAAGCAAATGTTCCGGTCAGTCATTCATACTGCTCCCACGTCAACAGCTATATAGTGCTAACATCTCCCGAAGTGTGATGTTCTCTCACAAAACCATGAAACCGGATCAAGACGTTCTAGTCTCGATTTACAAGGCATGGAAAGATGCCGTTGACCAAATCGCGGATGTTGAAGGACTTTACCCAACCTTCGTGACAAATGTCGCCCCTGCGAGCGCAGCGCGTATCGCTCTTACCAATGGTGTTGGCAACGTCTGGGGATTGGAAGCAGAGCCTTATATTCGTATGTTTGCTGGAAATAATCCATCCCCGAGATTTCAGCTAATCCGGAATCTAGTATGGCAATTCAGTACCGGCTGGGCCTTTGCGCAAGACGATCTTCGAATCGAGGCTTGGTCGCGCCAATTGATTGAGCGTCTCAATGCGATCAACATTGAAAAAGGGCTTGCTACGGATTTCATCTATATGGGTGATGCGGGAGAGTGGCAGGATCCCTTTGCAGGCTTCCCTGTCGAGAATGTGGCGCGAATGAGGAAGATTAAAGCCTCGTATGATCCTCTTGGGGTCTTCTCTAGGCTCAATTGGGGAGGGTTCAAATTGAGTGTATAAAGAGCATGGGCAAGATAGTACTCGACGAAAGGAATAGCTGAGGATCTAGATTATTTCATGATGGATGCTTTGAAGTGTGGGATTGTTCAAACAGGATAGATGGGTTCGAAAGTGTTGTTTTTTGACTCAGACATAAACAAGTTGAAATTGAATCGACTAGTGTCTATAGAAACCCATCGACGAATGCAGGATAGTCGGCAATTCTAACGATCGATTATGTACAGAAAGACCCTTGATTTGGATCTATAGCCCCACTTTAAAACAGCCGAGTGGAGGAAGTGTAGCCCAATCTTGGCTCAAGCTGACCCACAGAACAACCTCAACCTCTCCGCGATCCAGAATAAGTTTCAGCCTATTCTTCATCACGCTACCCTGGTTTCGTGGTGGCTGTGGAGTAATGAGCTTCACTTAAAATAGCACTTGGAACGAACTAATTAACCATCACGTACCACTTGGAGGCAACAGTCGGAAAAACTCAATTGCTTCCAGCCTGTTGCGATCATTCAAAACCCTTCCTACGCGCTACCTCAATTGCGAGGTCGGACCTCCTGTCCGGTGAGCAGTGAGCCGAGATCAAAGGAAATGGTCTAGTCCACCATGGGTCCACGGCGAACACATACCAAGTCTCGAACTGGGTGTCAGTCATGCAAGTTACGGAAAGTAAAGGTTAGTACCCCTGCCATTTTGTCTCGCAGCCCAGCTAACGTGGAACTTGGATGGGCCCAAAGTGCGATGAGGCTAAGCCAAAATGCAATAATTGCCTTCGCCATGGGGTCGAATGTAGTTATAACACTGCTCCAACGGCAGCCAGTACCCCAACTGCAAGCATTCCCACGGGACTGAGCCCCTTTGTTAGCGAGGCCGCCAGGCTGAGTTCAGATGCCGCCACACCAGCCATGGGCATGGCGGAAATGGCCCTATTGCATCACTATAGCACCTCAACCTGCTATACAATCTCACGTCATCCTGTCCTACAAACTGTATGGCAGACTACCGTTCCCACATTTGCCTTCTCCTATCAATTTGTCTTTCGCGGGATTCTGGCGCTGGCCGCTTTACACTTGGCCCATCTGAAGCCGGATCTTCAGGACCAGTACGTCGATGCAGCTGAATTTCACCACAACCTAGCCCTGCAGATGGTCTCAGGTACCATCCCCCAAATCAATGAGGAAAATGGACCGGCTGTGTATCTCTTCTCCACAATTACTTGCATAATCGGCTGTGCCTTGCCGCGAAAGCGCGATGATCTGTGGGTCAGCAATGATCGAGTTCTGCAGTGGTTATTATTGTTTCGAGGTACGGTCTCAATTATCACCTCGGTCAATGAATCGCTCAAATCTGGTCCTTTGGCACCCATGTTCACTCTGGGACGACGAAGAAGCCTTGCTTGGGAAGCCAGGTCGACCGCCAACCAGTCTTTTCTCGTCAACTTGCGGCGACTTATCGAGGATGCAGTTGAGGACCCGATCGAGTTGAAATGCTATACAGATGCCATTGATGACCTGGGGAAATCTTTCGCGACGATCCTTGAGGTCGGTTCCCCGAACTGTGAGACAGCCGACATTTTCATCTGGCTTCTCCGAATTAGCGACCAGTTTTTAAATCAACTGCAACAGCGGACACCGGAAGCTTTGGTGATCTTTGGCTACTATTGTGTTATTCTCAAGGAGCTTGAGTGGGCTTGGTGGATGCAAGGCTTTAGCATCCACATGATACGTGCGATATATCTCCACTTGGATGAGGAGCATCGCTGCTGGCTGCAGTGGCCTATGCAACAACTCGGCTGGGTTCCTTGATGGACACTTCTCTTCCCTGAGACCTATCCTTGCTCGCTGGGCTAGGCGACTGCATGTTTTGATTATCCCGCTCCACCCTCACGCTGATGCCGGTTTGCAAGCATCGAATCATTCCAATATCGAAATTTTCGAAGCGACCGATCTCGATGATCGTCTTTGCAAATTCTGGTTCAACAATTCGGAAAGACCTCACAAATGGTCACAGGACGTTATCAAAAGAATTCGCCTTTGTGTTGTTTCTGGATATATACGGAGCAGCGAAGCGGATGAAAACATACCGCGACCTTATCATTCGGGCGTGCAGTATTTTCATTGCATATGTTGATTAGGACGGATCCGATCTCAATATCTAGCTGATCCATAAAAATTGCCTTTTGCCCCTTCATTCCAGGTTGTGTCTACCATAATGTCTACATAGATTGCATGAAAGACAAAGCAACGATCGACTAAACAAAGTCTCAATCCCACCATTCTTTGAACTCAGTCTCTAGGCCCCTTCCAGTGTGTTCAGGCGCAACGTTTTCCCAGGCCTCCAAGACCCGTGCGTCGGGTTGGTAGAGGCGCTCAGCCCTGGCTTGCTTTGTTGATGGGTCACCGCCAATCAAGCAATCTGCAGAATCAAGAGTCCTCCATGTAAGCCTAGAAGTTCCCGCCCGCACTTCATACTCCAGTGAGTACCGTGAGATGCCATCAGTCTGCAAAATCATTTGTCTCAATTTAGGCATCCGGAGGGCAGCCCAGGCAGCTGAGATGTAGAATCTGTTGGCGTGGCTCGCGATGAGGTTGAATCGAAAATGTATACATCGGCGATCCTCGAGAGGGACACGGACGGATTCGGGATATCCCTCCTCTCTAGCATTGTAGTATTCAGGATCCGTGTTATCATCTGTATCCGTGTCCTCCGGATCCCGTTCTTGAAGCCACTCTCCAGACGGTGTCACCGGCGCATAGTTCACCACCACCTCTTTCAGATTTGGCCAGAAGGGTAGATTCACCGATACACTATATTCCTTTGAATTCAACGGCCAAAAAAGCTCCGGGCCTAAAACTGTAAAATCGTCGATGTGAAGACTCTCTAGACGCTGCGACAAATCCCGTAAAGCCGAACTTAAAAGGTCCGATCCATCCACCGTCACGTCTGGAGGTGCGTAGTGCTGATCACGAGGGGGCTCGTATTGAAATTTTAGATCGAACCGCTGTAGCCGGGCAGGGATGAGGTGAAGATTGCGAGCAAAGTATGGACGAGATGAGTTATGTCAAACTTTAGTGTCAATCACTCAACGGGGCTTAAGCTTTTCCGATAGGATCTAGCTTACCATTTCGAAGGCGTTGTCTTAATCGTTCATCTCGCTTACACTCATCCTTCATCAATAGTTCCACTCGGTTTAATCGCGGTAGCTTTGACGCGATGAATACACTCGATGCCGGTTCGATTAGCCGTTTATTTCTGAGGCCGCGGATTGAAAGATAGTTCACTATAGGGACCGGTGGGCACTGGACGTCTGTGGTAGTTCGAGAGAATTGCAGGTAGGATCTCTCATATCTCTTCTGAAGAAGATCGTCCAATCTCGATCTAGCGGCTGGTTTCCGTCGTTGCTTCATATCGAGAAAGTCGCTCGGGCACATTGCCTGGATAGAAAGCTCAATGCTAGCAGCATCGTTTGGCCAGCTTGATAGGATTTTGAAAAGAGTGCAAATCGTTGAGGTAAAGATCTTGTTGTTTTGTTGGCGATCCTCGTCAGTCTCCCACTGAGCGCGCGCCTGCACATCGTATGACTCGAGCCGCACGACTAGGTTGATGCGTTTGACACAAGATCTTCGGCTGGGGTTCGTTACGATGCGCTGGAACTCTTCCAGTCGTTTTGCAGTGTGAATTCGAATTTTGGCGAATGTGCGTCTCTCAATGATAGCCTGCCAGTGACGGCCCAATGTGGCATATGGTGCCAGACTAAAAGACCTGCCTTCATGATCTCTCGCAATCTTCAGGTGGTTCAACACCAGGGAGATCAATTCTGGCGGTAACAAATCCATGTTGTGATGGCTGGCAGATTTGGAGGATTGAAGTGCACCAGGCTGTTCCTCCGGCTGCTGCCAAGTATTTTCGAAAAATAGCTAATAGCACTAGATACAAAAAGTTCGTGACACTACAACGCTATACTTAGTTAGATATCGCGCTGCCCCACTACTAGTGAAACTGCATCGTTCATGAAGCTGATAAGGTATGCCGTATATATTTGTAGCTCGATCAATATTCAATTCGGTAATCAATTTCAATGAATCACTTCTGAGTGGCACATCAATTACTTCCTTGCGTTACCATCCAGCAATGGGCTTCGGCAAGCCTCCTCTTTCTAGCCTTGGGAATTGCCAATTCTTCCTTACCTCTGAACTAACACAGCTTCGCCTGCACCGACTAAGACCTTCCTGCCAACTGCTTTCTCATGAGTCTTGGCTCCCACGATCTCGCCCGCTTCATTCACTGTCTGGCCCGCAAGTGTAATATTCAGGGCAGTTTCGACTCCAGGACTAGTAAGCCTCGATACCTTTGCTGATTCCCAGCCACTTGGCAGCTCGAGGACTGTATACGACCTCTCCTGCTGCTCAAACGTCGAGTTCCACATGACGAAGTTCACTGCAACGATAGATTCCAGCTTACCAGACCCGTATACTGCGTAAGCACTGAAGTCTGTTTCGTTAACAAGAACCTCGGTTTGTTTGTGTCCTCCGGCGAAAACGTGAGCATTGAATAATGCTGCATAGTATATAGGGAATACTTGCGGCGCAGTATAGTTGAATGACACGGGCAGCCATGAGCGGTATGCATATCGGGTTCCCATATGGAAGTGGACACGTTCAACCCGTAGAGACGACAGGTATAGCACGTAATCGACGGCCCAGACTGCAGCTGCCATGACGTCGGAGATGTTGGCTGCACCTTGGCATGAGATTGAGTTTGTTTCTCCAATGACATATGGAATTCCCGACTTTGCTGTTTCGTTTCCGAGATAATCATGGTACCAGATCCGGGATAGAACGTTTGTGCGGTCGAAGATACTTGTCTCGATAGTTGGACCAACGCCTGTATAATGACAATTGGCTCCCATGTACTGTATTTTGATAAGCAAAAAAATCAATTGAGCGTGGCTGAGACACCTTACCTCATGGTCGGCAACAGTCTTTGCCATGTTAGAGAGCATGCCGTCCGATTCAGCATTTGCAACATTCCAAGCAGTGGAGCTGACTACATTGCGCGGTGCTTCGAAAGCACAACCTTGAAAGATTTGAGATGAGTCCGACCCGGTTAAGTTCTGACTTATGGCTTTGGCGTAGTAGTTCCACTGGTCAACGTAATCCTGGAGTGTCCAGTTCGCAGATCGACGCTGACCACCAGGCCATCCTTTCAGAGAGTGAGGTTAGAGACTTCACATAGTGACTGCAATTATCGTGACTCACCATCAACCTCGTTGCCAATTTCAAAGCCGTAAAGAGCGTCTCCAATTGCATTGTATGCAGCATTTGCCTCAAGTACACATTGAGAAAGCCCATCGCCCACACTAAAGAGTGTCTCATTGGCAGGGTTGAAGAAGTTGAGACCTGTCGTGATGGTGTCAAATTCAAGAATATGAGAGATGGTTCATTTCAAAAACCTACTTACCATAGATGTACTGAGTGCCTTTTGGAAACTGTCTGAATGACTGCATAAAAGTGGGACCTAGATACGAATGCCTGGGTTGGGTCGATGCGGCAGAGTCAAAGGGGCTGATGATAGCCTGGGATTGGTCTGGATAGTACACAGCAGAGTTTTGCGTACTACCACCAACGCGGAACAATGGAGGCTTTCCCGCAATATCTTTCAAATTCTGAATGACTTGCTGCGAAAAGGTATTGGGGTGCCTAACCAGGTATAAGTCTACTATACCTCGTCTTTGAGGAGAATAGAGCAGTTGTACTCACGTATCGTTGCCTGCATAATCAACCATATAGCAGAATTCAATCGAGAATGAATGATAGTCTGCATCGTGGACCTGTTTCTCTGGGTGAGGAGAACGGGGTGGTGAAAGGACGAACGAGCGTGTGATATTAACACTCGAGCGCGATGCTGGTGTTGCAAGTGCATGCTGAATTGCGAACAAGGTAAGAACGAATAGACTATTGAAGAGACACATCTTTGCTGGCTGCTTCTACTTGTGCCAGGGAGACCCAATGTCTCCTGATTCCTGGACTTTTATAGATATTCCTAGAGACAATATCTCGGGGGATTAGGCCCGAAGTAGAGACTGAATGAATCATTTCGGCCAAAGCTATACCGAAGATTAACAGGTTTCTGTCAATGGCATATGATCTAACGCAGTATCATACTTCTTAAAAGGGAGGTACAGGTTAGGCGAAGCCGCGTACCGAAGCTACCCCCCACACCCCACTCTCTTCAGCGAGAATCTGGGGTATGAGCATATTATGGTAGAACAAGGATCGGGAATTGATTTATGACCCAAATAGCCGATAGCCGTGGCACGGATCTCGATGGATTTGTATAGTGTGTCAAAGCGAATAGATCCTTGTATCTAGCAATTGTTGGGAGAGGGGTTAATTGATGTTGATTGGAGGGCCTACGGATGTAAACAATTTCCATCACTCAGACGCCCAGATAGATAGCCGCTCTGTCAATCCAGACCACAAATACTCAAGCGAGGAGCTGGATGCAAAGAAAGTAACACCTCTTACAGAAACTCGGGTCGCGGTCATCCAACAGAGGTAGCTTGAACAGTGGGGAAGATATTGAAATTGTGTCACATACATGCCAAGAGATAGTTTATGCCTCTTGCTATAATACAGAAAAATACAGGAAGTAGATCCTCAAATCGCTACTGAAACCCAAACCCCATGGCTTAAAACATCATGCACCCTTATTTGGCCTTCTTGGGCGCCTTCTTCTTGCCCTTCAAACTCTTCATCTGGGCAGCGCGCTCGGCACGCGCCTGTCTCTTCCTCCACGCAAGCCAACGGTTGTTGCGGTCGTATGACTTTGCGGTAATTCCAGCCTTCTCAGCGGCACGACCAATAACCCAATTGGCCTCACGGTACATGTAACCGGGACGCAGCTGAGGGCCAGACTCGGCGTTGACGGCCTCCACACTGCCAACCTGAGTGCCATTCTCATCGATAGAGGCAACCAAATCAGACTGATGTGTCACAGGCTCAGCTCGTGGAGTTGTGACCATGTTCAGCCTGCGCCGGCTGGGCGCGTTACGCGGGTGTGGAAGTCTTCCCTCCTTCTCGAAGACAACGCCGATGTACCGACGTTCTGGGTGGCGCTCTGGGTCCAGGTAATACCGGACATAACCGGCTTGAGTGGCGTAGATTGTGTGGTCTCGTCCCATCGCGCAGTTGTCACCAGGGAACCACTTGGATCCTCGCTGGCGGAAGATGATGCATCCGGGAACGACATATTCACCACCTGTGCGCTTGGCACCCAGGCGCTTTCCAGCGGGATCGCGCGAGTGTCGATTGGCAGTTCCTTGAGATGCGTGCGAGGCGAAACGCACTTGTGAGAATGGTAGGAGGGTGCGAGGAATAGAAGGTGTCGTCTTCGGGACGGAGAGCGATGCGGTAAGAGACCGGGGGAGGATGGATTGCGGTCGGTACGCGTTTTGGACTGATCTGAGTGAGGGAGCAATGGCCCGTTCCAGCGCCCGCATTGGCGCCAGAAGTCTGGGTTGCAACATTGTTGGCAATTGGAGCTGAGGTCGAGATGCGGAGGTCGAAGCTCCAAGGGGAACTTTTTCTCGGAGGTGGAGGCTTGGCTTCACGTGACCGGCCCGTAAAGTGGCTTCATCTATAGGCCACCTCCATCTATTCTCCCACCCAGCTATTCCCTAAAACATCTCAAGATCGCTCTAGCGGCTGTTGATTGAAAGATGTTGCGTAACTTGCTCTCGAGTCTGGGGACTTTGTTTCTGCTGGCTGCCGTCGCCCAGGCCCAGTTCCAGTTCTTCGAGCACATGTTTGGCGGCAATCAGCAACAACAAGCTCAACACCAGGCCTCCCAGAATGTCCCCAGCGACAGCGGTCGATATCAGAAGATGTGGGCTCAAGGTGAGTTTCTTCCTCCCCAACCTTAGAGCATGGCCATGTTTTTGCCTGCAATTGTTTACTGACCTTGGGATTCACCTGCAGCGCAATGCAGCAACTACCTCTGTCCTGGAACTCTCGCATGCGTTTCCGTCCCTCACCACTGCCCCTGTGCGCACCCCGATGTTGAAGAAAAAGTTGAGCTAGGAGAAGGAAGCGCGATCTGTGTCTCGAAGGGAGGATTCAAGGCCGGCGAGGCTGCTCGGAAGATCGAGCTAGCCCGCAAGGGCCTTTTGTGAGAGTATCGAATAAAAAGCATGCGGTTATTTGGTCTATACGCTGTACTCTCAAGCCTTTGATATTAACAATACACTCAATATCATTCAAAAGTTATACCGAACCATCTCATGATCTACAGTGGGGTTTCATAAGTCTGAAACTACGACCAGTGTTCAGAATCATCATATCGGTTACAAGTTGAATGATAGATTTAAAAATGATACCTAAGCTATCAAGAAAGACGATTGAATTGACCTTTAGAAAGACCTTTCAAAAACCAAGAAGTGGAAGCATATCTATTAAGGGGTCTCTCCTGGTCTCTAGGCTTAGACTTTTGAACTACCACTGTACTTCCATCAGTGGGCCCTTACGGAGTTGAGTATGGAGTCTGGAGTGTGAAGACATTACCATTGGAGAATTGGGAAACATATGTAGCTATCTAAGTAGAGGCACTTGAATTCTTTTAGATGATTTAGCTTGTGTAGGTGGATTCGAATGGAATGGGATGCACCAACACACCTGGCCTTGTCGTAAGGTGGCGGTAAATCCGCTTAACCCCACGGGCGATGTCATCGCCAGCTTCTTTCTTCCCGCCGCCGTCAACTCCTCCTCAAAGTCTTGACACATACCTGCCACAACACCCGATAACGACTAGCTTCCATCGATATGTGGAGCGCAAGGCCCCCTTTTTCTCCGTTGAGGGGACTTCCAATCCGCAGACCTTTATCGACTCTCCGCGGCAGAAGCACTCGCCTCGGTCCACGCAGCAGCATAATAAGGCCCGGACGAATTCCCCAAACGCAGAAACCAGATGAGCCACCGCAACAGCCCGACTCCCCGGCCCCAGAATCTCAGGACGCTATCAATCCCAACTACGACCCTTCGCAAAACACCCTCCTCTCCCCTGTCTATCTCCCAGAAGACCCTAATGGCGTCCTCAAAGAAACCCACCCAGCGACAAAACTCCTGGCCAACTCCGCGCTAGTTGTGCAGCGCCAACTTGAGATGATGAACGTCATGATGTGAGTGACATTTGATCTACATGTGCCGAGGCAGTAATGCTGACCCAACACTCTCAGTGGTTTCGAGCAAGCGAACAAGTATGTTATCATGGACGCGCAGGGAAATCACATCGGATATATGGCCGAGCAAGAGAAGGGGATGGCCAATGCCATGGCTCGCCAATGGTTCCGCACACATCGAAGCTTCGTGACACATGTTTTTGATAAACATGAGAACGAGGTGCTACGGGTAAATCGGGCATCTCACCAGTATCCTCTCCATCGCTGATCGCTGACTATCATAGTTTAATCGCCCATTCGCATGGATCAATTCCCGGATCCAAGTTTATGACCCTCTTGATACCAAAGCCAGAACTTCTACGTACTCTACACCCCTCCAAATGACGACTCCAGGTGCCTTGGTCCAAGCCGACGTTTCCTCCAATGCGCGTGTCTCCCCACTCGACTTTGCTCAGATGCGGGTTATTGGCGAAGCACAGCAGCAATGGGCACCCCTGCGGCGGAAATACAATCTGTTCACCTGTAATCAGTCACCAAGTTCCGCGACGGACATGAGTACTCGGAGATTCCCTCTCGCCGAATCCGGCTTGTCTAAACCGCAGCAGTTGCAGCTCGCGCAGGATTCTAGCAAGGGCCAAGGTGAATTCAACCAATTCGCCTACGTCAACGAGCCATTCCTGTCATGGGATTTCTCCCTTCTGTCGGCGGAGAACCAACTGATCGGATCCGTGAACCGCAACTTTGCTGGATTTGCTCGAGAAATTTTCACGGACACGGGTGTCTATGCATTGCGCATGGATTCCGCTGGGGCAGGCACCGACGCATCAGCCAATCAGGGCGATGCTGCACCTGGAATGACCCTTGACCAACGGGCAGTGATGCTCGCTACTGCCGTCAGCGTTGATTTCGACTACTTCAGCCGTCACAGTGGGTCCGGTGGATTTGGTTTCTTGCCCCTGTGGTTCCCTGGGGTCGGCGGAGAAGCTGCGGCAGGAGGAGCGGCTGCTGGAGAGGCTGCAGGAGCAGTTGGTGGTGCTGCCGCTGGTGGTGCAGCTGCTGGAGAAGCCGGTGCGCTCGGTGAAGTGGCAGCTGGCACACTCGGCCGAGCAGGCGCTGTTGGCAGCATGGCAGATGGCATAGCTGCGGGCGCTGCGGGCGCCGGCGCCATGGCTGGGTATGAAGCCATGCAAAGGGGAAGGTCGGGGAACCAGGCAGCTGAGACACCTGCGCCTGGTCAGTCTACCATGCCACCTCTGGATGAGCAGGCTCCTGGACAGCTCGGTCAGTCTGAAGACGAATGGGCCGAGGAACGCCCCGAGGACCCTTGGGGTGAAGATGAATTTGTTGATCCTTGGAGTGATGAAGGATCAGATGAAGGAGGCGGCAGTGATGATTTCGACTGGTTCTAGTCGTCAAATCATCAACCTTTGTATACTAGATATGATACCATGAATAGACCTGTAATTGTATAGTTGGACTTGACTGCATTACGTCGGGATCGGCCAGTGGGGCGACCAGCAATGGCGCACCCCGCGAATTGCCCATCTTCTCCAACCTTCCCTCCTTCCCACCTTCTACACTTATTCCTCAACTATCTGATCTCTTCACATTTACACTCGCGTCCCTTGTGTGACTTCAAATTGTCTTCTGTACCTAACGACTGGATCCATCCCGAGTCTCCGTTCCGAACCAGTGCGGAAATTTCCCGACTCGCCACCCGGCGGAATCCAGCCCATCCTCTTGGTCGTGTGCAGAACCCAACCTCTTCGACACCCTCTTACAACTTTCCCCTTCCTTCTAGCAGTCATGGCTTCCTCGGTCGCCCAGAAACGTCTCTTCCATGAATACAAGAACCTCTCTACGAACCCGCCCGAGGGTATCACGGCTGGCCCCGTCTCGGAGGATGACATGTTCTATTGGGAAGCTCTGATCGAGGGCCCTGGAGGCACTCCCTTCGAGGGTGGTGTGTTCGCTGCCGAGCTCAAGTTCCCCAAGGACTATCCTTTGAGCCCTCCGACCATGAAGTTCGTCGGTGGTGGAGTGTGGCACCCGAACGGTAGGCTTTCTGGCCCCAAACCAACGTCATAGCTTTGCACCATGCTACAACTGCTTCTATTGAGCTTGGACTGACACTCTCTGTTCTGTGACATAGTATACCCCAACGGAACAGTCTGCATCTCAATTCTCCACCCGCCTGGTGATGACCCGAACCACTATGAACATGCCTCCGAGCGCTGGTCGCCCATTCAGAGCGTGGAGAAGATTCTCATCTCAGTCATGAGCATGCTCGCTGAGCCAAACGACGAGAGTCCCGCCAACGTCGAAGCAGCCAAGATGTGGCGTGAGCGACGGGCCGAGTACGAGCAGAAGGTCCGGGACGAGGTGCGCAAGGGATTGGGTCTTTGAAATATATCAGACCGGAATACGTTGGTGCGGACGAAGAACACGTTTTGATGATTGGCGTTGGGACATGATTATTCTTGAGTTTTGCATGGCTTGGCTGGTGATTGTTTTCTTTGTTGTACAGCTTGTATGTATATCGAGCATTCGGAAGAGAGAATTCATTCATGATTCCACTGATAAGCTGCATCTGCTCTATGCTAGGGGGTTGGACCCCAACATGTATCTTAACTTCTGAAGTCTATAATACTCAGATTACTTCTGGCCAATATCACGACACCGTCGCTTCCGTCCACACCTGCATCCAGATGCAGGTCATTCCTGACGAAACAATTTACGATCAATCCATGCCTCAAGGCCACCATCACGCTCATAAAGCATCTCGATCTCCGCTTTGACATTCAACACCAACATGCGCTGTAACTCCGAACGCCATTCAGGCTCGGGTCCATCATTCGACCATGCCGGGTTATTGCGAAGCATGGCGAGAATCTTCCTGCGATCGCTGGTCGTAAGCGAGAGGACGGAATTGGCACCGGGTGATTCTGATGCCAGTATAGCATCTGCTACTCTCAAGCCCAACCATTCCAGGCGCGGGAGGCTTAGCCTTCCATTTTCATGAAGATGTGCCATTGATCCATACTTGTATGTTGACATGATTGATATCCCATAAGGGTCCCCGTCGACGAGTGCATAGAACCGAGGTGGTCTGTTGTATTTGTTTGACGCGACCAAGAGGTGGTGTACGAACTCGCGAGTGCTCATATCAGGGTTTCCTTTGCCCTGGATGACCCAAATGTTAGTCTTCTGGCCTCGGACTTGTTGAAATGAACCAGCCTTACCGTTATGAGGATTCCATCACCCATGAGGGCCCGAGTGGGATAGCTGCTTCGAGCTAGCCGGTGGAAGACGGCCTTCAATTGCAAACCCAGTCAGCCAACACTCGCCCTGTGATAGTAGGGTCTGGGAGGAGAGGCATACCTCCTTTTCGATGATAAACACCCATCGTGCACCGGAGATATCAATATCGTCGATGCTTTGAATCCGGGGAATCATGGTATCCTAGCCATATCAAAGTTAAAGCTCATGACATTTAGCAGGGATGAGATTCGAGCACTCACTTGGGTGGAGTTGGCATCCACATTAACGGACCACTCGCGTTTTAGACGAAAGCGCCCTGCGACCAAACCTTTGCTGGCTGCTTCCTAGCAACGAAGTGTTATTAGTGCCTTCTATCATCACAGCCATATTGACACAGATAGAACGCAGACTCACCACATTCATCGCTGCTCGGTCGACCCCAATGGTAAATGCAAGGTCATCTACAACGCCGTCGATTGTCTGTTGCGATTTAAAATATGCTGGGTCGATGTAGTATATATCTCTGAGGGCAGACAGTCAAGTTCAGTCATCTGCTTCGTTCGCCTCGGCCTGAACACACCACTAACCTTTTCGAAATCAACTGTCCTGCTCGCAGGGCTTGATCAATGATACCCAATACTCGAATGATCACCGCTATTCGGTCATGGAAATTAGCAATTTCGTCGGAAGACGCTTTGTGAAGGTAGGATATCGCGGAAGGATGGATGTCTCCTCACTAAATTTCCATGATTCCTTTGCTGTGCTTCCTGGCCATGAATATGAGCGATATGCACCATTGTCACGACCTGCCTCGAGGGCCCCATTGTTTGGATTGATCATGCATGTTGCTTGACGTGGTCTGCGGCGCAGAGTGATAGATGGGTGTCCTTCGGATGGGGACAAGGTCAATTGGTGGAGGATATCAACGAGCACATTGTCAATGTAATTGCGGACCAATTCTTGGTCGTCACTCGAGGCCGGGCTCAATGGCAATGATATGGCTTCAGGAGCCATTGTTACGGCCGATGCCGATACCTGGTGGGTGTGGTGGATTATGTTTCCAACCTGATGTCGTTGGAGTTAAGTTGGGATAACGTGACAACATAACCATCTCCAGGCAGTCCTCTATGACTATGGCATTTACTCAATTGGTACCGCATGTATCGAAAACATCAATAATTAACATACTGGCTTTTGGATGCTATCAATTCACATCCAGCTAGGAAGGAAGTAAGGAAGGTAACTTTCTGATTGGCTGGAGTTATGGTTTCTTAGCAGAATTCGCATCGGGAATATCCTCTGCAAAGGTACCCAATCTCCCAATGGCATGTCTTTGTTTCTTGCACATAATCAGAATACTGTTCAGTGATCTCATGTCGTTCCTTGCAATTATGAGGGGATCAATGGCCCCGAGCTGATGATATGTACAGCTGCTACTGTAGCATCTCTCGATAGTACGTGGATGGTTATCGCCGACAGGGTTCATCTAGGCACCTGCCAAGATCCCTGCAGATCAATTTGCGGACCAAGGCATCTCTATTATGGAATTGCCGAGAAGATATTCGCAAGTTTGGATACTGCTCGCTCGAAAGACGACATCGTGTTGCCGTTTCACTGCGTCCCTGGGTGAGACTTGGGCAGTGAAATCGACACCACACAACCAGCTCTCGTTCTAGGGCAATCCGAAGATGTAATTGGATCGTTTTTGAATCAATTGCATTCATTTAATATTTTCTTTTTCTATTAAATAACCAATATCACATGTACTCGCAGCTCCTTGTTCTTGGTTGTACACGGCAGTCTTGAGACTGCTGAGTCATCTACCCCAGGCCCCCGAGATGTTTATCCGCTTTATCGCCAATCGATAGAGCTCAACTTTCCACATCTTCAAGTTCTCTCAATTGACGGAGCTGTGCACACAATGGCTTCACATATTGGTCCCTGGAGGAGCTCTGCTCAGGGCCACCTGAAGCCCGATAGTAATGGCGACTTAAAGACCGACTACACTCGCTGGCGATTGGTCAATGATGACGGTCGCCAGACTTGGCGGTATCTGGAAACCGACGAGGAGAACGCGGCTTGGCCACAGACAATTGCAGATAAATGGAACCTTGGATTGCCCACTGTAAGTCACTTAATCTGCGTTTCTTCTTCGCAATTCTAATTCTCTATTTCACAGGGTTTGCCCGAGCTGTCTGAAGCCAAGACACCACTTCAAGCTGCCGAGAATGGCCTGTCATTCTTCTCGCACTTGCAACTCGAGCCCGGCAACTGGGGCTGCGAGTATGGTGGCCCCATGTTCTTGCTTCCAGGTCTCCTGATTACCTGGTATGTCACTAACACCCCCATCCCTCCGGAGTATGCGACGGAGATCAAGCGCTATCTGTTTGCCCGTCAACACCCGGAAGATGGCGGTTGGGGTCTTCACATTGAAGCTCACAGCTCTGTTTTTGGCACTGCCATGAACTATGTGGCTCTGCGTCTGGTTGGTGTCAGTGAGGACGATCCTCGTATGATCAAGGCTCGCGGCCTTTTGCACAAGTTCGGAGGTGCTATCTATGGCCCTCACTGGGCCAAGGCCTGGCTCAGTATCCTGGGTGTTATGGAGTGGGAGGGTGTCAATCCTGTTCCGCCTGAGATCTGGCTTCTTCCCGACTGGGTGCCTTTCGCTCCTTGGCGGTGGTGGATTCATATTCGCCAGGTGTTCCTGCCTCTCTCCTATATCTGGTCCAAGAAGTGGTCCTTCCCGCTTAACGACCTCACGAAACAGCTTCGGGAAGAGCTGTACACACAGCCATACGACTCAATCAACTTTGCGAATCACCGAAACTCCATTCACCCCGCCGACAACTATTACCCCAAGACCTGGCTTCTGAACGGAATTAATGAACTTTTGGTCCGCATCTGGAATCCATTCCTCCGAATCAGCGCTATCAGCAAGCGCGCTGAGGATTGGACTTGGGAGTTGATCCGCATGGAGGATGAGAACACAGATTACGCGGGGCTGGGACCCGTGAGTAATCCCCTTAACATGGTTGCCTGCTACATTCATGAGGGCCCAGACAGCTACTCGGTTCGCCGACACCGAGAGCGTTTGAATGATTACATGTGGATGAAGGATGAGGGCATGCTAGCCAACGGCACCAATGGTGTTCAGGTTTGGGACACCACCTTTGCCACCCAAGCGATTTCGGTCGCTGGGTTTGCCGATGATCCCAAGTGGCGACCCATGTTGCTCAAGGCTCTGGAGTTCATTGATAATCATCAATTGCGAGAGAACGTACCCGACCAGGACAGGTGCTATCGTCAGCACCGCAAGGGTGCTTGGCCCTTCAGTAACAAGACCCAAGGATACACAGTCAGCGATTGTACTGCTGAGGGTCTACGGTCCACCATCCAGCTACAGGAAATGCATGGATTTCCCAAATTGATCCCATTGGACCGCCTCAAGGACAGTGTGGACTGCCTGCTGTTGATGCAAAATCCTACTGGTGGCTTTACCGAGTACGAGACCACTCGTGCCTCGCCTAAGGTCGAATGGCTGAATGCCGCCGAGGTCTTTGGTGGTATCATGATCGGTTATGACTATCCCGAGTGTACTACCGCCTCGGTAACTGCGCTCTCACTGTTCAGCAAGTACTACCCCGATTACCGCGCTGACGAAATCCGAGCTGCCAAGGAGAAGGCTGTGGCCTACATCAAGCGCGCTCAACGCAAGGATGGGAGCTGGTATGGCTCTTGGGGTATTTGCTTCACCTACGCTGCTATGTTTGCCCTTGAAAGTCTGGCCAGCGTTGGTGAGACTTACAAGACCAGCGAGAATTCTCGCCGGGGTTGTGAGTTCTTGATCTCCAAGCAGCAGGCCGACGGTGGCTGGGGTGAATCCTACCTTAGTAGCGAGAAGCATGTCTATGTTCAGCATGAGAAGTCCCAGGTTGTTCAGACCGCCTGGGCATGTCTGGCACTCATGGAGGCCCACTATCCCCACAAGGAGCCTTTGGAGCGAGGCATGAAGCTGCTCATGTCGCGCCAGCAGCGTAACGGGGAGTGGCTGCAGGAGTCAATTGAGGGAGTCTTCAATCAGTCATGGTATGTTTGTAAATTTCTTCACGTTCAACGCATTTCAGCTGACTTTGTTTTTCTAGTATGATTTCCTATCCCAACTACAAGTTCTACTGGCCAATCCGTGCCCTTGGCTTGTACAGCAAACGATTCGGCAACGAGGAGCTGCAGTGATATCTATGAAAAGCCTGCTTTGACTACATTCACCTCTTTTATCATTCCTACTATTAATCAATAATATCTCGGGCCATTGAATCTCGCTCTTTACAAGAGCTAAATTCTATCCCTTACTACCTAACTTACTTAACGGACCTCCGCATGTTATGTAATCGCAGTGGAGCCGGCGGGGCTGGAGCTCTCTCTAGAAAGCTGTAGAACCTTAAAACTTCCACCCGCTCTGCACTTCGTTTGCATTTCTTTCTTGGTCTTGTCTTGAAAAAATTGAGACTCCGGCAGAGCAAACGTTGAGGAATATCCCCAGCCCAATCGCAACGGCTTACCCTGGAACCCATCTACAAAATAACGCCTGTTCCCATACTTAACGGTTACCTGTCTTCCCCTCCTCTGGCTTTCCCGAGCCAGCCTTTTCTCCGCACTCATAGTTCCTAAGCATTTCCCTCCTGAATCACCGTCATGAACGCTGCCGCAGAGGGTGACAAGGCTCTTGTGGCCTCAAATGCGCCACTCGCGATTCAACACTACACCCGCGCCTTGATCGAGCTTCCCCGCGCCCCGTCCTACTACCTCCAACGTGCAATAGCTCGCTCACGTGTTAAGCCAGCAGATGGTGGACCGAAATCCGGTGAAGCCCTCCAAGATGCTGAGATTGCACTCTCGCTAGCCCGCGAGCGCGGTAAGCGTGAGCTCATTCTGTCAGCACAGATGCGCCGCGGAGTGGCTTTATTCCAGCTCGAACGCTACGGCGATGCGAAGTTCCTTTTCGAGCTAATTGAGTCGAAGACATCTGGTGAAAAGGAGGCACAAAGCAAAGCGGACGGAGTGAAAGCTGCTATGGCTGATGGAACATCTTCGAGCAAGAAGAATGGATACGGAGCTGAGCTGCCTATTTGGATGGCTAAAGTTGGCCGCAAGCTGGGAGGGTTGGCTGAGGGCGATGAGAAGGGTATTGTCTCTGTGGTTGAGTATCCTACGGACACACGTGTACCAACTGAGAAGGAGCTTGAGGCTGAATGGGAGAGTCTCAAGTCAGGCAGTGTGGTGGGAGATAAGGCAGTGCAAGAGAAGGGCCAAAAGGACCCGGTTTCATTTGATGGAGCATCAGATCAGACCAAAACCGAGACCAAAGTGGTAGCAGAGGCTTCGCCCGCCGCGGTTGCACAAAAGGTTCGCCATGAGTGGTATCAATCTCAGGACTCTGTTGTGGTGACCCTCTACGTGAAGGGGATTCCCAAAGATAAGGTTGAGACTGAGTTGAAAGATGGCTCCGTACGTTCAATTCTCCCCATTTGAAGGATACTTAGAAGTCTAACAATCACCATCAAGGTCTCACTACAATTCCCTCTTCCCTCTAGCTCCAGCTATGATTTCACGCTCGACCCTCTCTTCGCTCCCATCGACCCGTCCACATCCAAAGTGTCGGTCATGAGCACTAAGATTGAACTCACCCTGCAGAAGAAGACACCGGGTCAGAAATGGGGCAGCCTTGAAGGATCAGCATCCACCACAAAGATCGCAGACCGTCCTGCTGCGCCACCAGCGCCAGCGAGCGCAGGGCCAGCATACCCAACCTCATCGCGACACGGCGCAAAGGACTGGGACAAGCTTGCATCGTCTCTGACTGCCAAGAAGTCTAAGGAAGCGACCAAAAGGACAGAGAACGACGAGGAAGGCAATGTCTCCGACGCGGAATCTCTTGGTTCAGAGTATGGCGGTGATGCCGTGGATGGATTTTTCAAGAAGCTCTACGCAGGGGCTGATCCGGACACGCGCCGAGCGATGATGAAAAGCTACATTGAGAGTCAAGGCACTTCTCTGAGCACCAACTGGTCCGAGGTTGGTAGTAAGAAGATGGAACCACACCCTTCGACTTGATTGAATTTGGGGCAATGAGCTTGTCTTTGCTTTCATCTCTTACTATGATTTCGCTGTTATGAACCTACACATCTAGCGCATGGTGTTAGTTTGAATTTTTTAGTATTTCCATTGCATATAATACTAGCCTTACGTATTGTACGTGATTCCTTAGTGTTTTTAATTTTGATAGTTTTGCTGCTATGGAAGGAGTTATTTATTAATGCCCTCTTGCTACAAATGAGCGTCTTGTTCCTCTCTTAGCTACGTGGTTACATGGGGGGAATCATATTGGACAACCCGGAATTAGTTCCGTCGAAAGTAGTTTTGATATTACCCGCTGTTCATCATTCGCGCCCAGAAAACTCCGATATCCAGTTTCTAGACCGACTTCCGCAATACTGTGCGGGGTATATTAAACGCGATGCAGTCCATAACCGAACCCAGGGAGCCCTAAAAAGCGAACCTCTAGCTGTCGCACGAGTTCAGTTTCTGGTCATATTTCCTCACCTACGTTCAAAATGCTGTCGTCTACGGGCCCAAACAACTCAGTAGCCTATTACAACGGCCATGTCTATACAGTCAACCCTGCTCAGCCCTGGGCCCAGGCATTCATTGTGTCACCTACTGGTATAATCGAGGCAATTGGTACTGAAGAGGGGATTTTCAAGATTGCCAGCTCACGAAACCTCATCCGATATGACCTCGCTCAACGATTTGTCATGCCAGGCATCCACGATGCCCACACCCATCTGCTACTTGCCAGTATGCAAGCCTTGAATGAGTCATCCATCGGCTTCGATTCCGGCGCCAGCAATATCAGTCAACGGTTGGAGGACGGTATATGCGCTTGTGCTTATCACAATGTGGCAGGAGACTGGGTGATTGGAAACTTCTATCAAGCCAGCTTCTTCCCCGATGGGATTCCGGATCGCAAATACCTTGATTCGAAGTATCCGACTACGCCCGTCCTCGTTCGGGAGGTTTCTTGCCATCGAATCCTGCTCAACACAGCGGGGATGAAAAGAGCAGGGATTGACCCTGTTCACGCCGTAGATCCACCGGGTGGCTTTTATGTCCGCCGTTCAGATGGAAGTCTCACTGGAGAAGTTGCTGAAAGCGCTATGAGTCAGGTCTTTTCCAAGCTTCCTATTACACCCTTATCTCACGCCAAACGAGCTTTGGAGTTTGGTGTACGCATGTGTCTCAAGTATGGAATCACATCCTGTCAAGAAGCGTCCGCAAACTCCCTCTACCTTCATGCCGTCGAGGAATTGGAGCAGGAAAATCGTCTCGATCTAGACATATATACTCATATTGTCTGCGCACCCGAGACATTTGCCATGGAGCCTCGCGATAGTCTAGCAGCCTTACTAGATGTAGCCAATGGTTTCCGCAGCAAACATGTGCATACGAATTTTGTGAAGTTCTGGCTTGATGGAGCTCCATTACCGCCGCAATTCACCCAGTGCGATCTTGACGCTCAGGGACGTCCAGAGCAAAAGCATATGGTGATTGACTGGCGCTTTTTGGAGGAAGCAGTGACCAAATATGATGCGCGTGGTATGACCTGTAAGCTTCACGTTGCAGGAGAGGGATCGGCTCGGGGAGCGCTGGATGTGTTGGAAAGAGTTCGAAAGGCCAATCCTAATGGACCGAGACATGAGCTTGCACATTGTAGCGCAGTTCACGAGGGTATGTCTATAAATCATCACGCTTTCTACTGGCCTAGCATACTGATATCCTTTTGTCATCAGATGATGTTCCTCGCTTTGCGAAAAACAGAATCACCGCTGAGATGTCCCCTGCCATTTTCCACGAACCAGTTGTCCAAGAGATCCCACACCTTCTCAAGTGGCCTTTCAACCACGTCTTAGAAACAGGGGCCCACATGACAATCGGGTCAGACTGGCTTTTGCCAGAAACACCTAGTCTTTTCGATGCACTTGCTGCTATTGTCGAAAAGGTGGAAATTTGGCCGGGCGGCCGCAAAAGCTCTGCTTTGGAATCTGGAAAATCTAAGAAAGAGAGAGGAGGTGAGATTCTATGCCGGGTTATTACACTCAGCGGTGCAGAGGCCGTTGGAGCGCAAGACCAAACTGGCAGTCTGGAGGTGGGAAAGAGAGCCAATTTCATCGCCGTGGATCGCGATTTGAGCAAGGGCAACTTCTCTGGTGCTACTGTTTTGAAGACATGGTTTGAGGGACGGTTGGTCTATGACCGCAAGGATCATGATTCTGTTGCGATACCCTCAACCGCAAACAGCAGACTGTGATGAATATTGAAATTGCTTCGGAATGGATGGAGGATAACCAACAAACTTGGCTATACATCATTCGAGACTCCTGACTAACATTCCGGGGCGTCTGATTGTGTCAATTCCTCCGGGATAGAGGGCAACTGCCAAGTCAATAATATACAGACTTTTATCCTCTACCAGTGGAGAAAGAAAATCACGAGGACTACCTACGAATTTCCACTAGTAAGGCACTTGAAGCAATTCCGAGGGCTTGGAAGCTTGGCGATCGCCATGGTCATATGACCTGTTCCTATTCTCCAAAAATCTACCCTAATAACATCATGAAATATGCACAATTATTATTGGCAAACTTATTGATTATATTGGTCACCTGATAGCCAGATTTTTTACCTATGTGTTACCGCTCCAGATGTGCTGGATCCACTTTATCGCCTCAGATCTGGGGTAAGCCAAGTGGCAGACACGAAGGTTTCGGTAAAACGTAACTAGTCTTACACTCATCCAGTCATAGGTACACGAGTATCGATTCCTTTTCGACGTAGGATCATCCGAGCCTCGATTTCAAACACTATTATTTAGGCTCATGGTAATCAGACTTTTCCAACCAGTCATCGGCTCGCAAATGGTGGGGCTCCAAATAAGCTCTTCGGTCAACAATCCCCAGATCCAATCTTTTACCTAATGATTCCGACTAGTTGGGGTCACTGGGATTATTCTGTGGTAACTTTTATTACGCGACGATATTGGGATTATTCACAGATTTATGTCCATGCCTACGTGTCTGCTCAATTTTACCTAAGTATTTCCGATGCGAAGTCGGAGTTCGGTCGATGTTATATTCGGCATGTCTTCGGCTTCACCGAGTAGACATTTCAGAACAATCTCACACACATCTCCAAAGTGCAAAATTCAAATCCTCCAACTTCGCCAAAATGGTTCGCAACATTCACATTGCCGTTCTCGATGTCGATATCCCAGCGCGCCGATTGTACGAGGCACGGGGTCTTTGCAGTGCCCATTTCCGTGATATTCTCAAAGAAACAGCTGCAACCTTGAACAAAACCAGCTCAGCCATCAATGACCCGATCGATATTACCATTACCCCATATGATATTCGTGGAGGACACTATCCAGACTTTCACTTGCTGCGCGGCGATGCGACTCAAGAGCAATTCCCCGTATACAAGCCCATCGATGCCGTCTTGATTACTGGCGGCTCACCAGGAGTTTATGAAATGCCCGAATCTCCGTGGATGCAAGTCCTTGAAAAGTTCATCAAGACCGTTTATAACGACTACCCAGAGGTCCGACTCATGGGCACCTGCTTCGGTCACCAGTTGATCTCCCACTCCTTGGTGCGCGTTCCCAATGACCCTGTTCGAGATGTCTACGTCGAGAAGTGCCCGCTTGGTCGTGAAGTGGGAGTCTATACCGTTCAACTGGAGAATGAGTTTACCAAATACTTCCCTTCTGCGCTTGGCCACCTCCCTGGAGGCCAACTTCGCATTCAAATGTTCCACGGTGACCGTGTGATGGCTGTGGAAAAAGGACAGACTGTGACATTGTCCGATATGCCACCAGTCTCCCTCCCTGCTCCGTGGATCAACATTGGAAGCACTCCTATCTGCCCTATCCAGGGACTATACAACCCAGGCAGAGTTCTGACCGTGCAGGGACACTATGAGATGGATGCTTTTGCGACATCGAAAATGTGCATTGAGAATGCACCAATTATGGGATGGAAGGAGTCGAAGTTGGCTTTGTTCTTGGAGCAAGTCGGACCTGACACCAAGGAGCGACGCGATGATGCTAGGGCATTTGCGACTGCGGTTGTCTCCTTCTTGGCTGATCTTGAGCAATGACTGTCCGGACGTTTCACTTCATTCAAGCGGCATTATCAAAAAGCTAGGCTCGTGCTATGTTCGATTCACATCATTTTCTTCATTCATATGTACATAAGCGATTTCATTCATCTCCAACATATTCATCATCCAAACTCTTCGCATCCCTATACAAGAAGAATTGCACAAAAATCGCCATGTCCAACAGTAAAGTTCCAAAACTGCCCACGAGCCAGGACAAGTTCACCAAGACATACCGTCCGTACAAGGCTGCTGCCTCTCCGGGACGGCAATGCGGGCGATGACGGTGCGAGAACTCGCCCAGGGTGTTCTCAACCGACACTGTACCCTGGCAGACTGGCGAGTATGCCATGATAGACAGAACGTAAGTCAAGTTACCGATGCAGGCAAACAGGAAGAATAACAGAGAGACTCCATCTGTAGACTTGCGGCGGTAGTTGAGTAGCAGCTGAGGAACTCGAGAGCCCAAATAGAACACGGCGCACAGGTATCCAAAAAACTGGCCCAGCGGATCCAGAGTGAGAGGCTCGGGGTCCGATTTCGACTTCTTTGACCCCGGGCTAACCCACCAGCCGAGGATACCGGCGGCACAGACGAGAGCGATGGCTGTCGTATTGAAGAGGATGGTTTGAATGGTAGAAATGCGGCGGCGACGGCGTTGGTAACGAGCCCTATCGGAGTTCGGGTCGACAAGTGGAGTCGCTGGAGACAGATGTGTCCCATCCACATGGTTCGTGAAAGAGGAAGCAGATAGCCGTCTTCCCTGCGCTGAGGAGGATGAAGTGGGATGTCCATTATCTCGGGAAGATTGCCCTTTATGTAGATTCCCAGCCGGTCCCTGAATTTGGACATGTCCATTTGACTTTTGTAGCAAAGCCGATCGTTCAGTCGGTGCTGTCCCAGCCTCGGAGGTGCTGCCTTCTGCGCTATCCAGCGCACCAGTGGCGACTGGGCCAGGTTCTGGAGACGGCGATGAAGAAAACTCATCGCGGATATTGAAGCCTCGGTAGTAGAAACACTGTCCCAAAAGAACAATATCTGCCAGTGTGTAATATACGGCCAAGATAATCATAGTAGGGAGCACGCCCTGCAAGACAGCACCAAGAATATTGAATACATCTCCAGCCAGCCAGACAATTAGAAAAAGAAGAGATAGTCCATCAGCAGAGCCACGGCGAAAGTTCTCAATGATTTGAGGTGAGAATACGACAACCCAGCAGGCAATTGAGATTGAGCTGTAGATGTGAATTAGAGAATTGATGCAAACCGTGAGTTTGTATGGGGAGGAATGTGGGAGATCGGCGACTCGGAGATTTTATGCATACCCACAGATGCCACTCAAGGCCTCGATGTTGAGATTGGCCGCTTGCGGGGGGAACATGTTGTGCGAGTGGAAAATATGATGCACCTTGAAATGCCTTCCACCGATGCCGCTCCGGAGAGGCAGCGAGGTTGTCTAGAGGAGCTCGGATGTTAAGGATTAAAAAATCAAGAATATCCCACCCCGATACCTGCCAAACTAATGTAATTGTCAGTGAAGAAGAAAAGTTGGAGAAATCCGCGGATCCAAGTGGATGACGTCGGGTGGTCACGTGCTTTCAATCTATATGACTCTTTCGGTGGTAAAGTCAATTCTACGTGGACGGGAGTTCATTTGTGAGATTTATTGATCATGCAGTGATTTTCATTTATTGATGGTAAACGGAAGTCTGAATCAATTGACAGTCGTCGTCGTGCTGTCCAGTTTGTCCTGAAAATTACGAGATATATAGTACGGATTGTCTGCACATGAACAGCCTTGTTCAGGAACATGTTTTGCCATGGGGACAGCAAGTCACACCCTCTGTTTATGTCAATTAGCAAATAGGTACCGTAGTGGTAAGATTAGAGTCAAGATTTTTACCATAATCTCCGCGGCCGACTCTATAACACTGATAGAAGAGTAGTTAGAATGTGCATTCTTCGCATCGGCCTCGGGTGCCGCAATGACCTCGGTCCAGGTAGCTCGCAGAGCTCGCCAAATGCAATGGTCTTAAGGTTAGAGTATAGAGCGAGTCCTTTGCAAGAAGATAGCAGACAAAGGTGTTGTCCACAGGAATTCTCACCTGTCTATTACTTTTTCGCCGGCCCGTTACTCTGCCAATCGCTGAGTATTTGCCTGAACCTGTTCAGGCTTGCTTATTTACATGATTTGGGATTCTTATACGTGCCAACATGACCTACGTGTACTGTGAGGCATGCGGTGAATTCGCGTCTTAAATCAAGCCGTATTAAATCACCTCCACCACATATCCGTCGTTGCTGGGGGTGTAGCTACGTCTGCCCCGCTCGTATTAGGGTAAGCGGTTGCTTATTTTTCAGGTCTAGAGTTTGCAACATTGTGTAACCGGCCATAGGTTTCTCTAGTCTACGATCGTTTCTTTTAGCCCACTGGATAGGAGCGGAAAGCTAGAGGAAACAGCCTACCCGACTAGAGCGAAGCAGAGCGGTGTAGCAGGAACCTAAATAATGAGAATATGGCCTTCGAGAAGTGCATAGTAAGAGTATGTAAGCAATGAGCCAGAAGAAATATCGAATAAGAGATGCCATGGGGAGTGCCAGCGACTGACAACATCGTCCTTAAAGAGGGAAAAGCTAATAACTAAGGGACAAAACCGCCAGCGCTAGCCCCAGTAAGGAGACCAAACCAGCAGAGAACGTGGACAGAGTCCCAGCTAATGTGATGAAAGGTGCAGGAGGAACTGGCGAATAAGCAACAACAATTTAGCTAACAGCAACATCGTAGATTAAGTCTTTGACGACAGGGATACACCCCGTGCACGAAGGCAAACCCTAACCCTTCCTCTCACTTCGTCCAGTTCAGGGCACGACCCTATGTCGACTCTAAATGGTCAGGTGGTGAGTGGAACTACGAGGCAATTATCTCACTAATTTAAGAGATTAATGATCTCTACTGCACTAGAGCATATCTCCCTCGGGTCCTGGTCAGATCTAGATACTTGTGTGTGTGGTGATTACTGTATTTTTTAGTTAGTTAGCTAACTTACCTAAGTTAACTAACTAGTTAAGTTAGTTAACGTCAAGATCTATTGGTCAACGAGTTTTAAGTGGCGTCAATGCCAGCAGTAGTTCCTCGGGATGACAAAATGGTACCATATCGATAATCATCCACCAATTCTGGTAGACTGTGAGCAAAATAGATATATCAAGAGAGGGTAGTGCTGTCGTCTATACCGGTCGGTTGAAATTCCAGCAGAACTCGGCTATTCTCACTACATTACCTAAACTCTATATACGCGGGCTCTATCGGGGCAAGCCGAGAAGGTATGGGCCAGCGATCGTGTTGGACCAATAAGTAACTGGCAGAGGTAAAGCAGAACCAGAATATGGTGAAAATAGTCGATCTATTGAAGAAAACCGCGACGGCAGGTCAAGTAATATATGGCTGAGTGTGATCACAGCCGTAATGCCAACATACAAAAAACAAAGGAAAGTTAGTCGCTTGGCATAACCCTATCTGAGTGCTGACCTTGGAAGTTACGGGTCTATGTTTCGACAGCCTACGGTGTAGTATGACCGCTCCACCATATCGGCATTAATATCTTATAATCAATATCGATACTTGGTTGCTCCCTACACAATCTGCATATAAACTCAGCCACTAACTCATTACTTTGGTCTAGGTCAGGCCGTTTCGGTATCATGCAAACTCACGACCGTCACACACTCTCGTGACATTGGACAAGCCCGTAACCCCTATAAAGCCTCGAACCCCCAAGTAGAAAATTACTTTTCTAGTGATCATCAATATCAACACTGAAAATTACCGCCCACCATGAAAGCCATCTCGTTGACTTCTTCTTCTTTTCTTCTCTCCGCGGCCTTCTTCAACAACGCCTTTGCAAACATCGTGACTGAGCTTGGACCCAATGGGTTAAATGCCTCTGTGAAGTACACTCCTGACCGCGATACTCTTCGCAAACGTGCTCCTGCTCCGGGTGGGAACAGTGATTGTGCAAAATGGTGTGCAGCCAACTTCCCCAATCCCGGTAGCGATTGTACTTCATTAGCCGCTCATGGGCAGGGACCGTGCTATACATGTGGCCCGAAAAAGAGCTCCCCAACACAACTGCTTTGCGGAGGGCAGTGTCGTGATACGTCGTCCAGTTCTAACAACTGTGGAGCATGTGGCAATAAGGCAAGTGATAGTTCCTGAATTTGGTGGCGGACACTAGCTAATTAATTACAGTGCACAACTTCCACCGGTTGCAACAATGGCAAATGCTGTGGGCCGATTAGTACTCCATGCACTATATCGAATTTCATCGACGCGTGCTGCGGAGATAGTAATGGCGTAAAGGGGTGCGAATTCCGAAATGGTAACCCGAATGATGGTTTCTGTTTTATCTGATCTTATGCTTCACGAATGGGAAGTCAGTCGTCGGGCTAGTTCTGTTTTATTTCGGTCTACTCTTTTCGAATGGTATATACAGGAGGTAAGTAGTCTTATGGAACAAAATGTAGAGCAATCTACCTATGTAGTTGGGCTGAGGATATCCACAACTTCAAGAAAATCGAAAGATATGATGTGTGCACCCCCGGTCTCCCCAGTTTCTGGGGATGCGGGGGCAAATTGAGCTTAAACGTTTACGAGGGTAACGAAATGCGTTAAACAGATACAAGCTTATAGATGTACTTGTGACTAACTATAGACCAAAATAAACGCCCCGCGATGCATGTCCGAAGAACCACCCGAGATAACTGCGAAAATTAAAAAAGAATAATGGAAGGCTTTTTGGGTGCGGCGTGGTGGGCTATTTAGCTTGGCTGGCCAACCAAGCCTCGTGCGCCTTCTTCTGGCGCTCCCAGTCCTTACGGAGCTTCTTGGTGCGGCTCTTGGTGATCTCCTCACCAGCAGCATCACGCGTAGGCAGGCCTTCGTCGTCCCAAGCGCTGTACTCGTTGGTCCGGAACATCTCGAGGTGGCTCAACTTGCCCTTCTCCAATTGCTTCAAAGCTTCCTGCTCCCGCTTCTGCTTCTCCAGAAGCTTCTGTTTGGCACGAGCTTCCTTCTCTTCCCGAGCTTGGATCATGTCACGGGTGACGAGACGGACAAGAGCGGGGAGGTTGTCGCGGTCCTCGAGATAGATACCCAGGTCGAACAAGTCAATATCCCGAACACGATCGCAGAGGGCGAGAATATCTTTGCCGGCCGAGTCGGAGGACTTCAAAGATGAGACCTTGGTGCGGAAGTTGGACAGGACCTCGGCGTAAGGCTTGGCTGACTCGGAAACATCAGAAGGCGAAGTTTCCTTGACTGCTTCTTCAATTTGCTCCGATGAGATGCCCTCCTTGGAGCGAGCCGCTTGACGGAGAGTGTCGCGCATGGTGGAAAGGGGGTACAGGAAAGGCTTGGCCTCCTCAGGCACATCAATACCTGACCAACCGATCTCAGTGCTGTCGGCAGGCGTGGCCCCGTTCAAGCCGAGCGTGTTGACAAGCGAGGTCACCCAGCGGGCAGCAGCCTCAACATCCTTAGGGTTCAGGGTAGCTTTATCCGCGCTGTTGTACTTCGTAATGATCTCCGAAATAGTTTGCATGACGCCGGGTGTGTTGAACGAATCGCAGAGATACTTGTGCACAGCCGTCTTGGCAGCCTCGAGATCAGCACCGAAAGTAGTATCGGTGGCTGAGCCCTGAAGAGCAGCCGCATCCTTCATCTTGAGGAAGAAGTTGTTCACCTTGTCCTCCCAGGAGCTACCAGCGCTAACCAGCTCATCGGTAATCTCGCAACCCTCCTTCCAGCCACCCAGAAGGAAGACAATACGCAGACTGCGCGGCGTCCAGTCTTTCCGGTCGAGGGCTTCCCGGATGGTAGTGAAGTTCTTCAGCGACTTGGACATCTTTGAGCCTTGAATTGACAGGTGGCCCATGTGCAAGAAGTAGTTAACCCACTGCTCATGCTGGTGGCCATCGTCCCAGTACGCCTCACTCTGGGCCAACTCGTTATCGTGATGCGGGAAGGCAAGATCAATACCACCAGAGTGAATATCCATCTGCTTGCCCAGGCGAGCCGAGGCCATGGCTGAGCACTCAATGTGCCATCCAGGACGACCCTTACCCCAGGCGCTGCTCCAGCTGGGCTCGCCGGGCTTTGAGGACTTCCAGAGAGCGAAGTCAGAAGGGCTGCGCTTCTCTGTGGTTTTGGTAATCAAAGAGCCCTCACCCTCAGCGGCCAACTTGTTATCGGATCGGCTCCAGGGCTCCAGGCGGGCGTAGGCGTGGCCTGCGGCCTCGAAAGCACTGATATCGAAGTAAACGGAGCCATCCTCAGTGGCGTAACCATACTTGTTCTTGACGATACGCTCCACGAAATCGGCAATCTCAGCACCATACTCCGTCACGCGGGTCAGCTCATCCGGATCGAGGACATTCAGATCGCGCATGTCCTTCATGAATCGGTCCTCGTACTTCTTGGTCAACTTAGTGAAGATGCTGTGGTCATCGGCGTCAATTGAGGAACCCCTAAGGGCATCCAGGTATGGCAGAAGGACATCCTGCGCACTGGTGTAGAAAGATTCCGCAAAAACCGCTGGGTCGCCAGCAGTGCTACCCTCTGCCTTGCTCAAGACTAGGGCAGCCGATGCCGCAGTCTTGATGTGCATCTTGACCTTGGCCTCATCATCACCGGCCTTCTCATTGCCTGGTAGAGCACCGCCGCTCAGCACAGTCGCATATGCCTTCTCGACCTCCTTCTGGTATTGCGCGGGGGGCAGTTCGGGGTCGAGCGACGTCAGGTTCTTCTTAAGGTATGCTGTGTAGGCCTTCTTGGCCGTGTCCAAGACCTCTGGGGTAATTGCGGGGTTCGCGGCGACGTATTCGTTGAACAGGTATTGTTGTCTGGCGCGCAGAATGATCTATGGAATGTATGAGTCATTGCGCACCAAGCGTCGCGGGTTCAAGCGCAAAGAGTCATTGCCATACCTTGTCGTCAACATCTGTAATGTTCATAACAAAATTGACATCGAACTTGAAGTAGTCGCGCATAATGCGACGAATGATATCGGTGCTGACATAGTTTCGAGCATGTCCCAAGTGCGCATCGTCGTAGACAGTCGGTCCGCACGCGTACCAAGTCACCTTCTTTCCAGCTGGGTCGATCGGAACAAAGGGCGTCTTAGACTTGGTGAGCGAGTTCCACATCTGCAACGGCGGAAGCTCTACTCCCGTCCGAGAGGGAGGTTGCCGCCATGGCGGCTGTTGACGAGACGACATGGGCCTGACGGAGATGACTGATATGGAAGAAAACAGAAATCGCGACTTGGGCAGGAGGAAAGAGCGAGGGAGGAGGGGCATAAAGAGAGCGGAACCACGCAACCAAGAGGGGCAGTTAAACAAAAGACACGATCGAGTCATCGTTGCTGTCCACCGCTTTGATTGGCCCTGATTGGCCCCTGCGCTGCTCTGCTTGCGGAGCCCTGAGCCCTAACTGCCTAAATAGGCAATGCCGCCCAGCTTTTTCTCCGCGCAAAGTTGCGGCGACTCTCGACCTTTAGATCTTCGCGGCGTGATCGACATTTAAAACGAACGGAGCTCACAGAAGCTCTCAACGGCAGTCGCCCGGCTCGTCCACCATGCCATCCCCTTTCTTGACCCCCGGGTCCATTGCGCAGGCCAACGATGTCGCCCTCTTGCATCTGCGCCGCGACCAGACCATCCCGACGATTCTCCGCGCCACGGACAGTGAGCACGACGGCTACAAGGAAGGAAAGGTTTCAAATACTCGTTTTGGATCCTTCCCGCACAGCACTTTGATCAATCAGCCTTGGGGCTCTCAAATTGTCGCCTCCAAGGTCGATACTGGTTCGCGAGGCCGAAAGCCCAGCAACAAGCGCAAAGCCGAGGAGCTTGAAGCCTCTGCCACCACGACAGGCGCCGAGGACGACAGCTCCTCCGTGAAGAAACCCGAGGCCGCTGCAAGTGGTTTCCTTCACCTCACCTACCCTACTCCCGAGTCCTGGACTTTGTCCCTTCCACACCGAACCCAAGTTGTCTACACCCCCGACTACAGCTATATCCTCCACCGACTTCGCGCGCGCGCCGGAGCTACGGTCATCGAAGCAGGAGCCGGCAGTGGTTCGTTCACGCATGCTGCTGTTCGCGCCGTGTTCAATGGCTACCCCAACGAAGAGTCTGCGACCAAGAAGCGAAGGTTAGGGAAGGTGTGCAGTTTCGAGTTTCACGAGCAAAGAGCGGGCCGAGTGAAGGAGGAGATTTCAGAACATGAGCTCGACGGACTGGTGGAGGTGACGCATCGCGACGTCTACGAGGATGGCTTCCTGCTGGGTGACCCCAAGACCGGCAGGTCACCCAAGGCGAGTGCCATCTTCCTGGACTTGCCTGCTCCATGGCTTGCTTTGAAGCACCTCGTCCGGAAGCCGGCTTCTGGTATAGAATCACCTCTCGACCCATCTTCAACCGCCTACCTGTGCACGTTCTCCCCGTGTTTGGAGCAAGTTGAGCGCACGGTCCGCCTGATGCGTGAGCTGGGATGGCTGGATATCACCATGGTCGAGGTCAACCACAACCGAATCGAAGTGAAGCGAGAGCGTATCGGATTGGACTGCGAGGGAGTACGTGGAGCAACAGTATTCCCTAAATCTGTGGACGAGGCACTGTCGAAGCTCCTAACGGACGACGAACGCGCAAAGAGGTTGCGACAAGCCCATCTTGAGGGCACTCGAGTCAATCCCCCGTCCCAGGAAGACATCGCCGGTGAACCCAAGGACCAATCTACTCCCACATATAACCTGGGTCGCCTAGTCCATCGAACAGAGTCGGAGATCAAGACGCATACCTCCTACTTGGTATTTGCCATTCTTCCTCGAGACTGGTCTGAGGAGGATGAACAGAAATGTAGGCAAAAGTGGCCATCTGATAAGGTGGAGGAGGAACCTAAAAAGGCCACCAAGAGCAGGAAGCAGCAAAAGAAGGAGTTCAAGGAGCTGCGTCTCCAAGAACAAAAAGAAGAACAGGAAGAGAAAGAGGAGCAAGCTACGGAGAACAGCGAGGCATGATTTCGAGCTGCTTTGTACTAATGCATATGAAGAGTGAAGAGGTGTACTTTTAACATAAGGCGTTGATAAAAGCGTTCTCTTGCTCATTTAAATCCCACCAACAGCTTTTTATGTCTACACTTAATGAAAAACTACTTACTGTGATCACACCCATGCAAAGATTATGTAGCCATGGTTACGTGAGAGCAAGAGAATATCGTCAAGCAATGTAGTCATAGTAGTAATGGCCTTACATCGGAGTAGCCTTCAAGCACAGCATTCTGGTTATCATAGCAAGTTTCGATAGCCAACTGTGGATTTGGGCCGACCAAGCTAGAAATTTCCATGCGCAATATCCTCTTCATACCACTCAGGACTAGCCATCATCCCAAAGTCTTCCTGGAACTCAGCCATTTTCAAAGCCAAAGGTAGATTCTGCATGATAGTCATTAGTTCAGCGTCATTGACCTCATGCCCAGGCCCTAGGTCTGCGTAAGGCCTCGAACAACGTGTACACTTGCGCTTCGCATAGTCTGGCTCCGTGGTGGTCCCAAGCTGAGAGTTTCGAATTGTTCTTCGTCTCTCAAGGCAGCACTGGCAGGCCGCGCAAAGAGTACAATAGAGGCCTGAACGACACAGTCGCCAGCACAAGCCGCAAAGATAGCGAGTATTTTTGTTGCTATCGATAATCCTTCCGCACTGATACTTTCTTTTTTCGATCCCACAGTCGACGCAGAATCGACGATTACTCTCAGCATGCCCTTTCCCACGTCTTCCCTTGGGTTGTTTATCACCAAAGGCGCTCCATAAGCGGAGATTCAAACAAATACTGCAGGCAAAGTGGCTCTCGTATCTAGAATTCAGTGGGTAGGTATGTAGAGCATAGTGACAGTCAGGCCTTAGGAAGTGTAGTACGTACTCAGTCCAATTCTCCACAGCATATAACCATGATAACCTTCTCCACCGTGATGTAAGATTTTCAGCCGTAATCATGGATCTGAAGTATGAATTAGTTTGCGACAAAGCCAGACATGGAGCATAGTCCAGATAACTGAGAATCTGTAGGTGTATTTCGGTTGGTAAATCGAGCAATTTTATAGCTAGCGGCTGGGCCATAGTGGAGAGAGGATAGGCAAATACTGTAGGTTTAGCTAGCAGGCAAGTGGATCCTTCAAGATGTTCCAAGACCCCACACTAATTTGGCAATGAAAGCAAGGAATCTAAGGCAGGATACTTTGAGGGAAATGAATGACCTCGCGGTTGAGTATAAGCTTCCACACAACTGTGTAGCTGATGTACAGTCAGTCAGATCCCATAAGAAGTCGCTGCGAAATCTAGCATCTACCACCAATTGTACCCCTTGGTAGCCTCGAAAGTATCTTCTACATTATTAGGACACTTTCCAGGTGCTTAATGGTCTTTTGTTTTGTGTGATGATGGGAGTCAGCATCTCCTCTAATATTCATAATGATCATGTGCATATTGACCATAGAACGGTCATAAATGGGCTATGTTCTTAAAAAAAGGTGCTCGTAAATGGAACACGTGTGTCAAAAGCTTCAAAAAAACCATCACATGCAGTAGAAGAGCTGCCCTGGAGTTCACAATCGGCAAAACCAATTCACCGACATCACAGGTTGTTTTCGACTCGGAACTTATCCCAAGCCTCGTTCAGGGTTCCAAAAACGGCGCCAGCAATCATACGCTGTTCAGTAGTAGCAGTCGTCGGAATCTAAGCATCTCAATTAGCAACTAACCCAAGAGACACCAACGAAATGAAGGATAACGAGAACATACCTTATCAGGGTGAACCTTTGCAATACCCTTCATGTATTGAATCTTGACCTTGTTCGGCAACACCAACTCTGCCAAGCCAATCTTCTTCCAGCCGGATTCAGGCCAAAGCACAGTGTCAAGACTACCAAGTAGGGCACGCAGGTTATCCTGCTTTCCATTCCTCCATCCAGCGATTCTCGCGTCAACACTATCAGTGAGAGCGAATTTCTCCTCATCGGCACGTTCGGCAGCCTGGTTAGCCTGCCTCAATCGACTAACAGCCTCCGAGTCTTGGCCAGAAGCGGCTCCGCCGGAGAGATCTGACAGTGCAGACGTCTTCTTGGGTACCGGGGTGGGCCTCTTTCTGACAGGGGCTGAGGGTTTTGACGGAGGTTTGCTGACTCCAGCGGCCTTCTCGCATCGGTTCCTGCCCTGAATGCTAGTACCTCCGCCGTGGCCGGATTCCACGGCCAACTTCCAGGCCTGTGCTGCGTCCGACCATCGTTCAAGTTGCTCTAAAGCTTCGGCCTTGCGCATGAGGGCCTTACCATAGAAGTCCTTCATGGGCTTGGCGGCGTCGCCATTACCGAGGTCAATTGTCTCATCTTCGCCCTTTGACGGTCCGATCATTGTCAAAATAATATCAGCATCGTCAATGGCACCCTTTGGCTCACCGATCTTCAGACCGGTCATTGCTCGGTTACTGCGAACGATGATCGTGATCGGGTGCTTGTCAGGAAGCATGTCGAGCGCAGTAGAGAAACTTTGATGTGCAGCTGCATAGTCGCCCCGCTTGTACGCATCTGCAGCTTTCTCGCGATGGCGGTGAGTCGATTGCAGAGCCTCTGCAGATACGGGCGGTATAGACCGGGACGGAGCCTTGGGGCGTGCTGGGATAGGAGCTGAACGCGCTGGCGGCGGTCGGGCCTGAGGTTGAGGGCTTCGGTTGGGCGGCTGTGACGAAGGGATGGGAGAATCAAAGAGATCAACATTGGGCTCGGGTGCTGGAGGTGGCGCTTGAGGCTGTCGCCGCCTTGCCGGGCTGACATATGCTTGCGCCGACTGCTCCTCGGCAGCAAATCGGGAGAGACGAGATTTGGGTTCCGTAGAGGTCGGTCGTGATGGACGCTGGAGGAAGTTGGCCTGCTGCATATGTTGGGTGGCTGGCGATGGCTGGCGACGCGGGTCGCTACTAGTGGGAGCGGATTGGCGCTGATCCTGCGGGCGAGCAGGCTTTCGAGGTGGTCCAGAATCACGAGCTTCCAAGAGTAGTGCCTCGTTAGTGAAGTCTTGGTGCTGATTTTGCGCTTGCTCCCTTTCACCACCGCGCCGGGGCGGCTGTTGAGGGAATGGCTCCTCGCGAGGCGCAGATGCATCCCTCATCCACTTGGGCTGGTTAGGGTCATGATCGGCAGCATTGAATTCATTCACAGCTTGCTGGAACTTCTTGCTACCAGTCTTCCAGAGGGAGCCAGCAGTTTTCAACAAGTTGTTGCCAAATTGAGAGGCTATTTGTGCGGGGTCTTTCTCTCCAGCCCCGGGGCTTCGACTATCCTCGCGCGACCGAGGAGGCTGTTGTCTACCTTCCCTCGCCCAGGAAGGGGGATCCCGGTGTCGACTATCACTTCGCTCCGTGCGATCACCGGGTTGAGTGGGTGCAGGAGATCTCCCTTGGGACTTTTGCCTTGACTCGGCGTGTGCTTGCGTGAGTAGCCAACTAACAGCCGCCTGGACATTGGTTCCTGACTCCGTAGTCTTCAGGGCTTGCCGTGACTTGTCCGCGGGGAATCCCATATCCACCAGCTCTGCAATCGCTCGATCAACTTCGTTCGAAGGCATGGGGGAGGCGGACTGGTTTTCGCGATCACGGTGGGAGGGAACTTGCCGCTCTGGGGGCGGCTGCTGGCGAGGGATCTCTGACACGGGTTTTCCCAGTAGCCCAAGGAAATCATCATCGTCTGCGGCAGCTTGCGACGGAGCCGGTGCTGGCTTCGACTTCAATTGATTGAGACCAAACGGATCGTCGTCGTCGTCGCCAAATGCACCCAAGCCCCCCGAGTTATCCTGCATCGTTATCCCCCCACTAGGTGTGCCTCGTCGCGAATTAGAACCAACCTGGGGAGATGCGTTGGAGCTTGGGACGGGGAAGTTTGTTGATGCATCAACGGGCGCAGCGGCGCTGAATGCAGCCAGTATATCGTCGTCGTCTGCTGGTGGCGATATGGATTTCGCGATCGCCGCCGTCGCGGGGCTCGGGGTCCGGCCATGTTCCAAGTTGTCCCAGAACTGCGAGTTCTGACCTCCATACTGCGCATCGTACCGCCGGCGGTCCTCCGCTGCCTTCTTGGCCTTTTCCTCCTGTAATCGCTTCTGCTGCTCTACCAGCGAAATGTTCTTGTTTGCCGCGGATGAATTGAAGGACACCAAGTTCGCAAAGCTATCTCCGGTAGATGTAGATGTGGGCGGTTTGGATGGCGAATTGGATCGGTTCGAAGCAGCGGACATCGGTGTTGATCTACCGGAGGCACCATTGGGTTTGACATTGGGAAACATGAAGCCAGAGCCCATGGGAGGGGGTTTGTTGGCGGGCGCATTGGAGTTGGATGACCAACTCAGCCCATTCAGGTCATCCATGTTGAGCTGGATGAAGGCCAGTCAATGAGTCGGCGGAAAGTTGGATGACTGGGATCGGAGGATAATTAGGGATCAGAAGATAGATATAGTGAGTTGTCCATGATCTCACCACACTCAAAAAGATTCAAAGAATTGACAACGTTGGTTTGTTGAAGTAGCTTCATTGAACTTCCCTCAATGAACACCGCGCCCCCTTTGCATGTGGGGATGACGACTGCGGGGCACGTGATCCATTGGTTCATGGATCGCCCGCAATGAGTTTTTATTCTTTACTTCTTTGAGTCGATGTAAAAAATTAAAATAGCCATTTCTTAGAGAAAGATAGCGGGAACATAGTTCTATAGATATACATGGAGGGTTTTGTACTAATGCTTTCAGGCGATGCTTCTTATTTTAAGATCCGTTTTGTGACTGATCAATCCGAAAATATATACTTCTACACTAACATGGCAACGACCCGATCGAAGATTCAGCGCAGTCCAGGTAGTGATGTCGAAATCGACATTTAACACAATCGTTACCAACAATAGGTATGCTTTGACATTTACCCAGAGTCCAATCTATGTTTTACCCATGATGGTTCTCATTCGAACTTTACAGTAGCTTCCATGTCATTGACATCTATTTAGAGGGGCATTTGGTGCCCCTCTCATGTTGAGCCTTGAATATCAGGCGATCATATGCGGCCATAAGACAGGCAGTCGAGCCTAAGGTTCCTGTGCCTGGATGACTTTCCAATCGATGTATGTTTGGGCCAGAACAAAACTTTTAATCTCCGAATTCCTATAATCATCCGACCATTCATGGATGGAACCTCCAGGGCTGAGAATTGGACGGGCCTATCGGATTCATATGATCAGCGTGAACCAGAATACCCGTTCGATATCATTTCCCGCTTGTCGTTTGTAGGAGACCTGACAATCTAGGCCTACCACCTTCAAGGCTTCTACTGTACGGAGTACCAACCCCTATATTATCCTTTGCTAGTCTCTAGACAGCATTTACTATAGTGACGTCGGAATCTCTGGTAAGTTTGTCACACCATCTTTCGAATATTATTCATTCAATGGCACGGAGTACACCATGACACTGCAGGGCCTGAAGTCACCTTGAACACGCATAATACATAGCCCATTATTGTGATCTAGACCATCGTCTACCAACTCTACACGTGTATATGCACCAACCTCATCTTGTGGCCTGGGTCACGACTCCCAATTATCCACTGAGAGCCTGAGAGCCAACCAAATCCTGGGCACAAATCAGTGCCAGCCGTATGCCAACACAAGCCCGATCATATGGGGCCATCCCCACCGCTGATTTGACCCGGTTCATCCATGATGATCCTGTAGAAAAAAAAATCTAGTTAGTGCCAAATTAAAATACTCTTATGTCTCAGATGCAACTGTGCAACTCCTTACCTGCCGCTAAGGTTGGTGAGCTTTCCTAGACTCGGGACAGACTCGGCCAACCCAGAGTCAATTACAGACCAAACCATCTCAGGAACAGTAATGCACGCACGGCAACAGTGGCGTGCTGACCGTTGTGATAGGCCAACTGGCCCTGCCCGGGATCACTGATTCAGCAGAAGGAAAAAAGCACGGATCCAATTGATAACTCGACAGATCGGGGTCCACGACCCCACTTAGTGAACCCCTAGTTGCGGATGGCGTCGATACCTCCGAGCACGTCCCCTTTTCGGTTCCTGAGAGCTGTCGGATCCTGGTCTTGCAGATTTTCAATGGTGTGAAAATAATTACGGTGAGTCTGGCCATGTACGTGAGCAGTGCAGAGAGGCTGGTGCATGAAGACATATTATATGGGTAAGTATCTTGTACGGAGTACATTGACTACTGCATAGCTTAGAGCTGGAGAGGATAGGGGGCTGACTGATGATGTGATGGATCATGAGCAACATCCTGATTGCCCGCATTCCGCTTGTTGACCTGGGGATTGACATGATCACCGTTGAGGGGTTGAAGCACCTTGTTTCCCGTGGTATGATCAACATCACAAATAGGATTGTTTTAGTCTCGCGCAATTGTATTTTTGTATTAGTGTAGACAATACTTTCTAACAATGCTAATCATGAAAATGGCCGGCTATCAGGTCCGACGACAATGAAAGTGGATGGGTGTGAGGAGGGGAATTAATTTCGAATCCCAGCAATTGGCGAATCTCCTAATCTCTTTTCGTCCTGAGGGCCCGCCGCTGATGCGTTCACAAGGAGCTGATCCTTGCTCGATCGTCGACCTCTCGATCGGTGGGGCGTTGGATAGCTCATTGACTCGTCCCTGGTCAGTCTCGCGTGGGCGTCTATTGTCCAATTCCTTGTCGCTTGGCCTGCCCGAAAACTCAAATAACTCCAAACAAATTAACAATGTAGGCAATGCATCCGGGAGCCCCGCGTCGTTCTGGAATTCCTGACTAGCGGTGTCATTTGTCGTTTATATGTAGGGGAGGTCGGGGCTGGCTGTGCTACTGGATTTTCCTCTTGTTTGTTCCATCGACTTTGACCCAATGGGTCCACGACGCGCAGCGACTTTAATTTTTTCTTCTTCTTAACTTAATAATCTAATAACTGCGGCGCCCCTTATCACCGTCACACTCCAACTTACTCGATCACACTAAATTCGCAACGGTGAAGAGTTTTGTAGTTAGTTATGTGTGACTGCGCTTGATACCACCCCTTATACATCGTCGACATAATATACTCTTTGCGCTCGAAACCTTTCGCCTTGGCCTCGAGCCCTACAAGAAAAAGAAATCAGGGCACGATGCGGTGGTCACTATTTAGCACTTTGATCTTAGTGCTCCTCTTCGGAGTTGCATTATCAGCCCCCGCAGTGGACTTCGCAGAACGAAATGTTGATGCCTTTACGACTGTCGAAAAGAGAGTTGAACAGGATGCGACACCAACAGCAACAGCAACAGATAATACGCCTAGCTCAACATCTACAGCGAGTACAACGGGTACTCAGGGTGCAGCGACGACAGCCACAGCTACAGCCACGACAACGACAATAACTGGGACGGCCGTTTCAAATACCAGTCACTCTACCTTCGTCGCGACCACTGTTCCTTCAATAGATGGCTCTACGGGCTCGGGGAGCGACAGTCAGGATGGAACAAAACAAAAGTATACAGGTGGACTACCACTTCAGCCGGAAATCACTCCGGCGTGGGGTGTGGGTGGTATTATACTCCTACTTCTAGGAGCGGCTCTGGCGTTCATTGGAATTCGCAAGCAATGGTAACTAGTTTCTTTTTGATAGTGAGTTGACATTACTGACATTTGCTAGGGTTCATATCTTCTTATCAACCGCCTTCCTCGCGGCATTGGGCGTTACGGTGAGTTCGAATGGATCCTACTCTTATACTAGGCCAAGACTGACCACGTAATAGGTGCTTATTGTCTACGTGTTGAACCCACCGGTCAGCAATGCGATACAAGGTGGATATCTGGTTGCAGCCTTTTTCACAGGCGCCGTGTTCGGAGGGCTAGCGCTCGTGTTCAGGGAAATAACTGAAGGACTCGGATGTCTTCTTGGTGGCTTTTGTACCGGGATGTGGCTATTAACAGTCAAGTCGGGCGGGCTCCTGACCGACAATGGAGCAAAGGCCGGGTTCATCATCGCCTTTACCGTGGGCTTCTGGTGTCTATCATTCAGCCACTATACTCGCTCATACGGTTTGATTCTCTGTACTTCCATCTCGGGTGCGACGGCTCTGGCTCTCGGCATCGACTGTTACAGTCGGGCAGGCTTAAAGGAGTTTTGGCTATACATATGGGGTAAGCTCTTAAACATCAGCCCTATGTTTATGAGTTGCTTGGGTATGGTTGCTAACTTGCATTCTAGGTCTGAATACAGGCATGTTCCCATTGGGCACAAATACATATCCGGTCACTCGAAACATCCGTGTTGAGCTTGCTATCACCGTCATTGTCACCGTGTTTGGTGTTATCGCTCAAATGAGACTCTGGAAAGTGATCAAAGAACGCCGAGCCAAGGAGGAAACAACTCGGAAGGAAGCCGAGAAAAGGGACGAGGAGGCAGAGGCAGAAGTTGGTCGACAACTGGAAGAAAAGAACCTTCGCGAACGCACCGAATGGGAGAACATGTACGGTAACGGCGCCGGCAAAGCAGCCTCCATGACCGAGACTGCGGTTGCAGAAGATTCCCGTCGGGGCTCGGATGGGTTCGAATCAACAACCCATGAAAACGAAAAGGGAGAATCGGTTGAGATGAAGGACATGTCTGCTCCGGAAAACTCGGCTGGCTCATCTGACTCTGGGAAAAATCTCGAAACTGTTGAGGAGGTTGAAGGGGAAGCTCTTGAAGAACACCAGGACGGTCATCCCAACCAGCCCGAGGACCAACAGGCTCAAAATGAGACCGAAAATGACGGACCAACAGCTGCAAGACCGGTGACAATGTGGCCCGAGCCAATCCCGCGTGAAGATAATAGCTCTGAACACGGTGCTGTTGTTGGCTCCGAGGCTGGCTCGCCACGATCCAAGCGCTTCTCTGGAAGGTCACTGATGAACCGGCTTTCCTGGCGCAGTGCTAATGGTGTGAACGGTCCATTGAGTCCCAAGCTCAACGGAAAATCCGAGTCGGAAGAAGCTTTGGTAGTGCAGGACGATGCTACCTCCTCCGTTGTCGGCGTCGTGGATGATATTGCTTCGATCTGCTCTAGTGTGGTCTCAGATGGCCAAGCCGCAGAAGACGAGAAGGCGACCGAGGAGACAGTGACGAACAACTTGGCATCAAAAAATGTGCTTGCTGAAGTGACCGAAGCCGAACTAAACTCCCAAGCACTGCGTGCTGCGCCGACTGAGAATGACGGTCAACTTGCCTCTTCCCTTGCCCGCCATGATAAGAATGGTCAAGGGCCCACGCAACGTGGAAATGAATTCCAGATTCACCAGGATGACGACACCGAAGAGCAAGTATCTACTGTCGAGACCAATAATCAGGACGACAGCCAGCCAAAGAAGACCGAAAACTTGGTGTTGCAAGTTCAGCCGAAGCCACAACAAGCTCCACCAAATCAAGAGAACGTCCTGGAAAACCCTTCTGAGGAAGAACATCATGAACAGACGGACCAGGAAAACCACGTACCCAATTTTGATCAAGCGGAGGACGAAGCTGAAATAGACAACCCACAGCCTGATGCGGAACACGTCGAGCGCGAACTTGATTCTGTGTCTCAAACAAAGCCTTTGAGGAAGAGCAGGAGTGCAAGGTTAGACGCATCGACAGTGAAAGAAATTCCCGAACAAACATCGATGGTAATCAATTCATTCCGCACCAACGAATGGGCCAAGCATCTAGCCAATGCGGAGCTTCCTGAGCTCGAACCAATTCAGCTGGACTATGAAACCGAAAGCTCTGCCGAGACTGAAGAAGCTGCCGCACCAGTCAATGTGGATGGTCTTCTTCAGACACCGTTGACAGGCCTACCTCCTCCAATTATCAACAATCCCGAGCAGATCCCCACTAGCCCCGAGCAAAATGGTCGACGTTCTCAAGGCTCTGTAGCACCACCTGCAGTACCCAAATCCAAAACACAAAATAACATCTACACCATGTCCGGTGCTATATCACCCCCACCAATGGCCCGAAACATGTCTTCTGCATCACTACTGCCTCAAGAAAGGGATAGGAAGCCAGGTCCGATACGCAGCGTATCGACTCCATTTCTGACTATCACAACCCCCAATCAAGAACCAGAGTCATCGGATTCTCCAAAGTGGAGTGGACCTCCACCTCTTCTCGCTGTTCGTGAGAACATGGTGCGGAATCGGATGTCATCTACCTCCCTGCGCTACGATCCTTATACATCGCGAAATCAGTCCCGCCTGTCCCTGGCTGATCCAACCGTAATCGCCTCGCCGCCCTTGTCCATCCCAGAGGAAATGGACGAGCAATTTGGCACAGATACCGTTGAAGACGCAGATGATGTACCACTATCCAAGCGTCGTGCCATGCTACAACGCCAATCGATGCAGTCCCCTTCTACATCTAGCATTCAGAGCATCGAGCCCCCCCGCTCACCACCGCAAAGTCCACCAGACTCGGGACGATCTGCAGCTGTCATGGCCGCCTGGCGACAATCGGTTCGACAAGACCTTTCTCAACGACGTGACCCACTATCACACCCTCCTTCTCCAGGCTTACCTACAAATTCCGAGAGACCACGGGCACTTCGGGCATCTACGCAGCAAACGCGCGAGAGCTCAGCGGCCCAGGTCGAAAATACCATTGCCGAAAGGATGCAACGCGGAGGTATGACAGACCTGCATCGTCAAGCGATGCGCCGAATGCAGGCTTCTGCGAACCGCAAGCTGTAGTCGTTCATTTTATTTGATACCCTTTTTTCTTGTTTAATTACTTTTCTTTTCGGGGATTGTTGGGAGTTTGGTTAATATGGGCTTAATCAGTCACACCTACATACCATATAATTCACTGCACATAATTTCTAATGACACAATGCTTGATGCATTCAATTGAGACACTTCATCCTTGTATAATGCTAAAAGATTCAACTTTAATGAACCATCTACTCCAACATGTACTTGGGGGCCATCTCGAAAGACTTCATAACCTTCTCCAGCGCTCTCTCGTATTCTTCCAATTCCTCGCTGTCCTGGTCCTCCACATATGCCTCCTCACCTTCGTCGCCCTCAAGGCCAAGCTCAACTTGCTCAACTGACTCAACTTCCGAGTCGCCCCTGGCTGCTCGGCGGCCATTCAACGATGTGACATCACGATAAAGGCCCATAGTCATCGGCAATTTCACACCGTCCACGCCCCCCTTGCCCATCTTGATAAAGCGGGCATCAAGCAGGCGAAACTGGGCCGCCCAGACATGTGGGTCAGCAATCTCCATAGCCATCTCCCAAGAGGATCCCAGGCCCAGACTGACGGACCCACCGATAGGGACGCCTGATAGAGCCCCAACGAGTGCGGAGGAGACGCCGGCTGATATGTCGGCAGATTGGCCCTTTGAGACAATCGTGCGCGTTTTCTCAAGAAGGTACAAGCCGGTGAGTAGCCATACTTTGGGGCGACGAGCGAATTTCAAGTTGAGCATGTAGGAGCTCTGAGCAGCGGACAGCCAGAGTTTTAGTTTCTGCTGTGCCTGCGGGTTGGCTAGGACATTGGTTGTAAGGAAAGATTCCGGGCTGTTGGGAAATGTCAGCACATGCTTCATTCATTTAGTAGATAGGAAGCGAGGTGAAGTACTCTTTCAAGATCATTCGAGTCCCTTTTTCTGCAACTACAACACGCTCAAGATCTTTGTTGTAGGCGAGGCCGAGATTGACAATATCCCCACCCTCAATGCTTACGGAGGGCGAAATCCGAGAACATCCATGAAAGACAAGATTATTCGCCTGTGTGGAATACGCATGCGTTTGCAGTGCCTCTCCGCTAATAAAAGTCCGTCAGCTTTGAACATGGATCGCAACCAAAGAGAATGCGACGTGTACCTTAATTGTTCGTGGGTATAGTGGCGGGCAACCATTGGCTGCCAGTACTTCTCCAGCACCAATGAACCCAGGGTTAAAGCCTCGGGCCGTTCCCCGACGCCATAAAGAAAGAATGAGGAGTCATCAACAGCCCCCATAATGCCCGGAGTCACAAAATGCCAAGGCTTGGTATATAATTCTGGGGATCGAGGCTGGAAAGAAGACTTCCAGGGTATTAATTGTGGTTTTTACTCTGCTGCCTTCGCGGGGGTACTGCCCCAACCCGGGCTTATTATTGGCTCCACTCAAATCGGGCAATTTTAAACGAATCGCTCTCAGGGTTTCGTGATGGGCGCTAAGCATGGAAACACAAGGCACACCCAAGCCCCACTATGCTTATATACAGCGAGTGGCCCTTTAGGGCTGCTCAGTGAGATTACCTTTTCGGATCTCAGCTTGACATTTAATCTAAGAAATAGCATCACTTGTTCACGGAAAGTCAAATGGACTTTGATCATTTCATCGGACTTTGTGGCCGATCGCTCTTCGCGGAAGAGTATCTTGGTGATCTAGATGCTGCCAGAGACTATCTTCACCAGACGAAACCCGACATATCCGAGGTGGATCATGTTATCTACGCCGAGCACCTTCGTTGTTCAGCCATACATTCAGTACTCATCGGCAGACCAGCGGATGCATACGAGAGTCTCGAGGTATTGAAAGGTCTTCTAGATCAATTACCCAAAGAATGGGGTCTGCGATATGCCAACTACAAGGTTCTTACCGATTACACCCGTCGCTACCCCCCGCTTCTACGCTTCTATCATGAAAATGGAAAACCAATCGATATCAGCATGCTGGGCGACATCAGCGGCCCGTCTGAGATCACGGAAAGCTTCATGAACAATTTTCGCGCGTATTTTGATGGTAGTTTACCCCGCGATCAAGCATTGAGTCAGATGATGAATGGTGTTATCGGATTTCCGATTCGAGTAAGAAACTTGACAAACATGTTTCACCCTCTCAGCCCTGTGAGCCGGGCGGTTGCTTCGAGAGATGAGATACTCCCTCAAGTTGTGGAGATGGCTCAGCCTATGCTGAATTTTCGCGATATGGCTGATTCCTACGGGGTGACCGGAATGGGTACATACATGTTCCGACTGGTAGTTGAAACACACATTACATGCCAGAGTCCGCAGGCTGATACACACTTGCAAGAACTATATCAAAGATGCGAAAGACTTGAGGATTACGCGGGGATGGCTAATGCCCAAATGATTGAGGCGGACAGCCTGATAAGCCCCCCATTTGCTAGCCCTGTCACGCTGAACTTGATTATTCTCGACGTCACTAGCAGTACTCATAGTGATACTCTCTGGGATCCGGTCGAATTTGACCTCGAGTATGAATATGGAACCCAGGCTCAAGAACTATATGACTCTGCTCTGGCGCTTTTTCAAAAAGCCAACAGCAAGCGCGGGCAGGCGGCCGTTTTACTTCGACAAGGCTGTTGTCTTCATAATAAAGCCCGCCACGAACGACTCCAAAACAAACAAGTTCTCGATATACTTGCAGAGTCCGAGCTTAAATTGCAAGAGTCTCTCAAGTTGTTTGGAAAAGATGAAGCGAACGCTCTACTAGTCAAGGCACATCTGATCCTCACGGGAATTACCAGAGGAAATCCCGTGAACATCAAAGCGATCGCGAGATCAATTGGAGTCTGGGGTGTTGAAGCAAAGAACGAGATAATGGCCCACTTTATTGGAATGCTGCTATCTCGATACGCGCATCAAGAGTGGTTCAGATTCTCGAACATGGACAACGCTTTGCTGGCATGGGAGTGTGCGTACGAAGTGTTTGAGCCCCTTGGCGACATGATTCCCATGTTTCAATCCAAAGTTTGCCAATCGCACGTACAATACGACATGTTCAACGCCGATGCAGCTAAGATCTTTATCGAGGAGGCGCTATCCATGGTCGACAGACTTAGCGAGTATATTGATTACAAGATTCACTCGGCACCGGACACACAACTGGGCCAAATAGACAGTAGCACTCTGATGACGGGAAAGTTCAACATGCTGTCGACATTCAGCAGGGACGTAAACAACGTTTACATTCGGAGTGAGGATCTCGAGAAATTCCACGAGTGGAACGCCAAACTGGAATATTGGATCGAACACGATGAGGGTTTCATTGCGTTTCGTGAAAAAGTGGAGAACGAAGAGGTTATGCAATTGAATGATCCCACTCTTGCCTTTCCTCAAAACAAGGTGAAGGGGTTGTGGCGGAGAACGTTGGCCGATGATGCAGCTACAGTGAGATATGCTTCTGCGGATATCGCCTTCCGCCGACTAATGGAGGAAGGCGATATTCTGAAAGCAGAGGAAAGCGTTCGCCGATTCGTCAATGAAGCCATGGACCTAGAAAAGGCGTACTGCAGAGACATGTATCGCATCCTCGCATGTGAGCGAATCGGTGATTACGCCAAATCTCGAGAGATTTTTGACTCCCTCGATGATAACGACGTCTTCAACGATAACCTCGCGGAATTTCAACAAGGGATTGGTGTTCGAACTATGTTCTCCTCGACTGCTGAGAACTCGTTGACTTTTGCTGTATTCGCGGGAGACATGGAACGAGCTCGCCGGATGATTGATATTATCATCGGGATCTGGCCTTCCTTTTTTGAGAAGCCGACCGAAAATGCACTTGATTTTGCTCAACGGATCAGTTACTATGCACATATCATGAAAAATGAAAAACCTGAACTCTGCTTTGCCAAGCTCCTCGAAGCTCGTCAGATTGTCGAGACTCGTCGAATTCAGACGAAGGACCTGGACGCTAGGATTGGCAGTTCCAGCCAGGGGTGGACTGCAGAGGTGTTCATGAACCTCGCACGTCTTTGTCTGCGATGGGAGAACTCTGGTGTCCCAGTGAGTTTCATATCAAAATATGAACATGGGCATTTTGACGACATATCATGGTCTGAGCATGCTCTACTGTTTATCGAGATGAGTAGAGCACGGGCGGTGCTGGAGTCACTACAATCCCAAGCCCACCGAGTCCCTGGAATGACCGGAGCTCCGGATACAGCACCTCTATCAGAGGCAGTTCACAAAAGACGACTCTTAAGGTCACTGCTTGCTTTGAAGAAATTGAGCCCGGAGCAGGAACAAGAGGTTTCGCAGCTGCGGAAAGATATCGACCAATTAGAAAAAGACGGAAACATCTCTAATGCAACGACTTTCATCGAAACCGTCAATTCTACTATTGAACCGAAGCTGTTATATCGAAGCATTGATGAAAATGCTGTGGTGATAGAGGCAACTGCCACTCCCCGTGGATTCATGTCATTCGCAGTGACCCGTGACGGTATTCAAAAGATACATCAAGGAACGATGAGTGTGGCTGATATTCGGAGGCCAGTTATGCAGGCCATGCATATCATGCGAAATATGACTGGATACCTCGGAGGAGAAGAGGAAGAACGCAAAAAGGAGCTCAACGACCTGTCCCAAAAAATCTCCGAAGTACTACTGGCACCATTCACGGAAATCATCCGAACCAAGTCTCATGTCATTTTTTCGATTTCTGATCCGATGACCGCGTTCCCGTTTGGAATTCTTTTGTTTGATGGAAAACCACTTGTCATGCACGCAGCGGTCTCACAAGTCCCAAGCCTGACTGTACTCCATCATCTGTCACAGAGAAAGTCCGCATCAAAAACACCGACTGTATCCGTCCTTGCCAAATCACCCAGTGAGGAACCATCAGAGAACGCAGCCCGGGCTGGTAAAGAGCCGAGTCTGCACATGGCAGGAATTGAAGCTGTCAATATCGCCCGCATGTTTGCAACATGGCCGATCGAGGCGTCTAATATGACTCGAGAAGACTTCCGAGAGTACGTCGAAGGTGGCTCCTTGATCATGCACATCGGAACTCACGGGGATGTCAACTACCGCAATCCACTCCTTTCGTCAATTTCAATTGGTGACGGTCAAGAATTCCGAGTCATCGACATGTCCGCCATCCGCAGCAGTGTCCACCTCCTCGTCTTTGCGGCCTGTCTTAGTGGTCTCGGAAAAGCGACCTTTAGCAGTGAAGTCCTGGGATTCTCCCACGTTGTCTTGAGCACTGGCTGCCAGGCTTACATCGGATCTCTTTGGAAAGTCAGCGATTTCGGTTCCATGTTGATTATGACGCTGTTCTATCGGCATTTGCGAAGTATGCCACACATTCCTGTGGCGGAGCTTATGCGAAAGGCCCAAATGGACCTCTTGCAGCTTGATGGTGAGAAAGCTGGTATACTTTTGGATGGGATGTTGGAGAATTGGACTTCTACGGGAGTGGAGGGTCGTAGACCGGCAGAATTTGTGCCTGATGCAGAATTTCTGTTCTTCTTGTTGAAGATGACCATTGATCAGTTGGACTGGTCGAGTCCTTTCTACTGGGCGCCGTTTACACTGGTCGGATATGGAGGTTTCCGGTTTGTGCATGCGGATTCTTAGCGTTTCAAGGAGTACAAGCGAGATGTCTCGGGTTAAGACTTGACAAACGAGGGTTACCTGCATTTTCGCTACTAATATTTCGTGAATTCCATGATCAGCACTCTGCATCGCGAGTTACTGTCACTTTTGTAGAACTAGTGGTATAGTGTACTTGATAGCTTCAACATTGCCCGCCATGAGTGTCAGATCAGCGGTGGATCCAATCATGACTGCAAATGCATTTGACGTATGCAGTCGCTTCGTGACGTGGACTCGGATTGGAGGGGATGTTAGGAGATCCTTCGCTTATCCAAGGTGAAGCGATGAAACAAGGGATAGTAATTGATGGATCATAGTGAAACGGGGGCAATTGACTGGTCAAATTGGAGCTGGAGGGGTTTACTGGTTGTCGTATAGATGGACCCATAGTGGCTGTCTATTGATTGCCGGTTCTGCTGTACATAAACACATTCACTAGCCCATTATTACTTCTGAGATGATCATTCTCGACAGATTTATCGATTACTATACTTCTTTGTATTTGAATATTGCGAAAATATCCTGCATTGAAAGTGTTCTATTTCGTGTCTGCCGAGCCGATCGGGATTTGTCAGTTTTCCAGCTTCACCTAAACTTAACTATTAGTTACTTACCAACCAGGCCTTAGCAGTACGACAAGTTTGGCCTCGAATTTAAGCCTTACAATCCAGGATTGTCTAGGAGGCATTGTCTCTTCCAATATTTCTCATTTGCTCTTCTTTCCTCTCTTTTGAAGATTTCATTGCCTTTCGTTTATTTACTCTTCTATTTTCTCGTTCGTTCCTCTTCCCAGGAGACTTTCTCCTGTTCTGCCGATCTCGATCTCGATCTCTCTGCTCCTCTCCTTCTCCCTCAAACTCTCCGCACGCTCCCTTTCCCTGCTCTTTTCCCTCTTCTCTCTTCCCTTCGGGGATTCCGTTCGTTTTCTCCTCAAAACGGCGTCCTTTGCGATCCCTCATCCTCGATCGAGGGAAGTCGATTTTAATTCCTCTCGCTTTCCCCCACCCAGTCCCAATACCCGAACTTCCTTTGGATCTCGTGGAGCCAACGGCCGCGCCCCCGTGGAGGCGACTCCGTCCTTCACTCGCGCACAGCGACGACAGTGTGTTCCCATCTCGGGTCCGTCGTCGTTCCCTGCCATTCTTCGTCCTCCGGCCGTTCGCCTCGCCAACCCCGTCAATCACGTCCCTCGCATCACTCCTATCACCGTCCCGCCCCATCGCTCCGACGAGAGCCTCCCCCTCGGCCTTCAACGCGACGCATACCCTCTGCTCACCGTCCCCGAGCGCCGCCGCAGTCGCCTTACCCCGTCTCCTACCTCTCCGACTAGTCTAATCGTCGAACGCAGTCAGGGAGAGACTGAAAGCGGGCGTACGAGCATCGCATTACCCCCGCGACACCGGCGCAGCGTGCAATTATCTCCGACAGAAATGGCGGCAGCATTTGCTGGGAGCGCGGCCAGGGATGTCGAAAACCTACGGCCGCCCGAAGAAGTCCATCTTGCCCACGATGGCACTCGCCATGGCGGACCGCGCCATGCTCAGTCCCAAACCTCTCTCCGATCTCAATCCCAGATCGCATCTGTCCCCTCAAACATGGGTCAAGCCCCTCCTGACGTTGCCGACGAACTGGCCTGGGGCCCCGCGCACCCCTGTTTCCCTCACTTTAACCCGCACGTCCCTATCGGCTCGCAAGAGTATCTCACAACGCGAGTCATTCGCATTCGCCGTGACTGGATGATCAAGGGCGATTTGGCGCCGACCTTCTCCAACCTGTATCCCGAAATTCTGGATCCATTACTCTCGGAGCAAGAATTCCGGAAAGTCATCGCCACCGTCAACGACGGCCTTGTCAAGGCTTTTGATCCGTTCAGCTTGCGGAACTGGTTAGACGGAGCAATTGGGCTCCTAACCGGTTGGATCTGGGACGACATGAATGCTACGGGAATCAAGGGCCAACTGCAACAGGTGGAGTTCTGGCTAGAGAACTGGAACCGTGAAGTCGGTGCCAAGGATGGTGTACACATCTGGAGTCTGCGCCGTACCGCGTACATGTCTCTTGATATTCAGATCCCAGACCCCAAAGTCGGCATTGTGCCGAGTGAAGGTCCTTCCATGCCGAATACCAGGCCTAGTACTGGTGTCGGGCCTGGAAATTGATAGGCCTACTTTCGCCTGTCGGTTCTTTTTCTTGTTCGATCATTGTCTTATTTGGCTGTATATGTCCTTTGTAATTTTTGTTGATTTGCTCCCATCTTGGGCCTTTTTGCATGATATCCCTCGCCACCCAGCGACTCTCCTTCGACTCTTCCTGTCCGCTATTTCCTTATTACCTCTTTACCTACCTTGCTCTGTGTCTATCTTGCTCTTGGGATCCGTGAATATTCCGGCCTAATCCTCCCACATTGCATTTGCCGATGGGCTTTCTCTTCCTGTTACTTTCGGCTTTGCTGATGGACCCCTGTTGTCCTGCCTCGTCTATACCTGATTTTATACTGGGATGATCGGTTGGCTTGACTAAAATCCCTGAAATTAAATACGATGGCCATGTGGTCAGTGTGAATGGGAACTTGAAATGCCGTTGAGCTTAATAGTCTGTCCCTGGATGAACTGGTGTAACAAATGTAGCAGACCGGTGTGTTAGATACCAAGACTCATGCTTGTTGATTTCTCGTATACCTCCCGAAAAATCCACGCCATATAGACAGATTGCAAAGAGGCTGAAATATACTTTTGATAATCCCACCTCTGTCCTGGAATTGACTCTCCTCCACAGTATATTCAGTAAGAATGTTCCATGCAGAGGCCATGTGTGTATATCCACCTTGGCCAGGCGGTGTCGATCCACCCCACACCCTCTTCCCCCCGTTCGCCGAGCTCCTGGGAACTTCGAACTTCCTGAGATGAGCCCTCTCTCCCCCAGCATACCACACCGCCACAATGCTGTCGGGCATCCTTGTCTTCAATCAGAAGGGCGAGAATCTAATCTTCCGCGCCTTCCGGAGTGACTGTCGCCCACGCCTCGCAGACATCTTTCGCATTCAGGTCATCGCCAACCCGCAGGTCCGCTCCCCGATCCTGACCCTGGGCTCGACCACCTTCAGCCATGTCAAGCACGAGAATATCTACCTGGTCGCCGTGACCAAGAGCAATGCCAATGCTGCGCTTGTCTTTGAGTTCCTCTACCGGTTGATTGTGCTGGGGAGGAGTTACTTTGGAAAGTTCGATGAGGAGGCTGTGAAGAATAACTTTGTGTTGATTTATGAGCTGCTGGATGGTGTGTTGCGACTTGTCGAGCCCCTATTCCTTCACGTCTGGCGCGATGCTAACCACGGTGGTCTCATCGTGTAGAGATTCTCGACTTCGGCTACCCCCAAAACACCGAGACGGATACCTTGAAAATGTACATCACGACAGAAGGGGTCAAGTCCGCCATTGCCAACTCGCCGACAGACTCCAGCCGAATCACTCAGCAAGCGACCGGTGCGCTGTCCTGGCGCCGCTCCGATATCAAATACCGCAAGAACGAAGCCTTTGTCGACGTGATCGAAGACGTCAACCTCCTGATGTCGGCGACTGGCACCGTCCTGCGCGCCGATGTGAATGGTCAGATTGTCATGCGAGCATATCTCACGGGTACCCCAGAGTGCAAGTTCGGGCTCAACGACCGGCTCCTCTTGGATTCTGGTACTTCTTCCGGGGCGAACGGGGGACGAGGTGGTGGTGGCATCTCCGGGAACAAACAGACTACACGAGCTGCTGCCGGTTCAGTCACGCTGGAAGACTGCCAGTTCCATCAGTGCGTGAAGCTGGGCCGATTCGACGCTGATCGTATCATCTCGTTCGTGCCGCCGGACGGCGAGTTCGAGCTGATGCGCTACCGCGCGACCGAGAATGTCAACTTGCCCTTCAAGGTGCACCCGATTGTGCGCGAGATCGGCACGACAAAGGTTGAGTACAGCGTGGCAATCAAGGCCAACTACAGTTCGAAGTTGTTTGCGACCAATGTCGTGGTTCGCATCCCGACGCCGCTGAACACTGCAAAGACTACCGAGCGCACGAGTCAAGGTCGCGCCAAGTATGAGCCTGAGCAGAACAACATCGTGTGGAAGATTCCCCGGTTCTCGGGCCAGAGCGAATACGTTCTCAATGCCGAGGCGACTCTTACGTCGATGACCCACCAGAAGGCCTGGAGTCGCCCGCCGCTTAGCCTTTCGTTTAGCATTCTCATGTTTACCTCCTCTGGTCTGCTTGTGCGATACCTCAAGGTCTTTGAGAAGAGCAATTACAGTTCCGTCAAGTGGGTACGCTACATGACGCGTGCGGGAAGCTACGAGATCCGGTATGTTTAGACCTTTCCTCAACGATCTGATTGTGTACGATTTACTGACCAAATCCCACTGTAGGTTCTAATATTGCCGACCCTTTGAAATAGACGATGCTGTGCATGAACCCTTGCCCTTTTTGATTATGGGATCTCAGGCTGGGTGTCTGGCGTTGGTGGTGTTCTCTTCGATCTTACATGACTTCTATTCTTCACTTGATAAATACTTTCAGTACATCAGTACTCATCTTTTTCTCGTCTCGTTCCGTCTCTACTACTTTTTGATTTTTCATCAATCTTGTCGCCCATGAGAACCACATAGCCCTTCTCATCAATCGGTTTCACGACCTCCTGCATCTTCCTCTGCAAGCGTACTTCATTCTCACCTCCCTCGACCGTGCCTTCTCTGATCTCAATCCTCCTGCCTCTGTACAAATACTCTGTGTCTAGCCCATTTTCTAGCAGAAGTCGAATCATAGGGGCTGATCTATTCTCAACCGCGACATGAATCAGAGGTATTCTAGATTTCCCCGTCTGGAACAATCTTGAATCACTGATGTCAGCACCATGTTCAATCAGCAACTTCGCTAGCGCAACATTTCCACTTTTCACTGCAACTTGTAACGGCGTAAGACTCGCCATTGGGTTAAATTTATTCGGGTCTGCTCCATGTTCCAGAAGCAAAGTCACAAGCTGTAGATCTGGGGTTTCCTTGGACGCCCAAATAGCACCGTGTAATGGTCCATAGCGAAATCTGTCAGTCTCCATATTGATGTCGAAGCCGCCACGCTTGAGAGAGAGCTGCACTTGGCTAAATCGCATCTTGATAACGCTTTCCATGAACATGTCAAAGATGACACCGCTCTTGTCGAATTGAAATCCACACTCTTTCTCGATGCATTCCGCAACATCAGGTCTTCGGGTCCGGACAGCGTGTATAACCGCACCAAGCACCCGAGCCGGAAGGTCTTCATCCTTACTCTTAGAATATTCAATCCAAGCCTTCAGAGTCCCGGTATTCCCCTTTTTTGCTGCACTGTTGAAAACACTGTCCTGGTAAGCCCGGATTCTAAACCTCGACTTAGACTCATTGGCAATAAGTAACCGAAATGCCTCCGTCGAACCCTTTAATCCGGCAATACTCAGAGGTCGAATCCCACCGAACCGAACACTTTTCTCCCACAAAAACCCAAGAGGATCATACTTGGGGTCATCATAAGCGTCAATAGTTCTCTGAAGCTCTTCACAGTCACCCTTAATAATCGCACTGGCCGTCAGCGCAATAGTCATCGTCCGTTCAATAGGCTCCCAGGAATCCACCCGATTCCGTTGCCAAAGCAAGCTCGAATGATACACGTCACGATCCCAGGAACACCGATTCACCTGCGAAAGCAAGCGCGGATCATACACGTCACGGTATGGGTAGAAGCTTCCGCAAAGCCAGGCGTCGATTAATTTATGTATTAGGATATGTTCCTGTTCCTTGGTGCGTGGGGGATGCGGGATGGCGAGAAGTTCGTGGATGATGGTTGAGAATGCGCATGGGCTTGTGGGATGTCGTTGGACTTTTTGGTGGAGGTATTGACGTTTATGGGAAGTCGGGAGGTTTTTCCACCAGTGTTTGCTGTATGTTTTTTTTTGCGCATCTTGTTTCGTGGGTGAAGCCGAGGCCGTTGTTTTCTAAGCGGGAACTTTGAATGAAGAGGGTCATTATTTCGTTGGCGAAGAGGGCTAGCTTTGGTTAGTTGTTGAGATATATGGCTAGTGGAGATGGGAATGGGGTGTACTGTTGACAAGTCGCATGGCTAGTAGATTTCGAATTGGAATCGTATCATTATCCACCAATGCCTGGATGATCTGGAGGAGAACCTCCACTGGAACGTGTCTCATGTTGGCTGGTCGTCAACGGCGAGGACATGGAATGAGGATCAATAAGTTCATTCTCAGTATTGAAGTCTGGGTGTTCTTGGCACCGGCATTACATCTAACTAGTTAGTTAGTTAGTGAATTTTGAGTGAGTCATGATTAGATTTCATCGGACTAGGCATATTAAGCCACAAATCACATACTGGATGCGACTTGAGGGCGGAATTTCGATTTACTGCCGTCTAATTAGCGCCTTTTATATCTGAACAGTGTGTCTACTGTTTTATGATATTAAAGTAGTGCATATGCACTAATAGAAGCGCTAACATGGCTTTCAAAGGTGTTCATCTTGTGATCTCTCATCTCAAGCATTCCTTGTCCGACTGTAAATCCTCCACCATGCCCTCGACTCGGCTATCTGTGCTGCCTCCTGGGAAAGCAGTCTTACAAGACCCTAGAAAAATTGCACAGTCATTCTCCCCTCGTGCACCCTCCCAGCTTTCATGAGGTCCATCATCTCGTTAATATCCTCGAGTTGGAATTTTCTCGGATTAATTTTGGGGAAGATCCCCTTCCTCAGCGAAAACTCCAAACACCGCATAGCACCCAGTGACCCAGGTACTTTAGCTCCAATGATCCTGTAAACCATAAAAGTAAGACCTCATCTCTCTCCCTTCAGGATATCAAAACGAACCTAATGGACTGGAGCGCCACTCGGCCCATATCAAGCGGTAGTGGCTCATGAGGAATTCCAACAACCATCAATCGTCCATCGACCCTCAGGATTGAAATCGCAGTTTGATATGCCGCAACTGAGCCCGATGTAACAATCACAGCATCAGCCACTTTACCGTGATTCATCGCTGCGACTTTCGCCCGAATATCTTGAGGCTGTAGCTCCCGCGTATTCAGTATCCCATCCACACTCCCACCATCCCTAACACCTTCCAACTGTCCGTCATGTACATCCAATCCCAAAACCCTCGCCCCAAGTGCATGCGCATACTTAGTCGCAATCTCGCCCAGCCCACCCACACCCACAATAGCAACCGTTTCTCCTGGTTTAATCTGTGCACGCTCCAGCGCATCCCAGACTGTAATACCTGCGCAGAAGATAGGCGACAACTGCGCTGGAGAGACAACCCCAGCACCATCAATCTGCGGGATAACAACCGCCGTCGCCGCATCGACGAGCGCATACTCAGCAAAATACCCAGCATTGTTAACCCCCTTGATGGTCATCTTTGCACAGTATTGAGGCCCGATATTCTTGCATTCCCAGCATTCGAGACACATATCTTGCCACAGAGGGGCCCCAATGCGGTCTCCTAGTTTGATGCCGAGGGGTCCGGCGTCGGGACCTAGAGCCTCGACGATGGAGATGGCTTCGTGGCCGATGATTTGGGGAAGCTGGGTGAGACCACCTTTGCGCGAGGTGATGAGCAGGTCTGAGTGGCAGAGTGATGCGACTTGGACACGCACCAGGACGTTACGGCCTGTTGGTGTTGGGACGGGGACTTGTTCGATGACGAGGGGTTGACCGGGCTGGTTGAGGTCAGTTAGCAAAGTTTATGCAAAAAGGGCTTTGATTGACGTTGCGTCTGGATCTTGCTAGGTGAGGGTTGACATAACGTACCTCTTTGCACAGAGCGGCCTTCATCATGTCTGGCGCCATGTTGGTAGGTTTGTGTGAGTATGAGTACGTTTCTGAGTTCAAGATATTCGGGATGGATGAAGTGAGTTCCAAGGACTCCCAACGAAGTATCCTCGGTCCTTCTGAGTATTTATGAGGACTCATGTAGCCCGAGTGATACCACAAAGGAGGAGTAAAAGCGGAGTATTCATGCAGCCGAGCTACCAGTGTCACCCGAGGCCATGCAAACATTCATTCCCCCGCACGCAGAACTCCAGTATAAACCAAGGAAATGGCGATTATTATGAAGCATTGGCTGACAGTTGATAATCCGAAGCCTTTCTTCCACGTACCTATACATGCCACGTCAAATATAGGTTGCACTGCTACTTTTTATTAGAAGAAAGGTTGAAACGCCTCGCGTGGCCTTGCAAATAGATCCAATTTTCCGATTTCAAGGGACATGAATGAATCTATTTTGACTGCCACCGCTGGCATCCTAAACTAGCATACATCCATCCTGCTGCATAGCATAAGAAGCAAATCGGAAGGGTACCAGTCTGGGCCAAAGGCCAAACCAGCTGGAATATTAACATCCAGGGATCCAAAATACACCTTGATTGCATTCTGACAATTGTAGGCATTGTGATCAGCTTCTCCACGTCGATACCGTAGCTTTTTGTGTTGGCGATGGTGTGGTGTTCATGTTAGCAATACCTACACTTTGACACGCTAGGATAGGCTAGTTTGTAGCACCTACCATCACTGTAGTATTTCGCGCTGTCAGTGTAGTTCATCTCGGTCAACGAGGAATCTCTCGGTGTAATAGTTGACATCGCCAACGGCAGAACCGACCATGCACATTTTGATGGTGACATTAGACTTGTCCATCTTAGGTTTCACTATTGATTGGGAAGAGGATGTTCGAATTGTGAAAATAGTGGAAATAGGGTACATCCATGAGCGGCCCAGTGATAAGACTGGTCGAAAGAGTGCTGGCTTAGTTCGGCTTCTCGAAGGTAGCCGAGCTGAGATTAGTGATGGCCGGTCTTGTCCCCTGGACCGATTGATCCAGGACGCTCTCCAAGGCTGTCACAAGGTCTTACTCGTTTGTGAGTGTGAATGTATTGGAAGAAGACAGGAATCCGACAATGCTCCCAATGGTGCCGACACTCTTGCTGAATGCACCAATAGAGGGTTCATTTTCTGGAGAAACACTAGAAGCTATATACCGAGCCCGGTCGAAAAGCCACGGAGGAGTCTGTCAAAGCTCAAGGCTTTGCCTTATGTTTGAGGCTTGAAGGGCAGCAATGGTGGATACGTCTAGTGAAGAGACAAGGCTTTGTATATGGTCCAATGCACATTTTCAAAGAATAGGGAGAAGAGTTGTCGGGTAATTGGTGAGTATGTAGTGTTTTGTGGCACTAGATCCACACTAGCTATCCGCAAGCGACTTCAAAAATTTCGCTCCAGGCGTATTTGCGGCTATTTATTGTCGGGGCTTTACTGAGATCGGATTTTAGATCCGAATTGGAAAATCTGTAGTCTCACAAAAGCAACTCTTAAATGGCCTAGCTTATTCCACGTAGTCCTCGGCTAAGAGTTCAAGCATAAACGAGCTGTGGGGGTTGGCCTCTCGTAAAGTGTCTTCATCGGTTCAAAGAACATGCTGCCTCACCGTACATAGGGACATCGAGGCTCAATTCTCTGAAAAAGGGCTATAAGATGAGAGAGTCTCGCCGATACAAAGAAATTGGTGTCTTCCTTGACCTTGGCATTGGCCTAAACAGGGGTTCTCTTTAGAATTTTCACTGTTGATTCAGCCCTTTGAGTAACGCAGTCATCTCGATGATCTCTCGTACTCGTAAATATACTCTGTTCCGCTACATTCGCTCGGCACTGTTGGGGAAGGCTAGTTACTCGGTCGGCGAGTGCTGCTTATCTCGAAGGGCTAAATCGCTGATTCGCCCTGAAATCAACGCACTGCCACCAAATAGTCCGACCAAACCTCTCTATAAGTGCAACCGAACCTGACTCCGCTCTGCCCTGATGCGTCGGAAAGCCGAGGGCCCCCTCCGAGGGCCTAAAGCAACTTCTTGTCCCTGCGGTAGAGCTGCAAACAAGATGAGAGAGTTTCAAACAGCTTGGCTTCTGCATTTTGGCATATCCGTCTCTGTAGCCGCTACTTCAGCAAGTGATTCAAATAGTGACTCCCCGGCTGTGCTCAACTTCCGACCTGAAAACGTGACATTGAGTGGTCTCTATCATTGGGTTGGATGGTAAGTAGGCTGCCCATGTCACTATTTGCAAGGAAGGTACTCATCGTACAGGTATCATAATGGCACGACACATTTGGAATTCTTCCCATATGGAGGACTAGCATCTTCGGAACAATCGGATTGTCCGGATTTTCACAACAAAACAATCACCAAAGAGTACACCACTGTGCTTGGTCTCTCGGAGCCAAGTACATAAAACAAAGATAGTGATCCGGTCAATGCCTTTTTCGCCCTGTGGCCTGTTGGCTTCAATTTCAGTACATTGCCCCTTGGGAAGTGGCTCAATGAGATATCCTCCCTTGATTATGGGATATTCTCGTCCAAGTAAGTCTCATCTGTAAAGCCCTACGAGCGAGCGGCATTACTCAAACTGCCTAGCCCCGTTTATGATAACAGCACGGAATCTGGTTTCGATAATTTTGTCTGGTCCACGGAGGAAAACCAGGCCTCTCCCTATAATCTCTCCAGCGTCTTGACTGACTATCAAGGCTTCAACGATTTCCTCATCGACAGTACGACAACCTGCCTTGGAGTCGAGATTCTCCAGTGGCAGTTTGCACCCATACCCTCCAATGGCAGTTTCAACGGATCTACTTTCACGAATCCGGTCATCGATCTCCAGTTTGATAGTCGTACTGCAAACCTTTCTATGCGGGGGTACTTTGAGGCGTCCCCTCAGTATACGGATGGGGTTGAAGACAATGTGATGTTTGCGGGGAAATTGATCATGAATTTTTCGGGTGTTATAGACCACTATCATTCGGATATTCTGAGGAATGATATGGATACCCCGACTTGGGTGCGTACTGTTGGTTATCAAAACAATTCGTTGAAGGTTGGCTATACAACTGTATCAGCTGGCAATCAGTTGGCTGGGTCTTCCTTACTGGCTACGATGCTTGTGCTCTCGCAGGGGCTTGTGTTTCTTTCTTGATCAATGAGTTTCGATTTATTGAACCCTGAGAGGCATACTGATAAGGGGTATTGAATGTGACGGATAGGGTCCTGCGTACAAGCGAGAGATTACTATGTAGACTGGGCGTCACTCCCATCGCTGCTACATTTCGCCTCCTTGGTCCATTACGAGTATTACGTACCTACAGAATCGCACGAAAAAGATCAGTGGCAGAGCATGGCGCCTTGCGCAAAATGGATTGGTACCTTGCGCTTCATGAGATTTTGACTAGTGCAGCGCATAAATTCACCTGCACATCCAAACGAGATAATCCGAATCACATTCGCCCCGTACATGGCTATAGTGAGGCGCGAGACCTTGCAGTAGCTATCAAGCCAGCCTATTCAATTTTTATGCTAAGATCCGTTCAATGAGGAATTCCAGAGATTTTCTGCTGAAAGAGCTTCACTATAGCATCATAATAACAAAATGAACTTACGAGCCGTTACCATCGGCCAACATACACGCCAAGATCTTCCAAGAAACTGGCACCAAGAGAATTAAGCATTTCGACGAATGTTTCCCAGATTCTTGACCTATCTTCGATAGACACTGTTAGAAGTCGAGCGGCTTAGGACATCTGAATAATTAACTAAGTTTCTAATCTACTCGGTACCCGCCATCTGCGCCGGGGAGGTACAGAGACCCTCCAATGGCAGGCGCTACATCCATGCCTGCCTGCAGATAAGAAAATCGAGGACGAAAGATATGGAAACATTAAGGCTGTTGACGACTAGGTAAGACAATAAGGTTCTTATTGATAACCTAATATTCACAATTAAACGAGGCTTGCACCGCCTCGGCCCCCAAATTGCTCCCATCGACACCGAGTCTTGAATGTTCTGCCAGGTTTCGGGGCTCGTTGCGATATTTATGCCCAGAGCTCTCTGAAAATACATATCAAGGGATAGCTGTGGGTGCTTCGCTTAGTTTGGATGAATTTATGCGGGCGTCAGACGGGAATCTATATTTAGTTTGGATGCATCAATCAGCGGCTCAGACAGGGGGGTATAGCTAAATAAGGTTGTTACTTCAGCAACTAGCGTGTTTGTTGACCAAAACAATGCAGAAATCAGATAGAGTAAAATAGATGCGATTGTACTCGACAGTGGTATCTTCAGAGTAAAAGTACAGGTAGATAAGATAATAGTACAAGAGCTCAGCAACCCGACCAAAAAGGGTTTAACGAGAGCAGAATAAACCAATGTGCAGTCAGTCGAACCACCCAATCCGGAAAAAAAAAGACAATAGACAGAATGTAGACTGAGCAGGAGACAAAATGATTCACATGACCAGATGCGAAAAGAGATAAGGGCGACCCACGCGGAGAAACAGTGATAAGCGAACGTGAAAATGGACATCAGAGGGTAAAATGACAAGGCCGAAGAGAGGATGATAATACATGGTTGTTTCTCGCAACAGGGAACAGCACAAGGTATAATAAATAAGACACAGAGAGAAAGGGAATAAGGTCATAATATACAAGACATTTCAAATGAAGATAAGAGAAAACAGAGGAGAGGGACGTTTATTGTCGGCGTCGCAGACCGACCCGTCCCTCTCCAACGAGAGAGTGCCATCGGCGCCCGAGATCCGCGCCATTTTGGCGGCCCACCTGGCGCGCACACTCATCCCATTCCTGCTGAGAGAGGCGGAACTTTTCCAGAACCACCTCAATCAAGCGCTGATCCTCATCCGCGGCCCAATCCTCGGAAGTAGTCTTAGATGGCTCATCTGGCTCTTCAATGGAGGGGAGGACCGCGTCAGGATCGATGCGCGCGACTGGTTCTTGCACCGGGGGCATTGCCTGCCGGCGCGCGGGAGAAGGTGGTGATTGTGTGATCGGTGGAGAGTGTAGGGAATAGAAATCTGTCGAGGAGAGGCCGAGCGGGAGTTCGTAGGGGAGGTGCCGACGGCGTTTGGGTGTAGAGATAGGGCGACCAAAGTCCGTGTCGCTGTCATCGTCGTCCCACTCTGTGCGACGGCGCTTGTTTGCGCCGCGCGCGGGCGCAGATGGAGGTGGTGGGGGTGTGGTCGCTGTCTTATGGGGGGAGGAGTTGGGCGCGGCGAGGCAGGCCGTGCAACTTTGCGCGTGCGCGGCGAGCGACGCGGTTGTTGGGAGATGGGTAGAGGGCTCTGGAGGCGTTGGGGCTTTGGTGTGCGGCACGATGATGGCGCTGGAGAGCCATTCAACAGTGACTGGAGTGCACGACAGGTGCCTAGAAGGCCGTTGCCAGATGGGTAGCCCCGGTCTGAGGGGGGAGGAGTCGAGAAGAGGCGACTGGGAGTAAAGCGAGACGACCGGCGCACGTCGCATGGGAGGGCGGAAGGGAGCAGCATGATTGTGCGAGATGGAGGATCAAGAGAATATAAATATGGGTTTCGCTGGGACGCGAAAGTAAGAGTTGTGACGAGAGTTGGAAGGAGAGTTTGGACGGTGGTCGAGTTTGCGCTGGGATGGCGCGAAGTTGGAATTTGTGCGCGAGATGCGCCGGAGGCCGTTGTGAAACGCGACGATGGAGTTGGAAGGTCAAGAACGAGTGGATAAGACAGTAGTCGGAATGCGCTTCAAATTTCACCCGAACCGGGGGGGATGCGACGAGTGGAAGGCTGTTTGTTGGTGGGAGGAGTGGATAATTGAGCGAATGTTTAGGGAGGGAGAAGTTGTGGCGGGGGGGAAATGGGCGATAAAAGAAAATTGGGAACCGGCCGCAAACGGTCAAGACTCAAGCGAACATCACCCGGAACGTCAAGTAAACCTGGGCTCCACTCTTGGGTTACGAGGGGTCTCCAGTGGGGGAACAGTCGACTGGTGAGTATTTTTGTAGAGATAAATGAAAAGAGAGAGAACAAAGAATACAAGAGAGAGTAATCAGGAATTATGAATCAGAAGGATGATGAATCGAATGAATGAGGTCAGCTGGTGATGTCGTTTTTTCCCCAGGCAGAAAGGCAGCTAAAATCAGGTTGTACAACGAGTGACGAGGGTGTGGAAGTTTAGAACTCTCGATATTCCACGCTCTCCCCTATTCTACAGGCACATTCCCTCTCTTTTTATTCTACAGATCTCTTCCCCTCCTTCAAGAACCCCTCGTTCTTTGAGTCTACCCGTGGTCTCTTCCCAGTGAAACAATCAGAAAAAGGAGCAAGATCGAGGGATGCAGGACGCAAGGCGAGCACCGACCACCACCACAGGGAGCACGAGGCGACTCGGGCCCCCCTGAAACGGTGCAATTCAGGAGACTAACACTAACTTAGTAAAGTCGAACTACCTTTACGCCCTTAGGCCCTTAGGAGATCCTCTTCAAAGGGCGATCTTCTGCTCAATTACATTTCCCAATTTGGCTGACGACCCGCGACCCGCGACCCGCGATGACCCGCGATGACCCGCTCCGTCTGTTGTCTCCATTGTATTGAATTGTATCACAAATGTATCAAGTGTATCGGTTTCCCGAGTGATCTTCGTTATCGATATCATGATGACTGCATTTCATCAACGGCTTCCACAGACCAGTTGGCATCCTCCGGTGATGCAATAGGCCTTGACGTGCATCCTGCATCCTGTATGTAGCAAACCGCCGCCCATGCCGTGGGCCGCTGTACAGTCGATCGGAAAAAATACAATTGCTTTTGCAGAGAAACTCTGATCAATTTGCCACTGAATATCCGAGGCGGACCGGGCGCGTTTTAATAATCTTTCTCATCAAGGTGTTCAGTGTCTAGGAGGTGACTTCCTTTCTTCCTTTCCTACGGCCCTTCTCCCCAGCCCTGGAGGGTGACCAATCCTGCCCATACCCAGAATCTCCTTCTCGAGGGCTGGTATGAGGGAGTGATTGATTCCCAGCTTGAAGCTTTAGAGACTTCAGCCATTGGGATTCTCATAGTTAGCTATACTTCAACGGCTATAATGGCAGAGGCTTGAGGTGAAAAACGCGTGTGTATGAAACGCGTTTCGGTCGCGTGACTCGCGCGTGGCAGACGCGTGACGCGACAGCCAATCAGCGTGAGCGGCTGACCACCTACGTTCTGGAACGGCCCGAGCGTACTACAGAGTATGTAAACGGAGTACGGAGTATACTTCCTGTGGTATCCTCCAGTCCACAGAAGAAGGAACCATGCCAGCAAGAACCAATACGAATTCTTAGAAAATAAGTGTGCACGAGGTCTCTGCTCAATCATACAGTAGATTACTGTACAGTATTCGGAGAACCCACCTTGAAACCCGCCTCCTACGTAGTTTGACATCTTATCCAATCCCTTCTCGGCAATTGTAATGACAATGTACAGATCCAATGGCTCGCAAAGTGATCTTCTCTACCCGACAGTTTGTCACTGCCGTCAGCACTAGAACAAAGAACCCTCCGTCAGGACCAGGTTCATCTTTAGCCCAATGACCCACTTCTATACTCCATACAGTCCTTGCATCTCACCAAGGTCCGTTGCCCTGTTGCCCTGGCAAATAGTCTGAACCCTCCTCGGATCAACCGCTTAGGCTCGTGGGCTCGTCTTATCTCGCATTATCCTACTGCGCTGCGGTATCATCCCGAGTTCTGGGGTGCAGAACGCATAATGCGCGACAGATCAAGCCTACTGCACAGCACCAACGTGCAAGAAATCGCCGGATACTCACATTCTGATTTCGAGTTTGTTCCTGAAATCAATGTTTCTAATTCTGGCAATATTCTATTGCTTTTGTTCGAAGTGAAACAAAGGCAGACCGATCCACATATACCCCTGCCCACTACTCAGCCTCAACACACTACAGTACACTACAATAACCCTTCAAGGCACAGCAAAGGGATCTCACCAGATCGCCACTAACCCATCTGAACAGAAGAGGTTCTCTTCTCAGTCTCACCCAATCTACCCCTCATAGTCCCTCCCCAACCCCCATCACCATCTCCTTCCAGTCCCACGCAAGGGATACACCGAAACCAGATCCAACTATCACAAACCTCCACCTCCCATAGGCCCATCTCAGCATCAAGCTAAATCGAGGACATGGGGGCGCACAACATCCTGGAACATCTACATTTACACTTTGATGTTTCTTGCAGGTGCGGCGATCCTCGATAAGCAGGCTTTTGCGGAGAGATTTGCATCGTGATCGTGCTCTCCTTCATCCCTGGCCCCTGCAGGTACAAGGTACACCTATGCAAGACATATTTGTACGCAGCGGGCACTAGTGCAGGGTTTTTTGTGTCTTGCTGCACTGCTCTTTGTGCGTGGGTGTGGCTGGGATAGGTGGTTACCCCTCCAACCCTTGCCCTACGAGGAAGGGTCGAGGTCTCCTTTGTTGGGTTGTTGGCCTCTGGATTTCATGGTGTTGCATTGATGGGGGTTTGCGTGAACTTGATCCTGGCACTGGGTTATCTTGGCATGCTAATAGGGTCTTCATGTCTCAGTTAGTATCGTCCGGATTTGGGGGTGAGAGAGGGGGAGAGAATTGCTTAGGAAAGATGGCCGGACTCGTTCCATTTGGTCTGGAAGAGTTGCCAAATTCTGTTTGGAGCAGGGCAGTAGGTGAACTTAAGTGGAATGGCTGGTAAGTGGCTTGTTTTGTTGATGAGCTCGACGAAGTGAGACTACTGCCAATGTCTTTGGTGTTTATGGTGAGTTCTTCCGAGACTGTCTTAAGATGCTCACCATGGCAACGCTGTCTTTCATTCACGCTACGATGGGTTTGGAGACGGCGTCCTTTTTGAGGCAGTGTTGATCGAGGTCAATTCTCTAGGGATTTGCACCCAACATGGTCAGACTTTGTCAACTACTCCTGCATAGACTCCCAATAGCATCCATCTTCTTCTTCGATAGGGAAGCCATTGGGCAAATAATCCCATGACCAGCAACCCCCATCAACGGTCTTAGACCTGAGACACTTCACCGATTGGACTCGATCAGATCAGCAGCTGGCCCCTCTATTGAGAACTACTCCCCCTCGGAGCCAAGCTGACCAAGCTGACCCTTTGACCATCAAGCCCTTGACCAAACGCTACCCTCCCGCTGCCCTTTGTTGAGGCCATTGAGTCAATCTCCTCCGCTGAGGGAGATCTTGCCATTTAGATTGGACAAGAGACTCGAGCAGACCCATCCTCTTAATGGTGAGAAGCCAATTGGCAGTCTTTGGCTCTCCCCACAGCTATCTTTGATCAAGGGCAGTGCTTTACATCGTCCCCCTCTGTCACCCACTGTGGATATTGGCTGGGATGACTATTGATAGCCCTTGGTGCCTTTGATGTGGCGCTTTCTTTAAGGAGTCAGGTGGACCTGCGCTCTGCTTTGATTCTCTTGTAGACTGTGCCTATGTGGGCAAGGCACAAAGGATCACCGTGTTCTTGAACCTTCTTAATTGTGGACAGTGTGCAAACATATCGTCTTCTATGGCACATCCTTTGAATTCGGTGCCTCCTTGGTGAATGCCGGACCCAAGATCATGATACGATCGCGTGCTCAACCTCGAACAGCACTCAGATTCGTGGCTTCTCATCTATTTGACCAGCTCGACCTTTATCTCGTGACCTTCAATCATCTTAGAAATAATATTGATTGGATTTTTGTATTCTAAGAATGTTTTTATCACGAATATATGGTATAAAAGCAAAAAGAATACTTCATACAAGTATTCAATATCGCCAAATTCATACGGTTGATCCTTCCTGCCAGTCCACCGAAATCATCCTAGGTCCTCAAAACTCGAAACGTGAAGTCCCAGGCTATAGCATTTGACTCAATGACTCCATATCCCGACCATAAATGAGTCGCTTTCGTTTGCCCGTGACCGGGTTGCGCACTTCTTCGTAGACTTGGTCGGACTCATCACCCTCATCCTTCGGTGACATTTTGGGAAAGTTCGTCCTCATTGAGGGAATTGGAGGGAATGCTGCGCTGTGAGATGAGAGGAAGAAATTCTTCAGACCCGTGTCCTTGTTGATAGTGAATTTGGCTTTGGTAGTTTGCTTCCCTCCTTTGGACGCTGGCGCTTTCTTGCTTTCGGCTCTCTGGACATTTGGACCCTCACAAGGAGATACGTACAGAACATGTCTTTCCAACTTTGATCGATCGAGCTGCTCGCACTTGACCTGGCTGACAAACTTGACATCGGCATCGGGGCTGATGATTTCTTGAGGATGCTTCGGTTTATTCGGGTTTGGACCAAGCGGGACAAGGGGAGGTCGACATGAAGTCCTCTTCGCAGGCGCAGGAATCGAAATGGCTGGCGATATCAGCGGCTTCATACTTGCGGGAGCAACATTCTCCCATGAGCTCTCGGAGATGTGATCGACGTCTGCAAAGCGGGCGCCTTCCTTGGGTGACCAACTTGATACAGACTCTGAGCGCGGCCACTTAGTCTGAACACTCTTGAAACTGGTAAGCTCAACCGTCACAGCCTCACTGGCGTTCCGAGGCTTCCAGTTTTGGATTGAGCGGCTGTACATCTCTTTGAACCATCCAGCTTGTGCGGGATTGGTAAACCAGTCGTGTCGCAATGCCTGCTTCACGTCCATCCGCTTGGTCTCGTCCAGAACGAGAGATCGAAAAACAAAGTCCCTGGCTCGTGGATCGATCTCGAGTGCCCTCATATCATGATCCAAGTTTATCAGATCGCTCGATGTGGATCTATATGTGTTGTCAAATGGCGTGTCACCGACCAGTAGAACGGCCGCGACGCATCCCAAGGACCACATGTCGACAGCCTTGGTGTAGCCTTTTAGGTCAGTCTGAAGTAACTCTCTGTTGTCAATGGTTAGCAATAATTTCTTCGCACCGTGGCGATGATCGTACATACGGGGCGCAATATTCAGGTGTTCCGACAATACTCGACATCCGCTGAACAGGCTGGTTCACCAGCCTTGCACATCCAAAGTCGGCTAAAACAACTCTTCCGCCGGGTTCGAGGGAGGTCATGAGAATATTGTCAGGCTTGACATCTCGGTGTACAATGTTTCGATCATGGAGATACTCCAGAGCAAGCAAGATTTGTCGCATGATCAACGCAACAGTCGTGTCCTCAAGGTTGGTGCCTCTATTTCGAACGAAAGAGAAGAGATCACCGCATGTCACAAGCTCGGTGAACATGTAGCTAGAACAAATTTAGCAAAACTCATGTCAAACAATGCACTGCCTTGGAACCCACATTGTATTCCTGGATCGAATGATCTTCTCGATGGCGATAATGTTTGGCTGGGCTTTGTCTCAGCCTCGTATATTTTGAAAATTTCAGAAGTATAGGCAAGTACACTCACATGGGACAGTTCTGCTAGGAGCACTGATTCTCGTTGTTCTTTCGCTATCTTGTCAAGGATTGCCTTCCTTATGAGAGGAGAATTGCCCGTGGTGGCTGTGTACTTCCGAGGCTCAGGTTGCTTAGCAAAGAATTTGCAATGATGTTGCTCGCCCAAACCCGCCTGAGCTTCCCTGGCTTGAGCCTGTAAGTCGGCTCTGACAGCTTGAAGATCAACAATCTTGCAGGCAAACTGACGGCCAGTGTTCTGGTTGAACGCCATGTGCACCCTCCCATAAGCACCCGAGCCAAGCATACTCTGCGTGATGACATAGCTCTTTTGGAATTTCTGAAGCGGTATATCAGCAATTTCTCAACACCGAACTCGGGATTTCAGAACACCTACCTTCATCTCAAGTTGCTGCAATTGAGTAAATTTGTTCTCATTGTCGGGGCCGGCAGACTTGAACTGAACATGAATGCCAACAGCTACCCTGAGGAGGTCACCATCGGTTAGAAGAAAGCTGCCCTTGTCTTTACCCATTCGATAGTCATTCCAGAATGTCCCGTTCATCGATAGATCTTGAGCATACACTAGGGGCGGTATCCCCCCTAGGTTATCTTGGTCGAAAAGGATGGTGTAGACGCGGACATGCTTGTTCGAGACGAAAAGGTTGGTGATGTGAAATTGACTACCTCGAGAATAGCTTAGGTCAATTTGGAAATTTGAAGCATAGGCGGGGCTTGTGGTACCATCTTTTTGCATCTCTTCCGATGAAAACTTCGTCATTACTGTAAACCTCAAGAGGGCGACTGGTCTCATGAGTGGTCGAGTCCCAAAGGCTCAAGGTCCCAACGTAGATTCCAGAATCCCTTGTCTCGGGTGCAGAAGAAAGCATAGACAGCATCTCTGCTGTGGCAAGTGGAAGGAGGGGATGTGATGCAAAAGAAAAGTGGGATGAAGTGAGAGATTCGATGCCCCGGTGTTTGCCATAACGAGACTACATGTGACTTATGTTGACACAGGACAATTTTTTTTTGTTTAGCCGAGCTCAAACGCTTTGGCCAGTTGGTATATTCTGTTTCTATTGAAAGATTTTGTGTAATGAATACAATATTTATTGCGAGTCAACGCTGGAAGGATTTCAGACGCATACCCAGCCATCAGTTCCCTTGCATTCGTCGGAAACGCTCTTCTGCGGCTCTCGCTCGCCGTTCTCTCTCTAGCCTCATCCTCATCTCTGCTGTCATGCCTCGGGTCTCCTCATCCCGCTTCTCAGCTGCGGTCTTCTCCACTGCCCCCAGAGTTCGCCCACCAGACTTTGATATCTGCTCTGCAACCCTTTTGGCATCTTCCTTCTTCAGACGTTCCAAACTAGCCTTACGGCGAATAGTCTCTTCTTCTGCTGCCTCTTTTCGTTCCCTCTCGGCTCGGCTATCCGCATCTGTCTTTGAGATCGCGGCCGGGACCTTTGCCGCTGTCCAATCCCATTTCGACTCGCCAAGTTCATGACGGGCAATACGGAATGCATCCCGAGTCGGACGGTCTCCACAAAGCTCAAATGGAGTACGGCCTTCACCATTAGTCACAGTTGGGTCTGAGTTGGCTCGAGTGAGAAGGGCGTTCACGACCGCAGGGGCATTATTGTTGGCAGCAAGATGGAGAGGGGTGGGACAGCGAAAGTTCTGAGGTGAGTCGGCAGGCTGGAAGGTAAATGAAGAGGGGATCGAGTTGTTGGAGAGGTAAGACATGAGAGCCGGAACTTTTGAGCGACGGATGAGAGCTTGGGTTTGGGATGTATGTAGCAGTGCAGCCTCCTCTTCCTTGGAAAGCTTTGGCTTTTGAGGTTGTGGGCGTGGCGTTGAGGGCTTGGCCACTTCTTTTTGTTTTGCTGCTTCCGCCGCGGCTGCCAGGGCAGCCTCGTCAATCTCGCTGACCTTCACACGGGTCAGCTCCTTAAAAGATCGCATGAGTTCGCCTTGGGTCGCCCGACGAGTATTGAAGGGAAATCCGCGCAGTCGAGGGTCATGCTGCTTCAAGACGTTTCCTTCATACTTCTCGAAAAGAATCCGCCTGTTCGTCTTTCCAGTGGCGCGAACGAACAATAGCTCTGCGCTGTCGATCATTTGCCGCCAGTCTGCGAGAAGTTCACGAATGTCCTTCTCCAATGCCACTTCGTTATAGCGACGCAGGCTGGAACCCGCTGAATGAGCGGCTCCTCGAGTTGCATCGCTGGCCGACTGGGAGCCACCTTGCTTCCGTCGCGTGGTATATCGATGGAATGTCTTGTGTGCGATGACTCTTGCCTGCCTATCCTCCACGCCTCCCTGTTTGCGGTGGATCTCCGGCGCCAGCGACACCACCATTGCCGCGAAGTGGCCACCGCCGATCATACACATAAAGATGTGTGGACCAGAGGCTGACAGGTCCTTTTGCCCCTGCGCATTATTGGTACGTGCCTTGACGGGGGCGAGTTGCTTCTTCCGTAATGACTCCACCAAGTGGGCAGGCGCATCCTGCTCGACGTCTGAGAACATCGCCCTATAAATCCCCAATGACTTGTTTGATGGCAAGCCGGAGCTTGAGAACCAAAACAAGGGGTTCTTTGGCGAGCCCCCCGTGGCGGTTGTTGTGTCCTTCTCGTTCGCCCCAGAGAGCTTAGCTTGCTTCTTCAGCAAAGCCGTAAGCGTGGTGTCGCCATTTCCCTCGGCTTCTTCCTCTTCTGTCTCGGATGATTCTGATCCAGATATAGATTCGTCCAGCTCTCCAACTGCCTTGGCGAACTGAATCTCATCGAGAGGGGCGTCGCCGCGGAGTTGCGCCTTGATGTTAAAGCGGTGGTGATCGGAGCGGACGTGGCTGCGTTGCTCTTGGACATTCAGATAGGTGACTTTGCAGAGGGAGCATAGTGTCGATGTTGCGATGGCAGATTCCTGTGCTGCAGTCTCTAGATCCTTGGAGGAGGGCTCGGGAGCTTGTTGGGTCTGTTCGGCGAAAGGCTGGCTCGCGGTTTTTGCGCTTAGGGTTGCAAGAAGCTCGGGCGGAAGGTCATAAACTGCGCAGGTCAGAAGATGGCCGTATTGAATGAGGAGGTGAATGGTTACGTACCATAAAGAGGTCTTTTCAAAAGCTCCTCCAGGCGATTGGAATCCCCCATGATAGCTGAGTGTCGTGAGGATGCTGGAATGGAATGAAAGCTGCCCCTCCAAATGACGCCAATAAGTGGGCTCTTACCGCCTTAAGAATGCGGGTGCCGGGACAGAGCGGGTACCTGGTGTGGACTTGGAAGGTTCTCAGGCTGAAAATTTGCGTTTAGTCACTACTCTACATGGATTTCCATTCATCATCATCATCATTTTGAGTCATACTGATTTTGATGGTTAGCTAACAGTATATTCTCTGCTCAGCCTCAATTTCGTCCGTGGAGACTTCTATGGTGGCTGTACCTCGTAATTTTGGGTGACGCTATGACCAACACGGTGCCCGACCATTGTAGAGTAGACTATCTGACTCACTCATTAGGCATCGCATAGTCAAGTAACTAACTGTTGTAATTCAAGATTTTCCACCCTGAACTACCTTTACTTAGCTCTCAACGGAACTGGCCCCTTTCGCAATCTACGCTAGGTATAATAATTACGGATTTGATCCCTGATGGCTCGGGCACCTAATTAACCAGTGACCCAAGGGTGGGAAGATGGTAGATCCATGCGCACTAGACTAGGTATGGTAAACTGCCAGTTTGTCAAATCAATGAATGACGACAAAGGCTATTAATTTTGCCCAGAAAGCATGCTTGGTCTAGCAGACCTAGAGCCCCCAACCGTCCTGGAATATGCTCGTGTTATCCTCGTCCTCAGCTGTACTGGGCAATGGAGAAGTTGCAAGCATATGATTCGGATTATCTGGCGGCATTTCCAGTACCGAATCCTCGGGTGACAAACTCAGCGTCTGGAGGGGCTCCTCGAGATTCTGTGCAAGGGTCTGAGGTTGCCTGCTTGCCTTATATTGAGGAGGCATAGGGACTTCGGTGAAACCGGTGCAGTCTACAATCAAGCTGCGGAGCTCGGGAATGGTGATTCTCTTGGATGGATCGAGTACAAAAATCCGACTGAGGATAACGACCATTTCGAATGTGAAAGGCAAGATTGTTCTGAGGAAGAAAGGGTCCTTCGAGTAGGCACGGAATGTGGCATCTTCAGAGCAAGCTCGTTTCCATGGGTTGCGGCCGCAAGTCAAATTGACTAGGATCACACCAAGGCTCCACACATCATTGGGACCGCTCAGGTAGGTTGAACCTGGAGGCGGGTCTGGATTCTGGCACTCTTGATAGCCAAAGTCGAAAGAGGGTTAGCTTATGCGTTACCAGAAGCTTGATGCAAGAGAGAGAGAGAGAGAAGTTCTTACCGGGTGACATGTAGAATAACGAACCACAGCCAAAATCCGAGGTGGACGTTTCTCTGGTAGCCAGGCTAAATTCACCGAGCTTGATAGTCATCCCTTCATCCGCAAGGAGAATATTCTCAGGCTTGAGGTCTCGGTGGTAGATTCCAAGTGAGTGGCAATGTTGGACGGCGTCAAGTATCTGCAAGAAGGCATGCTTTACCAAAACGTCGTTCCCCACGAATCTGCCCTTCTCCGTGATGTTGGCAAAAAGGTCACCTTCCGGGAAATACTCGAATACTAGATAGAGGCAATCGACAGCATCAACGATGCGCAGCAAAGAAACAATATTAGGATGCGAATTAACCTCATGGTTTAGTCTGACCTCCTCCTGTAGGAACTTGAGCTGGCGAGCGTCTTTGCCGATCTTACTGAGGGCCTTGATCGCATATGAAACACTATGCGTGTCCATGTCTAGAGCATGGTAAACAACGATATAGGCACCCACGCCCAGAATGCTCGTCAACCTGAATTGGTTTCCTAGGATTAGACCCAGACGATCTTCAGGGTCGCTATCTATAGCAAGTGAATCCAACCAATCAGTTGTACCGACCTGTCCTAATAGCTCTTGGGGCATTTGGTTGAGAAGACCTTCAGTTAGTTGCTGTCGCTGCTCGTGCACGGAATGGAATGATGCCGTAGAATCCGAGCCCGCAATGCTCTCCAAATCCGTGGCCAGCTGTGACCCTCGAGGCGAACTCGCCGAGGGCTCTGACCAGCAACTGTTAATGTCAAAATACGCATGGTCTTTGAAATATTTCCCGTCTTTTTCTTCTTTGTCGTCGTCGTCGTTATGCTGGTCGTCGTTGTCTTCTTCCAAGCGTTCTCTCGGAGCCCAGGGTAAAGACCTCAACGAGAACGAGTGTATATGCTCAGCAGTGTGGTCAAGTAGAGCGGTTTGATCATCACTCTGAAGGGAGCAAAGTGGACAAGCAGAAATTTTGAAAGGGACTTTGCGCCGCCATGACGAAAGCAACATAGGTATCTGCCCTGGCTTAATTCCCTTGCCATGCTGCTGTTCGAGATGTGCAGTGAAGTCGTCCGATTTCCCAAATGTGGCATAGATGTTTTTCTGAGAGCACGCATGGCATACCCATTGCATAGTGCCCCCATGTTCTTCGTTCATATGGATCAACCAGGCTTCTTTATTCATATGAAACGTATCGGTGCGAGAGCACTCCTCGACAATACATGTATATGGAAGAATATCTCCCATAAGGTGCTTCCTGTGCCACAAACCAGAATCAGTTTCAGTCACTGTATGGGTCGTAAGAGACTTACTTCCATCGATTACCGCGTCCTATTGCAACGGAAAGGGACTGGCAGCAACAAGGACATGTGAAGAGCATTTGACGATCATGAAATCGCGGAGGCTTTGGGTAAGTAATTCGAAAGCTTGTAACTGACACCACCGTCGTGGCAGACCTGGGTATTTGCTCGGGCGGAATTTCAATCGCATCATCGACGTGAGTGGCGCTTGTCGTGCTTTGAGCTCGTGCATCATCCCTTACAAGTGCTACCCCTCCTTGCGAAAGGGGATTAACGGCCGAACGTTGTGACTGCTTTCCCGACGCCTCTTTCCCCCTTGGTGTGTTCTTTGTGTGTCCCAGATTTCCCTCGAGTTTCTGAGCGTGTCGCTGTGCGTATAGAAAGCGATTTCGTCTTTTCAAGTTGGCCTCAATCAGCCGGAATTGGATTGGGCTCAATCGTATTGGGTCAAGTTGTTGTTCGCTATAATCTGAATTCCCATGCTCGTCAGGCCGCACCAAGAGAAGGACCTCAAGGTGCCGACGCAGTGAACGAATATGGGGACTGTCGGGGTCAAACGAGCTATCTGCCTTTTGAAGTCGAGACCTGGTTCCTGCTTTTCGGATGGCAATCGTTAGCCGTGTAAGCTGGTTCAAGCTGTCTTCAACATTCTTCATTCTAGCCAATTGCCCGCTGGAAAGATTCGCGGTGGGATCCTCAATTTCACGGGCTGAGACGCGTCGTCAGATAAGAAATTTCTTTCCGGGTAAATCACATACATACCTCCGTCTATACATTTTTGTATGAGAATCTTCAGCATCAACAACAGGTTGAGCAGAATAGTATGCGCTTCCGGGTTGGCGCGTAGTCGATGATCCAGCGATGCTCTCATCGTGCTAGTAGCACCAGCGCCCATAGCCCAGAGATTGAAGTCTGCCAGTCTGTTTTCTGCCCATTCTTCTTGCATCAGCCGTGGGGTTGTTGTGGCCGTTCTGAGCAGGAGACGACATGCTGTGGCGGCCTCGAATATCGTTGAGGGTTCTGCCATGGTAGGCGTTGCCCTTGGCCACAATGCGCCCAGCGTGGAGGAGCAAAGGAGCTGTTATCAGAATTCGAGATTGTGCATAGTCCCGGATGGTTTCTAAACAGTGCGAATGTACCTTAGCTAAATATTAGCCTAGTGTTTACCCCGCGGCGCCTAACGCGAGAAGGCTGAGCTGAGAGGCTGCCACACGTGATATAACCAACGTCGCTGTTATCTTTCAGCTTATTTCGCGTTGTTTCAAGTGAACTGCGTCATCATCAAGATGCAAACTTGAATGCTGTCAAGGAAAATGGATGATATCCCTGGTTTGTGTCGGGATGTTTTCCCCTGGATTAGCAACCAAGCAACGCGCCTCGGCTTGGAAACGCAGGATAACCGATTCGCTCAGCTTGGCGGCGAACTCTTCATCTTATCTCAACAAATTCCCTTCTCATATCAAACAGGAGGCGATTCCAACCTGGTCAAGGTTGCAGTGATCATTAATAAAGCTTGTTCAGTAAGTGAGTGGTCATTAGTCTGTACGGTCTCCCGGAAACGCATCGAAACTTACCATCGGATACTCTCACTGCCTAGCTCCCTAAAGCCGAGTATGCCAGAAAGAATGACCCGTTTGATGCTCTTTGGAAGATCTTGGAGTTCAAAAATTCAAACACGCCTGCTGAAAAGGTTCTTATTCGCGATACTCGGCGCAGCCTGCTGCAATTCGTTCGGCAGAACCCCGAGTATCCTTCTCTCCTGCGTTTCATCATACATGCCTTGCACATAACGGACTCACCAAATAACCTCCCCGATGAGCAGATACGTCTGTATAATAGTGACACAAAGTGTCCCGCGGAAGTCAACAATGCCCTCTATACTCAACTCCGAATGCACTCATCCTGCTCGTGTGACACACAACACCTTGAATGCCCACGGCTGCGACTGGAACCTCGTCATGATAAGCAAGACGTAGCAGATGTTTCGTTTGATGTATTGTTTGCCGCGGGTTCACGATCATTTCGTGCAACGAACTGTCAATTGCGGTGGAAAGAAGTGAAAGTATTGGTTGCTAGGCATGGACAAATTGAAACGCATCTATGGGCTTACGAAACTTGCTAATTTTCTACATGTGTAGACGAAATAAAACGCCCCGGAAGAAACAAGTCTCATTCGCGGTCCAACGTTCAAGTCCGTCGCGGAACAAGTCGCCATTACCAGATCATCTCCGAAAACTCGGACTTGGGGAATTTTGCAGGCTTATCGGGAGCGAGAAGAGCATCCCAATCCACTTCCACATCCAGGATAACATGATGAAGCTCGCCGACCCCGTTCAAGGTACAAAATGGCGAAACTTCCTTCCATTGGCGAGTGTTTCTCTGGCAGAATGGCTAGAACAGACTGTGCATCTCTCCAACAGGGTGAAGATAACCTTAGCATACACCATAGCGAGATCAGTGTGGCAATACTATGATTCGTATTGGATGGCGAATCCATGGACGCACGATAACATTCAAATCATGAAAGAGAGCATCGGTGATCGAAATCACGTCCGGCCACATCCTTATTTCACCACGAAACTTCACAAGTTCAAGCACCAAATACTGGACCACTGCATAGCGGACGACCTATTTCACATGTATCCGAGTATTCTTGCATTGGGGGTCATTCTTATTGAGATTGCGACCAAGCAACCTTTCAAACACGACGGCGCTCATTACCTCTGGAACGAAACCACGATCAACGATTATTACGAGTGGGCATGGACTACGGCGAATGGCAGTAACTTGGGAAGCATGATTGGAGCTGCTTACGAAGCGGTAGTAAACAACTGCCTCGATGCCGAGCTATTCAGAGATGGCCCCATTGACCCGTCGAAAGCTGACCAAGGCCTCGAGGTTAGACAATCACGTCTTTATGAGAAAGTCGTGCTGCCTCTTCAAGATTTATATCAAGCATACAGAGATGACTGGGAAATTCAGGAAGATGCCAAACCGGAAATTCCTGTTTCGCCAAAATCCCATCACAAACACAACATACCGGGCGATGGTTCCCAATTCACTATCGCTATTTTCTGTGCATTGCCCCTGGAAGCGGACGCCGTTAGCGAACTTTTCGAGGATATTTTGGGCAAAGAAGTCAATAACCACCGCAAAGCAGTCGGTGACGATAATACATACACTCTGGGCAAAATCATGCATCATAACGTCGTTCTTGTCCATATGGCGGGTATGGGGAAAGGCACTGCATCCCAGGCGGCTTCGAGTATGAGATCCAGCTATCCAGAGATCAAGCTCGCTCTTATGGTCGGCATCTGCGGAGGGGTTCCATCACATCACGGGGGCAAGGACGATCTCATTCTTGGCGATGTTGTGATCAGTGATGGAATTGTCCAATATGACTTTGGAAGACGTTTCCCTGATACATTTTTGAGCAAAGCCAGACCAGAAGTCGCTGGACCCAAACTTCGTGGATTATTAGCTAAACTTAAGGGGCTGCGAGGGCAAGAGCGAATTGAGACGAAGCTTTCTCAGCATCTCAGAGTCTTGCAGGATAAACTTGGTCCCAAGAGAGCTGGTTACCCTGGCATGGAGAAGGACGAGCTGTTCCAATCATCCTATCGACACAAGCATCGAGATCCCGCAGTATGCGGGTTATGTAGTGCCTGTACACTCGGGACGGATCCAGTCTGCGAAGAGGCGCGATCACTGACTTGCCAACAGCTTGGATGTCAGAAAGGGGTGTTGGTCTCGCGCAAGCGACTGCAGGAAGCATCAGCCAGTGGCTACCCGCCAAGTCCTAAAATCCACTTCGGTTTCGTTGGCTCCGGAGATACGGTTATGAAGTCTGGGCAACATCGCGATGACACTGCCTCGCAGCATGATCTTATCGCTTTTGAGATGGAGGCTTCAGGAGTCTGGGATATTTTGCCATGCCTTGTTATCAAAGGCGTGTGCGATTATGCCGACAGTCATAAGAATAAATTTTGGCAACACTACGCTGCTGCCACGGCTGCGTGCTGTATGAAAGCCGTGCTTGAGGAATGCGCGATAGGAGAATGGTTGGTATTGGCTCAGTCTACCTGTTCTTGATGCGGGTTTCTAACCAACTTGAGATTTAGGTAACAAAACTGTTGGCCGGTTTGTCCGATCAATGAAGCGGCCTATACTATATACATTCCGTTCCTCGATCACCACAAACGAGGTTCGCAAGTCCTACGCTGAGCGAGGGAGGACTTTATAAATTTTGAAGCCCCAGTCCAAGGACGTGAATACGATGCTTGGATTTGTAGATGCCTATCACTATCATCCCACAAGCTTCCTGAGACATATTCAAATATTGTTGTCTGAGTAGGTAGGTATCGGCCTAAACGCCTCCAAAGTGATCTTAATCAAAGAGTGAAAACTGACTGACTGGCCACAAGCTTGGAACCTTGGACCTAAATCAATCTTGATTCTACGCCAACATTAGAAAAACTGCTCTGCAATTCGTTTTGATGGAAAGCCTGCCGTTTTCATAGGTATGAAGGAGATGGGTACCTTGTTGGGGTTGTTTCAATGCGATGGAGCCCTGAATACTCTCCTTGCTCCTCAAAGGAGATTGAATGGACGACCCTGGGCAATGACCCACTCGAGGACAGGAATTAAAAGATTCTCAAAAAGCCAGAAAGATTGTGACATGTCCAGTTAGATCCGGTGATTTTGGCATCTTCCAATCCTAGTGGAGTCACAGGTACGAACTTCCAATCGTAATGGATGTTTGACATTTATCTGTATATATCCAGGTCCTGGCCCGTAGGGTTCCGTCACTGTAAGGGCCTTGTCAAGGTGGAGACTGATGAGGTGCATCAATTTGGATATCTTGTATTTGGCCGAGCATCCGGTTATCACCTTCTACCACCTAGACACGATGCGGCCCTTTTGAAAGCCATCTGGACAGTATGCAGGGGCCCGACCCAATGGCCAGGAGTGTAACTATGGTTCCGAGAGCTAGGCATCTAGCTTGATTTAAGCAGCGAATGACACAATAGAGAGCCAATGGCGAGCCTAATTCTCAACGAACCACAGGTATCACAACCCCTGGGGTTCATACTTCCTCCAGTCATCTTCCAATTGGAGATTTGCTATTCCCAATCGGGCTTAAAAGGCTTATCGCCGGGCGCTCAGTCCCGCTCACGTGATATCATCATGGTCGTATTTCCGCTTCACTTGAACCAATTTCCCCATCGGTCGGGCTCTTAGAGCGATCAAGAGCCAGTTAGTAGGTGCCAGTAGCTTACTGCCTGAGATTTGAATAAGCTCAATATGAGAATTCCTAATCGAAGGCTCCTTTCTTGAGTCATCGCGGACGTCATCCGTCATCGAGTGGATCATCATTGGCACCACTTGGGTAAGCAACCCCGACCGCCCGAGCGCCTTGCTCGGCCTTTTAGTAAGCAGTCTCTGGTGGTTTCGGGAACTGAGAAGCTCTTTGAGGTTCCCGGAGAATCTTTCTTTTGCTTCCTTGCTTCCTCACCATTCTCGCCTGTGTTCAAGGAAGGAGATACTGGGCGCGCTGTCGCTTCTCACCACCATGTTGGATGGTCATACGCAGATGGTGCTAGGGGACTCCCAATCAGGAGACCTCTCGCCGTCGCAACTCACCTCCGCTTTCGACCACCGCCAACGACAGCCCTTCTGCGGCGATTCGGAGGGCTGGGGTCCGCTCAGCTTGAATGGCTTCTATCTCACTTCGTGCTTTGTGGATGTAGTTGTCGCTATCGTCGCTGTGTGGGGTTCGTTGGCTGGTCTTGCTGCGCTCTGGATGTTACTGAAGAAGCGTATTCCGCAACCTGTCTCGAAGAATTGGCATTTCTATGCTAAGCTGGTCCGTCGGCCCCGTTTTTCCCGAACTCCCGCATTCCTCCCAATGCTAATCATGTCCCTTCGAATTTTAATAGGTCGTTCTCGCTGGTCTGATCTTCGTCACTGCCCTTGAACCAGCTTTGCATGCCGAGACTCAACGCAAGACCTTCTATGCCGATTTCCGATTCTGGTCCTCCGTCGCCACGCTTGCCTCGCTGGGTGTGATATTTACTGTGCAGTTCTATGAGCATTGGCGGAGTCGGCAGCCGAATGGGGTTGTCCTGTTTTACTGGCTCTTCTTCATCATTGCCTACGCTATTAAACTGCAGTCGCATGTTGCTCAGAAGACTTACCTCCACCACCTCCCATACTTTGTCTGCGTCAACGTCAGCCTGGGCCTTTCCTTGCTAGAATTCTCCCTGGAATACTTCGTTCCTAAGAAGCAAAGCGCCTATGATGCGCTCGGCGACGAAGATGAATGCCCTTATAACTATGCCGACATCTTCTCAGTCCTTACATTCGGCTGGATGACACCGATGATGAAGTTTGGCTACAAGAACTACTTGACTCAAGACGATCTGTGGAACCTTCGCCGTCGCGACACTACCCGAGTGACGCATGATGACTTGAATGCCGCGTGGGAGGCGGAGCTCGAGAAGAAAAGCCCCTCCCTCTGGGTGGCTCTTTTCAAGGCATTTGGCGGCCCATACGTTCGTGGCGCGATTATCAAATCGGGCAGTGACATGCTTGCATTTGTTCAGCCGCAGCTGCTGCGATATCTGATCGCGTTCATCGACTCCTATCGGTCTCCCGACCCACAGCCAGTGATTCGAGGTGTTGCCATCGCCCTGGCAATGTTCGTGGTCTCGGTTGTTCAGACCAGCTGTCTTCACCAGTACTTCCAGCGAGCTTTCGACACTGGTATGCGGGTCAAGTCTGCTCTGACTGCCCTTATCTATGCCAAGGCCTTGCGACTGTCAAGCGAAGGTCGCGCGACCAAGACTACTGGTGATATTGTCAACCACATGGCTGTTGATCAACAGCGTCTTTCTGATCTGACCCAGTTCGGTACCCAGCTGCTGTCAGCTCCTTTCCAGATCACCCTGTGCATGCTTTCCCTCTACCAGCTTGTGGGACCCAGCATGTTTGCCGGTGTTGGTATGATGATTCTCATGATTCCGCTCAATGGTGTCATTGCACGGATGATGAAGAAGCTACAGATCATCCAGATGAAGAACAAGGACTCAAGAACCCGACTGATGACTGAGATTTTGAATAACATGAAGAGCATCAAGCTCTATGCTTGGAACACAGCATTCATGAACAAGCTCAGCCATATTCGAAATGACCTAGAGCTTAATACTCTCCGAAAGATTGGAGCTACGCAGTCTATTGCCAATTTTACCTGGCAGTCAACTCCTTTCCTCGTCTCCTGCTCAACATTCACTGTGTTCGTCTTGACTAGCGATAAGCCCCTGACCACTGAGATCGTTTTCCCCGCCCTGACACTCTTCAATCTTCTTACGTTCCCGCTTTCTATCTTGCCCATGGTCATTACCTCCGTCATTGAGTCTACGGTTGCGGTGAAGCGTCTTGTGGAGTATTTCACCGCAGAGGAGCTCCAGACGGACAGTGTCAACTTCCAGGATCCCGTGGAGCATGCAGGCGACGAGTCCGTCCGTATTCGTGACGCTTCTTTCACCTGGGACCGCCACTCCGGAATTCCTGTCCTCGAGAACATTTACTTGAGCGCCCGCAAAGGTGAGCTCAGCTGCATCGTTGGCCGTGTTGGCGCTGGAAAGTCCTCCTTGCTTCAGTCCATCCTTGGTGAACTATGGAAGAACCAAGGCGAAGTCGTCGTTCGTGGTCGCGTCGCGTATGTCGCACAGACCCCTTGGGTCATGAACGCGAGTGTTCGAGAGAATATCGTGTTCGGACATCGATGGGATCCTGCCTTCTACGATCTCACCGTAGAGGCTTGTGCTTTGGTGGATGATTTCAAGATCATGCCCGATGGAGACCAGACTGAAGTTGGAGAGCGTGGAACTCTCTCTCTGGTGGTCAAAAGGCACGCTTGACTCTCGCCCGTGCGGTCTATGCTCGTGCGGATATTTACCTGCTCGACGATGTTCTCTCCGCTGTTGATCAACACGTTGGACGCCATATCATCAACAAGGTCCTTGGTAGCTCCGGTATCCTTAGCGGTAAGACCAGGATTCTCGCCACCAACGCGATCACTGTCCTCAAGGAGGCTGACTTCATTGGTCTTATTCGTGACAAAACCATCATCGAAAAGGGCACTTACGAGCAGCTGATGGCCATGAAGGGAGAAATCTCAAACCTTGTCCGTACAAACCTGGCCGAATCAGACGAAGAACGTTCCCCCAGCATCTCAGATGATGGTCTTGCCAGTCCCAACACCTCGGAAGATACCGCCGTGATTGAGACTGGCGAGGGCTCAGACAGCGAAGAGTTGGAGGAGCCTGGCTCTCTTGTCCCCATCAAGAGCCATGGTGATACCCGCAGAAGGACAAGCACCGTTACACTTCGCCGAGCTAGTACAGCGACTTGGCAAGGCCCACGTCGCAAGCTTGGGGACGAGGAAAATGTTCTCAAGAGCAAACAGACCCAGGAGATCGCGCAGCAAGGTAAGGTCAAGTGGGGCGTGTATGGCGAGTACGCAAAGAACAGCAATGTTGTTGCCGTGTCCTTCTACCTCTTCGCCCTTTTGGCCTCTCAGACTGCTCAGGTGCTTGCAAACTACTGGCTAAAGAACTGGACCGACTACAATGAGGCCCATGGTCGCAACGAGAGCGTGGGCAAATTCATTGGTGTCTACTTGGCTTTCGGTCTGGGCTCGTCTCTCCTGGTCATCATGCAGAATCTGATCCTGTGGATTTTCTGCTCAATTGAGGCTTCTCGTAAGCTTCACGAACGTATGGCTTATGCAATCTTCCGCTCGCCCATGAACTTCTTTGAGACCACACCCTCTGGCCGTATCTTGAACAGATTCTCCAGCGATATTTACCGTGTCGACGAGGTCCTTGCTCGAACCTTCAACATGCTTTTCACCAACTCTGCCCGTGCCGTCTTCACTATGATTGTTATTTCCTCAGCGACGCCGGCCTTCTTGCTGTTTATCATTCCGTTAGCCTGGGTCTACCTCAGCTATCAGAAGTACTACCTGCGAACCTCTCGTGAGCTGAAGCGTCTGGACAGCGTCACTCGCAGTCCGATTTATGCACACTTCCAGGAGTCCCTTGGTGGTATTTCGACTATCCGTGCCTACCGCCAGGAGAACCGCTTTGCTCTCGAAAACGAGTGGCGCATGGATGCCAACCTTCGGGCTTATTTCCCATCCATCAGTGCTAACCGATGGCTGGCAGTTCGCCTCGAGTTCATTGGTTCTATCATCATCCTGGCCTCTGCCGGGCTTGCCATTGTCTCTGTCGCAACGGGCATCCGCCTCTCGCCTGGTATTGTTGGTCTGTCTATGTCTTACGCTCTCCAGATCACTCAGTCTCTCAACTGGATTGTTCGCCAGACTGTCGAGGTTGAGACTAACATTGTCTCTGTTGAGCGTGTGCTTGAATATGCCAACTTGCCCAGCGAGGCCCCCGATGTTATCTTCAAGCGTCGGCCTGCCGTTGGCTGGCCCGCTCAGGGTGCTGTCAGCTTCAAGAACTACAGCACCCGGTACCGCGAGGGTCTTGACCTGGTCCTCAAGGATATCAACCTCGACATCAAGCCTCACGAGAAGATTGGTGTTGTCGGACGAACCGGTGCTGGCAAGAGTTCGTTGACATTGGCCCTGTTCCGCATTATTGAGCCTTCTGGTGGTACCATCAGGTAAGAACCTGATATCCTTCATCAATTTTGAATGTCGTAAGTAACACGGTCTACAGCATCGACGGACTCGACGTTTCCTCTATTGGCTTGCTCGATCTCCGTGGCCGCCTTGCTATCATTCCTCAGGATCCCGCCATGTTCGAAGGCACTCTCCGTGATAACCTGGATCCGCGCCACGCCCATGATGATACAGAGCTCTGGAGCGTCTTGGGTATGAATTTCTACATCCTTATTTTTGGCGAGACTCGTGCTTACAATTCTTCAATACAGATCACGCCAAACTCAAGGATCATGTTACCAGCATGGAAGGCCAACTCGACGCCCAGATTCAGGAAGCAGGTAAGGAATGATCTTCTCAATGACATCTACTCGATTATGTTTTCTAACACATTTGCCTGGCAGGATCCAACCTGAGTCAGGGCCAACGCCAGCTGGTCTCTCTCGCTCGGGCTTTGCTCACACCTAGCAACATCCTTGTTTTGGATGAGGCAACGGTAAGATTGCTGCCTCCTTTTCACTGCTCCCCCGCCATCAACCTGAGGCAGCATTGGCTAATAATAGCAATCATCTAGGCCGCCGTCGACGTGGAGACAGATGCGCTGCTTCAACGTACTCTACGAAGCAGTATCTTCCAAGATCGCACAATCATCACGATTGCTCATCGTATCAACACCATCATCGACTCGGATCGTATCGTCGTCCTTGACAAGGGCCGAGTGGCGGAATTCGACACTCCGGCCAACCTGATCAAGCAAGGTGGTCGCTTCTACGAGCTGGCCAAGGAGGCTGGTCTTCTTGACAGCGACGGTCTCGCCAGTTCCTCCTCTCCTCGCAAATAGCGTAAAAGCTAATCGACTGTAAATAATCATGATGCACTCTTTCTACATCCCACGGCGGCGACATTCCTGGACGGAAATGGGCTCCGCCAGCCTGTCATGCACATCCAGAGGCAAGAGAGCACTTCACAACGCTGAGTGGCTCGGGGAATCCGGGCCTATTCTGGATCCTTCGGGTCGATCTGGATGAGCGGCAATGTGATTGTTGGATTGCCATGTCGCCTGCATGGATCATACCTCTTCCTCTGTGTTCTCGCCGTTCAAATGCACAGCGGATGTGCCCCTATCTGTGGCGCAGACTGGGCCTGTCTGTCTTTGTCTTTGTCTATCCCAATTTTTGTATGTATGAATGGCAAACTCAATCTATTTTCCTGGGACACCCCTGGCAGATGTGGAGGGGGGGGGGGGGGGGGGGGGGGCAAACTGTGAAAGGCAGTCAAAATGTAAAGAAATAAAAGTTTTCAATTTTGATGCACAACAATTCCTGCCGAGTTCTCCGGTATTTAGATTATTTTGCATTTTTGATGCAACATATCCGAGAGCCGGAGATTGCGCTCTCTGAGCTAATTCGGAGGTGATTTGTTTCCTTTTTCCTGACCATTCCTTTTGATTGATGTCGCGATCTGCATAGTTTCACTCTTTTTCCAACGAACTAGATCCTCCGTCGTCTCCATACCTCTCTTTCGTCTAGTGTTCTTGATATCGCGATTATCTTCGGTTACAGAATCATCATTGTTTGCTTTTTACCTATCCAGGCATGTGGCATCATTCCAGCCTGAATGGGTGCCAGACCTTCGAGATGAAGGCAGAAAAAAGAAAGAAAAGGCCCGGTGTCGCATCGTGTTCCCGAGGGAGGGGGAATTTTAGCGCGCTTATACATCATCATCCCATAACTCATAACTGCTTTTTTTTTCTTCTATCTTCCTTTGAATTCCCTCAACCCAGTCTGCCGGGATTGTTTGCAGTAGTGCCGAAGTCCAACGTGGCGGTGACTTCCTTTGATATCAAGATTTTTTTCACAGGCAGGGATTTTGTTGGCCGGCGGTTGTAGCGGTGTAAGATGATCAAGTTGGTAGGTGTACGGTGTACTCCGTATCCTCCGTACACCGCCGCTAGCTGGCTAGGCTGGTTTATCCGTCACGGCTTTGCATCATCCTGGTCGGACTTGAAATCTGGAAATATCTCTAGTAGAGAGATCAATCGAATTCTTTCGCTTTTCTCGCTTGCGAAAACAATGGAGTTGTTTCGAAGGATGAAGGATCAATGGTTCGTTCCTGTTCACATGCGGACCACGCAAACCAACCTTGTAGCCCAGTTCTACCAGGTACCAGGGCTGACCCGTCTACCCCTCAATGTCAGCAAAATATATATCCACACCTACATTCATGCATAGATCAGTACCTAAGGCGCCGAGGTCACTCCAGATCATTTAGGCACATATTCCATTCTCAAGCCATGGAGTCATTGGAATAGACCCTGTGCGAACCTGACGCCACGAAGGTCCTGCATGAATCGAGATAGTTCTACGTAGTCCATGCAATTGAAGTAGGAAATTGTCATTCCATCGCATCATACATACAATCATTAATAAAATTTGACACTCGGAGCTAAGAATAGTTCGGAGGAATATATACTTGCCCCGCCTCAATAGCGGCAACGCCGATGGAGCAGCTCCTTACTGGGGGCTCGAAGGCAGAAACCTCCACATTAACCACGCGAGCGCATGTCAGTAATGTTATGTAGGCAGTGTATTGAAGCACTATGTGCATGCATTACTGGCAAAATAATTTGAGGATAGGCGCCGTTTATTGCATAGCCTAAAAAAAATAGTGATGATGAAAAGGTAATCATTTGCAATGCGATGATTGAGTTTCAGTTCAGCCGGATTGGCCTCGTCCCTTCGAAGGGGCGAGATCTTTACCTAACGCATGATTGCGTAGCCCGATCAATGCTCATGACAGAAAATTGCGCTTGTAGACTACATATGAAAACTTCAAAATTTGGAATAGATTCATGCTGCCTATCTACCTGCCTGATTGAAAGTACGAATTCTCAATCCTGATTTCTAAATTAAAATACTCTCCACAGACCTGCAACTGTTTCGGGGCCGCTTCTATATTTTCACTAGCTACAGCTCAAATTTGCGGTTCATATCAATCGCTCAGGCCTCTAGCTATCTGATACTAGTTAGTATCTAGACGCAGTGTACCTGAATCCTCGACCTCATCTCGCTAGAATGTGCGATCCACTGGTAACAGCCCCAGCCAGTCAATGTATCAATTGTCGCGTGGCACAGGAGGGCGCATGTCATATCGCCTCAGGCAGATCAGATCAAGATCGGGAACGGCCTTGTATGCCTCCACTCATCGCCCCCATCTTCCTGACTTCCATTGCTGTTTCAAGGATATGTATGTATCTGTGCCGGGCATCTTACCCCGTCTGTGCTTTGACGCCTACGGACTCTTCATTATTCTGAGCCAGCAGCGTGATTGGGGGATGCAGTTTCTGGCTTCAGGAAGGACCTTTATTTCAGCTCTTGTGGTCGAGTTGGACTCGAGCCATTGCGCTTGCTGTGGAGGCAAGGGATAATAGATGGATACTCGCGGGGGTCAGTGCTCTGGCGCCTCCGGGGAATCGCCGTCCCCGTTCCAGCATCTGGTTCTAGGGGCTCTTGCTCGCCGATGGACCAATGATGTTTGAGTATTATTGAGATCATATTCGGACGATATGTAGATGGCATCTTGTTTTTCCATGGGTCATCCCTGCTATGTACATAATGGTCCCCAAAACAGAAGCATTTCTCCGCAGCAGATCCTGTCCATTGCCACTGGAAGTAACGGCGTCCTGTACCCTGGACTCCAATCATATAGCCCATCCAATAATAAGAGATCGATTTGAATTCAAGCGCAGACGGATCGGACGATCCGGCATATCCATGTCTATCATCGCATCAATAGACATTTAACTCCAGCCCTGTTCCAGCCATGTTCCTGCACCGAGTAACCCCGAGTTTATGCGATCTTTCCCCGCATCAGTAGACCGGGTGGCGGCTTACTGGAGTAAGCCATTGTCTGACGTCGATGCGAGATTTCACCTCGTACCTGCGACAATATGCATAATGTGCAGATATATACGATTGTTCCAGGGAAAACAAATACTATATCGGGCATGGGAATCTACAACGCATCACCGAAGACCCAGCCAGATCAAGCCGAAAATTGATCCAACAAACCAGAATGGACGTCAATGGCGTACTACAGTAGGAAAGGTAAATAACCTCTGCGCAGACCAGGGATTGCATTATGCGATCCTGGTACATGGTAACCACCCTAGCCAGCCTTAACCCACTTCCGCTCTCAGATCGCCAATTTTACCCCTCGTAAAACATGGTCATCGGGCCTAAGCATGTTGCACAGCGCTGCAAATGGAACCGCATTGACCGTAGACATTCATGAATCTAGTTCTCCGAAGTATGCGTATGATCTGCAGCTGCAGTCCTACAGACCGATCGAGAGCAGTCCTGCATCTTGAGTACAATAAAGCTTCGGAAACAAGGAAATAGTCCGCGAACACCCGCCAGGATCTGCTTGCGGGGATTATCGTAAGCTTGAATCCTTTCAGCAGTGGAGGGGTACGGCCATAGTGGGACTCCATCCGTTCCCTTAGAGCATGCCTATCGTACCCGCATAGTAGTCCCTACAATCGCTGTATACTTTAGTTCCATAGATGGGCACCGAAGGTGGAGGATGAAGCAGAGTTTTCTGCATACCCGATGAGATGGACCCTCATGGCTGGGAGGTGTGGTGATCGTCGATGGATACCAGGATGTTGGGATCACTTTCTCTTCGGGGATCTGGGAATCGGAGTTCCGCCAGCGCTTTGGCCTGTCGTTCAGGGTGGAGGCAGAATATGAATTAGGACGGCTCCAGTGATGAATTTCCAATGTAGTATAACTGCGGAGTATGTTAACAGAGTTAATTAGGGTCGTTAGAACGGTTGGACCCCGAGGAATGGCCTCGTAGGATTTCATCATGATGATAGGCGAGTGCCTTGCATCGGGGAGTTTTGGAATGATAACGACATATGGAACTAGATAAAGACTTTACATTTTCAATCTAGAATCAAGTGAACACAGTCTCCTCTGTGATACTCTCATGACCATTTAATTATAGGGACTTATCCGCAAGGTAAGAATAATTTCGTTCTTGTCTCGTGATCAAGCCATGATGGGTTCTCAGCAGGATAACCACAGCGGTGTACGGGGTAGATTGGCTTCAAAAGTACCACATCCAGTATTTGTCACGATTAACGAAACCCCGCGAACCCAGTTTCCCAGCCACGGATCGCCTGGCGTGGATCGGGCCTCTCCGGCAATGTGGAACCCAGTTCCGGGGACTTGGTCCTCTTAACTACACTGAAATGAGGATAGAATAGTAATTACAGCGCAATTTGGTAACGTTAGCTAGTCATGTATGAGACCATTCGAGGGTTCACCTGACGAAGCAATTTGCCCTATTCTGAATTCACAAAGTTAATCCATTTGAAGAAGGTGAAGTTGGTCGTCATAACGGTGGCTTGCGAGTAAGCCCATTGGTCTCGCCTTACCAGGTGCATATCGCAGATCTCATCGTGCATACCGCATAGTTCTGGGCCTCCATTGTGCAGAGTAGGGCAAAAACCATGGCCAGATGAAAAGTTGAACAGATTCAACGCACAACGACATTGTTTCAGCCAATGTACTCTGATCGGGCTCCAGTGCGGATCTCCAGGGACGATCTCACTGCCCCCGTTTCGGGCAATTTGTCCGTGCTTGCAGGCTTTAGAGGGGACTGGAGTGCATATTGCAGAGGAACCAGCGCAAACTAAATACAATTAGATCAAGCTCCACCGGGTCGGGTATCCCATAGGGTCGGGTTTACAAGAATAAGCTCCCGCAATTATGGTCAAAGTTAGTCGTTTTTGTGCACTTTTGAAGGGTGTTATGAATGGCGGCCTCTCACTGGTCCATTCTTAAAGAATTTAAACTTCAAAAGAGAAAGCGAAACATGATATCAGACGAGATCTAGGCCCGCTGGACCTATGCATGCCATCGCGACGACCCTTAGGGAGTGAAGAGTATCGTCCCAGTGTGGTGGGAATTCCGAAAGGGTGGAAACTATGGGGCTGGGCCGCCGGGGAAGATTTTAGCGCGCCGTGTAGCTTTGCACTTGTGTATATCTGGACATAGCGCCATGCAGCAGGGGCCATGGGGCGTGGCGCTAGACAGGGGTGCTCTTTGGGGGAACTGGGCCATTCTCGAAGCTGATTGGAACAAGGGTTGCCTGTTCACAAGTATCCTGCAAGGATTGGATGGAGAGGGTCCCATTTACCCCAGGGCATTGGCCTGTAAGTCACTCACGGACCTCTCTGCCCCAGTTAGGATATCCAGGTAACTGGGAACAGTCTGTGGTGCTTGGGTCTTGAAGAATATACGAGGCTGTGTGACATTGAGGACATTGAGCTGAGCTGGAAACGAGTAGAAGTCGATATGCAGATAGGTTGATCCGAGAACTATGCTCTAAAGCGGAGGATATACTTTCTCCATACGTGGGTTTTGACATTCCTGTGTACCCCTTTCCCCCGACAGAAAACACATGGCTTTTCATGCGCATAATGTCCACGTTTATTAGCCACAAATGAGAACGAACCACATATCTGGAGAACTTCTCCGGAATCCTCTACGCAAGGGCGCCTTTTTGCCTATTTTGTGATCTTTTCTTTTTCGTCGCTGACAACTCCATTATTGTTGTGGGTTTTACCCAAGCGACCTGCTGGCTGGGCGATCACTCGAGATTTGGGAATAGTATATGTGCACAAGTACCGTTATGGGGATTTGAATTAGTGTAACAAGGCAAAAGGTAAAATAGCGGAATGACCACTTCCATTTCCCCCAGTCATCGAATCAATTTACTTCATAGTCCTCATCAGAGGGGGTTTGCAAAAGTAACGACAAAAAAGGAAATCGTTGACCAATCCCGTACTTTAGTGATGAAACATGGTCGCAATAATCCAAATCACAGAAGATCAAAGGATTTCCACAAGGCTATGAATTGATCCCCAGTCCGTATACATAGGGCACGAGGTACTACAAATCTCGGGCTATTGGATCATACATTAACTATGTAATCAATAAAATCTCATGTCAATTAATAACAAAACCCCTGGGCAAGGACCAGGTGTCATCTCCACGCGGCTGAGCCCTGTGCGCAGCGTCGAGGATGTTTTCGTCTTCCCGCAGCATCCGCCAGAGCTAATCGCGCGATCGAACCTGGTTTCGGTCGGCGATTACAGTAGCCCTATTTGACATCATTGGTAGATTGAAAATGCAAAGCGCTTATAAGCCTCCAGGGGAAGTCGGAACATACAGTCCTGCAGAATGCCCAAAGTGAAGGGCCAACACTGCCGTTAGTTGTAACTAATGTCGCATCTACAGTGAAGAAATGATTGCCACTATCTCCATCTACTGAGTTTCAATCCTAAACAAAACCTGCAACATGGTACCTTAGTATTATTTCCTAGCCAAGAGATCGTAGTCTTCTTGTCACTGTCTGTGTTGACCGAGCGATCGGGCTTCATTTTACTTTGTGTCAACAAAGTACATTATCGCAGCGTGGTACGTAAGTGAGAACAATAGTCCGCCTGGGCCCCCCGTTTACCCCTGTTTAGAGTATCCATCCTGTCTTGCATTGTGCATTCTACATTCTGCAGTCTACATTTGCCTGCGTTTCCATTTTGCAGTTGACACTGGTCCAGTCGGGCTGAACCGAGCTAGGAGGGGCAGCATAATGGGCGCGGCGGACGGGCCGGGCCAGTATGGAGAATGAAAGGGAATAATTTCCTGCGGTCTCACATTGCTTTTTGTTTCGTTGGAGGGGCTAATTGGGTATTTAGTTCGTATTGCAATCCACAAGGAATGCATTGATGCAATGAATGGCGTTAGCCATAGTAGTCAAGTCTATTTGTGGTGAACCCGAGAGTATGGATAGGGGGGAGGCAAATAGGTAAATAGTCAAACCGTTCTAACATCTACAGATCGATAGAAAAATATGCTAGTTATAGTGAGTATGCCGTAATTTGTAATGCGTAATCCGAACTCCATAAAAACCCGTCAGGCGGTGCCTAGACTACGCCATCGTCTTATCGAGGCGAAGAAGGAGGGCTGATGTTGGCGCACATTGGCTATCCTGCGACGAAAATCTTCCTAGCGATCTACCACCTCCTCCACTTTGGCCCAAACCCTCGGTATCTATTTTCCTCTTAGGGGGCGGACCGGAGTGTAACCATACTGTCGGACTTTTGACAGTTGTGGTTGAGTCGATCATCCAGGACAATTTGCCCTATATGGAGTAGACAGTTAGGCTGATTATAGGCGAGGCAGCGTAGTAGGTTTCCTATTTCTGTCACTAGCAGGAACCGCATTTCCTAAAACAAACAATGCACACGGCCAAAATCGCGTCCTGAAACCGCCCCAAATCGACAATTAGAAGAGTAGATGAGATGAGGTCAGATCGAGAGTCAAAAAGGAGTCACACGCTTTACAAAAAGACCATGGGCGATCTCGGTGTGACGATGGGTTGTTTTCCAGAAAATGTTTAGCAAAGAGACGAGAGGGCCGATGATTGCCAACTCTGACCCTCAGCGGCGGGTTTCCGGTGGATCACCTCAAGTTATAGACTAACCTTAACGGGGGTTTGACAGCTTTAGTCGCCCCGGTCCGCCGTCCCCGGCCCCGTCGTGGCTGATTAGGGGCGTCCAGATGGCTTGTCAATGGCGCATCCTGTCGATGCTTTCTGAGTCTAGGCCCGCAGCAGACTCCAAAAAGGGACGGCGCCAGAGTTTCGTCGATAGCCAGTTATGTCGTCCCGATCGAGGGGTTGCCAAAAGTACAGATGCACGACTCCATACTGAGAATGAAGAGGACCGTCCTAAGCACTGTGCAGGTGACCCAACCCGTCCAGAAACTGACTAGTGCGGTGATTTTGAACATGTTAACCTTGTCTGTTGGTCAAAGGTCCTAAAGTGCCCAAAGCGACCCCATGAACGCCCCCATCACCCCTCCATACTCCTATCCTACCCCCTGGCCACAACTCTCTCCCCAGCAAAAGGACCCCCGTGTAAGGCATGACATCATGCCTTAACCAGATGCTCCGATGAGCCCTCGATCGCTGCGCATCATTGATCGATCTCGTGGGCGGCCGCTCGGCTGGTCACTCTCCGGTGCGTTAGTTCTGGTGTGCCTTGCTAGGCCGCTCACCTGGCGTCCCGAGAATTCAAATAGAGTCCGGCAACGAGTATCCTGATATTCATCAAGAATACGAGAGAAATAGACTTCTTCTGGCCTTTCATCAACCTCATCTAGACTTTCTCCTGGTCGGTGAAGCCAAGGTTCACACAAAGTACCTCTGTTCTCGATGAAGGAGGTCGTATAGAGTACTCTAGAACATCCATAACGGGCAGTCTCTGCGATCGCATCCCAATAGTTACTCCGACTTTCTTTGTAGAGTTGCCTCCAGGTACCTTTGTGTGCTGCTCATCACCCATGCACCCTGACAACGACGGTCTGGATCGTGCAATTGTCTCGCGAACAGACTCCAATTTTCGACTTTTTGCTCGCTGTACACCTGCTCAGCCTACACCCCCTTTTCCTCGCAGGTGCTCTTCGTATCGAAGAAAGGGATAGAAGAACGATCTGGAGCGTGCCAGGTGGCAGTCTCGATTGACATTGGGATTGTCCAAAGCAGGAAACTTGATCGCGGAGGGCTGGTGAGAAAAGTAGCGGTCCAAAGTACAGATGGCTGCAGTGATGACCAGTTGGCGGTGAACATCCTTGAATGTATACTGTAGAAAATGTATGATCGAGACTAGAGTAGACTGCAGTAGTCTACTCCGTAGTTAAAGAAGAGAAAACTCGGAAAACTACATCTCCCTATGACATTTCGGGCACTGCATACATTAAGAGTAAACAAAGCCGGACCTCGTTCCAGTGCCATGCCGCGGATACAAACAGACTGCAAAATCAAGCATCGCCCGAATCCAAACATTCCGACCGAATCAAATTTCCTCTTCTTGTAAGTCAGTTTTATAAGACACCACCTTATGCTACTACCCCCAAATCCTCCAAGCCCCCAAGCCTCCATCACGAACTAAACCAACCGCTCTCATCCCCGACCCTCCACTAACCCACTTGCCGGATCGCCTGTCAGTGCTCATCCCGCTGTCACATTCCATTTCCAGTTCCCAGCTTTCTGAATTCCTTAGCCAAGGAAGCGCCTCCCCGAGTTTCAGGGTGATTGCATCATGGGGGGAAGCTGACCGAACAGCTCCGGCGCCGTTCTGGTTCATTTCTCGATCGCCCTAACACCGTTTCTCCCACCTTCTCCGGCGGTAGGAGCGGGCTGTCATGATAATCATCCTGTTTCCGATCCTCATGATCATAATTCAGTGTATGAAGTACGGAAGACTGGTCCAACTTTTCGTTTGGTGTTTGTCCGTTCTCAAACCACACTAGTTCCCCATGCTCATTCCCTTTCTTGCCTTGTTTCGCTCAAAGTAGATGACTGACTAGCAAATCTGACTCCAAACCCGCCCTTTTGCCCTGCTAAAAGTACTCGATATCAGACTCGCAAATCTTGACATGAATAGTGACAGTGATGGAGACGCTGACAGCACGTACATGCAGGCTGGCAAATGGAGGAGTGCCCAGGGGTTGTTTTACAGGGACCTTCCCTGTACCTTAATATAACCTCGGGGTCTGATGTGGCCCCGGCTCAGCGGTCAGCGTGCAAAGCGAGTGTGGCGGTGGAGGTCCAAGACTTTTCTTCACTGTGCATGCAGTAGGAGTTCTCATCACTGCAGTTTAGTAGGTTTCAGCCGAGAATATGTAGAGCTGAGCCACACGTGGCTTAGTCGGTCTATGCGTTTGCATTTGCACTTTCTACTATACTACTGTATGGACTACATGCATTTTGCAGTCTGCATCTCGCACTTTACCACTTGAAATAGAGTTTTATTCCGTATTAGGCTATTAGCAGGGATAAAGTGTGAAAAAGGGGGTTATCGCCACTATGCCGGCATTTACGAAGCGGCGTCGCCGGACCAGGGGCGATTTACTCGGGTTTATCCAGGCCTCGGTCGCTTTGTGTGCTCACAGTATAGTTAATTGCCTACAGTACTACACGATTCGAACTTCGGGGTAAATTCCGATCGTCGGTAGACTTCCGTAGAATCCGTCTTTGTCGAAAACACACCATTTTTGCTCAAAGTACGTTATCATCTTTCTGTGTTCATGATTTCCGCGGATTGACTCAAAATCATGGAGTAAACTACAGTCCGGTAGAGAGTGGACACTAACTATTCAATTGTGTCCGCCCGCAGCCACCACGGGATACTAGTTTGCGCCCTAACCAACGCGTAGTCCGAGTGCACATCGCATTGGCAATATGACGGTAATTCGCAAAAAGCAAATTGGCGCCGGGTCAAGACGGGAGATTGCCAGCGACCGAACGTTTGGCGGGTGGACTGGACGGTTGGGTGTTATCGATCGTTGGTGGTGGTGCCAGGAGGGGGTGGGGGTTTGCAAACTAAGACTTCGAAACCACCACCCCTTACGACGTGCTTGGGATAATGGCGTGTCTGCTTCCGGGCGTTAAGCCGTTGGCTACTATTGTTACGGACGATGGCTCACTGGTTCAGACAGTTAGTGTGGGTGGGGTTACGGTAGATCTCTGCCTCGATATTGAGACTGATCACAGCGGCACAAAGGAGTAATAGAATGGAGTACTTTACTGTACGTCTTCCATCGTAGTGACTATCATAGATGGGACGATCGTAGATATCTAGCTGGTTTACGGAGTACATAGATACCTATTGTACCCACTGATCAAGTTATTGGAAATGACAAATAGCTCCCAAAGTACTACGACCAGGGTTCGAAACGTCAGTTTTAGTCTATTGCCCATGCGACAACCTAAATTTCACCAGAACCGATCCGGATAAAAAGTGTCATCGTAGAATGGTACTTCAATTAGTTACGATATTGTAATGTTGCTCCGTGACATCGCCTCGATTTTCAGGCGTGGCGGGGTATAGTCGGAACTTAGAAGACCACCGTCCAGAATGGAGGCATTGAGAAACAAGATAGAAATAAAGAATAAATTGAACGAAATCAAAGATAGCGCTCGCTTAAACATTAGTAGGCATCAAAAACCAGACAGTTGGAACACTATCACAAGAATTAGACAGAAGGCAATCGACATCGATCAAAGACGACGCAGGTACGAGTCCACTCACCACTCACTCGGGATTTTGTTTGCGCATGACTCGGCTGCACTGTACATCCAACTCCGCGGACTAAACGTAGATAACAGTTGCCTTTTGATCTTTCCGTCCTGCTAACTATGATCACCATCAGCACTATATCACTAGGCTCACTGCTAACTGATTGCAGACATCGCGATACCTAATGTTAGACCTTGTTGGCCGCAGCCCGACCCGACCAGAGGGTTCAAATGGCCCCCAAGATGAATCCACCCGTCCCGGGAGATGCACGCGTTGACAGATGGTGCCTTTCCCATGGGCCTCGGTACGACGCCCCGGGATCATTAGATCATTAGATCATTATTTAGATTAATGAGCACAGGTGACCCGATGGGACCCAAGACCGAAGATGGGACCCGAGGAGACGACTAGCGGTCGCTCATCGCCGACGGAGTGGCTAATCCGTTCTTTGGGACTATATTAGTCTGGCTTGGTGCTTTTTAGTTCATGAGACAGGGGGCGAGCAATGCTTGCGCAACAAAGAGACCATATTTCCGTCCACTCAAATCATGGTAGTCGCTCACCTGTTACATTGTCTTGCTAAGGGAATTTCCAACCCCAAAATTGAATTGTATCCTCCCCCGTATTCCATCTAGACCACGACCGAGACACTTGGGGGCGATTGACAAAGTACAGCAGCTAACCAGCGCAGGTAGAGATTATCGAAGGCCTGGTTGGCGAGGCAGCCTCTGAGAGAGCTTTTTGGATTGGTGATCGTTGTTGATGACGGTTTGACTCCATCTAGAAAGTACTAGTGGCGCTCAGGATGGAATGCAGAGCGATTGGCCGGAATAACCAGAGCATCGAGAAAGGAGTGAACTAATACGGAGTACGTCCTTCATCAAGATGATTCTCTCATCCCTCGTACCTAACCACAAGTACTTTCATCACTACGAGGCTCGATTTGTGTTAGAGTCGTCCTTTTGTTCCTCGTGATCTCAACTCTAACAAACTCATTTCGTATCCTCCTCCGTATTCTTCGGCCAGACCGGTTGTTCAAGGTCCATTTGGGTGCTTTTGTTCATTCCACTTTCCTGTCTGGACTCTCTTACACTTCTGGAGAATAAATAGTCGCCTGATCCAATCATTGATTTGATCAAATGCGAGGGTCTGATCTCAGGGGTGATTTTTTGGAGCTGAAAGTGTGGCCTAGAAGTGCGAACAAATCCAGCATATCCTGGCTAGGCATCCCGAACAACCCCGCGAAGGCCGTTCCTGTCAGGTTCAAGCACCAACCACCCGGGCCCACGCCCGGTGGGAGGATTCAATGGGTAGAGGGGGTCCCCGAGGCCGATCGACAAGGTCCAGGGGAGGGGGCAGAGTTCTCCAAGCGATGACAGACATCGGCCCGTCGCCCATATGGGAATCTTCCAATGGCGACACTGGAACCATCAACGCCTGTCTGATATATGAATGAGATATGTATTCTTAACCTCTATCAAACCCTCTTCCACTAACGACAAAAGGCAGAAAACCACCACAACAAGCCCTATCAGCGAGTCATCCTTGGACATTCCGGGTTCCAGGATGTTGGGTCATGGTCAATCGGCACATTCATAGGTTCGTAGAAACCACCGCCACCCCTCCAGGCCCCCGGGTGTCCTCGCTTATTGGAGGCGGCCCCTGCAAAACTAGCGCCGGGGCACATCACGCTCAGATCCGGAGATCGAAGCACGGCCCTATCCAACCTGTCGTCCAGCTTTTTCGACCTTTTTGGTCCTTTTAGGTGTTGGCACTTTAAGTGGTGACTTTGATTGGCCATTAGGTCAATTACAAGAAGGTCACGCCGAAATCATTCGCGGGGGAGCTCTTTCCCATCCCCACTCTCTGTCTTTTCTCTGATCTTGCAACTACTGTGGTGTAGGAAGGCGATACGGGATCCTACAGTACTACTTTACTTTACGGGGATGTCAGTTATACAGAGCCCGCAGTACTCCGTAAACCGTTCCTGACGAGGAATCTGCACGTATTTCCCACGCTACGGAACCTCCGAGAAGCTGAGGTCGATCGGCGCGCCGTACTCTTAAGACTAGCACCCACACGGCGTATGGGCGTGGGCCCCCCGACGCAAGGCAGGGCCTGAGCGAGTGCTTTTGAACACGAACGCTATGGACATATCGAGAGGAGGAAAGTTGGAACTGGACTTTTGTTAAAAAAAAAAAGGAGGCGCAATACCTGTATCTGGCGGATTCTGACTGCGCATATACAGTAGATAGTGCGACCAGGGTCTGTACGAAGTAAACAAGTAATCGGGACTAAGTCCAGCGACGACGATACCTGGAATCAGGATGTCAAACAAAGAAACGTTCCTTGGTTTGACGTGGATCCCGCGCGCTTCCTCCCGCCCCTGTCACAGCCTGTCAGGCTGTCAGATAGGAAGGTGGAAAGAACCCTCCGTCAGAATTTTGATCATGATCACTATGTCATAGACTAATAGGCTAAGAGTAACCATAGATTTTAGGATTGTGAATGAAGGAAACGGTTACTAACATCATAGTGGTTGCCTCGCCTTTTGAAGCTGCCAATAGCAATCGAAGGATCTGATCAGGATCCGCGATTGGGACAATGACAAAGCAGCTTTCCGATCTCGCTCAGGTCCCCTCCAGACGGTTGGTAACTACTAGAAAATCCTCCGTACTTTCTAACAAATGTAATTGATTCCCTGTGGTGGGGAAAAGGACCAAAATCCAAGAGAGGGGCGGTCGATCGCCAATCGACAGCGCCACGCTGTATCCCGAGGCACGCCGAGGAACGGACGCAACGCTAAGCGGGACTGTCAAATAGTGAAATTTAAATAGATAATTGAAGTAGAAGCACAAGTACGGCTCCAGAGTTATAGAACAAGGGCAATGGTAAATGGTTTAAGAATTGTGGGAATTGAAATAATCGAAAAAGAACAAATTCTGGAGCCCAAATGTCATGGCGATCTCCAAATAGTCAAGTCGAACTTGACAGGGATATGAACCGAATCGGGAACTGGACTTTGTGCATTAGCTTATTTAGCTTGGGTTTAGTACAAATTTCAGTTGAATTTGGGTGGGTGATTCGGATTATTGGGTTAGTCCTTCTGGTTGGCATCCTTCATACCTGCATGTCCCTCCACTACGCCAATCTCGCTGCGTCCTGCATAGCGTGATCATAATTAAATTGAAAAATCAAAATGAAATTAAATAATCATAATTCCAATAACGCTAATCGAAATCCCATCCCCAAAAATAATTAAATTAATATTCCCAAACTCTTACATAGCTTCTGCCGGGGATCCCCAGGGTTCTGACGGCCCTTCGACCCTCAGGGATCATCCTAGCTAGCTGTGGCACGGTTTACCAGATTGCTTTCTGGTCACCTACCACTCAGTACTTTCGTAGAAAATAAAAGGATTTAAACTAATTAGCAATTAACAATTTTACAAATTAAAGCCAAATCGTAAATCGATCCCCCAAGATCTGCCTCCCATTGCTCTGGACCGCGCGCAGCTTGAAATACTTCCTCCTCCTCCCTCCAAGCCGCCTAATTCCCTCTTGCAACTCCATGCTTTTTTGACTCTTTTCTTTTCTTCTTATCTTGAGGAAAGAAGAAACATTATTTTAAAGCTCCCCCCTCTTCCCACTTTCTTCAAGGAGATCACTTTTATTTTCTACCTCGACCCACACTACATCTAGTTGTTGACTAGGTTCCGTGGCTCATACTTTGTTCTGGTTTACCATTCTACCGGAGACAAGATATCTTGTGTATAGAACCAGACCATCCCCATCCCGTGTCACCATCCAAATCCAACCGCAGCTCTCTCGGTTCGAATCAGGCTTTCTGCAGTTCGTGAAGTTCCCGTACTTGCAATACATTGAGAGTGGAGTATATTCCTCTCGTTCCTGCATCACTATCGTTCCGCCGTGCCGTTTGAAACTTGTGAGTTATTATAACCCCTAGCACAACAACCCAATCTCAGCCCGGTTCATAATAAGCTTGACTTTGGGCCGTTCGCGGGTTGGTAGTTGTCGATGAGACAGCCACCCATCGGGGCAACCGGCTGAGGGGGCTACCGTTGGTCATTGACCGGGGCTGTCATGGTTGCTTTGCAATTTTTGGACATTCCAAGTTTAAAGCTAACTTTGAGTCGATAAATCTAGACCTTCTCAGCCGCTGGCTTAACTATAAAAAGGACTGTTCCATCTTGGGAGCTCCGGCGCTGAAACAGATACATTTCTGTTCCTCGGATCTTTGATATACTTCCTTCGGCTGTGCACCTACGACTTGATATCTCTCGATTTATACTTTTGACAGCGGACACAGTCCATTCACGCAATCCCGTGCGATCATACTAGACCACGGCTTTGCTTTCCCTGATCATCGACACAATGGTTTACAGTAAGCCCAATTCGTCTACTGGCGCCATGAAGCGTTCAGCTTCGGCCCTTCACGAAAGCGCACCTGGTTGGGATGTTCCTCCTGTAAGTCTCTATGTACGAGTGATTTAAATACATCAATCTAACAAGTTCCAAGCCCATGATGGCCCCAGCGCGCTCCCCATCCTTCCGTATGCCCTATGCGCACTACGCTCTGATCTATCTCGACAACGAGGGCAAGCTCAAGGTCGAAGAGTCTGCCTCAATTCAAGAACAAAACTCCACGATTTTCACCCCAGAGGTCCGCCAGAACTTCCTCGAGATCCTCGGGGAACGTATTGGTTACCAGCCGCCCATGCGCCGTAAGTTTCAAACAAGTGCTCTAGTTTTCAGACAATCCAACTGACAAAGTGGAATACAGGCACTCTGAACGCTTCTCCTCGCCGTGTCCGCCGCCGTGGTAATGCTCCATCCTCTGAAGACCGTCTGGCAGAGGCCGGGTCAGACAGTGATGACTGCTCCCCTAATGGATCCAACGAAATGGTTCCCCTGCGTATCGGAGATACTGCTAAGGTCTTGACCTACTACGAAGGTGCCCTTAAGCACTTCCAGCAGCTTAACTGCCGCATGGTCGCCAAGGCCTTTATCAAGTTCATTGAGCCCCGCAAACAAGTCCGACACCCGTACAACGGTGGCAAGCCCCCAGCAGGCTCTGCTCCAGGTACGACTGGTGACCCTGAGAAGACCAAGCCCGAGTGGTGGCCCCCGGGTGTTATGCACAAGGAGCCTGACCACCTGCGTAAAGAGTGTATGTAGCGATTCTTTCGATGTATCCTTGGGGATTGATTTACTGATGTTTTACTCAGACCGCATTGAACTCCTGCTTCACATCATTCGTAAACTTGGAGGCTACGGCGTTACCGCTGACAAGCTGAAGGAGGTCGCTGGCGACACCAAGCGCAGTCTCAAGCATGCCTCGCATGTGGATATCATCTATGAGATCCTCCGTGTGCGCAAGATGGAGGAGCGTTTTGAGCGCGGAGAAGTTGGTATGTCCACAATGAAAAGTGGTTCTCTATCGATGCAGCGGTTTAACAGATTATGCAGATGCGAACATAGTTGTCTACGTGATGAACCGAGGACCCAGCCCCAAGGGTGACGATGAAGAGGAATCCAACGAGACTACCACTATTTCTTCCATGCCCACTGTTGAAGTCCCCGAACCCATCGAAGAAGGCCTCCTCACCCCGACCTCCTCGATTGAGCAAATCACAGCTCCTTTGACCACCCCCATCGACACAATGGCTATGGTACCAACACGGTCTCTCCCAACAAGCTTCTCCATTCCTCAGCCTCTCAGCTTCGACGGCCCCCGACAAGACCGATCTTACTACGCCACGCCTCCTCATTACACAGACTCCTTCTCTCAACCGATGCTCAGCGCGCCCGTAACCGCAGAGATGATCAGCCCCCACGACATCTCGGTCTTCGACTACCCAACCTCCCACTTTCCGACATCAACACCAGACCAGAAGTTCGACGGTTGGGCGCCTACCTTCCGCCAGACTCTGTTCAGCCCTGTGGACTACAATGCTCCCTCTGTGACCCACGGTCTGCCACAGCCTGGCATGCAATACCATATGCCCATGGCCTCGCCAGCTCAACTCCACGACATGTCTCATCCTCACGCCCACTCGCCAATGGACGCCATGAGCCAACGGGCACTGCCCTTCCGTACTGGCTCGCTGGGCCACCCGCATGAGCTGCCTCTCTCCCACCCTGCCTAAGTTCTCTCCCCAATGGACGGGCAGGACCCGATTGGAGGCGAGCCCGAGCAATGCCACGACTGAAAGAAGTGCACGGGCTTTTAATGAATTATACGACTAAATGGCTTTGATTCTCATACCATACGAAAGCACTTGATACTTGATGCAAAGGGCGGGCTTGTTCTGGAGTTTCAATTCGTTGTTTATCTTGTTGTTATTTGAATTTTTTTTCTTTTCCTTTTTTTCTTCTTTTGTTTCTCATTTTTTGTGAATAAAAAAGGTCGGTGTCATAAGAAAGAGGAACCGCGTTGATATGGAGTGGTCGGCTATTGGGTCTTTGTTGTTCTTTGAAAATATTTCCATCGTTTTTTTGTTTGAGGTTGTTCTTTTGGATTGGTTATATATCTTCCGGTTTTTCTGGGTTTACGTTCGCTTTCTTACCTTTCTTCGTCTCTCACTAATACTTTTACAACTTTCTTGCGTGGACGGCTTATTTTATACATGGTCCTTTCAATGACTATTTACCCCTGATTTTTTGTGATGCTTTTTGGGGCTGTTGATACACACTTTTGTTTGGTAGATAGTGATTCCATTGGGAATATTTCATGAAAAGATTCCAGACTCACATAATATCCATATGTAGTCCTTTAAGACTTCAAGTTGAGTAACATGAGGTCAATGTCTCGTCTTTCTGCCTGAATTGCATGTACCAAGACATGCCCGATGCAGGTAATAGATGGTATGGGATAGTCGCCGCCTGAGGCAACGAATAGGTTGCCGCACGTTACCGCCGTCACCTGACTCAGGCGCGCGGCTGAAGTGGACCCTCTTCGGTCGGAGTCCTTTTGAGCTCCCGTGCTTCCATTGTCTCGAGTCTTCTTTGTTCACTCCATCGCGCCGTACGTCTCCCACTGTTGGCTCTTCAGTTTTGCTAGAATTCTCTAGCATGAACTGACCTGGATGCAGGCCGAGCGAGGATAGGATGGCGAGCCCGTTCAATCCGTTTGCTGGTCGCGGCCAGAGCGCCGGAGAAGCAAGCACCTCTGGACGAGGTCGCGGGTCTACACGCGGGTCAACGAGAGGTAGCACAGATCGAGGAAACCGGGTGTCTGTACGAGGGCGAGTACGAGGAAGAGGAATCCGAGGCCGTGGAGCTGATGGGACAAACATCTCTCGTGGGCGTGGCGCGGGCGCTGCTGCCAGAGGCGCGTCACATGCAGCAAGTTCGATCTCAACTTCTTCGACCACCGCAAACGTTGCCAGTTCGCCATTCGCACAACTTAACCAACCGACCCAATTAAACCCTCCCTTAAACGTTTTCGCTCAACAACCAGCCCGGAGCAAGTCACCAATGGCACCTGGCGCTGCTATGAGGGGCGGCGCCGCCGCTCGGAATAATACCTTCAACCCCGGTGCGCCTCAAGACATCTCACGACAGTCGCCTACAGTCAATGGCCATTCACCATCCACCAAACCTACATCCGCCGATCACACAACAATGTCGGGCTCTTACCAGGATCGCTACGAGCAGGTCAGCTAACTCCCACTCATCTGATATCGAATGTGAACCTCGAATTTTGGGAACGAACGGACTCTAATCTCCCTCTGCAGCTGAAACTCGACCGTGCAAAACAAAGACAAAGAGCTATCAGAGATGGACAGATGGCCGATCCCAATCAGCCCACGTCGCTGAAAAAGGCCATTCGGCCTGTGGGTACTTGCGCGAGCATGTGCCCCGAATTTGAGCGCGTGGAGCGTATTGTCCAGAAGATGGTGGATCGCAGCGAGAAGGTATATTGGATCCGCCATTTCTCATATCTAGTTGCGATGCTGACCACCTCCCTCCTAGCATCTGGATCCTGCGACAAATACCCTGCAGAACATGGAAGCTAAGATGCTGAAGCGGTTTCGACGTTCGGCGGCGGGCTACGACGAGCAACTCCCTTCTGATATTCGGACACCAAAGGCACTTTTACAATCGACGAACTACCTGATCCGGTATGTCGTCGGTGGGAACGAGACTCTCGGCATTGTACACAAATTTGTCTGGGATCGAACACGCTCCATCCGCAATGATTTCTCCGTTCAGCAAGTCACCCACGAAGCCGATGTTAAGGTCGCGGTGCTGTGCTTGGAGAGAATTGCTCGCTTCCACATCCTCTCGCTCCATCTACTTTCTAGCCCCGCGAACGAGGAGCAATTTGATCGCCACCAGGAACGCGAACAGCTCAACAACACCATGCTGTCGCTGATGTACTACTACGATGACAACCGTGGGCGTGTTCACTTCCCTAACGAGGAGGAGTTCCGCGCTTATTACATCATCTTCTCCATTCATGACCAACGACCTGACCTCGAAGCTCGCGTTCAAAAGTGGCCAGCAGTACTGCTCAACTCTCCTCGCGTCCAGGTAGCGTTGGAGTTGTATGCAGCGGCGTGCAATACGTGGGAATACCAGGGCACATTGGATGCAAGACGACCAAATGCCATTGCACAGGGCTTCTACACCCGCTTCTTCCACATCATCGACTCGCCCAGCGTGTCATACCTGATGGCATGTGTGGCGGAAATCTACTTTAATCATCTCCGACAAACTACGATCCGTGCCATTTGGAAAGCCTATTGCCGAGCTCCAGTGTCACAACAGCACAAGAATGAGGAGTGGACGGTGGAGCAGTTGACCAAGGTTCTATATCTTGACGACGACGAGCAGACGATCAAGTTCTGTGAAGACCAGGATCTACAGTTCGCCGAGAATGCCAATGGCGACATGTATCTCAACTGGGGTAACCGCCCAGTTGACTCTGTCGGTAAGTCCTCTTAAACATTACGACTCGCGCTGAGATCTATTACTTTCGCCCTTTCGTCCGATACGCCATCCCCTTTGCCCCGTCTAACTCCCCCATCTCTTAGGCTTCTCGCCGTCTTCTGAGCATGCTTTCTCGGAGACCTACGTTGAGTCAAAGCGTGCCGGTCGAAACTTGGTGGCCGTTATTCTCGGAATGTCTGTCCGAGAGGCTGCAGCTATGGGCATGATCGATGAGTCCGAAGTGCCCGAGCGCATGCAAGAATCCCCCATGCAAGCTTCTACTCCCATCGAAAACACTCTCTTCGTCAGCGACAAGGAAAACACGACTCCCGCTCCCACAGTGGAGATTGTCCCCACATCTCTAGACAGTGATGTATCACTCTCTGCTTCGCCCACGAAGAACGCCTTCAACCCCTTTCAACAACAGAAGCCAACGCCATCGCCATCCCCATCGCCTTTTGCGATTCCGACCCAGTCTCCTCAGCCTGCAGCACCGGAATTGGCAACCCAACCTCCAAACCCCTTCTCCTCCATGTTCTCCGGCACGCCAAGCAAGCCGGTGGAGTCGGCCCCGGTAAACCCATTCGCTCCTAAGCCTGTGTCTTCGCCTTCGCCTTTTGCTTTCCCGAAGCCAGCCGAGGCGACTCAGCCGGCGGCCGTATCGACAGCTCCTTCTATCGAATTCCCCAAGCCCGCAGCGACAGAAGTCGCTCAAGAGGGAACTCCTCCAATTCCTTCTCCCTTCTCCTTCCCCAAGCCTGCTGAAACGGGTGTGAAAGCTGGCACTCCCCCAGCTACCTCTCCCTTTACTTTCCCTAAACCGACTGCAACAACTGAAAAGAAGACCACGCCAGCAGCCTCACCCAACCCATTCGCTGCCTCTTTGTCTAATTTTGCGCCCCCGAAACCGTTCGAATCCGCCGAAGAAGCTGCTCCTTCCGGAATTGGGAAATCCCCATTCCCTACACCAGGGGCCAATGTAACAACCTCAAAAGCACCGGAGGTTTCGACCACTGCGCCATCACTTTTCAAGCCAGCCTTCCCTCAGCCTTCTACAAGCACTACTCCTTTCCCATCCACTTCATCGCCTTTCACATTCCCATCAACTACACCTCCAGTATCTGAAACTCCACCCACTGTTACGGAGGCTAGCTCGATCCAGGAAACCTCCACTTTCTTCGAGTCGGCTAAGCCATCCCCGTTCAGTGGATTCCCGCAGAAGTCCCTGTTCCAACCTCCAGAGGCACCTGCAGCCGAGGAGAAAAAGATCGAGGATGCCAAGGAGACATCCGTTCCTGTCTCCCAACCCAGCCAGCTCCCAACCACAGCGCCAAGTGCAACCCCAAAGCTTTTTGGTTCCACGGCAGGGCCCTCTGTCTTCTCTACGCTCCAGAATCAGAAGCCGTTGTTCCCTGCTCCAAGCTCCCTCGCAAGTCAGGATGCTGTGGCCGAGCCTTCCCCGATCCAAGGAAAGGAGTCGGTGTTTGCAAAGCCCGCAAAACCCAGGAAAGATGAAGCTGTCTTGCAAAAATTGCCACCGATAAAGGTTGCTGCAAAGAGTCCAGAACCGGTAGAGCCCGCTCTAACCGTTTCGCAGCTGGAGCAATCGAGATCCTCTCTCAGCTCAACTCAAAGCTCTGTCGACTCTGAGTCTCTCCAATGGCGAGCCCCTCAGACAGAAGAGGAGGAAGCCGCCCTGTTCAAGCGAATCATGAGGCGCGCTGAAGACAAGGCACAACGCAAGGAGGATAAGCTCAAGCGGAAGCGGGTTCGAGAAGAACAGGCCCTGGAAGATTCAACGCGTGAAGAACGTCTGAAAGTATCGAAGGTGTCAACCCCTGAAGAGTCACCTCCCCCGGCCAAGAAGTTCTCCCTTGCCGACTCGTCCATCAAAGCTCTGCCAACCCTGCCATGCCTAGAGAAGGCCAAGGCTCTTCTCGAGAAAAAGTCGGCTACTGCGGCAGATACTGAGACCGAGACCAGGAAGAAACGCCAACGCGAGATCGACGAGGACGAAATGCTCCTCAATTCTGCCCGCATCGTGGCCGAGCAGCTGCGTACTGGGCCTAAACTCTTCGACGATGTGTCTCCGCAAACTCTAGCTGAGCACAACGCATACCATGCGTACTGGGAAGAACGGGGCAAGCGCGCCCGCTCCTACAGCAACAGCATCAGCCCTTCCATCACGCCCTATGCGCAGAGTGCATCACCGCCACAGTTCCCACGCCATTCCTACGAGGTTGCGTACGCGCCCGATACCCCTCAGGGTCTGGGCCGGACGATGTCTCGTACCGAGTATCGCATCCGGATGACGGGTGGACATGGGTTGGCGTACAAGCCGCTGGACTTCTCACGATCCAACAGTCGAGGGAAAGACAAACTTCAGGACAACGAAAAGGACAAGGGCAAGAGCCGCTTTGCAATGAGTGGTTAGGAGTGGCAGGTATGAAGTTATTTGCATACAGTATGACATTTGCATAGTCTATTATGGGCGTTTCAGGATGAACTTATTTGATTTTACGATCGTGGCTACGGACATTGCATGGTGTTCGGGCGGGTCGAGAGTACATACCCGATATTCTTTTATTGTTATCCATTATTTACACTAGCCCGATATGTGATACCTTTTCACGGAGATAATGCACACTATTCTTCTTTCAATTTCTCGTGCCCATGGCTAAATTTAAATAATGACTTGAACCTGGTGTCTCAGGAACAGACTTTCCTTGGTTGGATGTGGAGACATTGGCATCCTCAGGCACCAACCACATCTCCATCAGGCCCGCATCCACGTATCGCCCTTCACTTCTCCATCTCCAGGCTATCCTCAGTATCGCGTATTTCAAATTTCTACGTGATCAATCAAACTAATGATCATTCAGAGATCTAAATTTCAAACATAAGAGCCACAAACCCTCGACAATCGACATCATTCTGGAACCCACAGCTGCCTCTGTCCGGCTTGGCCTGAGGACACTAGCCTTTCGGTCGAGCACAGGGTCCAACGCGTTATCCAGTGCTCAAATATTCGATCGGTGTCACATACGATTGAAATCAAACCAGAAACAGCCTCTGGGCTTCTCAAGAAGCTTCTCAAGCTCTCGTCTGCTGGGGATGAGAATCGCAACCCTGCAATTTGCCCCGAAGCTGGGTGATGTCGAGGGGAACATCAACAGGGCCAATGAACTGCTGAAGAGGGGCAAACATGTCTCCATTGATGGACAGACCCGCGGAATCGGGATTGGAATCGATCTTTTACGTCCTGATATCCTGGTATTGCCGGAGCTAGCTTTGACCGGTACGTACCTGTACTCCTTACGCATGCTTGGAACTCTCATTCCGTCTTTGCCCAGTCGACTCAAAAATGCATGACTTGCTGACAGCCATCTCCAGGGTACAACTTCCCTTCCAAGGAAGCAATCAAGCCATATCTAGAGTCTGCCGGGGCAGGCCCCAGCGCAACATGGGCGCGCGACACAGCCAAAAGCCTGCATTGCAAGGTCTGCATTGGATATCCAGAGATTGAGCACAGTGACGACGAGGCAGAACCCAAGTACTACAACTCGCTCCTCGTGGTTGATAAAACCGGTGCGGTGATCCACAACTACCGCAAGAGTTTCTTGTATTTCACCGACGAAACATGGGCTGCGGAAGGCAGCGTGGAGCTAGGATTCCGCAAGCTTGCATTTACACCGTGCGACGAGCCCGAGAGCAAGTCCAAGTCCACTACCATACCCACAGCAAGCCCAGTCCAGCAAGAAGTACCCACCTCATTTGGTATCTGCATGGACATCAACCCCTATAAATTCGAAGCACCATACACAGCCTACGAATTCGCCAACCGCGTGCTAGACTCCGGCTCACAGCTAGTCATTCTGTCAATGGCCTGGCTAACACTAATGGGCAAAGAAGACATTGCCGCGCTGAATGGCAAACCCGATATGGACACGTTCAGCTACTGGTTAAACCGGTTTATGCCCCTACTGGAGAAGAAGCTGCGGCACGAGGGGGATATCGACCGCCACACCGACAGCCCCGGCGCATCGAGCGAGCCCGGCACCAAGAGGACCGTGATTATCTTTGCCAATCGCGCCGGGGAGGAGCCGGCGGCAGATGATACCAAGTCAGCGGCGCGGTATGCGGGGACGAGTGCCGTCATTGCTGTGACGCAGCGGGCTCGGATGGTGGCATCGGGGTCGGGGTCGGGGTCACGGGTAGAGGGTGGGATCGACGGTGGAGAGGAGGGTGAGGGTGAGTGTGCTGTGGAGGCGAAGATCGCCTGCTGGGATCTTTTGGGGGCGGGGGAGGAAGGGATTTGTTTTGCGGATACTACGGCAGAGCCGAAAATGGTGTTTGGATTGAGGAGGAGAGGGGGGAGTGAGGAGAGTTCTGGAGAGGAGTCTGAGGGATCGGGATAGAATGTGAGACATCTTGGGACAGATCCTGTTTGATGTTTGGTGCGAGGCGGCGAGGTTAGCAAACGTACATTATGTTAGCAGGTAAAGATGGCTTGTTCTGTCAAGCTCTGGGTTTTGGTAGTGGACTGAGAAGGGTTGCCTGCTTTGCCTTGGAGAGCGTCCGCCGTGTTTGGGGGGTATAATGATTAGGAAAGAGTATTGATACCTCGATCTGATAGACATCTACGCTCATAAAATACCTACATCTTTTCTATCCAGTATATACTGAACATTCTATCTTAGGCCTTGTATACTCCTATATTGCTATACTTCTCCATCCAGACTGAATATCTCCGGATTCACCCGCTGATCTCCACCACTCTCCTACTCGCCAGCCCAGGATGATCGGATGGGAGATCGACTTCTGCAGCAACCACCCGGTACACCTTATTTCATGGTCTCATGATCGGGCGATCTGCTCTGCGGCTAGACTCGACCGGATCATCAAGGTGACATAGTTTGACAGAGTACGGAGGATTAGAAGTAAGAGGGGCCGGGCGGGTGCAACCCTCGGGCAGCAGGAGAATTACAGATGATGGAGGGTGGTCGAGGAGGGGTGTGTAGGTGTAAGAGTTTCTAGTGTGGGGAGGATCCCACATGTGATGCCTTCTGTTAGACTACTACTACTGTATGTAGTAACAATGTCAATCATGCAAGATTAAGTCTAGACGGTGCAGGACGGAAGATGGCATGCATTCCCCCGCGTTGCCTAATGACGGCGTTTCGAGGATTGTTTGGGAGTGGACTAGTATTGCTTGCTTTGCCAGAGCATCCATTATTATAGCGCTAGTAAGTAGTACGAAGTATAGAAAGGCAGAGATGATTCACCAGTCCACGGACTTGTAGAATTGATACTCTGCCATTCGCAGGGAATCAGGCCGATCGGTGGCCCGTGCGGGGCTGGGCTGGGTGATCAGCACGTGATTTGATGCCTGTGGACCAATCAGCAGGGAGAATGGCAGTGTGTGCGAGGGGGCACGGGATCCCAGCACCTGACTAGAAGCAGATGAAAGTACGCAGGTGTTGGAGGGCGATAAGGGTGAAGTTGAATCAGGACTTGAATGTTTGATTTTAGAAGAGAATGGAGTTTCCGAACATAATATTAGTAGATTATTCGAATACAGTCCGGAATCTTTTATCTTTTGACATGCATGCATTCCCGTTATGCTGCTGACATAAGGAGGTAGCATGCGGTCAGGTGATCCTCATCATCATTCTGCACTCTTGGTCGCTGTGGCCTCCCCCACTCCTCGCGCACCTCCTCCTCTTCCACGTGAGCAGTCCCTCTCGACTCGGTCGCTCCAACATCCCTAAAGAACATCCCTTTTTCCATGTAAAATCGCCTGATTTTGTTTCATGGTCGATCGGATTTGATTCTATACAATCCACGCACTCAAGCTTCTTTCCCCCTCTATTTTGGGGTCTCATTTCGTTTTGCGAGTTTCGACATCACGAAACAACGTGACTTTCGGTCTGTTATTGTCCGTGGCAGGTGACTTCCTGTCAGGTGATAGATAGGATCATCCAAGGTAACAACTCCCATCGGCCCTTGCTATCCCCTCCCCGCTGCATGGCTTCACGATGTGCGCTTTCCTTGTCGCGCGCTCTGCTCCCCAGCCCGCTCTACCTAATGCCATCGCCCCTTCCCTGCCGAACTGGCGATCGCCTCCTCGACGTGTGTGTCGACGGTCGCAAGCAGCCATGACGCGTCTCTGAGGTCGTCACAATGTCGTCGGCGGGACAGTCCTTGCCAGTCTCAGACTTCCAAAATGAAGCTTGATCGCGTCGCTGCCGTTGCTTGAGAAGCCTCCAACCGCGGTGCACTGAGATGGAACCTGTCCCGCCCGTGAGGGGGGGGCAATGCCTTTCGGGCGCGTCGGCTTTACGCGTTTTCGCTGTTTACTCCGAGGCAGGCCATTGATCCTACCGAGGAGGGTTGCAACCTGTCATTCGTGCACTAACCTTGCATCTCACACACTTTTTCCTCTTGCAATATACACTTTTGCCATAGGCGCTTTTTCGCTGGCTCACCCTTCGATGACTAACCTTCTCGCTGCTTAGGACTCTTCACTCTAGACCATGTCCGATCCCACCATGAACAGCCCAGACGGAGCCGGCGGCAAGCGCAAGCGCGAGGGTTCTGATGATCTTGGTCACGACGCACAGCGTCTGAATCGCTCGTCACACGGCAGCAACGGCAGCATGCCGGACAACCAGCACAACTTCGGCCACTCGATTGGCTACGACCACGGCCTTGGTAACGCAGGGTCCGAGTTGAACATCGACCAGCAAATTCTCCAGCACGTTGGCCCACAGAATGGACTTTCTGATGACAACGCTCTCACAGCCAATGCTAAAGCGGCGCTGGCCGCACATGCACCCCAGCACAAGTATCCTCCACCCCCGGATGCTGCCGCATTTGATGCGAACAATCTCACCCAGGGCCTGAACTTTGGCGATGATATGGGCCAGGGACCTATTCCTGGACCCCACAACCACAACTCTACTGCTGCCGCGGTGTATGCTGCCCGTGAGGCGCAAAGTATGAACCAGAAGCCCACTGTCGGTTCTCCCGAGTGGCACCAGATTCGGAAGAACAATCACAAAGAAGGTATTTCTCTCTCCCTTGCATAAGATTCCCTATTCCCCCATCTTGCTAACATCATTTTTAGTCGAGCGACGACGACGTGAAGCTATCAACGAGGGAATCAACCAGATCGCCCGCCTCGTACCAAACTGTGACAAGAATAAGGGTGCTATCTTGCAACGGGCCATCGAATATATTTGCCAGCTCCAAGAAGAGAAGAAGAACATCGATGAGCGGTTCGAGCAACACAGCCTCACTGCCAATCACGCCATCAACGAGATCAGTGCCTCCAACCAGAAGTTGAAGCAAGAGGTCAGCCGGCGCAATGCAATCGCAGCCAAGTGGCTTCAGCGCTGCCGCGATGCTGGCCTCGAGTTCGACGACTACGAAGAGGCCAAAGAACTCGATACCCTCGACGGGTTGGAGTGAGAGCGCCAACTCGGTCGGCTGGTTTAGGTTTCTCGTTCGTATGTGATGTGCTACGATCGTCTCGCTGCGTTTTTCGGTGGTTAAGATTTTGAACATACCCTCATTTCCGTTCTTCGATCTGGTTGTTCTGGGATCAGATTTTCTTTTTTTTTTTTCTTTCTAGCTTTCCTCGTTTTTCCCTGTGGAGTCAACCTTGACATGGCGGCTCTGCGATGTTACATCCCTTATTTTGACTTGTCTTACAGGCCATTCGGCTACAGTCTATTATTTCTGGCCGGCCTCCGCGGTAGTCGCGCAAGGTTTTTCTGCGCTGTGGCTTTGGCTTGGAGTGGCGTACTTCTGTTTTTGGACTTTAACTCTTGCCACCCACCTCCCCCTTCTCTGGTGTATGTTATCGCGCTTTTGTATCACGTTATTCTTTCATCGTTAATGGTTGAACCGGCGAATTTTATGGATTGGGTTGGGTTTGATGCCACGGTGCAGTGGGTACAATGCAAGTTTTTCTTTATTCTATATTCCTTCGTCAATCTATGTACGATTATCAGTATGCACGATGTGTAAGCGAGCAGTCTCTAGGTAGAGTGAAGGAAATTCCCGTCCAATTGTAGGTAGATTGTGACAATGCTATTTGACAGGTGGCTTTGTTTGGTGTGATTGCCCTCCAGAACCACGCCAGCTTCTTTAAAACCCCACTGATGTCCTGCTACCTCTCATCCTCTTCCACCTCCCACTTCTTCCATCAAATATATCATGATTCCTCCTCTCTCACTTCACCATGCCCGGCGCAATATACCCTCCCCCGGATTCCAATATACGCACCCTTGACGATGGACACCCAGGTCTACAAAAGATCCGGAAACCCTTAGGTGGCTGTGGGAAGATAGACAGAACACTCCTATAGCGAGAGAGAGGTAACGATGCCCAATTTTCTCACTGGCTTTCTTGGCAACACTCTGCTCCTGACTAGCCTGTTCTAACCGACTTCTGATAACAGTGTATACCTACCAGATCTCTACAACGCCGCCAGAAGCAGCGCAGCCAAGACCAGCCCAGTCGGTCAACTTGGACAGACTCAAGCCGTGAACATGATCCTCCAGGCCTGGCAAATTCCTGCACACGAGAACAGGAGGTACATCTGCGCCTGTCTTCGTGACAGCAGAGGATGCGTTCCTCAAGTGCAGAACCTACAAAAGAGGCTGGCTGGTGTGCGGTTCCTCATTTGACATGAAGATGATGCTTCGTTTCCCTGACCCCTTGGACCCTTCTTTGCTTATGACAATGTCTCCGGTGATATCCTGTGCAAAGATCACTTCATCTCACACCTTAATTCATTGAGAAAGGTATGTGAAGCTGGCATATACCGAGTTCACTTTATTGACCCTTGTTGGACAAATAGGAACCTCGTCGAGCTTGGAAGCGCACCTTTCGCAGGAAGTGAAGTGATGAGCAGAAATTGCCATACTGCCTTGAGAGGAGTTCGACTGCCAAGAGCTATTCGGTACGGAAAAGAAGGCAACGGCGCCGGCTAGAAGTGCACATAACAAGGACAGGATTCCCTGCCCCGACGCAGAAAATGATAGCTGTCCGGTTACCTTTACTACGGTAGGCCATGCGAAAAGCCACAAAGCCTCGTCGCAGATCCTGTCACCATTATAATACACTGACTGCGCAAGCCGAGACCGAGTGGAACTCCAAGATTGTGGTTGGAATTACCACGTCGTACCTGATTCATATCCTCTCTGGCAATCTGGGGGCAAATAATTAACAGCTGCGTCGATAAATGAAACGACAGGCAAAACGTTCTGGCTGAAAGGCCAAGTATTCTTTAATCATTGGTGAGAAAATGCCAAACCACACAATCAACAATCGACAAAGCCGCAGGTTTATCATATTGGCGGCCCTCCATATGGAGTTCTCTTTTCCTCAACCATAATATCCGCAATACAGATACATATACGCCTGTAGCAGAACGCACGAACAAGCGGTCACACCCAAAGACAGAACCGCGCGAATGAAATTACTGTGTGTTTTGCTGCACTCAATCTATGTCACGCCACCAAAGCTTTATGAGAGCTCGTGACAGACCTCTTGTGGAACTGCTCTACCTCTACTTGCGAAATTCTACCAGTCGGTGGATGGGCTATGCTAGCTCGTTACAATGCGCAGCTCCCTCTGTGTCTTGCGAGTGTGCGAGTGCACTTCCTACTTTCACTTCCAGCGTCACATCTGTATGGAGCACTGCCGCGGTCCAAATTCAGTTTCAGCGCCATCAAAAGTAGTCGAAAAGTTACTGGGAGGAGCGGCTCTCCCACGGTGGATGGATATCTACGATGTGCTCATAACGATGGCATCATTTTTCTCTGGACTGAGAATGAACTTCTGTCCTTGTGAGAGCTGCTGTGATTGGCTGCTCTTATCATTTTCTTGCTCTCTTTCTGGAAAAATCTTTCAACTTCCGCTCACCACTTGATATTCCGAAATAAGCTCTTGATGACTCGACTCCTGATCACTCGACCCCTCTAACCTCGATAGACCCTTTGGCATCGAGGGTCTTGTAGGATTCTGACCGGGTGTTTCCTGTCAGATCCAGGCCGGTTTCCGTACCTTTATGCTTAGGCCCTTATACACCTTCTTCTGTGTTCTCCAGATCTCTTGGTCTTCGTCAACTTGCTCTGAATAGACCAGTTGACTCAGTCTTCCCCTTTCCTTTCTCCGCTTCCCGTGCCAGCAGTGCCGTATGCGCTGTCAACTCTATATCAGGTTTGAAATAAACCTTACATTCTGACCTCTGGCTCTGAAGCGAGAGAAGGTGCCGACTTGAATTCAATTTACTTACACCTACACAGCAGGGTGTACTCGACACCTTTTTCAGCTGGCCTGCATTGAGAAATTGTAATGCATGGAAATATCTCGCTACGCAACAGCTAGATATTGACGTCGAGTCCGACTTCTGAAAAACCTAGTTGGGCCAGAAACCCGACTCCGTTCTTCCCTCCAGACGGCCTGGTGTCGATGTGCTGTTCATGGAAATTATATGGAGCACAGCTGCAATGCAACTTTAAGGTTGTGCCTTGTGCGCCTTTTACATTTGCAGCGTCTAGGGGTTTGAAGCAGCTCCCGATAGCGATGAGCTGCCCATGCGAGGTGTGTACTCCAGAGAACGCCAGTGCAACTTGGAAGTAGCCATACACGCGAGAAATAACCAACCTCTATCAGCAGGCTTCAAAATGCGAGTCCCTGGCTAAGTCTGTCCATCACACAAAGCTGAGTATTCGGCTTGTTTGGCCCACTGAACCTACCTAGCTAGGTAGTAACCAGGTTGATTAAGTTAGTTCCCAGGATAGCTCTAATCAACTCGCTACTTTTACGTCTTCAGTTTGGCTTGTACTAGGCTTGGATACTAGTCAATGGTCAAAGTGTTCTGTATCCTTCCATGTTCTATGTTTTACCGACCTATGAGCACTGTATTAGGAAACATGAATCTTGGAAACCGCGAGCTGTCGCTCCTCCTCTCTTATACACTCTGATCAACTCCTTCACACCTCACTATGATAAATCTGTATAGTTTAGAAACTTCAATTCTCTCTATTACTCCAACAACCCCCGTATATACTATACTCCAATGTACATCACATTCACAGGTTCGAAGAAGCAGTAATCTCCGAACCAGACGAGCACCCAACGCTGTTCACCACAACGGTAGCGCCAGACTGGCCCGTAACACGAACATCAACAGTGTCAACGCCGAATCCAGAAGACTGCTCAAAGTAGTTGTAAGAAGTACGGGTAGTGCTTTGCCAGGTGCTACCACCATCAGTGCTAACCTCGAGCTTGGTCACAGGCTCGTTGGCATTGACAACTTGCATCGAGAACCAGTACTGGGAAGTACCCTCCTTGTTCTTCAGCTTCAGGGGGCCGGAGAGGTCGCAGGATGTGTATTCCCAGGTGATGTCGATGATGCCGGCGGAGATGTCGGAGAGCTCGGCGAAGGCGTTCTGGAAGAGATCGAGGTGGCTGGCGGCGCATTCGGGGCATTGGTCGACGATCTGTTTGGTGGTTGTTAGTATATGGATCCGTGGATGGAGTTCAATTGTGACATACCATAGCCTTAATGGTGTTGCCCTTGGGTCCAGTGACGGAAACGCAAGCACCGCACTCGGCAGCATTGTTCCAGGCAGCGCCAGAGAAGGCAGTACCGAAAAGACCGCTGGGCAAGGTGTATCCGGAGAAAGAGCAGGTTCCACCAGCAACGTTGCCGCCGTAGAAGGTAGCTTCACCGGAAGTGGAGCCAGAGGAGGAAGAAGTAGAAGACTTGGTGGAGGTGTTGGAAGACGAAGAAGAGGTGCTGGCAGCAGCTTGGGCTGTGGAAGTAGCAGCCTCCTGGCTGGTGGAAGAAGTAGCAGCCGCAGCAACAGCGTTCTCAGTTGACAGCTCGGCGACGACAGCAACAGTGGCCTGGGTAGGAGCGGCGACGGGGGCCTCGCTAGTCGGCACGGGGGTAGAAGAGGTAGTCGAAGCGGCATCAGCGCCAACAGCAGTGGTAGTGTCGACAGGAGCTGCGGTGTCCACGACAGCCACAGGCGAGGACGTGGAGGTAATCTCTGGAGCAGCCGAAGTAGTGGAAGTCAGGTACACAGTGCTATAGCTAGTATAGACGGACACAGTGTAGCCCTTGGGGCACTGATTGTGCTCATGACGCCCGCCCAAGTGCTTAGCAGAGACAGTAGCAGCAGCACCGAAGAGGACGGCGCCGAGAGAAGCGAGACGTTGGTACTTCATTGTGTAGAATTGGATTTCAGAAGTCCGGCTGAACAAAGTATATCAATGATAAGACAAAAAGTTGTATGTCGCAGCTACTGAAGCAATTGAATGAGAGACTAATAGCACGATTCCCGAGCTAGAAAGAATGGACGTCTGGATATCGAATCCCAGACTTGGAAAAGAATGGCAAGACTGTCGCAGACAGATGAGTGTAAGAAACGAAAGAGAAAACAACGAGAGAAGGGAGAAAGAAGTCAGAAAGGGACAGAACTAATCATCATAAATCATCGTCAATTTAGGCACAATAATAAGCCCACCAATCTAGAACCCCGTTGGAGGGGTCACATAATTTACGTCGGGAGCGACTAAAAGAAATGAAATCGAGACACTTGAAACACGCGTGGATCCATCGCGCCTTGTCTGATGCTCGGAAGAAGCCGAAAACGGTGCGATCCGTGCCTGACCGGGTTTAGTTCGCTTTAGTTTATTGGGGTGGAGATGCTGCTCGGAGAAATTGATTAAGTGGAAATGACGCTAAGACACGACTGCAATGTATCCTGGTTCGACGTTGCGCATGGGAAGATGGGGCCAAAATTGATTTCGTAAGGTCCAAAGGGGACCACCGCTTTCTAAATAACTGAATGATGCCAAAGATAGCAAAAAAGGGTCCAAGACTCCAAGGCTGTGGCCCGGCGAGCAAAATAATCAACTATCGCGCATCCCACATTATCTCGTTCAGGCGTAATAGCGCATCAGCGCTGGCCTTCTTCGCTGCCATAAAGTCCTCCCGACTCTCGGCACCCCGAGGCCCACGCGAAATCTCCGAGAAGCACAAGTCCACAAGAACTCGGAGCTCATCATAAGTGAAGGGTTCTCCGTTGCCAGCGGCCAGAGCTTTATCGCCCTGTGCTGCGAACGCCTCCTTCTCCTCTTTGGCGTAGTCCAAGGCCTTCTCCGCCCCCTCTAGGAACCAGTCCAAGAACTTGGCACTTCTCGGCAGCGCCACCACCTCCTGAGATACAGACTCGTTTCCTTCTGTCGCAGCGGGATCAATGATGATGTTCTTCAAGTTTTGCTGTAGAACAAGAACATCCAGCTGTAGACGGAGAGCACCGTTCTCGTTCATGGCACCAATATAACGGGTGCATGCCACAAACACGCGATCGATGAATCGTGCCAGGCCTGACGCAATAAACCAGTGCTCAGCGGAGCCCAAGTAGGTGGAAATGTTGGTATCGAAACTGATCAGGTCTCCATTCAATTGGAGAATCGTGGGTGATGCTGCGGTCGGTTGATTCATAATGATATGCCACCAGTTCTCGGTTGAGCCAGGAGATGGCGTCAGGGGTACAGAATCCCGTACGGTCGGCGGGTTGGGACCCGACATGGTTTTTGTCAGCATGTGAATAATACCACATCGAATGTCGACGTGCATTGTCAAGAGAGCGTTGGATCCAAGCCCATGGAGGGACTGGAGAGTCTGATCGAAGGCTGCAGCCGTTTCACGATTCAGCGGCAAGTATACAGGCGTGTTGATGCTGTCATGCTTGGGCTTCATGGCTCCAAAGAGAGTCCATCGGCGAGATGGTCGACCATTCGCGGTCACGGCTGACGGATCTGACTCTGTTGATGAATCGACGACCAGTCTGATCTTCGAAAGGTGGCTTCCAAGCCATTGCTATAGTAGATGATAAGCGACTGGGGTCAAGTGTATAGAGGTAGAGTCGAGCGAATTTTACTCACCATGCTGTTATACAAAAGCGACAACGCAACAACGGTCTTAGGATCCGATATGATATCATATGGCTCCAGGGGAACCTGATCAGTCCGCTTGAGAAGAAGATCGATTTCCTACACTTGTCAGTTTGAATCAATGCAAAAATTTATTCGTATGGCAGTGAATATCTTACAGTATCGATGAGAGTCTGCTTCTTCGCACCGGCTCCTTTCCATAGCTCTTCAACCACGTCACGGATGTCACCGGACTCGGCAAACGAAGCCGCAGCTTTCAATCGTACTTCGCCGCCGTGGTTCCGCGCAGACACCTTTGTAACCATCGCTATTTTAACCATTAATATAGGGGCCTAAAAGTACTTCACAGTTTGATTGTAGCTTACCCTTGTACCACCCGCAGCACTTGTCGTAGTAAGTCACGATCTGGTCGATTAGGAGCTGCGTAAATGCCTGATCGTGCGGAATGCTAGACAACATCTTGCTAAACTCTCGGACGATAGACATGAATTTGACCGTACCCTATGTGATATGTTGGTTAAAATTTTTTGGCAATATTTCCATGGAATTTCAGACTTACCTTGAAAATGGGCCGTGGCGAGACCTTGGTCCATTGCGGGTCTTCGGTAAATGCGTCAGCAGCGATGAAGCTGAGCGTGCATAGATCGGTTATAGTCTCGTCCAACTGAGGGAGAAAGACGTTAACCATGAAGTCATCGAGGAAAGACGTCAGGGTGCTCATGGAGATATCTGAGTCAACAGGCACGATATCCTTGAGACGTTGGATGAAGGACAGTGATGACGGTAGGAGAAGTCTCATGTTGAAAACACTAGGCTCAAGCAGGATCTTATGGCCAGTTCCTGAATTGCCCTGTCTCGAGGGAGAAGCATCGTTTACAGACGTCTTTTGCCGCGTCTTGGATACTAGACCTGGAACAGATAGCTGGAGGATCTCGTCCAATTCATCTTGCTCGGCCTTCATCTCCGAGCTCTGCTCAATGTCGGATAGTTTGAACATTTTCTTGTTCCTGTCCCGGTTACCCCCAGTAAGGTGTCGTCGAGCATCTGCCTCATCCCCTCTAGACCTGAAAGATGTCTCTCCATCAGTTGCAAGATAATCATGAAGCAATGACCGAATTTCGCTTTGCAGGAGTTTCCACAATTCCTTGAATCCACCAGAGAGTGTCGCGCTTTTAACAACGCCCTCACGTCCGACAATGGCTGCAATCACGTCATGCACAACTCGGTGACCCTCGGCAATAGATTCGAACTTTGCATACAGAGCCCAAAGGTACTCGGTCAGCACATGGCCACGTTCCTCGATAGTTTCCGTTGGTAGGTTGGACTTGAGCTGGTTATCGTGGGACGAGAATGTCCGGTTCGGAGTAGGATAGCGAGCATCAACTTCGGCATTTGTCTTGTCAACGACTGCGAAAAGCTCGACCGGTAGACGTTGCGCAATTCGATCCACGGCAGTGTCAAGATGACCCATCTTATTCAGTGCTTCAATCAGCAGCTGAATGTATGAGAAGGTATCTGCCTCGGGATTTCGAGACGCATCCTCAACCATTGGAGTTGTTGCGTCAAACTTGGCCAAGAAACTGTATACGGGTCGTTCCCATGAGCGATTTCCCGTCCAACTGCTGGGATTAGATTCTCCTTCCCCGACCGGCGCCTTCCATCGGTCCGAGCAATACGGAGATTTCAAGTATAGGTGATCATGCAGCTCCTCAATCAAGATGTCTGTCAAAGAAGTTTCCTGGTTGTTGAAGTATGCACGAACGTCCGAGAGAGCACCAATCTCTTCGAGCTCTGAGCGGCGGAGTAACCGGAGCCCAGTGTGCAAGACCTCAACTGCTGCAAGGAAGCGCTTGTCAGAGATGCGGGATTCGAGCTTCTCGGGGAGTGACTGGATCTCCTCGATCTGGGCAAACAGTTGCAAAATGTCGTCGTAATTCTGCGAAGAAGTAGCCAACCCCTTCAGCTCTGGCTTCGTGGACAACAATCCTGACTTTGCCTCCTCCAGGGAGTTCCTCAGATTGCGCACTCGCCCTTGAGAGCTCGAGATATTAGACTGGATCATGTGGTACGTTCCGATAGAACTATTAAAGCCCTGGTGGTGCTCGTTCACAATCGCCTTGAGCGTTCTCTGAATCTGGTTATACATGTTGATGAAATCCGGTTCTCGGTCTGCCTTGCCCAAGGTGCTTGTATCCATCAGACTGAGGGCGACCTGCACGGGGATGCATTCGGCATCGGTCATAAAATCCCAATCGTGTTGAATAGACTCGAGGACGTCTGAAGACACAACAGGATATCAGTAAACACAACCCTATTCGGTAACATATAGCTGCAAGCGAAAATGCGCTCATAAGCCCAGACGAACCTTCAACAGATCGCATTTCAGCCGTATTGCTCTGCATCACCCTGGTATCAGGTACTGGCTCTCGACTCCTGCTCTCTTGGTAGCGCTGAGCCTCGCGGGTGCGATCATCCCTCGTACCCTGATACCTCCTATCCGCCTCACCATTCCTTGTTCGTGACCGCGAGGTAGACTGTGCTGGCTGCTGCTGCCGATCTCGATCTGCCCGATCGCGCCGGCGCTCCGGGGACGGTGGTCCCGGAGGTGCAAGAGATGGCTGCTGGGTAGACTCAGGATAGAATCCACCATAGCCACCGGGGCGGCGATCGTGATTCCCCCTTCTATCCCCCCCTGCCCCGCCTCCTGTACTCCCGGAGCCTCGGTCATTGTATCCGTTCCCCCCAATGTTGCCATTGCTGTAGCTGCTATCACCAGTGTCATACCGGCTGGCGCCGGGTTGCCCAGGGCCGTAGCCGTAGCCGTAGCCGCTTCCCCCACTCATTCCCAAGATTTCAGATCAGTATCGAAATGTGCGGGGACCGATTGGGGAAGTTGTTCGTTGGCTACGACAAGGGGCGTGGGGCGGATGGGTTGTGAGTGGGTGTGGATTCGAGTCTTCAGGTAATGTGGCTTCTGCGCGGCGAGTGTGTGAGGTTGATAGTGACCATTCTTAGGTGCGCGATTGGGTGCACCACTTAGGACAACAATGTCAGGATGTTCGTGGGGGAGGAATGGCTGAACAGCGTTGGGCGCGGGATGGGGAAGTTCCAAGTGTTCGGAGGGCCCACATAAGCTTGTCGTGGGCCGCATTCCGCGGGCCAGGTAGCACCAAAGAGGTGGTATACTAAGTAAGAGACAGAACTCAGAATTCCGACTTTACAAACATGTTGTCTATCTATGCAACGGAAATTTACGGAGCTAGAGCTAAATTTACGCTGAGGAAACGCCATACTCTCTTCATTGGCCCAGTCCTCCATCACTTGCTATTAACCCTCAAGCAGACCCGGCGAGAACAAGCGGATGGAGACACGCATGCATATGCGAGGTCTGTTCAAGAGAAGAATTTTGTATATGAAGGTATCCGAACGTAATAGACAATGTGCTTGTCATCTCCGCACCAGCGAGATCCCCCATCTCCCATCCTCGTTTTAAATAACAACAGGCCCCTGGCAGTGTTCTACTTCGAGATGGGCTGGGTCTCGCGCTCAAGCCACTTCCGCGACAGCTCATCCTCGTTGAAGTAGTGGTGCGTCTTGTCCCAGACCTCAGCGTGGTAATCGTTCACCCACTTGAGCTCGGCATCGGTCAACAGAGAGGGCTCGATGAGATTGCGGCCAATGGGAGTCATGGTAACGTGCTCGAAGCCGAGCCACTGCTTGTCACCAAACTTGTGGGGGGTGTTGACCTCACGGGCCATGACAATGTCTGCAAAACAATTAGTATTCGTTGGTTGTGGACAGAGTAGTGAGACTTACTCTCAATGCGAATGCCGAACTTGCCGTCCTCGTAGTATCCGGGTTCTAGGATCATTGGTCAGTATCTTCGTAGAGCTGCAAGGAAATGGGGCTTCTTACCATCCGAAATGACGTTTCCGGCAGCAATGGGAACCTCGGTGTACTGGACGCGGGTACCGATGCCCATGGGGCCCTCGTGGACGTTCTAATATAGGTCAGCATGCTGTCAATACAACATCGGGGGTTCTCCGTTTAATCACCAGGTAGGAGCCAACACCGTGGCCAGTGCCGTGGAGATAGTCCAGGCCTTCCTTCCACAGGAACTGGCGAGCCAATACATCAATAGCAAAGCCACTGGTGCCCTTGGGGAACACAGCGGTGTCAATGGCAATGAGACCCTTCAGAACCAAGGTGAATGCCTGCTTCTCGAACTCGGTAGGCTGGCCGAAGTGGAATGTGCGGGTGGTGTCAGTGGTTCCATCCAGGTACTGACAGCCAGAGTCACAGAGATAAATGGCAGTGGGGTCAATAATCGAGCAGCTTCCCTTCTCGGGCTTGTAGTGAATCACGGCGCCATTGGGGCCGGTAGAAGAGATGGTATCGAATGACAGACCAGCAAAGAGCTCGTGCTTGGTGCGAATCTGCTCCAGCTTATCGGCAGCATCGACTTCATCCAGGACAGTCTTCTTGTTAACCAGCTCATTCTCAAGCCAGGCAAAGTACTCGGTCAAGGCAGCGCCATCACGAATGTGACAGGCGCGCATGCCCTCCAGCTCAGCCTCGTTCTTGACGGCCTTGGCATCACCGATGGGGCTGCGAGTCTCCTCAACCTGTTCCTCTCCACCAAGGTTGAGGCTCAGAGCCCAAGAGGCCTTGTTGGACAGGAGGAACTTCTTAGGTGCCTCATCAGTTGACTGGCTGCGCGCCGTGCTGAGAGCCTTGGCGTCAGCGAAGATGGAATCGTATGGCTTAACAATCACGTCCTGTCCCAACTGAGCGGTCACCTCTGGGGTAAGCTTGTCCGCCTCGACGTAAAGCTCGGCGGTATTAGGGGTGATGATAGCGTATGAGAAGAACACAGGGTTATAGGGGATGCTGTTTCAAGTCAGCGGCTGCCCATGATTCACTTCCGTTGGCGAGAAATCCTTACTCGCTTCCTCTCAGGTTGAACAACCACGCGATCTCATCAAGCATGGCTGGCATTCACGGTTAGCGGGCGGGCATTATATATGAGAGTGGGACCACCATACAGATCACGATTCCGGCCTTTTTCTTCGTCTCCAGCTCCTTGCGCAGCTCGGCCACCTTCTCCTGGAACGGCTTGCCGGCATACTTCACCGGGTGTACGCGCACCTTCTCACGAGGCCGCGAGGGACGGTCCTTGCCCCAAACCAGGTCGACCAAGTTCTGTTGAATTCCCACCAAAGACGATCCATTCTTCTCGAGAGTCTCCGCAAGCTTGCGCGCGCCGGCTGAGTAACGGTGGTTGTCAGTGGTGAAACTTGCAAAAGATAAGAATTCTGCTTACAGGCCGTGATCAAGGATGGGTCAACACCCACGGCCTTGCCGCCCTGAGCCTGCTCGGTCGTCCTATAGCATTATTCAGTATCATGTCCAAGCTCCGTCGAAGTATCGCCCATACCATTCCTGCCAGGTGGGGACGCCCTCAATGCCCCGCTTCAGAAGGTGCCAATTGCTATCCAGCTGCTTCGCGGCTTGGTTGAAGTAGCGTCCATCGGTGGAGAGGGCAGCTTTGCTTAGGGAGATGATCGCAGTACCGGCGGAGCCAGAGAAACCGGAAATGAATTCTGCAATTGAAGAAATAGTGAGTCGCCAGACTGGGAAGATCAAAAGGGCTGGTGATCGCTAACCTCGGCGTCCGTCGCAGGGTGCAATGTACTCGGACTGGTGGCTATCTTCTGAGGGAACGACTTTAAGAAAAGTGTTAGCAGGATCCTCGGGAATATGTAAACGCTGCCGAACAGAGATGGCGAATGTAGTGACATACTGTAAACATCCACCTTGTGCTCCTTCATCAGCTGTCGCAACTGCGACAGCCGATCTGTCGTGTCCACAGTCCCCATGTCGATTATAAACCGAGGACGTGAATTGGAGAAGAACCTTGAAGGTTGGAGGGGACTCAACGATCGCAGGGGTGTCCGGGGTAGGCGAATCGTGCGGGAGAGGAGCATGGACGCCGTCACAGTAAAAATGCGCGACAGAGGGAAAAAGGTGATGAGCCTCGCGGGGGGAGGAGAACCTAAAAGGAGGGGTGACCGATGATAAAGCCGGTTGATAACGAGCTCGGGGTGGCTACAGTCGGACCGGTCGTGTGAGTGGCCTCTGGTATCTGTTGCAAGCGGCGAGGTTGCTCATAGGGCGACGATAGCCGGTCAACTCATCCACCGGCCCACTCTGCCCGTGTTGTCATGTTTGCAATTGTGGAGCGATTCCATTTCAAAGCAGCATGATATCAAATGCTGTTGGAGGAGCTGTGAGGTCAAACGGTTTAATAAAGTAACTCTAAGATGCAAATTCGATAAACAAAGACTCGACAGGCGGTCTTTGTCCCGTGACCGCTAGCTCAGACGATGCCTTGATTCCATCAACTACCAGGACCTGTCGCGTATATATCATGCAAAACATCCAAAGTTGCATAATATCATAACAAAACACTTTCAAATGCTAGATGAAATTAACTATATCTATGCGAAACCCGAGCAACAGTCCTTAACCTTGTCTCCTACCTAAACGTCTTCCTTTCTGTCTATTCAATCATCAAACACCGTCTTTCTCGGACGCTACTCAACATCCATAGGTATGAGTTGCTATTACTAAACTCTAACTTCCTGGGCTCTCTCTCTCTCTCTCTCTCTCTCTCCTCTAATCTTTCGTCACCTGCTAGCATCAACTTGACCACTTTTGATCAGTGTCAGCTCAACATCCCTACCGACCCGATGTGCAGTCGCTTTCCGCAGTCTTTTCTTCTTAGTATCGCAATTGGGGAGAAATGATACTCGACTCTCTGAAACCCCCAATCAGAGCACGCTAGCGGAATTACCTGTCGAGCTATTGCCGTTATTATCCGATTACCTCCCTCTGATTGATGTGGTCTGCGTCTCCCTGTGCAACCATCGTCACTTTGCTGTGTTACACCGCCGGAATCACTCCATGCTGCCATAAGGAAGAAACAAACTTCCCCTTTTGAATTGCCTGGAACGAGATCTCTCGAATTACTTTATTTGCTACGTTTGTCACCTTTTTCACAAATATGATGCCACGAAAGACTTTGGTCCCCGCTCGATCTTTGAGGATGACGCCGATCATCTTTTGTGCTTATCAAAATGGAGTCATCATCCGTTACTAGCGTTGAAATTCAGTGCGAGTCCGTAGTGCAATGTCTGTTACCAAGTTTACTTCCTACACCTCCAGCTTTCCATGAAGAGATTCTATCATGGTCCGCAGTTTGGAATCAGCACGGAGGCTATATGCTACACTCAAGTTCAATGCTACCCCGAAAAGTCTGCTAGTCCGGACAAGACCTCGCTGTTTTCGATCGACGCACAGATTTGTGGTGAGCCTCCGGGTCTTGCTCTACGGATTCAAGAAATACTGTCTGTTCCCAGTCATACAGGATATCTATTGTATTGCAACCCAAGTGCACCACGTCAAACATGGGGGGAACCTCCCTTAACTATGTTTATTTGCATGCACGTCCCTCGGAAAGAGCTTGCCAGGTTGATCAACCCCGCTGTGAGGGCTTACTGAGCCAGGAAACATGCTTCTTTATCCAATTATACGTGTGGCCGGTGCAAAACAGAGTTTTGTATCGAAGTTTGCGAATATGGGACCAGGCCGGCCCTGATCATCACCAAGTGGTTCAACCTCGGTGCTAGTTTATCTCCAAAAGATCCCCATTGGAAACGACATGCCAAATTATCGGAACGTGTCCATACGGGCAAAGTGAGATCGAGAACATGTCATGAAAAGACCAGCGGTCGAGTCTATTTTGAAAATGCGTCACCTCGATCGTCAGAAGAGTTGCGGTCCTGCAATCTTGCCTATCTCACAGAAGACAGGCTCAAAAAGGTTATGTATAGAAATTGGATAGGAACGCTTGGGTATATACCTCGCAAATCAAGCTGGTGGTTCTCACCGGGACTTTCAATACAACCCAAAAACTAGCTTTTGTTCCGAAGTAGATTGAATCCAAATTCCTGCACTTAAAAGACCGGTTTCAAATCTCTCAGACCCATGATGCCATGTTGCGAGTCAACCTTCACACGACAGGCTATTCTATTTTGGGATTTAGTGGAGAATAGGCACACAGGATCCTTGATATCTAGACTGAAGAAACGGTTTTGCAATATGGACATACATACTTTAATTTTGCCTTTTATAAAAGATCTTTCTGAATGTCTTTTGAACAGTCCTTCTAATATCTAAAGTAAAAAGCTAAGTAGGTATGACAAGGATATCTAGGTCTTCCATGCATCTGTTATCCGATATATCCGAATTTGGATTAGTCTGTCTTGCGAAAGCACTTGGAAGTTGGCACGCGAGTAGCCTCAGCCGAACTTTTAAGTCGATGAGCGCGTATATCACGTGACCTATCGAATTGATTCCGTCTCTCGGGAACTGCCTAGATTTTAGGAGGGTGTTGTAGCTAAAATTAATAGCACAGTAATACATCAGTTCACTGGGTTTGGCCTACAGTGTTTCTCCCGGATAGGATTGAGGATGTACAGATAGCCAATCATACCTCTCCAGCAGGCGGCAGTCTGTTGACATGTTTCCGCGTCAGGCGTAGCCCCGCACCGCCACAGGAGGCGGTGCACGTCACGAAAAATAAAAATAACATCCCTTTGGCGCCTAACTTGGTCTTGGTCGACTCGACGGACGGTGCTCCAAGTGGAGTTGCGAGTCTGGCGAGGCATTCCTGGGTGCCTCATCGCATAGCGGGCGGCTCAAAGTCCCTGGAGGGTCATCTTTCTGTCTATTAGTCTCTTCAAACTAGATCTACTTCATCACCTACTCACGGTTATATCTCAGTCTCACTTTTCTCCAACTCAAACCTGCGCATGCCTCAGATTTCAAATACTCCAGAATCTGTGCTGCCACGCTCAGATTCACGAAATCCTGCTACCACATGTAGAGGCATCACGACTCAAGGCCGGCCTTGTCGCCGCGCTTTAGCTTCTTCTCCGACTTCATCGCCAGCCTCAACGCCTCAAAAGAAAGGTGCTCGCAATGGAGTACCTGATATGGCTTCCTTGTACTGCTGGCAGCATAAGGATCAAGCAGGGTCCTCAAATACTGCTTTTCATGACACTATCACTCCGGTGAAGCCGAGGACTAGTATCGACACGCTGATGGACAGACTCGGCGTCCTCGAGATTAATGATAAGCCGCTTCGCAAGAGACCACAGAAGCAGAGGACGAGCCAAAGTGGCTGCAGTGAAAAGCGTCGCCCCAGGAGAACGTTCTGCTGTTTCGAGATCGTGGACGATGCTGAAGATCATAGGCCATCAGCCCCTGTTCCAAGGCCTGCACATACTCGACACTCACAGGGCCAGTGGCAACGGCCTATTTCAAATCCACGACCGCAGCAGATAAGAGTGTTTTCAACAACACAGCAGCTGTCTGCTCCACAGACTCCAACGCGGCCCTCTCTCCCCAACAACCGACACTCGTCATCATCCTCGCATACTCCATCTCTACTATCATGGATTCCTAAAACTCTCTCGCCGCAAACGACATCTGTCCTTCTCACAGAGCTGGCCAAGCCTATCTCCAACGCTGATGACGAGGGCTACATCTACATGTTCTGGGTGACTCCCCAAAGTACTGCTAAGAACGCACAGCCGCCACTTCCAAGGGATATCGCATCTTCAATCCTACCCTCCGCCCCGCAGACGCATGACGGTCTCAGACCACCAGCTCAACCTCGCAGCGTGAGCGATGCTCTACGCGCAGCCAAAGATCTGAACGCTCTAGCGACCAATCCAACATCAACCACTCCAGGATCTATCCGATTGAAAATCGGCCGCACAAGTAACGTGCACCGTCGCCTTGCCGAGTGGACACGGCAATGCTCTCACAATTTGACTTTGATTCGTTACTACCCTTACACTCCGTCGTCTGCATCTTCTTCTCCTGCGAGGGTCCCCGCGTCTCGGCAAAGGGCTCGTAGCAATGCTAGTCTGGCGACGTCTCTCCTACCAGGGAGGAAGGTCCCGCATGTTCATCGTGTGGAACGACTGATTCACCTTGAGCTAGCTGATTTGCGAGTGCGTGATTTGGGCCGCTGTGATGAGTGTGGGAAGGAGCATCGGGAGTGGTTTGAAGTTCAGGCGGCCAAGGAAGCACTGCGGAGGGTTGATGAATGTGTACGACGGTGGGTCTCGTGGGGAGAGTCCATGGCATGAAGGCTTTGCATTTTATGAAGCATGAGCATAAGCATATTGCATATTGCGTGCGTTGATTTATCTTATTATAGACACTCAAAGGGAAAATGACTACTCCATCAGTTTCATGACGATGAGCCACGATTAAGAGCTAGTAGTAGTATTTACAACTTGATGAGACGACGAAGGAAACCCTTCTGGCTAGATATGTAGTTCGGAGGCAACAAGTGTTCCACTCCTGCCGTGTTGAGGTACGTTGGTGAAGCATCGCGCATCAAATCCGTCATACCCACCAGCTGCGCGGATGTTTGTATCTCCTCCTTGAGTACTATCGAAAAGTCAGTGTTCGTGTTCGTGTTCGTCCAAACTTAACAGTCAAACGTACATTCAACCGCATGCCCCACCCCCTCCTGTCCATATCCCAGTGCGTACTGGAATGGTCTACCCAGGCCCACGGCCGAGGCGCCGAGACAAATAGCCTTCACAACATCCGAACCACGGCGGAAGCCTCCATCCACCAACACCTTGATCTTACCAAATATCTCTGGGCAGTAACGATGGATCTCCAGAAGAATTAATATAGCCGGTGGAGCCGTATCCGCAGCCCGACCTCCATGGTTGCTGATAACGATTCCGTCAAATCCAGCTTGCACCGCCAACAGAGCATCCTCGGCACGTTGAACACCTTTGACAAGAATCGGAAGATTGGTGATGCTTCTCAGCCATTTCAGATCTTTCCAGCTCAGCGTAGAGTCGATCATAGAGCTATTAGATTTGGCCAGACCAGCGCTCTTCTTTCCAACATGCTTACTGCCTTCCGTCACTTTGACCAGGACAGCATTTCCCTCCGGCTTGATACGTTCATCTGCCTCTCGCTTCGACATGACAGGTAAATCGGCCGTCACAAACAGTGCCTTAACCTTATCCGACTCCTGCGCTAGACGAACAAGCGCTTCCGTCTTTGGTCGGTCTTTGTTGATGTAGAGCTGGTAGAACACTGGTTTGGAGGTCACTTCGAGGATTTCCGACAAAGAGTACGAGCTCATCGTAGATAGGCAATACGGAATCCCAGAGTTGGCGGCGCCGCGAGCAAGTGCCAACTCGCCCTCTTCGAATACCGTCTTTGCAGCGCCGACGGGTGAGATGTAGACGGGGATATCGAGGTCACATCCGAATAAGGTAGACCTGAGATTGACATTTGACACATTGCGCATGATAGCTGGGCGGAACCAAATGTCTCTGAAAAAAGACCGATTTGCATCTCGCGTGAAGTTATCATTTGCCGCTCCGCTGTTATATGCCCACGACTTTGGGCTGAGGGTGTTCATGGCGACATGCTCGAAGTCGTCAAGATTGATGATATCTTCCAAAAGTGGTTTTTGGTATGTCACGTCGGCCGGGTTGAAGGCTTTTCGTTGCTCTGTTTCCTCTTTGCTCCATTCTCCCGTGATGGTGCTGGTGTCCAGCTCACCAATAACATGATCGTCAAGCTCCTTGATCAACGACGGCGAGTGAGTGCTATTGTATGGTTTCGATGCATCCCGACCGGCAAAATGGTAGATAACTAACTTAGTTAGACACGATCCATAACTTGAGATCAGTTTTTATCTTACTGTCGGCGCCACCAGGGTGGTTTGGTGCAAATTTGGTCACATCGTAGACTTTGCCATTGACGACGATCCAAACGTCTTCTTCGCTGGCATGTTGGGAAATCTCATGCGTGGATACTTTCCTCGTCATTTTAGATTCTCGATCATACAGGCTTTGACTGTCTGTTCCTTTTCAGGGTGATTGTTATCTCGGCAATGGGCAGCTCTGGATTTGAAATGGGAACTTATCCGCTCGGCCTGGGCGCAAAGTTAAATCCGTGAAGGCGCGGGGAAGGTCGAACACCGTGGCGGAATGGCATCGGAATGGCACCGCAGTCACAAAGATAAGGAACAATAGCACCCCGGTAGATTGCAATAAATGCTGAATATTTGGACGGGGGCTTTATGGATACTACTATCAAAGTAGAAAAAATGTCTCAAATCGGGATTAGGCCTTTATGGGTCCATTGTTTATTCTTGGTTTCAACCATTGGACCCATTCAGGCCATCGGGTGCTTAAGGTCCCATGAAAGAAATACATTTCTCATTGAAAGCCTAAATAATCACTCTGGGACTTCGCGAAGACGGAATTCGAACATCTTGTTAGACGCAACCGAGTTCCTATCCCTCATCTTTTCGGCCGACTCGATCCCAACCACTGGCACACGATACTCAAATTGCTTGCCTGGGCCCGGCTTGCTTCCGTCGGGTAAAGCATATGGGTATGGTAGATACTCGGGCATCAATCCAACCTGTTTAAGCACTGTCCCTTGGTCCCAGGAGATATGCTCATGGTAGAGTCTGTCTCCTCGGACGTTAACAACGGCTGTGAAGGGAACTTCCACGTATTTGTTTGTCGGAGGAACTCCGGGAAGTCTACAATTTGTAACAATTAGCATCAAAAATGAGAGAATTTATTCGTTTGACTTACAGCCAGTCGAGTTCTTGGTCATGGGTAAATTTGAATATAAACTCATCGACCACTCGGTCGATTCCCAAAGTTCGGCTGATAAGCTCCAGTTCGGTATCCTCCGAGTTGTTGAAGATGAAATTGTGCCGATAGAATTTTGTCAGGGATTCACGGCCGATTCCACCGGTAAGCTATGACCTAATTAGCTTGTTGAAGCCCGGGGCTCGTGGGAAAGAATGACAAACCGTTGGAACATGGTTCACATATGGCTGGTCCACCATGGTGCTCATTGTGTGCTCCACTGATCGATCAGCAAATTCGTAGTAAGTATGCTCATCCCAGATAGTCTCAAGATCAAAATACGGCCCATTCATAATAGGCTTGAGGAATTGCAAAATGCGAGTATGGGAAAGGGACTCCGCCCAGTAATCAAACTGGTCCTGGAAAGGGCTTGCAAAGCGATGCGACTTGGCATTTGGATAATAGAAGTCTTTCACGAGATCTTGCTGTTTTGCTGCTTCTGGCTTTTTTCCAGCCAGATGCCGAAGGATTGGAATATCCGCAGGTTCTAGGGTCGAGCTTTCAGATTCATGGCTGTAGACTACTGCCCCAACAACCGTTGGAACAGATGTTAAAGTGGGGGCCACGTAGTTCCATAGCTCAGGATCGTAAGCTTTGAGTTGATTAGCACTGGAAGAAGCAAACATGAAGGGAAGAACAGTGTTCGGGTTTTATATTACCTATCAGACCAACTTTGTCCTTCGTATCGCACTTCTCGCAGCTTTCCAGCGCTCGAGCAGCCTCTACGAGCACTTCTCTTCCCCCCGTTATCAGGGCCTGCCTCTGGATCTCGATTACAGTGTATCCTTCTTCGGCCCACTTGATCAACTGGGATGGAACGCCGTCAATAATTGCCAAAGACTGCTCCGTGTCTGGGACGAGAACGATAAGACCTGGTCCATGACCCCGGCGTGAGAGGGGCAGCACAATCGAGAGACCTGGCTTGATCTCGGTTGACTGCGTGGTCGGAAGCGGGGGTGGAGGCTTCGTGATATCGTTGTACATGACTAGAGTCTTGAGCTGGTTGCCTATCCTTTTGGAACGATTTGGCTTTCCAAAAATCAATTCAATTAGCGCCCAAACGTCAAGTCAAGCAATTATGTACCAGATACCGATCAGACAGTGGCAAAGGAGAGTTCCGCGTGAAATGGGGCTTCGGCTTCGGCCCGAGATCCGATTGATCCGATTTTCAGGGTTCCCAAGAGGATTGTACAAACAATTTACGAGCTGGGAGTAATCGCATACTGATGATATCCTGTCGCTATGACTCTTTTGATTCGGATTTCTGAATCACTTCTGCTTAATTTATGCTCCAGTTACTACTACTTTCTGACACGGATTTTAAAGGATCTTCGTTCTCAAAAGGTCACGAATACAGCCTCCTCTGACTTGAATAGAGGGGCGGCCTTGATAGCATGAGCTATACACCTCCTCAGACAGCCGCTGTAGGTGGCTTGACCACCCGAAAGGGTTTACAGCTCACCGAGTGACCGGGTGGACTTCCACCCGGTCACTCGGTGGGATTTGGTAGTACACCGTGTGGGATTCATTAGGATCTAGTAGTAATATGATCCCAGTAGGAATACCGTTCCAGTTCATGGTCGTGGTCCAAACACCGTGCCCCGACTTGGTAACACCAATCACATATGTCGTAGTCCCCATCGCTGCACAACACACAATGATACCAATTCTTGGCAGGCTCTATGACGGCCATGCAAATATCGCACCTCACAGATGATCTAATGAGTGGACGTTCATGAATGTCAAGGTTCGTAACACTCGATGTCTTGGTCAGGTCTTCAAGGGCCCGAACAATGTCATGGTAGCCCCTTGTTCTAGCATCAGAAAGCGCAGTGCGGCCAAAATTGTCTTGAAGCTTACAAATCAGTGTCCTTCATAGCTAGCAGAGCTAGGACTGATTGTAGGTGTCCCAGGGCGGAAGCAACATGCAATGGCGTTCGGCCATGGAAATCTCTCTTGTTGGGCCCCATAGGACTGTATCCAGCCAGGGACTCTAGGATTGTATTATGGGACCAAAAAGCAGCCCAATGAAATGCTGTGCGGCCCACATCATCAAGCGAGTTGGGATTGGCACCCTTCTCCAGCAAGAGTTGAACGACCTCCCCATGATTTCTCAGCGCAGCGATGGAGAGTGCACTGCAACTATTTTCATTCTTGACCTCGACATCAACATTCCACCCCAACAGGAGCTTAACGACAGACTCCTTGCCCTCCATAGATGCGGCAAGAAGTGGGGTTTGTATCATCTGTGTACCGTGATAGTATTCAACGCCGGTTACAGCCCCCGGGTCAGCGCCCCTGTCCCGAAGAAGCTTGACAACTTCATTGTGCCCATTTGCTGCAGCTACGTGCAACACCCGATCCAATTCTACCGACCCGTGATTTACGTTTGGGTCATGATCAAGAAACAGCTTGACCAATGCTATTTGACCATGTTGAGATGCACGCCATAGAGGCGTGTTTCCTTTCAGGTCTTTTAGGTGTGAATTGGCGGCTTTTCTTAACAGAGACCGGACTATGCTGGTCGAATTAACCGACTCAAAGCAGGCTGCAGCATGGAATGGTGTTTCACCATCGTAATCCTTCATTACAGGATCAGCACCAGCCTCCAGTAAAAGAGACACTATATCCGAGAGACCAAAGCAAGCTGCCCAGAACAATGGTGTTCTCCCTGATGAATCTCTGGAGTCAACAGGCCAACCGCGTGAGATCATCTTTTCAATGACACGTGGCATTAAAAACCAGACGGCGAGATGTAAACCGGTGGCGAGCTTTGAGCTGGAAACTGGGTATCCACGAGAGTAGCCTCGGGTCCTGAGATAATGGCATTGGCAATACGAATGCGAAGGCAACTCATACCACAAGAGAGTTCGTACACAGGAATTCACCTTTGAAACATCGCTGAGAAACTCAATGATCTGGTGGTCGCTGGTTTCTAAGTCATCACTGTGCACTCTTGTGTTGACGTGGTGACCCCAGAAGTGCCCAGCATACACCAAAAGAGGATGATTGCACTGAAAATCATGGAGATCGATGGATAGATGAGTGTCAAGTTCAGTCTTCATCAACCAAGTGTCTACCGTGAAGACGTCCAATGACAGGTACGATATACATATCCTGCCTATATCGTGGTGCGCCCTCGGAAACCAAGTCGCCTGAGTTCGCTCAAAATATTCTTGCGTAGTGTAATGAACCAGCCGAATGACGTCGCTCTCCTCGTCCACTGTCACCAAGCCTGCACACACCGAGACCATGTCAACAATATCGGGGATATTCTCAGGGTCAAATTTTGATTCGCCGATCTCTACAGCAAGAGCAGTCTGTAGCTCAATAGTGGTAAGGGGTCTTTTGGCACAAGTTATCCACGCAAGTACCTGTATCGCCATTTCACTTTTGTCAGGGACTTGTCCCTGAATACGGTTCATGGCATCATCATATGCAGACTCGTATTTCTCAACATCTGAGGAAAGCCCTTTCAAAGCGGATCGAATTGCCTTGGGCGACCGTTTGCCGATCAGAGAATTGAGATGGAGCTGGGCGAGTAGAAACCTACGTGAAAAATGTTAAATTCATGATCAAAAGCTCGGGGATGGAATAAGCAGTTTGAGCACTACTCACATTCCGTCAACAGCAGTAGTAATCGCGGTTGAGATCTCTTCCTGTAAGTCCTGATTTCTAGACACAAAGGACGGCAGAATTGATAAATTGTCTCGAAGATACCTTGTGACGTCTTCTTTGCTTGCGCGGATCTCAAGCGTTGGCATTCCTTTGAACCTCTCAGTAATTTCTGGTATGAAGCGTGAAGTTGCAAAAATGTTCACGTTGCACTCGGATTGAAGGTTGAAGATCGAATCCAACAATCTCGAACATGATCGGTTTGATACATCGCATTCGTCCAGGGCATCAATTATAATAAAGACTTTCGAGAACCCCCCTGTCTGGGCGAGAGAATCCAGCACCCTGCAAAGCTCTTCGACGGAAGGTCTTGTGCCCTGAGGATTATGCTCTTCGTACATCCAAGGTAAGGCACTCGGCAATACTGGTTGACCTTGAGCTAATTGTCTCGAAAGGCTTGCGAGTAGATGTGCAAGCCCTTGCTCATGCCGGAGCCGAAAGTTGCAGTATAGATAAGCGATGCCAACGGTCCTATCAGTTTTTTGTTGCTCGTAGAGCTCTTGAACCACGATAGACGTCAAAATTGTTTTCCCAGCCCCAGGAATACCTGGGCAGAATAGTGTCTGCTTTGAGCCCGAGATCCAATATTGAAATTCGGGAGAGTCCAAAAGCCACTGACCAGTCCCTGGTTGGCGTCGTGCAATATAGTCCGTCTGTTGTGCGCCATAATCTGAAGGGGAGAGCCAATTCAGCAACGCTTGATGCTTTTGCTCATCTTGATGTTGCACGAGGTTTCGGATGCTATTCCGAGTCATTCGTCCGTTGAACGCATCAAGAAGTGCAATGTTACTGATTATCCGTTGCCGAAGTTCCTGAATCTCACTCGGTTCCCATTTCAATCGTCTCCATGTCCGTCTCGCAATGCTTCTCTTTGTATCACCAGTACCATCCAAGTCTCTGTAAGTATCGATCATGTTTTCAAGCTCGCTGAGAACAGTGCGACAGCTCTTCGCTATTCCTTGGAGCTCGGTCTGCTGCTTGATATCGAGCTCCTTGCTGGACACGTCGATTTCGACATCCTGTACAACAAATGACAGGTTTCGAACTCTAAAGGAAAGTAGTATCAGTCAGTATTGTGGGTCAAAAACACAGAGAATAAATCACCGACTCGTCAGAAATGGCCTTGAAGTGATCGGGCGCCCCGGCAAAGTCCTTTCTGATTTTATTAGCGAGGTTTATTACGGCAAGAAAGTCGCCAACGCTAAATCCAAAGCTCATTTTGTGGTTCCACAATATCAGAGCTTGTTTGAGGCGTCTAAGATAGGAGTCGTGAGCATTATGGCTGAGGCTGACTGGACCCCGCTCTCAGGTGACTTGAACTGCATGAAAAGCAAAGCGCTGATAGGATCATAGGATTAGTCTCATTTCCTCCTTTCAAGTACGGAGTACTACTACAAGCGACCTTTAAGCTCGTCCTATGGATTCGAGGGCCCACAGAGCTCCGGGCCTACAACGGTGGATTCGTTGATCCGGAGCCTCTCTAGACGCTGCGAAAAATCTCGTAAAGTTGAACTGTAAATATAAGGAATTATACAATCCTGTTTCTCTGAAAGCAACGTATCTAAGCTCACTAAAGAAGTTTCAAATACTGGTCATAATTAAAGATCGGCGTGACTGCCGGCTCCTCGATTCAACAGCATCTGCAATACCCTTTCGCGGCCTGGAGTGCATTACCATAGTATCCACCCTGGGCGTTAACATCGGCACCTAGATCCAGCAGCATCTGCACCACCCTTTCATTATATCCACCTGCTGCGGCCTGAAGTGTATTGCCGTATAATCCACCTTGAGCGTTCACGATTTCCGATGAACTCACGTTGCTATGATGAACTTGCAAGATACTGTCTAGGACGAATTCTAATCCAAACGACGCTGCGTAGTACAGAGGCAAGGACATCTCCGTAAGAGGTTGATTAGGGCGCTTATAATTCACATCTGCCCTCTATGGTTGGTCGATGCCATGTATCCCTATCCATGCCGCGAAAGAATATGGGTTGTCTTTGAAAAGCCTTAGCACCAGTGGTTCAATCTCGGACTTCCCTTCATTTGAGTTTGAATAATGATGAAACCAGTGCTTAGCTGCGAAACGAGCAAAGGGGTGCTCCGTGAGATCCTCCTCTTCTGATAGTTCCCTGTAGAGAGATGGCTCGAGGAGATAGACTAGGCAGATCTGGGCTATTTCGGTATTCGAAGGCGCACTTCGCATGGCGAACATTCTTGAGTTTTGTTGTAGAAAACAGTCTGATTGAAGATACTCGTGAACGGAGAAACGTACTATACGAGCAGCCAAGATTTTTTTGCCCAGTGTCTTCGGTGGCTGCGACCTCAATAAGCCCAAGGCAGATGTCGACCAGATCATCCTGGTCGTACGAACGGCCGTCCCGATCAAGGTGTGGTGGCTCATTTAGATCAATAGCGTGTGCGTCGATGAGCTCGTCAATAGTAAGTGGTCGATTAGAGAAGCAGAGCAAAGTCAAAACCCGCCACACGTCGTTAACATATTCCTCTCTGATGCTACACAAGATTCGCTCGTATGTTTCATCTAAATCACGGGGTTGTGTGCGTAGGCATTTATCAAGCTGGTTTCGGTTTCGCGCTCGCCTAAGTGCGTTAAACTGGCATTAGACCTATCTAAACCTATATACAATATTAGCCAAAAAGAACGGAGACTGCTTTTTATAGTTAAAAACTTACATTCCCTGCGCACCTATTATCAGTTTTGTCCGGATCTCGTTATAGCGCGCTTTCCATTTCTGGAGTTTCGTGTTAGTCTTGAGCTGATAAGAGACAAAGTTTACGATATCTCTGTCGACTTTTGAGTTCCTAAGCGGAAGATCTTAGTTATAGGGAGGCTCTAGAGATTCACGGATATCTAGCTCGTTGCGACTCGTTATTAAAAGATAGGCACCTGGTATCGACCAGGTGCGTATTACTTGTATCGCTCTTAAGACGCCTTCCCTTTTGCTGTCTCGAGGTCTCTCATCTAGTGCATCGAGTAGAATACAGGTATCGCGGAATCTTTTAAAGAAGGATCGCAGTAACTTAAGCAGCGCATCAACTAGAGGAGACCCTAATTTATACACTTTATATACTTGTTCTAGACCCCTCAGGCTGTCTTGTAGCTGTACCGATAGCTGCAACAGCAATACGCGTAATATACCGTCATCGTCTTGCTTTGCCTTATCGCTGAAGGAAAAGTAGAATAATACGATTCCTACTCTGTGTTTATATCTCTGCTCCCGGAATGTATACCTAAATTCGGTTGAGCAGAGGACCGATTTGCCATACCCGGTGAAACCATTCAGCCAAAGGAAGGAATTAGGTTCCTCTAGACAAGTCTCAAATTGATAGCCGTTGACAAGCTATAGACCTATGCTTAGATGACATTTTAAATACGTAGTATTGTGGTTGAGAGATACATCCGGCGCTATAAGCCAGCCACGAATCGCCAGAGAGACCTAGCTAGCATTTGTTCGCTCGAGAAGTAATTTGACTTCCGATAGGCCATCTTAGATCTAACCCTGGCTCCTGAGCTGCAAGACGTTGAGTGCGAATAACAGGTTTTCACGTATATCGCTGATATTTTCTTCGAGCTTCTGTAATGTACTTTTCCGAAATGGACAGGCCGCGCGACGCCCGGCAACCTTGATACGATCCTTTAAACCAACGGCCGAGTCTTTGTGGAATGTCTCACACTCGCTCTCTAGCTCGGTGATTATTTCCTCGCATTTCCGTACCGCCTTCTCGACTTCTTAGAGTAGGCCTTGCGTGTCGGCCTGCAACCGGCGTTGCTCTACTGCAGCATCAAGGGCTCGAAGCTGCTTTGAAGATTATCTAGGTTCTGCGTAACCTTTGCAAGGTCGGAATCTCGGTCCCTGTATGTGTTGTAGAAATTGACCAGAGATTGGGTGACTTGAATACCAAACGAAAGTAGTCCGGCGATCCCTGATGCAATTGAAAGTGGATCAGCCATTGTGATTGATAAAAGTTCTCGAGGCGGGTAATACAGGTGATTCACCTTCTGAATATGTGAGATAGCCGTTATTATCATCAGAGCAGGACTTCAGCCTGATTCCTCTCTCTTACTCTCTCTTCGTCTTTCCTGAGCAGCTTGCTCAACACCTTAGCCCGTCGCACAACAGGCTCCGACTCCAGAGAATCATGGATTTATGACTGAGACCTCCAGCCCGACTTTTACAACCTTCTCGAACAAGTCTGAGAGAAAGTTGATTTAAAATTTTCATCTTGCCTTTCGAGATATGGGGATAGCCAGATAGCGTTCATGTGTGTTCCTAGTAGTGGTGTTGCGCTGTTGTTAGGTATGTATATATCTGTTTTTCGATGTCTATATGAGGGCATCTAAATCTTTCCCTGACTTCGATCACCGTTGGAAGCTTTTCCCACAAGGACATCATATTCTCAGTTTCATCTGGATGACAACATGGGGTAATAGTGTGGGCCATGCGATGAGGAATTCCTCTTCTCACATACATAAAGGTTATGCCTAGGAGCATGGGGGAGAATGCATGACAAAGGAGAAGAGGAATTCCTCATCGCATGGCCCACACTATTACCCCATGTTGTCATCCAGATGAAACTGAGAATATGATTCCCTTGTGGGATAGGCTGCCGAGGGCGATCGAGGTCGGCGAAAGATTTAGGTGCCGCCATATCGCTTGAGAAAGAACATATGCACACCCAACGACAGCGCGACACCACTATTTAGGGGCTCATGTGAACACTGTTTGACCCTGCCCATACCTTGAAAAGTCCTCTTTCTGTATGACCCGAAGATCTCTCTCATCTTTCGATATTCAGAGTACTTCAACGCCATGAATTGCACAGATCTGATCTCACATCTTCCCTTCTGAAGAAACGCTCCAAATCCACAAGAGCTCTCCCGAACCTCGAGAAATGGCTTCTAAGGACTCATTAGAGGAGAAGTGATCCCACGAACATTGGGGAGGAGTTTATCCTCTATGGTCGTGGCTTCTCCCACGACACGCCACACCCCTTCAGAATGATACCAAGAAAATGTACATCGAGCTCTTTGCATAATACACGCTAGACTCTTCCAGTAGGGCTCATAAGTCCAAAATACTGACAGAATTTCAAAATCATGTTATCAATCCCAAGTAGACTAAGAATAAACTCGGACCATCAATAATGGTGGTTCAAAACCTTGGACATTTTGAAAGATCTCTTAGAAAACAGAAACTTGAAGGATGCCCGTGGGTGGTTAAGGATGTAGATAACTATCCACCTGCATCATCTTTTATATCTACCTTCTCTTACAATATTCTTATGAAGTTCCGATCACGAATATACATGGAAATCCAACAGAGCCCACGAGGACCCCTGTGGCCAGCCATCTCGCCCGAAAGCTATGCCCATTCCCAGCATAGCATAGCATAACCCAAATTCCAATCATCATAATCATATGAAAACAAACTAATATCACCCTCTCACTTACTCTCAATCTCACCCGCCTTACGCCCTACACTCCTCCGTAACTATGCACACTACACGCCCTTCTCCGGATCCGTCACCGAGAACATACCGCACATACACGTATCGTATGTAATAAATCATACCAATACACAATCCATCACGGAACAACGATCCACCGGACGGGTACACACGGTGACATTGTCGAATCTCTCATAGAAAACCATCGAAGGCCACTTAATCGGCGATTGGATCCGCCCAAACACCAGTGACAGTGCACCACGGACTTTGATCGCGTCGGGGGAGGAGGTGGAATGACCTTCCGATTCCGAAGACCTCAATACTGCAATTACTATTTGCTCAGTATGGTAGGTGCTCTTCTACTGCCTTCCCCAGAACGGTCGGCGATCGGTGGCTCGGAGCGGAGGACCTATTAGATGGTCGCCGCCTGATCGACCCGGTTCCCGTTACTCTGTGTGGGAAGGCATTTCGACCTTGGATTGCTGACGCCTATTGGGGTTGGCAATTGTCATGGAAATGCCATCGAGTCTAGATAAATTGAGATAATTGCGGTTGCCCCGCTTGGTTGTCCGAGCGTACGCCGTACTTACAGTCAAGTTGGCTTTCAATCCACAGCGGATGAACTGACCTAATCGAGATACCGGGTCCATTGGTGGCCCAGTGGCAACTTGACCTCGTACCTTCTTACTTAAGAAGTATCATGTGCTTATTATTTTTCATATGTTACGATGGGAGATATCTCAAGAATTCAAGCAGAAACTCCTCTAAATTTTTTGGTCTGTCATGCAGTAGCTAACGGTTCATGGCTCATATACAAGAATTTTTAGACCGGCCCTGCAGGCCAAGAGAAAAAACAAAACCCTAATCAATGGGGGGCACGCACGAGGGTAAAAAAAAGTCGGAGAAAAAAAGAAACTCACACCGCGCAAAGGAAGAAAGAAGAAAAAATAATTTACCAGCCGCGGCCAGCCATCTTGTCAGCCTCGGGCATCTTCTGCACGTTAATACCAACCATAGCCTCACCCAGGCCCTCGCTAATCTCAGCAAGAACCTTGGCATCCTTGAAGTGGGTAACGGCCTGGACAATGGCCTTCGCGCGCTTCTTAGCATCACCAGACTTGAAGATACCGGAGCCGACGAAGACGCCGTCGCAGCCCAGCTGCATCATCAGCGCCGCATCGGCGGGGGTAGCAACACCGCCAGCCGCGAAGTTGACAACGGGCAGACGGCCGAGCTCGGCAGCCTGGCGGAGCAGCTCGTAGGGAGCCTCGAGCTCACGGGCAAAGGCGCGGAGCTCAGGCTCGGGGTCAGCGCTGGTGGTGTAGATAGCGCGGGCGCGGGCAATCTGGGCGTTGACGGTGCGCATGTGCTTAACGGCCTCGACGACGTCGCCGGTACCGGCTTCACCCTTGGTGCGGATCATGGCAGCACCCTCGGAGATGCGGCGCAGGGCCTCGCCGAGGTTGCGGCAGCCGCAGACGAAGGGAACCTTGAAGGGGGTCTTGGTAACGTGGTAGACATCGTCGGCGGGGGTCAGGACTTCGGACTCGTCGATGTAGTCGACACCAATGGCCTCGAGGATCTGGCGGGGGAAAGGAGGGGTTAGCGGCGTTTCCGGCGGCCCCGCGATTTTAAGTAGGATCAATGCTCCCACTCCTCTCCGGCCGGTCGTGCCGGTGAGAAATAAAGATGAAATGGAGACATACCTGGCACTCAACGAAGTGGCCGATACGGGCCTTGGCCATGACGGGGATAGTAACGGCCTCCATGATCTCCTTGATCATGCCGGGGTCAGACATGCGGGCGACGCCACCCTCGACACGGATATCGGCGGGGACACGCTCGAGGGCCATGACGGCGGCGGCACCAGCCTCCTCAGCAATGCGAGCCTACAGATAGAATAAATGAGCAATGGAGAACGAAACCAATTGATCGCAATGCTCGTGGCAGACCGTACCTGCTCGGCATTGACGACGTCCATAATCACGCCACCCTTCAGCATCTGCGCGAGACCAGCCTTGACGGTGAAGTCATTGCTGGTGGTACCGTTCTGGGCCATTGTGAAAGTCGTAAGGGGAGGAATTGACCGAAAGACGGGGAAGATGAAGAGGAGAGGAAGTAGTGTACAAGGATGAAAAAGAGGCGAGAGGAGAGTTTAAAGAGGATGGCCAAGTGCCTTGGAGTGAGTCAAACAGGCAACCGATAACTAATGGAACCTGGTGAAATACAGTTTCACAGTTTCCCCCGCCAAAGTTTTCGCCTCAGGCCAATCAGGCCGGAGCTGCCCCTCGTCTGCATTTAAGCTCGCCGCGCGAAGTCGGGACGCTAAGTTACCCGAGGATACCGGGATCATGCGGAACTGGTATGAGACCGTATTACAGTACAGATCTTAGAGCTTGTGCCCACCGGTTCTCTGCCCGGAACAACTCAAGTAAGTTAGCAGCCCTGGCGAGTCACCTACTAATGACAGGCCAGCATCAAGTACTCTTATGTACTTAAATGAACTATTGGCTGCGTCATGTGAGAAATCAGATCGAAGATCTTGCAAGTATCAGATCTTGGGTAAAATCTTAATATGACTCACGTGGCTCATCATATCGGGAAGGCTACCGGAGAGTTGCTGTAGACATTCCCACATTAGTGCTAGTTGATCATGTCCTTTATATTATCACAGCACATCCCAATACGTGGACTATCACCATCAAGATTGATCAGACAAATAGATTGATATGGATTTTTGACATGAAATATGGTTACAGACCCTCTGAAAAGGGTGCTTCCGACCTTGGCAGCTGCACTGTCCCCGACAAGACTGGACAGACCACCCCCAGTACCTCTATCCACCATCCCACTAGTCTATAACGAGGCCCTTCAGCCTCGTACATTCAGATATAGCGAGCTATGGATATCAATGGCATCCATGAGCGCACAGCCCTCAGTCTCGCCGACTTGGAAGTGTCGGCCGAGAGGGTAGCTGAGCCCAGTCTTGTCACATCGAGCCGCCCACCAATTCATCCCCAATGGATAGTATAAAGAAGAGCGGGCAAATTAAAGAGACAAAAAGAAGCAAACAGAATTGCAAAAGACCACAGAAATGCAATCTCCCATCATACTGTTCGTAAAGAAAATGAAACTGGCAGTTCTGCGTTTAGCTGCCAGGGACGAGGCCCTTCAGGCCAGCGCCGATGTCGCCCTCACGGGCGGCAATCTCGAAGTAGCCGTAGATGATACTAGCATGCGGGTTAGCGAATTGTAAACATTGGTATGGGATGATTGGGGGTTGAAAAACTCACGTCACAGCAAGCAGGATACCGGTACCACTGCCGAGGGCACCAAGAAGGTCAGAGGCAACGGAAAGAGCACCAATGCAGGCACCGCCGAAGGCAGCAGCAGTGGGGATAACACGCTTGAGCTCCTTGTACATGCTCTGCTCACGGTGACCGGACATAACGAGACCCTGGTCCTTGAGCTGCTTGGCAACGTCACGGGGGGCAGAACCAGAGACCTCAATCCAGGTCTTGGAGAAAAGGGCGCAGGCAACCAGCATGAACGCAATGTAGACAGCGGTGTGAATAGGGTCGAGGAGAGCCTCCTTGAAGTTCAGGGGGGAGACATGTAGTAGGCGATACCAGAGGCAGCGTACAGCTGGGCGGATCCCTCACGGGGCTCCCAGACTCCGAGGAGACGGACCAGCAGGTTGTCGGAGAAGCGAGAGTACAGCATCTGAGAGATAAGGAAGACGTTGGAGCTCAGAGCAGACTGGAGCATGATGGGCATGTTGGAGGTGTAGAAGAGACGGACGGGGTAAGAACCGCGCATGCCACGCTGGCGGGCGGACTTGACGGGGATCTCAACACGGAAGCCCTGGAGGTAGATGACGGCAGCGAAGACCAGGAGAGTGGCCAGCAGGTTCATCACGTTGGGCAGGTTCTGGCGGTAGAAGGCCTCGTACAGGGCGCGCTGCTTGTCAGGCCAGGTAAGGAGCAGGTGGAACAGGGCAATGATGGCACCCTCGAACTCAGGGCCACGGCCAGTGTTAATGGTGGTGGGGGAGAACGCCTTCCAGACAATGGACTCGCAGATGTTGGTAGCAATGAACAGAGAGATACCGCTACCAAGACCGTAGCCCTTCTGGAGGAGCTCATCCAACAGAATGACGACGAGACCAGCAACAACCAGCTGGACGATCAGGAGAACACAGATACCGGCACCCAGGTCACTGGGCTGGCCGTAGAGACCAGTCAGGACGTAGACACAGGCCTGGCCGAAGGAAAGGATGATGGCAAAAAGCTTCTGGGCGGTCTGGTAGAGCTCGCGGTCGGTCTTGAGGTCCAGGTTGACGTCGATGAGGTGGGTACCGGCAAGGAGCTAGGAGACGGGCGCGTGTTAGCTCGTGTGTGTTCGGTCATCGAATCTGAATGGATTCGCATCATACCTGGAAGACCATGCCGGAGGAGATGATGGGGGTGATACCCAACTCCATCAGGGTACCGCGGTTACTGGCCAGCATCATACGCAGCCAGTACAGGGGGTCAGAGGTGTCGGAAGACACGATACCGTACAGAGGCATCTGGCTCATGACCAGGAAGATGAGGAGAGTCAACTGTGAGAGGCATTGAGTTAGATTTCCGGATATTTCCTCGAGTCCACACGATCAATCCAAGGAGCAACGTACACCCGTCCACATCAACTTCTGGTTGAAGGGCACCTTAGTCTCAGGCGCCGCCACCTCCGGGAGGAGGGGCGTGAAGGGCTTGATCAGGTCAAGGAAGCGTACTAGAATGATAGATTAGTATTTGTTGATCCATTGAGATCGATGTGAGGTTGATTGCGACGATCGCGTGCTGGAAGGGCTGGGGGGGGGGGGGGGGGGGGGGGGAACTCACGGCCGCTCATGGTGACTATCTTCCTCCCAATCCGTCAAAAAAGAAATAGAGAAAGCTGGGAATGTAAACCAGCCGAAGGAGCGAAAAGGTTATGAAGATATGAGGAAAGGAAAAAGAAAAGGAGAGGGGGAGAAGAAGAGGTGGTCGGATAGGAGATGGGGGGAGGAGGAGGAAGAGGAGGGAAGAGTCTCGCTGGCCACTTTTCGCTTCGCGCTAATTAAGGCCACTTGGTCTTCGCCGCAAAACACGCCTAAATCAGCAACCCCGTTGACTCCACGAGAACACGTACAATAGACGATTCGCGATTTGCGCAATTTTACCAGTTTATATGTCAATCGCTATTATCATTTTTCCCATTCCATAATAAACACTCCTGGTGCTACAATCACACAACGTGCCCCGATACCCCGGTGTAGACGGCCCCGAGCTTATCCCCACACTACAAAAGGGTCAGTCCCAACAGGGAACAAGGTCTACGGAGCTTCAAACAGCCGCTCGGGTTAAGGAAAATGAGGTTCCTTCTGCATTCTCCCATATGTGCCTTTAGCTGCCTATCGTCGGAGCATCATAGATAAGCTCTAGCCAAAATAAAAATAGACAGATCTATCTATACAGACGCCAGGTCCTGATTCTGGACCCCAAAATGTTCAACCATAATCGCAAAGAGCTTTCTCGGGCAGATGTCCATAATAAGCAGTCATTAGTGACGTGTTCAAGGGCCAACAAGACCCAAGCAGTCATCGATGACCAATTCCAATTCTCCGAGGCGCGTCTTGAGACCCCGGTTTTCATCCTTGAGCACTCCCATCACGCTCCACGCTTCCGAAGATGGAATGCCATGGCAAATATTACAGTTGTTGGCATTTCCAACGAAAGAGCTGCCCAAACGGGTCGAGGTAATGCCCTTGATGACCCGCTCATACGTTGATGAACGCGCTGGTGCGGGATTTGTAGTGGCAGCGACGAGATTCTTCTGGATTGAGGGCATCGGCTGCGGAAAGGACGGCGGTGCGGACAAGGCCACTTGGGAGAGGTTCGGCGATGGGGCGTTCAAAGTAGATGTCGGTGACTCGAGAGACTCTTTGTGTGAGAAGACGCTATCAGCCACACTCTCGTCGCCAGACTCGAAGCCCGAATCGCTAGTAAACGTTCCATGGCTGGTACGTTTGCCGCCGCGGTGAGGAGTTTGGAGCACAAGCGATGGGATCTCATCTTCAGGAGGGATTGCACGCATGGTACGGCTGCGACTGCGAGACTCCTCGCGTTGGCGCATGAGCCTTTCTTGTTCGAGCTCTTCAGCCATGGCTTTCATGGCCTTTTCTTGATCCAGCACTTTGGCGGCCATGCCGTCGAGCTGCATCTTGAGGTGATCCACACGTGCACGAGTCTCTTCGAGCTCTTCTAGTTTTTCATTCCGGTCGGCCAAGGCCTGGTGCATGGCAAAGGTTCTTTGCTTGTATGCTTCTTGCATGCGTTGCAGAACGGTGGTGGCTTGATCGCGAAGGCTATCCAGAGCTTCATCGCTGCTCAAGTCTGAATCGGGGGAGGACAGAGCCGCAGAGATGTCTAGGTTTAAGATCTCATCATCTGCTGGCTCTGGGAAATCAAGCTTCTGCTCAGCGGGTCGACGTAGCCCAAAGAACGAAAATCGCCCGGTCCCTGGAGCCGAGTTCTTGCGGAGATGTGACGGGGAACCTGCCCCGGGTCGGGACGCTTCCATCCCAGCCACGTTGGGATGGCCGTCTGGACGCATGCTGATTGCCAAATCGCCCAACTCTGACTTGCCCTGGAACCAATCTGACAAGATTCTGGCTCGAGCTTCAAGCTTCTTTTTCGGGAAAGTATCCGTCCAGGCTGGAGCCGCTCGGGTTTTGGGGGAATTGTTGTTTGACTTCGGATCGTAGACGTCGTCTTCAAAGATAGGGGGCCGTGCAATATACTCCGTATTTGACCGACGATGTGAAGGAAGATTGTGAAATCGGTTCTGGGACGAGGTCACTGGGATCGCCGAGGTTAGGGGCGACGAGGCAACGGTCTCGTGAGGTCTTGGTGACGCATCGGAATGTAGGGAGGTCGAGGAGTGGGAGAGATCGGAGGACATGACGACGAGGGGGACTGGATAACAGGAGCCAGTCTAGGTTGGAATGCCACGTCGAATCGAAAAGAAGAGGGATGCAGTGGCGCTGCAGGTGTACGACCCAGAGGGGGACTCGAGAGCCTAAAGGTGGAGTGGTGCAGATTGATGAAGTGTCCGCGAGGGGGGTTGGCGATCACTGAGGGAGAGAAGGGAGACGAGACGGCCCCGAGATAGTAAGGATCAAAATGAAGGATAGTAGTTTCAATAGTGTGTTTGTCACTGCACGGAGGTTGGACTTGAGAAAATCTAGGTCCCTTTCTTTTTGAAACGCGAGACTACCGAGTAAATAAACTGAGAGGCTGGGGGACTATGGAAGAATAGCGGTGGCTGAACCCCGGCAACTTCTCCACTGGGGCTATCCAACGGTGATCCGAAGATCCACTATGGAATGCTTTGCCTATGCAACAACTAGAATGATGATACAAAATAAAGATCATAGAGAGTAGTCTACGTTGACATTGTGAAGTAATTGGGAAGCTTTGAGGGCCTGGCTTGTCCATTCAATGTCGCTAATGCAGCGTGGCATTGTAGAGGTATAAACTTCTGTAGCCCCTCTAACCCCTCGACTCTGCTAAGCTAAAGGCAAAGTGGAAAGCTGATTCGAATTCTAGAGGTGCGGTATCCATTAATCCAATTATGTGGAGTATGACATCGTAGAGAGCGATTTTTAGGGCCGAGTAATCATTCTTGTATTCGATCTCAGGGTCTCAGGATAACACTTGATCTTCAGAATATCTCAAATCGGACCGTTGTACCTAGAGAGTACCTTATTACAAAAACATTTCAGGTTTCGGCATTGATACAGGATCATGAGCTTCTCGCCTCCTCGTTTAGATATGAAGTAAATACTTGATTGTATGCGGTTCGGGACCATGCTTAAGCTTGATACTCGATTCGGAATGGAACAACCGCGGGCCGCGTTTCCTTGCATCTCTCTATCTCAAGCTTCCAGCTCGAGTCCTGCAACTACGGCCTTGCAATCTCTGCCACCATGGCTCAAACGAATACCGGCTTGAAACATCTCTCCAACGCTCTTGCGACCCCCGATCAGCTCTCCAATTCGTCCTCGTCTATCGACGGAGTGCCCACGGACCTTGAAACCTCGATCCGCTGCGCCGGCGCGCAACTCACACAAGCAGCCGGTGTGTTGCTACATCTATCGCAAGATATTATCGCCCAGGCAATTGTGATCTTTACGCGATTCTGGCTAGGTGTAGATGGGGGTAGCTTGCGGATCTATTCTGCCAAGGTATGCATCTATCTGCTCCGGGTTTGTTTGTTCTCCTCTCACTCAGAGCTCATTAGGATGTCTCCGCCGCCTCTCTCTACCTGACCGCGAAGCTATCGTTCCAGCCGACTTCACCTCGCTCCATTCTAAATGTCTATAATCTCCTTCTCTCCCAAGATGTCTCACCATTGTCGTTTGTGAACCCACGCGGGGCTCCGAAACAGCCACCCGCAGCAGATACCTACGTCCTCTCTGAAGGAGGGTACCAAGCCGGTCGACTGGTCCTCCTGCGCGTCGAATCGGTTATCCTCCGCACCCTCGGTTTCGATACACACGTTGCCCTTCCTCATACCATTGCCCTCACCTACCTCCAAACACTGGGTGTGAGTCGACCTGCCGTTTCGCGCCGGGTCCTCGAGCATCTCAACGCTGCATTACTTTCGCCTCAACTACTCTACGTAACACACCAACCGAACGCGCTCGCAGTGGCGGCTATCTATCTTGCTACGCGGGAGGAAGGGGTCAAGCTGGTAGATGGAGAATGGTGGGAGGTGTTTGATGTTGACCGTGAGGAGCTCGGGTTTTTGGTGGTGGGAATGAGAAGTACTGAGGGTTTTATGCGGAAAGAGACAGAGTTGTGGAAGAACAAGGCGATTCCTATGGTGATAGATGAGGTGGATGCGGAGGTTGAGCGACGACGGATGATGGACGAAGGTGAATGAGCTGGCTTAAGTGTTGGAACTCTCATATACTGGACGCCAATATCTTCCATCGCGCCCGGCTAAATCTGCTGGATAAATCGGGCTGTTTGTATGCTCTTTGAAAGCTTGGACATATGACAACCGTCATACGAAGCCCAGGGGAGCCAAACGGCAGTGTATGGCAGATACTGCATGGAGCACCTGACCACTGATCGAGTCATCGCAAACCAGCTGGTTCATGAGGCTCAGCCAGAAGCAGGAGATACGAATCAGGTGAAGGGAAAGTAAAGGTTGGTACGAGTGGACAGTTCGGCAGGAACCAAACTGAAAGGGACATCGATGAGCTCACGCGGGGCCGATCATGTGCTCCACCGCTTATCAAGGTTGTCCCCTCCCCGCCTCGTCATCTCAAAGCCGCTGCTACCTACTCTTCCTTCTCTCCTTCAATAGCGCATAGATATTCCACTTACACAAAATGAACATTTTACACTCAACACTATCTACCTGGCGCGACCGTCTGGCCCCGGTCTCCCGCACTTCAACCTTTCGCGCAACGGGCCAAATCACTCCGGAAGAGTTCGTCCTTGCCGGTGACTATCTCGTCTACAAGTTTCCCACATGGTCCTGGGCCGATGCATCTAGCCCCGCCAAACGGGTCTCTTATCTACCCCCTGGGAAGCAATTCCTTGTCACTCGCGGTGTGCCGTGTCACCGGCGTTTGAATGATAACTTTGCCGGGGATGCGGGCCATGAGGATGAGATCGTGAGAGATATGCTGGCTGGGGATGGTGTTGAGGGTGCATCAGGAGGGGATGGAGATGATGGCTGGCTCCGGACTGGAGGTGGCCGGGATACCGTTGCGGACCGTGATATGCAAGAAGCCAAGATCCGCGATGTACGGACGGTGGATGAATCTGGGAACCTTGGAGAGCAGGAAGAGGAGGAGGAGATTCCGGATATGGAGGATGACGACGACGATGAAGAGGCAATTATTCGTGAGCCTGCTGGACAGTCTGGGACAACACAGTGAGTCAGGATCCGTTGATTACTAGCTTTGTCGCAGCTGCCTGGGAGTGTCTATGCTTGGTGCTAACGTTCTACGATCTATTCAGGCCCCTTCGCACTTATACCCTCTATATTACATACTCGAACTTCTACCGGACACCACGACTCTACCTGTCCGGCTACCTGTCTCCGTCCGAGCCCCTCCCTCCACACCTCATGATGGAGGACATTGTCGGCGACTACAAAGACAAGACCGTGACACTGGAGGACTTCCCCTGGTTCGACGGCAGCGTAAAGATGGCCACCGTCCATCCCTGCCGCCACGCCTCCGTAATGAAGACCATGCTCGACCGCGCCGATGCCGCTCTTAAGCTCCGCCTGGAAAAGCTGAAGCAGACCCAGTCGCGCGAGCAAGCAAACCGCATCCTACAATCTGGCGGAAGCGGTGGCCTCGAGGGACTCGTCGATGATACCAAGGGCTTGTCGCTGAGCGAACATGCACAGCAGCAGCCCGGCGGTGATGAGTGGGAAGTCCTGCAGGCTGATGAGGAGGAGCAGGTCGCTATCCGCGTGGATCAGTATCTCGTTGTGTTCCTCAAGTTCATTGCCAGTGTTACACCTGGTATTGAGCACGACCATACGATGGGAGTCTAAATGAGGGTCTCTTCAATGCTCCTTACTCAAAGCCATTCTCGTCGTGGTCCTCGGCCTTGGGATATACTCGGCAGGTGTTGGTTCTCGCGGATTGTGCGAGCTGGTTAATTCTTACCTGTTGGGTTTCCCTGGGACTCGAGGGTTGAGGAAGCACCGCCTCCAGGAGATACGTGATATGCATGACATGACCATGACTTGGCGTTCGATATTTTGCTGCAGGCTGCACAAATTTCTCTTTTCTGTTCTGCTTTATAATATTTTGCTATGTACCAGGCAAATTACTAGTGTTGCGCTTTTGCGCTTTAGAATTATACTCTTTTTCTTTTCGATGATTTCCCAGGTACAAATTACATACTGTAGTCCGTAGTCGAGTTCCATCCAGTCTCTGTGCCATTTTGCGGGTGATAAATCACATCCGTAAAGACCGTACTATGTCATGCCTTGCAGCATGATCCCTCGCGTCGATTCCCCGCAATTCTTCAAACCAGACCTGCGGGAGATCACCGTTTACCAGGGTCAGTCTTCTAATTGGAAGCTGGGAGATTACTTTTGAAGGGGTACGTACTGTCAAATGCTACTTTGCAAGGGCAAAGTCTTCTAAGACAAATGCATGTCCTCAAGTAAAAAATAAAACTGCAATGTATTCAAAATCACACCCACACAAAAGAAGTATCGTGCAGCGTCTAATCTAAAGACATAGGGCGGAATTTGCATCGCACACCCGTTCTCCTAACAGTAACAACCAGGTCCAACATCCAACAATATAACAAAACCAAGTATAGCTTTCCAGACACCAAGTATCCTAGTACATCAACCCAATGGGAGACAACCATGTAATAAATAAAAACAAAAGTAGACACGAAAGGAAAGACATGTGACAGGGAGAGGATAGCCCAAAGGACTCGTATACATCAGAGACCAGATAAAGACAAAATGACAGAAAGCAGATACAGCAGAATCACCGAGGACATGAAGATAATCCACGAGAAGGGGGGGCTTCTTTGATCACATCACTGCATCATCCGTAAACCGGGTCAGGGTCGTAACTTAATAGAACAACCCCAGTATAACAGGGAGAGCAATGGCCATGAAGGACGAGCCGGGAGTCACCGCGGAACCAGCGTTGAAAACAGGCACAGACGAGGGCATAGCCGTAGGAGCAGGGTGCTGGATGAACGGAGTTGAGTGGACAGGCACCGGGGCAGGAGGCGTGTACAGAGGAATAGGAGCCTGAGTTGGAATAGAGATGGGCGTGGTGTAGGTAGGAGGGATCATGACGGGGACGTAGGTGGAAGTGCTAGTAGGAGGGGTCTCGACGATGACCTCCGTAGTAGAAGGCATCACGATGACCTCAGTAGCGGTGGGAACCTCGACGATCTCAGGGCATGGATTGGCCTGGTAAGCGTCGTGGGTGCCAGCACCGAACTTGACAGCAGGACCATCGGGGATGCCAACATCGTAGCCAGCTCCGGCGTCGTGCTCGCTGCTTACGCCGGGACCGCAGGGGCCGTGGGTCTCGCTGTGGGTGCCAGCGCCGAACTTAACGGCTGGACCGCCGGGGATACCGACGTCGTAGCCGGCGCCGGCATCGTGCTCGCTGTCACCGGTGGTGGGAGCGGCGTCTTGGGTCTTGTCACCGCCGAGGAGGGGGAGACCGCCCTGATATGCAGTGTAAGTGTTTGTCGATCTTTTTGATATGAACGATGATCTGTGAACGATGTCCATGTGGTTCGGGACTTACCAGCTGGGGAGCAGACAGGACGGTGGCGGGGCCGATGGCTAGAGCGAGGCACAGAGCGGCCGAGAGGGTGAAAGACTTGGGAGACATTTTTGGTGAAGGGGAGTATAAAGCTTGAAGGTAATAAATCCGGAGAAGTGATTAAAAGAGTGTTGAGAAGAGTAAAACGAATGTTGAAGCGAAGGGCTAGAAAGAATGACTGTCCGAGACTCTGATGTGGAATGGATGGAGAAGAGACTGGTTAGGGCCACAAACCATGGTCTTTATGTAGTTTTCGAAGAGACAATGTCTTCGAGTTCTCGAGGAAATTAGAGACGTGAGGAGATGCGGAGGTGAGCCAAGGGCCAGCCCAGGAACCAGGATGCTGCAAGGTTACAGACTAGCCCTTGGGTGGCTTTTCCTTGGTGACAGCCACAAGGACGGTGATCGGCAAGGTACCAGGGGTAAATGAACTTCTTGCTTCAGATGGACGAACGGGATAGGAGGAGTCATGTCTTGTCGGCCATCTTGGCGATGGCACGACGGCCGTGATTAGTGTGCATTGACATCGTTCGCGATCCTGGGACAGGATCATGCAAGCCCCAGGCGACCAAAGAGAAGCTTATGCACGCGCCCGAAATGGCCGAGTATCCGAGCTGTCGAGGTCCTCTGTCTGGGTAAGATTGTCCCGATCCTCGCTGTCTGTGAGTATCGTGAGCAATCGAATTACACGTGGAGTTGGGGGGAGATGAAGGTTGCAAAGACAATGCAAGGGGGGGACCAATCGCAGGAGCAGAACAACCCCAATCCCCATTGCAGGAGGCGCCTGCGCGGCAAATTTGAAGTAAGATCAATAGGGCTACTCGAACGGGGGTGGATAAATCACACGCAAGGAACTTCCAATATCAAAGACAGCGGGAAATTACCATATAAACCTGGTCAAGAGCCTGGGCCCTCTAGGCAATATCAATGCACGAAAGAAGGCATCACCCTGGAAACACGGATAAGACATGTGGAATAAGGTGGAAACAACATTTATTGTAAGATATTCAATGTATCTTCATCAGGTCATCATGCATCGCCGCATTTAAGAAACATCAGAATGGGTAGTCGCAACGGTGTGCATCACCAAAAAACAGGAGTAAATGAAGATGAGATCAACCTCAGATGAGGGGAAATGAAAATCAGATGAAAAGTATCGACAAACACCCCAAATTTAGATAGATCACACGAAAGTCAACGTTAAATGGTGCTTCAAGATGATTCTTTTCAGATTTTCCCAAAATTTGATATTCCAAATGCTGTGCCAAAATTCGTCGAATTCTTAAATTTGATTTCCGGTTCTGGTTCGCCTTGATTGGGTGCTTTTGGATCAGGCTCTTCTTCTCCATCGGATACCGTCGAGGTAGACAGAATACGCTTAGCCTGGTCTAGAAGTCGCGTATCAAGTTCATTCAGGAAGCTGCTATCGTGCTCTTCATCATTAGTCAGACCCAGGGGCCCGGTGAGCGCAGGATCGTCAGGTAGGTCGGGAAAGTAGGACTCCGCATGTTCGGAGGGTTGGTGGACGTGGGTGACCATCGGTGCCAAAGGGGCCTCCTCCTCCTGGAACGGGGGTATCTCAACGGGGGAGGCGTCCTTGGTGGTCCGCTGGCTGTCATCTACCTCGATGATCGCCATGGGAGTGTGGCCAGCATCCCTGACAAGGTTCTCATTGGGTCGGCCCAGTTCTGACAGCTTCAACTTGAGACTGTTTCGATGTTCCATCCCCGGCCTTGCAGGGTCTGAAGGGGCGGTGGCTAAAGCCGGGGAGGAGGTTTCTAGGGGCGACGGGGAGGGTGGGGTGATCACTCGAGCAACCACCCCAGGTGGCAAAGCAGTGGACTTGAGTGTGATCCCATCCAGTCTGCTGTCAAGCTTTTCGATGGGCACGGGGATGCTGATAGTCGCGCCAGAGGCGTCTACAGCCCGTGCCCGTGGTGACAGTGCCGCATCAAGGGACGGAGGGTTACTGCCACTCCTTTCACTAATCGGCGATAGGTGGGCATTAACTAGGATTTCTTCGTCGCGGAATACCCTCGTCGGTCGACTTCCTGGACTTGACCCTTCCCACACCTGTGCCGAGGAGAGATGATCATGGGAGTCCAAGTACTGCGGTGTTCCAAATGCAGGCTTGGGAGGATGCCCAGTTGCGAGGATAGATTGGCTCCGTTGAGATTTCAACAAAGACTCTAGCTCTGCAATCTTCGTCCGCAGAAGTATCCTTTCTTTCGCCCATAATTGTCGTTCCTGAGCGAACAGCGCCCGCTCGGTTTCCAGATGCGCCCGCTGGTTCTCGAGAAGCTCGCGCGATTGCTCGATATATGATGTATCTAAGCCAAAGCTCGGGTCTTGGGGAACCTGGGGGATCCGCGTTTGTCGGTATTTGGAGTTCATAGACGGGGTACTTGTAGAGACTGATTGCGCACGACGAACAGGGGTTGCCGTTGGCGAAAAGCGTACCTCCTTATAGACACAACCATGGCCGTCAGGCAATTTGGACACGGCAGTCTTCATGATGAGAGGGAGGGACCAGGGCTGTGCTGTCTGGTCGTGTGGTGCGATGTAGAGCGAATTCCTTGGGCTTTCAAATGCCAACGGATGGCGGGTCTGGGGATTCGGGGGAGGGGGAGGAGTGGATCCAGGTCACCAGCAACGTAGCAAGCACCACGCGAGTCTAAAGCAGCCAGATTAAAGCCTCGTAGACCAATTGCCGAGGAAACCGCTGGTGGACTTCTGTGAGGAGAATTCAGTCCGTTGTTAGCTGTCAATGTGACGAGCGGATCGTACTGCAGGAGAGCTGCAGTGGGGACATGTGGGGAGGCGGTCAGGAACGGTCAGTACAAGATTAATGATTGAAATTCCCGTCGATATGGGTCGTTAATAGTTGAAATGCACCTGGATAGGACAGGTGGTAGAGGCGGTATGGACGAGATAGCGACACAGCAACCGTATGTGCGAGTCTGAATGCGACACCGACGAAGAAACGAGTAGATTCGCTGCTCAGACTGCCGACCACGCGTCCCTCGACCACTGGTTGCTCAGATATCGTGGGAACAAGCAAGAACTGGAAAATGAAAAATTGGGCAGCTTTCAAACAAACGAGTGCCAGACCGTTTTGTTTGAGATTCTGTTCCACCAGTGGCAGGTCACCCCACTACATTGAGGGACGGGTTGTTCCTGTGGAGGTGAAGTTTAATGAGTTTAATGTACTCCGTATTGGAAGACCACCCCGGAGTGCCGAGGTTGACCATATCACATCACCAAGGGGGTGAAAGAATGAAGAGATATGAGGATAACCCAGCTGGGATTGATTTAGTTTAAAGATTCAAGTGGCCAGGGTTCCAGCGGCGACAAAGGACGAGACCTTCAGATGACCCAGACTAAAATGACGTCAAAAGGGGGATGCGGATGTGACCCCCATTTCTCCAGTTTCCAGTCCCCAACACTCCAATAATCTTCGATACTCCAGACCCGGACTATGACTCCCCGCAATTGCCGCCGAGGGTCATGCGTGGAATGTAGACTTCCATATCGGGTCTTGCACGAAAGCGGCCGCATAAGGTATCTCTGGTCAAATAGTCATTAGCGTCTAGCATAGGCCATGCAGGGTGCTTAGGTAGTAAAATCGTCGTAACAGGTTTTTACGTAGCTTTCGGTTTGGTCATCAATCACCTTAGATATTTCTGCCATGATTAGGACATCAGGTGGTCGCATGCTGCTTCGATAAGTCTGGTAAGCTATCACATGTCATTGTAGAAAGTGACGAGTCCATCCATTTACATTGCTCGCTCCCGCCATGTCCCCGATATATAGTTCCGTGCGGTCGACATCCATGGATGAGCAACCACCACATATCCATGAAGATGAAAAGGCTCACAGAAGACTAGGTATCCTATTCCTAGATCCACCCGGGCATCGACCTCTCAAGAATCTTTTTTGTCTCGTCTCATGTGCTAGTCACATCTCCAACGACCAGGCGCTATAGCAGGTTGTGTCAGACCTATGACCAAATATAGACTGGGACTTTGAACATGCAATCTTCCGCAATCACCCGATCTAGAGCAAGAATTGGCTGATAAGATTGAATTACAGGACAAGGAAATACCAAGTTGCAAATGTAGGGAACCTTAAAATGCATACATATTCAGACAAACACATGTCGCAGTCAACTTTAATGTGGATAACGCCGAACATTAAGGTTATGGCCACTGAACTGCACAATACGTTGAATACGGGTATACCTCGCATTTTAATGGGTAGTTCGCAATGAATCAGCCCTAAATGATATATTCAATATCTGGATATAGAAACTGGGTATGTCCAGACTATATTGTTCCATCTTGCTGATCATCTTCCGGCCCCCAAGCTCCCAAGACTTTTCAGCCCCTCGCAGCTCAATCAGCCCCATAGACCCATCATAGTTATTACTCGACTGATCAATGAAGAAACGTAGATGATGCCCCAGTTCTCCACTACAAGAACTTCTCGGAAACCTCCCGCAATAAAATCGCATCGTCATTGGGGTCCATACCATGTGCCCTGCCCTCTCACCGTACAAGGCAAGGATAGCCCTCTCCATGGACGATCCAAGGATAGAAATCGGTCAGGAATTAAATATGATACAAATACCTAAACATTCCCTTTCAACAAACTTGTTCTAGGTTTAATGTTCTATACCCCGATCAATCCATCAAAATGACAACCCTAGAACCCCTCAAACAACCCATCGCCATCCGCCCCGAACTCATCGCAACAGCACCAACAACCCTCATCGTCCACCCACACAGCATCAGCTTCTCCGGCAGCGACTTTACAATCTCCTACCTAGAAAATGCACCCCAACCTTCCTCTTCCTCCTCCTCCTCGCAAGCAGCCCAACCAATCAAAATCTTCTTCGTCGACGGCAAAACCCTTTCCTGGAGCAACACGATGAGTTTCATTGATGCCTCGGGCCTGCCCATCTTCGAACTGCATCGCAAAAAAGCCGGCGTCACATGGTTCGTCAGTCTCCCCAATACAAATGATAAAAGTATTGCGACGATTGCGCCGCAGGGACATTTGCTTAAGGATAAGTTTGACGTTTATATTGGCAATGTGGTGGATGGCGGGAAGGAGGTTAAGCTTGAGGTGCGCGGGAATGATATTTGGAAGTATAGGACCAGTGTGTTTTTTGGGGGTGCACTTGTTATGACGATTAAAGTTAAGAGGTATTATCTTGTTTATGTGGGGATGGGGAAGAGGCCGGAGTGGGAGGTTAATATTGCGCAGGGGTTTGATTTGTCTCTTGTGAGTTTTGAAACAATGTGTTGGATTTGTGGTAGGATGGCTGATGTGACATGATATAGGCTTCGATTATTGGGGTTCTTCTGGTCCAGGTGTTGTATAAACCTAGTTATCAGTCGTCTTTCAAGCCGGCCGGGTCAGGCGAGTCTAGCTCAAGCCAGCATCCTGATGCAAAGGGCCCAGTGAAGTCTTGATGGGTTTGTCTGACAACAAAAAGGGCAAGCGGAGAGTATAGCAGCAGGGCGGGACATTCTCTTTTTACAATGATACCACATGGTCCATGTATATCCAGGTCATCATCTTCGAAGCTCGGGAATGATTTTACGCCATCAAACAGAAATCTGGCTAGGTATATACTTGACACTTTTAAGTACGGTAGTCACCGTTAATAGTGACATACTCATGGCTGAAATCACAGAACCAGTAGACAGCATCCTCACCACCACATCCAGCAGCACCCTTCTCACCACCACCAAGGTCAACCTCAATCTCCAAGTCCTCATTCTGCAGAATGACACTAGCACGCTCCTCATCAACAGCCTCGGGCTCGCCATTCACAAGCAGCTTGAGGATGGGGCTGCCGTCCACAGGGCGGAAGCTCACAGAGGTACGCTCAGGCACGACAACGCCATCCTTCACACCCTGGGTGTAACCAACAGCGCAGAGGATACGGCCCCAGTTAGCATCACGACCATACAGAGCAGTCTTGACGAGGGGAGAGCGGGCAATAGTGGAAGCGATAAGACGGGCAGACTCGTAGTCGGGCGAGTTGCGGATGCGCACAGTCACGAACTTGGTAGCACCCTCGCCGTCGCGGACGACAAGCTGCGAGAGCTCCTGCGCAAAGTCGGTGAAGATGGTCTGCAGAGCCTGGTAGTCGGCGCTAGCTTCGGAGGCAGAGGCGGGAGCCCGAACGGTCTCTCCGCCGGCGGCACCGTTGGCAAGGACGGCAATAGTGTCGTTGGTGCTGGTATCACCGTCGATGGAGATCGAGTTGAAGGAACGGGAGATAGAGTGCTTGAGGATGGACTGGAGAGCTGCGGGCTCGACAGCTGCGTCTGTGCAGAGAACACCGAGCAGGGTGGCCATGTTCGGGTGGATCATGCCCGCGCCCTTGGTCATACCGGCCAGGCTGTAGGTATGGCCAGGAGAAGAGGGCAGAGTGAAAGTGCGAGAGAGGAGTTTAGGGAAGGTATCCGTTGTGCAGATCGCACGAGCGGTGCTCAACCAGGCATCGTGTGTGGAGTCGAGGTTGGCGTGTGCGGTAGGGATGCGGTCGAGGATCTTCTTGATAGGCAGGCTATTGCAAAGAAGCGTTAGTATATAGCTGACATCGCTTCTATTCGGAGGAGGACTTACCGCTGTCCGATGACACCCGTGCTCATGACGAGGGAGCTGTTCTTCTCAGCTCCACTGCACTCATCCACAGTCTGACCCATCTGAACTGCATCCTCCAATCCACCTTTGCCAGTCACAGCATTGGCGCATCCGGAGTTGATGACAACAGCTCGGATCCCCTCACCCTTGCGACTCTTCAATGTTTGCCGGCTAACCTGCACCGGCGCAGCCTGGAACTTGTTGGTCGTGAAAACGGCAGCAGCCGAGCAAGGCGTCTCGGAAGCGATGAGCGCAAGATCAGGGAAGCGGGTGTTGGACGCCTTGACACCGATATGGGTGCCAGACACTTTGAATCCCTTAGGGTACGTGCCGGACGTAGGGATATAGCGCTGCTTGGAGGCCGGGATGGCCATATCCAATGGTGCGGAGTAGCATCGGACCTGGCCCTTGAGCATGCGCGCAAAGGAGCTAACCGCCATTGTGGCGGGCTGGGTGTTGGAAACCATGTGTCAGGACTTGACAGCTATCAAGGCTGAATCACAATGGCACGGTCAGTCACGGCGACTTATGAAGGGGGATTTGGGGAAGCTCAAGCAGATGAGTCAACTTACTGCGGGCAGAAAAAGATAACCTTAACCGGTCTCGGAGCTGCCGACTCGGCACGGAATGGCGTGGTGTTCAGTCCACTGCTGTCAACGATCGATAAGAGAGAAGACGAACAGCTAGAACACAGTGTTTTACAGACAGTGAGAGTTATCTTGAAGAATAGAATTAGGAGAATTAAGAATAGCTCGACAGCCCGGAATTGAGTTCTCTTCGCCAATGCTCACATGATCTCTACAGTACTTCTTATCGCCGTATCCATGGATCTACAAGAGTCAATTAATCGATTTATTTACGCGCTCCGTTTTAACTAGAAATAACTCATATACTGTAAATCCAAACCCCGATGGTGACAGGTTAACAATAAATGCCTCGCGCTGACTCGGCCCTCTATCTTACTCCATACTGTATACTCCGTAGCTGGGGCGGACTCGGAGAAACTCTAGGGGACCCGCTGCTGCTCACTTTTTGACCTCCGCGGCTCGGGACACGAAACCGACCAGGCAGCTGGAACAATCGAATAACCACATTCCCAGGGTCTACCAACGAGTTTAATTACCTGTCCCCCTATCCAGTAGTGTATCAGACACTGCAGCGGCCCTTTGGCAGGCACATCTCCAGCCAATCCTGCCCCTTGCATTGCGTCCCTGTGCACATTCTCCGGATCTAATGGTATTGTTGATTTCCTTCCCTCTGCCTCTCCATCATGGATCGCTCGCTGACTCGCCCATTATGAAGCGCAAGCTGTCGAATTCCGGTCTGGAAAATGACCACCCCGAGGTCTCGACTCCCAAGAGACCACGCATCGCGCTATCGAAAACGAATGGCGCGTTGAACGGCCACGCGCCGTATCCCCTCCCACAAATGGCGATGCCACCTACGAGCTCCCCGAGGTACCACGAGGCCAATCGACACCAAAGAAAGCCAATGGAGTTGCGGCGACACCGCTGAAGGAATCTGGGTTGAAGACACCGACTCACAAGTCCAAGGCACGATCGCTGTTTGCGACGCCTACAAAGCCCAAGTCTGCAACTGCTGCGACACCATCTCGAATTAAGAATGCAGATCGATCGGCGAAGAAAAAGAGTGTTCGGGTTCTTTTCGAGCAGGATGAGGATGCTGCTTGGGATGGCTCCGAGCAGCTTGCGGAAGAGATTCTCCAGGATGATGAGCCCGAGACAGACAAGGCTGTCGAGCCCGTGGTGGATAGCGTCGAGGGCGAAGATGCAGAGAAACCGAAAGACAAAGAGGCCAAGGCTCCCAAGCGACGGGCAGGTCGACCTAAGGGTGCGAGGAACAAGCGATCACCAACCCCCGAAGGCGAATTGCCAGCACATGAACGCTACTTCTTCCAGAATCGCGCTGGTACTGCGAAGACGTCCAACGCTACTTTGAATAAAGTTTCGCTCCTGACACACGAGGAGTACTTCGAGAAGCTTGGCCAATACGTGGATCCGTGCAAGGATGAGAAAGAGTACCTACTTTCCTTGCACCATCGATCATTCCCACAATGGGATTTCGAGTTTGAAGAAGGGTTCAATATCTGCTTATTTGGGTACGGCTCCAAACGCAGGCTCGTGCAGCAGTTTGCAGATTGGCTCTATCACAAGCGCTCTGTATCTGGAAGCGCTCCATCTATCGTTATTGTCAACGGTTATACTCCGGGTATCTCGATCCGTTCGATCTTTGCCATGATCGCGACAGCCATCTTGGGCGAGGACCTGCCTTCCAAACTGGGTGCACAACCAACCGAGGTGCTCGAGCTGCTCCAATCAGCACTCAAGTCTCGACCTGCCACGGAAGAGCCCATCACGGTTCTAATCAACTCGGTTGATGCGCCGCCCCTTCGTCGTGCAGCCAACCAAGCTCTCCTCGCCCGTCTGGCCGCTACACCTCGAATTCGCCTTATGCTCACCGCAGACAGTCCCAATTTTGCAACGATGTGGGACATTAGTCTACGTGATCAATTCAACCTGGTCTTCCATGACAGCACGACCTTCACCCCCTTCGCCGTGGAAACTAATGTCGTGGAGGAAGTCCACACCCTGCTTGGCCGTAAAGGCCAGCGCGTTGGCGGAAAGGATGGTGTGGGCTTCGTGCTGAAGAGTTTGCCCGAGAACGCACGGAACCTATACCGCCTCTTGCTCACAGAAGTTATTACTGTGATGGACGACGGCCACATGTCTGACGAGGAAGGTGCTGGGGAGAGCGGAAGAGGTGCTGAGGAACATGGCATCGAGTTCCGCCTGCTCTACCAGAAGGCGACCGAAGAGTTCATCGCATCTTCAGAGATGATGTTCCGCACTCTGCTGAAGGAATTCCACGACCATCAAATGATCACCTCGCGCATGGACCCTAGCGGGATGGAGATTTTGGGCGTGCCATTGTCTCGGGACGAGATGGAAGGCGTGTTGGAAGATCTAGTGTTAGGATGAACGTCCACCTTGGTGTGTGCCATGTATGAGTAAGAGTGGAATAGCGATATCGCAGAACATGATACCCCTTTGTGAAACACAATATTCAATCAACGCGATCCTTTTGCCTTGGTAGTCGGTGTATGTATGCCACGCATACACTATGCTATGAGACATAGTCTAGATTTGTAACCCGATAGTCGTACACTCAGAGAGCACAGGGGAACTTTTTATGTACAAAATGCATTCCTCCGTCTATTCCTCTCAAGTGAACTCTGGGGATGGCTTCGCCTTTAAAACTGCGCAAAGGCAGCCATAGCCATCATCGCACCAAAACTAATCTTAAACGGCCGGTTCTCAGAAACCATCCGACGCAGATCAGCATTCTTGACATATTTTTGCAACCGATTCAGCGGAAGGATATTATAACCCTTGGACGCAGCCCACTGCATACAACATTAGCAATCACCCTCGCACAAGCCCAGAAACAGGATCATCTCTCACCTCAACAAGAACAACCCCCATCCCCAAAACAACAACCAAAACCTTCGAAAACGCCCTCAACCCCACACCAGCCACCAACCCCAACACACTCCCCAAACTAATCTGGCGCATATTCTCCGGCGTCAAAAAGGCATTCTTAGCCTGTTTCTGTAAACTGGGATCATTGGGGTTAACGGCCCAGCCGGTTTCTGCGCTGGCTTGGCCCCCTGTGCGAGAATAGGGCGCGCTGTATTCGCATCGCATTGGGGCGGCGCGGAAGGGGGAGAGTGGGTGGAGGGTTGCGGCGGAGAGACCGATGCCAAGGCCCAGGCCGAGGCGGAGGAGGGTTGATGGTGGGGAGAAGAGGTGGAAGGCCATTGTGGTGGGAGAGTAGTGGAGAGAGAAAAGAGGGTGAGGGAATTGGTGAGTAAGGTTTTGTAGGTAATTGGTGATTTCAGATGTTGGAGGTTAAGAGTTGGGAAGCATGAACAAGAAATGAAGCTCTCCCTTGGAGCTTGTGGATAAGATTGCCGCGTGATGTCATCGGCTAGTCACATCTCCACGCAGGTGCGCGTGGGACTACGTGGGACTGGCCCGTTGGGGGTCAATCGCTGTTTTGGACATGAAACTGTAAGTTGTAATTACCAACACTTCAGATTCCGAAACTAGAGTCTTGATCCCGAAGGATAGATTTGTCAAACCCCTCTACAATCGTCGAGAGCATCTTGGTTTCTACCGAGGTGGCAGCTCCGCATCTAGTCCTACCAGGTCTAACACACGAAAAATTCCCTACAACTATATCCTTTTGATCCGGTCTATGCACGAATCAGGGCCGCATTTCGAATTTCTAAGCTTTGTTCTTTGCATTGAGCAGCTTTTTGGCCGGTCAACCTCGGTCAGGCAAAATGCGTCCATTACTTGAAAAAGTTGTCAGTTTGACCTGCTAGTAGACCTCACTACGACTTGGACGTCAAGTCTTCTGAGACTATGTGAATGTGAGTTGAAATGAAGGCGTTCTTCGTAACGTATTGAATCAACTTTTGAATCATAATGTAGAAACTAGTGGATTGCCTCTCCATAACCTCAACACAATCGAGATATGAAATATGAACATAATGGCGGGTTGTCTGGTCAACCCAAAGGATCGGTATATATTTCAATAAAGGCCTTTTCCACAAAATTCTGCCACCCAGGATAAAGCGCTCTCGGAATGATCGAAATCCGATCCCCAGCCTGAAGGCTTCGCATCCAGGGCAGATCATCATCTGCGCGATACACCTTTTGATGATTCTGTGTCACTCTGCTTGCATGCATATTGGTGGCCAAGCGAATGTTGAAGTCTTCCGAGACACCTTCTGTGCCAGGAGCTCTTATAATCCCCATCTCGAACCATGTCCAGGAATTTCGGTATGTGCCATGGTCTTCAGTATAACTGCTCCACCCTTGGTCATGGCTCCAAATGTCGATTCGAATTTCTCGAACAGGTGATCGTCCGCCTTGAATGGGATCTGAGACCAGGTAAGGTGCCCTGTCGCGGCAATCGTGCTCTTGGTAACTAATTGCTCGCTCCATGGACACCTGAGAAAGGACCCAGTACTGGGCACAGTCTAGGATCTGGAGGGCGAGTTCAGCCGGTAGCTTCTTTTGGAGGATTCTGAGGGCCTCAAATCCATCCTCCGAGTCCCTTGGGTAGTGAATGCTTGATGTCGAGATCCCCATTTGCACGATGTTATAGGCTTAATGTCTTTGTCAGTCTCTGGGCAAGACAGGCCGACTGAAAAGTCCACCGGCTCCGTAGTGAGCAATGATGAAGTGAATAAGATCAAATTTTGGTAAATTCGTCGCTTGCTGGGACGATATTGTAGATATGCCGAAGGACTCCCTGTGTTGGGCCTCTAATGGGATCTCTCCGATGTTGCGCCAGACTGTTCGCTTGCTTGAATTTCTCGGGTTTGGATTGTCGACTTGTAAATTGACAGGCTCCTTAGGAGTCGTCCACTTCCACAGGCCGGCCGAAGTAGACGGTAGCCGAATTTCAGGCCGTCAACTTGTTATTAGGGAGGTGGTAAATGAGTGACGAATCATGTGGCACGTTGTGACGTGTTAGGTAGGTGTGGGGGCGTACAGTGGGGCTCCACATACATAAGCTTGATACCCTGACCGAACTTCCAGATCATCTATCTCATCGTTAATGTTTTGAGAGTTCAATTGAAAGAAATTATTTAGGAAGTTTTTGCAGAAGTAGATTTTAAGCACTCCAGCCTTCCACAACATGCTGCATGCCAAGCGCATGAAAGGCAACATGCTGCCACTGCAAGACTACAATTGTTTTGTCGGTGAAGGAGTTGACGCGCGCAGACCCAAGACCGGCTGATCGGAATTGAGGTAGTCCTTGATCCCACCTAGTTTGTATCCGGACTCCCATGCTAGTCCCTCGAGGTCGTCCGGATCGCCGACGATGGCGGGCTGACTTTCTGGAGGCTGCTGGGTGTGAACAGCAGCATACCATGGTCGACGTGCACGAAGGTTATGGGTTTGTCGACCGTAAATTCGGCGGGAATATGCCATTCAATATTGCCCTGGTCGAAAAGGTCGAACGTCGGCTGTTAGTAATAGAATTAGTCCAATCCGATCTGGGGCCGCCGCAAAAACGGGCAATTTACTCAGCACAGAACCGGAACAGTAGTTAGGTATTCGTGAAATATATATAGCTAATTAAGTTAAATGTTCCATGGATGAAGCCTACCAAGTTGTCTTAATTCATACTAGTTCGAAGTCCCGTATAGTCAGCGTTCTATTCTTCTCCTTCCTCCCCTCACTCCATTAACTTCACGATCTACTGAACTATCACGATGAAACATTCAAGCACTCGTCTTAAATGCTACCTCAAACGCCCGTGCAAGGCGAACAAGGATATTAACTCCCCTTGTTCTGAGGTTCTCCCTATGCATACGCTCGCTGGACTTCCCCCAGAGCTATTCTTGTTAATATCTGATTTTCTTTCGGTTGTTGACATTACTTGCCTATCCCTTTGCAATCGTCGATTTCGGGAGCTCTCTTTGCGCCAGAGGCAGTCTCCTCTCATGGAAGACAAGAAGCTCTCGGTTTTGAATAGATTGGAACGAGACTCTCCCGAATACTTCGCTTGCAATATATGCCACGTTCTCCATCGGTATGATGGATCTGAAAGTTTCGGACTCAGTGGATTGCACCAAGACGGAACATGTCGACTACCGTGTGTGGATGAGTGGTTTTCGTACTTATTCACCCTGGATACTCGTTACAACAGGAGTTATCGACTTTCTTTCCTTCAGCTTAAACTCGCTATGAGGCGGTTTTACTACGGTCCAAGGGCAGGGATTAGCACAGATTCCCTGTCGTATACACAAGTCAGGCAATTTCCCTCGGATATTATCTCGCTTTTCTCCCAGGAAGCAGAAATATACCCGAGGCTTCCTGGGCTTCATCTCAGGATTCAGGATATATTACTAGTTAAGACGCGGGATACGTTGGTTCATGCTCTACACAATATATCTAGGCCGAATCCTGTGCGTCTCTGTATACACTACGGCCCTGAGACTGTTATTGGGTTTGTGAAGTCTTTATTGAGAAGACGAGTGGACTCCTTGACCCATAATTGTGGGTCTTGCAACACGGATTCCGAGGTCGAAATCGTTGAATTCGATTCGCAAATAGCGCTCATTGTGACTAGGTGGACTAATCTAGGCCCTGGCATTACTCGAGACGACCCATTATGGAAGACTCATGCCTATTGGCCCTTTGGTCCCCGTGGACGACTCGATCATCCCCCTCACCCAACTTCGTTTTGCAGTCCCCGTTTATGTTTTGAGAAGACGACATCTTGCTCATACGAAGAGTTACAATGCCGCAACCTCGGTTATCTGAAAGACCAGCAATATAAAAATGGCAGAACCTTCATCCAAAGAGGATCGAATCTATGGTACATCTCATACAAAGAGCCTATGAAGGGAAAGGGAATCAAATTCATATGGTCACATATCAAAGGCCGTTGGCCCATATCCATTTTCGAAGGAAAAAAGGCCGATGTAACGAGAAAAGCACGAAAGTTGCCAGTTTACATGTCGTCTTCAACAGAAAGTCGCGGGAGTGACTCTTCATTTGATGTTTCTACGAGCTTGCAACAGTCGTGGTTATTCATGTATCTATGTGACCTTTAGTTGCTGATACCTAAATTGAGTTGGCTTTTGATTCGAGTCGGATTCAGCGCCGGAAGTCCTTCCATGGTTCGGCTAGGGGAGTGAAGGATCACCACCTTTAGGAGAGTCCTTTTGTGATGGGGTGATCGAAAAATTAGTATAGTTACATAGTATTTTTTATGGGTGGACGGGATCGGCTGTGTGGGCCGTCAGCCTCTTGTCATGTATCTTAGCTAGCCTCGGGTTTCTTTCCTCTTAGCATCTATACCCGAGTTTCACCCGATTGAGAATTGAAGTTTTCGTCCCAATACCATCTAATGGTTTCTTCGTTACGAAGGTTGGAAACAACGAGGGTATAAAGATGCTCCTCGGGGATGGGTAAGCCAATGACCTGAGTAGCGGTAGGACTTCGTTTGCTTAAGTAGCAATTATTACTCCTATCGACGGAGTAAAAGCAGAAAATCAATTAAACACATCACCACTATCTATGGCATTCTGTCCACAGTAGCCCGACCATTCCTGGGCACCTCAAGCGCAAAGTACTGCGTCAAACGCCCATCCTGCCCCGAAGCACGTCGTTCTGGCGGAGTACTACGCCAGAAAGGCTATTGCGCCTCCCAAAGAAGACGATAATCACTCGTTGACAACGGATAGAAAGTAATATCCCTACACAGCGGTCCAAACTTCGCTGCGAGATCCAACACACCTCGCGCAGCAGGCTCTCGACATCCCGCCGCAGCAGCAGGATAATAAAACCGCGGATCAAGATAGAACAGAACATTATTCCACTCAGGTAACTTCACAGAAAGTAATCTCGCCGCACGCTCATACTGCTTAAGCGTCCGTTTTGGCACACCCATCTGCGTATGCACAAATAAATAAACCTCGAATCCCACACTACGAATACATCCCCGCGCCGTGGGACTAAGTGTATCCAGAAAATCCCCTAGCCGAACTAGATCGAACGAATTTCGGAAAAATAGCGTGTGATGTGAGTACAGATAGTTCTCAGCTTCGTCGTGGATCTGGTGGTATACTGCGAGGATATTGCGTGCGGTGCCGTCTTCGCCGACCCAGCTTGGACACATTGAGAGGGCTTTGTAGCGATTACGGACTGTGAAGACGTTGCCACGGTCGTTTATGACGATTAGGGGTTTGTCGATGTAGTCGTTTGGTACCGTGAGGGCGTATTCGTAGATTTTGAGGCGGAGTTCGGGTGGGAGGTTGAGGAAGGAAGTTGTATTGAGGTCATGATTGGAGTTATTTATCGGGCCCATAGTTCTGATTGAGGTTTAATTGAACTTGAACATAGTCTTCTATGCGTCTGGTTGGAGAAGCTCAATAGTCTTGTTGGCTCGGTTGATACCTCTCGTGAGGGGTGGCCTACTGGAAAATATAATCCTTTCTGGATCGTATTGATTGTGACAGAATCAAGGGGAAAAGAATGATAGCGATAGTCTGACAAGAAAATGATTCCCGCTAGATTGATTGTATTGATCGTGATACAATCAAGGGGGAAAGAATGATAGACATAGTCTGACAAGAAAATGAGTAGTCAGTTCAGAGAATTGATTTGTTTAACGTACTTGCCAAGGGCATGGTCATCTCTGTAGTCATGCCATGCTTGTTGCATCCCGTAACAAACCGTCCGATCAACCTCGTCACTCCACCCCGTGATGGGCATTAAGAAATCATGGTCCCTATCAGTTTCAAACGAGTGGCGAGAACAGATCAGGAAAGACAAAATCTAGTATGTCTTTAAACCCGGTAATTGGAAACTCCTTTAGCCAGCCTATGGATCCAGCACGATAGTCTCCACCTGACTGTCTGAGCAGAGCACTGAATACCACTTGGCAGACAGATAACATGTTATTCTTAGATATAGGATCAACTGAATTGTAGCCTGTTGGTTGATGACGCCAATGGCTTACGGCCTGATAAAATCCGTATGACCGGGTGGCTGATTGTAGCAGGCAGTGCTACCAATCCGAAGTATTTTCTCGGGATTCCTTCATTTTGCGTTTGTATATACACTAGCTTACCAGTCCCCGTGCACCAGCAAGTAGGTAGACACGAATATCTCAAGGGTATAGACTCACAAGCACGGGGTACTATCTCCTCATCTCTGCAAAAAAAACCCAGAACGCCCAAGAAAGGAAAAAAAAACCATTCAATGCAGAAGCCACGGTCTATAGATAAGGCGCCATCAATAGCGCAATATGGTTTGATGTCAGTTTTCACTTCTGCCGATAAATGCCAAGTGACCACGCTGCCCGTAGGACGGCCAGGCCCCAGGCCATGCCGATACTGTCCCGAATGACATTCAGCTTACTGCCTCCGACCTCGCGCCATCCAACGGGTACTTCTGCCACGGGGATGCGAGCGAACTCGGCTAGCATGAGCATCTCCACGTCGAAGATCCAGCCCTCGGAATGCATGTAGGGAACGATGAAGGGCAGCGAGTTGCGCGAGAAGAGCTTGAAGCCACACTGCGTGTCCTTGACGGTTGCAGTCTTGGGCGGTGTCATAAGCCACAGGATCATGTGGAAAGAGTGCATGAGGAAGTTACGCAATTTCGACCGCTGTTGGGATAACGTTAGCAATTTACTTAATCATAGATTGTCGCACATTGACGACTCTTTATGCATAGCTGAGTATTCACTAACCTTGACTACGGCCTCGCTGCCCACCATATGCGCGCGCGACCCAACAGCCACACCACGGCCACCGGCATCCTCAATGTCCTGACACGCTTTAACAAGCTTGCCAAGATCCTCAAACTTACTCGCTCCATCCGCATCGGCGAACACGACATATTGACCACGCGCGTGCCGCATACCATGCGTAACGGCGCCGCCCTTGCCGCGATTGTGAGTCAAACTAACCACGCGAATCGTCCCAGGCGGGATGTGCACGCCTTCCTGCGCCTTGGGCGTCCACGGTCCCGCGTAGCCCTTGGGGTGCATCGACAGCTGATGATCCCTCGCAAAGCTGAAGGCGACCTCCTCCGTGCGATCCGTCGATCCATCCGATACGATAAGGATTTCCCAACCTCGGTCCGATGCCGAGCCCGTGGCATGACCGTTGGTTGCCTGGCCATTTGTCGCCGTCTTGCGCTTGCGCGTGGATCGGGTTGAGACAGTACTGGCCTCTTTCTCCTCGTCACGGCCCGGAGTACCGTACATATGCTCCAGGTAGTTGACAGCTTCTTCCAGCATGCCCGCAAGCCGGTCTTCTTCGTTGTATGCGGGGACGACTACGGACATGAAGAGCTCCGCGGGTTCTATTTCGGGGTTCTTGGAGGCGCGTTTTTGGGCGTTGAGGTTATCGAGCCAACCGGGGAGTGACTCGGGGTTTGTGATAGCGCCATCTTTCGCGAGGGTCTTATACTTCTTTTCCTCCGGTAGGGGATCCCGCGGAGTCGGCGCGACGATGAATAAGAAGGTAACGAACTGCAGATATCGAAGAGAGGTCAGCAATTGGCAATTGGTAGTCTGGAAGTAGAGCTCAAGCAGTCTAGGGATGTCGCGCATCACCCAGGCGGAGGAGGCAGCGCAGCCAAACTCACCAGGACAAACAATCCCAGTCCCGTAGCTGTAGCGGCAGCTAATAGAATGGTAGGTGGGACATCGGAGACAGTGGCAATGCACTGCCGACAGACGTTGCTCCAAGCTTCCGCCATCGTGTGTTGGTGTGGCCGCTCAATTGTTTCAAACGGCGACGGGCGACGGGGAATAATGCGAGGGAGACTCGGGGAAAGCCCGGGAAGTAAAGAAGGCAATCACTCGGCCAGCCATACAAAAGGCAATTAAACCGAACACATGGAAACAATCATGCGAAGAAATTCTGGAGCCCCATCTAGCGAGGGGGAGAGAAAGGGAGAGGGGAAAGGAAAAAGAGTTGGGGGGAGATGAGGAGATGCGAAGTGGAGAGGTGCACGTTGATACTGGAATCTGTAATCGCCAGCTTGGCCTTTTAGTTATCGGCAACGCGCAAGCATCTTGGGCCCAAAATGAACTATAGTGGGGGGACAGTTGCGACCCGATTATTATTCGACAGGAACGCATGGCTTTTCTGGAATTTCTCTTTTGCTCGAATGGAATATTTATCCGATTTTTCTTGAACAAACAGTCAAAGCTCAGACTTTCTCATTTAATGAGGCTACGTTCTTTGTTTGTGGCGTTTAGTTTGCTGCGCGATCCTCATTACGCATATTGGCGGGTCCCCAAGTCGATCTTGACCAGCTTCTTCACTGATTAAAATACCCAGAAAATGACGTCTACTTAGTACAGTTTACTCGTCAAGTATTTTTAGTCAGGAAAAAATAAATTCATAGTCTCGGATTTGCGATTTGCTTATGGGCCTTTCGGGCATGCTTACAAACAAAAATAATACGCGCAGCAGGGCCTACCATAAGGAGCTCAAAATCGAAGTATTCAGGGCAGAATCGAAGACCTGCGAAGAGAAAAAGCACGCTGGCTTACCCAGTTTCTCATATATCATACAAAAATATCCTGATAAAGTAGGTTAGATGATAAGAGCAGCAATTCTTTCCAAGGAGAACCGGACATTCCATCCAAATGGAAACGACAAAGGAAATTCAAACAATCATCACAAGCGTTTATCTTCTCTCCATTGCCTCCATAGTGACCAGTAGCTATTTCTCTTAGTTTCCGAAAATTCTTAACAATGGACTTGTCCTCCCTTTATCCATTTCCTAAAACATCAGAGGAGTGGCTGCTCCGATCCGTCCAGTCCCAGGTTCGAATGGAATTCTCCGCAAAAAATCGCTGTCCAATCGTGGCAAGAATCCGGAGAAAATCCGAGAGCAACCATAGGCCAAAGTTCCTCCTGGGAGAGAGATAAGCAAGGCAGAAAGCGCATTTTTGAATACGGGGCCAGCTCCGGCATCCGGTCAGGGATAGGGTTCCAGGAACGAGAACTTCATACGGCATCCATTACATTCCATTCAACCTGGTTGATATCCACTTGGAGATAGATCCTGGCAGAAGATCCGGAGATGCGAAAGCAATGCAAATGATCATGTCCCGGTATGATCCGCAGGGTGATCCGGTGGAATCCCGTTCCAAACCTCGGAGGGAGGTCTTCCATGGGCCTGGCCTGTTTTGACACTGTTTGTCTGAACTGTCGTTGAGTCACGCCGGGCTCGAAATTTCAATTCCTGGGATTTGCTTCGTGTCTATAAGGAAAAGGTAAAGAGAAGAATCCTTTGCTCCGAAATTGTACTCGATTTGGCCAGATCCCGACTGATCCGATCCGCTCCACGGTCAAAGGTGAAGGAAGGTTGTGTCCTTCACCAGATAGATTGTTGCCCCACAGTAACTGTTGAAAATCACAGTGAGCCCACACAGCACATCTCGTGGTGTGTATGAAAAGGCCGAGTTGCTCTGCTGTTGAGCTCCGCAAGAATCTGCAATCGATGCATTTTCAAGCGCGCGCAGAGTAACGCCGACCCAGCGATTCTCGTATGTTATCCAACGGTGGTTTGAGAAGGTCTAGTTGCTCTGCTGGTGAGGCCTCCACAAGTTTCCGCAATGGGTGCATTCCCAAGCGCGCGTGGAGTAACGTCGAACCTGCGATTCTCGTATGTTATCCAACGACGGAACTGCATGTCAAATTGATCAGCCTTGTTTCTATCCATCTCCATCAAGAACACATTCAAGCGCTAGAACCAAAGAAAAATGCGACAAACCGTTGCTATTTGCACGCCTAGCCAGAGGCATCTATGCATGCGAGGAATGGGAGTGGTACTCGGTTCAATAACGGGCCTGTCGTCCTCCGAGGGGGCTCCTTGGAAAAATTTGTCGGGGTAGTATAGCTGGCTCCAGGATTGACCGCGGATGAGGAAATCCTCCGGTAGATGGCGAGTCGGCATATCCTCCAGTGGGAAGTTTCTGTCTTCGATTTCGTTGAACTTGCTGTCGGGGTCGATGTCGGACTCAATGAGGGCTTTGATGAAAGAGTCGATGAGAGTGTTGAGGAATCTCCCGATGCTGACCCACGGGATAAATGCGTCGACTGGTTGCATGGCGAGAGGGTGGAGAGCAAGGCTCCAGATGAATGATAATGAGATATGTACACTTGGGTATATACTAGGGTCACCTAGTTGATCGAGCAAGACAGAAAGTGTGTGAAAGGCAAGAGTACTGCCGTGAAAAGCCATTGGAGGGAGATGGGCGCTAGGATCTGTTGGCTGGCCCTTTTCTTTGATTTTGCCTTTTGAACCCAAGTCCAAACCTGACGTCCAGTTGAGCGCGAATTCAGAAGCACCTGCGGCTGATGCATCATTTTTATGAGCAAATTCCATCCCTATATCAGCATCGACTTCGTTATCGCCGTATTGAAGGATCGACGCGAAATTACACGACATAATGTAAACCCCTGTTTGACCCTGACGACCCAGGTGCCGGGATTCTTGCCGCAAGAGTATCAAGAAGTGATTTGCCAAGGCGACGAATTGATCAGCCGGCCATTGATTGAATAGGGCACTGTGAGTAGCTATAAAAGCAGTGACCATTGTGTGTTGATTCAAATTTTGATCTTGTCCATTATACGGACCGAAGAGAAGGACCACACTCTCTCGCGCATTAGGGAAAGGACGTACACTCACTAGCGCTTTGGTGTAGTGGAAAAGCTGCTGAAGCACGTCTGGACGAGCTAATACTGCAAGATGATGTTGAATACGACCCACTTCAGGGCTGCGATCAGCGTCTTGATTGTACCAGTATCGCGAGACTCCGGCCCAAACCTCCCGGTCTCTCATATCAGACTCTTCCACCGCCATACGATATCGTGCTAAATCACCTAGGCACTCGATCCAAGTCTCGCTAAATGCAACGACGCTTTCAAGTAAGAGTGTCATCATCGAGTATGCGAGGTAGATGAAATTCAACATATAATCCAAAGAGCCTGGCAGCTTTTGCCGAAGCAGCTCCAAAAATGAGTGAATCCCATATCTCCACATTCGTGCAGGCATTGCATACTTGTCGGCCAATTTTTTCAACACCTGACTGGCGGACGGGTGTTGGGAGGCCAGAAAAAATCATGGTGTTCATAAAGTAATGTTCGATGCAGGGATATCATTGCTTGCCACTGTAAGCCAGATAACTCGGCGTTGGATTCAGTTTGTTGTTTGTCGACCTCGATGCATTTCTTTTCCACCATCACTAGTCCAGCATAGATCGAGCGCACCTCTTGGATCAACTGATCTTCTGTGATTTGATTGGTCTCTGGCTGCTTGTACATCGGTGGTGGATCCGACGACTGTGACCCGGATGGTGGCTCCAAGGAATGGGATGAATACGGGTCATTGAGATCATCATTGAGTTCATTTTCTGGGCTTTGTTCAGGGGGTGGCCCATCGAGATCCATTGGAACATCACCATCATTATCATCAGCATCATGATCTCTATCCCCCGCCCCATGCCCGTCTTCATGTATATCATTATCACTTATGCCGCCAATACCCTTCTTAGTAGCCGTGGTTTGAGGAACCGCGGGGTCTGAATGATATCTCCGCGGCTCCGCTCGCGGCGTCTCATGTCTTGTTTGATAATCAGATACTCGGGTAAACTCCGATTCAGTGAGCTGTGCTTTCGACAGTACCCCACTAGTATCATCATAGTTGGTGGGTTGATTCGAGGCAGACGTGGACCGCCCTCGATCCCGCTCTCTTAGCGTGCGTGAACTGTCTCGGCGATGAAAGTTCTCTGCACGGGCAGCTAATTTTGTGCGCGAGGATGCTTTGGACACTCGGGCACCCTGACTACTGGAGGTATCCACAGTACAGTCATCGGGTAGCATCCCAGTAGAGAGTGGCAGGCTGGCTGATGAGCGCAGGCGAATGGCCGTGGGCACTTCAGGCGACAACTCATCCGAGTGTACCCGGCTTATGGAACGCCTGGGATGGCAGTTAGTTGGGAGGCCTAGCAATGCCACGGATGTGACTTGCCTAGGAGACAGATATGGTGAGGACCTGTCTGCACCTCGCCAACCGGGTTTGGGATCCACTCGAGAGGAGCCTGATTTGACTCCGTGGAAGCGTCGCCCTCTACGAAAGGATGGATTGTCCATTGTATGTATCTGTGTGACTTGATGGTTTTATTATTTCAGGACTTTGTGCAGTCGCATCATCTGACCTGAGCAGTGACTATATTAGCTAATCGGGCTCGCCTAAACCAATTGGGTGTCCGTGCTGGCATTTAGCCCTGCAGGTGGGTGTGTGTTTAGAAGGGAACATGAGGGGAAAGTCAAAAATTGTAGACTAAGCGTGGCAGTGGCGGAAAGGGTGAGCATAGAAAGATGCTCGGGTAGAGTCAGGTTGAAAGGGGGCTGGACTGACGTTATTGTTGTTGCGATGGTTGGGCTTTCCGTCGCACAAGTCGATGGGGGTAAAATGGCGGTTAATGACCCGGGTGCGGCCTCTCAGAGTTTATAAACAGATATCGATGGACATTGGAGCCTGTGGTCACCTGGGCGAAGCACCCCGGGTTGTGGGTAGGAAGCCCATATATAAGACGTTAAGGACTCCTGTGGAGAAAACAAGATACTGGTAATAACACCTTTGGCCTGACGACTCAGACGAGCTATAATTGTCTTGGCCGCAAGGATGTTGCCAGATGGTCGTACCCGCTTTCTGAGTTTCTAGGCTTTAGCGCTGGTTGCCTTCTCGACCGAACAACCCTTACCCGTAGGGTTGATTTAACCCTTATTTGCCCCATAGAAGAATCCTCAATAATAAACTTGCCCTTAATGAGATGCATACATCTGACCTACCTCACTTGATCATGATGGTCATTGTGGTTTCCTATCCCAGTCATTAACAGGCCTGAACACCCCGGGAAAAAGGTCCATGCCTTTTGTCTTCAAAACACATACGTCTGCAACCACCCCATCGACATCAGAATATTCCTCTTCTCTGCAATACGTAAATAAATGAGGCTGCCTTTCAGCATATCAGCCGCACTGAATTCACCACGCGCCTCTCAGCTTTCTATATCGACCGAGACATTAACTCGCCCCGCCAAGGCGGGTGCTTTTTCGGAGGACAAAATGATGCTTACGGCAGATCATATCCCTCAAATGGATTCAATAATAACATAACTGATCTATTAGGCGCCTGACGAGACAGAATAGGGCGATTTGAACCTGTTGATCACAGCGCCAATTGCCGAAGTTGCCGTCACCCAGAGAAACTCAACCATGAAGGTGCCGGGCCATCTCCCGTGTTCTGGAATATTGGCAGCCTGCAGGGTCAAGGGCATAATACAACATTATGCTCAATAACCTTGAAACGCCCTATTTGACCTAGTCATTGAAGGCCCATGACCTATGTTTCAGCGAGGCAAAGCTCGTTCTGAGGCAATACAAGTCTTGAAACGGGAAACCCTTGCGTATGTTGAGTTTCTTTGAGCCCAATCTAGATCAGACCGCTCTGCCGACGCCATCGCCATTATTGGCGGTCTCTCACCGTCATTTCACGAAACCAAGAAAAAGGAAAAAGGACGATGCCCAAGTCTGATCAACGATCAAAGCCTAATTCCCGGAAACGAAGTTGAAACGCTTCTCCAACTGCCAACGCCCCAAAATTGGGGTTGCCCGTCAGGCTGCGAACCGTTGCTGCTCCCGCTTCACGACCCATCAATATGCCGCTATTTCGAGACATTTATTCCAAATTCCCTCATACATACGGTTATTTCGCTGATCGGATCTAAAGGTGGGCTTCAGAAATGGCTTCCTTCCAGAGCCTAGCAGGGACCAAATCATAATGAAGGAAGCCGGAGCTGGGCGGGATGGGATTACTGCCCGAGGCAGTCAACAGCAACCCAACCCCATGGTCACCTATGAGATACCCGAGGAATCCATTCTGTCGGGATCGTGGGGTCTTGCCGCCATTTCTGGTCAGTTGATGTCTTTCTCTGCGCCAATTCAAACATAACACATGGCTTTCAGGGAAGCTTGCAATGCAAGGCCACGTTATGCTTGTCAGTGCATTGCCGTACTTTGAATTCTATGGAGAGTCAAACGAACTAGCTGGGGTTCTTTGACTAGAATGGTATGACATTTGTAGCAAATCCCGTCCAGAGATATTGACTGAACGTCTTTCTCTTCAATAGTATGCCCCACAAGGTCTACCACGGTAAGACCGGTGTTGTCTACCCGATCTGATTGAAAGACCACGCCATGCTTTTTACTTGTGCTGAATTCTCGCGCTCTGTGTTAAATACGGTATATATCTTTGGCTTCTCGTTTCCAAAATAGGTTCCGATTTCCGAGGCAGTAGGTGGGTCACTGATATACGAGGCTCAATCACGTATCATAAAATGCTCATATCAATGTTCAATTTTCTACTCAAGAAAACCATATTTCACGTTGAGTTTAAGTTATGGTGATGCTAAAGGACGATGAGAATGAACCAAGGGCAGAAATGATCCATCTTGCGAACATTTGGAGATCAGGAGATTGTAGATAACGGCGGCTATACCCAGTGTTGCCTATTGGTCGGGGAAATCAAACTATTGTTCCGGTGTAGGTGGCTAAGTGTTTCCCTATTGGCGTGTTCTCAAATTCCTCGATCACCCCACATGCACCCGCGAAAGTGAAGCTAGCATTACACCATATATTGCCTGCCTCTGTATAAGCTATACTTCAATAAGCTGCTTCACGTTTGCAGATGCATATACATACTACCTCTCTACAGTAAATACAAGGCGAAACCTGGTCAACTTGACTAGAATAACTTTGCAACTCAGGATAATTTGAAAATTTCAAAGGCAAGCAACATACATAGAAGGAAGCTCTGCTGCAGATCCGATGCATGAAAAGTTTACCTAGAGGAGCTCATATTTTCGTGTGGTCATAATGCATGCGAACCAAAAGCTGTATCACTTCTGTACTCCGTACACCGAGATAGAAAAGAAAAGAAGAACTAAAGAAAAAGGAATGTCTCTCGCATGCTCTACGAACAAAATGTTTTGGCCTGGCTGGTCCGCATATGTAATAACAAAGTTCAAGGCAACCATTTGTTTCCCCCTCGATGATGCGCAACTCATCGTCTGCCTCGCTTAGACAGCAAAAGACAAGGAAAAAAGTGCCCCTGACTAGATCGGAAAGTATAAACTACGAAAGCCAAAATTATGAGTAAGGTGTAAAGGACACAAGGTAAGGGCGGCAGGGATACAGGATTAAAATGGAAGTTGCAGGGAGGAATAGTATTAAGGGAACGTGCACTTGTCCGCCCAGGTTACATTTTGCCGGTTTGCAGGTTTGCACCCGGGTTGAGACTTGAGTGAAGGTTGAGCGGGCTGGCCCCCTAAGTTCTAACCCCATCAAAATCATGATCCGCCTGTTCCCGCCCCAAGTTGTGAAACGACCTAGATTCGCGGAAATGGTGGAAACCAAGGCAACAAGGAAGCATTGATATTCCTGTCATTCAATGTTCAAGTCATGTTGACATGACGAGTGGATGTGCAGAAGCTTGTTGGCTGAAGGTGGTCTCAACCCGGGTTGAAGGACTAAGTACGGAGTACAGACTAACTCCTTTAGCTTGCCGTGGTGCATTCGATACACTGTTCTAGATTGAACCAGAAGCCGTCGAAACTAGAAAGTACTACGAGAGCTGCATCGAATCATGCACTAAGTACATATATGGCAGGGGTTGTGATTGGCTAAATATCAAAAATTGTCGTCAAGGAGTGAGGCCCGTTCCCGGTGGGGGCCGTTTCAGAGCTCTTAACACAGAGCTGCCAGGGGTATTTGAGCAAACGGTGACTGCACTAAACCCGGGTGTGAACAACCATTTGACCAGCTCTTGTACCATAGGCCTAATTTCTGGCGCTAGTGGTGACGGATAATAACTCAAGAGGCGCGGTCGGATCCCGAGAATTGCAAGTTGAAGCTCGATGAGAATCGGTGGCATGCGAGAAATTCGAATATTGGGATGGCCCTTATTTTATCTATAGGGTGTGCCAATCATAAGTCGCATGAGCTTTTTTCAACCTTGATTATCATTTGAATCTACAGACTGAGATTCACGTAGGCATCGGGGACAAGACAGATCCTCTGTCAAAGTTTACTTTATCTTTAACCTTAGAATAAGAGGCAAAATCAACGAAGACTGATCTATCAAGTATGTTAAATTCCGGTGAAGAAACTGTTCGCAAAAAGCGCAATAACTTGTGTCGCCTAGAAAAGCCCCGTTTGCGCAGACTGCATCCGTGATCGCAAAGATGGATCCTATAGATCACGAAAGTAGAGATTTGCCGGGCAAAGACGTCATCGCCATCAAACAACAACAAACAGGCCGATTGTACTCCGTACTTTACACCCTTAACCCTCCAACCAAGCCTTTTATCCTTTCATCACAGACATTGTCTACAATGTATAGCTAATACTTAGCATTGCTACCTACATACAACAAACAATCAACAGACGGAAAGCCACATACCTCATCAAATTCTCATGTAAACTCCCACCCTCATCGGACGATCGATCGAGCATCACCCTCACCGCCTCAGACCAGCCATCTAACCCACCACCGATCTCTCCAAAATCGGGCCTATCTTCATGTACCATCGTCCCCACCTGCATCTTCCGGCGCGGCATCTAAATCTCCAGCCCCGGTATCTGGGTCTATCACACACGGGAAGACTCCCAGCCACCAGGTCCAGGTCCAAGCCCAAGCCCACAGGTCCGAGCATCATCATGTCAATATCGACCTTCACTCTACCCGGGTTGAACCTGCGGGTCAACAGTACGGCCGACTTGGCCCGTGACGAATTATCGTCGTTCCCCGCCTTCAAGACTTGGTTGTCTACGTTGCAGAAGTCGCTTGCTAGGCAGTCAAATCCGTCACATGAATTCTATGATGACCCGTATGTTTTGCGACAAATTGATATCCAGGCTGTGGATCGGTTTGGGGGTGGACGGTTGGGTTTTGTTAAGTTGAAGGCCGATGTGTCGAATGGGCGAGGGGAGAAGTTACCCGGGAGTGTGTTTTTGCGGGGTGGAAGTGTAGGCATGCTTGTATGTTCTCTCTTTACTTTTGTCTTTTTTTATGTCTATTCACTGACAATTATCATTCTAGCTCATCCTTCAACCAGACGACATTCCCTCATCGCAAGACAAAGGAAAACAAGCCATCCTAACCATCCAACCTCGTATCCCAGCCGGTTCTCTAGCATTTGCCGAAATCCCTGCAGGCATGCTAGATGACAGCGGGACTTTTGCCGGCGGTGCAGCGAAGGAAATCGAGGAAGAGACAGGCCTGGAAGTCCAACACAGTGAACTGATTGATATGACAGCTTTAGCTTCGGAACTCACCGAAGGCTCGCCGGAGAATGGCGAAGCCCTTCAGGAAGCGATGTATCCTTCTGCCGGGGGCAGTGATGAATTCATTCCTTTGTTTTTATGCCAGAAGCGTATGCCTCGGAGGGATATTGAGGAGTTGCAGGGTAAGCTGACTGGACTGCGAGATCATGGTGAGAAGATTACGTTGAAGGTTGTTCCGTTGGAGGATCTGTGGAAGGAGGGATTGCGAGATGGGAAGACGTTAGCTGCGTGGGCGCTGTATAAGGGACTCAAGGAAGCTGGAAAGATTTGAATGCAACTGTCCTTAGGAGACAAGAACAGAACAGTGGAGTGTTGGACATTGTTTTGATGGAACTGTACAATGTAGTATCTCTAACTACTCTATGTATTCGCTAGTGAGACTTAAAAAGAAGTCTTCTGTAGGCGTTATCTGTGAACGCATCTCAATCTCACAGCTTCCACTTCTTCATCAACTCCATTCCCTCAGCCAGAGTGCCAACCCGGGCATCGATAGCATACCCATCCCGCTCGAGCCTCTTCATCTCTTCATACAGAGAAGCCAACGGCACAGTAAAACACTCGATAAACTCATTATCCTCAAGTTCGGGCTTGGGATTCTGATTCTCCGGCAGACTCATGTCCACGCGGACATGGACCATGTTCAAATTTGTGTTACAGAAACCCGGGTCTAAACAAACAAAAAAAGGCAGCGAAGCACCCTGGTCAGCTGCAGCCCGGAAAACGAATATGCGCCGGGGGGAATATGCCGAGGAAATCTAGAAACCCAAAGAAGGAATTCATGCAAACGCACCGTTGTACATTATCGGACTCGTCAGCTCAGCCACGCCCACGTAGCCAGTCTCCTCCTTGAGCTCGCGCACCGCGCATTGCTCGGGCGTCTCGCCGGCATCGATGAGACCGGCTGGCACCTCGATGACGACCTTATCGATTGGAGGGCGATATTGCTTTTGCAAAAGTAGTTCAGGCCCTGTGGGTTTGTTGAGGATGGTGACAATGCCTACGCCATCGATCTCGCAATTGGCGGGCCGAGTCTAGACGTGATGAGTTAGTTAAGGGTCCAATCAAGTTGGTGACGGCTTCATGGACGATCATATGAGGGCCCAGAGCTCTAGAAACGGGTCGCGTGTTTCTGCTTTTGGCCCGAGGCAACCAATTGAAAGGGCTGTGCAGTGCATCCGCCAATGGTACGGGCCGTAAGCTTATGCCGAGCTAGCTGTGTCATCTGAAAGACACTGGGGAATAGTTGAGCTGTACAACATGATGTGCAGCTGAGGAGCTGGGAAGATATGATGACAGGTGATAGATCACAGGCATCGTAGCTCTGGAACCCGGGTGCTGGGTGTGGGATAGGGCTATTCTAGATGTAGGTGCACGGAGTGTGTTGGCCTAGCTAGGGCAGGAGCCGAAAGCAAACCCCAGATACCAACTGCAGCAGAACCCGAAGAGCACCCGAACAATGAGGCAGGGGTGTGAGATCTTACTTGTCGTTCCGCTGATTCCCAGGTGCGCTCAACACCCAAGGGGTCTGTGTAGGTGGTCTTAACCAATCGAGTCCAGCGGGCATCGACATTTTCCTGGAGTTGATACTCGGTCAGTTATGAATGGTCGGAGTTAATACAAGAGGATTTTGATTGATAACTTTGCTGTCTCCACTGCACTGACTGCAGGATAGTATTGAAACCAAACTAGCAATCATCAAACAATGGCATGACATGGATTGACATACCAGCGGACCCTGGGAAACGTGTTTGGATTTGGCTTGGGAACGTTCCGACATGATTGTAGGTTGAACTGAGTGTATGAAGAGAGATTAAGGATCAAAATGGCCCTCGTGAAACAACTGGCTGCACGCAGGTGATCTTTGGGCAGCAATCGTTGTGTTTGGAGCTTGTTTCGGAGCTATCCCCAATGTCGATGATGATGAGGGAGGCGCAGTAGTGGGGAGAGGGAAAATAGAGGGGCTTGCCTCGAGCCCGAGGGTTGTGGGGCGGTGCGCTTACCTTAGCGTCGTTCCCATTGCCTACGACACCCACATCGAAGGTGGACGTAGATACGATGTGAAGAAACAGTCATTGCGGGGTCAAAAGGACTGAAACCTGGAAATGAATATCTGCGGGGTTAATTTGCGGTTATCGGGAATTTGATACGTTATTCAAGTAATTTGTCGCCGTTCGAAGTGCATCACAGGATGTGTGTACTTCACGACCAGGATACAGAGTAAATAGACTCAACAAAGACAAAACTACCTCGAGTCTTCTTTTTCAGTTTACTTATCTTACAGACTAAAAGTTTATAAAGTACAAACAGGACAAAACAGTCCCCAGATCAAAACAAGGTGTTCCATACCTTGGCTCTACCATGTTAAACCAAGGATAACTTGACGCATATATCAACCCATTGACAAGGCTGTAAATGTCTCATACTTGCCCCCAGCAATTGTCTATACAATCCAAAACACTAGTCAATTCACCCCCTTCTCTTATCAGAATATTTAACCCAAATCAAACAACTAAGTAAGTTACAATCGGGCAGTCAGGGAGCTACACAAACTAGCCATCCAATCGTATAACCAGATCAAGACATGTGCCACCAGGATCAAAGAGCATGAGACTATGTATGTCAATTGCAGGCAAAACAAAACGAAACAAAAAAAGCAACGCAAGTAAGCATATCGTGAACTTCAACCCTCAACCCGTTAGGCGGTTCTGGACCGGGGTATGCAAGCCACGATCCATGCCGGATTGAGATTCGGTCAAGCGGCTAGATGTCAACCCGGGTGAGTGGTAATGGAGTCTGCCTTGCTGAGTTGTCCGAGGCAGAAACGCGGGTGCTGGGATGTTGCAGCAGTGGCGTGGTTATCTTTGTCGACTGTCCTGTCCGTTGTTCTCCTTGGATGTCTTCCTGAGAAGACCATACTTGATCTTCCCTCAATACAACAATTAACGATACACGAGAATTACAGTCATGTAGCTTCAGTCCCATAAAATCTCCATTGTATGATCTGTGCTGACGGGCAGACATAGATCTAATATCATGTTGCTCATGAAGACTTGTCTATAAGCGACTAATAAAAGGTACGACGTACTAATGCAATGACAGAGAATGAAGGTGACTAGCACACAGCAATGGCCTGGTATGGATGCTTTCCGGCCCTTTCGCTTCCAGAGATGTAGGATAGAATGGGATCTGGGCGGTTCATCACAGATCGAACGAGGTAAGAGAAACAACTAATAAAACAGCAAAGCTCCAGAACGACCATTCGCTTGCTTTCATGACATCGTGCGGACATTGAGGCATCCGGTAACGAGAATAAATATGAGAGGAAAATGGAGATCACAGGCTGGACTGAGTAGTCTCGGCGGGGCTGTTCTCGATGAACTCCAGGCACTTGGGGAACTCATCCCAGTGAGTCATGATGATCTTGACACCAAGATCCAGCAGACGTGTGCTCATCTCTGCCTGCATATCCGGCGCATAGCTACCGACGTAGCCAATGACGGGAATACCGGCACGAACGGCTGAGAGGGCACCAGACTTGCTGTCTTCCACAGTGACCGTCTCCGAAGCAGTCTTGCCGCACACCTTCAGCGCGTGCAGGTAAATGGCCGGGTCGGGCTTGGAAGTGGGCTTCTCGAGGGAAGTAGCGGCGCTGAAAACCATGTCGTCGTCAAAGTACTTGGCCTGGTCGACCTTCTTGATCGAGGCAACGACTCGGCGGAGAGCGGAAGAGGAGACCACGGCGAGGTGATACTTCTTCTCAGCAACAAGCTTCTCCAATTGCTCGCTGGCACCGACGCAAGGGAGAGCCTTGGCCTCCAGCTTGGCAATGACCTTGTCCTCCTCTTTCTTGACATACATCTCCAGCTCGTCCTTCTCCATCTCAAACTTGTACTTGGCTTGGAGGGAGATCATCATGCCTCGGAAGTTTTGGCCGACAAAGTCCTTGATCAGCTGCTCGCCGGTGTAGCGATCAGGAATGTTGCGTTTCTCCAGAATCTCGTTGGCCAAGTCGGCGCAGGCCTCGAAGGCCAGCTCCTCCGACAACACCAGAGTGTTGTCGCAGTCGAAGAAGATTTCCGTGATCTGTAGGGCAATCGGTTAGTGTTGGTGGGTCTGAGCATGATGAACAGGTTACAATTGGGGGAGCTTGTTGGTACCTTAGGCATGATGGAGACGTGGGGAGAAGATCCGTGAGATAATTTTTGAATGGCGGGGTAGAGAATTATGGTTGCGATGACAGGCACTGGGGAATGCGCCGACGTAGTAGAGAGCCAGGTATAATCGACTTCGATCTCAAAGACGATGAAGTATAGAGCGAGTGGGAGTGCGAAGACGTGAAGGGTGAGAGGAAGAGGAAGTTAAGAAGGAAATCGAGTCAATTGAGGGACATTCAACCAAGGGAGGGGCAAGGGGCAGGAAGTCAAAACGTCAGGGCGCCGGTTGCTTTTAAAGGCAGGAAGGAGGCAGGCACCCTTGGGCCTTGGGCCTTGGTCCTACAGTCCGGGAAACCATGACGCCGCCATAATGCGAATCGCAGGGAACCGGGCCAGAGCGGGGCTGAGGTCATTGGTGGGAGGTAGTGGATACTTTTATTTGTATGTAATGTGACACATGATTTCATGTATCTTAGACATTCCATCCAAGGCACGCAGAGGGACCTCGAACAGCTCGGCGGCCACCACTCCACCAATCACATGACCCACAATACACAGTCAGCAATGTTCACTCCTAATTGGGACTAGCGTCTGTCGAGGAATCGTAGAAAGTCGCAGAAAGTCGAAGCTTGCAGTGTTCTGGTTTACGGCCCTGAGCTTTGGCCGTCAGTGATACAAAAGTGGAGGTCGAGGGCAAGAGCTGGTCGATGCAATCCAGTGTCCACTGCTGTTGATACGTCCTCGGCGGCCCGGTCTTCCATGGCCCGTGGAATAGATGCCCGTGTCAACAACACCTTGGAAGAACACAATCACGGACCGCGCATTCAACTTGCTATTGGGCTAACTGGAGGAATATACTGAAGAGTCTAACCTCTTCCTGCACGGTCGTACATGGATTAGTCTCAGGATCCTGGCCTTTTCATGCTGATTTGCAACATGCCCCGGTCCGAACCGACATTCGGGGCCAGTGCCGTTAGCATGAAGGATGTGTATGCGGTATATCTTTCGGGTAAGAGTCTGTCTTTGTTGATAATATGATTGAGCCACTGGCATTCCTGCAATTCCTCGGTGAGGGACAAGGCTCGTTCATGGTTAAGGAAATATGTAGAGACGGCATTCGAAAACGGGTCATGGCGGGGTATACATGGGCTTCAATCCGGGCTCATACATACTTGGTTTCTGCGCGTTGCTACTTCCGGCCATATACAATGTACAACTACAATAATAGACTGCCCAAATGGGTCCCAGAATCCATCTCAGTCTATGCTAACTATTCCTATCACATTATTGGGTGGTTCTCTCATCCTACGAGAAGAACTGTATTCCGTACTGACCGTAGTATACGAGAAGATTGAATAACGACTTATCTGAGAGTTTTCTTCTACAAACCCCACCGACAACAGATTCCGTCCTCTGCTAATCTAGCCTGTCTCTCCTTTCAATATTCTTCTCTATCATTTCCTTCTCTTCAATGACCCGATATTAACCCGGGTTAGGTTCCAAAAGCACAGTACAGTACATATACCCCCACTTCCATCTACCCGCCGCAGCGTCCATTAGCCCCACCAACCATCAACCAACCAGTGGGCCATTGGAACTGCATCTTCCAATTCTGCAACCTTCAATGTTCAAAAAATCCCGCTCCCATTCATCACACCAAGACCACCGAAAAAGGCTGGTTTCAGCGGACTCCCGGTCCAGAAGGAATCCCTACCACCCCGGTGTACAAGTGCAACTCCCACTAAGGTCCAGGTAGCCCGAGAGCCAAAAACCCTCAGTTAAAACATCTGTCTGCTTGGCAAGCCAGCCCTAGTCACAATGGCATCTCCGGGCACCTTTCCGACCCTAGAGTCTCTGCATTTCCCGTCTGCACAGACATCCATATCGCAGACACTCTCGTCTCTCCGACGTTCGGCCCTATCCGTCTCGAACAGGCTTCAGTCCATTGAGACGGACGCTGTCTTTGTGAAGGAGGTTGCGGATCATTATGCTCTGCCCCTCGTTGCGAATGAGCGCTGTGGGAGTTGGTATATTGATCCGGACGTTAAGGTCGGCAGTGCTTATTTTAAGAGTACGGATGGGCATACAGGGCAGTGGGATTTCAGCTTTCGTAGACTCAATCTACAGCTTTTGACTTTGGCGAGGGAACATGGAGGGTAAGTAGAGCATAACCTTACACTTATCCCTATCTTTTTATCGTTTAAAATTGGATAATGGATCTATTGGTCTATAATTCGAGGCTCCTATTGGTCGGACATACAATTCCTTCATCCAATATTTCCCTCAACTCAACTCTGACCGTCGTCCAGATGTGTAATCGTCGACTCAACCCGCCGAGGTAAACGTACGTGATACCCATCTTCCAATCCCAAACCCCGGTCCTCGGGGCCAATGGTGGCGGCCTAGTCGGCGCCAGTTCCGTTTGCCTACTTCTAGTTACCCTGTTACACTTTCATAGCTGACACTACGCGAATTACTGCCCCTCCAGTGATGCCAGATGCCTTATCCAAAACCATCCCCATCTGGTGCGCAGTCCTCAACCGGGCCTTATTCCCGACACAAACAGCCTACCACGCCGTAAATCTCCCACCGAATTACCTCGGTGAATCGGAGGAGTACCAGATTGCGAACCGGATTGATGGATTTGTTCATTCGCTTCAGGTATGTACATACATGTACATGGACTGTACGGGACAGTATGACTGCATTTAATCCCTGCACTTATATGTCAGGGACCATTCTCTCGATCCCCCTCCTCCTTATCTTTCGCCCGGGGGCGGGCTACCTAGCGCGATGACGGACGGGCTGACAGTTCGCAAAAACAGTCTCTCAAGCTCGACCTCGAGGAATTACGGCAACAACTCGGAAAACCCATGCGCGTAGCCTGGGCTACTCGCTCGTATTTCCATCCAACAGATCTCCACAAGAGCGACGAGTATCACCTGCTAGTCCTATGCTCGGCATCCAAGCGCGTCCACGGCGCGGAGATGTCGGAGGGCGGGTATATCCAGGGTGCTGGAGATGACAGCGAGGCATGGGCGCACGGGCTAACGCCGCCCGTGTTCTGGGCAAATCGGCTCCTTCTCAAACGCACGTCTGAGGAGGATTTGCCCGGTGTGATTGCGGAGTTGGTGGGGGAGTATACGCGTGAGAATACTGATCATAAGGCTACTGGTATCTCGCCGACGCGCAATTTGTATATCAGTCAGACTGATGCGCGTGTGGATGTGTGCGCACAGTATGACCTTGTGATTGACTGTAATGGTGATCCCACTGCTGTGGTGGATAATCCAAAGCGTCTTAATCTGGGTTGTGCGTCGGCAAAGCTGGGTAGTCGTGACTTGCGGAAATCGTTGGATAAAGTGCGAGATTTTGTTGGTGCGCAACTTGGTTCTGATCCGTCGCGGTCGTTGTTGGTGACTTGTGATACGGGCAAGGATCTCTCGGCTGGTGCTTTGTTGGCGATTATCTGCCTATTCTATACTGAGGATGGTAATGCGAAACACTCCCCCCGAGACGGAAAAAAATCTTGGAATGAATTGACACGCTAGATGGAACGTCAAAAGGGAATCAAAAATAACTAACTACATCGTCTCCTAGGAACCTTCGACGCCGAGCAGAGCAAGCGCTCAATCAGCAAGCAGTTCATCCGACAGCGTCTGGCGTGGATCGTCTCGTCGAAACACGACGTGAATCCTTCCCGCTCGACGCTTCAATCGGTCAACGCCTTTTTGATGCAGCCGCCGGATTATTGATCTTGACCGATGAAAGGGCATCAGGTGGCCGTTTGAACAAGCGCTGCAAGATCGGCAGTTCGGTCTTGATGAACCGACGACTCGAGGAAACCATCCCATTTTTTACTCGTTGGCCACAGCCTCAACAATAGCGCCTGCATCGCCTTGGTCGAGCGAATCCAGAATATCCATATCCTCCGCGCTGATATCGAAGCCGAACACATCTGCATTGGAGGCAATGCGATCTGGGTTATCGGTCTTGGGCAGTGGTACCCAGCCCTTCTGCAGCGCATAGCGGATCAAGACCTGCTGCGTGGAATGCTTGTACTTCTCCGCGATCTCCACGAGGGTCGGGTCATTGGCTTTGTAGTTGCGGACGATGGGCGAGTAGGCTTCAACGATGATGCCGTGCTGCTTGCAGTATGCGTCGATGGTGCGTTGCTGACACCATGGGTGGAGCTGTATCGCAAGAGGATACACGAGTTAGTCAATAGCTTCGATAGGGACCACTTGCCCAAATATAAGAAAAAGAAGGACATACCTCAATCTGGTTGACTTGTGGTGGCCACACCTGGGCATACGCCTTCATCTCCTCAATATGCTGCACACCATAATTGCTCACACCAATAGCCTTAGCCTTGCCCTCACCATGCAACTTCTCCAACGCCTGCCACAGCTGCTTCCTCCCCGCGGGCCCAGAGCTCGAGCTATGGATCAAGAACAGATCGACGTATCCTCCCGGCCCACCAATCTTCTCCACGCTGGCCAACAGCTTGTCGTAGGTTTGCTCGGCCGAGCCAGCGGGGCTGAGGATCTTGGTGGTCACGAAGACTTGGTCGCGGGGGAGGCCAGAGGTGCGCAGGGCCTCGCCGACTTCACCCTCGTTGCCGTAGAATTGCGCGGTGTCGATGTGACGGTATCCCACCTCCAGCGCCTTGAGGACGGACTTGACGCATTGGGAGGCTGGTGAACGGTAGACGCCGAAGCCGAGGCGCGGGATGCGCACGGTGGAGTTGGGGAGGGGGAGGGTCTCGGTTGGTTTGTAGGACATTTTGGAGGAGGGTGGATTTGGTTGTGGGAGTTGAGGAGGTTGAGAAGGAGTCGGAGTGGAGAGAGACGAGAGTGATGAAGCTGAAAATGGAAGCTGTCAAAGGGATTAGCGAATTTGGCGCTCGAAGCGGGGCGGAACCGAACCGGATGGAATGATATCATCCGTCGATTACTCACGCCATGCGGGCTGGACTGGACGTGGAGATTTGTAAGATGTATAATGCTGATTTGTAGAAGTGTTGTATTATTAAACATTGATTCTATTGAGGATCTATCTTGATTATCGATTACTATGGAACCTTCAGAGAAGATGCAAATAGCATGATGGTGTCCTAGTTGAAGTCCGGGCTACCAAGGTAGAGCCGACCGTTTATAGTTCATCCAAGGATACCAACATGTCCAATCAACGCAACCTAATCTAATCTGCTCATATCGATAGCAGATCTAGATATTGCTCCATCGGCATGATGGCATTGGCCACGTTGGCCCCCGATCTCCGATTCGTGGGGTGCGATCGCCCAAGATGAAGCATCCATGGGTGGTGCATACCATCAGGCAATCGATTGGTTGTAATGATAGTTTTTCTAGAACAAAGATCAAGCATGGTAGCAATCATGATATGAATATCTAACAATGAACAGGCATTTACTTAAGATAACCCACCCCCTCGAGTCGCGAAGAAGATCGAAGTATAAAGAACCTGGGCGGTCGCGTTGCCAGGGAGACTTGCGGAGTCCTCGCGATAACTCAGAACTCACATTTGACAGTTCTACACCCCCGCCCCTGTGGCCAGCCCTTCCAGCCCTTCAAGCCCTACGAAAGCCACTACGCTGAACTGGTCCAACTAGTCACCCTTAGCTGAAAAAAAAAGCACCGACCACTTGCCCATTCTCAAACCTTTTCTTCATAATTTGGCAGAGTGTTTCACTGTTTACTCTTTTACATTGTACCACCATTACTAGCCTTGAACCCTCCCTAGTTTCCCCCTAGTCCCTCGGCGCGTTTACAATTAAGCAAGTGATCGCCCGCACTTATCAGCCCACAAGCCCACTTCCACCACCCCTCGACAACCTTGAACCCGGCTTCTTCAATCCCCACGCCAATCGGCCCTGGAATGTCTTCGACCTGAATTGAAGATGTTGACGGTCGAGAAGCAGTGGGTTAATGTCCAGCAGAAGACCTTCACCAAATGGTAAGTCTTTCCAGCCTTCTTCATGGGGCTGTCTCCTCCCCTCCTCCTCCTTGCCTGATCGGTATCGTGCATGATCCAAACTGATAAATACCCCCCAGGCTGAACGATAAGTTGAAGGCCCGCGCCTTAGCTATCGAAGACTTGGTGACCGATCTCTCTGATGGCGTAAGATTCCCTTTCTCTCCCCAGCCCACCGTCAAACGCGACATCGCGCATCCACGGCAAACAACTGCGGGACCAGATCGCTGACTCTTCCGGTTCCCTCCCCCGCAATAGGTTATCCTCATTCACCTCCTCGAAATCCTCGGTAACGAGTCCCTCGGTCGGTACGCGTCAAAGCCCAAGCTGCGGGTACAGAAATTCGAAAATGTGAACAAGAGTCTGGACTTTATTCGAGGGCGGAGGATTCAGATGACCAACATCGGTGCGGAGGATATCGTCGACGGCAACCGCAAGATCATCCTGGGCCTGATCTGGACTCTGATTCTACGTTTCACAATCAGCGACATCAACGAGGAGGGCATGACCGCCAAGGAAGGTCTACTGCTGTGGTGTCAACGAAAGACGGCTTGCTACGAAGATGTGGAGGTTAGGGACTTCTCATCCAGCTGGAATGATGGATTGGCATTCTGTGCGCTGCTAGATATTCATCGACCCGATCTGATCGACTACGATTCCCTGGACAAGAACGACCACCGTGGGAACATGAAACTCGCCTTTGAAATCGCCTCCAACGAGATTGGCATTCCAGACCTGCTCGATGTGGACGACGTTTGCGATGTACCCCGACCCGACGAACGGTCCCTGATGACCTATATCGCCTACTGGTTCCATGCTTTCTCGCAGCTGGAGCGAGTCGAGAACGCAGGACGTCGAGTGGAGAAGTTCGTCAACAACATGCATGGTGCATGGGATATGCAGTCTGGCTACGAACGCCGCATGCGAGAACTGTTGCGATTGATTCGGTCCCAGCGCGAAACATGGCAGACTTCCTCATTTGAAGGGACGTACAAGGACGTGAAAGAACAGGCCCATCAATTTGCGCTCTACAAGCGGAATGAGAAGCGGCAATGGGTGGCCGAGAAGTCGGATCTCGCAGCCTTGCTCGGAAACATTAAAACGAAGCTCGGCACATACCGACTACGCTCATACGATCCACCACAGGAATTGAGCACAGAGACATGTGACCAAGAGTGGGAGCAACTGACCAGGGACGAACACCAGCGCAGTCAGCTGATCAACGAGACCATTCGAGATATCAAGAACGCCCTTCGTAGGTCATTCGCCGATAAAGCCAATGACTTTGCGCTCACATTGAAGACCCTATCGCTGGCCATCTCAGGATTAGATGGCGATGTCGAAGACCAACTTGACCATGTGAAGAAGCTGAACGACAACCTCCCGCCCCTGGATGCCTTCCTAGACACCATCGCCGAGTTGGATGAGCAGTGCGCCGAGGCCAACATTGAAGAAAACGACTTCACCACATATACCCTTGACGAGCTTTCATATGAACTCAGTCTGGTGAAGTCCAGCATCTCGAAGAAGCTGGCATTCTTGGAGAACCAGATGGTTGCTCGCAACATGACCAACCTTACCCCAATTCAGTTGGAAGAGTTCGAGTCGGTCTTCCGCCATTTCGACCGCGACTCGTCTAACACATTGCATGAGCTTGAGTTCTCCGCCGCGCTGGCTAGTCTGGGATTGGTCTATGACGAAGAGGAGATGCACCAGGTTTATGTGGAAGTCTGTGGGGCAAACCGACTAGCTCAGAATGCTGGCGTCAGCTTCGAGCAGTTCATTCGGTTCATGGTCAGTGTGACGGAGGATCAGAATACAGCTGAGCAGGTTTTCCAGAGCTTCAAAGAGGTTGCTGATGGCAAGGTTTGTTCCCCATTCAGATCAATATATCTTGTTCGCTTCCCGTTTCTCGAGCTAATGCCATTTCTTCGCAGCCATATGTTACCGAGCTTGACCTCCGGCACTCGCTCATTCCAGATGAAGTCATTGAACACCTGGTCAAGACAATGCCTCAACATGAAGGCCCCGATCTTCTCGAGGACCGAGACTTGCCCAAGTTTGACTACATCAGCTTCATGGAAAAGATGATCGAGGATCAGAAGAGTAACAGTGGAGGAAAGCATTGAGCATCTCAATAGGAAGGCAATTGGTTTCAGTGGTTCTATGCACAGCGTCGCCGGTTATACTGGGGTTGTTACTGCTTTGATTAGGTGCGTGGGCCTTTTTTCTTGTGTGGTGTGGTGTTTTCTTCCCTCTTTTTGCAGCCTTCGGCTCCTTTCTTGCCTTTTCTTTCTTAACAGCATGCATCGTGGGGTTCGGCGGTTGTCCCTCTTTTCTACTTGTGCGTATTCTGCTTGTGAGTCTGGTTTGTAATGTATCAGGATACCATGGAATGACATTGAACCAATTAAGAATGGACAAGGTGTGAATTTGAAGAATGCAGTACTGTGTAATGGTTATGGCAAGTAGTCTTGTAGGTATATAACTATGAAAGACAATGCCATTGTAAGGCCTATTCTCCTTGGTGTGACATGTATGTTTCACATTACATGGCTAGCCACTTCTATACATTCCTAATCAGTTCTAGGCCTCTATAACACGAACAACACGACTCTTATCTTCGATTAACCCATTGTATTTGCTGCCTAATAATGTAGAGAGGCTGACTCTGGTCCCGTCAAATTCACGTGACTGGACCCTGGCCGGAGACAAGTCGTCAATCCGCCAGGCCATCTGCAGATCATCCAACCATCTCTTCTCCAATCCTTACTTCTGCTTTTCTCTGGGATTGATCTCTTACCACACTCACACATCCTTGCTCCTTCCTCGTTTCCTCCCTCACTCTCTTTCCTCACCAACCTCCCCTCACACCCCTCACCATGGACCGCAGTCTCGACGAGATCATCGCCGAGGATTCATCGGTGAGTATCCAAGCTACCCTGATTCGCCCCAATTAAGCCCGACCAACAAATTAACACTCCAATTCCCCATCGCAGCGCAAGCAGACCCGTCCCTCAGGCGGTCGCCGCAATCCCCCTCAAAATCGCCGACGCAACGATCGCGATGGCGTAAGAAAGGTAGCTCCCTCCCTCACAATCCAACCCGAACTGCGCAAAAAGCCAGATCGATCCCGCTGTCGCACTTCGGCCCATTACAGTGTCGCTAATGCTTCGGAACTCTTCTAGGTCCGCCCTCCTCTTCCTACATCGAATTCTCTTGCGCCGTGACACACACAAATCGTTTTGCCAGTCCCCTCGCCGTAGATGATCGGAGAATCGCCCGCGACGCGAGGCCGGCGGCGGAGACTTGGAAACGCAATGCAAATGTCCACGCTACCTATCCTGACTTGGAGCTAACCTTTGACCTGTTCTTTTCATTGCAACAGCCTTATTCGCAAGATCGCGTCGATCTGAACCTGTGACTATTCCCTCGTCTCCTGCGTTTTGCCTGGGCTGGATTGGAATGCTGACGGGCTCGTGTTGTTAGGGATTGGGTGCATGATAAGTTCGACGATGACCGCGATGGTGTGTTTTTTCCGCGGTGATATGGCTCTTTGTTCTTGATCTGACTGTCTTTTAGCGCGCGGGTCCCGTGGCACTCGCCACCGTCGCTCAGGCTCGCCCGATCGGTATGAAACGCTTTTGTCGGAATTCAGAGGTGGGAAGGTGCTAATGGTTTATCAGTGGTCGTGCCCTGACCAAGGTCCGCGTGGAGAATCTTCACTACGATATCACCGAGCCCGACTTGGAGGTGAGATTTTCAAACCATCCCCTTCTATCCAACTCGGTAAATACAATTCCATGAGACTGATCGGCGTTGTAGGACCTCTTTGGCCGCATCGGTCCCGTTTCCGCCCTTTCCCTCGTCTATGACCGCGCCGGACGCTCCGAGGGTGTCGCCTACGTCACATACGAGCGCCTGCGCGACGCTCACGAGTCCCTCCGCGAATTCGACGGCGCCAACGCCAAGGGTCAGCCCATCCGCCTTACCCTCGTGCCCGGCCGCCGGGAACGCAACCCCGATGATCGCAACACTCTCTTTGACCGCGTAGAGCGCCCTGAACGCGACTCGCGCAGCCTCAGCCCCACTGGTGAAGAAGGCGCAGACGGCTCCCGCCGCCGTGGCCGTCGCAGTGACACCTCCAAACCTGCTCCCGATGGAATCGACCGCTACACCCCTGGATCTCGCCAACGTTCGCCCCGTCGTGGTGGTGGAGGTCGTCGGGGTGGTCGTGATGGCCGTGATGGCCGTGATGGCCGTGATGGTCGGGACAACCGTAGCCGCACCGAGAGAGGAGGCCGTCGCGGCGCAGATGGCCGTCCCCGCAAGACACAGGAGGAATTGGATCAAGAGATGGAAGACTACTGGGGTGGAAACAACGCCGCGACTGAGACTGCCGAGAAGCAACCCGAGGCTGCTGCCGCCCAACCGCAGGCTGCCCCAGCCCCGGCGGCTGCTGCTGCTGCGCCTGCTGTCGCTGACGACGATATCGACATGATCGAGTAAGGCCGTGCGAGCTTTCGACAAAATTGGCGATTGGTCTCTACTTTTCATGAATATTGCTGCACAGTTTTTTTTGGTCTTAATGTGCATTTGGAGAAGTGATGGCTTGGCGATGCCAGGCTGGGTCGAAAGGCACATGTAATTTTACAACCATCACGAAATTGACGATGGAAATTTTATCTGGGCCATATCGGCATGTCTTGGTTACTGTTTTTGTAGAGGATTAAATTTATCAAACTAGTACCAAGCGCCTTGGCGGTACTTTCGTTTTTATAACGGGGATGCGCAGTAGAATACCTTTTTCGAACCTACAAATCGGAAGTCCCCCTTGCCTACAATTGACAAAGCTCCGGGGGCGAAAAATATAGAAAAACGTATCAGCGTTGAGGCGAGGGTATCAGATTGTCATAATGCACACGACAGCCACCGCCAATTATCAAAATGAGTGTTCATAGCAAGGAAATCCGAGAACGTTTTAATCGTCTTCTCGCTGTACAGTGTATACAGTGTTTCAATCCTGTTCTGTTCCTGCTCAGCGCCACAATCCGTACGGCTCCCGGCACGCCTTCCACAACTTGACAGTGCCGTCCTCGCTACCGGTGCCGTACAGCTTTCCATCGGGTGAAAAGCTGATAGACCAGATAGGTCCGTGGTGGCCCTTTTGGACGTCTGTCGCAAAATATTAGCAATGATCTCCAAGCGTGTCGAGGAGGGATTCGAAAGTACATACCCAACTCCTCGTCCGAGTGCAGGTCATAGACACGCGCCCATGTATCCTCCGCACTACCGGTGACCAAACGGCCCGAGTCGCTGTTAACCGCTGCACTGGCAACCTCGTATCTGAAATCGGTCTTCTTCAAGAGCCGGCCCGGCTGCACGCCATCGAACAGATACACACTCTTACCAGCGGCCACAGTCAAAATTCCCGCATCATTAGGCCGCACGGCAAGACTATTCAACTCGCACGACCCAATCGCACCATCAACAGCATACTCCTTAACAGGATGCCGCGAACGCAGATCCCACCAACGGATCTTGCGGTCTTCAGCAGCTGTGGTCACGATATTGTAGTCCTGGTTCCAAACAATAGACTTAATCGTGCCACCGTGCACACCGGGTCCGATCTCGTAGCTAGTTACATCCGTACCAGCCTGGACGGGACTCCCGTTGCTGCTGGGTGTTGGCAGTGGGGGAGACGAGCCGTTGCTACTGGTGCCGCCGCCACGGGTCAGATCGAAGATACGGAGTTTCTTCTCTGCGCCGCCGGTGGCGAGGACTTGCGGGTTTGCCTGGATGGGGAAGGCGATTGCGCGCACGATGTGTGCGTGCGTCAGGGTGTGCAGGCATTCGCCGGTATAGGTGTCCCATACCTTGGCGGAGAAATCTGCGGCTGCTGTGGCTGCGATTGCGGCGTCGGCTGAGAGCCGGGCTTGCCAGACAGCGCCTTTGTGGCCGAGGAATGTGCCAATCCTGGAGTCGATTTGTGAGCTTGGGGGGTTTATTCTTTATGGATGGGGAGGAGGGGGGGGAGAGGGTGTACATACCAGTCACCGGTGATTCCATCGCGAAGCATGGGGTTGTTATCTGGGAGGTTTTTGTTAGTCTTGGCTACAGGTGTGGTTTTAGTTCTTTGTGAGAGAGATGGGTTTACCTTTGCAGGCTGAGATTAGATAGTACTGGTCATCCTCGACAGTGGGGGAGAAGCTCAAGTGAGTGACGGGACGGGAATGCCCGTGACAGGTGAGAGGGACGACCTTGGGAATATCTGGATTCAATCAGTTATGATTCATATAGGACAACTAGAATGGAGAGCATCCCACTTACCGGACGCCATGATGTTCCAGTCCAAATTGGGAACCCTGAAAGTTTCAAATGATCGAGATTCGAGATTCAAGATTCAAAGATGACCGTTATCTGCCATAAACAGTCGTAGCAGACGTGAGAGCTTAAGCTGAGAAATGAAGAGAGGGCAGATGAGATGTGGTGAGAAGCCAGGAGGATGAGTCCAAGGTCGTTCCGTGTCTTTTTTAAAGGAAAGTACAAAGGAGATTCGTGAGGGTCGTCAATTCATCAAGTCTTGTCTTTTACAGAAGGACCGAAAGGGGTATGGGGGCAATGAAGACCCCACGGACGAACAAGATTTCCTGGTGTGGTTGTGTTCACAAGTCCACAATCCCGCAGTTTGGCCTCTTTCGATATTGAATTCCCTCGAACTAGCGGGTCACCTGCATGCCTCCTGCTTACCTCAGCTGGCCCCGCCCTGTCCCGATTAGGCTAAAACACGTGCCTCTACTGGGCCTCGACGGTTTATAGTGTTGATACATCAAATGATTGAATGAGAGAGGTCTTTTACATGATCTGAGATTATTTACATCTTTGGTGTTGTAGATAGACCCCAGTGTTGTCAATCTTGATTCCTTACATGGTAACGAGGGATCCCTTCTCTGATTTCAACGCCCATTTCAGCCGCGCAATGGACTTGGGCAGCGAACTACCTGGGGGTTATACCTTATTGGATGGGCGTACTGTCCGCAAATACTCGTATGTTTAATGAGCGTCTCTTGGCTATCAAATTCAAGCATATTTCATCTACCAAGCTATCCAACTGGGGAGTGTATGGTAACCAGATCTAGCTATTGTGCCTACATACCGTATCGCCAAGGTGAGGCTCTCAGACACCAGAGACAATGAGACAAAGTCTAGAGCCCCGCTGACGGCAGCTGCCACAAGCCAATTGACTCTGGATTTGATAGTTCACTAAAGTTCCGGACCTGACTTGACTCACATTGCAAATCAACTTCTAGCATCTTCGTCATAGCTCCACCGCCCACGTGATATGATGCGCAGGCGGGGACCCCAGAACGACTAAAGGACAACAACGACCGGCAACGTCTACAACAGGGGAAGGAGCTTTGCTTGATCATTGATTTCCTGACGGTATTCTCTTTCTTCTTCACTCACTTCACTCCACCAGGTTGTATGTATGCCTGACTTCAAGCTCTCCGCGTCTCTCGAAGGTCACGGCGATGATGTAAGTGCCTCCGTCCCCGCTCGCTCATCGGATACCTTGTTGGCGCATGCGATTCCATTCACTAACCTCTCATTCTTGCTTTAGGTTCGCGCCGTGGCCTTCCCCAATCCCAATGTCGTCCTCTCAGCCTCTCGTGATGCCACGGTCCGACTTTGGAAGCTTGTCTCTTCTCCTCCCCCAACTTACGATTACACAATCGCCGCGCATGGCCAGGCCTTTATCAACAGTCTAGCTTACCTGCCACCCACATCCGAATACCCCGAGGGTCTAGTTCTCTCCGGTGGACAAGATACAATCATTGAAGCACGACAGCCAAGCAAGTCTGCTACGGACAATGCCGATGCTATGTTATTGGGCCATGGCCACAACATCTGTGCTTTGGATGTATCTCCAGACGGCGGATGGATTGCCAGTGGCAGCTGGGATTCAACTGCACGCCTTTGGAAGGTTGGGAAATGGGAGGCTGATGTTGTACTAGAAGGCCATGGAGGGAGCGTCTGGGCTGTCTTAGCCTATGACAAGAATACCATCATTACCGGTTCGTTGGTTCCCTCTGGGATGGACCTCCTCACCATGCTAACAATACTTCAGGCTGTGCCGACCAAATGATCCGCATATTCAATACCTCCGGTACCCTCCTCGGAAGCATCAAAAACTCCAATGACGTTGTCCGAGCCCTCTGCAAGGTCCCGGTCTCAAATCCCACTGGTGCTCAGTTTGCCTCAGCCAGCAATGACGGCATTATTCGGCTTTACACTTTGAAGGGTGACCTCGTCGCCTCTCTTCATGGCCATGAGAGCTTTGTTTACTCCCTCGCAGCTCTGCCTTCGGGCGAGCTTGTGAGCTCCGGAGAGGATCGGACCGTGAGGATATGGCAGGGAACCCAATGTATTCAAACCATCACCCATCCGGCCATCTCCGTGTGGAGTGTTGCCGTGTGTCAAGAGAATGGTGATATTGTCACCGGCGCCAGTGACCGTGCCACTCGGGTGTTCAGCCGAAGCTCAGACCGCCAGGCTGCTCCAGAGGTCATTCAACAATTCGAGCAATCGGTCAAGGAGTCGGCTATCCCCGCTGAGCAGGTTGGAAAGATTAATAAAGAGCAACTACCCGGTCCAGAGTTTTTGAAGCAGCGATCCGGAACGAAGGAGGGACAAATTCAGATGATTCGCGAGTCGGATGGGAGTGTTACTGCTCACACCTGGTCATCCGCAACCCAGGAATGGATTGCTGTCGGTACGGTAGTAGATTCGGCAGCAAGCAGCGGTCGGAAGACCGAGTATCATGGTCAAGATTACGATTATGTCTTCGACGTTGATATCGAGGACGGCAAGCCTCCGCTGAAGCTGCCATACAATGTCTCCCAGAACCCATATGAAGCGGCGACCAAGTTCATCGGGGATAATGAGCTACCCATGTCCTATCTTGACCAGGTCGCGAACTTCATCACACAGAATACCCAAGGCGCCACGCTCGGTCAATCTCAGGAGAGTGGTGCAGACGCCTGGGGCACGGAGCGTCGATACAGACCTGGCGATGCACCCGCGGCGCCTAATGAACCCGCACCCCCGCCTGTTCACGAAGAGTCGCGTCCTCGGGTGTTGCCTCAGAAGACATATCTCTCTATCCGCTCTGCGAATACCAAGGCGATTGCCAAGAAGCTCAAGGAATTGAACGACAAGATCCTTTCCGAGGGTGACAAGAGTATTGCCCTGAATTCTACAGAGTTGGAGACTGTCGTGGCGCTTTGCGGGCAATTAGAGACCTCTCAGAAGCTTTCAGACTCCCCGGCTGTCCAGTCTGGAATTCCATTGATATTCGATATCGCAACAAAATGGCCAACAGCCAACCGGCTTCCTGGACTGGATCTTCTTCGCTTGCTGGCTGCGGCGACCCCCGTTACCGCGACTACCGAATATGATGGTGGGGACCTTATCACCGGCATCCTGTCTAGTGGTGTTTTTGACGCACCTCTCAACGTGAACAACGCCATGCTTTCCGTCCGAATATTCGCCAACCTCTTCGAGACGGATGCGGGGCGCAATCTAGCCATCCAAACCTTTGACCAGGTCGTCGCTGGTGTGAAGTCCGCGTTGGTCAGCAACGCAAGCGCTCCAAACCGTAATCTCACCATCGCTGTTACGACTCTCTATATCAACTTCGCGGTCTACCTCACCTCCGAAGGCCGAGCCCAGACCCCTGAAGCTGCGGAGCGGGGCCTGGTTCTCCTCGAGGAGCTAATCAAGATCATCTCCCGTGAGAAGGATTCCGAGGCAGTCTACCGTGGACTTGTTGCGCTGGGCACACTTGTCCAGGCTTTGGGGGCGGAAGTGAAGAGCGCTGCGAAGGAGATCTATGAAGTGAAGAATGTGCTCACTCGTGTCTCGGCATCGGGCGCGGGTAAGGAACCGCGGATCATGGGAGTGATCAGTGAGATCACGGCGACTCTTTAGTTGACCTTTGATATCCCGTCTAAGGGCTAGACCATAGATCGATTCACGCGACTTTCTTAACGACGACAAACGCAATCATTAATATTGCTATGCCATATCATTCTTCCTATATCCCTTCCAGTAGAGATAAGTCTTTCGCAAACTCAATAGTTAATAGTAGATAGACTACTTTAGTACTTCGACTGCCCCTTAGGAGCATACCGGAAATCACCACCATCCCCATCCTCAAAAACTTCCACCACCTGATCAATCCCCTCGTACGCCGGACAAACCAACCCATACTTCTCCGCAATACTCTGCGTCAAAAATCTCCCTCCAACAAAGTGCCGGCCCTTATAGAACTTCACGCACGGCTTCGGCGCCGTCAGACTAATCAGCGCCTTCGGCATAAATTTAGCACCAGGGCCAGACGACGGCGGACCGGAGGTGATATCCCAGGAACTGGGTGCATCCACACTGAGTACTGGGATGCTCGCTGCTTCGATTTGCGAGATTATGGATGGGAAGGGCTCACGGAGGGGCCCGCCGAATGAGAAGCCGAATATGGCGTCGATTAGGAGGTGGGTGTTTGAGAGGGCGGTTTCGAAGTCGGTTGTGAATGGGATTGAGAGGTTTTGGAGTTGGGTTTTGAGACGCTATGCGTTGAGGGATTAGGTACGATGAGTGATTTGGGGATTTGAGATTACGAACCTGGTAGAGCTCGTTTTTACCTTCTTTGGGATAGTACACGGTGGGATTGTAGCCGTAGTGTGCGAGGTGCCGCGCTGCGACGAGACCATCGCCACCTTTGAGAGAGTTATAGATTAGCAGGTCTGTTGAGGAGTGTTTCGTTAGAATATCAAGAATGCATACCGTTGTTTCCGGGTCCGCATACAACAAGGACATTCTTTCCTTGGCTGAGTGGATGCATCTTCCAAACTATATAGTCGATCATTAGTAAAATGGATATCAACCATTGGATATTTGAAGCTTGCAATGGCTTACCAGCTTGAGAAACCGACAAGCCCGCCAGCTCCATAAGCTGGTCTAGTGACCACCCGCCGATGTTCACGTCCATGAGATCTTTGTCCAGGGATGCGGCATCTTTGGCTGAGATTGCCTGTTTAGAGATTAAGTCAGCATAATCTGTATAATATAGGGTGCATTTGGACATACCTTGAGCGACATTGTGGCAGCTTTACTGTGTCGGCGAAGAGCGGGAAGCGGGAGGCGTCTGGTACAAGCGGAGCGGAACATGCAATGTTTCTAGGCCGAGAACCAGATTTTGTTCAAGAGCAATCTGGATGAACTAATTACCAAACTATTCTCCTTGGAATGAGAAATCAGACTGACAGTTGAAAAATGATACGAAGAAAGGACCCGGGGAGATAAGCCGTAGCAGCAACTATACAACCACATTGCATCATGCCCCCGCCGGCGCTAATCCGCATCAGGATTCTTCGGAATAATTAATCCTCCGCTCCTCCCTGAACTTTTGCGGAGTGCAATTCGGACATCGAAAGTCGACGATAACCCAGGCCCATTCCCAAGCAGAGCCTACACACTTTCGACAATATGGTTCTTCGGATTCGCCTGGCGCGCTTTGGCAACAAGCACACGCCCTTTTACAACATTGTCGTCGCTCAGGCTCGGTACGTTCACCGATTTTCCCATGTCCAATCCCTCCGTCTACAAGGCGCTGCCCTTCCGATCCCAATGGCATTGGTGTTTGCCCGGATGATAGGATTAACGAGCTTTCACACTTTGAATTATGAATGAAAAAGCTAACATGGATGTTTGACAGGTCTGCCCGCGGCGCGAAGCCCCTCGAGGTCATCGGCACCTACAACCCCATCCCGAAGAAGCCGACGAACCTGTACGATGACAACGCCCACACGCGCCCATACAAGGAGATTGCGCTTGACCGGGCGCGTGCCAAGTACTGGCTCGGTGTTGGCGCACAGCCTAGTGACCCCGTGTGGAAGTTGATGGGCATGGTGAGTTTAAATGCTTCTTGCGGTGGTGCTTTCCTGGGAGAGATGTGTTGGCGAGTGTGGTTTCCAGGTGGATCTCACACTGCCTTGCACTTCTTCAACTGGGGATCACTTCGTTGGTCCGATAATTTGCTGGATGGATTTGCTAACATAACATTCATATGCAGGCTGGTCTTGTCGAGCCGAAGCCTACTACCTTCCACAAGGCATAATGGTATGCCGACTGTTTCTCCGTCGGGACGGTTCAGTCTAACTACTGCCACCGACCTGTCGATCATGGATACACCGTGATCCCTCCGCAGGGGTTATGGCTCGAGTTTTTCGAGTCTGTTCAGGTCGACCCCCCATGATCCAGGTGCAGTAGAGCTAAGAATGGAGTGGCAATCCCTCTCCAGCGACAGTCCCAGGAGATCACCAGTTCCTGTACTTTTTCCGACTGATTATCTGGCATTTGCGGCGTTTATTGCGACTTTGGGCCTTTTTTGGGAGGTTATGTTCGGGCCTTGACCTTCAACCTATCCCCCATGTACATTACGTGAACAACCTTGCGGCGACAGCTTGGGCCTTTCATCCCGAGCTCGCGCAGCATGAAATTCTATACCAACCTATCATGACTACTCCTTCATCCTACGAACCCTCCATTGAATCTTGCGTATCTGCACGAACCATCCCCCAGTGGAGCCCGTAGATCTTCACATGACACGAGGCTCCTCCGCGCCGATTCGAGGCGCGCGGGCTCGAGCGTGGCTAAAAACCAGGTAAGCTTTTGACACGCGCGATCGCAGGCTGCAACGGCAGTTGTAGTCGCGACGGGCGTACATTCAACAACCAGTCAGACAACAGGCAACAACACAAGAAACGCATTCCCGTTGCTGCGCCTGCAGCTCAAAGGGCTCGAGGCCACGGACACTTTTCCCCTGTGTCTAGCCCGATACCCCGAGTCGGTTTAGTCCACGCCAACTTCAGTCTAGTGTGCCTTCTCAGGGTGACACGCCTATGACCGGTGCTCTCTCTCCAGGCACGACCTTTTCAAAAGCCCGGACCCGACTAGACTTCATCGGGACTTTGGCGGTCCCCCAAGACAGTTCCATCGCGTTATTGCTTGTCGCCACGGCCCAACCAGAGACCCGCACCGCCCACCAGCGACCCTCGATAAGCCCAAGCCATTTCCCTGCGCCGGCCAATCCGCTGTGAGACGGGGGTCGGGCCCGTGGCAATTGGTCAGCGGCCCTGGAGGATCGCCCGCTTTTGAGTTTTGGAAATTCCATGGATGTGGGTGGTTTGGTCGAGGTCCTTGGTGGTACGAAGTAGTTTGTGAGCATAACAATGGGTTGCTTGGGGTGTGGGTTCAGTGGTTGCTTTTCTGCTTTTCTCATGCGAGGTTCGTGAAAGCAAAGAAGCAAAAGAAAGAGGAGCAGAGAGCTGTGGGGAGATGCTTGTATGGACTCGACTGAAACCGGGGGCGGGCTGTCAACTCACAAGTGGTGTGTGCCTGAGTCACTTTCCCCAAAGATCAATGAGGAATGCGCACGGATGAATAAATGACTGTTCTCTGTAGTAGTAGGCACTGCGTTTCTTTCTTTTCTCTGGTGCCTTGTCAGTCAAGGGATGGATGACGGACTTGAACTTTAAGGAAACCTATGGGGTTGCCACGCTAATGAATGTATAATGCATCGGTTCTATCAATTATTTCACGAAGGGCGTGATTGCGCGTTTATTTAGCAGGCATGTCTCGAGTCTGAGGAAAGATATGAAGGATTCCATATGCGACTAGGGGCCCTGCATGTCCGTTGCGCGGGTTTCATTGTTTATCAAGTACCGACTGCTCTAGTGGGAACTGGGGGGCTGACGACCACGATGACCAGAATGACCGGGGGACCAGGATCGCGCAGAAGCATCGGTCTCCGGGGCTCAGTAGTCAGTATGGAATGCATAGTTAAATATGATGGGACATGTTAACTACAACTAATGGCTGCTATGTCGTACACACTCTCGTATATGACCCTAAGGGAGTCATATCCAACCATATCCAACAGGCCTGGACCTGGACCAAGAGCTGCAGCTTTATGCGCGTAGCTAGATCGAGTAGTTCCTCTGTAGATTCTGTAGGTTCGTGTCGAAGCTCTGCGCTACAAAGTAGTACTAGTGTACAGTATATGCAGTATGCTCCTTCGCAGTAGGCTTAGTTGGCCTAGTCTAAGATGACTTTGATCATCGTATGTTCTTCATTCTCCGTCTCTTCCAGTGTATGCAAGCGGCAGGGGCTGTAGAATAGGGACCGAGGCAGTCTACTACTTGTACTATTAGAGCCGTGATTATGGCACTATGCCCATGATAGTGATCGGGCGTGTGTAGTCGGAGTTTGAACGGGAAGCCGCAGCAGCTGGAACGTGTTTCTAGAGCCTCCATCAAGAGGGGATAGAATTGGAAAAGCTATACGGGGTCATGCAAGAGGATAACGTCGGGCTAAAGACAAGACCGTCGAGATCACCAAAAGGATCATTGAAACCGGGGACATTCCCAACATTCGGGGCACGCACTCCACGTTCTGCAAGCGGCGTTGAGGGTGGCCAACTTTGGGTAATCCCCTGACGGGGTATGGTAATTTACGCCTCGGGTACTTCTACTTCCCCCATAATTCCCGCTGTTTTGTTCTGTACTGCCTACTATTCCTCTCCTGTATCACCCCCGTCCTGCTCAGTCGCGTCGTGAAAGCAGATCCATGGATCTGGCACCTGTGGACTGGCGACTCGACCGTTCCGGACTCTTTTCTCTCTTGTCTCTCTCCAATCTCTCCTCTCCTCTCCCCCCCCCCCTTCCCCCTTCTTGCTTCCCTCCCTCCCCCTCTTACCCTTTCAGCCTCGAAACCCTCCCTCCTCCGCCTTCCTCAAACCCTTTTCATCCTTTTGCATCGATCTCCCCCTTCCTCTCATCTCCAACTACTATCCTCCTTCCCCACCCACACCCACGATTCGCACTGCGCCCACCTGCCCCGATCGCACCTTCCTCAGATAAAGGAGAGCAGTCGTGACAGCCAAATTCAGACGCGCGCCACCTGTCGCAGATCCGATGAGGAGCGAATATCCTTCCGACCTCGCCATCCGATTGAATCGCTAACTCTCACCTTCGCGTCTACGTGCATCGCGCTTCCATTCATCCCAACTCTCTCTATCTCTCTCTCGGTCGCATTCATCGCGCGCTCACTAGTCTTCTCTGGGAGACAGCTCCATTCCCTCGCGCCGGTCCTTTCGCCTCTTTCCTCCGCTCTTTCGTGTCGCGCAAATCGATCGATTTCACTTCAATACCGATGAGCGGCAGCTCGAACCAGTCCACTCGAACGAGTCCCGGCTCCTTTGGCACGACACAGCGCACGGAGTCCGTGTCTTCTGGTTCTTCGCCACCACAGCACCCGCTCTCATCTTCTACCTCCCACGCGCCCGCGACGACTCAGCATGCGATGTCGACCGACGTCTATAGCCCAACTGTCTCGCAAGCGCCCACATCTCTAGCTCCCACTTTCACTTATCCATTTTCGCCGCTTGGCCCATCCTCCTCCTTTGACAGCGGAATGCGCCTCGGCGAGTCAGACCGCAACCTCCAGGGCCTAAATGGCCTGGGGCGCGCCAACGGCGGTGGCGCAATTCTCATGCGCAAGTTGCCTCGTAATACCAGTCGCGAGGCCCTGCGCAGCATGCTCCTTTTCGCAAAAGATTTTGTGGATGCCGATTTCGTGACCTCTGATTACCCGGAAGATGACGGGTTCTTGAGCGCGATCGCCCGATTCAACACCTTGCCCGCCGCAGAAGAGGCGCGCGCCCTTTTGGATGGCAAACCGAATTCGAAGAACGACGCCAACATGGTGGTGGAAATGTACCCAGGTCCGGTAGGATCTTCCTTGTCGAATGCACGTCGCAACACGATCGATCATACCAATAACCGTGGACTGCTGGGTGGTGTCCCGTCAAATGGCCCCCTGTCGCGTCAGTCCTCCCGTTTCAACGGCACTTTCCAGAGTCTTGAGCGCTTGTCCGCGGCCAACCCATCCACACAAGTTATTGGCGAGGGCCTGCCTTCGGCATCGGAATCTGGTTCCCGCCTCCACAGTCTGTTCTCTCCGCAATCACCTATTGGCAATGGAGTTGGTGATCTCCCACGCGTGACGGGCAAGTCCATGATCGATGAGGATCCCGATGAGGAGACGGGCGAGCTGCTCAAGGATCCCGTGGGCTACGCAGAAAACGGCCACTCGGCTTCCGTTTCGGTCTCACGACGCTCCACCAACCCTCAGATCCCAACCAGTCGTTTTGCCAACCTGTCTTTGTCCACCACCATGTCTTCTCCGCCATTGCCAAATTACGCCTCGAACGGTCCCAGTCAGCGCATGGGCAGTGTCAGTGGACCAGCCTCGGCTTATCCCCCTAGTCACGGTCACGGCTTCCCATACGGTGGCAGCCAACACACTCCTCGCCATAGCCTGCCCGCTGCGAATCCCAACGACCTGAACCCCCCGTGCAACACGCTTTACGTGGGTAATCTGCCCCCAGACACTTCGGAGGAGGAACTCAAGGCACTTTTCTCCAAGCAGCGTGGCTACAAGCGACTGTGCTTCCGCAACAAGCAAAACGGACCCATGTGCTTTGTGGAGTTTGACGAAGTGGCGATGGCGAGCAAGGCATTAAACGAGTTGTATGGCTACAAGCTGTCCAACAGTGTCAAGACGGGTATCCGTCTTAGTTTCTCGAAGAACCCTCTGGGTGTCCGTTCCGGTCAGCCAGGCAGCATGTCAGCATCCAACCCACTTCAGGGGCCGGGTGGTGTCCCTGGTGGCAGCAACTTGAGTGGGATGCATAGCCACATGTTCTCTACGGTCAGCGGACCACCTCCGGGACTGGCCGCTCCTCCGGGACTGGCCATGCCGATGCCTCTGCGCAATGGCAACAATCTGCAGCACGTCGCGCACGGTAATGGTAACCCGCACGCCATGGTGGGTAATGGCACTTTCAACCACAACTCGGGCCTGGGGATTCGCACCAATGGAGGTAATGCGATGATGATGTCGCCTCCTCCGCCTCCTGGAGCTGCTGCTGGCAACAATGCGGGGCCGAACATGAACGGCTACAATTCCTTCTACCCTGACTACATGATGGGTCGCTAAGGGAATGGTCCCTCAAAGCATTATATTCGAGATAATGTCCGGCATGTTTGATGAACGAACCTGGGGTATCTGGCGCATTCGGGGGTTCCTTTTCGTTTTCGCGAGCTAGCATCAGCATTCGGCGGCTGCATAACTCTCGGGAGTATTGAAATTCGGGACTCTGCTTTCTGTTGTCTTTTTTCGCGTTATGGTTCTCTTTCCCCTCTCTTTACTTCCTGATCCTTTTTTAATGGCCTGTGTGACGCTGGCTTCTGGATAATTTGTTGCTGTGTTGATTTTGTTGTTGTCTTTTCTCTATTGCATGGGGACTCGGGCGCTCTTTCTTTCACATTCCTTTTTTTTATTTCCCTCGGGAGGATTTGCATTTCAGGTCATTGCAAGCTTGTATTCTTATTGTGGTCGGGGCACGGCGGCGCGAGCACAGCGCGTTTGAAATTCTGTCTCACCATTTGCGTTTTTCATCGATCACCTTCATACCCTTGTGCTATTTCCTGCTTTGCTTGTTCTGCGTGTGTTTATCTATTCCTCTTTTCCCTTTATCCACTTCTCGAGTTTTATCAAACACTCGACCAGTCTCTTCAACGGCCGAGTAATCCCTCGCGGGGTTTCTGGGGCTTGGGCTTGTCTTTTTAACCCTTTTTTTTTATTCGACCGTGATTCCCCTTTACATCCAAACTGCTTTATTTGAATGCATCTTCATGTGTGAACCGGAAATTGAATGTTTAGCTTTTTTTGCTTTTCTATGGCTTACAAAACCAAGACGGTGTCCTTTGTGGCTGTTTATCAATCCCCTTCTTCTCAACTCTTCTAAAACCCCATTCTCCCTTTCAATCTCCTCGGCTTGGCCTTCCGTCCCATAATATTTCTCTGCTTCGACATGGGCTTGGGAATCGTGGCCTCGAGAGGAGTCAAGCCCACGCATTACCACCGGCGTTAAAATCAAGGGCTTTTTTTGGTCCGGTTCTTCGGTGTTCACGAGCATCACCCACATCACATCATACACGTGTGTCTTCCCTCTAGCAATGGAGAAAAAGAAGGCGTCCGGCTGGCGCTCGGTCTATTGGTTTGATTCATAGCGCAATGTTTTTGTTTTCCTTGCTTGGGATTGAACGCAATGGATAGGCTGGCTTGCACTTGCATTGCCATCATGGCTGGTTTCTTCTTCTTTTTCTCTTTACGCTCCGGCGAGAGCATTCCTTCCATTCACTGTGGAACGATATACGATTCTCATGGGCTATGGATTATGGGTTTGGGTTCGCTGGCTTTATGGATGATCGCTGGCTTGGATGGAGGATATTGGCGTCTATCTTTTATTGTCGAAGATTTGACTCTTTGTCAACCCCCGGCTGGTTGTTTCTTTTCTGTTGATACCTTTATTGGAGGTTAGGGACTGGTTTGACATTCTTCACTCTCATGGATCCATGTTTTGCTTGGTGGTGTTGAGACGAGACTGATGCATTTGCTTTCGATCTGTACTTCATACATGGAATGGAATGGACTGGTTGCAATTGATGATTGTGCTGTAAGATAGGGAATTATTGTAGTTGTGCAGTGTATTTATCTTGTTCTAGATTGAAGGCATAGCTGGGGCTTCGAGGCATGTTTATTCTAAATGTGTAGAATAATGATTTAAGGTTGTATGTTCACGAATCGCGATCCATATAGGGGAACCGAGCTGGATATGGACCGAGCTAGGTCACGATATATTCCGCTTTGCTGGCCGGGAATCATAGAAACATGAAAATTCATGATGAATGAACTAAGCATAGAGTGAGTGATAACCTTTCGCAGGTAGTAAAAACCATTTCTAGGTTTCAGATGGATATTTGACTCGAGACACCCTCGACACATCCATCCGTACATGCGAGCGTGTAGTTGTGGCTCTTTGGAGCAACACATCACGTGACAGCACCGACAACCTTTCCCTCGCGGAAAAGTTTCTTCCCCTGCCACAAAACATTCTCTACACACTTCACGGCCCCCAACCCCAACAATTGCAGCGCCAGCCCTTAATTAGCCGCTGCTTTTGTCTACTACCGATCTTCTCATCACTCTACTTGTTTTAATTCTTCAATTGCCCCAATCCCTGGGTCCGGGATTGCCGGGTCCCCTCTCACGTTAACATGGCACCTCGGATACAGAGCCAGCGTGTGTCCAATGCCCTCCTCCCCTATCTCACATCCTCCCAATCCTCCTCCACATCCTCCATCTCATCCACATACCCTTCATCACAACTATTCTCCCGTCAATTTTCTGCGACGGCGGCTCCACAGACCAGGCTTCGCCGGCAAATGTTCCAATGGCTTTCTACCGAGGGCGCCGCGCTGAAGCATCACATCCCTGGCGAAACAAACTATCTGTCAGGCCGGGCTGATCGTGATGGGGATTCTAATGAGGCCCCACGGCCTTTTCCGGGTAACCGGACTTTCATAAGTGAGGCCGTCCTCAGCGAGGAGCTCCGGAATGAAGTTTATGTTCGGGTTGTTGAGAAGAAGAAGAGCTTGCGTGCTGTCAGTGTCGAGCTTGGTATCGATATGAAGCGCATTGCGGCTGTTGTGCGGTTAGTGGAGATGGAGAGGAGACAACGAGCACAGGTAAGGACTTTCGCACCCTCTTTTCTCTTTCTGTTTTCCCGGATCCTCATTCGAGGTCCTATTCCCCACCCCCGACGCATATGATGAGACAACAAAAAATCGATTAGTCTTGAAGACACAGGCTCTAGCTTGACTGGTTAAAAAACTCCTTTTTCCTGATCCACTTGCTGTCAAATTTCTTCCTTGGAGACTCCTTTATATGTGATTTGACAACATGACTGACAAAACTTGTCAATCCAGGGTAAACCTCTAGCATTGCCATATGCTCGTGCTGTCCACGAAATGATCCCAACCACACCACTCGCCCAGGATGGCGAGCGCCAAACCTTCCACGAACCTATCAATGATCTCCCCGCCCACCCTTCCACCGGTGCCCAGATCTTCTACCCCGTGCCCGAGTCACGATCATTCACTCGTGTCGATGCTGGTCGCGTCTTCTCTGGTGCACCAGCATTGGAAAAGGCCGTCGCCGACAAGATCTCTCACCCTTCTGATCTGGTCGACGACATCATCCAAAACCCCAACTCGATCGAGTGGGTTGGTAAGGGCGAGAACGCCCGCCAGGTCCTTCAACCTGCGGATGTGCGTATCCCGCACCCGCAATTGGTCAAGCTGGAGCTTGACCGCAAGGCCTTCCCCAACGAGCGCCGGGCTGTGGCACAGCGTCACGCCGAGCGCGTCGAGAAGCAGGAGGCCGCCGAGCAGCAGCGCCGCGAGCGAGCCCATGCTCGTCGTGAGAAGAGCATTCAACACGTCGAGCCGGAGGGTAGCCGATTCGACTACCGTATTCAGGACGCCAAGTTCACCAAGGAGACTACTGGTGCGGATGGCCGTGCTCCCTGGGCTCCTGGTCGCCGGTACGGTGTGCCGGCCGACGATCGCAAGCGCGGTAAGGTCAAGATTCCCACTCGTGTGGAGGCTTAAGCTTCGTGCGGGGGATGAGGTGACTATATTTTGGGCTTGAGGTTGAGTGCTGTCTTTCCCTTCGGACGAGGAAGACGAGCAATTGTACTTGTACTTATACATCTGTTTGGCGATGTTTCTATTCAACCCTGTATCTATACCATAACATACCATGGATTGTTTTCATACTTGACACATGATATTTGTCTGGACCAAGACTGTTCATTCTCCCTGCCTTCCATGTCCCCCGTAATAACCTGTAACGAAATCAAGTTCGCATTCAGCTAGAAAAGCTACCCCTGAATCAATCCATACTTCCGCAAGACCAGAATCAGATCAAACCAAATCACTCCAAACAGTATCCGCAAAAATCAACCCCGATGCGAAAAAAATCCGAAATAGACATAGCCGTCATGTCGCGATATCAATGAACCTCCCCAATAGACCGACACCTCCCTCGACCGGTTCGCACACCAACCCATCCCTCCACGGCATCGGCATCACTTTCGCGTGAGGCAGGGTCGCCGATGAAGAAATCCCGGATCGAGGTTAAGAGGCTATGGGCCCAAGTGGCTTTGTTAGAGGTTTCGGAAGTTGAGTGCATGGCTGTAGAGGATTTGGTGGAATCGGTTGTAGATAATGAGGACATGGATAGGGTGTGGATGGTTGATGTGGTTGTTGAGGTATTATCGTGCTTCGGTCAGGGTAGATACAACGATGAACTTGTTGATAGATATATAGTATTTGTAGGTAGAGGGGATGTAGATGTGTGAGACCACAATAATTGCGAGTTCAAAAGTCGTCGATCATACGGTAGGGCTGGAAAGAAGCAGCTTCAGCTTAAATACGAAAACCCAAGGACAAAGCTAGAAGTATATAAGACTTCGCTCTAGGCCGTGGACAGATCTGAGACTCTGGGCGTAAGCAAGCCCCAACCACAGGAAACAAGGCAAAAACCAAGATCGCAGATCGTAGACTAAAAAGCAAGCCCCGGGGAATACTAATGGAGAGAACAATATCTGACACAATCAACAATCCAACATTCCCCGCCCTAATGGAAGGGTCAGACGAGCCGCCCAGGGTTCAACTGGTTCTTTGTTACAGGACGCATGACTGGCTCACATGGCAGCCCCGCCGTCTTGATCTAGGTCTTCCCGCCTCGATATTGTCATATCGTCATACCTATTGAACGCGCTGAACATGTCGATGGAGACTTGGCCGCTGGACACTGCAGGCTTGAGTGGACTTGGTGGGCGCTTACATGCGGCGTGCGTTACTTGTGTAGGGTGATCACCAGTGATGGATGTACATGTACATTACAGATTTAGGTACATAAATAAGTCTAGTATGACGAATGAGGTGCACGGTATATGCGGGTTTATGGAATAGGTTCTTGCTCTTGTGGGGGGTATTTTGCTGGTGGGTGAGTTGTTTCTTCGTGGCAGGGGGATGGATTCTATTTGATTGGTGCAGGGGACTGCAGATGGTGAGATGCAGACAAGAGAATGCATGTTGCATGTGACGTGTTTTAGGTGGGAGGAATGGATGATGTATTGGGACCCAATGGGTGAGCCTGATCCAAAAGGCAGTGAACGGATCCTTTGTTTCTGAAGAGGTTTCAATATTCCTGTATGAATATACTCGTGGGTTGGCTACAAAAGTGGATGGGGCCTATAGTGATATTCCAATAGTTTCATAGAACGACAGAACTTCAAAATCATCTCGTGAGTCCTGTATTCAGAGACAAACTGAGAGATAAGACCTGAGCTATTTAGTATGACGATTCGAACCACATCTATGACTTCCAAAAGTGAAGAATTTTGAAGCTCATCGCTAGGGGGTTTCTCTTCGTCTCTGAATTGCACTGTATGCCTTAACTGTAGCTGGTGCATAATTCCTATTCATAGCGTAAAATACATCGAAGTAGTAGATGCAGACAGACAATCCTTGTTCAAATCGCAAGACTACAGCAAGCTCTCTTCACACAGGGTACATCCAAAAATTCTTCTAATAGGGGGTCTGCTGGTGGAAGTACTCCATAATAAACTTGACCTGCTGCGGCTTCGCAATAGGCACATTGCCAAAGTAATTCCCAAGTTCCATAACAATCTGGGTGCCATTCGCACTATTGGGACTCCAGCGTGGCAGAGCACCCTTTCCGGTATACGAACCACCGTCATTCGGATTCAAGGTCTTTGCAAAGTTGGCCCAGTACGAAGACATCTTTGCTTGGATCTCATAGTCCTTTTCGGTAAACGGGTAGGTCTCAGCATTGGCGTAAAGAGCATTCAGTGCATACATGATCTCCGACTGGTGGAACGCTCCTTGATCTTGACCGGGAGGCGCATGAGTCCAGTAGTAAGTGTAGAAAGACGACGAAGCTGCCTTGTACCAGTCCGTTGCGTAAGCCCACGAACCGATGAGAGAAGTGTCCCGAGCAGCAGCATTCCAGCCTTGGTCGGCGATGGTCTGGTTGTTGTGGGACGGGTAGAGCTGGAAGTAGCGACTGGACAGGTTGCCGAACTTGAGGGTGCAGTAGTACTCGTACTCGGCCACTGTATAGTCGGTCTGTGGCGAGGCACCGGATTCGTCTTTGGTGTTGCCGGTGATGACGGGGACGTCGTTGGCTGGCCCATTGAGCAAGCTCTCGATGTATTTCTCTGGGAGAACATAGCCGTCTAGTACGGGCTTGAAGATGAGTGGATAGCCCGCCGACAGTGCTGTCACCCACCAGATAGACTCGTTGCCGACGCGATCCTGCGAACCGATCAGGAGGTCTTCCATGGAGAGAGTACGCAGCTCGGCGATGGTCGATGCATTGTGGTAGGTGGTATAGTTGACTCCGTGTTCGATTGCAGTCGACATGTTCACGTAGGAGGTAGCCAGACCCGCCAAAAGAGTATCATATGGATATCTGATACCAGACTGGGAGATTCCACCGTGGAAGTATCCCGTGAACAGAGGGCTGTTGACCGCGTGGTAGACCTGAGAAGAACCGAAGGACTGGCCAGCCACAGTGACACGATCCGGATCACCACCAAACTTGGCAATATTCTTCTGCACCCACTTGAGCACTTCCAACTGGTCGAGGATACCGTAGTTGCCAGAAGTCTTGTGTCCGGTAGCCTTATATCCCTCCTCGTTGAGCTCCGGATGAGCAAGGTAGCCGAATGCATCGTCACGACGATTGAAAGTAATAAGAATGACATCCTTCAAGGCCATACCGCCACCATACCACCAGTTGGTATCACTAGTCTCGTCCGAGCCCTGATTCCAGACCATGACGGGAAGCTTGGCATTCGCCGTACCAGCATTGGTCCAGATGTTCAGGCTCAGGCAGTCCTCACTAATGTTAGACGCATCTTTGCTTGGACAGGCAGGGCCAAATGCGGTAGCCTTCAGGGTTTGGTTCCATCGTTGTCGAGGCTGTGGTGGCTTCCAGCGGTTTTGGTAACCCGTGTCAGCGGCGAAAGGAATACCCAGGAATGCTGTCACGTTGGATTCGGAGATATCAAAGAACTTCTCCAGAGTCGATTGGTTGAAGTACTGATATCCCTGGACGGGGCCGTAGGATGTCTCAATGACCTGGTCCCATAGCTGTGCTTGGGCAACTGTAGCAGCTACAGCCAGGGATGCAAGGCCCTTGGTGACGAAAGATGCCATACGTTGATTGAAAGAAGGAATGAGAATAGAGTGATGAAACTGTTGGATGGATAACAGTAGCGCCTATCAACTAGATCGACTGTCTTTCGAGTTCTTATATACTGGAGTCTACTAACATTGTCCGCGTAACCACAGATGGTGATCCTCACTGTGACGGGCAACGCCTCTAGCTCCACCAACTGAAAAATTGCTGAACCTTGTTCGTCAAGTATCATGTTTAAAGGTTGGAGGCGGGTTTATCCCGAGATCCCGAAGCCACAAACTTGCAGGTCAGTGCATGTGGAGACTTGAGCGGCTCCAGATGACGACGGTCGTTGGTGGTCCATTTGTTAGCATTGTTTGTTCATGGATCTGGATTACTGATCACAAGAGCAATTGGGACAGAATATAGTATTTTTTATTTCTATGGACATGTCTTCAATGTCTTAAGATCGGCTACTGAATGTCTATGTTGGAAACATTTGGGTTATCACAGAGGTGCTTTTGATTTAACATGGAGAAGCAGACCATCCTGAAGAAACTTAATTAGCGAATGTTCATTATGAGGAGCGGGGAATCCGATGACGATCTTGACTAATTAGTACCCAAGGCCCGAGCTAGGGGAAAGGCCGCGTAGCAGTTGTTCCTGGGGTTTCAACGGAAGGATAGGTCCGTTTGGTTGTAATTCGGCCCAGAGTTCCCAATAAAGAATCTCGGGCCGAGTTAACATCTGCAGGTACGAGCGCCGAGCTGCAGGGCTGTGTGAAAGTTGCAGATCACCGAAGTTTCAAAATAGCCACGAATTTATCCCCGAGGAGTGCCTTTACATCTTGGCTGATGGAAGTGATACATGAAGCGAGGCGCCATAAGGCACTAGGGAGATCGGCTGTGCAAAAGACCGAGTCGACTGATGTATGATAATGTGTGACGAAGTTAATTTTCCTTGGAAATTGAATCAAGTCATGATGCATCACCGTCAACAGGCTAAATGCCTTTTACCGGGGGGCTATCGTGCTGATTTCAAAAATGTCGGGGATATTGAAGGCAGTTTGGCTTTGATGTCACTCGTCTATACCACCGATCAATTAAAGACGTAGGTGTGCATATGAAGCATAAATTTGTAGAGAGCTTGAGAGAACATGAGCCTCGTTCGTGACTTGTCATTGGTAGTGTTACAACAACAGAGTGCGATTGCTTGCTAGGCTAAGTGCCAATTCTTGCCATAAGTGAGACAAGATTGTCCCAAAACGAGGAGACTATTGGATAGTTTGCGGGGGAAGTGGTATGCAAATCAAGCGCCAAGAAATAAAAATTAAAAAGGACATTCAGATAGACTAAATCCCGCTTTACACAACTCAATAATTTGCTATTTAGAGACAAAATACATCCTTCATCCCCCATAGGAGTGCACCACCGAATTCCGAGTCAGTCTTCGAAGTGTCTTCCCGTAAAAGTAAATGGGGATCCCCAGCAGTAGCGGGCCCACAGTCAAAGCGAACTCGACCATTGCAGGCGTAAGCCATCCTGTGCGTGCAGCTAGTGGAGAGACCCAGTAACTCATTACGAATCCACAGGTATTTTTGATCACAGTCGCGACGACCATGATTTCACCCGATATAGGCTTGTAGCAATCAACGGCATAAGCAACCGCGATGGTAGGAACCGCCGTCACACAAAGACCACTGAAGCCATATCCAATGACAAGAATGATTGGCCAATCCCATACTTTCTGATAACCAAGCCCGCCAATGACGATTCCAATAATCGTTGTAATGCAGTATGGGATAAGAGCCGGCAGCCGCATCTCAGCCTCGCGGATTCCACCGTTTCTGGCGGTGGCTTTCATGGCGACCCAGTCTGAAAATGGGCCTGCTGTCAAAAGTCCAATGATACCACCAACCGCAAAAGCAAAGTTAGAGTACCCAACTGCCGATGGGCTGAAGTTATACGGGGCAGCTCCAAGCACGGTAGACTCTGTCAGGTTCCAAAACAGTAGAAGGTTCGCAGGTCCAGCTACATTCAGCCCGGCCCAAAAGATGATGGGGAAGGGAAAAACTCTCAAAGGGGAGATTATATCTCGAATCAAAAACTTTTTCCAATCTGCGGCAGGTGTCTGCCACAGTCGGAATTGCGATTTGGAAGGCCGGCCATGACCAACAGCTCTGGCATGGCCATCGGCGCTTTCCACATGCTCAAGACCCTCCTTTGGGATGTCGTTATTGGAGGTTTCTTGCTTTTCAGCATTTTGTGAGTGATTATCTTCGTGCGTGGCTGGATCACTTGATGCTCGGCGGTTAAATTTGGTTTCTGGAAAGCAGAAAAGAATGTTGACGAGATTGAAGCACGTCATAGCAAGCGAGAGCCAAAAAAAGCTCCGCCAACCAAACCTGTATTAGGTTAGTGATTGTACAAAACTTATTGTAAGGGAAGAAAGAAATAGCCGTCATAGATTTGACGTACCTCTGGGCAATATTTCCAGCAATCACAGGACCAAGGAACAATCCGAGGAAGTATCCAGTACTAGGCAGATTAGTAATTAGAAACTTGTACAGGAGCAAGCAGATCAGGGCCCTCACAAGTAAACACCAGTCCAAAAGCCTCTCTCATGGAGGAAAAGCATGTCAGTGACAACTTGAACCAACAGAGTTTCACTCGTTGCGGTAGCAATCCCGTTGACTGCTCGAGCTGCTAGAAGACTTGAGTGACTTTTTGCAAGAGCCTGCCAGATACATGTAGCGACTCCCAAAAGGCAAAACACCAGACTTGTCAAGCGGCGACCGAAAATATTTGAACACGGCACGATAACGAAGTTCGAGTAGCCAAGAGCCAGTACGCAAGCTCCCGTCAATAGACTAAGCTGTGTATCACTGAGGTGGAATTCGGCCGCAAAGAAGGGAAACATCGGGCCCATCGAAAGCGCTGATTCCACCGATACGAACAGGAAAAGAAACTGAGTGGTCATAACCAGATCTAACCACCAGTTTGTGTGAGCACATGGAACCGCAGTATCTCGAAGAATCATGGGATGTGCATCTTACATTTCCAGGGCTTAGACCAGTTGAGAGGGTCGCTCGGATCGTTTGTGGGATGCGGAATGAGCCTTGTATTGGTGAGTTTTCCAGACCACAGTGAAGACAGACAAAACAACGAAGATTGAGAAATTCATGGACCACAAATGACTGCCTCCACTTACACGTAACCATCCCGAGATAATTGAGTCGCATCGTACTCCTCCCATTCCCTCATTACCTCCGTACCGGGTATCATGTCTTCCGGTGATATGTCATTGCGGTCTCTGGCCCCAGGGGGTTGGGTTTGCTGTGTGGACACCATATTGGCTACCTCTGTAGACATTTGTAAGAATGGAAATTTAAAATAAGGAGAGAGGACATGTTCATACCGAGGATAAGGTGAGCAAGTGATCAGGGATCAGGGGTAGAAATTGTCAAAGCACAACAGGGATATAAGTGTACTGCTATGTATATTATCATCTTAGGTATATCGTCCCGCCCTTGGGGGAGAATGCGGGGAAAGAAAGTGTCCCGTAATTCCGGTCCCGCCATGAACCCCAGAATATCGGGGTAGGAGGGGGATATTTGTTGAGTTGAGCTTATTCAAGCGCTCAAATCCGATTGGACAAGCTGGATATCGTGCTTTTCTCGAGGGAGTATTGCTGTGAATTCTCCGTCAGTCATCTAGTGACAGGTAGTCTCGGGCACCCAAGGGAACCCTCTAGTCCCTTACGTTCTTGTTATTTTCGAACCTTTCATGTGGCTTTATTGTGAGGAAACTCAAACACGGGTCTGAGAATTACCCTTGAATATTAGGAACGATGCAAAGCTAGTGATAGTAGACAGTCCACGTCCCTTTCATGAACGCTTCAGCAGAGGATATCCAAAACATTTTTAGGTGCTGGATGGGGAGGTTGATTGATTAAGGCCTAAAATATGCTATGAAAGACCAAGGCTAAGCCTGAAAACAATGATTTGAGCCGTGAGATATTCTGTTACCGTTTCAACATGTTCTGTTCAACATACCGTACATTCGAATTCCCAAGAATACTTGCGTTAAATGGATGGGAATCGAAACAGACCAACCAACAATACCAAGACTGGCTCTATGACTTTCACTCGATCTCGCTCGGAACAGTCAATTCATCTGACAATCCAGTTACAACAACATATCCTCCTCTAACGTCGCCTTTGCGACACCGTCATGTTAGGTCCACCGGGCATAGAGGTCATCCGGAAGCATCTTCTTTCTCTCGGTCTTTTCGATGACCAATTTGTCCGTCACATGATTGTATCGAATGGCTGTGCGCGACAAGCTGGGTGATGTCCTTTCTGTGGGCCCGCTCCCAGTCTTTCAGTTGGGCAGTGACACCTTCTACTTTTGGATCGCAGAACTCTCCACGTTGATGGTAAGCAAGAACGAGATTTGGCGTTTGAGAAGCCGAGAGCTGCGGGGCAACCTCTCACCGTTGTAGAGGTTTGTTGACGGCCCGAGTTTTGATCTCCAAGGTTTTCTCACGTGGCACTGTCTGTCCGTCCCTCTTGATCCTCAATTTTGAAAGGGAAGAGGCTTTTTCTGTTGGGTTTGTTTCCGGCGAGATAGCCAGCGAGTCCATAATGTTTGCGAGACTGCCACCAGTTTTTGTCATATCACCAATAAAACCATCTGTCTCATGGCAAACGAGAAAGTGTAGGCCACCCAGTTTGTAAGAAATGATGCGATGGTGGCTGGTGCTGTTCTTGATGTGAGAGGTAGTGTATGCTTTCTCAAACTCGTGACCAAAGCCGCGGAAGTCTTCAGGTTTAATCACTTCGTAGGTGGCGGTTTCTTCACGGCAAAAGATCACAGTTTGAGCGGCCATCTCTACCTGAATGGTGAACGACTCGAGAGATCCCTTAGTCAAAGATGGGTCAATGAACGAAGAGCTTTCGAATGTTGTTTCGGTCGGTAACAACGTCAATCGAGTCCAGGTCAAGTGATGGTTGCTCAATGTAAAGTGAGCGAAACATCGGTTCCAGAGGGCTATCTGGAAGGCGGGCGGCATTCTGAGCAATGTAAACCAGACCATGATCTTTCTTCACCGGTCGGGAACCCTCCGGAGGTGACCACAGTGCGGGACTACCCGGGACAGCAATGGTGGGTGTGGGTGCGTCGATCCAGTGGTAAGAAGCCAAGTGCTTCACATCAGTTATGATAGCCTCCTGGGAGGTAGAAGATCCCAAGTCGAGACGGAATATCTCCACCGGGCTCGTAGCATGAAGCCGAACGTCCTCCATGCTTGAGAGGGTAGCTGAGGATAGGAGATAGAACAGTCGAGAGGGAAAAAGTCAAGAGGGGTGTAAATTGTTTTTGAACAGAAAGGAAAGAAGGACCTCTCCAGGCGAAGTGGTCATAGCGCCACGATGAAGCAGGAAGCATGAAGCAAATATTTGTACATAACTGTGTGAAGATGAATGGGGCCATTTCATTTCATAAATTGCAAGCATCCGCCAGCACAGGTAAATCTGGAAAGGGTTATGATAAGTCAGTGCAGCTAAGCCAAGACCCTCCAATGGGACATCTACTTACTCATGGAGTTTGAAGGACGGCCACAGCGTGGCCATTATAATGACGTAAGGCTCTGCAGTGACATGCCTTGAAGTCCGATGACATGAAATAGGTCTAGGTAGCCGTGTGTTGCTCATAGCTATAGACAGGCTGTTTCAGACACGTTTTTTTATTGAACTTACGGGAGGGTATCATAGGAGGACGGAAAGATTTATATATAACGAATCCATAGTGGTCAAGACTAAGCAAGTTGCGGATGAAAGGTTGACATAATGATCAGATTGGTGAGTATATTTGTTATGGTGATCAGGGCGAAACTGATGAAGTTGCTGTATCATTTAACTAGGCAACTAAAGCTGAAGAGGGAAAGGTTCTATGTAGGGCTCGGGCTTCCCAAGCTTTTATGGGAGTTCTAACTTGTGCCAGCAGAATCCCTTTGTTTAGGCGCACGAAGTTCCCACACCGCTCTAGCATCGCCCACCGCCTTCCTCTTCTAGTCGCCTCCTGGCTTCCAATCACCTCTATCGTAACACTATTCTAGGGATCACTTGTTTGAATATAGAGAAGAATAAGGAAAATTTTTTTATATTGCTGGAGACTACCCAGGGAGACGCGAATGTAAGCATATGTGAGTAGTCGTAGGAAGCACGTTACATCCTTCGGACCTTCATTCATCTCTTATTGCTAGTAATGGTCGATTTAACCAGCAATGAACTACCAAAACTTGGGTCTGGAATCTTTAGTCTTCGTTTCCGAGCTCATGACCAATGCCTTGTCTCATTTCCAAAGTCGTGTTGAGTTGAGAAACTTTTGAGTTTGGAAAATGCGGGACCTGGGGTACAAAATGCCGGGCAGCAAAAATGTCCCGCAATCAGTCGGTCCCTCAAAGCTTTCTTCCTGCACCTCCTACTGTCACTAAAACAGCCTGTATCAGTCAGACTATCATGCCAAAGACACGGGGTCGCATCAAGCGGCAGAGAATATGTCCGTGGTGCTCATTGTCCTTCACCAAGGAAGAACATCTATCTCGCCATATTCGGTCACACACGAAGGAAAAGCCGTTTGGCTGTGTGACATGTGGCAAAACTTTCAGTCGCCAGTTTGTATTTCCAAAACCCTTCTCATTGGGAAAAAAAGTATCTTATGTGACTCCAGTGACTCGCTTCTGCGACATAGCAGAGTACATTCTACGGAAGACAAGGCCAATCAGCCCCTTGACCTAGGGACCTCATCTCTAGAGACATATGGGAATTCCGATCAAATTATTGGAGGTTCTCAATCGCTCTCTGTGGAAAATGATATAGATCAGGTCTCATTTCCAACACATCAAACCCCACCGAGTTCGCTGTCACCAAGTCAGCATGCTGCCCCGCACACCCAAGCTCGCCTGCCAGGATGGCTTGAAACGATAGTGCAGCCCCCACAGAACACTGGGCAAGTCAGCTCTCATGCACCTTTATATACACCACTCGAGAGCATCTTTGATTCAAGTATGGAGGAAGCTTTGAATTTCAACCAGTATTCTCAAGTCCCCACGTGGCTTGCGGACGAGCATTTCGACCTAAATGCTCTGAATTCGTCGGTGATGGCAAGCACTCTTGGCTTCTTCTCACCCGACTACACAGCAAATGAGAATAGTACCGATATCACTATCCAGATACTGGAAGAATCCACTCCAGAGCGCAAGGAAGATCAAGTCCGGCAATTGTGGTTCACATATGTTGGAACACATAAGTCTGGCTATGTCACGCCCGAGGGTGCTCAAGAGCTAGTCGAACTAGATGAGCATTACCGGCAAACGTTGTCGCAGAGGCTTCAGCATCGTGTGCCGACTGAGCCATTGCCGTCTACCGACTTCTTGGTCAGTATACCGTCCTATCCCCCACCATTACTTGGCTAGATCTAACCTTTCGTAGAATTTGTGCATCCAGCTGTTTTTCACACGATTCAATCCAACATTCCCAATTGTACACGCACCCACATTTCGACCTTCGGCAAAGAGTTCTCTTTTGCTGTTGTCTATATGCTCAATAGGGAGTCTCTTTGTAGGCTCAAACTATGCTGTCACACAGGGATCTATCATTTTTGAGAGACTCAACAAAGCTATCTTAGCCTCGGTAAGTCAAATTTCTTCTTTGCCCTCGATATTCTTTAGTTTTACTAACCCTTGCAAGTGGGAGAAATATCTCCTGAGTGGAAAGGGAGAGGCACTTGCAATGACACAAGCTGCGTTGATTGGGCAAACATTTGCGATGCTTTCAGGGGTAGGTTTTCATCGAGGCATAATTGACCCTGATCAACAACTAACCTGTTGGCAGAAGCCGAGAAACCTGTTGGTTTTACAGACGTTTCATGGCACCGTTGCTACCGTGAGTCTGAGCTGCCATATAATTATTACATACTGATCAACCTAACGCCGTTGAATAGTGGGCTCGAGTATACAAGATGTTTAAAGTTCGGCGGGCTACCGAATATTTGGAGACACATCTCCAGACCCACAACGCGGAAGAATCATGGAGGACCTGGGCCCAGTCTGAAGAGCAAACTCGGTAGGTGGCTCTTGATCGACATGAAGTGATTTACTGACACAAGGGTTCACCCGCAGTCTGGCAGCAGGTCTTCACATTCTTGACACAGAGATATCGGAATTAGTGTTGACACATCCCCTGCTACAGCACGAAGAATCGTTGCTACCTCTGACCACAAGCCATGAGCTGTGGGTCGCTCCGAACGCCGCGCAATGGAAGACAATTTTGGCCCGCCAACAGGGCGGCTCAGGACTGGATCAAGATAACTCTAATGGCATAGTGGCTGGACGCGGCACTTTGCCGCCCGGGACTGGACTGCCAGGTGGATTTCAACGGTACATTACCCTGGAAGGTATCAATGCTCGAATTGCAGAGACAAGAAGCTCCCATGCGGCCAGAGACCAGACTGTGTGCGCTCAATTCGAATCCCAATTGATGCAGTTCTCCGACCAGTACTTTCACGCGAAAACTGACATAACTGCCCACGATCCATTCTGCTTAGAAGTGCTATGGCACTCTGCCTTTATTTCACTTCTGGTGGACTTTGATCGCCTTGAACTAGCGATTGGCAGGGAAGGTTACGAGGAGTCTTTACTTTATCGTAATTATGCTCACCAATGGGCTTCTTCCCCAAATGCGCGTCGTTGTGCTTTACACGGATCCATGATTCTCCGGAAGCTTCAGAATACCCCATTAGGTACGGAACCGGCGATCCATGTCCCTAGGGCGCTCTATCGGGCAGCCACGGTGTGGTATGCGTACTCTGAGTACGGGCTGGATGTCGATCCGAGCTCCCCGGAAACACCGCCCGCTGTCAACGTTGAGTTTCCGGAATTTTCTCGGTTGAAGATCAATAGTCAGGCTCTCCTATTTGAAGCTAATGGCTATCGAACGTCGAGACCAAAGACGTCGGAGTCTAGCACGCTTTGTGGGCTTGTCGACCTCTTGCATCGGATTGGTCATTGGGGACTGTCCAGAAAATTTGCGGAGCAGTTAAGTTTTCTGTTAAAGGAGACACAGAGTTAAATAGCTGATCTACTAAGTTTCTATTGCCTCGTACCCCCAGAAGGCTTGAAGGTTAAACACAAGCCCCTTTCCCACGTGAAGCGTACCTGTAGTAGTTGTACGGAGAACTTGGTGCTTTGTCCTCCGTACAGGAAACTTTCTCCCCTGCAGCCTAACGGTCCAAAGCCTAGACGCGTCTGGCTCGGTTGATGTTTCCATACCCCGACGCTAAACTTGATCAGGGCTAGAGCCATTTGTGTTGGGGTTGGGAAAACCCATCCCCTAATGATGTGCACGGGAGCAGCTCTTAATCCGTTTCAAAGTAATAACGGTCGGTTCGTGGAAATTGAGAACCTCGGGATACTATATAGTAGCAACTAATAAGCATGAAAGATAAGTAACTTAGATGGAATGAACCTACCTAAAATGGATGGATGTCAGGAGCTGACTAAGTAAATCCGTTTCCACGGATTGAGGTCCCTTAGTAGTCCCTAGCGTGGCTGCCCCGTCAGTCTCAGCGACTTTCCAAGGTTGAAACAATGCATTATCAATCCCATGTCTCATTTCTTCTTCTCCACCCCATGCAAGTCCCTGATGAAATCCAGACAATCGGGTCTCAACCCCCTGCGAAGAAAAACGCCAACAAACAAGCCACCGGAACTGATTGTCACGCCCAAGGCTCTGGGAAGCGGGGTTTGTGCCAATTCGGGAGCCCTTGGCCGTGTATAGTGGATCTACATCGCTCGTCAAACCGCGCCAACTTGCCAAGTTAGACGGCATCCACTAGGTAAATGCTCCTCTCACGAGGAAGAAGACCGCCTCGGCATCCAGAAGACCCATTTTCTTGTGCATGGCATCCCGGCTTTTCGGGCTTTCACGGCAGTAGCTGAAATACGTCTGCCACGACTTGCGGCAAGTCAAAATGCCTTCTCCACCGGTCTGAAGTGGTCCTCTAAAATTGTGATTATCCCCGTTAGAAGCTCTCGCTTTGGCTAGTTTCCGCACAAAACTGCTTCTGAGCCTTGTGTCGATCACTTCTGATGATTCGCCACTACGTGAACTAGACCACTTGTGCGGTGCGCTAGATGCCGCCCCTGAAGACTCAAAAATCTCAATCAGCGGTTGGCACTTTCACTCCGCGCTAATCAAAATGGCCTGCAGCTCAATTTATTAAACAGTTCTCTTCCCCACAAACCACGTTCCACAAACCTTAGACCTTCCTTCATCCTGTCGTACACAGAGTACTCGGTGACAGGATGTCGTTCGGTAACAGGATGTCGGACGACGAGGATCAAAGGGCACTGGCGGTCAAGACGACTGCGGCCGTCTTCATGCCGATAGCAACCATAGCAGTCATGCTGCGCTGCTATGTACGAGGATGGATCGTGAAGGGATTTGGTTGGGACGATGGCGCAATGGTGTTTGCAGCTGTAAGTCTATTTTTGCTTCTGCCGTTGAGGACGTGGGAAACTCACATGTGCAGTTATTCTATATTATGTTCTCGGCTTGCATGATTGGTGGTACTCTTTACGGCACTGGACGGAAATTTGAGAACCTTACAGCGCACCAGCGTGTAACAGCAATGAAGGTAAGCAAGGCTTTGTCTGGGACTTTTCTTGGGCTCTTGCAACATGATATTCACTTAACGTTTGCGATGATAGTATTGGTGGCTCTGCGAAGTTGCTTATTGCTTCGCCTCTATTGGATGCAAAATTTCCATCAGCGTTTTCCTTATGCGAATTACCGTCAAACGATCACACATCTGGACTCTCTATACTGTCATGATCCTAACAGTCATTGCCGGACTCGTCTTCTTCTTCCTTATGCTCTTGCAGTGTAAGCCACTGTCTTATTTCTGGACTCGAACCGCCATGGACCCCGAAATCGAGGGTTACTGCATCAGTATCAACATCATCATCATCATGACATACATATACAGTGCATTTGCTGCGCTTTGTGATTTCACTGTTGGAATCCTGCCCATTTTCCTTGTCGCCAAGCTGCACATGAAGCGAGAGGCGAAGCTGGCCGTTATTGGCATTTTGAGCATGGCTTGCATGTGAGTATACTCGGTCAAGGTTGCTGAGATATCGAGCTGACAATGACTAGTGCCTCTTCGGCTGTGATTATCCGTTTCCCCTTTGTGAAAACGTTTGCGGATGCTGATTTCCTTTGTACGTAACCCATGTGTACCAGCATTTCCGAGTTGTCGCCCGAGTTGCTAACATTCTTCAGATGCGACTTACCAAATCGCCATCTGGTCCAACATCGAGGCTGGTCTGGGTATCACCGCCGGTAGTCTCGCTACGCTCCGTCCCTTGCTCCGGAAATGGCTTGGCTCTCGAAACGACTCAAGATATCCTTCTGGGTTTCCCAACTCCGGGCGTCTAGGCGCAAACAGCAACTCACGACCGATGCCGCTTGGGTCGATGGATGGATCTAGGCAGAAGGGCTTGAGGCCGGATAAATTGGCTGTCATGGTGACGAACATCGAAAGCCAAAGGGATACGGAGTTGACATGGGGAGGGTCGACCAGCCCCAGCAGCAGTGAGGAAAGACTCACTACTGAGCACACGATTCCAGCCTCAAGGAAGATGGACATTGGTATCCATCAGACATTCGAAGTCACACAAACCACAGACGGCTATGATGCAGAGGGTTCTCATCGCCTGGCGAGGGAACATGTATAGTCTATACTAAACTTAATATTTTGCAACGAAATTTCATGCCAAAGGTACCTTCTTTATCACGACACAAAATAGTTCTCTGCACTAGCTGGCAGCTTCAATTCAGCCAAAAATTTGCATTGTGACAAAGTTTCAGTTCAAAATTTAGGACGGTTTGTTATCCTCACGTAAATATTTCCTAGTTCCGGATGCTAATTTATCTAATTTAGGATCAGGTCTTCCAAGAAGGAAGAAAGGAGCAGCGCCGTAACAACTGTACTATAATGGAAAAGATCATCTCACCGCTTCGTATCAACTCCATAAGTCCGCTTGGTTGTGGATTCGAATTTTAGCTAGTCATAACTCTCAAGCCACCATGTCCATTTTTTCTTCTATTTTGCCGCCTTTATCTGATAATCTAAGGGCCCCTCTGCAAATCCGTATTTCTTGATACCGCAAGCCTCGATCTACCACACAAAAAGTCGAAAAGTATTTACGCGTTCAACATGAGACTTGAATCTCGAATAGTACCCTAAGCGTGAGCTTTTGAAAGCTTGATGTTAAAAAAAGGGTCCCTCGCTTGGCAACCAAGCATGTTTAGTGGGGTCTTTTTCGGTAATTTCCGGCCTGGATTTATTCCCGGGCAGGCAATTGGATGATGGAGCATGTAGACTATAATATATGTTTTTTCTTTACCTTTCTCTCCCATCTTTTCTACTACTCTAGTGGTCACCATCGACTCACTCGCTTCCCGGAGAGCCTCCCGGAGGGCTGACTGCCCCTGGTACATGCTACATAGCTCTATGTTGGTGCCTTATAGATCAGGCCAACAGACTCGCCGTCATGCCTAAATTAGAAATCATACCGGGAAAATTTGTTTCAGTGGACTCGTCTACTTATGATCTGGGCTTTGTCACTTTTAGGTCGAGGAGCCCTTCTTTCAAGTTCACTATTCCTCAAGCAGAGCTCGCGTCTATCTGAACAGGGTATGCGGAGCCTTTCCAGTTTAGTGAGCTCAAATGAGTTTAGGAGCATGGGCGACCATCGCTCCGAGACCCGTATAGGCGGCGGCTGGCTGTAGCAAAAGCTATGAATTCTCTTAAGGCCTATTCCTAGATTTTTCCCTCCTCAAGGAACCTTTGTTTCTTCTCTTACACCAAACCCTACCTACCATAAAGATGTCCAAACTATCTGTTGAAGGCCAAGAATCGGAGGCAGTCCCCTGCTACCACGACCAACCTCCACAATACTATGCAAGCCAGCGAAGCCAGCCAAGCCAAGATTACTCCTCTCTATTATTGAGGCCAAGAATACTCGCCGGATATTGACTCAACGGCTACAAGGTATTGATGAAGAGGTCGATAAATTACGTCGAAAGATGTCCACCAAATCTAGCTACCTTATAAAGGCAGAATTGTGTCAGAAAATCGGTCAAAAACGTATAGAGGAGGGGCAGATACGTATTCATTTCGCAGGTGTGTTCAAAAAATGGGCCGGTGAGCATGGTCATCTCCTTTACGCCCTGTCAAAACTCACTGAAAATGAGTTCAACCGCACTTATGCTTCTTTGAAGCGGGACGCAAACTGGCAGATACAACATGCGCTAGCCGCGGACAATCAAGACGGCAGCAACTGCCATGACAGAGATTCTGGAAACAATTTTCCAGGCACTTCGATGACCAACTATGGAAGAAGAGCTGGAGATTATACCCACAACTCTGTGTGCACCCACGATTGTCTGTGCTCTGATGACCGGTTCGTCAACCTTTTGGCAACGATGGAACAGATCAATGAGAAACTTGACAAAAGCCTTCTCTCCTATTATAAGGCTGATTTATTGAAATGGACTGATCATACGACCGCAAAGTCTTCTAGGGCTTTCTGGAAGAGGATTCTGAAGCATTGAACTCGGCCTTGAGAATTAAGGATGGGGGTCCACAGAGTGATTGCGTTATGATAAGACTGCCGAGGCTTAGTACTCATTTTGCTTATCTTACTTGAATAATCTATGTTAAGACCGGCCTACTTGGTGTATAATTTGCTTTGAAGTGACTGATTTATTGATCCAAGACATTCACAATATTACTAATTTTGGTATTTCTTCTGCTCCATGAGATTAGAGAGAGATTGTCATGCTTGAAAGATCGATATATTATTGATTGATCTTGGAAACCTCTAGAATCATGGAATATTTAGAAAATTCAAACTAACATTACAAATGTTGATAAACCAGAGTGATATAAGAGTAGTAATTCCGCCTCCAAGCCTCTAATAAATTAGAGAAAAGTCAGATCACATCAAAAACAAGTGTTCGATGGACGCATGGCCCAAATTTCCATCTAACCATCCAGGGGACTCTTGCACACGAAAGAATTAGTGGTGCTTTTCGCAAAGGCATCGATCAAGACAGTGATGGCAGAATAAGCGCCAAGACCTGCAAGAGCAAGCGCGCCTAAGACGTAGAAGATGTTGAAGATGCTGAACATCAGGTACTTCGGCTTCTGAGCCATGAAACCACGAACAAAGCGTTTGAGTCCCCTGTCATGACGAATAGTTTGACCAGTGGCTGGGTCAAATCCTTCGCCATCTTGCACGGCAGCTTCTTTGATCCAGTAGTAGGTTGCCAGCATGGGAGGGAAAGTGTAAGTGAACTGCAGGATACAGAATGCCGCAACGACAGAGGTAAGACCCGAGAAATTGGGGATACCGGCAGCGAGGACGAAGGCGATGGCCCAGTAAATCGGGATAAGTGCCACCCACAGAAACTTTCCAGTCCTGTTTGTAAGAGGTGGGAAGCGGAAAAGCTCGACGAGAATATTGTTGTAGATGACTAAATGCAATTAGCTTTTTCACGAGGACAGCAGAGTTAGTTGGATGAACGTACCCTTGACACCGATGTTGCCATACAGACCAGCGGCAATGATAGCGGTGATCATAGCAAAGACGTTGCCGGCAGTTTGGATGCTATATTTGCTAATTCCAAGGTATGTGGGGTTAATGGTGTACTGGCCCTGGTAACCGTAGATGAAAAGACCGTAGAACATGTAACAGATGTAGATGAAAGCCTGGGCGGCCCACATGCCAGTCAGGAAATCCTTGGGGCGCTTCATCTCAGCCATGAATTCGGGGAAGATCATAGAACCACCGTAGGCAAAGACGGCCTGCATGGCACCGCTAACAGTTCCGGCGAAAGCTCCAGTACTGGGGAGGCCACCAGAGGTCATCACGGGAGGATAAACACCGTTGACCGGGACAACAGAAGAGCCATCGCCGATAGTAGCGCCAGCAGACTGCGAGGCACCAGCATAGTTGGGAGGAGAATGGGCGGCACCTCCCATAGTAATGAACATGCAAGTGAGATTGAGCCACACCGCGATATTGGCCAACCAACCGAATTTCTGCAGCGTACGAACCTGACCAAGGAAAAAGCCCACCAAGGCCCAGACCAAGCAGCAAATGATAAAGCAGAGCTTGAACTTAGCGGCCTGGGATAAGGCCTCGCCGTTTGAAATGACAATCAAGCCGACGTTCAATAGTAGCTGGATACTCTGCAGAATGTTGAAGAGATGACGCATCCAGGGACCGTACAAACGGAAGCCAATGTCTCCAAAGCTACGTAGAGGGAACTGGTACGAATCGAGGCCGAGGAAAGTCACCCAGAGGAGGTATCCAGAGTATCCAGCTAGACCAGCGAAGACAGTATACAAGGCGATTCCAGGGCTGTCATAATTAAGTTAGCAATTGGTCTTCTTCGTCCGAGAGTTATATTTAGGCTTACCCCCAGCCCATAGTTGCAAACGCATAGGGTAGACCGAAAGGTCCCAAAATATCAGTGGTGATCAGGTAGAAGATAGCTCCACGGGTCGCAGTACGAAGCGCACGGGAAGCATTCGTCCATTCGTCGTCGGTGATAGTCATACGAGTCGCCCTGGAGCTATAATTGATGGTCGAGGCATCCTTGCCCCCATTGGTGGTCGTCTGCTGCACGCCACCGTCGCTTTTGGAAGGAAAGACGATTGACAGCCATCCGGTCTCTCGGCCACCAAAAGAATCCTCTTCGGCACGGGTTTGCTGGGCATAGTAGTGGTATTCCTCGAAGGTGACACTAGAGTCATGCAGCTTGCGGTGCTGCGGGCGAATTCCATTACTCGCGTCAGTCGCAGCGAGGATGTCGATCTTTTCGCGCTCCTTGTTATGAAGCCGAGGATCGCCTCCATCGAGGGCTAAGCTACCGAGCTGGGACATGATCAGGATCAAAAAGGGCAGAGAAACTGATTGCTGGAGGAAAGAGTTACAAGTGGGAGGATGAAAAGAAGAAGCACCTCTCGACAGGGTGGCACGAGATCTGGGGAAACGTCCACTACTTATTCGGTCGCAAGTTACTACATATAGTATCATTTCCCGGTTCGATCGCTCTTATCATTGGATTATGGGGTCGCTGAGGGCGTGGGCCAGTCGGTCAAAAGCCTTCCGCGGATATTGGCGGGCCTGTACCCTTTTCCTTCTCACTCCATTATCAAAACTTCCATCGAAGACGAGAGCGAGTCAATGACCAGTGCCACCGGAAGCAGGTGAAAATGACCAGTCGGGTCTGGCCGTCAAGTTGATTGGGGGAACCATGCCCAATCCGGACACTGAATTTGCAGGTCGTTAATAGTGTTATCATTTTGGGTTTCACTGTTCGCCATACTGATTGTTATTGGCCGCCTCCCTGAGCGAAACACGGTATCAGTCCCAATATCGAGCCAAATCCCACGTGTTAGGAAGGTCGTTCTTCGCGAAGTTCCGTGAACCCTGCTCCGCAAGTGGATCAGGAGGTCACAGCCAATTTCTTCAAGCCTTTCGGCTCTGACGTTGCTATCTATGCGCAAGTGCCCATTGGCCCTCAATTCGTCGGGGAATCGGCATCAGGGTGCAGGGATGCGGAGAATGTTGCATTCAACCTGGTCCTCCACAAGCCACACTTGCCGTAGCCAATCACCATCATGAATGAGGAGGCCAAGCGGAGTCCTGACGGTCCACCAAAGCTTATCCGACATTAATTGGAAAAGTGGATCCCCGACGGACTCGCGAGGTCTTGCCATTATTTTCTAGGTACAGTAGTCTTCTGGAATCACTCTTGTGGTCATTTTGTCAGTGACCGTATGTGCAGATAAGACTAGTGTAATCAGCTTCGTCTAGTGCTTACATGAGTTGGGAGCAGGCAGATGTAGTAATTAGGGCGTGGTCCATTTTGCGGTACAAAGATCCCGTGTCTAGGAGCTGCTCCTCACGATACGAACGTGACGTTTCATCGGCCCCGAGCTTGACGATTGATCCTAGTACCGCATGGTACTTGTGTGACTGGCGATATGGTCACGACGCCCAATTTATGGCAGCTACAGGAACAGTTTCTACAGCTTATTAACTCTTGACTATTAGAACTAGAGTAGAAGAAATATAGAACCTAATAATTGTGGCGGAAACAAGCAATTTGGAACCCCATTTCGCGCGGGTCTATCGCTTGTCAATCTCTCAAGAGGGTCCTTGGCAAGGCGTAGCCAGCCAAGCCACAGATCGCAGCTCTTGGCACGCTCATCGTGCAAACAAAAATTTGACAGGCTTCGAGTAAGATATCAGGAAGGTGTTCATTCATGGGAGACAAGCTAGAGTATATTGAGCACAATAAGCGACAAAATCAACGACTTCCCGTCACGCCCCTATCTGAGAGGACGATAACAAGAGCCCTGTTCGATACGAGACTGCCAAATGAAGTCTTAAAGTGCGAAACAAAGACTAATTGTCACTGTAATGTAATAATGTGTTTTGAGCCTGACCAAAATGCCAATTAAAACTGCATGTTATTTCCGATCAGCCCCACTTTCTGTTGTATTCTGCTATACATGCGGTGTCCCTTGAATGCAGATACTCCTTGCCGTAGTCGGATTTGAAATTTCGCATGGGTTAGTCAATCAATTCATCACCATGATTTTTTTCTCTAATATAGTTTTGAGATGAATTGAATTGTATTCGAAGTTATGGGATTACTCCGATTCACATTCCTCCTAGAATGTTTGGTGCTAACTGATCCTAATCAAATTGAAGCCGCTCGTATCATCAAGCTTCTGGATCTACAACACCGATTTGCCCGGCTATTACCGGTTATTTTGTTTGCGGTCTGACGTTCCAGAAGAAAGCCACCCACCTGGATATGAGATTCCGGAGCCCAATCAACAGCTCCTTATTACCGAACCAACGACAACTGTTTAGCTTATCGTCGGTGTCAGACTTGCATGACGACTAACCAGTAAGAAGGAGGTTCTGACTTATACATCCGAGCAGTTTTGGATGGACATTCATCTCATCCTTACTTAGAAGTCGATGGCAAATTGAAAAAATGACCTCGAGTACTACTACATCAACATCACATAAACTAGCGTAGGTATTGTTGACTCAAATGCATTTACTACCTAATATATCTAGAGACAGCATGGGAGAGCTTCTTGTAGTATATGAGACTGATGTGGGTGCTCAGATCACATTTTCAGAGTGGCAAACACTTCGTCAATAAAATCGGCGGCCCTTCTATAGGCCTCATCTTTACCTTCCGCTGGTTTCGGCGGAAATCCGCTCTTTAAATCCACAAGTCCATGTCCCGCACCCTCCACAAGAATCAATTCCGTTTTGACACCAAATTTCTTGAGCTGTTCATGATGATGCACGCTCTCTTGGTCAGGAACAACTTCATCTGCTGTGCCATGTACGAGGATAGTTGGTGGATGACTTTCTGAAACAAAGAGCTGAGGAAATGCAGGCTTGAGATCCTCGGGAAGTGCAGCAGCCCGCTCCTCGTAGCGCAGTTTGTTGAGTTCTGCGCCCAGCCCAGGTCTCCCGAGACAGTTGTCGAGGAAGGTTCCATCAAGCTCCCAGCGAACAGTGAGTGCGAAACGGTTGGACATCATGCCCTGCACTGGCTTGTCCTCACTCACAACAGTTTTGTCGGCGAGTAGCTTTGGGACCTGCTGGAGATCGACAAGCTTGGCGATGGTCGTAGGTGGTCTTCTGACCGTCCAGTGATCTAGAAGCCAGTCTCCAGCGGATCCGTAAGCCGTCATCAGGACGGCTGGTTTGGGATCAGCGTATATGCATGCTGCACGGGCCGAAAAGGCCCCCGCCGAAAAGCCTGTAACCGCTATCCGATCCGTGTCGAGTGCAACAGATCCCGGCAAGGCATTCTGGAAGTTTACCGACGCGAGGAATCTAAACAGAGCCTTCGCATCGTCAATCTGATGCAAAGCAGTAGTTGGGTGGCATAGACGATAATCCGCACTAATAAGGATGTAGCCTTTCTCTTGGCAGTGATCTGCGCTTTTGGTTAATCTTATCTGATCGATCGGAATATTAAGGTGTCATTGTATCACATATACCTTGTAGCCAAGTCGGGAAGCTGAAGCCGCCACGCCATCCTGCAGTCATGCCTCCTCCATGGTAGTAGATCACAGCTGGCAATCTGCCACTAGCGTTGCGGGGCAAGTAGTAGTCGAACTTGATTTCGTGGCCATCAACTGTGGAATAGACCAAAGTTTGGCCTAAGGGCTGAGTGGCCTGCATGTCTATCTGAGCTCGTAAGGTACCGTCCGTTTTTCTGATGAGACAGAAGAAAACCTATCGAAGATGCGGGGTTTGTCTAGGGGTTGGCAATGTCGTGACAATCCGGATGAAGTTAATGCCGGGATGTGGAGCCGAGCGCGAGTGGTCATGGATTCTGTAAGTTCTTAAGTTGTTGGAAAGAAGGGAAAGCTATAATACGTGATTTCCCCAGAGTTGCATTGTCTACGCCTACAAAGCACTTATCGAATGCTTTGGACTGTCCGCGAGTGATGGTCCTGGAAGGTTGATTATTTGAGGTGTTGAGCACGCCACACCCGAAAAGGGGGGAGGGGACGCAGGACAACGAATAAAATCCTTATTAGTGCATAAAATTCAGTTCAATATTGGAACTCAAAAACACTGGTAAATGAAATCTAGTAGTCGTGCGTCCCGTTAGTCAGTGACCTATCTTAAGGTTGTGCTTCGACTTCATAAGATCAAATATCAAGCCTCCGCAGGATGATCGTATTGATCATCTTGCTACCAATGGAAACATCCAGTCGTCCAGTCTAATGCAGGCGAACATAGTATTCAGCTTTCTGCAATCTAGTGTCGCCTGCTCCGACAACGTCCGGAATGGAATTGGTTATGGCTTTTATTTCACATCATCGCCCTCCCCATTTCGCTTGCTCCAACAGTCTCATCGTATTCCGATCTCGAACCTCTCTCATGTATCTCTTTTGTTCCACCGACATTTCTTGCGTCGTCTCAAAATCTCGAAATCCGTTCGTCGCAATGTAATCCAGGGAATATCCGATGAAAACGGCAACGACGCAGCCAATGATAATACAGAGCACGTAGAGTGAATAGAGGCCCTCTTGAGACGCCATGATCGTTGGATACTTTTTTCCGGTCAGCATGTAAGTCACCATTTAAAAAGACAAAGGTAAAATTACCTTCAGATATTGATAAGTGAAAAATACCGAAATTCAAGGAGATAGAGAGAGTTTTTGTGTTTCCGTTGCGTGTATGAGTTTAAGGTTGTCCTTCAGCAAAGGCGACCTGCGGTGTGTTTTAACACATAGCAAGAAAATCCTTCGCGGTCCATTCTGAGAATGCATTGCAGTGTCAAATCTTCCTCGGAGCTCACTAGCTAGAAAATGTTTCTCCCTTATGCAACTGGACTTCTCATCATCTAAAAAAAGTATAGATGACGTCAAAACCCGAGCGGGCCAATCAACTACCCATATCCTGTCGCCAAGACGTGCGAGAGATGATCCGCGGAGCCAATAACAAGCAGCCCTCCAGACTAGCATGCAAAAATACTTCGTTGAATGGAGGGTTTGTCAATAAATTATTGTAGGCTGTAGCCAGCTTATTTGAGCCAGTTTCAGGCAGTTTCACGGGCAACGGATGCAATACGGAACCAGTGAGCTGCTCGGGACTACAAAAAGCCGAGTCTCTCAGCCGTTGACTGTTCAGGATTGAAAAACAAATTGAGATTGAAATAGCATGTATCTTGGGCAAATCATATCTTCTTCTTCACAATAAGAACAACACCATGTGTGGCACCCTTCACCATTTCCTTTCCTTTCTCCACCCCGGCCTCGTGCAGTAGGCGCTCAATAGCCCTCCGATAAATCTTAAGAACGTCACGTTCGGTACCAATGGTTTCGGGATGAGCCTGGCGCCATCGAGTCACAGGACTACCAGTCGCAATAATCTTCTCGAAAAAGTCCAAGTTCACTTCGGGATTGATAGAATAGAAATCGGTCTCCATACCCCAATCTTTTCGGCTGGATGTCGCCTCGTCAAATCCCGCGATGGGAGTCTCCAAGGTCCAAGGAAGCGGCAGATCACTGTATCGGTTGCGAGTAAGCCAATTCCCTGGAACGAAGAATGGCACTAGATACTCTTCCTCAATACGATCCATCTCAGCTTGCATGGCGGCTGAATTGGGGACTGAGGGGTGAATACCCGTCCGGCCGCTGGTCCACAAGATCACACTGCCACCGGGCTTGAGCACCCGTGCAGCAGTTGACCAGAATTGAGGCATGTCAAACCAATGCGCCGCATTTCCGGCCGTGATTAGGTCAACACTTGCGTCCTGGACGGGCTGAGGGATATTTGTTCCCAGGTCTTCGGCTGTAGACAATTCAAAGCGGATGGGTTCAGACGTAGAGGTGGTGCCGCCCAGGGAGCGAGCAGTGCTGACCATCCCCTCGGATGGATCCAACCCAACGACATGAGCGAAGTGGACGCCGAGCGAGCGAGCCACATTGCCTGGACCAGTACCAACATCTAGTAGAGTGTGAAGCTGACCCTTTGTGGCAGTGTGTTGATCAATAATAAATTGGTACAGGGCATGGTGATAGTCTGGGCGGGCGGCCGCGTAAGCCTTTCCTTGCTCTTGATTATAAGAGCTGAAGGTCTTTTCGGTTGTCGTAAATGATGGTTGAGACATGGTCAACGAAGTTTACGCAAAATCACTGGCTAAATTGTAGGTTGATGATGTCGAGCAGGAAAGTTGCTGGGCTTAAAAAAGGGTCGGCGTTACCAACAATAGGCCCGAAACCCGGTGGTTCCGATTGAGGTATAGCGGCGCTTTTTCCTTACTGTCGGCGGAATTGAGATTCAGAAGGCCCGATTTAGATGGAATTTGGAAGAGGCTAGATTGGGGAAGTGTGGATGTGTTGTCGGTCGGAATTACTACGGTCGGATTTCAGAATAAGGTCCAAAATTTAGTTAGGTTAAGCCTTGGCTCGATATGCTTGGAACAACCTCTTGCCTTATATATGTCCATTATTTAGTTAGAAAAAGGTCATCTGCTAGCGAATACGACACTTTCCAACGCATTTACTGCCCCGCCCGTCGTCATCCACCAGGCACCAGCGGACAGACCCGCTGCGAGCCTCGTGTCCCATTTTAGAAGGACCAATCTGATAAAGGCTGATCTCTTATGAGACCCTTGCAACCTGTTGACGTGATGCGAAGCCCTTATATTTCGAAGCTGTCTTCACGCGAGCCCGTTTACCGTAGATCATCAACAAGACTGGTAAAATTGCAGTGATGAAGGCAATCACTCCAATGAGGATGAAGGTGTTCTGAATACCCATGCCATAGATCCAGCTAGTGAACGAAAATCGAATGACCATGGCCAAGCCATTGCGGACGAACACGACGGCTATAAGCGCATCACCGAGGATCTGTGAAGGGTCAGCCAATTCGTCCTCGCTAGATTATTTGGCACGAAGCCAAGGTGATTCATACATTAGGATAACTATCAGTCAGATAAGTGAGAGCAACGTCGGCAGTGATGATAAAACCAAAGCCGAAAATACCGTTTCCAACGGCTAGTACGGCCCAATGTAAGCCCTATACAAAATCCATTAGTACCTTTCCGGGATTTTTATCAAGGACTGTTCGAGGGTCTGAAAATACCTTTGCAAGACCGATACCAGATAGCATCAAACCAGCGGAATTAATAGCAGCAGCTGGGAACATCATCCACAGGCGCATTTCTGGCTCGAAGATACCTTCGTTCCGTTTGGCCAGCCTGACAATCAGCCAGTCAATCAACGGCGGTGCTGTGAGTGTGGCTAGAAGAGTGCCTGCAAATCCACCTAAGTGAAACAACCCAATCTGAGCCGCGTTGAAATTATATGGGTTTGCTATCAAAAAGTAAGATCCGGCCGACACATTGGCAGAAAACCAGGAAAGAATCGATCCGTAGGTAAGGGCAGCGAATGCCACCGCAGGAAACGAAAACAGAACAATTAAAGGTTGATAAAAGTGTTGGAAGATGGGTATATCGGTCTTTGTAACAAAGGCCAGGCGTTGGCGAATGGATTTCCGGCTCCGTTGGACGTCAACAGTCACCCTTGATGAAACAGGCTGTGCCTCTGTAGTCGTGCCGGACTTTTCCTTGTCCTCGACAAAATCAGTAGTCTTTGAGGAAGCCGAGTGTCCAACGAGGGTAGGGGTGTACTTGGACTCCTCGAAGAAGCAGAGTACGAAAAGAAGGTTGACTCCGACTAATATCGCGACAATCTTCCACATCCACCTCCAGCCCAGAGAGACGACGATGTACCCTGCAATGACCGGACCACCAGTAGCGCCAAGGCTTTGCATGAAAATGAATATTCCGTTCATTCGAGCGTGCTGATGAACGAAGAACAAATCGACAACGGTGATTATCACAATTGCCTCACTGACTGAGCCTGCTATACCTGCCAGAAAACTGATGGTGATCAACTCCCCTGCCCGATGGAAGTTTGCCCACCAGATGGCACAAACAAGCTGTAGGGTAGCGCTGATAAGATATAACGGACGTCGCCCATATTTGTGCACACAAGGAATCAACAAGAGACATCCAATTGCAAGGCCTGCAAAGTTACAGCCGCTCGATATGTTGAATGTTCCGTAGGTCAGGCCCAGCTCCTTGATGTAACCACTATATGCGAGACTGTTGATATCAATCAGGACAAAGGTGAAGAGCACGTATGTACAGGTGAGCCCAAAGTTGACTGCTTTCCGAAGTTTAGACCAGTTCTATTGATTGTGTTAGAGTGTGGATCCGATAGGGTTACATCGGACAACCTCACCAGAGGGTCATCTGGGTCATCTGTGGGGGTTGGGCTCAGAATCAACTCCGATTGAGTGGAGTTCCCTTTATGATGATTAGTTTAGGGAGCCAATGAACAAGCGAAACATGTCTCACGGTCTTCTAACAAGATTGTTCCGGGAGGGAACCCATCCTCAGTTCTGTGGACAGGCATGGTGTTCTAATCGATTGAGTGAGTTGAAGGTCGTAATATTCACATTGGGGCCTTTGGAAGTCTGGAAATTGGGGCTTTTATGATCAACCATGAGTGCTATCACGGGATATCCGAAGCTGTTCGCTATATCTAATCGATATAATTTTGCGGGGTAGTAATTCCAGAAAAAAGAATCCATACAATTTCTTTCGTACACAGTCCCACTAATAAGGCCAATGATCGTTCGCGAAGGCACGGTGAATTCGTAATTTTGCCCCATAGTGGATCCGGTAATACATCCTCATACAATCATTATTACGCCCATTGGGTAGAACTTTTGGCGCCTGTCTTATCAGATTTTGAACCAATGGAAGAAAACCAGCAACTCAAATTTGTCGTTTATCTCGGCTTTAGAGTGGAATATTCAAGTCTGGATCATTCTCAAAAAGTGAAAACAGATAGCGTGCCGTGCCTTGGTCCCTGGCTTTCCAGACACGAGATAGGGACATGAGTAAGTTCTCGATAAAGGGGTAAAATCTGGCCCCGTTAATTTTGAGGACCAAGGATCGTATCTCTTCTCTTTTCGCCTCTTCATGAACTTCCGAGCCGGCAACCAATAGCACCAAAGTGATGTTAGGTGGATATCTCCCTGCCACTCCCAGGCAATGGGTCATACGCTCCACGATTGATGAAGATAATGCTTCCGCCTCGGTGTCTTGTTCTCCAAATGGGTATCTCAACCGATGAAGTATTAGACGTGCAGCGTTTTGGTGGAGATTTGCCTGGGAGATGAGAAGCATCATTTCCTCCGGTGAAAACCGCTCAAAGACAGAGTCTGGAATAATCGGAGACCAATTCTTCAGCTCCTTTGAGAGTATATCAAAAGTGATAGAGTGGGAGATATCTTCTTCATCGCCTGTCCTGACTCCAGAAGCCAAAACACAGACTCGATAAAGAAGTGGAATAAGTGACCCACAGAGCCCCGCTTGCTGATTCACCACAGAGGGATCTTGCTCTTGAAGTTGAATCACAGGGATGCGGGCCCGGAATAACGATTGACTTGTGTCCAAAAAAATAAGACACACTAGCTCCCTCGTGTCCAATCCCTGGAGCTTCCCCGCGTAATAGAATGGCCGAATCAGGGTTAACGTATGTCGGCAAATGGTGCTGGCTGATACACCAGATATGAGGCGATGAAAGGTTACCAGGCTAGTCCCTAAAGAGAGAAAGCTGCCTGCGTAATCTGATTTGGTAATCTGCGCATTTCGAAGATCTTTCAAGGCAGACGCGCAGTTAGACAGATCTGCATCGTTGCAGGGCGTCTTATTGGCAATGCTGCGAAGAAACACCCGGGCCACCGCAGCATATGGACTCAGGAGAAGAGTCGGAGCTTCTTGTACACGATAACGGATCATATGGCACATCTCCCGACTCAGGAGAGGGCCAAATGAAAAGAAGTTACATATCTGGATAGATGTATACTCCGTTATTTGCGATATTACCCCCTCTCGGTATAATGTCGACACAAGTGGAAGCTTTTGCATTTCTGGGCCATCATCTTCATGAGTTTCATCTGTCGAAGACGAAGTAGTAGACGCTTCAGATACCAATTTGGGTTCGCAGTTTCCGGTCTTGGCTGCATCAAAGGCCAAAGAACAGGGGCTGAACACCCTTGGCTTGCGACCTCGTTTCCCGCGGGGCCGAGCATAAGTGCAGGAATGACCCAGACGATAGCAGCGATAGCAGGCTCGTGCAGTTCCCGATAAACAGCGCGCTTTGACAGAGTGACATCGGTCACAGGCCGGTGTGGGTGGCATTTTCTAGAGGTATGGTGAACGAGAGCATCCACCGAGTAAGCTGAAGGGAGAAGAAGGTGGAGCGCCCTAGAATGGCGTGATGGGTGCAAGCGAGTCAACGGCTGCCCCAGAGGCTAGATTGTGTCCATACTGGCTTTCAAATGTAAAGTGTTTCGGACTCGCAACTCGAACCTCTCATGCTTCTTACACAATAATCGATTGTCAAATTTGGAGCCCATGCGATTCGCGTGTTGGGAAATGCGGAGTGCGCAACGAGACACAAACCTAAAAGGCCACGGGGAAATGGCCAACCAATAAGAAGCCAGAATGGGACGGCGAATTTAAAAGCTCCTCCTTTAACTTTGATATTGTCTTATCTATCGTGGCTCATCGCCTGGATGGCAGCCGACTGGTCCTTGCCCCCGCCTCTCTCCTCACTGGTTAGCCGAGGCATACTGCCCTCTTGGCTTCGGGTCGCCTATTTTCAAGATGTAACTGGATCGTGACACGCCACGAGGAAGGATAATGACCAATACATACTACCTCTCATTGGTCACCTCGGCTGCGAATCGAGATAGCCTGCAGCTCATATAAGTTATCGAGCAATCTCTCAGATCCTTGCCTTTGCACTTCACTACTCAACCTTGCGCTTCGCCCCTCGCATCACAACCAACTAGCTACTGTACAACTGTACTTCGAGAATGGGTTCCGTGAATCAAGGACTACCGTGGGAGAAGAGAGTGGCTGCGAAGCGGCAAGCTTGCGCGGACAAGATCCCAGCAGCATGGAGAATCCCCGATAACTTCCTGGACAACTTCCAGACCCCCTTGGCAGAGAAGAAGAATAATCTTATTGAAGCCGAAGCGGTTCGAAAATCAGGAATCTTGACTGAACAAGAACTGCGAATTACAGAGAACTACACTGTCGCCGAGCTTCTCTCTGCATTGGCAGATGGTACTTTGACATCGGCCGAAGTAACGCTTGCTTATTCCAAGCGTGCGGCTGTTGCTCAGCAGTTGGTTAGTATTCATTAAGCCCATACACTGTACCTTTTTTGGTATGACCTCAGGCTTATATTTATGAAGGTGAACTGTCTCACGGAGATTATGTTTGAAGAGGCCAAGGAGCGCGCTCAATATCTGGATACTCTTCGGGCGCAAGGTCAACTGGTGGGGCCACTCCATGGCCTTCCAGTTAGTATCAAGGATAATTTCCACAAGAAGGGTACTGAGGCGACAATTGGAATGGTATCTTTCTTGGATGAAGTTTCGCAGGAAAACTCCCCTTTGGTTGATATTCTCCTCAAGCTGGGGGCCGTCATTTATGTCAAAACCAATGTGCCCCAGACAATGATGGTGAGGCAGCATCCAAGCCCCTGTCCTGAGGCTTTTTACTGAATACTAGCTCACTATAGACCTCCGACTCTGATAACAATGTCTTTGGAAGAACTCTGAACCCCTGGAATACCTCATTGGGGCCAGGCGGTTCGAGTGGAGGCGAGGGTGCTTTAATCGCTCTCCGAGGCTCCCCACTGGGAGTGGGAACTGACATTGGTGGTAAGATAAGCCAAACAGCAACATTCTAACTTTCAATATTGAGCTAATTACCTGATTCAAGGCTCGGTCCGAATTCCGGCTTTATGCTGCGGAACATATGGCTTCCGGCCCAGCGCTGCGAGAATACCTAACGGAGGAATGCGGGCGTGCACAACGAGTGGGATGAAGTTTCTTCTATCTTGTGCAGGTCCGCTGTCCCTGGATCTGGATGGTATTGAGACATTCTTCAAGTCCGTTTTTGGTGCTCAGCCAGCTTTGTACGACTCCACTATCCTCGACATTCCATGGCGGCAAGTATCCGCAAAGCCAATCTTGAGAATCGGCATCTTTCCCGAGAGCCCTGCATTCCCTCTGCACCCACCTGTCAGGAGAGTTTTAGCCGAGGCGGCCCGCTTGCTAGAGGCTGAAGGTCACAAGCTAATTCCCCTTGACGTTGAGGAATGTCAAATTTTGCGGGCGAATGAGATCGCCTGGAATATCTTCAGCCTCGACCAAGGTGCCCTGGGCCATATTCGGTCATCTGGGGAGCCCCCAGTTCCATCTCTAGTTCATGTTGGCAAGGTAGTTGAGAAGTTGAAGAGCTCGACTCATTTGACTTTGCCGGACTTGAGCGAGATGGATCGCATGGAAAAGCTGGCTTATCTCAATACACTCCGTGCGGAGCTGCGCGAAGTATACCGGAAAATGTGGGTGCGACATGACCTGGATGTCTGCATTGCACCTTCAGCTCAAAATACTGCAGTGGCGCATGACATGTTTGCCATTGCGCCATATACCACCATCTTCAATTGCCTGGATGTATGTTGCAACTTGTTTCAAACCCCACCATGCAATACAGTGCTAACCCAAGAGCAGTATCCATCCTGTGTCATTCCATTCGGAAAGGTAGGTGGATCGGATGCCAACGAAGCTTTCGAGCTGAAAGAGGATCAAACTGCACCGCAATGTGAGTGTCCAAGCTGAAGCGTTTCTGTGTGTCTGTTGCTAATATCTCGAACTTGACAGACAATTTCGAGCAACTTGAAGGCGCGCCATGTTCCATCCAAGTATTTACCACCACCCTGCGGGATGAAGAATGCTTGCAAATGACCAAGCAAATTGACCAATGCCTGAAAGGCACAGCCTAGGCTCAATCATGATTTGTGACTTTTTACTGGAACACAATTCTCTTAATTCTAGGACGGTCTTATTGGCCTTCATGGCGAGCTAGCCATGCTCGCGTCAGTTTTGACATTGATACGTTGGCAGTGTTACATGCTACATGTGTTCTACACAGGCGAACGTGGAACTTTCTGTACATAAGTTTCATTTCAATTCCATCATGATTCCTCTTCACACCAATCCAAGCACATACGACCATAGGGTGTGGAGAACAGGGCTTCCCGTCCGCTCAGCCGTACTTAAGCCACACGCCGGCCAGTTAGTAGTATGGTGGGTGACCACATGCGAATCCTGGCTGTTGTATGTTTTTACCTTTTTGTTGCCAATCATGATGAATATGAAATCAAACTGGGCTTTCGAGAGGACTATCGAGAGTCTTAAGATCCGCAACCAGCACTTTCTCAGGCGGCGGCAGGTCATGCGGTTGTCGAGGCGGAAGCTTCTTGGCGGTTGGAACAGCATCCAAGAGGCTTTTAGACAGAGCAAAGATCTCGTCAATCTCTTCAAGACTGCGCCCAGCAGTTTCCGGGAACAAATAGAAAATCGCAGGGACCATCGCAGCATTGAAGACCGCAAAGAAAAGAAAGTATCGCTGACCCATATGATTGAATGCGATTGGGGTGACATTGGCCACCAAAATGCTGATTGCCCATGATATACTGATGCTCATGCTGCTGATGGTTGCTCGTAGGTTCGCGGGTGCGATCTCGGAGGCGTAGAGATATGGAATTCCACCAAACCCGATGATGTAGCTGAAATGGAAGAGGAATATGAAGAAGACAGCACCATGTGCTGCCATGATATTGCCAGTCTGGGAGCCTAGGACTGCGATCAGGGCAAGACATATGGCGTTCCCGGTCGCGCTAGCCATCAATAGTGGTCGACGACCCAGACCTTCAATGGTGAGCACGCAGACAACGCCGCCGATGGGGCCAATCAATTGATAGACCGCTGCCAGGAGTCTGGACGTGGTTTCGTCGAGTTGAAGATTATTCTCGAAGATTGCGGTCGCTAAAAGATGTCGAAATTAGCTGAAGTCATTTGAAAGTAAGACCGTAAATCTGCGAGTAACTAGACTTACTGTAGTACGTGGTCACCGTAGCTCCTGTCAATTGCAAGAATGTCATAGCTGTCATGGCGAGGAAAGCTCGATGAGATGTTCGTTGAGGACCCATGGAAAACAGCTGTGCAAGAGTCTTTTGGCTTCCTGCTAGATTGAAAGATGCCTGCATTTCCTCAATGCGTGTTTCAATAACTCTATCATCGAGAGCTTTGTCCTCCAACATCGCCAAGGTTTCTTGAGCTTCGGAAATTCTCCCTCGAAGAATAAGCCAGCGAGGCGACTCGGGGAGGAAAATTATAAACGTGAAAACAGCGATCGAAAGTACGATAGGGAATGCGGCAGGCAAGCGCCAGGCCATGCTCTCATCCTTGAACGATAGGCCAAAGTCCAAGAATAAAGCCAGGGCACACCCAAGACCACTGAAGATGCCCTTCGTGGCAACATGTGCACCGCGCTTCATGGTAGGGGATATTTCAGATTGCCAGAGAGGAATCGTGGCTAGTAGGGCACCAGTTCCGATACCAGTGAACAGACGTGAAACAATCAGTTGGACCAGAGAATAAGCACTCGCATTGAGAACGGCGCCTATGACCTGAACGACTGCTCCTGACATGATCACCCGCCGGCGTCCCAGCATGTCTCCCAGCCATATACAACCGAAAGTGCCGATAAAACCTCCAATCGCGTAGACTGCCACAACAGTACCCTGGATGGTAGAAGCAAGGTTCCTATTCGGAGCATCGGGAACGTCGATTTCGCGAAATTGTCTCTCGAAGCTTCCCAGGCTCAAAACACCACCGAGTGATGCTGCATTGTATCCGACGGACAGAATGCCGGGCATCAACACCGCGATAATGGTCACAACATTGAGGCGAGTGCCACGAAGGCCAAAGAAGCGTGTCATGAGGCACACCTGGAACTTTGGAATGAGGATCGGCACCTCCACGAGTTGAAGAGCGATTGATCAACGCGATCTACTCTAATAGCCTGAACGAGTTGTACAACGGCATTATTGAAGCTAAGATGGCCAGAGATATATAGTTCACACTCGTGGGAAATCGCTCCCCTCCCTAATCTTCAGTTTTTCGGAAGTCGGCTTCCTCTCGTTACCACTTTCGCATTCCATTCTTTGAAATGCCGTGCATAAAATTCCTAGTGAAACCCGCGAATCCGGGGCCGTCCCATTCGCCACAAGGGTCGAGCCGAGGGATTCTAGGCCATCTGCAAGGAACTAGATTCTGATGGCCCATCTATGGAGGTAATGTCCCTCTCCAATTCTTGCGAGGTGTTTGGAAAAAGGCGCAAAGACGGGGGCACCATCTTGCTGTTGACTGTCAGCTGAAACCAGATTCGATCAATTGGAATCAAAAACTCCAATCCTCGTGGACCAAAAAACAAGGAAAGAGGGAACTCGAGAATGTCACTCACTATTGGAGCATGATAGCACTTGAGCTCATCAACACGATCATATGATTTATTTGGAAGGGGCCTCTTGCCTGGAGAAATCATCCTAGTCAGATCAAATGCTTCACAACACAAGAAAATAACTTATAGGTTACATTGTATATATGGGGTATTCTTGTACTACCTACATTTGTTCCCTGGGCATCAACTCCGGTATCGTCCTGTTACTATCAAGCTCCGTCGGGACAGAGCTTCTTTCGGACATAACATGCGACTGTGGAGAGCGGACAAGTCCTTCCTGGACTGGAATAGAGGAGGCGATCATTGCCCGGCTTAATTTATTTGCTCTCCTTCTCTCCCATAGCGCCCAGAGTATCGACCCGATGGCAATGACGCCTAACGGAACACCCAGTCCCACCCCGATTGTAGTGTCATGTGAATTGCTGGTGGACGCCGGAGCAGGAATTGACGAGTTCGATGAATTGGATGACAATGACGAGTCTGGCGTGACTAGATTTGCGAGAGCGGCGCGCCCGGTGAGAACTTGGGCATCAGCCAGCAGGAAGCTGTCCGTGTCGTCCCGGCAGACCGTGTCACTTCCATTGGCGACGGGGGTGCCGCAACAATACCTGGAGCTGCCATTGATGGTTTGCAGAGTCACTATTGCGGAGCCTTCATTGCTATTTACAGTCCCTGGTTCAGCAACGTATTAGTATATTGGTACTCACAGAAAAGACCAGATGACAATTGCAGAGCGGGGGTACTTGACTTACGGCAACGACCTGGGCATCCCGTTCCCCATTTTTGGGCTGTACAGCCGCCCCGGGCCAAGGAGAATGGTTGATTGACATCGAGACAATACCCATTGGAGAGGCAGATGTTGTTCACTCCGCAACAAGCAGTGGTCGTCTTGGCCGTGCAGGGCACAAGGTTCTTTGCCTCAGTGCCATCGGGATAGTAACATGTTCGATTGTCCGTCATACTGAATCTCACCAAGGGAAAGATACGGGGAGGTAGACAGGAAGTAAAATCACAACATCGTGGCTAGATTACTTGGGGATCGCCAGCGGGATCCCCTCGGCTCAAATATTACCAGGGGAATTGTTGTCACACTACTTGGCAGTTTCGCACTAAGACAGACAGGCGCCGTGAGAGCGCCGCTGAGAGCGCCCAGAGGTTGCCAAGGAACTGATGCATTAGCAGACTGCACAGACTCCAGAGGGTAAGACTAGCACAGGACCGGGCCCAGTCCATGAGAGATAGGCTGTGTTGATTAAGGCCCTGGTGTCAAATCGACGACTCATGGCAGGTATTGGGGGTGCTTTTTTGTGGGGGCCAAACCGTGCCGATTGTGAGTGGATGCATACTAAGGTCGATTTGGGGGCGATGTTGCGATAATCTGCGCGCCAATGACGAGGGGATTCTGACAGTCGGTATTCTTGTTTCATGATTCGACCCCCAAAATCTCAAGGCCCCCAAAGATCCTGGTCCCTAAGCCCGCATGCCAACTCCAAAGACCCCGAAGAAGCACCAGCCCCGTTGTACAAGATTTCCAACAATGTGAAGTTGACGATGTTGTCTTATTAGACTCGTATCGGTGGATAGGGCTATGAAATCAGTAACAGCGATTCTCATACTCAATTCAGCCATTGAGTAGATCTATCAGGGATTTTCACGACTAGCCAGAGTGCAGCGCCTCCGTTTTAGCGATTTGAAGATAGTAGGGATTCAAACAAGTGCTATGCGATCTACTTTAAGCCCGCGATAGCCCACATTGTACACGACGTCTCATCGGGGTGCATTTACACCAAGATATCAAAGCCCCTGAACAATATACGGGAGAATATAAAGTCCAATGAGTCCCCGTCGTCATTATCAACTTTACCCAAGCTTTCGACAGTCGGGAATCGGAATCCGCCACTACCGTGGACCCGATCCCCGCTAACCCAATCTCGTATTGCACAACCACATGAACTCGACTCTTGTGACTACAAGATCAATCCCACCTACGAATAAGAGCAGATCCCCAATATCACCTATGCTTACATTGGCTCAATCTCAAGCCAGTGGAGACTAAAACCCGGGAAATTAGAGTAGACCCCACCGCACTCCTTCAAATGCTATCATTAACGGTCTAGCACTTCCTCGGGAACCAGAGGAAGGTAACGCCTAGTGGCACACCTTCAAACTCGTGCATACTCAAGGCCAGCGGAGATATGCAAACCCCGGTAATGTGCTGCATGATACCTGAAGAGCGATGTTTTTAAGTCCGGGAATATCCAAGTCCCTAGGTAGCCTGGCCACTCTTTGCAGGGTATAAAACGAGTACGGTGACCAGCAGAAAGGACCAGAAAACTTGACAAAGCACCACTCTTCCCATTCTCACATAAGAGTATCTCTTCCTGCTTATCAATATCAACCCTCATCATGTCCACTCCATCAGGCAAACATCTAGCCGCCATCGTCCCCCAACACGGTGGCCCACTAACCGTCGTCGAACGCACCACCCCAACGTGCGGCCCAAATCAACTCCTAATCGAAGTCCACGCCATCGCCTTCAACCCCGTGGACATCTACCAACGAGACATAGGCATCTTCATCGAAGAATACCCTGCCGTCGTCGGCTCAGACATAGCCGGCATCATCGTCCAGACAGGCAGCGACATGAGTCCCAACATCCCGAAACCTGGCACTAGAGTGACCGCCCTAGCAAGCTCATTCTATCACAATGGTAACCCGAACTACGGCGCGATGCAAAAATACGTGCTCGTGGGCGAAGATACCGTTGCCATCCTGCCGGACTCGTTTTCGTTCGTGGAGGGCTGTGTTTTCCCCTTGGCGGCGCTTACGGTATGGAATGGTTTGCTTTGGGCGGGTATTGCTCGAGAGCCGATTTCCCCGGCGGAGAGGAAAGGTGTACTTGTGTGGGGGGCTTCGAGTAGTATGGGGGCGCTTGCTGTGCAGGGGGCGAGGAATATGGGATATACTGTTTACGCTACGGCGAGTTCGCAGCATCATGAGTATATCAAGACTCTGGGTGCGGCACGTGTCTTTGATTATAAGGCAGAGGATGTTGCGTCCAAGATCCTCAACGCTGCGAAGGAAGATGGTATCGCCTTTCGCATTGCGTATCATGCTACGGGGGCGCAGCAGTTCTCCGCTGATGTTATTAGCAAGCTGGCAGTCGGTCATCAAGGCAAGTTAGCAATTGCGCCGATTGTGGATAAGAGCTTGATTGTCCCGGAGAATGTCGAATCTGCTTTTGTGCAAGCACCGGATGAGCCCGAGGCGCGAGAGGAGAGGTTGCACTGGATCTTTGGGACCTGGTTGCAAGAAGGTCTTGCGGCTAAGCAGCTGGTGGCGAGCCCGAAGATCAAGGTCATCGAAGGGGGTTTGGAGTCTGCCAACAAAGCCTTGGATGAGTTGAAGGCGGGAGTAAGCTGCACGAAGCTCGTGATTGAGATCTAACGTGTATGACCTTGGGGCTGGAGGATCCTTGGAATGCCCGTGACATGTAGCTGTTAGTTAATTCTGTTGATTCTTGGTTTGGGCTTCTCGCACGACACGCTGTACCAGGTATTCAAAAGATCTTTCTAAATGTCTTTTGAACCACCATTTTATTTTTACTGGAAGGATGAATATTCTGGTTAATGATCTTCAACATCGTTTATTGGAAAATCCCAAACGAGATAGTAAGACGTATATATAGGAGGTAGCCACGACACTGATCCCGTTCCAAGAGAAAGATCAAAAGTAAATAGAGTAGGAAATATGTTGGCCCACGAACATGGGCCAAATAATCAAAGGGACGTGAAATCGCTCGTTCGTATGCGTGAGGTATCTTCAATCCAATTATGCATGCATCATTAGAAGTATAGAAAAAGAAGAACAAGTTAGAAAAGGAAGAGCAAGTGTGTGCAGCAAAAAAGCACAGCACTCCAAAGGTGCTTAATGCACATAGGACATAAGATAAACGAGTCCTACCATAAAAAAGTGGGAAAATCCCAGCGAAAGAGCAACGGAAAATAAGAGCAGAGGAACATAAGAAACAATCATGGCTATATGGGGGTATCCAATGGAAAAGACAGGTAGTCGAGACATATGGAAAGAAAGGAAAGAGATTGCTGGGAAAGTTCGACTGATATCAACATAGCCCTACACAAGGATATATATGGCTTAGTATCACCCGGTTGGGGTATCACGATAGCTCATTGAGAATTTGGCGCAAAGTCCACCGAATCACCAGGTGGTTGTACATCGGCGTCTACTCCTGGGGTAGTCTCTGGACTCGTGGGTGAGTCGGCAGTGTCACCGCTACCACTACCCCATGAATCTTCGCGCATAATCTCATCGGCATTGGGTAAATGGGGCCGCTTTGGGCGGTTTTTAGACTTGGTGGAAGTCCGAGACAGTGATGGTGATCCAGGGTCCGGTTTTGACATGGCTTCGTTGTGATTGCCTGTCTGCATCGGACTAGCCGCGGTGTCAAAGTTGGGGGATGCGGAACGGGGAGAGTCCTGGAATCCACGCCATTTGCGCCAGCCATCGAAGTCGATCAGGGCCTGCATGCAGCCCCATTCGGTCACCTTCTGGGACAACCATGGGAATCCGACAGGCTATTTGAGGGCGGAAAATGTGAGCAAAATGTGAATCAAGACGGTGAGCAGGGAAGAGGGCTTGTTTACCTTGGTCAAGAAATCATTACATCCGGCAGCCAGTGCCTCATGACGATCACTTTGCAGACTGCTAGCAGTCAAGGCAACGATAATCACCGGACTTCGGAACAGAGACAGGTCTGAGAGCGTGTCATCCTCACTCACGGACCGATGCAGGCCCGGCCGTTCCTCCAATGAAGCGGCACTCGAAGCACTGGAACGCCCCGAGGCTCTCTTAGGAAAGACACCAATTCCATTGAGTCGCTCAAGACGGCGAATCTCTTTGGTCGCGTCCAATCCGTTCATGACTGGCAATTGGATATCCATCAGAACCAAATGGAATCCGCCTTGCCTCCACTTTCGTACGGCTTCCTCGCCATTGGCCGCACATTTCCATCGTACGCTCAATCGCTTCATGAACGCCTCCAAAAGCTTTTGATTGATAATGTTATCTTCGACAATGAGGACGTTGATTGGAGGCACGGTGCCCTCAATTAGACCACCGAATACTGCGCCAGGCGACGCAGCACCCTTGGACTTCCGAAGAGTGCGTGGAGAAGCCACTGGGGCTGGAGGAGTGTGTGATTTCACCTGCGGAGACTCGACGACCGGGGCGGGCGGTGTTGGCTGTGTTGGTACGGTGGGAGGCGGTTGTGAGTGGGGAGAAATGCCGGTTTCTTGACATGATCAGTTAGTGGAATGTGGCTTGTTCAATTGTCCAATAAACCATACCTGTCAATGTGGGCGTTTGACCGAGCATTGTCGGCGAATTCGTCGTGTGCCGTGCGAGAGGTGGCCGACGATGGTGTCTTGCTGCGCGAGTTCCAGGTGAGGGCAACGCTGGCGCAACACCAGTTGTAAGAATAGATATAGATGGGGCATTGGCAGCACCTGAACTCGATGGGTGAGCGGGAGGTGTATGGCCATTCGGATTCACGGGCATGAGTGGGAAGTAGTCGCCATGCTCGCCAGGTTCCGAGTGATGATGGAGGTAAACTGGATGACGAGGTGATGGCTTAGGGGTTCGGCGTGTTGGCGCTTCAATCAACAAGGCCTCCTCCACTGTTTGTCCCCCTGGGAAGTATAAGTCGAGCACGGTGGATAGAACCTCCTCGGGGCTCAACAGTCGCTCTGGCGTTTGTTGTCTATTTGAACCTTCTCGAGCTGGAATTCGGATAACAATATCTGGAGAATCAAAAGTTCGACCCAGCGAGTTGGCGTATTTCGTGATCACCTGGTCGCGCAATTCATCCACCACGGCATCTTCCAAGCAAGGCACCAGGGTAGCTGAGCCACCCGGCCTCTTGACCCAGATCCGACGCTGGACCATCTCAGCAACAGCTACGGGGACGCGACTGCTGCCCTGGTCACCCGGAGATGAAAAGAGACTTTGTTCCAACAATCCTTTGATCAAATGCTGTTGTGAGGCGGGAAGAAGAGACTGCCGACGTATGGCAATGCTAGGGCGCTTACTCCCCGAGGGAGGAAAAGCGTTTGAGGAAGGTCTGCGTGGGTCTACGGTCTTTTCGATGACAGGCTCTAGCGTAGGCGCCAATTGATACTCGGCTAAAGTTGGACCACCAGCCTTGACTGGCGCGGAGTAGCAGGTATCGTCGGATTGCTGCGGAGTCGCTAGTGGGGTCTCGAAGGGGGAAGGCGACTCTTCGGAGATGGGAGTGTGCAAAGGAGAGAAATTCGGTTCCGGTGGTGGTGGGGTGGAGGACGACTGTTCTGATGCGTGGCGATGCTGATACTGATCGGTTGGTTGCGCTGAACGAGTGGATGGCTGGGGATCGGTCCGGGGCCTGTGCTTGTGGTTCTGCCCCTCGCGGTGAATAGAGTCAGGGCCTGGACCGATGTCGTCAGAATACTGATCAGCAGCCGAAGAGACGACGCTATATTGGGATTTCTCGCTGGCGGAGTCGAAGGGATGCGGAGCGCAAGAGGAGCGAGAGGTTGAGTTTGGGTGGGCACGCGGGTCCGCCCCGTTGCCCGTTTTTGGAACGGCCGGTGTTGATGATCGACGCAGCAGCTTGGCCTTGAGCAGACGCGACAAACGTCTCTCTGGCATTGTGACTGCTGCCAAGGGCCTCACAAAGCTTGAGGCATAGTCTTTTGAGGGGGAAGCTGGAGTGATGCTAGAGTGAGAGGGACAGACAGGGGGTGCACGTTGGTCCGAGATGGGTCTTGAGTTTCGGCCTAGCTCCCGTAGTAATAACAGCTCCGTTCAGCTGGTACAAAGCTGGGCAATGCTGAAGCCATACACCACGCCGAGCTTGTCCAGTCTCCCGGTCGGATTGAGATGAAAGGAGAAGCAAATTCTGGATATATAGTAATTGATGGTTGCCAGACAAAGACGAGGTTTCCAGCACCGTGCCGATCTCCCGGTAGTTAGGCGAAGAGAGCTTTGGAGGATCTCACACTAAGGCCGAAACAACCACGCTGCATGTAGTATCAAGTCTTACTAACGGCTTCGTAATTGAGGACCATTTCTTCGCCATAGTTTCATAAACAAGCCTAATTACGCATATATTAGGCCGAGGAGACCATACCTGTTCAAAACAAATTATAGTGAACAAGTTGAATTGGGTATAGCAAAAGGTACCACTCGGAATGACAATCAAGTTTCTACCACCCTTCCAACTTCCTGTTTCTCAACATCCCCATCCTGGTCAACAACACCAGTCTGGGTCTCTGTTGATTCTTGGGTATTGTTGCTCGTCAAGCCCAGGAGATCATCTATACTCCTTCCACTTTCTTTCGCCTCCTTGCGAAGCTTACGGTACCGGAAACGCCAGATGATATGGCTGATGTAGATGCCTGATTCGAGAACCACCCTAGTTTTCCAACAAATTAGGATTGCCATTCAAGCTCACCGAATGTTAGTATCGTGACTTACACCAAAATATACATTATTCCACCAAGAATATCGAAAGATCCTTGGGCAGCTAGACATTCGTTAGCTCTATGTAGCTTTCATCTGGGACAGGAACAAGGAAACATACCCAAGGCAAATAGTGAAAAGAGCCCGCCGAGCGTGTCAATGGCAAGGAAGACCCAGTATGTTACATGTTAGTCCAGGTAGTAGTAGGCTATAGTCGATACATAGAAGACCAACTTACTGAATCCGATGACACGGCCATCCCTCTTCCACAACTCAAAGTAAGGTGGAATTAAACCCGCACTTATTAGAATCGCCCCGAAAACTCCTACCACAAGGTCAGGCCAGGTTATACCCTTGTTATATGGAATCTATTGGAATTGTCAGTGATTTTGCCCAAGAACAAGAACAAGAACCCAAAGGGAAAAACATTACCCGCAAGGTCAGGATGAGGAGAGCTTCAAGACCGCCAAATAACAGGACAACCGCAGAGCAAAGCAAGATAGCTTTCGAGCGGCTATAGTTACTGTTGTGTGTTAGTACTGAGTCCACTGTGAAAGTTTCATCAGAATCTTACTAGTTATAGTATAGAATCTGGCCCCAGCCAACGAGGGAAAAGAATCCAAAGATCTGCGGCTGGATTTGCAGAGGAATATTGACTTGCTGTCTTATAGTCAGTAACAATGTCTCTCTCAACCCATCATATCATCTTCAATCAATCAATTCTTGCTAGTAGATGGGTATAACTGACCTGCAAAATGAGATAAGCCCCCATCGGGACAGAGCCTATGTACAGTCAGTAAGCAAGTTCAACTCAATCCGGAAGCAACTCTCATCAGTTAACTTACAACTCGCCCATAATAGCATCATCGCTGCGGGGAATCCATCGGTCTTTTTGCGGCGATAGTTATACCAGATCTGAGGAATCAACTGAATGCACCACAGCACCGTTCCAATGGTGCCCAGCACATTGGAGGCTACCGTCACGTTTCCATCTGACATTATGAGAGTGGTGATATCATCTGCGGATAAACGAGGTTGTGGTAGTTGAGTATGTCCAGGAAGTCAGTCGTTTAGGAATGATGATCGCTCGAAGCCTGCGAGCACTATCACAATTGGGAGAGCGATTCAACACAGTGAGACCTCTAACATTCGCCAATACAAAGGAGGGCGATATATCAACAAGCCTTGCGCTGGCAATCAATACCCTTTCACCTGAGATTGAGCTGAGAACAATACTCCAGTCTTGGGTAGGTAGCAGTAATCCAAATTGAGATCTTATCGTCTTCGATTCTCGAGAGACCGAGCTTTGTGACCAGCATGAAAATACGGAGAAAGAAGAAAAAGGAAAGAAGCAGCGAACGACCGGGGAATTAAACCCAAAAGAAACCAAAGATAATCTAGCGGTGATGAGCAAATCGAGCCCCAACTCTAGCGCCACCAACCAAAACCGAACCCAACCCACGAACAGTCTAACTAACTACAGTAACCACCTACCCCGAGTCCCGTACTAAAGTGACCGAACTACCTGCTCTAGCTCGCACCTCAAGTGAGCAACCGTCAATCTATAGTAGAACCTCTCCTTTCCCGAAGGGCAAATGTGCAAGATCCAGACCGACAAACCCCCCAAACGAACCAAGCAGAGAACCAAAGACCCCTACACGCGCCGGGTACCCTCCACTCACGCAACTCCCACCGATGAAATCACGTCCCGACGATCCAAGATCTCACGCCGAACCCGTTTTTGCCGGGTCCCCTCCCCGGCTGCGGGACTAGCACCAGATAGGTCAATATCTGGAGAAGGTCGGGACTAGACTTGCGTAGCGCGGGGAGGGCGGAAAGCCTTCAAGTCGCGTATACTCTAGTCATTATCAAACCACAAGTTCAAGCAGACCCTGACTCGTCACCCAAGAAGCTTTGACACAGACCCTTCACATTCTGGAAGACATCACCGTTTCCGGATTTCCAATTTTTCTCGGTGAGTTTCGCAACCAATGGATTTTAGTCGTTTGCTTTGATGGGTGGGCCTGGGCTTGTGTCGGGGTGGGGTTCTGGGTTGCCACGAGGTCCACGACTGGAGGGATGATGGGCGGGGGGATTATCAATTGGAGGGCGTGGAGACCCTCATTTTGTTGATGATCCATTGAGATGATAAGGGTCAAAAATATTCGAATGCTTGATTTGAAACATGATACGGAATTGAGTAGACTAGAATCCTCGCATTCAACTACTGTAAATGATACTGGTCATATGTGTATGCTTGCTTATTTGCGGAAGCTGCCATATGCCGCCAGCCACGTGGCGAGGGCGAGGCCCGTTCGAGAGCTCGAGAGTGGGTGGAAGTACAGTATGGATGCAGATTTACATCGAAAGACTTAACAAAAGAGAAATTAGATGGAGGCTAAAGGAAGATGAATGCTCAGTGATGTGATCGATGCTGCATTAAACATCCAAATTTGAATGACAATGTGTTAAGCCTTGAGGTGTACCGATTGACCCTACTTCTGTCTTGGTATCGAATTTACCCCATTACATAGGTATATTAATCAAGGATCATGAATGAAAGTATCAGATTGCATTGAGGCAAGTATTGACGTTCACATCATCACATGAACGGACCTCAACCTAGGTTAGGTGGTTGTAAAGAACTATGCAAATCCTATCATCCCGCGACTTTTCATGCCAAGACTTGACATTAGACCCCGATACAGGTCCAATCGCAGGCTCATATCTCCAGACATAACCTGGATGATATGAAGAAAAATGAAGCACCTGATCCCATAAAACACAAAGAGACATAGACGAGCAATTGCGGGGAAATCACCCGACAAAACAAACCAAACCACAGGGTAGAAAATGCGTGCCAAAAGAAATGTCAAGGAGAGAGAGGTAAGGAGCACGGCAGACTTGCGTACAGAGTAAGAGATAGGAAGATAAAAAAAAGAAAAAAGGGAGGCCATCAAGACATCACGTTAGGGGGAACCAAAAATACACACACGTCGAGGGAAGATCCGAAGGGTATCAAAAGTGGGGGTACAGATTTTGCAACACGATGGGAAACAAAGAGTAAGAAGGCTGGAAATCAAAAAGCAAGGACAAACAGGACATCACACGAACGAGCGATCACAAAAGGATCAGATAGTTCGAGGGTGCGATACCGGTCTCTCCGGTTGATTTCCGAGCCTGCCACCATCGGCCACTGACATCGGATACCTCAAGGATCTCGTGCTTGCTGAAGCTGATTTCGTTGGCATCTTCGGGGTTGGCGTCGTATGAGTAAATGGCCTTCGCCCGGTAGGGGTACTCGGTCGGCTGGGGCACCTCAGCGCCATCCTGGGGAGCAGCGCCGCCAGAAGGAGCAGCGGCAGGAGCTGGGCTGGACCCTCCGAATCGCGGGGGTTGGGATGAGTTGCGCTCGGCGCCAGGAGCACCGCCGGGGTAGCCAGACACGGGGGAAGATGTCTCGAAACCGCTCAATTGAGCGGAGGTGTACATTTGGGGGGTGTTGCTGGTGGCCATGGTCTCGGGGCGAGCACCGAATGCGCTGGACATGGGGCGGCTACCGCGGTAGGAACCAGGCTGCTCCTTATTCAGGGCGAATGAGTCGATGAATCCGCGGTGCGATGCCTGAGGAGCAGAGCCGAAGTAGAAGATCCAGATGATCTAGCACAAAAATTAGCAAGTCTATTCTTCGTAGTTCAACAACCAGATACACTTACAATCACCATCGAAAGCAGAATGAAACCAGCACCCGCAGCCTGCAGGGCACCCTGGTTACCGTAGACCGTGTTGTTGGCGCTGAGCGAGGTCAGAACCAAGCCGCAGGCAAGATAACCCACAATCTAAAGAGTCAATCAGTATCCTAATTCTCATCCAATTCTGCTCATACGGGGTCAAAAGCATACCGCGACGCCATAGACGTTGCAAGTGTCGGTACCAAAAGTTATGATTATGCCGACAATCAGGCAGAACATGTAGCAGTTCGCCCACCAGGAATAATTGGGGTAGTCGGTCTGGATATCCGCGATGATGGAGGAGATGAAGGCAATCAGCCAGGCGAGGATGGAGATTGACAGAGTGGCGAGCGCGAACGGGTCGCCAAGGATGTTGCTTGGGCGGAAGTTGGCCATTGTGAAGGGTGGAATTGAAGATATTCGAATTCAAGGGGTGATGGAGAGGAGTGAAGTCTGTCGCAATGAAGCGGTAGGTAATGAAGGGATACGATATCGATGAGGGGCTCGATGGGGCCAGACAGGGTTATTCCACAGCAGGAAAGACGACGGATCGGAGGGGTGATGCGGAGGTGTAGCGGTATATATGATGTTTGCTTGTCGTCAAGCACTGAAATGATGTCCAATTCGACTGTGAAACAGGGTGTGTCCAATGTGGATGGTCGAGAATGACTAGAAGGCGCGCTTGTCAGAGTCAAGTCCAAGTCCAATGTTGTCAAGACGGTCGCGCCGGTCGCGTGGGGTCCAATCCGGTAAGAAAGGGCCAGACGATAGACGAGAAGGTCGAAAAGAGAAACGAGGGATCGAGATAGACGCGACGGGGGTGGAGGATAGATGAATTCGAGAAAGGTCTTGTGGGCGCTAAAAACCGGGTGGTGGTTTCGTACCTTTGAGACAAAGACGTGGGTTTGGACCGGAGACGGCGGGGAAACCAAAGTTAGGGGAGGGTTGAAACACAGAAAAAAAAAAAAGAGCTCCCGTTTGAGAGAGCGTGATAGAGATTGGAAGACAGACAGCACCAGGCTGAAGAAAGGAAGGTAGAAGGGTAGGACCGAACGAGTGAATGAGGGTGGATGGGAAGGAAGAAGCAGAAAGAAGGGGGAGAAAAAAGGGAAGGACTGAGGCTGTGGACGGGAAAAGGAGGACCAGGCCAGGCACGAATGCACGTTGACGACTGCCCCGAGAGACCAGCGACCAACGATTACAGTTGGAAAAAGACCAGGAACAGGCGTCACCCAACCAGTCGCAAGTCCCGAAAGTCCCGTCTGTTCGACAGGAAGGAAAAAAGTGGAGTTGGCCCCAAAACACACAGGCCCCCCTGGCGTCGAGACCACGGTGGATGGAAATCGCTGGATTGTGGAATCTGTGGGAAATTGACCCGCTCCACCACAGTCTGATAGCATGATGATTGTGTATCATTTGAAGATTTGTGGGTTTGACTTCATTTCGGTAAAAGATGAGATGGTTAGATAATAGGTCTAGACTCTGATGGGGATTTCGTCTCCTTCATTTTGTAGTATATTGTGTGTACTGTGTAGGGTATCATCAAACTAAGAGAGCATCCTGGTCTCACAACACATATGTATGTAACAGGTAATACACACATACTCAACTAAAGTCCGACACTATCCAGCTTGAATAATACCAAAAAAAACCATTCGAATACAGCCTTGGCTTAATTAAACCACCCCCAGTTCCACTCCAGAGTAACGCGTCAGATATTTAGTGTCAACACACTGACGATAGTTCGATATAGGTACAGTATGTATGCCATAAAGTATGTATGAAATATCCCGACTTCATATCTATCTCATTTTATCTGTTACCATGTTGTCAATCAAAGATCCGATCATATGCAGCTATACACCAGCTCGTAAAAAATCATCGCCCCTGATCTATAAATATCGGGGCTAAAAATTTCTTAGTAACCGATGCCCGAGACTCCGCTTTTTTTCGTCGTTGCTGACGCGGGCTGCTCAGCTATCAGTGATCAATTACAGCATGATGTGAAGTGGCTACAAGTTGAGATATTGTTTCTGGTTTTACAGATATACGGACTAGAATTTCCTTAAGAATAACTATTCTAACACGCTGAAATCTATGTCATGATCACAAGCGAGGCATCTGCAAAAAGGGGATCCTCGGGAATGGCGTCCAGGGGCCTTTGCTGAACCATAGATCTAGCTAAACTAATAACATGTGTGGGTTCAGTTATACATCTGCCTAGTTATTGTGCACTGTCACAATAACAACTCTCTTACATTGAAATAATACCATTTGATCATTGAAATCAATCAACTAAGTACTAAAGATCTAAACAAAAAACGTTCCCCTCTCCACGCCCCCACTCTTCCCCTCGATCCGATCGTATGGATATCATATGTACGGGTAACATCTTCGAATCTGCTCGTTGCCAACCAATCGCCCTATCTCTCTCTCTCTCTCTCCAAGCTTTCGTATTTCCCTGAAGGCGTTCCATCCCCCACCAAGCGAACCCGAAACACGAATGCCCAGCCCCCAGAACTCCGGCAGAGATCGGCACACACTGCGACGCGACACGATCCTGGATAATGACTCCCTTTTCCCTGCCACAGTATCGACAACAGAGGATACGAGAAACAAGCCACTAATTGCGCAGAAATCTATCCAGCCTCTTGAACTCGGTCTTCTATCTAAACAGGTTTCTTCACGTGTCCACCCCCAGAAATGGACCCCCTGTCGGCTCCCAAAGCCAGGATTCACGACGTGGAATCCGGGGTAGATGAGGTAGATGATCGTATCTCATCATCGCATTCCGACTAACCTCATTTTATAGGTTCTAAGGGATGAGGAATGACTGAGAGGAGAGGTATTCGGTTATCTAATGCCGAGTGCCTTGGTCTCAAGTCTAGCAATTGAAATCAAAGACCCGAGTTCCGGTGCAAACGGCCTTCTCGTACCTTGTCACCATATGAGCAATTGACAGATACCATATCCATTATCTTCTTATCATACACTTATGTCTCAATTGTATCATACAAAAACTCCCAAGCGCCTCAAAAAGCAACACCGAGGATATCATAAAAAAAACAAACATCAGCCTAGCAATCTCAACTGTATCTCCGCCCCCATCTACCATCAAATCCAAAACGCAAATGGCAATGCAATACAATGCATATTGCACTCAAATCTCATTCTCCCTCTTCGCCCTCAAAACCTCCCTCCTCCGTACCTCTCTCTCAACCCCCTCCAATCTCCCCTCCCACTCAGCCCAACACTCTCCACTCCCCACAACCCCAACCTCATACCACCGCTGCAGCACGCGTGCCGTGCGCACGCGTAGTTCCGACACGGCAGCTGCCTGCTCGGTCTGTGTCTGCGCGAGACGGTCTATCTGTGGCTGTAGCGCGATCAAAGCCGCCGAGGATGATGCGTCCGGGATCGGCAGGTCATTAAGGGATGTAAGTCGTGAGGCGGTTTCGGGGAAGGCGGTTGCGTAGGAGAGGACGATTGAGGAGAGGGTGCGGGGGGTGAGGTCTTCGGGGATGTCGTGGGGGGTGGGCGGGTTGAAGAGATCTGGGAAGCGGTCGTCTGGGGAAATTGGAGAATGGTCAATATGAATTCTTGGTTTTGTTTAGAGGTGTAGTTTTCAGGAATAGGAGAGATGTTGGCAGAGGACGTTAACGGGTTAACGGTACGCGATTGTACATACGTAGTTGGATCACATCGCGCACTGCGGGGACGTTCCGGCTCAATTTCTCCAATTCTCGCTCTAACCGGGCAAGTCGACGTGATACTGTTTCGTCGAGCGAGGCGGGCTTCTCTGGTGTTGATGGGACGCCGGTCCAGCCGGTGCCGCCGGTCAGGAGGTAGGAGAGACGGCGCAAACGCGCCTCGAGGAGCTCGATGGTCGCGCTAGCGACTGCTTCGCTTTCGAGAGACATTGTATGCGACACGGAATAATTCGAGGAAAAGTGAGTTTGAAAAGTGCAGTCTGTTTGTGATCGTAGGCTGTTGGTTTGACGGACAGCTCTCGGGTGGTGCAAACACAGCAAACGTGGGGACAATCTTATCGACTGAGAAGCATGGAAGTAAAATGGCAGGATTTACAAAGGATCAAGATTGCTTATAAAATGCTTTGATGAGATAACCATGCTTGTTTGGCCTAAATAGAGATATTTCATCGCTCCTCGGCATTGGCAGACAGCCCTATATGTACACATTAACCGCTGCTGATCTCTCCATGCCATTCGTTCATTCATCACTCATATGAGCCCGCATAGCTCAAGAGCCATTCGTATGCTCAACGTGGTCAGCCATTTCAGTATCACCTTCCACGTGCCACTCCGAATCATCATCCAGGGCATGAGAAATCCCCACGCCGTTAGTCCCGTTACTCGTGCCTAGGAGGATTGACCCTTTCCTCTCCTGCATTTCCTGTTCGCAATCACTGTCATTACCAAAATTCGAAACCTGATAGTCAAAGACGTTTACCTGCTGAGCGGGTTGCGGTGGCGGTGCCGGCTGCTGCTGATCGTTGGCATCGTTCATCTGGGCTGGATGCTGGTCGTTCTTTTCTGATGCGTTGGCGGCGCTTCGTTCACACTCGGCCGCAAAAGCCTCATTATCCTTATCCACGAAGCCCTAACTTATGGTTAGCCCGCTGCCCCCTGATCTTTGGCAACTTTGGGCCCATGAAAAGAGTTAGATGTCTTACCCGAAGTTGAGTAGGTGCTGCCTCTACTTGAGCATTGACGGCTGCGTCACTTGCATAGACAAGCAACACTGACCTCCACTCTTCGCGAGCCGCTCGGAGAACTTCAATCTCGCGCACCTTGCGGGCTGTGTACCCGATGACATCGCCATCTTGAGTGGCCGCAGAGTCGCCTTGCGCTTCCCGCTTTGCAGCCTGGCGTGTCTTCCCATCTTCGGTGGAATAGCTGATTCTCCACCACTGATCACCAGGACTTTGTTGGCCATCAATGTCCATTAAATCACCAGACCCGTTGGCTTCTGCCCGTTTCAGGACGTATGTAACATGGGGCTCCGTGCACACGCCCCGCAAGGTGTATCTGCGGAGAGGAGGCTCGCCAGGAGCTTCCGGTGCCTCGGTGAGCATTTTGGAGTAACTGCGCAAGGTCTCCATGGCGCTTTGCTTTCTAGCATCCAGATCTATAGCTCAAGGATTAGCAGATGGACTTCTGATCTCCTCGGTGACCCGGACAATACCTTTGAGTTTAGAGTCGATCCTGTCAGAAATTGCCAAAAGCTCCTTCGCAATTCGGTCAGCTTTCTCGGTCGATGTTTCTGTTTCTATTAAATCTGCGTCGTTTGCTTGGGTCGTTGATAGGGCCACTGAAGTCGCGGCTGCGGCCTTGGCAAGAAGCTCCTTGATCGTCAGGTTTCCTTTCACATTTTGAGGGGTAGTATAACGAGACATCAGTGCCTCCAATTGCTGAATCTCTTCCTGAACGCGCAACCTTTTAGTGCGGAGCTCACGTGCAAGCTCTCGACAGCTGCTCATGTAGCGGTCTGGGTAGAAGATGGCGGGCGCCTTGACATTCACGGACTTTCCGTTGTTATAGGAGTCGAGCTTCATGGTAATCACCTCACCCACATGCTCAAGCCAGACGTCATCAAGTTCCTCCCCAGGTCGATCACTCCAGATGGCGGTGTCTAAGAGATCGTAAAGGGTTTGGCCACTTTCCTGCTCGACAACGGGCTCAAATACAAAGAGTTCTCTCGAAATGGTGTCATCCCCTGCGTCAAAGGGAGATCGCTTGTAGGCGTGTGACATGAATGCTGTCGTCAGAGGGCTGTCTGGTGCGGCCCGGATTGCTGCTGCGTGCCAGGTTTCCAGAAATCTCGTGACGACTTCTTCTGAGTCCGAGGAAACTGAAGTAATGCTTCTAAGGTTGGCAAGGGCATCACCGCTGCCAAATGCACGCTGTGTCGAGTCCAAGAACGCCATGAGTCGCTGTGATTCGTGAATGACGTCGTCCCAGTCATTGTCCCCATTGTGCTGATCATGAACCGTCACGATCTTTGGAAGATTGATCGTCTGTCCACTCCACCATTGTGGTTCTTGTCCATAGTCGAAGAGCATCTTATTCCGTAGCAAGAGTGCTTCGCGAGCCAGTGGAATCTCGTGTAGAATCGTGAGAAATCCACCTAGGTAAAGGTTGTCATTTGTTGGGCGAATGAATGCCGGCTCGCCCTCAACTCTTTTTCGGTCCTCAGGGTCAGGACTAAGCATGACTTCCTGGGAGGTTTCATTGAAAAGAGTCATCCCCCAAACCTCTTCGTCATAATGGTCGCGCGTGGCTTTTCCGAAGTGAGGTTGTTGGGTGCTGGTTGTTGTGACTCCAGACTCTTGCTGTCCAATTTCTTGATTGAGGGACATTGCGACCGCCTGTTGCAGCTCTTGCTCCTCACGCTCGGCCAGACTCAGTCCCGGTCCAGAAGGCGCGGGTTCTTTGTTCCGCCACAAATCAGCATCTTCCCCTCCATCTCAACATCGGCGTGCGCCTCACCTGCAGTATCCTGGGCAGCTTTCACGGCTGTCACAGATGTAGTCTCAAATCCGGCGGCTTCGGTCTGTTCATGCATATTCACTCGAGACGGAGGGCGGGAAGGGGGAGCTGTCGCGGGTACTCGGGGAGGATTGTGTTGCTGGCCGTATCCGAACGCTGTGAAAGACTGCATCAGTAACTGGTTGAGATGAAGTGAGACCGGGTTCCATACACGAAGTGTTGTTCTCATTGTAAAGACCGCTTGTCTAGTGCACAAAGCTTCAGTCAGCTTGTTGTCCCCGATACTCTAACCTAGGCGCTGCTGTTCGATTCACCTTTAGTGATGATCCCGTTGGATCTTCGAAATAGGCGTTGATAGCCTTTTGTGAGTCAAGATTGTTTGCCTGTTGAACGGTGACATTAGATCGAATTGGAAAGTAAATAGTGAGCAAGAAGTGAGAAAGCGGACCTTGAGGAAGCTGATAGCTTGCTCGCGCGTGGTGCTGGTGAAGCTGACGAAATTCGTGATCGCATCCTCGGGCGGTTCGGTGGCCATGATTACTGAATGAAAACCTGGCTAGAGGAACGGAGTTTAACGGTGTCACTGAACGCGCATGGCAACAAACTTGTGGACCGCAAATCGCAGATGAGTTGCATGTCGCATCGGAAGCTCTTCCCCACCACATGACGCCAAGCGCCGTTCCGCTTTCCCCTTCCCGCTTCTCGGGCCTTCTTCCTCCGTGATCCTCTATGGGGCTTCGACCTTTTGAAGATTCTCAATTTCATTCTCACCTGGAAGAGCACTGGATGTCATTATCTACTACGGAGCCTCGTCTAATTTCACCAACCTTTCGTTACTTATCAATTCATGGAGGCGAATTTCTATCCAGCGTGATAGACTCGATCAACTACAGTACGGAGTATTATAGGCTAACTAAGTTCTAGCCATGTAAAAACACCGCTCCTGTACTTAACATAGAACACTAATATTGAATACTGTCAAGCAAAAAGAGATAAAACTCGACCAGGGTAATCTCCATGTCATCAAACTTTCTTCCTTTCTTCCCATTCATCGAGAGTCCATCAACTTACTGGATTCGGTGCTGCTTTGTTCCATTGTACAACAATTTGTGCCCTCCGAAGACTGACTCTTGTTTGTCTTCATTGTCAGTGTCAACAATGATTTTATATCATTCAAATACCATAATGAGCCGCCATCGTTTTCCTTTGAGCACAAGACACAAAGCTTTCTGCCATTGCAAAACATAGGCTTTGTTCTGACTATTAGTGGAATGCAGTATTGGAACGCAGCTATAAAAACGAAGGCCTGCCTAGGACCCTTGATTTTCCACCTTCATCAGGACTACCCTACTGCCCATCATTACTTCAACAAATCATGTCCACTTCCCCCACCAGCACTCCAGAGATTCGCGAAATGGAGACTCAAATGGCTGAAGGGGATTTCCCACGCTCACAAATCCAAGAAGCGATCGCTAAGTCCCACAAGATCATGTCGGCCATATACTGGGATCTCAATGCTACGTGGCATATGGAACGGATCGTTGCCGCAGATCCATCTCTTGAGGAAGTAGAGCTTTACGATAAGCATTGTGCAGCGGTTCGAACCTTCTTAGATCATGCTGTATGCTACAAGTATGCTCACATTTTCCAACCAACAGAACCATTTCCAAATGTCAATCGGTGTCGCAATTGGCTTTTCAGGCATGGATGGGTCTTATTCACCATGTGCGCGCATTCTGAAGCCTTCCGAACCGCCTATCTCGAGGAAACGACTTTTGTCTGGGACGAGCTAAGAAAGCTAATCAGTGCTAACCAGCGTAGTATTGAAGTTTTTGTCCGATCTCGCAACATTGACTGGAGGGGACCGCTTCTTATCTACCTCCAATTTGATTTTCCAGACATGCTCGAAGCAGTCAGCCCAAAGCTGAATATAGGAACGGAGCATCCTCACCATATAGTCCAGACACTGGATGGTTTTCTCAAGCGCCCTATTCACGCCGGCAAGGCACAAACTAACATCAACGGGTTGGTATTCAAGCCTTCGCGGAAAGGGCAGAAGCATCCCTTATTGCGTCCCAAGAAGATGGGACCCTGTATGGCGTGCGTGTGCAGGAAGATTTGCGCATGCCACGAGCTTGGTGGGACATCTGATTGCCCGGATTGCAGATGCCCAAAGGTCTGCAAATGCGAAGAGCCAGAATTGGTAACCTGCTTCAACTGTGGCTCACAAAAAATCTGTGACTGCCGTATCGAGAGCATGGCTGGTGATTTGATCGAACTGGTAGAGTATCCTATCAAAGGAACCGGAGTCCGGGCTCTGAGCAACTTCAAGGAGGGCACTATCTTGGGTGAATATTTAGGTGAGGTTATTCCCATCACCAGGACTTGTAATGACGACATCTATTCTATGGCGCAGTCGGGCTTCCTTTCAATATGGAGCCAGGGAATGCTTGGCCCAAACCCACTCGCCCATACAACATCTGCACATCTTGGGAACTGGACCCGATTTATCAATCACCACTGTGAGTCAAATTGCTACTTCGAGTCGATCATGATTGGTGATAGAGTCACGACTATTGTTAAGGTTTGTCGGGATATTTCAATATTCGACGAGATCACAGTTCACTACGGTCCAGAATATTGGATATCGAGATATTGTCATTGTGGTAGTCAGAAATGCTGCCGGCCTCCCCCAAAGTCGATGTAATATGCCTCTCAAATTGGAACGTGTTTTTTGGACTTTCAGTTATGTCCTTGGTACGTATTTATTGTTGGCAATCAGTTCAGTTTTTCTTGAGATTTATTCACAAACAATAAAATATGCTAATTTATCTTTGAAATTAAAGCCTCTTCCAACAATCTCCTCTTCCAACAATCTCTCATTAGCATTCTAATCGAATTCAAACACTTCAGCAGGTCTCAAATGTCGGATTAGGAACGAAAGGTGTTCAGTAAAATTAAAATTAAAATTGTTTAATGATATAAATGATTAAATAACAGTGACTGGGCTCGAGGGAAGAGATCAGAGGGAAAAAAAAGATCAACCACCTAGCTGCCAACCTCGCTCGGGAAGCTCCAGTTCCTCCTCTCCTATCTCATACCGGCAAATCCCCAGCTCCCACTGAGACCTGCTCATTACCATTATAGCTACTGAGACAGAGCAGTAAATCTCACCTCCAGGTTACCCAAATCAAAGGTCGAAAGAACGTTGTTCAAGAAAGTAGCACCAAGGATATAATCGCCCCCACCATCCTGGACTTCGACAATACATTGGTTCGTAGCCGGATCAAGCAGAGGTCGCACAATGAGGTCGTCAGCGCTAACGGGGAAGTTCATGCCGCCCACAGTGATGGCGAGCTTGGGTGCAGTGGCATTGCAGGGAACTTCATAAAATCCGGTGGACGAGGCGATGGTAGCAGGTGGGTTGAACGAGCGGGCAATGGAAATGGCAATAGCTATTGGGAGAAGGAAAGGTTAGGTATGAGCGGACTTGGGTTGTGGTCTGGGATCTTACCACTCGGAAGCATGGCGAGAGTGGTAGCGGTATCCACAAAGCCGACGAAGGAGGGGAAGAGGAGGAGTTGGTATCGTTGGTTCCTCTAACGATAGCACCGTCGATGTTGATGTAGTAGTAGTCAGGTCGGCTGATAGAAGGCTTTGAGCGGGTATCCTTGCTCTGAAATGGAGAGAAATTATGCAGTTTGTCAGTGACACATCTCTTCTCAACGCAAACAGATGACAACTCACGGTGAGAATAGAAGCAGAGGCAGTTTTACCCGTCGTGTTGACAGGAGAGATACCACCAACGGAGAAGTATCCATTGGGGCCATCACGATCAGGAGCAAAGCTGAAGGTAGGCAAGCTCAAGTGCTGGTCAACCATCTTGTAGAAAACAGGCTCGTAGGTCATATAGTGAGTCGGGTTGTTCTTGGTTGGGTCGGAGCCAGGGAATTCGCTGGTCAAAGACGCGAAGGCCAATCCGAACAAGCCACTAACACCGAAGGTGAAGTATGCTTGGTCAACAACTGCTACCTGGGCATCCTTGACAGTAACGTTGGCAATGGTGATATCCTCCCAGCCGAATTTGCCCGTCAGAATTCCCGAACCGTAGGTGATATTGAAGTTCACATTCTCAATCTGACCACCAGTAAAGTTTCCCTTGAATTTAGGACCAGTCTGGCAATTGCTTTTCTGCGTGAAGAGTTAGAATCAACACTGATATGGTAAATGCGGTCGGGTGACTCTTACAGCTGTGGGAGCTCCAGTGCTATCAAGACATTGGAACCCTTCCTGGATGATCCAAGTATCACTCGGTCCGGTATCCAAGATCATGCTAAAGGTTTCATTACCCCATCCAACCTCAGCGACATAGTTGCCTGGCCCGGGTTGTTGATTGCCCCGAGACCCGCAGTGGCATTGCCAGGGGATTGGCGACGGCGACGGCCTGTGTGGTGACGCCGCACGCTGTTCACGGGCTTCAGGGGAATGACATTGTGTGCCACACGGTCCACACCGGGAGCCCTTCTCTTGAGAGACCGATTGGATTTCTCGGGGGTCTTAGCAGCAGCAGAAGAAGCCGCTAGTCCAAGCAAAAAAGCTGCAGTCCACGATCCAATCATGATGACGATTTGGAAGGTTCAAGTCTGACAGAGTAGGGTAAATACGTCAAAAACCTCAAGTCTGCTAAGGTTCTTACTATTATATGGTTCAATCAACCTTCTTTTTTTTCCTTTTTTTTTCTGGGGCCATTGTGAACCAGAGACGAAGGCGCAATATCCCGCAGCTGAAAGAGGGTTCTGAGTGAATGAACCTATCAACCCTCTACAAACATATCAAAGACTCAACAGTGGTACCTGGATCGTGTTAATCCTTTCTCTCCCGGTGATAGTGAGCCGAGCTAAGCCTGAACCCTGAGGAACTTGTAGATCGGTGGCGCTTAATTTCCGTACTGCCGAGTCCAGTTCCGCAGTTCATGCCCTAGCGGCAAATAGTTTGATAGATCAAAGGTCTGAGATTTGGATTGCTAATATTTTTGATTCTGTGATCCTCCTCTCACTCTCAAAGAAAGAAACGAAGAACTGCCGAGCTGAGGGGATCACTGGGTCAAGGTAAATTGGCATCCACACAGTCCCCATCTGTTCGGTCAAGTCGGAATGCTCGTGTTGCGACATGGCAAGTCTAGCGTCTCATAGATACGCTCTCAAATGAAATCCTGGAATTGCTCTTCAATCTTTCTTTAGTTCCAACTTCCCTCAGGACCAAAATCTCTTCGCCGAATTCCAGCAACATGGCGGCTGTAACCATACCGACGATGACGGAAATATTGCTGCGGCTAACGCCTTGGAAACCGATCCCGTCCTCTATATTTCTGAAATAATCAAGTCATAGTTTAGATTCATCTGCTGGCGCATCAGTCAAACCTGATACCGTTTCTAGTTGCACCTGATGAATACATTTGGTCCTTGCTCACTGTCAAGGGATATACATTCGTGTGAGGCCCCTAAGGTCTCAACACACTTGGTATGAACTTTGCTTGCACTTCGACAGGCAGAGCACTGCCTTTTTTCTGATTATACTTCAATTCCAAAATTTGCGTACTTTGTGTTCGTTTTCTTTCTTTAAAGACGACTTCCAGTATTCAGAATTCAAGTACTCTATTACCTTACAACCGGGCATTTGGCCTGCTTTGTTACTCAGAAGCAATTGAGCAGTGAATCCAGTAAGGTCAATATTAAAGTTTTTCCGTTACAGAGACAATATGTTAGAAAACTATACCTAGCTATATTCCAAGATTAAAATTAACAACAGAATTGGAACTTGCTTTGTCTAACTTCTCCGGAGAGTGTGAAACAACGCCAAGATAAATCACAGTATGGCTGGGTGTCAAAATTTCAAAAGATAGGACGCTCGTGGAAATAGTGCAGAAACAATAGTCTTCGATACCCCAATGACCGTCCCTAAGCGTCTAAGCGTTGGTCTGATGTGGCCATTCGCTAGCTAATACTGGAAATTTTGATTTTTCTGCTATTGAGGATACTCTTGTACTTTGAAAAGCTAGACAGTCCATATTTCATGACCGATCTAGGTGATTTCAGCTTTCTCTGATGATGTCGCACGATCTATATACCCATCAAGCCGCCCCATGTGATTCAACCCGTAGTACATCTTGATTTGCATACAATTGCTTATTGCCCACTGCAGCACAATCCAGGCAAGAATATTCTTCTACGTATACTAGGTCTCAGAATCCAACTTCCATTCTTTCCAATCGATTTGTTTGTTCTAGTTAGGTAGTCAGCATGTCCCTTGAAGAAAGGCTGCAGGAACCTCGGACCCACCCGACCCCGCAGCGCGGTTAGTGCGGGGAAGCTTCCAGCTACCCTTGCTGAGGTGACATTGGGCCCAAGACCACATATGTGCTGAGACACGATCATTCCAACATACCTGCTGCTAGATTTGCATCTCATATCCCATCAAGAGTCATGAAGCTTCGGTGATAGCAAATTAGCATTCAGATACCACCATCATGCGCCCTTGCGGAGGGATCGTCGCGGCACTTCGTGCCAGAGGCCGTCGTGTAACCTCTGGCACACCCCTTGGGAAGAACCCGCCATCAAAGGTTCCTCGGAGAAGCTTGTTAACAAACAGCTATGCTCAAGGACCGTCTACTGTGAGTCTCTTGCAAATTGAAGAGAAGGTCAGAGGCTAACAGTATTGCCGTATCTAGCCGCCATTGCTTGAGTCGACTGTCGGTGAACATTTTGCGAAGATCGTGGCCGAACATGGCGATAGAACTGCGTGAGTTCTTCACCAAGATCTTTTGGAGCTATCAAAACATTAACCAACATCTGACTAGTGTCGTCTCAAAACACCAGAACGATCGCGTATCCTATGCCTCCCTCGATGCCAGAAGCAACGCCCTTGCCCGCGGGTTAGAGTCTGTTGGGGTCAAAAAGGGCGATCGAGTCGGAGTTATGCTGGGAAATTCTATGGAATATGCGGTGGTATGCGAAGGACTGCTTCACTGTAGGAGAAACGATATTGACTGATATTAGGCAACATATGCTTTGTTCAAACTTGGGGCTATTCTTGTAAGTCGTAGGCCCAGTCATGGGAAGACTCATTCATTGACATATATATAGGTTCCGCTCAATCCCTCATTCAACGCTGCACAAGTGGTGTCTGCACTAAGTCACCTCCAGTCCAGCCACTTGATCATCAGTGCCGAGTCCAATCTCCCTCGCAAAGACCCTCGCAGCAATGTCCCGCTCCTTGAGCATCTGGTCGGCAATCTGGCATCTTCGAGATTGGAATCAGAATCGGTCCCCTCGCTCAAACAGATTGTTCTGGTTGACAACTCTGCTGGTCGGTTCGATGCATCTTCATATCGCAGTCTAACGCCATTCTCCTCAATAATGTCCCAGTTAGCAGCTGATGGCCGCCCATTACCTCCACAAAATCTCTCCCCCCGCGATATCGTCAACATCCAATTTACTTCTGGTACCACTGCAATGCCAAAGGCAGCCTGCTTAAGCCATCGCTCCATCTTGAACAATGGATCACAGATCGGGGATCGCATGCTTCTGACCCCGAATGATATCGTCTGCTGTCCGCCACCATTGTTTCACTGCTTTGGCTGTATCCTAGGGTACATGGCAACAGCAACTCACGGTTCATCAATTGTCTTCCCGTCTGAATCCTTCAATGCCCGTGCGGCACTCAAAGCAGTCCAAGAAGAGAGATGTACCGCACTCTATGGTGTTCCGACGATGTTCCTGGAGGAACTGAACCTCATCGAGACTGGAGAGATCTCGAGCGACGGTTTCCAATATTTACGGACCGGTATCGCGGCTGGAAGCAGTATCCCTGCAGAGCTGATGAAGAAGCTCCATAAGGTTCTGAACCTTACGGAACTAACCATTTGCTATGGCATGACTGAGACTAGCCCTGTCTCGGCGATGACGACTACTGATGATCCGATTGACAAGAGAATCAACACTGTGGGAAGACTTATGCCACATGTAGAGGCTAAAGTCGTGGACCCAGTAGACAAAAGCCACATTCTCCCCGTTGGGACGCGGGGTGAATTAGCTGTCAGTGGTTACCTACTCATGAAGGAGTATTGGGACGATCCCGAAAGGACAGCGGAAGTGATGATCGCCGATAGCGCTGGAAAGGTTTGGATGCATGTAAGTTTTGACTTGAGAAAACCCCTTCAGAGAACTGGCTAACATTCTCAGACCGGAGACGAAGCATCTATGTCGGAAGACGGCTACGTGACTATTACCGGTCGAATCAAGGACTTGATCATCCGTGGCGGTGAAAATATTCATCCATTGGAGATTGAAAATTGCCTGCTCGCGAATCCCGGCGTAGGCGATGTCTCTGTTGTTGGAGTTCCGGATGAGCGATATGGCGAGGTTGTTGCTGCTTTTGTGGTCGCTCGAGAGCAAGGTTCCAAGTCTATTACCACCGAAGAGATCCAGAACTGGGTGCGCGAAAAGCTAAGCAACCACCTAGGTAAGTTCTGATGCGTTAAGTAAGCAAGATGGCTGCTAACCTCCTTGATAGTTCCTAAATATGTCTTCTTCCTCGGACCGGCTGATTCCTTCCCCAAGACCGCAAGCGGCAAGATCCAGAAGTTCAAGCTCAAGGAACAGGCTATTAAACTTGTGGCGAGGGGCAAAGAAGCCATCGCAAATATTTAGAGTAAGGAAGTCCTCGAAATGTATATACGAATTGAACGAAGACCTCAGGCAAGCCTTGTAGTGAGATAGATACAGCATAGCCATTTGGTGTAAATGGTCTTTCCCTCATATGTCATTATGTCGATGAAGCTTTTCAAAGGATAGGATATTGGCCTCCGCGCCTTTTGAGGCCTAGAGGTATTCACACTAGGTTAGCAACGGAACCCGGGTTATTTCTAGCGCCTTCCTTGGAAGTCGAATGGGATATCATCGAAGTCACATATGATAGACACACACTGCCGCAAAAGCAAGCCCTTTGGCAGGGACTTGTCGGCATGCCTGGACTTCGGCGCGGCGAGCAGGAAAACCAAGCACAGGGTGCGAAGAGATTCACCAGTGCGCGGCCAAGACCATGAAGGACCTAAGTGTCAGCATGACACCGCGAGGGGAACCGACAAGGTCTCGAAACACGCTTTATCGCTATCTACAGTCCGCTGTCTTGGGAGGCGAGACAGGTTGGGCATAGCAGCATGCCGAGGAGATGCGCCAACCTCCTCCGGTGGTTTCAAGTTTTCAAGTATATAACAGCATTATGGCCAGTATTTCCCTTCAGAAATCTTGAATGCCGGTCTCGCCCTGCAGCTTGGCCTGAGCATCCTCACCCCGAGCATCACCAACCACCCACTCGGGTTCCTCCTCCTCAAAGTATTTATCTTGTTGTTCCGTCCAGTCATCGTATTCGTCATTTTCATCGACAGTCGTGTAGTCAAAGTCTGGGTCGTCGCCTCGCATGAATCGTAGTCCCATCTCCCACTGCCAAGCCTTCTCACCCTCCTCTTTGCTGGCCGGAATATCATCGCGATCCTCGGCCAATATCTCCCCGCTGGGACCACGCGTGTAGCTCAGCATGGCGTTGGGATCCGGGTGTGCAAGAGCCTCCATTTTGGCTTCGGACCGCATCAGATCCGTCTGCAGAACTCCGGAGAAGCCCTTGGCGCGCCCTTGTGCTTCTCTTTCTTGGGGGGTTTGGAATCGACGAATGAGGCGATCGTACAACAACGGATCTAAAAATCATCATTTCCACATCGGTTAGCATGTAAACCAATTCTCTGCTGTCAGCCCTGCACGATAGAATCCGTGTCAAAGAACCACAGAGACCAGGTGTTGAGCTTGTAGCAAGGAAAGAGCAAGCGGACCGGCTAGCTCAAGATCTGCCGTAAAGTATTCGGGATGCAGATCCAAGTACCGCTTCCGACGGTTCTTGACTTTGATTGAGACATTCTGCGCATCGCTGGATGCATCTTGGCTCGACTGGACTCTTGTACTCATGGGGAAATGTGGCATCTTGGAGTCGTTTCAGAGATGTGGGGATGAGGGGAAGTTGGGAACGCGGAAGTGGGCGGCAAAAGCGTTGATTTCTGCCACTCCGCAGCTCTTTTTTTCTCCCTCAACTTGATATGCTGTCGAACTGAGCTTTGTACGTCCATCATTCGCTTCAAATCCTGATGCAGGTTGCTTTTGGGCATTTTCGTCGATCTCTGTTCAAGAGATTGACTGCGGAACCCCGCTAATACCCCTTTTAGACGAACACGCCTCCTTGGCTGATATCTATTTGTACGGACCGTGACCCCAAGAACTTCCAAACACTTGGGAATCATGTCGGTCGAGGAATTTGTCGAGCGAATCGATGTCAAGCGGCTCTTCTCCGGAATTGCCTTGCTGTTCATCCTTGCGCTCTACTCCCCTGTGATGGTGCTGGTGCTCTCCCCTGTCTATGGTTCCCTGCCATCGCATCTCTTCCATAGCTATGGTGTCGTCATCTTCGCTGGCGCTGGCTGGTTCTTGAAAGATCAGATCCAAAGACGCATTGGTCGCCTCGCTGCCATCATTCTTCCGGTCCTGGCTTTCTGGACCCCTACCGTCCAGTACTTTGTCATGCAGCAGAGCTCTAAGCTTGGAAACCCGGCTGGTCCAGTCATCACTGAGTTGTTTGGCTACTATCCTCTTGTCATGCTCACCGTCGCCGTTGCTGGTAAGCAGATTCAGTATGCCTTGCATCTGGAGTCTCAGGGTGATCTCGTTGTTGAGCATGTGCCCCTGCTTGGCTCATACGTTGTCTACTCCTTTGGCGAGCACGTTGCCCGAGCAGTCCTGGCTCGTGCAATTGGCTTCACCATTGTCTTCTCTCGTGCTGGCTTGCAATTCCTGATTGCTGTGTTGTACGCTGCTGTGATCCCGTCGAAGATTCTTCTCCTGGCCATCCCCTCCTTGCTTTTCTCGGTGACCTCTGATGTCCACTTGGGTGGTATCAGTGGCGTGAACTCCGTTCTTCAGAAGGAGGGATACTCCCTCCTGGCACGCCAGGAGTCCTACACTGGATACATCTCGGTTCTCGAGAACCATCAGGATGGCTTCCGGGTGCTGCGATGTGACCACAGTCTCCTCGGTGGACAGTGGACCAAGGCTACTCCGGGTTATCACCCAGAGGTTGAGGACCCCATCTACGCAGTTTTTGCTATGCTTGAGGCTGTCCGACTGGTTGAACCTGAACACGGTGGCCCCCGTGTTGATGCTGATAGCAAGGCACTGGTGATGTAAGACTTGATGGTTCCTTACCGAACGTATACCATTTGAAGAATGACTGACAAACGATTCACAGTGGCCTTGGCATTGGTACCACACCAGCAGCTCTCATGAAGCATGGCATCGATACTACCGTTGTTGAAATTGACCCTGTGGTGCAACAGTTTGCAACCCAATACTTCAACTTTCCCTCAAACCATGTCGCCGCTATCGAAGATGCAACCACATTCGTCAAGCGTGCGCTGAAATCGCCATCTCCCCAGTACGACTATATTATCCACGATGTCTTCACGGGTGGCGCTGAACCCGCCGAGCTCTTTACTTGGGAGTTCTTGAAGGACCTGAGCTCCCTGCTCAGCGATGATGGTGTCATTGCTATTGTAAGACCCTTATCATACGCCTCTTAACGAGATTTAGATTTCTGACCGTCTACAGAACTATGCTGGAGATCTCAAGCTCTACCCCACGGGTCTGATTGCCCGTACCATCCAGGCCGTCTTCCCCTCATGCCGTATCTTCCGTGAATCACAGGTCGACAATAGTGACGAAACCCAAGACTTCACCAACATGGTCTTCTTCTGCAAGAAGAGCTCCAACACCCCTCTCCAGTTCCGGGATCCGATCCCCTCGGACTTCCTGGGCAGCAAGTCGCGTGAGAATTACCTTGTCCCGAAGTACGAGATTGATCCGGCCGTATTCTCCACTATTCCCAAGAAAGGAAAGGCTGTGTTGGTTGAGAAGCAAGTCGGACGGCTGCTCAAGTTCCGGGACCGGGGAGCCCTGGAGCACTGGGAGATTATGAGGAAGGTTATTCCCGATGCCGTGTGGGAGAACTGGTAAATGGCCGAATACCGAGTTTGAACACAAAAGAAGACTTGTATTATGTTATAATTATTTACTCATCTAGTTGAGATTTTCAATTCATGAAAGAAAGACATGTTGAACTAATTGCCTGCCCGGGCACCTTCCTTCGCGTATACAACTTCATTCAAGATCTGACACAATGAGCAACCAGAAGTGTCCTGCTGTTTGAAAGCACGATACACCAATACAGAAAGAGGGCCATTTATCTAGTGGCAGTTCTCCCCAACTTCCTCAGTCGATCTTGATTCTACAATCCTCCCCAGGAACAGACCTGGGTCGAGTCCAAGCTTCTTGAATTGCTTCATTATATACTCGCATCTAAGGTTGAGGCCATATCATGATTTCATGTCTAGATACGGCAGATTACTGTTAAGATCAGGAAGCTCTTTGTCATGGTCCTCTGCCTTCTGGGGCTTTGATGACTTACCTGTACTCTTGTCTTATATTATTCTATTTGACTCAAAGTATTGGCATCAAATGCCGATGTATTCCCTGCGACGGGAGATACTGATTTAATGAATTCCTGCGCGGAAAGTTCATCGGCGGCGCAACGTCACAAACGCAGTGCAGTGACCGAAGCTGCGTTGATCCGATTTGGAAAGGCAGCAAGTTCCAAGTGCTGGATGGAAGAACACTCGGGTTCCTGGCCTGGACGCTAGAGGCCCTTGTCTTGGACAAGAAAGCCAGTGACAAGCTCAGATAATTGTTCGAAAAGGGCACATCCAAACGAATGGCTCCACTTGAGCAAACTAGCAAGAGACAAGGGGAAATGAGCATGCAAAAAAAGCCTATGGAAACCGCTCCTCCAAGCTTCACACATTCAATCTTACTCCTTCAACCACTATTCTCAATCCTCACGCTCCTGGAACCAAGTCAAGCTTCTCAGCCAGGCCTGTCAGGTGAGCCAATCATGGGACAACGGGATACGCACTATTACCTCAGAGTCGTATCTAGACTGACTATTGAATCGCACAGAATCGTAAACGCACTGCTGCAGTTGCCTATCCTACGGCAGCCATCTTCACCACAAGAATACCTTCGATGCATGGACAGAGCAGTTTGAGACACTGCAGTGGATTGTTACCAGTGATATTCAAAGCATCGAAATAGCTCGCCACCACGAGCGCAGACCGACGAGGAGTTTGGATTCAAACCGACCGCAAATTGAAAACGAGAAATCCAGAAACGGTGCTACATGACAGGAAAGGAAAAGATACGCACTGGTACTTCTGGACCCCATGGAGCACAGGCCTTCTGTTCTGACTCTTGTTGGTGTTCAACTGTCCTTGCCTCTTGTCATCATGGTACTCTGATAAAGTAGGCAGAATGTCGAGTAGAAATTCTTCCTCGATTGTAGTCCCCGAGTCATACCGAAGCAGAATTCCGACCTTCGAAGAGCCACCCACTTTCCTAACGGATGAGGTCGACTACCCAATTTTCCATCAACGTGTTAAAGCCAGAAGGAAGCTTTAAGCCACTCCTCCATGTCAACGAGAATCTTGACACTGATCAATGAATTCATGAATCGATCTCCCGACTCAGTGTCAATTTCCACTCCTGTTCTTAGTGATCGCCTGGATGGTGGACCACCCTCACCACATGCGATAGACGATTTCCATTCAACAATCGTCTACAAAATATAGCTCCGAAATCCTTGCTCACTGTCCGCGGCTCTGCTATGTCGCTTTCAATATGTACCTGCGTCAGATAGCCTGTTGAATGGCAAACACTACTCTCAATCACACGACAATCGTGAGTCTCTGCCGACTTTCAGACACTATCGCACAAACCACAACATTCCCTGTGGAGATGTGCTTTGTTGACTGCGTCTGACAAGGAACGGCTCAAAACGAAAGGAATACCAGCACGCAGTGACCAATACTGCTGGGTCGTTGAGACGGAGACCTCGAGGAAGAAATTTGTGGTCAGTTACAAAAGGCTAATCTTGAACCCAGATTGTCATTGTTCAGGCGCATTTTGTGTTCGCTCATCTCAAGCCAGCCCGCCAAGAATTCCGGGGATACATCATAGACAACACTTTGTACGGACTTGACAAAGCAGACGTACGCCCGTCGGTCGGATTGAGTTACACAGTGACATTGCGTGGTCGTATATAAGGTCCAGAGTCATGTCAATCCGGGCTTTCCCTCTTCCACTAGACGAGAAGAGCAAGTTATTCGACAGCGACTCGATCCGATACGAGAAAAGAAATGGTCGTCTCAATCCGGGTTGCAGGTTATGCCGACTACATCACAGATGACCAATATCAAAACTACTTCCGACAGTATGTCGGACATCTGGCATTGCCATTGCCCCACGAGCAAAGCAAAGGCTTCGTACCGCCTGTCGCCACCATTCGATTTGTGGATTGGGAAACTCCCTTCGCCAACATGGATATATCGGAAGACCTGGAGGCAAGGATGGAAAACTACGGGAATATCCAGTCCACAGGCAAGGTTTACCTTGAGAGTTCCCACAACATTCACATTGAAGCCCAGTAGTTGGGTGCATAGCATAGAGAAAATCATACAAATAAACCCTCCAAAATCAGAAAGACAATTCATATTGGTATCATTATCTAACACCCCGCGAAAAGCCATAAGAAAGTCACAGTAGGGGAAAAAAGAAAATTATTCACAAGCCATCGGCAGATCAGAACCCAGACCGATGCGGGTAGTCTCGGCCTTCTGCCATATGTACGTACGCCCACAGCACTAAAATACAGTCCGAGGAGGGAAGGGGGAAGGCACCTCAAGCGGACGGGCTTCCGCGGGGACTGGAGCCGGGTTTCTTGACAAGGCCGGCGAAGAAGTTTGCCAGTGCTTGGTTGTGGGCTTTCTCGTCGCCGGGGTTTGTGGGGGTGCCTTCTTTCTTTTGGGCTCGAGTAGCTTCTCGGTCCTGGGGAGAGACATATTAGTAACAACACAAAGTTGATAGAGTATACACTTTGTGCTTACCTTTAGCTTCTTCAGCATATCCTCTGCGTCAACTTGGATACCACCCATGTTGAACTGCACAGGACCGATGTGCTCGTTGACTCTGCCCTCATCCTCCATGGGGGACATTTCCAGCTGTGGGGTAGGCTGGGTAGAACGTTCCTTGTCGTCATCAGCCCGAAGTTGCTCCAAAAGCTCAACTTGCTTAGCGAGGAAGCCCTGCATGTCTGAGGTCTCGATTTCGATCTTGTTTCCATTGGAAGTAGCAGGGTTTGAGATACTAGTATCACGTTTGGGGTCTTGAATCGTCTGCTCAAACACCAATACGGCACTGGTGCCGTCCTCGGCATTCTCGCTCTGCTGGCCGGCATCGTGGGACGGCACGAGAGGCTCGGGCGCATCTTGGATCTCAATTGACCAGGCTGTTGATACCCCTTCCATGTCGAAGCCTTCACGAATAATCCGAATCTTACCCCAGGAGTCCCAGTTGGCGGGCACCAGGATCTTATCCCGGTCGATGACATTATGTTTTAATGATTGTCGCTTCAAAAGAGAGTGTATGCCAAGGGAAGAGTGGATCAGACTCTGCAGAGAGTTGGCGAGGAAAGGCGTAGTATAAATGAGCGAAGCGCCGTCTGTCCATAGAGTTAGAAATATCTGGGAAAAAAGCAAAGACAAATTAGCTCGGACTCACGCTTCAGCAGAATTGTTCGCAGGAACTGGAGAATAAAATCGAACTGCTCTTCGTGCCACCCGTGGTCTTTCTCTAGCTTTTCGATCTTGTCCGCCTGTGAACATGGGTTAGCGACAGCGTTCTCGACATCATGAATATTGATTTAGGGCATGCATACTCCTTGACAAACTACACACATCGGAATGCCCAAACCCTCATCCCACTCACCGGGGCCCAAGGGTATTGTGACAGGGCCTCCGGAGTTTGACATCCCTCCCGCTGCTCCAGAGCTAGCATCCATGCCTCGCTTGTGGTCCCGCCACTCTGTCATTGTCTCCTCCATCACGATCTTGGTATCATCGTCGAGCGACACCAGAACAGAGCGGAGAAGGCGCACCCATTCTCTTAGACGCCGAATCCATGTCCATGGGTCCGACCAGTCCAGGAGAATGACGACAAGCGTTTCGGGCACAGATTGAGGAGTCAGGAGCGGTTTGAGGAGAGGAGCGAATGATGGAGAGGGTTCGGACAGGAGGTAGGCTGACACACGAGCCAGCGTATCTATGAAACATGAATGTTAGGTTTAGCGGAATTTGAAATGATATCGCAAAAGTCTGCGCACCTTCTTGGTCGGCATCAAGTACATCTCGGTATGTGTATCCCAAGGCAAACTGATTAGCGATTGGAGGCGTCTTTGCTTTCCGTTTCTCATTCACCAAGCCAGGATCCGCCGAGGTATCTGCAGAAAAGGTCTCTAGGAAGTCTCTCTGAGTTTCCGGGGTACCCCCTAAGGTCCAGGGATTAATTAGTATCACTCGTCGATAAAAGAAAAGCCGGGCGTGGGCCGGGCAAGAATGTTCCCCAACACGACGGGTCTCTGACGAACCTAGGATCAACAAGTTCTTCTCCGGCAAGCGCTTCCCATTAGCGACACCATCTAGCAACGACGACCAGATGTTCTTCTTTGAACCATCCTTGCTCGTAGGCCGACTATTTGTACCGGCCGCTTTGCTTCCTCGATTCGGACTGGACGACATCGTCTGGTCTAGTGCCACTATGCCTTAACAGGCATGCACCATTCCAAGCACCAGAGAAAAGTGTAGGAGTACTGGAGACCGCGGCGCGTAGAAATGCCGGATCGGAGGTCGTGGCGGAGGGGAGGTGAAGGCCAAAGGTGCGCGCGCGGTCAGGGGAATCTGGAGAAAGTGGACGGAGGTGGGCTGGAATACAGCTTGACCTGGACCACAACAGCGAGAAGATTCTTCAGCTGCTAAATGATAATAATGTCTCGGAGGTCGAACGACTTGCATCCAACGACGTCACGGAGGATGGACCAGGGGGGCTTGGGGTTGAGGTAAACAATTGGCGATTTTACGGTTCCGCAGATGCTCCGGGTGGAGCCCTTTTCTTCCCAGCTTTCTTTCTTCAAACCCGCCAACTTCACCTTCTCCCCCACAGCCCACCATGAACGCCATTCGTCAGACTCAGGCGCTCAATAAGCGTGAGCTTGAAAGTGCGGTGTAAGTCAAATCTCACACTGAACTGTTTCTCCTACGGCTTCAAAATTAACTCTGTCGCGCGTTGTCCAGACCACCCGAGGCATCATGGCATGCAGACTACCGCGACACCGCGTATATCTACATCGGCGGACTTCCACTCGATCTCTCGGAGGGTGATATTGTCACGATCTTCTCTCAATACGGGGAGCCAGTCTATATCAACCTGCTTCGCGACAAAGAAACGGGCAAGAGCCGAGGCTTTGCGTTCCTCAAATATGAGGACCAGCGCAGCACAGACCTTGCAGTCGATAATCTGGGTGGCGCAACAGTTTTAGGGCGTTTGTTGCGTGTGGATCACACACGGTACAAGCGGCGTGACGATGAGGAAGAAGGAGATAATGTTGCAAGGCTGATGGGCGATGCGACTATTACCGAGAGCAAAAAGGATGGGGATGATGGCCGAAGCGATCGCAGGAGAAGGCACAGCGACGCCGACAAAGAGGATCGTCGACCTATGCTCAAGGAGGAGAAGGAGCTTCAGGAACTGATTCTGAACCATGACGAGGAGGATCCGATGAAGGAATTCCTGATCGAGGAGAAGAAGGAAGAGGTTGCGCTCGCGCTTGCGAAATATCAGAGCAGCAAGAAGTCCTCCAGGCGACGGGACGACAGCAGAGAACGGTCGAGTCGGCACCATCGCCGCCATCGTTCTCGTTCTACAGAGCGCAGACACCGGGATGATCGGTCCCCAGGTAGAGAAAGGAAATCACGACGACGGTCCACAGATCGCGAGGAGAGGTCGAGAAAGGACCGTTCCACAGAACGGGAGGAACGTCCTCGTCGGGATCGGTCGACGGAAAGGGGAGAACGATCCAGGAGAGACCGATCAACTGAGCGATCTCGCTCACCGGGCTCCAAGAGACATCGCAGTGATCGAGACCGACATGATCGCCGCCGCTGAAAAGCCCACATACGCCATTTCTATGCTCGTCTATCTGCCTGCCGCAAACACTCAATATACACAGGGTGTTGTGATATACACAGGGTGTTGTGATATACACAGGGTGTTGTGTTATCTACAACAGCTGCTTGAATCATCGCAGTCCAGTACATCCAGCTCGCCAAGCTAAACCGCCATCCAAGCCTCAAGGCTTCCGACCTTGGTCCCAACTTCCTCCGTACGGGCCAAATTCATCCAAACTTGCGAAAGCTTCGGGTTTTTGGACTTGTTCAACCCCCAGATATCGTTTCCAACCATCGCGCATGCAATACCGCTTTCCGTCATCGCCATCCCGCAAAATGAACTTCTCCCAACGCCCATCCTGACCAGACCCAATCACCAAAAGGGTGTGGCTATCCATCCACCCAATGACGCCTTTAGGAGACCGGCCCATCGATGTACCCATGGGTGTCGCATACGGTGACCCTGGCGTAGCCTCATCCCCAATCTCAAAGTGTGCACTGGCAAATGAGTACACATCGGAGAATACTCGCGGCAGCAGAGGTAGTCTGCCTAAGATACCCCATTTCTGATTCGTCCCTTCCTCAGTTGCTGAACCAGGCGACTGGCTCCGATGGGGGAGATGAGGGTGGGGAATATCGAAGATGTGGAGGGTTGATTTGTCGGAAGTTACTGCTAGAAGGGTATTGGAGGGAGAGAATGAAAGAGAAAATATCACCGCATGGTCTACACCTCGACGCAGCTCTGCTAGCTTCGTGCAATTCGCTGTAGAGAACACACGAATCAAGGTTCCCTAGGAAATGTTAGCCAATGTAAAAAGTGTTCTAGCGCCAGCAGAATTCTCACAGCTTCGCTGGCTGTTGCAAGCACCTCCCCGTCAGGACTCAATGTCATCGCGCGTAGGGGAGAGCTATGCGCTGGTATGATGCTGATGTTGCCCGTCTCCAGCTCGATAACCTGCACCTGTCCCGGAGACCGGCCAGGGAAGGCCAGTATCTTCTGGCCCAGGCAAGCTAGTCCCAGCGGGTTATCCGAAGTCTCGAATACTGATAATTTCTGCGGTGGTGTGGAGAAAGCAAATACATGGACGCTGTTCAAGAGTGCGACCACGATTCTGGACTTGGAGAGGCGGACGCCGAGGACGGAGGTGCGGAATTCGAGGGTGATGGCGGGTTTTTGCTTTGCGTCATCCCAGATGACGAGCTAGAGGGGGTATATGATGAGTGCTTGTTCTGCGCATGTATTCCAAGGCCAAATGGGTGATTGCGCGTACTTTGTTCTGAGGAAATTTGGGGTTTCGTCCTCCGCCGACAATGGCGAGATAATTCGACTGGCCAAGCATTTCGACAAGACCGATGCCTGCATTGAAGTCTAAGTGCTCGAGGGTTATTTGTTAGTGGAAAATGATCTATCACCAACATTTAAAATCTTAAAGCTCACCTCGAGAAACCTTGAGCTCACAAGGATTGGCATTGAACACTGAACAATAACCCCTACTTAGCCTCGGCTCCATTGTTTGAAGCTCCTCGACAGCCCCAGCAACCTGCGCGCACAAAGCTTACCACAAAAGCCGGAGTTTAAGCCCACTGAGAAACAACTGCTGTCATTATTGAAGGCCGCCGACAGGGAATACGGCCCCATAGACTCGTCAATAACTTGGCGGGTGTTCATGGTTACAGACCATGACGTGGGTCACCAAGCTTGGACCGTGGGGTTGAGCCGGGGGTGTGGGATGTTGCAGGACGCAGTTAGATTGCTTCAAGATGAGAAGATCTGAGTCGGGTCTGGTCAGTCAGCAGTGATCAACTCCATGTATGTAGATGAAGTCGAGGTATGCTGGGGGAGTTGCGCAGATCAACCGGCATGTCGCGACGGGCAGATCTGCGATAAGAGAAAATGCGGGCGCGGGACCTCAGAGTGGAAGCTCTGCTGGGCTTGGATCCACGCTGGAGTGCCTGGATGCCTGAGGGATTAGGTAATCTCTCCACTGGTCAGGTGCGACCCACCCGAATATTAAGGAGCCCCTGAGTGCTGCTCATAGAGAACCTTCGTAGTTGGCCAAAAGAAAAGGATCGTAAATAATACCATTCACAAAATAGACTGGACATATATCTTCAATTCTTCAAATCGGAAGCTGTGATCAATCTAAAAAGCCATTGGCCCCGTTGTGGAGTTTCTCTTATGGTCTGGTCGCCAACCAAGCTGGAGAAGAGCAGCGTCCCGTGATTGGCCAGCGGCGGAGGGAAAGGGGGAAACACGAACTGTCTTTCCTCACATCCCCCCCCTACTATTACTACGACGACCACTACTTACTGCTACCTCCTCCGTCCAGATCGAATCTCAGGAGAGTTTCATCCTCACCTTCTCTTCTTTGCTTGATTCCTTGCTGCAAGGCAATTCGTTTTCTTCTGCATCCTCTCCCCTTTCCTTTCCTTACTTAGCCCACCATGTCGTCGGCTCTCAACGCGGTATGTTTTCCCCTTTTATTCGACTCCCCCAGCTCCTGCCCCATACTTCCCGGAAAAAAGTTCACCTGGGCTAACTCGACACCCCTTCGTGGGTAGATGAAGATTCGCCGCAAGAAGAATGTCAAGAAGGGAATTCAGTTCTGTTTGATGGTCTGCGGTGCCAGCGGAACTGGTACGCTCGACGATGCCACCCCGTGGTCTGGCCAATCGCCAACTAACCATCTTCCCAATCAGGTCGCACAACCTTCGTGAACACTCTCTGTGGAAAGCAGGTGCTGGAGGGCAAGGAGTCCGATGATGCAGAGCATGCCCACATCGAGGAGGGCGTCCGCATCAAGCCCGTCACTGTCGGTGAGTGGGAACCTCTCCGCCGCGCAGACAGTGTGTACCAATACTGACCTCTCCGGATCAAAACAGAGCTCGAGCTGGATGAGGAGGGCACTCGCATCTCCCTGACCATCGTTGATACCCCCGGATTCGGTGACCAGATTGACAACGAGGCGAGGCATGTTTACACTCCGCAATCCGCTCCATATTCTCGAATCCCTTCCCCGGCTAATACCCCCTCACAGCTTTGGCGAGATTGTCGGCTACCTCGAGCGCCAATACGATGACATTCTTGCAGAGGAGTCGCGCATTAAGCGTAACCCCCGTTTCAGGGACAACCGTGTGCACGTGTTGCTCTACTTCATCACACCTACCGGTCACGGTCTGCGCGAACTCGATATCGAATTGATGAAGCGCCTTTCCCCCGTGTCAACGTTATTCCCGTCATCGGCAAGGCCGACTCCCTCACCCCCGCAGAATTGGCCGAGTCCAAGAAGTTGATCATGGAGGACATTGAACACTACCGCATCCCCGTTTACAACTTCCCCTACGATATCGAGGAGGACGACGAGGACACCGTTGAGGAAAACGCCGAGCTTCGTGGACTGATGCCTTTCGCCATTGTTGGCTCCGAGGACTTTGTTGAGATTGATAACCGAAAAGTGCGCGCCCGACAGTACCCGTGGGGTGTGGTCGAGGTTGAGAACCCCCGGCACTCCGACTTCCTGGCCATCCGTAGCGCCCTGCTCCACAGCCACTTGGCTGATCTGAAGGAGATCACTCACGACTTCCTCTATGAGAACTACCGTACCGAGAAGCTCAGCAAGAGCGTGGACGGTATTACTTCGTACGTCTTTTCTGAGAACCACACTCTTCCTCATGTGATCATCAATACTAATCAATCAAACAGGGGCATCGACTCTTCTATGAACCCCGAGGACCTTGCCTCCCAGTCCGTCCGCCTCAAGGAGGAGCAGCTCCGCCGCGAGGAGGAGAAGCTGCGCGAGATCGAGCTCAAGGTGTCGCGCGAGATTGCCGAGAAGCGACAGGAGCTGTTGGCCCGCGAGAGCCAGCTCCGAGAGATCGAGGCTCGCATGGCCCGCGAGGCCAGCCAGAGCCAGGTCAGCGAGGCCACCAACGGGGAGGCTTAGTTTTGCTCTGTCGTCGATGCGGCTCATTCAGCGGGGCGCCGGTTCGCAATGTGATACCGTTTGTGCCAACTTATGGACTTCGTGGCACGACGTTGGTTTTTGTTTATGGGGATAATATTGACTGTTTATTCACGTTAATAGCTTTTTTTTTCTTCTGTTCTTGCTATTTCTTACCCGGTGTCTCTGCGGAGATGGACAAGATTCCCAACATAGAATGCAACCTTTTGGTGGTTCGACGACGGGCACCAGATTCTCCTTTTCTTTGCTCCGGTTGGAGGAAACAAGAGCGCATGCCAATTGATTGGGATGGAACAGATTGCTTTCAATTGCTGTCATCCATCTCAACTCTTCACCTGCAGCACCCGATGATGCTCTTATTCCTTCCCTCAATCTGTGGGACAGACATAAGAACGGTCCTTTTCCCTTATCTCCTTTTCCCTGTGTTTTAATCGTCCACTTTGTTCGGGGGTTTCTATTTTCCTGCATATCCTGTTTCTTATTCCCCTACCCCCGGTCCACTCCCTCCATATCTTGATCCTCTTCCCCGGGTTTTTCCTCTCTTGTTTCCCCCCTCCCTGGCACCTTGTCCAAAGTCCCGCAGCGCAGCAAGATTCCCTCTTCTCTTTTGTGTTTTGTGTTTTGGTCATGTCTTGTGTCTATCCTTTTTTTTCGCTGTCTTCCTAGCCCGATAGTAAATGAGGAAGAAAAAGTATCTTGGCCTCTTGTCCTTAAGCTATCTTAGTATATGAGTCCTGTAGTCTAAGGCTTTGTAGGATCTCCAACTGAATGTCGTTCAACAGTCCGTCTCTTCAAAATGACTGACCTACATACACTGAGCCAGTGGGCACTAGGGCATATTTGTGGGCTGCCTTTCAGCTCAACCTTTCTCTCATCCCAAAAGCACTTGGCAAGAACAAGAGCTACAAGCTCTGGGTGGGCAATCTTTCTCCCTCGTCATGAGACCAGTCATACTTGTCAGCAGACTGAATAGTTACAAGGTCTACTAATGAAAAAGCTCAACGCATTCCATATCAACGGCATCTATTTAGAAAAATATGAAAAATACCTCGAAAACAGTACAAGTAAATAATACCAGAAGCTAAAGAAGGGAAAAAAGATCCAAAAACATGGTCATCACTTCGCAGGCCATGCGGAGGCAACAAAACAAGAAGAAAAGAAGAGGGAGGGAGAGAAAGGGGAAAATAATAAAAAGTCCAATAAAAATTTTAAGGAGAAAGTAAGGCAACTCGAAAAAGATGCAGCGAGGAACGGGCGCGATGAGCAGGGAAAAAACAACCAAGCAGACACGCAAGAAGTGGTATTTTGCGCTCCATTGTACACAGGGATGGACAGAAACGAGATGCGATGGGGAGGAGAAGAGCCTTGGGACTGAGGTCTTCTAGGTCAGAGGAGGGAAGGAGACAGAAGTTGGGGGTGGGGAAGATGGCGAAAGGAAGGGGTGAAAGTCCAGGACATCGGAGATATCACTGGACGCTTTTATAACAATGAAGATGCTTGACTCGAGTGAGCCTTGCGGCTGGGGAGAAAGCCCAAGGGCCTCGCAGGACACACAACCGCTTTGTGTTCATCGCTGCTGCCATGAAAGGATGATCCAATCGCGATTACAAAGCACATGAGTGGAAAGACGGAGTGCCTGGAAGGCGACATGCCGCAGCCAATGGAGGCAGCAAGGCCCAGGCCCAGGTGAGTGTGGTTACACACTCAGCACAGACTAAACCTGCTGTGGCTTGTTCCAGAAATCCAAGCTAGCAACCACATCCTCGCCATTCTCATCTTCATAGGCATAGATGATCTCACGAGTAGAAGAATGCAGCATACGAATGTTCTTTCCAGTCATAATGTGAATGAGCTCGCTTGTCTCGACATGGCGAATCTCGACGAAGTTGGGCTCGAACGCCAGAATGTAAGGGTAGGACAGTGCAAACGCAGTCGGGTTACCCTCCCAAGAAATTCTCCAGTCTGGACGAGCACGCCAGCCGTTACGGTTGACGAAGAACGAGAAGTCACTGTAGTTCAACAGGAACTCTCCGTTCATACGCTCAATGTGGATGGGCTTGACGTTTTCCTTGCGGGCAACGAAATCGAGAGATGTATCAGCCTGGTCCAGGAGGGATTGCGTCTCGGTTGTTTCAAGACTGACAACCTCAAAGCCACGAGCGCAACCGACGCACAGCGTAGAGCGCAGGAAGTGAATCGAAGAAGATTCAGCCGGAATGTAGTATTCCTTGAATGGCTTAAGGGTATCCTGGCCACTCTGGAACATCTTGCTGACAGCAGACTTCTTCTTGCCCTTGGCCAAGTTGTCCATTGGCTCGTAAACCTTGATGGTACTCGACAACGCGGACGTTTTGACTGAGCATACCAGGTGACGGCCAAGACCAATACCTGCTTTGAAAAAGTTCGCATGGCCTTGAATCTTCTTCGGGCGCTTTGCCAGGTTATTTTGACCTTCTCCAATCTCGAGCGCATCCAGGGGGTAAGACTGGAGAGTCTTGTTGGCCAAGACTAGAAGCAATTGGTACTCCTCCAAGGTGTCGATTTGAGTGACCTGGCTGGCCTCTAGAACCTTCCTTGGTTTTGCGTTCTTGTCCTTGGGCCAGCGTTCTGACAGGTAAATGCCACTATCAGTTCCGTAGACCAACTTTCGTCCTCCATCTAGAATTTGTCAATGTCAGCAAATGAAAGAAAACTTAGAGTTGGGGCATAATGCATGACGAGATCAACGTACCAACTGGAACACAGCAATTGACACGGTTGATGGCCGAGAAAAAGTTCTCAGATAGAACTGTCTTATTGTAGAAGTTGCTGTTTCGTTCCCACAACTTTCGTTGTTGCTCTTCAACCATCTCAATGAACTTCCTTCGCTGGGTTGGAGATGTTGCATAAAGCGTCTGCTCGTAGCCGCCTTTTCCAAGATGGCGGAACGTGATCGGTAGCTGTCCGTCCTTGGTTGGTGGAGGGGCGGGAGCTACTTTGTTGGACAGAAGACTTGATGATGGCCGTTTAGCAATTCCCAGGCGAGGAATAACCTCATCCATCTGAGCAATGACCAAAAGCTCAAGAGGGATAGGCTTCTTGTACACACGGTATTCTTCTCGCTTATTCACAACCTTGATACGGACAAGTAGGACTGCGTGATCGAAAAGATAAGCAGTCACTTCCGAGCTTTCTCCAGTGGTCTTCTTGAAGGCCATTTTCGTGAGCATTTGGCGGTTCTCCTCGGTCAGCTTCAAGTCCACATAGTCACCGGGGTTGAACTTCAATGAATTGTTCAGCTGCACCAGGTTGAAGTGGTTCTCGGCCTTACCACTCTCGGTATTCACGCGCGAGAGGAAGCTCTTGATGAGTTTCACAGCCTTGGGAATGTCCTCCTTGTCGGGATTATCATCCGATGTGTTTTTGAGAACCGATTCCAGGAGCAATGGGTATCGAGCAAGACGAGTGGTAGGCTTGGTGAGGTACCCGTTCAGTTCAAGCTTGCGAGACTCCTTGAGACGCTCGGTATCCTCGACAAACTTGGCAAAGCCAGGGTTCGACCCCTTCTCCTTCTCAAACTCGAACTTTCCGTAAAGCTGATTGGCACCGTACTTGATGAAGGGATCAAAACGGGGCACATGCTGAAGGAAAATATCACCAACAGTCTTGACAACGTGGCTTTCCTTTTGACGAGCATTCAGAGCTTCGCAAAGGGCGCTATTGACCTTCAACACCTCCAAACAGTTTCCAAAAACAGTCCGAATGAACTTCTCTCGCCTGTGTTCGGGAATTGGAGAATGAGTATTGGTTCCGGCCGCGCGCAGTGGTCGCATCCAGAAATCTCGAAGGTATTCCAAGTCCTTGACGAAATCACGTTCGGTGTACATGATCTCGAAAATGATTTCCTGCCGTTTCTTTTCGTGGTCGTCCACATTCTCGGAAATTTCCTTCGGAACCATGTTGATCCACAGCTTTTGGTTATCATTGTCGTCGTCGTCATCAATGTGCAAGCTGCCCTTGGATCCCGAAGTTCTCAGAATCGGCTGGGGCTTCAGATTCAACCTGGCTTGCTGCTCCAAGCGCCGTGGACAGGCAATAGAGTAACAGAGACTGTCCCGAGTGCAGGTAGGCGAATAACATTCAGTCAGGAGAGTGAAAACACCATTGACTTCCGTACCGACTGCCCTATCTTCGGTCAGAGTCTCTTTGAATTGATAAACCTCTCCGGGAGCGTCTCGAAGGCGATGGTCGTAGGTGACATCATGGAAAAACTTCTGAGCATCCAATGCACGGCCCAAGAGGAGTGCCAGGTTACGATCATTAGTTCGAATGATATTCGCGATCAAGTCCACCGCATCGGTGCCCGAGAAAGAATTCTGGTATGACAAGCCGTTCTTCTGTCGCTCACCAAGCGAGATCTTCTCCCGAAACACATCGGCGACCAGGGATAACAGGGCTGGGTAAACCACAGGAACACGGCGCTGCGAGTCCCTGGAAACAAGGGTAGTTTGACCGTTAGAACTCTGTGTGGCCTGACTCTGCACACTCATTGTTCGATCCGGGGTAATAGTCGATGCCATAGACATTGTACGGGATCGGCTCGAAGCATCACTTGGAGGGCGGGGTCTACTAGCGTATGCATCGGCTACATTAGCTGGCATTGAGTCGAATCTTTGCGGCGGTGTCATTTGTTCATGGCCTGACGGGGGCCGTCGAGCTGGAATGGACCTTCCGGTGTTCATAACGTGTGCATGGTTGGCATCCGTCGCATATGAGGTCATGGACATGGCCCTCTCGTTAGTGTGTCTCTCAGGAACTGGCCGTCCAAGCTGGGTCTTCGTTGAAGCACCGGCGTAGTACGGATCACGAGCGGCCCTCGAGGATGTATGATTGAATGGAGTCGGCGGGGCAGGGGCGGCCTGGTAGGGTGGTCCACTCAGTTTGGCCATTGACCGTGATCTCGTCGCGTCGGAATTCAAGGCAGGAGGAGGCATTGGCCGGCCGGGATCGCGGGGGTTGGGGTACTGGGGCGGTAGACCAGATCTAGAGTCTAGGCGTTGGGGTTGGGGGTATGCTGCGAATCGTCCCGCTGCCCCTGGGTACTGTCGAGCCGGCGGCGGCTGCGAGGACATGGTCGCTGCCCCAGGGTTGTAGGCTTGATATTGACCAGGTGGCGGTGCCGGAGGGTATCCATTTGGCGGCGCGGACGGTGGGGGTCCGTAACCATTTGCAGGTGGCTGCCGTGTGGGTGGCGGTCGTTGAAATTGAGGGTGCGCCACATGCGAGGACATGGTATGAGCGCGACCCTGTGAGAACTGTGGGGTCTGCGATGTCATTGTCTGGGAGCGCCCCGGAGGAGGTGCGCTCCCGAAGATGTCGTTGTACGCAGCATCTCGTTGCACGGACGAGGCAGGGCCGTTGCCATAAGGCCGGTAATTCCGGTTACGCTGACCCCCCAAGTCTGCCATGTTCACAAGACCCGCGATCGACGATGAAGGGGATAGTCGACAGGTGGAGAAAATATTCCTGTGCTGAGGATCGGAAAGGACGAATGCAAAAAAAGGGGGGGGTATCCGAGTCGATCGTAGAGAACGTTCAGGGCGTCGCAATTGTTCTGTTCAAGATCCGATGGTGGGCAATGGAAAGAAAAGGGAAGAGCGAAAGTAGTTACCCCGCAGAGCGCAACGATCTGAAAAGAATGAGGAAGCGATTTCTGTGCAAACGTTCGTACTCAAAATGACATCGACTTCCCACCGATAGACACCCAGGAAGTTGGCGGGTTCAGAAGTCGTAACCGAAGAGCGCCAGGAGCCGTGAGCGCAACAGAGTCCGGGCTCCTTGCAAGTTCATACCCTCAGCATTCCTCACAGTGGAAGCTGTCAAGAAAAGGGAATGATTGCGAGAGGAAGGAGACGGACGTGGGAGGAGGACGAGGTGGTGATAGTGGTGGGGTGTGGGTGAATGTTGAAATGCAAGTAAGTGATAGCCTTGAGGGGGGAGGAGAGAGTGGAACGAGGATGAGGCGAGGTGACGGGCTGCCCGGTATTGTGGTAATCTGGTGACCAGGACCGGCAAATACCGCCTGATCCCCACTATAGAAGCTTTCAAACTAGTGGTACGGTATGGTCATCTCCCCGAGGGGAGGTTGCGGTAATACGCTACGGTGGGCCAAGTGATCCTCCTGCAACACTCCCAAGTAGAAGGCGGACCTGGCAGTAAATCACCTCCGCTAAGCTGCTCGACGCTGTCTTCAGTCTCGCCTCGACGAGCTCTCATCTCTTCTTCGCAACTCCCCTTCACTTTTCACACCACCTTCATCATGGCGGACAGTGACCTGGCGCCCAAGTTCGCCCCATTCTTCTCCTTCGTGAGTGGCCCGATAGAAGCTCCCGCTCAGTGATGGTCCCCAGGCTAACGAGCTCTTTGAATAGGCCGGCATTGCAGCTGCAGTGAGTCGATCAATACTTTCCGAAAGTTGTATCAAGCATACTGACAGCTTCCTTCCTCGAAGATGATCTTCGGGGGTACGTCATTCGACACCGTGGACGGATGATTTGGGGTCCTCGGGCATGCATAGCTGACAACTAACACCATTAACAGCTGGAGGAGCAGCTTATGGCACCGCGAAGTCGGGCATTGGTATCGCAGGTGTAGGCACTTTCAGGCCAGACCTGATTATGAAGGTACGATGAGAGAAGAGCAGCGCAACTGGTGCAAACCAGCGCACACGGTGGCCCGCATATGGGCGTGACGCACAGAGAGGCTAACCAGCTTGCTTCTACAGTCGCTCATCCCCGTCGTCATGTCCGGTATCATCGCGGTCTACGGTCTCGTTATTTCCGTCCTCATTGCTGGAGACGTCAACCCGGCTCAGCGACAGAGCTTGTACAAGTATGTTTGAGAAGCTGGAAAGGTTATCGTGTGCGGCCAGACAGAGATGGCTGACTCTTGGGGAAACAGGGGGTTCATGCACCTTGCGGCAGGTCTATCGGTTGGCCTTTCCGGTGTCGCCGCTGGCTATACTATCGGAGTTGTCGGTGATGCTGTAAGAATTCCGATTCTCTGTGCCTTGACGAGTTATACAGCTCTAATAACGATCTTAGGGTGTTCGGGCATACATGCAACAGTCACGCGTTTACGTCGGCATGATTTTGATTCTTATTTTCGGCGAAGTTCTGGGTCTCTACGGGTAAGTACTTGAGGACGTGATACTCAAACATACCTTGAAAGGCCGCAGGCTAACACGACAAATAGCTTGATTGTCGGCTTGATCTTGAACTCCAAGTCCTGAGTGCGTGGTGACTTCTCTCTCTTTATCTCTGCTTTATGCACTCGCTTTTTTCGGCGCATATCTCCTCGTCATTTTGAGCCCATCCTCTTCCCGCTTGATCGTCCCAACACGTTCCCGCGCCAAACGCGCCAGCGCAAGCTGTGTCTACAGAGAGTCAATCAAGATCCGGGCCAGCTGTCATTTGAATTGCATGGACTTTATTTTCCTTTGATGTTTTGGGGGTGTATTATACGGGGCCCTGTTCGCATATAGATTCCGGGTGAATGAAATCAGGCGTAGGCCAATGATGATTCCGATTTATCACCGTAATCCCCCTAATCCGTCCAGCCCGTTCAGCCCCGCCCCCATAAGATACGTCAGAGCTGGCAGTCCTTCCCCTTCGCAACTCTCTGCCCCGCGCTAAACAACCTACAACCCCCCATTCTGTCCGTTGGGGATTTTACCTGCAAATGTTTCTTTCTTCGATCTGAAACCCCTCGGAATCGAGCTGGGGTGCCGACGCGATTGGTGGCGCGCTAACCGGGTGGGCGCTGTATACACTTTTTTTTTCTGCTACACGCCGCAGCGAGAGACATGATCGCTTGCCCTACCAATGGCGACCGGAACTGTCGAACATTCGGCACCAAGTGAGGTGCAGAGCGGCTCTTCCGCTTCCAGAAGCCATAACATGCGCTCCAACGACATCCACGAGAAGGAGAAGCACCTCATCCACTCCATCCGTCGGTCTCCGCAACGATCTGGGAACCCCTTCCTCATTAACGAGCGCCGGGACGAGAAACAACTGTGCATATCCTCGAGGAGCTTACACGTGAACGATTTTGTGTTGATGAAGACGCTAGGAACCGGTAAGGATTTTCGCGCGTGGGTGTTTGCGCAAGCGCTCGTATCTGACAAGTTTCTATGTGTGATCTACAGGTACTTTCGCCCGAGTATGGCTTACACGACTGAAGGATGAGACGGACAAGAGCAAAGTGTACGCGCTGAAGATCTTGCGCAAGGCCGACGGTACGCATGAATTTTGGATCGCCGACCTGCATGTAGCCGAAGGCTAATCATCGCTTATCGCGGAACAGTGATCAAGCTGAAGCAAGTCGAACATGCGCGCAATGAGCGCAAAACCCTCGCGGCCGTTATCGGACATCCCTTTATAACAACATTGATTGCATCCTTTTCGGACGAGCAGAATCTCTATATGCTGGTATAGTTTGGCTGGGCGCCCTCGTGGACTTCTTTGTCTCGGATACCGGCAGGATGCTAACTAGTAGTAGTTGGACTTTTGCCCTGGAGGTGAGATCTTCACTTATCTCCGACGAGCACGACGCTTCAATGAAGAGACCTCGAGGTTTTACGCGGCGGAGATCACAATGACAATCGAGTATCTACACGATGTTCAAGGAGTAGCCTATCGTGATCTCAAACCCGAGAACATCCTCCTCGATGCCGACGGCCACATTAAACTCGTCGATTTTGGATTCGCAAAGCAGGTAGACAATCGCGAGACATACACCCTCTGCGGTACTCCCGAATACCTAGCTCCGGAAGTTATTCATAACAGCGGCCATGGTCTCGCTGTCGATTGGTGGGCGCTTGGTATTCTGATCTATGAATTCCTTGTCGGACAGCCCCCCCTTCTGGGACCAGAATCCCATGCGTATATATGAACAGATTGTCGAAGGCCGACTACGCTTCCCACCTAATATGCCTGCCGCCGCGCAGAACATTGTCTCACTGCTCTGCAAAACCAATCCCTCGGAACGTCTGGGCCATATTTCCGGCGGCTCAAATAGAGTCAAGTCTCATCCGTTCTTCCAGGATGTGGCTTGGGATGATCTGTTCTACCGACGTGTCAAAGGCCCGATCATTCCCCGGGTATCTCATCCAGCGGACACCGGTAACTTTGAGGAATATCCGGACTCCGACAACCGCCACCAGAACCTGTACACCGATGATCTGAAGAAGAAGTATGAGCCTCTTTTCAGTGATTTTTGAGAGGACGCCTGTCCTCCAGCATTCCAGTATGGTCTGTTTCAACAACCGCCTGCCCCCTTCGATGGGGCTCCCGAAGCCGAGAAATCGTTTCCGCTCTTCGTGCTAGGAGGGACTTGTCGCCTTTCGGTTTGTCCCTAGGCCTCACCCCCTGTCTTTTGATCTGAAGGTCATCACGACAGAGATATGGGTCAACTTACAACTTGCAACCTGTGTTCCGAGATCAGCATCCATACGTTAGCCCTGCCCACCAGCAGTCCCGTCGATCCGTCTTTCTTTGCTTCCGCTCACATGGCACCATTTGAGCTGGTTTCGTCGCAAGGCCTTCAACTCCGTCTTACCCTGAACCATAAATCTTCCCAAGGACCTCACTTCTTGCCATTAGTTTGAAGTGAGCGGTCTCATCCTCCGATAACCATCCCCTTACCTCCCACTCACTCATCTTCATTCCCAATCTTTTTTTTCAACTTCTCTCTGCATTTAGCGGAGGATGCATGCATTTGATGATTGATTGATTTCCATCACTTTGTAATGTATTTCAATGTGGCCATTTGTGTCATGCTTTGAAGCAGTCAGTACATATAACGGTTGGTGACTTGAACATGTCATTATCGCGAATTAGCTAGTATATACTTTCTATCATGAAAATAGCCCTTTATCTTCCTTAGTGTCACGTTTTATTTCCTGCTTTTGATCAAAATTTAGTACAGTAGACCTAGTAGGTAGTTGTCTAGAGACCAAAGAAACCATCTAATAGATATGCTTCCACCTCTTGGTCTCGGAAAGGTCTTTCTAAGGATCAATTCAATCGTCTTGCTTGACAGCTTAGGTATCATTTTAAGTCTATCATTCAACTTGTGACTGATAAGATGATTCTGAACATTGGTCATAGTTTCAAATTTACGAAACCCCACTGTATTTCGCAACTACATAGGACTTCTCCCTGGGCCCTTCCACTGCCAATGTTTAATTCTCCAGTACTTCTGACCATCAATGTTTCGAATTGAATTCCGGGACTGAATAGTCCACAAGGGCAAGTCAAGCCCCGTCTATCATTCTAATAAGCTAGCGCTGCTATCATCTAATAGTTGCAGGTGAAAAAAGGTGTATATCACAAGAAGGGAATTATGGGAATCGTATTTACTGGGTTTCGTGAACCATGGGTTGCCGATAGAGGTTTCATGACCGTATTCCAGAGCTCGGACCTTTTCGGACAGACATTGGGTCAAGGGAGTACCCAGTCAGGGGGTATTGAAAGCCGAAGACATCCAGGAACCAGGAACCGGAGTGTGGTGTGGGCGTCGATCAGCATGGCGGTGCGCATGGCGGGGAGGACCATGAGCTGAGGACAGGTGCCCAGCTAAAGGGAGTCGATGAGGAATGATCTCGCTCCCTTCGGTGGATTCCAGAGGAGAAATTTGTGCCTTGTTTTTCGTGCATAGGCAAAATGCAACTCAAGACCGCGGGTTGTGCGAAGTCTCGGGTTCAGATGTGAAGGAAATTGCGAGGTTCGAGTTGTTTCATAGGGAAGGATCCGTCTTCCAAGAGCCTGTATATAACAAATTCGTCATTATAAATTCATGGAAAATGGCTTGCAAGAAGATCAAGAGTAATCATACCGTCAAAGTTATGCTTCACAAAGGCCATGGGGTGGTCGGTATCCTCGGCACCCATCTGCCCAACACCCGGGCTGAAGCTAGTAATTGGCAAAACCACTGCATCTCCCATCTTCCGATGAGTAGTTTGCCCACTAAAGTCTTCGTGCGTTACATTTTTCTCCCCAGGCAAGATATGGAAGTAATCCGGGTTATTGAAGTAGCGGAAAATCGCATCCGTCCAAGCACCCGGTCCCGTAAACTCCATCACGGTCTTATCCATTTTGCCCACCTTGAGGATGCCAGCCCTTTTCATGCGGAGCGCCTCTTCCGTGATGTATGCAACCATGTCGCGCAGGATCGGGTGGCCCGGTTTCGAGACAATAGTCCACTGGCAGAATTGGATGCGGCGCGAATACCATTCGTGCCAGTCGGGACGGTCTGGGTCGGCCTCGATGCCAACAATAAAGCCCACCTTGGATCGGTCAATTTCGTCAGGCAGCCAGTACGGGGCTGGCTTGAGGGCAAGGGTGTCGATGTCACTGTAAATTCCGCCCCTTGCGAGCAGAACCAGATACCGGAAGAAATCAGCCTTCATGACTGCGAGTGGCAGGGCATCGTAGGCTTCAAAGACATCCGGGAGCGATCCGTACAAGTACTGGATCAGATGCTTTTGCGTATCATCCGAAATCACTTCATGTGTGAATCCCGGATGTAGTTCTGTCCAGCTGGCCTCGGCCGCACGAAGGCTGTCACCAAACCATATCGAAGATGGAGCATATTTCCATGTTTGCCAAATATACGCAGGGAATCTGCTTCGGAGGTCGTAGGGAAATTGGTATCGCAGGCGATCGCGTAGTGGCGCAGTCCCGTATGAGAGGATTTGTTGCTCCCTAGCTTTCGTCTTCTTCTTCGGATGCAACAGCCTATCTTGTTCCTCGTTAAATATCCCCTGTACAGGTTTGTACCCAGGTGCGCCGGGGACTTCGGAGGGTCGGCTCGAGCGGATGAGAAAGATGAAGGCGATGAGGCAGATAGCGGCGAGAAAGGACTTGCGGAACTTTGGCATGTTGGGCGGCGGGCAGCGACGGAGGCGCAATCGCTTGGAATGCCCCGAGACAATGTTGCGGCGGCCACGCGCACTGGTGAGACAAGATTACCACGCCTTTCAGGTACGTGTCAAGTTATATGCGCAAGCGCAAGCGCAAGCTCGGAGGGCAATCAGGAGATGTGGAAGTCGATCGGCTTTTCAGGCCAGAGTCGCGCGTTCTGGTGAAGGAAAGAAAGAATTAAGCTCAGATCGATCGGCGAACTGGCATTGCGATCTCGCAGGGCTGTCGCATATGCCCAATCCGTCAATTCACAATGCGACCTCGATGCCGGTCGGAGATCGGAGGTACGCAATTGTACCGCAAACAGAATATGAGGCGCACGGGTACAGGATAAAAGCCTCGGGCCAATCCTGTATCTGAGGGGGGATAATTCCCGACGGAGAAGAATTGAAATCCAAATCACGCTGACTGGCAGCGATTGATCGGGGCCTGCCTGCAGCTTTATGGTGGAAAAAGAAAAGGATTGCGTATGCTGCGACATTTGGGGCGCATCTACACCCGTTTAGGTGGAGCCACTCACGTGGCCAGGGATGTGCAATCACCTCCTCGGCCCTGTCAATCACCGTTTGATTCTTTCAGTTCCATCATTCAATGTTTATCCTACATACTTTTAGAATTGTACCAAGAATACCATTGTGCCTTCTCATGCCTCATTATTATGTGCCAGTTTCCCTCGAATAGGCAATCCAAGGCCCAGCTGCAATTGCACTCAAGCTTAGTCCTTCGTACAGTACAGTTTGTACTCGATTTGATTGCCTGAGCAGGACATGCCTGCAATAGCGACTGTATTAATGTGACATCTGCCTTGGCGATCTCGAAGCGAACGTTTGAACCAGCGCCTCCTGCAGATCTAGCTCGCTTTCCGGATAGCTGCTTCGTCACTGCTTATTAGCTTCCCCCCTTGACAAGGGTACGATCGGCTCTCTCAACGAGATTCGAGACCATTCCCCCGCTATATACTCCGGACTCCGTGCAGTATTTACTGTAGGCGTCTTTTGGCAGAGGCCATCATGTCATTTTTACACTCTCGTTTGTTGCGTTGTTAGTTCATTATTGGGCATGACCTTGGTTGCCTAGTATTACTTGGTAGTATTAACTGTGTGGTTGATCCTTGTTCGCTTCAACGCAGGATGTAAATACCTGGCACATTTATAGGGGAAGCATTCCGGTGTCGATTGATGTGACAAAGTGGCCAGCTCTGTATTGACCTGATATGATGCACATAGTTAGTATTATTGCATACTATCCTCAGTTGTCATGTATCGGAGGCTCCCAGAGAGGCTCAACGTGCTCATCAGCCAAGAGTTTGCCAAGACAGCCAAGCTCCACCGAGCTCATGGAAACGATTCTTACACCTTCGTCTGTCAAGGCGCAGAGGTATAATCATTATCGGAAATCCATAATCACTTCAACCGAGGAAATCATGATCGATTAACTCTATAGCGCCGATAGACAAGTCTGCGCATGTTCTGTGCCCTTTCTCCTTGCCCAAACATTTCCCATCAAGTTCTGCGTGTGGGAAGTACTTGAGATACTTGCAGAACAAGCTAAGTAGGCTACACAAGGTAGACTGAAATTAGTGCTACTGGCATCCTTGGTGGACCTAGTTAGGTTGTTATGAATGGAGATAACCCCGGCCCTGCATGAGAAATATATATTCTGGAGAGTAGGGCTTTGCTCGGCTCCGGGGAGAAGCCATGTCTTCTTTGACATTTCGACTATCAGCAATTTACAGCCCTACTAGCTGTGCACGAGTTTCCCTCACGAGTTTATTCCATGAGCTGGGCTTATTCATCTTAATTTTAAGTGTGACAGCAACTTGGGAGGATTACACTGTGTCATTGACCAGCACGCATAGCTGACAAGGTGGGTCTCAACATAGTTATAGTTATGTACTTTGTACAGTACACGAAAAGCTAATGCAGTCCTTTTCAAAAATACTTGAGGAATGTCCAATAAGACCAAGTTTCCCTAGAGAATACTGTTCTGCATGTTGCGTGCCATGGACAGAAATTGAAGCAAGACTAGGACAATCTCGGAGTAGTGTGTGACTGAGAGGCCAAAAGTCGATTCTAGAACTTCATCTGCCATGCAAGTTTGTTCAAGTTTCCATCTTTACCGACCTGTACACTCGTTGGTGAAGAACTTTACTGTTCATTCACTCACGGACATTGTGAGTTATGTCTTTTGGTATATGGAATACGAATCCGTATGGTAGCCCGGATTCAGTATGTTTTCCGACTTTTAATCTTTTAATCGATCAAGGCGGGGGAATGTTGTCCACGTGGGTGGACCAGTTGGCTCGAGCCTTTCGAGGCTTTTTGGTGGCGGCGGAACTTGGCACTTGGCGTAAGTCTCGCCTTTTGTCCGTCCATCAATCACAATCCGAGAGCTACAAACAGCTAAGATTGAAACATCATGAATCTATATTCTCTGTCTGAATTACATCCTCCAAGAGTGATCCATGGAAGCACAATTGGAATGCGACCGAGACCCTATGCGATGTGAATCATGCTGCCTGGCCGATCCGACTTGCCCATGGCCATCCGTCGGGACGCCCCCACCGTCGTGAAACCTTGGCCAGACTCCCCACGCTACTGCCGAGACTCGGGATAAAGTCTGGAGGCGTTTTCGTATAGCCGATGAGCGCGGAGACATGATTTGGGGCGCTTGATTTCCCCGCAAACCATGTGTATCAACATGGCCCCAAGAAACTGTTGTTGTATCACCCTTTAGCGCTGAAATGCACCAGCGATGAGTGCACAGCCAGGCAGTCAAAAGCGGATCGACAGGAGAAAACGGGGTCCACCGCTAAACCCAAACCAGCAAGCAATTGGGGGGTCAGTCTGACAGTGTCTCGCTATCGATTGGCCCATCCCCCCTCGCTGGCCGCTTCTAAAAGCTTGGCCTGCGGGAGAGTCGATTCTCCCTCTGTGACTCTCCTGATGGCCATAGCCTCCTTGGGCTGAGAAGACAAGACGGGGGTCCGGATTTATAAAGGGCCTACGGATCGCCCCCCAAGCTGTGATGCACCAAGTCTTTCGTTACGGGATTGCCGGGGCTATTTGCGATGTGGCAAGTTAAAATCTTTAGGCGACAGAAATCTCTCAAGTCCATGATACACGGGTCCATGGTCTCATCGGAGCCGCTGGTTGTGTGATTTCTGTCTGAGCCAGACCACACAACGAAAGATCCCCTCTCAGAATGGATATTGGCTTAACTGATCTGATGGACTTCTCCGCTACTGGGGCTTCTCCATCCCAAAGTAACTAACTGGTTGCCTGACTGCCAGCCAATCGGTGGCGTGTCGGCTCTTTGGACCCCATTTGAGTTTCACATCGCATTTTCTTATTTTTTTCTCACCCGCGTACACTAGCCGCACGGTGGTGGCCCCCCCAATAGACTCCGTATAACTAAAAGGTAAAAGCCACCCCCATGGCCTCGTTTTGATTTATTTCGGCCCCCCAAGGATCTACCAAAAAAGCAGCATTCAGGTGGATGTGTGATGGATGGTCATTGGCACACCTCACAGACTTTCCCTAATTGACTCGGTGTGCAAAGCCTTGTCCATCTCACAGCCGCACGCTGACTCCCTGCCATTATTTTGCTTTATTTATCGTCCACCCGCCCGACTGAAGCCGAGGCTTAGCTCAGCCCAGAAAATAATTCTCGTCGATATTGCGAATGTGCCTGGAAGATCTCTCGGCGTTCTCTCAAGATGCTGGACTTCTTCGCATCTAGTCGTTCTAAGAGCGAGACGCCAAAGGCCACAGCATCAGCATCCGTTCAGTCCCTTTCCGGAAGTCAGCTTTCAGGCAGTGAGCCTCGATCGGAACAAGAACAGCCAGAAAATATTGAAAGTGGAAAGAAGAAAGGGCTTTTCTCTCGACTCATTGCGCGACCCTTCACAAGACGACGGATTATAATACTCGGCGGCCTTATCTTCTTGATCTTGGCTCTTCTGGTTCTTGTCATTACCCTGCCGATTGTCTTGACGAGAGCCCATAAACACAAGGACCCCGGCGATGTGTATAAGCTTTACCCGACTAAGCATGAGGACCCCAGTTATCGCATCGTGGAGAACAAGCCCGTATATGCGATTCATAATTTCCCAGATCCGGGACTCCTCAACCACAACGGCACTTGGTATGCCTATGGAACCAACCCGCACAAGCACGACCCGCAATCGATTCATATTCCCGTCGCCACGTCGACTGATTTTGTGAATTGGACGCTCCATGAGGGTTATGATGCGATGCCAAAGCTGGGGAATTGGGAGATGGCAGTCAATCATTGGGCACCAGATGTGATTGAGCGGGTAAGATCTGATTCATCATTTCTGAAAATTCGAGAAGCCAATCTCTGACATATTATCCAGGACGATGGGAAATTCGTTCTCTATTACTCAGGCCAAACGAACAATTTCAACAAACACCATTGCATCGGAGCAGCGGTCTCGAACGGCACAGATCCCTTGGGACCCTTTATCCCCCTCAATGAATCTATAGCCTGTCCTCACGAGTACGGTGGTGCCATTGATCCCTCGCCATTCAGAGATGCAGATGGCAAGCTCTATGTGGTCTACAAGGGCGACGGAAACAGCGTTGGCAGCGGCGGATGGTGCGGCAATAGCATCAAGCCGCTACGGCCTGTGCCTCTCATCCTCCAAGAGCTAGAAAGCGACGGTATTACCAAGGTTGGCGAGCCCGGGGTTATTCTCAACATCAACGACACCGATGGCCCGCTTATCGAAGCTCCCAATATCATCCGCCAAGACGACGGAACCTACTACCTCTTTTTCTCCTCACATTGCTTTACATCGCTGGGTTACAATGTGAAGTATGCCCACGCCAAATCAGTCAAGGGCCCCTACACCCGTGTTGATCGCCCGTTGCTACAGACGGAAGACTTTGGTCTTAAGGCTCCTGGTGGTGCGACCTTGTCGCACGATGGCACCAAGATTGTCTTCCACGCCAACTGCGATGGGTACCGGTGTATGTATGCCGGTGGTGTCGACATTCGATCTTCCAACCATACCATCATCATGGCGGCACTGGAAATCGTTGGTACCATTTCCTCGAACTCTACGAATACTACCACCACTTCTATCGCCGACAGCAACCAGTAGGCTGGTCAAGCCTCGACCCGCCGGTACACAGAGTGCGGCAACACCCGTCATTTATTCCTTCTTTTGCATTGCATCGAAGCGTTTTGAGCCTTCTGTTTGATATGTTTACTTGCATTGGACCATTTGATACCCGTGTGATAGTTTATAGATACTCCATTTAGGTTGGAAAGGCGTTATTAGCATTGTCTGAATAGAAAATATCTATCTCATAAACTCTTGTTTTAAATGACTACTATTTAACTGTACGGTCCAACAACAGAGGGAAAAAATACCATTTGCGGAGTAGAAAAGCATGGAAAATAAGGTCCGCGGGAAAGAGTAGTAATAACAGTGCCCCCAGCCAATCAGGAGAAGACCAGATGACGCCATGCCTCAATTGCAGCCTCAGGCAATCAATAACTTTCTCCGCCCATGTCATCAAGAAATATAATATAACCATCTTCGATAGCTGACAATTGCAACTACTTGTGGGTTTCTCCCCCTTCGCACAGCTTCATACAATGCGTTCACTCCAGGGTATCGCCCGCTCTGCGTCTCGCACGCTCAGAGCCACACAATGGCGAACCCACGAGCCAACATCTTTCCTCTCCGGCGCAAGTCGGCCGTTATCGGCGCATTCACGAGCACTGCATACCGCGCCCCCGCGCAAGTCCTCGGCCGCAACAGCGACATCGAAGGACTCGACAAACCCGGCTATGTCCTTCCCCTGCCTCGATGCCCAGGACGCAAAGTCAGAATTGCTTTCTGCGCGGTCCTTGCAGTCGGGACCCGAACCCTCGTATACGACCGGTCAGCACGAACGGTTCCACTGTGAAGACCCGCTGCTGCTTGACTGGGGCGGTGTGTTGCCGGAGTTTGATATTGCGTATGAGACGTGGGGTCAGTTGAATGGGGATAAGAGTAATGCGATTCTCTTGCATACGGGGTTGTCGGCGTCTAGTCATGCGCATAGCACGGCGTCGAATCCGAAGCCTGGTTGGTGGGAGAAGTTTATTGGACCTGGTCTACCTCTGGATACGGATAAGTACTTTGTCATTTGCACGAATGTGCTTGGTGGTTGCTATGGAAGTACGGGACCGTCCTCTGTGGACCCGTCGGATGGGCAGCGGTATGCAACTCGCTTTCCGATCTTGACACTGGATGACATGGTGCGCGCTCAGTTCCGTCTTTTGGATGGCCTGGGCATTCAAAAGCTGGCAGCTTCTGTCGGGTCGAGTATGGGCGGCATGCAGAGTTTGGCTGCGGGTGTCTTGTTCCCCGAGCGCGTGGGCAAGATCGTTAGTATCAGTGGCTGTGCCCGCAGTCACCCATACAGTATTGCGATGCGACACACGCAGCGCCAGGTGCTGATGATGGACCCGAAATGGGCGCGTGGTTTCTACTACGATGCCATCCCGCCACACTCGGGGATGAAGTTGGCCCGCGAAATCGCGACGGTCACGTACCGCAGTGGACCTGAGTGGGAAATGCGGTTTGGTCGTCGTCGTGCGGATCCTAGCAAGCAGCCTGCGCTGTGCCCGGATTTCCTTATCGAGACATACTTGGACCACGCCGGCGAGAAATTCTGCTTGGAGTATGATCCTAACAGTTTGCTATACGTTTCCAAGGCAATGGATCTCTTTGATCTTGGCCATGAGCACCAATCTCAAACCCGTCATCGTCGCGCAGAGTCCGAGTCTCGTATTGCGCGCGGCGATGTCTCGTCGGAGGTATCCGACCCTGCCTGCAGCTTGACCCTGCCCGACAAGCCATACGAGGAACAACCCGAAGCTAATGCCTCAGTTCCCCCCGCCGACCAATCAGTAACACCTACTGAACCTGAGGGCCCACCCCGCGACCTAATCATGGGCCTGTCCCCTCTGAAGAACCACCCCGTTCTAGTCATGGGCGTTGCCAGCGACATCCTCTTCCCCGCCTGGCAACAGCGTGAAATTGCCGAGACCCTCCGTGCAGCCGGCAACAAGACCGTCGAGCACATTGAACTCGGCGAGGATCTCTCGCTGTTCGGTCACGACACTTTCTTGCTGGATCTGAAGAACATTGGCGGTGCGTTGGGCCGCTTCTTGAAGTAAAAGGCTGAGGCTGCAGGGCAGGATCTTTGCGGATATGTTTGCAAATTGAGTCTATAGTCTATCTTGTGTTTTATTTCATGGCCATCTGTATATTGTTTCGCAGCGGGCGACGGTCAAAATTTGCATTTAGCTGGCGTTTTATATCTGAAATACCACTTTTTTTTTTCATATCTCAATTGGCCTCTCTTGGTATATCTCGCTACCGTTCACTGTATCTCCCCGGAAAGTGTAATCGTAGGTTGTAAATGTAAGGATGAACTCTCAAAAATGACTTTAAGTTTCGACTCATTGACTGGGCCAGCCAGAATTTGTCTATACACTCTATACACTTCCAAGTATATAGAGGACTAGATTCGAGAATCAGCATGTATGGAAAGCAGAACTGGCCCTCAGAAAAGCTCCCGATTGTGTATTCACCGGCAACCAGATAATGAGACGTTGAAAACATCCACCCAAGGGCGTCGGTTGCCTGCAGAATTGGCTTGGTATTCATCACCGGGCACGTAAGAAAGAGAGAAGGAGAATGAGCTAATGACTAAAGTAAGAGTAGTAAGGGAGGGGGGGGGGTTGATCGAAGTCATAAATTCATTGTTTTGGTCTGTCTTGTTGGTGGATTATTGACATGTTGACTTTTTGAATAGCTCCGGCCCTCGGATTGAAAACTACCTTTTTGTGTCACTCGTCACTGGTTTGCTCGACGCCGTTGCCTTAAAAGGTGTACAGACGGAGCGTATCATATACAGATCCTCGGAGTATGCGACAGAATATCTTCGTCATTGGGCCGGGCGGTCAAAAAGAAACGGGGGTCCTAGATACAAGATCGAGAGAAAAAGAAAAGAATAGCGAAAATGAAGTCCATTCTGGGGGTATGTTAGTATATACATAAAGGTCTGGCTGATCGGCTTGTCTCATCCAGATATCACGATCGAGACAAACAGCAGGGACAGGGGGTCAGTATGAAAGAATAATATTAGTCGAGGGTCTCTCAGATCTCTGTTCATTTTTCTCAGTCACCCACAACAGGTAACATGTCTCCTTCCACAAGCTGCAGCCAGGCCGCCGAGGGATGAAGTCCACAACCCAATCCAGAGAAACTGGACGTGTCGTGAGAAGCTCTTATGTGAGGGATATCGTCATTGAGACTGAAAGACACAATGAGTCAGTCTATCAGATCTGCCGGAATCAATTAGCCCCTGAAAAGCAGTTATCGTGATGGGAATCAAGGGCTCTTGCATAAACATACCTGCAGCGCCAACAGCGTGAGATGTAGGATACACTCCACACGCGGGCCGACGTGTCGTCGGTTTTGACGTTCGAAGACCGCGGCCTTCTCACGTGATAGCGTCTTTCGTGGTTCCACTGATGAACGCATGGCTTGCAGATGCGCATTGGCAATCCTTATAAGAGGTCGACGACACCAACGGCAGTTGTGAAAGGTAAGTTTGCTCTAATATTAATTTCATCCCTACGAAATGGTTTCCTCGGCCTCCAAATGGTGGCAAGCCCCCGACGACGCCGACCTGGACTACGGATTCGATTCTGACGACTTGGATGCTAGATTCGCCGAACCTGCGAGACTTCCCCACCGCCCACGCACCCGCGAAGAACTAGAGCAATTGGAAGCGCAAGCACAAGCGCAGGCACGGACTCGAGGGCAGGATACTGGGGAGAAAGGAGTGTTTGGAAATATGTCTTCTTGGCTTCACCGACAGGCCGGGTCGCAAAGTTCTCAGCTTGCGACTACGGCGGTGCTGTCTGGTGCTGCCGTTGCTGGTGCCATTTTTGGTTACCAGGCTTATAAGAGGAAGGAGGCTGTTCATGATTTGAAGGCTTCTATTCCGATACTGGATGATGAGCATCCTGCGACGAAGGTGAGCTCTACCGAGGCGGGTTTCTGAGCTCTAGGGTTTCTTCGGGCTTGGGCCGCGGAGCATGCTTTCGGGCAGAATGACTTACTGGAGTACAGCTCACACAATATGGGGTCGCGGACAATGGAGTTCCACTGAGCAAAGAAGATGAGCGCAGTGCTGCTCTGGCTCGTAGGGCGCAGCAGGGCGATTACGATGATGGTGTGCAGCGTCCTATACCTCGTTTTTGTGATTGAAGCTAACCAATTCGCATTGCAGACTTGATTCTTGAACAGCTTGCCCGGAACCGTGTGTTTCTCACAGACGAAGGCCTCGCGAAGCTTCGAGGTTCCTACATTGTTGTTGTCGGCTGCGGTGGTGTCGGGTCGCATGCCGCTGCATCTTTGGCTCGCTCCGGTGTATCCAAGATTCGCCTGATCGATTTTGATCAGGTTACATTGTCCTCACTGAACCGACATGCTCTCGCCACACTAGCCGATGTGGGAACTCCAAAGGTACACTGCATCAGGAGGCGCCTGGAGCAGATTGCGCCATGGGTGATGTTTGATTGCCGGAATGAGCTCTTCGGCAAGGAAGCTGCAGAGGACCTTCTCGGCCCATGGACTCTGACACATGAAGGAGAGGGCCGTCGGCCAGACTACGTGCTTGATTGCATTGATAACATCACGTCCAAGGTGGATCTGCTGCATTACTGCCATAAGAACTCTTTCCCTGTGATCTCATCCATGGGTGCTGGGTGCAAGTCAGACCCGACTCGCGTCGTCGTTGGGGATATCTCGACCAGCACCGATGACCCCCTTTGTCGCAGCACCCGGCGTCGATTGAAGATGCTGGGCGTTACTACCGGCATTCCGACTGTCTTCTCGACCGAAAAGACCGGACCGGGCAAGGCTAGCCTGCTCCCCCTCCCCGAGGATGAGTTCAACAAGGGCAAGGTAGGCGAGCTAAGCGTTCTTCCCGACTTCCGAGTCCGCATTCTCCCCGTATTGGGCACGATGCCTGCGGTCTTTGGCTACACCTTGGCCAACCACGTCATCTGCAGCGTGTCCGGTTACCCGATCGACTACAACACCGCCGGAAAGGGCCGCGACAAACTGTATGATTCAATTCTAGCTGCTCTGACAGGCTTCCTGGAGAAGCAGGTGCGCCAAGTCGGCGGTCAGGATCCCGTCGGTCTCCGTCTCCCCATCAGCAAGGAGGACATCCAATACATCGTGGAGGAGATTTACAGGGGCAAGAGCGTTGTGACCGGCCTTCCGAACCGACTCGTGCTGATTCCTTGGGAGGCGCCATCGCAAGGATTCGAGATGGATCTCACCTGGGAAAAGGATGGACAGAAGCTCTTCAGACTTGATGTGGCGGAATTGGTCTGCATGACGAAAGATGAGGCGACCCGTCACGAACGGGAGGTGCTTCGTGGTGGAAAGAAGGTTGAGGAATTATATGACCAGACGGTCCTGCAGCGGGTGAGCTTGCGGAAAAAGGAGACTGAAGAGTGGAAGAAGCAGGTCGAAGAGTACTTCCAAGTGCAATAGCTTCTGTATTATTTGAGATAACAAAATTAACGTCCTCGATGAGTTTGCATATTGACTGATATAGTAGTTTAAAATGTAGGCGTGTTGATGTTTTTCTCAATGTGGTCTCCTTTCGTCATTCTTGATTTGTGGCTTGTGGCTTAACCTTCTCCGCTTGGAACTCCGCTCAACCAAAAAAAAGGCGTCTGCCTGTTTGCCAAGCACTGCCACTTATCCTTGCCAAGCTCCCTCCGGTCGTGGGAACGCGGGCCTAATGACAACTCCGACAAGTGATTTCCCTCCCTAAATCCCCTACTCGGCTTCCATGTTTTGAGTGGCAATTGAATCTATCGCCACACGACCATGGCAACCTACGATTCCGACCACGAACTCGGCGACTCGTACTATCACGCGACCAATGAACCATCCTCATCCTCCTCCCGCATCGCCCGTATCTCCAGGCCCCTAATCGACTCCGTCCGCAACAACTGGCAATCCAGTCCAGCCTACCGCTCCCTCTCCTCCTCGCCTGATAATAACAAAAACTCCGGCTGCGTCCAGATCGCCCTATCCATCATCTCCGCCCCGCGCTTCCGCCGCTACGTCCTCGTATATCTCGTACTGTTCCTGCTCGGCTGGGCCGGGTGGGCGATGGTCCTATACCCTCGTCTCGAGGAGCGGGGAGCACTGCTGCGCGCACTGGATCCTGCGTCTAAAGCGGATGTTGGGGGGTGGTTTGGGAGTAACTCGCTTCCTCGATTCGATGACTTGACTCATATTCGTACCCTGGATCCGTCGCTGGTGCCTGTAGCTCGGACTGAGGGTGAGTCGAGGGGATCGAGGAGTGAGAAGCGTTTGGTCGTGGTCGGGGATGTGCATGGGTGTAAAGAAGAGTGTAGGTTCAATTGCTCGAATGGCTTGGGAAATGAACTGGATATTCTGACTTGTGCTCTCTTCGTTTAGTGGACCGATTGCTTAAAAAGATCGAATTCTCGACGACGGATGGAGACCATCTTATTTTCACGGGCGATATAATTAACAAGGGACCCGATAGTGCTGGAGTTGTGGATCTTGCCCGCGAGCTTGGAGCTTCGTGTGTGCGTGGTAATCACGAGGACCGTATTCTGCTTCTGCGACATGAGATGGTCACGATGAATACCCTTTTAACGGGCGATGAGAAGAACGTCAAGCTACACGAACCCTCGGAGAAGGAAGCTAAAGAACGTGCGCTGGCCCGCTCGCTGACCGATGAGCAAGCACGTTGGCTTGACGCTTGCCCGGTCATCTTGAATGTTGGCTTTATCCCGGGCATGGGCCAAGTAGTCGTTGTACATGCCGGCCTGGTTCCAGGCGTGGAGCTCGAAAGGCAGGATCCGTCGACGGTGATGACGATGCGAACCATGGACCTCGACACGCACGTTCCCAGCGAGTCGAGCGAAGGTATGAACTGGGCAAAGGTAAGCAGCTTCTTTTGTTGATTTACATTCCAGTGAACTAATGTTTCTTTAGATGTTTGATAAGCACCAGTCCATTCTCCTCTCGAGCCTCAAATCTTCACATGCAGACCCCCATTCGCAAGTAATGACCGTCATCTACGGCCACGATGCCAAAACTGGCCTCAAAATCCGGACATATACCAAGGGTCTCGATTCGGGTTGTGTGAAGGGCGGAAAATTGACCGCTCTGGTCATCGAGGGCGGTGGCAAGCAAAGCCTCGTGCAAGTAAGCTGCAAGCAAGACTACACCAAGGATAGTAAGGAGAAGAAGGACAAAAAGGACAAGAAGGATAAAAAGGCCAAGAAAGACAAAAACGACGATTGATCACTCGTACACCATTGCTGGTCAACGGTTCGGTGCATTGCATTTGGTGGCCTGGCGCTTTCAATTCAATTTAGGGTCTGTACATTAGCTGGATACACTCTCTGGGACATTGGGTCCGCCGCAATCTGCGGCTGTGTCATATATTCATATCGGAGTCGGTACTATCTCGGGTTCTTATTTTACTGATATAATTGCATTGCGCGAGCACGTGCTGTTGGAATTTGATTTCCTTTGTGGAAGCAAACAATTTTGAAATAGGTCCAACGCCTGATGATATGATTAATGCCTATTCCTGATAATGCTAAACATGCCCAAAAGCCCTCGATCTATCAAAACCCGCAAAAAGTTCCACGCTGCCGACAACAACACTCACGACCTTCAATTCAGTCTATACCGGGTAGTAAAAGTCTCCATCAATAGCCCACGTTGATGGCACCGAGAAATCCTCATACCACACACCACCCAATGCATTGATATGAACATACCCAAGCCGGAAGTACTCAGGCTGATTATTGTGCTGTCGCGACCAAGCAAAGTCCGGCACTGAATCACCATCCTTCGACTTAAAGCCTTGATATCGCATGACGTCGTTGACGATTACGCTTATACCGTCGACATGCGCGGGGATATTAGGGAATGAAAAGACAAGGTGGTGCCGGTCCTCGATGTTCGGTGGGTTCATAGGTGGTGGAATGGTGCCTAGACGGCCACCTTCGAGGAGGGAGGCAGGAGTTTGGAGGATAGAATCGAAGCCCCAGCGGGCGATGCCGTTGATGAACAGACCCAGCATTACACCCTGGAATAGGAGGCTGGGACGGGTTTGAAGCGTAGTACCTGGGATGAGGAGGAGTGCAAGGATGTAATGGTGGATACGGAGGTTCATGTGCGGTACTAAGACGAGCACAATGATGCCGATGAGCATGATGCCATAGAGGCGCAGGGTGAATACCAGACGGCCCTCTCGGCGGAAGCCGTGGGCCTGGATGAGGAAGGATACGATGAGAATGCCAATAATGATGATGAGGGCCGTGATGGCACCGGGTTGTTGTTGAAGATCGTGGGGTGTAAGACGAGAGATGGGGATTCGGTCGAAGGTGTCGCTGTTCAGAGCACCAACCCAGCAGCCTCCCAGCCACAGGATGGTTTTATCCGCGTGCGCTTCGAGATTTCCAAGTGTCTTTCGTACACAGAAGTAATATAACGCGAAGCCGACAAAGGCGCCGGGAAGAAATCGGCCCAGCCCGACTTGTAACAAGCCATAGAAGCTCCCCGAGCCAGGTGGGTCAGATGCCATGGCGACCTGGAACCACACGATAAAGAACGTAATGCTGTAAAATATCGGTGCTGAAGTGACGGTCATTGAAAATATCGCCGTGACAAACACGGTGAAAGCGAATAGCGACCAGCGAATATCAAAGCATTCTATCAACTTCGCCTCGCTGGATCCGGAAGACGACGCCTGCCGCGTCAAAACGAAGGACATTGGGAAAGACGGCCTGAACGGGATGCTCTCGATGCCATTCTTGGTGTAGTTCTCAAAGTTATCTCGCTCTCCACGACGATGCAGGATACCACAGCCACCCTTTGAGTCGCTGATCAGTCCAGCATGCAACGCTGACGCACAAATCGACGAGTCGCCGCGGTACAAGCCACTAACGCGACCATCCATCCGGAAGGGTTTACCTCCAATGACAAGTGGTCGATAATTATACGACTGGTTGCCGATATTGTACGGCTCCAGAAGAATGGCTGCAGAACAGCCTGCTGGGCAGCTGAAAGCGAACGATTGCTCATCAAATGGAAGACAAGAATCTCCATTTAAACCACAGTCCGTGGCATTGGTCCTGTTTTCTCACAATCAGCCTTGACCCGATCAGTTCAAGAACAGGATTTAGACCGTACCATAAACGATGGTGACACGACAACTTCACTGGTTTTCCATATCCCGAGATCTCCTGGCCCGCCACTGAGGCTTGCAGCGAAGCAAAAAACACGGCAATCCAGAAGATTATCCCACCAACAAGCAGAGCAATCTTCACACCCTTTCGCGGGGCCCATCGCTCAACCAGACGCGCTGGCGCAGCCTGCCACCGTGGAAACCAAGGCTTGATATGGTAAACATGCGGCGGGACTGGCCCGCGCAACCAAGTGTAGAAGCCGGCAAGGTTACAAGACAGCGACGGGTCGTTCCGATGCGCACTCTGTTCCTCGTAGTCAAAAAAGTCTGAATCCGAGTCATCCAGATCGCGATGTTCGTCTGGATGCCCGGCCGGCAATAACGGTACACTGCCCAGCTCTAGATCGCCATACTCGCCGCTGACTCGGGCTTGGGCTCGGGCCTGGGCTCGCCGGGCGCGTTCGGAGTCTTCTTCATCCTTGTAGCGCGGGAGACTCAAGTCCTCAAGAGAGAAAGTTGGGCTTGCCGGCTCGCCCGATGACGGAGAGGTGTTGGACTTGTGTTCATCGTTCACCCCCCTTTGTGAATGCATCTTTGCATGATGGGGAGGACTGAAAATTAAGGAGTTGCCATGCCAGCACGCAAGTCGACGTGGATGGTCTCCATTTTGCCAAGATGCTAAGTATGGAGCCCCCTGGCTCCCGTTTCAAGGGTCTTAGTCATCGTTCGGGATGGTGTGATCAACGTCATGGAATGATGAAGCCCAAGAGTAATCTATAGAGGACATGATTTCTAGCCAGGGCTATATACAAGATGGCTATAGATCGGAGGCTGAGTTGGCTTGGAACGGCTGCGATTCAGCCACAATCCTGATATGGACGGATCTGCCTACAGACTTAACCTGGAACGGACTTGAGGTTTATGTCATCCCGTAGGGGTCCGTCAAGGGTCTTTTACTATGAAAGGCGCACCCAGCTCACCGGTGCTTTCGCCCCAGCCCTCAATGCCATTATATGTGGTGATTCGTACAATGGTGGCGTCGAAGGTGGTGTATCGCCGTCCTCCAGAGAGATAATATACGCCGCCTGAGTAAGGCAAGTCCACTTAGAAGACATCGATTCGTTTGATCTGGAGTTCTAACATATTTTGTTTGTAAAGCTTGGAGAGATAAACAGGAAATAATGAAGAAATAAGGAGATATGGTGAGCGACTGAGAGGAGTTATCGTCAGAATTATACTTCAGAGTCATAGGTATTTTTCCCATATTGCAATAAGTACTGCAACATGTATCGGGAAAGCCATATCCATTGATTCCATTGACATTTGGGAACCTCTTGTAGTCATAGATAGGGATTGCGGGTCGCGGCAGTACCGATGAGAAAATTCAACGAGGAAAGCCACTGGACCGAGTACCATTGCTGCGGGGTAATAGTGGTAGTCCATAGGATCTCTGGAACCTAGTGTTTTGCCGCAACAACTCTCTCACTCTGGCTCTCGGCACTAAAGCCGAGACCAACATCGATCGGCACAACCGAGCCCATCCCCACGATTGCAAACCATCATGATATCATTGTTTACGTTAGTATCATTTAAAAGCAAACAGATCATAACCACGAATGAATAGCTATCTGTTCTAACCAATTTATAATCTATCTATCACCGTCAAACGCCCCAGTCACCAGCCGCCGCGCCTTTCGTCGAACCGACGACTACACCCCCGGCACGCCCAAATTAAAGCTTGTCGAGGAGAATCTACCGCTACCTCTCGCACCGACCTCGGTGTTGATAAAATTACACGCTATCGTTCTCAACTATAGAGACGCCAATATCGCCAACGGTGGAAACTCGTGGCCAGTTCTACCAAATGGTATCTCTGTAATGAGGCCGCTGGTGAGATTATCGCCGTGGGCGAGAAGGTGAAAGCCTTGGCTATTGGAGACATGGTCGGTCCCATTATTGATACGGAGTACATCTCCGTGCGAGAAGTGGGACAATCCTGGCTTGCTGCAGACGAGGATGGTGTTATGACAGACCATATTGTATTCGATGAGGCTGTCTTGTGTAAGCTTCCAGAATAGCTTGACTGGGTTAGTGCCGCAACGATTCCATGTGCAGGAGTTACCGTGTGGTCAGCATTGAAGGGTATGAGCATTGGGCAGACAGTGCTCATTCAAGTTAAGACATTTCTGGCTCTTCTCATCTACGGCGCATTGACCACTGACATATACACATGTGGAAGGCACCGGGGGTGTGAGTATGTTTGCGCTGAAACTTGCGCGAAACGCCGGACTGAGAGTTGTACTCAGCTCGTCGAGTGATAAGAAACTCCAGCAAATGAAAGAGAAGTTCTTGAGCCCGCCAATTCTAGCGGTCAATTACGCGAAGAACCCAGATTGGCATAATGAGGTTCTGGAGCTTACTGGTGGTATGGGTGTTGACATTGTTGTCGAAAATGGTGGAACTAGCTCCCTGGTCAAGAGCATGAAATGTACTCGGCGTGGTGGTATCGTCAGTCAAGTCGGGTATCTTGCAAAGCAGGATCCTATGGAGCTTGCCGAGTTGTGTCGACCATTATTGACCGGCCAATAATTCTGAGGTGAGTACTATAGAAGTTGGAAATTAATGATAGACATGCTAAGATGAGATATAGGGGTATCAATGCAGGGTCCAAGTATGATATGGAAGATTTTTGTGCTGCTTTGTCGGCTTGTCAGACATCGCTTGATGATAGTATTGACAAGGTCTTCCCGTTTGAGCAGGCGGAGCAGGCGGAGGAGGCAGTTCGATATGTTTGGGAAGGGAGGCAGATCGGAAAGGCTGTCCTTAAGCTTTAGAGCCTTTCTAGACAACCATGCGGAAAATCAGAGAGCTACGTCTCTACTGCTTCATACTACCGCCGATAATGATAGGACCGAAAGTACCACAGATGTCATTGCATTAATACTCAATTCAAAAGAGTGACGATCACTAAACACCAAACGCTCCAATAGATGTATCCACCAAGGGTATCAACGTAAGTCGTAAATCATCGGCCTCATGATCATGAGGAGATTGCGACGAGATTGCAAAGAAAGAAATCATTAAACGATCCGCATTTATTCGAGGATCCGCAGGGGTATGGTGTAAGGCAGTTCTTGGAAACCGATAGCGAGTCATAGTCCTCTTCACTCAAAAGGAACTGGAATCAGACATTACGTGTCTCGCTCCGATCACCGTTCTGTGTGCTAAGTTCAACTTAGACGGCAGGAGCTCCACGACGACCCCAGCGGCTGCGGCGAGTGCTGTTGAATATAAGTCAGCAATAGCACAGGCTAGAAATTAGATTGTATCGAGTAAATCACTTACGTTCCAACACCGTGATCCCGCACACGGTAGGTGAACCAGAGACCCTGTAAAAGAGAACTTTGTTAGCCTCTTTCATAGCCACAGCATATCACCTCATACATACCACAATAGCAGACGCAAGCCAGACAATAGCAGACAGGAAGCTAAACGCCTCGGCAGCCTTCCAGCGCCCACAAAAGCCATCACCTCCGAAGCGCCAGGACCAAATGCTCCCGCATGGCAAGTCGTGAAGGTAGTCGACCAGGATACCGAAAGCAGCGAACCAGGCAAAGGAAATCAGAATATCAACTAGAGCTCGAGTCAGTATTTTCATGGAGGTTATAAGTGTCATGGCCGAGGTACGTACGAGGCCAATTGAAGAAGCCCGAGGAGAAGGGTATCAACCAGATTAAGCCGAGGAGAATAGAGAGTCCGGCAATCACTTCGGTGTAAATCCAGCGGCCATCGGACCAGCCATCGATCTTGTCAAACGAGGCGAGGATGTGTCCGACAATACCTGCGACGACCTATAGAGCCACTGTTAGAGGTGCCTGATGCTCCCGGGAGACAAGAGAAGTCGGTGGGACATACAGCCGCAAAGGCAATCTCCGCGATGCGAAGCGGAATGGAAACGAGGCGCGAGACGACAGGCATGGTGAGTGAGTAGTGAATAGGAAAGCTGGGCTTTGTACTGTGGATACTCAAGCTGTTTGAAAGATCTGGCGAGCTACAAAAAAGAACTCAGGCGCAGTGTAGCGGGGACAACACGAGGTATATAAAGCACACAAAGTGGGCACGTTGCACGAGCAGGCAGATGCCGAGCTCATGGAGGTGCAGACCCGCATCGCAAGCAAGGGCCCAACTTCCAAAAAAAGCAGATAGGAGCCACAAAAACGCGCACAGCAAGCTTCTACGTAGTCGTCCACACGAGAATTGACCCAAAAACAAGACCCACTGGTCAGCGTAGAGTCCATCCCAGCAGCTGATGTCGTCAGATCATCCCCGGAGCAGTGTAGCGTGCACTCGGCATAGTGGGTTCGTCATTCAACGCCATGCATCATTACTGATGTATGGAGTACAGGGAATAGAGGCCCAATCTCTTTTTCTCTTTCTTACTAGTGAACTACTGGGGTCTGGCTTTGGTCCACGAAGATCGTCCCTCTCTCCCTTCGTTGGGTTGGCCGCCACTGATGCAGCTGTTTTTGTGGCTGAACTTCATCCAACCCGAGCAAGGAGCTGTCATGGTGCAGCACCTGTCAGAATCCGGCTCCCACGAGAGAAACCGGAGGGAAGTTAAGATGACTGGGGTGTGTTCCGTGCCGGGGAAAGGGACGTATCCCTGTTTTTTGGCCGGGCCACAAGCCTCAAGTGATGCGTTGGCCCATGTTGGCTGTAGGCGATTCGAGAATTCGAGTCGGGGGTAATCTCGCTTCGGACCAACCTAATAATGGCTCTTGATCCCGTGGACCGTTGCAGATCAAATATCATTGGTGTTGGCTAGGGTCCTTGTTTGACTTTGGGGTGGCCGTGCTCCACTCAGGGCGATCATTGCAGCCTAAAGGATGGTGCAGAAGTGCGCCCTTTGCTTGGGGACGTGGCGGTGTTAGCCCGCCTTTTGGTCGGTATATACTTCGTCATGGACATGCTGGAATTATGTGAATATGTCCTTGAAGCATGGGATCGGAGCAGCAGAAAATAGAGAACAGTGGCATTGTCAGAGCATGGAAATAACACCCTTGCCGGACCATTCGATTCATCAAGGTACCGGCAGCCATTCAGCCCTATGACGTGGGGCCGTGGCACGATGATGAAAGACCAGCCCCCAATTTCCCCCTAATTATTAATATGCACTAGCGTGACACCTTTGCATCATATCAATATCAATAAACTTTGTATACAACCGGATACTTCGGCATATGTCATCTCCCCCAAACAGCTTTGATTTAGCGCGTTAAGCTTAGGGAGTACAAGGTCGCAAATCAATCTATGGATGCGACTGGTTTGTAAAGCAGCTACCCTCCCGTCTACTGTATTCTACAGAAAGACTTGAATGCGTTGCATACATTAGGCTTATTAGACATCGGATTTCTTCATATGTTTCCCAAGGTACCTTAAAAATGTACATCGACCGAGTAAGATATCAGGATTTGCGTCTTCGGTGCTGTCTTCTGCATAAGAGAACTCGTCCTTGATACCCACTTTTGTTTTCTATTCTTATCTTTGCTCAGACGGTCCTCAAAAATGGACCTAAATTATAAGAGACGAATTTCCTTTCTAATTGCTAGTGATTATATTGCAACTGCACAATCGATACTAAAAATAAGGAAAGCCCTCCCCTCACTACACCACCACCGGGTATCATACAACTATCCCCCAAAACGAATTAAGGTAAAGTCCAAAGCGAAAGATATACACGCCAGAAAAAAAGTCGCACACATGTCAACCTCCCAGTAGCTCCTCCACAATTATCCGGTGTGGTTCAGCTCAGGTATGCTTCTTATCTTCCAGGAACCACGCCATCACGTTCTGGAACACCCCCTTGGCTCCCGTCTCGATGACATCTCCATGGCACGGAATCAGCCGATCAAAGTCCCACCCGTTGATACGCTTCATCGACTCGGTGAACGCCGGGCGGTCCTTAGAAGAGAGAATATACCACGCGAATCGTCGCTGCCCCGTCGCAGAACCATTAATCGACAACAACGGAAGCATCAACTTGGTCAAGAAGTTGAGCGGGTTACCACCCCCGGTCCGGGAGTACTGCTCATGGGCCGGCAAGTTGAAAAGCAGATCGGCCTCAATCACCGTGCGGGAAGGGCGATGCAAGAACACCAGTTCGCGCGATCCATGTCCATGAACGTACTCGGTGTCAAACTCAGCGTCGAACTCCTCCGATATCTTCTGCGTCTCATTTTTCTTGAAGACATGCTCGAATGTGGCATCGTGGTACTGCTTGCTTGCTTGGCGCTTCTCGTATAGGCCCTGCGGCGCGAGAATGGATGCTTGGGGATATGCCTCCTTCCATGTGCTGATGTGTAGATGGTGTTCGAGATCGGGGGCGGCGATGTACTTCACATTTCCGCCGAGAGAGTCTACTTTTGCGCGTACCTCCGGAGTGAGGCCGACGGGAGAGAAGACTGCGAGGGCACCCGTAGAGAGCTTGACTGCATTACGCAAGGGAAGATTGATTAGCTTCGCTACACAGCTGCAAGGGCTTCAGACTGCTCACCCAGTGTTCCTCGGCCGCCGAAATGAAAGATGCCAAAGCGCGCAAACGGCAAACTCATGGTGACGATATTGGACGTGACGTCGCGAATCACCATCGTCGCCGACGGGTTAGAGGGAAAAAGTTGCGGCATATTGAAGATCTTGCGCGTTGATCGGATGGTCTGCGTGAGCTCCTGGCGTTGGGGTGTCTCAGTTAGTGGCAGCTGGACACTTTGCGAAATGTGCAAGTGTGCGAGTGGTATATTTAGTCGTTTAAACTGCCGCTTGCTCGAGTTGATTGCTTTTAAATGCGCGATAGGGGCTTCTGTCAGAGAAGCGGCGATTGATCTGGGCGATAAATCGACAGCTTCCCGCCAATGACGTAATAATGTGTTGCAGCTTACTGAATGGGCCGCGGCCTCGGCCCACCTTGCACCTGTCAATTGCATAAGCATTTTAGGCCATCGAATCTGGGCCCACGAGCATTGAGCATTGCAGTTATGGATCAATACATAATTCTGTGTTATGAAGATTTAATGAATTTCGGAATGCATCGCATCGGAGAAAGGACTTAATTAGGGATATGTGATAGAAGACTTGACCCGTTCATGGATCCCTCTTCTGGCAACAATTTGGAATAGAATGTCAGTTTTAAGTACTAAAGATAACGAATCATATTCAGCTGTGTTGGCAAGATCAACCTTAGTAATGACATCAATTACGAATTTATGCTTCTTCTTTCCGTCAGACATCCAATTTATACTCCATCTCCTTCAATCGTTAGCGAGCGCCCTAGGCACCATGGCCAAGTCTTGTTGTTCCCATCACGTAGGGGATGTAACTCATATGTATCTAGCATAAACCTGGCCACTGTTACGTTGGCAGACAAATGATAAAGTTGGGTACAGCATTACAGATATCGATCTATTTATAGGCATAAAACAGTAGCACTGGCACCAGGGTATCTTCATAAACGCCAAGCAGAAACAACCAAATCACTCGGTCCGGAAACCGAGGCTCCTAGCCGTACCAGGTCTGACCGGTCCCCTCCCGGGTCTCCTCACGGTGGGGGATGATGCATTCCTTGATGTCAAATTCCTCCACGATATCGCGCCAGGTCTCAAAATCCAGGCTGAAGATGGCCTGGTACTTCTGAATGCGCTTCGCTTGCGCCTCATGTGGTGGGTACGGCACTGCGTGGTCTAAATAATCGTTAGAGGTGGGGAAGTAAATAGCTGAACAGCCTGGGGGTTACTCACAAAGAGTCGGAGTTCCACGATCAGACATGGAAACGCCAGCGTGGCCATCGCGGACCAGGAAGCTAACATAGAACAGGTTCTCAACGCTTTGACCGAATGATTCAGGATCAATGCAGAAGCGGAAAAGGCATACGCCTCCAGTCGGGGAAGTATGGTGCTCGTGCATCACTTCCAGCACCCTTGCCTCAGTAGGATCTGGCTCTTCGTTCAGAATGCTGTTAACCTGGTACTCGATGTCCTGAATGGTCTTGTTGAGTAATTGGTTGATCTGGCTACACATTGCTGTCAAGTTCAAATTCTCTTTCTGACCAAGATCCTCCTGTGCGAGGTCCTGGGGCTGAATAGCCTGTGTAGCATCGAACCGTTCACGTCCCGACCGCTGGATATTCTGTCGAGTACGCTTCTGGACTGACAGTGGGCCTAGCAAGAATCCGGAGACGGCGGGTCGAGAATTGTGACGAAGACAAGCCATGCGGCCCAGCCAGTCCCAGTTCATTGCGTCGCCGGAATCTCCCTCGTCACCGTCATTCGGGTCTCGTTGGGTTTGGCGGTAGCGTTGTCGTCGCTGAGCGCTCCCCTCATCGGCCAAATCGGGTCCACGGCGCATATATGAGATACATTTAGAAACGAACTCATCCACATCGATACCCGCTGAGGAATCTCCAAGCGCAAGCTGCGCGGTTTTCTTATGGGTGAGGTCGGCTGCGTTGACGAGGAGGCGCGAGTCAATGGTGGCGTCTGAGGTCTGCTTGACTTTTGCGAAAAGCCCGTTCGCCGTCTCGAGAGTTTTGAGGATGCCATCGTTTCCAGGCTGCATATACTCGGTGCGTGAGTCTGATGCGATGATGATCAGTACGAGCTGTTCCATAATAATTTCCTGCTCTAGGATATCTCACCATTAAAATCAGAGGTAAGATCTCTGTAGGTCTTTCGAACGCGTCTTCGCTCCTCTTCAGGTTGGTCAGGATCGTAGAAACGAACATCTTTCCGTTGCGACAGTCCTTGCGACTGGATATTTGATGTGCGATCAGTCAAGCGGCGACGCTTGGACTGATCATTTCGGGACGGCATCTGGGCAGTGGAACGCTTGTTGACGCTTCGTTGACGATTCTCTTTATCAGAGGATGAGTCTGGCGATGAAGGAGGGCCGGAGCTGTAGGTGGTTGCTTCGTCCAGCTGAGATTGCGCGAAGCGGGCCATTCTCAATGGGCACTACTTAGCGCCAGGTACAAATGACAAATGCGGAAATCGAACAAAGAAAAATAGTCAAACAAAGAGCGCAGATAAAAGTCTAGGATGCGCGAGAAGATTCTCTGAAAAGTAGGGAATTGAGCTAACAGAGCACACCGTATTTTTGATAGATAGAATTCCTGATGTGACGGCTCTCCCGTCGCGTCGCCATCGCGTATCTCACGTGGCCGTGTTCAAGAGTGGGACATTATCACCTGATCTTATCATCGATCACAAGATGCACACGTGATGATAGCTGACTAGTCCCCGCAGGAGCTCCCGAACCCCGAAGACTGCCCCCAAGTTCCACCTCGAGCTTCAATGTGTTGCTGAGGGGCTTACGAGGATGGAGGCATTCACCTTTGCGCTGTCCACTCAGGTGGACTTGCCTGTCTGCCTTAAGGTGTAAGTGACTACCCATCAAACTAAAGCTATGTTGTATCTAATAGTCCCAAAGTGGCTCGTTAGAGGGCAAACAAAAGCAGATTCCCTTCTCGCAACTGATCAAGAACCCGGAATCGCGATATCTTGGGTCCTCTCAAAATCCCGCTTCGGATCTTTTTGTGACCGCTCAGCTATGGTCCGACTCGAAGCCTCTGGGTGTGCCATTACAAACCGCTTACAGGGCCTTCAAAACTAGCCGAGTATGGAATGAATGGCTGCAGATGCCCATGTCGGTCAAGGACGCCCCACTCAATTCTCAACTGGCGATTACGGTCTGGGACCTTTCCCCGCTGGCGGGCGATGGGCCACAAGGACATGATATTCCTTTTGGTGGAACGACAATCTCGTTGTTTGACAATGAGGGCAAGCTTAGAATGGGACGGCAGAAGTGCAAGATCCATCGCCATAAAGCTGCAGATGGCTTTTCTTCAACTTCGACCCCATCTTCACCACCACCAAAGCGGCGAAAACACAACAATAGTACTCGTGACATTATGGGACTATCATCGGCCGAGGCAGAGCTAGAGCGGATCGAGGTCCTGATCAAAAAGCATGAGATGGGTGACATCACTCGCATTGATTGGATGGACCAAATGGTCTTCCGTCAACTGGAGAAGCTCAAAATGCAAGCAGAGGAGGCCGCTCGTAAAAGAGCTATTGCCCGGAAGACAGCAAAGCAACGGAGGGGCCGAGCTGGAGGTGATGAGGATGATAGTTCCGATGATGAGGAGCTGGACGATGAAAACTTTGTGCTTTACGTGGACTTCCCACGTTTTGATCACCCCATAGTTTGGGCCGATCATCAATACCCGCCTCCGCCAATCTCGTCCTATTCCCAAAACGTATCCAACCACCCGACCTCGACATTAAAACCTGTTCCAGAGGTTCGCTTCGGTCCCGGGATTGAAGGCGCTGATGGCGCAGGCGTTATCAGAATTTATGACCCTGAAGTGGGCCAAACCGGAAATCCGTGCGAAGACAAGCATCGAAGGTTAATTCGCAGCCATCGAACTGGATTCATGGATCGAGACCTCAGGCCGAACCCGAAGAATCGTGATGAACTGAATGTCATTATGTCGTACGAACCGACACAAGATCTCACAGCTGAAGAGAAAGACCTGGTTTGGAGGTTCAGGTACTATCTTACTCGGGAGAAGCGGGCATTGACCAAATTTGTGAAATCCGTCAATTGGCGTGATGAAGGCGAATCTAGACAAGCCGTGGAAATTTTGCCGAAGTGGACCGAGATCGACGTTGATGATGCTTTGGAGCTTCTCGGGCCCACATTTGACAACCAGGCCGTGCGCTCCTATGCCGTGGCGAGATTGCGCAAAGCTGATGACGAGGAACTTGATTTGTATCTCCTGCAATTGGTGCAGGCTTTGAAGTACGAAGAGAGCTCAGAAAGTGAATCAGAAGAGGCGACGCATGACTCCTCGCTGGCCAACTTCCTCATTACGCGTGCGGCCAACAACTTCAAACTTGGAAACTCTTTGCATTGGTACCTCATGGTTGAATGCGACGATGCCGGTCCAGGCACCTTGTCAAACCAGCGCAGACTCTTTGCTCGTGTTGAATACTACTTCATGGCGGAATTGGAAATGATTCACGCTGAGCATCGAAAGACCCTCCTCCGTCAAGGTGAACTGATTGCCGTTCTTTCAAAGATTGCCAAGGATGTCCGCTTCTCCAGGGACCCCCGACCGGTCAAGATTGAGAAGCTCAAGAAGGCTCTGCGTGACCCAAAGAACGAATTAATTCATATCGACCCGCCGCTGCCGCTGCCGCTAGACCCCGACGTCTCAATCATTGGTTGCTACCCTGACGATTCCAACGTTTTCAAGTCGACATTATCTCCATTAAACATCACATTCAAGACTAGTGATGGTAAACGATACCCCCTTCTGTTTAAGGTTGGCGATGATCTTCGCCAGGATCAGTTGGTCATCCAAATCATTATCCTGATGGATCGACTTCTGCAGAAAGAAAACCTGGACTTGAAATTGACGCCATATCGTATTTTGGCGACGAGTTCTACGGCTGGTGCCGTTCAATTCATTCCATCCATTTCTCTTTCCGCGGCGTCTGCCAAATACAAGTCAATTCTCGCCTATTTGAAAGAGCATAACCCAGATGACAACGAGCCTCTTGGCGTTCGAAAAGATGCCATGGACACTTACATCAAGTCTTGCGCTGGCTACTGTGTGATCACCTACCTGCTGGGCGTTGGTGACCGACATTTGGAGAACTTGCTTCTAGCGCCAGACGGCCACTTCTTCCATGCTGACTTTGGTTTCATTCTCGGCCGCGATCCTAAACCTTTTGCTCCCATGATGAAGCTCTGCAAGGAGATGGTTGAAGGAATGGGTGGTACAACTTCTCCACATTACCTGCAGTTCAAGCAGTATTGTTACACCGCTTATACGACGCTACGCAAGTCTGCAAACCTAATCCTGAACCTCTTCAGTTTGATGGTTGATGCCAATATTCCCGACATCCGGGTTGAGCCTGACAAGGCTGTCTTGAAAGTGAAAGAACGCTTCCACCTTGAAATGACCGAGGAGGAGGCCATTCGTCACTTTGAGCAGCTGATTGGCGATAGCGTCAATGCCATCTTTGGCGTGGTCATTGATCGCCTGCATGAGTTTGTGCAAGGTTGGAGGGCATGAGATACCCCTTGCGAGGGAGCTCGGGGATGTGATCAATGAGTGGTGAATAGAACTTGATTTTTCTATTTCAATGTTGGCTTAGAACCTTGGGCGTCTGGAGTTCGAGAAACCGGAAGCTATTTCGGAATAGATTTGACGCACAGCTATGGATGTACACAATATGATACCCGGTAACGAAACTTGCAAATTTGATTCTGTCAATTGGCATGGGACCATTTTCTTCTAAAAGCTTTCACTGGCACCGCATTGCCTCCAGGTGAATTCATTACCTCACACAACCAGAATCATTCATGAGACCTCCACGGAGGTCTACTCCATTAATATGCCGACAAAAAATCAGTGATCATCTATCACGGCCTAGCTCCTCATCAGGAGCCTCTCGTGCGTCAAGCTCCACCCATTCGTGATTTGCGTCGTTACTGGTAGCACCCCATATCCTCTGTTCACCAAGGTCTGCCTGAGAATGTCCGTGTGAAGCGCTTTCCCCAACAGCGAGCCCGCGATCATCACCACTATCATTGCCGCGGAACACACCATCAGGTGTTACATTTTCATCTCCACTCGAGGTCTCCTGAGTTGGAAATCCGCTTGATTTCTCAGCATCCTCGTCGTCCTCAGGTGTACCTTCGCGACAGGCCCAGGCATCGACAAAACGGAGGACTTCCCGGGGCCACCATTTCTTCATGACTAGAAGTCGGAATGGCACCAGGGCGATGATTAATACTGGGAATGTAGGAGCTCCAGGTGTGAGTGTTAGGATGAAGACCACGACAGTGATCACAATCTGGAGGATGGTGTAGAGGTGGACTGGAAGATAGGATGGGTTGTGAGATGGTGATTCCATGACGCTACGGGCTGCGGGGTCCTTGTGCAGTGACTGGGGCAGAGGTGGTAGCTCTGATGGGGGAGTTAGAAGGTAGAAAGTCCGGTACAATATAGGGCTATCAAATTGTCAGTGGGCTGATACAGTGTTGAAAATGATATGCCAGGCAAGACTTACTTGACGGACAGGCTCTGTTCCCCCATAAAAAGGAACAGGCCTGCAAGAACACTCGTCGGAGTCAAGCCAAGGACCTTCATAAATGGCGGACTGATGAACAAAAGAATAGCGCCGGAATGGAGAAAGGCCGACCAGCGTTGCTCATATACTTGCCGAACTTCTCGAGTCTCTACCTTCTCTTCCCCGTCCACTGTTATGGTCTTCTCTTCTTTGACCGTGTGCATCAGAGATTCAGAGTGCAAAGGGGCCTGTGGAAGGAGACCATTTGCGGGTGGGATGCCAAGAATACCGCAAATTGCCGTTGTTGTACCTAGCAGCACGATATCCCAAGCAAACCCGCCTGGCTTGCGAGTGCCATAGCGGTCAATAGTGCAGATGATTGAGCTGACTTCATGATCAAAGAAGAACAAAATGGTGATAATCAGACCGGGAATGATGGAGCCAAAAATCCACTGGATGGGCAATTTCCAGAATTCTACGAAGAAGGTTTCCCGGTCCGGAGATGTTGGTCGGAAGGAAGTGCTCACGGCCAGAGTCGATTTGTCCAAATTGGCCAATTCACCAACATGAGGCAACGCAATAAATATAATGATGGAGATTGCAGCAGCGTATTCAGTCAATCCCAGACGAACATACCGGTGGAACAGAGGGCGCCAGCTCTCCGCAGTGGAGAGGAAGATGGCAAGTAGCATAGTACCTACCGCACCTATCACGGCGTAGAGGAAGGCCGCAAAAGACAGGCTTGCATGAGCTCTCTCAAGCTCCTGAATAGCCTTGTGGAAATAAATGATACTATTCAAGAGCGAGAAGATCTCAGTTGCAAAAGTCGTCACATATCGCATAGTCCAGTCATGCGCATTGAAAATTGCCAATAGATAGTGCAGCCAAGCAGAATGGATCAAAGACCAAGCCATGAACGGCAGGAAAGGTATCTAGTAATCATGACTGTCAGAAATAGGAGGATGGCCAAGCCCGAGAATGACCGATGGCATACTTGGAATACATCTTCGCACAGCGAATAGATGTTCTCTGCCAAGACAGAGAATGGACCCGTTACGCCGAGGATGGTGAGGGGCTGGATCGAGAAGCTGCCCAGAGAAAATGAGTCACTGTACCGTGAGAAGAGAGATTCAGGGATACATACAGTGAAAAGATTATGCCACAGAGTCCGGTGCTGAGGACGACCTCGATCGTGCCCCAGGTTTTGCCAGTGAGCACGTACAAGTCACTTGCGAATGTGATACCAGGCAGGAGGTTAGTGAAGAAGACATAGACGGCGCTGGCAAAGATGAGCTGGTTAAAAACCGTCCAGTCAGACACATATCGCCGGCGCAAATTGACGATATCTTGCTTCACAAGTCGAAAGGGACGTAGAGGGCCACCGGCCGCGACAGAGCCTCGTAGCTTTCGAAAAGGCTTTGGCGTGTGTTTCGAGGGTGTGATGATTGAATGGGCATCTGGGTCATGAACATGACCTTCGGAGTCAAGATCGACTTGCTCCCGTGTATTTGTCTTTCTCCGCCGACGTGGTCGTGATCTTTGACGGATTGACGATGTGCGTGTGGATGGTGGGCGAAACGCCGATATTAGAGACATTATGAGAGAGACAATTTTCAATATTGGCCAAGGAGGAGTCCAGAAAGTAGAATTATTTTAGTTCCAGATAATGAAGGAATCCTAAGTTACAAAGAAATAGAATTGAAGATTCCTTTAAAGGCCATGGAATTAGGGTCTTGGATCGGATCTACTTGAGTCTAAGCCCACGCGTCATAAGCAAAAGTATATTCTTGTGACCGCCTACCAGACCGCCTCTCTTTCAACGGCAATTTCTCTGTCGCGCATTTGGGCTTCGCATCGTTGCGTTTTTGCGACTCGCTGTTTCTACTCGAAAATGAACGGAATTCGACCAAGTTAAGGACTGCAAAGCACTCAGAAATGGCGCAATTCATACCACGTCAGGTGTTTCCCCACTACGGGGCTATTCCGAGGTCCTACTTCCTAGGACATCACCGGGCTGGACTGAGCAAGATGAAGAACATGCTATCTACAATCGACTATGTCGTCGAATGCCGGGATTACCGGGCACCTGTTACATCTATCAACCCTTTGTTTGAGGAGGCACTGGGAAACAAAAGACGACTGGTCGTGTACACGAAGAGAGACCTTGGCAGCATTCCACAATCGCCTACGCAGAAGCTCGTGAGTAGTGTGGAGTGAAGTTTAGGTTATTGATGTATATCTAATCTCTTCTGGAATATAGATAGAGAAAAAAGTACGAAGCTTTGATCCGAAGAGCGCCGTGTTCTTCGTTAGTTCGTCCTCCCGCTCCGATGTCACTCAAATCATTCGACACCTCCGAGACGATGCCGAAGCACCAGATAAGCTCGTGGGATGTCGAGTATTGGTAGTTGGCATGCCCAACATTGGAAAATCGACTTTGATCAACCACCTTCGGAACTTTGGCGTGGGTAAGGCAAAGGCCTTGAGAACAGGAGGCCAGCCTGGTATCACACGGAAGATCGCCAGCCCGGTGAAGATCATCGAGCGAGAGAGCGGGTCCCATGTCTACGTGCTTGATACACCAGGTGTTTTCATGCCCTATGTTCCAGACGCAGACAATATGCTTAAGCTGGCACTTTGCGGCTGTGTTAAAGACGCAGTCATCTCACCCGTCACCCTCGTCGATTATTTGCTCTATCAGATCAACTTGCATGATACGCAGGCGTACAAGCGTTGGTCTGAGCCTACCAACGAAGTCATGCCGTTGCTTGAGAGCTTTGCGCGACAGACGGGACTACTAGGAAAAGGTGGGATACCCAACATAGACAGTGCAGCACTGCACTTTATTCAGAAGTGGCGGGCGGGCGACCTTGGTCGATTCATACTCGATGACTTGGAGGCCGAGCAACGGCGGCGAGATGATCCCGAACAGACTGTACGTTTGAGTATGTCACAGGCGTTGAAAGTCGAGAGGACAACTCGGAAGAACAAGCCAGATGTAAATACTAGCAACTCCTCTTAATCCAATGTACAATATAATGAAAGGGACCATGTTTGGTAAATGGCTGAGGTATATCTTTTGAACCATAGGAAGCGAAGTCTCATGAAAGAATGATTGGATAATGCCGAACAGGTGAATATTTTGCAGAAGCAGCCCCTAAACGCCGAAACACTGGGAAAGAGAAAACATGAAGAACACCTCCACACCAAATGCAGTGGTAGAAGATCAGGAGATCTTCTCTAGAAGCCTTTGTCGTCGCCGATTGACCAGCTCTTCTTGCACCTCCTCTAGCGAGGGTAGTCGCCATTCCACACCATCACCAGCATCTCCAGGTAACGACTCCCAGCCATCCTCGACGTCATCGTCACCCTGGGATCGCAGGTGCTCCACGGCCTCCTTTTCCTTTTGTTTCTCGTAGGCCAATAGTGTACCATCCTCCTCATCCAGGCCATATCCAAAATAATTGGCATTGACCTTCTTCGTTGCGATGTCTCCACCACGACCAGTTCCCCCTCCTTCTTCCTCCTCGGGCGGACCTCTCCCCCGGCGAGCCGCCGCCTCAAACATCTCCTTCACACCGGGCAATTCCCTCGCGCGGCCGAAATATCGATAGCCCTTTCCTCCACCGGGGATCTCTCGCCCTTCATCGTCATAGACCCGACCAGACCCGCGCATGTAGTTCGGTCCGCCCAGGTTGCGGATTTGCATTTCCCAGGCCCATTTCTCCCGCATAAGTTTGTTGATTTCATCATTGAGATCGCGGATCTGGTAGTCACTGAGACTGGGCTCTTGAATGCGCGAGACTTTGCGGGAGATTTCTTTCAGGACCTGGCCGCGCCAGCGCTCGCACGTCGGGATCGAGTCGACACTTGTAATAGCTTTGGGTCGTCGTGTCCGTCCTATATCAATGATTCCCATATCCGCTGCTTGTTGCGCCCGGAAGCGGAACAGCATGGACTGGGCCTTTTCACTGTTGCGAGCCTGTTCATGGCGGGGGGTTGGGATTAGCAATCTCGGTCGCAAGATCTCGAGGGATTGGGGGCAAGAAGGAGGCCTAGCTGAAGACAATGAGACTTACCATTTTGATAGACAGGCAAGGTCGGCAACCCAGGGAGGTTTGTCAGAGATGGTGGGAAAAGTCCGAAGTAGAAATCTGAAGCTTGACAGTTGCGGATGAGGTTCGGCGTCAATTGCCGCCGCGGCTATCACGTGGCCCACTCCAAACGGGCACGAGAGCAGATTCTACAAACTACAGTAGTTACTACATTCTAGACAGAGTATGATTGTGATTGTTTTCCATCAAAAAAGCCTTATGCCTCTCTTTACGCAATAAAATTTCAATAATTGAATTGTACAGGTCTGGGATGGTACTATAGCCATTTCGGTCTCCCACCACACGGGGCCAAGCAAAGGTTCGTCTCGGCCTTTCTCTCGATCATCGCATACAGCCTTGTTCTTTCACTTGTTCCGCGCAACGCGGAATAGATTCCCATTTATCCCCGCAAAGACGGTGTTTTCCACGATTATCCACCCAAAGAGGTTGTAAAAGAACCACAAGCCAGGTAAGGGAACAGAGCCAGAAATCGCCTTTTCCCACGGGATGGGAGCTGTCGTAATCCATTTGAGAGCCAGGATGAGATACATCATGTACTGCCCAGCAAGCCCCACAAGACTGAAAATAGAGGAAGAGTCCACACTGTCAGGCAGAACGCGCTCGTAGATAAAGGCATGGTAAGCTAGCCCAGTAACTGCCGGATTGAGGAATAGCAACACGTGGGAAATAGATGGTACGATACTACCTATGTCACGATGAGGGAGCCCTCCGAAGAAAGGATTTGTGTGCATCTGGGCAAACACGAACACGATTGCATTCATATGGAATCGAGGGGGAAGTAGTCTGGGATAAAAGGGATCACAAGAAGTGCAATGACAACAGTCATTGACCCCTCAATGATAAAAAGCCATTCCTAGGAGCATCAATAATTAATAAACAGTCCCTTAACTACGGTAGTATTTTACAGGAATACTCATCCAAGCTGGTCTACCCATCTTTCCCTCCATCCGTGCGACAATACCCGCCGCAATCAACCCGCCGAATGCGCTATCTAGCATATTCGCACCATACAGCAATGCAATACGAGGGGGTAGTTCGGATCTCTTGTACCAGCAAGACATAAGGAAAAATACTCCAGGCAAAAATGACCCTTCTACCAAACCAAGTATAAAGAGGAGACGAACAGCCCCGCGAAATTGTGCGTGAAGGCCTGACACATGGAGACAATACCCCATGCCGCTGTGACGACACCAATGTAGACCGAAGGCTTCACTTTAGTGATCACCAGATTGGATGGAAGCTGAGTGATAATATCTAGAAGGTGTGAGCAGGGTGGAAGAACTGGATTTTGAGACTAACAGCCAACATAGAAAATCATAAAACAAGTATTGTACTGGGTATTCGTTATTCCCGACGTCTTGGGTAGGCCAGCGATCTTTGCATTTGCGACATTATTCCTAGAAATGCAAGCACAATGTAGCAAAACTGCGAAGGAGTTACTAACCGGTTGAGAATATTCATCAAGAAAAGAATAACTACAGCTGGAAGTAAACAGCTATCCAACCTGCGTACTAGACCCTTCTCAAGTTTCTCGAGATCGTGACTCTCCAGGGATTCTAGCTCTGCTGGAAGAGGAAGTTGATGCAACCGCCCCGGCTTCACTACCTCTTCTTGTTCAGCATTGGGCTTTGCCTGGCCAATACTGTCCATGGTGGATAGGGTAAGTAGAATGAGTTAAGCGGTAGTTCAGGCCGGGGGTATGGAGTCGTTGGTGAGGAGCCAGCGGTCTTTGATCATTTATACTGGAAACAAGCTAGAGTCCCTGTGTCAGGATGCATGATCAACGCTCCAAATTTCTCGGTTTGCTACCTGTAATCCAGGGTAAACGCAGGGAAGGAAGTGAGAAGGGACTGCTAGAAAGCCAGAAAGAAACATTTGACAGGCGTACGCCCGGTCAGAGTAGAGAGCCCGGTGAGAAAGCCGCAAAATTCCTAGACACCCTTATAACCGAAAACCAGCAAGAAAGCTTCCTTTTACGGCCTGGCAATCATTGTCAGTGGATATGGCTAGTGTTCCCTAAATAAGATGTTAATGCCTGATTCCAAGATGCAGAACCTTGTAAAACCTCTCCCATAGTCTGTAGGGCGGTTCTAATAGGGACAGAACATTATCATATTCGATTGTCATTATCAATTTCCAGAGACAGCGAGAGCGTACAGGATTAATAAAGTGACGATTCAATTTCATAATTCTTCTCGTAACTTAGATAGTCAAGTTCTAACCAGCGAGCATATTTACTCCCACCCACAACCACACAACAAAATGCAAAAGCAAGGGAGCCTTCCAATACATACACCCCCAGAGCGGAAAGACATACCGTCATTCAAGCATTATGGACAAGACAATCCACATTCAAAAGATAAAAAACAAAGTATTCCTCTGAGATGCACATTTACACCAACCGCAAGAGAATAGGAAAAGAAAGCGAATCAAAACCATAATAGCAACTCCTAGTTCCACTTCATACACATCATTCATCCCCTCAATCATATTCACAGGAAGCCCTTAGTGTTGCTGGGCTTCCGCTGGGGCGTCGTGTCATAGCCATACACAGCACTGCCCCGTCGACTGCCTGTCTCGCTGAGCGCTGGCATGGGGGCGCGGACAACAGTGGTGTTCCTGGCTTTCCAGTTTTCCAACTCCCGCTCCAGGATCAGTACCTTCTCGCGCTCCTCACGAAGATCACGCTCTGCGCGACGAGTTTGCAGCTGCGTCTCGGTATCTCCTTGCTGGAGTTCCTCGATATTCTTGAGGAGCCTTTCAATCCTATCCCGAGCCTTGTTGACCTCATCGTTGAGCTGGGAGTTCATCTTGTCCCGCCGATCGATCTGGGATTGGAGGTCCTTGACGGTACGATCAACATTGCGGAGAGAGCGCTGCTCAGCAGTGTGCTTGCTCTCCTGCTCTTCAAGGTGAGTTTCCAGCTATAATGAGTTAGTAATTAGACATTTGAAATAAAGGAGTTGGTTGAGCTTACCTCCTTGATGCGCTTGTGCAAGAATCGGACATCTTGGCTACCGGAAGAATAGCCCTTGGTCTCCAAATCCACGCAGCGGAGCTGCACCTCCTTCAGTTGTTTTTCAAGACCAGCCTTCTCCTTGAACAGCTGAGCATTGGTTTCGCGCTCGGCAGTAAGTTCCTTCTGCATTTCAGTGGCGAGGGCGTCAGCGCGACGCATCTTGCCAACCGCCGCGGAAGAAACATCTTCCTGCTGCGCAAGCTTCGATTTGAGCTCAAGAAGTTCGCGGTCCATGCTGGCAGCGTTCCGCATGGAGGGGCTTTCACCCTTTGCCAGGTCCTCAAGACGTTCACCGGCCTCGGCCAGGCGACCTTCAAGCATCTTCTTGTCCTTCAGAAGCAAGTCACGCTCGGCCGTGACATCATCAACGGAGGTGCGAAGTGTTCGCACCTGAGATAGGAGAGACACCACCTTAGCCTGAGCCTCACTGTGTGCAGTGGTAGCCTCATCACGAGAGTTGGTAATGTCCTGCATGACGAGCTCCAGGCGCGCTTTCTCCTTGGCCCAAGTGGAGCTGTTGAGTACCTCGTTGTCCCATTTGCTTCGAAGATCCTCGAGCTCTTCGCGCAGCCGCGAGTTCTCTCCGCGGACGTTGAGTAACCGCTCACGCTCCATCTCGAGCTCACCATTAATGGTCGAGAACTCGCGCTGGTACTTCTGCCGGGTCTGTTCCATCGAGGTTTCCTTGTCCTCGATGTCAATAGCCCGCTGGTTGCGGTAGTCCTCGAGCTCATTCTGGAGGCGCTGCTTAGCTTGCAAGGCACCTTGTAGTTCTGCCTCTTGGTCCTCCATGCGGGCTTCCAAGGACTGCGTCTGGCGTTGCAGGTCCTCTACAAGAGCATCCATCTCCTTCCGCTCAGACATGATCTGTGCACAGGTGTCCTCAGCCTCCTGGCATCGAGACTTGGCAAATTGCTCAGCGCGAGAGGCCTTCAAGACCGCAATTTCGGCTTGCTCGAGCTTGCTGAAGTACTCGTCAGCACGACTCTTGAAAAGGCTCAGGCTCGACTCAAGATCAGCATTGCGTGATGTCTCAGCATCCAAGCGAATGTGCAGGTCGGAAAACTCTTGAAGAAGCTGGTTGCGACTGGCAAGGTCTTGTTCTCTGGCTGCTTGAAGCTCCTGGGCTTCAGACCGGGCGTCTCGGACCTCAACTTCAAGGGTGGCCCTGCTGCGCTTGAGCTTTTCGTATTGTGACTTCGCATCGCTGAAATCAGCCAAAGCATCATTGTGAACCTTGAGCAAAGATCGACGAGACTGCTCCTGGGAATTGATCAGGTCAAACAGCTCCTCGTGAGACTTAGCCTGGACATCGCGAAGAGACAGCTCCCCAGAACGAATGCTTCGTTCCAAAGCCGAGACCTTCTTGGCTGAATCGTCAAGCTGGCCATGAAGGCGACCGTTTTCACGCTCCAAGAGTTGCATGCGACGGATCGATGGGCTGTCGTCCTGCCAAATGTCTCGGGCTGGGGTTGACTGCTGGAGCTGGCTCTGAAGATGCTTGTTCTGCATCTCAGTCATTTGAAGCTTGTTCTGGAGCTCCTCAATTTCCGCTGCGGTGTCCATCCGTCGCTGGTAGCCCACGGTATCAACCGTTCGGTCGGATCGAGCGGAGTCGTTTGCACCCTCGTACACGTTGTTGTATCGTCGGTTTGGTGTCGAGGGGTTCGAAATTCTCTTAAGGGCATTCTCAGAATTTTTGCGGAAGTGTGTAGGGGCGCGGGTGTTGGCCACTTCATTCTGATCAATCTCTTCAAGCAATGCGCGCTTTGAAGAAGAGTACCTCGAGTCAAGCTCCTTCATCTCGTCTGCATGACGGCGACGCATCTCTGCGAGTTGGCTTTCAGCACGTGTGTACTTCTCCTCTGTGACTTGAAGCTTGTGTTGTACAGTGTCAAGCACCTGGGCCAGATCGACTTGTTTCGACAAATGTGGCTGGACAGCCTCCCAGGATTTGGTGGGCTCAGACGCCTCGGGTTCAAAGACTCTATGCAAGAGAATCAATTGGCGATGGAGGTCCTCAATCTCTTTGTTGGCTCTGTCCAGAGAGCCTTGCATTTGTCGAGTGTTTGCCTGGGCCTGGCCTCGCAGCTGCCGTTCGTTTTCAAGGTTCCGATTGGCCTCCGCGAGTTGAAGGTTCGCAGTGGATGCAGCTTTCTCGGCATTGCGACTGTTCTTGTGCTCCCGGTTGACTTCATGATTAAGATCCTCCAGGCTCAAAGACAGCTTCTCCTTTTGCTTCTCAAGAGAAGTGATTGTAAGCTGCGAATCTCCCAGCTGCTTCTGGAGCTTCTTGTTCTCCTCCTCAATCCTGGTCTTTTCCTTTTGGAAATTGGCAAGTCGAAGACGATTACTATCGCTTGCCTTGGAATTCGAGCGAGCAATGTCAAGATTCTTTTGCTGGATCTTGGTGAGAAGAGCACGATTATCGTTTTCAGAGGCTGTGAGTCGGCCCTTCAAAGTGACAAGTTCTCTTTCAAGACGTTCTTTGTGTTGGTCATGGCGCAGACGGAAATTGTCGGATTCGGAGATGGCATCTTCTAACTCTTGCACCCGGACCGAAAGCTGATATCGCTCTGCCTCAAGATCTTCAAGGAGTTGCATTTTCTCCTCAAGTTCTGTACGCATACTCAAGATACGCTCCTCGGATTGATTCTTGAGCTTGTGTTCAATTTCAGCCTCCGCATTCAAGCGGGCATTTTCGACAGCCGTGAATCTTTCACGAAGCTTGATCAGCTCGGCTTGTAGCTCTTTCCTTGACTTCTCGGCCGCAACTCGTGCTTCGGTAGCACGACGGAGGCTGTCCTGTTGGATGTACATCTCCTTTTCAATCTCAATCTTAGACTCGTTGAGCGAGTTGTACTTCTCAGTCAAATCAGCGAGGTTATGCTCAGCAAGCATCTGAACATCGTCCCGGGATTGCCGCTCTCGGCTGAGGTCTGCTTCGGCCTGGAAGAGTTGAGACTTGAGGTCGTGGACTTGCTGTTCCAACAACTTCCTACTCTCCCCGGCTTCGGCGTCTTCAGATCTCTTCTCTTCAAGTAATCGCTTAACATCTGCAGCTTCTCGTTCAAGCTGGGTCTTTTCAGATCGCATAGCGTCTCGCTCGGCCTGAATCTCACGAAGACGTGCCTGCATTGTATCGTGTCGGGTAGTAAGAGACTTCTTCTCAGCCTCCATGCTTCGTCTATCTTCGTCGTGCTTCTTCAAGTCATTGCGGAGGACAGCCATTTCGCTTTCCTTGCGACGGAGGAGGTCTTCATAACTGGTCGTCGTGGCGGAGAGATCGGTGATTTGTTGGCGAATCGATTGATTTTCAGTCACGGTGTCGCGAAGCTGCTTCTTCGTCTTGTCGAGTTCTTTGGAAGTGTTGGCAAGTTTGACGTCAAGATCCTGGTCTGTCTTCAACAGCTTGGCCTCTAGTTCATGAAGTTTGCGATCCTTAAGGCTGAGGTGGCTCTGGAGCATCTTGATCTCCTGACCAAGCTCCTGAATTTGACCATCTTTCCCAGAGAATTGTCCCTCCATCCCGGCGAGTCGAGCATCGAGTTCCTCCAACCGAGCTTGCAGGCCGTTCTTCTCGGACTCGAGTTTCTGGATGATCAGACCGGCCTGCTCAAGCTGCGTGATTCGCAGTTGCAATTGCTCATCAGTCTTTTTCTTCGCATCAACCAGGTCATCAAGTTGCTCTTCTAGCTTCTCTTGATCAGCAATAGCCTCGGAAAGTTTCTCGGCAAGTTCGCCTTCACGGTCTTGGAGACGCCTGAAGATCTCCTCTTTGTCGAGCGCCAGCGCACGTTCACTTTCCAGGGTCTGCTGGATCTTGTGAATCTCGATCTCGGTGCGTCGTCTTTCCTCGTCGAGTTTGTGTCGGTCGGAGAGCTCCTGCTTCATCTTCATCTCAAGCTCCTTGATCTTATCGTCTCTCTTTTTAACTTCCTTTGCCGTCCGTGTATCGCCGAGTAGAGGTTTCATCCTGGAAAAGAGGCACCACCACGGGCTACTCTTGAGCTCAAGGTAGGAGTGGAAATTTTGCTGGATGATGCGGGTTGCTTCAGCACGGTACAGACGCTTGTTGGAGATGCGCCGCTGAACAAAACCGCGAGCGAGAGACTGGAAGCGGGTCATGATAGTTCGGATGAGCTGGTCTCGCTTTTCCTCTAGGTCGGCCAGGACACCTGCCCGGAAGAACACCTTGGTGCGTCCAACACGGTACCAGGCTCTGTCCATGCCAAGCTTCTCCAGCATGGTTCGCGCTGCACTCTGACCCTCCAAATAACCCTTCGGCATATTCTGGCACAATACCTCATATCGTTGGCGGAATTCTGCGAACGGAAGCCGATTGGGGAAGCCAGTCCTGGCAATTCTGATGCCCTCAAGGACACCATTGCACCGGAGTTGATCCAAGACCAATGGAGCGTGCAACATCTTTGGGCGTTTCTTGTGATTTGGTAGAATACAACGCACGAAATGGGGATGAGTGGAGTGAAGCTGCATCATAAGACTGGAGAGCTGTTCTTTGTGTCTTTGGGCGACCGTTCGGAACAGGCCCTTCTTGACTCGGCTTCGAGGATAATCACTACCTTCTTCAGGGTCGGCACAATCTGCGAACAGGTTCGCAACGTGTTGATCCTCGGATGCCGCGAGGAGACGGGTGATATTGTCATTCATGGGGTCCTTGTTCTTCTCCAACCAGTCGTGTGTCGTATACTCGACCTCGGCCGCATAGTGGGTGAGAATGAAACCCTGATTCAGGCGAGAGGAGCGGTATTTAGGAGTCTTTCGATCCCAGAGGGAATGAAGTTTCTCAGTAAACGACTTGTCCGTTGCTTTAGGCATCACACAGTCTTCATCAAGGCAAGAGAAGATACCAATCGGGTTGGTTAGCTCAATCAGATCAATGGTGGGCTGCAAGTCTTTGCCAAAGTCAATGAACTGCCACTCAATCTGCTCCCGAGCGTATTCTTCTTGCTCGAGAACAAACATGTGGTGATTGAAGAACTGCTGGAGCTTCTCGTTGGTGTAGTTGATGCAGAGTTGCTCGAAACTGTTGTTCTCAAAAATTTCGAAGCCAGCAATATCGAGCACACCTATGAAGTAGTTATCGTCGGTCACGGAGCGACCAAGCTGGTTGTTGATGCGGGTGACCAAATCACCAAAGCCACGTTCGTAGATACCCTTAGACAAAGCATCCAAAGCGAGGCGCACCTGATCCGGAGTCTGTACTTTCTCAACCCACTCACGACCAGCCTTCACTCTCGGGTGCAGCAAGCCCTTGACAAAAGGTTCGGCGCGAATGCCCAAAAGTCGACAGGCCTTCTCCACGCTGGCGTAACCATCGGGGGCCAGAGCAGCTTGGTCGGCGCGAATACTCTCCTTGGCCACGGTGACATTGCCAAGGTGGAGCACAGCAGCGATGGTGCGCAAGATGCAGAGCTGGTCCTCCTCCGAGAAATTCATGACATGGAAGGCCTCGATGAGCGAGTTCCACTCGTCCCTATCGGAAACCCCGACAATCGAATCATTGCCATCCTTCGTGTACGCAAAGTCCTCGATCTGGAGATCTTGGAGCAACAACCTTTCTCGAGTGGACCGATCTGCACCTTGGAGCAACTGATAAAAAATGTGATAGTTTCGCTCGTTAGAGTTGGGCTTAACAACTCGTGACTTTTCAAGCAGATACCAGTCAATCCATGCGCCGCATATCTGTCCGGAACGAGAGAATTCAATTCGAATGAATTTGCCGAAGCGAGAAGAGTTATGATTGCGGACTGTTTGCGCGTTTCCAAAGGCTTCGAGAATGGGATTGGCGCGAAGGATCTGCTGAGACAAGTTCGATAGCTGCTTTGTTCCTGACCGGCCATACGGTGTATCAGAAGTTGCGACAGCTGCCAGGTATTGAATGACCTTCTTGGTGTTCTCGGTTTTACCCGCACCAGATTCACCACTAATTATAGCCGGTCAGGTTAGTCCCGAAAAGCGGATTTGGATGAAAGTGATACTTACGTCACAAGAATACTTTGGTTTTCTCCTTCCTCCACAAGGTTGCGGAATGCCTCATCTGCCATCGCGAAAATATGTGGCCGGGTCTCTTCCCTTCCACGACCCTTGTACATTTTCACATACTCGTTCGTGTAGATCGGCAGAGGGCAGTATGGGTTGATTGTCACCAGGAAAAGCCCAGAATATGTCTATCAACCATTGGCATTAGTACTGGGGCGCGAATTGAATGTCCCTTGTCAACGGATACTGACGTAAATCAAGTCGGATTGGTATCTGGTATGCAGGTTGTGAACCACAGAGGCTTCGTTCAAATGGGTCAGTTCCGCCATATCGTCTGCCTTGTCAAACTTGGCCGGGTTGACCTTGTCAACCTGGTCGGCATCCACATCCCGCTGCTATCGGCGAGGTCAGTCCTGATCGAGGGCCGCGCAAAAGTAGAGACCGCTCCTACCTCGCCGTCGTCGGTCTGGACTAGCAGACGTCCTCCTTCTAATTCCTCCAATACGAGCCCGCGCACGAATGCTTTTTCAGCATCGCGCAACCACACGTATTTGTTTCCAGAGAAGTCATTCTCACCCTCTAGTCCGCGAATCTGGTCCGCGCCCCGTCGCAGCTCTTCCGACTTGATAAAGCTCGGCGCAAATGTTCCTGACGATGCATTGTTGCGTACTGAGTTTGACCGTTGGCGACTTATGGATGCTGGAGATCGATTGGTTGTGATTTGTGAGACTGATGCGTTGCGAAGATGTCCTCTTGCCGACTCTAATCCATGTGACGGACTTATGATGGCAGATTTAGGCCGTGGTTGTGACTGTGGTGCCGGTGACGGGGATGAGCGCCCGAATGGGTTGGCGCGCTTGGGCGAGCTGTTGAGTTGAGAGGGGAGCATGTCGGCGGGTTGTTTCAATAGCACATTATTCGAGGGGACAGTAGATTCCCATAGCCAGGGGAGGCAATCTAGAGTCAATGAAAAGAATTTGACTTGAAGAGAAAAGGGAAGGAAGTGATCAAGAACAGAAACAAGTCGTGGAGAAATCACCCCAATAAGGAACCAGGCGTGAGGGGACCGACGTGTGATGTAAAGCGGAGAGCTGACGCTGTTTGTTTACACTTGCGTTCCTCGGGTTCCCGCCGATCGCTGGTCCGTGCCCTCTAATATCACGTGAGTCGAGTCTCTTTTTTCCGGGCGCTTAACTTTGCCCTTAGATGATCCAGAATCTTGATCCTATTCAAACGCGTCCTTGTTGCTTAGCGCCCTATACTTCTCAGCCCTTTTACTCTTTGCACTTGGTGATACGACTTCTCACTCCTTCCTTCACTTTCGCTTTTATATGTTGGCGTGTTTGTTATAAGAGTGAAAGTCGTCTTCCTGCCTTGATTATTGCGAAAAGCTTGAATCCACTTGCAGTTCATCACACTTCAACGACCATAGGATGGAATCTTTGACTTCGCTCATGCTTTCCTAGATACTGTCGCGCACGGAATACTCATATCATACCGACTGTCTCCGCGAGTCTCCGTCGCCTTGTCTCCGTTTGCATCCCAACATGTCGAATCAACCACCCCCTCCGTTTGGTGGCCATCCAAGCTATGCGCAACAGTGGCCGCCGCCATTTCCTTTCATGGTCCCTCCGAACTTCGTTCCAAACTCAGGTTCGCAAGCTACTGGACCTCCGCCCCTCGTCCATCCTTCCCAGGCCTTTGAGTACAACTTGGCCAGTGCCAATGCAAACTCACGTATCCCAGTTCCGGGCAACTCTGGCGACCAGGGCATCTTTCTACCTCCTCAGCTTCCATTCATGGGCCAGTTTGATCTATCACAATTTCCACTGCCATTTCCCCCTATGCCAATGTCCGCATTCGGTGCTCCACCCCCGCCGGCGCCACCAGGGTCATCCCTCGTTCCATCAGAATCCATGAAATCCGATGGAGCCGTCGCAAACCTGTCTGGCTCTCAACGTCAAGCAAGAGAATCTCTGAGCCCGTCGGATTCGAAAAGCGAAGAGGGTGAGGTTAGCGAAGGCGAGATCAGGCAATCTGTGAATATGAAGCCAGCCGCGAATGCCAGGCTAAGCGGTGCATCTGCTGCTCAACCAGCGAGCTTAGAAGAAAGAGAAAGCGTGTCTTCGCCGCTGTCACCTTCAACCAGAAGTAGTTCTCGTACGCAATCTCGGAAACGACTGTTTCAAGCTCTTTGCTGATTTCTTCCAGCTTACAATCCCCCTCTATCAGTTTCTGCGGACGCAGATGTGGTGAATCGTGCCATCGAGCTGCAAAAACAAGATGCAACAAATACAGAATCGGATGTTTCATTGCCTTCCAAGTCGGCCGCGCAGCTCCGTGTTCAAGCACAGGGAGCTCTGCTTAGCTTGGCGCCTCACAACATTCGGTACAATGAGTTGGTAGCAGAGGGTATTAATCCAGCTATCTTGAAACAACTTTACGAAGACGTCGGTATCAGAATCGCGACTCCCCAACCCTCCAAGCCAGCTGTTGTGGCCCCCGTTGAGAAACCCGCGAAACTCGAATCCTCCGTCCAAGCCAAAACATCAAAGGAGCCAACTCGGCTTGAGAACAACAATGTCCCGCAACAGCCTACTCCTAGCGCCGCTCCATCCAACTCTGGGAAGCCTATGGAGAGAAAGGAACTTATTGCCAAAATGCTTGCTGCCAAAGCTGCAAAGGCTTCCCAGCCCACTACGCCCAAAGAAGTGTCAGAAGAAAGTCAACCAGCGGCAACTGCACCTAGTCTGTCGATCACTCCTTCTAGTGAGAAGACTGAGGAGAATGGTGCACCTGTGAAGGAGAAAAATAAGGCTCAAACAGAATTGGCACGTCAGCGAATCGAGGCTCTCAAGAAGCAAGCATTGCTGAAAAGCCAGCAGAGGGCTCAACAGCTCAGCCAGGCTTCCAAGGAGGTGCAGCCTTCGGTACCTTTGAATCCTGTACCGGCTGTCCATCACCCACTGCCTGTCCGCCCACCTGCTCCTCATCCGTCTGAGACCACTGGACTCCCAGGTCTTTCCTTGACCGAGCTGAACCCCGAAGTCGAATCGCAGACTCCTAGTACAGGACCAGCGGGAATTGCCGTTGATGCAACCCCATTGGCCAGAGCCAATCAGCGCAAACGGCCCCTGGCCTCTGATTTTGATGACGCCGGCACCACCCAGAAGAAGCATTTCCAAGCAGCAGCCCCATATGCTGATGACGACTCGGATAAACTGATCATTCACATCAGTGACGATGAGTCTCTGTACGGAGACGATGAGGGCGAGGATATGGACGTGGATTCCAGTCCTGACCAGGATCCTGCACCTGTGACCATCAGCACACCTCTCAGTGTTGCTCAACCCCCACTTCAAAAATCGCTCTCGGGCACATGGGCCTCTACCTCTACCCCACAAGCGCCATCTCGTCCTGGTGATCAGGAGCAAATGCGTCAGAAGAATCTTGAAATTCAAGCTTTGCATCGAAAAATTGCAGAGTTGGAGGAGCGGCGGAAAGCAAAGCTTGCCGCCAGCCGAACTCAATCTCCGCGCAATTTGGAAGATTCCGCTGCTTCTCCATCGGCTGAAGCCTCTGCCGCTTCGTCTGCCGAGCTTGTTGAGACACCACCTGCGCCTTCAGCCCCCGAAGTCAACAAAGCAAGTGAGGCAATTACCCCACCCAGGGCCGCCATTGCTGTCCGGCCCAGTGAGATTGATTCTTTCAGCTCGTCCTCAGTACAAATTTTGGCTTCGATGGACAGTGTACAGCTAGATACTATCAGGGGCAAGATCTTGCACATTAGGGTGATCGAGCAGGGCCTTGCCGATTCGAATTCCGAGACCGTGCCCTCGGACCTTGCTTTGTGTCGCGATGAGGCTGACAAGCTGTTACGCGGTTTCACGGAAGAGAAGGAGGAACGGCTTCGACTCATTGATGAGCTGAAGAATTTGAGCCACAAGATAAACGGTTTGACAACGAGGGATCTGGACGAACTCCGTCGGCAAGCGGAAATGAAGGAGCAACACCTTTCCGCGCAAAAAGGTACTTTCCCGACAAGAGGTTATCACTATTGCCCGTCGGGCTTGTTTCTAGGTCATATAGCTAATTATCTTATTCCAGTATCACCAATCACAGAGCCGGCCGCAGTGGAAAAGGACATTACGATGTCAGGTGCAGATGTCCCAGCAGTGGCATCTACCGAGGAAGAAGTTGCAGCTGTGGCAGCATCTCATTGCTCTGAATCCGACTTTTATGCTGCTGAGCCTACAAATGTTGATACCGTGGGCAGCTCTGAGGCTGATGAGCTTCCAGCCCCGTCGCAACCCGGTCACACTTGTTCTGTTTTGGATGAGTCTGAGGGCCGCTCCAGCTCCGATGAGTCCAGCTCAGACGACTCTAGTTCTGGCGAGTCTAGTTCCGACGAATCCGGTTCTGACGAAGACTCGGCCAGTGAGGAAGAACTTAAGGCGTCAGATGCAGAGGATATGGCAGAGTCGGTTCAGACGGCAGACGACGATCAGATGCAAATCGACACTCCACACCATCCCCTGCCAGACCAACCACCCGTTCCTCCCGCTGAAGACGTTGACAACGATGAAGATGATGAAGACATTGAAGGCGATGGAGATAGTGAAGACGATGAAGAAGATCAGGACAATGAAGAAGTTGAGGGCGGTGGAAAAGTTAAAGGCGGTGGAGACGATGAAGATGTTGAGGAAGATGCTGACGACTACGAGCCCACTGATAACAATGATCAGGATGGTGGCCAGTCCGACGCCGAGTCTTCCCCGGAGTCGGAAGCCTATGAGCCTCCGGAACCAGATGCTGGGGCCGAGTGGCCTCACTCTACCTACAGCCCGCCTCCCCCTGCTCCCTTAGAAGACACTGCAGATGTGGAACCATCGCTTGATTTGTCCAGAATCGGAGAACCACTAACGGAGACCCCTCGGGTGTCCTTTCTAGAGGCACGGCCAGTATATCAAGGGCCAGATGCGGAAATTCTTGGTGTATGAAAAACACCTTTCCTAGAGGAGAATCACATGACGATCACGGACTAATCCCCTACAGGCCAAACCGTCGTCGACGACCTCCGTGCCCAAGTTCACTCCCTACGTCAGTCCCATGCGATACTTCAAGGCCTACCGCTACCACCCTCGCTACACCGAAGATGTTTCGGACGGCTACCGTTCGCTAACTTTCAGCAATGAGATTGATCCGATGAAATACCTTTGCCCATACGAACTGGCTGGTGGTGTGTGTAACGATCGGTCCTGTGAATTCCAGCATTTCCGGGACATGAATCTAAGCGGTGCGTCGACAAGTTGACAGCCGTGCAACTTCCGATATGGTTTTCCTTTCTACTTTGCCTATCTATTCCCCAACATCACCCCTGAAATGGTGCTGGCCGCCTTTATGACCGTCTCATTTCCTTTCACTTCCCAACATCCACCCGTCGATACTTCACCATTCCATCTGCTATTTCCTTCTTGCCCCGTCCGCTCGCTGACCACAGTGCTATTAACCTTGGCAGATGACAAGATTCTCATCCAGCTGGGATCCGTTCGAGAAGGACAAACCGAGGAAGAAAAAGAAACCTACCTCGCCGGGTTGAAAGAGATCATCAACGAGATGCGGCGTGACAAGGTGAAAGATTTCAACACCGTGGCTTCTGAGATAGCCGCATACCGTAGGCGCTTTCTTCAAGACCCATCGCGCGTCTTGCCCCTGTAACATCTCACATCTTCAGCGGTCCCTCGTTGCACGAGCGGACACCTTCAAAGGTGAGCTGGCATTCCTCCTCACCTTGTGGCGATCTCATGTTGCCATCTCGGCTGGCAAGTAACCGCCGAGCTTCTGCCATCCAACATCAAGGACTCTTTCTTTTTCGATACCCCCTACGCCCGTCCCACAGCTGGGCGCTGAGGCATTTCTTTGACTCACTTCTCCCCCCACCTTCTCTCTTGTCCATGCAATTTTAGCCAGCGCGGCGTTTTCCTGCATTCGAACAACATCCCCATCGTCATGCAACTGGGGTAATCTTGACTTGTTCTGGATCATTCTCAGATCTTTGATCCTCGTCTGTTTTTCTCGCATCATGAGCTGTTCTTTGCTCGCGGCGAAATGGCGTTGAGGACAGGTGCATACTTTCCAGCTGCTGGTCGTAACTTTGCTGCTCAGCTTCAGTGATCTGGGGGTCGGCGTGACTTGCCCAAGCTTCCCGTTGTGACGATATGGTTTTCTAGTTTCTACTTTTTTTCAGCATGAAGGATAGTGTATGATTATCTTTCCCCAGTCGATGGATCCTCTTCCAGCACATATTCATAGCAACCCTGAACATTTTCTTAATCTCTAGATGGCCTTTATGTGTAGCATACTAGTAGCCAATTATGTTACATACAAGTCAGAGCACAAGGTCCGGGGCCAGACAATAAAGGTCCTTGACTGAAAAGCTCGTTTCAGTAGCCTAAGAAGTGGCCTGGTAGTCCAGATCGGATTCGATGCACATCGTTGCCGCCTGGCTAAGTCGGTTACAATGGATCTTAACATAGGAACTTTACGACGCCAACGGCAGTCCCCAGTCGAATCAGGAGCAGCCACCCTAAACATTGTAGACAGCTGATCACCACACCAGAAAGACATGTTACTTCATCAAGAAATCTCAAAAAAAAGACCGGTGTCTACGCACATGGATTACACCCGCACTCGCATCTGGACATCTGACACCGAGTCTTGCCCCGTTTCATCGTATCTGCACATCAAAAATAAACCCAAAAATGCCGCTCGAAATTAGATGTCCAAAATTAATCAATCTAGAACCCAGTAATTCATTAGTGACTTACCATTGACCAAAATAAACAATTCCCGCCGGACCCCCGTAGCCAAGAGCCGTCGCTGCTAAGTTTAGCTGGAGAGCGTTCGGCCAAGACATTGATCACGGGGGCCAGAAGATCGAAAGGCGGAATATACGAGACGACATTTACCGCGGAGGGCATTTGGCCTCAGCCAGGGGGAATAGTGTAGGTTTAGAATATTATGTTTATGAAAATTGAGTCATTCTGGAATATTCAGGCAAAACGCCTGACGTGGATAACGCAGGTTGGTACCTACCTATCGGATTTCCTATGCCACGTCTTGGCTTTCCCCTTCCGTTTTGGTACTCAGACCCTCGCCGCTTTTGCTCACTGAGTAGATCTGAGCACGTCTCTGAGCCCCTCTGATCTACTCACTGAGCAGGTCTGATCCACGCACTGAGCACGTGGCCTGACCAGCACCTCAATAAAACGTGAACACGCTAGTCGTATCCACAAAATCAGAAAAGCACTGGCATCAACAATTTGATATTCCGTCCTGGACGCTTGCTGCTATTCATTGCATCACAATGAAGCCTATTTGTTGATCACACTATCAATTAGACTGCATGCTCCTGGGAACCCTTCGTCTACTGGCTCTACCATGGGCCTCTCATGATTAGACCTCCACATTTGTGACTAATGTGACTGAGAATTAGTCACATCGATTCCCATGTGCCTAGGCCTTAGTCACACGTCACACGCTAAGGACCTAACTGGTTATGGGAAACCTATAGGAGTCACAGACATATCACATAGTCACATGGATGCATAACTTTTAACGCTGAGCCTAATTTAACCTACATAAAGCCAATTCGGCCACATCCACTGCAGGTAGGCGGAGCCCTCCTGACCGGTTGAATCGGCTGGTTAGGCAGATCGACCTCTTCATGCGATACTACCTCATCAGCTTCTACTGGCTGAATTGGCTGCTGAGCTAGCTGTAGGCCCTCTTCAATCGATAGACCCGCTTTGTGTTCAATCCGCCTAGTCGATCGAGTGCGCTTTTGACGTTTCTTTTCATTCGCTGCGCGTAGATCGGCGTTCTCCTTCACTAATAAAGCAGTGTTGTGTAATGCTTTATAGTGGCCCTTGAGAATCTGATCAACCACTAATTTCAACGGGCTTGGAGGGCTTTTTGACCGCCGATCTATTAGATCTTTCATTATTTAGCCTGCTTTTGTAGCTGGGCTACTGTTCTAGGCGTTTCTGGTGTGAATTCGCTAGATCTGCTGCTTGGTCGGCTTGATAGGGGTGAGGGCGTTCGAAGAGATATAGTAAGCTTAGAAAGCACCCTTTCGGTATTAACTAGTACAATACTAGCAGCTGCGAAGCTATTCTGGATAATATTCGGCTGAAAAGCTTCTAGCCGTGCGCGTAGGTAGTCGGCTAGAAAATCAAGCTTATCGATGTGATTATAGCCAGTGCGGGTTAAATCGCTCACGAAGCGACCGTACGCACGCTTTAGCACTGCAAAGCACCTAACATTAAGCGGTTGTAGTAGATGCGATGAATGTGAAGGCATACAGAGTAGTGTAATATCGTTTTCAGCGTATATTCGATCGAATTAAGGTGTAAGTGTAAGGATATACTCTATAAGTCAGGATAGAGGCCTGTCAATCAGGTAGGAGAAACGGGGCCAAGTCAATTGTTCAGAAAGGTCAAAGACTGTTTCTTGAGGAGCGTAAACCTCTTCAACATGGGTCAATTTATATACAGTCTCATTGCTCAAACAGGAAGGAGATGTATCCTTGGTAGGGAAATGGGAGCGGGGTGAAACACGAGGCTTGTGTAACCTCTGTCAAGGGTGTTTGTTCCTTGCAGGAGTTCGTACACGTGCTGATGCCGAAGCCCCAGCGAGCCTCCACAGAAAGCCTGCCGGCTTATCAGGTCCGGGAAGCCTGAGGCACCAACACTTGGGAATAACCTCATGCTAGGATATATCATAACAGTAAGGTAGCTACTATGCCCGTCGAGGATCAATAGACGAAATCGCCCTCGTACGCGCGAAGTAGTGTATAGAATAAAGATCTTTTGTAGCCAGCGAAGGCCGATATCATCGGTAGTCTAGCTATTATTCGATACTTCGATTCGCTAATCCCTCGGGAGATTTGATTCAAACTAACTAGCAATATAAACCTGCCCTTTGAATATAATGCAGGGCGGCAGCGAATAGCCTTCAGCGTATATCGTTTCGATCGCAGTGACCTATTCGCGATTACCCGGCTGTAGAATTGATCGCCGACCGTAGTATTCTGCTCGTGTAACTACCTTTTGCGATGAAATAAGCCCTATTGCAAAGCCAGTCTCATCGAAGTTGCAGATATCCTCCGGTTGGATACCGTTCTTATCAATCGCGCGTTGCACCGTCAAAAACCACTCTTTTATAACCTTTGGATCCTCGTTAAGAGCGCGCTGGTAGTCATATCGCCGAGAGAAGCGTGTTCGAATCTCTTCGCGCCGATTTATAAAGGTTGATAGCCAATTCTTCCCAACTGTAGGCGGAGGGTAGCTACCACGCGCAGCGAGTAGAATATTAGCTATTTCAGCTACAGTAGCTAGCCTAGGCGCTGCTCCACGCGAATCTATAGAGATAATCCATTCAACAAGCGAATCCTCTTCCAATTGGGTCAATTTATGATTAGGGTTACGTCTCTCTGCGATAGAGACTACACCACATGCACGCGTTTGTAGGGTACTGCGTGGAATTTCGTATAGCTTTGCTGCTGCACGAATAGATTTGATGCGGCCATTTTTAATATCGTCAAGGGCTAATAATATCTTGCCCTCTTTATTGGCCGATTTCTGGAAGGACTCAGTGCGAATTGGTGGCATGGTAGTCGGTTGAAATTGGTAGGTTGGTGGATTGACGCGTTTTCTGCTGGGGTGGCCAGGGTGGCCAGGGTGACCGGGAATTACGTTATATGTTGGTCCTGGGCATGCTGACATAGTGGTCTTTTTGGCTAAACGGTATGACCATGTGACCCAGGCATGTGTCGTAACACTAATGTATGAGATATTTTTATAGAGCTAGTTTCTAGTAGGTTATAGCTAATATATCCTATTATATAGTTAATACGAGTATATATCTCTATTGTAGTGGGGGAACCGCTGACAGAATATCCTTTGAGTGCATACTGCCAACAACAGTCCTTTCTATTTGACTTGGTCGATTTCTTCTGTGAGAGCTCTCTTTCGGTGTTGTCGTTCGTACTTGATTGTTTTGTTCGTTTTGTTTGCTCCGTTTGCACTGTTTAGCCTGTTTGTTCTGTTATCCCTGGCTAAGGCTTCATGTATGGAGAGGAGAGGATGAAGTGAAAAAGAGAGACACACAACTATCTGTCAGTCTAGTCGATTTTCGTCGCAATACCCTCTCTTCTTTTCTACCTGACGGTCTATATCCCATTGGCTAGTAGGCGGTTGAGGTTTTGTCGATTTATCCCGTCCTGGAGGCCTCCAGTCCCTCACCGACTATGCTGCTTGGGCTGGTTGTTTCTTGTGCCAGTTGCTTGTCCCTTTCGTGCCTCGACCTGTCTGTTCTGATCAGACTACCATTAGTGCCCCCCTTGTTTACTATCTAATATAGCTATATTTAGTAGAAAAAATAGCTATCAATAATAAATTCATGTAGATATTATATATTTATTGAAAGATATATTTCTGATGAAGCGGGTATTACTATCGTATAGATCACATGTAATTTATTCTTTTTTACCAACCTTATAATATCGGGTCCACCATGACCGCTTTCCTTCCTGTATATATTACTTCCCCGGGTCGCACCAATAACCCTTCAGTATGGCTTACTGCAGGCTCGTCACAGACTCTAATTTCGTATACTTCCCCTTCGTTGCCTTTGGGTGCCTTGTTAGATAACAGGAAGGGTGTCTGATATAATCATATCGAACCAATCATCTAGTTTGAGAGTATTTTGCTTCGCTTCGCTCTGCAATCATTTTATGGTTTCTAGGGATGAGACATGAGCATTTGATAGGCCGCATGAATTGCAAGTAAATTTGTGAGATCCAGTATGTAATTAAAACTATACGTGAGCGAGACTGTGGCAGACACCATTACGGAACGAAAAAAAAAAAAAAAAGAAAAAGAAAAAAACTAGTCTGCGCCAGGTCGCTGCGGCGAGTTGGGTTGAGCGGGGTGCACGAGGTCCAGAATGCCCTCTGGGCACTTGAAGTCCTCGAACCACTGCTCTTGCTCCTCGAGCAGCGCACTAGCCACTTCAAATTGCTCATTTGCGAGAGCCTGCGCAATTTTGGCACTGAGTCCTTTCGCCCGATTCACAGTGCGTTTAGCTTCAGCCCATGCATCACTAGCCATCTTCTTGCTGATTGAGGGCCTGTTGCGTTGGTGGCCCTGATTTTGACGCTCTGGGGTCGACCCTGTCTGCGCATTCCGCCACAAGCTGCATCGCTCGTGTTTTCCGTTCCAGATACAGTTTGCACAGGCCGCAAGATGGCCTTCTCCGCTCTCCAGTTGCACGCACTTTGCCTATTACTTCATCAGTTATCTTTATTCCCGCCAGTTAACTGTCAAAGTACCTGAAAGGAGTTACATACCCAAGGGCCTAAAGCCCCTAGACAGCTCTCGCACTGCTTGTCATCAGACTGGACCACTCCCTGGCAGAATACAGCTGCGGATTCCACGTTGGAGAGGCTGTTGCCAATGAGTTCATCCTGGTGTCTGCCACTCCCGAAGTAGCGTTTCCGGCACGTAAGCTCCCGCACCGGTTCGTTTTTCAGCAGCTCGTGGAGTTTACCCTTGAGGCGTTGCGCTTGACGAGCGACACTAAAAGGGGCCAGCCAGATAAAGTGTGCCCACTCCGCGGGAGGTCGATCCGTTTCCCCAGCATGGGCCTCCGGGATAGCCAACGGCTCCCCGATATTGGTGTAATCAGCGGTATTGGTAAATTCGGGATCGCCGGGCCAGCTAATAATATTCAAATGAGTTTCATGACTCACTTTCATCCAATATAGGAGACTCACTAGGTTGAGGTGCGGGCGCCTATCCCACGAGATGTGGCTTGGCGCACGATATCCATACCGAGAGCTGATAGAAATCCCGGGGGTTGTCCTGGGTTGGATCCGGAGTTTCTGGCATGTTGGTGATGCTGGCAGAGAGGCGGGAGAGAGGTGGTGAAGATGGAGATTGATGAGTCGATGAAGGAGGATATGCCAAAGGAGATGGTGATAGAGATGAAAGGGGCGATGGAAAAAGAGATGTAAAAGGAGACGGAGAAGAGGATGGAGATGGGTGGATGGAGATGGAAGTGGTGATGGAAGCTTGAGGATGGAAGGCTGAAGAGTGTTGCCTTGAGGGTCATGGTGATCTGCCTAATCAACCCCAAATGCCATTTAATCTCCCTCTTACACCTCTGAGACCTATATGCTACATCTACTCTCATCTACAATCTACACCTACTCTTATCCGCCGACGGTACGTAACGCCTAGAGAGCATCAAGGGAGAGGCTTATATCTCGTCAGTCATGAATCCAACTCATCACGACCCTGCAGATGCACCTCGACCCCTTAGCAGACGAGACGGGGAGGGGCCTGCTGATGAAGAGGAGCCAGGTTTCTGGGCTCAGGCCGCACTGGCGAATCCTTGGATGAGAGGCCGACGGAATAGTCAGAACGCGTCAACCAGGCTATACGCACTACGCGAGAATGGGCTGTACCGTGAGCCTGTTTTGCGTGCGTCCCGGTCCTCCTACGATGGCCCAGCGTTTCACCGATTAGTCGGATGGAGGAGCGAGAACGTGGAAGCCCTTTTGGCACAAGCAACTGGTGCGCAGGTAGTACCTGACCAAGCTTGCAATCACTGCCAGCGGGGTCAGGGCTTGTTTACATCCTGCCCCAAAGCCCGTAACTCGCAAACTGAGTTATGGGCTACACGATCAGTTGCTACCCTTTATGAATTCTAAGAGTCCTTCACCAAGTACATTTTCCAAAGTTAGGGAATAGAGAAAGGGTCAATGGCTCTTCAATATTACCACAGTTATACATAGAGCAGGACAATGAAAGCGACCTAGCAATACACGATAAGGATACAGCCCAGTAACATAAGATAATGGCCAGTCAGACCAGGCAATAAGCCAAAGTCAGTACGGGACTCTCCCAAAGGATCTCGTGTCCACAAGGAAGCAATATAGAAATTCGGGCCAGACAGTTCCTCCTATTATTGACATTCTCACGCCGGTGCCATCAACTGCGTGCGGATGCGAATTGCATCCTCAGCTGTCGAGAGAGGTCCCAATTGCCATCGGCGTGACAATGTACGATGCGGAGTCAGGATCAGGTGATGATGCTCCGGCAAAACGGTCTCGTCGACTGAGCGACAGCCGCGCTTGACTCTTTTCGCCGATACACCAAAATCATTCTGCCCACCCTCCGGGCATAGCTGCGGGTCACCGGGGCCTTCATCCTCATCCGGGTTTCCACGGACATCACCGTGAGGTCCGGCATTGCCTGTATCATCAGGTCCTGGATATGGACGTTTGGTGCCCCTGTCGAACCGATTGGCGCGACTCATTTCAAAATCAAAGTCTGAATCATCGTCGTCATCCTCAATCTGATCGCTGGTGTAGAGCTCCATCAGCTCTTGCAGCTGTTTTTTGATCCCAGGGGCCAGCAACCTGTTCTGGATGTTTCCCAGGAGTTGGAACGCGCGGCGGAGCGTATACATTGGCTCGCCGTGCCATTCCCTGACCTTGGTGCGGTCTTCAATGATCACACCGCTGACCTGTTTGGGAAGTTCCCTGGAAAGGAACGGTACCAACATGACGGTGCGATATAGACCCCCAATCGAGTGTGGCTCAACCAAGGCTTGTTTCATCTGGTGATTCTTATATTCCGCTGCCGATGGTGTGCGACGGCGGATAGGCGCGCCAGTCTGTGCCGCTTCCTTACGGCGGGCTTGGTCGGCCTTCTCGAATTCAATGAAAAATTCCAGGTCAACAGGGAAGAAGACAAGCCCTGGGTGTGAGGCATTATCAAAACGGTAGTGGCAGAGTTTGCAGAGAAAAATCGCATTCTCCTTTGCCTTGAGGTTGGCCCCTGGGGGGATCAGGCCTATCTTTGCCCATAGATCTGCCTATACAAACACATTAGCGTCATTGAGCTCATTAAACAAACAGTGCAAGGGAATGGCATACTTGGCCGTCTTCTTTCGCAAAGACATGGGCGCAGTCTGCTTCCTCTTCTCGACAAACCCAGCATTGCCGTTTCTTATCATAGATGGCTCTGAGCTGATACCTCACGGTCTCTGTGAAGGCTCCAGATTGTGTATCCGTTGTGACAACAGTCTCCCCGCTGATTGAAACTGCTCGGGATCGTGGCAACGGCGTGCTTGGAGCCGACACAGCTTGCCGGACCCGAGTACCAGAAGGAGAGGCGGAGTCAGGGGAGGTTGGTGGAAGCATTGTGCCTGTGATCGCCATTTTGTGAGTTTGGGAGTATATATTTAAGAATGGTGGACAGTGCAGAGATAGGGGGGATTTCAAGGAAGCAAAGAGACTTACACCACTCGAGGATTTCCTCCCAGCGGGAGGTGATCTCCCAAACGCAGTCGTTGTCGGCAGGAGCCATGATGAGATACGTTAATGTAGAAGGAGCGAAGTTTCAACAGCGACAGGAAGGAAGGTCCGTCACGTCATGTTCCTGGCGGTGGGTACTCCCAAGAGTTGATATGGGCTTAGTATCTGCCCGTGTACCACGGTACCAGAGATTGGTCTAGTGTGAAGCTATGGGATTACAGTATGGTCATTTTCCCCAATTCAATCGTATTTCTTCAAATATCTATCGGATGTCACCTAACTACAATGTCGGCAGCTGTAGCCAGGCTGGACGAATACCTCATATCTACCTTGTTTCTGAAACCACCTGGGATAACGGGATCTAAGGTTCAATACATTGCTAGATTATGCACCTCCAATATTAAGGTAGACATGATATGTCCACTCATATCTTTCCCTTGGCAATCTCCTTATATGAACTTATGACCTGAACGTGAAACGAGGCTAAATTTGCCAACAGGAGGAACCTGATCTTATTCAGAAAATCTTCGATCACTTCGAATCGGCCCCCGAAACCTATAAACTAGGTGTTTTATACGTGATCGATTTTATAGCCCGGTGTTGGATAGCACACACTCGCAAGTTTAGGCGGTATCAATCAAACACCGCACCAGACAGAACACTCGCTGGGGGTGTTGATAGGATAACTAAGTTGTCGCCTGCACAGATGACCGGCATTATCAATTATGCGCCCTTGAATCATAAGGTATACACGCACTTTGTGTTTATTTTTAAGCTAAACTGAATATTCTAGTCGCGAATCACGGTCATTTCCGTTATACTAACACGTTTCTCGCGAGATCTATCTCTTAGAGTATCGCGTTTGTAAACCTGCTATTTGAACCTTCTCAGTAAATACACATACTCACCTGTGAATTTTTGGGATTCTAGGAAAAGATCGAGAAGCTCCTTAAAATTTAGGAGGAGCAAAAGTCCTTTCTAACCTGTATACTAGACTCGTTTCGCAAAAAGGTTGATACACTTTTAAGTAGTAGGTTCGGTCACTGCTCTTACCCGAACTATCACCGTTCTAAAACGCTTGATATATATTGAGGGAGACATATGCGATGTATGGTCCCCGTCGATACTACAGGTCAGGTGCTACCCGTCTGATCTTGATCTCGTGGAAGCGTATAGCACATCCATAATGCGATAATTTTTGTATCCTTTTTTGTATCTTTTTTTGTATCCTTTTTTGTCTTATAATCCATCTTCAATAAATCAGAAAATACCCCTCGCGCGACTTCCAATGTATCTACTCAATGCAAACAGTGCCGAGATCCTGAACATTAACGGGCAGTATTCATACCTATGACCATCTCCAATTATGAAAATACCTTCCTATGTACCCTGTAACTCGCATCTTTAGCCTATGAGTCAAAATCCCTCAAGGCATACAGGCCAGCCCCGAACGCAGGGTTCAGTACATAGTTTACCACATGACATCCGCCAAGGGCGGTGCTTAAAGGGCTACGCCGATCATGATCGGAGCCAGGATCACTCATTGGACCGGGGAACCACAAACTCTATGCCTCACTTTTCTGGCTTGGGATCCTACGGGCATTCCGAGAGGATTATGAGAGATAAAGGCTAATGGCTAAAGCAACTTTTAGTTTATCATGCAAGTCCCGTGGTCGCGCCCGCCGCCCCAGGCTAAAGTTGGGTGACGTTGGACAAATGGACCAACTAGATGGTGATGAGCCGTTGATCTTGGGACTGGACTAGCCATTATAGTCGCTTTGTACGAAGTAAATCACTCGTCTTGGACTAAACGACGGGAATTTAGTGGGTTCAGTTGGACTATGTAGTTCACTACGCTGGAATAGTACTCCGACGGTCACTAGCACATAGAATCGACGTCACTGGAGTCTGAGGCGATGCGATACAGTGGAGCGCGCTAGACTTTCCATCTCCGTGGGACCAAACAGACAGACATGCGACTGAGCTGAGTCCCTCGGCAAGTCAAGAGTACATACTTGACAGGGCTAAAGCCAAGACCAAACGGCCGGGGCGTAAACCCGAGAAAAAAAGCGGAATAACCCCCCTAAGCAATGAGCACAGCCTCCCTCGGGTTGCGGATGCCGGTCTAGGCGGGGAGATGGGTTCACTCGCACGATGTCCCGGCATTGGAGCGCCAAGTGGGGTTGGAGATTGGAAAGGGTTCTAATCGTGTGTTCGAGAATACGCTTGGCGGGGCTGAGATGCGCGTGAGCGGGTTCGCGTGGGTTGGGGGCTAGGAGGGTGGACAGGGTGGAAAGGTGGTGAGAGAGAATATGATCAAAGAAATTATTGTTGTGATGGCTTAGTATTATCACAATCATAATAGGTTAAAATGGATATGTATCGGGGAAGGGACGAACCTTCAAGGTGCATGCATGATGTGGAAGGGATGAGGAAGTATAGAATACCCCGTATGTACATAGACACGATTTATGGTTCGCATTATTCGGTGGGGGAGATCAACCTTGTCGCACCGCTTCTTTACTCAGGCACGTAGGGCTGTCACAGCGTAAAACCAGGCCAAAGGGCGGTCTTTCCTCTTCACCTCTGGGGGCTTGGCTGCTACTAGTGGGGCTGGGGGGTAAAGTCTCCCTCGTACCCTTTAGTGTATTCACTTATTTCCCTACGAAAGAACGGTCAAGAGTTCCAACTTCCCGGGCACTGAACAGTATCCAGTTAGCGACAAGACCCTTAGCCCAGTATGAACCTAGCCCGAGTCTAGCCTGGTCGCTGGGCGTGACTTGGCCAAGCACATCCCCAGTCATCGACATGCAGGTTCTCATTGGACTATATTCGGAGGAGGCTCAAGTCACGCTGTACACAACCCCTGTACAAATAGCCAAGACTCAACGATGCATGCTAGAGCGTTGCGGCTCGGATGAGTAAACAGGGAAAAATGCAGGGTTCCGAAGGGTTGATGATTTGAAGACTCATACGATGACTCCCACGACTGCAGGGCGCAGTCACGGGTTGCCCTGGTTTCTCGTTTCGGGGACCAAATAAAGAAAGCGGAGAAGAAAGAAATGAATAAAGATGTGTAAAATAACCTATTATTCAGGGGATTTCTATTGGATCAGGCGTAAAGGGATATCTTGAATCATGAAGACTTGGGATAAAATCGAATTGAATTATCGCTCGATTGGATTTTGGCGCAAGGCAGACAGCCCAAGGTGGAAATGGGATCCATTTTCCCATTTCCAATTCCCGCCCTGCTTACTCACTTGGCCCTAAACTAATTTAAGCAACAAGAACTATATCCGGTGTTAAACTTGCGTCTCTATTGTCATCTAATAATAATCGTTGCAGAAAATCACAATCATAGCGTCAGCTTGCAACAAAAAAGCAAATTGAAACAAGGGGAAAATAAAACAGATGCCGAAAATCAAACATATGCTGAAAAGTCACATGTGGAAACATCATGAAAATAATGAAACAATGAAATGCACCAGGCCCAATGCTGATAATCCTTCCAAACCCTCGCTTGCATAAAATATAATAAGAAAACAAACCAATAAAACAAGCTCAATCGTTCAATCCACAAATAGACTCAAGATGCAGACAATGGAGAAGAAAAACATCAACACGCAAACATTAAACTCAAACTCGAAAGATCAGAATGTCAAAAGATAGAAATCACAGTAGTCGGAATCACTAAATATAACACAGATGCGTTAGCAACTCGATTCGAGTTCGAAAAAAGCAAAGAATAGTCAATTCTTACCATTGCAGACATGAAAGGGCATCAGAACATTCTGTCTTCGCCAGCAAAGACAGTAGAACACAGCGAGGTGTTTACTTGACTTGCGTGCAGCTACCGCAGGCTTCGTGGTCGCAACCAATGCATCTTGGTTGGTTGTTGTAGACCTTCGGTCCATCTCCACACTGGCAGCAGATGTACATGTATGTCTGAGTGTAGAATTGCACCGCACCAGGGAACGGCGATGCCATGGCCAAAGGCATTCGCCGGGATAGGGACCTGATACTGTGCAGGTCCCCTAGCCCTGTGGCAGCCATAGTCTTGGTCTGCAATGACAGGGTGTGTGCGGTGTCGATGGGAACGACAGATGGGTATGGCGAGGACTCGTGGCAGCCGTGGGCTGCGTGGTTGTGGTTGTGGGTGTTGGAGTTGTACGTGACCTTCTCGCGGGTGCACATGGAGCAGGCGTATTTACCGCAGTTAATGCAGGAGTCGTAGAGGTCAGAGTTGAAGGGGCCGAAGTTGCAGCCACAGCAGAACCACAGGGTAGTCATCTTGATGTTGGAAGATGGTGGTTGACTGGCTGGATGGAGGAGATGTAGAATAGTTGGCAGTCGTGTTGGAATGCCGGTGGATGTTAAGTTTGAATGAAGATTAGATCTGACAAGGCCTTGTATTGATGGAAGGATTTAAAGATGTTGGTCAAAGGCTGATCAGGATTGATAGAGTTATGGGGAAGGAAGTTTGAGTTGATTGAGATGTTGGATGTGTTGGTTTATAAGTTGAATTGTTGGATTTGTTGGATGAAGAATGGAAATTAAAGAACACGAGACCAGGGAATATGAACCATATATAGGCAAAGTGAATACCAGAAGATAAACCAAAAAGAGATGTACCAGAACTGAAGCGTTCCAGGCACCATTGTGGCTATCCAGCTTAGGCTGCCTTGAGGGTTCCGAATCGGGTAAGGGTCTTTTTGTTCCACCCGGGTCAGTTAGTATGAACGGGTTTGGGGCCACCGCAACCCAGAATAAAGGAAAATAAATTCAACCACACAAAATGATTGTGATTATTTACGAAAATGCGGTCTACTATTTCCTTTGCCAAATGCATCATTAACCCGGGGTGATGGGCGCCGGTAGGTGGCTTTGTCGCGAGCGTTGTACCTTTGTACCCGTGTACCTCGCACTCGGTCGCCTTTGTAGCCTGAGGAAAGCCTGCCTTAGTTCGAGGAGCCTCGAGAGACTCACTAACGCCCAGGTGGGTTTAGCCAAGGGTAACTAACTGATCGCCCCAGTCTCCTTTGGGGCCATCGCGTCTGTTTCTCTCCAACGAGGGAATGGCGCCTGAATCATCATGCCGAACGGGACAAGCTCGTTTGACTCAATTCGAACTGGCGTACGAGACTCCACCGTGCCCTGACAGCCGCTGCATGTCTACATTGTGTTCAAGTCCTGAGGTCCTCCATGTCCCGCATAGGCTAGTGACCCAGCGAGGCTGCGGACGCCCACACATACACACCGTCTAGACAGAACACGAATGTATGAGTTCACGCTGCTCGGGCGCTCCGAATCGCGGTCTGCAATCGAGGCTGGTTTCAACCCTATTCACAACCCACAACCCGTTATCCCGCCCATTAACCATTAACACATTTGACACCGCCCTTCAGCTGTACCCTGGGTATGATGCCTTGCCTGGTGCCTTGAAACATTCTTTGGAGAACGATAAACACATCCCCGAGTTTCTCCACTTCTCATAGGCAACGGCGGGCGGTGACTCTACCCGGGGGAGTCATTGAGGGTCACCTGTGCGCGCTAAGCCTCTGCTGCCTAAGGTGTGCAGTCATCGATCAATCTGATGAAAGCGTCTGGACCTTCTCGTTGGTCGCCCTTACTTGACAGCTAATCTCGAGGGTTAATTCATGGGCTATCCATGGGTTTGTTGTTGTGTTTTTGCCCGGGTTTTTCTTTGAATTATTCTTTTTAGAACCTTTTTGCTTGTAGAGTACCTTCTGTCGTGTTCAATATGAATAATCATATTCCATTTTTCCTACTGCACTGCCGAGTCTACAACTTTGTGCATTGAATCTATTCTATTGTTTGGTCTTCTATGCTTTCTCAATCACGATGAATAACCACGCCTTCTCCATGTACTCCGTACAAACCTCAATGAAGACTAGGACTTTATTTCCGCTCTATACAACGCCCTGTATACTCAATTCCCACCCGGAAAATGGCGAGTCCATGTCCCAACCCGGCATATTGCGGGAGATATGACACGGATGATCATCAAGTCTCTCGATACTCGTCAATTCATGTCCCTTGCCAGGCAGCAAGGCCCTAGATCGTAGTGCCCCAGCCGGTTGTTCCCCGGATACACGGCATAAATCAAAAATGAATTCAATTTATCGATTGGATACCGACTCGATAGCTAGTGTGATAGAAGATGCCAAGTATATACAATCAACCCGAAAGATGATCATTATTCAGGGCAGCCTTCGGGGCGAGGCTCCCCGTGATTACGTCGGGCGGTCTGCCCCAAGTGGGCCGGTTTGGCACTTTTGGCAAGTTTGGTTAACGCCCTGACCTCATCGCTCGTCTTCGAGCTCTCTGCCTCGAAACTCCTCCCCCATTATTCCCGAGATCCAGTCGCACGCTATCGCGCTGCCTGGTCCCTCTCCTGCATTTTTATTGTTTTGCCTTCATGTATTCGTACGTCCTCGAGGCAGAATAATTCTTCACACATGGCGACCGCTGCGCAGAAGCGCATCAACCTAGTGGTCTCGAGGATCATTCCGCCCGTCCTCCTCGGCGCGGTCGTTTACGCTTCTTACGCCATTACGAAGACATTATGCGGTGAGTGATAACGAATTTCGGTGCCTGCGCTATACAATATGTGAATCTGCCACGCTGACATCTTCTTTCTCGCTCCAAAGTTGACTATCTCATCCATCCACTACCTTCCTATCATCACAGTCCTCGAGTCGGTGCTGGCGCCGTCATCGTCGCCCTCTATTATCTTCTCTTAATACCCGTCGTCTCGACATACATTCGACTTCTTTTTAATGTCTTAGTCAACCCAGGCTACCTGCCGCTCGGTGCTGAACGCTTGCGCGCCGAGGCCAAGTCGGAAGATCCCAAGCATAAGCACGGAAAGCGCCGGCGTCGTAAGAGCAGATCGCGAACCCGCGATGCGGAGAAGAACGATAAACCAGCCTCGGATGTAGACGTGGACCTGGAGCGTGGCATAAACAATCATGCTGGAGGCAAGGCTTACCAACTTGATCCTTTCGGGCTGGAGAGCTTCTATACCAAAGACGTTTTTGTCTGCCAGGAGGATGGCCGGCCACCATACTGTTCAACCTGCTGCCAGTTCAAGACTGACCGAGCGCATCATTGTCGGGAAGTTGATCGATGTACGCGAAAAATGGATCATTTCTGTCCTTGGTAGGTTGCTCTGGTTTTCTAAGGGGAGAAATATCAAGTTGCTGACAGACCATAGGGTGGGAGGTGTGGTGTCTGAGACATCGTTCAAGTTCTTCATCCAATTTGTTGTGTACACTGCCATCTTTTGTGGATATCTCCTGATCGTCTCTGCATATTACACGGCGGAGATTCGGCGCAACGTGAGTAGCTACCTACCCAAGGTGACAGCAACGTTGACTGACATCTTCCAAAGACCGGAGGCGCCAACCCCCACTGGGCAGTCTGTATTGGACTGTGAGTAACTACCGCTATTTAACCGTCCCCGTCCTGAGACTGACCAAACACCCAGGAGCGCTATGTTTGCCTTCTTCGCTGGGGGAATGTCCCTCAGCTCCATCCAACTGGCCATGCTGAATCTCACCACTATTGAAAACATCAACCGGCACTCCGTCGTCTGGACTCTCGCCATTCGAGTCCCGGATCACATGCTGGACCGACTATGGGCCACCGAGTCCCCATGGGCACCCACCTTCCGCATGGTCTCCTACCCCCTCCAACCACCCACATCACCGTCCGAGCCCCAAACGACCAGCCCATCACCAGAGGAGCGCCACGTCTTCGCCATCCTCCATACTCTCCCAGGCGAAAATCCCTTCAGCCTCGGCAGCAACCTCAAGAACCTGCAACAGGTCATGGGCCACAGCATAATCGACTGGCTCATCCCACTCAAACACAGCCCATGCGCCGACCACAGTAGCTCCGAGAGTGCATTTGCCCTGGGCCCCGTTGTAACTCGACTAAAGCAGGAAGCCGGTCTGGTTCCGGCCCCCGCGCCAGTGTCTGGGAATGGGGCTGTTTCAAGGCCCCCATCTGCGCATACAACGCGTAGCCGCCGCGGTAAAGATAGATCGTGATCTGCGTTGGGATCCAGAAATAGAATTATCATTACACTTTATGATATTACACATGATGACTTCGTTCGAATGCCTGTAGAATGATATGTACCATTGGAAAATCTCGGCCCCACTGTCGTCATGCGCGACACCCAGAGCTTTGCCACCCATGCAGGACAATCTGGCCCCATGAATAGGGCTGAGACTTGCTCAGGGGGCCGGCTTTTGTACAGAATTATCTTTAGGCATTACGATCACGAGTGGTCTCAGTGCCTAAGGGAGATGGCTGAAAGAACGAGCCAGCTCAACTTCTAAAAATGCCAACTTACAGTGCTAAGATTGCTAAGATTGTGTTCATAATAACAACATATTCTCTCTATTCGAATCACTACTCACTCAGTACACAGCGGAACTCATATCAAGAAAAAGTGAATGAGTGAATTGTCTTCAAATATAATAGAACAGTCTCATGTATGCGGGGAGTAAGGCCTCGAGGCAAATTCCTATCTTTCAGTTCCCCCAACCCTCACCATGGTTTGGAGGATGGGATAGGAAAGATAGTATAGAACAGCCCCGTTGAATACTCATCCCAGCATGTAAAGGAAAACAATAAAGATCCACAGAAACAAAGGAAATTCAAATGAGTGTGAAAAGAAATCAACAAAGTGACCAAGTACACCCGAAATGTGTTGAGCCGAAGCCCATATTACCCAAAATTAATCCAGCACCAATACACCATCCAGGACCATCCAAGTCCATGCCCCGTCCATGACAAAAGAAAAAAAACCCCCAATCAGCACTGTATAACCAAGAAACTCCCAGTCCGAACCCATACCCCGGTTGCCCATACCCATGTCTATACCCATACCCATGCCCATCTAAACCCAAGCGCCAAAAAGCCAAACCCTCTCTCAACCTCGGGGCTGTTCGAGCCGAGGCGAACAAACCCGGAAATGAAGATCTACACAACAACGGTATTGCACCCAGCGCACTTATAATGCGAACAGACCGAGCATCGATCCGGGGCTAGATCGGGGTTGTTCATGCTGTCGCAGTGGCAGCACACCCACCAATTGGCATTCGTAATGGGCGCGCCAGTGCTGGCATGGTTGGTTGGGGTTGGGGTTGCGCTGTAGAGTGGTTCGATTGGATTAAGTGCGAGATAGAGGTATTCGTCGTCGGTGTACTTGTACTCGTACTCGGTAATGGCTTGGATACCGTGTCTGTGGACTTGGGTGGCCATGGTTGATTCCAGGGAGTTGGTCAGGGGGAGCTTGTACGAGTGCATGGTGTCGTGTGATTGACGACTTGAGAGTAGATGCTTTGATAGAAGATTGTGGAACTCAATTGGAGTCGTGATAGTGAATCACAAAGATCCGAATGGCAAAATTATAGATAGAATTGTATCTGATGTGGTTGAAGAGTATCTGCACACTGTCTGTGATGATTCGGAACTGGATCTTATATCGAAACTGAAGATGCTCGAGATGATGAAGAGAATAAGAAAGAACTCCCGACCTCAAAGACGCTCCTTTTAACTGAAGGGACGACAGCATTTGGCAAACACCACCAAACCCTCAACCATCACCCTGAACACCAGCATCACATCGTCGACAACCAATGTTCATCCGCCACAACTGCTCCACAGCCATAACAACCGCTGCCTAAGGAGGCAGGACAAAAAAGTCAGACTCATCGTGGCCAGGGCGAGGGCGTGGGCGACAGCGGACACAAAGGTTAAGGGGGAATAACCCAGTCTCGACCGATCAGAACCAAACCACCCGCCAGCACTGGTGATGCTGTTAATCGCCCATCCAGCCGGAGTCTCCGATTTCGCAGGCAGAAACCCTAGAAAATCCCACCGGTATGGACCGCCTGTGTGTGTCCACGCCCGCGCCCAAGACGGATCGGATCCATCTTCATCACTTCCAGAATCCAAGCCTACCTGGGTGCTGGGAAGGTCCATCCCATATAACATCGGCGAGCTCCGATAGCTGCCCAGTCACGGGTGCTTTCAGTCGAGAGGTAAAAGCTTGGGAAATACTGGAGAAGCACCCAATAGCGAATTTGCTTGAGCGGTGCGGCGCAGTTCAGGGTTGAGCTATGTCGGTTATTATACGCCTTTGCACCCGGCACCCGCGCGGGTCACAGGCCCGGGTCAGCGGCGGAGAGGCAGACAGCGGGACTTGAAGTCTGTGAAACGAGTGTCAAACGATGTTTGAACTGGAAGTGAGGCATGAAGAGTTCCGTTTCATGCGGATGCTGTTCGGCTCACTTGGAGTGCAATGCACCAGGGCTAGAGGGGCGTCTACTGTATTGACGATTAGTCTGAATCGGGGGACCTAAGCCTCTCCCGCGGCAGCTCCTTGCCTGCTGACTCTCATCTCGGTGTCGATTGAGAAGCGGGAAAGGCTCAGTCTGCCTTACGGATTGCATTCCGGACACCCGGGCGGCTGCCCTGTTTCCAGGAGGGCGGTGGTCCGCAAAAGGTGGGTTGAGGGCTTTCTTGCGACAGGGCGAGGGGAGGCGGAAGGGGCGTAGAAGGGAGAGTGGAGATTAGTATTCTACGAGAATGATCCGAGAATGCGAATAGTATCACGGGTTTCGGGAGGGTCATGTGTTGAAGTGTATAGGAACATTGTGCTCCATCGGGGTTAGACCAGCGTGAAGCAAGTTTTGGATGAGATTGACCAGGGTGAAGGGACAGCAGTGCCCAAGGCCAAGCCAAGCTCAAGCCCGGGGCCAATGAAGAATGAGGGCGGTTAGCATTGCGATCAGTGCATGAAGGATCCAGTGAGGGGAAGCAATTGCAACCCGCGGTATTGGAATTGTTCTGCGATTCGGTGGAATTGGCACGTCAACCGCCAAGCATGAAGCAAGGACGATTAATTGCCTTGCTTTACGTGGCTGTGCCCGCAGAAGAATAAGGCAACTAGCACCACAGTTAGTATATTATGCTCTGTACTCCGTAGAGCTTGCTTCAAAAGACTGCATGGGAGGTCAGTCATGCGGAGTATACTTCCACAACGCTCTTCTTTGACTTCGATATCTCCATCACCATATCCCGGCTGTTCTGTTTCGAAGACACGGGAATGGCCTCTCATCACCTCATTCGAGTAGGTTGCAATCTTGCCGTGTGATCCGTTTCAAGACCGAGGGGCCATCCTCTTAACCCCGATTCTTTAACCCGAGCTAACGAGTCCAGAAAATGACGTTGATGATGTTATGGAGATTATGAATGGATAGATACACACAGCCCCGCCACAACCCAGCGAGTCTCTGCCCAGAATCCACTCGGGCGCAAATTACAGTAGAGGAAGGTGGAGCCCCTCTGGCCCACCTCAGCCCCTCGCAGAGTCGCAGGGCCCCTCAGAGCCGCAACTGACCGCCGGGAGATGGGCGCTTTGCATGGCGGAGGAGGGGAAGCCCTTAGTGGGATGTCGGTAAGAGGATTGCTGGGATGAGGATGGGCTCATCGGGAGGAGGGGCCGTTGAATCTTGGTCGTCCAGCCATCCATGATGCTTATAGTTGTTGATCCATGGTTTCAGATGCGGCTCCAGATGTTCCAAACATTCCTCGTCCACGGATCCTCCCGTTGATAACCCGATAACCCACCTTTCAAGGGCTTTCCAGGAGGTTTGGGTATTTGAATGCGTGGATGCTGCATGAAACATGGGGAATTATTTACCGTTGGGCCGTCCGATCATGATCCAGTGGCCGGAAGATTGGAATGATGCTGGGCAATCAGATGGCGGAGAGACAGAGATGTCCATGGAAGATACCAACATCTGCAATCGGTTAGTTGTGTGGCGATAGTGTTTTAGCCCACCGAGTACTCATAATAATCACAAGGCCTGAGGAATTGCACCAGGAACTCAGCAATTGGTCAACGGGGCCAACGGGGCCAACGGGGCTGCAGGAGTGGAAGGTGGAAAGGTGGGGTTGGCAATTGTACTTACTACTGTAAGTGTCTCGGTCTCTTGGCGAGTCACTGACCATCACTGACCACCCGCGAGTCCACCTTTTGCGTCATCCCGGGAATCTGACCAGCCCGACCTTCTTTTCTTTTCTTCCTTCATTTTGGTTTCACACATCCTCTTCGCCCTCATCTTTGGGCATCCAGTTGGGTTCCGCCAGATCCCCCCGCTGTTTTCGATCCCGGTATCGAATTGATCAATCAACCCCTTTCAATTTCCTTCGCTCCCACGGTGACTTTGTTTATCATTGTCCCAGTTCGGCTTGCTGCTTGCTTTTTTCTTCCCTCCTTTTTTTGTCTGGAATCTAGGGATATACTTCCGATCAAAGACTGAAGAGAGTGAAGTATCTGTCACAACTCACCTACCACGCACTCGGTAGGTTTTTCTGTTCCTCCTTGCCTCCTGGCGTCCGTCATATTGAAGATGTTGCCCCCCTCCTAACGCCGACCGTACAGCATCCCCACAATCGCACGCACACAATCTCTCCCTGACCTCGCAAATCTCAACGTGAGCTTCGGCGCCGGCCGCTTCAAGCTTTTTGTTTTGCGTTTGGTCCCATTCTGTAGATACGATGGGTTTCTCGAGTCATTTCCGTGGCCTTTCGCCTGGCGGCGGTCGTCACCATATCGCTGGTCCACGAGCATCCACTGGTATGGTCCAGCTGGGCTCTTCTCTTGATCCCTACGAGGCGCCGCGAAGCCGCCACGATTACGATGACCAATATTACCCCTCAGACGTGGGTTATACCAGCACCTACCGCCATCACCCCCGACACCGGTCCACAATCGATGTCCAGCCTATGGCTACCCAGAAATACCGCGATCCCGGCCACTCAACAAAGAAGCGGACCGAGTATGCCATCCAGCCGCAATCCAGGCACAGAAGTCACACCGCATCAGCGGCAGACATCTATGACAATTCGCCCCGGATCGCTGTGCCGTCATCCTCGTCATCACATCTTCGCCCGGTCGTCAACTCAGGCCGCGGCCATCGCCCTCTCAAGTCCTCTTTCGATAGAACCCTCCCGCCAATTGGTTCCGGCCTCCTCCTCGCACCATGCCGCTGGCCACCGTCGAGTGTTCAGCACCGATTATGCAAGTGACACTGGTCGTTTGGAAATGCGCGATGGTGTGAGACACCGATCAGGTGTCAATCATGGCGCACACCGAGTCCAGCCCCCGGCAGGCCGGAGGCGACACCCACCATACGACGGTCCGAAGAAGGGTTATAACATTGATAACTACGATGCCTACTCCTACACGGGTCCAGGCGAAGAAGCGAGGCGAGACTTGTCCGGCGACTATCCCATTGTCCGGCCGCGCCATCCCACAGGTCGGACCTCTCTTGACCGGCCTATGAGTGTAAACCTTGCCGAAGCTCACCCCCAATGGTTGGCACGCAGCAAAGATCACCGTCACCACGGGCCACCTCCTACCTCATGGGGTCTGGACAAATTAGACCGCGAAGGCCGGCCTCGAAGCTCTGCTCGAGGCTTCGATGAATATCGGGATACATCCAGAACGAGAGCACCTGCTGGCCACGATCGTGCTTTGGTGCCATTGCCCCATGAATCCGACGACGAGTACTACAGTGATGCCCACCACAGGTCACGCCGTGAGGAGCCTCGGCGACATGCCCATGACCGATCTCCGCGACCGCATAACGGTGGTAGCGGGGCTTTGGCTATTGCTGGACTCGGCACGGCTGCACTAGCTGGTGGCTATTCAGACGCTTCAGACTATGAGCATCATCGACCGGGCAGACGCCGTCACCGACGCCGCGAGGCCGAGCGTGACTATGACTCCGCCCAACCCTCGACCAGGGATCTCGCAGAGAGTGGCCCCTCCAAGGAGCGAAGCAAGCAGCTATACCTGGAGCCTGCAGATGCCATCAATCGGCGTAGGCACTCGCGAAGGCATACTAGCCGTCGCTCAGGCAGTGACACGGAGATCTTCACAGATGACGAGGACCTCCACAAGTACCGACGTGAACCTGCGGCGGCACCACATCGGAGCCGACACAGCAGCACCGATACCAGCAGCGCCGAAGATTATTCTGGCAGACGTCCCCCGCGAGACCTGTCGCATCACCGCTCTCGTTCAAGGCGAGCACCCGAAGATGGACGCTCGATGGAGTCGCGAAGCTCTACTTCGGTTGACCACCGGGAGGAGGTGCGCAAACCGATCACGGTAGAACCTCCTGTCACCAAAGAGCCTGAGCAGCCTGCGCCGAAAGGTATTCTGAAGACCCCGAAGAAGGCCTTTCCTGAGGAGCCAAACCCAATACGAGAAGGTGTGGCTCCATTGAAAGATGCCAACAAGAACGGGATTCCACCCACGGCGCGATGGACCAAGATCGACCGGCGACTGGTCAATCCTGCCGCTTTGGAGGCAGGCAACGAGCGATATGAGGAGCGACCGGAGTTCGTGATCGTGCTGCGGGTTTTGACCAAGGAGGAGATCCAGGCGTATGCTCTGAAGACTCAGGAGATTCGAGGTAAGCCTTTCCAATTCGAGACTGCTGCTACGGTGTTCAATAGCAAAATTGACTTACTCGAACTTTCTCCAGATGCCCGTCGCGAGGAATACGTTCGAGACACACGCCAGCGCAGGGAGAAAGACCAGCGCCATGGCCGCCGTGGGGAAGAATCCTCCAGCGACGACGAGGACGAGAGCGAGGACGAGCCGTTGAAGATCGAGGCACCCCCAGTCCCAGACGCGAACACGTCTCTGCCCATACGGTCCCGTCCTGCAAGTCACTCGCCGCCGCTACCCGAGCGGCCATCCGTCGTCCAGGTCTAGAGACCCCATTCAGTCAAATCCTCATGATCTCCTGCGTTTGCCAAGGGGCTTTGCGTCGGCGCCACGATGTATGCACTCTTACCCCGCGGTCCACTACCTTGACTAAAGAGGGGCTTGATTCGACAGCTAGCCTGTCAAATCTCCCGGCATCCATGTCTAACCTCCGTAATGTGACACTCCCTCCGCAGCAAGGCTTCTTGGTTGCGCTGCTCTCTCTGCTTGTTTTTCTTGGCTGGGTTCATGCCTGCACCCTCTTGTACTACTCATTCATTTTCATCTCATGTCCTGTCCCATCTGTATGCTACACAAGACCGCTTACTTGCATTAACGTCACTTCCAATGTATCATGATAGATTATGTACCCTCGCAGCGCATTTACATTTACATTTACAACCGCATGCTCGAGGCACTGCCTCTCCGTTTGGGATGGAGAGGCAGACACCCCGAAGCAATTTATTCAGTCACTTTCACTATGCCATCATTCCCTTTCACGCTTTCAATTAGATATGTGTTTTACAAGCCTTGCAGTGTATTATCTTGGGAATAGACCATTCTGAAACAAACAGGTACCCTTTTGTGCAATACACAGAGTTGACAGGCAGGGGAAGGGGTCAGATCTTGAGTGGCTATCCATTCAACTCCTGGATTACCATCAGCATCCGCATGGGCATCAACATTCGCTTGGGCTGTGTTCATGCCAATGTCAAACTCAGACTCCCGTCTATAGGAATAGGAACTACGTCTAGTTGTGTCACATAGTAATAATTTGCCAAAGAGAGCTGCCCAAGAACAAATTCAAAGAGAGACAAATGGATATACTACTACAACATAATCTCAGACCAGACTATGCGTACACTTCCTTTTCTTAACGGAAATTACCCCAGCACTCAACAATCTACTTCTACTGCATTTAACCACCATGACAACTCACACCATACATAACCACTTAACCTATATCCTTTAACTCCGCGAACTAACCATACACCAAAAAGGGGCAGTCATGGAAGCACATACTCCGCATGATACAGTGTCGTATGGCCTAGTTATAAGCATGGCAACATTACCGGGGAAAGGACCCCCAACAAGAAAGAAGATGACCGCAAGCAAGCGTAAAAATTAATCTAAGAAAGGAAAGGACAGGGAAGTTACTGAAAGGGTGGGCGATGGGAGGAGAAACAGTACGATACTGTAGTAGCACCAGGGAGTAGTAAGCCCAGCTGCAAGTTCTCAATCGCCGATATGTGCCACAGACGTGTTGAAGCAAACATTTTGTCAGTTTGCACCGGCGTTGGTAGGTCTGTTGGGGCTATGTGCTGCATAGTGTTTACGGGGCTTTCAATTTGATTAGATTGCTTTTCTTAGCTTGGATTGTAAGTGGGCGTAAGTTGCTAAAGTAGTCGGAATCCCAATATAATCGTCCAGCTAGGTGTATTTCACCCCCCTCTAGTCCTCTAGTTTGCGATATCGATGTGGTTGCCTTCAGCTGAAACAAGACGATCTTTTTAAGTGGGAGTTGGCTCATTACAGCAGGCCCCGGGAAAATAAATTCATGTCCATGTGTCTATAGTCCAGCATATACTCATACAACGATGCATGGGGGTGGTGACTGCAAGGAAGGTAGCTAGCGTTTGTTTGACGGTATGCTTTCAAGTGAACTCAACATACAAAGGCTCACATGTATTGTTCCTGCAATTTCTCTACGCCATTTGTACATTGTTCAACTCTACTTGAGCGAAAGCCTTTGATCATTATATCAATACACAGGTGGTCTGGCGTTGTTGATGATTGGCTAATCCACACGTAGAGTCATAGTTGGAGTATACTACGGAGACTGATAATGCTCATAATGGTCTCTGACGTGATGCTAGCCAATGAATTTCCATCTTCTATGTCATGGGGGCGGACCGTGGGCTGTGTGAAACTGTCTTGTTATTGTATATAGTCCTAACATTAGACTTCTAATCCTTCCAGTAGATTTGCATGGACTTGACTTAGTACATTGAACACTTCTTATCTGCCAATAACGTGAAAGAAAAAGAGCCTTCAACGGGGCTCAGGCCTTTGATTTTCATTGCGAAAGCATCTACTAAGGCAATAGTAACTCATAGACAAACTAGCCTATCTATGATTCCTCTCCTGCAACATCCCCATGATAACTACTAACTAGTCCGTTTACTACACCATCATGAACAGAATGTGATTCGACCCAGACATGACCGGCCTAGATTTCCTCGACCTACTCGTCTGGCTTGTGATAATCTGCGCGCTTTCATATCCTAACCTAATCGTCTATAGTCTCTCCATCCACAACTGCGCCCGCCCCCGGGTTGCATTGGCGCGCGAGTCATGTCCACTGGCAGACGTTGCAGGCCTCGTACCTGGAGCTCCACTATTTTGTTCAAGAGATCCAATAGAACGATGTGATGCAAGCCGTTCATTTTCTGTAAACTACGACTGTAACAAGCTGGTAACATGGCAGCGCGCGATCAAGCAGTATAGATTTAGTGCTTGCGTCAGTCTAGAGGGGCTGTACGTTTTAGACACGGACGGATAGCGGAATGAACTCTGAAATCAGATATCAAAGACTTATTTGATATGGATATTGGACACCTAGATTCTTGTTTTTGGCCTTGCTTTATTAACGGCATTGCTTGTCACTTGTCGGAGGTTCGCTCCGCCCCATGAAGGTGGAGTCATATCTGCCGCCCCGAGGAATCATGGAGTAGTACGGAGGATGTACTTTCTTAGATGGCAGCCTCGCTTGTTGGTACAGTAGTATAAGGCGGTGCACCAATGAGGCTTGAGAGGTGGCATTTGTCCATCTTCTCGTTCAGCCTAATAGGTGCGTAACGAAATCAAGTTCTTTGTCTAAGTGTGGCCACGGCGGCCCCGAAATCGTCGAGTGATCGACAACAACGATGCATCTTCATGCGTCTGGTTCGCTGGATATTTCTCTGTTCCACCCCCTCCTCCCCTGCGTCTGCTATCTTGACGTCGATGATTTTATGACTGCCTGTTTGATAATTTGAGTAGTGTCTTTGATTTTTAAGCCCTTCAGCTCTCGATGGTGTCATCGTCTTCCGTTCAATGCGCCAACTGGGGCTGTGGAGTGATGGCTTCGAAATCTAATCTATTTTGACTTTGGGCTGTCAATCAAGTTTGCGCTGTGCGTGTCCAGATTTCTATATGACTTTTGTACAACCATGTGGCCTTGCGACCGGCTTGTGGTTTGCTGGCCTTTAAATTTCCGATCTAGCTTTACAATGGGGCGCGAGAGTTTCTCGTGATGTATAAGATAGAAACTGGACGGTGTGAGTACTGTAAGGACTAAAGCATCTATAAACTCTATGCGCACAGGTACCGGAGCCTGTCTAGTTCTCCAGGATCATAGAGATAGCCTCAAGGGAGATGTTCGGTACGGATCCATCTCCACCATATGTGGCTGTTCCGTTCCCAACTGCTCTTAGAGCTATCTATAGGAACGGTGTGCGTTATTTGATCCCATCGCCGCCGATTCACCATCAACCTTGACCTGCAGCGATCGACAGCAAGACCTGCCCTGTTGACCCAGTGGGTATCTTAGGCCTAGCGAGTTTTTGGTAGTCCCCCTCCTCTTAGGCTCTTACCTGCAGCGCCCGGGCTGGAGAGATTCTGAAACAAGAGACCAGCTCCGGCCACGCGACACGCTACTGCGCGCACTGCTGCAGGTTAACGCCGTTCCGCCGCTGGACGCCTCACAACTGCTGTGGATGGCCTAGAGCCACGAAAAAGTCTATCCGAGGCCTGTTGCTTGCGTCTAGAAGTATCGGTGTACAAAAAGTGCCGATGCATCGAATCTTCAGTTTGAAGCGCGGTCAGAGGGACGAATAGCGATGTTCAAGGGGCGGATATACACAGCATGCGCCGTACAGAACACGAAGAGCATGGAGCATCCTTTTGCGCCTATCATTTCCTCCTCAGCCACGGTCGCGACCGTAAGGATCATCATCCATCTTAGGGTTTAGCATGGCATCCACATTGCACTCCGTAAATAGGGTTTAGCGAGATTTTGACTCTTGAAGCATACGCCCTCCGTTCTCCCGGAGCACTCTCGTCCTTTGTGAGAGGATTAACTTCTTGAATTCGGAGTGGCCGGTCCTAGCGGAATTCGCTTTGCAGTTTGCGCGGCTCGACCAGAGTAACCTCAATTGCGAGATCTGCCGTCCGTGGAGATACTAGGCTAGGCAGAATTAGAATCAATCGACTAGTAACACAGCAGAGCAGCAGAGCTATAGAGGGAAACACTAGAGACGATCGCGTCTCGGCTACAACTCCATACGAATCGTTATCGTTGAAGCGAGCGCTCGTGGGCCATCCTCGGAGCCGGATGGTGGGGCCGATACTAAGACCTGATCTTGACTTTCTTTGTTTCCCACTGGTAGTCTGACATTAGTATTGGAGACTTGAGGATTAGTTAATCCCCCGAACCAAGGCTTCAAGCAAGAATTGAGTATTAGAGAACCAGGCAAAAGAGGAGAAGCAGCCAAATCCAAGATGGGATGTATTGCGCGTTCATTCGGGCAGAGCCGCTGCGCGAAACAAAGAGAATGCGCCGAGCTGGAAGGAGTATGACTAGTTACTGGAGGTATAATATGACGGAGTATTGTCTGTTATTGAAGTTATCAAGTAGAGCCAGAACCAAAATCAAGCCGACTTCGAATTCACGGGCTACTGCTCCGGAATTGGTCAGGCGCTACTTGCCTATTACAATTCCAATCACCGTCCATCAGGACTCTGCTCGGCCAGATCAAAGATCCGATACTGCTTTAATATGACCTCGGACAATCGGGAGTGTGGAGAATCCCTGTGGGCATGTTTGCCAATGGCAATGGAGTTAGCTATTGTAGCAGCTCTCGTGTCCAAAGCCTAAGGATACACTGGCAATAAGAACAAGAGCCACAGCCGAAGTAGCCTGGCGGGCTGGCTGGCTGGGCAAGTAAATTAGCGCTGGCCCTCGGTCC